ACCCTAACCCTAACCCTAACCCTAACCCTAACCCTAACCCTAACCCTAACCCTAACCCTAACCCTAACCCTAACCCTAACCCTAACCCTAACCCTTACACGGCAGAGGACGGACACAGCACCCACGTGGCCAGAAAGCACACGCGTGACAGATAGCAGATCAGTCACACTCAGTCACACCACCTTCAAGTGGTCCGTCAGTCGATATCCCCCTTGGCCCTGATCCGGCCAACGTTAGGGTCAGACTGAGAAGATAGCCGATTGTTCGCCTGGGTCCCTGTACTAAATCGATCAATCGATTGAGATTGGCGGCAATCAATCGACTAAGTGGAAAACCACGTGGCCCAGGGCTAGTCGATCAATCGGAAGATAGTCGATTGATCGAAGCAGGCTAGCTGTCCGCGCGATCATGGACGAAAACGTAACATAGCGTACCAAATTCACTTATCGTGGCCTAGGTTTAGGCTTGGTAGCATTCTAGTCTCTGTGAATCAACATGGCCGCAGGGACTGCAGAAAATGGCGCAGCTAGCTCCGATACCGCACCGCAGCGTGACAGGAGCAAGTGAATAGGAGAGATCATATGATTATTTGAGAGAAGAACTTCTATGTACAGGTATTGGGCGTTACCTTGCAGCCTGCTAAGATTGGCTCCACAGGCTTTGCAGCGCCGTCGCGAGTGCTTCCGTTGCGTTCCTCTTGCAGACCGTGAAATGGTTGCCTTCAACCTCGACGACCGTTGCCGAGTGCTCGGGGAGATACCTGTCCCAGCCGTGCAGACCGAGGTTCTGGCGATCCTTCTGAAGCCAGCCGACAGCAGTGTTGTATCCTACGACGTCGTCAGGACTGCCGCCGAGCCCGTCGAGGCCATTGACGACGATAAAGGGAGGTCCTGCCTTCAACGGTGCCGGCTTGTACCGCGCCAAGGCGGCGAGAGTCGAGTCGAAGTGGGAGCGCATCGTGGGAGAGAATCCAGGAGGTGCCTGCTTCTTGAGCTCCGGGTTGCCGTTCGGACCGTAAACCCAGTCGAGCACAGTGTCGGGAAGAGGGGGCCAGGTAGGGTCGGGACAGTCGATGAGGAGCACACCGAGGACGGGGATCGAGCCTCGTGACTCGAGTAGTCGACAAGCTTCGAAAGCTACGATGCCTCCGAAGGACCAACCCCCCAAAAAGAGCTCCTGGTTGCCAGGGTGAATGGTGGCGATGCACTCCAGATATTTTGCAGCAATCTCTTCCACGCTCCAGTTCGCATGTTTGTTCTTAGCCAGATGCGGGGACGTGACAGCATAGACGGGCCTGCCAAGGGACGCCGTCTCCATGTACACGGCACCAGTGCCTGAACCATCGGGAAGCAGGTAAAGGGGCGCCTGTTTGCCGACAAAGGACCTGCCGGACACGAGGACTGGCTTGGTTGTGCCTACCTCCTTCATGATTTCTTGGACGCTGGCTTGGTCGTCTTTGGTCGATTTGGACAGTGAAGCTGTCACCTGCCGTGCCTGAGCGTCGGCGGATGCGGTCGGTCGCGATGGCTGCGACGGTGGCGATGGCTGAGATGGCTGAGACACCTGCGAGTCGACGGAAGGAGCGCCTAAGCGTTGAAGAAACTCGTCAACCTTTCGAAAGGTGGGATAGTCCATGAACAGGCTCGAAGGTAGTTCCATGTTGACCTTCTCTTGCATCACCCCGAGCACCTGCAGCGACATGAGCGAGTCGAGACCGAGATCGGCCAGGTTTTGATCGGGGGTGAGATCTGCTTCGATGATACCCAGCTCGTCGATCAAGACTTGCCTCAACATCGTGACGGAGGCTAAGGCCGAGGTTGTAGCTGGTGGCGACGAGGTGCGATCCTCGGGCTCAGCAATCGTCTCTTTCTTCACCTCACGTCGAGGAGCTGGAGCGCTGGGTGCGGCAGCAGCAGCGGTAGTCAAAGCTTTCGGTTCTCTGTTGCCGCCTGGCTGACTTTCCATAGACTTTTTTGGCGGCGATGTGGCTGGAGTCTGGTCCGTTGACCTCCGATACTTGACTCCCAGCATCGTCGCCACGATCTTGCCCCCCTTGAATGCGTACGAGTCGACCTTCACCTCGTGCTTGCTGCGGGCATCTTGAGCTGCTACAGCATAGACCGCCATCGGAGCGTCGAGGTCGGGTTCGCCCCCTTCAAAGAAGCCAGTCATGAGCGACAGCATTCCGATCTCGTCTGCGGTGAACGCGTTTGCGTCGCTGTTGTCCAGAAGATTGATATTTGGGAGGAGACTCGTGACCTGAAGGAGCGCCTCCAGTACGGAGAGATGTGCGAGCAGGCCTGGGGCACGTGGCGTGGATGTGGCGATCGTTGCCACGGCCTCGTCCTTAAAGAAACAGATCTCTCGCACTGACTGGTACTGCTCGCTATGCGTGGTGGCTTTGGTTAGGAGCCGGTATGCGAGAACGTTGGGCAAGACGTTGCCCACGTCTCGTACCTGCTGCATCTGGCTTGCCACAGCCCTCTCCAATGACGTCTCCGAGCCCCTGCCTTGACCGAGGAACGCTCGGCACTTTGCCAGCGGAGAGGAGCCGTCAGGCATCATGGACCACGTACAGTCCACGGCTTCTTCGGACACGTGCTCCACTCGCAGGTGGAGGGGCTGAGGTTTGTCCTCTAGCGTATATGGTCTCAGAAGCTGCAAATGAGACGTCTGCAGAATGTAGTCGTCATCGCAATCGGACCGTTTCAGCAGATAAGTGATGGCCTCCACGGCCTGTTCGAAGAAGACAGAGGCCGGTAGAATGGCTTTTCCGTTCCTCTTGTGCCCTTTTGCCGCACCGATGAGCAGCGAGTTGCTGGCAACATCGATTGAAAAGGTTGTGACGCGATCGTCTTGCTCTGGCCAGCGCCGTCCAAGCAGGGCAAACGGAGTCGGTGTGCTACTTTCGGGCAGCGCTTCGCTTTCGTCTTCCTCTTCTTCCCCACTGGAGACCGTACTAGGAAGCAAACCTCGATCCTGATACTCCATCCAATAGCTCTGAAGGTCGAACTGATAGTTTGGCAGCTTTGCGAGGCGGACGTCTCCTGCGTAATCCGCATGATAAGCTTTCCAGTCAGGGTCAATGCCGCCAGCGTACAGGGCAGCAAGACCTTCCGTGATGCTTTTCCAGATGTTGGGTCCAAACGTGAGCGACTGATGGCCGTGGGCTTCGGAGCCTTCTCCAATGTGAAGACTGTAGCATCTTGTGCCAGGGATGCCGAGCTCCTGTGCGCGTGCACTGATGGCGTGCGACGGCGAAGTCACCGGATGGTCGGCTTTTGCTTCAAAGAACTGCGACAGCGCTTCAGGGTTGATGGTGGAGCCGACGGGAAGAAGTATGACCGAGTCACCATTGCATAACAGCGTCGTGATCTTCAGTGAATGATACTGCAGACTAGAGGCAATTTGCTCGAGCGGCGTGCTCCTCTGCATGACTGCAAAACGTGCTGCTGTGTACACGTCTAGTGCACCATTGACCACCAGAGAAGCCGCAAGGGACGTGAGATCAGTGGCAACGACGTCGATCGAAAGCCATTTGGTCCAGACGACTGCGAATGCAACGGTGAAAGCAAAGGACTCAGACGATTCATTCATCCCTGCGTGCTTGCTGGCCGTGAGAGCCTCTTCAAAAGCAATGCGGAATGTCCTGCTGGTGGCATGCAGGTGCTGAAATCCTCTGCGCATCTCCTCAGAGTGTTTTTGCTGGATCACCAGGCCGACGAGGGCGTTCGTGTCGGTGATGGAATGGGTGGGCGCTACCTTCAGCGCCTGCGCGATGGACGCCCAATCTGACCCGGTCGCCACAACTCGGTGGCCAAAGTGCTGCCTTCGCGCTGTCGAAGTGTAGGAAATGTCGCCAATGCTGACCTCATGGCCTAGTGAAGCTTGGGAAGCATATTCCGCCTTTGTGGACTCAGCAGCGTTGCGACTCTTCGCAGAGATGGTCACAACGTAGTGTGTTCTCGGGTCTACACCGGTCCTTGGGAGGGAACCCGTGTACTCTTCCATGATCAAGAAGGAGTTGCCCCCCAAGAAATTCGTATTGCTGATCCCTGCCAGCAGTCGATCCTTATGCGAAAGCTCGACCGTATCAAGTGGAATCTCCACATTGAGGCTCTGCAGATCGTTAAAGGATGCGTTGAACCGAAAGTTGGGTGAGTTCTGGCGGAGGCCAGGCAAGGCTCGCTTTTTGAACATTTGCAACACTTTGACGACGGCTGCCATACCGCATGCTGCCTCCGAGTAGCCAAAGGTAGGTTTAGGACTGCCAATGTAGAGTGGTCGAGAACGCGTGGGACTGCCAAAGACTTTTGAAATGGCGTTGACCTCGGCCGCCTCGGCCTGCTTTTGGCCTGCTCCGTGCGCATCGATGTAGGTGACATCGAGAGGATTCACTTTTGCCAATTTGCAGCTCTGGCGAAAGAGATTCTCAAGCATCTGTTGGGAGGGGGCTGCAAGGCGGGTTTTATCATCAAGAGATGAGAAGTTCGATTGGCATCCGCGAATGACGCCCAGAATGTTGTCACCCTCGGCAACGGCGGTGGAAAGGCGCTTTAGCATGACGACACCGACGCCGTCACCTCGGCAGATGCCATTGACACTATCGTCAAAAGTACGACTCTGTCCAGAAGGCGAGAGCATTCCGGCTCGCTCGTAGCCCATGAACATCTGAGGCTGGGTCAAGATGGTTACTCCTCCGGCGAGAGCGGCGTCGCACTGCTTGTTGAGGAGCGCGTCACATGCCGATTCAATTGCGACAAGGCTGGAGGAGCACGCAGTGTCGATGCTGTTGGAGGGGCCCTCGAGGTTCCAGGAGAAGGAGACGTGACCAGGAATAAATGCTCGAATGTTGCCTGTGATGAAGTAGGCGCCGATCCCGCTCGAAGCATTCTCTCGGTAGCTGATCACAGTGTGAAAGGGTGGAGGAGTAAGCGGGAGGCGGGGGGTGGCTAAAAATACTCAGACTCACTCATCACTAGAGGCTCCGATGAAACACCCAACACGAGTGGTCAGGTAGCTTGACATTTGTTCCGGGACGAAGCCAGCATCCTCCATGGCCTCGTAGCAGCACATGAGGGCCAGTCGATGCTGGGGATCGAGCTGGATACTCTCTTTTGGGCTCATGCTGAAGAGCTGGTTGTCGAACTTGTCTACAGAGTCGAGGAAGTTGCCATAGGGTACAGACATGGTGTTTCTCTGATGGCGCCCTTCCTCTTGCCGGTATGCCTTCCAGTCGAAGAGATGAGGAGGGATTTCCTTGCAGCAGTCGTCTTGGGCCGCGAGCTTGGACCAGAATTTGTCCGGCGTGTCGGCACCGTCTGGAAAGCGGCACGACAGGGAAACCACCGCGATCTGGTCTTCATCTTCAACATCCTTGGTGTTGGCGGCGGGGTTATTTGCAGGGGTATAGACAGCCTCTGACAGATCCCAAAGGGGAGCTTGACGGCCTGGAGTGCCCAGATGATTAGCAAGACCTCGTGCTGCTTTGTCACAAAAGAGAATGCGGCCCTCGAGACGCTCGAGCTGCTGGACGGCTCGAGCTACAGCATCCCATCGATTGACATGTGTGAGCACGCCGTGGACGAGTGTGGCCGTCAAATCGAATTTCGAGTCTTCTTGGAAGGGCAGGAGCAGACTGATCGTTTGGGGCTGACGGCGCAGTTGTGGTGCAATGTCCCTCTCCTGCACTTTCAAGAGCACCCTCTCTACCGCATGGCCCAAGAGCTGATTGCTGTGGTATGGGCTGCAGATGGCTATGCGAGCACATTGAACGCGTGGAATCTTAGCGCTCTGCTCGTCCTCTTGGGTCGATGCTGGCTGCAGGAGCGCTGGTAAGGTCTTCTGGAAGAGATCGAGTAGGGCAGGCGGCCCTGAGACGGTAAAGTTTGTCTCAGAGACGACGGTACTGATGTAGAGCGGAGCAAAGCGTTGGCACGTGCCACTGGCTGACAAGCGCTGATTGAAGCGTTTCAGCAGCTGTTGAACTGCACTTTCGCTGACGTCTCGACCGTAACAGGCCAGGGTCCAACTGTCGGCGTATCTGTCCCTCGCCCACTTGTGCGCTTCCCAGCTTGACTCGACACCGATCCAGAATGCCAGACGAACCATTTCGACGCCGCAGCCGGCTAATTGGAGAGGGTTCTCCGAAACAGCTACGGCCGCCGCTGCGAGCGTGCCACTGCACAGCCCGGTCACAATCTTTATGCGAGAAAGGAAAGAGGGGGCGAGCAGTGCCGAGGCGATCTGGTAGAGACAGAGTACTGCGCCATCGATAGCGGCATCACGGTGACGACTGGTGGTAAAGTGATCGATGAGAGCGGATAGCGTTTTAATCTTGGCCAATGGCGGAAAGCGAGCCCACATGTCTGGCGACATGGCTGACGCTTCTTCTAGGATGGCGGAGTGAGCAGCGTGCAAAAAGGCACGACACGTGCTTCCCCTGACACTGTTCTCCTCTTTGGCTCGTTGGAGGAGCAGCTTGAGCTGTTCATTGCAGTCAGCCCCCTGGGCGCCAAAGACGAGGAGGTCGCTGCGCGCGCTAGACTCTCCATCTTGCTCTGCTCTCGATGCCGGCAGAAGAGTAGCGGAGGATGGAACCATGATCAGTGGACTCGATGGAGGAAGTCTTGCAAGAAGCTCAAACATCCGGTTCGAGGACTGAACTTGTATGTTGCGATCCAGAGTAATCAAGCATTACCTCACCTGGTGAAAGAAAAGACGTGGTGGTTATCGACGCGTATTTTCATAGTTACTCCGGGCGAACCGAGGTGAAAATTTACTTTGTGAAGTTGAGACGTCAGCGAAGGTTAGAATAAAAGTTGGGCGTGGGAAGCGAGACGCTTGCCTCTCGTCACCGAACCAACCCATCATGTCGCTCCAAGTACACCTGCGCTTTCCGACCGACTTTCGGTCAGTTTTGCAGGCCTTGGTGTTGCTAAGCGCAAGCACCGCCATTGTTCTGCTGTATCAATGGCAGAGCCACGTTCATAGGAAAAAGAGCAACGCCGAAACCGTCGTAGCAGTCGATCCAGTCGAGCTGAACAGCATCCCGGGGCCTCTGGAGTGTGAGCATCCAGTACCGTCCTTTGCCATGAACATAACTAAGCCAGTGCGACGAATCCAGTCAGGGAATCACACGTCTTCAAAAAAGGGCCCACGACGGAGCACTGGAACTTGTTGGCTTTGCATCGACAGTACGGTCCAGTCGTACGTATCGGTCCTACTCACGTATCGGTCGCCGACTTCGATAGCGTCAACGCCATCTATCGTCAGGCGACTACCTTTTTAAAGACGGACTGGTATGATCTCTTTACCGAAAAGGGAAAGGGCGTGATCTTCAACATTAGGAACAAGGAGCTACATGCCAAGCGCCGTCGCATTGTCAGCCACGGCTTCAGCCTGTCGTCTACCAGAGTAATGCTGCCTTTCATCAGGACAAAGGCCTTGCACATGGTCGCACAACTCGCCGAAAGCTCAGAAGCTCAAGATGCCGTCGACGTCAGTCTTCTCATGAGGCGTTTAGCCGGCGATGTTTCTCTAAAGGTCTCTTTAGGACAAGATTGGCGCCAAGTGGAGAATCGACAAAGTTGCCAGCTCGTGGACGATCTCGTGGCAAGAGGCTCCGCCGATGGACCGACGCGGGCGTTGGCTTCCCGTCTGGCACGCTGGGGCTCACTGTACACCGCGTATTGGTCATTGCTCGGTTCAATGAAGAGTGGAGACTGGGCCACTGCTTCTCGTATTGTTCGCGCGGACGGTACAATCTACTCGTCCGTCTCTGATTTCCGCAAACGCTGCCAGGATGAAAATCGCGAGGATGACCCAAGCGAGCTTCTCAGTCGAATCATAATCGCAAAAGACCCGGCTACCGGGCATGCCATGGACTTCCAGACGCTATGCATGGAAGCCAGAGGATTCATTCTAGCGGCGAGCGACACAACGGCCAATACTCTCACCATGGCCGTGAACCACATCTCGCGCAGTCAAAGCGTGTGGACCCAGCTCCACCGCGAACTCAAGGAAGCTATACCTTCGATGGAAGCACTTCAAGATTCTTTGCAAGACGCCTCCTCCTATTACACGCAGCTTCCATTTCTGGTCGCGTGCATCAAGGAAACCTACCGTCTCTCGCCAGCCATTGCTAAACTTTTGCCTCGCCAAGTTCCCAACAGAGGCTGTTCGCTTGCTGGACACCATGTGCCAGCCGGCACCATCGTCGGAACATCTATCTTTGTACAGCATCGCTGGGACGAAGATCTGTGGGGACCTTCCGACTATGCAGACGAGTTCCATCCAGAGCGATGGCTTGAATCGTCTCAATCCAGCGAGGCAGAAGTCGCGAAGTTGAAGAAGATGAATAGCTTTCTGTGAGTCTGCACTTGAGAAGCAAAGAAGAAATCGCCCGCTCATCTCCACCTTGACAGAACCCCATTCTCTCAGGGCACACGGGCTTGTCTGGGACGCCACATTGCCGATATGGAGCTTCACGTCGTCCTCGCTACGCTGTTCAGATTCTACCAGCCCGTGCATGTCGTGACGCCAGTCGAAGAAATGAAGGAGCAGGGCTTCTTCATCTCTGGACCGCGGGGCGGCAAATGTCTCATTCAATTCAAGAGCGTGGAACTCCAGTAGACGAGAAATTTGATTCATTTCACTTCCATAGATCAGCCGTACACGCACATGCCTCCGCTGACATTCAAGATGGCACCAGTGATCCAGCTAGCCTCTTTGCTCGCAAGAAACCGTACGGGACTAGCGATCTCTTCTGGGGTGCCAATTCGCTTTGCGGGTGCCAACGACGCTAGCCGTGCCACGTGGGCGTCACCAGCTTGGGCCGCTTCAGCCACGCTCTGGCTGGTACCGTTGGAGCGAGCTTGAGCGCGAAGGCCAGGAGTGTCGGTGGGTCCTGGTGCGATGGCATTGCTAGGTTGGTGTTGTCAGCATTGAGCACGGCTCTCTGTCAGCAGGGCTCTTCCTCACATTGTTGTCTGCTTCGCGGCCAGTGTCTTGCTTAGGTACTTGGTCAATTGCTCGCACGCGGCTTTCGCAGAGGCGTACAGCGCATAGCGATCGTCAAAGATGGCGCTGGTCCTTGCCAGGGCCGAAGAGAAGAGTATGATCCGCGAATCTGGCTCCAAGTGAGGGTACATCGCCTGCAGTAGAGGTGCATGTCAGCACGTAGCCATCTCGTCGCCCCGACATCATTTGCCCTCACTTGTATCATGAAGAGCGGTCCTCGGACAACTGTGTCGAAGTGTTTCTGGAAGACTGTTGCGTCCATGTCACCCAGTGCCACGGGCTCGATGCCAGCGGCGCAAAATACAACCACATTGGGAACCTTGCCGCCATGCTCGGCTTTGTCTCGAAGCACGAATGATTCCAGGGCAGCTCGATCCGCGGAAATATCGAGCTGCGCGGCCTCCATGAGCTTGTGTTCCTTGACGAATGCTGTTGTGGCTGCCTTTGAAGAGTGGTAGGTGACAGTCACCTGCCGACCATCGCTGGCCAAGCTGCGAGCAATTGCCTGTCCAATTGCGCAGGAGCCTCCCACTACCAGGGCACGGCCCATTCCGTGTCCGTTGGCTGGAGCTGCGTTGAGAGTCTGCGACATGTTGTTGGTCGTCGAAAGGCAAAGGAGCGGGACTGGCGAGGGAGAGAGAGGAAACTTACGGCCAATTTCAGGTACGCCATTTTTGGCGCAGGCGCAATTTTAAACGGAGGTAAACTAATCCTTGATTACTCCGGGCCAAGGGACAGTAGCGTGTTGTTGATCCTACTCCTGAATTTTAAGCTGTCGGCAGATCGCTTTCAAGATATATAGACGGCACCCAATGCTTTGTACCACTGCTCTGATCAGTACGAGCTCCCCGAACCAACCATGACAAAAGTAAACCCAAGCATCGTCCATGCCCCTGGCGAAGACCTTCTGTGGTCGCTCTCACAGACCATCGTCGATAACATCGAAGTTGTTCGGCAAGAACATCAGCAGCAAGGCCTCGCCCCGCTCTACATCGATGCTGCCGCCCCTCATTCCACCGACGACCCTGCCGTGGCGTCCCTCCCTTCGGTGAGGGAATGCAAGGCTCGGGACCAGATCCTGTCCGCCGTCTCCAAGCTCGGGGCCATCGTCGACCATCCCGTCTCCCGTCTCGCCAAGCTGTCGAGTGCCTACCTCGACGTTTCTGTCTTGCACTTTGCCGCTGACAACGGTATCGCAGACGTCATTGAGCGGTGCGCCACGCGTCCCGACGGTGCCCTTCATGCAACCGACATTGCCAAAGAGATCAATATGGACGCTACTCGTACCACTCGCCTGCTGCGCTACTTGACCGCTATCCACGTCTTCAAGGAGACCTCCGAGGGCTACTTTGCCAACAACCGCTACTCTGTGCATTTCAAAAAGGGTTCTCCACTGGAGGCCGTCTTTGGCATGGGCGTTTACGATGTGGGCCCGCCTGCACTGAGGATCAACGAGTTTATGAAGACTCCATATGCACAGCAAGAAGATGCCACGGGTCATTTGCCCCTGAACCTCCAGTTCGACTATCCAGACAAGTCCATGTTCGCATGGATGAACGAGCCTTTCAACAAGGCTCGTCTGGAGCGTTTCAACCGTACAATGGTCATGAAGAGCCACGACTCGTACGCTGTTGTGGCAGACGTCCCTTGGGACGAGATGATTCCGAAGGGGGGCACCTTGGTCGATGTCGGAGGAGGTGTTGGATCCTTGGCTCTCAGCGTCCAAGCGTCTCGCACAGACATCAAGGTCGTCGTACAAGATCAAGAAATGATGATTGAACAAGCCAAAGGCTTCTGGTCGCAAAAGAATCCCGACGCCATCAAACAAGGACGGGCAGAATTGGTGGTTCATGACTTCTTCCAAAAGAACCCAACGCAGGCGGCAGATCTATACACTTTCCGGGCCATCTTCCAGTGAGTTGGCGGGCAGCCGAAGACGGCAGTGAACCGAGCCGACTGACATTAATCGATCCTCACCCATCAGCAATTGGAACGATGAGCGTTGCGCAGCCATCCTGAAGGGCACCATTGAAAGCATGGCACCTCATTCGCGCATCCTCGTCATCGACTCTATCCTCAACCCTACAACAGTAGATGCTGGCTTTTCGTCGTCTGTCAACGAGCTTCGATCGGACACCCAACAGGATCTTACCATGATGACCTTGTTTCCGTCGCTGGAGAGGACCAGATCGGACTGGGATCGCCTCTTCGCCAGCGTTGGCTTGGAGATCAAGAGGGTCTTTGAGGTCAGAAGCAGAAAGACGACCTTCGAGGTCGGTAGAATCTGATCGGCATCCATGTAGTAGCGTTCTGAGCCCGAGGAATGAGAACGATTCTTATCAAGTCGAGACGACTCCTGTGTCTGAGACGATCGAACATATTACATTGACAGAAAGGCCTCAGCATTAGAGAGAACGTTGTCCTATTCTTCCACTGACACCGAGTAGCTGCCCTCAAAGGATAATTAAAGAGCAAAGATAGACCTTTCTGTAAACAGGGAGGCTCGTCTTCGCCCATTACTCGATCGTGACCAATCTATCATTCTAGGCGAAGACTTCCGAGAAATTTACATTGGAAATAACCTATCGACAAATCGGAATTCATTGCTGATTAATGGCCATCTTGACGAACGTGTCGATGCTTTTTGCGACTTGTTCCACCTTTTGCTTGCTGACGATCGTGAAGTGGCTGGCATCTTCAATCTCGATGACGTGGAGTCTGTCGCCAAAGAATGCTTCCCATCCAGTGGCTGATTGCACCGATTTCTCACGCAGAATCCAGTGAGAATCGCAATCGAGCCCAGCCAGCTTCGCCGAACAATCGCCGCGGAGAAACAGAACCGGTACGGTCCACTTTGTTGGGTCGGGTTCTGGGCTGCGCCAATCCTTGGCGGCACGGGCGGCGGCCTCAAATTCGGTCGCATGTTTGGGGGAACGCGTGGTCAGATCGCGGACTATACCATCAGGCAATGGCTCCAGCGCGTTGTGGCCGTGACGAGGCGCAGGCACATCGATCTGAACCAATGCAGCGACGTTGAGAATAGCCTCGCGGGCCAAGATAAAGGCAACAATGCCTCCGAGAGACCAGCCTTGGTAGAGACGGAGAAGAAAGAGTCGTACTCAGCACTCAGTGATTCTGAAGCCAATAGTCTTCCAATCTTGCTTCTTACCTCCAATGACGCATCGTTGATTGCCAAGCACTCGTTTGGCAGCAGTGCCTATCGATTCGATCAGCTCTTCTAACGTCCAGTCTGAGCTCACTGACCGAAAGCTCGCCGAGAGAACACGACGACCTCCGAAGCATGGTTTGGTCGCGCCCACAAGGGGGGCGTACACGTCTTGGCTTCCGCTTCCATCAGGGACCAGAAGAAGTGGGGGCTCCTTGGCGGCTGTACCCTCAGCTTCTTGCAAGACGACGATATGCGTCTCGAGAGAGTTCGCTGGCTGGGTAGCGTTTGACGATGGCAAGAGTGGGGTCGTGCCAGGAGAGCTCGAGGAAGACGAATGAGTAGGCTTGATGCAGGCTGGCGAAGACTCAGGCGAAGTCGCGGGAGTGGCGGACTCCACGTGGTCCTGAAAGTAGGCTTGGACGGATCCCAAAGTCGGATGATCCATAAAGAGCGACGCCGGCAGCTCTACTTCTGCCGTCTCCTGAAGTCTTGCCAGGATCGTGAGCGACATCAGGCTATCAAGACCGAGGTCGGCCAGCACTCGGTCTTGAGTAAGCTCGCTTTCAGCGACTGCCAGCTCTTCCACGATAGTTCGGCAAAGCTGTGAAAAGAGAGAAGTATCGGACTCGGAAGAGAAGCCCGAATCATACGGTGCGTCGGTGTCAGATGGCGATGCAGTGCTTGACTTTTCCTCGGGAGACGGCGGTGAAGACTCCATCGATTGGGCGACCGCCCTCTTGGGCTCTTCGCTACTGTGGGTGCTTGTCGGTCCTTTGCTCTGATTCGCCTTTGCCTCCGAGGACTTTGGTTTCGGAAGAAGATGCTTCATGACCCTCAAGGGAATTTTACGGAAACGCACGCCGCCCATGTGGCCAATGACGGCCCCGGTCTCCTGGTCGAAAAAGTAAGCATCTGAGGTGGACATACCCTGGTCTTCTTGCATGCTGCAATGAACCGAGACGCGGTTGCCGGACTTGGCCACTTTAAACATTTGAGAGGTGTACTCGATGACCTTGCAGCCGTTGGCGACGTACACGTGGTCGGCATCCGCTTGCAAGTTGGGCAAGAAGCCGGTACATTGACCCATGCTGTCTTGGAAAACAGGAAATACGACAAATCGTCGCTGTTCGTACGACAGGCAGGGTGCTTGTTGAAACGTAATGTCCAAGGCGGCCTCGGTGCCAGCCGTGTTGAGACTGACGGACTGCATAGCGCGGTACATGGAACCGTAATGGACGACCTTGGTGAAAAGGCGATAGATCATATCGGTGGTCAGCTTGGTTGCTACTCCGTAGCCTGCGGTCAAAGCTCCGATACGGCGATGAAGGACTCCTCCAATGCCAGCCCATCGGTTTTCGACTTGCTCCCGTGGAGGCAATTGCACCTTGCAAGAGCCTTGACGTTTACCACTGGCAAAGAAGAATTCGATTGCCATCCCCTCGTTGCTTTGCGGCAGGCCATTTGTGCGGATGGTGATGTGATCGTGGATGCCCAGTACCACAGGCTCGTCCATAAGGATGTCGGACACACGTAGAGCGTACTTGTTCTCGTCGAAAGTCTGTCCGACACTGCTGAGCACATGAAGGCCAGCTTGCAGCGCGACGTCCGAATACATTGAAGCGGGAACCAGGCACACGTCGTGGACAAGGTGGCCCTCGACGATCTCTCGGCAAGGCGACTGCGTGAGATCGATCTCGTACGTAGCCACTGGGTTTGTCTCGGTGGCCGAGGAGTGACAACGAGTAAGAAGTGCAAATTCAGTAGCCAAGCCGCCACTGCCACCATCTCTAGCGCCACTTTTCGAGCTTTTGGTCCGTCGCGCGCCTTTCTCGGGGGTTTGAGCCTGCTCCTCTTTTAAGCGTGTTGACAGACTGCGGTCGGTGTAACGGATCCAATAGTCTTCGTACTGCCATGCGTAGAGTGGAAGGTCGAGGACCTGAGGTGGGCGCACGGTCTCCGCAAAGAGGCCGGTAAAGTCAACTTTGAACCCTTCTCGGTGCAATGCGCCGACTGATTCGAGGAAGGTGTTGAGCCCGTTAGTCTTCCGACGCAAAGATGGGAGCGCGCGAGGGATCGAGGAATTGTCGAGAGAAGTAGCCAGCATGGGCGTGCACAGCGGGTGAGGTCCAATCTCAATCCAGCGCAGAGTGCCGCCCTCGTGTCTGGCCATCAGGTCGTGAATCGACGAAGCAAATTGGACGGTCTCTCGCATGTGTCGAACGAGATAGTCCGGCCAGGAAATGTCGGCCTCACCAGCTTTGAGCGCTCGGCCGAGGACATTCGAAAGGAGCGTTACTGCTGGGGGACGAAACTTGACTTGAGCAGCGACATTGTGAAAGTCTTTCATGATCGGCTCCACTGCCTGCGAATGAAATGCGTACGGGACATCCACGAGCGTACACTGCTGCTTGGCATCCGTCTTGAGAAATGCGTGCGCCATTTGAACTTCTGCCACCGGTCCAGCGAGCACAGTGTCGGTAGGAGAGTTGATGCAAGCAACTTGTAAGCTGGACGAAAAGCTTTGCTTGGAGATGACCTGGGCGAGGTCTGCAGCCGATAGACGGACCGCAAGCATCGCAGACGTATTCGCTTCAAGCTTTGTGGACATGAACTTAGCTCGGGAGGCCACCAGGAAGACAGCATCTTCCCAAGACAGGACACCGGCCGCATGCAAGGCTGCATACTCGCCGAGAGAGTGGCCGACGACCACCTGTGGCGTGATGCCAAGCCGTTCCCACAGACGGCACAGCGCAATCTCCACTGCAAGAATGGCACATTGCCAGTGGTAGGGTAGCGCTTTGCTTTGCTTCGTCTCGGCGTAGACCTCGTCGAAGAAATCAGGAAATCCTTGCGCAACAAGGATTGCTCTTGTTTTGTCCATGGCCTCGCGGAAGACGGTGTTGCCATCGTAAAGCTCCTTGCCCATTTCCACGTACTGGGAGCCCTGGCCGGTAAAGGCAAAGGCAAAACCAGGATCTCGCTGAATGCTTGGCTCGGTGATGAGAGAAGTGACATCGCCGGCAAGAGTCTCCTTGAGGGCGGCAGTGCTGTCGGCCACTAGGGCAACTCGAGCAGAGAATTGAGTAGCCCGGGTTGCCGAGAGTGTGTACGCGATATCCAGAATGTCTTTGTCTGGGTTCTGGTCGACATAGCTGCTCAGTCGTTCAAGATAGCTTCGCAATGCTGCCGCGGACGCTGCCGAAAGTGCTAGGATCCTCGGCTGCAACGACGGCAACGGTAGATCTTTGAGCACGGGGAACGACCGTATGATGAGCGAAGAGTTGCCCCCAGCAGCTGAGAAGTTGTTGCAGCAAGCCAGGATGTCCTGACTCTCTGCAACATCGAAGGATTTCAGGTCCTTGGGGATGACTACCCGATCCAGAGGTGGGAATTTGGTGTTCAACTTCTTCTTGATCCCCACGTGCGGTGTGGCTTGTCGGTGTTTTAGCGACAAGAGCACTTTGATCAGCGCGACACAGCCTGAAGCCGCCTCGGAGTGGCCAAGATTTGCCTTGACCGATCCGATGATGAGGTCATTGTCGGTGTCTTGTCGACCACGTACGAAGCTCAGAACCGACTGCATCTCATTGGCGTCGCCCGCCTGCGTTCCCGTACCGTGCATCTCGACGAGGTCGATTCTCCGAGGATCCACCTTTGCGCTGTGACAGTTGGCTTCAAACAGTCGAGCTTGCGTGGGTGCATGGGGATGGGTGATACTGTGCGATTTTCCACTGTGGTTTGTACCAATGGCTTCGATTGTGCCCTTGACGTCGTCTCCATCCCTGAGCGCATCCTTGAGCAGCTTGAGATGAAGGACGGCATTGCCATCGGCTCGCGAGTAGCCGTCTCCCCCATCGTCGTACGTCTGACACTGGCCATGCTCGTTCTTGGTGAGAAAATAGCCACGATCAAGGCCAATGTAGACTTGCGGCTGCGTCAAGACCGAAACCCCGCCAGCCAGCGCCGTCGAGCAGCGGCCGTTGACTAGACTCTGACAGGCAGCCTCAACCGCGACGAGCGAAGAGCTGCAAGCGGTGTCATACGTGTGAGAGGGACCGTGAAAGCCGAGAAAGTTGGAGATGTTGGCAGTAAGTGCTTGACGAGAGTTTCCCATGATGAAGTCATCTTCGATGGTCCAGCTACAATTTTCTCGATAGTCGTCTCCAGCGCCGCCAATAAAGACGCCAGTGTCTTGGTACTCGCTATTCGCTCCTCTCGAAGACATTGGCGAGTAGCCCGACATTTCCAGGGCCTCGAAAGCAGCTAGAAAAGCATTACGGTGCTGTGGATCCATTTGGAGTGCCTGAGACCGTGTTACACCAAAGAGGCCGGCGTCAAATCGACCTGGATGAGCCAGGAAATTGCCGTGTCTAGTCCGCATGGTGTTGGGCACGCGGTATTGGTTGTTGTGATACAGGTCCAGGTCGAAGATTTGCTTGGGAATCTCGCTGTGCATATCACGCCCCTGCGAAAGGAGGTCCCAGAACTCGTTGGGATCAGATGCACCGGGGATCCGGAGCGAGTAGCCGATGATCGCTACTTGAGTTTGAGGATGACAGTCCACGAGGCTGTACCGTGTGGGGAGGGCGTCAATGTCGGTGTAGCTCGCAGCGCCCAGGAGGCTAGCAAAGAGATCCATCGATCGGACTTGGGCTTCCAGGTTCTTGAGTCGGCCACTGAGGGTCGCTTCAAAGGCCTTTTCAGGGCCAATGGAGATGATGTCGACCAAGCCTGAGACAGAATCCGTGAGAACCGCGGGAGCATGGACGAGCCTGGCAACGTGCATGAGCTGGTCGACACCTTTGCAAGCTTGGTCTCTCTGCTGCTCGTAGAACTCGACGCCGGTAAGCTCTCCTCGCTGGTGAGCAAGAGGCGACAATTGAACCCCAACGTTTGAGTCTTTCGAGGCCCTCTGAGCGTAGAAGGAAGGCCGAGGAGGAAGCTGGAGACCTTCTCTCGGCTGCATCCCGGTCAGCATGCCAGCAGGGACGATGGGACCCGAGTCGATCGTTTGACATTGCCCGTGAAGAGTTCGGACATCTTCTTCCTTGCCGGTGAATACTAGTTCGTTGGGCGATAATCTAGCGACGGAGACCTTGAGCGAGTTTGCCGCTTCCACCAACCCGTCCTGCATTCCGTCTTGAAGCGCCGTGCGGACAGTAAAAGAAGCGCAAGCATAAGTGCGCTCAAGGGACTGCTCCAATGCAACGACGTAGTCGATCACTGCAATGCTGTTTGTCACCACCTCGAACAGTGTACGAGAGCATCCGACGGCGTCGGCTGCAATCTGGCCCAGACCGGACGAGATCACTGCAGCTCCGTTGATGCCGCTCGAATAGGTGCCCGCACTCAGGAGCTGGCTGTGATGCCTTTTGGCGAAAGCTAGATAAGTGCCGAGCTGGAGTGCAACAATGAGTGAGGCACGCGGCGCGGTTGACTCTGCCAATTCCGTCTCTACGAGCTCGCCAAACGTCGTTGACCTGCTCGCTTTTCGACACAGGCTCGAGAGAGCCACATCGCGATAGAGACTGGTGAATGACGAATAGGGCGTGAAACGGTCAAGAAGATGGCCTACTTCCGTGAGTTGACCGGGGCACAGACTCCACTGATAGGCTTCTGGATCTTCGAAGGCAAGGAGGAGCAAGTTCGCTTTGTCCTTGTACTCGACGTGATCTGTCGAGGAAGTCATCACTGTTGTGTTTGGATGTGAAGATGAATGGAGGAGCGAGTGGTTCTTGCGATGTTTTGTGGTTTTGGCCTGCCGCGTCACTGTGTATTACTCCGTCACGAGTGAAAACTGGCTCCCGTGGTGGAGTCCATTACTTCCACCGAAGCAGCAGAAGCAATCAAGAAGGGGACGTCAACAACCAAACTCTAAATTTCACGTTTTGCACCACTCGCTACTCGATTTCCGCCTTGATGAGCCAAGAGGAGGAATGGGGAATAAGACGCAGAGCGCCCGACGAGCGAGGCGTTGTTAGTGTCAAGTTAACACGCGGTTCTAAGGCAGAGGCGCACTTTTCGAGCCAAAAATAGGAAAGAAAGTAAAAATTCGAGAGGTGAGAAACCGGTGGCGGCGTTTGACTTAAGCAAGCGTCTTTACTCGGGAATGGAGAGAGGTAGCGAACCGATCTTCTCTTTCCGTTACAGACGCTGCGTCCTCCCCTTTCCATCATATCCTCCAAGAAGATGACTGCTGCGAATGACACGTCGAGGCGCACGCTGCTTCGCGGTGTGCTCGCCATCCTGACAGAGGCGCCTCGGGGTGCCCAAGCAACATCGACGTCTGCTTCCACAGCGGAGCGATACACCACACGATCGCAGAAGAGCAACATTTTGATCGGTACAGACGGTACCATTGAAGAGATCAAAGACGTCGGTGAACATGCTGTCAACATTGACGCTTCCAACAACGACGACATCGACGTCCTCGACTGCGACGGTCTGCTTGCTATTCCAGGCTTCGTAGACACACACCGACATGTGAGTGCCTGATGCTTGATGACATTCGAACGCCAGTCACAAATCTTCTCGATGCTTTTCAGCTTTGGCAGTCGCTCTTCAAGACCTTGCCTGCAGACATGACGCTGTTTCAGTTCCTGGCCGATCTCAACATCGTGGCCGCCTCTCTATTCACTCCTCAAGACGCCTACGTTGCCCAGTTGTGCGGAGCGATGGAGGCGATCAATGCTGGTGTGACTACCGTCCTCGACCACTACCATCTCGCCAACTCTGCTGCCCACGTACAAAGCGGGCTCACCGCTACCCAGCATTCGGGTCTGCGCTCGATCTTTGCCATGGGAACCAATCAGATCGCAGAGTTTCCTCTGGCCAAAAAGAGAGCGACTGGCATCACGGCGTGTGCAGATGCTTCCAACAAAGAGCTTATCTTTGGAGATGCCGGGTGGCAGCAGCCTCTTTTCGAAAAGCTTGCCGCTGACTCGCGGAAACCGTCCGGCTTGGTAACGCTCGGCCTGGCGCTGGACCGCTGGAAAAAGATGCCACAAGAGGAGTTGCAAAGCTTTGTTTCCATCGCTCGTAGCCATGGAGTTGGACCGATGACGTTGCACCTTAGCAATGGCGTCCTCAATGGCCAGACGGACGAACCACTGATCACCTCGAGCCTCAGCACGATCTTGGGGCCTGACCTCTTGCTATCGCACGCCAATCTGCTTACCGACAGGGAGCTGGTGACGGCGGCCCACGCTGGCGTAAGGCTGAGTGCGACTCCCGAAACGGAACATCGTCTCAACATGGGCTCTTCGATCGTAGAGAGGGCCGACTGTCATGGCTGTCTTGCAGCTTTGGGAAGCGACACGACTGCCGTGGTCGAAGGTGGTATGTTTGGCATTCTGCGCGCCTCTGTGGCCGAACTTCGACGGAGTCGCAATGAGTCAATGGCCGCACGAGGCCAGTTCCCTAGCAAAGGCACGCCTTCTGTTCAAAGTGCCTTTTTGCGAGGGACTATTGGTGGTGCTGAAGTGCTGGGAAAGAACAAAGGCACCGAGAGAATCGGCCTCTTGGAAGAAAAGGCACGGGCAGACATCGTTCTGCTCGATGGCAGGTCTTACAACATGCTCGGTGCCTTGTGGAACGGCAGAGATGCCGTTGCCGCCGTCGTTGGTCAAGCCAGCATCGCAGACGTGAAAGACGTCTTCGTAAACGGTCGACGACTCAAGCACGATGGCAAATTGGCACCGTTGTCGAGTGAAGCTCGACTTGCTTTGCGCAGCATTGCCCGGGATTTGGGTGTGGATGTCGATCCCAAAGAGCAAGACCACGACCTGCTGCGTAAAGTCGCCGAGAAGAGCGCTCATAACATCCTGGAGAGAGCAAAGCACATCGATTTGGAAGCTGTGCGACGGCAGGTCGGCACCTTTCTTGGTGTCAACGCGCGCCTTTGCTGATCGGAAGAGGAGCGCGCCAAATAATGTTTTTACTTCTACTCTTGGGATCTTTCATTGTTTTCGTTGCACGTTCTATCGTATCTCTGGTTCTATCGTATGCCTTGCGAATGTTATCTAGTGAATTACTCCCGGTCTTCGCTCGCTCGGCGAGCTGTTTTCCTAATGATTGCCGCCATCTGAGCCGTGGCCATGCTGTTACGTGGTATAGTGTGCCCGTCGTCGAACTCCCAAAGCAAAGCACTTTCCTGATCTGCAGTGGAATACAGAGCAAGCGTTTCTTCGTAGAGCGGGTCTCGGATACCAGCAAAGTGAGCGGTGGGTATTCGGATCTTTGGTGATGGATGAGAGGTCACCAGCTGAGTTTTTTCATTCAGTCTAGAGGTTGAGAGGCTGAGGCTGTTTCTTGGGGGTCGGTAGAAGCGTTTCGAGGGCCATCGAGCATTCGATCCAACTTCCGTTGGCCTTCCACCGCACATCAAGATGCCAAATTTGAAGAAGCTGTTCGAAGCATCAATTTTGTGCATCCGTGCCAGCACCGCTGCGGTGAGCGCTGCGCCCTGCGAAAAGCCCATGATACCATCAAACGGCCCATTGGCATTGGCAAACTTCAAGACCCGGGAAATGGCCTCGCTGAGCCCGATACCAGTGCCAGAGTCGTAATGTGCGCGGTAAGGCCCAGGCCAGAATCTGTCGACCACTGGGCAGGGGCGAAAAAGGGGGTCAGCAGGCTGTGACCGAGTCTACAAGACCAAGCTTGGGAGATGCTCACTTGGGTACGGCTCGCATTCCCATTCACCATCTAGAAAGTAGAAAGTCATCTGTTGAGACAGCTCCTCTCGTAGTGACACTGAAGAAAACATGCAAAAGGCGTCAATAACAGCATTTTCAGCGGTCTTTACTTGTGAATCACCTGTCTGCGATCTGAATATGTCTGCAGAAGTACCTCGCCCATGTAGGCAGAGGATCCGCAGCTTGGTCGACGTGTGTTGTCTGCAGTACGAGGTTGTGAAATCCATACCAAAGAGACACTGGAAGGCGTTGCTCTTCGAATGGAAGAAAGCTCACGATGTCTACTGACTACTTGTATGCAAAAAGTTCAGACCCTGATTGACGTCTGGTCATTACTCTTTGTTCAGGAAGAATGATTGGCCATAGCATGCGGTAAGTCTGCATCCTCTGACCCACGGAGTAAAAGTGTCTGTTTAAAAAGCCCTCGTTCTTTGAATCAGAAGTATATAAAAGCTTCGTTTAGTCTAAATTGGGTCGCGCACTATCCTTCACTGCAGACAAAGTCAAACAGACAGCTTCATGGATCTCATTCTGTCGCAACCTGCCCTTTCCACCCGCCTCGCGGCCGTTGTGGCAAGTGGGACGTTCTTTGGTCGGTATTTGCAGGAGTAGACTCCGTATGTTCCGGAAAGCGCTGACACAATTGTATCACGATGATCCAGGCTTGACGGTTTCGACGTCGACATGCATCATTCCGGTTCTCCTAGACAAGCAGCTAGGCCTTGCCGCAAAGGACAGATTGGGCTGTTGGATCCGTCAGTTTGATTTGTGAGAATTTGCTTGCTCGATGAGGGAGAGCGAGCGCTGCATGCTCACCGAAGATGCCTCTATGTAGCTGCGCTCGTCGTTGGACGCCCATCTCTTCATCAAGTATGGTCATGTCGTTGGCGTCGCTGTACCTTACTCCTCGAGGGGCAACGAACGCCAATCGGAGTCTCTTGTGGCTCAACTTCGCCTCGTTCTTTGGTCAATTCCTCTTGACATTTGCTTTCATCTTCCCAGTCAAGGACAGATTGAAGGCGCAACAAAAGAAGGGCGAGCCTTACAATGACGTCGAAATCCGCCAGAACATCACTGCCTGGGAGCGCCTGCACAAGTTGAGGATCCTGGGCAGTGCCGTTGCCTTTGGAGCAAGCTTGGTGGAGCTCGTTGGTTTTGTTCGCCAGTAATCTCGTGGACCAATCTTCAGCTTTACGCGAGATGTTGGCTGTCGCTTGGTGTCAGGACCGAGTAGCAACGCCAACGAGACACCCAATGATTAAAAGTTTGATCGTAATCGATAAGATCTACCTTGCTCTCGGTGTTACCAGCGCAACGCCCTTGAGCCACCATACAATGAGAGAAAATTACTGCACGTTACGACTAACAAGGACGTTCAGCATGCTTGCTCGGCACGCTGTCAAACGTGTCTCGCCTAGGCAAGGTCACACAGCCGCATCGAGGCTCGTGTACTCGAGGAAGAAGTCAGGAACGTGTATATTACAACTCAGAAACCGATGGCTCGATAGTATACCATTGTTTGAGGGTGATCAGACAGAACTAAGCTATCACATAGGACCGATCCCGGCTTTGGCCATAGGAAGTCGGAAGGAAGAGATACAGGTCAGACTACCAGGGGAGCTGGTGTGATTGCTCAGAGACCGGCCTTCTCGGCGACAAGATCCGTCTTGCTTTTGTGCCCGTTTGCCTCTGCATTGCGCGTCGGTGTGCCCATACCGATGGGAATGGGCTTCGAATGCTCCACGAATTGATAGTGGTGGCCAGTCATCTTCAAGATCCATGCATCGACACAATTGTGGTTTTGCGGGTCGGTTCTGGAGTCATGGAACGGTGTCCGTCAGCTTCTTGGACATTCGCGTGGGCACACAGCTTCTTTGCGTAGCTCACCCATATTGGTCGTAAGGGAAACCCAGCGAGAAAGGAACGATTCCTTCCAATGTTCGAATGGCGTCTGGTGGCAAGCTGAGGATGAGGGACTGCGGAAGAAGTGACATATCTGTGAGCTCGGTTGAGCTGCCGTTGTCAGGCTCAAACTTACCCCGACATTGGTGCGCATCTGTTCAACCGTCCGGCATCCCAGGATTGGAAACACGTAGGGATACTTTTGCAAGTGGTAGGCGACGGCCACTTGACCGAGGGAACTGGCTCCTAGCTCGCTAGCCATGCTTTCCAATGCTCCGCTAACGGCGAGTTCTTGATCCGACTGCTTGGCGTCGCCCCAGAATTTACGCAGGTCCAACCCTGCAGCTTGCCGCTCTTTGATTTCTTGCTTGGTCTTGAACTTGCCCTGGCCCAGTACCCCGTACGGCATCAAGGCCATGCCTTCCGAGCGGCACATTGGGATGATCTCTCGTTCGAGATCGCGGCGTAGTAGAGACCATTCGCCTTGATATGCAACAAACGATGCAAGTCCATGATTGCGTGCATACTCGTTTGCTTTGCTGACGATCCAAGCTGAGGGAACACACCGCCCGTCAGCGATCACATGGCCAAACGGTTCCCCCTTTCTCCTACCGACCTGGTGTGTCGGATATTCCAATGTAGTTGACCCTGCCCGAGCGCACCTCGTCGTTGAGAGAATGCATCAACTCTGGGATTGAGGTCGTGTAGTCGAAAAAGTGTACGAAGAGAAGGTCGAGGTAGCTTCGGGACATTGCAGTCAGCTGTGTGCCCTCGTCTGATAGCGGTGGAGTGGACCTGCAGCACAGCATCCTACTCACTCCGTCTGGAGCTTTTCGAGGCTCTTCTTGACGCTCAAACGGAGGCTCTTGATGCTATTGCCCGCATAGTTGGCGCGAATTGGTGATTCTTCGCGGTCGAATTTGAAACTCATCGAAAACTTCGACGAGAGCACAATCTGGTCGCGATTGCCACGCTCTACTAGCCATTCCCCCAGGACCTGCTCGGCAGTACCAGCCTGATAACCATTGGCCGTGTCAACAAAGTTGCCGCCCTGAGAAAAATATTCGTCCAGTATGGCGAACGATTGGTCCTTGGCTAAGGCTGAAGCGCCCATGTTGCGGGCCCATGCTTGACCAAAGTTTAGCTACAAAGGATTCATCACAGTGTCATGAGAGGGTGCTCTTTGAATCATGGCTAGGACTCGGTGCTCACTGTACCGAGAGCGATGGGCGACACACGAACTTGGAAATGACAGACAAAAGGGACGCGTGAGCTTTCAGTGACAAGAGACACTGGAGACACCCACCACCGGCATTTGGAGCCAGGATCCTATACCTAGCCAGCTCCGATGGAAGTGGCTGAGCTGACATGCTGTCAATGGAATCTCTGCCTACCGTCAGTGCTGGGCTGGGACGAGAGTAGACAGCATTTATACTTTGACAAGAAGTGTGGCTTACTCGGTGTCCCCACGGAGTAAGGGCAGAGAAAGCGCAGGGGAGCATATAATGGCCGTACTCAGAAGCTTACTAGCATGATTTTGGTCCTGCATGCCAGCCGAAGCTCGGACGCAACGTACTGTACGGTACCTGACGCGCTAGGTTCATTAATTAATTACTCTGGCCTTTGCCAGAACAGATCTTTTTAAATACGCACAGTGTTGGCTTGAAGTGCAGGGAAGTGACGCCCTCGGTTTCAGCCAAAGCCATGACGAACAAACCCTCATCTCTTCGGATCATCATCTGTGGCGCCGGTATTGCTGGGCTGGCTGCAGCGGCAGCACTGGCGACTCACCATCAAGTCATCGTTCTAGAGCGTAAGGAGGAATTGACGGAAGTCTCATACGCAATCAACTTGAAGCCAAATGCAGCGCACGCCGCCTATGGAGTAGTAGGCTTGGATCCTTCCAAAGTCCGCGGACTTCCCTGTCGAGAGATCATCGAGCGCGATGCCGCGAATGGCGACATAAAGATGCATAAGCCGGTTGATGCACCTGCCGATTTTGGTGGCCCTTGGTACTTCTGTCAGCGGACCGAATTGCATGCTGAGCTGTTGGCGACGGCGAAAGCACGTGGTGCAAAAGTCATCCTAGGGACCGAGATCGAAGACGTTAATGCTACTCACGGCGTGGTCTTGATCAAGGGAGGCGATGCAATGGTCGCGGACATGGTCTTGAGTGAGTACAGCCTATATCCAGTCCTTCGGCGGCACAGCCGAATGCATACTGATCTTTGCATGAGGGCTGTCTCTAAGTTGCCGACGGGATTTCCTCACGTCTCCGCAAAAGGGTTCTCCAACAGGAAACCGACTACCGCTGGGACTCGGATCAGGTCGCTTTTCGTGCCTTTGTCCCAGCAGAGCGCTTCCGAGACCAACCAGAACTCAAATGGCTTGCCGAACAAAAGTCGGGAGGGTTGTACGTTTGGGCAGCCCAAAAACAGCGAGTGGTGGGTGACCGCCATATCGTCGGCAGCGCGCTATTGACGCTTATCGCTGATGGGTCTCTACTTCCCTGCAGGTTGTCTACCCTTGTCCGGACTATGTGAATCTTGTCGCTATCGTCGACAAGGCCCATCTTCAGCGCCAGAGCGGAGGCAGTGACCTCGGTAGAGAGTCAAATACGGAGACGGCAGACGCCATGCGCTCTCAATTTGCTGATTTTGATAGCACGGTAAAAAAGCTGCTGGACAAGGTCCCGCATGCCTCGTTATGGCCGCTTTTCGACGTTAGCTGCCTGCCGTACTACGAGCGGGAACGTGCCCTTCTCATTGGTGATGCAGCACATGCGACGCTTCCTCGTAAGTCAATCGTGGGAGGCCTCTCCCCTCTTCCTTCCGCACTGGCTGAAGGTTTTCGCATTTCAAAGATCAAGGACAAGGCGCTTCCCTTGCCTTTGAAGACGCCGAGGGCCTTGCCTATCTGTTTTGTAACGGCAGCGTGACGCCCCACGACGTATCGCGCGTCCTCAAAAAATTCACAGAGCTTCGCAGAGCGCGAGTCCACATGATTCAGCACTTTAGTCGAGTCATGGCCAAGCCTGCCAGCTACGAGAAAGGCGAGAAACTGGACGCTCTTAGGTTTGCGGCGCAAACCCTCACTTTCAAGAGCATCGCCGAGCTCGAGACAAGCACGGCGCCACACGACTAATACATTTATATACTATGCCACGTGGCGACAGTACCTGTTGGCCAGAGTAACTTGTTTGTGAGAGCAGAGTAAGACCTTCGATTGGAGTGGTGATGCCTTATATATGGTGCGACGTGTTTTCTTCAATGACGATCCTTGCCCGTCACAAAATTCACAAATTTGCGATGACGGTACTCAACTACGGTGGGTTCAATGGGTTTTGCACTAACACGGCACACGCAACAGCCGGCTGACTTTCCTTTCACGTGTGTTTGATAGTGCTATTCAAGTTTGCTCCTCATGCCACGGAAGCCGATCGCCAGCGCTTCCGAGAGGAGAATGAAGGACTGGGTGTGACGCTTCGCTCGATAGGCGTAGAGTCCGTTCAGTGCAAGCCTATCCTGCCAGGCCCACCCTCCTTCATCACCAAGGGCTTCGACGTAGCTAGCGTTACCGTTCTGCGTGACTTGGATGCTCTCACTGCCTTTCGCGAGGCCAGTGCCCATCGAGAGATTGTAGAAAAGCACAAGCCTCTTTTGGAAGGTCGGGTACCAACGAGCCGCAACGAAGAAATTCTTCAAATGCGCTGACACCGTCTTGCTACCACTCGAAAACAGATCTTTGTGCGACCCAAATCGAATATTAGCTCTGGTAGCTCTTCTCACAACAGATCGGAGATCGAAGACTTTCCGGCCTCGACTCTCGTCCGCGGATTGATGTGACGTTCAGGACTGCAGTCACGCATTAATTTCAATCCAATTGGTCCGCGTTTGAAGGCACTACTGCCATACAAGACCTGCCGCTCCCTCTTCCTCACTGCACCTTTTCCGGAGGGTGATCGATCGCGTCCGGATTCTCGATGATGTAGTCTTTCAGCTTCGAAAGCTGCCAAGGAGAGGCCGCGCCTTCCAGCAGAGGCGCATTGTCCGTCGCTTCGAAATCCCACTTGCCAGTGATTGTATAGTAAACGTAGCCCAGCCACGCATACTCCAGGTACCTTGGCTTGCCAAGCTCTTCACGAGTACGAACAAACTCCACATGGCAGTCGTCTGCGCTGCCCAGAGACTTGACTGGCTTGGCTTTATCGGCCGATCCTTCTCTGACCTCGGCGACAAGCTTGGAAATGTCGTTGAGACTGAGCTGTTCGCTCGCAATATGGACAATCCCGCTGCGATTTCTGTCGCGCAATGCTTCAATCGAGAATCTTGCAGCATCCTCTCGGCTGGTGAGCTTCCAGACTTCGTCTCCGGTCCCAAACGTCTCGAAGTGGCCTTTCTCGGCTTTCCAGATGCCGAACCACCAGAGGACGTCGAAAAAGACGCCAGACACGACAAAGAGCACCTTGAGGTTTGGAATGAACTCCGTCTGCGCAAGGATGCTGACGTAGGCGTCATAAGGCTCGTGATCACCGAGCTTGATCTTGGTGACGTCGTAGTTCCACGAAGCTAGGATCATCTGCTTGACTCCCCTCCGCTCGGCGACTCTCATGAGCAGGAGCTGGGCGTCGAGCGCCAGGTTTGGAACCCCTCTGTATGCGCAAACGATGGAATCGACGTCTTTGCAGGCAGCGTCCAGGCCATCTACGTCGTACGCATTGCAGTCGACAAGCTCCAGACGGTTGCTCGAGCCCTCGCTGCTTCCCAAGTGCGATATCTTGGACGTGTCTCGGGCCAAAGCACGAACATGGGTGAATGGTGAAGACGCCTTGAGTGCCTCCCGCACCAGCTCGGTGCCAATGTTGCCGGTGGCCCCAACAACGAGGAGTCGACGTGTGGGCCCTTCGCTCATGTCGCTGTCGATGTCAAAGAGGTGGCTAGAATAGTGGTGTGTGTGGCAGGACGCAACCTCGAGACCTCACCCCTTTTGTAACATTCGCCAAGACCCGGAAAGACACCGAGCTTCCATGAAAAAAAAAAAGTGTTCTTGTTACCCTGATCGAACTTCTCGGACATGCCCGCGGCGCAATCCGCGGCAGGCTAGTGGGGAGAGCACGGACCACGCGACTCAGCACCAGACCACTGCACCGAAAGATTCGGTCATCGATGTGGAGAAGCAAGGTCCCGCGCTTACTTTCGCGCGGGCGGAAAGAACGTCATCATGCCAAGACTGTCGTTCTGTTTGTGCTTCCAGCAATCCTAAGATCATAGTGTGATTCTGATTGTGATTCCAACATTCTATTTCATTGATCTATGTGGTAGGGGCAAAAAAAATGCTTTTTTGTGCGAGTAACGAGATCTACTCGGGTTTTCTGTCGCTTCGCTATGCGCTGGCGCGCTTCGACGCCGCGCGAAGCCGTGGTCCGTAGTAGTACAAGACAAAAGGCAGTGGAAGCATGAGCAGACCGATACCACCCAAGAGACTGCAGCCGCCTTGGATGGTCAGCTTGTTGAACATGGCAGTCGAGAAGAGGGGAAAGGCACCTCCGACACCCGCCCTCATGACGTCGTTGCTCGCGAAAACCGAGGCCATGTACCGGGGGTAGTTTTCAGCGAGGTAGTTGAGGATCCCCTGGAATAGAAGATAGATGGAGAGGGCGAAAAGCGAAGAGGCCAGGACGGGAGAGATCCAGTGTATGGATTCGAAGCTTGTCCAACCGAACCAGAACATGCACACCGGCAGCGCGATGCCTCCCAGCATCACGGGCAGCATTCGATATTCTGGCTTCCAGGTGCCCTCGGCATATTTGGGCGTGACGAACTTGTTGTTGAAGACGCAGTAGCCGCCCAGGGTCAGCGCACCGCCGATGAGGATGCCGATGTAAGCAAGACCAGTCTGTGCGCCGTTGAAGTGATGCCTGCCCTCAAAGACCAGAGGGAAGGCTTCAAAGAAGCAGTACAGGACACCGTAAACGAGGGCGATGTACAGATTGTTGAAGAGCACCACTGGTTCCAGCAGGGTGAGCTCAAACGGCCGCACGAGCGTGTTGAAGGCGAGCTCCGAAGGGTGAATGGATCGATCGTGCAAGTCGCCTTCGGACAGAAGCTGTGCGTTTCCTGTCACTTTGCGTAGGCGGGCTGCCCGTCGAGAGAGGATGGTTGCCCCACTTGTCTCGGGCAGAAGGAAGAAAATAAAGATCCAGACGGCGGCCGAGGCCCAAAACAGAGGCCAGATAGACCATCTCCAACCCTTTGCATCGACAGCAAAGCCTCCGACGAGGGGGCCCACAACGGGGCCGGCGGCTGCCGAGTACCCCCAACATCCCAGCGCGTTGGCAAAGCCGCCTCCGTAGCCCCAGATGTCGCCGATTGTAGCTCCACCCGTCGCCAGGACGGGACTACCGACGAATCCGGCCAAGAAGCGCAGGACGAGGAAGCCAGCCACACTATCGGTGAGCACCGTCGGGATCTGGAGTAGCACAAAAATGCCAAGGCTGACGATGTAGGGCCAGTTTCGCCCAATGAAGGACACCTCCGTGATTGGCGAAAGGAGCAGTGGTCCAAGCCCATAGCCCCAAACGAAGAGGGAAATACCCAGCGCGGCCACCACGTCGGTAGTCTGACGGTCGTGGGCAAAGTCGGGGATGGCGGGCGCAAAGATGCTGGATCCCATGTAGATGGCCGTCGTCATAATGCAGACGGTGAATGTCACAAAGACCTTGTACGTTGTCGACCAGTTCAGAGGATTTTCCGCATCATTTTCTCCGCGCCAGGTCACGGTGACGTCGCGGACGGCCTCTTTGGAATGGGGTGCTTCGGCTTCGGAATCGGCCGTGTCTGTCTTTTCCGCTGCCGACGACTCGTTGGACTCGACGTCCAGAAAGGTTTCCTTGAAACCCGGCTCGTTTTCCAAGTGACCAAAGCAGCGACCGCGAGACAAAAAGCGTATGATCTGCCCAAAGGCAGTCTCATGGAAGATGCTGTAGTGATGGACAGGCATGGTGGTGCTGGCGGTACTGTTGTTGAAGGGAAAAGGAAGGAAAAGAAAGGGCCATGGGCCTTTATCATCATTGCTTGCTTCAAAACTTCGGAGGCCATGATGGAGTAAAGCGAGTAAACCAACGGGTCGAACCAGCAAACGCGCGGGCGTGTCCTCGGCCTCCACGGGCACCCCACGGAGAGATATGATTTCTAATTTATTTTCTTAGTTTCACTTTGAATGTTTATTATTAATACATCATCACGTCCCGCTCAGGCTTGCGACTAAGCCTCAACTTGCGACAAGACAAGAGAAAGATAGGAGCAAGTGAAATGAGATTGATATTAACTTGGCCGCTGTTGATCCGGCAAACAGATTACGAGACACTTTCACTTCTTTGCACCAGTCATAATGTCTAATCTGGTCCTTACTTTGCCACTTGGTCGTCGAAGGAGAAGCCCGGCTTGTCAAAGAGCCCGTAGTAGCGTTCGACGAATGTGCCCACCTTGGCCGCCGCCAAGAAGTCGGTAGCAAACTTCCACAACTGGTCGTCGTACTCCCAAGCGGTAAAGGGAATGCTGCCAAAGGTCCCATTGCCAATGGCAGCGTTGACGCCATGAAAAGCTTGGCCCATGCTCTCTAGCGAAGGCTTGATGGGCCCCCATTCCGTAGCGTTGGAGGTCCAACCGAATCGGGTGACGTGGATCTTGGTCTTTGGGCACAACTTTCGAAGGTTGGTGATCCGGCCAACCATCCACTCGGTGACGTTGCTGGGTCCGGGAGGGTCGTACTCGTACCAAGGGTCCAAGCTGATTCCAAGAAAGTCGAGGTCGCACATGGCCACCGCGAGAGAAGCATCCACGGGTTCGTTGATGGTCGAACGGCCCTTGAAACCTGCCTTGGCCAAGTCTTTGACCAAGCTGTCAAACGCCACTCGAAGGTTGGCCTCCGTATCAGTACGTCGATTGATGGCTTCACCCCCAAAGAGGAAGACGTCGGTCACCTCTGGGTGCTGAGCAACTGCATCCAAGAGGGCCTTGCGTTGGAGCTCGTAGTCGGTCTTGTTGTCGGCCAGTGCGTAGTTGAGGAACAGCGTCGGCTGCACCACCACATTGTGCTTTTTCGCGGCGGCATACACGGTGCTGATGGAGCTTGGTTGGCATTCGTAGCCAAGGTACTCGAGCTCAATGGACTTGAAGCCCTCGTCGGCAATCTTGGCTACAATCGTATTGAGCTCGTCCACGCTGCGGCAGGTTGCATTTGCTGGGTTCTTTTGGTAAGGGCTGAGTGCGATACCGTGGTAGTTGTTCTTGCCCTCAGCCGCGACGGTGAAGAGGGCGAGAAAGACAGCAGCGACGCTGATGGCAGCAACGCACGAAACCTGCATCTTTGAACTGAAGTGGAAAGGTGCCGGGCCATTGGGAGCATACACAGGTCGCCTTTTTAACTCCATCTCCCCATGGACATTAGCCTGATGCACTTAGCTCTGCCCGGTGTAAAAAGTAGCGCCCTTGTTACTCCGCGATGGACCTGATTTTGAACGTATTTCTAGCCGCCAAGATGCCAAGGTAAGCCTAATTTGGCTTCTCTACCCTTCTGTCTGTTGAGCTCGCCCAGCATCCATATTCTCTCTTTTTTTAAACTTTGTCCGAAATGCCTCTTCTGGAACGCGACACGCTGGTTCTGGTAAGTCACAGGGAAATTGGCGAGAGCGAAGGCGGACAGAGGGTGCTGAATAGAACAACGGTAACACTCGCCGGATGCCACGTCCTTGCTCTAGGTGACCGCCGCCAGCTCGTACACCGGTGCCAACATCGTCCTGGCACTGTTGTCCGAAGGCTACAAAGTACGAGCAGCAGTCCGTACAGAGCCGAAAGCAGACGCTCTCAAACAACAATTGCAACGTGCTGCAGGCGATCGCATCAGCGCATTGAGCTTCACCCTCGTAGGGGACGGTGCTCTGCATGGGGCCTACGATGAGGCTTGTCGCGGGGTCAGCGGTATTATCCATGGTGCGTGTCCCCTACTCTCAATCGGCAGTCTCGTCCGGCTTACACGCCCCCCACAGTGGCGGCGCCGCTCCCCTTTCCATGTGAGAACATCGGCGAGAAGATCCTGCAAAAGGGGGTCGACATGGTTCTATCTGTGCTTGCTTCCTCCACCAAGGCTCGCACCGTCAAGCGCGTGGTGCTTACTGGGAGTGCCGACAGTCTCTTCGACTGGGGCAAAGGTCTTTTCCATGATCATACCTACAACGGCAGCGAGTGGACACCTTCCACGTGGGAAGAAGCAGAGAAAGGCCAGACCTTCTTGGACATTCTCCCTGCTGCCAAAAAGTACAGCGAAAAGGCGGCATGGGAGTATGTACAGAACAACAAGGAGGCCATTGCCTATGATCTCATCTCCATTCTTCCAACGGTGACCTTGGGCCCCTATGCCGGAGACATCCACAGCATCAAGGAGATTGGAGGCTCCGCCTTCTTTGTAGTCTACAAAGCCCAAAAGAGCCAGACGGATGACGAGATGGGACCGACCATCATCCCCCACGCAGTTGACGTGCGAGACGTTGCACTTGCCCACGTACGAGCGCTCGAAAGGGGACAAGGTGGCAAAAGGTACATTATCAGTGCTGAATGCTTCGACAATGATCAGGTGAGCGTACGGTACAGGGCTAGAGTAGATGAATGGACTTCAAATTCACCGACGCACTCGCGCAGATTCTCCACACCCTCGCCGACAAGGGTGTCTTGAAGCGAAAGGTCGAAGCAGAAAAGGTCCATGCAAGCTCAAAGGGCTATTTCCAACTCGACAGTAGCGATGGTGTACGAGACCTTCACCTCACGTACCGGAAGTTGGACGAGACCCTGATGGATACGGTCCGGCAATTTGAGCAGCTCAAAGACAAGTGAAACTTGTGTGCTAGTCCTCGAACCAAAATTCGTTAGCTGCTCCACTTTTCTTTGCTAATTGAATGATCTTTGTGCCCTTCTTACTCGTGCCCTGCAAGGACACATTACCTCCGACTGAATTTACCCCTCTCCCCCCCAGTGGCGCTGGACCAACGGCAACACCCTTTTATAGCAGTACAACACCATTTCTCCAACCCATAGTGTGCTCATCCTGTCCAGCTCCGACAACACCAAAAATGTCTGTGTACACCATCTTTGGCGCCACTGGACTCCAGGGCAAGTCAGTCGCCCTCACTCTCGCCGAACATCTGGGTCCAAAAGCTCACATTCGCGCCATCACCCGTGATCCCACCTCGACGCGGAGTCAGCAACTCAAAGACACAGTCACGTCTTTGGGCGCTCAACTGACGCTGGTCAAGCACGATCTGAGCCAACAAACGACCGCCGCGCTCGAGAACGCGCTCCAGGGGACCGAGTACCTCTTTCTGAACAGTGACTCGTTTGCTCTGCGCGAAGAGGAAACGAGAATCATGCAAGAGGTCGTTGATGCCGCCGTTGCGCTTCCCAATCTTCGTCTTCTCCTCTGGTCCACGCTGCCCGATGCCAGCAAGATCTCGGGCGGCAAGTACACCGGTGTCAAACATTTTCAACAAAAGGCTCGTGTCGACGAGCATCTGCACCGCGTTGGTCAGAAGATCGCCTGGGTCGGCTTGCAGCTCGGCTGGTTTGCCGAAAATGTAGGAGACTACCATCTTCTGACGGAAGATGCCGACGGAACAGTCGCCTTCAAGTACGCAATTGCCACAGCGGAGACGGCCGTTCCCTGGACCTGGATCACAAAGGAGCTAGGGGTTGCCGCGCTAAAGCTCTTTGAAAAGAGTGCTACGGTAGAGGGCCTGCCAGAAGATGTGCTCCGCAAGAGCCTGCCCGTTTGCGGCTGGCGAGCCACGTTTGGCGAAGTGGTGGCGGAATTCGAGCGACAGACAGGCCGCAAGTACCGCTACGAGACTCTCGGTGGCTGGGGCAACCCGGAGTTGGATGACATGAACCGATTCTTCCGTGACTTTGGCCTCTACGAAGATTGGACCGTACCTGCAGAGCCACTTCGGAAGATTGGCGTGCCCAGCCCGACCCTGTCGGAATTTGTGAGCGACTATCTCGTCGGCCACAAAGTGTAGAAGGAAACATGCAGTCATTCATAAATTCCGACAAGATCTACCGGGAAAGAATTAGATCTACCGAGAAAGAATAAGTTTGCCCTTAGGAAACCATACAGTACAGTACAGTACAAGTACTGTACAGTACATATAGCAATTTGCATGATTCGTGCCGTGCCGAGCCAATTGGAAGGTTGAAAAGCAAGCCCAAATCGGAAATTGCACCGCCAAGTGCCAGGTACGGAATGAGATGCTTAATCTTGCAAACGATGCCGTACCTTTCTCGAAAGGTTGCAAAGCTTCTTGTGAGTGAGTATTAGGGCATTTCCGGTAGATCCTGGGTTGTGAAATCTTGTCTGAGGCCAGGGCGAACAAATTTATTTTTTTAAATTGGCATGGGTGCCTGAGGCACAGCCGAGCCAAAAAACCGGATCGGACCTGATTTGGCGTCGGACCTTTTTAATGAATTGCGCAACGTTGGTACGCACTCCTCCGTCCGTTGAGAAATTGACGGCTCGCAGGAATGGACCTGAGGAGAATTTTTAGATTGGATCTCGGCCTCAATAAGAGGGACACGTACAGTACTGAGGCACAAGGTGTCATGCCGGCTTAATATTCAGGCTAAAGACCTGGGGTCCTCCATTTACGGTTCAAGATTTACATTCTCGTCGATTACTTCCCATGAATTGTGAATTTCCCACAGATTCCGCGTATCCCGCGGAGACGCCCGGGCGCAGCACTGTATGCCGGACCGCGCAGTGCCACGTTTGGGTTGGACATGCAGCGCCATTGTCATTACCGATCAGGCACGTTGCGATAGGCAGCGTACGAAACGAGCACCTATCAACAACGACGCTACACCGACATTGCTGCGAGCTGCGAATGCAAGGCCGGTTCCTAACCCGTATCGTCTCCCGAAGATCGGACGGGTGCCGGGGCGTACAATTTCTTGTTGTTGAAACCCAATCTAAGTTTGTCTTTCAACTGTCCCATCGCTCTCATTCGACGCCATCTCTTGCTTTTGGCCGCTTCACATCGCAATGTCATCATTTGAACTCCATTGCACCGGCTCCTTCATGCGTCCAATCTTGTTCCTCGATTCTCTTTTCTCTCACCTATAACCCCCTCTCGCTCGCAGGCGAATGATGACCGCTTCCCGTCCCGATTCGACCACCAGTAAATCTAGCACCCCCTCATGGTATGCTTTCCCCAATGTCTTTCGCAACCTCAGATCCCGGCCTGGGCGAGCTGTGGCAGCCCAGGGGCGACACGTCATTCGAAGACCTCGCTGCACGACAGGAACCTGGTGAGTGGTGCGCTGCGGGCCGCCCCGTGTCTCTGTGCTCAGACCGGCTTTTCACCGCGAGCAGAAGCGAGCCAGCACCTTATCGTCGCCAGCGACGTGCAAGGCAGCCCAACGCTAGAAAGTGGCAGCCGTACTCATCGCGGGACTCGCAAGCGAAGAAAGGAGGGTCATCGTCGAAAGGCAGGCAGCTGGTCGGCAGACGAAGACCAGCGACTGCGAGAATTCATGAGCAAAAAGGACAAACCGGGCAAGAACGTCTGGGCGGCCGCATCCAAGGCGGTTCGAACTCGGAAACCTGACCAGTGCAGCAAACGGTGGAAGGACGCGTTGGACCCCCAGCTCGTGCACACGCCCTGGACCGAGTCGGAAGATGCAAAGCTTCAAGAGGCCTACAGTGACTACGGCTCCCTGTGGACCGAGATCAAGGCAAACTGCTTCCCCACTCGTTCTGGACTCGAGCTGAAGAACAGGTGTGTGGAGGCTCTCTCTCTAATTCAAAGCGGCATTTTGACAAGGGTGACGCATTGCACTTCATTCTATGCGCACCAGGTGGGACCACATCTCTCGCCTGATGAAGCGAAAAGAGGGATCTTCGCACCGTAGTGCAAGGCCACGGGCGAGGATCAACACCCTCGACGACGCCACACCCACCGGGCCCCAAGGGAAACCGCTTCTCGATCCCAGGATGGCGAGTCAGCGAAGAATGTCAGAGCCAGTGGGTGGTGCAGAGCATAGCCGAGCGTCGGTATCCATATCTCCCACAATTGCCCCAGCCGAGACTGTTTTGGCTCCTTCGGTTCTTGAAATCCGAGCGAACGACGAGGACGAGGACGCCGATGAGGACGATGACGTTGACAATGACGACGACGATGATATGGGCAAGCACCCAGCGCCATCTGTTTCACGGGGCTTTGCGCTTTCGTCGATGCTTGTGCAAAGCGACTTTGCACCCTATCTACCCATCGACGACGACTGTTCCATGGTCGGGATAGAGTCACCGCCTGGCCATCGTCTGAGCAGTGGAGGCTACCCGCCCTCCAGCCTCGCCGCTGCCGAACTGTCATTAACAAAAAGTAGGACGGAGTCCTCGTCATCCTCCATGCAAGACGTCCTCTGCAGCCACTGGGATGGCCGTGAATATGAGCTGGACGGGAGCGGCCCGACCCCAGCGCTGGCAGGTAATTTGACCAATGCTTCCATGTCGGTGGATGGGGAGACGTCGAACGATTCGGTAGCCAATTTCCCCACGACGCCGCCGGTGGCAAACGAAAGCAGCTTGGGCGTTGCGATGCTCGACGACGAACTGTGGCAGACCATTTTCAACAACTGTCCGTTTCCTGAGCCATCTGATGCGACCATCACTGCCACCAGCACGAGTGGCGACAGTCGCTCGTCGACAAGGAAGGAGGACACGCTTAGCCACGGGCAGCCCGATGCGCCGCCAGAAGCTCACAGCCTGAATGCTTCGGATACAACAGCCACCAGCCGATTACCGGCAAGCTCGGAGCAGCAAGCACCGTCACCACATGGCTGCGACGGCGACGGCAGCAGAGGGACGAGCAAGCGATCGGGGATGCAGTGGGAAACGAACATGGCAGATGGGGGCGATGATCTGTGGGCGTCTCTGCCTGCCGCCCGCGAAGCACTACTGTCAGCCTCAGCAACACCAACGAGGAGGCTGAGCGAACAGACGAAGGAGGGCGCAGCAGGTGGGGACAACGACCAGGTGATTGTCATCGTCTGCAATCGATCGTCTGCAGCAGAAATCCTCTCCAACCTCCGACGACCCTCTCCGGATCGATGTTGAGTCCGGTCGTGAAGCTGGAGATAGGCGCTGGACAAGTTTCAGCAAGCGCTGGAATGGGGGGGTCGCACTTCTTTTTCGATTGTTTCGCCTGTTGGGCTGAAGTTGGTTCCGGATGACCTTGCCCCGCCGCTTCTTTGTGATAGAAAGTCAATCTTCTTCTTATAGATTTATAGAATATCTCGAAATTCTGATTCAGCCATGTTGAAGATGCTGAGGAAGTTGCCATGCGAAGAGACATCCGATTGAATGTTATTCGTCGCATCTGTATTGAGGCCGAGCGCAGCGCTGTTGTTGTTGTCGCGGTGAGATTGCGACTGAGCTTGTTGCCCTGGAGGGACGGCGAGGTAGGAATTGGCTAGATGCGAGCTTGGCAGCGACTGCGGTGGAGACGCCTCTGCTGCTTGCCGGACCTGCTCGGGCGAGGTAAGCGAGTAGGACTGCGGTGACTGCGTTGGCGACACGACAACGTTGGGCGGCGGATGGGCAGGATTGGGATGCAGAGACTGGACAATGTAGCTATCCTTGCGCGTTGTTTTCGCACCTGTCTGGAGTCGCTGTCTCAGTGACGGTTGTGCGTTGCACGACTGGGCGAGGACCTCGATGCAAGCACCGGCGGCGGCATTGTCGTTGGATGCCAAGATCTCTAGGATATCAGTGATCTGAGAAATCGTCGAGGCAAACCAGTCGAGATCCTCGCTCGAAAAGGTCACCGCGGCCTGGTCCATGGAAAAGACCAAGACAAAGGTGGTGGCGGCGGCCGAAATGTGCTGTGTGGTCCATCCGGTGGGAAAGGTGATCCAGGGGCTGGCAGAGAGCGAGACGACGCTGTGCATCAATTCGACAATGTTCCAGGCGTAGCGCAACGAGGCATAGCGCAGGCTCCCAGCTGCCCCAGGGTCGGGAAGAAAGACGCGGGTGACGAGGCAGCGGACGTACCAGATGCAGGACCAAGTAGTGAGGGAAAGACCCAGCCGCCGGAGGCATTCGGTCGATTGTAGCGTGGACGACGTTGTCGTCTCCAATCGCGCTCTGCCGTAGTCGAGCTCGGGCGGCAGTCCTTGCTCAAAGGTGTCAAAGGCAGCTTCAAGGGCCATGGCGGTGGCACGGCGCTGTGTCCAGTCTAGGCTGGGCAGCCTGCGCAGAAAAAGATGAGCCTCGAGGATGAGGTCGGACATGCTGTTGCGGGCCTCGAGAAACATGTTCGTCGTCATCGTCGTTGTGGGAGGGTCTCGGCGAGAAGCCTCAAAAAGACTGTCCGAGGCAGGCATCTGGCCCGCCCCAAGGAGGCGTCCGGAGGTCCAGTCGTAGTTGCCCCACGGATAAAGATCCGGTTTCTTCACATCCAGGACAATGTCTAGATCGGCTCTCTGCCGGCGAAAAATGGCCTGCCAACGATCCAACGCGATGAGGTCCCATGCAACTCGCCTTCTCATCTCTCGTTCGAGCTCGGAAAGGTCCTTGTCCCAGCTGTGCTCGTCGAAGAGATCGATGACCTTGCCGAGGCGAGCGGCGTAGGAGATGAGGAACCAGGCGGAAGCAGGATTACCAGCCATGTTGGCGTAATGGCAGCACAGATCGAGTCCCTGTAGACTTTCAAAGATGGTCTGAGGCGTGTGACGCTCGTTGCTGTCGCAAGCTCCCTGTTGCTGTAGGTTGTCGAGGGCCGCCGAAAAAACTTCTTCGTGGCCTTTGCCTGAAGCAGTTTTGACGCGATGCGCCGCGTGCGCTTTGGGGGCGAGCAGCATCGCGACAGCGGAAACGGCAAGGAGCAAGGCGCCCGCGGATCTGGGCACGGAAGCGCCTTCCTGAAGGCGTTGCCATACATCGTCGAGATGAAGCGGGTGAACGCAGGCAAAGATACCGTCGAGCTCGGAAGAGAAGCAGTGAAAGAGCTTCTCGCAACCAAGAGGATCAGGAAGCAAGAATTGCAATTCTCCCTGCCATGTGACCAGTTCAGGGAGCAATAGTGGCCCTGCGGCTCCCAGCTGCGCAAACGAAGTCGAGGTTGACCTGTTCCTACTGTGGAGATTGCCGCTGGTCCGATTCGGTGTTGACGAAAAGTCCGCTTCGGAAGTCGAGAGGTGCGTAGAGTTAGTGGTGGAAGGCGGAAAGAGAGGAACGGAGCGAGCATGCTCGGGTGCCATAAAACCGGCATTCGGGTCATGGTTGCTGCTGACCGGCAGCGGGATTGGCGCCATCGCCACGTCGCTGTAACACAGATGTTCCGTCGATCTCATGACGCATGATGCGCAGGGCGCCGTACGATCGCACTTGGTCTTTCTCGATCGGCATGGTGCACAGCTCTTTTGGTGGCGATATCGATGTCCGGTGGTCAGATTCATGGGGAGCGGCCTTTGGTGGGCGCTTGAAGTGGTCCCACCACCGGCATGGAAGGCCGATTGCTCGCGGTTGGAACCCGTTGGACGTGGCATCATGCGAAGATATAACGATACGTCGACTGGAAGTGGAGCCTCGATCTGGAATAGAACACGTGACTCGATAATTCAGTTACCCGCACCCGCTGGGTGACACTCCGCAAACGTTACTGATTGAAAAAAAAAAAAATCCCCGCCCACGCTTTTACTTCGAAGAGCTTATTCTGCCCCCCTCGTCGTAATAATCTTGAGCAAGAGGCCGGAGGAGGGGCTAAAAGGGAGATCGGGCCCTTGCTACACAAATCAGTACTGATAGACCGGCTAAAAATTCTGAGCCAATGTTTCGGAAACTGAACTTGCGAGATTGCCGTCGGAAATCTCTGTTGCTGGCTGAAATAAACTCTGGCGGTCACCAAATGCGGGGACAGACATGGAAGGACAAAGAGATGAGAAGTGAGCACTTGATGGATCGACAATGGAGGGTCCGGCGACGAAAAAGTCTCCTTCCCGAAGGATTGAGGCGGAGCTGCAAGAATAGACGGCTGAGCGGGCCAGCTTTCTGCTGTTGTCGACGTCGGTTACCGACGAAACACACTTACGCGTTTGTGATCGGTCACCGGCGATTCGGAAATCTCACAAATTGCACGCGCACCAGCGCTCTCTTGTCTGAGGTGCTTGCTGAGCAAGCAAGGCTTTCCGTCGAGCACAGAACACTCACATCATAAGGCCCACGAAAACCTTCTCTCCGCATCTCGAGCTGCTGACCTTGCACAAGTCTTCGTGATGATCGAAGCAAAGGAAGACAGCGTAGTCTACGCGTACGATGGAGAAACAGTGAGAGTGGAGGCTTGGGGCCCCAACGCCGTGAGGATCAGGGCCGTGCGGCAGCCTGACCTTCCAGACCTGACTTGGGCATTGAGCGAGACGCCGAAGCAAGCATCAGCTACGGTTTCGCGGACGAGCGATGGGACGGCCATCCTCACCAATGGCAACATCAACGTCAACATTTCGTCGAGGGGCAAGATCGTAATCGCCAACCAGCACGGCAAGATCCTGTTGGAGGAGTACATGCGTAATCGCGATGATCCTGTCGACCCAAAGTGCAGCGCGTTGCTCATCGACGCGCGCGAGTTCAAGCCGCTCATGGGCGGCGACTACGAGATCACCGCCCGCTTCGAGTCGCAAGACCGAACAGAAAAAATCTACGGAATGGGACAGTACCAGCAGCCGCTGCTCAATCTCAAAGGTGCGGAGCTCGAATTGGCCCAGCGCAACTCACAAGCTAGCGTGCCATTCGCCGTCTCGAGCCGGGGCTACGGCTTCCTATGGAATAACCCGGCTGTTGGCCGAGCCTTCTTCGGCACAAATGTGATGTCTTTCGAGGCAAGGAGTAGCAAGGTGCTCGACTATTGGGTCGTAGCAGGCGACGAGCCCAAAAAGATCGTAGAGGCTTATGCCGAAGTCACAGGCAAGGTGCCGATGATGCCTGAATATGGTCTCAGCTTTTGGCAGTGCAAGCTCCGCTACCAGACTCAAGAGGAGCTGCTTGGCGTAGCGAGGGAGTATAGGAAACGCAACTTGCCGATCGATCTAATCGTCATCGACTTTTTCCACTGGCCTCTGCAAGGCGAATGGAAGTTCGACAAGACCTACTGGCCCGATCCTGGTACGTGATTGTCAAAAGGCTATCTACATCTAAGCTGACTCCATATCACTCATGCCTGAAGCGGCCATGATCAGAGAGCTCAAGGCGCTCAAGATCGAGTTGATGATCAGCATCTGGCCAACGGTCGACAAGCGTTCCGAGAACTTCAACCACATGCTGGAACACGGGCACCTAGTGCGCACCGAGCGGGGCGCCAGGCTCCAATTTGACTTTGAGGGCGAGTGTACGTACGTGGACTTCACGAGCCAGGCCGCGCGGGACTACGTCTGGTCAATTGCCAAGGCAAATTACTACGACCTAGGCATCAAAACCTTCTGGCTTGACGAAGCCGAGCCGGAGTATATCACTTACGCCTTTGACAACTATCGCTATGCCCTCGGCCCGGTCTTGCAGGTCGGCAACTTCTATCCAGTCACTTATGCTCAAGCCTTCTTCGAGGGTCAAACAGCGCAAGGCCAAGAAAACATCGTCAATCTGCTCCGTTGCGCTTGGGCCGGCAGTCAGAAATTCGGCGCGCTTGTGTGGAGTGGCGATATCGGCTCGTCCTGGAGCACATTTCGCAATCAGCTTTGCGCCGGGTTGAACATGGGCCTGGCCGGCTTGCCCTGGTGGACCACAGACATCGGCGGCTTCCATGGCGGCGACCCCAACGATCCAAAATTCCAAGAGCTCTTGATCAGGTGGTTTGCCTGGGGCGCATTCTGTCCGGTGATGCGGCTTCACGGAGATCGTGAGCCCAGACAGCCACAGCAGGGCACCACTGGCGGCGCAGGCTGCTGCAGCGGGGCGGACAACGAGGTCTGGAGCTTTGGGGAGCAGGCTTATGCGATCTGCGAGAAGTACATGCACATCAGAGAGGAGCTCAGGGAGTACACCAGGTCTTTAATGCGTGAGGCCCATGAGCGAGGCGCACCAGTCATGCGGACGTTGTTCTACGTCTTTCCAGACGACCAGGCTGCCTGGGAGGTCGAGGATGAGTACATGTATGGCGACAAGTATCTGGTTGCTCCCATACTCAACCCCGGCCAAAGGAGCAGAAAGGTGTATTTGCCGGCCGGCTGCGATTGGGTCAGATTCCAATCCGCGGGTGAGAAGTTGAAAGGCGGTCGTCACATCGAAGCCGATGCCCCCTTGGACGATATGCCTGTCTATGTTCGCGTGTAGGCTACGTCCTCTAAGGACACCGTACTCACACAATTACTACAATATGATTTCAATCAATCTTGAAAACAGCGAAACGTCATAGAGGCGTTCGATTAGAATCCATAGCATCTCTGGAGACATGTGAATTTGGATCGATCATTAGGTCTCGTGACTTGAGGTCATGTCAGTCACAAAGGAGTGTGGAAACGACAGACCAAAGGCTGGGCCTCGCTTCCATTCAAGTATGTACAGTACCTTGGTAGGAGCTTCATCGGCAAAAGAAGTGGCGCGTCGGCTCGTCGCTCGCATGCATTTCGTCGGTCACCGACGCTCGGTCACCGACGCGTTTCGAAAGCTCATTGCGAGTCTAGACCTCCTCAGTCGAGAATTTGTTCCCTGTGCTTGTCACTGCGCCACGCTATAGGCCGTGCTTGCCCCACATCGGCTTTCTCTAGCAGCGTGTCAGTCGTCGTGTCGTCTTGCGGGGAGCATGACCCCGGAGATCTCGCGAGACTGCGGAGATATCAATACTCTGCCAAGGCGATAGTGACCAGGCGAGAAGTGTAAGATATATAAGAGTCATTCATCGACACAATGTCGACCTGATGTTCTCTGCAACTCTCACTTGACGTTGGGAATAGGTCAGCCAGACACTATGGATGAATCGAAGCACATCGCGAAGGTGGACCACGACCTTGTGGCGACTCAAATGACCGACTACGACGCGAAGATTGATGGGGCCGAACAGGCCGATCGCCAAGAACGCGAGCAATCAATCTGGTCGGCACTGAAACAGCACAGGAAGGCTGTTGCCTGGTCCGCCGTAGGTGTAAGCGGTGCATAGAGGCTATGAATGAGGCTGAGACGATCTCAAAGTTTTTGTCAGCCTCTTTGATCCTCGAAGGCTATGACCTCGTGATCATCAATTCGTTCTATGGACAAAACCAGTTCATAGAAAAGTATGGCAGCATCGGCAAAAGTGGTCAAATGGAAATCTCAGCGCCTTGACAGAACGGTTTGTCGAACTCGGCTCTTTGCGGACAGATCATCGGTCTGGCCATCAACGGTTGGGCCTCTCAGCGTTTCGGCTACCGACGCACAATGTTGGCTGCCATGGCCTTTATGGCTGCCGCCATCTTTCCCGTCTTCTTTGCACCGGTATGTCGTCCAACAATAGAAAGCCCTGAGACCGTGCTGAACTCTTTTAAAGTCCCTCCCGGTCTTGGCTTTTGGCGAGGTGATGTGCGGGATCCCTTGGGGAATCTTTCAGACCTTGTCCACGGCCTATGCGGCCGACATCTGTCCGATCTCCTTGCGCCCACTACTTACTTCCTACGTCAATATGTGCTGGGTGAGTGACAGATCGCTCCTTAATTAAAGAAGCGTCTGGACTGACTCGTGCATGCATCTACAGGGCTTTGGTATTCTTCTCTCCTCTGGAGTGGCAAGGGGCGCCATCGATCTGGACGGCTCTCTTGGTGAGCTGGAATACTAGTTTCAGGCCAGAGCTGTGTGCTGAAGACAAAAACCAGCCTACAAACTTCCCTTCGCCCTGCAGTGGGTCTGGCCGCCCATTCTGTTCGCAGGCGCCTATTTCTGCCCTGAATCACCCTACTGGCTCGTACGAAATGGCAAACAGGAAGAGGCCTTTTGCTCGCTGCAGAGGCTCTCTGGCAGCGGCGACACCACGCAAGAGGAGCTGCGCGATCGCTTGGCGCTGATTGAGCATACCGACGCCATTGAGCAGGCTCAAGTTGCCGGAACGACCTACCTCGACTGTTTCCGGGGTGTCAATCGACGAAGGACGGAGATCGTGAGTCACACTGCCGACGATTCGAAGAGATCAAATCATTGACTTTCGTTTCTTCAGGCCTGCGCTGTCTGGGCGACCCAATGGTGGTGCGGTGAGTGACCCTGAACCGACTGACAAGGAAGCTTGCAACATAAGCTTACTTCAGCAATCTCGACATCTCACTACACAGGCAACCCCTTGATCGGGTTTGCAGTGACTTTCCTCCGCCAATCGGGCCTGAGCGAGAAGGCTGCGTTTGACTTCAACCTTGGTAAGTATCGCGGCATTTCTCAGTTTTCATGGCGACTCACACGTCATTTGTTCATCCAGGTATGAACAGCATGTACTTTGTCGGCACTATCATCAGCTGGGGCTTGATGAGCCGCTTCGGCCGTCGTTCGCTCTACATTGCCGGCCTCGTGATCATGATGGTGATCTGCGTGGCCATTGCCGTTGCTGGCTTCACAGACACCCCATTGGTGGTCGGCATCCTCATGATCATACTCAATCTCGGCTACAACGTGAGCATCGGTCCGGTATGCTACTGCATCGTTGCCGAAATCGGCTCTGCTCGTCTTCGCCCAATGACCGTCGTGCTCGCACGGACGACGTACAACCTCACCGGATTGGTCACCAACACGATCACTCCGAGGATGATTCAGCCCTCCGAATGGGGATGGGGCGCTCGCTGCGGCTTGTTCTGGTTTGGAACCGCAGGTCTGTGTCTGATCTACTGCTTCTTCCGACTGCCCGAGACCAAGGGAAGAAGCTTTGCCGAGATTGATCTTCTCTTCGAGAACAAAATCGGAGCCCGTCACTTTTCCAAAACAAACGTCGACCAATTCGACAACCACACTTCCTTGGGCGGCGAAGGCGATCGTCAGGACAGCAGCACCGAGAAAGCCTGATCACTTCTCCCAGGGCGTCCTGGATGCTCGTCGACGGAAGGAAGTGAATGTTACGTCTTGGCCCAAATTCCTTTTTGATAGCTGCCCTTGCACACGCTTGTCCTGATCTTGTTTTTCGCCTCATGTATCAGATACTCCTTCGTCTCGCTTGATCGTGCCAGAAAAGATGAATAGTTTTGCTTATGAGACCACAATGCGCACAGTCTGTAAATATGTCGAATTGTGAAGCGTAGAGCATGTGAGTCAACCTTAGTGTGGCCCCAAAGACAAATATTGTTGGGTTTAGCAGGATTCTTTAAGAGGACGCCCGTGCTGCGTGCTGAAGATTACGATCGGCAAGGCGCCTCGCTGATCCCTTTGTACCGGCAAAGACATTTGTCACGCTCTGATCGCGGTCTTGGTTGGCGAACAGGTCGTAGCCAGCGCTTCCTGCTATTGAGGATAGCGTCATGGCATGCTGAGGTAATGAAAACACGTGCAAAACAGCTTTGGCGGAATCAATGGCATAATTAAGCTCAGCCGCGTGGGAATACGGTTTGCGGGGAACGAGACTCCCGCGGGTCAGCCATCGATCTGTCAGTCAGTGTCACTCTTGCGCTCGGTTCAAGTTGGGCAAGCGGGCGATTTGTGACTGACACGCGCCTCAATCGACTTGAGAAGCATGCCACCGGCCAAGGCAGACCTTGCGACATTTGCAGACCAGTCGAATGCGGCAGCATTGGGAAACAAGCAGGCCTGTTTATCTTGTCGCAAGGTGAAGATAAGATGCCTTCAGCGCGACGCGGGTCAGGCCTGCAGCCGGTGCGCTCGGCTCGCTCTACGATGCGAGGTGCAGCCCCATCGAAGAGGCCCGAATAAGCGATTCCAAGCAAGGAACGCTGATGCTAACAATCGATTGGAGCGAACGAATAATTCTAGCACCTTCAGCCGCGAGGCTCTGAATGGGTCGCCGGTTCTCGACAGCCCGTCACTTCGTCACTCATCCAAAGACGGGCACTCAGCCGCCTTTGGCTCCCCATCCCTCCCCGACTCGCGTCTTGCCTCACACCCTTTCCCCCGCTTCTCAACAAGATCCCTACTGGACAACGACGACACCGAGCTGCGCAAGACCACGTTAGCCTCCAACCTCATCGAGGAGGACGATCTATGCGAACCAAACGTGGCGTCCGTCCATTCTTACGCGGCCATGGAGCCGGTCGATGCATTGAGTGATTCTGATCGACCGGATTGGAGTCCTTCGAGCTTGTCCATCTGGTGCGAAGTGTTCACCGAGCAGGAGGCGCGGCTCCTTCATGGCTTGTAAGTTAGCCTGTGCTGAAACAAACGTACCTGACGCTGATGAAAAGAATGACAGCTACTTCGAACGTCTTAACGGCTGCATAGCCTTGTTGACACCGGCGCTGAACGTATTCGATGACCTCTGCGCAGACAGCCAGGCTCATTTGCTCCTTTCCGCCATCCTTACCGTCTCTTCGCGCTTCGTGATGGTGCACAAGTACGACAAGGCGCTGAGTTGTTTGGATCGTTCGCTGAACAATATTACAGCCACAACGGGCTTACCGTCGAGCATGCAGACCTGCCAGGCGCTCAGCATAGCCGCCATGTGGCGCCATCCGTCGAACTCCACTGGGTGAGCCTGGCGGCTTGTGCATTTCTTATTGGCAGGAAACTGAACACTAGAGCCACAGCTGGCGCAAGATTCATACGAGCATCTCCATCGCTCTGGAACTAGGCCTGGACAGGCTGGCCAAACGGCCGCTCTCGACCGACTTGAGCCGTGAAGAGGCTATGCGCATCGCCCAGCTCCAAAGGACATTTTTCCAGCTCGGATGCACGGAGGAGCACTTCTGCAACCAGCGAAGAATACCTGCATTGCTCGATGTGACTAGCTTCCTCGATCCGCGCGTCTGGATCGAGAGCCTCAATCACGTCTGTGAGGACGTTGACGTGAGGATCGCCGCTGCCATCGATCAGATTTCCATCTTTCGGAAGCTGCAGGCCGATCTGGCGAAACTGAGGGCCGAGTCGTCGAGAGCAAAGAGGATCAATTCCAGGTCACATGGCCTTCAAGAGCTGAGGCTGCTCAAAAACGCCATCTTCGACCACGACGGCACGGCAGCCTACTGGCTCCAAGAGGTCGAGACAAGCTCATCGCAGACGGAAGCAAGCGAACCAGCGCCAGGGTCGTTGCGTGTGGGATTTGCCAATCGGCCTTGCGGCGACTTTAACCGACTCAACCACGGCCTCAACTACTGGCAAGCTGTTTATGCGGTCTACTGTCGCAAAGAGATGATGGCAGACAAAATGCTGCAGGATGAGCGATCGGAAGCCTTTGAAAGGGCCACTTGGCATGCTCTGGCCCTGATGGAGCTCTTCGACGGCCCTTTTGGCGAGGCCGAGTACTACAGATATGTCCACGATTCGGTCATCTGCTCAACGGCCGCGGCTTCCATCTGGGTCGTGGACAATTGGCCCGCTATGAACGTGGCACAGGCCGAACGAGCCCATGCAGCTCTCCGACGCGCAGCACGGGTCACTTCGTCGAGCGCAGACCGATGGCTGGAACAGTCGGCGTATTTACACAAGCTGCTGCAGTTTTGCTGCTCGAAACTGCCCTCATCGATTTCTATGGTGCCGAGCAGCAGCAGGACTCAGGAGAACAACCAGCATGGTCTCGCACAAAGGCGCGAATCGACCGAAGGAGTTTCTGCTGTGGCAGCCGACTGGATCATGACACCAGCATTGCCGACCGGTGATCTTCTCGACAGCTCCCCTGGCCTCTCTGACGACCTGCTCTGGATCTTGTCGATGTCGTTAGGCGGCGGGACAGACGACCACTCAAGCCTCCAAGACCAGACCAATCAGCGATGCCATCCTAATCACCTGTCCTTTGCCATGCCTACCTCCGAAGGAGGAGGCAACATAGCTGCTTTCTTGCGCAACATGGTTGCGGACAATGTATCTGCGGTCGGTGAGCTAGGATAAATCATGATTCTAGTCGACAAGCGCGTGGCGCAGGGCACATTTCTGTGTCTGCGCAATATACACACACACACAATACTCCGATACCGGCTAAGATGACACATCATTGTTTTCTTGGTGATGAAACCGGACCAGCCTGGCAACAGCCGAGGCATGCGAGGCAGGCAAGTTCGGCCGAGTCTGATGCGGAGCGACCGCGTGTCGTGCGTTCTCCAGAATTGTGGCATAAGGCGCAATCAGCCTTAGATGCCAAGCAGTCGACCAAACGAGTATCAATTTCGCTCTCGAGCCCACCTTGTTCCCGCCCTGTCATCAAAGCGGCCACCACCTCATCGAGGCGGGCGACAGAAAGCAGACAGAAAGCACGGCACATGCAGCAGCAGCCTCCCACGTATCGTCACTATCCTCTTGCAAGGCTTCCGGTGGTACTACGCCTCAAAGTCAGCGGGGCCGGTTACCGTCATCCAGCTCGTTTCCACGGAGGAAGACCTGGAGCCAATACAGGCAGACGTGGACAAGAAGCTTGCAGCCAGCATCGCAGCGGCGTAGAACAGAAGAGCAGACAAGGTGCGCGCTGAGCAATGGTCCCTAGGATCAGTATTTGAATTTCTGCCTGACCGAGACTGAGACCAGAGGCTATCGAAGGTGGTTCAAGCGCTTCCTCCGACAAACAACCAAGACAGCTCCTTCACGAAGCGTATCAATCCGCTGATATCGTGCCACGTGCGGCAAGATTCACAGAGTAATCTCGGAGCGGCGCCCTTCAGACTTGATCCACCACTGATGCAGAGTGGCACTGTTTAACGTTGGCCATTTTGAGATCCGCCCTTCGAATTCCGAATAATTCAGCCGCCGGACTTTCTTTTAGATTCGACTGTCGCGTAACCAAAACCCAACTTATCCGAGAAGCGCTTTCCGATCCCCTTGGAAAGGAAAGCAAGCGAGGATGTCAGCCGTTGTGCCTGAGGCGTCAGGCATTTGGGGTTGGCGCGGAGGAAGCAGATTGAGAAGTGACGCTCGACTTTGCCGACGAGCGTGAGGAGCAGTGGCGATTGCGGCCTGTCGGCGATTCGCCGCGCCGTCGTTTCGACATCACGTGTAAGCATATGGGAGCGGTGTGGCTCGTCTGCGACACGCTCACTTCGGCCTCTAGTAGACCGATGGTTGTGCGAGATGTCCTACATAAGGCTGATTCATCATGCACACTTCGAAAGCCAATCATCGTGAGACCGATATGCTCCTTTCCCCGCCCACTTTCCTCCTTCGCATCCTCATGTGCGCCGCTCTCTACCGGACCTTTACACGCATCGACGCGGCGGCGTATCCGATGCAAATGCAAGCACAAGTCACACCGCAGCCAGAACAACTTCGGCCTCTGCTGTTCAAGCAGAGCGAGTATGCGCTCCAACGAGCTACAATCATGGCGTGGCCCACAAAACATTCGTTGCGCGGGGATGACATTGCCCAGACTCGCACCGAGATTGCTGCCATCGCAAGGGCAATAGCCCTGCATCAGCATGTTCTTATGTTCGTCCACGACGACAAGCACAACATAGCGAGTGCCTCCAAGATGCTGTCAAGCACAGCAAACATTGCTCTGATGCCTGTGAAGAACGTAGACAGCCTATGGGCCCGCGACACGGCGCCCTCATTCGTCGTGCGAGGTCGCGAAGCTCACGAGCTGGCCGGTGTTCAGCTCAACTTCAACGAGTGGGGACATAAGACACACACGACAAGAGACGCCCGATTTGCAAAGGCGGTCAACACGGAACTGAAGATCAGACCCATCAGTACGTGGCTACACATGGAGGGCGGAGCGCTCGAGGTCGACGGTCAGGGCACATTCATGGGCACGCTCAGCTCTATTGTCAACCCGAATCGCAACAAGGGAGCAAGCCAAGCGGACATCGAGGCGGAAATGTCGAGACTTTTTGGAATCAGACGGTTCATCTGGCTGCCCGGCACAGCTGGCATCGATATCACCGATGACCACGTCGATTCACTGGCGCGCTTTGGACCAAACAACACCATCATCGTCGCCGGTCGGAATTATTTCCTCAGCGAAAAGGAGCGTGCCGACTATGTAGAAGGTCGACGAATTCTTGACCAAGCTGTCAACTTCCATCAACAGCCGTATCGAATCGTTGAAGTGCCTGACGCCGACTTTGATGCATTCAGCCGTAAATTTGGCGAGGAAGACGATACAACCTTGTCGTACGTCAATTTTGCCCTGGTCAACGGGGCCGTGCTGGTGCCTTCATTTGACGATAATGAGGCCGATGGTAAGGCCGTTGCCATTTTCCGCAGCCTTTTCGTTGATCGCGAGATCGTGCAGATTCCGCTCCAGGCGCTAGCCCAAGAAGGCGGCGGCATACACTGTGCAACTCAAGAGCTTCCGTTTGTCTAGCGGTGGAGATATTGGAGGACTTCGTGCTAAGGTCATCCGACACATACTGTGACTTCTCCCCCCGCTCACAATGACAAAATTTTGTTCTCGACTCGTGTTCGAAAGTCCTACCCCGACAAAAGTTCCTGTCGTGCAAGAACGAAGGGAGGGTAGCATAGCATACATTGAGAGAAGACCATCCTTGATCGAAGTTGTCTACCCTTTGAAGCAGTCGCAAATACCCCCCTCCTCGATTGTTCTTTTCGACACACGTTGCTGGGTAATTACAGCATCGAAACCATCGTTCCTCCGAAAAAAGATGTCGCAGCTCGAAAGCTGGCAAGGAAAGGGCGGCCACATTGATTCGTTCGCCTTCACTTCCTGTTTCACGAGCTTGAACCATCGATTAAATGGACTGGTCCCATCTTCGTTCCAAAAGTCTGCTGAACTAGTCACCCATGCCTCCTCGTCATCTCCAAACGGCTTAGGATTGAGAGTGAATGCGCGCTCTCGAACGCCACCAGAAAGCACCTCCTGAGTCCCCATCGGTGGGCCGAGCACATCTTTCAAGTTATTAGACTTAATGATCCTGTCAGTATCGGATTCGATAAAGCAGCCAAACCAGATGTCCATCTTCGAGTCCGTGTCCAGACCGTTTTTTGAATCCTTTTCTGTGTTCTTTACCGTGTCTTTTTTCTTGTCCTTCTTCGTGTCTCTTTCCCTGCCGTTTTTCGTGTCGTTTTTCGTGTCCTTCTTTTTGTCCTTTCTTGTGCCCCGTTTTGTATCCTTTTTTGTGTCGTTTCTCGTGTCCTTCTTCGCGACCCTCTCAATTGATCTTGGATCATCCTGCGCTGAAGTGCTGGCAACCGGCTCCATAGATTTCAAACGCACGCCAAAGGTCCTCTTTTTCTTTGCAACACCACTGTCCCCCTCTTCGTCTCGCTTGATGGGGATGTGTATAAGACATTTTGTACGACGTCCCGAAGGGTTTTCTTGGGCTTCAACCACAGCTGACAAGGTCAGCCATGTTGTACCCTCGAATGTCGTGTGCAAGAGAACGGGTGGTGCCGAGACGACATGATTGGATGAAAGCGAAATATGAAGCGTGGCGATGGCCCTGTAATCCTTGTATCTCATCCGCGCCGTTTCGAAGAAGATGTGTTCTTCCTTGACCTCGTAGATCCTACCCTCCAGAAAGTCGCTACCCTTGATACTCAACGTGCCCGAACCCGCCTTGATCTGGAGGTTTTTCTCTAAATTTGCACCTGATCGGAGCGTATACATGCTGGGAACGTTGCTGACAGTGACCACCTTGAGTGCTGAAAGTAAGCCTTCGATTGCTGTGCAGCCATAAATTCTTGCCGAATTGCCTTGGCGCACATTCTCGGTCATCCATCCGACAAAGATAGGGAACGTAACAAGGGAAGACGCAGACAAGATAATGGATAGAAGGTAGCAGATAGAGTCGCACAGGCCGATGTATCTGTCCACTTTCACTAAGATCGGCTTCTTGAACAGACCGACCTTGTCTTGGCTCGTCTTCTCGTCGGAGATCGATGCAAAGGACGGGTGTCTGGCACCTTGAAAGGCCTGGTAGGCCCGTTGACAATAAAGGTATGCTACCCTTTGCGGCGTTCCAGTGGTCGACAATCTTTGGTGAAATACGCGTATGTAATGAAACTGGCAGGTGCACTGCTCACAAATTTCTTCTTCCCCAGCGAGAGGCGCCCTTGGTGGTAAATGGATCCAAAGATTGATCGTGCTGGAAAGATGAATTGTAACGACAAGTGCCGCTTGCACAGCTGCGTATACCCACACCTGCCAGGGGCACCTTGAGATCGTTGTACCGGTAAAGAGGTACGCGTCCAAAGACACAAAAGCCATGATCAGAAGGACGCTGAGCAGAGCAGAGATCGTCGCAGTTCGCCAGAGCTTCCGATTGAATTTGTGTGCCTCAGTGCAAATGATGAAAGCGCCTGCATTTTGACCCATCCAGAACGAGTTGGCATGAAAAGCACTTGCAATTGTGTCCTCGCGAGTGTCGATCGTGACGGTGCTCGCAACCTCTCCCGATCGCTCCACGTGTAGGACATTGTTTTCGATGCTGCAGAGGGCTTGCTGTCGATCAACGGTCTTCCCGTAGTGGATTTTCTTCGATTCGCTCCTCCATGCCGTCAGCGCCTCCCTCGCGCTTCTTGCGGGAACAAGGTCCTTATTCCACCCCATAGCTTCCAGAACTTCTTGTGCAAGAGTCATTTTGAACCCGAGTTGAGCAACGCCAAACGATCCGACAAAGCCAACAGGTCCGAGAACTGACGCAACGGGAGATGTCGCGACTAGGCTTGTGAGGTATTGCACGATCGGGCTTGTCAGCCATGCACCAATCGACCCGAGCAGGGCGATATAGACCGCATTGCTTGTTCCGCTCATGTTGCTTCAACAGACACCTAGTCTGTAGCGTGTGTCATCTTTGTGTGAAGGCCAAGACAGGGTGTAGGCGGAGACTCCATCATCCTTGCGAAGGGAAGTTCAGAAATTTCATAGGTCTAGATCTTTACAGAGTGTTCGTAAAATTAATGCCGGTCGGACTGATGGGGTGCACCAGTCTACTGTAAAAAAAGCAAGCTCCAAGAAGGCTTCGGGACGTTCGGAGCAAGAAATTTTATTTTGGTCTCAGACTCAGAGAGGCTCCAGAGTTATCCACTTGTTTGCATTGCGTTAGGACATGCGCGGAGGACTACTATGACCGAATGGTGCTCCGCTGAGACTTTAGAATCGCATGTGGGAAGCTGGACCGAAGCCAGAGAATAAGGTATAAGTCAGGAACACACTTATCCTGAAAGTAAAAAAGGTAAGAACGAAGAAAATATAAACCACAGAAGCAAGCGGTATGCCAATTTCAAAGTCATGGCTATACAGCAGTGCAAGCGCGAAGCACAAGATCACACGAGGAGATTGGTTTAAGACGAGGAGATCGGTATTTTCGAGATGGAAGCAGGGAGGGATGCTTGCGGTCGAAGCAGACAACAAACAGAAAGCCGAGATCAAAGCAGATGACAATGGTTTGAACATCGACGAGAGCAGCACAGCACTGTACGGTCTCGGTGCCGGCGAGACCGTTGGCTTGATCGTCTTTCTGAAGGACGTATGTGTCCTGCGCGTGTGGGATAATTTTGTTGTTCTGACAGGTCCATTTAGGGCCTTTTTGTTCGGGTGTTTCCTTTGCCGTCTTTGTTAGAATCTTGAGCGGGTTTCGTTTTCCTTGACGTCGCTTTCGTAGGTGTCTGTAATGAGAAAAAGTGGCCTTTTGATGAAACGTGAGAAGGTGTTGAAGAATAATGCAAGGACGGGGAACGAGAGGCGGTCGACGACGAAGGTGAGGAGCTTGAAGGTGATGGCGTCGACGAGGTCGGCGAAGACAGATGCGAGGATGGAGAGGATGTAATGAAGCCTGACTTGGAGGCAGGCTCATGAGAGGCTGATGAAGAGGCATTCGTACGTGAGGAAGGAGAGGACCTCGACGCGTGAGCGGTCGACGCGTAACGGGAAGAAGACAATTTCGTCCCCGACGAAGAGGGGAGAGCAGAGGACGACAATGAAGAACGAGACGAAGAGCCGGATGACAAGGTCGACGACGAAGAGGCAGAAGATCGAGATGAATGTTGCGGAGACGAGGTAGTAGGCCTGGGCTTCGAAGATGAAGGATTGTGCGACGACGACGAAGAATCGGACAGGAAGTAGGAATCATGAGATAAAGAGCGGGTGCTGGAAGAGGAGTGACGGGTACGAGAGCGTGTAGTCGACGAAGAGACTTCGTCTGATGAAGATGAATTCGCGCTGCGTGACGAGGAGTGGGTATGAGAAGAGACGGCCGACGAAGAAGAGTGGTGCAATAAGGCAGTCCCAGAAGAAGAACGAGTCGTTGACGACGAAGCTGTGCTTTTACACTGGCGTTCTCCGGCTTGACTGGCACCATCTGCTTCTCTCGCCCCGAGAATGGACCCAATCCACCGTCGAACCGTACGCGTGGAAGACGACCCTTGGACGTTGTCGTCGCAAGGATCGAGATGGTCGATATCCTTTCTAACTTGCTTAGTCATTCTTGAGATATACGCATCGAATTCTTGCGGCCAGGTCGAGCTGTCGATTCCCGAGTTTGGTACCTTAGCGATGAGCCGTGCCATTTTTCTTACGTTTCTCTGCATCTTTGGTCTGACCTGAGTTTGATAACTCAAGAGACCCCTGAGCGTTCGAGCTTTCGTTTTTGGCTGTACACCCCCCAATCTGGGCCACGTCGTCGAAGTGATTTCAGGGTTTGTCCAGTACCACTTCTTCACTTGGTTCATATTTTTGGGAATGTTCCAGAGATTTGACTTGTCGTTGATAATGGCAGCGAGCTGTTTGTAGAGCTTTTGGTCATTTGCCAACAAGCCCTCGCAAAGGGGCGACGTTTCTTCTTCCAAGGCTTTATTTGTCATCTGGACGAGCCACTGAAGCTCGATAGTGTGGTCGCAGTTGAAGCCTGTGGGCTTGGGCCCTTTCGTAACGTGCATCTTGACCTTGGACCCCGAGAGTTTGGGAACGAATTCGTAATTGTGACCGTTTGGGCAATCGTTGCCCTGACGAGCATCCTTGTCGCCGCAGAATCTATCAAATCTCTTGTGAAGCATGTTGACATGGGTGGGCATCGCCAGCGATTGTCCGACCAGCAGAAGAAAGAGGAAGAAGTGTAGCATGCTGTGCATTGATGGCTAACCGAGTGAAGCTTGAGAAGGGTTAAGAGATAGCAGACCAGCTGCTTATTAGAAGACGAGAACTTGGACGGTCAGGAGGTAGGGCTCTCTCCTAGTCTGTCTCTTTATAGACAAGACAAGAGCCTGAGCACATGGTTCGACACAGCCTCAATGCTTCAAGCAGACCTCATGATGAGAGTTATTTGCTTGCGAATAGGCGTACCGTGAGGCACTATTTGACGCCCACTGCAGCCTGATCACGCTGGAGCAATAAAAGTCGTCGCTTCGCAGACTCTGAGGGGTTGGGGACTTACAATTAAAGAACGACGAATGTACAGTACTTTACTGTACCGCACTGAAGAATACAGTGTTAGCAATCGTAAAGTACAGTACTGTACAGTGGGGGGACAAAAGTCGTACGTGAGCGCGTTTTTCTCATCTCATCGCCCCGCCAAAACATAGGAAAAATCAAGAATGCTGCCCCTTACGGACCCCAGTCATGACTACCTTCTAAAAGCAATCTAGAGCGGTTTTGAGAAGCAAGAAACCTGCTTCATGTGTAGGGCCATCACATAGCTAAGAGCCAAGCGTTTCTCACGGGTGGTGATGGAGCTGACAGACCTCTTAGAGGTGCCCTCCCAAAAAAAGGTCGATTTTACTAGTAAATTTCGACTTTTTCGAAAATGGGCTTGCTTTTTCACCCTCTACTCAATCAATTGGCGTGACCACTCTTTGTGCTCTAGCTATGTGGTAGCCGTACGCACAGAGCAGCTCTTCCAGGTTTCAAATTACTTTTAGCGTTATTTTAAAGGGTAGTCATGACTGGGGGCCGTGAGGACCAGCAATTCCGCATTTTCCCTATGTTTTGGCGGGAAGTTGGAAACGCGAAAAATCAGCTCGCGTACGACTTTTGTCCCCCCACTGTACTCTAAATTGAGTTTGCTGCGTTTGCTTGCTTTATTTTCACGGTAGATTATTAGATCAAAACTCAGACCTCGCGGTCGAGGTCCAATTTAAAGCTGGCACTTTGGACAACGAGCCTCGCACGTCGTCCCGATAACCATGACCGCGCTGCTCGGCCTCCCAAACGACATACTACTGTGAGTGCTGCCACAAGACACCACGGAAAGCCGGACTGACTTCCGCACAGAAAAGTCGTCGAGCTGCTTTACGCGCCCCATGGAGGAACAGGCTTACAGTTGAATGCTTCGCTTGCATGCCTTCGTGGCCCGTCGGACCCCAGCGTGGCGCTCTCACAGACTTGCCGGCGCTTCCAAGCCCTAGCCCTTCCGATCATTTGGGAGCACGTTGGTATAGAACAGGTGTGGGAGCTGGGCAGGCTGCGCGGCAAACTCAGAGATGTGCCCAGCAGGGCGCTTCTGGTGCGGTCGTTTGCGTGGAAGTATAAATGGGCCATCTGGTCCAGTGTATCTTCGCGACCCGAATCTTGGAATTATGCCATCTACGACTATGGTGGGCCCGATGTAGATGACGCCCCCGCAAAGAAGATACGCGGGCATCTCAACGCGGCGGCACTGGAGATCTGCTTTGCTCCCCGATTTGGACCCGACTTTTATTGGCACAGCTACAGGGGCAGTAAAGGGCGCAGTAGGGCTCATGGAAGAGGTCGCCACGAAGTTAATTGCGGTGAAGAACCCTGGAAGACCGGTTGGATTGATGGAATCCTCATGTCTAAAGCGCAGGTTGAGGACGCAGCGGCAGAGTGTCTTTCGAAAATGAAAACCTTAGGCGCTTTCATGTGGTCAGTCAGGAACCATTTGTTGAAATCCTGTCTGGTCAGCCGACACTTTTCCAACAGGGACAGCGGCTTTTCCGACTCGGCCATTCCAAAGCAAGTCATTGATGCACTTGGGAAGATCGCCACGCTTCAAGACTTCTTCTGGGACCCATGCCAGATCTTCGAACACGAAGGGCGGAGAGATGTCGACGAGGCTCCCATCTGGGAGGCACTCCAGCGTTCTTGCCCTCGCCGATTGACATTGCATCTCAAATCACGTCGCTATCGGGAAGAAGGTCATCCCGAGAGCTTTGAGGGCTACGTCGAGGCCGCCGTCAAGACCATTGAAGCAGCAACGAGCCCTTATGTTCGCCTGACCCACTTGGAATTGTGCGAATGTGGCACCGACGACATCTTTCAGCGCCAGCATCTAGCACGGTCTTGGGTCCGCTTGAGAAAGATGGTCGTGTCGAAGAGCAAGGTGAGAGGTGGCTACCGCCCCTTCCTTCGAGCTGCTGCTGCTCTCGGGGCTTCGCTTCGTGCCCTCCAGTCACATCTCGATGGAAAATCACCCCTCACGCCGGAAGACCTCTCCGCGCACCTCTTCGAGTGTGCCGTCGATGGTATCATTCTACCTGAGGGCGCATGCCTCCAAGATGGCGAAACAAACGCGCTGCTTGCCTTTTCTCCCTGGCTTGAGTCAAAGACCGTGCTTCAGGACATCTGTGACGCTTTCAACGCTGAGGCTCCGCGCTCATACGTGGTCTCCCCGGGCCGGCAATTTCATTGGTGCGCGTCTGACGAACTCGGATACGGATCTTTGTGCGCTCCAACATTCAGCTTCCCCGAGATGCGATCAATCGTCTCGGTAGACGACAACGGCCGTCCAGTGCACAGCAAGGACGCCATGTGGCGAGACGACTATGAAGAGGGCAGAGTCGAGCTCGATCGCTTCCAGTTTGTGGATTCTGACGAGCCGAGGAGCGAACGTTACGACTGGGCGAATATGCCCTCCACCCCAGAACCTGAGGGTGGCGAGGAAGAGGATGAGAACGACGACATCTGTGAGCGAATCCCTTGGCTCGACCTGAGCACTGATTTTCCATCGGGCCTCGATGTCGAGAGAGACGATTATCATTTTCAGTACAATAATAATTGGCATAGCATTGGCACCCGTAATTATTACTAAGTTCTGGGGTCAATAAGTATGGATGTCTGACAAGACGTTTCGCCAGCGTGGCGGTGCAGACACTCATTACTGAAATGCTCCTTTCCTCTGTTTCTCTCCATCCTTGAGTAATCAGTACGAGCTCCGGCGGTCAATTCTGCTAATGCTTGTACAGGACTGTACCACCCCGATGACCTAGCGGCATGTGAGAGCAGATACCGGGAACGCATGTCGGTTCCCTGAGCCGTGTGCGTCGTCACGAATGCATCTACAACAATGGTTACAAACGATTAAACGAAGCTCAAGGGAGCGTCGCGAGCAAATCGCGGTACATCTCGAATGTCACGCGGCTGTCGGCGCGGTAGCTGCTGTGCGTGGGTTATAAGTGTCGGATCTGCACATGATGCCCTGCGCTCGACGAGGCCAAGGTGCGGCTGCAGCGCGGTATTCCAGAGCGGGCTTCTGGTGCGAATGTAGTGCGCAAGTCCGTTCTGTGCGAGCATGTCAGCAAAGGGGAAAAGAGGCTGCAGAGCCGGACAAGAGATTGTCATTCACCTCTCCGTTGTTGATGATCTCGTCGATGGATCGCAGCGCAGAGGTGCCGGAAACGTGGAAGCGGTCGACGAGCACAGAATCTCGCTTCTGTGCTGTGCGAAAGTTGTCGTCGAGCTGCCATACCTCCACGGTCAGCTCTAGCTCGTGGGAAAGCCACGTCTTTCGCACACACCTGCGAGATGGGCACTCTGAAATCAATCCTGTCCGACGAGGAGGCTTCTGCGAGGATGGCAGCAGCAAGGAGTGCGACGACGAGCTGCCTCACAACAAGGACCGGCGCCCAAACCACTTTGGTCTCCCCGCACTCGTCCTGCAACTCGGCTCGGACCTGTGGAGCGACAACATACCCATGCTGCTCGGCCTCTCCTCTGTGCTCGTCGGCGAGCTTCTGCCTCATCCGAACGTGCTGCAGGCGCTCGGCGGTGACGACTATGCCCAAGCGAATGGTTGAGCTGACAAAGCTGGCCAGTGCCTGGATCGGCCACGCCATTTTGCTCGGCACCGTGGAGCTGCCGCGTGGCGTACCTGACTGCAATTGGGACGCACTCGTCGAACAGGGACGTGTGCTAGCTCGCAATGGTGTCGACGCCGCCCTCGCCTCTGCTCCCCACTAGACGCTTCCCTTATCCTTTCCCACTGCCTCGATTCGCTCACTACTTGCTCAACACCTTTGTACATCCAGCTCAATACTCTCTGCTCCACACGACGTGCATACATGCTTATACACAACAAGACAATGCCATCGCATACCATCACAGACGACGGCCTACATTGGTGTGCTAGCGATAGATTCTCGCGGCCTAGTGCGCGCCGCAGAAGCAGCACTGGAAAGAGAGGAGAGTCAGGGTCTCCATTAGCGTGGCTGGAAGCATGCGCGTGTGTGGCTGCAACGGCTGTCAATGCTCGGAATGTTTTCCGCTGCATCTGGGCTTTCAAGCCGCGCGTTTGCTCCTCCATCTGATGCTGAGCTCAAAGAGAAGAAGCGGAGGTGGAGCAGAGACGCGCGCGATAGGTGGAGACAGGCAGGTGGAGGGAAATGGAGGTGGAGGCGTGCTCGTGTGAGGCGCCCGAGAGAACGGTTGGACGTGGAGGCTAGTCAGGTAGGCGCGCGCTTGACAATGGAGGTGGAGGCAGGATGTGTGCAGGCGCCCGAGAGAATGGCGGAAAGAAGAAGGTCCTGCAAACATAGGCTATCAAGGGACGTCTGATAAGATCGGGCGCAGGCATATAAGGTTGGACAAAATCGAGCAAGCACACTCACCGCAAAGCAAGAACAACCGCATCGCAACACCAACATCCAACGACTGCAAAGCAACATGTCCCTGCAAGGCAAGAATGTCATCATCACCGGCGGCCACTTGGGCAGCGTGACGGCGGAGCTCCTGGCAAAGGAGGGCGCCACCATTGCACTCATCTACCACTCGAATGCTGACCAGGCCAGCAAGCTGCTGTCGTCACTCCCGGGCAAGGGCCACGCCAAATACCAGGCAGACATGCGCACCGAAGCAGCCATCAAGAGTGCCTTTGACGCTGCCAAGAAGGAGCTCGGCAAGATCGACATTGCCATCAACAATGTCGGCAAGGTGCTCAAGAAGCCCATCGTTGACTTTTCCGAGGCCGAGTTCGACGAAATGTTTGCACTCAACTCCAAGGCGGCCTTTTTCTTCATCAAGCAGGCCGCTCTGCACATTGAGGATGGCGGCAAGATTGTCACGACGGTGACGAGCCTGCTGGCCGCCTTCACGGCCTTCTACTCGGTCTACGCAGGCTCCAAGGCCCCCGTGGAGCACTACACGCGTGCGGCGGCAAAGGAACTGCAGGTGAGTGCCTTTATTCCTGTGACTCAATACTGCAGATTCACTGAACAATCTGCGACAGCCCCGCCGCATCTCTGTCAATGCCATCGCGCCGGGCCCCATGGACACGCCCTTCTTCTACCCACAAGAGGAAGATGCGTCCGTCGCTTTCCACAAGAGCCAGGCCCTGGATGGTCGCCTCACCGACGTGCGCGACATTGCTCCCATCATCAAGTGCCTCGTCAGCGATGGCGCGTGGATCACGGGCCAGACTATCTTTGCCAACGGCGGCTACACGACGAGGTGATGTTCTCGTTAAGGAGCTTGATCCTGATTGACTTGTATCTACCTTTTGCGCTCAGCGTTCCAGAAGTCCTGTGTATGAATGGAGACTATGCCATAGCCCTCATCGCGCCCTTCTGACGTGTCCATAAACCCTCATGATCAGTCAACCACATTGGATGAGCTTGTGGCGAGCGATGTATTCCAATGCGTTGCGGGAGCGTAGCAAGCCTAGCTACTACAAGAAAGCTCTGGCGACGAGTTCTAGATGTAGGAATGCCCCACGCGCGGAATTAACGATGAGTGGCCCACGCGTCGTGCAGGCGCGAGCTACGAAGAGACGACCTTGACCCTCTCTTCCACAGGGATGAAAGTCTTTTCTCTCAGCGGAGAGGGGCCAGGGATGCCAAAGGGCATCAGAGCAGTGTTCTGAAGTGAGGCAGAGTCGGAGAAAAAGTAAGGAATAGGCAAGAGGGGGTCCATCAGCGCCACATCGCAGCTCGGAGCAGCATCGGCCGGGCCACTCACCTTATAAGTGCCCGGCAGGTCAAAAGCCTTGAGAATGTCTCCGTTGATTGGCTCGGCATACTCGGAGTGGTGCTGGAGCGAGGCACCGAGACCTTCGACCTCGAGCGCTGTCCATATCGCGAATCTGTACATGCGAAGAAGGGTCGTGAAGAGGAGGCGAGGAAGTCAGTCCAGGTCCGAGGGGACTTTTGGGGTCTTACGCACTGCAGCATCCCGGTGGAGTTTTGAGACCAGGTGTCGAAGCAGCCCCAAGCCTTGAAGCTGGAGAAAGCAGGGCAAGGACGAAATGAGATTGGGCTTTGTCAGAGATCAAGCATAATGCGCTGCCCACGACCGCGCTTACTGGGGCATTCGCTGGTACCACGACTCCAGCACACTCTGGTCTTCAAAGAAGAGGACAGTGCCGTGGCCCGAGGCATACTCGTCGATCTTCTTGCTGTGCAAGGCCACCTGGTCCGCGTTGTCCTTGATCGACTCCAGATAGTGCTCCTTTACGATCGACCAGAGCTTCTTGTTGGATTGGCCCAGGGCCAGCACCAGCCGACCGCTCTGCATGTTGAAGGGGCTCGGAGTGAACTTGATCGCTCGCTCGAGGATGCCCTGGATGTCGGCGTCAGAGATAGAGGAAGCATTTGTGAGATCGTAGTAGGTCCTTCGGGTCTCGATGGCTTTGAAGAAAGGGTCGGAGCGCGACATGTTGCTGAGACTGAAGAAGCAAAGGCAGGACCACGATGGGCGTCTTGATGGATCTATGTTCGATGCCAAAATTGAGAGGGGAAGGCAATCATGTCTGAGCAGGAAAGCCCTTTTTTATAGGCCCTAGCGCACTAGCTAGCGTAGATTTGCGTTTTGACACCTCTCTCTCTTATCACGCTGGAAACGCTTAAATTGCACGCATGAAAGGTGGGCAAGGCGCCTTTGTTCTTGCATCGTTGAGAGACGACGACTGGATCCAGGTACAAATTGGTGTCAGTGATAGGGCCGCGTCAGGTACCTCGCAAAGTCCCAAGATGGTCTGCATGTCTTCATTTGAATGGCAAAAGAAAGGCCTCTTCCAGGCAGGCATCCAAAAAAAGGCAATGACGCGAGATTGAAGTAGTTCTGCTGTCAAGTAAAGAGACTACTACTGGATGGCTATCATCGTAAGCAAATTTTGCTTGGAGCGCGACAGTATGCACATCAGCCTGCACCCAGCTTCCGAAGATGGTTCCATGGCGACGAGGAGAGCGGCGAAGGTGCGCTGGGCGAGTTCCTTACTCTCCTTGCACAGTCCTCAATGCTCGACTCGAGCATCCACGATTACAATTAAGCTCCAGGTCACGAGGGGAAGAGGGAGCTGGCGTTCGTGGGTTGATGACATAATGCAAAGCTGATCCCGACAGAGTGCGGGATTGTCGACGCACGCAACTGCGACCACAGGGATAATCAACAACCTTGACCATGTCGGCAAAACTAATCGCTCTCGTTTCAGGCGGGAACAATGGCGTGGGCCTCGAGACGTGCAAGCAACTGGCCGCCTCTGGTCGCTTCCACGTGGTCATGGGTTCTCGCTCGGAGGACAAAGCTCGCACAGCCATTGAGACGCTCGGCCACAAAGACATCACCTTTGTCCAGCTGGACATCACATCAGACAAGTCCATCCGGGCCGCCGCGCAGGTGGTCGAGCACGAGTGGGGCCGGCTCGATGTCCTCGTCAACAACGCCGGCATCTGTCCCTTGACGTTCAATCGCGAGGTGATGAAAGAGGTCCTGGACGTCAATTGCATCGGACAGGGATTGATGACCGAGGCTTTCGCCCCTCTCCTGCGCGCATCAGCTGCACCGCGGGTCATCTACATCTCCAGTCTGCTCGGATCCATTGCCCTCCGCACAGACGCCAAAACGCCCGGTCACGACGAAGACTACAAGGCATACCGCATCAGCAAGGCAGCTCTGAATATGCTCACTGTCTGCGACGCCTGGGAGTACCCGGACTTCAAGGTGTTTGCTTATAGTCCTTCGTATGTAGTCTCCGACCTGGCGGGAATGCGGCAGGCCAAGATCGAACAGGGTGCGGAAACGCCAGAAGGCAGCGCCAAGGGCCTCTTGGCCCTTGCCTCCGGCGAGCGTGATGGGGAGGCCGGCCAGCATTTGCACGACATCGGCGGACCTGGTGTTTTCTCTTGGTAGCTCGGATACAGGATTAGAAAGGTGGCTAAGGGATGAAGCCACTGGCTCCAAACCGTGCGAGAAGAGATCTCATCGCCAGAAGCAAATGCATGGAGCAATGGCGGACAGGTTCGAAATCAAAGCCCTGCGAACAGAGCACATGTCCTCGTGGTCCGTGCACAAGTCAACGCATCTATTTAGGAAAATGGAATCTATAGGGCAAGGAGGAATGAATCTATCAGGTTCGGTGCTCGGCCGACGTGTATGCTGGCCTAGTGTCCGTTGACAGCAACGTGGCCATCGAGGTGGATTCCGTTGCTCAGCGCATTCTTCTTGCGCTGAAGAGCAACACCTGCGGGACTGCGCTCGAGAAGAACATTGGGGACCGTCGTGTACTCGTACTGCGCCGCCTTTTGGGCAAACTTCATCCGCATAAAGGCCTTCTGCGGGATCGTCTCTGCAAAGAGGAAGGCTCGGAGACGCTCGCTGTTCTCCTGGTGGCTTCTCCGCGCGAAAAAGGCGTCGAGCTTGCCCCGGATCATCTCCCAGGCGGCGAAGCGGTCGACGCCAAGGCGGTAGATGAAGACGTTGAGGTGGTTGTGGAAGAGGCAGAACTGGATGCTGTTAAGGAAAGAAAAAAAAGGAAATTCGTCAGTCGAGCCAAAGCAGGCTATGGTCGCTGCATCACGCACATTCGCCATGCCTCCTCTTCATTTTCCGTCGGGATCAGGCTGCCCGGCGGGATGCTTGTCAGCACGTAGCCGCTCTTGGCGAGCGTGGGCGTGTGAATCTTGATGCTGCCCAGGTCGCGGCTGGCCCAGCCCTTGATGCTGCCGCTGCTTCGGTCCATGCGAATGAGGACGTTCTGCGCGTGGGCCTCAAAGGCCACACCGTAGTCGGCAACGGGGCCAAGGAAGGCCTCGATGATGCCTTCGCTGTACCTGGAGAGGGCACGTGCACTTCAGTATATGGTCACTAGTCTCTGCACACACTTGCCACTCACTCGTTGAACCAGCTCATCTTCTTTGCTTCGCTGTCCAGTCCAAAGACGAGGGCCGCGTTGCACTCGTCGCTGTGGGGCGGAACCTCCTGGAGGGCACCGGTGACGACGAGCGTCTCGTTGTTCTGCAGTGCTCGACGGTGCAGGTTCTCGCGAATGACGCAAGAAATATGCTTGGAGTGGTCAAACTCGTCGGACCTTCCGGTAATGCCGCCCACGTCCGAGAGCAGCCAGGTGCTGTCGGGCAAAATCTCGCGCAGGACACTCGACAGCTCGGCAAGGATCGTCACCGTACGCGAGGAGATCGTTCGCAGAGCGGATCCGACGGTGACGTCCAAGGCAAACTTGTAGTCGTCTGGCCGGCGCAACATTATTAGCACGGCAGAATAATCAGAAGGTAAAGTGCCCACACTCACAGTCAGAAAAGGGAATTGTGATCGTTCGCAGAGACGACTGCGTGTCGGCCACCAGCGCATCCTTGTAGAGGACCTGCATGTTGGGGTGGTAATGCTTGATGACAGGAATCTGCATGGTGACGCAGGGAAAGATGACGACACCAGGCTGCTTGACATCCAGGCCAAAGTGGGAGAGGAGCGGCCGCATCGCCTGCTGGCAAGGACCAGTCACTCGGACTTCGAAGCCGGGGATGGAGATGATGCTGATGGAGTGCCTCATGAGCGACGAGATGCGCTCGGGTGCGATGTTGGGCACGGGGTCGCGCGCTGAGAACGAGCGGTGCATCTGCAAAGCAAAAATTCAGCCCAAGTGGGGCAATCAGCCCTCTGTCCACCACTCACGGGGTGTGTCGGGTGCCCGGTGTACAGAGCCTGCTCCCATTCAAGCATGCTGCTCCTCAGTCCGAGCACCTTTTGCGTCCGGTACCAGTCGATCCAGTTGGCTCCGTTGGCTGCCGAATTGCCAAGTTCCGAGCAGATGGTCTTGAAGCAGCCGTCGTCGATGGGCGTGGGATTGTCGATGATGGGGCGCAGGTGCGACAGCAGCGCAGCGGGCGAATACGTCGTCACGCCATTCTCGCCCTTGTCGCCGTACGTGGTGGTGGCGACGGGGGGCGCAAAGTCGCCTGGAAACACGGCGGGCAGGGCTGCACCACCGTCTGCCAGACGCTGCTGGCCTGCGCGACTCAGGCCGATCCACACAGCTGGAGTGGATGGCGTCGCTTGCTTGCCGTGGATCAAGAGGTACGCTTCGCCGTTGATGGAGGCGGGAGCGGGCGTTGCCGCGACAAGGCCATCGCTGAGCAGGCTCGCCAGGACACGGGTCGAGGTGTTCCAGCTGCCCAGGTCAGTCGAGGTGAGCTGGCCAGCAGCCGAAGCTGGGCGAGGGTAGGATGCGAGGAGGGAGGCAGGCATTGTGACGAGGCGGGTGATGGAGGAAGGGGGGTTGCTGGAGGTCAAAGAGCAGCGAATTTCGGGGCTATTTCTACCAAGACCGACGGTTCCGCTTGCCCGTCGGACCAGGGTTCTTATCAGACGAAACAGCGTTGCCAAAGTCGCTCATCAAAGGTTATCAACCTCACCCATCACGCACTAGCATGAGAAGTTTTTCCGTTCGTCCAATTGGTATCTCGCCTATGCAACCTTGATCATGGCACGATAATTTGAAAGAGTGTCGGACGAGGGCAAGAAGACAGTCCTCCGGGCACTCGGACAAGCGCTCGACGTCAAATGAACGTGTTTGCCAAACATTCAAATTAAAACCACCTCGCACAAGCCAAAGTGGTCTGTCAAGACACAGGAACTGGGCCTTGTTTGACAGTACTAGTTGCGGTGGACTCCGAGTGATTCCCATGGTAATTGATGTGCTTAAATTAATGACGCATCCAAAAAAAGTAACGAGAGGCAGGCAGGCAGGCAGGCAGGGTGGGGCGCAAGGGGAAAGAAAGATCAGATAAAAATCCCCCGCCGGCTCAAACCCGCTAGTCCGCACGTCAAAGCGCTAGAAGCACAGAAATTAGAATTTCGGACAGCCGGCTTTTTATCTGTCAGTGATCTCGCCAGCTTCTGCACAAAATCTTCTTCGCGAAGGGCTCAACGGAGCAGAACGTCTTTACTTTCTTCCTTTACAGCGTCGATGAAGCCGCTCTTTGCCCGGTGCAAGTCGTGTGTCCCCTCCCGTCCACGACGATGACCGCCAAAGAAGAGCATCAGCTCGAGCAAGGGGGGGAGACATCCCGTCCAGTCAGCGCCCGCGAGTGGTCCAGGCGGAGAAAGAACATCACCACCTGGGTCGTTTCCCTCTTCAAGTTCATCTCTGGCTTGACCTCGACGTCTGTGGTCCCTAATCTGCCCGCCATATCCGCTCAGTTCCACACACAGGGTGCGCTCGCCATCTTTCCCCTTTCGACGTACTTTCTCGGCTATGCCGCTGGCTTGCTCCTCATTGGTCCCCTCTCAGAGACGTTTGGCCGAGTGGGCGCCCTGCAGCTCTCAAATTTGTCCTTTATCGTCTTCAATACCGCGGCAGGATTTGCGCAGACCAACACGCAAATCATTGTCCTGCGTGTGCTGAGTGGATTCGGCGGCGCTGGCCCTCTTTCGGTGCGTATTGCTAGCTGCCAGACTCGTGTGGGAAGCTAACACGTGCGCTCTCTTTCCAGCTCGGCGGTGGGATCCTCAACGACTGCTTCACGCCCGAGGAACGCACGTCGTTGATCACCGTGTATGCGCTGCCAGGCCAGCTCTCCCCCGCGCTGGGGCCAATCCTGGGTGCAGTGTGCGATCAATTTCTCGACTGGCGATGGACCTTTTGGATCGTCTCCATCACAAGCGTTGCCCTCCAAGCTCTCTGCTTCCTCACTGTCCGCGAGACGTACCAGCCAGTGCTCGACCGGCGCTGGGAAAAGCAGCAGAAGGGGGGACAGGCGCAATGGTGGCCGTCGAAGGAAGAGCTTGCGGACACACGGCGGAAGTTGGCCATCAATACGCAGCGCCCCTTCAAAATGCTTGCCACCCATCACATCGTACAGCTCATCGCCCTCTCCAACGGCCTCACGTATGGCATCCAGATGCTTGTCACTGCGTCTCTGGACCAGCTCTGGAAGGAGTCCTACCACCAACCGACCATCCTGGCCGCGCTAAACTACCTTGCCCTCGGTGTGGGTCTCGTATTTGGAGCACAGGTGTGCCGTCGATGTAACCGGTCCATCTACGCAAGGCTCAAGGAGCGCAACGGCGGCCAAGGTCGCCCCGAGTTCCGCGTCCCCATGATTGCGGCAGGCACAGTCATTGTACCGCTGGGTCTGCTCTGGTATGGCTGGGCCGCACAGGCCCGGGTCTTTCCCCTTGTGCCCGATCTGGGCGTCTTTCTGCTCGCCATCGGTCTCGTCGCCATCCTCAATTGCACGAGTCTCTACCTCGTCGACACGTACAAGCTGCAGTCAGCTTCGGCAACCGGTGCAGTCAATCTCCTGCGATCGCTTGCCGGCTTTGCCTTTCCCCTCTTCTCGACTGCGCTCTACGACCGCCTCGGGCAAGGTTATGCAAACACGCTCCTCGCGGGGATCACAATTGTCGCAGGTTGGCCGGTCCCCTTCTTGCTCTGGAGGTACGGAGAGGTCATGCGACGTCGGCTCATCGAAGACTACTGATGGCGCAGGAGGGAGGCGACCGACATATCTTTGGTCATCAGCTGTACACGCTCTCTATCATTGAATCGCTAATTCGCATTACTTGTACTGAAGTCAGCTAGCATGATGAAGAAGGAGCAAAGCGTGGGAGCCCTCAGTGGCGGCCTCTTTGTTCGAAAATTGCGGTCAGTGCTGGACGAATCACGGTGGCCTGTGCAGAGATTTCATTCCCTGTCGGGGTCATTGCGGATCTAGAAAGGACGACATAGAAGCGGAGTAAGTGGAGTGACGCGTGGCGATTGCGCGACGACTTGTCTTCAAAGTTGCTACTCGAGCTCCTAGGCACATACCGCATCTTTGTCGACACATGGCCAGCGGCAATGAGGTAGCCGAGGGACACGTTACCTCCCGCGACGGCACCCGTATCGGGTTCCAGCGTCGGGGCAGCGGTCCTGGCCTGGTGCTCGTGCAGGGCGCAATGGCGACCGCATACAATTTCAATGACCTCGCCGAGGCGCTGGCACCTTCATTTACAGTCTACACGCCTGATCGCCGGGGCCGCGGAATGAGCGCCAAGCCCTACGACAAGGGACACGAGATTGCGCGCGACGTCGAGGACCTGGACGCGCTCCTGGCCGAGACTGGTGCCAGCCGCGTGTTTGGGCTCAGCTCCGGAGCGATGATCACTTTGGAGGCGGCAAGGACGCTGCCACGGGTCACTCGGGCATCGGTGTACGAGCCTCCGTTCTACGCAAAGGGCATCTCACACGACGGCATCCGGCAGCTCAATGCCGAGATTGAAGAGGGTCGCCTGGCATCTGCTCTCGTCAGCGCACTCCTCGTCGCCGAGACGGCCCCGGCGCCGCTACAGGTACTTCCGCGGCCCGTCTTGCGGCTGCTCGCCAGTGGCGCGCTGCTCGCCGACGATCGGCGGCATGGCCCGTATGCAAGACTGCGTGACCTGCTCCCCGGTGTCCGGTACGACTTCAACGTGGTCGGTGGCATGGACGGAAAGAAGGACACGCTGGCGTCGATTGACAAGCCCGTGCTGCTGATCAGTGGGACAAGGAGCCCTGCCTTCTTGCAGCAGAGCATCCGCACGCTAGCGAGCATCCTTCCCCAGGCACAACGCGTTGAGCTTGAAGGCCTGGACCATTCTGGGTCGTGGAATGCTAGCCGTGGTGGCCACCCACAAGTCGTCGCAGCGGCGCTGCGCGACTTCTTTGCCTAGGCGTGGAAAGCTCACCCCCGCCGCTCTGAAGCAAAGCTCGCTCTTTAAGAGCTTGTTGCCTGTCAAGTGTGTCATCTGCTTGTTTCCATCTGCTCTTAAGATGTCGTCCCTCTTGCGCGACAAAAGTGGTGACTACCGACAACACCCAGCCGAGCGCGCTTTCCCTAGGCTATTTTCACGCCTTGTCCCTAGGGCCAGGGCGCAAGGAGGCAAGGAGCAAAAGTCGGACAAATGCCAACATGAATGACGAGAGCCCACCTGCATAACGGAATCTTGCACGTCTGCTCAAGCTCGAGGTTCAGGAGCATTCTATGGCAAGCACCGCCGTGCACAGCGATGGGTAAATTCATCCTCGTTGGTCGCAAGTTCAGGCACGTGCTTCCCGCCCTGGTCCGTGCGCGCAAGGTCGGGGCAGCCCTGTCATGCGTGTAGCAGCACCCGCATGAAAGAAAGATACCGCCAGCTATCAAGATTAAGTAGAGGATCAAGGATGCACCGCTTCTCAGTCGCATCCCTCCTACGAGATGGCGATCGAGATTGGGAGCGGAACAACGGCGGCCCAATGGGTGTCTGCGATCCTGGTGGTGCTCGTTGTTAGCATCGCCGCCAAGGCGTACCAAATCTACAACCGTGTCTTCACCAGCCCTCTTCGCGCCTTTGACGGCCCTCCTCTGGTCCACTGGTACCGAGGATTTGTACCAGCTGGCTATCTCCAGTACCAGAGCGACGTGATAGAGAAGGCACACGAAGACTACGGCCCCGTGTGGTTCGGTGTGAGCGTCGGGCGCCGATGCGCAATCTCGATTGGTGATGACGTCGCGATCCAGCACATTACGCGAAACAGCAAGTACAAAAGACCGCGTAACCAGTCGCGCTTAACGTCGATCTTCTTTGGCGACGGGATGGTGAATGCCGAGGGTGTCGATCATCGAAGGCAGCGCCATGTCGCTGAACCGTCGTTCAGCGATCGGTCCATCAGCAGAGCCGCACCGCTCATCTACGGCGTGGGGGAGCGGTTGCTTGCTCGCTGGCATACCATGTACCAGCAGCAGCAAAAGCAACAGCAGCAGCAAGAAGGGGAGGACGACCTCGTCATCAATGCTCAGCATGAATTTGGACTGGCGGCCCTCGATGTCATCGGCCTTGCCGGCTTCAACTACCAATTCCACGCGCTCCAGGACCGCGACAACACCGCCATGCACGAGGTTTGGAGGACGGTGATGAAGCTGAGCCTGTCACGGTCTCGCTACGCTGTCGTGCGCGCCATGTTCCCATCCATTCGCCCCTTTGGTGCTCTCTTTGTCAAGGAGGAGCAGAAGTTGCTCGAGTGCCAGCGGAGGATCAGCAGCCTTGTCGCCAGTCTCATTGCCGACGCCAAGAGCGAGGCGGCATCGACAGACGGTCGCGAGGGAGGGCAAACGATCTTGAGCCGCATGGTAGAGTCGAATGCGAGCGGCGCAAAGAATGCGCTCCTCGAAAAGGACATCAGCTCCATGATTCCCGTCTTTCTGATCGCCGGACACGAGACGACAGCCTCGGCGCTCGCATGGGCGTTCTATGCGCTGAGCCGCGACGAGCGGCACGGTGCGCCCGACGGCTGCGTCGACGGCAGGAGCAAGCAGACACTCTTGCGCCAGGAGCTCGCTGCCGAGGAGAACCAGGGCTGGCAGAGCGACTGGGAGACTCTCGACAGCCTTCCGTACCTCGATGCCGTCGTCGCCGAGGTCCTCCGGCTGTTCACGCCCACCAGGCTGTCACGCAGGGAGTGCTACAGCGACGACGTCGTGCCCCTCGGTGCCCCTGTCCGGCTGCGAGACGGCAGCCTCACGCGCCACATTGTCATGAGCAAGGGCGATCAGATCATTATTCCGGTGCACTGGCTAAACAAGGCCGAGATGTACTGGGGTCCGGACGGCCACAAGTTCCAGCCGGAGCGTTGGCTTCCCGAGACACATGCGCTCTACGATGGCAAGGGGCTCACGGACCGGATCAAGACGCGCAAGATCGGCGCCTGGCGATCCATCATCACCTTTGGCCAGGGCACCCACGTCTGCATCGGATATCGATTGGCAGTTGCCGAGCTCAAGATCCTGCTTGCCCAGACGATCAACGAGTTCGATGTCAGGCCAATCGAAAAGACTCCCAGCGACACAGTCGTTGAAATCACGTCGCGCAGCGTCTTTGTCTCCAGGCCCGAGGTCAAGGGAGGCGACGGCACCTTTGCGATGCCCTGTCGGCTCGTTCCCCTGTAATCTTGCTACATCTTGTGCTCCTAGGCCTTTGAGAGGCGGTGCTGCCCGAGTGTTTGCTTTGATCTTCAATGTACTGTATTTGCGACCCATTTCACCGGTGGCCGCAAGGGTGAAGAGGTATTCCTATCCAGTCTGCAGACTCGCCAAGGCACTGAGAGCGGCCTTTATGTATCATACTCTGGGTCGGGCAGCCGTGGGTCGTCCTTGATAAGGAAGAGTAGCCTCCACCAAGACTAAGAATGCACATGGAGATAGTTGCTGCACTGGCTCGGTATCTAGTCTATCTCGTCCGGCCCCCGACGCTGGCGATGAAGAGAATCATCTGACATGGTCTACTGGGGCCGCCGGGCGAGAAGCAGGGTCAGCGACCAGCCTACATGGACATCCTTCTGCCCCTCGGGACACTCCTCGGCAAAGGCCGCTTCGACTTGTGTCCAGGCTGGGCTACCAAGCAGGATGTCCTTGATGCCTCCCTGCGACTCGATGTATGCGCGCACATCGGAAAGCCCCCACGGGCCACGCTGCAGGGCCACATCCTTGCCCTCGAGCGGCCGGCGGACGTCGACCTCTGTCCGCCTCCTGTCGGTCCACGGCGGCTGTGTGGCGAGAAAGCTGGCATCCTCGCTGGGGTGCTCGACGCTTGCAGGCAGCTCCCATCGGATCCGCTCTTCATCGACGAATGGGCGAGCAGACACGGCATCAAGCTTGCTGTTCTTGATTATGGCTGCCGCACGCAGGCCAGGCGTGACTGGCAACGAGTGCGGAAGCAGGGCCTCAAGGGCCGTCTTGATACGCGGATGCTTCGACAGCACGCCCGGCTCGAGGCCGTAGAACCAGATGGCCAGCGTCCCACCTGGTCTCACCATCCTGTACGCTGCGTCTACGAACCGACTATCGTCCAGCCAGTGGACTGCCTCGCCGCACGCAACGAGGTCGACCTGACCGACGAGGTCTTCGGCCCACTTGGCCAAGTCCTCGCCCGCGCCAATGCGCATCTCGACGCGCTCCTGCCCAAACAGAGGCACGAGAAGCTTGCGCCCGTCGTTGACCTGCAGCTCGTTGAGGTCGCTGCCCACGTATCGATGGAAGCGCTGCAGGAGTGGAGGGCCTGCAATGCCGTTGCCAGCGCCCACGTCAAGCGTGGTGTTCCACTGGCCGCCCTCGCTGCCGTGGTAGGCAAACATCTCGTCGTACAGCACCGCAGGGTAGGCTGGCCTCACCCTGGAATACTCGTCCCAGTCCAGGGTCGCGTAGATCTTTGCTCCGTCGTTCATCGTGGTTGTCTGAGTGGACCGAGGAAGCCGTGCGCATTGTCGGAGTGGATGACTAGGCTAAATTACCCGTCATGCATCGCGTCGTTGGAAGCCATTATTCGGAAACTCATCTCGGAGTCGCAATTGCTTCTTCGGAATTTCGCTGAGTTCAGCAGAGCCGCGTTGGACGGCCCAGCGAGGAGCTGGCTGCTTCGCTCCAAGACATTCTCAATCGCCCGCGCCAAGCGAGAATGCCTTCTCTGCCGACGTGCTGGACATTGCTGGACCGGGACATGCAGGCCATTTGGGCCAGCCTGGGCTTTGACATGCCGCACCTCAATTTTGCTGAGCCCAATGGCTAGTGACTGAGCATTGCATTTTTGCTCGTGATGCTTTTCTCAAATGAGAAGCGAGAGAGTGTCGCTCTCAAGAAGGGCGAGTCGCATGGCCAACGCACTGATGAAGCGCTGTACGGCAGCCGCTGCGTCGCACAGTGGAGAAGGGCCGCCAACGAGTCCTCCGCAGAACAGGCAGCATAGCTCAGGTCTTGATCGGCATGCTCTCCAGCCACGCCTCGCAACCGAAGGCCAGATGGGAGGGCCACTCGTCATGGAGATCTCACGGAAGTCAGCTAAGAAACCTGACGGAGGCGGCATTAGAATGCACAGTGCAGTTGAGCTCCTCGCTCCGTGATGCTGTAGGTACTGTATTTTCAAGGTGGGATAGGCCAGTAATCTCTCTCTCTCTCACGCAGATCGCGGCTCTGCGCAGCGAGGACATTGCATCAGATGACCAGCGCGGCCCTAAATAAGGTTCATCTCTTGGGGCGGGAAAGGCTCCATGCGATTCCAGCCATCGAGCGGAGAATGAAGCACCACTGCGCGTCTCTTCGACCGGAGCGTGAGGCCCGTGTGGGTTCGGGAGCTACGAGACTGGAAGTCCAGAATTTGACTGTGGGCCTACAGACCCTTCAGGAAATTGGAGCATGAGATAAGATAAAGTACTGCCGCCGACCACAACCGTACAGCGAGGGGGCTCACAGCGAGGGGGCTCACGGCGACGGGCCTACCCACGCACTGGAAGCGTTGGGCAGAGTGCTGGTCGATTGCCGCTTCGAGTGGAGCTTGGAGGCGTCTAGGCCCTCTTCTGACTTTCTCCCGATTTTGCTTTCGCCGCCTAGAGCCTTGATTCGGACAGCAACTGAAAATATGCGCTTAAATTATCGGCAGCGAAGCCACGCCACAAAAAGACGGGACGCACAGGCAAAGGACCTTCTCCTGCGAGGCGAGCCGAAGGCTTCGAATGGGCAATGTTGCCTGTCCTCACTTCTGGACAGGCTTCCTTCACTCTCACACACATTTGCCTTGGTTGCGATGTCGAATTCGACAATGACAGACCCGCACGATTTGATGGCATTCGTTACCATCATTGGCTCGGTGGGAGCATGGATCGGAAGCTCGACGGTGCAACACTTGACCGGTCTCACCCTTACCCAGCCATTCTTGAGCTGGCTAGGGCCGATCAGCATCGTTGGCAGCTTTGGCATCTATCAGGCCGGACTGAAAGCGGTTATGACACCGTCGCAGCTTCGCGCCTTTGGCTGGAGCGCAGATCAGACACCAGCCAGAGGCGTCGCCGAGGCTTTGACGACGGGGCCCACCGAGTCGGATAGCATCCACTTTGGTTTTCCGGTGCAGCGGCAGCAGTCTCATCTTGTGGCAGATGTGCGTTGACATTCTGCGGGCTCATCAAATTTTGGCTAGTCTCTGGGTGCCGGGCTGACTTCGAGCTAACCACGCAGCAAGCACCCCTCGACGATGGCCCTCGGCAGCAACAAGGAGCGGGCAGGGCGGTTGAATCTTTTCCTGTGCGTGCAAAGAGCGGCAATGTCTTGGTGAAGAGCCCAGCAATCTCAAATGGAGACAACGTCGGACCACATGTCTATCACTCCAACGTGTCGTGGCTTGGTAGTCGTCGAGGAGCCCTCGTCAGCTGCAGCGATAAGGACTCCTTTAATGCAAGACTGGCCGTCTCCTGTGTGACGACCTGTTTCTTAAGCTACATCGCGATTACTGTAGTGCTGTATGGCGAAATCAACCTCCTGGGTCCCGGTCGCCGAGGTGCTGTTGTTGCCCAAGTGCTCTGTTACGGCATCACCAAGGCATTACTCGTCATGGCCGTGCACGTACGCTTCTTGCTCCGGGCAATCGTCTACATGCCTGGACGCCCTTGCGGAGAGGGCGGCTGCCTCCCAGCGCGGCTCCGAATCTACAAGCAGTCCTTCTCCGATGCCTCGAATGGGACGAGCGCTACCAGCTTCGTCTACTGCGAGAGAGCGTACAGGTTGGTCCAGGGCATTGCCCATCCCGCGCTCCGATCCAGGGATTCGAAGGGCCGACCATACTACAAGAGTAGTGGGGCGGACGATGACGCAATGCCCACTGCCTGCCACATGCGATGGCGCCAGGCAGCCATGTATGCGATGGACTTTGCCGTTGCAATCCTTTCCATGGTGCACCTCTTCTTCTACGCCTGGTACCTTGCTTGGCTCTCGACAAATGTGGTGCGTCATGAGAGCAAACCCCGCCGCGTTTATGGGTGGATTGTCGGCGAGCTGGCTCTGTTGGGCCTCAAGGTCGCCATTCTGGCGAACAAGAGCATCACTTGGCCAATGGAACATGGCCGACCCATCAACCTCGTCTTTCGTTCGGACTTTGCCGTCACCAACGACGACATGATGACAGGCCGACTTCGAGAAGTCAGCCACGACCACGTCATTCTCTTTGGAGCACAGACAAAGTACGACGCCCCTGAGCCTCTGACGACGATGCACGTGCGATACGATGGCAACGAAAGCCGCGTCGAAGTGGCGCCTTTCTTTGTGCAGCAGATAGAAGATGCGCAGCGAAAAAGGACGTATGCAGGGTCATGGGCAAGGTGGACACTCCGCTACGAACCCAAAGCCTACTCACTTATATGCTACATCTCCACCGAAAGTTGCGATGTCGTAGAAATACCATTGGAAGAGCCTTGGAGGGAGGCTAACGTCCGCAATAGCTTCAACGTGGCTTGGAAGAGAGCTTCAAGGACACCCGATGGCGCGCAGGAGCTCGCTCCAGACGAAATTTGGGTAGGACACAGAGATTTCTTTTCTAAGAGAGGAGCACGGACAACCACGGAAGCGACGTACGAGCGCACCATCACACTGACCTTGACCAGGGTCACGACTCTCACCAGCAAAAGCATCGTTGTGCTCGAGACACACACTGCGCAAGAGCGACTCCCAGGGGCAGGGGCGCCGTGGCTCAAGCTCAATCCCAACCTGTCGAAGGGCTGTATCCGTGTGGACGGAAGGGACATCGGTGTCCATTTCTTGGGCGCTTCAAAGTATACTGGAATGCTCTTGTCCAATCGGTCGGTGGCGGGACAGAGTATGCCGAACTGTTTCTGTGAGGTGGCAGCAGCTGGAAGATTCTGAGGGCGAGGGGTGCAACGTGTCTACTTCTGGAACTGTATTATACTGTACTGTACTGTACAGTACATAGTAGATCTTACGTGCTCCGGCCACGAGCTTTTTCTTCTTCTGCCAGAATTAGGACAATCCACTTCGTAAGGCAGAAGAGCATGTGATTCGCAGTGATCGCTGATGCTGACATTACACCTTGGCAGCGGCCTTTGGGTTAATCAGGACGCGGGTGCCGACGACGATGAAGGCGCCCACAATTTGCGTCACGCCCGACCAGATGATCAGATGGCGATAGGTTGCGGGTGAGCCGCCGTCGGAAAGGAAGCTGGAGGAGGGGAGGATGAGAGGATGAGAAACGAGGCTGACAAGACGAGGGAACAGACACTCACGCGCCAGCGATGGGATTGCAGACCAGCATAGGAAAAGCCAGAATGGCATAGAGCATCCCGATGCGCACACCGATGCTCGTGATGGGCGAGATGGCGGCAATCGACGGCGCCATGCATGCCATGAATGCTCCGTTCAGGCAGCCAAACGCAGCGGCAAAGACCATGACGAGGGCAAGCACGGCGTGTGGGGCCGTCGCCACCGTCGTCGGGAGCCAGAGAGCCAGACAGAGAACGCCAGCGAGGCCGGTGGCTGGAATCAGGACGTTGTACTTGCCCACCGCATCCATCAGAGGTGCGGCCAGGAGCCGTCCAAAGAAGGAGCCCGCATTCATCACGGCTACGCTGTAGAAGGCCAAGTCAGGAGAGACGCCCTGGCTCAGCGCGAATGGCTCGATGTCTGTTCAGGTCAGGAAACTTTCAGATGAGCAGGAGATGGAGGCGAAAGACGGCTCACAATAGTAAGGAACAAAGAGGCCTGTCGGAACTTGGAATCAGTAATACTCCTTCGCACGTCTTCTCATCTCACTCACCAAAGGACATGATGGTGGCACCGATGGTCAAGATGGCGTACTTTGGCTCCTTAAACGCCGACACATCCAGCCATTTCCCTGGTCTTCGTCTGGGCAGGCGGCTTCTGACGCATGCTGTCGCTGCAATGCCCAGGGCCAGGCAGATGAAGCCAGACACCCGAACCGACATGCCAAAGCCGATTTCGCCAATGAGACGCTGCAGCGCAATGGGAAAGATGACGCCGCCGACCGAGCTGCCAGTAACACCGAGGCCGCTGGCCAGGCCGCGACGCTTGAGAAAGTGCGAAGCGATGCTCGAGAGCGAGGGAAAAAAGAGCATGGCGCTGCCCAGGCCGACGAGGATGCCCTGCGCCAGAATGGCCTGCCAGTACTCGGTGCACAGCGACGTCATCATCATGGCAAACGTGAGCGTCAACGTGCCCCCAGCCATCAGACGGAGCGGCCCATAGGCGTCAAAGACCCGTCCCACGAGCGGGCCCACGATGAAAAAGACGAAGAACTGCAGGCTGCCGATCCAGCTAACTTCGGACGGTGTCTTGTTGAAATAGAAGACGTAGTAGGTCTGGAACACGCCGAAGCTTCCAAGAAATCTGGTGTCAGCTCGTCGTGTCGATTTGAAGGACGGTCGCGCTTCCACACTCACGAGCTCAGCATGCCAAAGGAAGCCGTGAGGGCGAAAAAGGCGCCCAAGACGGTGAGCCACGCCTCCCCACCTCCATCCGGAAAGGTGTGGACCGGCGCAGCGGGCGGAGGCAGCTGCTCCAGCTTTGCATCGGGAGCACCATCCAGAGACGAAGGACTTTCTTGGCCCTTTGCTGCACTGTTCACAGTCGCTGTAGAGCTGGACATGGCGAGATATGGGGTGAGGGGCCAGACAGATGTGAGCTTGGGGCGTCGAGGACGGAGCGCCTGCGAGTGCCCTTTATTTCAATCGAGCAGATGTGCCTCTAAAGAATGGCAATGCCCCGACGCTGCATCGAACGACGCACCGCCGGTCATGCACCGATAGCGTATCACCCACCTCACAGTGGAGAAAGCCGAGGTTCCATGCGGTCAGGTCCAATAAAGGAAAGTGCTACCTATGCTCTTCTGAGTCTCAATTTTTCCTGGGTGGGTTAGTCCAAAACCCCATTGGGAATTTTATATTTTATAAATGAAAACTTCGACCTTGCGGTCGTCTCTCGCACGGGCTTCATTGAGCTTGTTCTCACAGGCCCGAATTTGGGCAATTAGATCGTTAGACGATGAACTGATTAAAATTACTTCTAGGCAGACCATGCCTTCAAAATGGCTTTGGTGCGAGGCACGAGCTCCTCGGTCTTGGCCTGGTCAAAGTACCGCTTGCTGTACGAAAGGCCAAGGTGCAGCTGGTTCTGCCGCGTGTAGATGAAGCCCCAGGGACCAAAGTCGTTCTTGCGCAGACCGATGGAAAAGTCCTCGATGGTGACTTGGGCCTGTGCACCGCTGAAACGCGGGGCAAGGAGGTTGTCCACAATGCCGAGCGACGAGACGCTCAGGTAGCCGTAGCCGGGCTGATCCCAGTCCTGGGCAGAGCGCATGTGCACGTAACCGGGGCCCATGAAGCTGAAGCCGGCCGAGCTGATGGGCGTCGCCAAAATGTCCGAGAGCTGCGAGCCGATCTGCTTGCCCGTCTCTTCAAGCTTGTCGGGCTGCTCGAGGAAGAGGAAATTGAGCAGAGTCGCATAGCTCGGCGACTCAGGCGTCGTCTTGTCCTTGACGCGAAGGAATCTTCGTCCGTTGCCGGCGATTGTCACGAGGCCGCCCTGCTCGTCGCCCTTGGCATACAGCTGCTGCATGGCCTGCAGCATGGCGGCAATGCCAACTGAGGTGACCGACAGGCCGGTGGCCTTGCACTTGGCCAAGATTGCCTTGCTCTCTGCTTCAGAGAAGGCCAGCCGGATGTGTGCCGTCTCTCTCGGCGCGGTCTTGAAATCGGGCTGGAAGGGGAAAGACAGCTGTGGACGAGCAAAGTTGGGCAGACAAGCCTCGTAGAGCTTTTGTCCCTTTTCAAGAAACTCGGGAGTGTATGCGCCGAGCTCCTCCTCCAGGGCAGATCGTGCGCTGGGGGGAAGCCGGCCAGCCTCCTGGCCCCATGCTGCCGACGACCCGGGGACGCCTTCAGCAATGAGCCGGAGAAACGTGCTTAGGATCCCGCTGTGGTAGCCAAAGAAGAATTAGCATGGGAGCAGGCGCCGTTGGGTGCGAAAGGTCATGCTACGACCACTCACAAGACCCCCGACGCATCGGTGATGGCATGGCTGATGCTGATCCGGACAAGGGCCGCCGTCTCGTTCTTCAGCGGAATCCAGCTCAAAGTAGAGCTGCCTTGACCGGGGATCTTGAGATTGATGGCCTTGTGCAGGACTGCATCAAACTCTGCAGCGTCTACGGGTGCTTCCACCGACAGCGTCTTTGCGAGCCAGTCTTGGGCCCCATCGTCCGCGGGCACGACATACACCATGTTTCTGGGATTATCCTGGCCTTTGAATTCGATGGCGATTTCAGGATTGAGCTTGCGCGTCTCCAGCCAGGCCTGCTCGATCGCCGCCTTGTCCAGCTTGGCGTCGCCGAGCTGCACTTTGAGCACCGCGCTGATGTTGTAGTCGCCATCCAGCGTCTGGTTGTCGGACTCGACGGCCGTTTCGACGGGGTCCAACCCGCGCTCATAGTGGCCCTGGGCGACCTCTTTCCATGGCTTGGGCGGCTGGGCGACGGTGTTGGCCATTGTGACTGCTCGGTTCTGATGAGAGAGGGAGTAGAACTGCGAGGGCAGAGAGAGGGGATTGTGACTGCTCGGGTTTCTCGTTGGTGGAGCGGATGAAATAAGCTCTCGTCCGTTCGACGCTAGCCACGTTCTCTGTGAGAAGCCCGACGCGGCTTATCGCTACCAACCTGTCTCTTGGTTTCATGTGGAACTGTGCGGTCTCTAAATTTATGGGAAACTCCATGCAGGCTCCATGCGGTCGTCGTCGAGCTGATCATTCAAAATTTTGTTCCTGGCTTCCCACCTCGATCCGTGCCGGAAGAGTGGCCGCCTATCATGCGTTCGATTTTCGAGACTCGCTTGCTCTCGCCCTCCACATTGTTATGAATGAGGTAATGGTATAGAATTGTACGCCCAAGCTCGTCCTGGGTGGACCCTCTTTTAGTCTAGTCTGAGCGCCCTCTGCATCTTCATTTGCCGGCGACGAAAGCCTATCCCGCGTTTGGCTCTATCCGGCCATTCCACCAAGCGGGAATACACCTCGGTTGTGAAACGTCATGCGTCCGACCTCATGCTGGAACACATACACACACACCTCTTGTTGTACACTACAATATGATACAATTCGCATGAGACTAGAGCCATTGCTGAATCTCTCTAGCCAGACGAGGATCGGCGAGAATGCTGTAGTGGCCCGTGCCATCAGGCTCAACCAGGCGCACCGAGGCCTTCGACTGCGCCTCGTGCAGGGCGTTTCGAAGGCCCAGATCACTAGCTACCTCCTCGTCCGTGCCCACAGTCATTGCCAATGCGCGTCCGAAGCCTTCTGCTGCTTTGAAGAGGGTGATCTCTGTGCGCGGGCCTATCAGTAATTGACAAGCTAGAAAGATGGCATGAGACAGCGGCTGCTCACCACCCTGAAGCGCTGCATAGGCAGCATTGGAGCTCACGAGCTCCTCATGATCCCTCGCCATCTCGACGAAGCGCCTCAGCTGTGCGTCAAACGGATTGTCGCAGCGTTGCCTCAGCTCCTTGGCCAGCTTGCGCCGATTTTCGATTCTCTCCGGAGGCCCATAGATGTCCAGCTCGGCGCACTGAGCGATGAGATGTGCTGCATCCGCCTTGAGATCTTCAATGCTTCGGCGTCCAATTGTGCCGGCTGGAGTGATTCGTCGTGTCACGCCAGGGGCGTAGTCGACCATAGCCAATCGCCCCATTGTGGCGCCTGCCTCCTTTAGGCTGATGGCCAGAAACGGGGCAATGAGCGACGACCCAGAGTAGGCAACAATGTCGATCGCTGCCTCTTTGCCAAACTCCTCGATGAGGGCCGCGCTGTACACACGCGCCACCTCGTCGGGTGTCGTGCTCGACAGTGCTCGCTTGTTCGGTCTAACAGCATAGACAGGTCGTGTGAGACTCTTGTCGATATCTGAAAAGGCGGTGATCTGACCGAGTCCGTCGTGCAAGAAGCTATTCGTAGACTCGTATCTCTGTCAGCAACTGAGAAGTAAGATTGCAAATGAGGTGCGGAACTCACACGACAGGCGTGCCCTTGCCCGCGCGAACTTCAACCAGACACTCCTCCTCAGATGTGGCTGCTGGACTGCGGCTTGGTCGCTCATGCTGCTGCTGCTGTTGCTGAACGACCAGCGTGCGCAGTTGTCGGAGTGACATGTCGTTAAGCATGACATGCGGCGGGACTTCAACGCTGAATACCTGCTTGATGCGTGCAGAGAGCATCATTGAGGTGAAGGACTCGACGCCGAGCTTGGTCAGCGCCACACCATCCTTTGAAGCAAGGAGCCCGTCGCGGTCTGACAGACCCAGGACCTCCGCCAGGATCGCATCCAGACCCCCTTGATCTCCTCCACTGCTTGTTTTGCTGTCGTGCGTCCCATCCTCGTCGCCAACTGTTTCATCGGGGCGGGCGAGATGCTCGGCATAGTGGGGTAGCACCATGTTGAGCTGCGCAAACTCCTCTTTCAGCAGTGTCCAATCGAGATCGGGAGCATACGTGGCGCGACGACTCTTCGCTCCCCACGCCATCGATCTGCTCTCGACGAAGCGGGTGAAGGCAACGTCAAAGAACTGAAGCAGGTGGTGGGACGATGTGCGCAGGCCCCTCAGCTGATTGCGAACGAGGCGGAATTTCCCCTGCCTGTCGAGGACAAAGTTACGATAGAAGGCACCAATGTCGTCCAACGCTGGAACTGTGAGCGAGAGGCCATTTGGTAGGGCGTTGACAATCTCTTCGGCGGCGAGCGAGGCCGCCACGTAGTTGCTCTGGCTTGGAATGCCCGCCAGCGTGCTGACTGTGCTGAAGAAGGCCACAAAGTCGAGCTTGTCGGTGTCGAGGATCGATTGAAGCACCCTCACAGGCTCAAGCTTGACATCATATGACGTTTTGAAGTTCTCGGCGGTCTGCTGCAGTAGAGGGGCGTCTCTCTTCACGATTGGGAGGTGAACTTTAGCTCGTGGCCGTCCAAAGATCACGAGAAATACTCACAAGTACCAACGGCATCAGCCATACCCCAGCAAGGGGCATCTGAAGGCTGTTGACAAGGTCGGCCATCGCAACTCGATCGCTTGCGTCGCATGCAAGCAGCTCGACGGTGCAGCCGGCGAGACGACGCAGGGCTTCAAGTGAACGTCTTGCATTGACATTGGAGTCGTCGTCACCTGCAATCGTCTTTGCGCCTGAGCGCGACGTCAAGATAAAGTGACGTGCCCCACGGGCGTACATCCACTCGCACAGAGCGATGCCCAACGCCGAAAGGCCGCCAGCGAAGAGGTAGGATGCATCGTCCCTGAAAGCGACGCCCATATTGTTATCAGACCCTTCTGTGACGACCACACGAGGGACGAGGCATCGACCGTCCTCGGTGAAGCGCAACTCTCGTTCAGCAATGAAGCTCGAGCCCTGGAGCCTGTCGAGTGCAGCTTTCCTCTCTGTCACGCTCCAAGCGGAGGGCAGCAGGGCGCAACGAGCATCCAGCTTGGCATGTTCGTTTCGCAGGCATCTCGCCAGTCCGAGCGAGCTTCCAAAGTCTTCGTCGTTATCGGCCACGAGCCAGAGTATAGCCTTCTGACCAGACGACTCTGCGACAACAGGAGCAATGCGATCGCGCAGTGCCATCTCACTACCCATCTTGTGTACGTGAATCAGCGTCCGACTCTTGTCACCGTCCCTGTTCGTGATTTCTGGTGCACCTTTTGCCCTTGCGACGACGAGGGCGGAGCGGGTGTTTGCAAACGAGCTTCGGTGCCAGACGACACGGCCGTAGCCAGCACTGGCGAGTGTCTCAATCGCAGCACTTTGATCGACCGAAGAATCCCTTCCGTCGATATCGCTGCCAAGCAAGATGGACTGCCATCCGTTTCCCTCGCTCTGTTCCATCTCGAGGGAGACCAGCATGCCACCTGGGCACAGCAGACTTCTGAGCGCAGCTGCTGTGTTCGTCGCTAAGGAAGAGTAGGCAAGAATGACGTCGAAACAGCACCCCGACTGCATCAAGGACCCTAAACCATCGTCCTGGTCTGAGCTGGAAATGTTGGTCGCCACGGACTGGAGGTCGATCGTCACCGCGTTGTCCGTTCGCATCTCTTCGAGGACACTTGCGATCTTTGCTTCGCACCAGCTGATGTCGACGAGCAACACCTTGATGACGAGCTTTCCAGAAAGGATGGCCGCACCGATCCCCTTTCTCACGGGTTCGACCAAAGCCTGCTCTGAGTCCTTGAAAGCTGCCGCCTTGCACTCCCTCTGGCATTTGCCCCTGAAGTCTACCTTGGGGACAGGTGGCATCCAGGGCAGCGCTTCGACATCTTCTTCTTCCTCATCAGTCGATGCCGTCTGCCAGATTACTTCCTGCAGTGATGCTGACGTGCTGCATACGAAGCGTTGGTACGTCGCCGATTCGATATCCAGGACTACTCGACCATCAGCACCGTACAGCCGCAGCGAGCAGCTGAAAGAGTGTTGTCGCCAGTCCAGCAGCTTGGCGTGTGCCGTGAGAATCCCGCTGACTTGTCCAGATCGGGTCCGAAGCTGTTTCAGATCACGAACTCGATAGACTGAGGTCCTGTCCATGAGACCGTCCCGATGCGGAATGACCAGTGCCCCATAAAGGGCACTCTCCAGCGCCTCGGAAACATCACTGGGCGTCAGATGAGGTAAAGGTTAGCTCGCAGCTCTTTCCTCATCATTATAGCTCCAGCTAGACTCACCAGCATCCTTGCAGCTCCATGAAAGCGTCCTCATCGCCAAACCGAAGAGACTTGAGCCGGCCAATGGCCATCTTCGCCGAAGTCAGCGCCTGAAACTGTTCGCCAAAGAGATGGTCTATGCGAACCAGTCGTGTCTGCTGCGGGACAGACTGGAGGTCGAGAATCGACGCCTCCATTAGTTGCTCTTGGTTTGCTGGAGTCGTTCCTAGCTTCCCGCTCAGGAGCGGTGACGCTCCTTCCTGGAAACCCTTCTTGAGCAGGACGTATTCTTCACCCTCCAAGTTCAGTTGGAGCTGCTGGCCCTCTTCTATTGACACATCTTCGAACGATAGCTCCGACAGAGAAGTGAGGCTGCTGCTCGAGAGAACAAGGCGAACAAGACTTGGCCTCGCGATCGACCATAGACCGTCTGCGTCTTTCTCGAGGCTAGTCTCCTTGCCATCTGTCGAAATGAGAAGCTCGGTCTGAGCTTGCACAGGCGGTGGCAACAAAGACCTGCTGACGACATTGGCGTCCTCTGATCGCTGGGCAGATGGCGGCTGCGGCTGTGGCAGCTGCTGCTCTTCTGTTTGCTGCTGAGGGCCAAAAGCGAAGCTTGCCAGCCATTCGCCATTGAGCGATCTGAGTTGCGCCTCTCCGCGAGAGCCGGACGAAGATTTGTGCCAGACGAGTCTGGCCAACGGACGTTCCGTCCCTTCTGTCATCATGCTCAAAAGCCGCCCTGACACTGAGCACCGCAGCTCCTCGCCCTCGTTCTTGAAGCCGTCGCCAAGCAGGTCATCCAGGATGCTGAAGTGCATCTGCGACAGCATCGCTTCAAACCAGTTCTCTTGAAGCTCGATGACATATTGCACCAAACCTCTTGGTTTGGCCTGTACGATCCTTGGCTTCGTCTTTCCGGCGCTTGCTTCCCGACGACGGAACAACGAACGCGGTGGCATCATTTGCGATGCAGGACGTGATAGTCTTGCGTCAAGCAGCTTGTGACGCTCGTTGACGCCAGCGAAGAGCGGCTGAAGGTGTACTTCGATGTTGGTCGTGGTCTCATCGGGCCGTTTGAAAAGGACGACGATGCAGAGGTTGAGCGAGGTCCTTAACGACTCGGTGAAGTCCGCTTGAGTGGTGGCCGAGAGGTGCATCGCGGAACTCAACGGCTCTCTTCTGGCTCGCAGCGCATCGCACAATATATCGAGCAAGCTGCCGGAATCCGCACATCAGCCTTGTCATCAACGGCTCACTACATTAAATGCATGACGTACCGATAGTGGTCGAGGCTCTTGTCAGGCAGAAAAGCCACCATGGCCGAATCGCTTTCTCCTCCACCCTCCAGAGTCGACCAATTGAGTAAGGTACCTGACCGTGGCTCGGCAACAGCCATGACTCCCTCTATCTTCTGTACGGCAACCTCAGTCTTTGGTAGAGCAGGCTTCTCCGTCGGCCACAGCCTCCTCCTCATCCACAAACACATCGGCAAGGGAGCACCTCTCTGGACAGGATGATCTTGGCGCGGCCATTCGACCTTGTGTCCTCGCTCGAACAGCTCAGCCACGACCATCTGCAGCATGTCGACCGGAGACGCGGGCCTCGATTGGCCTTCCTCAGCCCCTCGCACCTGCCCCAACCGCGCATCTCCAGTGCCGCCATCGACTATCAGGATGTCCGTGCGTTTCGTGGATGAGTGTGGCAGCCGTTCCGCTGACCTATCGGCACGGCAAGGTTGGCTGAATTGCCACATCCAGACGGGCAATGGATCGGTCTGCACACCGTCCTCTTCACTGATGCGCTCCCCATTGCCGCTGAGGAATCGCGGCTTGCGATGCAGTGCTCCCTCGGTAGAGGCGTCAGCGTGGGGGCGCTGAACTTCAGAGTGCCGGCCGTCGCGCTGGCTCTGCTGCCAATGCTGCCTCAGCATACTGTGGTGCAGGCATGCCTCGGGGCCGTCGCACCGTTCGTAGCTCAGTCCAATGTCGTCGAGATACCGTGCAAGCAAATCGATGTCCTCTCGAGGGCCAGCAGCACTGGTAGACGCTTGAACAAAGCGAGTGAGCTCAATGTCGGTCCTTCCTCTGGCCCTCTTGTCACCAGACTGGCGTGCGACTTCCTGTCTACGTTGCTTGAACGCAGAGAGAAGACGTGCAACGTTTGCCGTCGTCGTCGTCGTCGGCGGCGTCGTCGCATGACCAACTTTTGAAGACGAAGGTATGGAAGACGTAGACGAAGCAAAGGTGAGCATGGCAAAGGGGACGCGTTGATGAAGAGCTTGCATAGCGTCTGCGCACTGAACAATGACCTCCATTGCGTCGACCAGAGACAGGCGACCTGCGGCAACGGCGGCGAGTGTCTCACCCTGCGAGTCTCCGTAGACTGCTGTCACGTCTTTGAAATGGGCCGAGATGTACATCCAAAGGGCATACTGGACTGTGAAGCGTCGTAGGTGGCAAGTTGCGAGGTCTTCTTTCTCTTGCACCTTTGCAAAAAAGGCAGATGTCGAGGGTAGTCGCTTCTTCGCAGGCCATTGTCGCAGGCAGTCGTCGAAAGCTTCCGCGAAAATAGCGCTTCTTTGCGACATCTCGGAGCACAAAGTGTGGAGTCGTACGTCGTTCTCCTCCAACGGCGACGAGAAAAGGTGCCTCGACTCGCTATTACGAAAGTGTAATGCCAGAATTCGTTCATCTGAGTCCTCTGGATGAGGATCTCCTGCAACGGCGTCCCCAAGTGCTTTGACGAAGCCATTGACCGACAACTGCCGCTCGCTGAGTCGGATGGCACGTCTGAATGCGTGCTGGTCTCGTGCGCGATGCAGCGTCATCTGCAGTGAGTAAACCCTATCGGCCAAGATGGAGGCCGGCGGGCTCTTTCCATCAACCTCGGCAGCCAGAAAGCGGCCGCAAGATCGTGCGAGCTCTTCCAGCAAGGCTTTGCTCGGAGCCGAGAGCATGAAGAGCGCCGGAAAGGGTGCCTCGAAAGGCCTGCTTCTTCTTCTTGCTGTAGATAGGCTCTGCCTCTTGCTGACGTTGATGTCCGCTTCAGGGAATGCTTCGACGCAAGTAGCGGCCATGATGCCAGTGAAGCCCATCGAGGCTATGAGGCCGAGATAGGAGCGCCTTTCGCCGATGCGCTGCTGCTCCTTTGCGAGCTCGATACGGTGGCCCTCCCCTCCGAAGCGCTCCTGGCACGTCTCTCCTGACACGTGGTGCTTCCAGACGGTGCGCTTGTTGAGGCTGAGCAGCGTCTTGACGAGGCCGAGCAGTCCAGCGGCCTCTTCCGTGTGTCCAAACACGGCCTTGGAAGACGAGACAAAGAGCGGAAAGGTGCGTGGCGCAGATGCAAAAGTGGCTTTGATCGCGTCGGCCTCGACGGCATCGCCCAGCCGCGTGCCGGTGCCGTGCGCCTCGAAGACAGAGACGTCTCCAGGCATCGCGCCGGCACGACGGAGAGCGTCGAGGTGCAGCCGGGATTGGGCGTCGGTCTTTGTCATGGATATATTGGCCGCTGTGCCCTGGTGGCGGACGAGAATGGAGCGAATGGCACCGTACGAAGAAGGCGCGCTGGCGCTGGAGCTCGCATCGGCACGTTGCAAGACTACCGCGACAACGCCCTCACTGGTGACCATGCCGTCTGCGTCCCGACCAAAGGGACTTGATCTGCCCGTCTTGGAGGCCATGTTGGCTGTATGCAAGTAGTCGATGTGATGATCGACCAACCTCGTCGTCACACCGATCACGATGGCCCTGTAGCATTCGTCTCTCTCCAACGCGCTCACCGCCACATTGAGAGCGGCCAAACCCCCGCTGCAAGCCGTTTCGACAGCCATGCAGGGGCCCTCGGTGCCCAGATGGTGAGCCAGTCGTCCTGCGATCGAGGAGCCATGGGTGCCAGGAGCCCAGCCTTTGGCTCTGTGAGCTTTGTGTGGATCCATGCGCTCCTCGATCACCTGGTTGTATCCATCCTGGCCGTTTGCCGCAACGACGATGGCCGTAGCGCTCCCTCTGAGCGAGCTGGGCGCGATGAGGGCGTCCTGCAGCGCCTCGTACGCCAGCTCGAACGTCAGTCTCTGTTGCGGCTTTGTGTAGAGGCCGTCGTCGCCGTCCATGCCAAAGAAGGCATCGTCCCAGTCCAAGACACCCTCCTGCCCCAGCCACCCAATGGGTGTTGGGCTCTTGGCAGCTGCTCCCAGCGATCGCCGAGCGCTGGACGGGTGACTGAAGACGTTCTCTCCCGTCGCCATGGCGCGCTCCAACTTCGCCAGGCTGTCGACGCCGCCCGGCAATCGCACGGCCATGCCAATGACGTGGGCCTGATTCGGACTCATCATCGTACTCGAAATTCTGCCGTCCCGACTCTGGAAGATGAGCGATCCTCAAAGGTGAGAGATTGGTTAAAGCAAGACTTTGGCTGCCGTTTGGGCCGCCTCGAACGAAAGTCACATCGTGCGCCCTGCCTCCTCTATGCCCACTGCTCCGTGGTCACCGAGCTCGGCGACTTCCGCATGGATGCCCTCGGCATGAGTCGCACATTCATTCTGTTTCAGGAACAGCCTTCTTATCGCATGCACCATGAGCACATTGCTAGGTCGGGACTCCACCAGCGGGACAAGTGACCGCGTGCTCAGGAACGCAAAAACACAAATTCGGAAGTTAGACTAAATTGCTTTCCCACATCGTCGCCCATCCAGTAGTACTAGTATGTGTCATGCACTTTCCTGGTTCGGTACACCCAGAAAGCTAGTTTCGACTTTGGCTTCGGCACTTACCTCATGGAGTATTGCCATTGTGATGAAACACAGTCTGATCCGAGGAGCACGAGGGGCAGCGTCAAGTGTTTGCTGTCCAACGCCTTCTCTTCTGTCAATTCATTTCTAGCCGATGGTTCCCTAGCAGCCCCTACTGACGACGACGACGAAGATGGACAACACTGTATTCGATGTGTTCGCTAGGCAGGCCAGGGCGAGTCCCCGTGCCTTCTTTCTGCAGGACGCCTTCGAAGATGCTGTCGGCCTGCGGTACGGTGAGGCTTTTGATCTCGTCGTACGCATCGCTGGCGTCCTCGAACCGATGATACAGCGTCAACGACGACGCGTGGCGCTGGTGTCGACGTCCAACAGCCCGCTCATCCCCCTGCTCTCTTTGGCGTCATGGTCGATTGGCGCCTCTGTCGGCCTCGCCGCAGTCAACGATGCAACGCCGCTGGACGTTCTCTCGGCTCAGCTGGCCTGTTTAGAGCCTTGTCTAATCATCACCGACGAGAGCGTGGGCCGCTCGAACTCGTTCTCTTCAAAATTGACCGAAGCCTTTGATCAAGCGTTCCCCGAGGCGCCAGGCCATCAAAGGCCACTGCGAAGCACCCTTGCTGGACTGGTATTCGGCGCGCATTCTCGGGAGCCGGCTTCTCTGCGGAGCTTGTCTCTCTTTGTCTCGAGCGGACAGTCGTCTTCCTCCATTAGCCCAAGGAGGAGGGAGCAGGGACCGGTGGAAGAGGAGGCCTACCGACTGTTCACATCGAGTGCCATCTCTTGGTCGACAGTCAAGGCCGTAAAGATCCCGCACCGCTCGCTGATGACCAACGTGGCTTCACTTAGAAGCACATTCCCGCGTATGGCCGCGTCCAGACGCACACTGGGCATCCTGCCACTTTCGCACACCATCGGCTTCGTACTAGATTTCATCCTCGCAACGGTCACGACGGGCGGCACATACCTACTTCTTGATAGGCATGCCGCCCAGCGACAATCGGACAGCATCGCCCATGTGGCGTCAGACGCCGTTGCCGAGCAGTCGCAGAGCGGAACACCCGTCGATACCATGTGGGCGGTCCCAGCGCTCTTCGATGAGATGGCTGCGAGAGCACGGCAGGAGCCTGTCCTCTTGCACGCCCTCCAGCAGGCTCGCTTCATCTCCGTCGCGGGCGCCTACCCGAGCCGAGACACGCTGCAGTGGGCTGCAAAGCACAAGATACGGCTCGGCACTTCGTGGGGTATGAGTGAGGTCTTTCTCTCTTCCTTTGGCGCCCGCCTCGCTTTTGACGACGACGACGATCACGACGATCACGTCGCCAGTACCGACCTGCTTGATGCTCTTGTGCTGCTTCCTACGGTGGACTTCCAGCTGGTGCCGGTCGACGATGGTGCGCCCGAGGGCTGGTGTGAGCTCATATTCGGCAGACGCGACATCTTTACCGGCTACGTTGTCCTCGACGACGACCGGCGTCCGGTCTTCAAGTCGGTCGAGGAGACCTTCAGGACGGGTGACGTGTTTGAGATCGTCGGACGTCGTCGTGCGGACAAAAATCGAACCGATATCGCGACTGACGATGTTCTCACGCTGGTACGCTACGTCGGCCGCAACGACGATGTTGTCCAGCTGGCTGTGGGGGAGAAGGTGCTCTGTAGCGCCGTCGAGCAGCAACTGTCCATGCAAGACGGCATCAAGGCCGCTTTTGTCACTGGGAACCGTTCCAAGAAGGAGGGCCGGCCGTCGGAGACGCTGGTCGCGCTGATAGAGTGCAGCGGCGACGTCGACTTCAGACGAGTCGTTGCCAAAGCTCTGGCCAAAGTCAACCCGCAGCTCTCGCCAGCCGCCCGGATTGGAGCGCGTAACATTGCGCAAGTGGACAGCCTGCCGATGACGTCCAAGGGCTCGCTCTTTCGCAAGAAGGTGGCCGCCCACCTGGTTGAGCCCTTGGCTGGACTCAGCGCAGCCTGGATGGCCAGGCAGGTTAGACAGCACCTCGCAGAGATTGCCGACCTCGACGGCATCGGGATAGAAGACGACCATGAAATGGCTGCTCTAGCATTGACGTCGCAGCAGAGCGTCAAGGTGGTCTCCTTTATCAGGCAACTTACTGGAGATGGAAGCATGGAGCCCGTCGATGTCCAAGCACAGGGAACCGTGTCTGCCTTTGAAGACGTGGTCAAGTCGAGATACGTGGCAGTCGCCTTTGGCCAAAGTCCCGCTCCCGCCGATCAAACCGTGTCGAGACAGGAGGCAGACAAAGCAACCAAGGACCCAGGCCCAGAATTGTCGGGAACGACAAAGATTTCCATTGCTGGAGCAGCACTGCGCCTGCCTGGCGGCGTCGATGACCTCGAAGATCTCTGGCAAGCGAGTGTCTCGGCGCGAGGCAAAGACGGACGGGCAATTCTCGAGACAGCATCGCAGGACGGCCGCTGCGATCCCGAAGAGACCATGCTGCATGGCTGGCTCGATCGACGCGGTGTCACCGACTTCGATCCAGAGACATTCGGCATCTCGACCAGCGAAGCGGTATTCGTCAAGCCGCAGCAGCGCCTCGTCCTCGAGCTAGCCATGGAGGCGCTGCAAGATGCCGGGCTGCCACCATCGACTTTGCTTGGCAAGCGGGTAGGCGTGTTTGTGGCTGCCAACGGACAGGAAGGCTACGACAAGCTCCTGCTCGATGAAGCCGACAGCGGAGTGCACACCCTGGGAGCACACTACGGTCATGGCACACACAATGCCTCCTTGGCCGGTAGGGTTGCCCACTGGCTCGGCTCATGTGGTCCCGCGATGACCATAGAGACGGCGTGCAGCGGAGGGCTCACTGCTGTACATGCTGCACAGCGCTCGCTCAAGGCTGGCGATTGCGATGTGGCATTGGTGGCGGGCGTGACGACATTTGTTGATCCCGAACGCCAGTTCCCCTTCCGACGTCAGGCTGGCATGGCTACCCGGTTACCTGAGCAGCAATCGAGGGCTTTTTCGAGCAGCGCAGATGGCATGGTCCCCTCTGAGGGGGCTGTCGCTGTCGTTTTGCAGGCGCAGCATGGGGGCAACACTGGCGCCCGGCATGGTGAACCGCTGGCGTGGATCGAGTCGATCGAGTGCGAGCACCAAGGAGCCTCGGCGACGATGATGACGACCCGAAGCGACGCTCAGAGTCGACTTATCCATCACGCACTTGCGGCCGCCGAAGTCGAGCCGCAAGCGATCGACGTCTTTGAATGCCATGGCTCCGCAACGCAGCTGGGCGATTTAGTCGAATTCGGCGCGATTAGGCGAGTCTTTGGTGGTAGTGTTGCCAAGAGGGCAGCGCCAGTGGCCATCACAGCGAGCAAAAATATCTTTGGGCACACGGAAGAGGCGGCTGGCCTCGTCGGACTGCTGCACGCAATTGTATCGCTCAGACATCGCAGCAGCCCACCAAGCCATGTGAGCGACCCGAACATCGACTTTGATTGGGCCGGGGCAGGCGCACGCTACTCGAACTGTCGAACGAGCCTGGGCAGAGGCCAAAATAGTCCTATGCATGCCCTTGTGAGCTCGTATGGCTTCAGTGGGACCATGTGCAGCGCAGTGCTGCGAATCGGGCAGGAACATCCGCAGCCGCAGCCGCAGCCGCACCAGGAGCGGGACGAGCGCCTCGCAAACCTCCTCTTGCTTTCTGCGCCCGATCGTACCCGTCTTCGCCTGGTTGGCAAAGCGTGTGTGGAACATTTACGGAACGCGCCACACGACCTGGAAGCCCTGCAGGGAGCAGTGCACCACCGCGGAAGGGAATCCTTTCCGATTCGGCAGGCCATCGACCTCGGCATACCGCAGGACCAGAGTGGACTCGCGGACAGCCTTGGCATGCTCATCGAGGGAGAAGCAGAAGGCGAGAGCGAAATGCACCACGCAGAGAAGGCCACATCGAGCCTTCACAGGTTTCATCGTCCGAGACTCGTGGTGCAATTTGCTGGAATGGGCAGGATCGCACGAGGCGCTGCAAGATCCTTCTACGACAACAACTGCGTATACCGAAAAACGTTTGAGGAGGTTTCGATGCGCTTCAGCCAGCAAGACCCTGCAATAGACCTCGTACAAGCCGTCTATGGCAACGCAAGCCACGGTGAAATTGAGCCAAACGCGCTAGAAACAAGCACCGCGACTGCCCAGCCGGCCCTTTTCGCTGTCTATTATTCGCTGTGGAAAGCGACGACGTCTTTGCTCCGGCAATCTGTCGACATCGTCTTTGGGCACAGCTTTGGCGAAATCGCTGCCGCGTGTGCTAGTGGCATGCTGAGCCTCGAAGACGCCGTCGAGCTCGTATATGTCCGTTCGAGGTGCTGCGAAGCGACGTCGCGACATTGTCCGGGGGCAATGCTCGCCGTGCGGTGCACCAAAGCCAACCTCGTCCAAAGCGGGATTCTGCAACCAGCTTCGGAAATTGTGATCGCAGCAGAGAACGCAGAAGAAGCTTACACCATCAGTCTGCCTGCTGCAGAGCTCGAATCAGTCGAGGCGCGGCTTCGTGCGGCAGGGATTCCCTTTCGACTACTCAAGACTCAATCAGTGGCTTTCCACCATCCCATGCTGCACCGTGACTCTGCGCTTCCCCTGGCTGCTGTCGACGAAAAGCTGGCGCGCTTGGCCGTGGACAGGGCAAAGGAGGCGCCAAGTGCATCCAAGCTTGAGGACGGCACTGACAAGCCGTCCTTCGTCTCATGCTCGCGTCCAACGGCACCCGATACCCTGCCTTCGTGGCACCAGCACCTCTGTCAGCCGGTTCACTACGCCCGAACTGCAGAGGCGGTCCTTTTTGCCCAAACTTCGCCTCTCGGCCGACGTCGTGAGGAGACTAAAGCGGCAGTCGTGCTCGAGATTGGCCTTGGCGCCGAATTGAGTTCCCTGACAAGACGACGAGCATTGCACAGCAACGCGGCGAATGTCGCAGTACCGGTTGAGGCAGTATCGCTCTTTGGATCGCAGGGCGACGACTGCTTCGTGGAGACAGTCAAGAGGCTCTTTGAGCTGGGCGTCGATGTGCAGTTGCCCGTCTCTCTGGCCACGAGGAGGCAACCGATACTGGCGCTGAATCGAAGGCGCTTCTGGCCAGAAGTGCGATCGACAAAGGCCAGTCATATTCAATATCGACCCCAGCATGCAGCAGCGCTAGAGAAAAGAAGCGAGGAGGCGGCAGCACCATCCTTGTCTTGGAGCAGACACCAGCGAGCTGAGCGGGTGCAAACAGGGCGAGGTTGGGCCGAACACCACCTGGTCTGCGATGAGGAGCAACGAGACCCCTTTTCGTGAGTAGCTCGAGAGATCTGCAAGCACGGCGATGCTGACCCAGACACTCCTTCCACAGGATTGCTGCTTGGCTGTCCAGCCTACTGTCTCGACGTTCAGGTGAAAGAACCTGCTACATCTTCCAGGACAAGCAGCCGCTCAGCTCGTCGGGAAACGCCGATGTCGTCCTCACGGCTCGCGCGTCACCCGGCCAGGCAGGTTTCACCGTCTCCGTCACGTCCCTGGAGCAGCAGTCACACGACGGTGGAGGCGCATTCAAGCACCTCGAAGCAACTCCATTGGCGAACCTCGATGAGCTTCCCGCGTGGATCAATGCGTACGAGGCATCCTCCACGTCTGCAGAGCCTTCGAACGTTCATCTCCTCGATGTGCCCAACGCAGGAAACGATGTTGTGTACCTGTTGCAAACGAGCTCCACCGCATTCGAAGCTCTGTTGAGCTGCAGTGCGATGCCGTCAATGTGGACATGCCTGGTCAACATTTTCGCAAGTCTCGGCCTTGACAAGGCCATGACACCACTACTTCTTGATGTCGCAGCTTTGCAGGAAGGAGCTGCAGAAGAATCTGATGCGCTGCGCGTCTCAATTGTCAAGAGGGACGACGTATGGCGCGCAGTAGTGCGCACCGTCGATGGTGATCTCGTCTGCGCTCTGCAATCCGCCGCGTCAACCTTCGCCCCTTCAGCCAGCGAAAAGAGTACAAGCACACACGGCAGCCCGGCGCTGACCAGCTCTTCATTCGCTCCAAGCTCGCCTGGTCTCCAGGGGTCCGGTTCCTCGTGCTGCAGCTCGGTGTCCAGCCTTTCGAGTTCAATCACTTCCCATTTCTCGAGCCAAACGACTTCGCACATACCCAAGCTTCCAGGAGCAGATCTGAGCAACGCAAGCAGTGATGCATTGAGCACCCTTGTCGGCGCTGCCCTTCGACTAGAACCAGAGCGGATCGAAAGCAAGCGACAGCTGGGAGACTACGGCCTCGACTCATTCAGGGCCACGCATCTGTCTGAGATGCTCGATGCTCGCTTCGGTGTAGACGTCAGCCACGTGAGCTTGCTCCAAGACATGACGCTGAGCAGGCTTCGTGACCTTGTCTCTTCCAGATGATCGGGACCCTCTCGTCCGCCTCTGTCAGCATGATCTGGTCATTTGCCTCTCCCGTGCCTAAACACGAGGCATGCCTCGTGAGGCGACCATGCTGTACTGACCCCCCATGTGTAATACTATTCTTCTTTTCTTCTCTTGAGAACCCACGGTGAGACCAGATGGTCACCATTTTTACACAATGAAGCGACCCTAATGGACACTCCGCTGTGCGGAGCTTGGAATGAGCATGTGGTGGTCACTCCCGTGATGAGAGCCGGACCACATGATGGACAAAATTCGGCAGGCCTTCTCCCTCGCGCTGCTTAACTCTCCTACTCAATACAAAGTTCCTGAAAATTTGTAAAATTTGTTCGGGTTGGTCACCGACTTGCTTTCTCACAACCGAATTAATTAGGCACAAGCCTAGTTGCCGGTGACGGACGCCGGTTCCTGATTCGAAGGAAGTCCGAGCACTTTGAGCACTTGGGCTGCGTACTTCTGTAGTTGAATTTAAATTGGAAAGATGACGCCCACGCGGTCACCAACTTACTGGCTTTCAAATCCTCATTTGTCCCTCTGCCTTTTTACCCAAACTCTATACCTGGGTGGTCCCTCCTTCGGGTCTCGATGGCCTATCGGCGTCGATTTGGATGCCTCCACCGAGGCCTCCGCTGCCAATCTATGTGCATAGATAACAACCGAAGATGCTATGCAGCTTTCGACGAGCATGCGCACGGTTTCTCAGGCACTTGCTCTGACCCTCCTCTGCCCTTTGAGGTGTGGGTGAAGCGGAATTTATACCGGGGAGGGCTGTAGAGAGCACTGGTGCTCTTCCTTTCTCTTCCCCCCTCATCCCTCGCTTGAGCCTTCCAAGACGTCCCTACCTCGATCGTCACCATGGATCCTTCGCAAATGTTGACATCCTCGACGGGGATTCCCATTGTCAACACGGCGTGGCCGGAGATCTACGTCCCTGACGAGATGGCCGATGCCTACCACATTAGCCAGCTGCTGTACGCCGCAGTCTTGGGCGCCTACGGGTGGGAGATTCTCACGACGCTCAAGTACGACTTGCAATTGGTATTCAGACGCAAGTTCATGGTCGCCACCGGCTTCTACCTCGTCTCGCGCTACGCTGCCTTTGCCTACATCATCACCTCGTACATCTTCCAGGCCATCCGTGTACCCGTTGGCAGTTGCCAGCCCCTGCAGTACGGCCTGGCCGTGTGCTACGTATTTGCAAGCCCAGCTACATCGATGCTCTTCTACCTCCGAGCGATGGCCGTCTGGAGCTGGAACAGGGTCGTCATGGTCCTGCTGGGCCTCTGCGCCCTTTCCACTCTAGCCGGCGCCCTCACCATCTGCTTTGGCATCACCGGTGCCGAGGTGGCCGACACGCGCCGGTGCATCAACACGGGCGCCAAGCCTTACACTTCTGCCTCTGTCGCCACCACGTTTGCCAACGACACGGCCGTCTGGCTCCTTGTCAGCGCCAAAATCATTCACAGCGCGGGCATTACAAACTGGCGGGCGGTCAAGGATGCCTTGTTCACCGGCAACAACATGTCGAGCTACATCATGGTCCAGCTCCTTCGTCAAGGCGCACTGTACTACTTGTGAGTGAGGAATGTATCTTCGCAGCACTTGGTTCTGAGACTTAGACCTCCCTCCCGTCTCTCCTGCAGTGCCACCGTCGTCGGCAACATCGTCACACTTGCCGTGCTGCTTACGCCTACGATCAACCCCGTGATCCGCGCCATGCTCACGATCCCAAATCTGGCCCTGACGGCTTCCATGGCAGGCCGAGTGCATCGCAATCTGATCTTTGGGGACAATGCTCCGGCCAGCGGACAAAGCAAGCAGCGACCTCGGCCATCGGTGAGCGATGCCGCCCACAACCAAGGCCGCTTCAATGGCAACGGCAACCAAGGCGGATTCTCTCCTGCTGTCGCTGGTGCTGGTGGCGTTCGCGGCCTGGGAGTGTCGCCCGGCGAGTCTTTTGCCGCCAAGTTTGGTAGCGCCAAGGGCGGCGCATCGCCGTCGAGCGACAATGTGGACCTGGAGCGCCTGGAAGGGCCGTCGTACGAACGGTACTCGAGCAACCGGAGCGACCTGAGCGAGCCGGTGAGCCTCGGCAACTCGCCGTACAGCCAATTCAGCTCGCCACGCTTCCGTAACGATGAAAAGATCATGATTGAGCAGATCCAGGAGATCTCGCGCGGCTGAGGGGGTGGCTGTTTCCTGTAATTTTGCTCTTTTTTCTTCCTCTTTGACAGTCTGGAACTCAACACTTAATGTCATCAACTGCCTTTGGACTGACAATCTGCTCTACTAGTCTGTTGATCTACTAGTCTATTGAAGCCGAAGGTGATCTCTCGCAGGTGGACGTTGCGGAGTGGAGCAAAGGCTATCTCCTGCCCTTATCACACCGTAACAGTCTGTAGCTTTCGAAATACTTAGCAGCGGCGCCTATCACTCTCGAAAGTGTAGTGGAATGGCAAAGTAAGAACGTGCAGTACAAAAAGAAAGAAAAGGCAGAGAAACGATGGCGGAATTGTATCTAAGATCAAAGAAGCGATGAAGAAGGACAAAGGGGATGACGACGACGGTACGCCTGCGAGCGTACGATTCCAATTGTATCACTGTACCTTGGTGGGGGCTGGTGACAGTTTCTCTTCCCGATGAAGTCGTATCTCTCGAGGTAAGAAGGCTAGACCACCAAGGTAGAGGAGGCACACGAGCCCCGTCCACCCGTATACGATGTAGCTGGGCAACTCTCCTGCGTCCCATTTCCACAGCTGGAAACCCTCGTGAATGTTCCACACCGCGAGACCTTCGATGAATGGGTTTCATCGGTGAGGATTGACCTAAGCACCCGACAACGGAGGACCACTCACCGAAAAGTAGGATACCGAGGGGCGCATGAAGGAAGCCGATCCAGCGTTGGCCCGTCTTGGCACGATAGGAGTGTGCAAAGTAGCCCAGGGCGACCTGAGCGAAGAGGAGGATGAGGATGGCCAACCCTAATTGATGGTGGAGATGGTTGAACTGGTGCTTGGCGCCTTCGACGCACATTGCCGCAATGCCAAGGAAAAAGGCGATAAAGACGAAGAGGAGTGTGGCCAGCTGGATGCCTCGGTGGGAAGGAAACCATCTGAAGAGCGTCCGACCATAGCGTGCAATCAACACGCCCAGAGGAACCAAAATGAGCCATGCAAACAACATAAAGGTCTGTCAGAGAAGGAGCGCGCCCATCAGCTCGAGAGTCGCAATTGCAAGCAAGATGCATGCGCTTACCATATGGACAATGTAGATTCGAGTAGCATTGTCGCTCAGGTCGCGCGAGGGTGCTTCGGCTTCGCTGGCACTCGCGACGGTCTGGGTGGCTTGCGAAGCCAAAGGCGCCTCCGCGTAGACTTTGGTCATGTTGAGAGTGAATTGTTCGTAGGACGAGTGCATGGTCAGCTGGGCAGCAGCATCCGCCGACGGAGGAGTCTTGGGCGAGACAGCATAGATGTGCGCCATCGAGGCCGAAGGGGCCGTCGACTGAGGCAGGGACCAGTTGACAGTGACAAAGGAGCTGTTGACGTTGCCGGTGCTAGTTGTTGCCGCATCAGTGACCGTGTGAGGGTCTTTGTGGCCACTGGCGGTGGTGCGGTGCGACGTGGTGACGGTGCTATCGCCATTAACCCAAGAGATCTGGTGTTTCTCTGTCAGCTGCTATAGAGTCATGCTTACAAGCCAGCTCGTGCGCACCATCATGTTGGCCCCAGCCATTCGCTCGCCCTGCCCGACGCCATGCCACCCTGTGACAGGCGAGTCGGATGAGGCGCGAGGGACAAGCAAAGTGTACCCAATCTCGCCTTTGGCATTGTCGAAAATGGCTGAGAGGCAGTACCCCTAGGACAGATTTCTCAGCAAGAAGAGACGAAGAAAGAGCTCTGAAGATGCGACTCACCTTGCCGCAATGACTGTCTCCAATCGCAGAGGACTGTGCACTCACGCACACAACAAGGAGAGCACAGACGAGGGTTAGAGAATGCAGCAGAGAAGGCATGGTAGGTTTAAGTGAACAAGAGTCTTGCATTCCACTCCTGACCATCTCTACACGATGACTTATACACTTGATGGACGACTCGCTTGCCTCAGCTGATTCCCATAGATCCAACGACCAAGGGTCTACTTTTGTGTCAACTGTTGCGAAGTCAAAAATAGAAGCAAGTGTGGGCAAATTTCTAATGGTACAGTTAGTGTAGTACAGTGTACATGTCGCTACCCTTAAAATCAATGAGTTCCTCGATTCGCAGGTGTCAGCAGCCGTCAAGATTAGCTTACGAGGGCGACGAAAGATTTGAAATTGCCCCCCTCCTCTCTCGCCCCGCAGACATCATCCTCCCCCCTTTTCCGGGAATTGCTTTGTAATTCACCGCTTCCGATTGGCTGCGCCATGACGAACCCTATCGCAATCGAAATGGAGACGATGCCGACCAGCGCTTCGGCGCGACGCGAACTGATGCTGGAAGATGGCGAGGTTTTTCCGCTCACCTCGCACCTCTTTCGCGATCGTAACGCCCCTTTCACGTTTCGTGTCTCTCCTCCACTTACTGCCGTTGCTGAGGTGATGATTACAGTTCTTTCGATACCCGTCGGCGCTCATGCCGGCGGCATGTGTCGGGCGACAGGGTCCAAAGCAAAGCAGACAAGGCCCGTGCTAAGAAAAAAATGAATCTGGGCGCGTCACTTCGCTTTCGTGCCCAGCGGACTTGCTCGAACACCTTTGCGGTGGCCTGTGCATTCTGCTATTGCTTGGTTTGAAGGGCAGAAGTGCTAACATGCCCATCGCCTCTGAAGGCTTTCCTCTGTGTCTAGGACAAAAAAAAAAGAGATGGACAGAACAGTAATTTGCACCTCCCGCTTCAGACGTTAGAAGTGCGACCGGGGCAGGGGAGAGCGCCAGAAACCACATGGGGGAGACCCGATTGTGTCGCACGGTGGCCTGCACAAACACACGCCCGACTGCCAGGCACTTGTCTCTCACAATGAGGTTTCTTCCCCCCAATGCCTTGTCATCGCCCATACTTTCGCCATTGAGCTGCAGTGGTGAGACCACCATGTTTCGAAAGGCCTGCTCTCTGCGTGTCTGAGATCAATCGACCCACGAGCCACGAGCACCGCAGAGCGCTGCCAGCCGCTTCCGCATTCGCGGCAGGCAAGGGATAGTACACTCCAGTACAAATACTGAGGTCGGACTATGTGCGAGTTGGTCTTCGCTTGAACAGCATTGCTTGTTGATGTCATTAGTTTTGTGCTGCTCCTTTCTATGCGTTCCAAAAGACTTTGGCTTGGAGAAAGGTGGCATACAGCTTCTTTAGGGCAATCACTGGCCAGGCACTTGTCTGCCGAGCATTGGTTACCCCTCTGATCTCCTCTGGCAGAGTTCTATCTCTACGCCTTGCTGGTGCCTTTCACGTTGATGTGACCTAATCTTCAGCGCACCAAAGAGACGAATTGCCCACTTACCTCTCTTTGCACAGTTGAAGACGTGAGCTTTGTGAGAAAGCTCCGTCTTCCGATCTCACTAGCGTCCGGATATCTCGCACGGGCGGGTTTATTTGTGCGTGCGACAATAAGGACAAAAAGGCATCGCCGGAGTGGGGCCATAGTGGTGGTGTCGGGCAAAAGGGCCTCGGCGGGTGACGAGTGTCATTGCCCTCGTCTCATAGCTGTGCACAGCGCGAGTCCTGGTTCTCAGTGGAAGGAGGAAGGGGCTCCCAATATATCGTCGAAGGAGCCTGCTTCGGGACAGAGCACTGGATCCAGCGGGCCCGGCTGGAGCTCCACATGACAAAGTTCATTGACGAACGTGTACTGCTGATGAGGTCATGCGGACTTTGCGAGAATTGTTTGTTCCCTTCGCCGCTTTTTCGCAGCGGGGCACGACGTCGAGTCGCATGCTTGACAATACCAGTGTGCGGATCATACAGGTATAATCTCCGACGAACCTCACGTCGTGTGCTGTCTGCTGGATTCTGTCCGCGGGCTTGGCGTGGCCCCAGACTCATGAAAAGGTCAACTTAGCAGCACAGCTTGACTCTCTACTCCACACAGCACCATCTACTCAAGACACGATGAGCAACAACATGACAGAGGCAACCGCGGTGGCCCAACCGGTACCACAAGCAGGCAGCGGAGACGCGGGCGTTGGCAGCCACTTGAATGGCGGCGTTGGCGGTGACAATGGCGGTGGCGTCGGCACCAACGAGCCTCACGCGCCTTCGGCTCCCATCAGCGGCAAGGAGGCCAAGACGTACACGAAGCTGCTGGAGCGGGAGGGCAAGAACGACGACAAGGAACTGTCCAGCGCGCTCAAGTCGGCCGCGTCCGAGGAAAAGGCGATGCGCAAGGCGCAAAAGGCCGAGGCCCAGTCCATCAAGCGACACCAGAAAGCAGTCAAGGAGGAGCACAAGGCGAGCAAAGCCCTGATCCGTGCGAAAGAGGCCCAGGAAAAGGCGGCAGCCGCGCTGCAAAAGGCAAAGGAGGAGATGGACATCAAGAAGAACCACACATCGTCGGTCACCAAGTCGTACGACAACGTCAAGGCCAAGATTGATGAGCACCGCAACGCCAAGATCGCAAACGACAAGGACCGCGCGCGACGGCAGGCCAGCATGGGCCATACCCAGTAGGCTGGCCATACCCAGTAGGCTGGCCATACCCAGTAGGCTGGCCATACCCAGTAGGTTTCCTTATGATCTGCGTCTTCAGCCTACTCGCCCGCAGCTTTCGGCTACTGCCACGTCCTTGAATGAAATCCAATGGCGATTCTGTCTTTTTTTTGGTTTGGCTGATCACCTGAGCTCGTGTGTGACTGATCAATTCTCTCAATTATTGAGCCAGATCTGGTCTGTATGGCTCTAGGTTGAGCTAGAACCAAGCATGACTCAGAAGCGAAAGCGTCGGCACCTCCCCCCTTCCCGTCATATTGGCGATGAGCGAGCAGGCTCGGAACTCTGTCGCGGGGGTGGAGTGAGAAGCTCTAATTTGAGGCCAATGCAAGTGATTCTAAGTGGCTGCGCGTGCAGGTCTCCTCCACCCATCAATCGACCCAAGCCATGTCGACGTCCCTCCGGCTTCTCTGCCGAGGCCAGGCCTCACCGAGAGGCTGGCGCTCGCCACCGCCGCTGAGTACGCGACTCCTGCGCGTCGGTGGAGCACCGAGACGTGCTCTGCAAACGGCCGGAGCCGCAGCGGGAGCGGCGGGCGTGGGCGACGACGCGAGGGTCGCTCTCTACTCGATGGGACAGCGCGCCTTTACGCGTGCGGGAAGCCTGCAGGCCCTGACGAGCGGGCGGCCGCTGGACCAGCTCCTTGCAGACCAGTCGTCGCCTGCGTGGTGGCTCAGCATCAGACAGCCAACAGAGACCGAGACAAAGGCGCTGGGCGCCGCACTTTCGGTGCACCCGCTCACCACCGAGGACATCCTCGCCGGCGAGACGCGCGAGAAGCTCGACATCTTCGACAACGTGAGTGATCGCAAGGGCATCTGCGAAAGGCAGCATGCAGCCGCTGGAGAGGCCTGCTGATCCCCCCCACAGTACTCGTTCATCTCCTACCGCGCCTTTGACCCAAACCCGAGCAGCGCCACATACCTCGTGGCCGCCAACATGTACCTGCTCGTCTTTGCGCGCGGCATCGTCTCGCTCCACGCCTCGCCTGCGCGTGGGCCGGTCGGCGTGGAGCGCCGGCTGGAGCGCATTAAAAAGGCAGTCTCGCCGCAGTGGTTCGCCTATGCGCTGATCGACGACGTCACCGACGCCTTTGTCCCCGCCCTGGGCCCGATCCAGACGAGGATCGAGACGCTGGACAGCGATGCCCACTCGCTCTCGTCGGCCGAAGCGGCGGCCATCGAGGCGCCGCTGCTGCGCGACATGGGCGGCGCACGGCGCGACGTGGTGCGTGCGCGCCGGCTGCTGGGCCAAAAGGCCGACGTCGTCAAGGCCCTCGCCAAGCGGCACGGCGCCCGGTCCGCCCAGGCGCAGGACAGCGCCCACGCCTCGGAGGTGGCCCTGCACCTGTCCGACATCGAGGACCACCTCGTGACTGCCGCACAGGACATTGCCCACATGGAGGTGCCTATCTTTCTTCCTTCCCCTTGGGTGAGACCCGCCAGCTGAATCACACAACACACACACAGGAGACGCTGGCGCACGTCGAGAGCAACTGCCTGGCGGCGATGAACACGCAGATGGCACGTGCGAGCCAGGAGTCCAACGAGGCCATCTCCAAGCTCACGGTGCTCAGCACGGTGCTGCTGCCGCTCAATGTCATCACGGGCCTCTGGGGCATGAATGTGGTCGTGCCCGGCCAGGGCGCCGAGGGGCTGCACTGGTTTGGGGGGCTCGCGGCTCTCATGGCCGTCGTGGCCAGCAGCGGCTACTGGTGGGCAACGCGCTTCATGCGCAGGCGCCGGCGGGCTTGATCTTCAGAGGCAGAGGCACAAATCGTGAAAACAGTCTTTCTATTGGACAGTATGGGACTGAGTAAGATTTTAGATTGGATTGGACTGGACCAAATTGGATTGAAGTGAGGTGAGATGGAATGGGAGCAGCATGACGGGAGCATCGTCGACTGAGATGAGACTGCCACGTGCATTCATTCACGCCGACGTCTGTGGAGTCGCATACACGCCCACCTCGACCCAGTTGCTGTACGTCTCTCCCTGTCGCAGCACCGTGTCCCGGCCACCGGTCTCGTCGATGAGGGCCTGGTGCAGAAAGGTGCCGTGGGGCATGCCGAACTCGAGCATCGCCGCACACCTTGGCCCGTTTCCCTCGCCTGCCTCTGCGCCGCCGTGCAGGGTCTTGCGCACGCCGCCGGCCTTGGCCGGGTCTGCCGGCGGTGCGGGCTGCTTGTTGGTGCTGAAGAACTGGCAGCCGGCCTGGTTGGTGCGAAAGGCGAGGGCGAGGCGGGTGCGCGGGCAGGCCAGGATGCACCTCGTCGCGTCGTCGTCCTCCTCGTCTGCCTGCCCCTGCTCTCCCTGGGCGGCGAGGCCCCAGACGTAAAAGTGGTCGTAGGGCTCACTGCCGATGGTGCGGCCCAGGGGCGCTCCTGCGCCGCCCGTCGTGGCCGTCGACGCAAAGTCGTGGGTGCTGCCGGGCGCAATGGCAGCCAGCTTGCCCGTCGGCAGGAGCTTGTCGTCTATCTCAAGCAGCTTCACCTGGCGGCCAGGTGGCGCGATGAGGCGCAGCGTGTGTGCGTCGATGGGCGCTGGCGCATCGAGGGTGAAGCCCCAGTGGTGCGTCATGTTGAGCGGCGTGGCCTCGCAGGCGTCGATGATGCGCGCACGGTACTCCATTCGGAGCGCGCCGAGGCCGTCGCCCGCAGGCACGGTGGCGCTGTTGCTCTTGCCCGTCGCCGCGGCGAGGACCTCGAGGCGGGCCTCGACCCGGAGCGTGCCTGGGTAGCCATTGATATCGGCAATTGAAACGATGGCAAAGGTGGCCGACGAGGGCGATGCCGGGGTAGGCTCGAACAGCAGCGGCGACGAGACGGGCGACCACACGCAGCGGTCAAACGGCCCCGCCTGTGGAGGCACCGAGCCAGCCTCGACGGACGCCAGCGCATCGCCCTCGTTCTCGGGACCGCCGTGCAGGCAGAGACCGTCGCCGGCGCCTGTGTACAGATGTGCTGACGTCAGTGTATGGGCCTCATTCAGGCGTGACGGTGGAGCACTCACGCCACTCTTGCAGGTCAATGTGGCCGCCGCCGGGAAAGGGGCTGCGGCCTTTCGGCAGCCGGTTCGCATACCGGCCCACGATGGGCCCAAAGAACTTTCTGCCGTACGTGTGGTGGTCTCTGGGGTTCTCTGGGCCGGCAATGATGTCGCGCTCCTTGTGCGTCGTGGGGTCCTGCAGCACGATGCGGTGCACGTTGAGGCCGAGCGGGAGCACCTCGATGGTGAGCGAGCAGCCGGGGTGGGTGAGCACCACTGGCTTGAACGGGTCGATGAGCGGCATTGTTGCGGGCGAGCTGGGTCACTTCTTGTTGTCGTTGTAAAGGAGGCAGCAAAGGGCAGCCAGCGAAGAAAAGACCCTTTAAAGATTCCCGGGAGCGTGGGGGATAGGTTGGCACGGCACTGCACTGCACTGCACGTCCCCCCACCCCCCACGTCGACCAGGCGCGTGCGACGACGCCGTCTGGCAAGATCGCCGGCGCCTGCTCCGGACAGAATGGCCCTCGTCGGCGCCCCTCTCCGTATGTCACTTGAGCTTCTTGTGCACTGTTGATCGGCACTCATCCGGTGGGTGTGAGAAGTTGGATTCTCGGCGACGTCCAGTCCGACGTCGCCGAGGGGCCGGTACCAGTGACACTCTGCGATGCTCATCAGCCCCGACAGATGCACGACGCCGATCAAAGAGTGGCAGCAGTCACTACTCTTCCTATATGCTTGCAGTCTGCCCTGCTCGTCTGCGTGCTCAGCGCTCTGATTCAGTTCCGACCTAGCTAGCACATCTGGCAGCTTAGGCGCGATCTGTCACGCGGCGGCTCGGCTCGCGAGAAACCCGGCCGGGCGACGGCTGCTGGGAGAATGGACTCATTTGGTCTCACCAGAGTGCACTCCTTTTGTCTCCTCCAGCTCGCAGTGACGAATTGCTGCCCCGTGGAAATGCAGCCGCCAGCATCGTCATGCCACTGAGCGAGAGAGATGAGATTCACCGTGAGCTCGTCCTTGCTAGTGGCAGTCTAAAAAGTGGCCCGCGTCGCGTGGGTGCGCGCGCGTGCAGGCGGAGCACCGTCTCCAGCATCCAAAATGTCCAAATCCAAGAAAGCAGACGCGCGCCATTCAGAGATAGGCCTCGAGGATAGAGACAGGCCTCGACGAGAGAGAGAGAAGAGAAAGGGGCCCTCGCAGGACAATGTACCGGGAGCGCAGGCAGGTCGACGTGGCGTCGTCGTCGTCGCCGCCGCCACTGGCGCCGCTGGACACGTCGGACGATCCGTCGTCGTCGCCCACGCCGCTGCCGCCTCTCTCGCTCTCGCTCTCGCAGTCGCAGTCGCCCTCGTCGCTCGCGCGGCGCAGCACGTCGTCGTCGTCGTCGCGCCTCCTCTCGCCCACGCTGTCGAGCAACTCGGATCCGTTTAGTGGAAGTGCAAAGGCATCGCTCCAGTCGCATCCGTCGTTCAGCAAAGAGGAGCTCCGGAGCAAGCACCTGGCGCGCCACTTTGGCCCCCTAGCAGCTGGAGCCTCGGCCTCGGCGTCGCATCTCGCCTCGCGCATCGACGTCGACCGCAGGCGCGACGATGCGCTGGCGAGCCACTTTGTCGATTCGTCCGACGATGCCCCCTACTCATCCGACGATGCAGCTGCCGCCACCGCCGCACGGCCCTTGGAGAACCAGCAGCACCAGCACAACCACCAGCCGATCCCGTTTGTCATTGGCCTCGGCCTCGGCCAGGATGAGGACGTGTCGGAGCTGCCCACGCTGTGGAACCACCTGCAGCAGCACCAGGCCCAGCGGGCCGCCGCGGCCGCGTCGTCGTCGCAGGGCCTCGCTGCCGGCCTGGGCGAGGCGTTTCAGGAGCCACGGGCCAAGGCACGCGCGCGCACGTTCAGCCGCACCCAGTCGTCGAACACCGATCCGTTCAGCGCCGGTGCCGGCTCGGGCAGCCAGCAGGCGGCCGCGTCGACGTCGTCTCCCCGCGCCTCGTCGTCTCGGCCGAAGAAAAAGGAGCGGCCGGTGGGGACGAGTCCCAAGAAGCTGACGCGTGCGCGCCACACCGTGATGCGGGGTGGCGGTGTCGACGATGGCGGCTTCGAAAGCAGCGAGGGCGACGAGGCCGTCCCGCAGCCGTGGGAGCAGCTCGCACCGCCGCGCGCCGTCGACTGGGACGAGGTGGTGAACCACGTGTTTGAAAAGACCGACGGGCGCATCAACCTCGAGGGCAAGGCGCTGCAGCGCATCGACCCCCTCATTGGCGACCTGGCCAAGTTTGTCGTGCTGCCGCCGCTCTCGCGCACCTCGTCGTTTGCGCGCGTGCCCTCGTCGTCCACGAGTCCGTTTCCGCCGCCGCCGCCGTCGTCGTCGCAGCAGCCGCCGTCGTCGCAGTCCCCGTCGCAGCCGTCGTCTTCGCAGCAGCAGCAGCGGCGCCGCGACAAGACGTCGGCCCTGGAGCTGTACCTGTACAACAATGCGCTGCGTGCGCTGCCGAGCGCGCTCTTCGACCTCGGCGCCAACCTGCGCGTGCTCTCTGTCCGCCAGAACAACCTCACCGAGCTGCCAGCGGCCATCGGCGAGCTGTCGGCCCTGCGCGAGCTCAACATCTCGAGCAACAAGCTGCGCTGGCTGCCGGCCGAGATGCAGCGCCTCGCCCTCGACGAGCTCCTCTTTTTCCCCAACCCGTTTGCGCAGCCGCCGCCGGGTGCCCGTCTCACGGTGCGCCTGCCCCTGGGCGCCGCCGCCGCCGCGTCTTCTTCTCCCACTTCCAACTTTTGGTCACGTGGCGGTCGCACCACCAGCTTCGCGCTCATCCAGACGCAGGCAGCGACGGCGACAAGTCAGCGCGGCATTGCGCGCCACCTCGCCGCGCATGCCGACCCCCCGCGCCTGCCCTCGCTCGTCGAGGTCTGCCTCCGCCGCCTCCTCGAGCCGCTACCCACGGGCGGTGGCGTTGGCGGCGGCGGCGGCGACGACGAGGGCGAGATGAATGGCCATGGCGACGGCCATGCCACCGACGACGCACGCCCGCTGCTCGAGGCCTACGAGGCCGGCAGCCTCCTCTCGCTCAAGACGGGAGGCCTGCACCCGGACCTGCTCCTCCGCCTCGAGGCCGCGCGCCGCAGCGCCACGGGCACCTGGTCCCGCCGCGCAGTCACCGGGGCCGCCAACGCTGCCGCCACGGGCGCGCATTCAAGCTCAGCGGCGGGCCGTGCCGCGCGCAGGAAGCGGGCCAGCTGGATCTCGAGGAGCGTCGTCTCTTCTGCCAATGCCAATGCCTCAAAGAGCACCGACGGCGGCTGGTCCTCCTCGTCGTCTTCCTCTTCCCCGTCGTCGCCCTCGTCGTCGTCGTGGGCAGAGGCCGACACGGAGGAGCGCGGCGGCGTGGCCAGGGACGTCGAGGAGCAGCTCGACGAGGGCGACGACGCCGTGCGCAATCCCTGGTTCAGCCGCTGCCCCTGCCCGCGCCACGTGCAGGGCCCAGCCCGGCGACGGGGAGCAGCAGCAGGAGCAGCTAGAACAGCGAGCACAACAGCAACAACAGCGGCCATGAATGGGCACGACGACGACCTCCGCGACTGGCCACGCACCCAGGGCCCCGTCTTCTGCAGCGAAGGCGCCCGGCGGCTCGAGTGGGTCAGCCACGTCGGCGGCTTCCGCGTCGCCAGCCCGGCCGTGCGGACAGCCTTCGTTGGGCCCCAGCCGCCGCCGCCGCGGCAGCAGCCTCAGCAGGGCCAGCAGCAGGGCCAGCAGCAGGCACAACAGCAGCAGGCACAGCAGCAGCAGGTACAGCAGCAACAACAACAACAAGGACAGCTCGTCGACGGCAGCGGCTGCCTGCCCCTCCTCTGGCGCGGCTGCGGGCCCACTTGCCTAGACTTCCTGCTTGCCTGATCGATCACACATCATCACATCATACCAGAGTAAATGCTACTGCCACTTTCATCTTTCTTTCTTTTATTTCCCCCTGCGTGTCTGTCTTAGAACTCCACTGGCATGCCCGACGGCAGCAGCGACGGGTCCTGGTGCTGAGAAGAGGAGGGCGCCGCGGCCGGCGTCGCAGCCCCTCCGCGACGCTCGATCTCGCGTGCGACAGACTGCATCTGGGCAGGGCGCAGCGCGGCGAGCATGAGGTCCAGTCGGGGCGTCTCGACGTTGTGCCAGCGCGCGCGCTGCACGACGTTGTGCACAATCGCCTCGAGCTCCATCGGCCGGCCAGCCTCGAGGTCGAGCTTGGGACAGACACTGGTCAGCCGCTGTTGTTGGAAAGACAAGCACACTCGCGGCCACACTCACCAGGAGCGAGGGCTTGAACGAGTCGGTGAGCGTCGTCGTCGACTTGGCGCCCTGGCGCAGCCGCACGGGGCTGCTGTCGGCCGTGAAGCCAAAGACCTGGTCCACGACGCTGCTCGGCACGCGGTCCTCGCCTAGGCCACAGGCGCGCGCGACAAAGAGGACCTCGAGCATGATCTTGCGCACCACGGGAAACGTGTATGCCCAGTTGTCGTCGGACACAATCACCGACACGGGCTGGCGCGACAGCGTCGAGAGGCCGCCCCAGGCCGTGTTCCAGAGGACTGCGTGTCATTCCGTCAGCGAACACTTTGCGTTTTCACCATCATCGTCGTCGTTAGCACACCCACGCTTCTTCCACCGTGCCGGCTGCACGTCCTCGACGACGTTGGCCACGCCCTCGCCCGCGTTGTATGCGCGCGCGAACCGGTCGAGCGCCTGCCTGCGCCAGTCGTCGTCGGGCCCTGGAGAAGCGCGGGGAAAGAGGCCCATCTCAAGCGTCTCGACGGGGCCGTGCTCGACGCGCGTGCCCCCGTCGACGAGGTTGGCCCCGATCCAGGCGCAGCAGCTCACCACCGTCGCGGCCAGCCGCTCGCGGACGCAGAGCGTGTCGTGCGGCTCGTCCTCGATCCCGATGCCGTTCTGGTTCGGCCACCCAAATACTAGTCAGCATCTGTCCAGACCACCTTTTGGAGATCGAGACACCCACCTCGACAAAGACGAGCACGGGTCCCCGGGTGCCGCTGGCGGGCGGCGCGAGCATGGGCTTCAGCACGTCGCTCGTTGGCCGCACCTCGGGCACGATCTTGTACGTCGACAGGACATAGTCGTAGGGCCCTGCCTCCCTCGCCTCGGCCTCGGAGCGCACGACTTTCGAGGGCCGCCAGGCGGTGTGCACGCCGTACTTCTTCGAGTCGATGGTGATGCCGTGCTCGACGACGGTGTCGTAGTTTGAGCGCGCGAGCGCCGTGACGCTAGCCTGGCCGCCGCGCTCGAGGAGAAAGGAGTAGAGGGCGCCGAGCGCACCAAAGCCCACGGTGAGCACCCTGATCTTGCCGTCCTGCTCCTCGCCTCCCGCCATTGTTGCAGCCTGTTTGCAGATGCGTTGTGTTGGGTCTAATCGAGTCTTAAATTTCCTGGCGACGGGGGGAGAATCCGGTTTGCACTCCCGAGTCCCGTGCGCGAAGAAATGCGCGCGCGCGCTCGCCTTTCTTGGTCAGCGAGGGGGGTCGTCGCCTCCACTGTGAGATAGACGGTCACTCACGAAGAACAGGATCCGCAGCGAGAGAACAAGGCCGGCAGCAGCGGAGGGCATCAGCGACGATCGATGCGCATCTCCATTCCCTCGATCCCGGACCATCTCTCCGCGCTCGGGCCTTCGAACTCGTCCGTCGACCATGCCGTCTCGCTCATCGCCGGCCTGCTGACCAAGGGCCGGGGCAAGACGCTCGTGCTGACGGGCGCTGGCGCCAGCGTCGACAGCGGCATCGCACCTTACCGCGGCGCCGACGGCCACTACACGGTGCACAAGACCTACCGCCCGATCTTTTTCCACGAGTTTGTCGAGCGCTCCGACAAGGGCCACGCGGCGCGGCAGCGTTACTGGAGCAGGAGCTTCCTCGGCTACCCGCCTGTCCGTGAGTTGGTTGCTTAACCGTCACCGTCAGTTTTGTCAAGCTGAAAGGAGAGAGAACCACAGTGCATGCACAGCCAAACCCAACGCACTACTCGCTGGCGGCGCTCCAGCGCCTCGGCTTCCTCGGCGACTACATCACCCAGAACGTCGACGGGCTGCACCACCTGGCCACGCCCTCGGCCAGCCTCGCAGCCGCGTCCATCGTCGAGCTCCACGGCACGCTCCAGCACGTCGTCTGCGTCCAGGCGGGCGAGTCGTCGAGTACCAAGGGTGCTGGTGCTGGTGGTGATTCTCCCGTCGACCAGGCGCTCTACGACCGGCTCACGTCGCTCGCCCACCCAAAGGACCGCCGCGCGGCCCCGCAGGAGCGCAACACGCCCACGGGCCAGGCGGCCTACCCGCACGGCTGCGGCTTCCGCGCCTCGCGGCCCATCTTCCAGCACGTCCTCGCCGAGATGAACCCGGCCTGGACGGCGTTTGCCGAGGACCTCGTCGCACGTGACGCGTCGCCACAGACGAATCCCGACGGCGACGTCCAGCTCGGCGGCGACACCGACTACAGCTCGTTCCACTACCCGGCGTGCCCCAGCTGCGGCGGCGTCGTCAAGCCCGCCGTCGTCTTCTTTGGCGAGAGCGTGCCGGGTGTGCTCAAGGAGCGCGCGGCCGAGCTTGTGGGCGAGGCGTCGAGCCTGCTGTGCGTGGGCACGAGCCTGGCCACCTACAGCGCCTTTCGGCTCGTCAAGGCGGCCAAGGAGCAGGGCAAGGCCGTCGTCATTCTCAACAAGGGCCCCACGCGCGCCGACGCCCTCGTCGAGGACCGTCTCGATGCCGGGTCGAGCGAGGTGCTCAATGCCGTCGCGCGGCAGCTCCTCGCCGGCCGGCACCACCGCGACCCCGTGCTCGCCCGCCTCGTCGAGAGCGGCGTCACGGTGCGGCCAAGCGAGCGGCAGAAGGGCGTGGTGTCGAGCTAGCTGGGGTCTGAGCTTGAGTCAGAGTCAGAGTCTGATCTGAATCATAGTCTCAGCTTGAGTCAGAGTCAGGATTAGAGAGACTGCGTTTGCTTGCTAGAATGTAACAGTACGACTATTATTACACATGGTTTCATCTTCTGCTTCATCATCATCTGGCCGTCTACATTACGCCTCCATCTGCCCCGCCTTGTCCTCTGGCTCGTCTGGCTGGCCTCCGACGAGCGAGAGGAGGCCCTGGACGACGTCGGTCTTGCAGGCCATGGCGAGCAGCAGCACGGCGGGCAGGTGGACGAGGCTGGCAAAGAAGCAGGCGCGCGCGTCCCTGTCCGTCTTGCCGCGCCAGAAGCGGTGCGACGCCCAGACCATGGCTGCGTTGGGCGCGAGGCTGAGCAGGGCATAGGACCAGTGGACGACGGGCGTCATAAACGGCAGCACGACGCTGCAGACGGGCACCATCGCCCACGCATACCGCAGCGCCGTGCGGCGGTTCAGCGACGGGTTGGTGACGCTCATCATGCGGTAGCCGCCGCGCGCGTACTCGGCCGAGAGCGACTGGGAGAGCGAGTTGAAGTGGGGAAACTGCCAGGCGTAGACGAGAAAGGCGAGGGCGAGCGGGGGCACGTCGAGGAGGTGCTCGCCGCCCGTGGCGGCCGTCCAGCCCATCAGCGGCGGCAGCGCACCCACGACGGCGCCGAGCCAGGTGTTGGCAATCGAGAGGCGCTTCATGGGCGTGTAGACAAACGCATACAGACCGATGTTGGCGAGGCCGAGGAGCGCCGTGGGGCCATTGGTGAGGGCAGCGAGGATGCCGACGCCCGAGAGGCCCGTGGCGAGGGCAAACGAGGCTGCATGCAGGGGTGAGAGTAGCCGTGCAGGCAGCGGCCGGTTGCGTGTGCGCGCCATCTGTGCATCGTAGGGCGCCTCGACGAGCTGGTTGATCGAGTTGGCACTCGCCGAGCACAGCGCCGTGCCCGCCGTGAGGGCGAGGAGCGTCGTGACCGACGACGACTGCGACAGCGCGAGCGGGCAGAGCGAGTAGCCGGCCATGCTCGTGAGTGTGACGAGAAAGGTGAGTTGTGCTTTAGACAGCTGCCGGTACACCTTGATGAGCGCCGACGACGCCAGCGGGGGCACGGGCCGGTACGAGGCGGCAGCAGCGACGGCGGCAGCGCTGGGCGCAGTCGACTCGCTGCCGGATGCCGGTGGTGCCAGCGTCGTCGTGACAGCAGGGTCGTCGGATGCAGGTGCGTACATGGACAAATCCCGCCTCGCCGAGCTGTACGAGGGCGCAAAGAAGTCGGTCCTCGAGCCCGCGGCCATCGTCGTAATCGTCACCATCATCCTCCCGCTCCTCCTCCTCGTCGCTGCTGGTGTCCGCAGGAGCAGCGTCGGCGCCGGTTTCGCCGCAGAGCAGAGGCATGATCGAAAGGCAGGGCCTGCGCCGCCCACGAGCAGCCGCGCAGAGACGAGCTGGGCCATGGCGTAGCAGGAGCGGGCGAGAGCTTGCTTAAAGTGAGAGGGAGATGAAGGTGCGATTTGAGTTGGGAAGAAAGCGGTCGACGCGTCACGTGACTGCCGGCCTCCATCTGTCGATGTCAGCCTCATCCTCCGGCTCTCTTCTCTCTTCTCAATGGCCGCAATGACATGCTTATCTGCGGGTCAGCCTGGTCTTGCATCAGGTTCAGAACAATCGCTTTCTTCTCCAGTGCCTGCTTTTTCTCAATGCTCTGGCTGCAAGAAAGGAAGAGGACGCAGAACAAACAATGTATGCATTGCAGTGCATCGCAGGAGTGGTGATATGTCCGCCTCGCCTCTCTAGTGGCTGGGCTTGGAGCCGTCGACACGCATGTTGCGCGTGGCCGAGGGCAGCTGCACGACCATGCCGTCCTGCTCCTTTGCAATCTTGACCTGGCAGCCGAGCCGGGAGGTGTCGGTGAGGCCAAAGGCGAGGTCGAGCATGTCGTTTTCGTCGTCGCCCGGCTCCTCGAGCGAGTCGTAGACGTCTGGCTCGAGGATGACGTGGCACGTCGAGCAGGCAATCGAGCCTTCGCAAGCGCCTGTTGTTCGTTCCACTTAGCTTTCCTCTTTGTCAGGCTCCAACAACACCACTGACTCACCCTCGAGATCGACGTCGTACTCGTGCGCAACGCTCAGCAGGTCGTCGCCCTCGTTTGCCTCAACGGTCTTGAGGTCGTCGCCCTTGGAGTCGCGGAAGGTGACCTTGATGCCCGTGCCCGGCTCGGGCCGGTGGATGCCTCCGTGCTGGGCTGGGGCGCTCGCATGGAAGAATCTCTGCTGCTGCCGTGGCTGCTGCTGCTGCTGCTGCCGCGATGACGAAGCCCTGCTACTCGACGACGGCCCTCGCCACCACGATGGACCGGCTGGGCCTGCTTGCCCGGCGAACCCTGCGAATCCTGAAGGCGCTGCCACTCTTCTCGGCGCTATCGGCTGTGGCGCAGCGGCTGCGCCTGCCCTCGTCCGCGCACACTGCATGCCCATCGCCAGGCCTGCCCCCCTCGACGCCCGGGCCGTGTTCGCAAAGGCACTGCTCGCCATCGCCATCCTGTCGCCGCTTGTCCAATCGATGCTCTTGCGCACGCGCAAACGAATTCGAGGTCCCAGTCCAGGTCCCGTCTTCCCAGTTTCTGGCAGATCCGACTTGGGAAATTTGCGAAGGCGCGGCCGGTTTTCTCGCAGCGAACGGCGTCCTTCTGATTACATAACGTGGCTTTATTTCTTTTTTTTTTTTTTTTCTCGCGCGACACACAACGCAGCTTTCACTTTGCGCACGTCTCCTCGTTCTCTTTTTATTCCTACCCCTTCTCTGGCGCCAGCACCCGCGAGACGCAGCAAGGATGGTGCGCGGCGCGGCAAAGGCGCAGGCACAGGCCAAGAATGCGGCCAAGCAGGAGGCGGCAAAGGGCGGCAAGTCGCAGCTCAAGGACCGCGAAAAGGCCCTCAAGTTCATCTGCCCCCAGTGCAAGGCGCCCAGCCCCGTGGGTGTGACTTACGCATGGTAGCTTCTACTTGCAGCTGACGAGAACACACACAGCACTACAACACGCTCAAGACCCACATGGAGTCCAAGCACCCAAAGGCAGACGTGCCGCCCGAGGACAGCTTCAAGGTGTAGAGTTACATCACATTAGACGACGCCCCAGAAGTCTTCGAGTGCACAACAGAACTGGAGAATAGAAAAAGTCAGCCATAGAAGTAGGCCCTGACAGAGAAGGAAACGCACCTTGCCACAGGCCACGCTCGCGCTGAGGCTGTACTCGGAGATGCTGATCTTCTCGTCGACGATGCCGTCGGCGAAGCTGTCCTGGCCGTGGGCCATGGCGCCGACAAAGACGGCGAGGGTGTGGTCCTTGGGCACCTTTGGCAGGTAGCTCGAGAGGCGCTGGACGGGTGCATCAAAGGACAGCGTCACCTTGTGCGTGTTGGGCGGAAAGTGGTCGGTGACTGGGTTGCGGATCACCCGGAGCAGCTTCTCGCTGCCCTTGACGCTCCGGATCGAGAGCTTGTGCAGGAGCTGGACCATGAGACCAGAAAAGCGCTTGAAGGTGCGCGGGATCCGCACGTGCGGGTTCACCTCGATGAGGACGCCCTTGGCGGTGTGGATGTAGACCTGGAGCAGGCCGGCCTTGTTGAGGGGCGAGTCAAGGAGCGTGAGGAGGCACTGGTGCGTGATGTCGGGCCGTGCCTCGGCAATGTCGCGGCCCATCTTTGCGAGCACGCGCTGGTGGTCGTCGCAGTTGAGCAGCGCGTACTTGTCCTGGTTCGCGTCTTTACCCTTTCGCGACGAGCCCCCTCCCCCTCCCCCGCCGCCGCCGCCGCCGCCGGATGAAATCTTGTATGACTCGAGGCAGGCCTGCTCGAGGACGACGATGAGGTGGGCCGTGTTGCTCCTGTCCGTTGCTGTCTTGAGCACTTTGGGCACCTGGGGCACGAGCGAGCTGTCTGTCCGCACGCGCTTCTGTCCGGGCGTCGCGGGGCCCGACGTCGATGACGGTGCCGGCGGGACCGCTGCCTGGCTCTGGCTCTGGCTCTGTCCCTGCGCCTGTCCCTGTCCCTGTCCCTGTGCCTGGTACGAGGTGGATGGCTTGGGCGGGAGTGCATGCTTCAGGCCCGTCTTTTGGATCTTGATCGTTGATGAAGATGAAGGCGCCGGCTGCTCGTCGGCCTGATCATCGTCGCCGAGGGCCTCGTTGCTGTCGCCCGTCGCCACGCGAGACCGGGCCCGGGAGGCAGCGGTGGCCGCCGACGCGGACCCAGCACCATCGATGGAGTTGCGCCGCTCGTCGCGCCGCCGCGTGCCCTGCTGCAGCAAGGACGACGACGACGACGACGAGTGGCTGGGCAGCGGCGCAATCGGCCGGTAGGACGTCGAGGCGGGCGCAGACACCGTCGAGCCCTTCATGGCCACCTCGTCGCCCTCGCTGTCGTACCCCGGCCCGCCGTCGAGGGCGACATCGTCGTCCGACAGGCTCGCGCTCGATGCGTACGGCGACGCCCCTCCGTCCGACATGGTGCTGTCTAGCTGTCGGTCAGTCAGCCGCAAGTGAGATGGGATCGCTCGGCTGATGAAAGGAGAAGAAAAAAAAAATGAAAGAGGCCCATCTCATCTCCACCAGCCCAATTTTCCACGCGAGCCAGTCTCATCTCCGTCTCAGCCTCAGCCTCAGCCTCAGTCTAAAAATTTCTTAAATTTTACCGGCAGGGCGGGTTACGTTTCAACTTTTACAGAGCGACGGGCTGCGATGGCACTCACACGGGAGCACCAGGCCGACAAGGGCAAGGGCAAAGGCAAAGCGAAGGCAGCAGCACCAGCAGCAAAGCGCGGGCCAAAGGGTCCCACGGGCGGGGCAGGCAAGCGGCCCAAGGTGTTTAGCGAGTCGCTCGGCGTGGCCCACCTCGTGGCGCTCTCGAGCGACATTGCGGGCGAGACGGCGTCGCGCGACTCGGCGCGGCTGCAGCGCTCCAAGGCCAGCGACGAGCACCGGCGCGCCAAGCGACGCAGCGGGCAGCAGGAAAAGGAGGCCCGTGCCGACGCCTCCTCGGCCCTGGTGAGTCGCGTCTCTCTCTCTCTCTCATCTCACTGATAGAGAGAGGTTGGAGCTGACGAGAGAGAGAGACGACTGTCGCAGTCCAAGAACCGCATCCGACGGGCACTCCTGGACAAGCAGCGGGACAAGTCGCGAAGGCGCAAAGAGGCGCGCAAGCAGCAGCAGCAGCAGCAGCAGGAGAAAGGCGATGGGGCAGGAGAGCAAGGAGGGGCACAGCCAACGACAGAGACAGAGAAAGAGACAGGGACACGGCGGCCGCGGAAGCGCGTCTCGTTTGCATGATGTGTACAATTAACGGTGTAGATGAAGGAAATGAAAGCGATACAGTGTAGTACAACAAGAGATTTGAAAAAAGAAGCCTGAACTCTCTCAACGCCCGTTCCACACCGCCTTGAGGCTCTCGGCCGGCGCCGCCATCCTCGTCCACGGCTCGACGACGCCCCGCTGGACACGCTCGCGCTCGAGGAGCTGGGGCGAGACGTGGATCCAGCCGGCGCGCTCGAGGACGGTCCCCTCGCGGTCCTCGTGCTCCCACGCCGCGCCCTCGTCGTTATCGTCCTCCTCCTCTTCCCCTTCCTCATCCTTCATGCGTGCTCCCTCCGATGGCTGCTGATTGTATCCGTCGCCCTCGTCGCCCTCGTCCTGCTCGGTGGGGATCCTTAGAATAGTACCGCCCACGTGCGTCTCCCAGATGTCCCGTGGCAGCACCGACGAGTCGTCGGCAGTGCCAGTGGTGGCAGTGGCAGACAGCGACTGCAGTGCGGCGCGCTGCGCGGCGTCGGTGCCACCGACGAGGAGGACGACGTGGGGCTTCTTGAAGGCCTCGTACGGGCTCACCGTGCCGCTGCCCCCATCTTCGGGCAACTGCTGCTGCGACTGCTGCTGCTGCTGCTGCCGTGGCTCAAAATGGCTCTTGCGCCGCGACGTCGAGAAGCGCGCCAGCTCGTAGGCGTTGCGCAGCTCGACGACGTGGCAGCCGGCGCTTGGTCGCGCTTGGCCGCGCTCCTCTCTGGCTACGTCGAGCACCTCGTGGGCCCATGCGCAGCAGCTGTCGTCGGGCGCCTGTCCCTCGTTCAACTGAGTCGAGACGTGAGCCATGCGATGGAAGTAGCAGGCGCCAAAGCCGAGGCGGGCGACGGCGTAGAGGGCGGCACGTGACGCAATCTCGCGCGCGCCGTCGCCGTCGTGGCCCAGGACGACGACGAGGGCGCTGCGGCTGGGGCCGGGCGCATTGATGGGGCTCGAGAAGCGCTCGGCGAGGCGCTCGAGGGCGTGCGGCAGCGTGTGGTCGCCCACGGCGTCGCCGAGGCAGCAGTCGCCGAGCGCGTTGGGCACCGCCTTGGCAGCGCGCGTGCCCAGCAGCCGCGCGGCCGCGTCGGCGCGTGCAGTGACGTCGACGGCACACACGGCCTGGGCCGCCGCCGTTGTCGTCGCAGTCGCCGCACTCATCGCAGCAGTCATCGCAGCAGTCATCTGGCCCAAGAGCGCGCGCTGCATCGAGGCCGTGTGCCAGCCACTGAGAAAGAGGCCGTCTCCGTCGTCGCCGTCATGCTCATCAATGCGCTGGGCTAGGGCGAGTGTGTATGGAAGGCCAAACTCGGCAAATGCGCGCTCGATGGCCAGTGCTGCTGCTGCCGGGCGTCGAACAGAAGAAGAGGAGGAAGGACGACCGACGAGGCGGAAGAGGCGCGGCTCGAGGGCGCCCAGGCTCGCCAGCATCTCGACGGTCTCGCGCAGCGACATCTGGCCGGGCCCAGCCTTGGAGGGCAGAGCCGGGTGGGAGACGAAGCCGAGGACGTCGTTAGAAAGACGCGAGCTGCGGCCGGCGGCGCCCATGTTGAGCGCCGTGAGTGGCGGCAGCGATCGCGTGGCATCGACGGCAGCAGTGGAGAGGACGCGGGCGAGGAAGCTGGCCAGGTAGGCATTCTGCTCAATGTGCCTGCGCGACGCGGTGCCGATGATCTCGACGAGGTGGATCTGGCCAAAGCTGCGCGCGCGGTCGTACAGCTGGGCAGGCACGACGCTGTCCCAGCGCAGGTCCCCGTTCAAGTCGTGGTAGCTGGCCACGATGGCGGTGCGGCCGCGGGCATCGATGAGCCGGCGCGTCAGCACGGGATCCCAGCCGAGCTCGACATCGAGCAGCTCGACTTGCATCGCCAGTGCCAGGTCGGCCAGGCGAAAGTAGAGGGCCTGGGAGTGGGCCGACGTCGTGTCGCGCTGGGCGAGGCACCGGTCGTCGTAGAAGTAACCCCCCTCGCGGTCGGACCGGCAGGTGAACATGAGGGGGAGCTCGGGCGCGAGCCGGCGCAGCGTCTCGACCTGGATGGCCACGTCGGTGAGGTCCACCTGCGGGGCCTCCTTGTCTCTGCTATCCTCTTTGACGCCTTCGCTCTCGTCCTGCGCCAGCTCGTCGTCTTCGTCGTCAGTGCTGCTCCTCCCGCGGTCGGCGTGGTGATGCTGGCTGCGGCGGCGCATGCGGGCCAGCCGCGAGGCAGGTCGGAGACACTCGAGCATGTCGACACGCAGCTCGATTGCATCGACGCCCTCGACGATGCGCCGCAGCAGCGCAGGATTCACCTGGCCAATGTCGGCAAACGTCAGGCTGAGAAAGGTGGTCCGCCGTGTCAGCAGGCTCGACCGCGACGTGGGGTCGGCCCGCCGGGGAAACACGGCAAAGCGGCTGCTGCCGTCGCCGCCGACGGTGGCACCGGTCGCGCTGGCGACGCTCGGCGAGCGCCGGTCCGGCGGGCCGGGCGATGGCCCGGGTCCTGGTCCGTGGGCGCCGAGCAGGTGCGAGAGGCTGGCTGCCGGTCGCATCTGGGGACTCGACGAGCGAGACGAGCCGCCGCCAGGGATGATTGCCTCGTCGCCGCCAATGAGGATGGAGCGGATGAGGCGAAGAAAGGAGCGCTCGACGTGCTTGAGCGCCAGCGGATGCGGCGACGACGACGACGACGACGCGGCCGTGAGGCTGACAAAGACGTGCGAGGCGCACTCGCGGAACAGCGGCTCCCGACGGCGCATCACATCCAGCAGGCCCTCCTCGTAGTCGGGCCGGCTCGTCTGGGCGACGAGGTAGCGCGTCACCTCGTGCTTCTCGCGCAGCACCAGCACCACGGGCATCGTCCGCCGCGCATTGATGAGCAGCCGGCGCGACTCGACCGACTCGACGAGGCCACCGCCACACGCAATCACGGCATCCTGCGGGTGGCGCGACAGCAGACTCGCCAGCACCATCGTCTCGCGCGACCGAAAGGCCGGCCAGCCGTGCTGGTCGACGTAGCGCGACACCGTCGTCTGCTCCATGGCCTCGAACGCAGCGTCGGCGTCGATGAAGCGCCGCTCGAGGGCCGACGAGGCAATGATGCCGAGCGTCGTCTTGCCCACGCCGCGCATCCCAATGATGACGAGCGTCGCCCGCCCGTCATAGCGAAGCAGCCGCGGGGGTGCGCTCATCCTCTCGTTTGCGCTCTCTCTCTCTCTGTGTCTCTCCCTCTGTGTCTCTCAGCGTGTCTCTCTGTGAATGGATTCTTTTCTCTACGAATTCTGAACTAATAATATAGAGGGTTATTCGCTCTCCTGCTCTCGCGCCTGCGATTAGACGCCATATTAAGGCGAGGGTGCACGTGCAGGATTCACGCGTGGCCGAAGCATCCCCGTCGTCGCACGTCCGCTCTTTTGGGCGGGCTCTGCATCAGCCGCCCTGTCCCGAGGTGGCTCCTCCTCCCGAACTGCCTCTGCTTCGGCCCGGTCTTGAGCGATCTTCTGAGCGGCCTCGTCTTCGGCCCTCTTTTTGAGAAGCCATTTTAATCGTAGGAAGAGAGTATGATTATTTTTGAACGACTCTCTACGGTACTTCGACGCGTAAGCGAAGTACTTCTCGTACCACTCTGTGTCGTCTGATGTCCAGGTGTCGAACAAAGTGCGGCGCTTGAAACGTTTCCCTCTAAAATAATCCTCGCCATGCTGTAGCGCCGCCCTAAGCCTCTTCATATCTTTATCCGAATTTAAGTACTTCATCGCGCTGTCCGTGTCTTCGCTCTCTTCTTCGTTGGATTGCGCGGGCGCTGCTTCTCCTGAAGCCGATGCTGATCCCGGTGTCCCCTCATGGTCGGTCTGAACCTCATCTGCAAACCTTGGCCCCCAATTGTCTAATGCTGGGTCTGAGAGACGCTTTTCCACGAAATTTTTCGCAACTTCGAAGTCGGCAAGATGCTTCTCGAAGAAATTTTCTGGTGATTTGTGCTTCTTTGCCCAGTCAAATATGCGTTGTACCCCCTCTATGTCTTTATGACCCCATGTATAGATCTTCGCTGACGCTTTTACCTCCTTCCCTGCTTCGACTTGTCCAACGTGCGTCGCCATCCTCCGCAAAAGTTCTCCCAGATGCGACCAGTCCCTATGCCCCATCGTTTGCGGATCCTTTTGCTGCTCACTCATGCTGGCCCACTTTCGCCGAACAGACTGCGCTGGCTCTGACCCTGCACCGGCCCTGTCTTGATCGGCCTCTACTTCAGCCCTATATTGAAAAAGCTTGCCTAATTCTTCGAAGTCACGACGATGAATCTCCCAGAAATTTGGATGGTACTTGTTCGTACGTTCGAGAAGCTCCCTGTACACGTCTCTGTTGTGATACCAGTCCTCGAACGAATCGTGTCTGTTGCTACGGCGAGACCGTCCTGCAGCGAAAGCTTTCCCTTGCTCAAGCGCCGATTTGAGTTTTTTTATAAAATTGGCTTCCTCTGCCGACCCCAGCGGGCGATCAGAATTGTGCTTGTCGCCCTGACTCTCTTGCTCTGAGGCCGCAATTCGAGGTTCCGTGAGTCTCCCTTCTATATGCTGTTTCACGATCTCGAAGTTTTCTAGGTTGTCCTTGTTGTAGAACATTGGATGGTGCTCTTTTGCCCAGTCGAATTTGCGTTCCAAGTCTTTCAGATTCTTCCCATCCCAAGTATTGATGAAAGCCAGATGGCTTATTTGCTTCTTCGGTCTCTCTTTGAGACTGTGAATCTGCCCCACCATACTCCGCAGCAGTCGTGCCAGTCTCCCCCAGTTCAGGCGCTTCATTTCTTGCTCTTCCGTTGTCGTCTTGCTTCCGCTAGCCCTTGCGCGATTACTAGGCTGCGCTGGCATTTCCTCGTCCGTTTCCGAAGGCGCGAGGCCGTCCGAGTAGTGGTATGATGTCTTCTGATCAGCGTCCTCATTGGATGACTCGGTAAGGCGGGCAGCTGTCTCTCTGGCAGCATCTCTGGCTCTATCTGATGCCTTTCTTTTCTTGCCACGCTGAGCCGCCTCTGCATCGGCCCAGTCTTGAGAGGTCTTCTTCTGCCGAGCTGCCTCCTCTTCGGCCTTCTTTTTATGATGCTTCTTCAACTTGTTGAAGATGTGAAAATTGTTATTGTAGGACATTTGATGGTGCCCCTTCGCATGAGCGAAAAAATCCTCAAACCATTTTGTGTCCTCTGATTTCCAATTTTTGTACGATGTGTTGCGCTGGCTTTCAGGCTCTCCTCTTTCGAGAGCTTCGGCTTGCTTTTGGGCTGATCTGAGCTTTCTCATCATATTGTTTTGATGTTGTACATTCTCCCTGCTGTCCAAGTCTATGCTGTTCGTGCTGTCCCAGTCTTCGCGCTCTCCTTCGGTGGATTCGCGTGTCGTCTCTTCGCTGGTCCGAGGGTTCTCTGCGAACCAAGCGGCCAAGTAGTCCTCGCCCTCTGGCCGAGTGAGGCGCCATTCTACGAATCTCTTCACAAAGTTGAAGTCGGGTAGATTCTTCTTGTGGAACGCTCGTTTATGCCCCTTTGCCCAGTCAAACAGTCTTTGCGTATAATCCAGGTCCTTCTGAGTCCATTTATATATCAGCGCTCTACTAGTAACCCTTTCGCGATCTTTGATCTGGTCCACCATCGTCCGCAGCTTTTGCGCCAAATGTCCCCAGTCATGATGGTCCATCATCTGCGGCTCCTTTGGAATGTTGCTTCCGCTGGCCATCTTTCCCTTATCACGCGGCGCTGGCGCTGGACCTTCCATCTTTGAATGCACGGGCCCGCTCAAAAGGTGGGATGTTGTCACCTGATCGGTGTCCTCATCGGACGACTCGATAAGGGGGGCAGCTGTCTTTCTGACGGCATTCCTGGCTCTGACTGACGCTTCTCTTTCCTTGCCATGCCCAGTGGAGGGCGTCCAATCGAGAGAAGAGTCTGATGGCTCTGTGTTGCCAGACGCGCTTTCTTTTGGGTCATGCCAGGTGAGAGGTCTCCAGCCGTGAGACTCAAACGATGGCCCCTCTCTGACTCGCGCCTTCCTTTGGCTGCGTCGCTTAGTGGGATGCTTCGAATCGAAAAAGCTTCTCGAAAGCTCTGGCTGGTTTGTCTGGATGGTCTCGGACTCCCACTGGTGCTGCTGTCGTTGCGTATCCATGCTTTTCTGGTAAAGGGCGGACACCCTTGCGCTCTTCTGAGCGGCCTCTGCATCGGCGGCCCCATTCTTAGGGTGCTCCTTGCCAGTGACCTCTGCATCGACCCTGTCTCGAGATTTCCTCTTCCGAGTGGCCCTTGCATTGGCCCTGTCTTGAGCTCTGTTTTCTTGAGAGGCCTCCGCTTCTTCCCTTCTTTGAAACAGCTGCTCTAATTCTTCGAAGCGACGATGATTATTCCAAAAAAACGATGGATGGTGATTCCTCGCACGTACGATCAACTTCTTGTACTTCTCTCTGTTGTCATACCAGTCGTCGAACGATGTGCGAATGCGTTCACGGCGAAACCCCCTTTTAGCGGAAGCTCTGCCCTGGCGTAACGCCCTCCCGACTTTTGCATAGAAAGTGGTTACTTCGACTCGGTCTAAGGCCCCAATTCGAGCGCCCGAGTCGTCCGCTGCTGACTGAGAGAGCCTCTTTCTTATGTACTGTTCTATGATCTCGAAGAGCTCTAGGTTGGTCCTATTGTAGAAAATTGGGACGCGGTCTTTTGCCCAGACGAATTTGCGTCGCATATCTTCCAAGTTCCCTTCATTCCAAGTAGCGATATTAGACTGGCTGCCGATTATTTCCGGCTTTCCTCCTTCGACTTCTTTGATCTGCTCCGCCATAACCCGCAGTTGTCGCACCAAATTCCACCAGTCCGTTTTCCTCATTGTTTGTGGCTCCTTTGCCGTCTTGCTTTTGACTGCCTCGTTGACAACCGGTCTCGCCTTGACTGACGCCTTTCTTTTTTTCCCATGCCCAGTGGAGGGCATCCAATCGAGAGGGGAAGCCGATGGCTCTGTCTTGTCGGGCACCTTTCTTTTGACGCCACGACGGGGAGAAGGCGTCCAGTCGTCAGCCTCATCCGGCCGCTTTGCTCTGACTGCCGCCCTTTTTTTGCCTCGTCGCTGCGTGGAAGGCTGGGAATCGAGAGGGGAACTCCATGGCTCTGGCTGTATTGTCGATTCTACTTCGGCGTCTCCATGGCCCTGCTGCGCTTGTGTATCCGTGTGTCTCTGCTGGATCTCTGCCTGTGTGTTGCTTGGCATCGTGTTTCCGCTCTTCTCCGGTCCACCCAGACTTGGATGCCACTCTATATTCTTTGCATACGCTGGCGCCAGTTTCTGCGTCGAGTCTTGATGCGACTTGAGCCTGTGTTCATGAGCTTTCTCTGCTTCCTCTACGGTCGGCAGGATCAACAGCCCCTGTTCATCCCTGCTCTTTGCCAGGTCATGCAACTGCGGCGTCCTTCCCCGCTCTATATATCCCGTCCATTCCGGAGACAACTGTTGCACCCGGTCTGACTCTTCCGCCTGTCGGCTCCCTTGACCGCGTTCCTGCCGTTCCTGCCCTCCTTGCTCTTCATGTTCCTGTTGGCCGTCCTTTATCTCCTCAATTTTCGCTCTCTTTGCCAGAGTCTGCCAATCCTTTGGTTGAGTCTGTTGTTCCGACGTCCCAGGCGGTCGAAATTGCCCATGCGCCTCCCACTCTGGGGAGAAGACTGGCCGGCTGCTTCTCCAATCTTCTTCATTCTCCGCCTGTCGTTCGCCTTCGAGGGTGCGTTTGATCCACATGGGATCACTCTCATCGGGCAAATTGTGGTGCTCACCGGAGGCCCGTGCTTTTACTCTGTCGCGGAGTGTTTGCTTAAACCTTATCAACGTGTGGTACTCGTCGTTCTCCTCTTCTTCTTCGTTGGATTGCGTCGGCTCCGCATTCTTTTTCGCCCAGATACGGTGATAATACTCTGCGATTTTTTCATAGCGCCCGATATTGCCTTTGTAGTAATCAGGCCTGTGTTTACGAGCCCACTCTAACAGGCCTCCCAGCCAATGAACCATCTCCCGATTCCAAAGGTCAATTGTTTGTCTCTTGTAAGACTTCCCGTGATTTCTCGGGACCCCTCTCTCGCGTTCTTGAATTTGTCCCTCGACTGTAAGCATTCTTGCACGGGCTCTTCCCCGTTCTTTGGGTGTCATTTCAGCGTACTCCGCGTCCGTGCTGACACTGCTCGTTTTTACGTCGTCATCCAGCGCTGGCGCTTCCCGTCCCTCGCCCTCATTGGAAGACGAAGCACTTCCCTTGACTGTAGCGCCGATGGCGCTTATGGCTTTGTAATTGGCTTTCCTCCTGAGACGGTGCAAATCGAGAGATTGGTCTCGTGTTTCTGGCTTGACTGATCGGAAAACTTCGCAGTCCCAATAGTGATGCGGCCCTTTTTCGTGCGTGTGCGTGGGTCCTTGGACGTTGGAGTACGATGTAAGCTGCTTCCTCTTCCCCCGCGCCATCGCCCTCGTCACTGTGTCTATGGTGCCGAACGGCTGAGGATCCTCTGCGGGAGCTTGGGGCGTCATGGAATGCGCAAAGTCTTGCCGCATCCTGTCCTCTTCCCTCTGCCCTGCTTGCCTCCAACACAATTCCTTCTGCGCCTCGTGGTGCGCATGGGATGCCCTTTCTTCTACTGCTCTGGCACGGAGTCTCTCCCTTAATCGTTTGATTGGGAGGTATCCGTCCTTGTGGGGTTCCGCTATCTCTGTCGCCCAGCGATGGTCATAGTAAGCTTTGATCCTCTCATAGAGCTCGTGATTGCCCTTGTAGAATTTCCATCTTTGGTGGCGTGCCCACTTAATCAGGCCCCCCACCCACGCAAGCACATTCCGGTTCCAAAGGTCGATCAGCTGTGTATACTGAGGCTTTACGGACTTCCTAGGGCCCTGTATTCCGCGATCAGAGATTTGCTCCTGGATCGTTAGCATTTGCCTACGAATGGCCCAGCGGTCATTCTCCTTCATTGCTGCGTATTCCTCCTTCCAGCTGATATTGCTCGTGTCTCCCTCGTTATCCCGTGCTGGCGCTTCAAATCCCGCCCCTTCATCGGACGACTCATCAATGTCAAGAACTGCACTACTGTTGGCCTTTAAGTGTGTGCGAGACGCCTTGGTTTTGGGGCAATGCGGATCGAGAGCTTGCTCTGATGGTTCTGGCTTGGCGGAATGGGAAGCCTCGGAGCCCCAACGGTGATGCTGCCCTTGTGCATACGCGTGTCTCTGGACCTCTGGGTGCGTTGCAGGCTGCTTGTTCTTTCCTTCGATATTGGCTTGCATCAGCAGTGCCCTCTCTTCTTCCCAGCGTCTGTAATAATATTCTCTGACTTCCCTAAAGAACTTGATGTTGCCGTCGAAGTATATCTTATTGTGTTCCTTTGCCCACTCAAAGAAACCCCCCATCCACTGAAGCTTCTCCCGATCCCAAGTGTCGATTAATAGAGGCTTGCCCCTTGGGGGCTTCAATGTTCCTGCTTCGCGCTTCTTGAATTGCCATATGATGTGCAACAATTGGTTATGAATGCGATGTCGTTTTTCGGGGTCCACAGCTTTGTATTCCTTCTCCCGATCGTCCGTGTCATGTGCTGGCCATCCGTGACCTGCCTCCTCATCTGACGACTTTATGTTACCTGTAATCTCGCTTATGGTCTTTCTGGCTTTGAGAGACGCCCTCCGGATCCTTCCGTTGTGCTGCAAGTCGAGAGGTTGGTCTGATGATTCTGGATCGGCTGAATGGGAAGCATCGAAGCTCCAATGGTGATGTGGCCCTCGTGCGTACATGGCTCCCTCGTTTGGGTGCGCTTTGGGCTGCTTTTTCTTCTCCCGCTCGGGCGTCTGCGACATCGAACTTAGCCTTCGGAACCGCTGAGCATTCGGTACGCCAGCTGGCGGTGGCATTAGGCGCGCCAGGTCTTGTCGCCTTTTCTCCTCTTCTTCGTGCTCCCATTCCCGCTTCCTCGAGCTCCCGGGTGTCCGTTCAAGTTCCTCTGTCACCTCTTCAAATCGATTCAGCCAATACGCTATACTCCCGTCGTCGTCGTCGTCTCCCTCTCGCTTGATTTCTTGCCCTCCGTGGCGTTCCTGGTTGATTTCCCTTCGCTCTCTCAGCTCAAGCGCCGCCTTGCGATATCGGTCTCGCCAATAGCGTGCCCAGAAATCAACCGTCTTCTGGATCTGTTGCTCGTCATGGGCCATCTGCTCCAGGAGGGAGCCTGGTCTACTACTTGCCGGTCTGTCCTCTCCCTCCTCGTGCTGTCCACTTCCTCCACTTCCGAGGCCGCGCTTGAACATAGGCGCGCTCTCGTCGGACTCATCGGACGATTCGTGCTGCGGGATCGACGGGCGGCATCTAGCGGAAGCCTTGACTCTGTCGCGGAGTCTTTCTAATATTGAGCTCTCCCAGATATAACGATATTGATGTCCTTTGGAGGTCTGCGGATCTTCTGTCGCCCAAACACTTTCATAGTAACTTTTGACTATCACAAAGTCCTGATAATTGCGTCTGTAGTATACCGGCTTTTTCTCGGCTGCCCACTTAAACATACCTTCCACCCACTCAAGCATCCCCCGATCCCAACGGTCGATTGTTTCTTTCTCGTGACTCTTATCGAACAACCTTGGCTCCCCTGCTTCGTCCTTCTTCGCTCGATCCTTGATTCGTAATATGTGTCTGCGGATATCTTTCATGTCGAAGCCATTCATTTCAGCGTATTGAGCCTGCCAGCTATTGCAGTCCACAGCTCGCTCATCCTGCGCTGGCGCTCCCTGTCCTGCCTCCTCATCGGACGACGAGTCAATGATGTGAACTGCACTGCCGATGGTCTTTGTGCCTGTGAGAGACGCTTTTCTCCTCGTGGATCGGCGCGGGTCGCCGGGTTGCTCTGACGCTTCTGGTTTGACTGAATGGGAAGCTTCGAAGCCCCATCGGTGATGCGGCTCTTGTGCGTACGTTTGTCTCTGGACGTCTCGGTGCGTCGCAGGCTGCTTGTCATTGCCTTCGGAAACGGCTTGCGTCGGCAGTGCACCCTCTTCTCCCCAGCGTCTGTAATAATAGTCTCTGACTATCATAAAGAACTTGATGTTGCCCTTGAAGTATTTCTTATTGTGTTTCTCTGCCCACTGAAAGAAACCTTCCATCCACTGAAGCTTGCTCCGATCCCAAATGTCGATGAGTTCCTCCGTGTGCACCGCTGGGGGCCTCGGAATTCCTCTTTCGCGCTCCTCGATTTGCCTTATAATCTTCTTTAACTGCTTATGAACGTACAACCGGTCGTCGGTGTTCATATCTTTGTATTCCTTCTCCCCACTGCTCCTGTAATTCGCATCATGTGTTGGCACTCCATGTCCTGTCTTCTCATCGGACGACGAGCCAATGAAACGTGTTATCTTGTCGATGGTCTCCCTGGCTTTGAGAGACGCCTTCCTTCTGGGGCGGTGCAAATCGAGAGGTTGCTCTGATAATTCTCGCTCGGCTGAATGAGAAGCTTCGAAGCTCCGATGGTGAGGCGGCCCTCGTAAGTATGTGGGCCCTTGGGCGTTCGAGTAGGCTTTGGGCTGCTTGTTCTTCTCCCTCTCCCGCGTCTGCGTCATCGAACTCAATCTTCTGATCTGCTGAACATCAGGCACGTCAGCTGGCGGTGGCATTAGGCTTTTTAAGTTCTGTCCCGTCTTGACGTCTTGTACGTGTTCCCACTCTGGCTCCCTCTGCCTCCCGGGCGTCCGGTCAAGTTCCTCTGTCACCTTTTCAAATTTATTCAGCCAATACGCTATACTCCCGTCGTCGTCGCCGTCGCCCTCTTGCTCCGTTTCTTGCCCTCCGTGGCTTTCCTGGTTGATTCCCCTTTGCTCTCTCAGCTCGAGCGCCGCCTTGCGATATCGGTCTCGCCAATAGCGTGCGTAGAAATCAACCGTCTTCTGGATCTGTTGCTCGTCACGGGCCATCCGCTCCAGGATGGAGCCTGGCTTACTACTTGCCGGTCTGTCCTCTTCCTCCTCGTGCTGTCCAGTTCCGAGGCCGCGCTTGACCATGGGCGCGCTCTCGTCGGACTTACCAGATTCATCGGTTTTATCAATTTCATCGGATCCATCGGACAATTCGTGCCGCGGACTTGACCGGCCTGCTTTCGCTGAAGCTTTGACTTTGTCGCGAAGGCGTCGTATCGTTGGATTTTCCATGATGTGTCTGAATTGTTTTCCTTTCGTTTCCTGTGCTGGCATTGCACTCTCTGTCCTCCAGAGATGCTCATAGTAGTGTTTGACTAGCGTGAAGTGCAAAATATTGGCGTCGTAATATGATCTTCTGTTCGCGTATGCCCACTCAAGCAGACCTCCCACCCACTCAAGCATTCCCCGATCCCAACGGTCGATTGTTTGCCTATCTTGTGATATTCGGTACCTCCTTCGCCCCCCTGTTTCCTCCCTCTTGATTTGCTTCTCGACCTGTATTGTATACTTACGAATCTCGTTCCGGTCTATGGCATCCATTGTAGCATATTGAGCCTGCCAGCTACCGCGGTCCAGTACTCCCTCGTCATTATGTGCTGGTACTCTGTGTCCTGCCTCCTCATCGGACGACGAGTCAGAGCCTTTGACTGCTTTGCTGTAGAACCTTCTGGCTTCGACAGAAGCCTTCTTTCTGGGGCGGTGCAAATCGAGATGTAGATCTGATGGCTCTGGGTTGACTGAGTAGGAAGTCTCGGAGCCCCAATAGTGATGCGTCCCGTGTGTATATACGTGTCTCTGGACGTCTGGGTGCGTCGTAGGCTGCTGCTGCTTCTTCTTCTTCTCCCGCTCCGGCGTCTGCGTTATCAAAGTTAAGTTTCTGAACCGTTGAGCTTTCGGTACGCCAGCTGGCGGTGGCATTAGGCGCGCCAAGTCTTGTCGCCTCTTCTCCTTTTCTTCGTGCTCCCGATCCCGCTTCCTCGATCTCCCGGATGTCCGGTCAAGTTCTTCTGACACCTTTATATATCGATTGAGCCAATACGCTATACTCCCGTCGTCGTCGTTGTCGTCGTCTCCCTCTCGCTTGATTTCTTGCCCTCCGTGGCTTTCCTGGTCGCTTCCTCTTTGCTTCTTCAGCTCGAGAGCCGCTTTTTGATATCGACTTCGCAAAAGTCGTGCGTGCTTTCGAGCTATAGCCCGCACATGCTGCTCCTCATGCGCCATCCCCTCCCTCGGGGGGACTGGCTTGCTACTTACCCGTCTGTCCTCGTCCTCCTCGTGCTGTCCGCTTCCTAGGACGCGCTTGACCATGGGTGCGCTCTCGTCGCGCTGCGAGTCGAGGCATCCGGCATTCGTGGCGAGCGACGCCAGCATCGCCGCCACGAAAAGGAGCACAAAGACCAGTCTCTTCATCCTGCTCTGTCCTCTCTCTTGCACACTTGGAGGAAGGAAGGCAAGAGGGCACAGGAGCGTCTGCCAGCGTGGACTGCTTTTGACCCTTCTTGCTCTCGCGGCGATCGGTCACACATCGCAGGGCGCCTTCAGTGAGGGCAAGTGGCTGTTTCAGAAAGCATTGTTGCAGTGGGAGACCCATCACAGCCATTGCCGGGGCAACGGGGCGCAAGCTGCGATAGCCACAAAGCTGACTCTAATAAGATGTATGTGGGCCAATGCTGAACTCGGTGACTCGCTCGCTGCTGCTAAAAAGTTTCTCATGGCGTCCTTGACGTGCTGCTAGCTAATCCGTCCTCTTTCGCATGCGTGTTGGACATGCATGTACGTGTGTTCTCATGCCTGTCTGACGTGCTCGAACGCAACGCTAAAACTAGCCAAGCTCGGGGGAAGCAAGGCTGCCAAACGAGAAAACATCGGCGCTTGCCTCACTACTGAACTTTATGCCCCGTTGCCTGGCTCGGCGTCCTCGGCAGATGATTCGGGCGCCTTGACCGAGTCGTCCATGTTTTTCCCATTTTTTTTTTATCTTTATGCGTGGCAATTCAATTCGGTAATTATCAAGTGGGCGCTCTCATTTGGCAGAGAGGGGCCTGGGTCGCTCGCTACCCCCGATTTCTCGTTCGATAGCCGTGCAAATTAACCTCAGCACTGGCCTTTCTCTGCTTCTGCTGCTGCGCGCCTGTGCGACTACTGGCTAGCTAGCCTCTCTATGTGGCTCTGCTAGCTCTTGTCGATTCGATTCAAGAAAGCGCACACCTTGGAGGGCACCCTAGCCTACCCGAGCCAATGACGAGCGCGCAGTAGAAGTCTTGTTCTGAACACATGCTCGCTCGACATGACGGACGGCCTTCGTTCGGACCGTCGTCGAGTCAGTCGGTACACTAGTCGCTCTATATTACTTCTAGCACCACCTCTACCAGTTGCTAGCTTCGGGCGATTCAGTGATCCCCCCGAGGTCATTAAAGTATTAACGAATTCCCCCTCGTCGTCGCTTGATTGAAACTTCTCTTGCTTGCATGTCTTTTCTGACTCTGACTGCCCGGCTGCCCTGGCTGGAGGAGCACTAATTGAATAAAAATGAGACGATAAGGCCCAGTGTGCTACGAGCTGCGCGCGTGCTTTATTGTTTCGTCCCTTTTCGTTTCTTTTTCTCTCTCATCTTGTCTCTCTTATTTCGAAATTGGAACCGAAAAGCGTGGACGCGCGGGCGTCGACGCTCCGCCTCAGTTGCTGCTGCTGCTGCTGCTGCTGCTTCTGCTTCCCGGAAGGAGGAGAAGGGGGGCCGAGGACGACCTTCCATTTTTCAAAACCCGACTGCGACGTGCCGCGCTTTCTCGTACCTCATCTCATCCTCCCCCTTCCCTTGTTCCCGCGGATCCAATCGACATGGCAACAGTCCGCTGCCACGACGATTGTCGGCTGGATGCCGGGCCGTCCCGGAGCGGGATTGAGGCGACAGAGACGGAGACAAGCACCGAGATGGAGACGGAGTCGGCGCGGAGAAGAAGACGGCGGAGGCGACGGCTCGCCAGCCTCGCTCCCCCTTCACTCCTCGTCGTTGTCCCCGCTGCTGCTGCTGCTGCTGCTGCTTCCGCCGCCGCCTCGGCTTCAGCCTACGACGGAAATGGCGACGACGAGCCGGGCAGGGCGATCGTCATCGACGCCAATCGGGCGCTGCCCGACATGGTGACTCGGCACAAGAAGCGCCTCGCCAAAAGAGCCGGCCCCACCGTCGAGCAGGCGTTCACCGTCAATGTCTCGCCGCCGACGACGTGCGAGCCGCTGAACATTACGTTTGACCCGCGCGGCGCGACGCCGCCATTTACCGTCTTTATCGCCACGGCCAACTGGTACGCGCATGCGGTCCAGCGTGAGTGTCTGTCGCATCCTCTCTCTCAATGCAACAATAAATGCTGACATGTCGGATCGCTTGGATCGCCAAGTCCCCGCCAGCTATGCGGACCCGTCGCTGGGCGCGTGGCTGTACCAGTACGAGATGCCGCAGTACAACACCGACTCGGTGCTGGCCGAGTCGCCGACGCCCGAGATTCTCGTCGTTGTCAGCGATGCCTCGGGCTCGCGCTTCAACTCGTCGTCGATCCAAAAGACGAAGCAGGTCGAGACGAGCTGCACAGCCGTGAGCGGCAGCCTCGACTTCAGCTTTGCCTCGAACCCGACGCAGACGACGTGCAGCCCGATGAATGTCACCATCTACACCGACTCGCCGGCGCCGGGCCTGCCGGACTTTGTCGGGCCCAAGGGCAGCAACCTGCAGCTGTTCATCATGCCCGAGCAGGCGCCGCCGATCATGGTGCCGTTTCCCTGGAACAACGGCACCACACGCTCGCTCCTCTGGAACATGGTCCTCGCCCCGGGCACCAACTTTATCATGACGCTCACCGACGACGGTGCCGGTGGCGGCGTCAGTGGCGTCAACCTCGTCGCCGGCAGCGAGTACGTGTCGACGGACTGCATGCAGAGTGCAAAGACGACGGCGGGCATACCCCGGGCGACGTCGACATTCACCGGGCCGATGCCCGACTTCACCACGTCGGTCGCCTCGCTGACGACATCCAACGGCGTCGTCAGCACGGCGACGGCGCTCCAGACGGTGCGCCACGGCGCCCTGCTCCAGACGAGCGACCTGTCGGTGGGCCAGATTGCGGGCATTGCCGTGGGCATTGCCGTCGTCGCCGGTCTTCTCGCTGCGCTGGCCTCGTGGTGCTTCTGGCGGCGGCGGCGCGCGGGCCTGCGCAGCGGGCGCATGACGCGCTGGGATGTGCCCAAGGCCGCCCAGTCGCAGCTCAGCGACGGCGGCGCATCCACGCTGCCCGTCGACCGGCAGCTGCTCAAGCACCAGTCACGCGCTGCAGCTGCGGCTGCGCAGCGCCAGCGCGGCGAGCGCGGCCAGTCGGTCTTCTCGGCCTCGTCCGACTCGGACGGCAGCCAGGGCCAGCGCGTGGGCACCGTCGCCCCGGCGCTCCTGCGCGCGTCGCAGACGAGCGACCTCGCCTCGATGCACGACTCGTCTCCCTCGGCCTTTGGCCCTAGCCATGGCCCCAGTACGAGCACAAGCACGGGCACGGGCACGGGCACAGGTACGGGTACAGGCACAGGCACCTTCTCGAGCACCAGCAGCAACATCAATGGCCAGCAGCCCGGTGCGATGGCGACGAGGCCTTACTCGGACTCGTCGCCCCAGTCGAGCCACTTCTACTACGATGCTGCGCCACGGCCTGCGCACCACGGCCAGATGACCATGTCCACCTCGTCGTCGTCGTCGAACAGCGGCATCGGCATCGCAGGAGCAGCAGCAGCTGGAGCAGCAGCAGCAGCAGCAGCAGGCGCAGGCGCAGGCCGCGAGAGGAGCCAGTCGACGGCCTCGTCGGCCTACCGCTCGCCGTTCCAGACGCCGCCTGCGCTGTCCTCGGCCGACACCGGTGCTGAAAGCCTCGCCCTCGTCGACTCGTCCCGCTTCAGCAGCAGCAGCAACCACTACATCCACGGCCACCACCACCACCACCAGCAGCAGCAGCAGCAGCCCTACTTTGGGTCCAGCTACCACCACCCACACCACAACAGCTTCCCCTACTCGGCCTCGCGCATGTACACGGCCATGGGCAGCAGCAGTGGCGAGACGCAGCCGATGATGCGCGGCTCCGGCAGCCAGTCGGGCGCCTCGGCTGCGTCTGCCTCAGCCTCGGCCACGCGCGGCTACTATGTCCAGCACTCGGACGCCGGCCTGCTCCTCGACGACTCGCTCGACGACGACGACGACGTCGACGGCTCCAACGGCCTCGAGCTCCCGCCGCAGTACGACACCATCCAGCGCAGCGAGGCTGAGCGCCAGCGCCAGTCGCTGCGCAGCCAGGCACGCGCGAGCCGCGGTGCAGCAGCTGGTGCATCTGCCTCCACGCCTGCCTCTGCCTCGACGCCCTCGACGAGAGGCGCAAGTGGCGGAGGCGAGGCCGTCGAGCTGCTCGACACAGAGGACGGCACCGGCACCTACGGCCTCGGCGACTTTGACGAGGAGGACTTCTGGCGCGCACCCACGACGCCGGCCTCGACGGGCAACCACACGCCCAGCAGCTGATGCACGCATACACACACCTTTTAACACACACTCGCTCTCTCTCTCATTTTCCTTTTTCTTATTGGCGCTTCCTCTCTCCCTATCTATCTGTCTCTCTCTCTGTACACTAGGCGACATACAGCTTCTATAGTCAGCTCCATACGTCAGCTCCATACGTCAGTCTCATACGTCAATCTCATCGCCCGTTCCATCGCCAGTCCACTGCCCCTTCATTGCCCGTTCCATCGCCACTTCATTGCCCGTTCTATGCGCCAGTTCACGGTCAGTTCCACACGCCCTCCTTTTGCAGTCGCTTTCCAGTCGAGAGAAGGACGGGGCTCAGTCTGTGCTCAGTCGAAGCAGATTGAGAAGCTGGGCCCGGCTCACCTCGGGCGCAATGTCGATGGCGACGAGGGCCTCGCACACGGCGCGGCCCGCCCAGCGCTCCAGAACGTCGACCTCGTGCGGCGTGATAAACTGCTGCGTGGTCCGGTTGGCAAAGACCATCTGGGCGGCGCCCGTGCGGATGCGGCCGCCCTTTGCGCCCTCGTCGACGGCGGCGGCGAGGTGGTTGAGGAGGAAGGTCTCCATCTCAAACGTCTGCAGCTGCGGCACGCGCTCCTGCAGCACCGCGGCCAGATTGGCGTTTGCGTCGACGAACAGCGACGTCTGGCGGCCCTGCGATGAGTAGAAGCTGCCGTGCCAGGCTCAGTAGGGCGAAGAGGGCACTCCTCATCATCAAGTTGGAGGGAAGTCTCACCTGTCTGCGCTGGCGTTTGTGATGTTGCCCAGGGCACGCGGGGGTGCACCGCCAAACAGCGCCGGATCCGCGGGCGGGAGCGTCGCCTGAAGCGAGCGCACGAGGGCGTCGTGCACCTCGCCGTCGCAGTCGAGCTGGTCGTTGGGTGGGCGCACAGCATGAAAAGTCAGGCTTGAAAAGGGGGGACAGGGCAGGGGAGCACACTCACGGGCTTCGTGATCGTGTACGGCTCAATGGACCCGCTGGCGCGCTCCTCGGCCGTCGTCGACGGGTGGAAGTAGTCGTAGTTTCTCGTCACACCCACCGAGGCCCGGGGCACGACGACGGAGCCGATGGGCGCGTCCGAGGAGAGGGAGCCACACTGTGGGAGCAACACTTCAGTCTTTCTCAAGTCAATCTCTATGCAGCAGAAGGCAGCCACTCACCGAGCCCAGGCGGACAATGACGAGGTCGCCCGACACGACGGCGGCGCACTCGCGCACGAAGAAGTCGACGAGCTGCCGCATGCGCTCGCCGTCAGCTCTCCTCCCTTTCCTCGCCCGTCTTACAGACCCACTCACACTGAAGCCCATGCCAATGGCGACGACGGTGATGGGCACCCCGCGCACGGTGCCCGTGAGCGTGAGAAAGTTGCGCTGCGACTCAAACTCAAACAGGGCCTGGCCGCCGTCGAAGCTGCTCTCGACGACGCGCCGCGCCCGCACGTGGTCGCCGACGGTGATGATCCGGTTCGCCACCTGGCCCGCCTTGGTGCCGACGTGGTACGTGCGGCCCTGGGCGTCGCGCGGGAAGTTGGCGTCGAGGAGCACGTCCTTCATCGTGGCGAGGTCCTGGTGTGCAGTGCTGTGCAGTGCAGTGCAGCGCCCTCCAACGAAGACGGACAGTGCGCACCGACGTGCGTAAAATTAAGGTTGCGCATTCGGGTCTTCGGCCGTGCGGCACGTGACTTTCCTCTTCTCCACCGCGCCCGTCGCACAGGGCAGCGCGGTGCAGCGCAGGCCAGGCCAAGCAAGACCAGACCGGACCAGTCAAGACAAGGATAGGGCTCGCACCAGGCAACTACCGACGAGCACGATGATGCCGAGGCCGCGCTCGGCGTCTTCGTCGGCGGGCAGGGGCTCGCTGTCGTCGGCGGGGTCGCCTTCGTCTGCGTCGTCGCCGTCGCTGGCCTCGTCGACGTCGGACGCGGCGCACGGATCGCGGGAGCAATTCGACGAGGCCTTCTTGCCGCGCATCGTCTCCATCTTCTTTGCCATCTTCCACCCCACCGAGGGGCCCAAGGTGCTCTACCAGGTCCCCGAGGGCACCATTGGGGTCGACGAGGGCAGCGGTGCGGCAGAGGGGCCCTCGGGCCTGTTTGACTTCAAGCACCTGTCCGACTACATCATCCCCAAGGCGCCCCTCTGCGGCCGGCTGGTAACGTGCAACGGCGCAGGGCATGCCAGCGGAGGCACGCGCCAGACATTCAAGGTGCTGGGCCACCCCGTGGTGCTCGTCGACGAGGCAAAGTACCCGCGCAACAACTTCATCTTCAACCTGGCCTTTGTCTTTGACGGCCGAGCCGATGTGCGCGCGTACGAGGCCGTGGTGCGCAAGTGCGCGCGCCAGCTCAAGGAGCTCGAGGTGGGTGTTCAATCTCAGGCTCTGTCACTTATGTCACTTAGACGACGCTGACTGGAAAGAGCAGCTCAACATGTCCTTTCTCTCGGGCCCCACGTCGCAGAAGCGCATGCACGGCATCATCGAGCAGATGTTCGAGGACCTCAACTCGTACTGCGAGTCCTTTATCGCCCTGCCCGAGGCGCCGCATACGCGCTACCTGGCGGTGGCCGATGACGAAAGAGAAGAAAAGGGACTGCCAGCAGAGGAGCGACGGCCAGAAGAGCAACCACCGCCAGCACTCGTCGGCTCGCTCGCGGCCGCGCCGATGCTGGCGCCGGGCAAGCGGGAGCCGCCGCACGGGCTGGGCCGCACGGTGCGCGAGGCCATCAACCTCAAGCTGTTTAACCAGTACGCGAACCCGCCACGGGTGCAGGACTGGGAGGTGCCCGTGGCGTTGTTGAATGTCGCGGGGCGTGTCGACGACAACTGGGACCTGACAATGGCGCGCGTGCTGCCCTTTGTCGACGGCGTCAACCACGTCAAGCGCATCGCCCAGCTCGCCGACGCAGACCTGGAGCTGACGCGGCAGTGCATCGAGCACCTGCTCTACTACGGCTGCGTCATGACCCTCGACACGTTTCAGTTTTCCAACATGTATGCGACGCGGCCGCAGATTGCGCAGCTGGCCGATGGCGAGAGCATCATTGCCGAGTGCGCCGCCTACGTGACGCGGCCTGGCTACGCGCTGCCGTCGTGGCCCGAGCTGCTGCGGCTGTATGCGGCCCTGCGGCCGGGCATCACCCTCGCCGAGTGGATCGAGGACGAGGAGGTGGACCGGCTGGGCATCGACGTGCGCCGCTTCGTCACCTTTGCCACCATCAAGGGCTTTCTCCGCCGCGTGCACCGCTACCCGGTCCTGTTACCGTCGTCGTCCAAGCACGGCGGCGGCGGCGACGCGCACAGGAGCCGGGAGCGGTCTGCCGATGTCCTGCGTGCCTCGCCGTCGCACTCGCAATCGCGCTCGCCCGCCGCTGGACGCGCACCGCGAGGGAGCACACCAGCAGCACGGACGCGCCACGAGACGACGTCGACGGTCGTCTCTGGCCGCGAGTCGTCGCCGCTCGTGAGCCACAAGTCGTCGTTTGGCACGCTTGGCGGCGGCGGTGGCAGCACGACTCGGAGCCGGCGCCGGAGCCAGCAGCAGCAGGCGGCGAGCGCAGCCTCAGCCACGGCGACGGTCATCGATGTGGCCAACGTCGCCTTTGTCGAGCCGCACCGGCGCAGCTCGTCTTCAACCAAGGGCCGCGCCAGTGTGGGTGCTGGTGCCAGTGCCTGCGCGAGTACCACAGCAGTAGCAGCAGCGGGGCGCACAGGCACAGACGAGACGCCGCCGCCGCCGCCGCTGCTGCCGTCGGGTGCACGTGCCATCCCGCCCGATCTCGCGCCGCTCCTCGACGGCACGCGCTCCGACGACGAGCTGTGTGCGCGCTTCTCGATGCCCTGGGTCGACCTGCAGCGCATCCTCGTCCAGCTCGGCCACAGCCATCCAGCAGGAGCAGCTGGAACCCCCGCAGCGGCTGACGGCGAGCACAGCGACGACGAGGCCGCGTTGGCCTCGCACTTTCACCAGTCCGGCTATGCCTCGGCCTTCCAGCAGCCGGGCTTCTCGGCCTTTTCCAGCATCGCCGGCCCGGCCTCGAGCGGCTTCACGCCCAGGAAGCTGACCAAGCAGCAGCAGTCGCAGCAGCAGCAGCAGCAGCCACCGCCCCGCCAGCGCGCCGTCGACGACCTGCCGCCGACGCCGACGCCGCCGACAGGAGGAGCAGCACAGCGCGACGGCGGCGGCCGCTCCTCGGCCTTTTCGCGCACCACGACGGGCGCAGACTCGGCCAGTGGCTGGATCCGCAGCAGCGCCGGTGGTGGCGGCGGCGGCCTCGCAGACAGCGCCACTGATGCCCTCGGCTCGACGGCGGCCGCGACGCTCATGGAGCGCGAGAGCATGAACCGCGGCGACTATGGCCGTGTCAAGATCCTGCTGCGCTGAGCTGCTTACACTGTACACTACCTCATTCCCTGGGCGCATACCCAATGCAATGATCTCTACTATCCTCTACTGGCCCCTTTCTTCCAGTGCCACTACCTCTTCTATCCTCAAGCGGCGCTTTGTTCCAGTGCATCTACTGCTCTTGAATGATTTGCTCAATTGGCGCTCCCTTTCAATGAAACGCTTCACACTTCCTCCCTCCTCTTCACGCTGATTGCCTGCTGCGATGGTGGTAGTACTGTACATGTGCGGTCTCTCTATCTTGTCCGGTCACAAGACCATGTAGACGGCCATGACGATACACGCGAGCGAGACGTAGGGCGAGAGGCGCTCGCCTGCCGCATTGTCCCACGTTGGTCGTTCACAGTCAGGGATCCAATACAGGTCGGCATTGCCAGGACGGGCCACTCACCGATGCGCGCGCCCTTGTAAAAGAGGCCAAGGAAGCCCTGCCGGTTGCGGTCGATGAGGCCGGGCGCAGAGGCGCGCAGGTAGGTGCAGGTGCAGATGCTGAGCAGGATGACGAGGAGCAGCGACGAAAAGTTGAAGAGCGCCGACTGTGTGTGTGCGGTCAGGCATCAGCGATCTGTGCTCTATCCTGTGGCATCGTGGATCAGAAACACCCACCATCTTCTCTCTCTCTCTCTCTCTCTCTCTCTCTCTCTCTCTCTCTCCTTTTGTTCTTCGTCTGCACTGGAAGTATGGTCCTCTGCCCGGGAGTGCTCTAAGTTGGTGTGCGCCAGCTAGAAGATCTGAACAGCGCCGATTGAACGACGTTTGGTGGAGAATAAGGCTTGCTGCAGGCCAGGGCCAGAGACGAGCACGTGGAAAAAAAAGTTAGAATCCCATCTCCATCTTCCAAAAAGCCAACTTTCCTCAGCGTGTCCGTCTGTCCCATCGCGCATATAAAGGAAAGCAAGGCAAGATGGGCGACGTGGCGACAGAGGACAAGGCGCAGGTGCAGCTGCGCCAGCGCGTCGCAGGCCAGCTGGCACAGGCGGGCCAGTCGTCCAATGACGTCCTCGCCGGCCGCGTCGTCGACATGGCGCGCTCGCTGCGTGGCGAGGTCGCCTTTGTCGGTGCGCTCGGCGCCCTGTTTGGGCGCGACAAGGTGCCGCGCCAGGTGGCCAGCGCCATCCTCGATGAAGTTGAGCGCGTGCCGCCGCCGTCGACGTCGAGGTCCACAGGAGCGCAGGGGAACGAAAGCGACGGCTCACAGGCGGCACGCGCGGCGCCGACGAGGGCCGGACTCAGCACGGGCAGCGGTGAGAAGCACGTCTTTGTGGCGCGCTCGTCTGGCTCTGGCGCCTCGTCGTCGAAGCAAAGACCAAGCGAGGAAGCGCCCGCCCGCAAAAAGATCAAGGTCGACTCGGCCCTCGATCTGGCCGCTTCACTCGATGGGGAAGACGAGGGCAGCGGGGAGCAGGGACTGAATGCGGCGCAGTTCAAGGTCCCCGCGAGGCCAGCGGCCAAGACACACGCCAGGCTCAAGGGCAGCGAGACGCCCTCGCACCCCGGCGGGCTCTCGGACACGGCGCGGCAGCGGCTCGAGGAGTACAAGCAGAAGCGCGCGGCGCGGCAGGCCCAGGCCGCCACCACCACGAACACCACTACCTCGAAGGACGACGAGCACCCGCGGCTGGGCCAGGACACATTCAACGAATTCAAGGACCGGCTCAACCGCGACATTCGGCAGCGGCCGGAGTCGACTTCGAAACCGCCGCCGCCCGAGTCCGAGTCCAGATCCAACCCAGCCCCGGACAGACGGCGGCCCTGGCTGGATGCGACGCCGCGGGAGAACGGCCGCGCGTCAGGACTCGATCCGAGGAGCAGAGGCAGCAGCGGCAGCAATGGTGCACGGCAGGGAGCAAGGGACTCAGCGCCAGGCGCGCGCTCCTGGGATGCCACGCCGCGGAGTGTGAGGGGGGGAGGCCAGTCGTGGGATGCTACGCCGCGGAGTGTGCGCGGCGGTCAGTCGTGGGACGCCACGCCGAGGAGCGTCCGTGGGGGAGGCCAGTCGTGGGACGCAACTCCGCAGCCAAGATCAGCGAGAAGAGAAAAGGACGAGGACGGCCGGCTCACGCTCGCGGGCCGCAACTGGGAGCCCGACGACGACGAGAAGCAGGCCATTGACCGGGACTGGTACGGGGCCGAGGAGGCGGGCGGCGTCGTGGGCGACGACGACCACAACCCGTTTGCCGACTATGCCGAGGCCGAGGCGCAGGCGCAGGCGCAGGCGCAGGTGCAGCAGAAGGCGAGGCTGAGCGCACGCCAGCTCCAGCGCAAGCAGGAGGTCGACGACTGGGAGGAGGACCGGCTGCGGGTGAGCGGCGTGGGCGCACGGCGCGCCATCGACCTCGACCACAGCATGAACGACGAGTCAGAGAGCCAGGTCCATCTCCTCGTCCACGACCTCCGCCCGCCGTTTCTCGACGGTAAAACCGTCTTTACGCGCCAGCTCGAGCCGGTGAACCCGGTGCGAGACCCGACGTCGGACATGGCCGTCTTTTCGCGCAAGGGCAGCCGCCTCGTGCGCGAGCGTCGCGAGCAGAAGGAGCGCCAGCGCGCCGCCGCCAAGGCTGCCGCCCTCGCCGGCACTGCGCTGGGCAACATCATGGGTGTCAAGAGTGAAGAGGAGCAGGAGGAACAGCAACAAAAAGGAGAAGGAGGAGGCAAGGAGGAATACAGCCACAAGAGCGAGTCGCAGTTTGCCTCGCACCTGAAAAAGGACAAGGGCGGCGGCTCGGCCTTCAGCCGGGGTAAGACGCTCAAGGAGCAACGCCAGTACCTGCCTGCGTTTGCCTGCCGCGACGAGCTGATGGCCATGATCCGCGAGAACCAGGTCGTGGTCGTCGTCGGCGAGACGGGCAGCGGCAAGACGACGCAGCTCACCCAGTTCCTGCACGAGGACGGGTACACGCGCAACGGGCTCATCGGCTGCACCCAGCCGCGCCGCGTGGCCGCCATGAGTGTGGCTAAACGAGTCAGCGAGGAGATGGACGTCGAGCTGGGGTCTACCGTCGGCTACTCGATCCGCTTCGAAGACTGCACGAGCAGCAGCACGGCCATCAAGTACATGACCGACGGCGTCCTCCTCCGCGAGTCGCTCAACGAGGGCGACCTGGACCGCTACAGCGCCATCATCCTCGACGAGGCCCACGAGCGCAGCCTGAGCACCGACGTGCTCATGGGGCTGCTGAAAAAGATTCTCGCGCGCCGCCGCGACCTGCGTCTGATTGTCACGTCGGCCACGATGAATGCCGACAAGTTTGCTGCCTTTTACGGCGGCGCACCCACCTTCACCATCCCCGGCCGCACCTTTCCCGTCGACGTCCTCTTCAGCAAGGCGCCGTGCGACGACTACGTCGAGAGCGCCGTCAAGCAGGCCCTCTCCATCCACCTCACCCACGGCGCCGGCGACATTCTCGTGTTCATGACTGGCCAGGAGGACATCGAGACGACGTGCGACGTCATTGCCGAGCGCCTGACTCAGCTCGACGACGAGGCGACGCCCCCGCTGCTCGTCCTGCCCATCTACTCGCAGATGCCCGCCGACTTGCAGGCCAAGATCTTCAACCCGACTGAGCACGGCGAGCGCAAGTGCGTCGTCGCCACCAACATTGCCGAGACGTCGCTCACCGTCGACGGCATCATGTACGTCGTCGACGCCGGCTACAGCAAGCTCAAGGTCTACAACCCGCGCGTGGGCATGGACTCGCTCCAGATCACGCCCATCAGCCGCGCCAATGCCAACCAGCGCGCCGGCCGCGCTGGACGCACGGGCCCTGGCAGTGCCTACCGCCTCTACACCGAGACGGCCTTCCAGGAGGAGCTGTTTGAAAACGGCATTCCCGAGATCCAGCGCACAAACCTGGCCAACACGGTGCTCCTGCTCAAGAGCCTCGGGGTAAAGGACCTGCTCGAGTTTGACTTCATGGACCCGCCGCCCCAGGACAACCTCTTGACTTCCATGTTCCAGCTCTGGGTCCTGGGTGCGCTCGACAACGTCGGCGACCTCACCCTCGTCGGCAAGCGCATGTCCGAGTTCCCCATGGAGCCGAGCCTGAGCAAGATGCTCATCGCCAGTGCCTCGCCCGAGTACGGCTGCTCGGCCGAGGTTCTTTCTATCGTCGCCATGCTCTCGGTCCCCTCGGTCTTTTACCGGCCCCGCGAGCGGCAGGACGAGGCCGACGCCGCGCGCGAAAAGTTCTACGTCGCCGAGAGCGACCACCTGACGCTGCTCCACTGCTACACCCAGTGGCGCACCAACGGCTACCGCGACGCCTGGTGCAACGCCCACTTTCTCCACGCCAAGGTGCTCCGCAAGGCCCGCGAGGTGCGCACCCAGCTCGAGGACATCTGCAACACCCTCAAGCTGCCCATTGTCTCGTGCGGCACCGACTGGGACACGGTGCGCAAGTGCGTCGCCGCCGGCTTCTTCCACCAGGCGGCGCGAGCCAAGGGCATTGGCGAGTACGCCAATGCGCGCACGGGCGTGCCCCTGCAGCTGCACCCCACCAGCAGCGTCTCGGGCGCGGGCGTGCAGCCGGCTTTTGTCGTCTTTCACGAGGTCATTGCCACGGCCAAGACGTACATGCACACCGTCACGGCCGTCGACCCGCACTGGCTCGCCGAGCTCGGAGGCGTCTTCTTTAGCGTGCGCGAGCGCGACGTCAGCGGCGCCCGCTCGCGCCTCGGCCAGCGCGACGCCGAGTTCAGCAAGCGCCGCGAGATTGAAATGGCCTTTGTGCGCGACAAGGAGCAGGAGCGCCGCCGCGACGAGGCCCTGCGCCGTAAAGAGGAGGCCAGCACGCCGCGCATGGCCATGCCCGGCAGCGCCACGCCGCGCCGGGGTCGCCGCTTCTAGCCTGTGCAATCCTCTTCCCGTCATTCATGTCCCTGCCCGTTCATGTGACTGATATTCATGTACTTTTACCACACTGCACTACGTACTCCATACCACAATGCTGCCTGCACTCACCCACCCGCCGACGTTCGTTTCATTGTGTGACGGGTGGTTAATTTGCTCCACGTGGCTGTCATGTGTTTGTGGCTGCGATGTGATGTGATCTTATCGTAAAAGTCACCACGCTAAGATCACAATCTTGGAAGCGCGTCTTCGGAATCGCGCTGGAACGCCCGCTAGCTCAGAAAAAAAAAAGAAGAAAAAAGGTACAGGTGGTGTTGTTCTGCGCGTTCTGAGAATGGCAGACAATAATATAGCATGGTCCATTGCTGCCCGGACAAACGATCCTAGCGCCACGGCGGGGCCGAGTGGATCGAGCATGCTGGTGTTGGCGGACTTTCAGGAGGCTGGCCCGGGTCCGCAATGCAGATTAATTAAGAACGTGCGTCCCGCAACCGAGTCGTAGTGAGTTGAGTGAGCAGAGGACGGAAACCTCCGGCGCGGTGCGCATCGCTGCGCTGCCGCGCCTTCGATCTGGGTTTGTTTGTAATGTCGAGCGCGCCGGCATACCAGCGTGTTGGTCCGCGCTAAGAGGAAAATAAAGAGAAGAGCCACTATATTTCAGCGCAGCCAATATGGCCAAGATTGACCAGACGCATCCCTCTGGCTAAATTTGAGGGCCACACACAAAGGGAGCCGTTTCCCTTTGTCAGGCAGGGCGAGAGCGAGAGAGCGAGAGTCGTGAGACGCATCCAGCGCCCCCTTCTATCTAGCTGTCGACCATCGTTCTATCAGCGCTGCCGCGGCTGTCGTCCCAGCAACTTGGGGCTGGCGAATCTGCATGCAAAACTGACGTGCGACGGGCCCTGCTGACGATGCATTGTGAAAAGGACAGGCCGACTCGAGTTTGACCCCCAAGAACAACACCGAAAACACCCAAGACTGTCTCACTTCCATCCTCATCCCTCTCCATCGATCCATCATCATCGCCCGTGCAGTAGCCGGCATTGACGAACTGTGCCATGAGCGGGGCTACCCACGAGGGCTTCCTATTTTTCCTCGAGCCCATGGGCGAGGACCAGGCAGAGGCGGGCAAAACATCGACGGCGGCGACGAGCAGCTCGTCACACCGGCTCGAACGACGACGCAAGGCGAGCGAGCTGGCCCTGCGCGCGATTGCGGGCCGCGACACGGCAGACCGACGGCGGGGTGCTGTCGATTGGCGCGAGCGCTGGTGCTCGCTCCGTGGCGATGTCCTCCATGTGTACGACGACCGGTGCGTTGCTCAGTCGCTGCTGCTTCTTTTCTTGCTTCTTTCTTTTTCACTAACCTGATACTCATGTAGCCTGGCGAGCTTGGCGACACCATCCGAGCCCGCGCCGAGACAGGTGTTGCTGAGCGACTACCAGCATCTGCAGACGACCGGCAGCTTCGACCCGCGCAACCAGGGCGTGTGGGAGCTCACGCTCTCGCGGCGACCGCCCACGACGGCATCGGCCAGGACGCTGCCCCGGTCGACGACGAGCGGCAGCATCAGCTCCTTCTTTGACCGCCTCGGCAGCAGCTCCAGCAATCTCAGCGGTTTGGCCACGGCAAAGACGAGCACCGAGGAGACTACGCGATGGCACAAGCTCACCCACCGACCACGGCGGCTCTACCAGCTCATGTCTTCTTCTTCGAGCAGCAGCAGCAGCAACAACACCATCAACAACGACGGCAGCAACACAGGCACCAGGTCAAGGACCGTGAGCAGCAGCAGCAGCACCATGACCATTGGCTCGTCGGCGCAAGACCACGGTCAAGCTGCTGCAATGGCGACTAAAGACGCCGACGCGGCGCCCCTCGTGCTGCGCGTCGGCGACGCCCAGGCCATGGTGCGGTGGTCAGAGGCGATTGCCGCCGTTCTGCGCGATGCTCAGAGCGCAGAATCACCGAGTGACGTGGCCGTCGCCCTTGGGCCCCGCCATCGACAGCGTCCCTCGCTCTCGGTTTTTGTCGACGAGCGACCGCCACGGGACGACGACCCCGTGCTCACCGCCGGCGCTGCGTCTCGGAAGCGCAGAGGCGACCCCATCGCCTCGGGCCTCGTCCGGCAGTCTGCTGCCTCGCCGCCGCCCTCGTCATCGTCACCGATTCCCCCGCCAAGCTCGTTCCAGATGACGTCCAAGGCCAAGAGCAGCGCAGTCGTCGTGTCCGACATCATGACAAAGTCCAGCTCCAAGTCCCGGTCCAGGTCGCGGCCCGTCACTGCGCAGGGCCTCCTGGACCAGCACCGCCTGTCGACGGCATCGACGGCGTCTCCTCCTGCTTCGACCCGTCGCGCCTCGCTAGCCTCGACGCTTTCAAGGCCAAGCACGGCCTCGGGCCGGCTCTCCACCGAGGACTCGGGCCGCAAGAGGGACAGTCTGCGGAGCATTCGCAGCAACAGCAGCAGCAGCGCCTCTCCGCGCGTGCTCCTGTCCCTCTTTGGCCCCGTCTCAAGCGAACCGGGCCAGGGCGAGGACAGACTCACACCGTGGGCCGCGGAAGAGCCCCTCGACGGCCGACCGACAGCGAGGCCAAGCGAGGGCCTGGGGCTGGACCTCGGCCCGCGGCCATCGCCTATCTCGGCATACGATCAGTTCTGCACCAGTCACTTTTCCTCCCCATCAGACGCCCTTGTTGTTGCTGCTGGTGACGAAGACCGAGAGGAACAGGAGATCCTGCACAGCCCTGCCTCGACGACGGCGCCCGCAGCGATGATCCCCCGGAGCCAGTCGCTCCTCAACCTCGCCCAGCGGGCCTCCAAGGCGACGAGGAGCGTGCTGTCGCCGTCGGCGGCCGCATACAATCTCCGCAAGAGCGTCTCGTTCCAGAAGCCTGCCGTGCTTGACCGGCAGGACAACGAAGATGGCCGCACGCCCGCGTGCTCCTCCGTCGACAGCTTCGAACTCGTGCATGCATCGCCATCGCTGCCCGCCATCAGCCTCGCCGACTCACCGAGCAGCATCGGCAGCCACGGAAGCAGCGTGGTGCTTGCCAGCCTCTCACCGGCGCCTCGCACACCCTCTCCCTCGTTCGCCATCATCAGCAGCAGCAGCATTAGTACCAATGCTGGTCCTGCAAACGGCAACGCGGGCAAGAAGACGCATTGGACGCTTCTGTCTTCGTCGACTTCAAAACGAGCACGCCTCACTGCGACGGCCAAGAAGCTCGCCTCGCCTCGCTCTTCGCCCTTGAGCTTCTCCTCGACGACGCTGTCCTCTTCCTCTGCCGATGGCCACGACACTGGTGCAAGTGCAGGTGCAGACGCAGACGCAGACGCAGACGCAGGTGCAGTTGCGACGGCGAGGAACAACTCGCTGCCGACGAACGGCATCCACTGCGGCAGCTCAACTGCGACTTTTTCCTCTTCCTCGGTCTCATCGTGCTCCTCGCCGCCATCGACGCCCGTCGTGGCCGAGATGCCCCGTGCTGCTGCTCCCCTGCCCATGCTCGTCCAGCGCATTCTACCGCCCGAGGAGATCATCTCGACACTCGATCGCATCCGCAAGCTCGAGCTCGAAGAGGCAGCCAGCGTCGATGATGATGCTGCTGCCGCTGCTGCTGCCGACGGCGGCAGCCTTGCCATTGCGGGCAACGCTGGCAGGAGCACACCCGTGCTCGATCACCACCACCATCTCAGGGCGCTCTCGACGTCGATCAGCCTCGCTGAGATGTGCGAACAGAAGCGCAAGCCAGACGGGCTCCATCCACAGTACAACCACCACCACCAGCACCACCACCAGCACCGGCCTGGCTCTGCACAGCGACCGAGGACGATGCGCCCAGCCACATCGGCAGACCAGCTCTCGCTCTCGCCGGCGCCCAGGGCAAAGAGGCAGCAGTCGCGCCTCTTTCGTGTGCACAGCGACGGCGACGGCGACGGCAACGGCGAAGGCACCGACGACGGTAACCGCAATGATGCGACGGCCGTGCACGTCGACTTGCGAAGTGGAGCTGCGATGAGCACCGAGGCGACATCGCAGCAGCTGCCGTCCACGCCACGGTCCTCGAACAAACGAGGCAGCGCAGCAGAAGGCACCGCGCGGCCGAGGAGAGAGACGATGAAGGGCTCGAGCGCGAGTGCAAACGCAGACGAAAATGCAGGCGATCAGCACGAGACACCGGGACGCACAGGCAGCAAGAGGAGCGCCATGGGCGACCGCACTAATGCTTCGCTGCCCATGTCCTGGTCCACGTCGACGGTGACGCCAAAGCAGCAGCGACAGAGGACGAGGTCCATCTCGGGCGCCTTTTCGACGCCATGAAGGCCTCTCTCTCGTGTACTATAGTAGTAGTAGTAGTAGTAGTAGTAGTAGTAGCGACGTGAAATCTGTTATAGTAGCACCTAATAATCGAGGATTGTTCCTCAACCTCTCTTCTTTGTAAGGATACAACCATGTACTGTACTACTGTCTCCTCTCTTGTCGCGCCTGATGTGCAAGTGAGCAATATTGGCATGTTGAAAGCCGATGATGATTTTCAGAGTTGTTACTTTTCGTCTACGGTCCGAGAATGTCAAGATGTGAGTGTGCGTGTGTGTAGGTGTGAAGGGGGGGTATGTTGAGCACCCCTGTTACAGTAATTGCAGGAGAAGGGGATGAGAAAGCCGTTTTGCTTCTAGAAATGCAAGGGCGGAAGGCGCGCCTTAGAGGACGTTGACCTTTGCTGCAAGAAGGAAGAGAAGGGTTAGCATAAGAAGGGAAGGCAGGAAGGGAGAGGAAGAGAACTTACGCTCAAGAGGAAGCGTCGGGCCGTTCTGGCCAATGCAGATGCCGCCGAGCTTCTGGCCGACTGCGACGGCCTCCTCGACCGACTTGCCCAGAATCAGGGCACCGAGCACACCACCGGCCATGGCATCGCCCGCGCCGTTGGTGTCGATGATGTCCGAGGGGTTCACCTTGGGCGTCGGGTACGCCTTGGTCTCGGCCTGGCCAGCATGGGCGACGATCGTAGCGTCGGCTCCCTGGGACACAATGACCGTGCGGGGAAGCGACGTCTCCGAGGGCAGGTCCGCCACGGCCTGGGCAATCTTGGCGAGATCCGTGGTGCCGAGGTTGTGCGACTCGGCATAGGCGGCAAACTCGGTCTCGTTGCCAAAGACAAGCGACGAGTAGGGGATGATCTGGTCCAGCTGGTCCTTGAAGAACTGGGGGATAAAGGGGGCCGAGAGATTGACCGAGAAGGGCACGTTGTTGGCCTTGGCCTTCTTGGCCAGGATCAAGGCGCTCTCGATGCCGTGGGTGAGGAAGAAGCCACCGAGGTAGAAGAACTTGGCCCGGTCGATGGCCTCCTTGGCCTCGGGCGTCTCCAGGTGGCTCTTGTTGAACTTCTCGGCAGCTCCCAGGCGCGTCACCAGGCTACGATCGTGACCGGTAAGGACGACGGCACACGTTCCCGTCGGTGTCTCCTTGTCCACCTGGTACACGCTGCGGAGGCCCTCGCGGTCGTTGGCGTCGCGCAGGTTGCCTGCGAACTTGTCGTCGCCCACGCAGCCGAGGTAGACGGTGCTCTTGGGCGGCAGCACGTACTGGGCACAGCGAGCCGCGTTCTGGGCAGCACCGCCGGCGACGTAGCTGACCTTGTAGTTGTCGACGACGTAGTCGTAGATGGACTGTATGCGTGGGTGATCAGCCTAAGAACGCCAACTGCGCCAAGTCACAAAAGCACACACCTCGTGCTTCGGCTCGATGAGGATGGCATCGTTGGACCTGATTGTTGAAGGATTAGTTGCCTGTACTGTCACCTCTTTTCGAGCGCCTCTACTCACTTGAGGTCGTACTATGAGTAAAAATATAAAGGGGGGGAAGGAGCATTCGTCAGTGAGTGGAGGAGCCCTGGGCGAGGAGTAAGACCATCGACACCTACCTTCTTGAGCACCTCTTCGCCGTCACGGACGGTCATGTCCAGCAGCGGGTTGCCCATAGCGACCAGCTCATAATTTCCGCCAGCCATTGTCGAGAAGTAAGTCTGTCAAGGTCGGTTGAGGTCTTGGAAGGTTAAGTGGAATGGCTCCGGGTAGGTTGATTCAAGCTCGCCTCTCTTCTTCTGGCGCAATGTGCTCGTGCGCACGTGCCAACAAGAAGGCTGACATAATCACTCTCCATGAGGCGATGCTTCCCGGCGATTGGCATTTTAGGCAGTACTGCACGATTCGATTTCTCACACAGAAGCCTTCGCGTGAATCTTGCCTCGTCGGACCTCGTTCAGCGCACAGTCGTGGGGCAAGCATGGTTGCAAAGTGTCCGGCTGACAACAGCCAGTCGCTGGAGCAGGAGAACTTCTGGGACGGCCACTGGGATGCGCACAAGGTTCGTTGATACGTGCACAGCCTTCGCTTCCTTCCCGCATTCTGACTGGTGTTTTTGGTCTCATGCGACCACAGGTTGGCTGGCTCATCTCGGGCTGTGCGGCGGCCGTGACGTGCGGGATTGCCCTGATCACCATCCTCGGGCACGCGCGCAACTACACGCGGCCGCTGGAGCAGCGCCAGATCATCCGTGTGCTCCTCTTTGCGCCCGTCTTTGCCGTCGTCAGCTTCCTCAGCTACCGCTTCTTCCGCTCTTACACCTACTAGTGCGTACTATATTCTCGCACACTTGGAAGCGCAGTCTCTGACATTCCTACAGCGAGCTCGCCGAGGTCGTCTACGAAGCATTTGCGATTGCTGCCTTTCTCATGCTCATGCTTCAGGTGTGTTCATCTCATCTCTAGGAGGGAGCACGTTGATGCTGACTCGGGGCTGCCCGTCTGCCTACAGTACATTGGCGACAACGTCGACGAGCAGAAGCAGGTCTTTATCAGCAAGGACAAGAAGCCGCTTCCGCTGCCGTTTTGCTGCCTGCGCTACCGTCCCTCCAAGGCCTACTTTCTCGTCCTCCTCAAGTGGTCTGTCGTCCAGTACGTCATTATCCGCCCCGCCCTGTCTGTCGCAGGCATCGTGACCGAGTACTACGAGGTGCTGTGCCAGTCGAGTCTGAGCTACCAATACGCCTATGTCTGTGAGTAGGCGGTGGACTTGTCATGTTTTGAGCGATGGAGAGGCGGCTGACGCTCTGCACGATGCAGATATCCTGGGCATCGACTTTGTCTCGATTTCCATCGCCCTCTACGGCCTCATTGTCCTCTACGCGCTCATTCGGCAGGATCTTAAGGGCCGAAGACCGCTGGCCAAGTTCATGACGATCAAGCTCGGCATCTTTTGTGCGTCTCCCACCGCGACGCTGCTCTTTCGAAGTTGGACTCGTGCTCATTTCTCCACCTCTTCCACAGTGATCTTCTACCAGGGCTTTGTCTTTTCCATCCTCGCCGACCGCGGCGTCATCAAGGCGACCGAGTACTGGACAAAGACAAACATCAGTGATGGTCTGAATGCGCTCTGGTGAGCTCTGCAGGTGCCATGGCCCAGGACAAGGAAGGGAACGGCATGACTGACGCTGTTGTGCATGCACACACACTTAGCACCTCGCTCGAAATGGTGCTCATTGCTGCGCTGCAGATGTGGGCCTTTCACTGGGGCGAGTACAAGATGGAGAACCTGGGCAGGGACCGAGTGCAGGGCAAGGTCAACCAGAACGGCAAGTCGTCGATCTTTTTCTCCCTAGTCCACGCCTTCAACTTTTCCGACTATGCCGTCGAGCTGTGGCACGAGGTGCGCTTTCTCGTCGATCGCATCCGCGGCAAGCCCTACACGCGCGAGGACGCCCGCTTCGGCAAGTTTGACTTTGTCCAGGCCTTTGACGCCGACGACGCGCGCGACTTTGGCAGCCGGCGCAGCATGCGCTCCATCGACAGCCGCATGGAGCTGCGCGAGATGGAGAACAAGGTCGACGAGTCCATGGCCGTCGCCCGGGGCCAGGGTGGCGAGGGCCGCTTCGATGGGCACTACGCCACGGGCAACCAGGCTCGTGCCAATGGCGACAGCGTCGATGACGATGCGACGCTCGGACGAGACAACGCACCCATGCGCAGCGGCATTCCGGAGCGCCTTAGCCTCGGCCTCACGCCTGGCCTGAGCGTCGACAGGGGTGGCCGCATCTCGCCCAAGCCGCGCAGTCCGCGGGACAGCACCGGCCGCTACCCTACTTTCCTCTACGAGGCCGACGCTTCATCCAACAGTGATGCTCAGTACGGCAGACGAAGCCCCGGAGGCGCTGCTGGCGGCGGCGGCGGCGGCGGCGGCGCAGGCGCAGGCGGATACCGCGTCGCTGGCTTTCCCATGTTGCAGGAGGAAGCCGCGTCACCGCCGTCGCCATCCCTCTCGACGTCGACACCGCCACGCCAGGCTCCTCTTTATCTACAGCAGCAGCAGGTACAACAACAACAACAACAACAACAGCAGCAGCAGCAGCAGCAGCAGCAGCAACAACAACAACACCACCTGCAACCGCCGCTTGCACATGCTCGCCAACACCCTCAGCAAGAGATGGACATGACCGACGAAGCCAGCCAGGTCCCCCTCGAGCCAAACGAGGACCGGCCGAGGAGCTGGGAGCCGCAGGCATTCTGACGGGTCAAGGCACATCCCTATACAGATTCCGATCCATCATTCATTTAGTCCAATCATTACTGCACAAGATACCCGCCGGTTGCCGCTCCTTTCCGCCCCCCTGCTGTAGCTGCTTAATTGACACAACCCGCTGCTTCCCGCATCACATCACTCCAAAAAGAAAAATGTTTACTGCACTATTTATTCCGTTCGATCTTTGTTCTTTGATAGGAAGCCGGGTGCCAGATCGCCGTAGGGGAAGTGCGACGCATCTTCCGCACCTTCCTTGGAGAAGCTTTTCTAGCGCGTCCTATTTCCTCTTTTGACACTGCGCTATGGCTTTTGTGAAATTCGATTTGCGCAATTGGTAATCTTGAATTTGAACAACTGGTAATCTGGCAGGAGGGGCCTCGTAAGTAAAATGAATTCGACTTACGAATCCGCCCTCTGCTTACCCGGCCTGGGGGGAGAGAAACGAGGCGGGAGGGGGCACCTCGGCGAACATTCAGGGCTGTCTCTTCTGCTAGGGGCTGTTTTCATTGCCTCTCCTCGCTCTTCTACATCGCTACCACCAACAGCTACCTTTACGCTTTGCCCCTTTCTCTCTCTCTCTCTCCCTCTCGCAGGTCGACGACTATCTCCCAACCCACGCTCCCTGTTTCGCGACAAACACCTGATCCAATAAACACACCGTCGTTTCTTGTTTATCTCCACGCTCCCTTTTCCGCACACAACACAGCTAACTCTGCTCGCCAGGATGAAGCTCTCGCTCCTCGCCTCGCTCCTCGCAGTCTCGACACTGGCGGCCGCCTCGATGGAGCCCGGCCGGTCCTCTGTCAAGGCGCGGCACGGCAGCATGATGCGCCGGCTCAAGGACAGCGTCCTGGGCACCGATTCCGGCCTGGCCAAGCGCGGCACCTCGGGCCGTGCCACCTTCTACGACGTGGGTGAAGGCGCATGTGGAAGCTACAACACGGCCAACCAAAAGGTTGTCGCGCTCAACGTTGCCCAGTACGGCGACGAAAACTCGGTCTCAAAGTACTGCTTCAAGAACATCGAAATCACCTACCAGGGCAAGACGGAGACGGCCCAGATCGTCGACTGCTGCCCCACGTGCCCCTATGGTGGTCTGGACATGAGCCGGGGCCTGTTTGGCTCCCTGGCCGACTTCAGCCTCGGTGTCTTCCAGATGTCGTGGAACTTTGTCGGCGAGGACGACGACGAGGAGTCGACGAGCAGCACCAAGAAGACGACGCACTCGCACTACACGCCCACGACGACGGCAAAGAAGATCAAGGCGACCACGTCGTCGTCCAGCAGCTCAAGCAGCTCCTCGTCCAGCAGCAGCGCTTCCACCCAGCTCCTCGTCCTCGCGACACCCACCGCGACGGCCTCGAGCTCGTCGTCGTCCTCGGCCGCACCCACATCAACGCAGGCCAACAACTTGCAAGGCTTGAGTCAGGTCATTCAGGGCCTCCAGGACATTGCCCAGGGCGCCCACCAGTAGGCTGTCTCGCCTGAATGTCCTTTCTCTGTCTCCTTTTCGGGCCTTTGCTTTCTCTCTACTTTCCCACCCGCGTAATGGTCTTACTTGCCTCTCTGCATCTTGGCTTCATACACTTCAGACATGGTTTTTTTCTCTAGCTATCTATTTCGCAGCATCTATCTCCATCTCCTTTTTTGTTCTTCTCTTCTTTTTCTGTACTAGCTCTCCATTACCCAAATCCCGCCCTTTGTGTCCTCCTGTTCCTCTGCGAGGGCAGGAGCGACCGACTCCTCTCTCGTCAACAACGAAAGGAGAATGTTGCAGAGGAGCGGCGGGTGTGTCCCCGCCCCAATCGAAATGCCAATCAAACAAAGGCCTTTCTGACTGATAGATTCAACGAACCGTTTCAATTTCCTTTGGCCTTTCTTCACGTGTCGCCTTTTTGCGCTCTTGGGTGGACAAAATTTTGATTTTTTGGAGCAGCGCGCGCTCGAAAAAGAAAAAGAGACTTCTTCTCGTTCAAGTAAGGGAAGAGAAGACGACAAAGGACTCAGAGGAGGAGTAGAAGGAAGAAGGAGAAGAAGATGGCGGACAGCAACATGCCCGGACCGTCTTCGAAGCCGCAGGGAGGGGAGAAGCAGGCAAAACGGAAGAACAGAAAACAGAACAGAGAGGCGGGTGCGGTCGTGGACAGCAGCAGCAGCGTCGACCTGGCGCCATGGCGCCCGCTGCTCGAGGGGTCAGTCACGTCGCTGCCCATTGTCTTTACCCGGGATGCCGAGTGAGTCTGTGGAAAAGAGGAGGCGAGAAATGAAACTAGAAGAAGATCCTGACGGCACCCTGCCAGGTACTTTTTCGTGGCCGCGGCGTCGTCGGTCAAGGTGTATGCGCGCGAGACGGGCCAGGTGGTCTCGACGCTGTCTGGCAGTGGCGGCGGCGGCAGCAGCAGCAGCAGCGGGAGCAGCGGGGGCGCGCACACCGACAGCCTGACGGGGCTCATGCTGAATCCATCGAATGCGACGCAGCTGCTCACCTCGTCGCTCGACGGCACCATCAAGGTGTGGGACTACCTCGACGCTGCGCTGCTCCGCACCATCGATGTCGGCCACGCCGTCTCGCACATGGCTGCGCACGCTGCGTTGCCACAGGATACTGTCGTTGTCGCGCTCAACAAGACGTCGTCGGGTGGTGGCGGTGGCGGCGGCGAACGCGAAGGCGACGAGGCACACAACTCCATCTTTGTCCTCGTCAGCCTGCATGCAGCTGAAGGAAAGAAAAAGGCTCGACGGCCCAAGCCCTGGGAGCGGGCCCGGCCGCGGCAGACGACGCGGCTGGGCAAGACGCGGGCGTGTGCCGGCATGGTCTTCTCGCCCGAAGGCAGCTACCTCGTGGCAATTGGCAACCGCAAGGTGCAAATTGCACGCACGGCCGCCCTCGCCGATGGCTTTGTCAAGATTGTCTCGGAGGAGTCGCTCACCGCCCTCGCCTTCCACCCCACCGACCTCGTCTTTGCCACGGGCGACGTCACGGGCAAGATCCGCCTCTGGCACCTCCTCAAGACCGACGAGGTCCGGTCGTCGCCGGCCTGGTGGGCCAACCGGGCGGACCGCAAGGCGGCCAACACGCTGCTCCACTGGCATGCCCACGCCGTCGCTGCGCTCGCCTTTAACCCCAGCGGCGCCTACCTCCTCTCGGCCGGCGAAGAGGGCGTCCTCGTCCACTGGCAGCTCGACACGGGCCGCACCGACTTTCTGCCGCGGCTCGGCGCGCCGATTGCCTCGGTCGCCGTCGTCGAGGGCATCGATGGCCGGGAGCAGGAGTACGCCGTGGCGCTGCGCGACGGCAAGATCCTCCTCGTGAGCTCCGTCAACCGCAAGGTGCTGCGCACCTTTTCCCGTGTCCTCGTCGATGCCTCGCGCGACCTCTTTGACGCCGGCCACCTCCAGCGCCTCACCCACCCCCTCGCCGTCGAGCCGGGCACCGGCCATCTCGTCATGATTGCAGGCCATCCTTCGAGCCTGCAGTTCTTCGATGTCGACGCCGACGAGCACGTGCTCGAGCTCGAGGTCACACCCACCAACCGTGTCTCGAGGACCGACGAGGTGGCGATGGAGCCGCCGCGGGTCGAGCGCGTCGCCTTTTCTCGCCCTGCCTCACCCGCCTCTTCTTCTGCTGCTGCTACCACCACCGCTGCCCTCCGGCCCGAGTGGATGGCGACCATCGACAGCCGCAGAGCCGGTCCGCGCTTCTCGTCGTCGGGCGCCGACATCTGCCTGCGCATCTGGCAGTGGAAGCCCGACGCCTCGACCTACGTCCTCAACTCGCGCATCGATGCGCCCCACGGCGAGCACCCAGTCACGGCGCTCGCCTTTGCCTCGAGCTCCAGCTCCAGCAGCAGCAGCGACGCCGGGCCTTTTGTCGTCACGGCCGGCCAGGACGCCAAGGTCAAGACGTGGCGCCTGGCCACGCAAAAGGTCAAGGGCCACCGCACCGAGTCCTTCTGGGTGCCCCGCTCTGTGTTTGGCTACCGCGATGCCCAGCCGCGCGACCTCGACGTCTCGGCCGACGGCTCTCTTTTGGCCGTCGCCCAGGGCGCATTCGTCACCGTGTGGGACGTCGCCACCAACTCGCTCCGGCTTGCCCTCGCGGCGCCCGAGCTGAGTCCCGCGCGCAGTGTCCGTTTCGTTGGCCCACAGGGTCGCTACCTCGCCGCGCTTGGCCAGCGGTCTATCCTGCTCTGGGACCTCGTCTGGGGCAAGCTCAAGTGGGAGAAGGTCGACGGTCCCAACGACGTCGGCGAAGATGACAACGGCGAAGAGAAGAGGACCATCGTGGCCAACGCTGCCAGCCAGGGCTCCTTTTCCGTCTTTGTCAACAGTGTAAGCGCAAAGGCTCAGCAGTCGAGCATCGTGCACACGTACCGGTGCGACGACGCCGGCGCCGTTGCTTCCTCGCGGCGACTCCCCTTTGCCGTGCTCGCCTCGACGCCGTCGCCGCTGGCCGAGGAGCGGTGCTATGCGATCACGAGCCACTTTGACCTCGTCGAGATCTCGGCGGCGGCAACGAAGCGGCAGGCCAAGGACGAGGCACGGTCGCTGCGCGCCACACGTGTTGCCCGACGCACGCTCTTCGACGACCTCTTTGGCGCGCCCACGACGCTGGCAGAGGACAGGGAGGAGCAGCAGAGGCGGCGAGAGGCGCTCCTGAGGCAGGCCATGGCGGGTGCGACGAGCTCGACGAAGCGGGGAAGCTACCTGGAGCTGTTTGATGCGCCTGCGCACCTCTTGCCGCCGCTGCAGATGCTCCTCGACCCCTTCTTTGGCAGAATTCTCGGGCCTGCTGTCCCGGCTGCCTCGGCTGCCTCCAGGGCAGAGGGACCAGCCGTTGCGGGAGGCGAAGGTGACGCGTCAATGGTCGACGCCGACAACGAAGGAGCAGAGGCAGGAGCAGAGGCAGAGGCAGAGGCAGAGGCAGAGGCAGAGACGAAGCGCCAGGGAGGCAGACAGCCCACGGCCAAGGGACACGGCAACGCGATGCAGCACATTGAGCAGCGCAACGACGCCGAGTTCCTCGCGCCCATCTTCGCCAAGCTCGCCATGGCCAGCAGCGGCAAGACGGTGCTTGCAGGCGAGGCGATGGAGAAGGGAGCGAAGCGCGCAGGGACAATTAATGGAACAGCAGCCAAGGCGCCGGCCTCTACCGTGGCGAGCCCGAGCGCAAAAAAGTCAACAAAACAGCAGCAGCAGCGGCGGCTCAGCGAGAGCAAGGCCGAGGCCACGGCGACGCCTCAGCAACCGTCGCCACATTCCAAGAAACGCAAGGCAGTCGCAGAGTGATCCGTGTTCAGTCAATCTTGTCAATGTATGCATGCCTAATCATCATCATCATTATCATCATCATCGTAATCATTTCAATTGTGTGTGTCAATGTCAATTGGAGAGTGAAGTAACTCAGACGAGGTGGATCGCCTGTCCGCCACCGATGCCGTTTCTGCCCACGTCGGCGGCGTTTCCCCCGCCGAGCTTGGCGCCCTGGATCTTGGTCTGGCGCTTGCGCTCCTGGGCGAACTGGGCCTTTCGCTCCGACTTTTCGAGGCGGCGCGACTGCTTCTGCTCCTTTGCCTGCGCCTTTCTCGCCTTCTTGTCCTCCTTGCTCTCGTTGCGGTCGCGTGTGACGGTGGTGCGGTATGTCGCGCCCTCGGTCGCGTCGCTGTCGTAGTCATCTTCTGACCCTACTTCGCCTTCCTGGTCGTCGCCGTCCTCTTCTTCAGACAGGGCGCTCCGTGCGCTCTCCTCGGCTGCGGGCTCGGCCTCGGCAGCAGTCGAGGCTTCGCGCTTCCTCTGACGCTGGCCGACCTTGATGTAGCCCACAATCTCGGCCTGGCCCGTCCTGGGATTGACGCGGACCTTGGGCATGACGTCTTCATCGCCATCCTGCATGCGGCTACTGCTGCTGCTGGCGCTTCCACGCACGGAGCCGGCGCCGGGCACCAGTGTGGCAGGCTTGCGCGAGAAGGTGGACCCGCCAGCGACGCTCTGGGCCGCATTGATCGTCCGCGGCCGATTCTCGACGTTTGTCTTGGTCGTCAGCACCGTCTCGACGTCCCACTCCTGCCTCTTGCCCTCGATCCAGTGCCGCGGGATGATGTCTGCCTGCGCCTCCTCGTCGTCGTCATCGCCATCAACACCACGCTGCCGGTCGTAGAGGCGCACCTCGCCCAGCTCGCGCCGCAGCAGGTCGACTTTTTCAGCAGCCGTGGCACTGCGGTCGCCCAATCGCGCCTTGAGCTTGCCGGCAATGACCTCGTGCTTGGAGAGAAAGTCGTCAAAGATGCCGTCGAGGTCGTGCAGCGGCTGCCCGTCGCCGTTGCCATCTCCATCCTCGTCGTCGTCGTCGTCGTCGTCATTCTCCTCTTCATCCGAGTCCTGCTCGTAGATGCGCTCCATGCGGTCAAACTGCTCGTCGAGCCCTGTCAGACCCTGGTTGCGCTCCATGGCACTGCTGCTCATGCTGAATGCCGTCGAGCCGCCGGCCGAGCTGGGCGCGTAGAACGAGGCGGCGAGACGGGCCTTTGCGCCCGGGTGCCGGCTCTTGCGCGTCGCGCCCTTTTCGCCAAAGATGGACTGCGAGCCGACCGACGACGGCGGCGCCACGGCCCGCTTGTTGCGCGGTGCTGGTGCCGACGTCGAGGCGTCGTCGTCATCATCGTCCGAGTTTGCTCCTCCCCGAGCCAATCCATCCTGGCCTTGCTCCTGCCCCTGCCCCTGCCCCTGCCCCGCAGCCTTGAAGAGGGCGAGCCGGCTGGTGAGACTGAGTTCCTCGACACCCCGGCCACTCTGCTTTAGCTCGAGCAGCTCTCGCGCCGCCCGCGATGCGCTGTCCTCCCAGATCGACTCCTCACCGCCGGGCGGCAGCGCTCGCCATTCGGGTGCCTCGTCGTCCGACCCAAGCTCGCCACCGGCAATGACGCCCGAGAAGAAGTCATCGATGTCTTCTTCCTCTTCCTCCTCTTCCTCTTCCTCTTCCATCTCCATCGGCACGGCAGACGACGACGCGGCAGCAGCGGCAGTGGCAGAAGAAGACGACGACTTGACCCCGGCGGCGACGTTCATCAAAAAGGCATCGTCGTCGAGGGCTTCGAGGACCTGGCGCAGATGCGGGTCCATGTCGGGCTGCAGACCCGTCTGCAAGTGCGCCTCGCCGGCGCCAAAGTCGCGCGGCAGCATGTCCTTGGACGGCAGCACCTCGTCGGGAAGATTCAGCGCGCCTCCTGCTGCCCCGCTGCCCTCCTGCTCATCACGGAGCGTGATCGGCCCTCGGTCCTTGGCTGCTGCGCCCTTTTTCTTGGCTGCCGGCGCCTCGAGCATGACGACGTCGGCCTTGTCCTCCTCGTCGACGGCCTCGCCACCCCGGCGCTGGTTGTCGTTGCCGCCAATGGGCCGCAGGTGCTGCATGTAGTCGTACTCGGTGTCGTCAAAGTAGATGCCGTACTCGGCCGCCTCACCGACGTTCTCGCGCTGGTCCCGCAGTGCCTCTTCGCCCAGCGCTGCCTCGAGTTGGGAGCGCGACTGGGGTCCCCCCGCCCCTGCCCCTGCTCCTCCTCGAGCATTGCGTGGCTGCGACGGCTTGAGCACGCGCGAGGGGGCGTCGGCATCGTGGATCAGCGGGTCCCGCTGCGAGCGGTGCACCACCTGGAAGTGCTGTGCCTCTGGCTGCCGCCAGATCGACTTTGTCTTGCTCTTTGCCGGCATGCTTGCTTGTCCTTCTTCTTGCAATTGCAACACCACCTTCCACTTCGTCCAGAAATCTTCTTGCTCAAAAAAATCAAAAAATCCTCTCTATTGTCCAATCGGCCGAGAGTGAAATTTCTGTCACGCGGGACGCGGGAATTCCGGTCCATGACAAAAAGCTCTTGTCTCAGGAAGGGGGCCTGACAAATGGCCGTTTCAGCAGCGCAGTGCTTGCTCAGAGAGTTGCTAATCTGATAAAGTGGCCCCCGGAGCATCGCATCGCATCGAAGCACAGAAGGCCGCAAGTAGGGCGAGTGGCTGAGGAAAGGCAGGAGCCACACGGGATTGTTGCATCATCAGTTGATGGAAAGGGTGGGCAGAAAAGTAATCTGATCAGATAATCCTCCGTCCGCCTTGCAGCCTCGCGCAATGAAGCATGTCTGATTTGATTTGCTTTGCTCTGCCCACCTTTCATCAGCCAGACACAAGCGTGCACTCCAATTGATTGATGGATTCCGTGAATACAAGCCGCATTGAGTCGTCAGACGACGGGGTCGCCCGCCGACCATCCAATCCCCCCCCTCCTAGATTGCCCATTTCGTTTGGATTTTTTCTATTTACACACATTTTACACGATAAGGCTACTACTTACTATTCTCCGAGAGAGATCAAGACTTCTTGCTACGCAATTTCGGCCCTACCCGCCCCCCGCCTCATTGCACAGGTTGATTCAACGGAGACCCAAGATCATCTATGGTTGGCCAGCCGGGCTTTAGTCGGCCATGGGCTGGTGATATCGAGATGTGATCAGCCGTGCAAGTCGCAGCTGGACCAAGGTCGACTCTTCTTTCCCCTCTCTCTCTCTCTCTCTCTCTCACGCCCTTCCCCACCTGACCATCACTCGACTGTCCACACACATCTTCTTCTTGCACAGCAAATGGCCGTGAGTGTCAGCATGCGATCGCTGGCCCCTGCGCCGCTCCTGCCTTCGCCCTCGCCCGCGCCCGTCGCGCGGGCGCCCGCGATCCGACCCTTGGCCGTAGCGGGGCCGTCATCATCATCACCGTCGTCGTCTGCCAACCGCGTCGTTCGTCCGGCAAACGGTCAAGTCCAGGTCCAGGTTCAGACCCAGGCCCACTATGAATCATCGTCGTCCGCATCGTCGTCATCGCAGTCGCAGTCACCACCACCGCCGCCACCGACACCGCAAGCGAGGCCGTCGAGCTCCGGGAACCAGTCTCGCGCGGTGCGATCCCTGAGCACATCGTCGTCGTCAAATGGCACGAGTCAGACACAGACGCTGACAGCCAGCAAGGCCGACGAGGATAAAAAAGTGCAGCCGAGCAAGCAGTGGGTGCTGCCTGCGCGGGCCAAGCCGGGCCGCAAGCCGAGCGAGGAGGAGCCGCCGACGAAGCGCAAGGCGCAGAACCGGGCGTCGCAGCGCGCCTTTCGCGAGCGCAAGCAGTCCTACCTCGCCTCGCTCGAGGAGAAAGTGGCCGAGTACGAGCGCAGGCAGACGGACGGTTCCGTCGAGCTGCAGCGCGTGGCGAAGCGCTTCAAGGAGGACAACGAGGCGCTGCAGCGGCAGCTCGATGCGCAAAAGCGCGCCCACGAGGAGCGCGAGGCCCGCTGGGACGACGAGCGTCGGCTGCTCCATGCGCGCCAGCGCGAGCTCGAGGAGCGCCTCCTGGCCGCCCAGCAGCAGCAGCGCAGTGGTGCTAGTGGCGTCCCCCCGTTGGCTCGACAGGGATCGTCGTCGTCGTCGTCGCCATCACCTTCCCACGGTGTTTATGCCAGCAGGAATGCAGACGGTGCTGGCGGCGATGACGGCAGCAGCAGCAGCAGCAGCAATATTGCCTGGCGATGGGGCAGCACGGTGCCGCCCGTCGAGAACGGCGAGGCGAGGAGTGCAAGCCGACGGAGCAGCATCGCCATGAGCGCCAGCTCGCCCACCAGGAGCGCCGCCGCCACCAGCCCGCCATCCAGGAGCACCGCGATGGGCTCAGCGATCACCAGGGGAGGAGCGGTCCCCGCGTCGCCCACCAAGAGCCTCGGCCTGGGCGTCTCGGAGCCGTTTCGCATCGACCGTGACTGTGGCTTCTGCACCGACCAGAGCCCTTGCCTGTGCAGCGGCGAGGCCGTGCTCGACTTCACGGGCGACGATGGCGGTGGCGGCGACGACGATGGCGATGTCACAATGCGGACGAGGGAGATCACCGTCAAGATCGAGGACGACGACGAGCCGCAAGCCGCTGCTTCTACACGAACATTGCCTGCGCAGGCCTCGGCCAAGCCGCTGGGGGAGAGCATCTTTGCTATGCGCCGCCGCAGCAGCGCCAATGGCAGCGGCAGCGGCATCAACAGCAGCAGCAGTCACGGCGCCCACGCCAAAAAGCTCTGGTACACCGTCCCCGCCCAGCCGCCGTCGCATCTGACGCGAAAGGAGGCCGTCCAGGTCTGCCCCACCTTTACCATGACGGACCGCACCCCGTGGCACTCGGCCCGGCCCCGGCCTGTCGTCGCGCCGCATTCACTGCCCCTGGCCCTGCGTCGCCCGCAGCAGCAGTCGCAGCAGCAGCAGCAGCAGCAGCAGCAGCAGCATCTCACGCGGAACGGCAAGCCCAAGATCTGGCACACGGTGCCCCTGCCCTCGCCAGCCAATGCACCAGCCCAGTCGACGCCCTCGCCCGTCTTTCGGCTCGGTCAGACTGCCGGTGGGGCTGCTGCCCGGCCCAGATCGGACTCGACATCGTCGACGGCTTCCGAGGCGGCCTGCACGGGCAACCCGGCCGACTGCGATGCATGCAGGACCGACCCGATCCTGGCTGCCTTTTGCGAGGCTGTGAGCAGCCACCTGAGGCAGAACGATGATGATGATGAGGACGACGACGATGGTGACGATGATAATGTTGCCAACAAGGACGGCGGAGACAAGGACAGGAGGACAAGGAGGAGCGGCGGAGGCGACGAAGAGCCAAAGACCAAGCGGACCAGATGGACTGGTCCCGCGATCCTCGACGTCGGCAACGCAGTGCCCCTCAAGAGCCGCAGGGTCGCTCTCCCGCTGCCGCTGCCGCCGCCACCGACGACGACAGCACACCCTCGCGGCTGTCTCCGGGCACCGTCATCGGCTTCGGGGAGGGGCGTGGCCAGCGGCAAGCTGTGGCACCTCACCAACAACGATGGGCCCAGCGGCGAGCAGCAGCAGGCCTCGCGACCGATGCTTCCCCACTCGTCGCTCTCGGCACCCACCGTGGCCAGCTCGTCGTCGTACTATTCCAGCACGTACAACATGCGCCAGCACCAGCAGCACCACTCGCTCGCGTCGTCGTCGTCGTCGTCGTCGAGCGCCCTGCCTATCGACACTGCAGCATCGAGGCGCGAGTCTACAACCTCTGCTGCTGCTCCACGCCACCACGGCGACGGTCGCACGCAGCCGCAGACGCAGCCACAAAGCCAGGCCAGAGACGGCCCTCGGCGCCACGGCGAGAATCTGAGCATCCCGCGGGCCTTTCAGCAGATCCGCTCCCACCCCAGCTTCCAGCAGTGGTGGTACCGCCAGCAGCGGCTCGCCTCGGCGGGCGGCGCGCCCTACGCTGTCCAGACGCCTGCCTCTGCTGCCTCTGCACTCGCTCGCCAGCAGCAGCAGCAGCAGCAGCAGTCGGCCCACGCTCTTGCTCACGCCCAAGCCCACGCCCATGCTCAAGCACACGCGCGCCGCCGCCACGAGCGGTCGTCGGGCGGCCTCGAGCTGCTCGCCGACGTCGTCTCGCGCCGGTCGCCACGCGTCGACGACCGCCGCTCCTCCTCCAGCGACAGCCACAGACAGGCGCAGCAAGAGCAGGGGCAGGGGCCGGCGCAGGGGCAGGGGCAGGGGCAGAGACAGGGGCAGGAACAGGGCAAGCGTGTGCTCGTGCCCATTGAGACGCTCGAGGCGGCAGCGGCGCGGCAGGGGTCTGCCAGCGGGTCCAGCACGCCGACGTCTGCGTCGGCGGGCGATGAGCATGGGAGGCGGCGGAAGCGGGAGAGGGAGGAAGGTGGTGGAGAGGGAGAGGGAGTGGATGGGGAGGAGGAGGGGCAAGGAGGAGAGGGAGCAAAGGGAGAGGACGAGGAGAGACGGAGGAGGAAGAGGAAGCTGCTCTATGTCGAGAGCAGGGCCGTCGAGGACGCACTGGCGCTGCTGGACAGCCAGCAGGACAGGGACGACGAAGACCTCGTCGACGAGAGCCAGGGCGTGGAGCAGCACGCCGACGAGCACGCAGAAGCCAAGCCGTGCTTCTGCGTGGAAGAGAAGCAGGAGCAAGGCGAGGTAGAGATGCAAGCATGAATGGACCCCCCTCTGTATATCGCACCCATCATCATCATCATCATTCTTACGGAACAATTTCATTGAATTCTTCTCAAGGAACAACTCCAGTGACCGTTTCTCAGAAAACCGCTTAATCTAAGGGAGCAGATTCAGTGATCAATTCTCAGGGAACATCTTCATTGATCATTTCTCTTTTTTGATTGAATTGTGCTCTACTTCACACCACCACCGGCACAGGCGAGACCTTGGCCTCGTGTGCCTGCCCCTGCCCCTGGCCCTGCTGCTCGACGTCGCTGCTCTGCTGGACGATGCTCTCGAGGCGCCTCTTCTCCTCGCGGTCGAGCCTGGCGCGCTCCTTTCGCTGGCGCTCATCGCGGCGCTCGTCGATGTGCCGCTGCCGCTTGCGGTCCTCGAGACGGCGCCGCTTGGTCGCCTGCTTGTACAGGAGCGCCTCGATGCGGTGCCAGTAGTCGTCGAGGAGGCGGCGCAGGGCGGCGCGCGTGTACGTCTGCTGCGCGTCGAGCGCGGCGACGAGGGCGGCGAGGCTCTCGCGCGTCAGGCTGACGCCGGCGCCCGTCTCGGCTGCTGCTGCTGCTGAAGCAGCCGTGGGTGCCGCGTCGCGCCGCGCGGTCCAGACAAGAAGCGCGGCGCGGAGGACATGGAGCTGGGCGAGCTGGACGGCGAGGGCGCGCTGCACCTCGTCGCGCACGAGGCGCAGCGTCGAGCCTGCGTTGCGGCGCTTGGCCAGCGAGAGCAGCGACTGCACCATGTCGTACGTCAGCTCGACGCGCGGCGGCTCAAACAGCGGCACAAAGTTCGTCGTTGGTGCATCGATGTCTGATGGGCCAGTGGACGCGACGAGGGCCGAGAGGTGCTCATAGACATCGGCGATGGGGTCTGTCGAGGCGAGCAGCGATGCCTTTGTCTCGGCCAGTGTCTGTCCCTCTTCTGCGATTGTCTCTCCTTCTGCGACTGTCCGTCCTTCGTCTGCGACTATCTGTCCTTCTCCTGCGACTGCTTGTCCATATCCCTCTCCTTCTCCACCGTCGACAGGCTCGACACCCTCGTTGATAGGCGCCGCCTCGGCCGAGCCGCGCAGGGCCGCGCCGATGCGCGAGGCGAGCTCGGCCTGGAGCAGGGCGACGTCGGGCATGGCGACGCCGAGCTCGTGAGCCACGCGCGCGACCTCGTCCTGCGCCAGGTCCACCGTCTCGCAGACGAGGTACGAGGCAATGGGCAGGTAGGCGCCGTTCCTGCGCGCCTCGTGGTCCACGCGCAGCGCCTGATGCGCAGCTTCTGTGTGTTGCTGCCGCTGCTGCCGCTGCCGCTGCCGCTGCACCAGCGACGGCTCGGCGACCATGCGCGTGGGGTCGGGCACCGTCGTGGCGTGCTTGAGCAGCGTCTTGAGCGTGAATGTCGTGGGCGCGACGCCCCGGTCGCGCGGGTACGGCATCACGTCGGGCAGCGCGTCGTCGCTGCCGTCCTTGCTCTGTATGCGGCCTGCGCCTTCTTCTTGTCCATCTCTAAACAGACCTCGGAAGTCCGTTGCAAAGAGGCCGCCCGTGGAGCTGGTCGAGGCAGTGAGGCCAGACGAGCCTGTGGATGCAGAAGCGACGTCGACGACATCATCATCGTCGTCGTCGTCGTCGCGCGGCCGTCGCGCAGTGGGCATGGGCCGCGTCAGGGTCTCGTACGCCGTCACCATCTCCGTCACGGTGGCCTGCTCGCCGAGGGCCATGAGGACGGTGTTGAGCGTGTGCGAGCTCACGGCTGTCCCTGCCGTCGTCGATGTCGCCGCAGCAGCCAGCGGGGCGGAGAGCGGGGCGGAGAGCGGGACGGCGTCGGGGTGGCGCACGTCGTAGCCGTGGGCGATGGCGAGGAGGGCGCGGATGCCGTCGACGTTGCCGCTGAGGCGCATGAGGCGCGCAGCGAGGTCGAGCGTGACGGCCTGCATCGGCACGCTGCGCCGTCGCATGTCGTCGAGGAGCGCAGCAGCACGCTTGCTCGCCAGTGTCACGGCCCGGCGTGCCTGCCGCGGCGGCTCCTGGCCAAAGCGGCCCATGCCCTGCGCGGCGGCACGCGCAGAGACGTCGACCTTCCACTTGCGGGCCTTGCCCTGGCCGTGCCAGATGTTGCGCGTGACCTGGTCCTTGTGTGCGCGCTGGATCGAGTCGCTGAGGTGGCGTGAGATGCCGAGCATCATGTGCTTGTACGTCGCCGCCGTCGGTCCAAATGCAGCATCGTCCGAGCCTGACGCGGGCCCGCTGCTGCTGCTGCTGCTGCCGGGGCCAGTACCCAGGATGGATGCGGACCAGTGTCGCCTGCGTCGGTGTGTGCTGCTCTCGAGGTCCTCTTCGCCCTCGATGCCCACGTCGGACCAGCCCGAGAGATGGGACCAGAGGGCGGCGAGGACAGGCATGTGGCCGGTGGGCGCGAGCTTCTTGAGCACGTGGTTGTAGTCGGCCGCCGAGGGGAGCGCCATGGGCGAGGATTGTGCCGACGAAGAAGAGGCAGCGTCGTCGATGGCCACGTTGCGCAGCTGGGCAAAGACAAAGGCGACACGCTGCAGATACACCCTGATCGACTGCGACGCCTTGTTCTGCGCCACGGCGGGGCTGAAGCGGCGCCTGCGCACGAGCAACGGCGAGATGCCGTCGAAGGCGAGGTTCTGCTGCTGCTGCTCTTGTTCTTGCTCTTGATGCCCTTCGTTTCCTTGCTGCTGCTGCTGCTGCTCCAGCGTGGCGAGGAGCTGCTTGGCGGCCCTGTTCTGCGCGCGCATCTGCCTCTCCCGCCGCTGCTCAATGCGCGCCTGGGCGACATCGGGGGCAATTGCGCGGAGGACGAGCTGGTGGTGCTCGGGATGGAGCAGCAGCGCCGGGTCCGGCGAGGTGGAGCCCGACGAGGAAGACGACGGTGGTGAAGACGACGACGACGACGAGGATGAGGACGATGAAGAAGGCGAAGGCGAAGGCGAAGGCGACGACGGGGGCGACTGCCGCTGGTGGATGTCCATGTAGATGCGCCACACTTTCTCGGGCGAAGGTCGGGTGTTGCTGCTGTAGAGCTCGGTGACGAGCTCCTTGACGAGCGGGTGTGCGGCACTCACGCGCCCGAGTGCGCGGGGCAGTGAGGAGATACCCGCCTTTCTCGCCTCCTGGATCTGGTCGCGCACCGCACGGTCGCGCAGGTCGCGCGAGCCACGGTCCACCTGGCCGAAGCGGCGCGAGAAGAAGAAGCCATCGGCGCGGTCCTCGTCGTGCTTGGCGCCCACATCGACTCCAGCTCCAGCACCGGCACCTTCACTGGCGCGGCCCGCAACCTGCTTGCCCTTGCCGTCGACTGCGGCAGCGGCGGCTGTATCAGAGCCACCAGCAGCAGCATGGGCGTTTGCAGCGGCAGCGGCAGCAGCAGTAGGCGCCGCCTCCGACGCAAACGACCGCCGATGTGAGCTGCTGCCCCTTGCGACGTGGCGAGCAGGCACGAGCCACCGCCTCGCAAAGCAGCGCACTGCCATGTCTCGTCCGTCCTCTTTCCCGTGCTGCCACGCTCCGTCGAGAGGTCGAGTCTCGGGGGCGGGCTCTCTTTCGAAGGTCGAGGACCGTAGTAGTTGTTAGAAGACAGCACTCGTTAGTAGTCGGCGATGTTCTTCTTCTCGCTCGGAGAAAAAAAGAAGCAAAGCGAATTCAAAAAAGAGAAATAAAAATCAGATTACCGGTAGACGTCGATGGGATTGTAGTGGACGGACACGTGAAGAAGCAGCGCTGTGCCCCGCGCGTTGCTTTGTTGTCCTGCTGCTGACCGCTCCGCGCCGCCTTTTTTGTCCTGCTACTCACCGCACTGCATTGCTTTTGTTGTCCTGTTACTCTCTTCTCAGGCAGCTGGACGTATAAGTAAGGCCACCCTTTCTCCAAAAGCTCCTTCTCTTTGTCCATCAGGGCCCAGGTAACGTCACCTAAAGACGACGCCTGTATCTCGTCCGTCGTTCAACGCGGACGACAACGTGTACATCACGTGACCTCTCAAGGAGGCCCACGGAGCCCGCCAGCAACGGGCGCGCGCGACTACTAGGCGGACAAGACTGACGACTGCTTTCTTCGCTTCACCGAGACAGAAGGAGCACAGGGCGACCATTCTCGACGACGACGACCACCACAATGTCGTTCAAAAAGGATGAGGAGCTCGGCGTCTCGTCCTTTTACCAGGACAAGGTGAGAGCATACAGTCACTCTCTGGCTTAGGCAAAGAGGCTCCATGCTGACAGCAGCCGCACAGACGTCGGTCATCCAAGAGGCGAGGGTGTTCAACGAATCGCCCATCAGCCCGCGCAAATGCAGGATCCTCCTCACAAAGGTCATCTACCTCCTCTACACCGGTGAGACATTCAACCGGCAGGAGGCCACGACGCTCTTCTTTGGGGCCACCAAGCTCTTCCAGCACAAGGACGTGAGTGTGTAGTAGCAAGAGGAGGAGAGATGGTGGCTGACTGGCTCGCTCTGCAACAGCCCGCACTCCGACAGATGGTCTACCTCGCTGTCAAGGAGCTCTGCCCGCTGGCCGACGACACCATCATGGTGACGGCCTCGATCATGAAGGACATGCAGCCCAACATGGAGGTCATCTACCGGCCCAATGCCATTCGTGCCCTCAGCCGCGTCGTCGACCCGTCGATGGTCCAGGGCCTGGAGCGCTTCTTCAAGTCGGCCATCGTCGACCGCAACTCGTCCATCTCCTCGGCTGCCCTTGTCTCGGCCTACCAGCTTCACGTCGCTGCCAAGGAAGTCGTCCGGCGGTGGGGCAACGAAGCCCAGGAGGCCGTGCACTCCAAGTCCTCGTCGGGCTCCTCTGGCTTCATCGGTGGCTTTGGCGGTGCAGGCAGCTACCTCGGCTGGGGTGGCGGCGGCGGCGGTGGTGGTGGACTAGGCGGCCAGCAGGGGTCGCCGCAACAGGGCAGTGCGCTCCAGGTGATCCCCAGCACCAGCTACATCACCCAGTACCACGCCCTTGGCCTTCTCTACCTCATCCGCCAGGGCGACCGCATGGCCGTCACCAAGCTCGTCCAGCAGCTCGGCACGGGTAAGACGTCGTCGGGCTCGTCGAGCAGCAGCAGCAGCAGCAGCGGCAGCACGGTGCTGCGAAGCCCGTATGCCGTCTGTATGCTCGTCCGCTACGCCGCAAAGGTCGCCGACGAGGACCCGAACCTGCGGCCGCTGATGATGGACATGCTCGACTCCTGGCTGCGCCACAAGGCCGACATGGTCAACTACGAGGCCGCGCGGGCCATGTGCGACATGCGTGGCATCACCCAGAACGAGCTCGTCAAGCCCGTCGCCGTGCTCCAGCTTTTTCTCTCCGCCCCACGGTCGACGCTCAAGTTTGCCGCCATTCGCACCCTCGCCAAGCTCGCCCAGACGCACCCGGCGGCCGTGCAGACGTGCAACGTCGACATGGAGAACCTCATCACCGACAACAACCGCTCGATTGCCACGTATGCCATCACCACCCTCCTCAAGACGGGCAACGAGGCGTCGGTGGACCGGCTGATGAAGCAGATCAGCGGTTTCATGAGCGAGATCTCCGACGAGTTCAAGGTCATCGTCGTCGACGCCATCCGCTCCCTCTGCCTCAAGTTCCCGTCCAAGCAGACGACGATGCTCGGCTTCCTCTCGGGCGTCCTCCGCGACGAGGGCGGCTACGAGTTCAAGCGGGCTGTGGTAGAGGCCATCTTTGACATGATCCAGTTCATCGGCGACTGCAAGGAGGCTGCCCTCGCCCACCTCTGCGAGTTCATCGAGGACTGCGAGTTCACCAAGCTCAGCGTGCGCATCCTCCATCTCCTCGGCGTCGAGGGCCCCAAGATGGCGCAGCCGCACAAGTACATTCGCTACATCTACAACCGCGTCATTCTCGAGAATGCCATTGTGCGCGCCGCTGCCGTCAACAGCCTCGCCAAGTTTGGCCTCGAGGACAAGGCGCTGACGGCGCGCATCACTGTCCTCCTCGAGCGCTGCCTCGACGACGTCGACGACGAGGTGCGCGACCGTGCGGCGATGAACCTGCGTGTGCTCCGCGAGAGCCGCCTGGCCCAGCGCCTGGCCCAGCACGAGTCCATGTTCAAGCTCAGCGCCCTCGAGGCCAGCCTGTCGCAGTACGTTGCCCAGCCGCCAGCCAGCCAGACGAAGCGCTTCGACGCCGCCGCCGTGCCCCGGGTCACGCGCGAGGAGCAGCGCCAGGAGGAGCTGCGCGCCAAGAACGAGGCCGCGAGCAAGGTCGCCATGGCCGCCGAGACGCCCCGTGCGGGCACCTCGACGGGTGCAGGCACGGCCGCCGGTGCTGCCGCTGCTGCTGCTGCTGCCGCCGCCGCTGGTGGGTCTGCTGCTGGTGGAGCTGCTAATGGTGGAGGAGCAGGCGCAGGTGCCGATGCGGCGTCCTTCTACGAGGCCCAGCTCGCCGCCGTGGCCGAGTTTGCCGACTACGGCCCGCTGCTCAAGAGCGCCAGCAAGCCCGTCGAGCTGACCGAGAGAGAGACCGAGTACGTCGTGTCGGCCGTGACGCACGTGTTCAAGGACCACCTCGTCGTCCAGTACAACGTCACCAACACGCTTCCCGACACTGTTCTTGATGACGTTGCCGTGGTGGTGGCTGGTGCAGAGGATGCGGGCCTGGAGGAGGACTTTATCGTGCGCATCCCCTCACTGAGCCAGGCCCAGCCCTCGGGTGTCGTCTACGTCTCCTTTACCCGTGTCGGGGGGCAGACGGCCTTCCAGCAGGGCACGCTCACCAACACGCTCCACTTTGTGTCCCGCGAGGTGGACCCCACCACCCAGGAGGCCGAGGAGGAGGGCTACCAGGACCAGTACGAGACCAGCGAGCTGGAGCTGGGCGTGAGCACCTACGTCGGCGAGCGGTGGGCCGACTTCAACCGCGAATGGGAGCAGCTCAAGGGCGCCCAGGGCCACGAGGCTGTCGAGACGTTTGCCCTCACGGCCCTCGACGGCCTTAAAGCGGCCTGCGAAACACTCGTCGACCTCCTAGGCATGCAGCCCCTCGGCGGATCCGAACTGCCCAGCTCGACGAGTGTGCATACGCTCACGCTCTCGGGCTATGTCGCCACTTCACCCACCAAGCAAAAGGTTCTCGCGCGCTGCCGCATGACCTTTTCAACAAAGGCAGAGGGCGTCACGATGGAGCTTGCCGTGCGCGGCGAGTCAGAAGAGGCCGTCCAGCTCATCATGGGTGCCATTGCGTAGAAGGATCCTTCCCACTAAAATCTAATCCGACGGTGCAATCTCATTCTTTCTTCCTTGCTGTCTGTCTATCTGTCTGTCCGTCTGTCCGTCTGTCCGTCTGTCTTTCTGTCTGTCCGTCTGTCTCTGGTGCGGTTCGTGGAGATCGGTCATTGGATTAATTTTCGGTCATTGTGGACGTATCAGTTCTTCCCCCTGTCTGCATTATCCTGAGCTTGTCTAGACACGCGCATCCATATGCCACGCGACACTTTCAAGTGGAACCACACCAAGGCGGAGAGAGACAAGACGCACGCCGCGAGGGGGACCTTGAGAAAGACAGAGCCTGAGAAAAAACTAAAAAAAAGACGTGAATTGAGACGAACGGGCTTCCTTCTACCAACTAATCCAGCACCTTTCACCACACGCACACACCTACACCCTTTCTGTCTATTCCTCTTTCCCCCCCTTCCACAGCCCTGCTTCTGCGAACGTGCGCGCCCGCCCTCTCTCTCTCTCTCTGATCGGATCGGGATTTGGGCTTCTGCCGGGTCTGTCGCGAGCAAGCAAAGAAAACCGTAGAGAAAAGGCGTGCCTGATCGGGATTCCTTCGCGTTCAACCACGCTCCTGCTCGTCCATCGCTCCCAAACCCCTTTTGTGGCCATTCTGACGACTTTCGGCCACCAGCATGAGCGCACTCTCGACGATTAAATGTGTGGTCGTAGGCGACGGTGCTGTTGGAAAGGTGAGAGGAACAGCGAGCACAGAGTGAGCCGCACGTCTTGGTCCGCGTTGCTGACGACCGGACCCCCTTTGTCAGACTTGCCTTCTCATCTCATATACAACAAATGCCTTTCCGGTGCGTGGGATCCTGGAGAGTCGGAGGGAGACGTAGCCCAAGCTGACAAATCTCTACAGGGAGAATACATTCCGACGGTGTTTGACAACTACTCGGCCAATGTCATGGTCGATGGCAAGCCCGTCTCACTGGGGTTGTGGGACACGGCTGGACAGGAGGACTACGACCGGCTGCGCCCGCTGTCGTACCCGCAAACCGACGTGTTCCTCATCTGCTTCAGCCTTGTGTCGCCGCCGTCATTTGAGAATGTGCGCACAAAGTGGTGGCCCGAGATCAGCCACCACGCACCCAACATTCCCATGATTCTCGTTGGCACCAAGCTCGATCTCCGCGACGATCCAGAGACGACGGCGAAGCTCCGGGATCGGAGGATGCTCCCGATCAGCTACCCGCAGGGCAACCAAATGGCGCGCGACATTGGCGCGACACGATACCTCGAGTGCTCCGCCCTGAGCCAGGTCGGGTTGAAGGGCGTCTTTGACGAGGCCATCCGGAGCGTTTGTGAGTGCTTCCCCTCCCTGTCCACCCCATCTCCCCTTCACTAACCTCTCTTCCTTCTCCTCCTGCAGTGGCCCCTGCGCCCGTCAAGAGCAAGAAGCGAAAGAACTGTATGATTCTCTAAGGGGACGGAATGCGAGAATGGGGGAACGGATCGCAACGACGGACGCGAGAGACGAGACGACGACGCACACATGAAAAGCTTTCTTCTCCCAACCCCAATCCCCTTGCTGCTCAACATGCAAATTACACATACACCGACTCTTCCAAATGGACGATGAAGGAAGATGCCGAAGCTGGTTGCCAATGGGCAATGTCGGCATCGCCATCCAAAGACGACGGCGTGCGAGCTAGAGCAAACGGACGGCCGAGCCACCCTCACTCCCCTGTCCCTTGCCTCTCCAGGCTCATTTCTCTCCAAGCTCTCCCTTCTGTTTTCCTTCCCCTTACCACCCTCTTCCCTTCTTTTACCCCTCTTTCTCTCCCCGCTTTCTCTCCACCCTCTAATGACCAATGATAACATACCGTTCGCTTCTCTCTTTATTTCTCCTTTCTCTCTCCTCTCATCCCACTTACTCGACACCACAGACACACGCAAATTTGTCTCCTGGTTCACTCTTTGCTCTTCGCTACTCTTATTTCGACTTCTCCTCTCACCCCCCTTTTTTTCTTTTTCTCTCTTCTCATTTTTCTCTCTTCTGGATGAATCGTAAACCTCAATCTGGCGTTATACATTTCCTCCTCACTGATGGAGAAGAAGAAGAAGGAGAAGAAGAAGAACAGTGGGGAAGCTCAAGCATAGTAGTCCGTCCTGCCGCCCCACTCGTGGTACTCCATGAGCTGCTCGGAGCTAAACACGCGCACGTCCTCCTTCCACGTATCTGCATGGGTCCGCTTAAAGTCGCCGGCGGCCTTTTTTACCGTCGTGCTCACGGGCACGGGGCTGTCGTTGTGCTGCGCGACCGTCTCGACGATGAGCTGGGGCATCCACGCGGGCACCTCGTACGGGAACGCGGCCAGGAGCGCGGTGCTGCCGAGGATGCCGCTGTGGAGCTTGACGAGCTGGTCGTTGAAGTTGTCGGCGCCGCGCTTGGGCAGCCGCGTCGTCTGGACGACGTCGGTGAAGCGCTTGCGGAGCGTGTGGATGAGCTTGCGCTGGCTGCAGCGCACAATGCCGCTCAGCGTCGTCGCCGCCATCTCGCGCACCTCGAGGTGCGGGTCGCGGAGCAGCGCAAAGAGAACCTCGATGATGTCCTGGACGAGGCTCGGGTCGAGGTAGAAGAGGTTCTGGAAGTAGACGACCTGGAGGATGGGCAGTGCGTCGAGGCGGGCGCGCCAGCTGTCCTTGGAGTGCACAATGACGTCCAGCAGCTTGCGCACGAGCAGCGGCACAAAGGCGGCATCGAAGCGGTACGTGGCTACACGGACAAGGACCGCCTTGGCCACACGCGAAAGCTCGGCATTGTCGTGCAGCTCGGCGCAGGCGAGAATGGTGGGGATGAAGCCAATGGCCTGCTTGGCCATGGTGCCATTACGAAAGTCGGCCAGAGTGATCGAGATCCAGAGTAGCGTCGTCATGGCCACCTTGTCGTACGTCGACGTACCCTGTGATGTCGGGATCCGCTCCGCACGGTACTCGGCCAGTCTTGCAGCAAGCTGCGAGAGCGCGACCGAGTAGTACGAGTCTTCGTCTTGGCCGCCCCGAAGGAGCGTTCCATTGGCGGCGGCGCTCGCAGCCAGGAGCTCGTCTACGGATCCGAAGCACGGGGCGACCTGGAGCAGATCGAGATCGGCGAGCGACTCGCCAATGATGGTGCGCACCTCTGCAAAGTCGTGTGCGAAGTTCTCGCTGTACAGACGCACGAGCTCGGGAGCCCAGGCGGTGAACTTGGAGTTGAGACTGAGCATGACGCCCCGCAGCAGGTTCTGCGCCTTGGCCTGCTCAAAGGGAGACTGCGTCGTCGAGTCTTTGCCAATCGACTCCTTGGCGGCGGTGACGACGTAGTCGACGAGCTTCTTGGCGCGGCGTGGGTCCCGATTGTGGAGCATGTACTCGACGCACATCTGCCACGCTGGCTGGCTGTCGGGGGTGCAGCCCTTGAAGATCTTGGGCAGCAGCGCATCGAGCCAGGCCCACAGCTCGTCCTGGTGCAACGCCGGCCAGTGTTTGGACCCTCGGTAGGCACCTGCCACAATCTCTGCCGCAGCTCGGTGCTTGTGCCTGTCTCTTTCCCCGATGTACGCTTCGACGCGCTGGCGGACATGACTGAGCATCCCGACACCGTAGATTTGGAAAATAGACTTGATCAGGTTGATCGTCTCGGCGGACAGGTAGTCGCGCTCGCTCTCCTGCGAAAGGTGGCCAAACAATTTGTCCCAGTGCGAGTCCGACTGCAGCACCTCGCGGACTGCATCGAGTGCCGCCTGCGACGTGGGATCCCACTTGAACACCGGCTCGTCGCCCGGTGGGACAGTGTAGTACGTCTCCTGGGAGCCCCAGACGAGCCAGCCCTGCGCGCCCTTGTCGCTCAGCTTCGTCTTGTCCTCTGTCGTCGTCGTCGGCTCCTTGAACTCGCGCAGGCGCTCTTCGACCCACTGCTTCGGTACTGGCTTCGGAAGAGTCTCGGTGTGCTTCAGAGGATGCTTGGTCGACTTGGACATAATGAGGTCCTCTTCGGTTGCGCACACGGTCCGGAGCTTGATGTGGTAGAGCACCCTCGTGACAGCCGTCTCCGCCACGCGCCGCATGCTCTGGTTTTCCGAGATGAGCTGCTCGGTCAGATAGCGCGCCGCATCGGCGTCCAGCGGCTCGTCGCGGCGCATGAGCACGCGGAGCAGCCGAGCAGCATAGATGGCAAAGCTCCAGTGCGTCTTGGGGGCCGTGGCCACCTCGAGGACGCTCGGCCGGAGCGACTGCACCATATGGTCAATCTGGGCTGTCCGTTCGGCCCTTTTCTGCGACACACGCGCGAGTAGGGCCTCGTCGCGCGGCAGCGGGCTGCTGGTGAAGTTGGCCTCGACGAGCCGGGCAGCCTCGAGCAGGGCAGGCGACTCGATGGCGTTTCGGATGGTGCACGGCTCGGCAAAGCGGACGACAAAGTCGCCCATGATGCCCCTTACCAGCTTCTGAATCGAGGGCTTGGGATGTCGCTGGGCGTGCAAAAAGGCCAGGACGTAGTCTGCGGAGAAGCGGGCGTCGACGATGGCGAGGTTGGAGAAGCCCTTTGCACCGAGGACGTAGAGGGCGCCCTTGATCCGGTCCTCGTTCTTTGTCTCGTTGCGCAGCGTGTCGAGCAGCTTGGGCAGACACAGCGTCCGGGTGCCGTCGTAGTGCTGGGCGAGGACGTCGAGCGAGTTCTGGGCCGACTTGCGGATGCCCCGGTAGTTGCTCAGCGAAAACTCGAGCACCTGGCCGATCAACTCGTCGTCGAGCTGGGACCGGTGGCGGTGAAAGGAGTTGAGCCGGCCCCTGCTCGAGTGCGCGTAGCTGGCGGTGCGCAGCCAGTAGGCGCGTGGAAAGGCCTTCTGCTTGGCATACAGCTTGGACACGTTGCGAATGAAGGCGATGCTCGCCGAGTGGGCCTTGTAGTCGTCGGCGTCGAAGCTGTAGGACGTCATAAAGGAGCGGATGGAGCGAATGAGGAGGCGGACACTGTCGATCTGGTCCTCGGCCCCCGAGTCCTGCGTCGTCTGGGCCGCGCGATGGAGCAAGCTGCCGAAGCGGCGGCGGAAGTCGACGATGACTCTGTGCCGCTCATCGCTTTCATCCGTGAGGAGGAAGCCAGACTTGAAGCGGGGAGGCGTGGTGAGGAACTCGGGCACGTCGTCGCTCTCCGACGCTGGTGCTCCCCCACCCAACTCGGGCTCCTGGACGAGGTGGGCGACGGCACCGTGGGCATATCGGATCAGGGTCAGGTAGCGGCAAAAGTCGTTGGACCAGACCTTGTCCCTCGCCCGGCCCTCGCTGACGAGGTCTTCGACGAGGGCCATGCGGGGCACGACGATCTTGTCGAGAATCTCGAGGCCAAAGGCAATCTCGTCGTCGGTGGGCACGTGCCACTGGACCTTGACGTCCTTGGACTTGTACAGCTTGCCCCAGTGGAGGTGGCTGTTGGCCTGCATCTCCTCGCTCGCCCACTCGTCGGGGTTGACGAAGCGGTGCTCGGCGGGGTAGATGTAGAGGAGGGCGTGGAGGCAGCGGAGGACGAGGCGCGAGGCAAAGGTGAAGCCGCGCTCGGACTTGGCGCGCGTGCAGACGAGGTCCATCAGCTCCAGCAGCTCGCTCCGGTGGGGCAGCAGGGCCGGGCCTGCGTGGCTGAGGGCGCCAATGACGATGGACATGTTCCAGTGCAGGGCTGCGTCGCTGGCCAGCGGCACGCTCGTGTTTGTCGTCCTCACCGAGCTGGCCCCGGCGTCGAGCTCGGCGCGGATGTTGTGGATGCAGGGCGCGAGGAGGGTGTCGAGGACCTTTTTCGCATTGGCGCGCGCAAAGCAGGCGACGAGGCTGCCCGTGACACGCACGCCCTGCGCCGAGACGGTCGAGAGGCAGTGCTCGGCCACAATCTTGAAGCACAAGTCAAACAGATGGTCGCTCAGAGCACCGCATACAATGTCGCAGGCCGAGAGGAGCGTGCTGATGACATGCTCCTCGCTCTTGCCCCCGATGCGGCCCCCCTTGCCCTCCTCGGGCAGGGCCTCAAAGAGTGCGAGTGTGCGTCGCATGAACGACACGGCCCACTCTTCGAAGCCGGCCGTGCTCATCCTCAGCTGCTCGTCTTCGTTTTCCTCTTCCTCGTCCCCGTCGCCATCGACATCCATGCCGCCGCCGTCCATGTCATCGTAGCCGCGTCTTGCCGGCTGCTTTGTCTTTTTCCCGTTGCTGCCTCGCTTGGCGGCGGGCAGGGCCATGACCTCTGGCCGCGTGAGGTCGTCGATCTTGACGGTGAGGCAGGAGAGGAGGATGAACATCGACGTGGCCATCGTCTTTATGCTGTCGTTGAGATCGATGCCTGGGATGCAGAGCTGAAGGAGGGGCACGAGGTGCTTGCCGCCGGCAGCGTAGTTGTCGCGCGACACGAGCGGGTAGGAGAGCGTCGAGAGGGCCGTGATGATTGACGAGGTGCGGTGCGTCGTCTCGAGGGCCTCGAGGCTCGAGTAGGCGCGGTCCAGCACGGGCGGCAGGACCATGGCCGGCTCGAGGAGGGCCATGCGCTTGAGGCTGGCCTGCGACGCAGCAATCGTGATGGGGTCCTTGCTGAACATGGAGAGCAGGCAGACGGTGCGCAGCAGCAGGCAGAATTCGCGCTGAATGTCGGGCGTGAGTCTCCAGGGCCCGGGCGTCTTGCACTCGGCCTTTTCCTCATCCTTTGTGCGCTTGACAAACTCCCACGTCAGGTGCTGGACGAGGCTCGAGAGCGAGATCTGCCACATGCCCCAGTTGGACGGGTGGAAGTAGCCCTCGGTGGCCTGGATGAAACGGGCGAGGCTGTCGAGGGCCTTTGAGCCGGCGAGGAACGTCTGCTGGTGTGCCGCCGGCGGGGCCGCGTTGAGCTCGTCTGGGGCCTGCCTCACCGGGGTGCCCGTGCCCGTGCCGGCAGGCGTGGGTGCGACGCTGGAGCCCAATGCTGAGCTCGGCGGTGATGGGATCGAGTCGCGGGCCATGGAATACACGATGATGGTGGCAAACGACTGGATCCTGTCCGACGGCTTCTTCATGCGCAGCGTGCCCGTCGACGCCGCGGCATCTGCCCCGGTCCTGAGCGAGGCCGATTGGGCCATGAGGGCCGCATTAGCGCTCTTGTTGGCTCCCACAGGCAGGCCGGCCGATCGCAGGCATTTGGCCATAATGAGGGCAAACTGCTGCTCGGTAAAGATGCCCGCATCGCTCCACAGGCCCTGCTCGCCGCTCGAGCTTGACTCAGCATTTGCGGAGGCATTCGCATTGGCATTGGCACCGCTCGTCTCGGAAGAAGAAGAGGAGGCAGCTCGCAGCAAGCGCTCCTCGATCTCGTCTGCATTGACCCCCGTCTCGGTCCGGGACCGCGGGGTGGAGAAACGGGGATCGCTGACGTGCATTTCTGCCAGGCGGGCCAGGAGATCGAGCATCTGGTCGTCAAAGAGGCTCGACGTGAATGTCTCCCAGAGGCGAAACATGACGGGCAGCCATCGCTGCGGGTGGCTGATGGGCAGAAAGTGGACGAGGAGGGCCTGGGTGGCAATGACGGAGTTGAGGTTCGATCCGTCCATGCGGGGGAGAAACTCGGCGAGCATGTCCTCGGCGTCGTCTGGGTCGAAGAAGCGCTGGGCGGCCTCGGCAAGGTCCAGGAGGCACTCGCCAATCGGCGCGACGGCGGTCCGGCGCTGCTTTGGAAACAGCTCCGCTTCCAGCAGCGCAAACAACGGCTTCCACGGCAGCACTAGGTCGGCAATCGTCAGCTTCTTGCGTGATCTGAGCGAGCGACAAAGGAACAGATCAGCATTTATAGACCTCGTCGCGCCTGGAAAAAGATTGATCGGGACTCACGCAAGCAGCGTGATGCACATCCTCGCCGCCAGCTCCCGCAGCCGAGTCTCGAGCCCGGGAAGAACAGCAAGCTGGTAGTAGAGGCGGGCAAGCCTGGCCCTCGTGGGCCGCTGGAGCGGGTATTTGAGCGCGAGGAGGCACTGCAGCTTGTGGTTCCAGTAGACGAGTCCGAGATCGAAGCTGTGCGTTGGCCGACGTCAGTCAACTTCTCTTCCAACACTTCCTCTCTTTCAGGGCTACCCACTCCTTTGTCAAGACGCAGTCGACAAGGCGTCGCGCAATGTAGTCGACCCTCTGGTCGAATTCGTCGAGCGTCTCGCAGGGATAGGGCAGCACCTTGACCATGTCCAGCATCTCCTCGCGCTTCTCGGGCTTGGCCCTGGCATGGATAGGCGAGTCATGGCCGGGCAGATGCCGCGCCTGGGAGCCGCCTTGGAGATCATTGAGCACCTCGATGTCCTCGTCGTCTTCCAGGTCCACGGGCTGCTCCATGGGCGAGTCGACCTCGAGCACCTCGTCGTCTTCCACGTCGGCCATCGTGGCTAGTGCTCTCTCTCTGCGACCTCTTTGTGTGGGAGTGCGCAGTCTATTGTTCTCTCTTTGGGTCGGTTCTACTTGTCCATTTATACCGAGTGAGCAGTCTTAGTCCTTGTCCTGTCCTGATCGTTGGCAAGTCGGCGAAGGAGGAGGGGGAGAAAGACGCGTAAGCTGTGCTGTGCTGTGCTGTGCGCTGCTATGCTCCAGCTCAGTCCGCTGGCACTGGCACTCACGCTAAGCCCCCTTTCACACATGCAAAAGACGCCCTTCTGCTTTGGTATCGCTGAGCCCGATGACGACGCCCTTCCTTCCGTCGGTGTCGAGCCCAACACCCTGTTGGATTAAAATAAAAATAAAAATAAAAACGCGCGGCCTCCACGAACGAAGAGCGGCGCCGAGCGTCGCCGTCTGGCCTGCTCGGGACTCGGAAAGGGAAGGTCTTCTGCACGGACCGTCGCCTGCTTCTGTTCGCAAAGCCTGGCCTGGCGACGCCTCACGGGACCAGACCAATGTCGACGTCCAAGGTCGTCCACTGGCCCACTGGCGGTGGTGGCTGGGCGGCCGCCTTGACAAACTTTGCCAAGGCACCCAATCCCGTTGAGTGATGGCTTGAAGCAGAGGAACGGAGGGAGATGGAGGGTGCTTACAGACTGATTGTCTTTCGCAGCAAGCGACGTTGCCTGCCGGCGTCTACTTGAGGTCTGACGAATCGACGCTCACCATCTTCGACGGATATGCCAAGGCCAGATTTCACTTTCTCGTCCTGCGTGCGTCTGCCCCCTCCTTCCCTTCCCCGAAATCTTACGCTTCCCCGGCTGATGTAGATCTTGCTCAGCTCGGATCCCCTTTCACCTCGATAGAAACGACGAGGCGAGCGCGAGCAAAAAGGCCGCTCCCCAGCTCGGACTGGCTGGCAACGGCAAGCTCTCGCTCGGCTCCAGCGGTCCGTCGGGTACGGTGCCCGCGTCTCATCTCGCGTCGCTCAACGACCTCCTGGCGAGTCCCCACGCCGGCGCGGTCCTCTCGAAGCTGCGCTGCGCAAGCGAGCCCGTGAGTCGCCTCTGCCCTTGAGCACATTTCAGACAACGCAGCGCCTGAAATGAGAGCTCGGATCCAGGTCGTCGCGATGATAGAGGACGAGATGCGCCACACGGTCCTGCCCGGCGCGGCGGAGCCCTGCGGCGCGACCTGGGGCGTCCAGATCGGCTTCCACGCAGTGCCCTCGATGGAGCAAGTCCACCTCCACGTCTGTGTCTGGGCCCTCGCTTTCCTCCAATCATCTCACTGAGACTTGACCGTCTACACAGATAATCAGCCAGGACCTCGTGTCGGACCGGCTGAAGCACAAGAAGCACTACCTCTCCTTTCTCCGCCCTCACGGCTTCTGGCTCGACCTGACCGACGTCGAGGCCCTCGTCCGCAGCGGCCAGCGCCGGCTACCAAAGAGTAAAGTACACTACGAGGCGCTGCTGCGGGAGCCACTGTATGCATACACTTCCACGGGCGCACGACGCGAGTTCGCAAGCATGCCTCGGCTCAAGGAGCACCTCGAGCGGGCCTGGGTCGACGGTCTGACGAAAAGCGCAGAGGAGGCCGGCGCACGGTCCACCGCCAGCAAGCGGAGCAGAAGTAGAAGCTCAGGTAGAGAAGGCGAAGACGTACCGCAGGGACAGCGGCGCAGACAGTCTAGCTCGGCCTCAGAGACGGCGTCCGAGAGAGATTAGATTGAGGGAGCGCATGTAATTGAGCGTTTAATGAGGAGACCACACATTCAGCAACCACAGATGATGGTCCTCTGCACAAATTTGGGCTCTCTATCGTAGCCAAAGAACTCTGTCCTGGGCTCCAGCCTGTTGAGTCGAGCTGGATCAGCGCATAGCCAGCAAGGAGTGAGACATGAGAGGCACACTGACTCTGCTTCAGTAGCCCAAAAGGGCACAGTGGCAATCTCATGGCGTCCACCGCGCTTGACGCCGGCGAAAACGGCCTTGTGGCCATACCACTGTCCCCCTCCACGGTCGAGGATGAGAATCTGTGGCAAGATACACGGTCAGGCATAGCGAGAGTTGCACCAACACAGACACTCACGCCCCACCATCGACCGCCACTCTGGTTGAGCCAGACTCTCTTGCCGGCGTGGTACTTGCAGCTCTTGTCGCGTCAAAATAGCGACGAAATAATCGTCGTCAGCTTTAAATCTCACTACTCAGCCACTACTTTTCTTGTCTCACTGGCCTGAGCACGATCGTCGCAGGAGCAGGAGCAGGCGGCTTCTCCTCCTTCTTTTTAGCTTCCTCTTTTCCCTTCTTTTCGACCTCGACCTTTTCCTTCTTGTCCTCGACGACCGTTGTCTTTTCACCCTCCTTTGTCTCGACTGTTTTTGTCTCGGTTGTCGTCACCGTCTTCTCGTCCTTTTTCGCCGCCGTCTCTTCTGTCTTTGTCTCCTTGACCTCGGTAGTCTTTTCGACGACCGGGGCTGGTGCTGGGGCTGGTGCTGGGGCTGGAGGTGCCGGGACAGCTGGGGGTACAGGATGGCAAGGGCATGGTTGCTGATGGTGCTGGTGAGGTGGGGGAGGGTGACCGGGAGGCATGCCGCATATTTCGCCACAGAGCTCCCTAAGCTCGTCCTTTAACCTCTTTGCTTCTTCTTCCTCCTGCTTCTTCTTTCTGAATGCCGCCATCGGGCATTTAGATTCGGCTTTGCCACCTCCGGCTGCTGCTGGCGCCGCCTCCTTCTTCTTCTTTGCTTCTTCCTCGTCCTTTTTCTTCTTTGCCTCCTCCTCCTCCTCCTTCTTCTTGGCCGCCTCTTCCTTTTTCTTCTTCGCTTCTTCATCCTCCTTCTTTCGCTTGGCCGCCTCTTCCTCCTTCTGCTTCTTTTTTGCCTCAGCCTCGGCCTTGTCCTTTTCCTGCTTGGCCAGGTGCGCAGCCGCCTTTGCCTCTTTTTCCTCGCGCTGCTTCTTCTCGGCCTCTTCCTTCTGACGCGCCTTTGCTGCCTCGTCGCCACCACCACCACCACCACCCCCTCCTCCTGCCGCAGGTTTTGGAGCAGGGGCAGGAGCAGCAGGTGGCGGTCCTGCAATGACGACTCCTACCGGCGGAAATCTCTGCACGATCTGTAGACAGATTTTGATCAATCTCGACTGCGTGATTCCCTCGCCCGACCACGGCACACAGAATTCACATGCCAGAGGAGTGGGTAGAATTGCGCAAAGACAAAGACGAAGCTGGCGAGCCCAAAGACGACCATGAAGATGACGACGGTCAGCGGCAGCGGCTGAGGCTGGACAAATGACGGGAAGGGCATGGGTGGCAGAACAGCAGGCGGCGGTGGCGGGGCCATGTAGACGGGTGGCGCCGGTGCTGCAGCCGGCTGGATGTAGATGGGCTGCGGTGCTGGCGCGGCGCCCGGCTGGGGATAGTAGTACGGCGGAGGTGGTTGTGGCTGTGCGGCGGCGCCGCAGCCTAGGCCGGACCAGGCGCATGCTGCTGCCATGGGCTGCTGACCGAACCAAGCCATCGTTCTTCTACACCGTCGTCTCCTCCTTCTTAAAGAAAAAAAGCAGTGTTCAGATGGGGATGTGGTGACAGAGGGGGGCCTTCAGACAATCTGGACGCGCTGGCATTGTTACTCCGTCCCCAACCCTCCCTTGTCCTTTCGGATCTCCAACTTGGGACTGGTGTAGGTCTTGACAGGCGGGCGCAAGGCCGCATAGCGCACGCGTGCGCACCGTTCCTCCGCGCGCCGCTCTCGTCGCATCTCATCGCGTCTCTTACTCTCTCGACGTCAAGACTGGTGAACAATTGAATTTTCAGATGAACTTCTTGGACGGGGAGACCAGATTAGGAAAAGGAGGACGGTATCGTAGGGTTGATTGAGTAGTAGTGGGCCAAAGTGTTGTAAGGTAGAAAGTAGAGAAAGAAAGAAAGATACTCATACAGGCGACGAAAATAAAGGGCAAATAATCACCACTCGAGCACGGCGTGGCGGCCACCGTTGGGCACGTACTTGTCGATGATGGCCTCGTAGTAGGGCCGCAGCTTGACCGGGTCCGGTGGGTCGTCGCTCTTGGAGTAGAGGTCGTAGGCGTTGAATGCAATGACGTTTGTCATCTTTTGCTCGTCGCCCGGGGCAAAGAACTGGCGGTATTCTCCGTCACGGTGCATGGGGTAGCACGAGTGGAAGCGGATCATGTCGAGCCCGGCCTCGGGGATTGTTGTCTGCGCCTTGAGGCGCCAGTACATGTACTCGTCGTGGCCCCAGCTCAGCATGATGTTGTCGAGGCCGCAGCCGCGCTTGTACATGCCCAGCTCAGTGTTGTAGCGCGCGTCGTGCGCGTCCGGGTTGGCGTCAAACGTGTCTGGGTAGACGCACTTTTCGGAAAACTTGGCGCCGACGACAAAGGTGTCACCGACGACATCCCACTGGCCCTCTGCGCCGAAGAAGCACATGAGCTTGCCGAGGTCGTGGAGCAGGCCCGTGAGCTGCATCCAGTCGGGCCGACCGTCGCGCCGCATGGCCTCGGCCGTCTGGAGCAGGTGTTGGATCTGCGACAGCTCCGTGTCTGGGTCCGACTCGTCGACGAGGCTGTCGAGCTTCTCGATGGCCTCCCATACGGTCATGCGAGCATGCACCTTGCCCAGGTACTTTTCCCGCGCCGCAATGTTGAACGCCACGGTTCTGTTGTCTCATTAGTTGCCTGGCCGTACTTCCTTGATGGAGGACATTGAAACTCACTGCTTCTCGTGCTGCTCGCGGTAGAGGGCCTTGACGTGGTCGGCCGCGTCTTCGTAGTTCCTGAATGCCTCCTTGTCCTTCTCCTCGTCAAACTTGGACTTGGCCGCGCGCCACTCGTCGTCATGGTCGCGTGGCACCGACACGTCACGGTGCTCGCCCAGGTACTCGTTGACGGCATCGACGGCGTCTGACACCTCGTCGAGCTTTTGGCCGTCGGGCTTGGCGTGGACCGCCTCTTCATCAACGGCGGCCACATCGCTGCTGTTGCCGTTGCGGGCAGCGGCGAGCTTGGCCTTGATGTTCTTGACAACGTCCTCGGACTGATGCACAAGGGGCACCGACGAGGGCGCGGGAGAGGTGGCAACGGGAGCCATGATTTTTGTCAGAGATGAGAAGGTGTGTAGACAAAGGCCGGCTCTGACGTGCTCTTTTTAAGGCTACTGAGACGGAACAGGAAAAAAGAGGGAGGGGCAGGCCGAGTGGATTGCCGAAGAGTAGGCCGCTTTTAGGTGATCGACCAGGGGTTGTTTGGCCTATTGGAGCGCCGATAGCACTGGGGTTCTATTTTCGAGGTCCGGGAGGGACTGGGAGCGGGCGTGAATTCTTCTGGCGAAGTTGGAAGAAGTCTTGGCCGTCGTTGAAGAGGGGTGACAGAAAAGGCAGTGATGGACTCCAAGAACTACACCGGGGCTTCTTATATGATGGAACCCTCCCTTGGGACCACCTGGTGATGCCCCCCACACGCACACAGGATGGTGCAAATTGGCCGAAAGGGGCACCGAGATCACCGTCAAATGACCGCATCCTCACGCACACACACCAACACGCACTAGCTGGGCGCCTTCCTTTGCATCTCAGCCACCGATTCGTCGCCTCCCCGTCCCTCCCCCTATCCCCCCACCTGAATTCTGAGTTTTGGCCTCTTGCATGCATGTTTATGACGTTGGAAACAGGCCAAAGGTACCGGTCGGTACCTCGACGGCCTTTTTTCCCTCCTCTTCTCCGCCAACGCGCGCGCTGACGGCGGGGGACAGATAGACACACAGCGTAAAAAGCCCGCGAAAAGGCCGTTTCGGTCAATTTCCCCCTCGTTCGGACGCGCGCGCGCGCTGTGGGCCCTCGCGAGATCGAGATGACAAATGTCTATATTAAATCGGTCAGCTTGTTATTTGCTTTTTGGTCATGGCTTCTCTACCGGCGCAAAATCAACATTGGTAGGAGCTTGCAAGTCGAGGGGCACCCTTGACATGGCCATGATCGAGGGTCATGGTCGAAGGTCATGATCGAGAGCAAGAAGGCCTGTACGATAGCTTCAAGAGCTTCGTCGGTTGGCCATGAGCAGTGCCTTTGACCCAAACCCACGCTCCAGGGCACGCTATCCAGGATGACCTCAATCTGGCGTTCGAGCTCAAGAGAAGGGAATGGACCTTGCGCCTGTGTGATTGATGATGGTACGCTAGCATACATATGAGAACATGTGGTGGGGTAGGACAACCAAGACTTAGAAGACGAGGGCTGCAAGAGAAGGGTGTAAGAACGAGGCAAAGCATAGCAGCGACGATCAGAGGCAGAGGAGACTCACCGGCACCCTTGGTCTTCTTGTCACCACCCAGCTCAAAGTGCTTGCAGCGCTTGAGCGCCATGTGACTCCTGTACTTGCACGCGGTGCACTCGAGACGGAGGACGACCTTCTTGGTCGTCTTTGCCTTCTTGTGGAACACGGGCTTCGTCTGACCACCGTAACCCTTCTGCTTGGCGTCGTAACGGCGCTTTCCCTGGGCGTACAGCGAGGCCTTGCCCGTCTTGTACTGGGTCACCTTGTGGGGCGTGTGCTTCTTGCACGGCTTGCCCTTGCAGTAGGTCCTTCGCGTCTTGGGAACGTTGACCATTTTGCCTGTGGTTCAGCTCCGTCAGTGTCTCTTCTTCTTGGGACTCGTTTTTGCTTTCCCCCTGCTCCGAATCCTGCTGCTGCTGTCGCACTTTCTCAGGCCATCTTCTTTTGAACAATGGCGAAAGATCACCCGCTAGCTCGCCGGGACCATTGCTAGGACAGATGCTACCCATGCACGCCGGCCCCGTCCGTCCTCCCCTCTCCATCGCGGCTGCTCCATTTCCAGCGCTTCGACACCCCTCCCGGGCCTCAGGATGAAAGGGCAGCCCCATCACATCGACGACGATGTGTTCCGCTAGATCTCTCTTCTTCTCGCCGTGATCCGGACACCCTCGACCCGACCAGCCAGCACGTCCGTCCATCCGCCCAAGCGCGTCATGACCCCTCCCTGACCCTCGGTAGTACGCTCCCACAGCAGCAGCAGCAGGAGACGGAGCAGGATCAGCAAGCAAGCCAGCAACACCCACCTTGTCTTTGTCCAGTGGTCGGTCGACTTGAGGTCAAATTCGTGCGCGGCCGTCTCAACCTCGAATCCCACCCAAACGAGCCAACTGACGAGAGCCGCAGCTTCGGCCGATTTTCTCAAAATTGCTCAATTCAAGAAAATAAAACACGTGGCGAATGACCACTTTTAAGACGTCGGTCAGTGACCGAAATTGGCAGGTTGGAGCACGTGACCCGACGCGGGGTTGAAACAGGCTCTACGGTACAAAGGCAGGCTTACTGCTGCTCGACAGACCAACACCAAGAAGACGACGAAAGCATGGCACAAGGACCGTCGGCGCTGGCCGATCTATCGACAAACATGGGGGAAATGTCCCTGAGGAAGGAAGGGTCCTCGTCGGGCAAGCTCAGTAGTACAGGCAGGGGCAAGAGTGGCGGTGGGGGCGGGCTCGAGGACGACATGCTTCCCTCGTCGTCGGCGAGAGGGCCCAGGATCGAGGTGAGGAAGGACTGGGACGGCGAGGGGAAGCAGCAACAGCAGCAACAGCAAGGTCAGCACAGGAAGGCGGGCTCAGGATCTGTGAGTTTTGTCACGGTTGAGATGCGCAGAGAAGACCACGTTGTTGACTCAGTAGAATGTGCCCAAAGCGAGGAGGAGATCGCTTCATCCCGCATCGAGAGCTCAGTCGATCGTCGGGGCTATCGTGCGACCAGCTGCTCGAGAACCCAGGAGGAGACCCGCTGTCGATGAGCAGCAGCAGCAGGAGGCGCTCGTCGTCACCGGGTGGAGACAGGTCGGAAAACCTGACGACGAGCAGCTTGGGCGCGCGCTCGCACAACAACGACGACACTGGCAGTGGCATGGAGGCGCCCCCTGTGGATCTCGAGGAGGCGCTCAACATTGAGTCGAACCATCGCATCCTCTCGTTTAGTGCCGCACCCCCAGACTCGGCCTCGGCGCCCGAGGTGCGGAGCCGGTACGCTGCGCCACGGCCAAAGGTGCTGCCCTCGAGCCTCACCTCGGGCGGCCGCCGCCGGATCCCCACGGTGCCCGAGAAGACGCTCGACACGCCGGGCATGATCAACGACTTCTACACCCACCTGCTCGCCTGGTCGCCGCTCAACAACGTCGCCATCGCCCTGGGCCCCGTGGTGCATGTCTGGAACGGCAACACGGGCGATGTCATTGAGCTCTGCGACCTCGAAGCGCAGCCGGAGCGCCTCGGCGGCGGGCCCGACCAGATGCCCCAGTCGCTCTCCTGGGATGCGTCGGGCAAGGTGCTCGCAGTGGGTGCGCCCAGCGGCCACGTGCAGCTCTGGGACCTCGAGACGGGCCAGCGGCTGCGCACACTGCGGCCCGATGGCCAGGGTGGCGCCGACTGCGTGTCGCCCAACGTGTCGACGTGGGCCGAGGACATGACGTTTGCCGTCGGATACAAGAGCGGCCTGCTCCGCGAGCACGACACGCGCGTCAAGGAGAGCGTCATCCGGCAGATTGACAATGCCCACCTGCAGGCCGTCTGCGGCATGGAGTACCGCTCCGACAGCGCGCTCCTCGCCACCGGCGGCAACGACAACGCCGTCAAGGTCTGGGACCGGCGCACCGAGGTGCCCAAGATGCACAAGGAGCACCATCGTGGTGCCGTGCGGGTGAGTGCTCGAAATTAGTGCAGAGTACATGCATACAGACTGATTGTGTTCAATCCCAGGCCATCTCGTGGTCCCCGCTCAACTCGTCGCTCCTCGCCACGGGCGGCGGCACCCTCGACAAGGCCATCCACTTTTGGAACGTGACGCAGTCGACAAAGATGCAGTCGATCAAGACGGACAGCCAGATCACGTCGCTCCACTGGTCCCACCGCTACCGCGAAATCGTCTCGTGCCACGGCCTCTGCGAGGGCTCCAGCGAGGCGCCCATCAACGTATGGGCCCATCCCTCGTGCGAGCGCCTCGAGTGCATCCCTGCCCATCTCTCGCGCATCGCCTACTCGGCCCTCAGCCCCGACGGACAGGTTCTGGCCACTGTCGGCCTTGACGAGAGCCTCAAGTTCTGGAAGATTTTCGAGAATGCCCACAGCGACGACGCCTCGGCCAAGGCGGGCGCCGGCGCCGGCAGCGGCATCCGCGCTGCCTCGTCCGCCGCACTGGATGGCGTCTCGTCCAAGGGCGGCGTGCCCACGAAGAAGGGCCTCTACTCGCTCCGTTGAACCAACAGCACTCATTCACTCATGTACTACTTCATCCAGCTCCCTCCTTCCCTCTTGCATCATCTAATTGAATTGAATCTCATTTTTTTTTTCTTTTTTTGAGGATATCGCTGTGTCATCTCATCACTACAGGCCTGCCAGGTGGTTGGCTTCCTCGCCCGGTGGCCAGCCAAAGGGCTGCTGCTGCTCGCGTCTGCGCCTCTCGTCTTCCTCGTCGCGCTGCTGCTGCTGCTGCTGCTGCTGCTGCTGATGTGCGGCCTGGATGCCCGCCCCGCCGCCGCGGTTGGCCTGGTCGAGCAGCGCGGCATTCTCGCGCCGCATCCTGTCGAGCCGCAGCTGGACGCCCTGGCGCCAGTAGACGAGGCCCGCGAGCGCCGCGAGGCCAAACACGATGAGGGCGCCCTCGATTGTGTCGTCGTCGTCGTCGTCGTCTTCGCTGCCATACGCTCCCTCTGCATCGTCATCGTCTCCATCTCCATCGCCTGCGGCGTACGTCTCGGGCAGGTTTGGGTCTGCCAGCTCGCCACTGCTGCCTCGTTTCCGGCCCCGGGCACCAGCGGCTGTTCCGGCAGCGTTTCCTTCGGCTGCTTCGGCGGCAGCGGCTGCCCTCGCGGCCCGCTGCTCCACTTCCTGCTGCTCAGTGTATGCGCCACCGCCAGCACCACCAGCGCCACCGACACCACCACCAGCACCAGCACCGCCGACCCCAACGCCGCCAATGATGCCGGCACCGAGGCCGCCAGCAGCGCCCGAGAGGCTCGACGAGCCCAGGAGCGCATAGCTCGAAAACAGGCTGAGCGCGCTCTGGTCGCCGTGGAGCAGCGTGGCCCAGAGAGCGCGCAGATGGAGCTTGATCAGGCTCAGCATCACGGGCAGGTAGGCCTCGCTCGGGTTCGTCTCCCAGGCCATGTCGTAGTAGCGCTTGGCCAGGTGGAAGTCCTGGCGGGGCACGCCGAGCCCGGACTCGTACATCCAGCCCATGTTCCAGTAGGCCAGCGCCGATGTCTGCCGGTCGGCGGCGGCGGCATAGCAGGCGGCCGCCTTGTCGTACGCAGGCACGAGCACGGAGGGCTTGGACGACGAGGAAGAGGAGGAGGAAGAAAAAGAAGAGGAGGAAGAGGAAGGGGGAGAGATGCCAAGACCGTAGTAGTAGTAGTCGCCCATCTTGACCATGGCATCGACGTTGTCCTGCGCGGCACTGCGCGTCCAGTGGATCAGCGCCAGGCGGTCCGTCGAGTTTGCGCCGTCGAGCCGCGGCGGGCCACCCTGTTCCTTTCCCTGCTGCTCTCCCGCTGCGCCGGCTTCTCCCTGCGCGGCGGAAAGACCAAAGAAGGCAGGCAGGCGGAGGCGTTGCTTGTCGCGGTCGAGGACCCACGCGACGTTGTTCTGGGCCGCCTCGAAGCCGCGCTCGCCGGCCATGGCCCAGCCCATGAGGGCCATGCCCCGGAAGCCGCGGTGCCAGGCCCGCTCGGCGCGCGCAAACGTCGCATCGCCCCAGTCTGCGCGCTCGACGGCGTACTTGAACATGGTGACGGCGCTGCGGCAGCGCTCGTACGACGCCGTGCCCGGCGGGCCGATTCTCTCGAACATGGAAGTGGACGAGGAGGACGAGGAGGAGGCTGGACCGCTGTCGGCGATGCCGCTCAGCCGGGCCATGCGTGCATTGATCGAGGCGAGGTAGTAGTGGGCCTCAAACTGGTTGTGCAGCTTGACGGCCAGCTCAAAGTAGCGGCTGGCATTGTGCCACTCGCCCATCTCGTAGTAGAACTTGCCGAGGTTGACGCAGGCCTCTGCGCTCGAGATGGAGCCCTGGCCCGCGGCGAGCTCAAAGAACTCGACGGCCTTTTTCACGTCCTTTGCCACGCCGAGCCCGTCGCGGTACATGATGCCGAGGCTGTTGAACGACTCGGCGTCGGACTGCTCAGCGCCGCGCGAGAACCAGACCCAGGCGCGGGCGTAGTCCTGGCGCACGCCCTCGCCGCGCAGCCACATGCGGCCTACGAGGCCGGCCGCGACGCCGGCGTGGGTGGCCACCGTCTCGTCGACTTTCGTCAGCTTGAGGTCGTGGCCCTTTTGCCCCGGCTGTGCTTCAACCCCACCTGCAGGCCCACCGCGGCGCACGACGGCGCTGTCGGTGGGCCAGAGCTGGCGGGTGATGCGGAGCGCATACTCGCGCGCCTTTTCGTAGTCGCGCGGCACCCGGCCTGCGCTCTCGCTGCTGCCCAGCACGCTGCCGCCGTAGTAGATGCGTGCGAGCCGGAGCGCAAAGCCCGTCGAGCCTCGCTCGGCATGGTAGGTGAAGAACTCGAGAAAGTCCTCGAGCCGGCGGTGCTCGCCCGAGCCATCCGAGGGAATCGAGTGGAGCGAGGCGTGGATGGCGGGCGTCAGTCTCGCGTGGCCCGTTGAGGCAGCCGAGGAGCCCGGCCCATAGGCACCGCCAGCCATGTCCGAGAGGCGGAGATGGGTGTAGGGAAGTGTGAGGCCGCCGGGTGGGCCCGAGGTGTAGCGCTTGTGGGCGTCGCGCGCGCTCTCCTGGAACCACAGGAGAGCCAGGCCACAGCTCTCGGGCACGCCAACGCCGGCGTGGTAGCGAAAGGCGAGTGCGCTCTGGGCGATGGCGTCGCCGGCCTCGGCAGCAGCCGTGTAGTGGGTCAGGGCGCGCGCCTGGCGGTCCTCGTCGCCCAGCAGCTCCAGCGGCATCTCTGCGCCGACGAGCTGCCACCCTTCGCTGCCCCACGCGCCGCCCTCGAGCCAGCCGAGCATGCGGTGGGCGCTGGCATTGCCGTTGAGCGAGGCCAGCCGCTGGAAGCAGGCCTTGGCCCGCGCTGGATCGGGCCGTGCACCGTGGGTGCCCCAGAGCGAGTGCGTGGCCAGGACCCAGAGTGCGTCTGTATGCGGTCTGCTCGGCGGCGGCGGCGGCGGCGGCGGCGGCGAAGATGAGTCATTGATGGCTGACGAGACAAGGAAATCGTCGATGTACGACTGGTACTCGTCGCGCGACGGACTTCTCGACGCCTCGTGGCGCCAGTCGATCGACGGCAGCGCGCTGATCTCTTCCTCCGACGCAGCACTGTCGCCCCAGCCCGATGCCCACGTCAGGAGACCGACTGCCTCGTCGCGCCGCCGGTCGGCAGCCGTTGCCAGGGCCGCCCTGTCCTTCTTTGGCTTGCTGCTGCTGCTGCCAGTAGTGCTCCTGTGCACGTCGCTCCTCATCGCCCGCTTGGCCACATCCCATTCGCTCGTCTCAAAGGGCCCGAAAAAGGCATCGTCGCCACCGTCCCACTCGGGCCACACCTGCTCGGGCCTGGCCATGGCCCACCGTCGGGCTTGCTCGACCTCGACGCTGTCCTTTGCATCGCCGTAGCTCGCCTCGTGGTCCCACCGCGCCGCCCCGCTCGTCTCCCACAGCTTCTTCTTCGACGCCCGTCTCCTGCTCCCCTTCTTGGCACTTGTTCCCTCGCTGCTGCTGCTGCTTCCCAAAACCAGGCGCAGGTAGTCGGTCAGGTACTGGTAGAGGCGCTGCATCGTGCTGAAGGGCGACCATGAGGAGAGCACGTCGCGATACGAGGCGAGCACCCTCTCGGACGGGGCTGCGCCTTTGGACGCCTCCGACTTGGCACCTGAGCCAGCACCAGCATGAGAGCCTGCCCCCCTCGTACCTCCCGCGGCTGCCCGTGTGCCTCCACTGGGATTGGACAGCGTGGAACGGAGCAGGACCAAGGCGCGCTCATAGGCTTCTTGGGCCGTGAGCTGGTCCTGCGCCGCCGCCGCCGCCTCCGCCGACGCTGATGCCACCCCTATCGCGACGAGCAGGACGACGGGGAGCCACAGGACGACGACGACATGCCTCATCGTTGCACGTGTGCGTCTCCCCACACTTTGGCCCGTCTCTTGTGTTAAACCTTGCAAAAGTGGGCCGGCCTGGCTTCAGAGAGTAGTGGAAGTGGCCCTTTGTGCTGGCTGGGCTGCCATAGACGTGGAGCTTCAGCCCTCTCGGAAGTCGGGCCAGAATTTAAGTCTAAGCTCTCTCTTCCTTGTCTCCAACGTGACTAAAGTGACGAAATTGGGAAATCGCGTCTGTCCAACTTCATTTCAGAGAGACGCGTCGTGAAGATTGAGAGAGAGAACATCACCAACGCCTCTCCTACCAAAGCCTCTGTCGATCATTTGACATCAGAATCCTCATCGTCGCAGTGGAGCGCACTGGGATTGGATCGAGGCAAAGATGCACATCAAGGTGCGTACTTTGTATCTCTCAAGCGGGGGACAAAGCCAATGGCACAGGCAGCTGACCCTCTCCTGGCACAGACGCTCACCATCCAGGGCTTCAAGTCCTACCGCGACCAGACGGCCGTCGCCGAGTTCAGCCCCGGCCACAATGTCGTCATTGGCAGAAACGGCAGCGGCAAGAGCAACTTCTTTTCCGCCATTCGCTTCGTGCTTTCGGACCAGTACACGTCGCTGAGCCGCGAGGAGCGCCAGGCCCTGCTCCACGACTCGTCGTCGTCGAGCACCAACACGCTGTCGGCCTTTGTCGAAATCGTCTTTGACAACACCGACGGCCGCTTTCGTGCCGGTGGGAGCGATGGACCCGAGATGGTGCTGCGGAGGACGATTGGACTAAAAAAGGACGAGTACTCCATCGACCGGCGGAGCTGCTCGAGGGCCGACGTCATGAACCTGCTCGAGTCGGCCGGCTTCAGCAAGGCCAACCCGTACTACATTGTGCCCCAGGGCCGCGTCACTGCGCTCACCAACATGACGGACCAGCAGCGCTTGGGTCTGCTCAAGGACGTCGCTGGCACAAAGGTGTACGAGGACCGCCGGGCGCAGTCGCTCAAGATCATGGGAGAGACCGAGGAGAAGCGGACCAAGATCGACGAGCTGCTCGAGTACATCCAGGAGCGCCTCGACGAGCTCGACGCCGAGCAAAAGGAGCTCAAAGAGTATTACGAAAAGGACAAGGAGCGCAGGTGTCTCGAATACGCAATCTACTACCGCCAGCTGCAGGATGTCGTCGCTCTCCAAGAGGAGGTGAGTATCACGATATATGCATGAGGAAATATAGTGCTGACGACGAAGGTTGCTAGCTCGAGGACAAATGGCGAGACGAGACGGAGGCATCGACGCTCAAGCAGAGAGCATTCAACGAGCGCGAAAAGACGCTCAAGGTACGTCTGAGGGCACGCTGTATGCGCGGCAAAAGAAAAAAAGAACTGACCATATGTCTCTCTGCAGAAACTGGAAGAGGACCTCAAGGACCTCAGATTGGCCCTGTCGACGCAGACGGCCGAGAAGGAGTCGCTGGTGCAGGAGCGCCGCGAGCTAGCGAGGGTCCGTGCCAACCTCGAGGCGATGGTCAGAGACGACGAGGAGCGTACGGAGAGGAGCGAGGAGACAAAGGCCGAGCTGCAGGCCCGGCTCGATGATCTGGCCACACGCATCACCAATGCCGAAGCGGAGCTCATGACGCTACGGCCCGATTGGGAGCAGAGGAGCGCCAAACTCGAGGCAGCGCGTTCCGATCTGGAGCGAACAAAGGCCAATGTGGGCGTTCTTTTCGCCAAGCAGGGACGCAGCACCCAGTTCAGCAGCCAGGCCGAGCGAGACGCGGCACTGAGGCAGGAAATTACGTCGCTCGAGCGCTTCGATGTGGCGCAGCAGGCGAGAAAGGCCGAAGCACAAGCCGAGTCGGCCAGACTCAGGACGCGTATTGAGGAAGTCGAGGCAGAGCTTGCTCAGCGAGAGACACGACTCGAGGAGCGCAGAAAGATGCTAGAGGACAGTGCCGGGCAGCTTCAGTCGCTCCAGAAGCGCCAGGACGACCTCAACGAGGATAAGAAGGCGCTGTGGAAGGAAGAGACAAAGTTCGTGGCCAGCAGCGAGTTTGCAAAGGGCCAGCTCACAAAGGCACAGCGCGCCCTGTCAGGTATGATGGACAAGGCTACGGCCAATGGACTGCAGTCAGTCGAGAGGATCGCGCAACAGCTCGGCCTCCAGGAACAAGTCTATGGTCCGCTGTACCGGCTCTTTACCGTCGAGGAAAAGTACAAGGTGGCCGTCGAAGTCACAGCCGGTCAGAGCCTGTTCCACGTTGTGGTCGACACCGACGAGACGGCGACCAAGTTGCTCGATGTCATGAACCGGGAAAAGAGCGGCCGCGTCACCTTTATGCCCCTCAACCGTCTCAAGCCAAAGGACATCAGCTTCGCAGAGGCGCCGGACGCGATCCCAATGATGAAGAAGCTCACGTTTGACGCCCGGTATAGGGCGGCCATGATGCAAGTCTTTGGCAAGACGATTCTCTGCCCCAAGCTCGAGATCGCCACGGCCTACGTGCGCAGCCATGGAGTCAACGCCATCACATTGGATGGAGACCGTGTGGAGCGCAGGGGTGCGCTGACGGGAGGCTACCATGACCCCAAGCGGTCTCGACTCGACGCGATCCGCGATGCCGAGCGCTGGCGAACCGCGCTCGAGAAGGACGAGTCGAGGCTGCGAGAAGTCCGGAATCAGACGGTGCAGATCGAGCAGGAGGTGTCGTCAATCATGGGCCAGATGCAGACGCTGCAGGCCAAGCGCGTCCAGACGGGCAAGCTGAGGGACACGCTCCACGACGAGATCGTCGACCTGAGGCAGCAGGAGAGCGATGCACGGCGCAGGCTGCGCCAGCTCGACGCCGCCATCGTCGAGCTCGACCGAGAGCTGGCTACGGCCGCGACGAAGAAGACGGCCTTCAACAGCGAGCTCGATACGGCTATGACGCAGGGCCTCTCCCCCGACGAGGTGGCGCAGCTGCAGACGCTCAATGGCCAGGCCGACGCGCAGCAGAGGCGCGTCGCTGAGCTGTCGGGCCAGGTGGCGGAGCTGACGCAGCGCAAAAACACCCTCGAGGTGGAACTCGACGAGAACCTGAAGCGGGACCGCGATGCCGTGTCAGCCCACTTGGAGGTTGTCGATGGCTTTGTGGAGTCTCTGGCGACGGCAGAAGTTTCATCTGCTGTCAACACCGAGTCGAGGAAGCGGGAGCTGGAGCGCATCCAGCGGTCCGACGCAGACCGTAGGAAGGCGCTGCAGGACATGGAGAGCTCGCTCGAGGATCTGCAAAAGCAGATCAAGGCCTTGGAGGAGCAGCTCCAGGCGACGGTTGACGAGCAGTTTGAAGATGCCAAGGACATTGAGCGCCAGGAGAAGGGCGTCCAGCGGTACCTGGCAAAGAGACACGGCTTTGCAAAGCGCAAGGACGACGTCAACCGCAAGATTCGCGACCTGGGCGTGTTGCCTGATGAAGCGTTTGAAAAGTACCTCCAGACGCGCATCGACAGGCTCGAAAAGGGACTGCACCGGTGCAAGCTTGGCCTCAAGAAATACGGAAACGTCAACAAGAAGGCCGTCGAGCAGTACCAGAGCTTTACGAGGCAGCGCGACAATCTGCTCGAGAGAAAGGCCGAGCTGGAAAAGTCGGGCGAGTCCATCGAGGAGCTCATCGAGGTGCTGGACCAGCAGAAGGACGAGGCAATCGAGCGGACGTTTAAGCAGGTCAGCAGGGAGTTCGAGAAGGTCTTTGAGGAGCTTGTGCCCGACGGCAGGGGCAGGCTTATCATGCAGAGGCGCATTGACGCCGAGTCTCTGGAGGAAGAAGAGGAAGAAGACGATGAAGACGACGACGATGCAATGGACGAGGATGAAGAGGAGGACGAAGAGGGAGGCGAAAGCGGCCGCAAGACGAAAAAGGCAAAGACGTCACACAAGCCAAATATTGAGAGCTACACGGGCATCTCGATCAAGGTCTCCTTCAACTCCAAGTCTGACGAGGGCCAGCGCATCTCGCAGCTCAGCGGTGGCCAAAAGTCGCTCGTGGCCCTCGCGACCATCTTTGCGATCCAGCGGAGCGACCCGGCGCCCTTCTATCTCTTTGACGAAATCGACGCCGCACTTGACGGGCAGTACCGAAAGGCGATTGCCGACATGATTGCCAAGCTGAGCGACAAGGCGCAGTTCATCACCACGACCTTCCGCCCCGAGCTGGTCAATGTGGCCTCGAGGTGCTACGGCGTGCTGTTCAGTGCGCAGAAGGTGTCGACGCTCCGGCAGATCTCAAAGGAGGACGCCCAGGAGTTTGTCCAGACGTCCGACAGGCCGGCACAGACGGCCTAACTTCCCAATTCTTCTCTTTCTTTTTACCTACGACAGCGTTCTTCTGTATCAATAGCATTCTCTCAAACAATCTGTTCACTTTCTCCTAGAGAATGAATAGCGTACATCTACTCTTCCGCTTGCTGTGCCCCTCTCCAGGCCCTTCCCAGCTCAGCGGGAGAGACCTTCGTCGAAGCTGAGGTCCCTGTCGCCGCAAACGGGTTTCTTCCCGTGGGCAGCACTGGCGGCAGTGGCGGCAGCCCCGCCGGCTTTGACCCAGCAGCCGAGGAGCCAAAGGACAGGAGGGCAGCGGCGCTCCTTCCCAGCGCCATTGCCTTTCGCTTTCGGCCTACCATCATCTCCACCTCGTCCTCCCACTCGCCCTTCTTCCCGTCGCCATTCCTGCTCCCCACGAAGCTAGCGCCAGCATCACCGTTGAGTTTTACGACGGGCTGTGACTCGGACCGCGCAAAGGGCCGCCGTGTCTCGCGCAGCCGCATCGCCTCGATCTTTCGCTTCCAGTCGTCGGCGGGCCGCGCCGCGTCGTCGGCCTCGTCTGCAATTGCATCCTGCGCCGCCTGGCTCAGCAGCCGCGGCAGGACTCGTTCGCCGTCGTCATCGTCGTCGTCGTCTCCCTCGCTGTCGCTGGCATCCAGGACAGGCGCCAGGGATGAAGATGCCGAGAAGGAAGGGGGAGGAAGCAGGCGGCCAAATGGCAATGCCGACGCCGACATCTTTCTTGCCTTTTGCGGCGTGGCCATGACCAGCGTCTGAGACTGTGGCTGACCCGTCTGGCGTTGCTCGCCGCCGCCTCGGCCGCCTCCGCCGCCATCCTCGTCCTCGTCGGAGCTGACATCGCCGAGAGAAATAGCACTGGCGCGCTTGACTGCCAGTGGCTTCTTCCGGACGAGGGCCGACTGAGATTGGGACGAAGCGCCTTGTCCACCAGCCGCTGCCGCTGCCCCCGCCGCTGCCGCAAAGGCGTTGTTGGGCACGCTCGTCGATCTTGCCCAGCGGCCAGATGCCGGCGCGTCCTCCGTCGCCGCCCTTTCCCACCTCCTGCGAACGCTGACTTCGCGCGCATCGAGCCTCTGGATCGCTCGGGATGCCGTATTCCTCGCTGCGCTCTTTGCATCGCCCCGCTGCCGCTCCCTTTCCAGAGCCTCCACCAGGCCAGGCCGCTGCTTTTCTCTGGCCAGCCGCTGGGCTTCCTGAGCCGATTCACGCGCCCTGTGTCGCCTGACGAGGTCCGTCTCTTGCTCCTCACTCTGTGCCAATGCCACAGCCGATGCAGCATTAGCGACAGTCGCGGTGGAAACAGACGCAGCTCCTCCCGATGCGCTCGACGTGCGGACAGGACGGGCAGGCGTGCTGCCTGAGCCAGCGACGAAGCACTTTGACCGCATCAGGCGACACTGCCTGGGCAACTTGTCCGAGAAAAAGGGCTCGACGACGTCAGAGCAAAGCCACTGCACCTCATCTCGCTCGTCGCGGAAGCCCTTGGGCCTGCCTGCTGATCCAAAGAGTGGCCCCATGCCTCGCATGGTCCGGCTGGGCGACTTCCTGCTTGCAGACGGCGGCGTCGGCTGCATCGAAGAAGCCAGGCCAAGATCGAGAGAGAGGCTGCTTGTGACGACGCAGAGACAGATGGCGTCGACAAGCGCCTCAAAGCGGCGGTTCAGCGTCTCGGGCTCCGTCCCCGGGTCCTCGAGAGCACCTGTATGCTTGGCCGGCGATGCACCGGGAGGCGTGTGGCTGCTGCTGCTGCTGCCCCAGGGAAAGCCAGCCATCATGGAGCCATTCCAGCGTCGGGCGACCTGCGCTTTACGTTTGCGCTTGCGCTGCCTGCCCGATTTACCGTCCTGCTTGTCATCCCTGTCAGGGCCCGTGGTACCCAGCTCGCTGCCTGGCGTTGTGGGCGCTGTCTCGCTCGAAGCCGTCTTCTGCATCGCAGCCGACGCCAGCGAGGGGTGCTCGGCACTGAGCCAGAGGAGAAAGAGGACGAGGAGCATCTGCATTTCGAGCCTGTGGCCAACGCCTGTCAGCATACATACAGCATGAAATGAGCAGGTATGGATACCCACTCTCTCGCCTCTATGGCGTCGAGCCACCGCTTTGTCCACTTTCCCTGCGTCGATGATGACGACGGTGAGCCGTCCATTCTGAGCTCTTTGGCCACGGCAACCGCAGGTCCGCTTGAGAGTGCGTGTCGAATGACGCCCTTCTCCACGTCCTCGTCTGTCCTTGACTGGAGCGCATCCAAGAGCACACCGGTGCTGCTCAGCTCCTCATGATAACGCCGCTTAACCGCACTTCTGACCTTGAGGTGGCCCACGAGGATACCGTAGCTTTCCGAGGGTCCCTTGCGATCGACGAGGTGTGCCATGTGTTGCAGAAAGGCCGACAGTGGCGAGTGTTGCTCTCCCAGCCAGAGTGTCTCAGCGTATCGCCGCTGCAGCCAAGCCCTGTCCTGGTCTTCTTCGTATAAACCTTCCACCCTGTCTTCACTCTCGACATGTCGCGGATCTCCCGGCCAGGGAACTGGACAGTCGAGGTCGAGAACCGCCATGCCCATCATCTCGGTTGCTGCGCTATCTCCTCGTGTCCGTCCGCCCCATGTCCTCTATCGTGTTGCTCTTTTCTGAAACGCGTCAAGAGCGTCGACCGAGCAGCGTGCGTCTTTCGCGAAAATTACACTGGTCCTCGGAATTCGGACGAGCGGCGCGCGCTCTTCGACATGTTGGACCAAAAATCTTGGCTCCTCCTTCTCCCTCTCTTTCTCTCTTCTTTTTGTCTCGTGAGTGCTTGCGGACGGAGCAGTCGGAGCGCTCCCTCGCACGGCAACGGCAACATGGCCACGAGCACTATCAGCAGCGATGAGGAAAAGCAGATGCTCAACATTGGCATCATCGGCATGGGCGACATGGGCCGGCTGTATGCGTCCAAGCTCGTGGCCGCTGGTTGGAAGTGGTGAGTCGCCCTCTTTGAGAGAGAGAGAAAGGACCAGCTGACGAAGTGTGTGACGTTTGCCAGTGTCAATGTCTGCGATCGACCAGAGCAGTACGAGAAGCTGCGGGAGGAGCTCAAGAGTGAGTTTTGAGATGTGCAACGAGAGAGGAGGCGCTGATCGGGACTGCATGCAGACTCGGGCATGACGGTGCTTCGCGACGGCCACCACGTTGCGAGACGCAGCGATTTCATCATCTACTCGGTTGAAGCCGCCTACATCGATGACGTTGTTGCGCAGTACGGCCCTTCCACGAAGCTAGGCGCCATCGTGTCGGGGCAGACGTCGGTCAAGGCACCTGAGAAGCAGGCCTTTGAGGCCCACCTGCCCTCGGACGTCTACATCATCTCCTGCCACTCGCTCCACGGGCCCAAGGTCGACACGACGGACCAGCCGCTGGTGCTAATCCAGTACCGTGCGCCCGACGACAAGCTGCGCCTCGTCGAGCGCGTGTTTGCCTGCTTCCGCTCCCGCTATGTCTACCTCACCTACGAGGACCACGACATTGTGACGGCCAACACACAAGCGGTCACCCATGCCGCCTTCCTCACGTGGGTTGCCTTCTCGTCACCTTACCTTTGCTCTGGTAAGGAGAGGGACACTGACTCTCTTCATGTCTTGCAGAATGGGAACAGCATGGCGGAGCTCAAAAGACTATCCTTGGGAGACGGGGCGCTACCCGGGCGGCATCGAGACGGTCAAGATTAACATCATGCTGCGCATCTATGCGGCCAAGTGGCACGTTTACGCGGGGCTCGCGCTGCTGAACCCTGCGGCGAGGACGCAGGTGACGCAGTACGCCGACAGCGCCACGGACCTGTACAAGCTCATGGTCGCCGGCGACAGGCAGGAGCTGACGCAGCGCATGCAAAAGGCACGGAGGGAGATATTTGGCTGGGCAGACGACGAGGAAGGCACCGGTGGCGCTCGCCATCGGACAAGGGGAACAGCAGAGGGTGTAGAGGAGGAGAGAAAACCGATCCTGATGAGCGACAAGCTCCTTGATCGGTTCCATTTTGCTGCGCGGAAGCATGAGCAACAATCAGGAGCGGAGGTGACGACGGCGACGACGACGGCGACGAAGCCAAATTCGCACCTGGCCCTGCTCGCCATCGTCGACTGCTGGCACACGCTGGGCATCAACCCGTATGCCCACCTGGACCTCGCTGCGACGCCCATCTTTCGCCTCTGGATTGGCGTGTGCGAGTACCTGTTCCGCTCGCCCGGCCGGCTCAGCGCAGCCATCGACGCAGCCATCGATGACTTTACATTTCGCTCCGACGACCTCGAGTTTGTCGTCGCTGCCCGTGGCTGGGCCCAGGCTGTGCGCTTCGGCAACTTCGACCTGTACCGCTGGCGCTTTGAGGAGACGCGCGCCTTCTTTGCACCCCGCTTCGACGAGGCCACGGCGCTGGGCGCAGAGATGCTCAAGGTCGTTGCTGTTGAGAAGACGGTGTGACATACGCAACAAAGAGAGAGAGACAGAGAGACACTGTGGATCGACATTGCCCTTTATTATTGTATGTGCTAGTAGTAGTAAGCATTGCTTTTCCATTTTCTTTTGCGATGTGTGATCACCGTCTCCCTTCGAGCGCATCTTTTGTCAGCTCAAAGGCTGTGAATGTGGCCGCGGCAGCGGGAATAGCACGCAGCAGCGTGGGCGAAAGACCACGGACGAGTGCGGCGTAGCCTCCCTCGTGCACCACAGCGCGGAATTCATCAAGGATGTACGCAGGCCCGAGTTTGCGTGATGTGAGCTGGACCCTTGACTTGACGACGTCTGTAGAAGTCAGATGAACGAGCGTGAGTGAGGTGGCTTGTGGAGGCAAACGGAGGCAAGAGAAAGACGCACCGAGTGGGTAGCAGGCGAGCCAGTTGCAAATGCCGCCAACGGAGCCACTGGCCATGAGGCACCAGATGGGCAGCTGCGCCTCGTTGGGATAGAGTTTGCGCTGGAAGAGCTCCTTTGACTTTGTGAAGCCGCCGTAGAAGCCCGCATAGGCGGGTGTCTCGCGCAGGACGGTGATCCAGAAGCCACGCATGACGCCGCGACGGAAGCCAGCCTCGGCCCAGAGGTCGCGCGCCACCTGCCTCAGCTTCTTGTCCGTCGCCGAGCCGTACTGCGCCTGCATCCGGATCTTAAACAGCTCGACGGGCGACGCCATGACGCTGTTGGCCGCGCCTGCCATGGCACCTGCAAGGACCGTCTGGCGCGTAGTCAGGTCCGACGTCTCGGGCGAGACGGCGCGGCGCGAGAGCTGGAATGCGGTAAACAGGAGCGAGTTCTGCAGCGCGATGCCCATCAGCGGCGAGGCCATACCCTTGTACAGCGCCAGCACACCCTCGCGTCGGACCGTCTGGACGAGAATGTCGGTCGGGCCTTTGAATTGGCCTCTAGCCGCTGTCTGGGCGCGCGTCTTGATCGTGTCCAGTGGCTGCCCAACGATCACCTGTGCAGCTCCGGCCACGGACCCGGAAAAGAGGTCTACGAACGGAAGAGTGAGCGGTGGCCATGGTGTTGGCTTTGGCCCCGACGTCTGCCCAGGGCTCGCCATTGTCGTGTCCTTATTTCGTCGTCGTCTTTCTTCTCTCTTGACTCGACAGGAATGACGTGCGACTGCACAAGAAGACAAAAATTAGAGATAGATTGGCCCGATTTCCGAAAAAGACAATGGGAAGAACGCGACTTGGATTAGTCTAAATTACCCCGTCGAAGCGCTGAGAGACCAACACCTCGACTTCTCCGACCCACTCTCCTCGCACCCCTACACCCGCGAGCGAAGAGGTTGGCCAGATTAGTGGGACTTAACAAGGGACAATTGATGCGTTCGTGCGAGTGGGGAGATTCGGACAATGGATGCGGGAGGTACAGGACGATAGACACGATCGAGGTGAGCTGAGTCCGCGTCGTCGTACCCTTTGACGAACCTTGCGCTCACCGCCTTCTTCGGTCAGTATGGTGTCGCTACAGGATGCCGTGCGGCTCCTGGGCAGCGAAAAAGTCCGGGAGCGAAACGATGGCATGGACCGTTACCGGCAGATCTTTGACGATGACCGGGCCATCCGCCAGCTCAGCGACTCGGACCACGATGGCCAGCGATGGCTGCGGACGATGCAGGCGCTCTTCAACTGCGTCATCGTCGAACGGAGTGCCTGCCTCAAGAAGGGATCAGACTGGAGAGATGCGGCACCCATCACGATCAAGCGGCTCAACGACGCCTCGAGGCTCGTTCACTGGATGATCGAGCGGGTGCACACCCACCTCCCCGAACCCACCTTTGACGCAGTATTCAACCACGTCACGCAGATGCTCGACTACCGGAACAGGCTCTTTGAGCCACTCGCACTCGACTATCTGAAGTCGCTGCGTACGCTCGTCAGCCATGCGCCTCACCTTGAGCATCTCAACGCACAGCAGTGGCAGGCCGCCGTCACCCTCTGCTTCAATGTCGTCCTTGGCGATGGTCTCAAGACGCCTCTTGACTCGAGCAGCGACGAGGATGTCCTTGTGGATCGGCCAGACGACGAAGAAGCGTACGAGCTCGATGACGGGGACGTGCGGATGGAGGAGCGCAGAAAGGGCCGGCTCGAAGACGTCGAGGTCATGGCGTGCATACAGAGCCTTGTCGCCTCGCCTTATGCTCCTCTGCTCTCGCAGCAGGGCCTTCAGCTAGGCGTGCGCATCCTGGCAAAGTACCTGCGTTTCCTGGCAGCGTTGCAGGGCGAGTCATCAGCGCATCTGCCTGCCCTCGTTGGCCTAAACCATGTCCTCTACCACATGGACATCAACGAGACCCGGGTCGTCAGCACGTTTGCCCAGCGGGCCTGGTCAGATCTGCTGTCCCTCTTGGGCACCAAGCACAAGGTCTTGAAGGAGCAAGTGATCATCGCATTCAGCACGCTGGCCTACCATGTCGAGAACGAAGCCCTGCTAGCTCCCCTCTATGCTTCCCTGTCCTGTGATTGCGAGCAGCGATGGGGCCTGCAGCCTTTGTCCGCGTCTGCGTATGACTACCGTTTGTTTGCAGACGGCGAGGCCGAGCGACCATTCATCTATTCGTCCTTCCGAGCCGGCCGACGCTTCACGAGCCAGGACGTCGTTGTGTGGCTGGCTCAAGAGCTCGCTGCTGACATTCTTCAGGCTAGCGCATCTTCCAGCGCAAGTTTGCCGCCTTCTACGAATATCGATGCGCGAGAAGGAACGTCGACGACGGACACGAGCGAGAGCCGAGGCCGAAGCAGGAACGGAAACAACAAGCGAGTGGCAGAGCTGGCTACGCAGACTCAGACGAAACGGCGCAGAATCAACAGCCCCGCAAATGGCCTACTTCAACCACCCCTCGACGATGTCCTCGCAAGAGCGGTTGGCAGCGATGCCCATATTCGCTCGCAGTCCAAGGCAGCGCGCTTATGGGCTCTTCAAGTCCTGACGATCTTTCTGGCAAGACACGGGAGCTCATTGCAGCAAGAAAGAATACTGGACGTCGCCTCACGGCTCGTCACCGTGCTTTCGGATGGCGACCACGACATACAGTCCGCTGCTCTCGTCTGCGCTGCTTCGCTCGCTTGTGTCTCAGAGAAAGGGCAAGCGATCTGGCAGCAAATGTGGACCATTGCTTGCAGGCGCCTGCAGATCGTCGCCACGTCGAGAGCCGCAGCCCATGCTGCTCACGCCATTCTCACCTACCAGCTCGTTCCGCGCGAAATGCTCATCTCGGACACTCACAATCTCCTCTCTGAGCTTGACGTCCAGGGGCCCGTTTTTGCCGCTGACGCCATCTGCCGCTTTCTATCATCTGCCCTGATACTCGTCTCTGGCGACGCGGTGCTCGCGAATCGGAACCTGGAAGACGGTGTATTCGCATGGCTTCAGACCAATTGGTCGCCTCTGCACCGTGCTACGTCCCTTGCAAGACCTGAGGTGGAAGAGCAGGACCCCTCCGACATTGTTGATTTGCTCGCCAGGATATGCTCGCTACAATATACTTCGGCCTCGACCAGGACGACTTCGCTGCTCTTGCCCGACTGTCCGGCCGTTCGTCATGCACAGCGCGAGGAAGAGGTCGGCGATATCCGACGCTTCATTCTGCGATCCGAACTGCCGCCTTTGTCATCTGCCAAGTCCAGCGGTAACATCAACATGCAAACGAGTCAGGGCCAGGACAATAGCGAGGCACGGACCATGAGACCCAGAGAGAATCGGGCAACTGCTCTGCTGTCCAAGGCGATGCGTGCATTTGAGGCCGCGTGGGAAGACAGTCTAGCCGACCCAGTGTCAAGCGCAAGCTCTGTCTCAAAGGCTGGCTCCGAGGAGAAAGTCAAGGCGACGGTTGATTTTGCGCTTCTGGTCCTCCTCTTTGCGGCCACGCTGTCGGTCAACGGCATTCAAACAACGCAGCTGAAGCCCCTCATCGCCTCTGCTACCGCAATGCTGTCGAAAATGATCGAACTGTTGGCACAGCCTCGGTGGTCGTCAACAGCCAGGGCTTTCGCTTTAGCGGGGCTGAGCCTCGTGCTGCCCTTTTCGGAAACGGCTACCGCTCTTCGGCTAGGGGCGGCCAAAGGCATGGAGAGACCAGGTCCGCAGTCTGGGGTTCGACGAGAGATGGTCAATCAGGCCTGTGAAGAATCTACGAATAAGGAGGACAGTGTTGTGGTGTGTTGCTGGACCCTCACGCAGACCGATCGGATCATAGAGGCTGTCAGATCTCTGGCAAACGTCCTGTACGGGCACAAGGAAGAGCAGAACGAGGCGTGGGTCGGCCACAACGTTTCATTTCAAGAAGCAAACGATCCATCCCTGACCGGAGACAATGGCGGCTCTGATCATACACGCTTTGCACTACGTCTTTGCATTTCAGCTACTGTCAACATCGCACGGTACGGCCGAGAGACGGAAAAGGAAGGGCCTCTGGCAGATCAGGCACTCATCGAAGCCATGCTGGACGGCGAGGTGGCTGGTCTCTTGCTCCTAATCGAGGCGGTCTCCCCTCAAATAGCCAGTCATCGTCTCCACCTCAACCTAAATTACGGGAATCAGCTTCTGGAGCGTCTTGCCTCGGACCTGCTTGGTTCGTACAGCTACGAGCGCAACGAGGAGGCACAGCTTCGTACCTTGGACATTCTCGACTCGACGATCGAAACGTGGACTGTCAAGGCGACGGCAAATTCAGGCGACTTCAACAAAAATGCACAGAAGCTCCTCGGCTACTTCTCTAAGCAGCTGACCAAAGCCAAGCTGTCTTGTCCCGTTTCGATGCGCGTCAATGCGCTTCTGGAACGTTACCTCTCTCGAGTGTCGAGCGAACCAGGAGACACTACGGTTTCGAAGATCTCCACGTTGGCGCCCATCACCATCGTCGACACGCTCCTGATCTCCGTCAACCACGTCGACGTACGGGCGAGATTTGCGGCAGCCACAATGACTGCGCGCCTCTTTGCCTACTGGTTCTTGCTCGACCTCGAGGTTGCGGATCTCTACAGCAGGCTGCAAAAGGCTTTACCGCGCGATACGAGCAGTTGGGAGCTGATGCAAACACGCATCGTGCTCCTCGGAAATGTAGTCGTGGCCACCTCGGCCATGCGCTACCTCGCCTTGTGGCACCTCATCGAACTCACCATGGTCAGTCCAGAATTCCAGTCCAGCACTCGGGCTGTCCTCTCTGCGGCATCGAGTCGCCTAGGTTATTCTAGCCTGCAAGACCTCTGGCTCGTGTTTGCGAGTCATCTGACGTATGCGATGATCGAGAGCGCCTTCAACTTTGACGAGCTGCCCTATATCGTGCTGGGCTATGACAACAAGAAAGAATACGCAAATCAGAGCTACCTGCCCGTTGCTTCGATGCTGCTCGCCGTTGCACAGCCGGAGTCCCTCGAGGCTTTTCGGTCGCTCACCAAGCTTGTGCACAAGTCGGACAAGGAAGCCGCCCTGGCATGTGTCCCGTTTCTCATTGCGACAGAGGTTGGCCTTGCTGAGACGGATATGACAAACGCAAGTCAAGACCCTGATGGACACGCACAGCTGGAGCTCGACGACGACGCATACCGGACCATCTACCAGAAGACCATCAGTGGTGCGGCTGCCAAGATGTCGACGGGGAAGGGTACGGAAGGACTCGTATCAGACCGGCTGGACAGCGTCGTCGCAGCGCTCATCTGTCAATTCTACGAGACAGACCTGGCCGAGGGTGCATTCATGCAGGGTCTGCAACGGTGGGATCCGGCCTGTGCCTCCCTTTTGGGCGAATTGACTGTGAGCGACAAGAGCGTCAAGCTGCATGAGCCGAACAGACCGATGTGGAGCGCCACAACGGTCTACCATGCCCTTCGTGCTTTGGTCAACAACGTCAACGATGCTCTCGGAGCGCAGACCATCTACAATGCAATCATTGATGTGGCGGATGTCGTCTACCGAGAGCGGACGTTCAATGACCAGCTGCGCCACCTCCAGGGACTGAAGCTCTACGTCGCCATGGCCCAAGAGACAATCAGCAAGGATGCTATGCTGCTCCGGCTCATGTTGAGAATCGCAACGGTGCTGCTCGAGCAGTCGGATCTCTTTGAGACGGTATGGCCACTGGTTGAGTGGACGTTGACCGCAACATGTTCGCTCCCTCGAGCATTTTCTGGGCTCTCCGATACACTTGTCTCGCTCTTCGATCTGCGACTGGCCAGAGAGGACCTCACGGACCGGCTGGAACCGCTTGTCCTAAGGATGTTGCGATCCGACGGACCGGCAGCCGCGGTGACCCAGGCGTTGTACACTTGGTCAGGTCCCTTGCCAGAGTCGATCACGGGTCTGGTCATGGAGCCAGAGCTGGACAATCTTGTGCTATTTATCAAGGATCAAGATCATGTCAATGTGGCTATGCTTCGACGTGTCCTCTCGTCCTTACAAGAGGCGTCCGACGAGTCCATTAAACGCCAATTCTCCTCATCGACCATCTGGAAGCTCTTCGCCGCCTTGAAGGGAAGAGAGAAGTTGCACAAGGAAGATGAAGACGAGAAGGAGGCCGCGATCATTGTCGCCGATATCATCTTCGAGTGCAAGGGACAGCTGCACAATCCGAGCGTGAGGAATTTGCTCGACGACGAGGCTAATTCACCTTTGGAGGAGGCTGTGCAGGAGCTCCAGAAGTTCAAGTCGGAGGACACGGTCAAGCCGCTCAAAGCTTGGCTGATCGTACAGATCAGCGAGGTGATCCAATCCAAAGACCTGAGCAGGTCCAAACGGGCGGCCGACTGCATCAAACAGGTCCTCGCAACCAAGGCCCCTGTAGCATCCTGGCAGGAGCGCTGGCCCGATCTTGTTCGGGCGGAGCTCGATGCACTCTCGACTTTTGCGGTCGCCTCAGCCTCTGCAGCGCAGGCCAACAAGCGCAAGTGGAGCGAGCTCGACAAGTCAGTGGAGCTGGCAGACGACTTTGCCGCTTGGATTTGCTGGTTCTCCAGCTTTCTCTGCGACGTCGTGGCGAATCGAGAAGGCAAGGTGTCGGCTTTTTCTGCGATTGCCCATCTCGTCGCCGCTGATGTGGCGCTGGCCAGCTCCACGATGCCAGTGCTGCTCCACATCTTTCTCCGGGTGAATCTGGCGACGGCTGAGGAGAAGCAGCAGGCTGCTCACCTAGCCGCCTACTTCATCGCCATCCTACGGCGGAGGGGCAAGGCGAGTAAGGACGTCTGGTCGGCCATCTTGAAAACGGTCCTCTACCTCAGAAAAGACGCGCCTTCTGACGGGCAGATGTCGTGTGACCTCTGGTTGCTGGGGCTCGATTTCCTCGAGCTGGCCGAACGGGCGATCGACTGCAGCCTCTTTACATCGAGCCTGCTCTTTGTTGAGCTGGCCAGAGAGCATCGCGATCCGGCCGACGAGGACCAGGAACGCATCCTGGCCTTGCAGTACCAGATTTACTCCAACGTAGACGACCCAGATGGCTTCTATGGGATCAAGGACCCCGACGTGGGGCAATCGCTCGTAAAGAGGCTCCAGCACGAGGGAGAGTGGCAGCGGGCGTTTGAGCTGAGGGGTGCCGAATTCGAGAGCGGCTCGCTGCCATCTACCTCTTGGGATGGCCAGGGCAATATCACTGCCTGTCTGCATCGGATGGGCTTCAACAGGCTTGCGGCGAGGCTGGCAACGTCTTCGGAGTCGAGCGTCGACATTGGGTATGACACGGCCTGGAGGGTGGGGCTGTGGAATCTACCCGTCAAAATCACATCGGAGGAAGCCGTTCCCAGCCAGAATCTGTACGCGGCACTGCGTGCTCACCATCGCGAGAGGACGTCGACTTCGATGGACCGCGTCATTGACACATCGCTGAGCAGCGAGCTCGCGAATCTGTCGCGCATCACTGTCGAGGCAAATGCGTCGGCCAGACAGCTGTCGCGTGAGCTGCTTGGCCTGCGGGAGACGAAGCGGTGGCGAGCCAAGGATCAAATTCAAGAGAGCCTGAATGACGACTTTGAGTGCGTATGACCCATTATTGCTAAGGCTATTCAGGATTGTCACCGTAGAAAGCTGACTCTGAGCACCTTGGCAGCTTCGATGACCTCGAGTGCATCCTCTCTGTGCGCCTATCGTTACTGCGCTCAGAAAAGGAACGTCTCAAGGGCCAGAGGATCGGTGACGTGCTGGACGAGGCAGCCAAGGACAATATGCAGCGCGAATGCTCGCTGCTTCTCGACGTCAGCCGGCGGGCGAGGGAGCAGGGCAGCCTCACTGCGTCGATCAATGCCGTGACTCAGGCCCGGCAGCTCCGGCGTCTGCTGGATGATGAGGTCGGCGAGGAGGCAGCCTTAAAAAGCAGGCCTGACCTCGTCGGGCACGAGTTTGCCCATGTTCTTTGGGCACAGGGCGAGCACGCCATGGCCATCGAGGCACTCGCAGGCATGCTGAAGGACAAGGTGGCGCAACGGGAGCAGGCGGACAGGGACGTCCATGCTTCGGCGCTGGCGAGGCTCGGCCAGTGGCGCTCCATTGCCCGCTCCCACCAGGCCAAGGTCATCGACGAGGAGTGTTTCAAGCCGGCCCTTTCCCTCTTTAGAGGCGACACGCGCGCACCGGAAAAGGCCAAGGTCTGCTACCAATTTGCCGTCTTTGCCGACGAGCAGTACCGCGCCCTGATGGCATCGGAGGAGGTGCGCAATCTCGAGGCTTTCGTTGGCCACCGCCGAGAGGAGCTGGCGCAGATCCACGTCGAGCTGCAGAAAGCTGCGCGCCAGTCGGACCGTTGGCGTCAGCTGGTGAGAGCTCGGCAAAAGGCAGAGAAGATCGAGGCGCTAGATCAGACGAAATTGCGCGAGCACGAGGGGGCCAAGGAGCAGTTCAGACTCGAAGCCGCACAGATGTATGCCGTTGCGCTGGCCACCTCGGACAACGTCGACGACGCTGCTGTTCGACTGACGTCTCTGTGGTTTGAAAATGCAGAGCTGCAAGACCTAAATGAGAAGCTCGGCAAACACCTGGCCAAGGTGCCCTCGGCCAAATTCCTGCCTCTCACCCACCAGATTTCGTCACGGTTGAACAAGCCCTTTTCGTCGAATTCACCTTCGCCGTCGGTCTCGCCGTCACCGGGCGGGGCCTGCTCGGCGTTTCAGACAAACATCAACGATCTGGTGTTTCGCATGTGCAAGGACCATCCGTTCCAATCGTTGTATGCGCTGTATGCGCTCGCCATGGGTGCCCATGACGCCGCAAAGGAGGAGAACAGCCGGAGCAAAGGCAAGAAGAGAACATCGACGGCTCAAGACGAAGCTGCGCCGGTCCCTTCGCAGGTCTCTCGAGGTGCCACGGCCGAGGAGATCATCAATCGAGTGCGCACCTCATCGAGCCCTAAGATGCGAGGGCGCATCGATGCGTGGTTTGCCGTATGCGAAGCATGCAGGCAGTGGGCGCAGCTGAGCCTCGAAAAGACGATGCCCACCCTGTTCCAAGGCGGCAGGAGAGGAGGAGCGGGCTCGATTAAGAAGGGCGCCCATCCGATCCCATCCTCTCTCGGCCTGGCCATCAGCAAGCTCCGCGACGTCGAGGTGCCCGTCATTACGCGCGACCTCGCTGTGGACCCCACAGGGAAGTACGAGGACTACGTGGGCATCGCCAGGTACTCGGCCAAATTCGCCACGGCGGGAGGCATCCATCTGCCCAAGATTATCGATTGCATCGGCACCGACGGGCGGGCATACCGGCAGCTGTTCAAGGATGAGGATGACCTGCGACAGGACGCCGTCATGCAGCAGGTTTTTCGCCTCGTCAACGGTCTTCTCCAACAGGACCAGCGAGCGAAGCGGAGAAGGCTGGCCATCCGTACCTACCACGTCGTACCCTTGGGCCCGCGGTACGGTCTCCTCGAGTTCGTCGGCAACACGATGCCACTGCAGGAACCGCTGATGGACACGCACACGCGCTACAGGAGATTCTCCCCCTCATACGACTCCTTCTCGATGGCCGAGGGAGACGGTGCGGCAAAGCACACGCTGACGCCCATCGAGGCCAGGCAGCTCATTAGCGCCGCGGCAGGTAAGGAGACGAGGGAGCGCGTCGCCGTGTTTGAGGATGTGTGCTCGCGGATGCCGCCGACGCTGCGCCTCTACTTTTTCGAAAAGTACACGGCGCCGATGGCCTGGTTCGGCGCCCGGCTCAACTACACCAGGAGCGTCGCCACCTCGTCGATTGTCGGCCATGTGCTGGGCCTAGGCGACCGACACGTGTCCAACATCCTCCTCGACCAGGTGAGCGGCGAGGTGGTGCACATCGACTTTGGCGTCGCCTTTGACCAGGGGAGGCTGCTGCCCATTCCTGAGCTCGTGCCCTTTCGGCTCACGAGGGATGTCGTCGATGGCATGGGCTCCACGGGCGTCGAGGGCGTCTTTCGCTCGTCGGCCCAGGAGACGCTCCGGGTGCTTCGGGAGGCGAGACCCATCATCAAGACCGTCCTCGAAGTGTTCAAGTACGACCCTCTGTTCGACTGGACACAGAACCCCGTCAAGGTGCTCCGGGCCCAGGCGGCGGGCGGCGATGAGGCCGACGCTGTCGCGCCTCTCTCTGGCTCCTCGACGTCTTCCTCGTCCGCACCGCTTGGTGGTGGTGGTGGTGGTGGTGGGGTCCAGCCGCAGCAGCAGCAGCACCCGCGCCAGGCCAGGGAGACGGCCGAGCTACAGGCCGAGAGGGCCATCAACTCGGTCATGAACAAGCTCGGCGATGGCCTCAGCGTCGAGTACACGGTCAACGATCTGATCCAGCGTGCGACGGACACGACAAACCTGGCCTGCATCTTTCACGGCTGGCAGGCAGCGCTGTGACCAGACCTCTATCTGGTGCTTTGTCCTTTCTTTGGATAATGCTAATGTACTGTACTTGTATTGTGGGAGAGAGAGAGAGATGAAAAAAAGAATATTACAGCTTGATACCGTGCCAGATGCTGGCGATGCCCAGGGTTAGATCCTGCCAGGCGCCCTTTACGTCGTCGTCGTCGCGCTTGCCCGTCTCGCCGCCGAGGCTGCCGATCCCCCACTTGGCCGCTTCGGGCTGGCCTGCGAGGGTGAAGCCGGCGCGCTGCATCATGCGCGCAAACTCGGGCTGGGTGGGGAAGCGCTCAATCGACTCGACCAGGTACTGGTACGAGTCGCGGTCGCCGGCGAGGACCTGGCCCAGGGAGGGAATGACGTCAAACGAGTAGCGGCGGTAGAGGGCAGGTAGGAAGGGCAGCTGGCGGCCGTCGACTTTACCAAATTCGAGGCAGGCAAAGATGCCGCCGGGCCGGAGCACGCGGTGGGCCTCGCGCAGGACGGCGTCGATGTCGGTGCAGTTGCGGATGCCAAACGCAATCGTGTACAGGTCCAGCGAGTCCGAGGCGATAGGCTGTGTGGGCAGCGCAGGCAGCGCGGGCGAGTTGCGGGGCAGTCGTTGTTGTTGGTGCTGCTGTGAAATGGAAGCGGGCGACTGCGTGGGCGGCGCCGAGAGCGAGAGGTCCTCTGCATTGCCGAGCTGAAAGGCCAGCTGGTCGGTGCCCCAGTACATTGTCTGTGCCATGTTCTTCTGCCCCGCCCGCAGCATCTTTTCGTTGATGTCGAGGACAGTGACCTTTGTCTGGCGGTCGCCGTGCGCCGTCCGTGCGTGGTCGAGGATGCGCGTGGCAATGTCGCCCGTGCCCCCCGCCACGTCGAGGCATGCTATCCCGCCGCGCGGGTCGAGCTGCGAGACAAAGTGTGACTTCCACAGGCGGTGGATTCCAAGCGACATGGCGTCGTTCATGAGATCGTACGACGAGGCCACGGAGCTGAAGACGGAGCCGACGAGGCCGGCCTTGTCAGATGAGGCGACGTCGCGAAAGCCAAAGTGCGTCTTGGCATCGCTGCTGCTGCTGTTGGAAGAATTGAATCGAACCGAGCTCGCTGCCCCAGTCAAGGCTACAGGTCGACTCCCTGTCCGTGAAACGGCTGACTTGGCCACTCCTATCAACGGCGCCCGCATCGCCGACATTGTCATCGTCTTTTTCGTCGGCGAGAAGAACCGTCGTCTACTTTATCGTCGGTCGAAGGCAGCAGCTTGCTGATGAAATTTTCCACGTGGGCTGGCAGCGCGGGCGGACCTCATTCTAAATCTTGGCAGGTCCCCAAGAGTAGTCTGTGCGCGCGCATTGGATTGATTCTTCTCGCGTCTGTCAGGTGGACGTTGCACAGCCTTCCCGACCAGCTAGACCAGACTCAGACGCGACTCGAGGATGGTGTCGGCGTCGAGATCGCCGTCGACGATGCTGCGGCTCTGCCGGGTTGCAGCCCCACTGCGAGCACAGACGCGGCCGCAGCGATTCACGCGACCGCTCTCGACGGCTGTGCCAAGGAAGAGCGCGCCGGGGCAGGAAGAGAAAGGGAGTACTGGCGGCGGCAGTGAGGGCAGCGGCGGGGGCGAGCGATCGGGCTTCTTCAACTCGACAGGATGGGAGACGGCCATGGGCGCCTCGGCGGGCGTCCTGCTCCTGGGCGTGGCCGCGATGGCCTACCAGGCGTGGTACAAGGCCCACGTGCTGCACAAGATGGAGGCCGCCTTCAATGGCGGCTACGACCCCGTCCTGGCCCTCGCCAAGTCGGGCGATTCGCAGGCCCACGTCACCGAGCTCGACCCGCCGCGGCCGGAGCAGGCGATGATCCAGAGCATCATCGATGGAAAGGAGACCGGCCACTACTTTTTGGTCCTAGGCAGCAAGGGCTCGGGGAAAACGACGATGATCATCGATGCCATGGCCCGGAGCCAGGCCGAGGGGTGCGCCCTGTTTGAGGCCCACAACGACCCGTCCATCGTCGTCGACCGCTTCTCCGAGTCGATCAACTACAACATGAACAGAGACTATCTGGGTAATCTGCTTGGTCTCTCGGACCTCTCGGGCATGTCCGTCTACCAGTCGGTGGAGCGGGCGCTGCACAAGCTCGAAAAGGCCCTCATCCGATACAGCGAGCGGACAGGAAGGCCGGCCATCATTGTCATGAACTCAGCCCACCTGCTGCCCCGGGACGACGACGGGAGAAAGCTGCTCCAGCTCTTCCAGCAGCGTGCCGAGAGTGGGTGTTCCTCTTCCCTTTAGCCACGACGATTGACTGACAGACTCGACACACCTCTAGAGTGGGCTTCTGCGGGCACGGCGACATTTGTGGTGAGTGCTGGTCAAGACAAGAGCACTGTAAAGGGAGCTGACTCTGATCTGGTTGGACTCGAACTCGAAAGTTCACCTCCAACGACTACTGGGTGTTTGACGTCCTGCGCAAGAACTCGAACCGGATGGACACGCTCACCTTCAAGGACCTCTCGCGCTCCCAGTCGCTCGAGGTGCTCCGGCAGTGCAGGGCGCACTACTACGGCAAGGAGCAGGCCCTGCGCGAGGAGCGCGCGGGCATGTTTGCGAGCGTGTACGACATTGTCGGCGGCAGGCTGGCCCTGCTCAACTCGGTGAGCAGGCGAAAGGACCTCGTCGAGGCGGCCGATCAGCTCGTCGAGGACGACACCCAGTGGCTGCTCAGCAAGACGGGCATCATTGAGGACCACGACGACGATGTCATGGATGAGCAGAGTTGGTACTCTTTCTGGTGATGAGGTCGAATGCGAAGAACGAGGCTGACTGAAAGGAGACTTGATCGCTACCAGAATGGTCCACATGCTCCTGGCTCCTCTTCAGCGAGCTGGCCAAGCGGCACGCGGACCTCGAAGCGGCCCTGCCAAGCTCCAAAAGCGAAGCTGAAGCAGAAGGCAAGACCGAAGCAGCCCCACACAATGTGACGGACCCCACGCAGGACAAGGAAGAGGACGTCCGGGGCTGCGATGTGCCCAACCCACACTTGACGTGGGGCGAGGCAAGGCAGGTCATGACGAGGCCAGACTTTATCCTCGAGCTCGACCACCTCAATGTGCGTGCCTCTCTCTACATATATCTGAATTCCAGCTGAATTGAGACTCCACACGAACAGATCATTCACATCGACCGGCACCACCACATCCGCGCCGACTCGATGCCGCTGCTCCGGGCATTCCGCAAGGTGGCCGAGATGCCCGGGTACGCAGAGAAGCTCGAGTCGGTCATGGACCGCGTCTCAGCCATTGAGAGCCTGGGCCGAACGAGGGAACTCGTCTGGAAGGAGCAGGGCGACGGCGGCCGCTTCTTGCTCCGGCACGACGCCAAGGGCAGGGAAGTCGAGAGCTGGACGCTTCTCGGCGGCGACGAGAGGCTGGGCAGGGAGCAAGAGCCAGAGGAGGAAGACAAGGGACAATAGAAGAGGCAATGACGTATATAAAATTACAATACTGCTGCCTCATGTATGCGCAAAGATCTGCCGTGCCAATCGATCCCCGTCTGTCTCGCGCTGCACGGCAATGGCGACGCTGCCCAGAAGCTTTCGCGCGTCTGCGTGGTCCACGTCGTGCGTGTCCTCGACCTGGCCCCACCGCTGCGTCTGCGACTCGACTTCTACCTCGGCAGCCAGGCTGGCCTCCTCTACACCAAAGGCCGCCTCGCGCTCCTGGATGGCCTGGACGAGACGGAGTGCCACGAGGAAGGACTTTGTCGAGCGCACAGCCCGCTCAAACGCAGCCAGGTCCCAGGCGTCAAAGGCGGTGAGAATGTGGCGCGAGAGCGTCGCGACGACGTGGCTGTCCTGCTCAATGTCGAGAAGGCCTTCAAAGACCTTTGTTCGCTTCTCGAGCTTGAACCGCTTGTCTGCCCACGCTATGATCGGATCCCAGCGCTCCTTTTGGAGCTGCACGAGCACGGGCGGGTGGTCCTCGTGGAAGCTTGTGCGCAAGCAGTGCATTAGCGAATGCTGCCAACCACAGTGCGGCGACTCGAGAAAGACCTGCTCACCAGATGGTGTCCGTGTCCAGATATCGCGCGAGCTCCTGGACGACGCCGATTCTGTCCTTTTCCCTCGACAGGCCGTCGATGGCTCTCGCGGCGAGGCTCGTCAGGGGCAGCGAGTGCGGTCGCAGTATCCGCTCCTGCTCGGCCCACTCCTTGGCAATCACAGCCGCCAGCAGGGGCCTGTCGGCGGGGATCTCGAGGACCGAGCCCGAGGGCGTCTTGAGCGGCCGGCCATCGAGGCGGACACGGAGGTGCGAGGTGGACTGCGGAGTCGAGTGGTAGGCCACATCGACCTTTTTCCAGAAGCGGCGCAGCGTGCGCTCGGCCTTGGACGTGGCGCTCTCGGGCGACGACGAGGGCACAGCCGCGGCGGGCGCTTGCAGCAGGCCGTGTGTGCACGAGATTGGCCGGACCAGCGGGCGCGTCAACAGTAGCGGAGATCTTGTCGACGTGGACAGAAGCCCGCGCGCGACCTGTCGCATCGTCGTCATCGTCAATGTCATCGACGAGAAGATCCTTTCCTGGTCGGCCGTATTGTCTTCCTGAAGCAGGCCAAGGCACGTGAAATCAAAATTTAAGACTCTTCTCCACATCACCTCCTGCTTGCTCGCCCCTTCTTCATTTCCTCTCTGTTCTCAGGTCGCGCGATGACCGCCTCTGCCTCGACGAGCCGCTCGCCGCTGGCCACGCTTGGGCCCCAGTCGCTCCCTGCGCTGGCTCCCATCGATCCATCTAGCGTCTCTCGGGTCGATGGCGAAGCGGTGAAGAGGATCGAGTCGGACGAGGACGTGCACCGGTGGAAGGCGAGCGTGGCGCACGAGCACATCGTCCTCTTTGCCTCGAGGCTCTGCGAAGCCGCCGTCGGGCTCCCTACGAGGGCCAAGCCGCCAAGAGGAGAAGCCAGAACGACGCCAATCACTAGCATCATCGAGTTGCTCGACAAGCTCTCGGGGTGGATCGACGACATTGCGCCTCGCGCGGGGCCCCAGCGATTCGGCAACCTGGCCTTTCGTGACTGGGGCGCCAAGCTCGAGGCCGAGTCTGCCTCGCTCCACCGTCGCCTCCTGCCCGAACAGCTGCACGGCTTCATCCCCGAGCTCCAGTCGTACCTCATTGGCGGCTTCGGGAGCTGGATTCGCCTCGATTACGGGTCCGGCCACGAGCTCAGCTTCGTTGCGTGGCTCTGCTTCCTCGATCGCCTCGCCTTCTTCTCCCAACCAGCCCTGTCCAACCCGGAACACTTGGTGAAGCCACAACAGTCAGAGTCAGACCTGGCGCTCCTCGTCTTTCCGCGCTACCTCGCCCTTGCCTGGAAGCTGCAGGACGCATACGGGCTCGAGCCCGCCGGCTCGCACGGCGTCTGGGGCCTCGACGACTACCACTTTCTCCCCTACGCCATCGGGGCGGCCCAGCTGCGGCTGCAGCACACCTATACGCCACTCCAGACCTCACGGCCCTCGCACCGGCCTGCACCTGCACCCGCGCCCACACCCGAGGGGCTCCTGGCATTTATTCCGGCGCAATCTTCGTCGTCGTCTTCTTCTTCGTCAGATCCCAGGGCTAGCAAGGAGGAGCAGGCACCGCCATTTGCGAATCTCTACACCTCGTCGATTGCGCGCATTCATGCCAAAAAGCGCGGGCCCTTTTTTGAGCATTCACCCATCTTAAACGACGTCGCGACGACGGTGCCGAACTGGGTAAAGGTCCATCAAGGCATGCTGAAGATGTGGGATGCTGAATGTCTCGGCAAAAGACCAGTCGTTCAGCACTTTGTCTTCGGGCGAGTCGGCTTCGTCTGGGAGGGCCAAGGGGAGGCAAGCCCACGGAAAGAGGAGCAAAAGGCGGCGGCGCCACAAATTACAAAAAGCGCCGGGATGCCGGCACCGACGGGCGCGCCCTGGGCTGCGACTGCAGCGCCCTTGACAGCGGCGGCACTGCCTCCACCTCTTTCGCGACCACGGCCACTAGGGACAGCAGCAGGTATCCGCGGGGCTGACTTGTCTCCAATGACGAGAGCACCAGCGGCGGGGGTGGCAACACTAGCATCGACAGGCTCCGCAGCAGCCTCTTCCTCACCCTTTGGCCGCCTCTCGCGACCAACGACGACGGGGCCTCTGTCCAAGGGCACACCTCCCCCTACTACCACTACGCAAAGAAAACAATAGAATGGCAAAAACCTGAGCATACAAACAAAACTTTCTGTACTGTGCAATGAATTCCCTTCACATCTTTGAGTCTCGCTTCGTCGCCGTCGCTGCTGCCGCCGGCTCGTATCGCCGGACGCTGCTGCTCGAGCCTTGCGCGTCGATTGCCTCTTTGAGTTTGCGCCGGACGACTTTTCCCGAGGGGCTCTTTGGGATCACATCGACGACAACGTAAGCCGCGGGCCACTTGTACCGCGCGAGCCGCTGCTTGAGCCACTCGTGGAGCGCCTCGACGGTCGCTGCTTCGTCTTTTCTTTCTCTCCTCACCGTCGCCGTCGCCGTGTTGGCCGCCTTGAGGGTCAGATAGACGACGATGCGCTCCTCCCCGTGGCCGCTGGCCGCCTCCTCGCCCGTCGTGGCGACATCGGCCACGACGTCTGGCCGTTGCGAGACGACATCGTCGAGCTCGGCGGGGGCGACCTGGAAGCCGCGGACCTTGATGAGCTCCTTGATGCGGCCCGTGATCCAGAGGCTGCCGTGCCTGTCGACGACGCCCTCGTCGCCCGTCAGGTACCACTGGCCATCGTCGCTGAACGCCTCGCGCGTCAGGCCGGCATCGATGCACGACGCGGCAGAAGACGAGGCCAGCCCACTGTAGTAGCCCAGCATGTTGTTGGACGACCGCACGCGGACCTGGCCAGGGAGCGTGCGCGCGCCGCTGGGCGCCTCGATGCCTTTGCTGCGCTTCTCGTCGCACTGCCGCCGGAACTCGGCGAGCCTGGCCTCGTACCCCTCAGCCGCCGCCGCCGCCGCATCACCGTCCTGTTGGATCGACACCTGCACACCGCCGCACAATGCTCCGACGGAGCCAATCTCCTGCAGAGCCGCGCTGTCCGACGCATACGAGGCGCCAAGCGTCTGCGAGACAGACGCCGTCTCTGTGGTGCCATAGCCGAGGTGGAGAGGAAGGCCGAGGCGCTCATAGAGACCGCGGATGACCTGGGGCGGCGTGGGTGCGCCGCCAGAGAAGAGGGCGCGCACCGTCGACAGGTTCATCGCCGCCGCCGCATTCGACACTGCCTTGACCTGGCCAGACTTGCGCCGCGCCGCATAGTCCTCGAGGAGGGGCGTGTGCAGCAGGGCGATGGCGATGGGCGGGGCAATGTGCATCAGCGTCGCGCCATACCGGGTCACGAGGCCGAGGTAGGTCTCGAGATCAAAGCGCCTCGACGGCGAGGGCACGACGAGGGTGGCGCCAATCGTGATGCCGAGCAGCAGCAGCGTCGCCAGCCTGCAGGGATTCCAGTGTCAGCATGAGAGAAGAGCAGAAGAGGGAAAAGCAACCCACCCAAAGACGTGACACCATGGCGCCAGGGTGACCCAGACCTCGCCGTCGGCGTTGAGCGACGTCTGGCTGGCCCAGAGGCTGCCGAGGTTGTGGATCAGGGCCTCGTGGGAGAGGAGCACAGCCTTGGAGGTGCCAGTGGTGCCCGAGGACCAGAGCATGAGTGCGACGCGCTTTCCTTGCTCGCCCTGGCCCTTCATCTCAGCGACGTTGAATGCAGGCCGAGTCAGCTCATCGACCGACGAGGTGTGCCGATGCCCCGGGGGCGCAAAGAGGAGGTGGGTCCAGTCGCGCGGGTCGACCTGGGCGGCCACCTTGTCGGTGCCCCGCGCATTCGTCCCGTAGTAGTCCGTCGACGCCTGCACATTGACTGTCCAGACCCGCCGCTCGCGCCATGCCTGCGTCTCGGCGCGCTGCACCTTCAGCCGGGCACCCGCATCCCAGCTGCTGGCCAGCTCCCGCGCCCACGCCAGCACCTCGCGCGGGTCGGCTTGCCCGCAGACGTCCTTTTTGAGCGCCTCATCGAGAAGCATCTGCAGTGCGGCACGGAGCACGCCTTCACCTGCGGGACCAGCACTGGTGACGAGGACCTGTGGCCGGGCCTTGGCGAGCATCTTGGCCAGCTCAGCGGGCGTGAGCATCGTCGACACGGGCGAGACGGTGCACTGGGCCGCCACGGCGCCGAGAAAGAGGACAGGAAACGCAAGGCAGTTGGGCAGGTGGAGGAGGACCGTGGTACGGGGCTGGTGAATGGCATCGAGGCTGGCATCAAACGCGCTGGGCGCACCGACGAGCGACTCGAGCGACCGGGCCACGCGCAGGCTGTCGTGGCGCACACGCTGCCAGCTCAGCGTCGCGCCCGACGAGGCATCCACGAGCAGCGGGCGGTGGGGCGCCACAGCACTGCCCCCGAACGAGTGCCGTGGATTGGGCTGCGTAAAGGGCACGCGATAGTCGTTGGGCCACGAGCGAAAGGGCGACGAGAAGATGTAGGAGTGCAGGTTCATAGTCGATGGCACCTCCTCGACGCGCGGGCCGTGGATCGTCGCCGCTGCTGCTGTCTCCTTGCTCGCCGCCATCGTTGTCTTTGCGACCAGGCCAGCTTATGGCAAGACAGGAAAGATGAAAAGGGAAAGAGGACAAGGTGAAGCGATCCCCACCCCTCTTCTGCGATGTGCGGGTTGGTTGCTTTTTAAGGTTGCCCATTCAGTTCCCGTGCTTCTCGCACGGATGGGTATAGGTTGGTCACAGGCGCGTGCACCCCGGAACCCGCGGCGATTCCCGCCTCTTTTGGATTCTCTCGCACGAAAATGGGGCCTCGAGCCGGCACGCGCCCGGTCGGACGGACAGAAGGACCGACCGACTTTGTCGTTTATTCTTCTTCCTCGTCTTCCGGGGCGGCGGACCCTGCAAGAAATGCGTCGAGACTGGAATAGCAGCGGACGTGGCGCTCCTCCATGAGGCGGGCCAGCGTCCTCAGCTCGTCGCTGCTCATCGCTCCTCGGAGCGGTGGCCTGAATGCTGCGAGGTAAAGCGCTGTCTCGCCCGGGACTCAGCCTCTAAGAAAAAGAAGAAAGATAAAGAACCCATTGAAGAAATAACACACCTCGAGAGTAAGGGCATTTGGCCAGCGCGCGGTACAGGACTTGCCCCGCGCGCTTGATGGCCGCCTTGGCATGGGCGCCGGGTGCCGCCCTCGCCGCGACGCGCACTTCGAAGTCGAGATAGAGCCGCCAGAGGACGACGGACGTGCCGTGCTCGGTCGCGCGCTCGAAAAGTGTCCTCACTGCGCCTTCGTTGCACTGGTGTGCATTCATGTGCAGCTCTGCATAGATGCGGAGCAGCGACGCCGTCACAGTTGCCCTTTGCCGTCTGTCCGCCTCTTCGAGGGCTGCGCGAAAGACGCCCTGGACCTTGGCGCGCATCTCAAAGGCCCCAAATAGGCTCCACAGCGCCGTGTTGCTCGGGTACTGCTCGACTGCGCGCTTGAGAATGCTCCTGACCTCGGCGGGGCGGTAGAAGGAGGGGGCACCTTGCCGTCCGCGCTGATGGACGTGATGCCAGGCGAGCCGGGCGAGAAACATGGCCAGCCGCTCGTCTTGGGGACTGCCAGAGATGACATCGGCAGCGGCCATGAGCGCCTCGTCGCGCGGCCGGCTCGCATACTCAAACATGGCCGCGCACCTCGTCGAGTGTGTCGATGGCTCTCTTCCACCTGCCCTTGTCTCTGAGAAGAAGAAACGCCTAGCCCGGAGCTTGTCAGCTGGGCTGACCGGCGTGACCTGTGCGTCGTCTGTCTGGCCAAGCGAAGCTCGCACGGCGAGGGCAACGACGTCGACGCAGCCATCGTTCGACGCGGCGTCAAAGAGCTCCAGCTCGGCCCAAGATGCCCAGACGGCAGTCAGCTGCGAATGGCGCGGCGACTGCTGCACCACGCTCCGGTACACGGTGCGCGCCATGTCGAGGTCGCCGCTGCTGCGCTGCAGCTGCGCATAGCCTCTCCAGAGGTCGACGTCGTCTCGGTAGGCTGCGAGGAGCTTCTTTGCCACTCTTGAAGCGCTGTGCCTTCCGATCTTGTCAGTGGTGAAGGTGTGAGAAGGACCACACAGTCAGACTCACGCCTTTGGGCCCTGTGTCGCGGCTGCCAGTGCCGTTCTTGCGAGGCCGATCTCAGTCGCCATGTCCTCATCCTGCACCTGCTCCAGCAGCAGTCTGCCGATTGACCGTGTAAAAGTCAGCCTAGTGTGAGAGAAGACGATGATTTACAGCTCCCACCTAGCAGTCTCTGCTCGGGCCTTGTCGTCATCGTCGTCAGAAGAAACATCTGCCCTTGCCATCATCGAGAACCAGCCGGGATCTGCTGTGGTCCGAGGAAATAGCGTCTCGATGCAGTCAGGCCACGCCGATCTTACGGGCATATCAAACGGCCTGGCGAGACCCGACTGCCTCTCGCGCTCCATGATCTCCCCACCAATAATGTCCCATGAGCGCGCGATGGTCTGGCTGGACTCGAGGCATGCTGGCCAGAATGCTGTGCTGCTCGAGGGATGGACGAGGTGGGCCTGTTCGTCGCCGTCATTGTATCCATCTTGGTCTTCTGAAAGCAGACCGGCGGGAAAGCCGAGGTGGGCGAGAAAGGCGTCGAGGAGGAGCAGCTTGGCTCGCTTGGTCGAGAGCGGCACCATGTACCCCCTCACGTCGTCAAAAAGCACAAACGAGAAGGGATCCACCTCGGACTCGCCCGTCGTCCAGTCCGGTTGGTCCCTCGTCGCCTTGGCTGGCTGCCTCTTTCTCAGGCGCGCGCGTGCTGCTTCGAGCGATGACCAACGTGTAAATGCGTCTGGGTCGCTCAGCCCAACGGGCATTTCACCCGTGGCTCCAGTCAAAGTCCCGTCTGATGGCGTGGGCTTACTTTCGCGCTCAACGGTGCCGGCTGGGTCTGCTGCAAACGCGGCCCATCTCCGTGCTCCCTCTTCTCCCACCCTCGCCAGCTCCAGGTCCCAGAACTCTGCGAGCGCATACAGCGCACTCTCGAGACCCTCTGCGCTGTCCAGACGGCGAGCCTTGCTGGGTCGGTTGAAAGTGAGCTCGCAGAGAGCCTGAAGCAGTCCGTGGGCGCGCTCGACGAGGCCTTGCAAGGGGAGCGACTTCAGTGGACTGTACTTCGCCAGCTCGCGCAGTCACTCACCTGCCTCCCGCAGCAGCAGCACACTTCGCTTGATCAAGCGCATCATGGCCAGTTCGAGCGCTTCTCTGTGCGTGTTCGTACTCGATCCTTGAAAGTAGAGAGCGCGGAACCTCGACAGGGCATACTGCAGCAGCTCCTCCATCTTGGACACGGTAAAGTCATCGAGGCCACCCGAGGAGCGCCAGTCGAGGTAGCGAGTCCAAAGGTCAAAGAGCTTGCCCGGCCTGTCCTCGTCTTGCTCACCCTCCTCTGCCGTGCGGAGAATCCTGCGCCACTCGTCGTCGATGGCGCCTGGGTGCCAGTGGTGGCCGTGGCCCTGCGAGACAATGTCGAGGCGCTTGAGGGCCATCTTGACTGAGCGCCGGTTGTCTGAGTGCGCGGCCATGCTTCTTTCGATCACGGCCAGCTGGACATCGCGCTGTGCCTGGGCCACCGTGCTCCTCCGGCCTGCATCGCCATGCTGCGCCGCGACGAGCTCGGCCTGCGCATCGACGAGGTCCAGCCAGGTGTCTACGCTTTCTGGCGCTGCTCGGGCCCTCGCATCGAGCTGGGCTATTCGTCGCTGCAGTGCACCTGTCGGCGATTCCCCCTCTTCTTCCTCTTCTTCTTCCTCTTCTCCGACCTCATCGTCGTCGTCGCTTCGCTTACCGTTACCCTTGGTCTCCGTGCCTGCAAACTGATGCCCGATCCAGAGCGCTTCTTCAGCCTGTGTCGCTGCCCTGCTCTTCCCCACCGCGACAAAGTCCTCTCCTGCGCCCCCTGGCTCGCCTTTCCGGCCCACGATGCGCCTCGACGCCGAAGCCCTCAACGCGCGTACGTCGACGTACCGCGTCGCCTGTCGCAGCGGCACACACATCAAAGGTGTGAGCTGATGAGCTGATGCCTTGACTGTCCTGTTACTCTCCACGCGCTCACCTTTCTTCCGCCAGGCGTGATGTTCAGCCCGCCTGTTTCGCCTGCTCCTCCTCGCTCATCGAGCACCGCGATGCGAAGGCCAGCGTCTAGCCCAAGGACCCTCCCTCCTAATCGTACGCCGCCGCCGTCGCCGCCCGTCAGCCTTAGATTCAATGAAAGCAAAGGCAGAGAGAGCTGTGGCTCACCTCCAAAGCGCCTGTAGCGCGGCACAGCAGACCGCCTGGGCCCGCCGTTCCTGGCCGCTGCCTCATCGCCCACCGTGTCCGTCAGCACCGTGTCCGACATGGGCGTGCCTCTCTCTCCCACACGCCGCCGCAATTTGCGCCTATCTGAACTTGGACTGACTCTGCTTCTCAGACTGGGAAATTAGTGGAGAGAGCAACACCGTCTCGTCCTTCTTATTTCTAATTTCCGACTCCCGAGGTAGGGAGGACCTCGTCAAAGGCACTGGCATACATGTGGCTCGAAAAGAGGACATAGAGGAACCTGAACCAGACGAGCTGGGAGCGGTGCTTGGCCATGGCACGCAGCGTGCGCACGTATGCGCCCGGGCTGGAGAGAAAGTGCAAGTTGGCATCGTCGTTGGGCGTTTGTCGGCTGCGACTGCGGTGGACGCCGGCCTGGAGGAGCGCATGGACGAGGCCGAGGAACTTGAGCGGCGCCGGCGAGACGGTCTTCAGCGCATAGATTGGCCCGCGGATCGCAGTGGTGGACTTGTCGTGGGGCGTGTAGGTGGACAGTTCCTTAGCTGCGTCGTAGCAGGCAACGTGATTGGGGTGCGACGACACGCCCCGGCCGTCAAAGGTGAGCAGCTGTCGCACGATCCATGCCAGCGTGAGCAGCGGACGAGGCTCGAGTAAAGCATTGAAATAGACTCACGAAATCAAAGGGACCAGCACGCTTGTAGAACTTGTCAATGTAGTCGACGATGAGCAGGTCCCACCACGCAGTCTGCATGCCGTCCTGGAGGCGCTTGTCGTCGATGGACATGATCCGGTCGCGCGGCACGCCGAGCACCTCGTAGCTGTCCAGCAGCTCCTGTGTTCTGGTCGCACCCAGGCCGTCGGCATTGCCCGTCGAGAGGCACATGGCCCACACGCTGACGCCGGCCTGCGTCAGGGCGAGGATGGCGGGCGCAAAGAACATGGCCTCGTCGTCTGGGTGTGCCGTCAGGACGAGCACGCGCTTCGCCTGGTTGTCATTAGGATCTGTCTCTTCCTTCTCTGCCTCTTTTGGTCTCTCACCTTCCATCTGTAATGTAAAGGCAGGAAGACAAGCAGGCGGTGATGGTCAGTGGCGGCCCTCTGTCTCGAGGTCATATACTCACGCTTCCAGGTCCAACGACGAGCCAGACAACCCAGCCTGGACAGCGACGAGCGCAACCAGGACGGCGCCCAGACTGAGAAGCAGCGTGACTCCCCCTCGTCTGCTTCCCTTTTCCCCTTTTGCGGTCCCTTTTGCCTCCTTCGTCTGTGGCGTCGTCGCCGTCTTTGCCTTTGGCGTCGCCATTGCTGCTCGCCCTGGCAATGGCCGTGCGCGGGAGATGGAGGGAAGCAACAAATTAGGCTTTTTCCGACCTTCGCGTCTGTCGTCCCTGTCACCTCGTCGTCTCCACTTCTACAAGCGCCATGCTGGGTGAGTGAGTGAGAGAGCGCCCACTGAGCCACTAGACTGACTCGTCGAGCCACACACAGTCGTCACGCTGACCGGCGGCATTGCCTCTGGTGAGAGACAGAAAATTTTCTTCGGCTGTATAGAGTCAACATGGCTGACATCCTCTTCCCCAGGCAAGTCCACCACATCGCGCCTCCTCTCGGCGCCGCCCCACTCGCTGCCGCTCGTCGACCTGGACCAGCTGGCGCGCCAAGTCGTCGAGCCCAACGACGCCTCGCGCTCGCTCGACAAGCTCGTCGCGCACTTTGGCCCCTCGATTCTCACCCCCGCAGGCACGCTGGACCGCGCCGCGCTCGGCCGACTCGCCTTTGGCACGGGCAAGGAGGCTGACCGCGCCGTGCTGAACCGCATCACCCACGGTGCCGTCCGGCGCCGGCTCCTCTGGCTTGTCCTCGGTCACTGGATCCGCGGCACGCGCATCCTCGTCGTCGACACGCCCCTCGCCGTCGAGGCCGGCCTCTGGCGCTTCTGTGGCGAGATGGTCCTCGTGTACTGGTGGGTGATGAGAGTGACTGTCCCTACCTTTGCTACTGCTGATGTCGTCATCTTCTTTGTCTTTCTCTGACAGCTCAAAAGAGGCACAGCTGGAACGCATGCTCAAGCGCGACGGCCCAAACGGCCTCACCGAAGACGACGCCAAGAACCGGCTGGCGTCGCAGCTGCCCCTCGACAGCAAGCGCGTCTTTGCCGACGTCGTCCTCGACAACGACGTCGGCAGCGGCGCCAGCCTCGAGCAGCAGGTCGACGCGCTCGTGGCGCGGTGGAAGCGGCAGACGAGCATGGGTCTCGGCTGGCTCGTCTCGACGGTCAACTGGCTCCTTCCGCCCTTCGGCCTCGTTGCGGCCGCCTGGGCCATCTGGGGCAGGACACGGCGGGTGCAGAGACAAAAAGGCAAAGAGGAGCAGAAGAAGAGCAAGTAGTAGCAGTAGTAGTAATAGCAGCCAATGCGCCAGATTGCAGTGAGATAGATACAAGTACATGAGAGCGGGCCTGAAGATAAGGAATCAAGACGAGAGGAGGAGGACACCGTTGACGCAACCGTCGTTTTCCTGTAAAGAAAAGTCAGCTTCTGTCATGCGGGCTGCCCTTATGGAGTACGCTATTACACACCGGGTTGTTGGTCACCTGCGCGTACTTGCCCCAGACGACTTTGCCGCCAGTCGTGACCATGCCCAGCTCCGAGACATTGACCTCGATGATGGTGCCCTTTGTCAGGACGCCCAGCTGCGTGTACATGGGCGACTGCGGGTTCTTCTTGACGCCGATGATTGGCAGCTGGAACGTGGCCTTCAGGTCGGCTGTGAGGAAAGGCATGGTCAGCGGCGCACTGCATGGCATAAATTTCGAAACAGAGAGAACACGCACGATGGGTGATGTGTGCCTTTTTGTAGCGCAGCGCCATGGGGCGGACAAAGCGCTCGAGCTTGGGCGGCTTGCGGGTGAAGCTCTCGCCGACAAAGGTGGCCTTTGTCACCATACGCTTCCATGCCTTGTCCTTGCGCTTGCCCGTCTTCATCACCTTGAACGCCTCGTCCTCTGCAATACCCCGCACCTGGGGCAGCGGCACGCTGTACCGCGCCGCCTTGTCCTTGCGCCGCTCCTTGACGGCCGACGAGAGCGCCTTTGCGTCGCGCTGCTGCTCGCGGTCCAGCAGGTAGGTCGGCAGGGCCTCTGACGAGTCGGCACTCGTCGCCGCCGTCTTGACGTCGCGCTCCTCGTGCGCCTTGAGCGTCTTTTTCATCTGCACCTTTTCCGCGCGCCGCTTCTTGTTGAGCATCTTGGCCTTGAGGCCAATTGTCTTTTGCGCCACGGCGCTCTGCTTGTGCACCTCGCGCGCCTCGCGCTTGCGCTTGCGCTCCTCATGGTCCAGCCGCTTGCCGTGCCGGCGCTGGTGCTCCTCGATGTAGTCGTTCTGTCGTTTCTCGCTCGGTTAGCTCTCGTTCATCCATCCGCTAATATATCTCTCTCTCTTACCTGAGGCATCTTCGAGTAAGACGACGGATCGAAGGAGGATGGGAGGACTCGATGACCTGGGCTTTCTCTCTCTCGACAATGTCTGCCTCAAAATTTCTAGACTGGCCTAAATTTCTCAGAGGCACGTGGTCCGTGTGCTTTCCTTTTTTTTTTCTTTTTCTCGCGTGGCCGCCCAGTTTGGTTGGCCGCCCTCCGACGTCGTCCGGGCGCGATCGCTTCTTCCTGAACGGCCCTTTATCCCTTCGACTGAGACGGTTCGACCTCCCTTGACGCGCCCTCTCTCTCATATAACATCGCCATGCCCTCGCAGGTTGTCAACGTGAGTGTGCTTGCTCTCTTCTTGCTTACCTGCCCCCCCCCGGTGCTGACTTCTGCGCGACTGCCCACACAACCTCCCAGGTGGCCCGCTACTCGGCGTTGGTGGGCGGGATCGGCTATGGGATCCTGCACCGCCGGACGCTCCAGAAGCGGCACGACGTCCGCGTCGCCGAGGAGGAGCGGAAGCACCAGTTGCACCTGCTCGAGGAGCAGCGGAAGCGGGCGGACCAGGAGCTGCTCAACAGGATCCGATCAGGAGGAAAGGACAGCGGCGGTGCGTCTCTTCTTTTATATCCTTTCGCATTGCAAGTCTTGACTGACCTTTGTACTCTGCGACGACATTTATTCTCACACAGTCATCAGCGATCCAGAGAACCCGCAATTCGACCTTGAAAAGTGGCTGCTGTCGCTCGAAAAGTAGGCGCCGCGCGCACTTGCGATCGCAGAAAAGAGAGGGAGACACACATCAAACAAACACACACACACACACACCCACACACACACACCCAATGTCATCGGTAGAGGAGCAAAGCATGCCCAGATGATGATGATGATTATTACTTTCGGGCCGGGCAAGCTACTTTAGCATCTCCAGCAGCAGCTTTCTGGTCGCATTGGCATCGGCTCTCCCCTTTGCCAGCTTCATCACCTGCCCCACGATTCTCTCGACGGCCTTGATCTTGCCTTCCTTCACGGCCTCGGCCTCGCTGGGAAGCGCCTCGACGGCTTCCTGGCACAGCGGGCCGAGGTCTGCGGCCGAGTTGAGCGCGAGGGCGCCCTGCTGCTCGAGGTATGCCAGGACGCGCTGACCCTTTTTCAGCTCAACGGACCTCGACACGAGGCTCTCGACGAGCTTGCGCGCCGTCGACATGGTGGCCTGGCCCGACTCGACGACGTCGATGAGCTCGCCCAGGTGCTCGGCCGAGACGGGGTTCTGTCTGAAGGCGAGCGACTGACTGTTGAGCGCCTTGAGGAGCTCCTGGATGGTCCTGTGTTTTGAGATGAAGTCAGCGGCTGGCCTGGCTGCGTGAGATGACAAGAATGCTCACCAGTTGATGGCCACGCGTGCATCGCGGCCCTGTGCCACCTGCTCAAAGAATGCGACGGCTGAGACGTCGTCGTCGCTTGAGACCGCGCCCTCGTCTTCGAGGCCGATGCGCATGAGCACGTTGATGTCTCTCGCAGGCAGGCCGTACGTCTCGAGGAGCCGGCTCCGCTGCTCGTCGGGCAGCTCGGGCATCGAGGCACGGACCTCATCGAGCAGACGCTCGTCCCCTGCCACGGCCAGCGGCGCCAGGTTGGCATCGGGCATGTAGCGGTAGTCTGGCGACTGCTCTTTTGACCGCAGCCGGTATGTGGTTGCGCCGACCTCGTCGTAGGCCCGTGTCTCCTGCTCGACGGTGCCCCCGCCAGCGAGGATCCTCTGCTGTCTGTGCATTTCGTGTGCTGGATGCTTTTTCATCTGAGTGACTGTTGACAAAAAAACTCAATGAGGTATGGAAAACAACACTCACCGGCAGCATTCATGACGAAGCGGACGCTGTTGAGGTTCTTGACCTCGCACCGCGTGCCCCACGGCTCGCCGATGCGGTGGACCGAGACGTTGACGTCGCAGCGGAGCGAGCCCTCGTCCATGTTGCCGTCGCTGGCGCCGATTCTGCGCACGACTTCGCGCAGCTTGCGCACATAGGCGCCTGCCTGCTCGGGCTTGCGCATGTCGGGCCCGCTCACCACCTCGATCAGCGGCTGCCCCGCGCGGTCGACATCGACAAACGTGCGCTGGTGCTGCTGCGACGAGGTAAAGTGGTGCGTCGACTTGGCCGTGTCCTGCTCCAGCTGCACCTGCTCGATGCGCACCTCAACCTCGTCGGCCACGTCACCCAGGTAGCCTTCGTCGAAGCGCAGCCGCAGCCGGCCGTCGCGCGCCAGGGGCGCATATCGCTGCGTGATCTGGTACCCGCTGGGCAGATCCGGATAGAAGTAGTGCTTACGGTCGAAGCCAACATCGTTTTCGAGCGTGCAGCCCATGGCGATGCACGCCTTGAGCGCCAGCGTGACGGGCTCCCTCGTCAGCCGCGGCAGGCTGCCGGGAAGCGCTGCGTCAAACGGCACTACTCTGCTGTTGGGCCCATCGTCGATGTGCTGAGTAGCAGAAGAAGAAGAGGCAGACGGCGCCGAGCTGAAGAGCTTCGTCGATGTCTTGAGCTGGATGTGGCACTCGACGCCGATGACGGCCTCCCAGCCCGCTGCTAAGGGCTCGTATTCTGCCGTGGCTCGCTGCTTGCCCTTGGCCATCGTCTTGGCTCCCCGCATGTCGGCAAAGGCTGCTCCGCGCATGCCGCGCATGGGCAGCGCGACCCTGGCCAGCATCGTCACCTCTCTCTCTTCACCTCGTTGTTGGCTGTCGTCGAGCGATATATGCACGCACGCTCACACGCGCGCGCACACGCACAAGATTAAACTTTTTTTCTTCCCACCCATGTGGACAGAAAGGGGAGCTCAGCCACTGTGACTTGCGAACGCGCGCGCGCTCAGATCATCGATGACGATGGCCCTTCCCGCCGTCGGCCAGCGCTTCTCCCAGGGCTCGTCGCGCGGCACGGTCCGGTATGTGGGCCCCGTGCCGCCCACTGCTGGTGTCTGGCTCGGCGTCGAGTGGGACGATGCTAGTCGAGGAAAGCACGACGGCGTGCATGGTGGGACGCGCTACTTTACTTGCCGGTGCGTTGCTCCTGCTCTCTTCCCGGGGTGCTGATCAGGAAGCTGACGAGAGTGACTCGCAGAATCAAAGGGTCAGGCTCATTCATCAGGCCCACGAACAAGGTCTCGTACGGCTCATCGTTTCTCAAGGCGCTCAGGCACAAGTACGTCGGAGCGTACAAGCAGCCATCGCCTGACGAGAGAATAGCGTACTCGAGGAGGAACCTGGCCGAGATCGAGGTCGAGATGCCCAACATGGACGCCGTCGCGAAGCGGGCAGAAAAGCTCGGAAAGCTCCGAGAGGTCGGTCTGGGAGGCTGGAGGAGGGTCGAAGGCGCAGAGGAGACGGCTGAGGACCAGGTCGAGGTCGCTCGCGCCTATGATGATGACGAAGAAGAAGTGGAAGGCAAGAAGATTGCAGAGACGTGTGCTAGTGAGCTTCGCTGTTACTTCCTCCTCTGCCCTGCGCTCATGTTTCTCTGGCTAGACATACGATGGCTCGACCTCTCCCGGTCGCTTCTTCCGTCCTGGGCGGAGCTGTCGAGAATCGCCATTGGCCTCCGTCATCTCGACACGCTTGTGCTCCAGTGGGTTCGCCCCTTACCAGCCTCTTCTGACAAGAGATCTGACTGCAGCCGCTCCTGACAGCTTCAATCGCTTCGCTGAGCTCGTCGAGGACAGTGATGACAGCATACAAAGTGGTGCTTTTGCTTCAGTCAAGGATCTGCGCCTCGATGGCTGCGTCATCGACTGGGAGCAGGTTGCACGATTGAGCTGGCACTTTCCGAATCTCGAAGTTCTTCAGCTGGGCAGCAATCGCATCAACCATCTCGGTGGACGACCAGACGTGCCAGTCTTCCCGCGGCTGCGTATGCTCAATCTCGAAGGAAACGAGCTGCACGAGTGGTCAGAGCTGGCGCACTCGCTCGGGACCTTACCGTGAGAGTCCTTGCTTCAAGCGATCTGGTAATGAGGCTGACTCGTACGATACACCATCAGGAACCTTGATCGATTGATTCTCTCGTCAAACAAAATCTCGAGCATCGGAGCGCCTGAGCCAGAGACGGGCAAGCTCTTTGTCACGCTTCGACATGTTTCCCTCGTCGATAACCCCATCGCGAGCTGGAGCGACCTCGAGAACCTCGACAGATGGGTGGCGGGCGGTATTCAGAGCCTCTCCATTGGCGGCGACAGTTGTCCACTGACGTCCGGTGAGTCTCGCTCTGTCCAAGAGACAGATGGACTGCGCGCTGACAGAGACGAGGAATGAAGGCGTCGACTCCAAGGATCTCCGTCCCCTGGCGATTGCCCGCCTCGGCCGCTTGGAGCACCTCAATGGCGCAGAAATCAAGCCAGTGGAGCGGAGAGATGCAGAGCTGTTTTACCTGTCGACAGTCCAAAAGGAGACAGGGTTCTCTCCACAGCAACACCCGCGCGTGCAATTTCTCATGGACAAGCACGGAGTGACTGCTGCGACACCGCAAGAGAAGACAGACGCTGGCACACTCCGGTCCAAACTGCTGAGTGCGTGTCTGGTCCCCGGTCTCCTCCAGCAAATCCCGCCCGCACGCGCTGACACTTTTGTTATTCTGACAGCACTGCGAGTCCACCTCTGTCGCGCCGCGCCGACAGCGAATGCGCCCCACTTGGTGCAGCTCGTCCGCTCCGCCGACGTCGACCTGCTCACGACGGTGCCCCTGCGCGCGCTCCGGACAAAGATGGCCCGCAGCGTCGGCCTGTCCGGCGGCGCAAAGGCCATCAGCGCGCTCTGGGCCCTCCTCGGCCCGCACATTGATGCTGAACAAGCCACAGCGCAGGCACTTCGCGACGAGATGCGGCCAAATGACGCTGCTGCGGCAGCGGCTGCCGAAGAGAGGATCGTGTATGAGATGGACGAGGCAGGAAAGGACCTGAGGGACTACAACTTATCAAGAGGCGATGAGATTGTCATTGTCAGCGAGGATGCAGCAGCAGCTTAACATAATTTTTGATAGACAATGCAAATGGTGACGAGCAAACGTGGAGCTATGCACATGTGAGCGATGAGGCGTAATCGAGATGGCTAAGAGACTATGTACAGAGCTCTATATACATTGGTAGCAAATGGGGCGGGAATGGAGGCAGAGAGAGAGTATCAAGGCAGCTCGAGGAGCCGCTGGAAAAACGTCTTTTTTTTCTTGGTAGCTGCTGGGTCGTCGGCCAACTTGTCGGCGGTGGCAATCTCGACCTGATCGTCCTCGTTGTTGGGCATCTTTGCAAATGACCTGCTGCGACTGAATAGACTGCTGCTCGACTTCTTGGGCGCTCGGTAGGCAGTCAAGGGGTCCTGCTTTGTCTTCGTCTGAGTCTTGTCCTTTGCCGGAGCCTGTTTCGGCTCCTTGGGCAGTGCCTTGGGCTTGCCAGACTTTGTCTTTGCCTGAAAGTCGCGCGGAATGACGTAGGCATCCTGTTCCTCTTCCTTTGGACTACGAAGAGGCTTCTCAGCAGGTACCGGAGACTTGATGCTCGAGGTGCGCTTGCTTGGCTTGACGGCTGCCGCAGCGGCGCTCGGGCTCTTTTCAGCCCCTTTAGCAGCAGAAGAAGGAGAGACAACGGGCACCAGAGCTGGGGCAGCTTTGGCCGGCGTCTCTTCCTCCTCATCGATGCGATCGATGGCGTCCTCGTACGTGTCCTCGCCCGTCACAGCCGTGTCGGTCGACAGGGATCGCTCCAGGGAGCGGAAGGGGATGATGGCAGGGAGCACAGGCGCCCTTCCCCTTCCAACATCCGCTTCACCGTTCTTGTCGAGTCCAGGCACGGCGGGCGCCGGGTAGGGCGGCTTGCTGAAGCTGCGGGGCAGCGTCTTGGTTGTGGCAGCGTCGGCGCCGTTGACGACCTTGGTGCCACCGGTGCCTGCGCTTGAGCCGAGGCTGTTGCGACGAGGGTAGCCTCCGACGAGCGTCGTGGCGTTGCTGTTCAGTCGGCTGTGGCTCGGCCTGGAGACAGATGGCCTGATGAGAGAGGAGGAAGAGGCCAGTGCCACGGCGTCCTTTGCCGTTTCTGCGGCGATGTTGCCTTGCCTCCTGACGACGGTGACGGAACACGTGCCGCGTCGCTCGGCCATGGCATGCTCAAAGTGCGCGTGAAGGTCAACGAGCTGGCGGATGAGGGCGTCGTCCATCGGCTTGCCAGTGCGCTGGTCAAAGAGGCCAGTCGAGCCGAGGGACTCGGGGTGGCTGAAGATGCTCTCGCCTCCGCCGCTCATCACGCTCGCGCGTCCGTCGCTCAGAACCGACATTCTACTCTCCCGTCGACTCAGCCTGTTGTCGCCTGCCTTCTTTGCCGTCGCGTTGCTCGCCCGCCTTGGCCTAGTCTGGACCTCACCTGGCCAGCCGTTTTCGGTCCACTCAGGGATCCACTTGAGCCAGACCTGGGGGAGATACCTGCTCGTGCAGCAGATGTGGACGCACACGTTCCGCTTCGGGTCGAGATACTGCTCCTTGATTGCGGTGAGGGCCTCAATGGCGCCCAGGAGCAGTGTCCTCCGCTGGATGAGGGCCTGTGTGGGCGGGTAGTCGGCATCGTCGGGAAGGTAGCCGGGTGTATCAGGATAGAAGATCTTGGTCTTGTTTAGAGGATGGCCGCGCCCATGATGAATCGTGTAAGCGCCAACGATGGATGGCGCAATGAGGGAGCTATTGGATGCAGTCAGCGGCGATTCCAGATCTATCCAAGGCTCCGGACAACATAGACTCACCCAACATTGATGGCGTCCGAGGCAACGAGAATCGTCAGCGGATAGCCGAGGCAGCGGTGGTGCGCGTCCGGCATGCTGCTCCTCTCGCTCAGCGTCGTCGTCATGTCGGGAAGGATCACTAGATGGAGCGATGATGTGAGTTGTGGGAGAACCTCCTGATTCGACGAGTTTCTCTCTCTCTCCTGAAAGGCCTGTGAGCCAGCCCAGACCCTGAACCTCTCTCTCTCTTACGATAAAAAAAAATCCCCGCGACACTGCGCATAGCGCACGGCACCGTGCACAAATGCATTGGTAAATTTCATCTCTGGCTGCGTGCGATAATGTAGCGCGCTAGTTGGACGGATCGGTGGACCGGCCTGCAGGCCCAAGATATATATTGGCCCTGGATGGCTTTTTCTTTCGCACCAAGCCAATAGTTAGTCTAGATTGGATCTTTTTCAGGCCCCGACTTTCGTCCCTTAGCTTGGGTTCCCGTTGAACAACCTGAGCCCGATGCCGTTCGGCCGGATGCGATGTCTCAGGCTGCAGGCTGTAAATACTGTCCGCTGCAGCGCCAAGATACACGGAGCGGCAATGCTTTGGTCGGGAAGACTTTTTGGAAGGCTGGTTCGATCTCTGTGACGGATGATGCTGTTGACGCTCTTGTCCATCTGCGAATCGGTATGGAAGCAGATCCTCTTTCGTCCGAATCTTGGCGTTTCGGACCAGGAGATCGCCTGCCACAGTGTGACACCGTCATGAGCAAACACTCACTGACATTGAGGGTTCATCCTCGCTGGACTTGGCTGAGGGCACAAGCACACGCAGCTCGACAGACTATGAGGGCTTGTCATTCCAAATGAGATGTCGTGTGCCGTTGGTCTGAGCGGCAGTGTTCGGTGACAACTGGTGCAGGGAGCCGGGCAAATGATTGAAATTCGCCAACACACCACGGTATGCTAATATGTTTGAGATCAATGCAAGGATTACTTGTAGACGACCACGCCCGAGAACCGACAGCTGTGGAAGTCATTTGCGATATCGTTGGGGCTGGCGTCTCGAGTCAACTAGAGGACCCTCCAGAAAGTGCCCCGATTCTGCTGCAGCATGTGGAAGGAGGTCGGGTCGGGCACTCAGCCGGTCCGAGGTTCGAGTACAAACAAGCCAGGCGTCTGTCTCGGTCGACATGACCGACGAGGTGACGCGGTTCGATTGTATACGCTGTGGGCGACCTCCGCCGAACTCACCGACAAGTCAACCCACACCCCACCCTCACTTTAAAGGCTATAATCTTCTAGCCGAAGATGAATGGACAGCACCAATTAAGATGCGATGTGTTCGTGTGGCTCTTCCAAGTACTCCTTAGGCATTGACTCATCGGTCAGCGAAGGATGTCGAGGTCCTGATGTTTATCAGGGCGCTTCCAGCCGGGGAAGGGCGTATCCGCGCCCCGTCTGCGAGATGTAGTCTTTCATCAGCCAATGCAGTAACGTACGCCCAACGTCTCACTCCGCGAGAGACTGCAGGAGGAGGCGCCGAGCCAGACGGAGAAAGCATTTGAATACAAGAGAGGACTCTTTGAGACCCCACTTCCTTTTCCTTTTCCTTACGGTCAAGATGCTCCTCCTCCAGCTTCTCCTGCTCACTTCAAGCCTCCTCGGTGACCTCATCTTCGCTGGCTCTGCATTCTCTCGACCTCGACCTCGACCTCGACCTCTATGGAAGGGAGCATTTGATCACCTGACGCCTGGGCTCGCCGCTGTTCTGGATGGCGACCCTCGACTTAAAGAAGAAACAGTTGGCAAAGTCTCTCGTCTGTTTGTCTATCCCATCAAGTCATGCCGCGGCCACGAGTACGGACCAGGCACGAGCCTCGATATCCTCACTAAAGGCTTCAAATACGATCGACACTGGGTCATCTTCGCATCGAGGGAGGAGGGTGGGAAAGGAGAGAAATTAAGCCTACGGGAAGATCCTCGTTTGACGTGGATCAACACGCACATCGATGAAGAGAAGGGCGTGCTCCGAATCGAGGCTAGCAAGTTGGCCAATGTACCAGACTTGAAAACGCTCGAGATCCCTCTTCAGCCGAGCGCCAAAGAGTTCGAGTCTTGGAAGAAGGTCGAGGTAGAGATGTGGGGAGACTCTTCACATGGCCGTGCAGTCGACTTCAGGAAAGGCGCCGTGCACAAGTGGTTTCAGGACTTTCTCGACAAGGCTGAACAGAAAAATAAAGCGCACAAGGAGTGGCACCAAGTTCAGCTCATACAGCACGACCCTTCGGCGGGACTGACAAGAAAAGTGTATGAGCCATGGAAGCCGGCTCATGACGTCAACAAGATGAAGCCAGACGAGAAAGAGCTATACCTCGAAAACAAGAATCTCGCATTTCAGGATGAATACCAGCTGCACATCACGACGGAATCGTCATTGCATCGCTTCAACGAGGCCATGGTATATCTTCTCCAGAATCGAGAGAAAGACAAGAAAGGTTTGAAACTGCTTACTGATGAGGATCGAGAGAATTGGAAAGATTTCTCGACGAATGAAAAGGACGAGATGAGCTTCAAGATGGAGCTATTCCGACCCAACATCGTCATCGAAGGCGACCACTATGCCTTTGCTGAAGATTCGTGGGATATGATGTGGCTTGGCGAAGAGAGCCAGGGGTGGCAGGCCAAGATAGGGGCAATCTCGAGGTGCAAGCGCTGCGGCCTGATCTATGTCGACCCCATTTCCTCCTTCATACGATTGGTTCCGATGAAAGTCCTCGACCTGTTTCACCATAGAGTCAAGAAAGTAGATGAACCAAATGCGAAAGGGGCGGAAGGAGCGTGCTTCGGCATGATGTTTCGCCCGCTTCGCTTAGATGGAAAGGTGACGAGCATAGAGGATGAAGCGGAAGTAGATGAACATGAAGCTAGAATTGCGCTAGAGGAGAAGGAACGCAAAGGAAAAGGCATCTTGCACTACGGTGGGAGTAGTCAGGAGGAAGAGCTAGAGAACGAGAAGAGCGAACCATACGAGAAGCTAGGCGCCGTCGCCATTGGTGACACCGTGAGAGCGCGCTGGCGTCCGCTCAGTGAAGACGATGAGGTGTTCAGGATCCACGCCAAAGAAACGATCGAGGAGCTCTATGCCAGGGCTGTAAAGGAAAAGAAAGCACGCAAAGAGCGAGCCTCGACTTCCTCTTAGTGCCTTTTCCTTTCTATGACCTTCCCCTCTATTCTGTTCTCTCTTATCACTCTTCTCCACCTTCTAGATCGGTTCCTCCAGTTCCATGGCCTATCCAAAAGCTTTGTCGAAAAGCACGTCAATCCTGTATGATGAGATAAACGAACCAACAGAGAAAAAAAAAAATGAGCCGTCACGTCAGCCTCCGATCTGGGCGTGCATGAAAGGGTCCTTTGCCATCTTGCTCTCTCGCGTGAGGTGACGAAGATCCCTTCTTTAGCCCGAGCCAGGCTTCTTCTTCTCTGCTCCCAACTATCTCTTGTACGCACACTCGCTCACTCACTCAGACAACCGTTTCATCATGTCGAACCCAGCGCAAGGCTACAAGCTCTCTGGCCTCGCCGAGGCAGGCGGAGGCGCTAGCGGCACAACGGGCGAGAACACCGTGAGAATCCATAGCTTTCCCTCTCTGATAGACTCAAGGAGCTCACTTCTCTTGCTCACAGAACCAGACGGCATTCGCAAACCCCTCCAAGGGCCCCGCTGAAGGGCCTGCACAAGAGGTAGCCGGCACGCTTCCCCAAAACTTCAGCTTGGGGCCCACCAAGGCCGAGTCCAAGGGCAACGCCGACGTCCGGACCGTCCCGCAGGCCCACGACGTGGATGAGCCCGCCAACAAGCCCCACTTCCAGGCCCAGGCAAACGACTCGTCCAAGCCAGTCAACTCCACGCAGACAGACCCGGCCGACAAGGACTTTATTGCTTGATCATTGTTTCTGTCCATGTTTTTCGTATCCTTCGTATCCCTAGAATTTAGATTAGAAGTTATTCCTACAACTACTAGCAGTGCAGAAGCTACCAAATGGAGCAGCGCTCCTCGTCGGGCCTGACCATGCGGTCGCCGGCCTTGCATCCAAAGGCCTCCCTAAAGTTCAAGTCATTGGACAGCGCACCAATGACGCGGTACTTTGTCGGCGAGTGCGGGTCTGTCCTGAGCCGGCGGATGGCCTCCTGTGTGCGAATGTTTCTCGCCCATCCGATGCCATAGGCGATAAAGAAGAGCTGGTCCTGGGTGTAGTTGAGCCCTGGGAGGATCGACGCCGGCTCCGAGGAGGTCGAGGCGACGTGGTCCCTCCACGCGCGGAACGACTGGGCGAGACCGCCGGCGTCGGCGACGTCTTCGCCGATGGTGAACTTGGACCGGAGGTGCTGGGGTCGGCCGTGCGTGTCTGGGATCGTGTAGCCAGCGTACTGGTCGACGATGCAGTCCTTGCGCTTCTCAAAGGCCTTTGCCGTGTCATTGGTCCACCAGTCGTGCAGTCGGCCTTGCTCGTCAAAGAGCCTGCCCTCTGGATCAAAGGCGTGCGACAGCTCGTGGCCCGCCACGGAGCCAAAGACGCCGTACTGGAGGTAGGCGGGCCAGAATTCGGAAAAGTACATGGGCTGGAGGATGCCGGCGGGAAAGACGATTTCGTTGTTGCCCGGGTTGTAGTAGGCATTGACCTCGGCAGGGAACATGTCCCAGACGCCCTTGTCGATCTTGCGGCCAACGCGGGCCCAGCTGCGACGGGCCTCGCGGCTCAGGCTCGAGAGCGAATTGGCGAGGTAGTCTTTGCGGTCCACCTTGAGGTCCGAGTAGAAGCGATCGACGTCGGCGGCGTCTGTCGTGTTGGGCGACGAGGTGGGCCAGCCGACTTTGACCGTGACGGCGTCGGCTTTAATCTGGGCCTTGGCCCTTGTCTTGTCGTCGAGCCAGTCGAGCTCGGGGAGGCGCTCCTTGAAGGCGGTGATGATGCCCTCGATGATGTTCTGGGCCTGCTGGCGTGCGTCTTGGGAAAAGGCCTCCTTGACAAAGAAGCGGCCGGCCATGAAGCCGAGGGCCTCGTTGATGCGGCCGAGGCAGTAGCCCTCGCGGTCCACCTTTGCGTCTTCATCGACACCCTTGGACCGGCGGTCGAGTGCATCGATGGGCTTGCGAAGCGGCACCGAGGGGCCCAGGTAGAGACCCAGGGTGCGGAGTGCGGTCCAGGCGAGGTAGGCCTCAATGACGGGCGTCTTTGTCCGGCTGAGCAGCGAGTCGAGCGACTTGACAAACGAGGGTGACTGCACAATGACGCTCTTGGGCACGCGAACCGAGAGTGCCGACAGGTACGTGGGCCAGTCGACCGACTCAAAGAGGTAGGACAGCTGGCGGAGCGAGGTGGGGTTGTACGTCGCCAGGGGGTCCTCGAGGTCCTCTGCCTCGGGCGTGATCTTGGCAATGGACTTTTCCAGCTCGACGACGAGCTTGGCCAGCTTCTTGGCCGCCTTGCCGTTGCTGGACTTGGGTGCCTTGGAGTGACCGACCTTGTCGCTGGAGCCGGCATGCTTGTGCCTGCGCTCAGCCTCGTCGAGGAGCAGCATCGACTGCTCGACGACGTTTTGATAGAATTCGATTTCGTCCTCGTCATCGTAGTAGGCCTTGTCGGGGAAGCCCAGGCCAGAGGGTCCCAGGTATGCGGTCCCAAAGGCCGGGTCCTTGACTGGCTCGCCCTGGACGTCCCACTCGAAAAAGGCAGGCAGGCCACGGGCGTGGGCCCAGGCGAGGGCCTCGGTGATGCGCTTCTGGCGGCCACCCGCCGCGGGGGGCAGGGGACCTGGCGACTTGGTGGGCGGGTGAGGCCGGGGCGAGCGGCTTGGGGGCTGGTTGGGGGGCACGGGCGTGTCGTCAATCTGCCTTGCAAGCGTGGCAAACAGCGGCTCGTCGCCCTTGCCGACCAGGCGCTCGCGGAGCTCGTCGATGACGTCGAGGAGGGGTCCGTCGCCCGCGCGGTCCTGTGCGTCCAGGTCCATACACGACTGGAAGAAATCGCGGAGCTTGGCCTGGCTGCGCGCGTCGATGCGGTCCTCTTCGCTGTTTCCAGAAAGGTGGAGTTTTTTCTCGTCATCGCCAACTTCGACAATGTCCTTGATGATCTGGGCATTGTCGCTCGTGATCTTTTGCGCCATGCCAAAGAGACCCGAGTCGCCCGGGATGGGGTGCTCGCGCAGCCATCCACCGGTCGAGAAGGCATAAAAGTCGTCGCAGGGGTCCACCGTCTCGTCGATGGCGTGGAGGATGTCCGAGGCGGCGAGGACGCAGCGCTGCGAGGTGCATGTAGTCGCTCCGCCAGGGCTGCCAGGCACCTTCCCATCATTGCCATCTCTTCCGCCGCCGCCAATGTGGTCCAGGCGAGACTTTGTCCCGGCATAGAGGCCGACAAAGACGGAAAAGAGGAGGAGCAGGAGCAGCGAAAGCAGCAGGAGGGCCTTTTCGAGCGGGCGCAGCGACTCGGGATGCTTGAGGGGCGCGACGATGCGGTGCCACAGCGAGCCGCGCCGGTCATCGATGTCGTCGACCTCGTCGTCGCCGTGCAGCAGCGGACGGCTCTCGTCGGCGTCGTCGCCCGAGCGTCGTCCGTAGTCTGCCATGGTGTTCTTTTCTCTTTGCCTCTTTGCAGCTGGGGGGAGAGAAGGAAGGAACGGGCGCAAGAGTGGAGCTAAAAAAGGGACTCTTAGCGAGGGCACGCACGGGGCACGCGCGCGCCCGCACACAGAGAAGACGGATGCGCGCGCATTTTGGAAATTGCAGGCTGAGCGCGCATCGCAGCTTCTTCTCATCTCGTCGTCGCATCTTCTCATCTCGTCGACTTTTCTCAGGTAGATCCTCCCTCTGGCATGGCATCGGCTTCGAGTACTTCCGGGGCAGCGTCGCGCGCGGTGTCGGCCTCGCCATCGCGCGGGTCGGGCTCAGAGACAGAGGAGGAGCTGCTGTCCGAGGAGATGGAGTGGGAGCAGATCGAGGCCAGCCTGCGGAGGCCTGGCCGCGGCACCAAGCGCGACAACGACGACGTGGAAGCCAGCACCATCCTCAGCAATTCGTCCCTGACTGCGCAAGATGAGGAGGACGAGGAAGACTACCGAGCTCGGCGCGCAAGGGGAACGCGGAACAAGGGCAAGCTGCCGATGAAGCAGGCGCGGAGGAAGCTGAGCCACCAGGTGGAGCCGGCCTCCAAGGAGCGAAGGACCAAGGGCAAAAAGAGACCAGCGGATACCTCGGACGACCACGAGATTGGCGAAGAGTGGGAGGACCTCAACGGGCTCCGGTGGAGGATGGACGCCGACGGTGAGCGGCGCAGAGCTGCCGTCGTGGTGGAGATGAGATCAAAGTACAACATGGTGAGAGCTGCTCCGCCTGCCTCTGACTGCCTGCCTCTGAGTGCCTGACTCTAACTGCCTGCCTCTGAATGCCTGACTCTGACTGCCTGCCTCTGAATGCCTGCCTCTGAATGCCTGCCTCTGAATGCTCTCTTCAGCCAAAGGACTCGAGGCATCCAGACGCCAAGCTCAAGGTGCCTGTTCTTGTCGAAAAGTTCCTGAGCGAGGCCGAATACGAGGAGGCGCGCGCCCAGAAGCTGCTCAGCTTCCAAGAGGAGGAGCGCCAGCGTGACATTGAGGAGGCGGCCAGGAAGAAGGAAGAGGAGGAGCTGCGAAAGCGGAGCAGCGCCTCTGGCTCCAATCGTTTCCTCGCCACGCCCAACGTGAGTGAAACTTATCGCCTGTCCGTATAGCAGAGGCTGACTGGCTTCCTCGCAGAAAATCAAGCGCAACTTGGACCTACTCTTCTCGTCGCCGGGGCCCTTGCTCTCCCCGCTGGGGTCGCGTAAGCGACACGTCAGCGCGAGCCCCCTCTCCACGAGTCCCCGCCAGTACAAGAAGCTGTCGCTGTCCATGGGCCTGGACTCGTCGGCGTCGGGGACTCCGTCGGCGGAGCAGGAACGGGGAAGTATGGCGCCCCCTGCCGCCGCAACAACGCCTCAGCGCCCACGCGCCCGCTCTGCGTCCCTGTCAGCGCCTCAGGCAGCGACGACGCCCAGCAAGCGGATCCCACTCCTGTCTTCGTCGACGGCCAGAAGGAGCGCGAGTCCATCCAAGATGTACCAGAGCATTCCAGCCTCGCCCGCCTCGTCGCCCTCGTCGCCCTCCTCGACGATCGAGGCAAAGAAGCGGCGCGAGGCCAACCTGCTCCGGCTTCTCCAGCTCGAATGCGACCGGCGCAGACGATCCAAGGTCTGAGTAGCAGTCCATATAGGGATAATTACCGCAGGGAACTACTCTACAGCACATTGTAATTCTCATTTTTGCTCCTTTTCTCCCTGTCTCTTGAGGGCCCCACGGCACCTGTCCTTTGAGCTTCGTTGTTTTATACTCCTGCCACTCATGCCGGCAGCTCGAACTTCTCGCCCTTCATGACCTTGGTAAAGTAGACTGTGCAGGCAGGTACGATAAGCTTAGATGTTTGGCAGGAGAAGGAAAGACACCCACTGTAGAAGAAGTCGAGGTAAAGACCCGTCTGGACGAGACCGGCGAGAATCGAGATTGGGTCGATTGCCTTTTCGGTAAAGTATCTGTTTGTTGCCCATGTTAGCGACAGGAAAGATACACGTGGACTTGACGCAGAGCAAAGGCACACGTCGAGGACTGACCTGTAGATCCAGTTGGGGATGTAGAGGGCCCGGTAGGCGCCGAGGGCAAAGAGGTAGTGCGTCGTGATCGTCTCTGCCTCGCCGGTCCTCTGGAGCATAAAGAGCTGGGGCAGGATGGCCACGGCCTCGAGGTAGATGGAAAAGGCCCAGAGGGTTTCTTTGATCACGCCCAGATCTGGGTTGCGGTAGTGGAACAGGATGGCCAGCACGGCTGCGGGCCCCATGAGGTACTCGAGCCGGATCGTGTCAATGGCTGGGTCGTGCGTGGGCCTGCTTGATCTAATTAGCCGCCGGTTCGCAGTAGTAAAAGAAAAGGACTCACCGGAACTTGATGCGCATGAGGTAGAGGATGTAGACGGAAGAGCCGATGAAGAAGAGCTTCATGATGATACGGTAGAAGCTGTCCTCAACAAAGATGTCGAGATACCGTGTGACAAAGACGACGGTGTAGAGAAGCTGCGTCTTGAATGAGATGCCTTGTGTTTGATGTCATTAGCTTGCGACTACCAGTGACGCTGAGGAGGCGACTCACCCCGGCATGATCTTGAGAGCTGGATCTTGTGGATGAGGATAAAGATGGAGGCGAGGTGACTGAGGTCACCAAAGAAGCGAAAGATATTCATGCTGTCTTCCCAATGCGATGGCGTGGAAGTTTTGAATTGACAGTAGTCGGCGACGGCACAGACCGTGCAGCCAGCAAGAGCCGCACACGTGGAGAACTTTTTTTCAATCTTCGCGTCGCAGAGCTTACAACTTCTTTGGTTCGACAAACGATGCTCACCTTGGTTTCGCGAAGCGCGCTGCTCCGCAGTGGCGGCGCCTCGTCGGCTCGCAGGGCCTACAGCAGCGGCAGCAGCAGCGGCATGGCTTTCCGACCGACGCAGACGGCCCAGCTGGCGTTCCGAGCGTCGACACCCAACCCCATTGCCACGCCGATCCTCGTCGCCGGCTTCGGGCTCGTCGGCGCGGGCATCGCCGCGCAGCTGCTTCGGAGCAGCTCCGCCAACGCCACGGGTCCTTCCGGCGGCAAGTGGATCAAGGGCGGGTTCCAGGGCAAGATGGACAAGAAGGAGGCGGCGCAGATTCTTGGCCTGCGAGAGACTGCTCTGACAAAGGCAAAGGTCAAGGAGGCGCACAGGCGTATGATGATTGCAAACCACCCTGACCGAGGTGGAGCGCCGTACATTGCCAGCAAGGTCAACGAGGCCAAGGTGAGTGCCGTCGTGTTTTGAGCAGGACACAAGTGGCTGAACCGCCTTTCAAGGACCTCCTTGACAAGACCGTTCATCGATGAAAGTCCCGGGCATACTACATTGTGTACTATTGTATAATCTGAGAAACCACCCCTCTGCATCTGACTACTACAATGCCTCCTCGCTGATGGCTTCAATGCGCTCGATGCCAAGATCAAAGTTGTACGAGGCGCCACGCTTGCTGCCCCTGAGCGTCTCCAGACTTGCTTCCAGGTCGCCATCGAGGACCCACTCCCCCTCCTTTTGCGCCTGCTTGAGCGCACCGGGCACCTGGTCCTTCTTCTGGCCCTCGCCCTGGGCTGGCCGTGATGCCAGATTGCCCAGCGGTGGGTTCTCCAGCACCACACTGATCCCCACTGTCCTGATCTTTTCCCTCATCATGGAGATTTGCACCGGCGCCACTTGTCCCGTGTTTGTCAGCACAAAGTCGTCGAGTGGAATGACGACGTCTTGCCACTCGTCGCCCTTTGCCTCGTCGAGCCAGAGCCGGTGCTGAAACAGGTCGCTCGTCACGGGCCCGTCGGTCTGCACATTGACAAAGAACTTGGGTCCGGGTGGCGACGGCTTCCGATCGAGGCCCAGCGCATGCACCGCCCGGCTGTATGAATCCGTCCGATCTTGGTTGCTCGCGGCCAGGACCGAGCGAAGGCCGCCGCTGCCTGCCCCCACTGCTGTTGCGGCGGATGACGACGAGGGCGGTGCAGTAGCAGCAAGCCTATTCCGCACACGGAGCGAGAGGAAAGGATGCATCGTCGTGTCCCAGGTCATGCTCGAAAACAGCGTCGGCCGACTCCTGTTTCGGAACCCTGCATAGCCGCTCCTCTCAATCTTGGCCCCGCGCGGCAGTTCCGAAGAGAGCGTTCCCCAGAATCTCGCCGCAGAAGTCGACCCAGACTCGTCGAGGTCGAGCCTGCACGAGCTGAGACCGCCAATGTCGGCATCGCAGCCCCTCGCAACCTGTGAGAGGTCCTGCGAGCTGCGAAGGGGGTACAGCAGCAGGCGCGAGTCGGTGGCCGAAGCGGTCGGTGGCGAGACCTCCATGCGCATCGACGAGGCAAGAGACTGGCGCGCAGAGTCGAGCGTCCGCGACAACGCCGACCCAATCGACTTGGCGAGCGACATTGTGTCTTCTCTTCTTCCTGGGCCTTGCTTGACCTTGGTGGGCGGAGCGACGCGATCAGATTGTGACAAAGTGCGTGCGGTGGTGATGCTTACGACCGTGCATCGACCAGGCATTCAAAATTTATTTGAGGCTGAGGGACGTGAACCAACTTTCAGAAGATTACAAACTCCCCTCTCAGAAGAATAGACTTTTCCAACCAGTTCCAGAACCAGTTGTATCTGTTAGAACGGCAGAGATTCATTCTGTTGACCATTCTTGAATTTTTGCTCTGTGTAACAAAAAAAGAAAAAAACGAAAGAAAAAACGACTGGAGTGAGATTCGAACTCACGCGTGCGAAGCACAACAGCTTTTCTTTGTCTGCACAAAGTGCTATAATTAGCAGGCTGCCCCGGTGGCCACTGCGGCATCCAGTCCAAACACTATAGCATTTGAGGTGAAGATAATGATTATGATCTTTTGCGCAACCACCCTATGGTTCGCTGGAGTGGTAGGATGCTTGTGTTGCCAGAGCAGCAGAAGTCGGAGGTGGTACGGCATTGGCTGGTGTGAGCCTGGCGAGCACGAGAGCGGAGACGTATGGCAGGCGCTCTGAGTCAGTCCAATCTGTTCCTCCATCGGGCATTTCCTGCTCGCTGAGGGACAACAATCCCAAATTGAGAAGAGGAGCGGGGCCGTGCAGCGAAGGACCGAAACACGTTCCCTTGGTTGCGGTACGCCTCCACCTCAATGCAATTGAGAGCAGAACAAGCTCTGCAGGAAGATTCTTTCGTGTGCCTTGATCGATGATTCGTTGAATGGAGCAGCGCAGAAAGCCGTCTCCTTCTCCGGCGCTTGCGTCTTCCCCTGGTTCCCCTAGTCTTTCCTCTCGGAGAACCACCTCGCTCTCCCCTTCACCTCGCACGCTTCGACAATCGCGACCGTTACTGCTACGGCCACTGTTTGCCTTTGTCATCATTGCTTCGCTCCTCTCGCTCCCTTACTGGACCTTGAAGATGAGGAGCGGAAACATCGGTCTCGCCGCCGCCGCGCTTGTCTCCGCGCTGTGGGCCAGCCCCATTGAGGCCAACAAGCTCGTCCCGGGCTCCACGGCCGACCTGGATGCGCTGGAGCCGTATGGAGGAAAGGACGCCTCGATCCTCCGCCATCCCGCCGACTGGTCGAGGGACGTGTACCCGCTGCAGGTCCACAGCCACAACGACTACTGGCGTGACAGCCCCGTGTACGAAGCGCTCGCCCACGGTGTCATGAGCGTCGAATCCGATGTCTGGCTCAACCCCGACGATGGGGAGCTGTATGTGGGGCACGACCCTTTTAGCCTGTCTGTCGAAAGGACGTTTCACTCCATCACGCTCGACCCTCTGAAGAAGGCCATTGACCAAGCGAACGCGGCCAACCACCTCGTCTCGTCCTCAAACAAGGAGTCGTCGTTCTTTGCGAATCTGCAGAAACAGCAGGTCACCAACCTCAACAAGAGCACGACCCAATACGCCGGCTACTTTTCGGGCGGCGTTGGACTCGCGGCGCCGATCCAGCTGCTCGTCGACCTCAAGACCGAGGGCAACTCGACGTACAAGAAAGTCGTCGAGGACCTCGAGCCGCTGCGAAAGGCCGGCTACCTGACGCGCTACGAGGCCGGCAAGGTCATCCCTGGCCCATTGTTCATTATTGGCACGGGCAACAGCCCAGCAGCCGAGATTGCCGCCGCGACGTCGCGTGCTATCTTTCTCGACTGCCCGCTCGGCGATGCGCTCACAAAGGGCCTCGACGCCCCAGACGGGACGCACTACGAGTACAACAAGACGCTCTGCGGCATCGCCAGCACCGACTTTGAGAGCCTCGTCCCTGGCTTCACGGGCGCAAACGAGGCGACGGACGCGCAGAGGCAGAACCTGACGGCGGCAATCGACGCAGCTCACAAGCTCGGCATCAAGACGAGGCTCTGGGACACGCCGCAGTGGCCCGTCTACGCGCGGGACAACATCAACAAACTCCTCTTTTCGCTAGGATCTGTGAGTTTCTTCTCAGCAAGCGCTGATGGAGTTACTGACTCTTTGCTCAGGACTGGATCAATGCCGACGATCTCGACGCTATTCAAAAATTCTAGACATACTTTATTGATGAACATTTTTCTGCAATTGCAAGACCGGAGGCAACTTCAAGAGATGACGTCTCATTGCGGATGCTCTTTTTCCAAACCTACCCTTGCTGGACTGCCCCTGTGCTTGTGTGGAAGAAGTATTCAACGCTTGTTTAGCTCCCGAAGTCCCTGATCGAAGACGTTTTCGCGACCCCCGTCGGCTACACAGCTCCTCTACGTGTATCATAGCTCCCCACCATGCAGAGTCTTCCTGGCCCCGGCTCATCCGATAGAGCGACATGTATTACCGTGGAAAAAGTTCGTGGAAAAAGAATTAACAAACGCGTCGCAGTCAGATCCACCCACACCAACACAGACGGAGATGTCGTCGTCGTCGGAAGTGCTCGGCGATGCCGCCGTCGCCTCGGCCAGCGACGCGCAGCAGCAGGAGCAACACCCGCACCTCCGCACCGCGGACGTGGGCCTGTCCAACAAGCGCGCCCAGCTGCGCGGGACCGCGCTGGGTGTCTCGCTCGGGCTCGTCTCGATGCTCGTCCTGGGGCGTTCCGGCCGCGTCTCGGCGAACGCAGCCGTCCTTGCGGGGATGGGTGAGTGGGTGGATGTAGGGACCGAGTCTGCAATGGCGCTGACAAGCGCATTCAGCGACGGGCTCGGCGGGAGGCTACATTGCGACGAGGGTCAATCTCCGCAGCGAGCTGCAGCGCTTGGAACAACAGACTCGGGGCCGGCACGACGAGATGGTCAGTCTCGATCTCAAGGCGGGCGCGCAGCGATCTTTTGATGCAGGCGTCGGTGGCCTTTACGATCTGAGAGATCGAGGCTCCACGACGAGGGGTGACCACTGAAATCAAACCACGAGTCACAAGACGACAGCGATGTGGAGATCCTTGGTGATGGAAGGTCATGTTCTACTTTACACGTCCACACTGCTTGTGGAATGGGAAAAGGAAGCATAAGGCTCTAGCGGTCCTCGGCCCACTCGTTCCTGCACAGGGGAACAGAAAATGTCAGCAAGAAGAACAGCAGCAAGTTCGTGACAAGCCCACACTCACTCCTTCCTGATCTGGGCCTCTTCCTCCTCGGTAAAGTCATTGGCAATGTTGAACAGCTTCCGGATCTCCTCTGGCGTCTTTCCCTTGATCATATTTGCGCTGGCAGAGAGAGAGAGGGGAGAGTGTCAGGCCCGGATCTCGTGCACCAAGAACGTGTCACTCACACTGTCTTGCAGCCCACATCGAGCAGGGGCTTAATGTCGAGGTAGTTGGCCGCGAGGATAATCTCAAACAGCATCTCCTGGTCGACCTGGATGAACTTGCTGTCCCAGTCCGAGATCTCCGTCGTGCGCTTGCGCGACTCCTCGGCCTCGTCGGCCGGTGGCGGCGGGTCGGCGCGGTGGTGCGAGCAGTAGTCGAGCACCTGTCCATGCGCCTGTGTGTCAGCGCAATCTCCACGCAATACAGCAAGAAAAACTCACCTTCTTCAAGACGTTCGAGGTGACGTTGGGGAGCGGGATGGGCACATCCGAGTCTCCGAGGTCGTCGAGCATCTGCTTGATGAGGACCGAGCGCTCGGCGACGTCGCGCTCGACGGTAAAGACCTCGTTGTCCGAAGTGGAGAGGGTAGGCATCTAGCAGCGATAGCGTCAGCATATAGACCCCACAAAGGGCTCATGGACTCACCTTGGCTGCTGTTGCTGTGGTAGTGGTTGGTGCTGCTGAGGAACCAGATGCAACTCGCAATGCGACGACGCCAACTAATGCAGCGACCATATGGACGAGGAGCTCACGTGAAAATCGGCCGAATGACTGTGCGCACGGGCCACCCACACTTCGACTTGCAATTGTTTGGTATTTGGCATCTAACAACATGACAACGATGGGTGCTCTACGAATACAGGCCGTCGCCACAGGTGCTGAGGGTGGCGAATACAATCATTCACGAAGGGATCATCATTCACGAGGGGCCGCCGAGGGAGGCTTCCACCCGTGAATTCTGCCCGCCTCGTACAGGTCCTCCAGGACATCGTCCAAGCGATTCTCTCGCTCAAATTGCTGGTAGAGGCGATAGAGCTTGAGCGCAGCGAGGGCGTCCTGGATCGAGTCGTGGCCCTCGGCCATGTTGGAGGGCCCCTGGATGTCCTGCTTGAGGAGAAACCAGGCAAGAAAGCGCAGCGAGAGCTTGCGTGGGTGTGTCGACGAGTGGTACAGATCGACGGTGTCAATGACTTGCGAGGGGGGCACATGGATATTGATGATGCGAAAGTCCTTGCTGAGGCCGTGTCCGACAAAGACGCAGCCCCGGTCGACGAGGACGCGGAGCTTCTTGTAGGCGACCTTGAGTGGGACCAGCGTGTGCTTTGATGTTGCGGGGTCCAAGTCACCCGTTTCAATGCCCGAGAACTGGGTGAGATAGTCGACAATCTTTTCGCGCGTGCGAATATAGTCGTCGACGAATGCCTCGCCCTCCTTGGGTCCCTGGCCGCGCAAAACAGACACGCGGGCCAGCGTCAATCGACTGGGACGAATGAGCCGGCGAGAGCCGTCAGACCTCAGCTCGAGCTCTTCCTGGTTCAAGGCAACAAACTCCGAGTCAATGGCCACGAGGTCACCCTTGGACGGAATCTCGTCGGGGGTGAGGACACTGTGCCGGATCAGCTCCGGATCCCGATGGGCAGAGATGGACATGTCGTGGCAGAGAATGTCGGCGTCCTGGTCCTTGGGACTGTCACTGGCGGCAGGCGCCTCTCTGTCGGTCCGCTCGTAGAACAGGACGGCTGGAATCTTCCACGGCCCCGGGAAGCTCAGCGCCTCGGCCTCAGAGATGGGCATGACGAGAAAGTCGTTGAAGATGTGCCACTGGGCGCCAGGCACCTTGATGAGGGCGCACAGGTGGGGCACGTCCTTGTCAGCCTGGACCTGCACCACGATGGCGCGAAGCGTGTAGATGGCCTGCACTGAAGACGCCTGCTCCTCCTGTGCCTTGTCCTCCTCGGTCCACTGGCCCTTGGCACGGACCTGTTCGCCCTGCACGCTAAGCGAGAGCTGCGGCGGCAGGTAGGCAGACGACGGCTGCTGGGGCGTGCCGCCGAGCCAAAAGGAGAGGTGTTCGGCCGTGTGGACGGCGCAGTTGATGCTCAGCGACGCAGGCAGCTGATCCGTCTCGGGCAGAATGCGCCGGCTTCGCAGCATTGAGGCGGGCGTCTGGCACGATCGGCAGGGCGCCTTGACGTGCGTCTCACGCAGCAGCGAGCCGCGCAGGACAGAGGCAAAGTCAGACGGAGGGGCGAGCTCGTTGGACAGGACCCGCCTGGGATAGGTGAGGTCGACGACGAGCGAGTGGGCCTCGCGGTCGACGGAGGCGCCGCAGTTGGTGCACGTCGTTCTCGTCGCCAGCGCATTTTCAAACAGGCGCCGCACAGCGCCCTTGCCGTCGTCGTCGGACACAGCATCGAGGAGGAAGCGATTGAGCGTCTGGATCAGGTTGCTGTACGCCGCATCCGAGCTTGGGCTGTCGTCCTTGTCCATAAGACCAAGCGCAGCAGCGCGGTCCGAGGCGCCAAAGGCACGTAAGAAGTTCGTGGCCTGGCAATTTGCACCGTGGGCATCCTGCAGCATCTTGAACAAAAAGCCGGCCTGGCACAGCAGGCACTCGTCGCGCTGGCAGTCGCGGCCCTCGATCGCATGCGTCTCGGCGAGGTGGCGAAAGGGAACGAGGTAGTTGAGCGCCTGGAGGTATGCGTTTGCGTACGAGTTGTGGATGTGCGTCTCGAGGCCCGAGTAGTGCGTCTGGTTGAAGAAGCCAAAGTCAAAGTCCTCGACGCCAAACTTGCTGTACTCGATTGTCTTTACGCGGTAGTAGCTCGGCATCGCTGCCTCTGCACCCTCGTCGTGCGCAGTCGGTGTCTGTTTCTGCTTCTGGTCCGCTGCTGCTGCTGCTGCGTTGCCGCCCTCTTGGCCACGCTTCTCGCTTCGAAACAGGGGCACGCCGACGCGTCTCCGCCGCGAGGAGCCCGTCATGGAGGAGTTGTTCGTGGGCAGGACCACGTTTCTTCGTCCACGAAGCTGTCGGGGCAGGGACGCATAGCCGATGTTGTCGTGGGTGCGCATGTTGCCCAGGATGGTCCCGTCGATCTTTGTCGGCATGTTGAACAGCGGCGAGCTGGACGACGTGTAGCGCTCGTAAGGAATGGCCGAGAGCAGCGGTGAGTCGTAGTAGGGCACGCCGATGATCGACAGCGGCGTCTCCGTCGTCCAGTTGACCACGGCGGGGGGGTCGATGAGGTCAGGCCCCTCGGGCGCCGGGGTGGAAAAGGGGTTGAAACGCGACGCCGAAGGGCTGCTGCTCCACAGCCGCAGCGAGCCATCGGCGAGGCCAAAGGCAAGGTAGTCGGCCGACTGCGACATGGCCATCGACGTGAGGGGCGTCGACGAGTCGTTGGCAATGTGCACAAACGTAGACTGGCCCGGGCTGTTGATGTCGACGATCTGGAACTGGCCCTGGGCGGCCGCGACGACGACGGTGGTGGACCGCTTGGGATGCACCGTCATCAGTGCTGGCCCACCGGGCGCGGCAAAGGGGAGCTGGACGAGGACACGCATCGTCCGCACGTCGTGCACCTTGACCAGCGGCTCGGCGACCGGGTGGCCCAGACGCACAGTCCATCCAATCGAGTAGACGTAGTGGGCGTCGGCCTGCATGTCAATGACGCCGCCTGGGTGGGCATGGAGCCGGTGCTCGAGCTGCAGGCTCCTCGGGTCGCGCAGCTGGATGTGACCCGCCGACGTGGCTGCGCAGATGAGCTTGGCCGACTTCTTGACCGAGACGACGGGCGAGTCGGTCGGGCTGCTCCGCATCAGCGAGCCGGTGCCCGAGTGGATGCATGCGAGGGCCGCGTCGCCGCCGACGACAATGTCCGATGCCGACGAGGGCGAGAAACACATCGAGGCCAGCCGTTGCTGTTGCTTCTGCTCGCCACCGCTGCCGCCGCTGCCATCGCGGGGCGGCAGGTCCTTGGCGGCGGCAAAGGACTGCCACCGCGTCAGGCCGTTTCTCGTCGCCGCCTTGACGCCGCCCTCGCCGACGCTGTAGACGGCCTTGTCGTCGACGAGGATGCCCCGCGTGCCCGTGCTCGTGCCTGGATGGGCCTTCCATCGCGTGTAGCGCTGCAGATTGGGCCCGAGATGCGACGCAACGAGGCCAAAGGCCGAGCCAGTCCAGAGCAGCTCCGAGTGCTGGTCGAACTGGGTGCATGTCACGGGCACGCCCAGCGGGCCGTGGTGGGCGAGGATGTGGCCGCACTCGGTCCACGTCGCCATCTTGTCCTGTCCTTGTCGTCGACGATCTAGCCAGACATGCGCATGTGAAGGAACAGGGGCGCTGTTACGGGTCCATTGGGCAACGTTCGGATCCGATCCTGGACTCTTGTGCTCAGATTGGGGGAGACGAGACGCGGAAATTCTTTCTGAAGCTCTCTCCACCTCGAGAAGCGCGCGGGCGCGTGCGCGTGGCTCGACACAGACCAACACTGCATGAGAGATGCGCCCGATCCATGATCCATGACGCAGGACGAAGCGACTGCTGGAAGCACAGCAGACGATAAAGACGTTCGAGATGAAGCGGACGGCTTTCCTCTTTGGCCATTTTCAAAAGATCATTGAAGATCTCGTGGGTGTGTGCCTTCAATCGAACTCATCACCTGCACCCCCCCACAGCTGACCCGCATGGCTACTCAAGCGACGAGAATGTCGGACAGGCTGCCCGACATGCAACGGGCCGTCGCCAATGCATCTCGACTCGCTGCCTCTGTGCACGAGCTGCAACGCTCTGACGATGACGACGACGACGCGGCGCTTCTCGTCCACGTCACTGTGAACGAGGGCGCAGGCGCGGCCAACGACGCCGCGCGCTACGTGACCGACGAGCGCAGCGACATCTCGTCGGTCCGACCGATGCTGCGCTCGATGCGCGCGTCCGTCACCGCCGAAAGCAAGGCCCTACTGCAACCCCTGCAGCCGCCGTCTGCGTCGGGATCGAAAGAAAAGGTCTGGCCATGCCCTGGGCCCAACCCGTTCCACGACACGGACCTCGTCCCGTGTGAGCAGTTGCACTTCTACTTCTAGGCATGTTGGGAGATAATTTTGCTGACAATGTCCAAAAAAGACCTGAGAGAGAGAGGCATTGTCCAGGTCGTCATTTGCGGCATCGCCACCACGGGCGTCGTCCTCTCCACACTCCAGGGCGCACTCGACGTGGGGCTGCACACCGTCGTCGTCAGCGACGCGTGCATGGACCCGGACCCGAGTCTGCACCAGGCCATGTTGAGGTGCATTTGCCTTCCCTTCTTCCTCTACCCAGCTTGACTGACGACGCGAGACCGCATCGGCACAGCTACTTTGCAAAGAGGGGTCAAGTCCTCACCACCGACGAGATCACTCAAGGCAGCGCGCTCAGAGACCTGCTGCACTGACTGGGCCTTTGTAACTGTAGATAGTGGTATATGCGGAAGCATCTCTAGTACATCCCCCCTCTCAAGAAAGCTTCTCGATGCGCTTTGCCAAGCCCTCGATCCTGGCCTCGACCGACTCCAGGTTGGCCTTGACCCTCTGCTGGTTCTCGCGCAGGCTGCCCTCGACGTTGGACAGGACGACCTTGAGCTCGTCGTGCGTCGTCTCGCTCGTCTTTGCCGCCACAAAGAGCTCAGAGACGTCATCGGAGAAGCCGGCGGCCGAGGCATGGAGCGACGAGAGAGAGTGGAGGCGCGAGAGGAGCGTGGGAGCCAGAGGCATCAGCGTCTCGAGGCGCGAGAGCAGCGCGAGGCCCGCCTCGAGCTTCGTCAGTGTCTCCGGCGAGAGACCGCCGGCCGTCGGTGGGGAGCCGCCGGCACCCAGGAGGGGCGAAGTGGCACCATCGAGGCCGTTGGATGGCCCAGCACCCACGGCGAGCCGGCTCGAGGAGGCATCTAGCTTTCGGCGGGCCTCGTGCACCCTCTCGAGCTCCGAGACGAGGACCTTGACACGGCGACTGATGCCGTCGAGGTGGCGGGGATGGGTGAGGAGCGTGAGCAGGTGCTCGATGCGGGCCAGCGACGGCATAAGCGGTCGAGCGAGAGACTTTGCCTGTAGGATTTGATCAGCATACAAGAGAGAGAGACACACAGACGTGCATGGACCCACCTCGTCCTGTGCTGCATCGCGTATCCCCACCAGATCCTCGAGCCCAGCCAATCGACGGTCCAAGCTGGCCATCTTGACGCCCTCGCCATCCATCTGACCTGCCTTGGCCAGCTGACCACCCTCGTCAGCAGCCTGTGTGTTGCTGCTTGTACCTTTGCGACTGTCGATGCTGATGCTGCTCAGCGACTCGAGCAGCTTTCGGGCCTCTCTCTCCCACTTTTGCGACGCCGCGGCATCAAGACCCACGTCGGCAGCCTGCGAGGCCCGCTCGTCAAGCTGGCCCAGCTGGCCCCTCAGAGACTTAAGCTGCCCGAGCAGCGTCGCAGGTGCAACTGCGGCTGCTTCTTGCCCATCATCCCCTTCGCTTCCCCCCTTCTTTGACCCTGACGACGAGGGAGCCGACTGTAGCTCCGTCTCGACCTCGTCCATCTCCATGCGCAGCCGCCGGAGCCGGTCCAGCGGAGATTCCTTTGGTTTTTTGGCCACCTCATGGAAGCCTTCTTCGCCGACCTCGTCGCCCAACGTGGCACGGTAGCCATTGCCAAACCCTAGCTCGTACCTCGTTGCCTCGATGGCCGTCGAGGGAGGAGGATAGTATTGCTCCTTTTTCCGCCTGCGGTGAATGGCCGGCGAGAAGTCTGACAGACAGGGACATTAGCTTGCTTGTGGAGTCCAAGTCAAAGAATGTAGTGGAATACCAACCTACACCCCGCCCATCGAGGCCTGTGGCATCCCGGAACCTCTCCATGGCCTTGTCGGCATCGATGGGCACCCGCTCAATGTCCGGATTGGCCTCTCCCTGGGGGCTCTTTTTGCCTCGGTCCCGCGCTCCCCGCTTTCCTCTGCCTGCCCCATCGCCTCCGCTGTCGTCATCTTCGTCTTCGTCATCCTCGTCGCTCGACTCGCTGTAGTCGCCTCTCCGCCCACCACGCCGCCTCGGAGAGGCCGGCGACGTCTCGTACACGTCTGGCGCGCCAAAGTCCTGCCGGTCGAGAAGCCTCTGCTCAGCAAGTATGTTCCCATTGCGCAGCGCTCGGGTACCACTCACCACGTCTTCCAGGTCGGCAAACTTGCTGCTCGACATGCTTGTCTTGAACTTGCTGAGGACTGACACCGACGAAGACCAACAGAAACACTGCGAAACGAGACGCGACTTTCCCAGAGAGACGAAACTTTCGGCCGACGTGATGGACGGCCCTCCATCTCCAATCCCCCCAAGTTGACTTTCCTCCTCATCACTCTCACGAAAGTAGTGGGGCAAAAGAAGAGAGGCACACGAAAAAATGGCGGCACAAGCGCAAGGAAAGGAGGGCGTGCCTTCCTCAGCGGGACACGCAGCCGCATCCAAGATCCTCCCGCTGGAGCTCATCGACCGGTGCATTGGTTCGAGCATCTGGGTCGTCATGAAGACCAACCGCGAGTTCACGGGGACACTGCTTGGCTTTGACGACTTTGTCAGTGAGTCGTCGCTGGACTGGCGGCAGTGTACCGAGAAAGGTATTTCGTGGATGGCTGACAGTGCGTGGCAAGACATGGTGCTGGAGGACGTGACAGAATAGTGAGTGGAGCGTCGTCCTGCACTGAGAAAAAGAAGTGCGCGCGCTGACATCCCGCTCTGACAACAGCGAGACAACGCCAGAGGGCAAGCGCAAGAAGACGGCTCTCTCTCAGACACTCCTTAATGGCAACAGCATCTGTCTAGTGAGTGGCCTGCTCTCATCTGCGCCGACATGGTCTTGCGCTGACGTTTTACAAAAGCTCATTCCGGGAGGGCAAGGGCCAGAGGACGAGTAGAAAAAAACAAAATGACAATTGTACACCTAGAATGATCAGACTGCAGTGGACTGGTCCGAGGACGAGGAAGCGGACGAAGGATCGACCTTGAGGGAAAAGTCAATGTGCTTTGTCGACTGGTGGATGGCGCTCGTGCTGATGATGTCGATGGCTGCATGAAAGAAAGGAGTGTAAGGGTTTGATTTACTAGAAAAGCAAGGAGAATCAGACCCACCATCGTCGACGTGGCCACCGGCGACATTGTCAATGTCGATGCCCCCGCTGCTCTCGAGGAGGAAGCTCCGGCCACCGGCGACGCCGCGGCTCGCATGAAGCTCCGTCTTGAGGCGCTGTGCGCACTGCACCAGCGCATCGCCCGTGAGATTGTCGAGCATAATGACGTCGGCTCCAGCCTTGATGGCCTCGACGGCCTCGTCGTACGACTGCACCTCGACATCGATGCGCTGGGAGAAGCCGGCGACGGAGCGGGCCTTTTGGACGGCATTGGTGATGCTGCCGGTGGCCCAGATGTGGTTGTCCTTGAGCATGACCATCGACGAGAGGTCGTAGCGGTGCATGTCGACGCCGCCCACGACCATGCCGTACTTTTCGACGAGCCGGAATCCTGTCGCATGCCTTGCGTCAGTCTCTGCGGCGCGTTTCGGAGACAGGAAGCAGACTCACCGGGCGTAGTCTTCCGAGTACCGGCGACGATGCCCTTGAAGCCAGCGTTGCGAGCCTTGTCGAGGAAGGCCCTTGAGCTGCGAAGAATTGGTCAGAGGAGCAAGAAAGAATGAGAAGGCGGCCCACTCACGCCGTGGCGACACCACTACATCTGGCAAGGGTGTTGAGGGCCACCCGCTCACCCAGGAGCAGGTTTCGGACGGGACCCTTGACGACAGCCACGACAACCCTCTTGCCTCCGTGCAGCTGGATCGCATCGCCTTCCTTAAACTTCCACTCGACGGTGCAGCCGAGCTGATCAAAGACGGCATTGAAAAAGGGGACGCCGGCGAGGATGCCCGGTGCCTTTGCGAGCAGATGCGCCGTGCGAGGCGCATCGCCCACGACGAAGCCGCCCCAGTCAAAGGCGGGGCAGTCCTCGGCGAGCCAGGCAGACACCTGTGTCTTCCAGCTGGGCGGCAGCAGCGCAGCGTAGTTTGGCAATGTCATGCTTGCTCAGGGTGTCGTCGGAGGAGAGTTGGGAAGCAGCTTGCTGCTTGCTGCGAGTGATGAGGAAATCCAGTCGCCAAATTCGGGACTCGGCCTTGGGCCGCGGAGAGAGAAGGGAGGACACTCCCACAGCGAGAAGAATGAGCCAAAATCAGAAAATTGAGACTAAAGCGTCGTCGCCGGTCTGTCGCGACGCACCTCTCCCTTGGAATATCTCCGAGAAGAGGCTGACTGGACAAAGACAATGGTTCTCCGGCGCACCCCGTCGGTCTTTGGACCGCATGGAGTGTCAGCTCTGGCCCGGCGGGCGTACTCACAGGCGACGACTGGGGGTCCATCGACGTCACGAGCACGTGCGACAAGGGCGACGCTCGTCTTTGCCGGCGCAGCACTGACCACGAGCGGGCTTCTTGCCTGGCGACTCAGGGAGCCGGGCCACCAGAGTTCAGTGGCTTGCGAGCCAGTGCAGCGCAGTTCTTCAAGCGTCAAGGTGGGTCTTCTGGCTTAATCTTTCAGGCACAAAGGATGGGAGGCTCACAGTGCCAGCCTATTAGGCCGCTCCCCAGATTGCGCACCTCGACGAGGCGGTGATCCACGATGTCAGCGCACCGATGCGGACGCGCATGGAGACATACGTCAAGCTGCTCCAGAACCGCATCGTCACTGCATTGTCCAAGGAGGAAACGGGTGACGCGGGCTTCCGCATCGACCAGTGGCAGCGTAAAGAGGGCGGTGAGGGCATCTCGTGCGTGCTCCAGGACGGCCAGACGTTCGAAAAGGCCGGTGTCAACATCTCAATCGTGCACGGCAAGCTGCCCCCGCGTGCCATCCAGCAGATGAGCGCAGACCACGCCGGTCTCATGGAAAAGATTGGCGACGAACTCGACACGAGTGGTAAGGCCGGCGGTGGGATGCCCTTCTACGCGACGGGGCTCAGCCTCGTCGTGCACCCTCGCAACCCCTACGCGCCCACAGTCCATTTCAACTACCGCTACTTTGAGCTCACCCACCCGCCCACGCTTCCTGATGGTTCGCCCAACCCACGCTACGACGAAAAAGACCCGCTCAAGCCTGTCGCCTGGTGGTTCGGTGGCGGAACAGACCTGACGCCAGTCTACCTGTTCCCCTCCGATGCACGGCACTTCCACGGCGTTCTCAAGGAGACGTGCGACCGCAACGATGGACACTTCTATCCCACGTGGAAGAAGTGGTGCGACAGCTACTTTTGGATCCCGCACCGGGGCGAGTCTCGGGGCGTTGGTGGCATCTTCTTTGATGACCTGACCATCGGTCATGGCGAGGAGCAAGGGGCCAAATCGACACTGACAGATGCGATTCGGGGAGGTGCAACGGGCGAAAAGGTGCCGCTCAAAGATGGGACAAAGGGTGGGAAGACGATTGAGTCAGAGCTGCCCCAGACGCGCGAGACGCTCTTTACCACGGTGCGCTCCCTGGGCGACGCATTTATCCCTGCCTACCTGCCCATCCTGCAGTCGCGCAAGGCCATGCCGTATGGTGAGCGCGAGCAGGCATGGCAGCGCATTCGGAGGGGTCGCTACGTCGAGTTCAACCTTGTCTACGACCGCGGCACCAAGTTTGGCCTCCAGACGCCCGGCGCGCGCATGGAGAGCATTTTGATGAGCCTGCCCCTGCTGGCGAGCTGGGAGTACGGGCACAGCTACAGTGCAACAAACATGGACATGCCGCCTGAGGAGGACGACGATGAAGAGGGCAGACGCGAGCGGGAGACGATGAATGTCCTCCGCAAGGCGCGGGAGTGGGTGTAAGATAGCATGGCAGAACAATCAAATTAAGGAAGAAGGATAGAGTGTCTACAGAGAGATGCGCTTGCTTGCTGAGGGATAGCCGTCGAGCTTGGGACCCACTGCCTCTTTGCCGCTGAGCTCGATGAGTAGCAGACGAGTCTGAGCCGTGACGAGAAGATGGCCCTTTGGCTCGACAAAGGCCAGATTGACGCAACCGCCATCTGGGATGTAGACGCGAGCGAGGAGTCGGCCTGCAGATGACCAGGCGTAGAGGCCGTCGGCTGTGCATGCATAGACATTGCCGCGGATGTCGACCTTGATGCCGTCGGCTGGCAGAGGGAAAGCTAGCATGAGGAGGTGGATGGGGCTGAAGTGTGTTTCCGAGCAGGAGACTCACCGATGCCTGTTGGGACGGCTGCAAAGAGCCTTTTGTTTTCCAGGCGGTCCTTCACGACGTCAAAGGCGTAGCTGTGAGGAAGACGGTTAAAGTTGAGTCTAAGGCTTCAGCTGCTTGCTGAACATACTAGAGGGGAGACTCACATGACAGCGGGAATCTTTGGTCGGTTGGGCAGGTCACCGCCCTGTGTCGAGCCCGTCTCAGTAATGTACAGCGTCCGTTGATTGGGGCTAAAGACGAGGCCGTTGGGCGTCACGATGCTGGCATCGACCATGTCCAAATCCCCAGTCTGCGGATGGAAGCGCCAGGTGGCCTTTGGCAGCTCGACGTCGGGGCGGAAGTTCTGCGTTTGGGCATAGTCAGCATCGGTGAACCAGATGGACCCCGACGAGGCGTGGACGACGACATCGTTTGGCGCATTGAACTGCTTGCCAAAGGCGTTGTTGAGCAAGATCCGGCTGGCTCCGCCGTGGGCAAGCGAGGTGAGGGACAGCCCCCCGGGGAGTTCCTCGCCACGGCCCGAGTTGGCCAACAGCAGGTGACCGTCACCGTACGGCGTTCCTCCGTTTGTCATTTGGATCTCGCTACCTGCTGCGTCTGTGAGATTGACCTTCCGCAGGGCCGAATGTGGCAGCGTCGGTGTACCATTTGACGCCTGCTCGACAAGATCTGCCAGCTTGCCGCGCCAGACGACATTGTTGACCGTGGCATTGGACCGGCCCTGCTTTCCGCCAGCGTCGGAGCAGAAGAAGACGTCGTCGGTCCGACTAAAGTAGACGGGCGCTTCGTGGGCAAACGCATAGTCTTGCTCGTGCACAAGCACTGTCAGCTTCGGCGATCCACCTAGAATAACGCGTCCTGCATCATTGAAAGGCTCGAATGTCGCATTGAACGACGTGGGTTGTTCTGCAGAGGAGGCAGCGGACAGAGCGGGCCAGGGCGAAGAGTAGTTGCGCGAAGTAAAGGGAAGGGGAAGCACGCTCAGATCGGCTAGTCTCACGGCGCGCAAGTCTGTTAAGGTCGTCGCGGCAACAGCTGCGCTCGCTGCCGCGAGACAGAGCATGGACAGGCCAGCCACATTTGGCATCGTTGTCGTCGTCGTCGTCTTGAAAAGCATTTCATTCTTTACGCGAAACCAATAAGAAGAATTCCCCACCTTGATTGAACGTCACCGTGCTTCCCGACTTGGAGTTTAAGCTCGCGCACCTCGCAGTGGAGCTAGCTTGGGCCACGGTCGGCCGAAAAGGGTAAGTAAATTGGAGCACGCGCCAACACCAAACCAACACTGCCCTTTGTGTCCTTCTCGACTGCCGCACAAACAACCATGTCACTACCGAGCGCCATCTCTGCCGCCGCGGCGCACACCGAGGGCCTGCCCACGATGCTCATCGAGGAGGCCTACAAGGAGTACCCTAAGCCTGAGGGCATCAAGTTCACCTATGGAACTGCTGGCATCCGCACAAAGGGCGACATCCTGCAGAGCTCCTGCTTCCGAATGGCCCTCATCTCGGCTTTGAGGAGCAAGAAGCTGGGAGGAAAGATGGTTGGCGTCATGGTGACAGCCAGCCATAATCTTGAAGAGGTGACTATGCTACTCTTTGAGCTCACAGAAGACAAAGTGCTCACCTTCGACCTGTAGGACAACGGCATCAAGGCCATTGACTCGAGGGGCGAGATGCTCGAGTCGTCCTGGGAGCCCTACTGCACCGAAGCCGTCAATGCCAACTCTGCCAAGGAGCTCATCGCCGTATTGGACCAGCTTGTCAAGACGTGCAAGGTCGATCTGTCCGTTCCAGCTTTGGTCATCTACGGCCACGACACGCGGCCGACTTGCCCCATGCTCGTCAAGGCCGTCGTCGAGGGACTGGCCACGATGGGCGCCACCGTCATCGACGCTGGCCTCAAGACGACGCCTCAGCTCCACTACCTCGTACGAGCCCACAATACACAGGGCACGCCCGATGCGTACGGTGAACCTACCGAGATGGGCTACTACGACAAGCTCAGCAAGGCTTTCGCCAAGCTTGTGGTGAGTGGCGGGCGAAAGAGACACTTCTGTCTCAACGGTCTTCGCCGCTATTGTGCCCTCTGTATCCTTGTACTGATACCACGGCTTTCCAGGCTGGCAAGCCGCCAAAGACGACCCTCGTCGTCGACTGTGCCAATGGTGTGGGTGCGTATGCGCTGATGCAGCTGCAGCAGCACATTCCCGAGTCACTCCTCAAGGTCAGAGCGCTGCGGACGGACATCAAGACGCGGGGCGCCCTCAATGACGGCTGCGGTGCCGATTACGTCAAGACGAACCAGCGCCTTCCCCTGGGCCTCGAAAAGGAAAAGGGCATCGAGGCGGGCCAGAGGCTGTGCTCCTATGACGGCGACGCCGACCGCATCGTATATTACTACCTCCGCGGCCCTCCCCAGCAAAAGGAGAGCTTCAGGCTGCTGGACGGCGACAAGATCGCCAGCTTGGCCGCCGATCACCTCAATGACCTCGTCAAGCGCGCCGGTGTTGCCATTGAAGTTGGCTGCGTCCAGACGGCCTATGCCAATGGCAGCTCGACAAAGTACCTCGAGCAGGTGGGTACTTCCCTTCACTGAAGCGCCCATAGCATTGCCAAATGCTGACCTTTTGGATGCAGCGCGTGCCCGTTACATGCACGCCCACCGGCGTCAAGCATCTCCACCACGCGGCCGAGCGCTATGACGTGGGCGTCTACTTTGAAGCCAACGGGCACGGGACGATTCTCTTCTCGTCCGAGGCCCAGCAGAAGATTCACGAGACATCGCCCTCCTCTCCGGCGGCAGAGGACGCCCTGGAGCAGCTCAAGTCGCTCATCGACCTCATCAACCAGACCGTTGGCGACGCTCTCTCGGACATGCTCCTCGTCGAGGTCATTCTCCGCACCAAGGACTGGGATTGCCAGGAATGGGACAGCGCATACGAAGACCTGCCCAACAAGCTTCTCAAGGTCAACGTCAAGGACCGTTTCATGTTTGTCACCGAGGACGCAGAGCGAAAGCTGGTCAAGCCAGAGGGCCTCCAAGCCAAGATTGATGAGCTCGTGGCCAAGTACAAGGATGCCCGGAGCTTCGTCCGGCCGAGCGGGACAGAGGACTGTGTCCGTGTGTATGCAGAGGCTGGTGTCGCCGGCGAGCTCAACTCCTTGGCAAACGGCGTGGCCAAGCTCGTCGCTGACTTTGCTGCCTGATAAGCTTCCTGTCTCACAGTATATAGAAAATCCGCTGCCTATCTCATGTAAATGCAAGGGAGATGATTGAAAGCCAGGATGACATTCTTGTGCGCAAACAGACATTCTACCGATGACTGCTCATTCTGTCTTGTCTCAGCGATGACCTTGTCTCGAATTTTTCAGCGCGCTCTGCGACCGCAAGAGAGTATCAGAGAAGGAGCGAGAAGCCAACAAAGACTGGACCGGCGACAACAGCAGTCCACGAGGCCAGCTTGAGGGCGGGGAATGCACCGTCAGTGTTGGAGGTGCGCTCGGCGTTTGGCGATGTCGAGGTGTCCTTTGCGCTGCTCTGAATCGACGCGGGCATGGCCCCGCTGAAGTAGTCATCTCCGCAAAGCGAGGTGAGGTTCTGTTGCACAGCATCGTAGCCCGTCTGGTTGAGGAGAGACTTGTAGAATGGGTCGAGCGTCCTAGCAACGGCACGGTTGCAGTCGTTGCATGTCACCGTCTTGTTTTCCTCCATCATCGACACTTGCGCCAATTGCAGGGGATCCATAGCGGAGCTGATCGTGAGAGGCTGGCCAGTGGCGTTCTCGTAGGCTCTGTCACAATGTCCCATTCTTGTTAAGCGTGGGCTAAAGTAGGGATAATCGGGTCCGTCTACTCACTGGAGGCTCTCGACGATGCAGAGCTTGTCGCCATCGTTCTTGTCTTCAAGGCAGACCGCGTCGCGGAGATCGTCGTAGTGCGAGAGGAGCGCCACGATGGTCTGTGCGGCGTTGGGCGTGTCTCCGACCGGCTGCGAGAGCTCGCTGCTGCAACTGTCCGTGAAGGTGCCGTTGATCTTGGACAGCGTGGACTGAGAGCAAGGCTCCATGGGGCACAGACTCTTGCTCAAGTAGCTCTCGATGACGGGCACCAGGCTCGAAGAGGTGTCTGCGCCCTGCAGTTGCCCAGTGAGGCCATCCGCGTGGAGGCACGAGGCCAGGTCCTTGTCAGACAGAGCTGATACGAGCTTCTGGAGGCAACCTTGAGAGACGCCGCCAGTGCTGCCAAATTGGGCAGAGACAAGCGACGAAGAGCCGAGGACAGCGAGGCTGACGAGGGACGTTGCAGCAAATCGGACCATTGTTGGGCGTGAGAGAGAGACAATCGTGTGAGGGACAATGGCGGGCCAAATGATGAGGCTCGCATCGCCTTTATATCGCCCAAGTCACTTCTGCTCAAGAGATAGATCTGCCGATTTCCAAGCGATCCTCGTCATCTTGTTGAGCTAGCGTACAAGCGAAACATATGCAAGTATAGCCATTGTACCATAACCTGCACAAGGGGGTTGCTGGCGGAACAACTGTTAGGAAGATGGCCTGTGATATCAAGGTAAGAGGTTGTAGATCTCAGCACTGAGGGAGAGCAAGGAGAAGGAAAAATTTAAAGCTGCGCAATGCAGGTACCTTTTCGACTTGGCGCTACATATTCTCAATATGTGGCGGAATACCGGCGCTTGGCTCTACAACTCAATCGTGTGCACAGCAGCCATGTGCTCAGTAATCATATGCACAGCAATCATGTGCAAAGCAAGACCATTGAAGAACAACTTCAAACAACAACACTAGCTGATGCACCGACCTCGTGCTTGGTTCACTATGAGCTCCTGCTTCGGTCCCACTCACCATCGCCTTCTTCCGAGAATGACGGTAGCAAAGTAGCGGTGCTGCCTAGTGTGGATGGCGGTGCTGTCTGGTTGAACAGCACCAACGTGAGTGCACCTTTTCCACGTCGAACACGCGGTCGGAGCACAGCATCGTGCTCTGCGCTTTGCTTCGAGCACTCCCACCCTGCCGAAATTGAATTATTGCCCACACCTTCCATGTGTATCGACTCAAGAGTGCCGGGAGACAGCGCGGGTGGAGATCCCGGTCCCGCCGGCGGACAAGAATAGCGGTACACAAATAGCCTGGAAGAGACAACAATGGCACCACTGGCAACTAGCCTTGTCCATCTGCGTGTTCTTTCCTTCTCACACCGTCCCTGATTCATCTACAAAGCAAAGACCGCCGCGTGGTCTAGCATGACAGCCTAGGGGAGAAGACATAAAAAAAAATTTGGCCACGCGAGAAAGTCGGTCCGTCGAAATTCTCTGCATTCCAAAATCTAAAACAAATAGCGTTTGACAGGTTCGCCGGACCGCATCCGGTCATCATCGACGCGGGTTGTGCACACACCGTGGCATATCTTTCGTCAAAGCAGACAAGTACAGGGCATTTTAGCAAAGCCAGCGCGTGGCTGTAGGGCCGGTACCCTGAGTTGGACTGGAATTGGAGTCGGAGGAGGGGAGCAGCGGACGGAGAGATATGAGCCAAGTTTCCCACGAGACCCATCCGTAACACGAGCACACCGTCACCTTCATTGTTGTTCTCTTTCCGCATGCGGACTCTCGTGAGGCCAAAGAGGAAAGAGCTGGGAATGCAACTTATTGATTTTATCGACGAGACAGGCAACGGGGGGAAGATTCCGGGCACCCATCCCCTCATATATAACCATCTTGGCCGAGACAGACCTGCTCTCTCATTCCAGCCACTGTTTTCTACCGCATTGGAACAGCTTTCTCGCCCATTTGTCAAGGGCAAGAAAGGGGGGTCATAAAGCTACACTCCGCCTCCACACCCCCAGCACTGACTAACCTTCGGCGGGCACGGCAAGCAAGGGTGAGTGTGCTCTAGTATATTCCCATGCTTGGTATTTCGGCATTGGATGCCAAGGAGAGGAATAGAGGGGGTCAAGATATGGGCCTGTGCCTTTGGAAATCAATCTATTCTGAAGAAAATAGGGCTTTGGGTGGCAAACAAGCCTTGGCAGCTCGCATTGCGAAATATCAGGCCAGCGGAGGGTCCACCCCAGGGCCTCGTCGTACATGGAGTTACCAGGCGGTCTCTGCAGGTCCACATAGAAGCACACTTTATAACCCGAGTGACCCACTCACTTACTTCGTCACATAACCCGCAGACAAACATCCTCTCCCCCCTTCGAAACCGACAATGAAGCTGTACGTCGTCGTCGCGGCCCTTTCGGTCCTTTTGGTCGCTCTCGCCACCGTCACCAGTGGCGCTCCGGTTCCTTCTCGTGAGCACAGAACTTAGATGGCTTTGGCAGTATAAAGGAGCTGACCCTATTTCTCAGCCAACCCTATCCGTGACAACGCCGAGGCTGATACGACGCCACTGACAAAGCGCGAGGTTCAAGAAGCCAGTCGCGCCGAATTCCTACCCTTGGGAAATCACTACATCAAGAAGCGCGACGCAGACGATGCTGCAAAGGCAGATAGCATCCCATCCGGCAACCAGTACATCAAGAAGCGTGACGTCGACAATGCTGCAAAGGAAGACAGTGTGCCCATGGGAAACACTTATATCAAGCGAGACGTCGACAATACTGCCAAAGAAGACAGTGTCCCCATGGGCAACACCTATATCAAGAAGGACGTCGACGATGCGGCAAAGCAATATAGCGTCCCCATGGGCAACACTTATATCAAGAAGGACGTTGATGATGCGGCAAAGCAATATAGTGTTCCAATGGGCAACACCTACATCAAGCGATAAGAAGCCGACTGGAAGCTCATCAATAATAAGTGGTTAAGCAGGATTGTCTGCCGTCCCTCTCGATGTTTTGGGGGTCTTTTCGAGGTCATTGTCTCTTCCCTCTTTTCTCTCTCTCTCTACGACCACACACGACCACGTCCATAATGTGAAATACAAATCGAGGCTGATCCCTCACATGATCTCATTTGGAAGGATGATTGAATAGTGTACAGTTGCAGGGTGATATCGATGGTCTTGTGATTCTCGTCAGTGGTTATTGCGTCTAGTCTTGACTCCCGTCCAGGATTCGTTTTCTGAGAAAGAGGCGATCAGCTCGCCTGGTCGCATAAAGCCTGGGAGAGGAGAGAGACCGACTCACAGTAGTGGCGGCGTTGCCAGCAAATTCCTGCCGCCGCTCTGGACCTCTTTGGGCCATATGTCAACGAGAAAGTAGTCTGTTATGTCGTGAGACAATGCTCAGCAAGAGACCAAGGAGAAGAAGCTGAAGAGACACTCACAAGCATGACCAACAGCGATACCCATGAGGTCGCCGACGACGGCCTTGATGCTGCCCGAGAGGATCCAGGAAAAGGCGACGAGGGACCAGGGCAAGTAGGGCGCAGTAATGATTATGACACCAAATAGGCTTAGTCGGACGTGGCGATTGCGCCTGCTCCAGATGTAGACGAGGACAAAGCCGAGCGGGCTGCCCAGGAAGGGCAGGGTCGCGAGCGGCGAGAGGAGGACAAGACAGGTCGAAGCAAAGACGAGGAGCCAGACAAAGTCGGCCCGCTTTCCTGCGTAGTGGTTCTCCTCGAGCATGCGGGCGTAGCGGGTGGTGAAGACGAGGTTAAAGAGGAAGTCGACACCAAAAGGACCGAAGTAGACGAGCGAGGTGATGATACGCCATACCTGCCCGCGGCCCACGACGAGACGGTACGAGAGAAAGAGCTGCAAAGACGATACGAGACCGACGTACTCAGCCAGCGCAAGCGCAAGCGCGGAGCCAGCCCACACCCTCGTGATGGGCGGGATCGTACCTAGATCGTCCATAGGGTCCGAGTTGGGATCAGTAATGCGAGAAGCAAGCAACGTCAGTCGACGTGGAGTGAGTGAAATTGGCGCAAGTAAACCACGTGAAGTCCTCCACCTTGTAGCCTGGTAGAGCGATCAGATTGGCCGGGCCGACAGACCGGATTGAGACCACACCAAAACAGAAAAGACCGGACCACCATGTCGTCGTTCTTCTCGACACCAGTGGGCGCCGATGCGGCATCACTGTGGGAGCGGGTGAGCATGCTTGCCTTTTAAAGAAAAGAAGTGGATCCAAAACTGACATGTAATGAGTAGCTGAGCGAGTCGACGCTTTTGACGAACCCGCTGAACACGGTGCTGCTCCTCGTGGCCCTCTACCTGCTCCTCTCCCTTCTCACGCCCTACTCAATCACGAACCTGACACCGACGCTCTCTCAGGCCCGCTCGCCTGCAAGAAACCCGTCGACGAGCTACTCGTACCTGCCTGACGTGCACCCGCCTTGCGTGCAATGGAAAAAGTACACGCCCCGGACGCTTGCCGTCTATGATGGCAGCGGCTTCTCTGCCGCCGACAAGAACGGCTCGATGGACGTGGGTGCGGCCGCGAGGAAGCGGGGCGATCCCGACAGGATCCTTCTGGCCATCCAAGGCAAGGTCTTTGACGTAACAAAGGGCGCAAACTTCTACGGACCAGGTGAGTCTCCATGACCTTTTTCGCGAGCACTGTACACACGGACTGACTCTGGAGAGCCACACAGGGGGACCCTATGGCAATTTTGCGGGTCGCGACGCTTCCCGAGGCATGGCAAAGCAATCGTTTGATCTTGGTGAGACTGTATATCTTCTCTTCTCGCACTGGACAACCGACTGATAGATCTGCCAGACATGCTCACGCCCCTCGACCAACCGCTGGACAAGCTCGAGGACCTGACTCCAATGGAGCTCTCAAATATGCGCGAGTGGGACGCCCACTTCTCCGCCAAGTACGGCGTCGTGGGCGAACTCGTCAATGAGGGCGAGGAGGACGACGATGCATGACGGAGACAGACAGAGTGGGCATGTATTGTAGTAGCTCAGCCTATGCAAAATCAAGCTCTCCGTCCTCGATGAGATCGTCGAGGAAAGAGCAAAATGTAAAGAGGGGGAACCCGACAACGTTGTTGTAATCACCGTCGATGGACTTGACGAGTATTGAAGCTTTGCCCTGGATAGCGAAGCCGCCCGCGCGGTCTAGTCCCTCACCAGAGTCGACGTATGCCTGGATAATTGTGCCTCTGTTCTCTGCAAACCGCACCACCGTCTTCTCCGACACGGTGCTGTATAAACAGTCTGTTGAGCAAGCGTGGCGGGGACTAGAGCAACAATTGGCAAAGGACTCACTGGGCTTGGTAGCCAGGGGCCTGCAGCGTTGGGTGGACTACGACAACTCCCGTCACAACTTCGCACTATGCGGTGGAGTCAGTCTTGTGAACAATCCTCGGCCTATTTCTCCTCAACTGAGCCTCACCTCGCCGTCGTTGAGCTCTGCCAGCATCCGAAAGTTGTCGAGGGCATCCAAGGGCTTCTCCATGATTTCTTCTCCCTTGATGACGACCGTGTCCGCTACATTTCCAGCGGCGTCAGCTTTGTCGACCGATGAATGTACCCATTTGCGACTCACCACCAATGACGAGGTCCGGTGGATCATCAGGGCAGTCATGTACCAGGCGCTTGTACACCTCAAGGGCCTTTTGCGTCGCGGTCTCAGCAGGGTACTGATAGGCTGCCTCGCCAACGAAGCCCGTCTTTGGCAGATCCTCCTTGAAAGTCGACGGAATCACCTCGGGATGGAAACCCTGGAGATGCTTAAGACTTGAGCTGCTGCCATATCTCTCTCAAGAGCCAACAAGATGAAAGACTCACGACCGAGGCTAGAATCTCTCTTCTCCGCGGACTCGCCGAGGCCAGCACGACTCTTCTCCCTGCGTCGCTTTCCGCCTGTCAGTGATTCTCTTGCTGCTTCCACGGTGGCCGTGAACGAGTCACTCACCTGCCAGCTTGTTGAATGCCGGAATCCTGAGCGCATCTTCGCTCACTGCTGCTGCCCGGTCCGGCTTGGCCTTTGTCGAGGATCCAGAGCCCATCTCTATCTTTGTCTGACTGATGTCCCTCTGCTCTGCTGGAGAGCGAAAAGTGGAGAGCGAGCGATGTTCTCTCGCGCGCGCGCTTTGACTTCTTTGGCGCGTCGAGGCTGCCAAATTAAGATTGTGCACCTCGCCTACTTCTTCCTGAGACGACGACAGAGACACAGGCGACCAGCAAAATGGCGCCGAGGCCCACCAGGACGGGCCTCGTCTCGCAGCACTGGCAGCTCGATGTCCTCATCGTCTCGCTCGCCGTCAAGCTGCTGCTCATCCCCGCCTACCACTCAACCGACTTTGAGGTCCACCGGCACTGGCTCGCCCTCACCCACTCGCTCCCGCTCTCGCAGTGGTATTTCGACGAGACCTCGCAGTGGACGCTCGATTACCCGCCTTTTTTTGCCCACTTCAGCTGGTTTCTCTCCTTGCCTGCCAAGCTTGTCGATCCAAAGATCATCGACCTTCGCAACGGGCTCGGGTACACAGGAGGCTGGTGCAAGCCATACATGCGCCTCAGCGTCATTGTCACGGAGCACCTCTCGCTCGCAAGCGCTCTCTGGGCTCTCAGCCGACCATCTTCGCAATCTGCATCGGGAACGGCGGAGCAGACATCACCGCCAACACCTCCCCTTGTCGCAGCGGCCATCCTCCTGCACCCAGGCCTCGTGATCGTCGACCACATCCACTTTCAGTATAATGGCTTCCTCTTTGGCATACTCTTCTGGTCCATCTGGGCCGCAAGAGAGGTGGGTCTTCTACAGCCATCGATTGCATTGTTGATTCTGACGATTGATTTACAGGGCCGGCCGCTGCTCTGTGCGCTGCTATTTGCCAGCCTGCTCAACTTCAAGCACATCTACATCTACGTCGCACCGGCTTATTTTGTCTACCTGCTTCAGACCTATGTGCTCAAGCCGCCCTCGGCAGGAGGCTCAGGAGCCATCACGGGTGCCGGCGAACGCCTTTTCACACTTGGTACCATCACACTGATGCCCTTTGCCCTTAGCTTGATGCCACTATTGGCCTCGGGCTTGACGGCAGAGGCGCCCGCAGGATCTTTCGGCATCGTCAAGCAAATGGTGTCGAGGCTGTTCCCCTTCAGCAGAGGCCTCAACCACGCCTATTGGGCTGCCAACTTCTGGGCACTATACACGTTCGCCGACCGCGTGCTCATCAAGCTCGTCGGCGTCATGGCCTGGGCCGACGACGAGAATGCACAGGTCTCTGCCTCGCGCGGCATCATTGGCGACACCGTCTTTGGCGTTCTGCCTCAGATTACGGCGGGCCACTGCTTCCTCCTGACCTTGGCCTTCACCGTTGTCTTTTCGGCCAGGCTGTGGTTCCGACCGACGTACCACTCATTCGTCGAGTCAATTGGCCTCTTCGGCCTCACTTCGTTCCTCTATGGCTTCCACGTCCACGAAAAGGCTGTCCTCGTCGGTCTCCTTCCCCTGACTCTCCTAGCATCGCTCGATTACCGGCTGGCAAGGAGCATCCTCGTTCTGTCCCTCAGCGGCATTGTGGGATTGTTTCCGCTGCTGTACGAGGCAAGAGAGACACCCATCAAGGTCGCCTACACGCTCTTGTGGACCATCATCTTCTTTTCCGGGTTGGGAAGGGCCGTGTACCGTCCCGTTCCAACCAATGTTGGCGTATTTGTGGCCCATTGGCTAGAGGAAGCCTACCTTGTCGGCTTCGTTGCCTTACAGGTCTTTGTCAGTGTCGGTCATCCGCTTCTCGTGGGCTACCTCGCGTCGTCATCGCCGTCGCTGCTGAGCAAGACGGAGGAACACGCACAGGCGCTTGTATCGTCCATTGTTGCAGCCGCTTCTTCTTCTAGCTCTTCTGTCTCAGCATTAGCAGCGTCAGCCTCTGCCGCCGCCACTGCTGCGCCTTCACCCACCGAAGAAGCGTCCAATGCAGCCTCGTCGGTGCTTTCTTCCCTCTCGTCAATCGCTGCTCCGCTCGCCTCGTCCGCGTCCTCGTCCGGCTTCCTCGCCACGGCTATCTCTGTGGCCCGCCTCGCCTCTCCTAAACAGCCGCCATCGCCCGCGATACCTGTGCCAGAGCCCTCAAGCGCCAATCTCGAGTTTCTCCCACTGATGCTCACGAGCGTCTACTGCGCCATCGGCGTCCTCTGGGCCTGGTTTGTGCTTGGCATCCGATATCTCTTGGCCCCGGCGACTGAAGAGGAGAAAAGCGAAGATGCCGCCGCGCCAACTCGGAAGGGCGTTCCTGTCAACGTCTTGCCACCAAGCCCAGAAAAGACAAGAAAGTAGACAGGTTCCTTGAAATGCAATTGAACTTGGTTAAGTACGATACAGAGGCTACTGAGTGCTACAATGTGGCTGTGCGGAAACAGACGGCGATGTCCTGGTCCTTGTCGTGCTTGTGACCTCCCGACGGTGACGGAGGCGGTGTCAGCTTTGTCTCGCCCTGCGCCTCAATATCGATGTGGGCAGACTCGAGCTGGGCTGGGCCACCCCAGAGTTCGTCCATCTCCTCGAGCGTGAGTCCCTTTGTCTCTGGCATGCAGAACCAGGCCCACGGGACAGCGACGGTGAGACACGCTGCAAAGACAAAGTACGTCGACGCGCCGATGCCCTCGAGCATATACGGCGTAGCACGGGCAATGAGGAGGTTGAAGGCCCAGTGCGTGGCCGATGTGAGCGAGGTGCAGTGAACACGCAGACGGGCCGGGAAAATCTCGGAACAGTAGATCCAGGGCACGCCAGCGTAGCTGAAACAGAAGCAGGCGGCGTAGATGTAGATAAAGACAATGGCGCTGTAGGCCGACGAGGGACGGTCGCCTGTGCCCGTGTGTTGCTCGGGATGGGCGATAGAAAGGTATGCGCCGATGTACCACATGCAGATGCCCATGCTGACTGACCCAAACAGGATCATTGTCCGACGGCCAAGCCGGTCAACGACGAGCACCATTGCGATAAGCGTGCACACGAAGCGGACCACGCCGTAGATACCTGTTGCAAGAAATTGCGATGAGACGCCATGGAAGCCGAGCGAGGCGTAGATGCGTGGCGAATAGTAGTTGATGGCGTTTGTGCCGCTCATTTGAAAGAAGATCATGAGAATCATGCCGGTAACAAGACGGGGCAACATGCCTCGGGAGAAGCAGTCACGGTAGGTCGAGAGCCAGTTGGACGGGCCGGAAGGTGCTTCAAACTGAATTTGATCAATAATGCCTTGAAGCTCCCAAGACACATACGGGTGATCCTGGGCTAGATTGCGTACTTGCGAGAGGCGAAGTCGAGCTTCGACTGGCCCGCGCCTCATGGCTGTCCATCGGATACTCTCAGGGAGGAACCACATGCCGATAAAGAGGAGGCCTCCGGGCACAAGCTGAAGTGCAACAGGCACGCGCCATTGGGCCGTGTCACTCTTCATCGTCTGCTGAACGGCGTAGCAGATCCAGAAGCCAATTGTAGTGCCGAGCTGCACGCCAATCTCAAAGATGCCGACGAGCCTTCCTCGAATTTCGGCGGGAGCTACCTCTGCGATGTATACGGGCACAACGGAGGTACAGGCGCCGATGGCTAGACCTCCGAGCACTCGGCCGGTATACATGAGAGCGACAGCAGCCTGTCCCTTCGCAACAAATTGGATCAACGAGGCGATGCAGAACAGCGCGGCGTAAAGAATGATGGACGTTCGACGACCCAACCAGTTGGCGAATGGGGCAGAGACGAAGCATCCGACGATGCAACCGACCTGAAAGAAGGAGACGACTGCAAAGGGAGACGGTCAATGCTGAAAAGGACGAAGGGTGAAGAGCAGACTAACCATTGGCGCTGAAGAAGGTGCGATACGACTGCGACCTATCGACGATATCAAAGTCCACCTTGAAGCTCTCAAGCTCGAGTGTCGTGCCGATGAAGCCAAGATCATACCCATAGGCCAGCGCTGCCATCGAGGAGGTGATGGCGAGTATGTAGATCCTCCAGTTGAACACCTCTCTTGGCGTTTCCTGTCCGTACGACGTAGAGGCGAGAGCGAGGTTGATTTTCTTGGCCATGTCTGCGTTTCCAAGTTCCAGAGCTTGCTGCCTTCAGAGAGAGGGGACAGACGAGCATGCGGGGCCCCATGTCGGAGCAAGCCCATTACTTAAAGGGCAAGAGGTGGAAGGCCATCCTGTGGCATATAGCCCTGGAGAACTGAAAGTGCGGGGAAGGTTGAGAAATTAGGGAAGGTGAGCAACCGTAAAATAAAAAGGAGTGCCGAGGTGCCTTAATCTGACGCTACGCCTGGCTTGCCGACGGAGCATCATTCTCCGGGGCCGATAGGACCGCAAGCTCTCGGATCGGAGCCTCTTCCTCCGTCAAAGCTTTGGTGACAAACGGTCACTCGTTTGCCGACGCAATCACTCAACGGTCAGCATGGAGAGAAGTATATAAGAATGAGGGGGGGAGAGATGTTTGTCGTGGAGAAAACAAGAAAAGATGTCGACGACGACAAGCCTTGCCAGTGCGGCGTCGCGAGAGTGTTCAAGTCAGCCTCTGCTGAGTCTGGCACTGCACCAAGCACCGCGCCGACGTGCCATAAAAGTCACAACAATGCGGGCAGGCACGTCAAAGGGTGTCTTTCTGCGTGCTCAGGATCTCCCTGCCGACGTTGAGAGGTGGCGTAGGATCTTGCCTAAAGTCATGGGCAGCCCCGATCCTTTTGGACGCCAGCTTGACGGCCTCGGTGGTGGAACATCTACCACTTCCAAGCTGGCCGTCGTGTCCCCCAGCAAAAGGCCAGACATTGCCGATGTCGACTACCTCTTCATTCAGGGCTCGGTCACGGGTGCAACTCTGGACATGACTGGTAACTGCGGCAACATCCTCTCGGGCGTCGCGCCCTTCGCCTACGAAGAGGGGATGGTCCACCGGCAACCCGATTCAGCAAAAGGAGACGACGGCGAACTGAGTCTGACGTTGCGTTGCCTCAACAACGACCAGCTTATCCGGAGCTCGTTTCGTGTAACGGACGGTTTGCCCGTCGAGAACGGTGATATGGTCATTGATGGTGTTTCCACGAAGGGGTCGCCCATAAAGCTTGACTTTCTCGACCCGGCCGGATCCATGACAGGTCGCCTCCTGCCGACTGGCTCGCCCACTGACCTACTCGTAGTGGAAGGGCTCACTGAACCCATCCTGGTTTCTTGCGTGGATGCGGCCAATCCGTTCGTCTTTGTACGAATCCAGGATGTGGAACCAACCCTGGTGGGCTTCGAGTCGTCCGCTCACCTTGATAAAGAATCGCTATCACGGAAGGTCGAAGCCATCCGAAGGAGCGCTGCCGTGGTAATGGGTCTTGCCCAAGACACGGTTTCTGCCGCCGCGGTCAAAGGCACCCCCAAGATCTGTCTCGTTGCTCCTGCCTCTCTCGCAGGGAATGGCCACATCATGACAAGGAGCTGGTCGATGGGGAAACCCCATCCTGCTCTTCAGCTCAGCGGAGCCGTTTGCGTCGCCGCTGCTGCCCACATTCCCGGTACGATCCCTCACGAGCTGGTCAAGAGCACCACCGGAAGAATACCCAGCAAACTCCGCATCGACCACGCCTGTGGAACGATAGAGGCAAGCGCGAACGTGGAAGTGGTGCCTGGCACGAAAGAGGTCAAGATCGCGTCGGCGACGCTTTTCCGCACAGCGAGGAGGCTCTTCTCCGGAGAGGCCTACTACGTTCTGTAAAACTGCTTGTAGACATGGTCTCATCGCGTTGTGTGCCAACGAGGGTGAATCGCTTTAAGACCTCTTTGAGAGGCCGAAGCGAATCGCTTGAATCAATGTGTATTTGCCACGGAGCGACGGCACCCGCGACGGCACCGTAGGTCCTTTATCGAAGTTATTGCGGACCTAGATCGCTCGTCCAAGCCTCACTTCCAGCCATCGTCAACGGTCAAGATGAAGTGCAGCGAGCTTAGAGATGCAATACAGCATTCATAGATCTCGACATGAATTTTAATCTAAGCACAGTAACCCGATCGACCCTTTCTAGTGCCGGTGAAATGTGGAGTTCAGAGTTCCGACGGAGTATCATTCTCCGTCGGACCATGATTGCCCGTCGAGCGTGGGGGGACAAGACGGACCGTCACACTCCCATCCTCTGTCCTCTTGACGGCAACGGACGCTGCTAGAGACGGGCTGGAAACAATGCAGGAAGCAAAGAACGGCACACGCAAAGCCTGCAACTTCTGTCGCAAGCGCAAGGTGAGAGAGATGTGAAGAGAGCCGGCCTCTTGTTCAAAGAAGCTGACTGAATTTCGCAAAGATTCGCTGCGACGGAGAGACGCCGTGCGGAGCATGCATCCGTCACGGGGTAGACTGCACCGTTACGCTTGCTCCGAAGCGTCCGAGACCAACGAACGAAGCGCTGAACCAAGCCTTTGCCAAAATCCAGAGGCTGGAATCTCAGATAGCAGTTGGCAAAACGGGGAGAGTAGCGAGCAGCAGCCGAACCGGGTCTCCTTCATCACCTTCTTCTTCAGCGACGACAGCAACGACGGGCGGAGGTGCTCAAGAGAACAACTCAATCAGACGGACATTCTCGTCGCACCTCGACATCAACAATCGGGGTGATACACACTACCATGGGCCAACGAGCGCCTTGTTCCACGATCGGTCAGACAGAGACAGTAGATCGGGGCAACAGAATAGGCAGGATAGAAGAGCAAGAGCTGAGACGGCATCGAATGGCTCGACAGAAGCACCAAACAGAGGCAGAGATGGCCCTCAAGAAGGAGAAGGAGAGGGCGAGCCAGCAGTAAGGACACAAGCTCGTATTACCAATTTCTCCTCGCCCGTCTCACCGCCACCCACGCAGCAAGAGCTGGCAGCGGTACTGACATCAAATGCAGCCCGGGAGAAGCAATCAGAGGTCATGAATATCGTTTCTGGCAAGCTTGATTTCGACGGCTGGGATCCAGAGCTTTGCCTTCACCTCCTGTCACTGCATTGGAACCGCCAGCATCACGCATGTGAGTGGTAGCGATAGATGACGCCTTTGCCCAGATCTCCCCTCATCTAAATTTCCACTTCAGTCCTAGTCACATACAGACCTCTCTTCATGCGAGACATGGCCGTCGGCTCCTCAGGTCGCTACTTTTCTCCACTGCTCCTCAACGCCATCCTTTTTGGAGCAGCCAAGTTCAGCGATCGGGTCCATCAGCTACGATCCGACATCTCAGATCCCTCTTCGGCAGGCTTGCAATTCCTCAAAAGGGTTCAGGAGCTGCTGCCCGAAGCCCTGATGAAGTCGCGAATCACGACGGTTCAAGCGCTGCTGCTCCTGGCCTGTACTCACTACGCTAGGGGATCTGAGAGTGCAGCTTGGCTCCACTCTGGACTAGCATTTCGCATGGCTTTTGATCTAGGCATGAACGAGGATGGTCTCGACCTCGTGTCCGAGGCGAAGCTGCAACCCGAGGAGCTCGAGCTCCGACGGAGAGTCATCTGGGCCGCTTATGGTGGGTCGCTTCCTCTCGGTCTGTCTCACTGAATATCAGGGCACTGACAACGGAAGAAAGTTATCGACAAGATCCATTCGCTCTACCAGGGCCGCCAAGCATCGATCAAGGAAAAGGAACTTTTTGTCCTAGCCGAGTTCAATGACTCATTCGAGGAGCTCGAGTACTGGACACCTCTAGCATACAATAAGGACTCGAGCGTGTCTTTCGGCTGCACCGTACACAGTGTGTCGACATTTACGCAGCTTTGCCACCTGGCCGTCATATTAGAACGCATCATTGATGCCTTCTACTCGGTCCAAAGCAGCAACGAGGACGTAGCAGTGCTCGATGCAGCTCATCGTAGGCTCGAAGAGCAGCTGGAGAGCTGGCGGCGCAGCCTGCCAGCCTGTCTCGAAATTCCGATGCAATCCTCGCCCCCTTCTCCTTCACGCTTCTCACCCAACATCATCTCCCTCAACGCGCTCCATCACGCCATCGTCATTCTGCTTAACAGGCCCTTTCTCCCTTTCGGACACCTTAGAAGAGCCGTTGAGGAGGATGACGAGAACCAGGCGCGAGCGCGATCCGCCTGGAAGGCGTGTGTGGACTCGGCGACCAAGATTTCGCTGCTGATGCATCACTATCGACGGAGTGTCACGATGAAGGGCGCGCCTCAGCTCATCAGCTACATCAATTTTTGTGCAGCGGGGATCCATGTCAGGCTCGCTGCGCAGCTCTTTGCAAATGATAATACAACAGGGGCGGCACCAGCGACGGCGGCAGTGAAAAAGGACCAAGAAGGGGCATTGAGGGCGCTTAAGGCATGTCTAGACGACTTCCAAGCCAACACAGATCCGAACCCAGGTGTTGCAAAGGCAAATGATGTCATTCAGAGGATGGCTGCCCAGCTGGGCATCCTCGAGAGGGTCAAAAGCGTCCATCTTGATGCACCTACTTATAGACAGCACCGGTATCAGCCGTTGGCGTCGTCGCCGTCGTCCGTGAACGAGATAGCAGGCAATGTCCAGCAGACTTCACAGCTGGACAATGCAAGGACTTCCGATCATCAGCCAATCTATACACCAGCTCTTGGGGATCAGCAGGATGGGCAGTTGCTCAATTCATCACTCCTCCAACAGGGGCAAGTGGCAGCAGCAGATCCGTCATCTGTCGCCGCTGAGCTGCCCTCGGCGACGTCTGCGACTGGAGGCTTCGATCTCGAGACTTTCCTCGCACGACCTTCGCTCGACGACCTGGCCAGCAGCGGCAATCTGTTTGATTTCCTGCAAGACTCCAACTTTCCTCCAGGGTTGGCCCAGCAAGATGTCATGTTTGGTTTTCTCAAGGACAGCTTAGGCGCCTGACACCGGCTGTTTGTTGAGCAAAAAGGACCCTCAATGTCTGCAGCATGTGGAGCGATCAGATAAGATTTTCCCTCACCGATCCAGCCCGCCCCCCTTGGCCTATTTCCCAAAACTCACAAATGCATCATTATTCTGGTATTCATAGTTTATTTTGTCCCGCTTCCGATCAATTGGCAGGAATTTGCAATTCTCGTCTCGCAACTGGGCCTGAGCATCCCAAGGCAAAGAAACTTACAAGATTGGAAAGAAAAGTAAACAAACCGGAGTGCATTGTGCAGAGAAAAAAGAGAGAGAGAGCGAGGCGCCGCATTGAGAAGCTGTATGTAGTCACGAGAGAGGGCCAGTCGAGGTCGTAAGATGATTTCATCTCCGTTTCCCATTCCTTCTCAACACACACTCATATTTTGGACCAGACTATCTTCTTGAAAGGAGGACGAGATCGACGAGGAGAAGAGACTCCGCAACGATTACGCCAGTAAACGGAAGTCTCTTGGTTGCACCTGCGACACGCGCCGCGGTGGCGTTGCCGTCCTTGTATTATCAAATTTCGGCTCTGACCATGTCGTCGCACAAATTGCGGCTGCGGAGCCACTCTGCAACGACGGCAACTGCAGCGACGAGCAGCAGCAGCAACAACAACACCGACGATCGCAGACCGATATCATCTGACTTTTCTGGGTCCAAGAACGTCGTCGTCGTTGGTGGCAGCTATGGTGGCATGCATGCAGCCACCGTGCTGGCCCAGCGGTTGCCTCCATCGCATCGCGTCATTCTCGTCGAGCGCAACAGCCACTTCAACCATCTCTACGTCTTTCCCAGATTCTCGACGCTGCCTGGTCACGAACACAAGGCATTCATCCCCTACTCATCCATCTTTAGCAATGCGCCAAAGCGGCCACTTCGGCCGAGGTCGTCGAAGGCCAAGATGAATGCATCCGCAAGAGGCAGCAGCAGCCATCTCGACGCCGAGAATCGAGCACGATCTAAGGCGGATGGAAAGGAGAAGCCGCAGCAGCGTTCGGGCGAGGAGATGTTGGGAATGGGATCACTAGCTGGTCGCGCTTTTCAAAGACGTGATCGAGGAGAGGGCGGTTCAGAGGCATCGTCGTCGTCTTCATCGACATCGTCGTGGGATGTGCCGTCGGCCTCCTCGATGCCATCGCCGTCGTCCTCGTCGCGGTCCTCGTCTACCGATGGGTGGCGCGAGGATGACAGCATGCTCTCTGTCGGTGCCTCACTCTCGTCGGCCTCGTCGGCTGCATCCTCGACGGGCTATGATGGCGCGCGCGACGTGGAGGCGAAGCGGAAGCGTGCCGGTATCGACGCGGGCAACCGTGCGGTCGAGCGGGCCATTGCTGCTGAGGCGCAAACGGGTGCACCCAACGAGCAGGCTCAGCTCGGTCGTCCCTCGATCCAGGTGGAGGAGCTTGGCTCGGCGCTCGACAAAGGCATTGATCTCACGGGTGCAGAGGATGCAGAGGGCGACGAGGAGAGCTCGGGGATGACGGCCGCCGAAGGATTTCACGAGGCAAGTCCTCACCTGGTCCTTCAGGCAACCGTTTCGAGCATCACGCCTAGCCACGTCATTGTGGAGCAGCCGACGCAGTCTGGGAGTGCGGCCAAGAACAAACACCTCTGGTCCATCGACAGTGTCTCGATCCCCTATACGCATCTCGTCTACGCCCTAGGCTCCCACCTGCCCGACCCCCTGCGCACGGAAGCGAGGACAAAGGCGGCGGGTATGTCGTGGATGCGCGACATCCAGGCACGCGTGAAAGCCGCCAACCAGGTCGTCCTCGTCGGTGGTGGCGCGCTCGGCGTCGAATTTGCCACCGACATCAAAAGCCTCTACACCGACAAGGACGTGACGCTGATTCACTCGCGCCAGCAGCTCCTGCCCAACTTTGACGTCAAGGTGCACGAGATCGCCCTCGCCAGGCTGCAAAACCTCGGCGTCAAGGTCGTCCTTGGCGAACGATTGGCCCTGACGGAGGGGTGCCCGCGCGGCAGCACCGTCAAAGCGGGCCAAGAGGGGTATGAACAACAGAAGCAAGAAGAGGAGCCACACCTCGAGCCGGCCGTGTGCCTGCCAGGCGATGCAAAGGGGGAGGGATTCCAAGCGCATCGGCAGGGTGTATGCGTCGGCGGAGGGCGCAAGTTGGTCAAGACGACGGGCGGCAAGGAGTTTGAGTGTGACCTACTGCTCCTCTGCACCGGCCAACAGCCCAATTCGGCTCTCATGGCGCAGCTTTCGCCGACGAGTGTCGACCCGGCCACGAGGCTCGTTCGCGTCCTGCCCACGCTTCAAGTTGAGGTGCCCGATGGAGGACTGGCGCAGATGCCCTTTGAGGCGAAACCGCCGTGCGGCGACTGCGACTGCTTCTTGGACAAAAAGGCCGCTGGAGGTGACGTCGATGCGCAAGAAGAGGAGGACAGCAACAGCAGCAGCAGCAGCAGCAGCAGCAATAAGGACCTCGGCTGCTTGTCCAATGTATACGCGATCGGAGATGTGGCAGATGCATTCGGAGCCCTCAACGCGGGCTATCAAGCCTGGAATATGGCCGAGGTGGCTGCCGACAACATTGTCCGCGATATCGGCTGGCTGGACCAGCACTCGAGTCGGGAAGAGGGAGGAAAGGTGACCGAGGCAGAGGAGGAGGCCGAGAAGAGAGCGCACCACGCCAACCTTGTGCACTACAAGCCAGCCCCTAATATGCTCAAGCTCAGCTTGGGACTGGGAAAAATGGTCTTCCAGGGCGCGCCATCGGAGCACCCCGACGAGAATGGCCGGCACAGGCCCGAGGTTACCCTCAAGGAAGACCCGGCCGATCTTGCCGTCGAGGGCGTTTGGCAATTCATGGCCAACCACTCGACGGATGACATGACCCTATAGTTTACCTTATAATCGTACATCTACCGCTACTATACTACTACTACTACAACTTGCTGCTCCAGTACTGCTCAATGTAAAGCCAAACAACAATCCATGTTTCTGTGCTTTCCAGCGAAAAAGGTGGAGAAGGTGGCCGACCGTGTGAAAGCATATCTGATGTGTCTGACTCCTCAGCCGCCACGCGAATTAGCAAGATATCGCTTAGGCTAAGCTTTTTCGTTTTGTCACTACCGCTTCTTCTTTCCTCATCGTTGCCCCGCACATCTTCCTTTCACTCTACTTCCTTGTTGTTTTCGAGTGGATGCGAAGCGAGCAGGCCATCTTATTAGGATCGACATTGGCCACCTTTCTGAGCTGCTACGCCGTATTCAAGCTTTCCGCCCGCTTCTTCTCTGACCAAGTCGACTCCACTTCCGGCTCTTGGAAGAACCTTCTCTCCGATATCGACACGGCCACAAATATTCACGCCATGGATCCAAACGCCATCTTGGCCTTCCTCGTCGGCCTCGTTGCCAGCGTGGGTGTGCTTCTTTACCTCAACGCCGGCAGTGAGTGTAGTGTGGTTGGCAGACAACCTGGCTGCAGCAGCTTGAAAACTCACTTTCTGGATGCTTTCTTCTCGATAGAGCCAAAGCCATGCCTGGACCCCAAGACTTGGCAGCAGTACCGGCTGCTTTCCAAGCAAGAGATCTCGCCCAACACGGCCCTGTACCGCTTCAGGCTTCCCAAGGCCAATGGCATTCTCGGCCTGCCCATCGGCCAGCACATCAGCCTCCAGGCCAACATCGACGGCAAGGACGTTATGCGCAGCTACACGCCCACCAGCTCCGACGATGACCGGGGCTTCTTTGACCTCATCATCAAGGTGTGTTAAAGTCTCTTGTTGTGGCTCTTCCATCTTCTTGGCGTCCGCCATGCTCACTATCAGACAAATTTGCGCATACACAGACGTACCCCCAGGGAAACATCTCGAAGCACGTCTCGACGCTCAAGATCGGCGACGCAATCTCGGTCAAGGGTCCCAAGGGCCAGATGCGCTACTCGAACGACCTGGCTGCTCGCATTGGCATGATTGCCGGCGGCACGGGCATCACGCCCATGCTCCAGATCATCCGCGCCGCGCTCAAGGACAAGTCGGACACGACGGAGCTCGACCTCATCTACGCCAACGTCAAGGAGGACGACATTCTCGTCCGCGAGGAGCTCGAGAGCCTGGCCAAGGACAGTCCCAAGCGCTTCCGTGTCTACTTTTTCCTCAACGAGCCGCCCAAGGGCTGGCAGGGCGGCGAGGGCTTTGTGAGCAAGGAGGCCATCGAAGAGCGCCTCCCCAAGCCGGCGGCCGACAGCAAGGTCCTCATGTGCGGTCCCCCGCCCATGATCAATGCCATGAAGAAGCACCTTGAGGAGCTCGGCTTCGACAAGCCCAACACCGTCAGCAAGCTCCCCGACCAGGTCTTTTGCTTCTGAGCTGGCCACCACAGCCCGACAGATGTGAGGGCTCGCGAGATGATGATGGGAAAGCAACGAGGGGCGCTGGAGGAGAGTCCAGAGAAGCGAAGGCAAGGTGCAGTGCGAGAAGCGAAGGCAAGGTGCAGAGTAAGAAGCGAAGGCAAGGCGCAGTGCTCTGGAAAGGTGACTTTCATGGATAGGGATTCGTGAAAGCAGTGGAATTTGATGGGAAAGTCGCATGGTGTCAACATCCAGGATTAAAAATACGCGAGTAGAGCATCAGTCCGATCAAGGTCCTGAGGTGATCAGGTCCTTTCAAGTGTAGAGATGGCAGCTCGTGTACACTCAAGTCCCTTGAATTTATAGTTCTGGCTTCTTCTTGCTAAGCGGGGTGTGTTGGCGCTCAACGGTAAGCTCTACACTCCCTGTTTGCGCCTTCTCCGATGCTGGAGAGCTAGCAAGAGAAGTAGGCGGAGACGGAGAGAATGCAGTGATGGTGGTCTCGAGCTCCTCGGCCGCGAGGAACTGTTCCTCTTCATCATCATCTTGTATCTCTCTCTCTTGGGAAATTTCCATCTCCGTTTGGTTGCGAAGGCGAGCGAGCGTGGTGTGCAGAATCTGCTGGCGTAGCTGCTGGGTTCGCAGCTCGTCCAGGCCACGGTCCCAGCTGCAGTCCATTTTCGAAGGTACCGGGAGCATTGCCGGAGAAAAATTGGTGCCAGTCCATTCGATATCGCCAAAATGCCGCCGAGTGGACACGCACGCAGTTGATGAGCGGCTCGAGAGCCAGCGAAATGACTGAAGGTCGTACAAAGATGCTGTACTCATGGCAACGAAAGTGTAGATGCTGCGTTGTGCGAAAAAGGTTCGATGTGGTCGTTCGATGAATTGCTATCCGGGCAAGGAAAAGGGCCTTCATTAAGTATCATAACCTCACATCAGATCCCGTCGATGCGGTGGCGACTCTTGCCTCTTCCTTCGGGAGCAAAGAGTCACGGAACTGCTTTGATTCCGCTCATTCTTAGCGGCGGAGGCGTATTTGTCAACACTGAGACCTCGTCCGATTGCGGGATGCCAATGGATGCCGGCGTCTTCGAAGTGCATGGAAGCGAGGTTCTGCAAAGCATGTAGAGAAAATACTCTTCTACTATACGCCCGGACCCTAAGTTGAGCCGAATGGAGTTCGACCAGCAATCTTTGACTCAGTGCGAAAGGGGCGCCCGGGCTGGCAAATAATTTGGCTGAAAATGCGATGGAAGTCGTCGGCTCGCCGCAGAAAGTTGATCTCTTAGAACGATGATGATCCCGAAAACCAATTGCTAGCAAATGGTCAGAGGATGACAGAGCATGCACGGCGCAAGCAGAGCGATTGACAGGTGCCATTTGTTCAGCAGAAGTTATAGGCATATCTTTACTTTCGCTCCTATATACTCAAGCTTTCTTTCTACTTCTGGATAACTCATTGTCATTCGAGACACTCTAGACTGGTAAGTATGACTGTGTTTCCGATTGCTACATTGCTGTTTGTCTCGGCAACTTTCAAATGTGTCTCCTTCATACTGAAGAAAGTGGGCACCCTAGAATCGTGCTCCACTACGTGGAGCGAGAAGATTCTGATGCCGTATCTGTTTTCTGACAGCCCTAGCCCTCTGTCTTTCCTCCCACATCCTGCCCCTCTCCCGCCTGACTTCCTCAAGATTGAGCTGCGCCAGACGACGTTGCGCAACTTCATTTTCATTCTGCGATTTCCCATGGCAGAACGCAGCGTGGAACCAGAATTCGACTGGCTGAGCCCTCTTGCAGAACGGGATCGTATGCCTTTTGACCGAAGAGGACATCGTCAGGATGTCTTCCTCGTTGAGGGATGTGAGAAGAGAAAAGGACTCACCAGCATTCGTGGCATGATCCCAGAAGTCGCTGATCGTAGATAGGCGTGTTTGGCTTTGTTTCTGTGGCGGTCCTCCGAGGTCCCTGGATTTGACGTCCGTCAGGCATAAAGCCCTCGAGAACCCTAGAATAGTCGGTGTTGGATAGAATGATAAGCGCTTGCTGATAAGTGGGAATGATTGGAACAATGTGCAGACCCAGTGCCCATCGCTCATCCAGTGCGAGAGCTCGCATTAGGCCCGTACCCGGAGGGATCCGCTGATTTGATGACCGTGACAAGGTTGGAGAAGTCGATGGCATGGAAGGCAAAGGCGAAAGAGACCCGGAGGGCAGCGATTTGGTGGAAGAAGGCTTTGCAATGGGCGATCTGTATGAGCTTGGAGGAAAGATGGAGAGGGGTGGGTCGTCGGGAGAGAAGAAAGGTGAACGAGATTGGCGTTGAGTGTCTGCAGGCCTTTCCGAATTACCCTGATGGCAATTGAGATACCAAATGACCTCAGTCCACCTTTCACGGCTGGTAGTGGGAAACGTGGCTGGTTCTCCTCCATATTCATACACAGACCAGTGTTCTCTAGGTTCACCATAAGGGAAGTCGACAATTGTGCCGGTGAAAGGAACGCCACTGACGGGCGTGTATGCAGGGGGCGGCTGAGCGTCCATTGGGGTACAGATGCCAATGTGACGGTGCAGAGGGGTCGCAGCTGCCGTAGAAAACTCGCGAGTGAGTCGTTGTCTTTGCAGAGGAGAGGCTGTCAAGAGTGATTGTGTGGTTGCTGTTTGCTGTTCTCATTTTCCCCACAACCGTCTCATCTTATATGCTGACTTCAATCGCGGACTCAGAATGCAGCTCTGAAGCACCTCGCGCTAAGCCAGGGTGCAACTCTCCACGATCTGCACCATGGAGTCGAAAAGACCTTCTCAAGAGGCAGCTCCTAGGCTACGAGGCCACGGAACCAAGATAAGGCCAGCAAAAGCAGGCTTCACGGTGTACAAGAAATCAATTTTTGCTTCAGAGGTGAGACATGGCGTCGGGAGCACTTTAGCATCCGCCACTAGTCGTCATCCCAGTTTGGGTTCTGCTGGGGTGCCTTGATACCAGCAGGCTTGCTCTGTTGGAACAAAGAAGGATTAGAAGCCGCTCACAACTTGGCACTACTTGAGGCAAGTCAACCCACCATGATGATCGAATCAATGTTCAGGACACTGACGGCCGCACCCGTTGCATAACGCAGGGCCCAGACCTTTGCTGACAAGACGTCGAGAATCTGCCCATCCATTGTCGAGACAGTACCATCTTGCGACTCGCCCTCGATATCGACGCCGACGTCTGCACCTTGACCGCCCACGTGTTTGGCCATGAGCGTGCCAACGACCTCGGTGGCGTCCAAGCCTGCATTGTCCGCTAGCGTGCGAGGCACCACTTCGAGCGCCTCGGCAAACTTCTTGATGGCGTGCTGGTTCAGCCCACTTGTCTTTTCACCTAGATCAAAGATCCGTCGAGACAGCTCAACCTCGGTGGCGCCTGCGCCCGGCACAAGGCGATCGTCACGGGTCAGAGCCTTGACAACGTTGACGCCGTCATCGATGGCTCGTTCGACGTCGTCAAGAAGGTTTGACGTGGCGCCGCGGAGCACAACGGTGGCCATCTTGGGTCTCGCTTTGCCGCCCGGCTTGCCGTCCTCTTGTCTGATGACCGTCACTCGGTCTCCTCCAACCTCGGTAGTCTCGATGACATCGGCCCATCCAGCCTCTTCTGGCGTGGGAGCACCCATTCTCGCCAGAGGCGTGGCGCCCAGAAGCCGACAGAGTCTTCGGACCTCGAATTTGGAAAGGATCTTGACGACGAGAATGTTGAAGCGGTTGCAGTAGTGCATCGCCAGCTCGCCCACGCTGCTCTGCGTCACAATGGCCTTAACACCCGAGTCGGCAATCTCCTTGACAATCTTCTCTAGCTGCTTCTCTTCGCCCCCGCTGAACGTGCTCAGCTCCTTAGCGTTGTGGAGCAGCACTGTTCCCTTTGTCTCTGTCTGGCTGATGTCAAGGCCGCACGTAAAGACAGCAACCTTGGCTCCGTCGGTGATCTTCTTGACCACACCTTCGGGCTCGCGATTGAAGATCATACCGCGCACCACCCTTGAGTCTTGCAGCGATCCGCCCATAATCTTGACGACGCGCACGTTGTCGACGTTGAACTCGCGAAGAGCTTTAGTCGTCGTTGTCGATGTTGCTGTTGAGGTCGAAGATGATGAGTTGGGAAGCACGAGCGAGACGGCCTGTGCAACAAGGGGCGCCAGGATATCTTCCTGTCCGTACTGCTTCGAAGCGAGCGCCGGTCGCAGTGCAAGCGCCAGTGACTCGGGGGTCGGTGGGCTGCTGAGCGTCGCGACAGAGAGGGCTGATAAGAAGAGTGTCAGTTCAACAGCAATACTCTCCTGAAAGCACTAAATGCGGACAACTCACTCTCAAGCTCCTCAAGTGCCTTTTGGCTGGCAATCTCGTAGCCCTGGATAATCTCAGAAGGGTGAAGGCCCATCGTGATTAGGATCTCCGCCTTCTTCAGAAGCTCGCCGGCAAAGATGAGTACGAGGTTGGTGCCATCGCCCATCTCTGCCTCCTGCTGCTGGCTGGCCATGACGAGCAATTTTGCCGCAGGATGAACGATCTCGCTTTCTCTGATGATCGTCGCGGCGTCAGAGGTGACAAAGAGACGCTCGAGGTGGTTGACGATCATCTTGTTACGTCCATTTGGCCCAAAGCTGGTCCGTACCATGTCCGAGAGCTCATTGACGGCCTGGATGTTGCGCATCACTGCCTCCTCGACGCCCTGCAGGTACTTGTACCCCTCCTTGAAGAGGGGCATACCCGCCTTTGGAACTTTGAGCGACATTGTTGTGGATGACGATGGCTTCCACGACTTGCCTGTGTGCTACTTCCCAGCACGACGAACGAGAAGAAGAAAAAGAAAGCTCACCGACGCGAGTCTCGGCCGAATATCAAGACCAACACGCACGCGAACTACGAGAAAAATTTTAGAGACCTCGCTTTCTAATTTTTTTTCCTTCTTCCTCCGAGCTTGGCTGAACCTCACAAGCGAATCAGCCTCTTCCTTCCTTCCTGACCACGACACTTCGCCATGGATGTGAGTTGTACAATGACTTCTCTTGTCGCTTCTTGTGTTTTGCAAACTGACGGATCGAGACATCGTCCACAGCCGGCTTTTGTTCAGCAGCTGCATCAGCTGCTCCAGCAATCGAGCGTGCCCGACACGGCTCAGGTCAAGGCTGTGAGTTGCCGAGGACAACGTAGAAGGTTTATCTCTTCCCTTTCCGTGGCTGACTGACAGTAACCTACCACCCCTTCTCAGGCTACAGACGCGCTGCAGAACAATTTTTACAAGAACCCGGCATGTGTTCCTGCCCTATTTGAGATTGCTGCCACATCACCAGACCTGGCCGTTCGGCAATTGGCCTCGGTGGAGCTTCGGAAGCGGTTGGCAAAGAGCGGCGGAAAGGTGTGGGCAAAGCAGGCAGTTCAGGTTAGAGAAGGGATCAAGGGACGATTGCTCGAGATCATCTCCAGCGAGCAGAGGTGCGTGCCGTGTCCTGGCTCTGTAGCCCTTTAAGTCTTGCTGACAACCCCTGCAGCACCCTTGTTCGCAACGCCATCGCACGAGTCCTGTCCGAGATTGCGAGAAAAGAACTGCCGGCAGGAACATGGCCGCAGCTCCTTCCCTTTTTGTTCCAGGCATCAGAATCGCCCAATGCGGCACACCGACAAACGGCCATCTACGTCTTCTTCACCGTTCTCGAGACGTTCGTCGAGGGCGGCGCCTCTCTCGAAACCTACCTGCCCCAGATCCTGAGCGTTTTCAGCAAGAGCCTCCAAGACCCTGAATCGCTCGATGTACGAGTGACGACGGTGCGAGCGCTCGGAAAGGTGGCCGAGAACCTGGAAGCAGATGCCGGTGCCGACCTGGCGGCGATGCAAAACGCCATTCCACAAATGATCCAGGTCTTGAACCAGTGCTTGGCCGACTCGCACACGGAGGGCACCAAGCAATGTCTCGATGTCTTTGAGTCGATCTGTATGCTCGAATCACCCGTCATCTCCAACAACGTCCCCCAGCTTATCGACACCTTCCTCGAAAACGGCGGCAACAAGGACCACGAGGAGTCACTCCGTATCATGTGCTACAACTCGCTCATTTGGACCATCACCTACAAGCGGTCAAAGGTCCAGAGCATGGGTCTTGCTCGGCCGATGGTGGAGCGTCTCATGCCTGTTGCTACCGAAGAGGACGGCGATGAGCCCGACGAGGACACGCCTGGACGCCTTGCCCTCCGCGTCCTCGACGTCCTTGCTACGGAACTTCCTCCCAGCCACGTCTTCCCGCCCCTCTCGGAGCAGATGCAGGCATACATGGCCAACTCGGACCCAAACTACCGCAAGGCCGCCATGATGGCCTTTGGCGTTTCCGTCGAGGGCTGCACCGAGTTCATCCGACCCCACATGGACCAGCTCTGGCCCTTTGTCGAGGCGGGCCTTCGGGACCAGGCCGTCGTCGTTCGCAAGGCTGCCTGCATCGCCCTCGGCTGTCTCTGCGAGTCTCTTGACGAGGAGTGCGCGGCACGCCACGCAACGCTGCTGCCCCTCATCATGGAGCTCGTCAACAACACCGAGACGCAAAAGAGTGCATGCACCGCACTCGATGCTCTCCTTGAGGTCATGGGCGAAGACATCTCTCAGTATCTCCCTGCCATCATGGACCGCCTCGCTGGGCTTCTCGTCGAGGCGCCCCTCGCCGTCAAGGCCACCGTCACGGGCGCCATCGGTTCGGCCGCCCACGCTTCCAAGGAGGGCTTCCTGCCTTACTTTGCCCAGACGATGGAGCGCATGCAGCCCAACCTTCTTCTGACCGAGGAAGGCGACGCCATGGACCTTCGTGGAATCACGACAGACACGGTCGGCACCTTTGCCGAAGCTGTGGGCAAAGAGCACTTCCGCCCCTACTTTGAGTCACTCATGAAACTGGCGTATGAGGGAATGACCCTTGAGAGCCCGCGCCTCCGCGAGTGCTCCTTCATTTTCTTCTCCGTCATGGCCCGTGTCTTTGGTGAAGAGTTCGGCCAATTCCTTCCCCACGTTGTGCCCCACCTCCTCGAGTCCTTCAAGCAAGCCGAGCACGACCCAGTGCCCGGCGTCAACGACGGCATTATCAACGGCATGGGTGTCGGTCAAAATGAAAAGGGCGAATACGTCATTGCATCTGGCTCAGGCGCCCAGGAGGACGATGGTGACGAAGAATTCGTCGATCTCGAGGAGCTCAACGACTCATTTCTCAACGTCAACTCAGCTGTTGCCGTCGAAAAGGAGGTGGCTGCCGATGCTCTCGGAGAGATCTTCTCGCACACGCGCTCCAGCTTTGTCCCTTACCTCGAGCAGTCGATCGAAGAGCTCGTCACACTTCTGGACCACTTCTACCAAGGTATTCGCAGGAGTGCCGTCAATGCCCTCTTCACCTTCATCAACACCCTTAACGAGATGAGCAACCCGACCGAGTGGCAACCAGGTCACAACGTCACGGTTCCCCTCGATGCCAACGTCCAAAAGCTGGTCGAGGCTGTCGTGCCCACGGTCATGGACACCTGGGCTGAGGAAGATGATAGGTTAGTGTCGCTCTGGGAGGTGGGATGCACGAAGGAGGAGGATTGGCCCCCCTTTCGGATGATGATTGAACTTTCTCAGCTCACAATGACGCACATGCTTACGAGCTGTGTGGGATGAGAACACATTGTTCCCTATTACCTGACTCTTATCTCGATGCTTCAATTCTTCTGAAGAGAAAGCTGACCCAGAATATTGTCATTGCAGAACCACCGTTGTCGAGATCTGTCAGCAGATGGCAGAGTGTCTCAACAAGAATGGCCCAGCCATCATTGCGGGACAGGCAGACAAGGTGTGCACCTTTGTCGCAGAGATCCTCGATCAAAAATCCGCTTGTCAGCTTGACAGCGAGGCCCAGGATGACGAGGCGGCCGCCGAGGACAATTCTGAGTATGAGTCGGTTCTTATTCTTGCTGCCACAGACCTCGTGGGAGCCATGGCGAATGTCTACGGTCACGACTTCGTGGACCCGCTCAAGCAACTGCTTCCTAAGGTGACGAAATACTACTCGCCGAGCAGGTCAACCTCGGACCGTTCCATGGCCGTTGGCTCATTGGGCGAGATCGTGACGGGAATGAAGGCCGCCATCACACCATTCACCGGTGACATCCTCACTGTTCTGTCGCGAGCGCTGCAAGATGAGGACGCGTCCGTTCGTTCCAATGCTGCTTTTGCATCGGGCGTGTTGATCGAGAACTCGCAGACGGACCTTTCAGAGCACTTTGGTGCCCTTCTCGGCGCCATCCGACCCATGTTTGAGCGAAGCGCGGCACCAGAGAAGGACGAGGTGGCCTCCGCTCGGGACAATGCATGCGGCTGTTTGGCACGCATGATGACGAAGCGGCCCGATTCGATCCCGATGGACCAGGCTATGCCTGTGCTCCTCGACTCGCTGCCCTTGCAAAAGGACATGGCAGAGTGGACCCCGGTCCTCGTTGCCCTCATGGGACGCGTCCAGAGCAACGACGCAGTGGCGACGGCCAACATCGACAAGATCCTCGCTATCATTGCCCACGCTCTTAAGCTCGATGATGCATTGGGGCCGCAGCTCAGGGGCCAGGTCGTGGCCTTTGTCTCGGCCGTCAATGCCTCGGCGCCAGAGAAGGTCGCCGCAGCAGGTCTCCAGCCATTTCTCGTCTAAATGACCGTTCATACCCGTCACATTTACGCACACACATACACTCTCTTTCTCTTTTCTTTTTTCTCTCACATTTTTACTTTCGACTAGTTGTTCTCTCAGACGGCGAGGCGCCTATTGTTGCTCTTGCCTTTACTAATTCACTCTCATTACAACTGATGTCGTCGCTTGAAGTTGTCAGTCGCTTCACAAGATCTTTTGACCGTCATTCAGTCTCGCAAGCAAGTGTGCAGAGTGGCCAGAGGTCGGCAATCATTGAGATTCCACAGGAGAAAAAAGGAGAGAGAGAGAGAGCGCACGCAGAAAGTAATCCGAGAGACAAGAGACGACCAAAGAAGACGTCTTTGGTAAGAAAATGAGAAATATGGGTAAAAAGGGCGAAGAAAGATTCGGTCTGGTAGGATGGGATGATGGAGGGCCTTGTAGGTTTGAGGTTGGAGGTTGGGTCTGGAAAGTCGAGTCCTTTCCAAATGCATGCACACAACAATCGAGGTGAGGCGAGAGTTTGTGGACAAGAGTCATCCGATCTGTGACGAAAGAGAATTCTTGAAAAGAAGCGGGGGTATGGTAAGGTTGATGGATGGGTGAAACGGAAGAAGGCGAAATTCGACGGCGCTTGCTTCTCCTCCCCTGTTAGATCCCATGGTATACGTTCGTTTTCCTTTTGCGATTTTTATTGTTAATTTTTGCAATTGAGGGGAGCGAAATCGTGAAGATGAGCTCTTCTTTTGTGCGGTGACGGACAATCTAAGAAGTGGTCTCGCCTTCGTCTTGAAGAGGTGCAATGGCGCCCATTGCCGTCTGTGAGGTGCCCCTCTCTTCCGACTCGGCCGCCTGTGCTGATCCGGCTGCGTCTTCTTGCTGTTGCTGCTGCGGCGTCTGATCCGCCTGACCTGCGGCAACTGCAGGGCTTGCGGCTGCCGAAGGTGACAGGCCCGACAAGTTTCCAGATGACGATGACGGCATCATGCCACCGTGCGGTGGTGGCGACTGCGAATTTCTGAGCTGATTTGCAATCGCCCGTGGAGGGTTGCCACATCGATCCTTGCCCGCACCGATGCGCTGGTTCGGGTAATCTGGGTGGTTCTTCATGGCCTCAATAGCCTTGATTGCGTTTTGGATGTTGCAGAAATTGACAAAGGCCTGTGAGGTCGCCTCGTCAGCAAGGCAAGTCAGGGGAGATAAAACCGTCTTGACACTCACGCAGCTCTTCTCTCGGAGCTGGTTCACCATTTCGATGTCACCGTACTCGCCGAAATCTCTCCGCAGCTTCTCAATCGTGTGGAAGTCAAAGTCCTCGATGTTGCCCACGTAGACATTTCGGCTCCCTCCTGCCTGCACCGCCATCGCAATGGCCGGGCTCAGCGGCCCGGAGTGCTTTCCCCAGCCGATCTTGAGCCGTCGGTTGTGGATCATCACGCCCGAGTAGTTTGCCAAGTGGTAAAAGGCAAGTGCCGCATTGGGGTCGACAAAGGTGATAAAGGCAATGTGCTTCTCGGGAATGTATCGAACGTTTTGCAAGACGCCTCCGCGGACGTGGTTGCAAATCTCTTCAGTCGTCGTGTCCGGGTGGATGTTGCCCAAGTAGACGGTCCGGTTGCCGAGCTGGTGCATGGCCGTTGCTGCGCCATTGTGGCCGGAGCCGGACTGGGCCGCGGCTGCGGCAGCCATCATGTTGCCAAACATGGATCCGCTGGTGGCGCCGCCCCGGATTGAGTCCTCATCGGTGCTCCCAATCGAGACGTCGCCGAGGTTGGGCGGCGCAGCGCCAGGCATCATGCCACCAAACGAGGCTGCCGACGAGGGCGTGAACCCTGCTGGGTAGCCCAGAGAGGCAGCGGCAGCCATGCCCATCGCCGCTGCTTGGCTGTTGTGGGCCTGGTTGTTCTGTTGGCTCTTGGGCACGTAGGCACATCGATCCTTGCCGTAGTTGACTCGCTTGCCCGCCCAGGCCGGCTCGGTGGGCAACGTCGAGACAACCTTGATGGCTGTGGCAATGGAGAGGAAGTGGACAAAGCCGATGTTCTTGTCGCGGACGATCTTGACCTGGTCGATGGGCCCGAACCTGCCGAGATCATCCTTGAGCATCTGCTCGTCAACGTTGTCGTCGAGCTGGCCGAGGTAGACGTTTCGCGTCGCCTGGGCCTGCTGAACGGCCATGAGAATCGGAGGCGGAAGCACAGAGGGCTTTCCCCAGCCAATCTTGAGTTCCTGGTTGTGGAGCGACATCTTCTTGACCGAGGCATCTGCGTGGAACGCTGCTGCAGTGGCGCCGTCTAGAAAGGAGATAAATGCGCAGCTCTTGTCGGGCAGCACTCGTACGTTGTCGATGGGTCCAAACTTGACCTGGTTGAGCAGCTCGTCGACCGAGGCATCGGCAGGCAGGTTGCCCACGTACACCGTCCGGCCGGTTGCGTTGGCCTGCGGCGGTGGCGGTGGTGGCGGTCCCGGTGCGCCGGTGAGGAGGCCGACGTTGGGCATGAAGCCGGCCATGGGGTGCATGTTCTGCATGTGGTGCATCTGCTGCATGTTCTGCAGCGTCACCATGTTGGGCGGCTGCTGGTGGTGAGGTGGCGAGGAGCCAAAGGCAGTGGGTGCTGGGAACATGTGGTTGTTGGCCATCGGTGAGCCATGCTGCTGCTGGAGGTGGTGGTGGTGGGGCGGCAGAGGCGAGAAGCTGCCGCCGACGATGGGCTGGGCATTGGAGCCATAGGCGCCTGCGTTTGCTGCTGCCTGCTGCATCTGATGGTGCTGTAGATAGGGCGACGTGGCACCGTTGGAGAAGCCTCGCTCTGCCCATTGCTGCTGCTGTTGCTGTTGCTGCTGTTGATCGATCATCTGCTCCGCGGACATGGGTGCTCCCACCAAGCCTCCGCTAGCACCACCGCCACCATTGCCAGAGCCTCCGGGTCCTGCGGGCGGCGGCGCTCCTGATGACCCTGCGCCGGCACCTGTGCCTGCACCAGCGCCATACAGTGCGGCTGTTCCGGTGCCACCTGCGCCTCCTCCAACAAAGTGAATGTTACCCTCGGAAACGAAGCGAGCCTTCTTGCTGATGCCGTCGCCGTCGCCGGTTCCCGCTGCGCCCCGCGTCAGGCCCTCGAGGCCGCTCATGGAGCCGCCCTCGCCGGGCCCGCCGGAGCCATCGTGACTCTGCGACGAGGACCGCTTCATCATATCCATCATGTTCCCGCCCACGTATTGCTCGTTTTGCATCTCCAGGCCCGCTCTTCAATCTGTGTGTTCGGAGTCGGAATGTGCGCGCGCACGCGTAGAGAAGAAGGAAGAAAAGTTAAAAGAGAGAGGGACACAAAGAGAGAGAGAGGAAAGTGGTTGTGTGGCCGGTCGGATCGAGGGCTGCACGAGAGGATTCAAAAGAGAAGGAGGCTCAGTCCTGGCTCGAGCAAGCTGCCGTCGAATTTCGGCTACTCACACGTTTGCGACTGGGTATCTTCTTTGGTGGCGCATGTGCATCAGCCGAGGAACGATCAACTCTTTCGAGCAACTCTTGGAGATCCCTCACCTGAAAATGGCGCGCAAAAAGCCCGGGCCTCGATCGAGATTTTAGAATGATGAGACGAAGAACGGACCCTCCAAAGGACAGCGGACCGAGATGAGACGAGACAGAGGCGTGTGAGAGAGGGAGAGGAGGAAGAGGAGGGAAGGAGAGAGAAGAGAGAGAAAGAGGAAGACGGAAGGAAGGAGGAGGCGGAAGAGACGACGGTCGATTGATGAATGGACGTGTGGTGCGTATCTAGCTAAAAGGCTGCTGTCGTCGATGCAGCAGCCCAAAACCAGCAGGAGCACCCTAATGAAGCAGAAAATCGCCTCCGGAGTCCAAACTGGAGAAAAGAAGACTTTGTAACCAAAAGAAAGTAATTAAGAAAGTTAGAAATCCGAAAGTCCAGGACAGTAAAGAGCCGCCTGAATTCAATTCCATCCTCGTACAGTACAGTACAACAATGGCAGTCCGTGGATATACAGAGTGCGGTGTCGGGACATCGGCTTGCCCTGTTCTACGAAGAGGGAGAGGGGGGGAGAAGGCCGCGCCAGCACAGTTTGCCTTTCCGATCTGCCCAGCCCTCCCGCCTGAGGCAACCTTGTGAACCCTTGCCCGACGTGGTAGAAGGGTGTGCGTTCCTGCTGCCTCAGCTGATGTTGTCTGGCACCTGTTGTCAGGCCCCTTGTGATCGACAATACAGGGAGCAGAATACGACCGCCCAATCGTGATTCCACTACACCACGCTACCGCGCCGAGACGTGTGAAATCGTATAAACAGTTTATTAGAGTGATTAAAAGAAAATTAGAGCTTGCCGTCCAACACGGGAGGACGCTCTCCCAACTGTCGCTCCGGCGGCCCTTTTTCGGTGCTTGTGGTGACACAATTACGCGGTCTTTGACGTGCTAGCCTCGGGGCACTCAGACATCTTCGGGGCATTCAGCTCAACGTCGCACCGTCGTGTCGCCCTTGTCCAGCTGCCAAGAGAGGATAAGGGATCGCTTGCTTGAAGGGGGAAATAGGCGATGTCCGGCAGAAGGATTTCCTTAGCGCGAAACCGGGGTTAGTGCTGTAGTAGTACGAAGTAGAATAGCTCGCAGTAGTACATGGTGTGGTAATATAGCGGATGAATCTTATCTAGGACGAATGCGCGAATAAATTTCATTGCCTTTCCGTCGATAAGGGACTGGCCGAATCCGATGAATGCGTATAATCATTCTAGCGGCTTGCCCAAGGGTGCCTGCCTCGAGGCAGCGCTGCACGGCGTACCGCTCCGACCTTTCACCGAAGAAACGCCCTCCCAAAGAAGTGGACGAAGAAGCTGAAGGAGTAGCAGGAGAAGGAGGAGTACGTTGGAGTAGCGCGAAGAAGTGCAGAAGAGTCACCGAAGTTGCTCCTGCGTTGCACGAACGAGCGAGGGCAAAGCACGACATTGCCTTCTCTGGCGACTGAGGTGCGAGCAGGAAGACACAGAGCAAGGTATAAAGCTGCCCCTCTCCTCGTCGCCCCTTCCTAGGATCTGGACACCTTTCTCCCTCTCTCGATTTTTGCTTCCTGCCGATGATACGACTACTCTTGGCTGTGGCACTGGCGGCCATTGCCCTTGCCAAACTCGCATCGTCTTCGCCGATCGTCATCACGGATGGAGACCACGAACAGACTGACCGGTACAAGACGACAGGCGGGCGCGGCGTCGTCGCCTGCGAGGTTGGCTACTGCAGTGACATTGGAGCAGACATGCTCGCCCGAGGAGGGAGCGCCGCCGACGCCATCATCGCCGCGGGCTTCTGCGTCGGCAGCGTCTCGGCGTTCCACTCGGGCCTTGCCGGCGGAGGGTTTGCCCTCATCCGGTCGAGGGTCGACGAGCACAAAACGCACCCGCACAAGGTCGAGTTTGTCGACTTTCGAGAGACGGCGCCCGCGGCGGCAAACGAGACAATGTACAGCGCCAATGCAAACAAGAACGCCAGCACCATTGGCGGACTAGCCGTCGGCGTGCCGGGCGAGGTGCGCTACTGGGAGTACCTGCACAAGAAGCACGGCCGTCTGTCTTGGTCTGAGCTCATCGAGCCTTCGGTCAAGCTTAACCGCCAGGGTTTCCCCGTCGTGAACCAGCTGGCGATTGCCATCGACCAGTACAAGGACCAGTTCATCTGCAACGATCCTCTCTTCAAGGAAGTGTGAGTCTGAAAGAGAAAATCTTTCCCTCATCTCGGAGGCTGAAACGGAGAGATTGTGTGGAATTCTTTTTGATCCCCAGCTACTGCGCAAATGGCACCGCGGCGGGCGAGGGCGACATCATCAAGAGGACTCGTCTGGCCGACACGCTCGAGACAATTGCAAGCCAAGGAGCCGATGCCTTCTACAAGGGACCGATCGCCGAGCGCACCGTCAAGGCGGCCCAAGACGCTGGTGGCATCCTGACACTCGAGGACCTCGCCAACTACAGCGTTGTGACGAGAGAACCGTTGAGCATCGACTGGCATGGCAAGTACCGGGTCTGGGGTAGCAGCGCGCCCAGCAGTGGCGCAGTGGTTCTCTCTGCCCTCAAGACGGCCTCGACGTACTCGGATGCAGAGCTCGATGCTGGCGGCGTCAATCTGACCACCCACCGTCTCATCGAGGCCACCAAGGTGTGTTGGCTATTCTCGCACCTTCTTCCTCTCCTACTCATTCGCCTGCTGATCGCTTGGTTCCCCTTTTCCTACATCCAGTTTGCTTATGGAGAGCGGGAAAACTACGGCGACCCCAACTTTGTCACCAATGTCTCGTCGCTCGAGGCACAGGCGCTGAGCGAGGAGGACACAAAGAAGAAGCGCTCGCTCATCAAGGACAACACCACCCTCCCCCTGCACAGCTACGACACGAGCAGCTACATCAACGTGGAAGAGCATGGCACCAGCGCGCTTTCGGCCATGGACCCTTTTGGCCTTGCCATTTCCATGACGACGACAATCAACCTGCTCTGGGGCAGCCAGGTCATGACGCCCGACGGCTTCATCCTCAATGACGAAATGGACGACTTTAGCAGCCCTGGCGCAGCCAACTCGTACGGCTACCAGCCCAATCCGTGAGTAGTCACTCTCTTCGACGTGGCTTTAGAGGCGTCACGCGCTCACAATCTCCCCCTCCCTCCAGCGCCAACTTTATCCGCCCTGGAAAGCGGCCGCTGTCGTCCATCAGCCCGACGATCATCGAAGACTACAAGACGGGCAAGGCCTCGCACTCGGTCGCCTCGGCGGGAGGATCAAGGATCATCACGGCAAATATCCAGATCAATTTCCAGGCGCTTCGCGGCGTCGATCTCCAAGAAGCCATTGTGAGTGCCTCGATAAAAGGGAAAGCAACAGCATTTATTGACATTAGCTGACCTGATTCTTCTTCCCTCTCCTTCCCCTTCATCTCGCAGGCCGCACCACGCTGGCACGACCAGCTGCAGCCGCCCACAACGGTGTTCGAATGGGCCGACTCGACGAGCCCGCATATTCCTGGCTGGAAGGGCTACGACAACAGCACGGTGGCCTTCCTGGCCTCGCTTGGCCACAACGTCTCTTTTGTCCAGCCCAACCAGGCCACTGCACAGGGCACCTACCGCGGCCTCGACTCGCACGGCGTCGTCGCGCACGAGTTCAAGGGTGCTTCCGAGATCCGCCAGCTTTCGGCAAAGTCGGCTGCGCTCTGACGCACCACTGTCCACACCCTCTCTCTGTGTCTTTCTTACGCGCGCGTTTCTTGCCTGTACTCTCTAATAGCAAGCATCAGTAATTCGCCATCTCAATTCTATTCGAGTATCGCTCTTGCACGCCTCCATTTACGATTGTGCGTGAGATTGATGCTGCTGCTGCTGCTGCTACAATTACTGTACAAGGAGATGAGTCAAACTGTCCATATGTCCTGGCGACATCGCAGGGCTCCACGCTACACAAGTTTCCGTTTGCCTTTCTCGTCGTGGGTCCCGCGCCCCCTCGTTTCTTGCTCTACTTTGCGTTCTTCTCCATGTCCTTGAGCAGACCGTCCTCATTCATGCCCTTTAATCGCTTCCTGACGACGCTCTCCAACGGGCAGCTCTCCGTCGCCGCACCGGGCTTCTTGATGTAGAACCGCGCGCAGCACCGGTGCAGATCGTCAATGAGCGCCTGGCACTTGTCCTGGTCCCACGTCTTTTGCATGCAGCTCTGGATCGCGCAGGCGTGTGGGTGGCACGGCGAGTCACCGTCGAGATTGTCCGAGGGCATTTTGCTCCTGTAGCTGTCGTGATGGGAGAGGAAGAGAGGAAGAATGAGAGAAGGGTTACTTAGTTAGGGTTACCCAAAAAGAAGAAAGTGGAGCGAGTGCGTGTCTCGGCCGGGCCTTGAGTTGCGTACGTGCGCGCGCGCGCTCTCTGAGCCCTGCCATCGCCAAAGTTGGAACGACGAGAAAGGGGCTTTGGTCGAAAGTTTTGACCTTCTCGCTACCCCAACTGTGTTACCACCTACGACGACGACGAGCGAGCGGCCAAGATGAGCGGAAAGGGCCAGCGCGAGTCCGTCTTTGCGACGCGCATGACGCTCAACCTGACAAAGGGCCGGCTCAAGGGTGCGCAGACGGGCCACAGCCTGCTGAAGCGCAAGGCCGATGCGCTCACCAAGCGCTTCCGCACCATCACGGCCAAGATTGACGATGCCAAGCGCAAGATGGGCCGCGTCATGCAGCTCGCCGCCTTCAGTCTCGCCGAGGTCTCGTACGCCACGGGCGACATTGCCTACATTGTCCAGGAGAGCGTGCAGAAGGCCTCGTTCAAGGTGCAGGCCCGCCAGGAAAACGTCTCGGGCGTGTTTCTACCCAGCTTCGAGGCCCAGGTGGCACAAAGCGGCGCCGGCACCGAATTTGCCCTTACTGGTCTTTCAAGAGGTGGCCAGCAGGTGCAAAAGGCGAGAGATACGTATACAAAGGCGCTCCAGACGCTCGTCGAGCTGGCCAGCCTGCAGGTGCGTTCTACCTCTCTCCCCTATTCTCTCTCTCTCTCTCTACGCTTCCCGGCTGACTTCCGCTGATTCTGTACCCGCAAGACGGCCTTCGTCATCCTCGACGAGGTCATCCGGATGACGAATCGTCGAGTCAATGCGATTGAGCACGTCATCATTCCCCGGCTCGAGAACACAATCTCGGTGAGTGGTTCGCTCTCTCAGGCAACCGCGCCCCTGCTGACCCGTCGCCTGCTCAGTACATCATCTCGGAGCTCGATGAGATGGACCGGTGAGTGCTGCACTCTCTCCATCCCTGCCTATTTTGGTACAAGAAGCTGAGATAACGTTCACAAACAGAGAGGAATTCTTCCGGCTGAAAAAGGTGCAGGGCAAGAAGAAGCGCAACCAGGAGCTGGCCGACAACGAAAAGCGAGCGGCGCAGATGCGGGGTGAGAAGGCCGACAGTGGGCACGGCGACGACTCTGGCGGCGGCGGTGGGTCAGCGGATCTCCTCAATGACGACAAAGACAACGACGTCATCTTCTAGCCGCCCGTCTCCTTTCCTTATCTCTTTCTCCACCTCTCTACGTGAATTGATGCTATTTATGATGATGCGAGTTATGAGAACATTGAAAGGTAGACTACACGGACACGCCACTCTGACCAGCAGCAGTAGCAGCCGCTGTCCGTTCGGTTCGCTCCCTGCGCTCCTTGCTGTAGGCAACAAACTGGGCGAGGACGACAAAGTCGAGAAAGACGGTGCCGAGGGAGCCGACCATCCAGCTGAGGTTCTCGACGAGCCAGTCGCGCTCGGTGCTCTTGAGCACGATGCTGGCCACGTACGTCAGGTTTCCTGCGACGGCAAAGACAAAGAGGGCGAGCGAGAGGCCCTCGCACTTTGTCTGCCTGTTCTTAAAGATCTGGGGCACGCGCGAGGCCAGGTAGAGAAACGCGCTCGCCCAGCCCGATACCTGCGCGTCCCACTTCCACTCCTGCGTCGTCAATGCCGGTGGGTCGCCGGCGGGATGCCCGTGGATCTGCGTCGTGGCATACCAGGAGAAGACACCGGCGATGCTCACGACGACGAGGCCGGCGATGCACTTGACGACTTCCTCTGTGAATGTCGGCTCGCGCCTGACTGCTGCTGCTGATGCTGCTGGCGGCGGCTTGGCGGTGTTGCCATTGACCAGAGGTGTGCTCTCGGTCGCTGCCTCAGCGGGCGTCTCTGCAGCAGGCTGTGCTCCTCCGGCCACTGCTGACGGGTGATAGTAGTCGTGGTATTTCCGGTAGTAGTAGTACTGTGGAAAGATCTCTTGTTCAGCCTACTTGCTCACATGCATGTAAGGTGACGAGAACGCACCTGCCAGATGAGCGCAATGTCGCAGAGGCAGTAGTATCCTGCGAGGATGATCATCGTCGAGAGCAGCTCTGCGCGGTAGGCTCCAATCATGTTGAGCGCGTCGCCGGCGAGCCAGATGATAATAAACGTAATCGACAGGCCCTCGCCGCTCTTGAGGACGTAGTTCTCATGCAGCTGGCTGACAGAGGGAACAAGCTTTCGTTGGATCAGGCCAAAACCGCTTTCATGTTCAGCTTGACGAATCAATGGTTTCACACCCACGGAGAATAGACACAAACCCAAACCCAGATTGAGATCCATCCTACGATGCCCGAAAGCTCATCGGGCGACAACGCGGGGAGGTGGTGCGCCGAGCGCGACAGGCCGCCGACGACGGCGTCCATCGTTCGTCGTCGCAAAAGGCTCTCTCTTTTGTTCTATGGTTTTCAAATGTGGGCGATCTGCGTCTATCGTGCGTTGCCTTCCTTCTCTTGTTGTTCGTCAAAACTATCGTCAAAGTCTACTGTGAGGACCAACGCCCCTGTCGTCTAGCTTATCGGTCGTGTGGGTGAAGGAGGAAGGGGGGATCGAGTGAGGTCAAAAATTTAAGGAGAAAAAAAAATCCGAAAATTTCGTCGCGTCCACACGGAGTCACTGCTACTACGTCGGAGTCCATAATTCAGTAGTGTCGCCCGACCGTGGCCGAAACCACAGGGAGACAAGAAGACGAAATTGAAGAAAAGGAGGTATATGTGCTCATTTGCATGCAAAGACATCGTTCTACAGCACAAGGACGGCACCAAGGAGCATGGCAACTGCTGCAGCAGAGAGGGACACAGTCTTGCCAATGACAAAGGCCGCAAGCTGACCGTCTGTAGCGCTCTGCGAGCTGCTCTGGCCGCTTCCCGCAGCGCCGCTCGACGTGGGCGTCGGCTCGTTGAAGCCGCCAGGGAGACCCGTGCTGATTCCTGCGATGGCACCGCCCGTCGTTGACGAGAACCCGCCGTTGCTTCCTTTCTCCTGCTGCCCTGCCGACGAGATCGACGCGGCGGCCTCCGACGCCGCTGCGCCCGTCAACGTCGTGCTCGCCACCACATTGGAAGGCGTCGAGCCAGACGAGCCAGATTGAAACACGATCGAGGTCCCCGTCGAGGTGCCCCCTTGCGAGGCAGGGTAGGTCACCATCGTCTGACCGTCTCCGACTTTATTTTCGTAAGAAATGACGGGCTCTACTTTAGCTATCTGTTGTTCTTTTGGCCCTCTCATCGGTCAGCGACTCACCATTCTGGGAAAGAGGTACGCCCGCTGTCGATTGCGTCACAGAGACCTGCCCAATGACAGCGCTTGGCGCCGCGCAGAGGGCGGCAACGGCAAAGAGCAGGGGGCCGCGCATTATCAGTATCTTCCAAACTATAGCTTCTGGTGTGTTTCTCTTATGAGGGTTTTCTTCGTCAATGCTGAAGGGAGAGTGGGCTGGGAAGGAGAGGAAAGGGATGATGGAGTGATTGCAGATAGAAAGCAGTACATCCACCTCGATGCTCCTCTACTGCTCCCAACTGAACAAGCTAAGGACCGGCCTCTTGAAGAAGCCAAAAAGCGGGGCAAAGCCGATTCCGGGGTACGTTAGTATCTGCAGTGTCGACCTCCCGGGTTTTCTGCTGCTCCAACTGATCGCCGCTAAGACAGGAGAAACAATAAAAATGACGGAATACCTCTACCTGTCAACATGTCACTATCTTTGCTCCAAATGACGGATTTCTTAGCATCGGGGAAGAACAACCACGTGACTTGTTCTCAGGGTGTGGCTTGAGATTTTTTTGGCGCGCGCCCACGATGCCCGACCGCGCCCAGACGGACGAGGGGTTGGTTTATTCGTCGCTGACCAGCGCGCGCCCAACCGTTCACGTCTCTCTCTGCGCATTGCCACATTCGGCGGCAGGCGATGATGGACAGCAAGGAGCAGATTGCGGAGAGGAGCAGTGGCGAGGATGCTATCGTAGAGGGCGAGAGGGTCCTGCGAATCGTCGCGTCGGATTTGATACGGTACAAGGTCGAAGTCGGCGATGCAGACGAGCCCGCGAAGGTGAAACGAAAGGTGTACCTGCGAAAGGCCGACGTTGACCCCATGCTCATTAACGATTGGCGTGCCAAAAGGGAAGAGAGGGCGGCAAGGAAGGAAGCGAAGCGCTTGCAGAAGCTGAACGAGACCGAAGCGCCTGCTCCAGATTACGCCTCTCAGTCACCCCTCCCCCCTCCAACAGTGGGTTGAATTGCACGGGAAGAACAAAGCCAAGGAAGGAGTTCCTGTACTGAATAAATTCTTGACAGCTCAAACGCCCGACCCCGCCGTTGGAGCCGTCTACCTCGGACAGCGCTCCTTCCTCGAGGAAGCGTTCCAAGGTATCAGCTCCCCCGATTCGAAATGACGGTCCGTCACAGGATGACAATGGAGCACCAGCTCCGTCTTCGCAAGCGGGCGAGGATGGCGAAGGCAATGAAGAAGACGCAGCCATGAGCAGAGACATTGGTCCCCCTGGATGGAATCTGACTCAGGAGGTGGAGACGCCGCCCAACTCGATTGAACAGCATTCAGTGCAGGCACCCCGTAGACGAGGAAAAGCCAAAGCTCGTCTCGAGCTGGAACGGAGGTCATCTCCGCCACGATCGGTTCCACCTTTGTCCGCACCACCGCGTCCAGAAGCACGAGCAGCAACTGAGGAGTCGGGCCACCGTTACGTCCCAGGATCACCGGCAGTGGTGCTGGAACATGTCGACTCCCCTGGAGCATCGGCGACGCATACAGCCGTGGTCAACCACATGCTTGGCGTGCCAACGTCTTCAGAAGACTTGGACAATGCGGTCAGGATAGCAGAGCGGAGCATGGACAAGGAGCAGGGGTTGGTAGACGCAGAAGATGAAGTAGTGCTGCAGACGCAAATGCCGATAGGAGAGGGAGCAGGCAACGAAAACGAGGCGAGAACAGCATTACAGACACATCTACCGGGGCAAGAAGTCGAGGAAAACCTCGGAACGGAGCAGGCCGAAGATAAAGAGCTCGGACCAAGGCAAGCACAGGATCAAGCGGCGGTCCAGAGCGGTCTTTCTGAGCGCGTGGAGAAGCCGGGCACTCAGACGGCAGGCATGAATGAGCAATCAAAGGGACAAGAACCTGCGCCAATGCAAGCCTCGATGGGAGGAGAGCCCTCGTTCGAACCTTCCGTCAGGGTCGCCACTTGGATTCTCCCATCGCAAACCGAAAGAGAATCTGCGCCACTGGTCGACCTAGACCCCAATGCAGATGATGCCGAGCTCATTGGTCCGGTGCGAGAGCTGCTGGCTGCCCCTTCGGCATCGGCGCCCGCTGTAGCCCCTCCAGTCGAGCTCAGCAGCAGCCAAGCCCCCCGGGAGTCGACCCCACCTGCTCGCATCAGCAGTCGTCGAAGGAGGGATGCATCACAAAGGCAGTCCTCTCTCGAATTGGGCGCGGCGGCCTCGTCGCCTCTCGCGCATTCTGCCAGCCTTGCCCTTCGAGACGTCCTCCAGACGCAGATGTCGCCCGCAAAGAGCAATGGAACAGATGAGCATGGCGACAGGGGCCGAGATGAAAGCGGACAAAGTGAAGGGGATGGAAACAAATGGGACGATGACGAAACGTCGGCGGTAGCGTTGGCCGACTTGGTCGAGAGCCCGTTCGAAATGCTGCACCGCAAGGCCATCTGTCGCCTGGTGCGGAGCTCGGCCTTGATCCCTGGCTTTCTCAAACCCGAGGTGGAGCGCTTCGTGCTGCGACACAAGGACCCTGAGAGCCAACAGTCGGATAGCCTCAATCAGTCCGAGTCGGAAACTCAGGACGATGGCTACCTGCGCACGAAGGACCTCTGGATCTTTGAGCTGACCCGAGTCGATGGCGAGGGTGATAGTGGTGATGTTCGATCTGCGCTTGCAAGGAGCGACGAGGCAATTGATGTGTCGTCTGGTGGTCAAGACGAGACCGACACCATCATCCTTTACCTTTCCAGTGGCGAGAATATCTTTGACGTGCAGCGACACGATGCGACCAATGTGCGCAAGCTTCGAGCGAACCCACAGTGGAGCCCCTGGTTCGACTCTTCTGGACAGCCCTTTGTCCTCGTCTATACCTGGCCTAATTCCGGCTCGAATGGGGGGGTGGGCTCGAGGAGCTTATCATCGTTGGCATCTTCGAGCCAGGAAGACGTACGAAAGGCTCGAGAAGACGTCGCCAAGCTCCAGGCGGCAAACAATGCTACGCAGGCCGAGCTGGAGCAAACGCAGGCGCGAATAGAGGGGCTGGAAAAGGACAATGACTTCTTCAAGGAGCTGTACAATGAGGCGTCACAACGAGCCGTTGCGGCCAGCAGTGAGGCGGAAGAGCTGCGGAGTGAGGTGGAGAAGCTCAAGAGGCAGCTGACGACGGGCTTCGAGGCGATTACGAGGACGGCAAAGGCGCAACGCGAGCAACTACAGGAGCAGCTCAGACTAGCCACAGGCGAGGTGAGATTGCTACGGGCGCAAAATGAGCGGACCAACGACGAGGTGCGGAGGAAGGCGGCCGAGTGGGACGCTCATCAGGCTGTCAAGGCGGCCAGAAAGCGGGAGACTATCCTGTTTGAGAAGCGTCGGTCGGAGAGATTTACCAACATGGGCAACCAAGGTCCCTCGCCTTCAGTTGCTGCTGCGGCAGCAGCAGCAACCGCTGCTGGTGCGAGCGCTGCCGATTCTGGGTCCAATACGGACAGGACAGGCGAGGATACGCCGACAGCAAACAGCGATGCAGAGGTGCATCAATCCAACGAGTTGGCCGACGAATTGGCGTTTTTGAAGGCGGACGGCGCTGACTTGCTGCTGGAAGGGGTTGCCACGGGACGAAGGTCGAGGAACAAGAGGGCGCCACAGCCTCGCCAGGAGACGCCGACGGCCATGACGCAGGCCCCACAGCAGCGGCAAGATGCTCCTTCGCCAGCAAGAGCACCGCCCTCAGCCATGGCACAGCAGACAGCCAATAGAGCATCAGTGAGCGAGGCGACGCCACAAGCGCTACAGCAAGGGGAGGCGCCACGACGAACACCCCAGGCGACGTTTCCCTACCAGCAACAGCAGCAGCAGCAGCAGCCAGTGTCCTACCAAGCTTCACCAGTCTCGATACCGTCAGCCTCGACAGTGGGCGCACCCCACCTCGTTCCTCAAATGCCGCCTAGTCAGCCTCAACGCTTCCAGCATCTGCCAAGCGCTTATCAATACCCAATTTCACAGCAGCAGCAACAACTACAACAGATGCCGCAGATGAATCCTTACCAATACTATCAAACGCATCGACCTCAGGCTCCCTCAATCCCTGGCAACTCTCCTTGGCTCCCTGTTCTGCCATCATATTACACTCCTGCCGCCACAGCCTCTCCTCAACAGGCACATTCTAGTCCTTCACTGGCAACGGCGAATCGCGCGATGCCGCATCCGTTCCAGCAGCAGCCGCAGCAGCAGCAGCAGCAACAGCAGCAGCCCTTTCACCAGCACCAGCGACCACACTAATTATATCTTGAGAGAGACTTCACACTCCCCCTTCTGCTTGCTAGAGTTAGCTTGTACGATAATTGTACAGTACGGTACAGTACCAACAAACCATACACCCCCTGTACGCGAAACATTTTGCCACCGAACCTTGTCCACTTTCAACGTTCGGATTACAAAACGCGTTTGAAATGCAGCAGCCTCCCGGCTCTCGTGTAGTTCCAGGGGCGAACCGGCGTGACGTTGGCTGAGACGCGTCGATTTTGAGCTCAAATTTTTGGCAAGGAGGGGGGGCGACAACCGGCCCGCCCTGAATGTCCAGAAAGTTTTTTTTTTTCCAAGCGCCTATCGAACGACCAGTACGTATCTCGTTTGAAATTCTCTCCCCCGGATTCTTGTCTGCACCTCACCATCACCTGCTCTGTGACGACTCACCGTCTCTCTTTCCTCTCTTTCTTCCTTTGGCCGCGATCCGATAGACTTATAGACTCACCCAGCCCCGCTTGTTCTCTTTTTAAACAAGGGGATGAAGGCAATCCCGGGCACACTTATCACCTGGTGAGCACGTCTTAATTATCTGTCTCGCAGCGATGAAAATTGACCGACGGAATTGAACAGCGATCCAGCCGCCAAGCAAATCATCCTTGCGCTCAACGAAGAAGTCCGCGTCCTCATTCGCGAGCTCGACGACACGCACCTCATTGTGCAGACGGAACGAGTCGACTGGATCAGGTCTGAATTGGAGAAGGAGGTGTGTATGCATGGTACAGTGTCACTTAGCAGCAACAGTATGCTGACAGGCTCTGTTCTCCAGCTCGAGAAGCACACCTGGAAGATTCACGAATAAAAAGGCTTCGTCACAATGGTCGAAGCGACACTCTGCCCGCAGCTGCCTCCCGAGGTGCTCAGCCACATCTTCCTGCACGTCGATCCCCACACGCTCTACACCTCTGTGCGCGCACTCTCGCGCAGCTGGAAGGCCTGCGTCGAGGAGCACCTCCTCGCCCACGAATTCAACACAGGCCGCTGGCGCCTGGGCTTGCGCGTCGTCAAGCGCGCCAGAAGGGGTCAGCCCTGGCGTGGAGGCGTCGTCGGTGGCGAAGGTCTCCAGGCTCCCGGTGGGCTTTGGAGCGCCTACAAGGAGGCCCATGCCGGCGCCCGCAGCACGACTACTCGGCGCACCATTCCGCCTCGCCCCACACAAGGCCTCTCGGCAAGCATGCTCTTTGCTCTGGGCAGCCCAGACGAGGAAGACAATGAAGCGCAAACTGACGGCGCTGGCGCAAATACCGACGCCACCGACGATGCAGCGGCAGCCCAAGTCAGCGATGGAGAAGAAGCGGCACTGAGACAGCGTTACGCATCTGCCAATGTCCTGTCCCGCCGCGACGCCCTCGAGGACGAGCTGCCGCGAGGCGAGGAGGGAGCCGATTCGGACCCATTGATCCACATCCTACCCCTCCAGTTCTCTCGCTACGACGCTGAGAATGTCTCGTTGCAATTCACCACCGGTCTCGATGAATGGCACGCTCTGTTCGAGCAGCAGGCCACTGGCGAAGCCGACGCGAGCGAGGATGAAGAGGAGACCGAGGGACGGCGAGAAGCAGAAGAGTCCAGACGCCTGGATCTCGACTTCGGCCTTGTCTGGCGTTTCCCTGGCGACGGCCAGGACGACGACCCGGAAGTTGGCACCCAGGGATGGGGTCGGCCAGATCCCGAGAACGGATGGCTGAGCCGCTTCTACTGCTCCGGCTACGACATGAAGCCTGCATCTGCCATCGAGCAGGGGGAAGAAGTAGAAGAGGATGGCAAGGAAGACGATGGCCGCCTTCTCCAGTCGACACCCTTGGCTCGCAGGCGCCGGACGGCCACGCTGCGGCGCGAGACCCCCAGCGACTACGAGGGTCAAGAGGAGCTTTTTTGGTCCGATGACGGTCATGAATACATGTCCCTGTCTCTGTCCCTCGGCGCCGAGTTCTTTGTCCGGCGCGCGGCCCGCACCAACCATCTTCTTCGTCGTCTCGAAGTCGCTGCACGCAGCCAGGAAGACAAGAGGACCGCCAAAAGGGGCAGGCGCAATCGGTTCCTTGGGGCCACCTCGAACAGCAGCACCGCCTCATCGACGCCCATGCGAGCCTCGAGTCCTCCTCCTCCGCCGTCGCGCGCCACGGCCGTCGCCACAGCAAGAGAAGGGAACAGTCCTTGCCTCACGCCAAAGACAAAGTCGGCCACCAGCTCGCCCCCTCGTCGACTCCAGCCTGGTCCTTTGCCGAAGGCCTCCTGGGCTGCCATTGCTGCCACACCGCCGCGCTCGGGCACGTCTTCACCCGTGCCTCAAGGTCGCCCCAGGATTGCGCAGCTTGTTCCTCATACCCAGGACAAGAATGTGAAGGCTGCGATTCACGAGGAAATTCACAATGGCGAGGAAGCAGAGGAAGAGTCTGCCGCCTCCGAATACCACGATGCAATTCGATCGATTGTGGACAGCGTCTCGACGACGAGCGGTCAGGCCACGGCCGTTGCGACAACGCAAGGCAGCAACCGTCGTTCGAGTCCCCGCGCCACATTCGTTTGCAAGCTTATGCGGCCGTCTGCTCCTGCTCATGGCAGCCAGTGCTGGACGGGAGGCGACGCGTGGGGCAGGAACGCATCAAGACTCGCTCCCGCCTCGAGCAAGCTTGAAAAGGTGGCCACCTGGGAATGGCGCCGCTAGGGGGAGTTTCCACCGTGACATTGAGTCGAGGAGCCCGCGCACACCGCTGCATCATATCCTGTGCTCCTCCTCTCTCTCCTCCTAGCGGCTTCGAGTGTCATGTCTTGTTGTATTTGTATCCTCGACTTGTAGATGGCGGCTAATTTCTTGTGGATAGACTCTTTTCTTCCTCTTTTTGCATGCAGACACTGGCGAGCTGTAGTAGTAGTACCAGCGTCCATGCTCTTCTTTCCCTCCCTGCCGTAAACGGGGAGTGATTCGGCTCCATCCTTTCTTGTTTTTTAGAATAGAACACAAGATTGCATCGTCTTATTCGAAAAGTTAGACTAATTGTAGCCTCGGGCCTCTTGCAGCTGCTTCATGCAGTTCTGCCCATCTGTTCCCCGCATATTTGAATGCCTCCACTGAATGAGACCGACGGTTCTAAAAGTTCCCTTCTCCTTTTCTCCACATTACCACATCTCACTCCCTCTTCTCCGGACTCTTTCATCGCACAACATTGGTTCACCATGTCTAGCAACCGCGGATTCGATACGGGTGAGGGCACCTACGACCGCGAGGCAGAGGCGCGCGGCGAGGGCCTCGACGTCAACGAGGGCCCCACGGGCTACCACGGCCTGAGCACCGGCGGTGGCAGCTACGACGACGAAGAGGGCAAAAAGGGTCACGGCGAGGGCTTCTCCACCGGCGAGGGCGAGGCCGATCGGCCAGGCGAGGACCTCAATGCGGGTCAGGACGGCCACAAAAAGGGCGGTGGCGTCTCGCTCAATGCCGGCGGCGATGACGACGATGATCCAAATGCAAACGGCACCTACGACGTCGGCGCCCATCTCAGGTGTGTATCTCCATCTTCCCATCGCCTGCCTCTATGGACGGAAACGCTGACATAAAAGCTGAAAACTTCAACAGCAACTTTGCCCACAAGATCGGAGACAAGATCCATCACAAACAGTAGACGTCCCCTTCCTCCCCGCGTAGCCTTTTTTCCCTCCCTTGCCCAGTTTATGCTACATGTCCGTTCTCGCTGTTTCTGTAAACCCCCATACCTCTTTGCTTCTTCTCGCCCGCCCAAGCAGTAACGTTGCCACTTTGTAAATTGAGAAAGTGGAAGCCCCCGTCACACTCGGCCCATGATGTGCCCACACCCCAGTAGGATGGTCAACAGTGTCATGATGTCCGCAAGCGGGAATGTGGAGTCAAGCTTACTGATTCCAGCGGGCATAGTCGAGGCTTAGTCGAGGCTTCTGCCAAGCGGAAGTCAGGCTACACACTTATGATGACCCATTCACACAGAATGGAGCGTCATCGCTGTAGCGAAGGTCGGTCTCTCTGCAAATTGCCAAGACGACGACAGAATGAACCACGATCATACCTAGCTGTCATGGTAATTCAGGCATAGAAACTTGGACTTCTAAGAAGCTAAGAAGATCGCCAAAGTTCAGTCAAAGCCAAGTCTGATCAAATGATCCTCCTCGCCAATCCGAAACCGACGCCCGTCTGTGGAAAGAGAGAACTTTAGCTCCTGGTCGTGTCCAGATGTCACGCTGCCTTTTAAAACTCACCGCAAATCCCCTGGCGGCAGTGTGACCCATTTCCTTCTTGAACTTGTCCCTCTGTCACATCCGAGCACGACGTGTGATCAGCCTTCTGAATAGCACAAAGGTAAGACAGGGCGACTTACGCCTTCCTTCTTGGCCTGCTCCTCCTGGGGCGTCAGCACAGGCTGCTGGCCCGTGTTGGGCAGCGGCGTGTAATTCGATCCACCAGCATACGACGAAGAGGATGCCGGAGGAGGAGGCGGCGACTGCAGCTTCTCCTCCTTTTCGGCATTGTCTGCGGCGCTTCCCGAAGTCCACCTCGCCCTGCCCGGCTGCCACTTGCCTGGTCCCAGGCTCGAGAACTGCTGCTGGCGTGGCTGCTGTGATGCAGCATTGTACGCTGGCGGCAAGGTCCTCCCATTGGAGGCAGTAACGCTGTTGCGTTTGGGAATCGGCGGCTTGTAGCTGCTGCTCTGGGTCTGCGCTTGAATCTCTTCGCAGTAGTTGCTCGGCACCAGCTTCGGCTCCTGGTCGGCCGCATCGACGACGTAGCCCTTCCACCAGCCGTCGGAGACACGCTCGACAATCACGATGGTGTCGTTCTCGGCAAATTCGAGCTCGTCCGTGTCCGTGGCGCTGTACGGCCAAATGGCCCGGCAGAGGTCCTGCTGCGGTGGGGGGCTAGGCGGTCTGGGCACGGCCGTCGGCTTCGTCGAGCGAGGGGGCAAGGCAGCAGGCAAGGGAACGCCTCGAGGTGCAGCAATGATTGGCTTCAATTCCAGAGTGATGCTTTCGACCTGATGCGCTGATGTTTAGGAGGGCATCGTACCGTTATCAGCCAACACGCACAGTTGCGCACGGACCGCGGGCGACGACGGCGGCTGAGACACTGGCTCTCTCGCTCTCTCTTACCTTGGAGGTGTCCACCCTGGCGCAAAATCTCAACATCGGCAATGATGCGCTCGACGAGGTGCTTCGTCATTGGGTCCACCATTCTCGCTATCTGTTGCTGCTCTTGGTGTGTGCGGGACAGAATGGGCGACCGCGAGGGGCGAGGCCTGGCTCACCTAGCGCCATCGGGTCAGAGTGCAAAAATACAAAGGGCTGTGGGCTGTGCCTGGGGCGCCTTCCCTGCACGTGGTCTGTGCGAGCAGAAGGGAGAGCCAGACCATGCGGTCCTGCCTCACATCCCGAAATGGGTGATTGCTTCTGTATCTAAGGCTGTTACGTAGGTACAAGTACACGTCTGTGTTTCTAATGCTACACAGGACTAGAAATCGGAGCGACCGAAGCGGTCCCGCTTCTTTCCTGCAACGGCGTTGTGATTGATGGTGACTTTGATCTGATCGTGGGGCTTTTCGTCTTTGTTTTCCTTCTCTTCGAGGGAGGGTGGTGCAGCAGCTGCCGACGAGGATTTGGTGGGAGAGCTGGAAGAGACCGCCTTTATTGAGGAAGATGCCTCTGGCGATGAAGAAGAGGTAAATCCACCTTTGTCGCGAGGTGTCTTTCCCGGAGCGAGCAGGTCTTCCTCTTCGTCTTCCGTCTCGCTGTCTTCTGCCACCTCGTCTCCTTTAGCGCTGGTGTTCTCTGTCTCTTTCTTCTGTACAGTTTCTGTGCCTTTATCCGGAGCCGCTGAATCTTTCTTGTCTTCCGTGCTCGTCGTCGGCCAGAACTCGTCTGCTTTGACAGGCCTGGAGGCACTGGCGAAGTCGGACTCGTCTTCCGTCCGGCTGATCTTCCTGCTCTTGACACTTCGCTCGTTCCGAAACGTCTGCTGCCATTCCTTGAGCTGCTCCATTGTAAAGAGTTCTGATGGGCGGAACAAAGCTGATCGCATCTTCGAAGGATGCTGTTGTACAAATTGAGATGATGCGCGTTGGGTTTGACCACCCTCAAACTTACATTGCTGTCAATGCCAATTAGGGTATATAAGTCTGATTTGGATGAGCGTGGAATCTCGCCTGACGACGGAGGTAGATGTCAGCTTTCCCGAAAATCAGGAAGCAGAACAAAGCACTCACCATGGTGCTTGACAACACACTCGAGCACCTGTCATACGGGTCAGAACGGATTACTTAGATGATCGTTCCTCATAACGCACCTCCGTGGCGCCTTCTTTGTCCCAGATGTCATCGAGGTAGAGGCAGATCAGATGTGTGCCCTCGCGCTGGACCGCATCGCTCGCCGCCACTTTGACAGTACTGCAGCGCGCCTTCTTGAGTCCCGAGAGGGGTCCGTCGATGATTGACCGGGCCAGCTTGACGAAGACGCGGTCGACGTATTCGGGCTTCTCAAAGAACATCCTGGAGCGATTCGCCAGAATGTCAGCCCCGTCCTTGTTTCTCAATAAAAGTCATCACACCCACCATTTGCCACTCGAGTGACGCTTTCCCAACTGGCGCAGCTGGCTCTCGCACCTCTCTACGGCCGACTCCCTGACCATCTTCTTGCTTGGCCCTGATTTCTTGCTCTTAACTTTTGGAATTTTGGGATTCTCCTCGATTTCCTTGAGCTTGGCCATGAGATCGTCGACCAGTTTCTTGCCCTCGCCAACGACCTCTGGGTCGTGCTTGCCCGTGTCTCCGCGGTTGGAATGGACCCATATCCAGCCATCGCCACCTGCAGGCCCCTTTGTGCTCGATGGAGGGTGCTTGTCCAAGAAGTGATCAAGCGTCTCCTTGCTCTTGCCCTGATCCCACGCAAGCCTCACGCCTGTTTGAGGCCTGTCGTCCCTCCCTTTGGTGGCCGCTGATGACTCGGCCATCTCAGCGCTCGTCGACTGGGTTGCGATTCGAATCGTGTCGTTTCTCAGCTCAGTGTTGGACTTGCTCGCACGAGCCACGTCGCGGAATTTCACGTGGCTGCCAGGGCCAGCTCAAGCTTCTTCAATGAAAGAGGGGGGATTAGAGACACACCTTCGCCGACGACGCCGATCGAAGCGTGAAGCGACCCACGATGAATGCTCAAGGTGTCGGGAATTTGAGCACGCTCCTCAAGAGGTGGGCCTTTGCTTTGTGACAATCCAATTTGCAGAAGCATGACTGACTTGCTTTGAAAACACCATCGATAGACTCGAGGCAGCCACCTCGCGGCTCGAGGACCTGGCCACAGTACAGACCCAGAGCACAGGTCCCACGAGTACGCCTGGTGCTGCTGCTGCCGCTACTGCCGGTGCTGGTGCGGCCGCTGGTGTAGCTGCGGGTGCTGCTGGCGCTTCTTCCTCCCCGCAAGAGGTCCCGCCCGCCGTCGAAGCTTGGGACGACGACGTTGCGCCAAAGCTGCAGGCCTTTGCAGACCTCAGCGCAAAGCTCGGCGGCAATGTCGCTGCTCAGGTGAGACTGCATGGCTCCATAATTCTGGCACCATCTACATATTGGCTAAACGCCGGTCCCAGGCGCAACATGTCGCGACCGCTTTTGCCGCCGTTCGCACCCTCGTCCTCTGTGCCGGGCTGAGCAAGAAGCCGGCAGGTTCACCCACGGCGCCCTCGCCCGTCTTTTTGAAGCTCATCGAGCCGATCCAGGCTTCGCTCATGGCTGCCACCGAGGTCAAGGACAAGAACCGGGCGGACAAGGCCGCCTTCAACCACCTCTCGGCTGTCAGCGAAGGTCTGCCCGCCGTTGGCTGGGTCACTGTGGAGCCCAAGCCTGGTCCGTACATCGACGAGATGAAGAACGCGGGCCAATTTTACTTCAATAGAGTCATCAAGGACCACAAGGAAGGGTGAGTAAAAGGCTCTTGTTTCGGGCTCTTGGGCATAGGTGGCAGCATACTGACGGCATGTACAGTGACAAGACACACGTCGAGTGGTGCCGCTCCTTCACGGCCATCCTCGACGAAATGAAGAGCTACGTCATGAAGTTCCACACTACTGGTCTTGCCTGGAATCCAAAGGGTGGCGACGCGGCGTCGTTTTCGCCCTCCTCTGCTTCGGGAGCACCTGCTGCTCCTCCACCACCGCCCCCTGCCCCTGGTCCTCCACCGCCGCCGCCGCCGCCGCCTCCGCCACCTGCCGATGCTGGCGGCAGTGCAGAGGCTGGGGGCATGGATGCCGTCTTCAGCCAAATCAACCGGGGCGAGGGCATCACCAGCGGCCTGCGAAAAGTTGACAAGAGCGAGATGACGCACAAGAACCCGTCGCTGCGGACGGCGGCCCCAGCGCCTGCTGCCGGCAGCAAGCCTGCCCCGCCCAAGCCGGGCACCAAGCCAGGCGCATTGAAGCCAAAGAAGCCCGCAAAAACAACACTCGAGGGCAACAAGTGGACCGTCGAGTACCACGAGGGGCAGCGCGACATTGTGATTGAGGACACTGCTCTGAGCCACACGGTCAATCTTTTCAACTGCAAGGACTCGGTGGTGCAGATCAGGGGCAAGGTCAATGCGGTCCAGATGGTCTCGTGCACCAAGACATCGATCCTCGTCGACACGCTCGTCTCGTCGCTCGAGATCACCCAGTCGCCCTCCTTTACGGTTCAGGTGACGGGCAGCGTGCCCACGATTCTCATCGACTCGTGCGACTCGGGCCAGCTCTACCTCAGCCCATCGACGCTCCATGCGGAGATCATCTCGGCAAAGTGCAGTGCCATCAACGTCAGCGTGCCCAAGGGCGGCGCCTCGGCGGATCCAAATGATGTCGAATACGTGGAAATGGCCCTGCCCGAGCAGCTGCGCCATTCCGTCGCCACCGACGGCTCAAAGATTACCTCTGACGTCGTCGCTCACGCTGGCTAGGCTCTTCTTTTTAATCAATCGATCAAGGCATTTGGATGGCAACAGATTTGCAATGCATGAGAGTGGTGCGAGGGTGCTACTTTTGAAGACTTGTAGGGTTTCTTTACATCGGCAGAGACAAGATTCCTCCCCAGCTCTTCCACATTCTATCAACGGCTGCTCTGCGTCGAAGCCAGCTGAGACCAACTGCGCTGCCCACGTTTGCCCCTTTGCCGCTTCCTCCGCCCTGCTCGAGGTCCCTGATGTCCTGCAGAAGTTGTCTTCTGAGACGCTTCGCCGTGGCCTTTCTGCCCTTTGACACGCTCGCAAGCAGCGTGGGCGAGGCACGCCGGAGCGTAGCAAGATCGAGAAGGAGCAGGCCCTGCGTGAGCGCCGACACGTCCTGGTCTCCCCCAGCCTGTTGCTCTCCTTCGTCGCCCTCTCCAGCGAGGAGCCGGTCGATTCTCCGCATGGCTTCCCATGCCCGAAACCTCGTCCCCAGGCTGGCGTCTTTGCCCTTTCGGCCCAGCGCAATCGAGACGCGCTCCTTGGTGTAGTTGGTCACGACGTACAGGATCGCCATGGCAGGCGCGATGCCGATGGCGCCAAAGAGGAGCTGCTGCGACTTGAGCAGCTGGTCCACGCCACGCATTGCGACGGCAATGTCGACCTTGACCTTTTGGATCTGGATGAGAAGCGAGCGGATGAGGGAGCCGCCCACCGCGCTCCGGAGCGGCGAGCGCATCTCGTCTTCGTAGATCTTGAGCACGTTCGTCAGGTCGCCTTCGCGCACCTTGGTCGCCACCGCCTCGAGCTCAGCGCCCTGGAGATGGTACTTTTCCTGGGCAAACGACGTGACCATGCGCTCGAGGGAGCGCAGGTCCGAGTTGAGGCTCTCGCGTGTCATGATGATGCCCTCCTGGTCATCGCCGTGCCGGATGGTGTCGAGGAGCTTGATGCAGGGCTCGTAGACCCAGTTGACGAAAAAGGCGCGCACCGTCTCGCGGGATTCATAGGCCTTGGCTACAATGGTGTCCCAGCTCTGGACGATGAGGCGGCCACCAACGAGGATGGTCAGAGGCGTCAGGACGAGCGTTGGCCAGAGTCGAGCGAGGCGCGACGGAACGCCGAGACCGACTGGCGAGGGGGACAGGAGGGATGCAACGTAGGCCTGTCGAGTCGTGAAGGACCTCGTCAGGATTCCGTCGAGGCTTCGAGCCATGCCATCTGCCGTCGCCAATGATGATAAAGAGAGTTCAGCAGCCTCGTCAGGACCCCCAGCGAGCGCGACGGCTTTCTGCAGGTCCTGTATGCGCTTCCTCAACTCCTCTCGCAGAGCGTCCAGATTTGCACCAATGGAAGCGATGGCAACGCCGCTCGTGTCGCCGACCTGGGACCCAGGTGGAGAATGGGGCTGATCAGCTCGCATGGCCAGGGCGAGTGCGCCGAGCTTCTCGGCCATGGTGTCCCTCTCCCGCATGAGATGCGAGCGCTTGGTCCTCGCCTCGTGCCTGGTCAGGCCGAGGGGCGAAAAGGCCCGTGCCCTTGAGACAAGTAGCGAAGTCGGGAGGCCACCTTTCTTCTTTTGCGGCTTCCCCGTCTCCCCATGCTCTTGCTCTTGATCTGCTCCTTGCGCCTGAAGCATGCCACTTCGAAAAGGGGAGGATGGAGCAGCAGAAGAGTCGACGGCGAGGGGAAAGAGAGCACCAACGACATGATTGGGCGAGCTTCGAAGGAGCTGCAGTGCTCGCTTCAGCGTCTCACCGTCGATGCTGACTGGTCTCCGACGCTGTGCCACATCCTGTGTTGTGGCCATGCCATTCGTGGCCGTCTCTGAAAGCACACTGATCGTCATGCGGACCAGGTTCACGATGCGTGAGGGAAGAGCTGTCGGGACAGGAAGCGGCGTCGGTGAGCGATTGAGGTGGGCAGCAAAGCTGGACAACCACTCACTCTGGATCAGATAGGTAACTGTTCTCGTGGGATCTTCTTCCACCTCTGTCCAGTACCACGCCTGGTCGTTGACCCGTTCGGCATCCCGGAGGAGCGCATCGAGGACGATGCCGTACGAAGCATACGTCACCTTGGCGACGGCTAGCAATTCCGCCGCCTCGTCGTGGTCTCCTGCTCCACGAACTTGTCCAGTACTTTTCGCTTCCTGCAGCGCCCTTAGCGATCCTTGCAGGCTCTCGAGCTGGGGGACGTGCTTGGCCTGCGCCAAGTCGAGGTTGACCGAAGACGCAATATCGTCGAATGCATCACGCGCGTCTGGAGCCGCTCTCGCCGTCGTCGTCACAATGCCTTCGTCCGCTCGCGCGCGCTGGGCTGCTTCGATGGCATCGAGGCGGTTGCCCAGATGGCGGATGCTCTCGAGCGCGTACGACGCGGGCTCATGCGAAGACTCGCCAGACATGCCTGCTATTGTAATGGTACACGCAAAGGGATCGAGAGGTGGAGGGCGTGTCGCGAACGAAGGCGGCGAGGCACGTGCTGCGCTCGGACAAGGACACCATCAGAACGAGGTGAGGTGGGGACGTCACTCAATTCACTTACCCAGGAGCGTGACCCATGGGGAGGGAAAGTAGAGTCCTTTCGGTGAACAAGTTGGTCGCCCCGACATCCTACCAAAGCAGTTACATGACATAGATGCTGAAGAGCCAGATCTGAAGCGAAGTCAAAACGTGTGGCAGATCGGTGCAGGTCAGAGCTTCTGCGTAACGGCTGACCGAACCTGGCACGAGACGCCAAGGATTCCTTTCTTTGTTCACGTCATCGATGCTTGAGTTCTCCGCAAGAGTAGAGTGTCTCGGGCCTTGCTCTGGGGCATATCGGTCGGCTGTGCGGTGACTTTGGACGCCGCGGCTTGTACGCCCCGTGATCCTCCCTTCATTTCTAGCAGGCTACAAATACCTTGAGAAGCGATAAGTTCACTTCTCCCATCTACCATCATCGACCATTGCCTCTCCAAATGCTCACCTCTAGGGTTCTTCTCATCTTGCTCATGGCTGCTGGCAGGTAAGATTGACCTTGAATGTTGAAAAATCTAGCCAATTGATGACGGTTATCCGCCCCCAACAGCCTCACGCGCTCGGTATCCGCATTTCCCACCAAGCAAGTAAACGGCCTTCCCTTTTGTGAAGGAATGGAAGCCCATCATTGCTCCTTCGAGAATCCAAACATGCTCTACCAGTCATCGCTTGTCGATCAAGATGATTCATTTCGCAAGCGTGCCGTGATGCGCAAAGCGCGCGGATCACTATCCAAGCATGCCTCGCGCATCTGCAAATCGCTCAAGGCCTCTGGTCGAAAGTTCAAAGAGAGGTTGAAGGAGTTCACTACCTTTGAGGAGTCCACGTTTGTTCCTCACTCTCACGGTGGCGAACACGGAGACGAATATAACCATAGACAGCACTTGTCTTAAGGAGCGATCCATATCTTCACCATCGAGGAGCTCTGGCAGCTCTAACTTTAGCTTTACAATAGTCGAAAGGGAATACATGATCTGATTCAGCGTCTTTTGCTTCACTTTTGTGATCATCATCATCATCAAATCGTATTCTTGTGATATCGACTAGCAGAGCAAGCAGATAGCAGGCAAGAAGAAAGAGAGAGACGGGGAGCCGTGACGGTGGGGATATATCGTGAGAAGAGTGAAATTTTTTTAAGTGTGTAACACAGTGGCTGTGACGAGCTGAGCGCAATGAGCAAAGGACGGAGAGCACGGAAAGCAGATGTATTTCGAGGGGCAATCTAGGCGACCTCCTTCGTGTCCTTCTCCGAGGGCGATTCGACATCGTCGCTGTCGCTGCGCTTGAGGATGTTTGGCTTGGCGGTGTCGTCGCCCTGAGCAATGGCGTGGGCGAGCTCCTCGACCTGGCTCGTCTCGGTGAGCCTCCTCGTCTGCCAAGGCTTGAGGCCGGAGTTGAAGATGCTCTCGACCTCCTCGAGCGTCTTGCCCTTGGTCTCGACGAAGGCGAAGTAGACGTGGATGAACATGGCCGTGCAGAAGACACCAAAGACAATGTACATCTTCCACGAGATGTTCTTGAATCCAGGAGGGACGAAATAGCCGAGGGCAAAGTTGAAGATCCAGTTGGCGCACGTCGAAATCGAGTTGGCCTTGCCACGGAGACGGGTCGGGAAGAGCTCGGGAGGGTAAACCCACGAGACGGGACCCCAGGTGGGAGCGTACGACGCCACGAAGAGGTAAGACATGGCAATGACGGCCTTGCCGGGCGTCTGTCCGACAGCCCAGACCACCGTGTCCGACGTCCTCTGGTCAACAGGAATCTCGTGGCCGTGGGCTGCGAGAATGCCGGCGTTGGTGAAGAGGAAGGTGCCCATGAGAGCAGCACCGACGAGGAGGGTAGGGCGACGGCCCCATCGGTCGATGAAGATGAGGGCGGGAACGGTCATGACGACATTGATGACGTACTGGATCGACGACGAGACGATAGCCTGTTCAGAGTCCTGGACACCGGCCATTTGGAAGACGTAACCTGCAAGGCAATTGGAAAAAGTGTGAGCGACTGAAATACCGAGCTCGATACTGTGCGTAGTAGCCACGCTTGACACCCACCAATGTAGTACATCATGACGTTCATGCCCGTGAGCTGGGACCAGATCTGGGTGAAGATGGCAATGTGGGTGCGGTAGAGCATGTTGCCACGGAAGAGGTCGATGTAGCCAGATCCCTCGCCGCGCTCGGCCTCGATGTTCTCCTGGATCTCCTTAAATTCGGCCAGAACCATGGGGTTGGACTTGTCGCCGCCGCCGTGGACGAGAGCGAGGACCTCGAGAGCTTCGTCGTAGCGACCCTTGGAGGCGAGCCAACGTGGCGAACGAGGCATGAAGGGAATCAAGCACAGCAGAATGATGGCGGGGATCATTTGAAGACCCCAAGGAAGCCTCCAGGTGATGGGGTGGTTGCCGTCCTGAGGGGCAGCCTTGGAGCAGCCATAACTGATGTAGTAGAAGACCATGATGCCCCAAGTGATGGCCCTGTGGATGTGATTCGTCTTGATCAGCAAGCAGCGAAGATAACAATACTGCTGTAAAAGGTTGCACTAACCACTGTTGGCAACCAACAAGACGACCGCGGAGACGTGCGGGCGAGAGCTCAGAGAGGTATACAGGGACCTGCGCAGACGCGATACCAATCGCACCGCCGGCGATGAAACGGCCGACAATAAGCATGGCGACGTCCTGAGCAGCGCAAATGAGGATGGAGCCGACGATGAAAACGAATCCAGAGACCATGATGGCACCACGGCGACCAAGCCAGTCGGTAAGAATGCCCGAGACGACGGCGCCGACAAACGAACCACCGGCCATGGATGCCGTGATACCACCCTGGAGGTTCGAATCGGGACCCAGGTTGACGACCTTACCGCCCTGCACGATATCGGGTGTGTTGGTAAAGTAAAATTTGTAGTTGTTTGTCACCAGAATGGCCGACATCGAAGCTGAAAAGAGGAGGGAAATGGCTCAATCAGTTGATATCCGACCCAAGGTAAAGGTAAAGTGCGTACCACTCACCAATGTCAAAGCCAAAAAGGAGACCGCCGATGCAGCCGACGGCCGTCAGCACGTACGGGTTGGTGATGTACATGCTGGGCAACGAGAGCGGGTTGTGCCCTAATAGATATCGAGGATAGTAAGGGAAAGAAGGGGTCCTAGGGACGGCACGTCGCAGAGGCTCGAAACGCGGGGATGGGCGTACAGAGCGAAAGCCCACGGGGGCCTCTTTATATAGATGGGACGATGTCCGCGCGGAGAGGCGACGAAAGGAAAAAAAAAGAGAGGGAAAAAAGGGGAATAGGACCCCATCAAGGCTCGGCACTGCAGCCAACCCGTCGAGCTTCACTCCGATGCCGTCGTGGCACTCCGCCTGTCTTGGTGATTGAAGGCGCTGGTTCCTAGCCCTTGTCAAACTTATAGCTGTAGTGCATATTTTGTTCAAGACTGGCTAAATTCCACAGGTCGCTCAATTAAAATATTTCCGCTTCCCTCGCGGTACGCCGTTTCCTCTTCGAGGCCCTACATCCCAAGCTCTACATCCCAAGCGCTCTCCCTGAGCTCTATCTCCTGGTTTGATCGTCCGATATCCTGATCGGGCGGGAAAGCACTTTCCTTGCTAGCCTTGTCGCCTCCGGTGGCGGATGTGGGGACGAGGCCGCTGAGCTTTGGCTGTTGAGGCAGTTGCGGGCTTTATTCATAAGCGTAAAAAAATAGATGCTATTGAACAGGTGTTTCTATTAGGCTTTCCTTTTTTGGACGCGGGAGGTCCGGTGGTTCGCGCGCACAGTCTCGACTCTCTTTTTTGACGCTACCCTCACTTCTTTTTCACCAGAGCACGCGGGGGAGAGAAGCGACAGGAAAAAGAATAAAAAACTTTGAAGAAAAAAAAAGAAAAGAACGAAGAAAAATCTGTCAACAACACTGGTCGTCTGCTGCCCATTTGCTCACGACCGTATGGGCGAGGGAGGATTTAGCGAGAGGAGCCTAGTAGCGCAAGGAGGGTGGGGTGGAAGGTCACTAAAGCGGCGTATCGACCGACGCTAGCGTACCTTGCATTTGTCCGTCTCACAGCGTTCAGACTGTTAGCTCGTAGTAGTGTGGTCGACCATGAATTGTCTGAGGAGTCTCGGAAGTGCGCAGAAGCAGGTCAGCCGATCCATGCGGGGCCCCTTCGCGACGCGGCCCTTTCTCCGGCCGTCCGAGCTGCTGCAGCTGTTTTTTTTTGCCGCTGCTCATCGTCGTGTTCGCGTACAGTGCCGTCGAGCATTACAAGTGCGCACCCTGCTCTGAGAAACGGCTTTCTCCGTTCGGCAATCTCGCCTTGAAATTCAGGCACCACAAGTCAGACCCAAACCCACGGACCAGAGGCGACATCTACAGGTCAAATGCGGCACAATTTTCCCCACGGGCAGAAAGATGCCGTGTTGGGGAGAAGATCAACAGAATCATCACTCGTCCCCACGGGGCCACTCCATATACTAGTGCATGGCCATTCATCCCTCCGCGGAAATTTGGAGTTCATGAGTGAGTAGGGTCGGGTGACTGATAATGCGGTCTCAGTAATGCCAGGATCGCAGATCTGCCGAGGCTGGTACAGTTAATCCGGGCCTCCTCGGGTCGTTCCTGCATATGTTCTTGAGTCGATGGCCAGAGTAACATTCGTGAGCTGCTCCTGGAGGCTCCAGCCACAGGCAACCAGGTAACGTGACAAGCACCAAACATCGAGGCGCGAAGAGCAAGCATATCTCCGTAATTAGATTAAAGGCGTTTGGCAGAGGAAGTTGCACAACGTGACACTATGAGTTGGTTGTCAGTCTCTCTGTCACAAATGGGCGTATAAGCAGGCAAGGGCAGAAGAGAAGATGCTACCGCAGAATCGTTTCGAGCGACGACAATCTTCTTAGATTGAGACCTGCCAGCCCGCGTCCGTGGCTTATCAGAGGTGAAGGGGAATAAATTGGGAAGAGGGAAAAAAGTCCCGAAATCCGATGGACTCGAGCGCCGCCTGCAGAAGATACTTGTTCCTGGTCAGATTTTGGACCGAAACAAGGTTGATATCGACCACGATACGAACGTGAACCTCCTTCGTCTGGCTCTGGCAACATGGCGACGGCAGCTCAGGTTCGTGTTTGGCTCACCATCATCTCCGTCGCGGGCGCGACGATTCTGCCAACGTACATCAACGGAGCCCTGACAATCGCACTGCCCACCATCGGTTCGCAGATGGGCGTTGACGAAAAAGATCTGCAATGGCCTGTCACCGTTTTCTCGCTCGTCAACGGTGCCTTTCTTCTCGTTGCTGGAGGGCTCGCCGACTCTTTTGGTCGCCGCCTGGTCTTTGTGGCTGGCACGGCCTGGCTACCCGTCTTTACGATTCCCTTGGCTTTCTGCAAGGATTCCACAGCCTTCATCGCCCTTTGTGCCGTCTTGGGTCTGGGCCCAGCTATGCTCGCACCTGCGGGCACGGGCATTCTTTCAGAAAGCTTGCCCGACGGCAAGATTAAAAATGCCGCCTTTGCAGCACTAGGCGCAGGGCAGCCTGTCGGTGAGTGAACGTATGAGTCTAGCAACGAATACAATCAGCTCACCCTTGATCAAAACACACCAGGCTACATCATCGGACTTCTGTTTGGAGGTATATTCGCCAAGACTCATGCCATCATCTTCTTGATTGCTGCCGCAGCCGCCGTCGCATTTGGCGCCATGGCTCTCTTTTGCCTGCCAAAAGACGGAGAGAAGCTCGTTCCTGAATCAGCTACGTCTGGGACATCAAATATTCGCAGGGGTGCCCCTCTCTTGGCCTTCGACTGGGTCGGTGCTGCACTGAGTCTCATCGGCATCGTCTTGTTCAATCTTGCTCTTGCCCTCGCCGGGACGTCTCATCGGGGCTGGGGAGCCGTAACCGTATTGTCTCTTCTGCCCATCTCGGCCGCGATGCTTGCCGCCTTTCTCTACTGGGAGCGTCTCATTCAGCGCCAGTCTTCCTCGAGCAGTGTGGCGAGGTTGCGGAAGCCTCTGATCCCGCCTGGTATCTGGTTCGCCCCTAGCTTCTCCGCTATTCTCGCTATCGTTTTTCTCGTCTGGATGGGCTTCAACGCACTCACCTACTACTGCACCCTCCTCTACCAAGTTGTCCAGCACACGGCACCACTCCAGACGTCAATTCGCTTCTTGCCAATGATCGGCTCAGGTCTCCTTCTCAACATAATCGGAGGGATTGTCGTAGGACGTGTCGATGCCCTCTATCTCATCATCGCGGGCTCGCTCTGCACCGCAACCAGCTGCGCAATTTTTGCACTCCAAAATCCGGCGTGGTCTTATGCTCGTGCCATGCTCACCGTGAGTCTCCCTTCTCATCTTATCTCCTGAGCTTCCTGCCTAATCTGCTCTCCTATTCTCCTTGTGGTTGTACGGACAGGCCATGCTTCTGCTACCAGGTCCGGATATCTTCTTTCCTGCCGTCCAGATCTTTGCCTGCAAGACCGTCGGACCCAGACGAGCAGCCCTAGCCGGCAGCCTCTTCAACATTAGTGAGCAGCAGCAGCCACCTTCTTTCTTTGCCTGCTTAGACTAACGTGTGTAATTTGTTTTTTTAGCCACTCGACTCGCCACCTCGATTGGCCTCGCGATCTGCACCTCGATCCAGGCCGCCGCGACAAAAGGAAGCGTCATGAGCGGCTACAGGGGTGTGGGCTGGTTCTGTTTCTCAACGTCGGCGCTAGCTATTCTCGTGGCGCTTGCAACCCTGCGAAAGGTGGGCATCGTCGGTCGCATGCAGGAGGGTGAGGTGGAGCAAGATGAGGCGAGCGGGCGAGACTCCATTGAACTGCCGAGCTTGTCAAATGGCCTTGCCGTCAACGGCAACGGCCGTGGTAACGGTCATGGATACGGCCACGCAAATGGCCATGGGGTGGAATCAGTCGATTCCAAGAGATAGCACTGCATGTATACTATCAATCGTCACCTGCTACCTTATTGCTTGTTTTGATCCCATTGAGAAAGCAGGCCCTCTCCTCGCCGCTCGGCCTCGTTTTGAAACTGCGCACTCCGACCTGCACGTCTGCCACGAAGGGCAGCTCACCTGGCCTCTTCATCACCTTTCTTCGCTTCTCATCTCTTTCTCTTCTCTGAGCAAGTTCTCATCGCTGCACCATTCTTCAAGATGGACGCTGCCAGGCCACAGTTCAAGGAGTCAATAACCGACCTGGTCGCCAACGAGCTTTTTGGCACTTACTACAAGCCCATCTACAACATCAAGATCGCTTTCGAAGACTGTCCTCCTTCCTCAGCCAGCAGGCGAAGCATCGACGACTCGCGCCCTCCGAAAGTCTGGTTCAGTATCCAACCCATGCTGGCAAAGACTAAGGATGATGGCGATACCGACGAGCTTAGAGATAGGATTTTCAAGAGACTGGCCCCTGCTTTTTCCATTGAAAGCGTAGCCCTCTACAGCTTAGCGTACGGGACTTTCGTCGAGGTCAGATGTCCATCTCGAGAAGCCGCGGACTGCTTGGCGACAGACGTCATCCCGTGGACAGAGAAGCTTCAAGGCCAGTATAGGAGAACATCCCGCACCATAACAGTCAGAGTCATCCCCCGGGCCATTCGTATGGCCAATGTCGTCGCAGTCGACTTCGGCCCGGTGGCAAGACCGGGAAAGTCCTTGGCCTCTTCTGGCCTCTCGGACGATGATTTCATCGAGGCAGTCCGGTACCTGGAGCGATGGTTCTCGGCTTGGAGGACGTGCGAGGATCGTGTACTGGGCCTCTGGCGGGAAACATCGTGGATGTCGAGCGAGACAGGATACACAGAACAGGCACCCGACTCGGCCAGGGCAGCCTTCGTCATGCCGGGCTTTCCCTTCGTCAGCCGGCCTTTGTCACTCTTTCTGCACGAAGACTACGTGAGTAGAAAACGAGGAATAAGATCAGTCCCCATTTCATCTCTCTTCCACAGGTCTTTCGTCTCAGCTACATCGGTCAGACGACACCACATTCGCTTTATTCTGGCCCGCTCTTTCCTGACTCTTAAGCGATTTTCGCAAGCTTTGGCTTCTCGAGCCTTCTTGCGCTGCACCTCTTTCTTTTTGCCTTCGTCGTCCTGGTGTCGCTCCTCCTTGTCGTAATCGTCTTGCCTCTCACAAAATGCGTTTGTCACAGTAGCTGTGCTTAGGGACCCACCGCCTTCTCGAAATTTCTTTGAAGAAGACGTAGATTTAATCCTAACCCTAAGCTTCTCAATATTTCACTGAAGGAGATGTAGGCGGTGGGTCCCTAAGCACAGCTACTGTGACAAACGCATTTTGTGAGAGGCAAGACGATTACGACAAGGAGGAGCGACACCAGGACGACGAAGGCAAAAAGAAAGAGGTGCAGCGCAAGAAGGCTCGAGAAATTGACTTCAGCAACGCAAACGTATTTACTGCCACTACCAACAAACGCAACGCAAGTTCCGCCTTAGAGTCTGAGCCAAAATGATTTAAAGGGTGTCTCTCTACATGTCTGGAGCATCTACAGCGAATTTGGTATCTCTACGACGTTGCAGTGCAGCTCAAGCTGCCATTACAGACGCAGGTGCTCGATCCACAGCCAACAATAAAGACACAACATATCAGCCTCGCCTTGCAAGATCGTTTAATTTTGACGCGGCGAGAACGACGACGGTAAACACCTATATTTTTGCTGGACCACCTCTCGCCGCCGAGCAGTCCATCCAACCCACTCCCTTCTCCTCTTCCCCTCCTCTTCCCTCTCCTCTTCCCTCTCCTCTTCCCTCTCCTCTTCCCTCTCCTCTCTTCTCCTCTCACATTCAATCTCTCCTACAAAATCGTGCTATTTCTGCGCTCAAATTGAAGGCACGAGATTCAAACAGCGCTATCGGGCAAACAGTCGTGCCCGAGGAATGGCTGTCACGGAGGGGCAAGAATCGCGTGTCAGGAGCGCTCATCTGCGAGAGGCACGCGAGCTGTACTTTGCACTCGAGCTCTTTGCAGGAAAGACGGCCGCTCGCTTGTAGCTTTCAAAGGCATCTCTTGAGATCACACCCTCATCATGAAATCAATAAAAACATTGTCATCACTGGCTGGGCCATCTGGTAGGGATGGGCAAAGTACACAAAGTAGCTGAATCAATCACATTACAGAATACAATATGCGGCGGCGGAACAACAATGGCCGTGGCGCATTCTTTCGCTCTCCTACATTTCTTGTTGAATGCCCGCTAGGCTGATGCTTGCCTTGTCTTGCCCCCGTCCGCTCTCAACGTCTTGTGCGCCTCGAGAAAGGCGACGCCGCCGCTCTCTCTCACACCACTCGGCAATCTCATATTCTTTCGCATATTTACATCACAGCCCGAGAGTGGTAGCTAACCCCTTTTGGCTTCTCCGTTGTATCGTAATGGCCACCGCTGCTTCAACTTATGCCAAATTATACTCATCTCCGCCCTCTTCCAAAGCTGGCAACCACGACTTCCTTGGAGAAGTCTCGTCCTCGACACCTTCAGCGTATTGCGTAATACCATACTCAACTGACCATTACTTTACTCTCACAATGAATTGGCCACTAAGAATACACACCAGCCACAATACTATAAGTACAAGCAGTCCTCCCTGCCTGCTCTAACGCAAAGCGGCGTAACCCTCCAAACAGCGCTCTTCCGCCATTACGACCAGAAACAGTCTCCGACCTGCCTCCCTACTCCGCACAGAGAAAGGCGTGGAAAGGTTGGTGCTTGCTGGTCCTCAATACGTGGACTGCGCGGCGCCTCGTTGGGTATATAAGACTGGGTTGAGCGTTCCCCCCACCACCTTCCCCTTCCTCACTCACACTCACCACCCCCAATCTCCTTCCTCGCTTCCTGCCATCTCTTTCCTCCTTCCCAGCCATACCCTTCTAAACGATGTTCGACTCGTCCAGCGTCAGCAACCAAGAAAGTCGCGACGGTGGCGCTGATCGCAACAACAGTCGAGCGACAATTCTCTCTGCCAGAAAGTCCTACAAGCTCCCGGGCAATATCAATACTCCCCGCGAGGACTGCCCTCGGATGAAAGAGAGCAGTACTCGTAGCGAGTATTGGTATTGCCCGGGAGCTTGTAGGACTTTCTGGCAGAGAGAATTGTCGCTCGAAAAGGAGAGCAGGGATCGCCAAACCCTGCCTTTCCAATTGCTCGGTTCTCCATGTCGTCCGCCTTGCTCTTCTCAAGAGCACGCCGATGAGCTTGGCCGCATCCAGCCCTGCGCTAAGAGCGTGCCGACACCAGAGGCGCGCACGATTTCTCGAGCCAAGCGGCCTTTGGCGCGAGACGGCGTAGTTGTGCCGAGACGGTGCCACCGAGCACCAGCCCCTTCTTTCCTCTCGGGCGGCGGTCCGCATACCACCGCCACCCTTCATGACAAGCCGGAATCCAGCATAGGCTCTCTGCCCGTCGCAGGTCTTCGTGAGCATGAGCAGATCTTTCTTGCACCTGTCAGCGATGACTTACCCTTATGTCTGCAGTACCTGTGCGTCAACTCGCAGCGGCTCGCGTACTGGCGTCACTGGTCCCTCGACGGGGGCTTGCCGTGGGGGAAGAGGCCAAGCCGGCACCATGGACACGTCCGGGACGCCTGTTTCCGGCGTCAGCGACGGTCTCACCGTCGACTGGGAGGGTGCCGGCAACGCCGCGCACCCATCCAATCTCGCTTCGGGCATCTACTACCGCCCTATTTTGCAGCCTTGTGTCCCATATGAGGACTGCCCGCCCACCGACGAACGAACGAAGTCACAACCTGGTAGAGCCGAAGGGAAAAAGGGAGGTGACTACTCATGGCGCACCAGCCATGTTCGGGCGAGTCGAGGAGGTAGAGTACGGTGGAGGACGAGGCGGGAGAGCCCAGGCCGAGACCGGAGGCCGAGCCCGTCTTCGCTCAGGAGAGGGTTGAGGCGATAGCCTGCCCTCTAACCTGCGCGAAAAGGACCCGGCTCCCCAGCCGTCCTGAAGGCTCAGCAAACCCAAACCGCCGCCTTGCGAAGAAGCTCCGGAGTGAATGTCGTGTCGATCTCGGAAGGGTGCTGGGAATTTTCGATGACGAGAAACGTGTGTACGAATGTTGACGCAAGCAATGCGTGTACGTGTTGAAAGGTAGAGGCTGTCATAAGGCCGCACTCACAAGGGGATGAAGTCGGATTCGGAGATGAGGCGGTTTACTGTTGCCACGCACTTGCTACATTGCTGGGGAGTCGCTCGTTCGGACAGGAATGGGAAAATCGCATGGACGTGGAACGCGATGAGCAGTATCTTCTCGTCGCAGACTTTTGGCATTGCGCGGCGCCATCGTGGGAAGAGTTCGGTGACTTCTTCCTTGTCGTCTGTGTCCGGCAAGTCCCAACCAAGGCGTTCTGCGGTCGTCCGCATCTGCTCCCAGACGCGGAGCGCCCTCATGCACGAAAAAAGTTGATGTGTCCTGTTTGCACGTTCGCCACGGCAGCAAGGGGTCTCGGGAGAGACCTGGCCATCGACACTAATGATGGGAAGAGGGCCGTGAGCTGCGCCATACATGGTAGAGTACACACCAGGTGACATCTTAAGACGCTTGCTTGCTCGGGCAAGGTCGATCCAGAAGAGGCGATACCGTTCCTTGACCTCGTCAGAGGGATTCGGGTAGAAGCGAGCAGGGATGAGGTGGGTGAAATGGTGAGTCTTGAGCGCAACGTACTTGCGGCAGCCCTTGACGGAGGTTTCCTTCAGTGGTTGTCCTGCAAGGGTCAGGTGGCCAGTCGGGAGTCGTAGTGGTGGCCAGACGCATTGGAAATGGTGGAAACGTCTTGTGTAAGGAACGTCGCGAACCTTAGCCAGGGCAATTTGCCATTTACGTTGAAGGCTTTTTCGGTACCTCGGCCACTTCTCCCGAAGAACAGCCCAGCCACGATTAGCGTACTTCAGGTACGTATCGACGCCCCGAAGGTCATTTGGGCCAAGCCTTTTCTTGACGAGCCGTTTGACTGCTTCGCCCGAAAGGATCTCTATGGTGCCGCGTCGAAGTGTGGGCGCCGTATCGAGGATGTCGCCCCAAGTGATCAGACCACCCGTTCTCATGAAGGAGAGCTCTTGACCCGAGAAGATGGTCTCGTCGTGCACGGTGCCGGGGAGCGAGATGGGCATGTTGAGAATTTCCTCGGCCGTCAGGTTGGTGGGATCGACCTCTAGGTCGAGGTCCCTAGCGGCATCGCAGATGCGAAGCCAGAATGCGTCAAAGACCTTGTTCTTGACCGAGTACCACCCCTGCCCTCTGCGGTGAAGGAGTGCCATCTCGTCGGTGCCTGCCTTCGACATGACTTGGCGGAGCGACGCCATGAAAAGGTCGTGGTGGAGAGCGCCGGGCTGAAGGGCACGCGCCAAGTCTCTCCCGCACAGGGCGGTAAACATCTGAGAGGGCAGGACGAGGCCCAGCCCTCCCATCTTTCGCTGGAGGCTCAGTTTCGTGAGCCCAATAAAACGTCTCTTACCGGAAAAGATGAATACACCGATAGAGGTGTGCAGCATCTCGGTGATGGCTGCCTCGTCAATGCCGCCCGCCGAGCCTACATTGTGCCAGATAGGACTCAGTATGATCGTGTTAAGGACCCTGACCTTTCCTACCCAAGAGAGATGGTATGCGGACCATGCAATCATTGATCCCCTCGCAGCGCAGCAACGTTTGGCATGGGCTTCCGTGGCTGGTTGCCCGTCGAGGCGAAAGTAGCCTCCAAGGAAACGAATGTCGTCGGGCGATTGCAAGAGAGTGTACTGGGGGAGCACGGTGGATGCATCTTGCTCTCCGAGCTTGACCATGAACGTCTTGGGGCTGATTCTGGCATTCGACATCGCACAGAACTCATCGAGGGCATTGTTGGCGGCCGCAGCTGTACTTTTCGTAACAAACATGGTCCAATCGTCAGCGTATGCGAGAGTGGGAATCGTCTTCACCACTTCTGGTTGAAGCGGATCACGGTAGCAGAACGAGGCACCTATATGGCAGAGCCTGTCGAGGATTGGTTGGACCTCGATGTTGTAGGTCAGCGGTGCCGCGGGATCGCCCTGCAGTTGGCCGCATCGCAGTTCGACTGGATCGGTGAGGTCGCCATTGATCCGGTACTGTGCGACCGCGCTCTCCTGCATACCTCTGATCCAGTTGATCAGTGTTTCCGGAAAGCCGTATAGGCGGAGGGCATCCGCTTGGTAAGATTGGGCCAGTCGATCGTATGCCTTTTCCTGATCAAGAAAGACAAGGTAGACATCGTCGTCGCAGAGACCGAGTCTATGAGCCTGTAGGACAAGGTGTATGGTCAGGATGTGATCCGTGATTTGGCGACCTTTGATAAACGCGGCTTGTTGAGGTGGCACGACCAGGTCCATGGCTCCGGTCGTCTGCAGCCGATGTGCGAAGCAGGCGGACGCGATACGCTCATCGCTGTTGATGAGGGAGATCGGCCTGCGGTTTTTGAGGGAGAGCGGGTCCCCGGGTTTCGGCAGCAGTGTGACCACAAGCTTGGGCGTGTTGGCAGGGCGACGCTCGTGGCCGAGCAAGAGTGCGTTGAGCCGGTCTACAAGTCGATGTAGCAAGTGTGGGTACCGAACGAAAAGGATGGTAGGAAGTCCATCTTCACCTGCGACACTGTCGTGGTTCATTTGCTCGACCGCCTTGACTAGCTCGTCATAAGTGAAAGGCTGTGAGAGCGCCGCACGCACATCTTCTGGAAGAATTCCAGCCCGGTGCGACTGTACTCGCGGTGCAATCTCCAGGTCCGGCTCGGCATAGAGGGCTTGGTAGAAGGCTCGAGCAGCGCTCATCATGCCCTGTGAGTCCACGTGTACGATCCCTTCTGCGTCGCGAATGCCGCGAAAGGAGTTGTCGCTCCTCCTTTTCGCCTCGTGCTTTGTCAGGAGCTGAGTCGGAACTTCCTCGATTGCAAGTAGCTTCTCCTTCGTCTGCCTCGACTGTCGAGCGATGAGGCCTTCCTTCAGGCTACGCATGTCCTTGAAGACGGTCTTGTACTGTGAGCCGAAGAACATGCCGTGGCGGCCCAGATAGTCGAGCTCGCGAGCCAGCTGCGTGATTCGATCTTCTATCACGTCCACCTGTTGACTCCTCTGAAGGTGGATGCTGGAGAGCCTTCTAGCTTCGTCGTGCAACAGGTCTTTGTATCTCTCCCAGAGCTCGTACTTGGAGGTGAGGAGGTGGGGCAGATGGTGTTCCAGCCACACCGAGCTGGTCGCCGTGCTTTGAATCCAATGGCCGAGGCGCTGGCAGAAAAGGGTCGAAGGGTCTCGTAGCCATTCATTCCTGACGGTCCGGCGCGCCACCTGAAGGGGACGACTACTTGGCGTCTGGTCTGACGTGTCTTCCGTTTCACTGGCCAAGCGGATAAAAAGGGGGATATGATCAGAGCGGATGCCACTATGGGCCGTGAAATAATTGTCCTCATCTGCATTGAAGACGGCGCTCCAAGCCCGAGAGATGAGAATATGGTCGAGGCGGGCTCGCTTCGAAAGATTGGGTGCAACGCGTGTAAACAGTTTGCGTGGCTCGGGTGTCTCATCGAGCGGGTCAAGAGCCACCAGCGGTGGTACGGGTGAGAGAGACACGCTTTCTCGGAGGGGGTCAACAAGATGCGTCCTTTCCATCAGGGGCGCTATGGCTCGAGCCCAGCATCGTGCTTGGAATGAGTGGCCCGACGGGAGCGGCTCCGCGTCAATTGGGCTCGGAAAGTCATTGAGATCGCCGCAGAGGATTTGGAGGCAGAGTGGGTCTGGCGACAGATGTCTCCAGTTTGCCTCGTCGCGAAAGAAGGTCTCGCGCTGTGCTGCCACAACGGGAGCATAGACACAGGTAATGGAGATTCGGTGCTCAGCACTAGGAGGGTTGCCCAAGGTGAGCGGAATAGGTTCAGTGGTCGAAGCATGAACGCAGAGAATCCGACCGTGGTCGCCAATAATATCAACAGTGCTGGCCCGGACAGGGCGGCCCTTGCGAAATAGAATAGCGCAGTATTTGGTCAAGAAGGCATCAAAGAGGTAGTCGTGTCTCGGGCCCAGCCACCTTCGCGGATGCGCGATCTGTGTGGCAGAAGCATTGACTTCAGTAAGGCACGCGACGTTTGCGCCATGTCCCAGGACCTCATCGAGGATGGCAGAGCGCTTGTCCATATTGCCAGTCCCAGTCACATTCCACGTCATGAGCAAAAGAGGAGAAAAACATAGAATTGAAAAGGGCCGCCGAAGACAGTGCCCAGGGGAGGGGAAAGAAGTTGAGCGAGGCCGGAAGGGTACCTCAAGATTCCATGTCGTCCGCAGGGGAGGGGCCCGGAGGACGGGGGGGCAAACTTCGGATGCGAAGGCGCGGCTCAGTCGGGAGATTGGAAGGGCCGGCGCGCTCGCTACTGTGCTTCCTCTTCTTAGAGGGGGGCTTTTCAGGACCGTCCTTGCTGCCGCGACCAGAGCTCGGAGGGGCCAGATTCGACCCCCCACGGCCGCGCGGGGCCACCGTGCTGCTGCTCTTGCCCCGGCCACAGGCGTTCTCGTGATGCCCCTCGTGGTGGCACCTCCGGCAGACAATGCGGGGGCAGATTTCCAGGGGCGCGTGGACCGCCACGCGGCAGTGGCCACAAATGGGCGCCCTGCCGATGAAGTTGACTCGAAAGTCCTGAGCAGAGAAGCGTGAGTGCTGAGAACAGACAGTAGAGGGAGTGGCCGGATCATCCTGCTTACATAGTTCTGCGAGGGGCAAAGCGCCCAGGCCTCGATGTGGCTCGTCAGGAAGGGAGGTGGCGGAATTCGAACCGCCGCGCGTGCCGCGAGCAGTGGCTGGTGCTCGGTGACGCCGTCACGACACAGCCACGCTGTCTCGCGCCAGAAGCCGAGAACGTGTGTGGAGAAGAGACCTTCGGGGCTGAGCCCCGTGGCAGGGCCGGTGCTACTGCTGTTGCTGTCGCTTGGATTGCTGCGGGATGTCTTGCCATACATGCGCGCGAGGAGCTGAAGTAGGGCGGCTTGGTAGGTGTCCGTGGGAAGATCGGCCGGGAGGCTCTTTCCAGGTTTCGCCACAGGCAGGAGCTCGACACCGATGGTGCCAGCGGGGTATGGGCGGCCTACACCCAGGCAGGAGATGGTGTAAACCACGGCTCTGCCGTTGGTAGTGATGGTCTCTATCCAGGGTTGGATACAGCCGAGCTCATCGGCGTGCTCCTGCGAGGAGCAAATGACGTCAAGAAAAGTTCTTCTGCCATTTGAAGAGAAAAGAAGCTTCCCTCCCGGAAATCGTGGGGCCGCTTGTGCCAAGGCCGTGGTGACCTTGATCCGGAGAGAATCTGTGTTGGGGCCGGGGGCCGGCGACACAGCGAGACGGACGGAGGAAGGGAGCAGGGCCTGGTCCCTATTCTCTTTGATAGGGGGGCAATCGTCGTATGGGATTTGGGGGGTGCCAATGGGGGCGAAGAACACCCCGTTGGAGATGTTGGTGGCGCGGACATTGTTGGCACGATTGGCCTCGCCGTCGAGACGTTGTTGTTGGCCGAGGTCGGCGTTGGTAGAATGAGGGGGGTCGACCATGGTGAGAGAGAGTGATGGAGAAAGGGGGCTGCTCCGAAAGCAGACCACACCAGTCCTTATATACGGTAGAGAAGCCTGGAGCGGTCAAGCAACAGGGCCAAGGGCCGCCTGAGGCCCGTCCTGTGTGGACCAATCATCCTTCTGTCTGATCAGAGGAGCGGGCCGCTCTGTTGGGAAGCGCCGCTGGAAAGGTCTGGGCGCCGCCGTGGCGACGGAGCCGCTTGGGAGAGAGATTGCCGGCCTGTGGGCCGCTCTGAGGGAGAGATTGTCGTTCTGAGGGCCGCTCTGAGGCAGAGATCGCCGTCCGAAGGAGGGAGGGCCGCTCTGAGGAAGAGGGGGCCATTCGGAGAAAGAGAGCCGCTCCGATCAGAGCGCTCGTGGTCGCGTTCAAAGGTATCTCGTGCCCACCGAATCAATCCAGCTCCGGGATGAAGGGGGCAGGGGTTGGGTCAGGTCCATCAGGAACAAAGGGTCGAAGTAGATCCGAGACTGAAAAACCGCCAGCATGACATGGGAGACTGGCTCAACCAAGAAAAATGGGGTTCATGTAAAATGTCATTGCAAGTACTCGCGAGGAGAAGGGGAAGAAAAAGTAGACAGACCGGTGGGCGTCGCAGGGCAGTAGTGTAGGGCCGAGGACACCCGCGCGCAGTGCTGGCAAGCCAGTAGACTGCGCCCGGTTGAAAGAAGGGTGTTGACAAAGAATTAGCCCCGAAAGGCTAAGAAAAAGCGTCAACTTTTTCAGAACAGATACTACACTTGATCTAAGCCAATAGGCCAGACGAAGGTGAGGGAAAAAAGAAAACCTGTTGCGCGTCCCTCCCTGGCGTCTTATAGGATCAGCGTCGGGAATCGGTCGAAGCTCATCTCGCGCTGCTTCCGCTTGCCAAAGTCTCATCTTCATTTACTCAAAGACACGTGTATTTCAATTTGACACTCCGCATTGAAGAAATAGCGCCCAAGGCGGGGTCAATCGCCTCGTCATCTTAGTAGTGTAGGGTCAAAGATCCGCGCTCATTGCCGGCAAGCCAGTAGATTGAGCCCGGTCGAAAGAAGATGTTGACAGTATTCAGTCTCTCGAGGCTGAGAAAAAGCGTCAACGTTTCAGAACAGACACTACACTTGATCTAAGCCAATAGGCCAGACGAAGGGCGGCGAGCACCTGGGAAAGATGAAGGCACGCAGAGCTGGCGTGTAGCAATGCTGGCTACGTTTTGCGATCTCTACTGCTCTCTCGCTCCTGGGCGCGCTCTGATAGATTCAATTCTGTTCCTCGTCGGAAAGAATTAGCAGTGAACGGCTCAGGAGCGAGATAGCAGAAGAGATACGACGGAGCCAGTTGTAATTCTTGTGCGAAAGCACTCATGAGACTGTCGCTGTCGACGGGTAAGGCATTGCAGCAGTGGCACAGAGTGGTCGTGATGAACTCGACGATGGTTTCGTCACATCGCACGCGAGAAGAGGCAAAAGGGGTATTCTATTGTACGACAAGGATGTTCTCTATGTCATCTAGGCGACATCGTGGACAAGCTACGACGAGGAATGAAATGGGTCAGTAACGAACTTAAACTCCATCGTTGTCATTCTCTCCACTCTCTCATCTCTCGCCAACATCTCCCTCCCTCCAGCAGACGAATAGTCAGAACGAGTAGGCAATACTTTTTTGTTTGGTCCACAGTCCCTCGAAAGGGTTCGGATCAGGTCTGTGTCTTTTTTTTCATCCTCTAGGCGTCTGCTCTCCCTCCTCCCCCCCCCAACGATGAGCACGAGAACTCGACGGACAAGAAAACACTCACCTTGTCGTCAAGAGAAGCGCCGCCTCGTAGCCTCGTAGCCTCTAGCCTATCTTGGCAAGACAAGAGAAGAAGAACAGAGTCTGAGCAAAGAAGAATTTTGCCTTCGAGAGAGTCGAAGAGAAATTTATCACGTGGAATACTATGTGACCCGGCCCGGACAAGTCCGACTAAGCGGAATCTGCCCCGAGCGAGCCGTTCACGCGAACGAAGGGGGGGCGTGTCTGAGGTGAGCAACGATCCGGGGGAAAGTGGAAGGGCGGTTATCTTCCTACCTCTCTCTTGCATCACGCCCACTTCCTTCTCGCTCAGGCCAAAAACACACACACACACACACAGATACACAAGATGTCGTCGCTCCGCTTGCCTGCTCCCCTGCTCCGTGCCACGATGCGCGCTGGTGCTCGTCGTGCCTCGCCTTCGTCGGTGCAGGTGCTGAATATGGCCAGGAGGACGACGCCCGCGGCCAGCAGCATGGTCGCCACTGGCCCTGCAGCTCGCCTCTTCAGCAGCACACCCCTGCGTCGCTCCGAGTTTGAGAACCCGTTCGGACCCAACTCGCTGGCCAAGGTGACCGAGGAGGAGGAGATGCTCCGTGACGCCGTCCGACGCTTCGCCGAGGAGGTCATCCAGCCGCGTGTCGAGTCAATGGACGAGGCCGAGAAGATGGACCCCGAGATCATCAAGGGCCTCTTTGAGCAGGGTCTCATGGGCATCGAGACGAGCGAGGAGCACGGCGGTGCCGCAGGAAGCTTCACGGCGGCCATCATTGTCATCGAGGAGCTGGCCAAGGTCGACGCCTCGGTCTCTGTTCTGTGCGATGTGCACAACACCCTCGTCGACACCGTCATTCGCAAGTACGCCAGCAAGCACCTCCAGGACAAGTACCTGCCGCAGCTGTCCGAGAGCAAGCTGGGCTCCTTCTGCCTCTCGGAGCCTTCCTCGGGCTCGGACGCCTTTGCCATGAAGACGTCCTGCCGAAAGTCCGACGACGGCAAGCACTGGGTCCTCAACGGCAGCAAGATGTGGATCACCAACTCGGCAGAGGCCGAGTTCTTCATCGTCTTTGCCCAGGGCGACCCCAGCAAGGGCTACAAGGGCATCAGCGCGTTTGCCGTGGAAAAGGACATGGGCGTCGAGATTGCCAAAAAGGAAAAGAAGCTGGGCATCCGTGCCTCGTCGACGTGCACCGTCAATTTCGACGAGGTCAAGGTGCCCGTCGAGAACCTGATTGGCGAGGAGGGCAAGGGCTACAAGATTGCCATTGAGATTCTCAACGAGGGCCGCGTGGGCATTGGCGCCCAGATGGTCGGCATTGCCCAGGGCGCCTTTGACAAGGCGGTGCGGTACGCGTACGAGCGCAAGCAGTTTGGCAAGTCTGTCGCCTCGTTCCAGGGCATGCAGTTCCAGATTGCCGAGGCTGCGGTGCAGATCGAGGCCGCAAGGAACCTCGTCTACAACGCTGCGCGCCGAAAGGAGGAGGGACGGCCCTTCACAAAGGAGGCTGCCATGGCCAAGCTCTACGGAAGCCAGATCGCAGAGAGCGTCTCGTCGCTGGCCATTGAGCTCTGCGGCGGCATTGGCTTCACCCGAGAGTCAGGCATCGAAAAGTACTACCGCGACTCAAAGATCGGCGCCATTTACGAGGGGTGAGTCGGACAGCTTCCTTCCCTGAACAAAGACGCCCCTGCTGACATGCTGTGCTGCAGTACGAGCAACATCCAGAAGCAGACCATCTTCAAGCTTGTTGAGGGCGAGATGGGCCTCAAGTAGTCTCCCTTTCACACTCTTGACACACGATAAAGGAGAAAAAATTCCATCTATTATTCCCGGCAGGCTGGTATCTACGTGCTATGACTAGAACTTCTTCCACCACTTTGTCTTCTTTGGCTCGCCAGAACCCTCGCCCAAATCGGCCCGCATCTGCGCCTGTGCGGCCTGGGCTTCTGTCTGAGCGGGCGTGAGCTGCTGTGTTTGCTGCTGCTGCTGCTGCCGCGCCGACGAAGCATCGACTGGTCGTCCACCCATGCCATCTGCCACCTCGTTGCGCAGATGAACCTGGGAACTGGGTGCGCGCTTGTTCGATTTGCGGGCTGCCAGCATCCTCGAGATGACATTGCCTCCTCCCTGGCCGCCAGATGAGGATGTGAAATTCGTCTGCTGCTGCTGTTGCTGCCGCCTTGAAGCTCGAGCGGCCTGGTGCCTGCGCACTCGATCGCGCTCCTCTTCCTGAAGCTGCTGTGCCAAAGCCATGTCTCCGTCCTCGGTGTAGCCCTGGCCAAACTCCTGCTGCTGCTGCTGGTTTCGCCGTCCTACAAAGTCCTGCGTCACCTTGGCTGGCCGGAACTTGGCGTCAAAGAAGCGTGATGCTGATCCGTCAATGTCCTCGAGCGACTCCCACACGACGTTGTCCTCTGTCTCGAGCGTCGCGTCCGTCACGAGCTGGTACAGCGCTGGGGGTGCCGAGCCGGGCTCGATGGCATCGCCGCTGGTTGCTGCCACCTCCTGATCCAATGGCCGGTAGATGACGGAGAGATGCGAGTTGCGGAACAGGGCGTAGGGCACACCACGCTCCAGCGTCGTGCTGAGCGCATACAGACCCGGATAGGTCAGCTGTGTGGCCGTCGACTCGAGGAAGTTGCGAATCAAGACCGCTAGGGAGACGAGAAGACACAGTCAGCTTTGTTTGTGTCATTTGCGCAGTCGAAGAAAAGGAGACGCTTACCGTCATTGACCACCACGCCCTGCTCAGCACTCAAGTTTTCGGCGCCAAAGCCAGAGGCACTTCCGCCGACAATGGTGCCCTTTGCGAGCTCGTCGCCAGCCACGACGCGGTCCAGTGCTCGGTCATAGTCGCCGGCTCGCTCGACCACAGCCGCATACGTCTCCTTGTCGTCCTTGTCGGCGAGCCAGCCGTGGACGAGTGGCACATTGCAGAGCTTGAACAGGGCCAGCTCGCCGCGCTGCTTGTCCGCGTCGGTCTTGGCTGGGAGGGCCGCAGCGGCGGACGAAGAAGATCCAGACGGCTCGGAGCTTGGCTGAGTCTTCTCTTCGACGGCGAAGCCATCAATGGCATCGAAGCGAACATTGACGTCAAGGCCCGTCTGCGTCTGCGGCAGGATGCTCAGCGCTGCCTCGAGATCCAGTGCACTGTCGTCTCTGATGACGTCAAGGAGATGCTCGGCGAGGAGTGACGAGAGGTACGAGTAGCTGACGGCGGGCCTATCCTCTGGCGTGATTGTCAAGGTGCCACGGAGAAAGAGGACGTTGCAAAGGGCAATGAGCGAGCATGGTCCGTTTTCATTCTGCAGGACGATGCGCTGCGAACGGCCTCGCCAGTAGATCTCCTTTGTATTCCACTGCTTCTCTTCATTGGCATCCCGAGCCGCGGGCTGCGTGGCATAGGTCCCGTTGAGCGGCTGCTCTTGTCGCCGGTAGGAAGAGCGAGGTGCATCGCTGCTGGAGGCAGCAAGGGCATACTGGCCACTGCTTCCATGACGTTGATCTTCAGGGTTTCGATGGCGCTGTGCGCGCTTCTGCTCAGAAGCCAAGAGCTGGCGGGCGTACGCTTCGTCGGCTACGATTTGATCACTTGGCGCTGTGCTTCCCGCCTCATGCCCTGGAGGTGGGCCGGGCGGGGGCGCAAAGGTGCCCTGGGCAGCCTCCTGGCTACCGCCCGACGTTTGTCGGTACTGGTTCGCGGTTGGCTGCTGCACTTCGGTGTTGCTAGCCGGTGCAGCCGGTGAAAAGGTCATCTCGGATGCGAATGGGTCCGTCGTGGCCGTCTGAGCTTGCGGCATGCGCACCTGCTCGTCTACTGTTCCTGCAGAAGTGGCATCCAACAGATCTCCTTGCTTATCCGACGTTCCTGCCGCTGCAGCCGTGTGATCAGGCTGAGAAGCCCAGGACTCGGCCGCGACGGGTCCCTGTCGTTGCGACTCTTGTGTAAAGTGAGATTGTTCCAGCTGAGGCGGAGCAGGAGACGAGGTGGCGCCACTGCCAAAGTCGAGACCTGCCAATTGGGAAGAGATGTCGTTGCTCGTGGTGCTCTGCTGCTGCTGCTGAGCTTGGCCAGACATCAGATCCGCAGAGGCAAGCTCTTGCGGTTGTTGCTGTTGTTGTTGCTGTTGCTGTTGCTGGGTTGGTTGGTGGTGGTTACCGAACGTTGCCATGGGATGGAAAGGGTTGGAAGGTGTCGACTGGACGCCGACAGCGTCCGAAGTCGTTCTCGAATGGCTTTTGAAGGGATTGGTCTCGGCCTCTTCCCTCGTCGGCTCAGACCCACTCACGGCGGCCGCAAACGGATTCGTGCTCATCGTGTCTCGGCGACCTGCTTTGCGAGGATGGTTGCTTGATGCCGGTCCCTCGTCGTTAATCGGAGAGCGCTGTGCAGCACCGCCTTCGTGGCTTGCGAAGTGGAGCCAAGAACACGCGGGCCGCACGAATCCATGTGGCTGCTTCTCGGCCTTCTTAGCCCTTGGCGCGGACGCGCTCGTAACGCGCGCGTTCCTCATTTCGCTTTGGAAAGAAGAACACAAGTACAGGCCGAAGTCAGCTACAAGCAGCAGCACAGAAGCAGCAGACACGGGCATGGCGACGTCTTCTTCCAACGGCAAGGCGCCCTCGTACGAGCTGCCTTGGGTTGAAAAGTACCGCCCCCTGAAGCTCGACGACGTAGTGGGCAATGCGGCAACTATTGATCGCCTCAAGGTCATTCAAGAGGATGGCAACTGCCCTCACTTGCTCATCTCGGTGCGTCGTGTTCCCACCGCCTTCTTTTAATACTTGCCATCTTCATGCTAATCAGTCGATCTCTTGGCCTTTTTTCGAACAGGGTCTCCCGGGCATCGGAAAGACGACGAGTGTCCACTGTCTTGCACACGCGCTGCTTGGTGACGCATACAAGGAGGGTGTCCTCGAGCTCAACGCTTCCGACGAACGAGGTATCGATGTGGTCCGCAACAAGATCAAGAGCTTTGCTCAGAAGAAAGTCTCGCTTCCTCCGGGGCGGCACAAGATCATTATCCTCGACGAAGCCGACAGCATGACGGGCGGTGCGCAGCAGGCCCTTCGACGGACGATGGAAATCTATGCAAACACGACGAGATTCTGCTTTGCCTGCAACCAGTCCAACAAGATCATCGACCCCATCCAGAGTCGTTGCGCCATTCTGCGGTATGGCAAGCTGAGCGATGAGGAGGTGATGAAGCGTCTGATGGAGATCTGCGACATGGAAAAGGTATGTATGGTCCAGATGCCCAACCTTCACTTTGCTGCACATTCTCATCGTCCCCTCTTGTCCCAGGTCGAACACAGTAAGGATGGGCTAGCAGCCCTCGTCTTCACGTCCGAGGGTGACATGCGTCAGGCTATCAACAACCTCCAATCAACGTGGACGGGCCTTGGGTTCGTCTCGCCCGACAATGTCTTCAAGGTGTGCGACCAGCCTCATCCCGTCACAATTCGCGCCATGTTGGGTGCATGCTACAAGGGCGACATCGACACGGCCATGGAGAAGCTCGACGAGGTGTGGAATCTGGGCTACGCCGCTGTTGACATTGTCACCACAATCTTCCGCGTTGTCAAGACAATGGACAGCATTCCTGAGGCCGTCAAGGTGAGTTTTCCTTTCTTCTGTGGCCGATTTTTGCAGCTCACATTAGCTTGACCCACAGCTCGAATTTATCAAGGAAATCGGTTGGACACACATGCGCATCTTGGAGGGTGTCTCAACCGTCATACAGCTTGGCGGCCTCCTCTCTCGATTGTGCAAGATGGTGAGGCTCTCCAGGCATTCCCAGTTGCTTTGCGCTGACTGAGACACTAACTCGCTCTCTGTTCGTCGTGCAGCATCTCTCTCCCAAGCTCTTCGAGGTGAAGACATGAATTTGTCGATGGAAATCCATCTGTACTTTTACGACATGACATATACGCAGCAATGAGGGGTAGACTACCATCGCTCCATCTTTTGGTTTGCCCAGTACTCGCCAGACCTTCCCTTTACTTCGTCGGCAAGGGCGAGCAGCACGGGCGTCCTTGCGCCCTGGTCGAGCGTCAACGCGCCTCGGCCTTTTGTCATGTCCGTGTTGACATAACCAGGGCAGCAGCAGTTGATTGTCGTGGTCGCCTTTTCCGCTGCCCATTCGTTGGCGATGGCCCGTGTCCATGCAATGATGCAGGCCTTGGAGGTGGCATACGCGGCGCTCTTGAAGCCCTGCTCCTTTTCCTTGCCGGCATCGACGGCTTGCTTGAAGTCCGTCGCTATGGCGTCCGCCTCCTTGACCGTCTTTGCCTCTCTGAACCGCTTCGCCAGCTCGGGCTTGTATCCGTCGAGCCTGCCCGCCATGCTTGCCAGCACGACGATTCTCGAGTCGCGCTTAAGGATGCCTGACTTTTTCACGTCCTCGACGAGATCCTTGACGGCGTAGTAGTTTGTTCCAAACGTTTTGGTGACGACGTCGCCGTTGAAGCCATCGAGGGCGATGCCAGAGTTGTTGACGAGGACGTCAAGCACGGCGTGCTGGGCGCCCTGCCGACGCTGCAGCTCGGCAATCATGTCGCGCCGCGACTGGGCCGAGGTGACATCGAGCTCGAGGACATCGAGCTGCGAGGTGCCCGCGCCGTCGCCCTGCAGGACGTCCTGGCCCTTGAGCTCGGATCGGAGCGCCTCGAGGGCCTGCTGGCCGCGCTGCAGATCACGCGAGGTGAGGTAGATCGTCGAGGGCGGCCCTCCTCCACTAGAGGCAGTGGCTGCCGTCTGGACGGCCAATCGGCGCGCAATCCCATATCCGATGCCGCGATTGGCGCCCGTGACCAGAAAGACTCTCGAGGGACTCGCCGTCGATGACATTGTTGGTTGTGTGAAGTAAGAGATGTGGCCACAGGCGCTACGAGGCATTCGACGGTTTACATCACCATTTTCCCCCGTGTGTGGAGGTGACCGACCCTCTACTGCTGTATGTCAGCTTGGGAAGGAGAAAGTAAAAAAAAAATGGGTGCAAGAGTTTTAACATTGAAGACCGAAGAAGGTTCCGGGTGAAGATGAACAAAGGTATGAACAAAGGAGTGTGCAGTTGTGTGTGTGTGCTGGAGGGTGATTGACTAGACTTCTTCCGAGTGACGAGAGACCAAATTAGGGGGAAGTGAGGGTAAAGACAATGGCGTCTCTTTGCCAGAGGGAGGAATAAAGGAAGAGGAGAGCGAAAAAGAGAGTGAAAGTGTTGTGCTGTACTTTTACACTGCAGCAGCAATGGCAGCTGCCGCCTGATGGACATCATGGCTCTGGTTCACAACCCTGCGGCGTCGAAGCTGATCGCCATGATGCCTTCTAACAACAATGTCCAGCGCCGCATTGCCAAACGATTGCGATCGTCTTGGGAGCGGGTGAGAGCCCGCGGTGAGAGCGTCCGTAGAGGAGCGCAAGCCCTGCGAAAAGTCCTCGCGCCGGGACAAGAGATCTTCATTGGTATCCAACGCAGTCGAGACCAATTCGTCTCTCCTCGTCGTGCCCTTTGACGTCTTGCGGTGTTTGTGGTGATGCTTCTTCTTGGTCGTTGTAGTAGTATCGTCGGTCGTGTCATCTGTGGCCGCGTTGCTCGTTGTGCCATCAGCCGCCGTGCCAGCGGAAGCTGAATCTGTTGTGGTGCTGGTGTCGGTCGAGCTCTGCTGTGGAGAAGTGCCGCCAGTGGCTCCCGTGGCAGCATTGCCCTTGCCCGAGGGAGGGACGTAGGAGCCACCGTTGTTTCCACGGTCAACTGCGCCTGGTAGCTTGTTGGAATTGTTGACGATGGCCTCGCGCCAGATGATGACGCCAACGACGGCTGCAATGATGAGGAGACCGCCCATGAGAGAGCCCCACTTGAAGCACTTGGCCCTCCGCTGCGCCTTTTGAATCACAGCATCGCTTGCGGCCTTGTCGATGCCATTCGCATCGCGCTTCTGAGCGGCGCTGAACCGTCGCCAGAACTTGGCGCCATTTCCATTGACGTCCCACTCGTCGCCCATACCGCCTGCGCCCCAGTAGTGACTCTTCCTTGCCTGCGGCTTCTCGGTGACCCAGCCCTGTACGCGGGGCATGGGGTCCTCCTCTTCAGGTTCAGGCTCGGGCTGGGGCATGGGTCTTCCAGTGAGAAAGGCCATCGACTTTCTAAAGATACTGCGGCGCTGCTGGCTCGGCCGCCTCTGCGGACCTCCCGCTCCTCCGCCAGCCGAGGGACCTGCGCCTTGGTTGCCCGAGAAAAAGGCCATGCTGCGACGGAGCATGCTGGGCCGGCGTCCAGGAGGACCACCGCCGCCCCGAGCAGCGTTGGGGCCCGGCGAGTCAGAGAATCCAGGTCCCTGGCGGGGCGCATATCGAGATTGTGGTGGACCACCCTGTGGACCTGGTCGGGCGTTGTTCATTGCGTAGGGCGGTGGACCGTCGCCTTCGCTGGCACGGGGTACGACGGCGGGCGCAGGCACAGGAATTGGAGCCTGGCTGGGTCGCCGTGCAGGGCCGTCCCCGGGGTTGGGGACCAGCTGTCGACCTGCTTGTGGACCAGGACCTCTCTCATAGCTCTGACTGCCCTCCGGACGCATACCGTGAGGAGACGGTGGACCCCTACCAGGGCCGCCGCCACCAACTGGACCGTGCATCGGCGAGCGAGGCGGCTGCTCACCACCTCGCTGGAGCGGGATCGAGGCACTGTGCGGATTGGCCATCGCTGGGGGAAGCGGCGTAGCAAAGTACTCGTCACGCGTCGGCGACCTCGCACCCTGGTCGTCCTGCGGCAACGGTGAGGCGAGGCCGAGCTCTTGCGTCAGGGCCGCCGTGCGAGGGCTACGCGCTCGCTCCTGCATCGGTGACCGTGGTGCCTGGAGTGACCTAGCGTCGTTCACGGGCGGATCCTCGAGCTGAAAGCCTCTTGAAGGAGGATGAGCGTCATCGCCACCATCACGAAAGGGCGAAACGGCCGCTGGACCGCCAAAGTCAATGTAGCTACCGTGACGACCGGCATCCTCGCCGTAATCACTCCCGCTGACGACACGTCCATCCGGTGCATCATGAAATGAAGGCTGGCGTTGCGTTCTTCGAGACTCGTGCTCGAGCGGCTGAGGATGAAGTTGCCTCGGCGACGGTTGCCTGCCATGGCCCAATGGTGCACCACCCTCCTTCTGGCTCTTGAGACCGAGCATCTTGAGCGTCGGGGGGTTCTGTGACGCGCTGTCGGGGGGTCGATCACCCACGGCCACCGCCCTCGAGGTCCAGCTGGCCCTGTTGACCTCATCTCCTTGCCCGCCCCTCGCCGTGGCGGAAGCAGCGGCAGGAGGAATTTTGGAAGCCAGCTCATTGTCCGAATCCGAGTCCGAATCCGAGCTGTCGCCTCCGTCCATGAGCATGCCGGCAAAGGCTCCGCCCCCCGAATCTCTGTCCCTATTGCCAGTGCCGGATCCATCCACCTTCTTTGTGCCCTTTGCAAACATGATGCTCGACTGGCGCTTCTTGAACGCCTGCGTGTTCGACGGCGCCATTGTGTGATAAACGTCGTCGTCGTCTTCTTCTTCTACCTCTTCAAGGATATGTTGGGGTGAGGCCAAAAGGTCCAAAGTCGGCTTGCGCTCGGGGACCTCTCGCTTCTTGCTGGTGCTGTGATTCTGTGCGCTCGTCTTGCGCTGTAGCGACCGTTGGTGATTGCGATCGAGATATTTGTCAACGATGGAGCCTACCGTCGATTGTCGGTCGAGTGCCGCTGCTTCTCCAGAGGTGGGAGACGACGCGTTGTTGTTGTTGTGCTGGGTATCCTGTCGCTGATCCTGAATGTGACTCGACTGGTCACGGATGCCGGTGATGATATCGATGCGCTCGTCAAGGCGAGAGGAGGAGGGGTCCGCGTAGGCTTGCTCTTGGTCTCCTCTTCGACCGTACGAGTGCATATAAGGAGCAAGCCGTCTAACCTTTCCCTATCGATCGCGAGACGAAGCAGTCAAATCAAGGCGCGCCGTGGGCTTGGTCGACTAGTATACCTAGCAAGAGCAGGGAGTGATGGCTAGGAGGTGGGTTGGGGAAGTTCTAGCGAGCGGGGAGGTGGAAAGGAGCAAAAGACGAAAGCGTGTGTGTATAATCGGAACGAAACAAAAGAGAGTGTTTGACGAAGAGAACGTGAATCTGTGGAAGAGAGTGCTGTTGGTCGACTGCTGGTGAATGGTATGCTGAGCCTGTCTAGCAAAGGTGACGACGGGAAATGGGAAGGGTGAAGGTAGTGAGGGAGGGGGGATCGAGCTAGCCAGAGAGGCTACAATGATCACATGCAGACAGAGGGCGAGAGAAGCGTTGAGCACAGGCAATGCAGGAGCGTAGCCGCCGTCGCGCCGAAACCTGCAAGAATAGAACTAGCCCTCTTGCCCTTCCATTACAAATTTGCGCGTTGTCCCATTTTAGCGAGGGGTTAATCCTCTCACCGCATGCTTCAAATTCAAAGAAGCACTCTTATTTACTCTCTCGCAGGACAAATATATGTGTCCCATTAGCTTTGTGCTGTGGTCGACGCTCTTGCACTGTGGTCTGAACAAAGAGGTCCGACGTTCAACCTGCCATTTCGAGCTGAGGTCAAGCCTGAGCTCTTTACAAAAGGGAAGTCCTACAAGAACAATCCTCTCTCTTTTTTATTCTCTCTCTCTCTCTCCCATCCGCGACGATCAACCTCGAGGCTCCAGCTGCAAATGCCTCCGAACCGCGAGTCTCCGACCCTGCTCCAGCATTCTTAAGAAAGTTTTTTCTCGACAGAATTGCATACTAGCTGCACCCACCTCGGTCTATTAAATAATAGAATAGCATTTAGCCTGTTTTGGGGCTTGCATCTGCACGTCGTGCTTTATTTCTTGCTCTGATCTGGAGCGCGGCGCGCCAGTGGATTCGCCGCACGGTATGGGCCAGTCGAATCGAGCGCGTACCCGACGCATAGCCTTTTCTTAATAACAAAAGAAAGGGGGAGGGGGAATACAGAAGCAAACAATGAAGCCCGATAGACAGTGTAGATTAGAGAAGCAGCTAGACGTCGATCAGAAAGTCACCACAAAGAGAGTCGTGTCCAAAGCAGATAAGGCCGGGTCAGACGAGAGAGAGAGAGGAAGATGATGGATTGCAGAGAGACAAGAGACAGGAAAAAAAGTCCAGAAGAGATATTCTCGAGAGGATAACAGAGACGGCTTTTATCACAGAAGCTGACGCTTGCTGTCGTTTTCCCACTTTTCCTGCTCCCACGGGTCGCTGTTTGCTGGGAAGCAGAAGGGCAGGATGATAAAGATGAGGGAAATCAGGCCCACGGAGCCACCGAGAAGCGCATAGGAAATAATCTTGTGGATAGGCGTGGCAAACGCCTTTGGCTTCGGGTTAGGGTCGGGCCCCGACGACGTGGTCTTGTTCTTGTCGCTGGGGTTGTGTGGTGTGATGTCTGGGTTGCGCTGGCTTGCGCCATCGACAAAGAGGAAGTTCATGCTGGCATTGGCACTGAGCATGGCGTAGTCCTGGTGAGAAGCATTGGCGACAAAGGTGGCGGTGTGCGTGGACGGGAAGCCACCAAGGTCTTTGAACTGCTGGATAAAGTTAGAGCCCCTGTCCAAGTGGTTGCCGCCCTGCATGACAGCCTGGCAATGCGTGTCACCGGGACCGTTGTCGAGCAGACCGAGGGCATAGTGAACCTTGCGCGTCTTGAAGCGGTCCAGGATGGCCTGCTTGTCGGCGATGACATCCTTGCGGGCGTACTTGGTCACCTTGGTCTGATTGCCACCGATTCCGTACGGCCAGTTGTCAAAATCGGTGCAGGATGCGTTTTGGAAAGGACGCTGGTCCGACAGCCAGGCCCACGAACCAGGGTTGCCCATCCAGTAGGAGATGTTGTCGTCGTACTTCTTCTGCTTCTTGACCAATGCGTAACGCGCCACGGCCTGGCCGCCCATCGAGTGACCGGCAAAGGTGACGCCGTTGAGGTTGGGGAAGTTCGTTGTGTTGAAGAGCCAGTCGGTGAACCAGTCGAGGACTTCGTAGGTGGTGATCGAGTGGTTCAGCTGGGGCGAGCGGCTGTAGCCGCCCGACTGCCACTGGGATCCGTGGAAGACGAGGTCCATCGGGTTGGCTGCACCGTACTGCTGGTCGAACTGGTTGAGCCAAGCAGGGCCAATAACGAGAATTGTTTTGTTGTCGATCTGCCACTCGGGGTGGTTGATGGCTGCCGTCTGCATCGAATTGTAGACCAGGTCGGTGTACTTCCACGAGTCACGCGGCTTACCGGGCATGACGATGACGGCCTTTTTGATCAGCGCAGGGTTGTAGTTGGACGTGATGTAGTATGGCTGTGGGAGATGTTGTCGCGTCAGCTTTCTGCAAATCGGCGGTAAATGGCTGCACTCACTTGGGTTGCATTCTCCTTGATAACTTGGTCCCTCTTCAGGTCGAACATCTGCAGCTGAGGCAGGCCGACCCAGCCCTGGCTGTTGCCGTCGGCATTGGCACCTGCTTGAGCGTTGGCATTGGGGTTCGTCCCCACGTTCTGGTTCCAAGGATACTGCGCCGAGGGATTATTTGCGTCATCCTGAATGAGGGTATATTGCGCTTGGTCGCCACCCTGGAGGTAGTTCTTGACATTGTCCAGCCCCTGAGCAGCCGCAGCCGCACCGATAGGGTCGTTGGCGGCCTGCGCCACAATCGAGCCCTGCACGTCGTCCGTCGCAGGCTGACGCTTCGTTGGAGGTGCATGCACCAGGTGCGAGCGCGTGGCCACCATCCGCTTTGAGTGGTCTACTACAATGTTTGCGCTGCTGCTTCCGCCTGCTGCTGACACAGACGCGACCCACGTCGCCGCTGCGACGGCGGCAGCGGCCGTCGACACGATCCTCATGTTCTTGTCGTCTCAGAAATATGGGGTCTCGTGAAAAGGGTGGGAGAACCAAGGAAAAAAACCCAATGAATGTGAAAGGAGTGTAGTGAGTATCCGCTCAGGCGTTCGCGATGGCTTGAGTGCCGTAGACCCTGTCCAACGCTGTGAAGACGAGAGTCGTTGATGGAACGAACAGTGGAAGGGGAGCGGAAAGGCGGAGAGTCGGAGAGGATGGAGCGTATTTGATGAGGAGGTAGGTGAGACGGAGGCCAGTCAAACTCAGAGCCACGGTTTGCGACAGTTCAATTATAAAATTACTATACTATGGCAGGGACCCCTCAATTTGACGATATTGTAGGGTGCAATTCAGAAATCGATGTTCTATTCTCAGCCCGTGTAACAGGCCACGTGATGGTGTTTGACAAGAGGGGTGGTGGTCTGTATTTGCACTACTTCTGATCCCAGACGTACGGTATCCAGGAAGTGTCATGGCCAAGGACCTTAATGAAGCGGCTTCCATCGCTGCCAGCGCGAAAGAGGAGCAGACGGCTGACCTGGGGCCCCATGAAGCTCGTCTCTTCTGTTGATCCAGTCTGACCGTCGCGGTTGGCAAGGGCAGCAAATAGCCTGCTCGTGCCGTTCTTGTCCTCAAACGTCGTTAGGTTTCCCTCGCGGCTTACGACCTTGAACGCCATCTGATTCGTGAATGCGATAGCAAGGCCGCGCTTCTGCACCGCCCTGTGCGCAAAGTCGCGCACCTCCTCCAGGGCCGTCAATCTCGCTCGACTGATCGTTGCGTCCTTGGACGGCGGCGCTCGAAAGAGAAAGGAGAGGCTGTCGATGATGACCAGCGACGTGTGTGGACCTAGTGACTTGGTCTGGCTCATGGCATCAAGGTCTCGACGCCGTTTCTCCTCTTCTTCCCTCATGGCGCTAGACGCCCTTCTCGCGAGCGGTTGAGCCTTGGCGTACTCCTTTGGACACAGCGATCGGAGGGCTGCCGTCAGCTCATACAGGGTCGTAATTCTCGTCAAGCGGATCCCTGCGAGGACTGTTCGGAGCAGTTTATTTGTCGATGACGTGTGTGCAGTCTTGAGTCTCGCCTTTACAAGCGGGGCTGCCACCTGCAGGATCCTCGATGCAGTCAAGCTACCCTCGGTGTCTGTGCCGGTCTCCCCTTTGATTAGTCCGAGGCTATATGGAAGAGGAGAGTGTCACCAAGGTCTACCCACCAAGAACCGTGACGTTGGCAGCTTCTTTTGAGGCCTCTCTCCAGCAGCTGCCCAGCTCATCTCGCTTGCCTTCGCTCAGGGCCCACAGCGAGTCGAGTCGCTCGACGACTGCAATCCGGATGACCATGCTCGTCTTTCCGCTCGATGGTGGTCCAATGATCTCGACATGATGCCGAATGCTGGTCGCACTGGACGCTAGCACATCGTCCAGAGGAGCTATTCCCGTCTTGAACGGCCTTCTTCTTCTGGTATCATTCCAACGTCTCTCCTCTGCGAGATCCTCAATCCACCTGGCACGTTGGGCCTCTTCAAGCTCCTCCAGTCGTATTGCCTCTTCCGCGTCCAGCTCATCTTCCGCATCCTCGGCGGCAAGAGACCCATCAGCCAAGATGTCACGCCAGTCCTTTGAGCCGCCTCTCTCCGGAGTTGGGCTAAGGCTACGCCGCCGCTCGATGGCATACAAGGGCCTCTGCCTCCAGTCTGTGCGCAGCATCGCACGATCGACCTCGCTCCTCTTCTTGACGCCCCGGGCCCTCTGCGCTCCTTCTTCGTCATCTTCGACGACCGTCTGGGACGGCGGTGGCCGCTTGTCGCGATTGCGTCGAGACAGCGGCACCTTCCAGTCGAATTGGTGGCGCCGACTCGGCCCCGCTTCTCGCTCGTCTTCCCCCTGGCCGGCTGCGTACCGACCCGAAGAGCTGAGTTGCTGCGATGAAGGAGGCGGAGGAGGCGGAACATGCACCACAGTGGACGCCGACACGTCCGTCAGGCCCGTCGTCGATCTCCTCATCATCTTCTCCGCCTGCCAGACGAGGTGTTGGTCTGGTCTGCCTTGCCCTCTTTATTTTGCGCGTCCATCAGTCAGTCCAATGCGCGCGCGCGTTTCATTGCACACTAACAGGTCCCATCCATTTTTATTTTTTTTTCTTCCTTTTCCCGTCTTCCGTAAACCCCGTCTCCACCAGCCTCCAATTCCACACACACACCATCAAAGAGAGCGACCTCGACGACCTCACGATGGCGGGTCCCAATCTCGAGCTGTTCAAGTTCTCCCTCTACCTCTTTTTTCCCCTCGCTATCATGGTCCACTATGGCGATCCGCAGTGGTACCATGACCACGTCCTTCCGATCCGCGATCAATTCTGGCCCGACGAGCGTACCCTCTATGTGAGTCGCCCTGCACTCTTGTCCTCCTCCCACTGCTCTGCATGGGGCCGAAAATTTTGTGCAAGGTGAGGAAGAAAGCTGATGAAAGAGGTTGTCGGGCGTGTATATGCGGCAGAAACCACCGAGGAACTCGGCGGATCTCAAGGCATCGTTGGAGGAGATGAGAAAGGAAAGACTGGCGAAGCGAGATGAGAGGGAAGGGCGCGCTCGTGCATCGACGTCAACAGCCACACCAAGCAGCAGCAGCAGCAGCAGCAACAGCGGCGCAGGAGCTGGAGCTGCTCCAAATCTAAGGGAGGGCGGCGCGCTGGGCAAGTTCTACGAAGCACGAGAGACCAATCGGACGGGCCCGACATGGAGAGAGACATGGGTCGAGGCGACGCAACGCAAAGTCGTTTGACCGGGCAAGGCTTTACATGATCTGTATTGTTATTACATGGTCGGAAGGTCTAGGTGAAATGTACAATTTACGGCAACGTGCCATGACGGCTCTCATCGAGGTAGTAGACGATACCCTAGTAGCGTCATTCTGGGTCAGCCTCGAGGAGAAGGAACAGAGGCGTACGCACATTGTCTGAGCGCTTCTGGACATGTTTTGCACTAACGAGAGCAATGAGCGTCTTGTTGATCTTTGCCTGGGGAAAGTCGGGCGCTTTGACAATGTCGGCGACTGCGCAGTGCATCCAGACTGGTCAGCGGAGCGTGGCAAGGCAGAAATGGGCCAGAAACGCTGATGGCTCACTGCGGATACCCTTGCTGCTGGCAGCGATGAGGGCCATGATGACGTGCTGGGCGAGCGCCCGCGTTTTCTGGGGTAGATTAAGGGCCGATGAGCGACGTGGTCAATGACTTTTAACCTTCTGCGTGCTCACTGGGTCGTTTCCCCGGTACTCGAGAGGCAGTGTGTCGATGATCTGTGCTGCGTATGCCTGTGGTGACTGTCAGGAACACCCTCTTTGATGAACAACGCCGCGATTGGACCCACCTCGCGCTTCTTCTTTTGTGCAACAGTGATTCGTCCCTTTGGTGCCGATGCAGGCGCAGACGAAGCCCCAGCCTTGGAAGCAGACGCGGCTCCCGTCGACGGCTTCTTCAGGGCTGACTTGAGCGGCTGCTGCTGGTGCTGCTGTTGCGATGATGTTGAAGCTTTGGAAGGAGCACTCGTCCTCGCCAGTGCTGCAGTCGTTGTCGTGGTCGGCCTGCGATCGAGCAAGTCATCGTCCTGCGTCATGTAAGTCTGATCACCAATGCCGTCGTCGGGCCCCAAGACAGAGACCGCGTCCATCGAGACACGAGGTGCCCTGGATGAAGCTGGAGCGAGCCCCGACAACGCAGCTGATGAAAGAAGAGTGCTCAGCAAGGGGATCACCATTTCGTCTCAGCCCTCGAAGAAGACCCACCTTGCCTTTCCTTGACGCGCGCAAAGCTATCCTCATCGGGTCTCTTTAATGCTCGGGCCACATCAGCAAGGCTAGATGCAGCAGCCTGCAGCCTCGACCTTACTCACCTCTGGCCACTCGACACAAAAGGCATTCATCTTGAGGCCGTAGAGAAACATGGCGAAGCTTTCGTCAAAGGTCTGCAGCGAATCCTGGATGCCGTCGATGTACTCGAGATTGGCCTGGAGGAGGGCCATCTCATCGGCCAGATCGCCCATTGCCGACGAAAAGCAGCTGAGCGGCGTCGTGCCTGCCTCCTTGTTAGAGCCACCGCCACCATAGCCCTGCGACTGCGAATTGGAGAGCGCGGTGATCGATCCGCGTGACACCCGGCGGATCGGCGTTGTAGGCCGCGAGCGCGACATGCCTGTGATTTGGTGTTGGCGACGAAAACAACACTTAGCACTTCTGACGCGTCAAACCAGTCAGTAGGCTTTCTAGTCCCCAACTACCCGCCTCAATTACGATTTAGTGCCACTCCTGTCCCTCGGCGCTGTTCACGGTATGATTCAGACGACGTCTTTCTCCTCTCATTACAGCATGCTCCGTGCAACAATGGCCACGCGGCTGCTCGTTCTGACATCTTCTGCGAGCAAATGGATCGCCGTGACTGCCTTCAACCTTTTACCGGGTTCTCTTCTTTAGAAGGCCACTTGCGCGAGCTTAGTGCCTGTATTTTGATCCGCAGGAGGAATGCGCCCTACCTCGACGCGTCTCAATGGTCCTGAAATATCACTTTTTCTTTTTTTTTGGCAACCATGGCCCCTCTCTGCACGTACGTCGCAGCTTCTTTGGGAGAATACATAGAATGCCCACACACAAAGAAAGGAGGTCAACAGCTGGGAGGACAGGAGAAAGAAAAACAGCCTTGTTCACTGCTGACCACGACGACCAAGACCCCCTTTCCTTTCCCTCTTTCCTTGGCCGTGTCTCTCACCTTACCGACGCTCTTTTGCTACCCCACGCTCTTTACAAACTTCACCATGAAGACCTTCCAAGTTGCTGCCTTTGGCGCAACCCTCCTGCTGGCTTCGACTGCCTCGGCGCAGGGCCTCGTCGGCCTGGGCGACAAGACGGACGGAGATCTCGTCGCGAGCACGGCAAAGGACGCGCCCAAAGAGGCTGTACAGCTGGCCGCTGGCGCGGCCCTCGGCATCGTCGGTGGCGACGTCAAGGAGGTGCAGACGCTTGCGTCCGAGGGCGTCAATGCCGTCCACGTTGCCGGCTCGCTTGTCCCCGATAAGTCGGCCGGTCAGATCCTTCAGCGCCGCGAGGGCGAGGGCGACGACCTCAACCTCGAGGACGCCCTTGCCCCGCTTACCGCCATCACGGACAAATTCACGGGCTCCGCCATCAAGACTCGTGACGGCGACCTTGGCTCCAATGTGGTGACTGACACCATTGACGAGGTCACGGGTCTCCTTGGACTCGACGGCCTTGCCTCGGAGGTGCACAAGAGGGCCGATACTGGCGCTGATGAGCTCACCGGCGTCCTCAGCACAGTTGAGGGTCTCCTTGGCGTCAACGCCGATAGCAGGAAGCGCGCTGACACCGGCGCTGACGCGCTTACGGGTGCTCTCGACACGGTTGAGGGTCTCCTTGGCGTCAACTCCAAGGGCAGGAAGCGCGCTGATCCCGGCGCCGATGAGCTCACGGGTGTCCTCAACACGGTCGAGGGTCTCTTTGGCGTCAACGCCGATAGCAGGAAGCGCGCTGACGCTGGCGCTGACGCGCTCACGGGTGCTCTCGACACGGTCGAGGGTCTCCTCGGCATCAACGCCGATAGCAAGAAGCGCGCTGACGCCGGCGCCGACGAGCTTACGGACGCCCTCAAGACGATCGAAGGCCTTCTCACCACCAATGTCGGACAAAGCAAGCGCGCCGATGCCGGTGCCGACGAACTCACGGGTGCCCTCAAGACGATTGAGAGTCTTCTCAGTGCCAACACTGACCAAGTGAAGCGCGCCGACGCCGGTGCTGATGAGCTCACGGGAGCCCTCAAGACCGTTCAGGGTCTCCTCGGCATCAACACCGCACGAAGGAGCGCCGATGCAGGTTCCGATGAGCTGACGGGCGCAGTCAGCACCATTACAAAGCTCGTCGGCCTCAACCTCGGCGAGAGGAAGAAGCGCGACAAGGTCGAGGGCTACCACAACAACTCGCCCCTCTTCTTTGCTAGCGTGTCCGACGCCGCCGGAAAGCTCGTCAAGATGGTCGGACAGGGCCTGCCCAACGACGTGCCTACGACGAGCAAGCGTGTCGTCGACGAGCTCGAGACGGCCTTTGTCAAGCGTGCTACCCACACAGAGTCTTCGCCACTGACCGACTACGAGAAGAAGCTGTCTGCGGCCTTTGGAAAGTACACGGCTGCCGTCAAGGACCTCCTGCCCGCGCTGCCCGAAACGCCCGCGGCCAAGCGCGATGCCGGTGTCGACGACAACGCCCTCACGGACCTTGCCAAGGCTTTCCTCGACGAGCTCCACGCCAGGGACCTCGTCCTGCCCCCCCTCGAGATCCTCCCCGGTTCCGGCCCTAAGGCCAACGCGTTTGCACAAGAAGCCAAGGAAGGGCTGACCAAGGCTTGGGAGTCGCTCCACATCGCCAAGCGCCACCAGAAGATGTCAAAGCAGCGCAGGCATTGATTGACCAGCGCTTTTCTCCCTCTTTCCTTCCCTCTAATTACCCTTTCCACTTCATCATAGCCAATACTTCGTGTCCATCACTTTTTTTCCCCGCATTTCCTTTTTCAGCTTCAGCACGGGTCCGTGGATACCATGGACCTACCTTTTACACTTCAAAATATGATCGTCTTGTTTGACACACCCCGACGTCATGGCCATCTTGTGGCGCTTGCTGAGCCTGAAAGCAATACCATCATGAGAAAATCGGTCGAGTCCAAAAGGAGCAAAACCTAGAAAGTCAGGCCGTGGGAAGAAGGATGCCTGCATTGAACATGGGTGCAGCCGTCGCCAGACCGGGCCGGCCGCACGGCACCACGCCTAAGTAAATATACCGCCCATCGGGGAAACAAATTCCGTACGTACTGGACGTGCGAGGTTAGATTAGCCGCCACGAAGGCCTGACAGACTGACTGCATGTATTGAGCGAGAGCGTAACCGGTACTACTTCTGCTGAACGCTGTACCATTTTCAATTGTTGTGCAGTGCATCTCGAGCTCTAAAAGCGGTTAGACTCTAACCCAATGCAGGCGCCCGAAATAAGCAAGCGAAGGTTTCAGGCGGTCCCCTTGCTCGTACAGTGCAGCATTAAGAGCCAACGAGTAGTAGTGGTATTCCTCGCATTCTCAGGCCTAAGAGTGTTTCAATAACGGTGTCCATGACCCTGCGTCGTCATTGCTTGTGTGCGTACAAAAGCTAAATGTGGCTAGACTGAGGAGCATGTACGGCGCGATGCAGTCCGCGAGCAAAGTAAGCTCCAAACGCTAGTGTAGGAGTAGTCGAGCTCGCGAAAATTGTGTCAGGGTTATCGAGATGCTTTAAATTGATAGAGCCTCCGGCGTACCTCGTTCTCAGTTTCGACTGCTGAGAGACTACGTATCACTTACTAGCTTACTACTCCTACTATTTGGAGTGCGACGGCCCAAAGTGGTTTATGCATTGCAGCCTTTTACCGAGGACACCGCCTGCTCTGTCCTTGCTGATATGCCTCACAGCTGTAGCCGCCCCTTTTAGGTTACTGAATACAGGCGCGGTAGTGCGGGCGTGTGCAGCCGCGCACACGCACAAAGAGTACGTTGAGCATCGCCACGCACGGCCCGCACAACGTTTATTGCAACATGGGCAGCCTCTTAGCCCGTCCGCCTCGGCTTTCAGACGAACATTCTGAGACGGCTCGGAAATCGAGGACGAGCTCGTGGGATGATTTTGCCGATCATGAAGGTGCACACACTTTGTAGGACGAAGCTATGATTGATCGATCTTGATTGGCTTTTGCGAAATAGGAGCTTGTTTTGTGCCCTGCATATGTTTTCTAACTATGATGGCATGCACTCCGAGTTCTGTTGCATAGTTGGGGCTCAACCACACGAGGAAATGATGTACACATGCAAGGCCAAGTAGAGGCCGAATGCCTGTACGGTCACCGTTCGACGTCGAATAGAAGCCAAAAACCGGGACGGGTGGGCCGCCTCATCGAGGAGGGAGTAGTGATAGGAGCAGCACGACGTCAGGGTCATTATTGCGTTTGGTGCCCGTCCCGGAGTATTTCGGTTTCCATGCCCTTCAGCCCGCTTGAATTGTTTGCCGCTGAGACGTTTAAAGGCAAGGGCTCGCTTCGGTGCAGCCGCTGTCTAGGCCTGTCCCCCCTCCGCTCCTTTCAGCCTATATCACCGTACCGTCCTGTCACAGGCAACCCCTCTTCCCTTCTCGACTCCGACACGCCACCCTTGGGCTCCCGTAAACCCGTCGTTGGCCCCAGCTTGCCCTCCTGAATTACGACACATCTGCGACTGGTCATCCTCTCGGCAATCGCGCAGATAAAAATAATTTAGGGCTCACTTATTCCCCACATTTCTTCATTTAGGCGGTGGATAAAAAGAGGCGCAAGAAAAGAGCCATGCGGCTTCCTGTCACGTCCCTCCTTCCCTTGCTCGTCGTTGTCCTCCTCCTCGACGTTACCGCCGTCACCTCGACATTCATCCCCACCGACAGCACACAGCAGACAAGAGGCGTGCGCCTGGACAAGAGGACCAAGCGGGCAGCCAAGATGGACGCAAAGACGTTTGCAGACACCGAATTCACCCACCTCATTGTCGGAGGTGGAACCGCGGGCTTGGCCCTGGCGGGGCGCCTCTCGGAGGTGCAGAGCTACACCGTGGGCGTCCTCGAAGCTGGACCATCGGGCGTGGGCGACCCCATCAATGACATTCCCGGCATGTTCGGTGCCAATCTGGCATCCAAGTACAACTGGAACCTCACGTGCGTGTCCTCCCTTTCTTCTCTTCAACGAGGCCTTTCCTCCTTCCCATTGCTGACTAGCCCGCTTGTGCTACAGGACCACGACATCAGAAAGCGGAGCGCCGGCAATTGCCTGGCCGCGTGGAAAAGTCCTCGGTGGCTCCTCTGTCCTCAACTTCCTCGTCTGGGACCGAAGTGCCTCGGTCGAGTACGACGCCTGGGAGCAGCTGGGCAACCCAGGATGGAACTGGAAGAACCTCTACAAGTACCTCAAGAAGAGCGAGGAGTTCCACACGCCTTCGGCCGACGACGCCAAGAAGCTCCACATCCAACCCAACGCGGCAAACTACGGCGACAAGGGCCCCATCCAGGTCTCCTACCCGCGTTACATCTCTGAGCAGGTCCAGCGCTGGATCCCTGCCCTCCAGAGCCTCGGCATTCAGCGCAACAACGAGCCACTGGCCGGCAAAAATGTCGGCGCCTCTGTCCAGCCGTCCAACATCAACCCCAACAACTCGACGAGGTCGTACTCGACGGCATACGTCATTCCCCACGAGCAGCGCAAGAACCTGCACATTGTCACCGAGGCCACCGTGTCCAAGATTGTGCTCGAGAAGAGCGGTGCTGAGCAAAAGGCCACCGCCGTCGAGTTCTACGTCAACGGCCAAAAGTACACCGTCAAGACATCGAACCAGGTCATTGTCTCGGCCGGCTCCGTCCACACGCCCCAGATCCTCGAGCTGAGCGGCATCGGCGCCAAGAGCGTTCTCGACAAGGCCGGCGTCAAGCAGCTCGTTGACCTGCCTGGCGTGGGCGAGAACCTGCAGGACCACACGTACACCAGTGCCGCCTACGAGATCAAGGAGGGCATCGCCACGCTTGACTCGCTGCGCAACAACGAGACCTTTGCCGCTCAGCAGCAGAAGGCCTACCAGTCCAACCAGACGTCTATCCTCGACGAGACGGTGCCCAGCATTGCCTACCTCAGCCTCAAGGAGCTCGTTGGCGACGATAAGGCTGCACAGCTCCAGAGCGAGGCAAAGGACTACGTGAACAAGAGCACGAGCACGTACAAGTACGTGCTCGAGAAGCAGCTCGACTTCCTCACCAAATACCCAGACACCGTCGGCCAGATGGAGATGATTGCCATCGACGGCTACTTTGCCACGAGCGGCGCTCCCGAGACCAACAAAAACTACGTCACCTTCCTCGCTGCTCAGCAGCACCTCCTCAGCCGCGGCCACGTTCACATCAACTCGTCGGACGTCAACACTGCCCCCGTCATCTCGCCCAACTACTTTGACGCGCCCTTTGACCTCGACATTTCGACGGCAGGGACCGAGTACATGCGCAAGATTGCCAACAGCTCGGCCTACGCCGACCAATACATCACCAAGGAGGTCCTCCCCGGCGACGTGGACATCAAGAACTACACGCTCAAGACCTTTACCACCGAGTACCATCCCATCGGCACAGCGTCGATGCTCCCCCGCGCCAAGGGCGGCGTCGTTGACCCCTCGCTCAAGGTCTACGGCACGTGCAACGTCCGTGTCGTCGACGCCTCGGTCATCCCCATCCACATCAGCGCCCACATCCAGAACACCGTCTATGGCGTCGCCGAGTACGCCGCCGACATCATCAAGGGGCTTCAAAAGTGAGGCGCCGAGCCCTTGTAACCCATTCCCCCCCTTGCCAATTTCGCGTTTCCCTCGTGTTTTCCCCTTTCTTTGTATTGCCGATCGATCGATCTTTTCAAACGATCTCGGCCCCACCCCTCTTTCTCTCTTAAGGTCTCCTTCAGCACGGCACTCCTAGACTACGGGGGCATGGACATTCCCCCGTCACAACTCCTTGTCCTCCCCATTGTCCTCCTCCTCCACTCGCACAAATTTGTGACAAACTTCCACAATCAATCAATCAAGCAAGCTCAAATTCTGAAGCGCACTAAATGTGGAGAGGCAAAAGATGCAGAACTCTGGGCGAGAGCTGTCGTGGATAAGCCAAGCTACCAATTTCAGCGAGATTTTCTCATCTCGGACATTCATGGCTTCGATTCTCTGAAGCTGAAGCGGGCAAAAGCAGGACGACGGCCGAGGGCAATGATGAGCCCGGAAGGCCGTTGTAGGAAAATTTTCCATCTTTGAAGCGGCTTCGAATCCCGAGCTTGTAGCACTGTACAACACCACTAGTACTACTAGCTACACTGTTATACAGTGGGCAAGCAGCGGATATGTGAGGGAGACCAAATGACGGAAACTTTGCGACCGTGATGAGATCTGGACACGGCGAGCGAACCGCGATTTGCCTCAGCGCCGCTTTCCCCTGGAAAGGTGGCTTGCAGAATCTATATAAGTAGAGGAAGTAACGAGCGAGGACGAGCAAAAGAAAGAGCCCCATTTGAGCCCTCTCACTGAGGAATAGGACATCATGGCCCTCTTGCTCTTTTCGTTCCTCTCCTTCCTCGCGGTCCTCAACCTCGTCCTGACTCCACCTACCTCTGCGCTCCCGAAACGCAGCAACAAGCCCGAGATCTCCATGACGATCTACAACAACTGCCAACAGGCCTTTACCCCGCGCTTCTCGTCTGCTCCCTCGCCGTCGTTCCAGGCGCGCGAGATCGGGTCAAAGGATTCCCATGTCTTCACTTTCGACTCGCAGAGCTTGTGGAAGGGCCAGATCTGGGCGCCGTTGCCCGGCCGCGCGAGCGGTGCGACGACGAGGGCCGAGATCGACTTTGACTCGGGCGATTACGACATTGTCTTGTGAGTGACCTAGGTGGTACCTCCCTTTCTGTCTTTCAGCAGCTCAAAAGTGGGAGCACCCACAGGGACAAGGGCTTCAACGTTGCAGTCTACCTCGAGCACCAAGGCAAAAAGTACGAAGACAGCTGCAATGCCGCCGTCTGCTCCGATGCCAACTGCACCGATGCCTACCGAAAGGAGAGCGGGCTACTGCAGGGGACGAGACAGGGCGACTCGACGCAGGCTCCCAACCACGCCTGCCCGGCCGACTTCCTGACATGGGTCGTGAGCTTCTGTTAGAAAAAGACATACGAATATAACATTGCAGTAGATCGGTGCGGCGCCATGCCTGGGAGGCCGTTTGTCAAGATACTCGTACATGTGTGCGTCAAGAGGAGAGAAAGAAAAAGACCCGAGAGAAGTGGTTGGACCAGTGCTGCGTGTGGAGACGGGAAGAGAGTCTAGTCTGGGCGTCAGATTAGGAGTCGACGCGGTCGGAGAGGTTGAGAAGAAGCGTGGCGAGGCATCGCTTGGTAATGTGGTCGTTTTTGAGCAGCTGTGAAAAGGTGGCGTCGCGCAGAGGTGCGGGCAGACAAGCCCGGAGAGCTTCGCGAGCGCTATTTGAGCATTTGGTCATGTCAGCTCAATACGCCGCTGAATTCATGCAGAAGAAGCTCACCGAGGATTGTCGCTGAGACGGAGGTAGCACCGGACGACGTGCTTGAGCAGCCGCACAGCTTGGCTCTCGACAATCTGCGTCACCATGTTGCTCAGGACAGTGCCGACGGCGTAGAAACGCTCATATGTCTGGCAGATATAGGCCAAGCCTGTGTCGTCGAGAAGAATCTTTTGGACGATGAAGATGGCTACCGTCTTGCTGAGCTCGGAGCCCGTCTCCATGATGCGAAGGCAGAGGGGGATGATCTCCGTCGAGAGGAGGAAGCTGATGATGTCGCTGTTGTCGTTCTGCTTGACAAGAGCCCCAATGACACCGAGCGACGTCAGGCGCAGGTATTCGAAAGGCCGAGTCTTGGAGGTCGTGTTGAGGAATGGATAGAGGAACAGGGGGATGTGAGCTGCGAAAGAGATTTTCATCAGTCTCAGAAGCCTTGCAGGAAGTGTCGTAGAGACGAACCGTTGAGAAAAAGCACCCTGGTCTCTGGATGGCTGGCCACGCATTGAAGAAGGGCCAGCGCATTGCACACCCTGTTCGAAGCATGTGCGCTAAGCGACGAGGGCGTAAGCATCGGATAGACCGAGATGATCTCTTGCAATAGGGATGACATGACGCCTAGTTGAGAGAATGCCGTCAGTATCAATTCGGCGTACGATTAGGAGAAAGGGGCAACCACTCACCAAAACTGTGCCAAAGGACCAAGGCCAGATCTTCGTACTGCTCGCGTTTCTTGCTCAACTCCAGCAGCGCAGTCTCGCGCTGCGTCGAGCTTCCAGCAAGCGCCTCTGCTCCCGTAGCTCCTGTAGCGGGGCCTTGACCCTGCCCCGAGAACTGGGCGCCCTGCTTGTTTGCCGAGATAATCGAGGCTGGGTCAGGTCTCTGGCACAGCTGGGTGATGAGGTGGTAGACGCTGAGAGCCGTCGTTGGCGTTCCGCCTGGCCCTGTGCCCGCAGGAATAGATGGTCCAGAGGTTGCAGCTGGACCAGCAGCTGCCAGCATCGAAGGCCCCAGGTCGACGCCAGCCAGCGATCCGCCCATTGCAGGTCCTACACCGCCGGAATTGGCCGCGCTGTTGTTGCTGTTATTGTTGCTGTTGTTGGCGGTGGAGCTGCTTCCTCCCTGCTGAGGATTGGGCGTTGACGAGGCACCGGAGCTCGCGCCCGAGCCTGGCTGCTCCTTTGCCGTCTGCATTGTCGGAACCAGTGCTCGATGTCGAGAGTAGCACAGAGCGGCAAAGTGACGAGAGGAAGATTGGAAAAGCGGCTCGCGTGGCATTCCTCTCGCACTCCACAAAGAAAGACGCCCTCTATTTTATTTTTTTCCCCTTCCTCGAGAAGATTGGCCAAGATCAAGAGTGCTACAGCCTCATGATTCTGCGATATGCCGCACGGCGCTTCTCGACTTCGGCTCGAAGGCTCATCAAGGAAGAAGGGTGGCAAGGCAAGGGCGCGAATGTGGTAGACTTGCTCGCATCGAGGTCGCTGCTGCAGCAAACGACGGCGCCCAACTCGCTGCGAAAGCACCTCGACGAGGCTGAGCGGACAGTGTACGCGGGCGTGGATCCTAGCGCAGACAGCTTGCACGTCGGCAACCTTCTCCCGCTACTCGCCTTGCTCCACTTTGTCAGACAGGGCCACAGTGCGGTAGCTCTGGTGGGTTAACTTTCCTCGCATCCCATCTCCGTCAGACACTGAGTTGCTTCAAATAGATCGGAGGTGCGACCGGAAGCATCGGAGACCCTTCGGGACGAGACACCGAGAGATCGTCCCTGTCAACCGAACAGCTCCAACACAATGTCTCGAGGATCACAGAGCAGGTGCACAGCTTCTTCGAGAGGGCAAACGAGCACCTTGCTAGCAAGCGCAAAGGGGAGGGAGAAGAATCACCAGTGGGCAAGGTGACGGTGGTCGACAATGCCGACTTTTATCGAACAATGAGCATGCTTGACTTTTTGAGAGACGTCGGACGATATGCGAGGGTAGGCTCTATGCTTGCCCGCGACAGGTGAGTCACCGCGAAGCTCTCATGCGGCACGGTGGCCGTGCTGACGGTAGCATTAGCGTCAAGAACCGACTCCAACCCTCAACGCCCGATGCAGCACCGACTGGCCTCTCCTTCACAGAGTTTTCCTACCAGCTGCTCCAAGCTTACGACTTCAGCGTGCTACACAAGGAGTGGAACTGTACTGTCCAGCTCGGCGGATCAGACCAGATGGGCAACATCTCCGCCGGCATTGACCTAATCCGCCGCCGCCAACATAGCCTATTGGAGTCTGGCATCAGCGAGGGCCCCGAATCGCTGTCCCAGTCGTCGGAAAAGGACGAGCCTTCACCAGCGTACGGCTTGACTTTGCCGCTCCTCACAACTTCCTCTGGCGCCAAATTCGGAAAGTCCGCCGGCAACGCCGTCTGGCTCTCGTCAGATCGGTGCTCCGACTATGAATTCTACCAATTCTTCCTCCGCTGCTCCGACGGTGAGGTCAGGAGCTACCTGCGGTGCCTCACGATGCTATCACTCGAGGATGTGGACGAGATTTTGCGGGAGCACGACAAGAACAGACGCGAGAGAATCGCGCAACGGGCCCTCGCAAGAGAGATGGTCCTGCTTGTGCGAGGACGAAAGGCGTTGGACAGAGCCGAGATCGCGACAAAGATTCTCTACGAGAAGCGCATCAGAGAGGTGACGAGGGAGGATGTCTTGTCCACATTTGGCGAAGAGCAGTCGACGAATGGCAAAAAGGTTCTGGTCCGGTTGGCGACAAAGGATGCCGTCGGCGTGAGCATCGGAAGTCTGGCCGCGTCCACTGGCCTCGTCAAATCACGCGGCGAGGCCACAAGGGCGATGAAGAGCGGTGGCCTCTACGTCAACGACGTGCCCGTCAAGGACCCCAGACAGACACTGAGACACCAGAACTTTGTGTCGGGCAACCAGACGCTGGCTGTCTTGAGTCTTGGGAGCAAGGAGCACCGTATCCTTATGATCGACGAGATTGATCGGAGTTAGACCACAGATCACGAGAAAGCGGACAAGGCCAACCACCCTTCACAAGAACCCGCCTCGGGTGAGCAAGAAGCTGCTACAAACGACCAAATGAAATAGAAGGACCAATGAGGAGGTATCTAATGTACTGTAGAGAAGCAAATGTGAAGAAGAGGACTATTTAATCTGATGATGTTATGCTGTGTGTGCGCGATGCTCCAATATTATTGCTTGAGTCGCTAATGCTATCCCGGGGTCCCTTACTGCTGCTGCAGATCTTGATCCTGCTCCATGTTGGCCTCTCTGTTCTGTCTGTCTTGCTCCTGCTCGCGCTTGGGCACTACGGCCTCCCAGAGAAGCTGCGTCACCAGCTCATCTGCATGCACACATCAGCAACTTTGTCATCTGTGGTCCGTAGGCCGAGTCGTTCACTCACAATTGGTAGGAACATGATCCCTGAGCATCGACCTCGCAAAGACCGGTTCGCTAAACTTTGTCGTGACATCCTCAACGAGCCTCATGATCACTCTGGCTGCCTCTGCTTGTTTCTGGCTCTGCTGCGCCTCCGTCTGCGTCGTGCCGCGCGAGCTGTGAGAGTTTCTGACGTCGTCGGACATGGACATGTGAGCCGTGACAAAGACCTGCTGAGCTTCGAGGTGGTAGACCTGACCGGGCGGGTAGAGCTTGTCGGAATCCATGCTGGCTCGCATGGTCTTGATGAGGCTCCAGAGCCAGTCAGCCACCTCCTTCTCTTCGTCTTCTTCCTTGTCCCTGTCTTCTTGGAACGGATGACTGTACTGCTGGCCCGCCGGGCGCCTCTTCGCCTTGTCTTTATTTAATCGCGGGTCCTCGGACACGCCCGGATCGCGGTATCCGGCGTCTGTTGCCCTGTTCCTGGTTCGTCCCTCGGCGAGCTCTTGCACGTCAAACGCCAAGTTTCTCTCGTGCTCCGGCAGCTCCGTTGGTCGCTGCATCATCGCCTCCTCATCGTCCTGCTCGCGTCCTTGCTCGAGAGCGGCCCGTTGGGTATCGCGCTTCCTGCGCTGGTAGAGTCCTACAACGCGGCCGACAATCTCTTGAGCCATGGTGCTCTCACGCTCGTCCGAAAGGCTGAATGCGACAGCCTTCATGTCTCGCACCCAGCCAAGGGAGAGGTACGGCACCATATCGTGGCCGTGGACTACGGTAGTGCAGAGACCCTTGCAGTATCGACTCAGGTCTGCACTTGTCGTTGCTGGGCAGCCATAGCCATAGACATGGATCGGTCTGCCGGGAGGCAGGATCGAATCTAGTGACGTGACAAAAGGTGACGAGATGCGTGGGTGTCGAATCGCACTGGCTTCGGGGTGGTCCAGGACGGCCTGCTGGAACAGGTCCGAGGGCGTAGACAAAAGCAGGGCGAGCAGAACACCGACTCCAGCGCCAAGAGAATGGCCCGTGATGACTAGACCATAGTTCGGGGAATCGAGGAGAGCCGTTCTGAGCGTCTCGAGGACGATACTACCCTTTGTCGACAGCCGCTGTGCAGATGCAAGCATGCCCGAATGGACCTGATACCGATGATGTGGCTTGCCGCCAGGCACGCTGATGTCGACATAGTCGCACGTCAGGTCCGTCAGCATGTCCGACAGACCCAGTGTCCCTCGACACGTCAGCACGATTGCCTTTGCCTCATCGTCACGAGAAATGTAGTTGACAATCGGGGCCATCTCTGCAGTACGGCGCCGGGTCAGTTCCAGCGCGTCAGAAGATCGAGGAGCAACTCACTCTCGGAATGAAATGGCGTGTTGGCACCCTCGCAATACGAGCTGAGCAGCACGTTGTTCGGCGGAATGCCCACATGGTGAGCGTACGAAAAGATATTTGCGCTCCTCTCGCGCGTGTCGGCGAAGAAGTACTGGCCGTCGCCAATGCCGAGTACGCGCATGACATTTTGACCGTAGGCGGCACTCGAATGCCTGCTGAAGCGACGCAGATTCTTGACGAGATGCTGACGTGGGAAGGCACCGGGCGCACCTTCTGGCCCCTCTTCCGCCCCGTCCGTCGTGGTCGTCGTCGTGCTCTGCGTGTGAGTGTGTGTGCGAGAGGCAAAGGAGCGGATTGATCCAATAGATGGTGCGCGGGAACGCCGCTTGCGTCTCATAGATGCGGAGTCGTACGAGGCGCCTGTATTTGGATTCTGCGTGACGCCCGTCGTACCCGGCGGAGGCGCAGGCAGGTCTTTGTCGATCTGAGGCTTCTTTCTGAACGGCTTCTCTTCTCGCTTGGCGTCCTTTGACGGGGTACGGGGGCTGATGGGCTGCAGTGGGGTTTTCTGCGAAGCAGCAGTCGCATCTTCAGGGTGAAGATTGTGCCGCGTATTTCCACCGCCGCCTTTCAAGGAAGACTTTGCCTTGTGCAGCGCTCGATTGAGCCCGGTCCCAATATCTTGACCGTTCCGTGCCTGGCTCGCTGCAACCGGCGTGGCTGTGCCCGCATCGCTCGCTGTCATTGGCGAATCGAAGTCTTTCCTCTTTGAGGCCAGCCTGGGCGAAGAACCGCTTTCCATCTCGCTGTCTTCTACCTCCTCGTCTTGGATGTGGACTTGCTGAACGACTCGTCTTTTCTGGATTAATCTCCTCGTCATGGTCCGAACAACCTCCTGGACCCTCTGCTTGGACTCGTCTGGCCGCTCCAACGTCTGTTTCCTCGAGACGGTTGCAATGCTCGTCTCCGCTGGCCTTCCATTGGGTGCTTCGGGGATGCTAGTCATCGACTCGTCGACAATTGGAGACAAGGAAGAGTTTCGCATCGACCGCTCTACCTCCATCCAGTCCTCGTCTTCAGACGACCGGCGACCACTTTCATTGCCATTGGAGGACGGCGGCACTGCACGCTCAGCCCGTTCGCTCGAGAACGCGTTGAATGGGTTGGGAAAGCGAAGCGACTTGCTGTCTTTTCGGGGTTGCTGCGGCCTGCGATCCTTCGTTGTTGTCGTGGTAGTCGTTGTCGTCTCCTCAATGACCTCGGTCGTCTCTGTCGTGATCTCGTATATGGCACCACCGTCGCGACCCTTTCCCTTGCGCCTGAATATCCGCTTTACATCCCTTGGCCTCGTGTTCCCATTGGGTCCTACCTCTTGACGGAGCTGGCCCAGGACGAGTCCCCTCTCGAGGTCTGCTTGGTCCGACTGCTGAAGAATCTCGCGCATGTCCTCGGTCAGCTCGTCGTCTCGAAGCTCGGCAGCTGCAATGACCGTGCCATTGGGTGTCGCTTGACCGCTCGAAATAGGATCGTCCTCTTCCACCGCGCCGACAAGGTAGTCGAGATCGTCGAGGAGACCCAGCGGCTCCTCGAGACCACTTGCGTCTCTCGGCAAGCGGTGAGCTGAAGCGTCATAGGATTGCTCTATGTCTTCGAGGTCGAGGTCTTCGTCACCTCCTGCAAAGATAGACCTCGGTCGTACCATCGACGAGAGCGCGGAGCGAATGCTTCCCATCGACCGGCGCTTCCGCTCTTCCCTCCTACCTGACAAAGAGCCATCACTTCGGAGGACCGACGAGGTCCTGCTGGGAATGGGCCCTGGAAGTGCAGGAGGCCCATCGTGCTGCTGTAATGCGCTCTTGACAAAGTTGCCAGGCCCGACGAGCTGGGCGCGCCAGCTCTTCATCTCCGTCTCACCAAGGACGATGCAGTCGTACAGGACGCGCGTCTTCTGCGTCTTTGCCGTTCGCCGGTACGTTGCGTTCTGCACCACAGCAAACGTCGTGATGGCCTTTGTCAGGGCGCCGAGTGCACGAATGCCACCGCCGGCCTGGACGACCAAGGGGTCGTTGCCACCGAGCTCTCGCTTGAGGAGACCAATGAAGCTCGAGAGGGCCCTCGATGTCTCGTTGGATCCAAAGATGCCATCGAGGATGCGTACCGACTCATCAGCCGCGCCCAAGCCGGCCTTGATTGACGTCCCCGCGAGGTAGAAGCCCGATTGGGCAAACAGCTCAGCGAGCGTAAAGGTGTGGTGGATCAGGTAGACGCCGAGGGCAGTATACTTGTCGAGGACTGAGAGAAAGGCCGACGACTGCTCTTTTCGGACGAGCTCCTTGACGCCGTACGTGGGGGATCTGCCGACGTTTTGGGCATCCCACTGCTCGCCATTTTTGAGCGCATGTATCGCCCTTGCGGTGCCCACGGCGCTGATGAGAGCGCGTCGCGTCAGGCCGAGGCCCATTCCTGTGCCGTACTTTGCCGTCTCGAGGATGACCTCGATGAAAAAGGCCGTCGACTTGAGAGAGACGCGAGCCAGGAGCGCGAGATTGGTCACCATGTCGGCCAAGTTCTGGGGCAGGAGCGTGGAACCCGTGGCGAACTGGACGATGGCCGCGCTGGCGCCGCTTCCTGGCGCGACCTGGGCTTGCGTCTGGGCGAGCTGCTTGAGCGTCTCGGCGACGTCCATCGACCGACGGCTCTCATCTTCGTTATCGTGGTCGCCTCCTACGAGGGCCATCTTGGAAAGGCCATCAGCATCGTCGAGGGCGGGCCTGGACGGCCATCGAGCGACGGCCGAGGGCGCCTCCATTCGACTTGCGGCCTGGTGCGGTTCGAGAACGACTCTTTCGTGAATTCAATCGTGTCGCTCGGGTCGTGAGATCCTGCTTGTCACAATGGTGAAATGTGTATATGCGCGTGGTAGCGGACCGATTCGTGTAGGCTGGCTATGGAGTCTGGCTATATCGCAGACGATGGCATGGAAGAGCGGCGGTTTGAATCCCAACAATATAATGTCGCCGAGTCGAAGCTGAGCCAAGAAAGCCGGTTTCCTTTTCGAATGATCCGTCGCTCAAAATTTGGCAGGCAGGCAGGCAGCAGCGGTCCCTAAGGCGAGCAATGAGAAGCGATACCGATAGCAAGATTGGCTCTAATCCCCCCTGAATTTTTAACTCAAACGGCAACAAACACCTGAAAGAGGAGGCAGGTCCCTGTCAACAACGCGCGTCATGTTCTCCTCCGAGTTCCGCGCCCTCGTCGTAAGTTTCAATTTTTCAGGCAGTGATAGATCGAGTAGTGAAAGGGAGAGCAAGATGGAGTTGCCGGACGGGCGCAGGCCATGCGACGACGCAAATGAGACAAGGGTGCACCACACATCATTGAAAGTGCAGAGACGATCTTGTTTTGGAAGCTCGCAGTCAGTGTTTGCATGAGCCCGATGTGTAGTGAAGTAAGTAACACATACACGTGAAGGAGAAGTTCCGTCGGGCTACCGGTACCTTTTTTGTTTTCGGAAATCTGCAATCTTCCATCCGTCGGTACCAGATCGTCGAGGAGGATCAACAGCCATGGCATCGACGTCGGCGGCAGGAGCCCAGAACGGGACCGCGTCAGGGTCCGTCGAGACGAGCGTGGGCTCGACAATCTTTGCGCGCCTGCATCCGCAGCAGTACCTCTCTCGCTTTCTCGCCCTCTCGCTCCGGCCCGATGGCAGGAGTGCGCGGGCCTGGCGAGGCACCACGGTGGCGCCCTCGTCGATTTCGTCTGCGCAGGGGAGCAGCATGGTCCGGCTTGGTGGCACTGTAATTGTTGCGGGTGTCAAGGCAGAGATCGTTGACACAACGCAGGAGCCCGAAGAGGAGGAAGACGACGAAGACAATACAGAGGCGTCAGGGCGGCTTCTTGGAAGGAGATTGGTCCCCAACGTCGACCTGGGGCCCATGGCTAGCGCCCGCTTCAGGCCCGGCCCACCCGGGCAGGAGGCCCAGGTCGTATCGCACCAGCTCTACCACATCCTTTCTTCTTGCCCACCGCTCGACGCACGAAGCCTGACGATCGAGCGGGGCCACGCTGCGTGGTGCCTCTACGTCGACCTGGTCTGCATCGCCTACGACGGCAACGTCCTCGACGCCGCCCTGCTCGCTCTCATGACTGCCCTGCGCGAGACATCGCTCCCCGCGACGCGCTTCGACGTCGACGAGCTCCGCGTCATCTGCGACCCCGACCCAGCTACCGCAAGGCGGCTCGAGCTTAAGAGCCTGCCCCTCGCGTGCTCCTTTGGCATCGTCGACGGCTCGCACCTCCTCTGCGACCCAAACGCATTTGAGTCCACGCTCACATCGGCCTCGGTCGTCGTCGCTGTGAATGCGCTGCGAGAGACGGATGCAGACGAGGAAGAGGAAGAATTGATCCACGTCGAAACGTCTGGCCTGGCCAAGGCTCGCATCACCCACGAAGAGATGCACGATGCCAACCTGGCACCGTCTGCCGCCGGGGATCAGAGCGATGCCACGGTGAAGGAGGCACCTGATGGAAGCTCGATTATCATCAAAGACGAAGCCCTCACTCAGCTCTGCGTTCAGCGCGCCAAAGCACGCTGTCGAGAACTGCGATCTCTGGTCCTTTCGTCGTCATCATCACGGTCATAAATCACCGATATACACACGCCGGCATGGACTCTCTGTAACACTAGAAAAGAAATTACTCCAATGGCATCGATAGAGATTGCAACAGAGAGGCGGGTAACACCTAGTCCCTCAAGAGGGCGTTGACAATGTGACGCACCCTGAGCTGCTTGAGGTCCGTGTAGGTCTGGCCGACGCCGACAAAGTAGATGGGCAGGCCCGTGACACTCGTCGCCGTGAGCGAGGTACCGACCTTGTCGTCGACTAGTTGATGCATGTCAGCGCGCGCATCCACATGTATCAGGGACCAAGAGAGAGACTCACTGGTATCGAACTTTGTCAGGAGCATGCCGTCAAGGCCCCTCGGTCTGCTCACGCCACTGAAGTCCTTCAGGCTTCGGTCGAACTTCGTCAGCTGGTCCACTGCCTCGTTTCCCACGAGGGCCTCTCCGACAAAGATGATCTTGTCCGGGTCATTGACGGCGACAAGCTTGGCCAGCGCCCTCATCAGCGGTTCGTTGTCCTGCATCCGGCCGGCCGTGTCGATGAGGACAACGTCAAAGCCATTGGTCTTGGCGTAGCTGAGTGCATCCTTGGCGATGCCGGCCGCGTCCTTGCCATAGCCACGCTCGTAGAGCTCAATCTTGTTCCTGACGGTGCCGTCTGCCTCCTCGACACCATCGGCGACGCGCTGCCCGTCGACCTCGAGCTGGCCGAGGTTGCGTACATGCACACGCAGCTGCTCGACAGCACCGCTCCTAAACGTGTCGCAGGCGGCAATGAGGACGCGGAGCTTGTTCTGGAGCAGCCAGAAGCAGACCTTGGCCAGGTTGGTCGACTTGCCCACGCCATTGACGCCGACGAAGCAGAGGCTGTACGGGTCGACGGCACCCTGCTGCTGTCGCACCAAGGCGGATCGCTGCTTCTTGGACGAGATCTCGAGGAGGATGTCCGTGCTCGTCTTTGGTGTGAGGATCCTCGTGATGCTGTCCTCGAGCGCCTTCTTGACCTCGGACTTGATGCTGGAGAAGTTGCCGAGCTGCTTGCCCACGAGGCTCGAAGACACCGACTGGCACAGCTTCGAGGCCACATCTGCAGCGACATTCTTTGACTGGAGATGGGACTGCATCGCAGACAGTGCTGGGGCCAGGTCTTGGGCCGTCAAAGGCCGGTTGCCAGTCAGGCGGGAGAAGAAGCCACCGCTGCTGCCGCCGCCGTTTGCTTGCGCCGACGACGACGCGGCACCGAGGGAGGCAAAGCGCGAGAGGAAGCCAGCACCTGCTCCATTCGAGCCTGTCCCCGCGTCAGCCTCATCCTCGTCGTCATCCTCGTCCTCCTCATCGTCTTCGTCCTGGGCATCGTCGACATCTGCCAGATCGTACATGCCGTCTCTCCGCTTGCCCATGCTCTTTTCGTCGATCCACCCACTCAGGCTTCCCTTCTCGTCTCCGTTGCCCCTTGCCGATGCTGCTGTCGCTGCCGCCGCTGCTGCACCTGTCCCGACACCACCACTGCTGAAATCGAGCGCAGCCATGTCCTTGTCCGACACCGTTGCCCCATCCCATCTCCGCATCTCCTTGGCCGGCCCCTTGCTCTTCTTGCCCGTGGGCGTGCCGGGGGCAGACTCAGTCCCGCTGCCTACAGGCGACTCCTTGTTACTCCCGCCCTTCTTGCCCTTCTTGCCTGCACCTGAGATCTCGGCCTTCTTGAGCCTGTTGCGCAGCGCCTCGACGTTCTTGGCCACGTCCTTGCTGGCGCCATTCTGCCGCGGTGTCTCTTCCCCGCCGCTCGCTTCGACGCTGCCAGCCTCGTTGTCGGCGAGGGCAGCGACAGAGTTGCTGGATGCAGCCCGCGCCATGGGTGAACCGACACTGCCACCACCACCGGGGCCCTTTCGCTTCGACTGGGCCGCGCTCCTCTCGAGGGTCCTCAGCGTCTGCGCAAATTGCTGGTCCCACGCTGCGTAGGCCGCCTGGTAGTCCCGCTGGAGCCTCTTGAGCGAGTCCGAGCCCAGTCCGCCATCCTGAATCGTCGAGCTGCTCGACGCCGGCTGCGACTCGCGCGAGAGGGCTACCAGAAAGGGCCGGAAGCGCTGCAGAAAGTCGTGCTTGACCGTCTCGAGGAGCTGTTCGACGTAGGCGAGCTGGAGGATGCGTTGATGCACGGCGACAAAGACGCACTCGACGTCGTTGGCAAATGCATACCGGATCGTGTAGCTCTCGCGCTGAAAGGTGGAAGAGGAGACATCGTCTTGGAGAAAGGCCTGGACGACGAGGCTGTCGATGGGGTGCGACGACGAGCCCGTCGTCGAGGGTGGGATCTGGGGCGTAAAAGACCGCGAATAGAGGACGAGTCCCGTCTTGGTGAAGATGGTAAAGTGGTCGAGCATCCTCTGACTCTGCCCAAGCACTCGCCTGCGTGCCTGTCGCTCGATGCCAGTGTTGGAAGCAGGTTGAGGAAGAAGGCCGGATGCTGCTGCAGGGCCCTTGGGCCTCGTCCCAGAGGAAAGTCGCGCACGTGTGTCGCGCGTTGACTGACCGACCGACACTCCTCCACCAAAGAATCTGTGAAGGCCGCGCGGAGAGCCTGATAGATAGACCCTCTCTCATCTACTCACGCCAACACCTTGACGTGACTATTCGCCTTTTCACAATCTTGCGAAGCACCAGCCGAGCGATACAAGCCATCATGTCCGGCAACAAGTCTTACATGATGTGAGTCTGCGTGTGCGCTCCTTGCGCTCGTTCTTCCTTGTCCTAACTTACCTCCCCCTCCCCCTCCGCCGCTAGCATCTTCCGTAACGAGGCTCCCCAGGCCGAGATCGACTCCAAGATCCGCGAGGTCGAGAACAAGGGCGGAAAGATTGGCCAAAAGTTCGAATCGGGCATTCTCAGGGGCTTCGCGGCGACCATGAGCGACGACGAGGCCAACCAGCTCAAGGCTCTCACCGAGGGCGGCTCCCACCCCCACATGTGCGCGTCTCTCTCTCTCCCTCTTTCTCTCTCTTCCTTAGACCCATTCACTGACACCGCCATTTCTCTCCCTCCCACAACAGCGAATACATCGAGCCAGACCAGACGATGAAGACTATGTAGATGACACTTCGCAGGAGATGTATACTACTACACTTTACAGCATGAAGCAAGACCCTTGTGTTCTAGTGGGCCTCCCTCCTTCTCGGTGCGCTCTTGAGCACGTCGTCGACCCGCAGAATGAGCTCGCTGGCCTCGCTGGCAGAGAGGACGACCTGTCGCTTGAGCTTGTAGCTCTCGGTGACGCCCAGCTCGCGCATGGAACGGACCCTGGCCTCGTTGAGGTCCAGGCCGGCGTCCTTGTCACCCTCCTGGTGCGCGGCGCGGAGCTTGGCCACGAGGTCCGCCGAGTCCAGGCCGGCATTGTTGGCCAGGATGGTGGGCAGCTGTCGGAGGGCCCTGGCAAAGGCCTCTGTCGCAATTGCCTTTTTACCCGCAGTCCGTCGAGCCTCTTCGTCGACGACCTTGCTCATGCTCATCTCTGCACAGCCACCGCCGAGAACGACGCGCGTCTCCTTGACCGTCTGGCTGAGCACGCTCAGCGCGTCGTGCAGCGACCGCTCCGCCTCGTCGACCATCTGCGACGTTGCACCCCGGAGCACCACCGTGCACGCCTCGCCCGCAGCGACGCCCGAGAATTTGATCAGCCGGTCCTCGCCAATGATGACCTCCTCGATTAGGTCGCACTGGCCGAGCTTGACCAGATCAGGCCGGTCAAACGTCGACGCAATCTCACCACCCGTGACGAGGGCGAGCCGCTCGACACCCTCGAAGTCGGCATGCTCAATGCAGACGATGCCTGCCTCGGCGAGGAGCGACTCGGGGTAGTTGTAGATGAGCTGCCGGTTGATGAAGCAGTTGATACCATGCGACTTGATCCTCTCGACCTTTGCCTTCATCTTCTCCTTCTCGGCCCTCTCCAGCTCGGCCAGCTTGCCCGTCCCCTCTACGCGGACGCGGGCGCCAAAGACCTTGACCTTGTCCGTGTCCATCGACGTGTTGGCAATGAGAATCTTTGCCTTTTCGAGCCTCTTGGGGCTGCTGCCGCCAATGCGCTTGTCGAGGATGAAGCCTTCGTCGAGGTAGCTGTCGGTCAACTTGCCGCCGACCTTTTTGATGATCTGGATGTTCTCCAGGTTCGTCGAGCCCTTGAGGCGCAGCACCGCTGACACGGCCAGGTTGGCAAAGTAGTCCTTGTCCTGCGAGAGCACCTTGGAGGACAGCGTGGTCCGTGCAATGTTGAAGAGATCGGTGCGGAACTGCTCGGCGTTGGAGCTGGTGATAGCATCCGAGGTATCAGCAGGGATTCGGATTCAAGGTCATTGACACACGTCGAGTCGAGCATGTAGTCATGCAACGCACCTGTGGTCCGCTGCGCTCTCGTCCAGCGCCCTCAGCGCAGCCTTGCTGGCGATTCGGTAGCCCTCCACAATTGTTTGAGGGTGGATCCTCATCTCGATGAGCTTCTCGGCCTCCCTCAGAAGCTCGGCGGCCAGGACGCACACGCTCGTCGTTCCATCGCCCACCTCGTCATCCTGGACCTTGCTGATGTTGACGAGGATCTTGGCCGCGGGGTTGTCGAGGTGAATGCTGCGCAGAATCGTTGCACCGTCGTTTGTCACGGTAATCTCGTTTGATCCGACGGACTGGAGGATCTTGTTCATACCCTTGGGCCCCAGCGTCGACTTGACCAAGTCGCCCAAGGCCAATGCGCCAACGAACGAGGACAGACGAGCATTCTCGGCTCGCTCTTGCGTTGCCTAAAGCATCGAGAAGAAAGATCAGTACCAAGCTCTGCACGCCCTTCTTGACCAAGAATTGCTGCGTTCGACTTACCTCCTGGGCAAAGATGGGCGCCGACATGGTGATTTAGGCTGCTTGCTGTCTGTCTCGGAAAGGCTAACCATTCGAACATCGAGCGAAGGAAGTCTTCTTTTGAGTCTAGCCAAGTCACGTGTCTGACTGACGATTTTTGTCACTTCAGAGAGAGAGGGCTCCACTTACCTCAAACGCGCACCAGAGAAGCATTCAAAGCGCCTTCCACACAACGGCAGCCATGATCGGGACGTCGAGGCTTTTGGCTGCTTCTCCCAGGAGTGCTGTACATATCGGCAATGGCGGGCTGATGAAGCAGCGCCAGCCAGTCGGCCTGCTTCGAGCGCCTGGAGTCACGTTGAGAGCATCATTGCCGCCGCCGCCGCCGCCGACGACGACGACGACGATGTCGACAACGAGGATGACGGAGCATGCCAGAAGAAGCTACTCGACGACACCCAACGAGCAGCAGCTGTTTCAGTCGTTTGGCACGCCCTTTGCTCAGTTTCTCTTTACGCTTTCCCGCGTTGCTCGCATGATTGTCTATTCGGCCGTGGGCGCTGCCTCGCTGGGCGCTGTCGCATTCGAGGCGACGCACCAGTACGTCGAGCACGTTGCCATGCCGCGTGCCGCTTCCTCGGACAGCAGCGACGATGACGAATGGGCATGGGCATCAGAGGCGATCGACGAGGAGAGCTGGGGGCCTGTTTCGGGCGGTGGGACGGACAGGCGGCTGGGCATCAAAGGACGGCATCTCGTGCGGAGTGCGTGGATTTGCTCGCGCTGGGGAGGCGGCATCTCGCCGATCAATCTCTTTTCAAGCGGGACAGGCCTGCCGACGGCAGGGAGAAGGCCGAGGAAGTCGCTGTCCGCGGCGCTGCACAACGACGAAGGAATGGAAATGGCAGAGGCTTTCCTCGATGCGGCACTGGTCGTGGCAGAGTCAAGAGGTATCCGTCTGCCAGACCTGGCTGCTGTGCGTGCTGGAGCAGTGGCCACACCCCACGAGGCTGGCGCAGACAAGCCCTTGGACATGACGGCGGTTGCCCTGGAAACACAGCTGGCCAGCATCCGAGAGAGAGTAGGAACAAAGACGGCCTCGGAAGGAGCCCTGGCGGGGTACACGAGGGTCTTTGACGCCCTTGCCAGCGCAGATGCCACCAACCGAGTGGCCAGCGCCATGAAGCCGAATGAGGCTGGTGCTGCATCGACGGGGCAGCCTTCGGTCAGGCCACAGCGGCTCGTGAAACTGGCAACAAAGATCGGCGACCTGCACGCTCTCCTGTCTCAGAGGCAAGAAGCCGAGGCCTGGCTGCTGTGCGCCGTCGACATCGCTGGCAAGAGGGCCAATGAGCAAGATGGTACAGGCGCAATCGAGGGGCAGCGTGGGGGCGCCGATGCTGTCGGCAACCAGGCCCTGGCAGGCATCGGAGGTCTCTCTCCAGAGTCGCGGCGACCAGCAGAGACCAAGGAGGCGAAAGAGGCCCATGAGACACCTTCGTCCAAGAGCAGCTGGTCGTTCTTCCGACGATCCAAAAAGGCAGACGACATTGCACCACGGACATCGACCTCCCCCGCCAAGGTTGAGGCAGACGACTACCCTCTCAACGCCACGCCTCCTCCGGCACCACTGACTCGGTCGCTCATCTCGGCCCTTCTCTCCCTCTCGGCCTTCCACGCCCAGGCCGCGGATCGCAAGTCGCTCGAGCAAGCGCTTCAGTTCCAGGTCAGCGCCCTTCGGCTGACGAGAGTAGAGGCTGAGCGGCTCGCGTGGGCGGGCACCGTGAGCGATGCCGAGAGCCGACGCAAGGCTGGGCTCAAGGCACAGCTTCATGCCCTGTGGCTTGCCCAGCGCGATGCATTGGCCTCGATGCATATCGCAGAGACCATCTATGCGCTGGGCCCAGGTGCAACGGCATCATCGTCGTACGCCTCCCTGCTCACGTCCTTCTTCACGCCAACGGCCGAGAGCAGGGACGTGACAAAGAGCGTCGAATGGCTCAAGGAGGCAGACGAGCGCGCGGAGCTGATTATCTCGCAGCTCGGAAAGAAAGTGAAGAGGGAGACGGTCCTTTCGGACCGATGGACATCTCAGCGGGAAGACCTTCAGTTGCCTGCTTCTCGCCTGCTCCGAGACGCGAAGAGGATCAGAGAGGCGACACAGGAGATGAGAGCAATCTTGGGCGACGAGAGTGTCAAGAAGAAGTAGCTTTCCTCTATTTCGGAAATGTAGATCTAGTATACAGAGTTTGTGCTTGGTGTGACCAAGAAGTCGTTGTGAGAGGCTACCGCACGAGGAGGAAAACGTTGCTGCCGACAGACAGGCTGCTGAGGTGACGATAGGACCCGGTCAGGGCCATGAGGAGGCCGCCGAAGCTCGCGTACACTGTGACCGTCTCGGATGGCGAGTCGTCGTATTTGTAGATCTTTTTCAGAGAGAGCTGTCAGACAATCTTTCTCTACCTTTGTCCAGCGTCTCGGGAGCCTCACCTTTCCATGCATCACATAGTCGAATTCATCGGCCAATCCGCCCCCACCATCCATCCGCCACGCATCCTTGTCCGCGTCGGCATTCGGCCCGCCCAGCGAGCTGACGATCTGTACCGTAAGGTTCTGACCAGGCTGGATCGGGTAGATGTCGGTCGCAACGTCTAGCGAGAGATCCATCTCGAGCGACGAGGACCTCGCGACGATTCGTGAGACTGGAGATTCCGGCTAGGTCAGCGTCGGCAGTCCAATAAAGAAGCTATGTGAATGTGGCAGCTCACCTCGTTCGAACTTCTTCCCATCGGGATCGATGGCCGAGACGGCGAACTGCGAGTCGAACAGGACTGGATCCGACATGGTGTCCCTTTACGGAGCTGCTCGTCAAGAAGAACCAAGATGGCGACGAAGGAACCAAAAAAAAAAGAAAGAGAAATCCAAGGCGCGTCCCTCTCGGCCGGAGACAAGAGCTCTATTTTGTTCCCAGTATTCTTCTTCTGCAACGAGATTGAGCGTCTTCCTCTGGCCCAGGGTCCAGGAGTTCTGACGAGGATGGCGTCGACGTCTTCGTTGGGCGCTTCGGGATCCACAAATGCAGCGCAAGCCCAACAGTTCTACTCTCAATTCAACGAGCAGCTCCAAGATCTCAGGAGGCGAATCGAGGAATCGACAAGCCCAGATGAGCTCCAGCATATCGGATCAGACCTGGCACAGGCTCGGGCCTCATTGACGGAGAGCACCTCCATCTTGCCGAGCTACGATCGGCAACTGCACGAGACGAACCTCAAACACATCAACGATAGGCTCGACGCCAAACGGGGGACCCTGCTTCCGAAAAAGGGATTCGCTTTTCAGCGTAAGGCGAAACCGGCGGCCTCAAAAGCCGCGCTGGCCACGCCCTCACCGGCAGCACCGCCTGTCAACACGAACAACAGTGCTTCTTCAGCTATCACACCGTTTCTCTCGCTCACTGATCGATCGAAAGAGCTCCTTACGATTGCATCGCTCGAGACGCACCACACCCGAAGCGATCTGCACCTTCTAAACCTCTCATACTGCACCGTTGACCTTCGGAGTCCATCCTCGCTCGTCCTGCAGGCCGTTCAGGTGAGGAATCTCGATCACTGCATAGTGCAATTGGGCAATGTCGATGGCAGCGTCATGGTCCACGACTGCACTTCATGCCTCTTCGTCTTAGGTTGTCGGCAGGTGAGTTCATACACACGGCTATTTGACTCTCACCGCTGAGACCGAGCAGTTCCGCATCCACACGTCTACGAAAGTGTCCGTCGCCATTCATACATCGTCCATTGCGACAATGGAGCATTGCAGTTCGCTCACATTCACCGTCATCACGGCCTCTTCTCTCGAGTCGGCGTCAACGACGCTCGAAGAAGAAGCGTCGAGCAAGCTGCGTGTCCAAGACTTCGATCACATCAATGAATCGGAGCCTTCGCAGAACTGGACCTCTACGGACAGGGTGCAAAGTCCCAATCTGTTTGCAGCTCCAACCTTGCCTCACCCAGCAGGTCTCGAACTTCTCTTTAATGCTCAGCAGCAGCAAATGTAGCAAATATCATTCACGATACCCTTCCACTCAATGCAAGTCACGGGTCCCTCCTCTTCTTCTTCCTCGGCACCTTCCTCCCCCATCTTCCCTCGTTTTCGACCCTACGCAGATGACACAGCCCGGGTTTTGAGCGAAGCTAGTGCCCGGAGCGTCGAGCGGCCTTCACTGCCTCAGCTGTGAAAGTCGAATGAGGAACGACGAGGACCGAGTCCGTGCGCCGGTGCCGTCCACGTGGAATTAAAACGTCGTCATCGAAGTGAGGACCCTGCCTCGTCAGTGCTAGGGCCTTCAACTTCCTCAAGCAGACCAGAGACCCCACGCACTCCTGAGTCCAATGCAGCTACTACACGACTACTACTACTACTTCTTCTACTGCACTACTACAAAACCACATACAGTATCACTACTACTTCTACTCCTGTAGAGGCTGAGCTGCGATCAATATCATGACGTACGTCGTACGTTGGGCGATGGGCGATGAGAAGGGTCTGCCTCACCTGCAACGGGGTGGCCCCCCCTGTAATTGAGTGGTAACCCACACAACGCCCTGCCCGTTTAACCCATATAAGACCCTCTCTCGAACGGCTCTGCTTCTTGCTCCCTAACCAATCTTCCTCACATCTACACACATCTAATCCACCCAACCCAAAAACAACCTCTTTATTACAATGGAGTCTATCAAGAGCGGAATCAACGCTGGTGAGTTATCTTTCCTCTTCACGGCGCTACAGAGAGAGCAACTGGCTGACTGTACTCCTCCTCTCTCTCCCTCTTCAGTCAGCGACAAGGTCCAGGAGACCACCGCCGGTGCTTCCAAGGAGGCCAACAAGGAGACGGCCAAGAGCGACAACGCCAGCCTCGGAACGCGCGCCAGCGCCGCCAAGGATGCCGTCGGTGACAAGGCCGACGAGATGTCGTCGGGCGCCTCGCACGAGGTCAACAAGGAGAAGGCCAAGAACTAATGATCTTCCACTCCTAGAGACTCGTCTTCGTTGACATCCCTTACCCCCCACACTACCCCCTAGTGCCCAACCCACACTTTGCTTCCATATCATCGTCTTCTTTCTTGTATGTACGGTCTATGCTACGTGACGGCGAGGCAAGATGAAGTAAATCCCATGTCAAATTATCTCCTGATGAAGGTGGTGACGATGTTGAGAGTGACGTGGGTGGGGAATCAACACTTCCATGTGGAAGATGTTTGACACTCTGGAAAATGGTATGTGTGGCCAAATGCAAGGACGCACCAAAAAGCTGAAACAAAGTCGCATTGAAGCAGCTACAAATAGGTCCACTTGTGGCCCCGGTACGTACAGCGCTCATCCCGAAGGAGAGGTCCAGCCCGTTGCGAGGAAGAGGACTGAAAGAGGGAAAAGGAGTGTCTGGGTAAAAGTACTGTTAAACGAATGTGGGGTGATTGTGATGCATGCAGGAGCGTTTGCGCTCACTCGCAGCTTTACTAACGCAAAAGTGAGAAGAGGAGAGCGAACAGAATTAGAAGAGCAAAGAGAGCCTATGACGAAGGGACGTGGGAGAAGGAGGCCAAAAGAGTTCTCAACCGGACCATCGGCTGCTGTTCAGGTGGGCGTTCTGCATGACCGAGTTGCTGTGCGGGGCCGACTGGTCGGCAACGACGTAGGTAAAGGGGTCCTCGCCGACGTCGGCTCCATCATACTGGTTACCAACGACGGAGGGGGCAGCAGAGTGCTCGGAGCGGACTCCTGCGCTCTGCCTCTTCCTCTGTTGCTCCTGCTCGTCTCCGCCAACATCCGTGGCTGCGTAGCCACCGTAGGCCGTGTTAGCCGACGTAGACTGCGGCCTGTGCAAGTCATTGTATGGCGAGATGCCCGGCGCACCAGCCTGGTCCAGGCCCTTCGTTGCCTTGTTCGAGTAGCCATAGTTTGCCGATCCGTCGTACGTTTGTTGGTTGTCCATGTGGTCCAGCTGGGCTGAGCCGTGGTAGCTGTAGGACTCTTCCGATGCGGTGGCGTAGTGCGCGCCTCCGGCGCCGCCGTCCTCGGAGCCGTGGGCGCTCTGCCTGCGCGTCTGCTGTGGTTGATCGGCACTACCGTGCCCCTCGGCGGAGGCACCTGAGAGGTACATGCCCGCACCAGCAGCACCGTAACCGGGATGACCAGGCTGGAGTGCCGGAGGCGTGGTGATGGCCGCGTCGGCAGGGTAAGGCGTGTACATGTCGGCCGCACCGGCTTCAACGTTGTGGTGTGAGTGCTCGCTCAGTTGCTGCTGTGCGTGGCTCTCGTCGTACGAGTAACCATCCTCGTCGGCAGCGGGGCTCATTGGCCTTCCAGCCACCCACGATTCGCCGCTCCTGCCCTTCTCGGCCCTGCGCTGCGACGACGACGAGCGCATCACGGCGCCTGCCAATGCTGCGCCTCCGCCCACGGCGGGGAAGCCCGACGAAGTAGCTGCACCCGTGTTGAGGCCGACAGTCTCCGGGATAGAGTAGTCCATGGGCTGCATGCGCTGGTCATTCATCCGTCTTCGCCTGCGCATGAACATGACGATGAAGGCCACGAGGGCCAGGGCAGCCACGACGACGACGATGGGCACGACGATCTTGGTAGTGTTCGAAGAAGAGCCGTCCCCGTCAGAGTTTGCAGTACGGTCGCTGCTGTTGAGACCGTTCGTCGCGAGCGGAACGGATCCACCGCCAAGAAAAGGCAAGCCACTGGTGCCGGTTGGGCCGACAGAAGAGGAGCTGCCTGTAGCCGTTGAGTTGCCAGACGAGCTAGCGGTCGAGGAGATGGCATCGCTGATCTGAATGATGCCTACAGCGGCTGACGAGGCCGCCGGTGTGCTGACGACGATCCCCGGCACGATGGCAGCAGGCGTCGACGTGGTACCGTCCGGCATAATAACAGGAGCGGGAGACCCAACAACCGAAGTGTCACCGCCAGTCGTTCCCGCTGCGACAGGAGCAGCAGCAGCAGCAGCAGCCGTCCCATCACCATTGGTGACGGGCGCTGCGCTGCCGCCAGCTGCGGGTGCCGGGGTGTTCTGGGCTGGTGCAGCGGCGCTGTTTCCTCCTCCATTGTTGGCGGGCGCTGATTGGACGGGTGCAGCGCTTGACGCAGGCGCCGCTTGAGCTGGTTGGCTGCTGCTGCCTGTCACACCGTTACCAGAAAAGAAGGAGCACAGTCAGCAAAGTCTGATCTATCACCGAGAGAAAAAAGGGGAAAGAGGGAAAGCAGAAAAGCAGGCAGCCAAATCGACCTCTCGCCCAAGAGAAAGAAGGGGGTAAAGAGAAAGGGGGGGGGGGAAAGAAGGGGGTGGAAAGAAGGGGGAGGAAAGAAGGGGGGAGGAAAGAAGGGGAGGAAGACCAAAGGGGGTTGTGATAACTACCTCCCAGCAGCCCGCCGAGCAATCCCCCGAGCGGTTCCCTCTTCTCGACGAGACCGATGATGTCTGCAGGGACAGAGAGAGATTGTGTTGGAACGCTTGCCTCCTCCCCAGATTACAGGCACTACTCTTTGCCACAGATGGCACCGAAGAGCGAGAGAGAGAGGGCTCGTGTGTATGTGATGAGGGAATGTGCACTCACCAGATTGCGGGCCCTGGTTCAATCCAAGCGCCTGTCCAACACCCGTCACGGCCGTTCCAAGACCTCCAATGAGGTCTCTCTTCTTCTGTGCGTCGATGGCATCCCGCTGGTGGTGTCGTCGGATCCTAGCCATACCTCTCTTGTCGAGGGAACTCTCTGCAGCCGCGTATTCGATGCCGCCGACTGCTGCTGCTGCCGCGAGGGCCGCCCGCGTGCGGCGGTTGGGCGTGAACTTCATAACTTATGTAAACGAGTGTGGTTGCCGATGGGCGGTGGGGGGTGAAGGGGGGGAGGGGAGCGTTAGAGGAGAACGGAGCAAGGCGAATCGGTCGAGGGGGGGATGGTGATTATGATGAGTGGTGGTGAAAGATTGAGGGCGACAATGACAGGCGGGGATCTGTCTACCTGTTCTCGCCCCGTCCCGCTGCTTTGCTTTCATTCTATTCATTACAACAGAATATCTCACGGATATCCAACGAAAGCAAGCAAGATCGCTGCAGACTCTGCTTGCTTCATCGTTACAAACAGCTCTAGCCAGTGTAATAGTAGTAATATCACTGCCTCGACCAAGGGCGAGAGGGGAGGGGCGAATGATCCCGACCCGTTTGTTTCTATTAAGGCACAAATCTCGGAAGGGCCTTTTTTTCTTCTCTACAGAAATGCAAGGCGCTAACGCTAACGCTGGATGAAAAGCAGGGAGCACGTCAGGGGCGCGCACACCACCAGACCCTTTCCTTCGAAAGAACAACTGGGGCTTGGGCTAGCGCGTCACGTCGATTTTCCTGTCTCGGCGGAAAAAGTTACTGATCGCGACGATAGGGACACAACTTCGCACGTAGAAAAGGACAATGGAACGAAAGATTCATAGAAAGGGGGGAGGAGAGGTTGATCCCGATAAATATACATGGGAGACTGATGAAGGGGAGGCCGGTTAAGCGACGCAGCTCGCGAGCCTTCTAAGAGCCGGTACGGAAATGTAGGCGGGGCAGTATGTTTCGATGCCTGTCACGAGCCTGGGAAGCGGGGATTCGAACGGTCCTGCCTCGTCGACCTCCGGGGGGAGGAGGAGATGATCGTTGCGGTCGTTGGGAACGACACGCGAGGCGACTGCCTTCAAAATCTCGGGCGAGATGGGGTTCTCATAGTCTGCCGAATAGTAGTGGCTGATGAGCTTCTGAATCTGCGTCGGAGTCAGCATCCAGCAGACGTCGTAGATGATGTCGATGTCGCCAAGCGTCGCCTTCTTGAGCTGGAGCAGCTTGGTGGCCTGCATCAAGTGCTCGAGTTGGAGCATGCCCTCGGGCATGTCGTGTGACTTGCACCACTCGTCGATGCGCATGATGTTGTACTGGATCTGCATCGCCCGCTTCCACGAGCAGAAGTTGCGCCGCATGAGCAAGTCATTGAAGGCAGTTGTGCCGATGAGCTTGAGGAGCTCCGTGATGACCTGCTGCGTCACCGATGGCTCGACGTAGTAGCTCTTGAGCGCCTTTGACACGCGGTTGAGGATGCCCAGGATGTCGTCCATCGTATAGGCGGGCTGCGAGGCGCCCGAGAGTAGACGGTTGAAGAGGCGGCCTCCGCCCCCTTCACTCGTGACGAACCCGGGCAGCGACTGCGACTCGACAAGGGCGGGGATGACCATCTTGTGAAGCCGCTTCTTGATCTCGGAGATGGCGGTGTGGAAGAGGTTGTAGCTGAGCGACTCCAGGTCGTGCTTGACAATCGTCACCAGCCGCTCGTATTCCGAAAAGACCATCTCGCCCGCCGAGCCATCCACGCCCGGTCCTATGCCCTGGAGCATGTCGGACTCTGCAATGCAGACAAAGGAGAAGATCTCGTGGACGTTGGAGAGCCAAAAGAAGCCGGGCACAATGACGTCGTCGCCGGTGAAGCTCATGATGTGCTGCTGGATCGTCTGCATGACATTAGCCAGGAAGCGCTCCGACTCGCGCACCATGCCGTACTTCCAGAACTCGTTGGTGCACAGCGAGATGAGGTGAGCAGGGAAGAGGACCTCCTTGGGCGACGGTGGGTTTGTCGTCGAGGGCGCCGGAATCTTGAGGTAGCGAATCAGACCATTGAGCACGTCTTCGTCGAGCTGCTCCTCATTCTCGAGAATTCGGATAACCTCTGCGCTCTGCTCGTCTTCGTCCAGGTCTTCTGCCGGGTCCATGTGGCCCGCACCTGGGATCTGGTCAAAGACAGCGACCGAGACGTGGCGATTGGCGTTGGCGGCGCTCTTCTTTGCCGCAAACATGGCTTCCTCGGTGGCATCCCGAGCGCTTGTCGGGCCTCCCTCTGCCCATGGCCCCACCTCGGAGTGGCGCCGGCCGCGCCTCGCCTTTTGCGGCGCCGATGCGCCGTTTTCGCGTCCCGTAGCCATGTTGAACGTGGGCGGGGCGGCATTTTCGATGCGCTGCGAATTCTTGCTGAGCGTGTTGAGAGCGTTGGCCCGGTTGAGCTGCTCGCGCAGGCTCGACACTTCTGTGCGCAGTGCAGCCATCGCCTTTTCGTCCTCCTCTGAAGCGTTCCTGTGGCCGTTGAGGGCCGCATCCCTGGCCTCGAGCTCCTCTGCCTGCTCGCGCATCTCGCGTTCCAGATCGCTGATCCTTGTCTCGTGCTCGGCAATGCGGCGCACGGAAGCCGCGTAGTCGGCATCGACCTGAGCCTTGGCTGCCACGAGGGCGTCCCACTCGGCCTGGGGAACCGAGGGCTTGCTGAGCTCCTCTTCGAGTCCCTTGGACCGGGAATCGATCTCCTCGTGCTTGCCCTGCCATGACTTGACGGATGCCTCGAGGCTTCTGACCCTCGACGCTAGCTCCTTGTTCTGCTTTGTCCTCGTCTGGAGGTTCTGCGTCAGCTCCACGACCTTGTTCTCGAGCTTGTAGGTGACCTCGCGGTAGTGCGTCGCCGACTTGGCCTCGAGCTTGAGGCCCTTGAGCTCCTTCCGTGCCATTCGCCGGCGGTAGCAGCTCTGCAGGTGGATGACGCCCTTGCGGTCCTTGCGGTACTGCCTCCGGGCCAGAGCACCGCGAAGAAGGCTCTGCAGCCTCGTGGCAGCAAAGGCCTGCTTGTCGCCTGCGAATGTCGACCGGATCTTCTGACCACGCGCGAGGCTCTGGATCGTGACAATGGCCCGCATCGTGCGCTGGTAGCTGATCCGAGCCAGGAAGCCTCGGGTAGCAACCTGGATCTTGGTCGCCGCCTGCTCCTTTCGCATCGTCTTGGCCAAGTTGCGAGCCGACACCATGCGCCACCACGACTGGACGCGCACCGAGTTTGTCCGAAGCTTGGCGTACCGTCGCTTGTGGTAGTTGCGGCGCAGGTTCTTTTGCATCAGCGTCACGAGGGCGTTGAGACGATCCGTTCGGCGCTGCTCAAATTGAGCCAGCATACCAGCGCGGAAAAAGATCTTGGTCAAGCCGACCTGGTACTGATCTTCGTCCTTGATCGTTTGTGTGAGGATAAAGATGGCGAGCTCCTTTGCCTTTTCCAGCGAAGACATATCCCACTTGGACGAGTGAACCAGCATGTAGTACCTCTCTGCAAAGTCAGCAAACGTCCAGCGCGAAGGGTAGCCTGCACAGCTGATCCGAATCGTCTCGAGGACACCACAGGCGCGGAGCTGGCCAAGGACGTTCTGCGGCTCCCATTCCCAGGCTTTCTTTGACTCGTTGGGCTTGATGCAACGGATGTAGTGCACGTTGGTCGATTCAATAGTTTGCATCAGCGACACCAGGCTGGCCTTGAACTGCGATCCCAACGTAGGCTTCTTGATCATGCCTCCCGTGGCGAGCTTCCTTGGCGGTGGCTTCTTCACCGCGCCATCGTCTTGGCCGCCGCCGCTGCCGGCACCACCGCCGCTGCCATCCTTTGCTTCTTGAGCAAGGCGGGTGGCTCTCTCGAGAACCTCGCGGAGGAAGCCGTTGGAAGTGTTGTTGAGCAGGGTGAGGTGTTCGTCGGGGACTGTGTCCCTGTTCTTCTCCAAGAATCCTTCGCTTTCATAGGTAACGTCCAGCGCATAGTGGCACACGGTAAAGCTGCTCTGGCCGAATCGAGGCCGCTTGAAGCTGTTCTTGAACTCTGGCTTGCGCTCCAGCTGCGTGTACAGCTTCTGGAGGAAGCTGGCGTCGGAGCCCGAGGGGAGACGAGACTCTTCGTCGAGGAGCGAGAGGATACCGAGGCGACCTTCAATCATGTCGATCGTTGGCTGATTGTCGGCAAAGTCGATGAACGTCCACTTGATCTGCTCCTGGAGGTACTCGTCCTGCTCCAGCTTGAAGACGTGGCGGTTGAATTCGTGCTGCAGGCGTTCGTTGGCATAATTGATGCAGAACTGCTCGTAGGAGTTGGTCTTGAAGTGCTCAAACCCATAGATGTCGAGGACACCAATCATGTTCTGCCTCGACGAGGCCGACGTCAGGGCCAGACTGCCGTTCATGACATCGATGAGCCAGTCGAAGAGGGACGAGTAGATGTACTTTGTCACGGCATCCCTCACGACGATGGCCTGGGCCTGCGTCAGGTTCGAGATGATCTTTTCGCCGCGCATCTGGATCTGCCGCTTGAGGCACCACTTTCGGAATTCGCCCGAATCGATGCCCAGCATGTTTGTGGCCACAAACAGGTTCGTCTCCTCGTCTGTGATGATGGCATCGTTCCTCGCCGCACCAATCTTGACGTTGCCCAGGTGCAGGAGCGCGGCGAGGAGGCGGAAGATGTGCCACTGCTGCTCGATCTTGACACCCACGGTGCTCATGGCCTTTTGCGTTGCCTTGAATTCTTCTGCGTCATCGACGTTGGCAATCGTCTGATTGCCGCCCTGGTTGAGGTAGGCGAACTGGGACGCATCCAAGAGGCCCATGTCCTTGCGCTCCGACGGAGGTGCGCCAGCGCAGAGCTGGTAGAAGATGTGGAAGTTGCGCTCGCCCGAGTCGGCAGGCTGGAACACGATCCTGGATCTCTCCAAGAGGTAGGTCCGGATCCTTGCGCCCACAATCTCGTGGCCCTTGTCAAAGAGAATCTCAATGTACTTTCCAAAGCGCGACGAATTGTCGTTCCTCGTCGTCTTGGCATTGCCGAATGCTTCCAGGATGGGGTTGGTGGCGAGAATCTGCTGCTCAGTGACGCTCATCCCGCTCGAGTCCTGGCCTGTCTTCTTGCGGCTGCCTGGCCGGTCTGGGTCCTCTACCGTAGCAAAGTAGCGCATGATGTACTTGGCAGAGACTGTCTTTCCGGCACCGCTAGAAGTGTCGCAGCTTTCAAGGTCAGCGATCCTCAATCATGTAAGAGAATAAGCTCAACACCAACGCACCTCTCTCCACTGACGACAATCGTCTGGTCCTTGTCATCGCGGATCATGCATCTATATGCGTCCTCGGCAATTGCAAACAGGTGAGGCTCCAGCTCGCCCCTCCGCCTGCCGGAGTAATGCTGGATGATCTCTGGGGAATAGAGGCTGATTGGGTAGAAGGGGTTGACGGCAATGAGAACGATGCCCGAGTAGGTGTAAATGAGCCGCTGGGAGTACCGGTTGAGGATGGCGTGGAGGACCGCGGGCTCGTTGAGGTAACTCAGGTTCGTCAGGTCGTCGGTCGCCTCGAGCAGCGGCGGATTTCGCAAGGGTGGCAGCACGGCCTGCTCCTCGCCTCCTCCGCTGATGAGGCCCCTTTTGCTCTGCTCCTCAATCTTGGATACGTTTGTCTTGACCTCCCGGGGCGAAGCGTCATCGTCCATGGTGAAGCTTAGGACCACCTCGCCCGACGCCGACCTCGAGACTGGCTTCGCCAGCGTTGCGCTGACCCAGCCGGCATCCTTGTCGGGAAACCAGGCTTTTGTGCCAGGCACGTATGCTGCAAGTGCACTGTCCGCGCTCGCCGCCGCCGCCGCCGCCGCCGCTGATGCTGCCGGCGCCATTTTTCTCTCGCTTTCGGTCCCTCCTTGCGTGGTCTGTTGCTGTGATTTGCCGTCGTTGTAGTCACGTCCGGAAGACTGCCTCTACGCTCAGCGTATCGACGAGCGAGCTCTATGAGTGTGCCTGATGGGCGTCTAAGCACTCAACGAACGCCGCGGCGGTCCCGTCTGTCGTCCCAAGCGGCTCTGCCAGCTCTGACGCAGGGCGATTGTGATGATAGAAAGCAAGCGAGATGGGAAGAGGGGGGCCGGGACGCCAAGCGATAGATGTGAGCCAGAGCGCAGGCCTGTGAAGGAAAGGAAGACTCGATCGGGCGTGATCACGGGGTCGAGGGTAGACAAGAGAGGAAAGGGAAGAGACACGTTGAGCGAGGGTAAAGGAGAAAGGAAGGAGAAGCTCTATGTCTGTGAATTTCCGCGCTATCTTCTTTATTTTGGTTTCAAAAGCGTGTGCGGCAAGGTCAGTTAGAAGTAGTACGTGTAGTACGTAGTGTAGCAGTTTTGCTGTCAATCAATGCAAAGCAGGTCGGGTCCACGCTGCGTGAAGAAGGCCCAAACTAAAGTTAGCTAGGCTAGTCTTTCTTTTTCCCTTTGTTTGAGTCCCATTTCAGCAAAGAAGCGCACACAAGTCTAATTCGGCGCTACCCGTGCTGAGGAGAGAGAAGGCAAGCGGTAGTGCCATGGTGTACTACTACTGCTACTACTGCTGTAACTAAGAGGGATGAAGATGTGCTCCATCACGCTCCAAAGCGAGCCAGCCGTGCCTTTCGCATCTCTTCAGCTGACGGCTGGGGCGCATCATCCTCATCGTCGTCCTCGTCGTCCTCGCCGTCAACTTGGCCGTCTGTCGCACTCTTTCCCTGAGTGGCAGCCGGCTCTTCTATGACTTCGCCCCGCTCCAGCCTCTCGCGCATTTCCCTCTCCTCCCTTTCCTTCTGCCTTGCCTCTGCACGCATGCGTGCGATGCGCTCAACGTCGGCCGGCGGCGGGCTGTTGCTCTCTCCACGATTCCACTCGCGCATTTGTGCTGCCATGAGTGTGCTTTCGTCTGCTCCGAGCGACGACGAGGCCCCTCCCGTGTCCCTCATAGAAGCTGCAAGTGCAGCTTGCAGCTCCGCGTCCTCGTCGTCGTATGTCCGGTCCTGGACTGGACCCGTGACCGACTCGCCCAGTCCTGCCCAGCCCTCTTCGGCATCCCCGCTGGACACGCTGTGAAAATCTTCGTCGCTCGCTGTGCCACTGCCTCCCCCTCCCCCTGCAGCAGCAGCTGCTGCAGCTTGTGCCAAGACAGGATTGAGAAAGGGCGACCGTGGTGCCGAGGTGTGAATCTCCTCAAAGTCGTCTTCGTCCTGTTGGGCATCGCCTGAAGGAAAGCTGTCGTCGTCGTCGACGGCAATTGCGGTCTCGGCGCGACTTCCACTGGCGTGTCGTGCGCCTGATCGCCGCAATGGGTTGCTGTCCCAGGTGCTGCGGATCCCATCGTCGTCATCCTCGACCATGTGCTGTCTGCTGGCCCGTCGTCGGCCTCCGCTGGCCGTGGGCAGGACGTAAGACCGGCTTCCCCCTGCTGCTGCCCCTGTCGAAGCCGCCGTGGCGGCAGAAGAGCCACCCATAGGCCTCGCCCGTCGCCTGCTCGGCGCAATGGCATCAACGTGTGCATCTGTCTCTTCTCCGTCCTCATTGTCATCATCTTCCCCACTCGCGGCCCTCCTCGACCGTCGTTGGCCAGCAGCCATTGAAGAAGCGAAAGGGTTGGCGGAGGTCGAAGGACTTTCTCCGCTGTTGCTGTTGAGGTCTGCATCTGCCAGACTAGCTCGTAGCGCCGCCTGCAGGTCTGCATCTTCGTCGGCTTGCGCTGCGCCGCCTCCCGTGTCCATCCCGAAGCCGGAGTCCGATGCCTGCTGCGGCTTGAGACCCAGATTAGCGCTGCTTGTAGCAGACAAGGCGCCTCCGCCACCGGCAACAGACACATGGGGAAGAGTGGCGGCGCATTCATCGGCCGGTGAGCTCTGAAAGGCCGCGCGAGAACCTTCGGCAACGCGCACGACAAAAACCGAGTAACCCTCTGTCTCCGCCTGTGGGTGAGTTGCCATAATTGTCAGCCAAGTGGCGAAGGCTCAGTATGATCAAGTAGGCGCCGGAAGACGTACCTCGTCCAGAAGCGCGCCGAGATACGCCGGTCCCACCCATTCTGGCTGCGGCAAGAAGCTGTTGAGATTGAACCTGTCATAATGTCACGCTTAATGTGAGCCCAATGATGGTGTGAGAGAGCCCAAAGAGGAGAGGGGGGAGCTATGCGCACCAGTAACCATTGGGGAAACCTCTTATGGTGAACCAGTGCGAATCGAGATTGAGCACAAAGGCGAGCTGCTCCTCTGGCTTGGACTGGTACGGCTTCATGGCTTCGCTCCTCCATCGAACTAGACTCAGTCCATAGGCCTCGAGTGACCTTTCGATGACAGTCACACTGAAGAAGCCTGTGAGGTGTGTAATTGTGTTTGTCAGTAGCAGCGCGAAGAAAGTAAGCCTGTGCGGCGCAAGGTGATCACGCACCTGTATCGTCCATGTTGAGGCTCTGCGTGTCTCGACTGCGCCAGGCCTCATCGTCGAGCTGGCTGCGCTCCAAGTCGTCCATCTGCTTTGCCACGTCGGCGAGCTGGGAAGGGTCAAAGTAAGGGCCCTGAAGGAGCGCATTGAGCGCGTGTTGCGCGCACAGCATCGACCCCGGCTCCTGGCGTTCTGCGGAAAGGCAGCATTAGGTGAGCTCGCGTATGCTTGCTAGACCAAGAGACAGCTTACGCACCATGATGGATCTGGGGTATGAGAGCCGATGCCATATCGCCTGCAACTTGTCCTTCGACGAATCGTCGTCGTCTTTGTGTTCGTGGAAGGCCAATTCGGAACCAAAAGTCAATGATATAGGGTCTCTCCTCTCCACTTAGACTAAGCAGTCACGCCACGAGATAGCAATTTCCGCACGGAGGTAATTAGGGTGGGCCGGTCCCAAAAAGTGCCATTTATCTATCACCAGGTCGTCAACACCTCGCTCGACGGGTGGTTGCGATCTGTTTTTTTTACAGCTCACTCACGAGCAGAGCCAAGATGGACGCCATCCAGAAGGAAGTGCAGCGCGTCATCGAGAAGGCGCCCGGGCTCGGCCTGGCTCCCTCGTCGTGCCCCTCGTCGGCTGCGCTCGCAACCACACGCCCCAAGGCGATCAAGACATCGTCCAAGAGCAAGGAGAAGGACAAGGAGGTGGGCAATGCTTCGGTCATGGAGGCCCTCGACGAACTCGTCGCATCGCTCGAAGAGGCCAAGCGAGGCGTCGCTTCAGGGAGCAAACCCGCCGTGCAGGCAACGATGCAGTCGCGCACCGCCCTCGCCAAGGCACAAAAGGTGGTTGGGGAGAGGCACAAGGAGTACTACAATGCGCTTTCGAAGCTGGGCAAGAGTCTCGACAAGAAGTTTCCGATGCCCATCGATGGTGTCGCCGACGCCAATCTGTTCAAGGGCGATGTCGCACAGGCTGCCCTCGATCGCGTTGTCCGGGACCACCTCGAGCGGACGGGCGACTGGGACGCCGTGGGCATCTTCGAGAAGGTGGGTGGCGCCGCTTACGTGCATCTTTTCTGTTTGCGGAGCTGACCGTGAGCATTTTGTTTTACAGGAAGCAGAACTATCTTCTTCGGACAAGCTGCCTCCAGGCACGTTTCAGACGATGGTGGAAACCATTGATGACATCAAGCGGGGCAACCTCTCGCGAGCCATCAGCTGGGCAGAGCAGGAGAGCGATTTTCTGCTAGCGAGGGGCAGCCATCTCGCCTTTGCCCTGCACAGGAGCCAGATGATCAGGATTGCCCTCGGCCACGTCAAGGCAACGGCCGACGGTGTCGTTGTGCCATCGCGGGGAGCAGAGGAGCGAGACGGACAGGTCGACGAGGAGGTGGATGAGATCGAAGAGGATGATCACTTTGTAGAGGCGCAAGAGCGCATGGCACTGGATCCTGACGGCGAGTCCGTCGATGCCATGAGCCAGAGCCAGCACCACTTTGTCAACACAGACGTTGACGGCGATGCTCCAGGGCGGACGTATTCTAACATCGAAGCAGCTCTGCATTACGGCAGGCGCCACTTCCGACCGACACAGCCGGCACACCTCGACGAGATGAAACGCCTCTTCACCTTCATCCTCTTTCTGCCCCAGGTATACCAGAATCGGTCCAGCCCGCCGATCCCGCTGAGCGCGGCGCAGCTGTCCGTTGTGCCTCTGTCCTACCATGGCTTTCTCGACGATGCGCAGATGCATTCGATGTCGCTCCTTCCCCTTTTCCAGCGCGAGTTCACCGCTCGGATGGGTGTCTCGCGCGACCCGCCACTCAAGGTGGCCGTGGAAGTCGGTGCTGGCGGCGCGCTCAACCGCATCATCAAGGTCAAGACCCTGATGAAGGAGCGAGGAAACGAATGGAGCCAGGCCGACGAGCTTCCGGTGAGTCTCTCTTCACTTTTTTTGTGCGCCTGGCTTGCTGATAGATGCGCTATGGACGATGTCACCAGGTCGAAGTGCCATTGCCGCCTCATCTGCGCTTTCACAGTGTCTTCACCTGCCCCGTCTCCAAGGAGCAAGGAACAGAGGAGAACCCGCCGACGATGATGACATGCGGCCACGTCGTCTGCTTGGAGAGCCTCAACAGACTAGCAAAGGGCACAGGGTGAGTGTCTTCTACTCTGAGCCTCTACTCCCGAATTTGAGCTGACTGAGCTCCGTGCTATTCACAGTCGGGTCAAGTGCCCTTACTGTCCCATCGAGTCAAGGACATCGGAAGCAAAGAGAGTCTACTTCTGATCCTGCTTCGTGCTTCCTCTCTCTCACCACTTCCCCCAGCCACTCTCTGATGTATCATTATTTCCAGCTCATAGTCCCCCCCACCCTGTCCTCCTTTGCCACATTCTACATTACATTGTCTGCTTCTGCTGCTGCTCGCTCGCTCCGGACGGCTGAAGCTGCGATAATTTTCGACGGATTTTCACGCGTCGGCTCCTCCGGTCTTATTCTCCACGCCGAAGCCCGAGAAGGGATGCGCGCGCCCTGGAGAAGCGACAAGGGGTAGTAAAGATTATTCTTGTTTGTGCAGCCAAAGCTTCTTGCTTCGTCACACCATCACCTCGCCGTGACAACACCGAATAAGGAGAGACAGGATGCACGCCACCGTCCGAACACTGACCAACTCGTTTGTCGTTTCGTCGAAGCGCACGCCGTTTGGCGCCTACGGCGGCAAGCTCGCTTCCATCTCGGCCTCTGCGCTCGGTGGCCACGCGTCCAAGGCGGCGCTTGCCGTCCTGCCGCCGTCGACCAAGGTTGATGCGACCATCTACGGCAACGTGCATGCGTCGGACAACACGGCCGCCTACCTCGCCCGGCACGTCGGCCACCAGGCCGGCCTGCCCGTCACGACGCCTGCGCTGACTGTCAACCGGCTCTGCGGCTCGGGCTTCCAGAGCCTCATCAATGCCGTGCAGGAGATCAGCGTCGGCGACGCCAACGTCGTCCTCACCGGCGGCACCGAGTCCATGTCGATGGCGCCCTACACCCTCCACGGCGTCCGCTTCGGTGGCGGAAGGTACGGCGTCGACCTCAAGCTCGTCGACTCGCTCGCCGCCGCGCTGACGGACATGGTGCCGACGCCCACGCCCATGGGCATCACGGCTGAGAACCTGGCCGACAAGTACGGCATCACGCGGCAGATGTGCGACGAATACGCGCTGCAGAGCCAGCAGCGGTGGCAAAAGGCCAACGAGGAGGGCGCATTCAAGGACGAGATTGCACCCATCGACGTCAAGGTCAAGAAGGTGAGGGAGAGCAAGCAAGACGTGCCCTCCTCTGCTTCTTGGTTTTCAATGTGCTGATGGTCCTGAATCTGCTTCCGAAAGGCCACTGAGACCTTTGCTGTCGACGAGCACCCGCGCGGCAAGACGACGATCGAGACCCTCGCCAAGCTTCCCTCCGTCTTCAAGAAGGACGGCACCGTCTCGGCGGGCAACGCCTCGGGCATCTGCGACGGTGCCGCGTCTAACGTCATTGCTTCCGAGGCTGCCGTCAAGGAGTTCGGCCTCAAGCCGCTGGCGCGCATCGTCTCGTACGGCGTCACGGCCTGCGAGCCCAGCATCATGGGCATCGGGCCCGTCGAGGCCGTCAAGCTGGCTCTCAAGCGCGGCGGAATCAGCAAGGACCAGATCGACCTCTGGGAGGTCAACGAGGCCTTTGCGGCCCAGTTCCTTAGCGTGCAGAAGGAGCTCGAGCTGCCCAATGACAAGACCAACGTCTTTGGCGGTGCCATTGGTGAGTCCGGCGTGCCTTTTACTATGAAAGAAGGAGGAAAAAGCTGACTGACACCTTTTTTTTACCCCCAATCCAGCTCTCGGACACCCGCTGGGCGCATCGGGCGCGCGAATCATTGCCAACCTGACGCACAACCTGCACCGCCTCGACAAAAAGTACGCAGTCGGCGCCGCCTGCATCGGCGGTGGCCAGGGCATCGCCGTCGTCCTCGAGCGCGTCTGATTTGGCTTCAGTGCCCTTGGAACAAATTACTCTCTACCCCTTCATTATTTCTGAATGGCAAAAGATTTTGATAATTGCAGGCTCAGTGATGACCATGTATGGTATGCAGTGCTTCCAAGCTTGAGCTGAGATGATGAGAACGAAGAGGTCATGTCTGCCTATTGGTACAGGATGATGGAATGAGTGAGGAAATCAAATGTCTAGCCGAAACGCATCTGCTGTGCCGGTGCGCGATGAGTGCGATTCGAACCAGCATCGCCTTCGTCGCCTTCATCGCTTTTTTGACAGGGAAGGGAAGCCAGTTCGTCAGGAACAGATTCAAGGTTTCGAAGAGAGGAGAGCTTGACTCACTCGTCCATGCCTCGCTTTCGCAAGCCATTGCCGGTGCCATTGGTGGACGCGCCGTTGAGCTGCTGCTGCTGCTGCTGCTGCTGCTGCTGCTGCGCGTGCTGTATGCGCGCCTGGATCATGGCTTCGTATGCCTTTCGCAAAGTGCAGGAAGTCAGCTCACGGCAATATGTTCGCACCAGCACGGTTTCTGCTCGTGCGGCATTCCGACTCACCTTGCATTGGACGACAAAGCCTTCGTTGAGATGCACACAATACCGCCTCTCCTGGACATGGGCGGCCGCGACGTCGTACGAGACCGAGAACTTCTCCATGAGGTACCTATTAAGGGTGGTCCTTCATATCAGCTTTTCTGAAATGAAGAGCAAAGAAGAGACTGACGGCCCCCATATTGGAGGCCAATGCAACCAAAAGATCCTTTGACCTTTACTCACATGATGACGAGCGCCGGCGCCCTGCTGATGCCATTGTCGTCGTGCACGAGCACCTTTCCTCCGTCCCGCGTGGCACCATCGATGAAGCTGACGAGCTCAGGGACGATACGGATGAGGTTCTGCTCAAAGCGATCGCCGACGTCAAAGACGGCATATTGGAACTGGTTGGGGAAACGCGGCTTGAGAAAGGGCGCCTCGACGTCCGTTCGCACAATGACGATCGCCGTGATGCCCAGTGCGTGCAGTGGGGGCAGATAGCGGCCGCTGTCGGCTGGTCCGAGATAGAGTGCCTCGGGAAGAATCTCTTGGCATTGTCTGCGCATCTCGTAGCGCCAGCTGAGGCCAGAGTGCTCGCGGCCAGACAGGCCCAGGCTGCCCGTGCTGGGGACAAAGGCATCAGACAAGCTCCCGTCGCTTATTGAGTGTGCCGTGTCAGCTGCGGCCGAGCTGGGCGGGTGCGCCGCCATGGGCACGTCCACAAGCGTCTGCTCCGACGACATGACCACGACCTTAAGCTCTAGACGCTGGTGCTGGTGCAGGCCATGCGGTTCGTCGGGTCTACTTACTTCGGTGCGGCGCATCAGCATTCAAGAGCTTTATCTCGCACGGACGCGCAACAAATCCACGTGAGAAATTAGGCTTGCAAAAAAAAATGAAAGATTCATGGGACGAAGGGGACACAGCTCCAAGAGAAGATTTTCTCGACTTCTCGGGAAAGGAGACACATTGGCCCATCAGCAATGTCATCGGGCAGACTGCCGCCGACGGGAAGGGGGAGCGCTCCTGCTGCCAATGGCACCCCTAGGCCTTCGGCTCGCGCGGGATCTGCTTCGACGGCGCCGGCGGGAGCAGCAGGTGCCGGACGACAGGGGTCCTCCACGCCGGGACCGCCGGGCGTGCGGCCTGGCGCGGGGGCCACGCAGAGCATGATCCGACCTCGAGGCGCGGCGCCACCGCAACGGATGATGTTCCGCCCCGTCATGCCTGCTCGGCGGCCCGTGCAAGTCAAGACGGAGCCGGGAGAATCCTCGTCGGGCTCCCCCACGCCGTCGGCCTCATCGACGGCCTCTCCTGGCTTCGTGGGGGAAGGAAGGGGTCGAGGAGGAGAGCGAGGGCGAGGAGGGCCAGGGAGGGGCAGAGGGCGGGGCAGGGGAGGCGCACCCGTGGAGCTCGTTGCTTCGGGACCCTTTTCGATGGGCAGCAGCTCTCACATGGGCGTAGGCCGGAGGGGCGCATCGGGCGTCAGCCGGCCCCATCTGCAGGCACCCTCCAACTTCCGCGGAGACAGCGACGGCATCAAGAGCGACCCAAGCAGGAGCATCTATCGCAATCCCGATGCAGCAGCATTGAAGGAGAGGGAGGAGTACAGCGACCCAGAAGAGGATGGCATCGAGATTGTCGACATGGATGACGTGGCCACGCTCGACGAGCTTGCCCCGCGAGCGCTGCCGAGGATGAAGGACCAGGCTGGCAGCCGTAAGGGCAAGGTCAAGAGAGAGGGTGGCGAGGGAAGCAGCAAGCAGGCTATCCAAGAAGGTGGAAGTGCCAGCGATGCGGGCAAGGGAAAGACAAAGGACGAGCCCAAAATCAAGGTCAAGGCCGATCCAGACGCCCTTGTTGTTGATGAGGTCGAGGTGGGCGACGATGAGGAAGAGACTCCTCCTCGAGCGCCACAGCCAGAGAATGGCGAAACCGACAAGAACGATGAGACACGCACGGCCGACGCTCTTGATCTGGATGCAAGCGAAGAGGAGGAAGTCATGGACGATCTTGTCGAAGATTTCGTTGGCGGTCTTGGCATGGGCGGGGATGACGATGTACGTGATCACTTTTTTTGGAGGTCGATCCCGTGGCTGATCTTTTTTTGACCTTGCTGCAGCCCGACAATCGCCTCTATCTGTTCCAGTTCCCGCCCTTGTTTCCCAAGTTTGAAGTGCCGAGGGAGGAGGCGGGCGATGCTGCAGCAGGGCCATCGAGCGCGCCCAAGCGCCGCTCGGTGGCGTTTGCAGATGACACACTGGGCGGCGGAGGTGCCGCGGGCTCGTCACCTGGTCCATCCATAAAGCGCGAGGGAGGTCTCAAGGATGACCCCGACACCGACAGCAAGCTTGGCGCTGGGGCCCGATCAAGGAAGGCCATGGGCCCAGAGGGTCAGATTGGCCGGCTGGACGTCTTTAGGGACGGCCGCGTGAACTTCAAATTTGGCGATCTTGTCATGGAGCTCACAGGAGGTAGCCAGTCGACCTTCCTACAGCAAGTCATGATTCTCGACGCAGAGAGCAAGAAGGCGACGACGCTCGGCGAACTCCACCGCAAGTTTGTCGTCTCACCAGAGGTAGAATCCATGCTGGCCGATGTCAACGTCGTCGACGAGGGCCCCGGGAATACTGAGCATCCATAGATAGACTGTTCATGAAGCTGTATCTTTTACAAGACTCGTAATCACTTTGACCTCACAATCACTCTTTTCTGTCTGTCAAAGAAGCCTTGGTGACATTTGTGTATTTATGAGAGCAGCGCGCGAAGAAAGACGCCTCGGCCGAGTCCAGGTTGGCGTCGTCGTGGCAGCAAATTTAAGGTAGGCGCCTAGGTATTCCCCCATCGATCATCCCTTCAAGACTGCGTTGGCGCGACGATGGCGCAACAGCAGCAACAGCAAGGCATGCCGCCGCCGCCACCGATGCCTTCGGAGGAGCAGATGGCGCTGAGCGATGCCACATTCCGGCAAGTGCCGCTCTCGCTGGACCCTAACTCGCTCCAGCTCGGCTCCCCCTCGCACGACCTGACGATCCTCAATGCCCTCGTGCGCTCGCTCCGGGCCCTGCCGCCCCAGGTGCCCTTCCCGCCGCCGCCCAACGTGGTCCCACCACAGCGCTCGATGGCCATCGGCAAGGCCAAAGACGAGGGCAATGTGGCGTACCGAAAGGGCGACTACGCCGAGGCGATCAAGCTTTTTACTCTCGCCCTCGACGTGGCGGCCTCCCGGCCGCTGTGGGAGAGCAACCAGCTGGCGCGCGACGAGATGGCCCTCTGCCTGGCCAACCGGAGTGCCGCCTTTGCGCAGGTGGGCGACTGGATCGGGGCACTGTGCGATGCAGAGGCCTGCGTCAAGCTCAAGCGGCCGTGGAGCAAGGCACACTTTCGAAAGGGAAACGCCCTCGTGGGCCTTGGGAGGCCCGACGAGGCCCGAGAGGCGTACGAGCTCGGGTTACAGTTTGACCCCAAGAGTGTGGTGCGTGTGGATGCTCTTGAGCGATCGCTACGCAGGACTGACACTTCTCTTTCCTTTCTCTCTCTTCTCCTCTTCTTAAAACACGCAGGATCTCAAAAAGGCAATCAACGACCTCTCGACGGGAGCGGCAAACAAGGTCACAGCGTCATCTTGATGTTTGGAATCACACCGTTCTGTCCTCTATATTGTAGCCAAACCGTTTTCTTCCTTCGACATGACTTCCCGTAATGCCACAGTGGCTCAGCAGCCTCGTCGTCATCGGCCGCGCTTCTTGGTAGAGACGTGGTCCCTTCTTTGAGAAGGATACTTCTTTGAGCAAGTCTCCTCCGATTGCTGACTCCCAGTATCTCGAATCATTGTCGTCGCTGTGCCGGTTTACAGCATTGATGAACGCAGTGACTAACCCACGCGAACTTTCGGTATTGGCGGGCGCTGGCGGAGTTGCCATGCACATTGAGTCAAAAAATTAAGTGCATATTCCAAGGCCTTTTCCCCACCTGTTCCTTCCTTTCAGGTGTTAGGTGTTGCTTTCGCGGCGCGCACAATCGAGGCGGAGCAACGGGCAAGGATGCCGCTACCAAGACAGATTCCGGCCGTCTTCTACCGGGGCGGGACAAGGTGAGGAAGAGGAGCCACGGGGAACCAACCACCCGAGGGATGAGCAGAGGCTGAAGATGACGAGTACAGCCGGGGACTGCTGTTCAAGGACTCGCACCTGGCATGCTACGATGCCAAGACACGGGATCGGATACTGTGCGCTGCCAGTGAGTAGTACACCCCGCCCTCTGCCAGCTGCTTCTTGTTGGTCTCCGTGCTGAGGCGGGAAGCTGGTGTGTAGTGGGCTCGCCCGACCCAGATGGCCGGCAGATCGACGGACTGGGCGGCGGCGCGTCGTCGCTGTCCAAGATTGCAGTCGTCTCGCCTTCATCGCCGTCATCGTTTGCAGACCAGGCGCGGCGCCTCGGCCACGCATTCGCCGGCGTGGACGCGCAGTGGTCCGCCGAAGGCGGCGAGGACAGGGCCGCGAAGATCTCAGACGTCGTGTACAGGTTCGGCCAAGTGCCCATCAATGACGGCACCAATGTCGACTGGGGCAGTACATGCGGCAACATGGTCGCCGCCGTCGCGCACTTTGCGGTCCAGGAGCAGCTCCTGAAAGCGAGCAGCGGCGAAGCAGAGGTAGCGAGCGAGAAGGGTACGTTGCCGGTCAGGATCCTCGCGCACGATTCCGGAAAGGTCGTCCGGGCGCATGTGCCCGTGCTGCAGCACGACGGCAGATGGCTGCCCGCCGCCGAGGGGCAGGCTCAGATCTCGGGCGTTCCGGGCACGCACCCGGGCATTCTCATCGAGAGTCCACTGGAAGGGAGCGTGCTCAGCACGGGAAATGCCCTCGATCATGTCGAGGTAGATGGAGAGACTGTGAGTGTTGTCCACTCTAATCCCGACCAAATCATTCAGGAAAGTTCCCTCCTGACTTGGAAGAGATCATAGATCCCAATCAGCATTGTCGACACGGGATTGCCCGTCATCTTCGTCTCCGCCCTCGACCTCTCCATTCCGTTGTCCGACCTCGTCCAGCACCCCGCCGCAATCGACTCCAATCGAGCCTTGATGGACCGCCTCGAACGGATCCGGTTTCAGGCGAGCCAGCTCACTCCAGACCTCGCATCCAAATTCAGCCCACCGGCGCCAAAAATCTGCGTCGTGCACCCTGCAGCGTCTTACAAGACGACGGGCGGGCAGGAAGTCACGGCGGACGAGACGGACCTTTTGGCAAGGACCGTGTCTGTGCACCAGCTCCATCGCACGATCCCGGCCACGACACTCTCGGCACTCGCTGCGGCACGCTGCTTTGCCGACAGCGTCGTCTCTCGCACCGTCTCGCCGGCCCTGTCTCCGATGACGAAAAAGGCAACAGAAGAGGCGGGTGGTGGCGACGATGTGAGAGCGATCACGATTGGACAGCCCGCGGGGGCGTCGAGCGCAAGCGTGCAGACAGATGAAGGGGGACAACCACGGGCAATTGTCATGCTCAGAACGGCCAGACGGATCATGCAAGGAGAGGTCCTCGTCCCGGGAGACTGTCTGCCACATCCTGACCTCGCTTCACTTGATCATTATAGATAATTGGAGTTGCTAGAAGCATTATTGTGCAATGAAATGTCAAGATAGCCACAATTCGAGAGCGGGTGCAACTGAGTCCGACTTCCATCGATGCAGGAAGACGGCCTGGCCTCCTCCTACCATGGCCTGATGAGCGTGGTAGGCTGCCTGAACCCACCGCAGCGATAGTTCTTTAAGCCGTCTATTTTGCTTTTGATCAGGAAAAGTCAGCATCCGCAAGTGACAAGGCAAGGCAGGCAGGCGCCAACACCAGTGACTCACGAGGAACGTAGCGACAAAGAGAACGAGGTCAATAGAAGGATCAAAGTGCAACCTGGGCAGCTTGTCGAGGATCTGGCCTTTTCCGTCTTGCGAAGCGACCTGTGCGCCCACGCAGCGCAATGCGTCGCCGGCGCTGTCGAGGACGACATCGATGTCGCCGCTGAAGAGGGCCAAGTGGCGCGTCTGACGGTCCAGCGTCGAGAAGACCTCTGGCTTCAATTGTGCGCGCTCTTTGGGGAATGTCTTGGACGAGGCACTGTATGTCTCGTCGATACGCTCTCTGAGGTTCTTGAGTGCCTCAACGACGTCCTCGTGCGCCTCTTTAACCTCCCCAGCCAAGCTTGCATCTGTGCTGCCCACCTCTGCAAGCTTGACAGACTTGAACAGCAGCCGACTCCGCTCAAAGACTGCACGAGATTCGCCCTCTGTGATCCGCGCGCGCCGTCCGGAGGCCTCGGCACCATCCGCACGATCGAGGATGCAGAGCGAACAGGCGCACTCGAAGCCATGCTTGGACAGCTGGGCTGTTCGGATCGGAAAGGGCGTCTCTCCGCGCACGTACTGGTGCACAATCTCGGTCCCCTCGGGAAGCACGTCGAGGGCACGCGTTGTGACAATGTTGGAAAAGAAGACGGACGAGACGTTGGGGAGACAAGCGTGGTTGAGAATTGCGGGCAGCGGGTGGGGCTGCGTCGACCGCCCTAGCTCGCCTTGGGACTCTTCTACGTGCTTGTGCGAATGTGAAGAGGCAGGGGCCTGAGCAGGACCAAAGGCGTTGAAGCGGAGGACGCCATCGACATAAGCCGCGTCCACGTCCAGGCTCTTGTACTCGTTGACCGCTTTCTTCGGGTCCAGTTCCATCCTAGCCCTGAGCGGATAGGGCTCCGTGACGAAGCGCGAGTAGTCCATCGAGGGACCAGCTGTGAGGCCCAGGACGGGGACGGCAAGCATGTCCGGCCGGTCGACGAGAGCGTGAATGAGGTTGGTCTGGGCGCGCACCTGGCTCGTCGTGGACACCACGCCATTGTCGACGTTGAGCCGGAGGATGGGGCTGCCGAGCGATTCAGGATCAGAGGGGTAGGCAGAGCCATAGCTTCGGCAGCACAGTAGCAGCTCGCCTGGCTGCACCTCGCGAGTAGTGACGAGGCCTCGACCGGCGCCGGGTATATCGCGCACCTGGACTGGACCGATATATTCAGAGGTGTCTAGGCGAGGATTGGGACTGTGACCCGATGAAGCAAAGTAGATTGAAGCAACCTCTTCGTCGGTCAAGCCGGCAGACTCTGAAGCGAGACGGCGTTCTGTCCTTTTCGCGGCTTGGACCGGTGAGAGCTCACTTATTGGCACCGCAAAATCGGTGTCCTTCCTCAGAGAATCAGGTCCTCCTTCTGACGAGCCTTGAGCAGATGTTGAAGCAAAGGCGTCCTTTGCACCGGACCAAGCACGAAGCTCATACAGGATTCTCGCTTCGACATCCTTGAGCGACTCATTGCCCACCAGGGCTAATCTCCGTGCAGCGCAGAGCTCTCTGTATGCGGCACCGGGCCTACCGAAAGCGATGAAGTCTTCGATAGTCTCTCGAATGGCGCTCAGGGATGGAGGCTGCGCAGGCGGAGAGAAGCCTTGACGAAGCTGACGGCTCAAGAATCCGTCTCTCAGCCATACTGTTGAGGTAGAGGGAGGACATGAAGACAGGGGCAGGTCTTCCTTCCATTCGACGCCTTCGAGTAGCCTATCTTCTTCCTCGACGATGACGATGTCGGTGGGACTGTCGACTCTGATGCCCATCGCCGCTTTGCCCGTACAAGGGCCTGCCCGGGAGGCATGGTCTAGAGACACAAATGGCTCACGGATCGCCAGGACGGTGCCTAGAGGAAGCAGCTTCGAAACGGAGGATTGCGACTGGTTGATGTCGGAGGTGAAGTGGGAGATGGACACGGGTATCGCGGCGCCTGATGGATCATCGACGATGCTGTTGGTCGTACGACTGTTCAGCACTTGGGAGCCGAGTGAGGAAAGAGATGGCTCACAAGGTCACGCCCACGTAAAGCAGGAGAGGCGTCATCACGCGACAAAGGAGATAAGCGCCTGAGATGATGTTGTCTTTTATCAGAGCTGCGCCGTGCTGGAAGAGGGGCTTCATTTGCTTGACTCACCTTCGTACCGCCTTGGGGCCAGATTGAGGTCACCACATGAGATCCTCTTTAAAGACGCAAGAGGTCTCTTTGAGTGATAAGAGGCCTTTCCATCGACGACAAGTCTTGGTATGTAGCCTCGGCCTGCCTCTTGCCGCTGCTGCTCGGCCCGCTTGAGGGCTGCGTCTTGCCTGGCCAAGAGAGCCGTTCTCGGCGCGAGCTTGACCTTTGTCGGGGCTTTTGTTGTCGTTTCCTTCTTTGACACCTCCCGTTGCCGATCGAGTGTCTTTCTGAAGTTGTCGAGTAGCGCATTCACAGCCTCCTCGAGCAGGTCCTGGCCCATCATCATCGCGGCCCCTCCTGCCCCTCCCTCCTCTCCTCCCTCTCCGTCCAGGACAGACGACAGGGAGAGCAGCTGAGCGAGCCGCTTCTGGACCTCTTCATCGGTGTCGAGCAGCTCGAGCAGCTGTGAAGGGGACGGAGCGCCCAGGCCGAGGTTCCTGAGCGATCGCAGCAGATCCTCCATCGTCGTCCCTCTCGTGAGTGTTGCTCTAGATCCCAGGAAGAAGCGGAATGCTCCAAAAAAAAAAAAAGAAAATGGAGCGAGTGTCGCCCGACTCCCGAAGTGGAAGCCACCGGTGGATCGTCTCCTTCGCGCGCGCGAAAAGGCAGAAAACCTTTCCCCCATCTCTGTCCAGCGCACCGCACTGCACCATGTCCGATACCGAGGCACCCACCGGCGATGTCGAGGCCGGGCCCTCTGCCCCTGCGCCACTGAAGCCAGTCTACTGCGCCATCTGCACCTTCCCGCCCGAGTACTGCGAGTTCTCGTCGAGCAGCACAAAGTGCCGCGCCTGGCTCTCGTCGTCGCACCCGGAGCTCGCAGCCAAGATCTACTCGGACGAGGCGCTGACGCAGAAGCTGGCCTCGCTCACGACGAAGCAGGCCGACGACTTGGAAAAGGAGGCGGCGAAAAAGGAGAAGCGGGCCGAGGCCAAGGCGGAAAAGGACGCCAAGGCGCTCAAGAGCCAGCGCATTACGCTGACGAAGATGGCAAGGACAAAGAAGAAGGCAACGACGGCTGTCTTTGGGCTCCACCTTTTCAGTCCGCCTCTGCCGGCGCTGAAAGTCATCTCAAAAGGGTCAGTTCCCCGCTTTTCCCTCGCTTCTTTTCTCATGCTCCGTGCCATGTGCTGACTCTTGAATGACAGCCTCTCGTCTCGACTAGCCACGGGCGCATCGGTGTCAAAATCGACTGCGAATCCGGGCGTGGACGAGATTGTGGTGCAGGGCGACGTCGCCGACGAGGTTCGCGACATGATCATCAGCCGCACCAAGCCCTTCGACACGCTTCCCAAGGAGGAAGACGGAGGGCCCTCCGACAAGCAGATTGTCGTCGAGGAGGAAAAGAAGAAAAAGGCCCCTGCCAAGGAGGGTGAGGGAGGAGCAGCTGCAGGAGGAGCCGATGAATAGATTTGTCCATTTATCGAGAGCAATTATTCTAAGAGATTAGCTCGTTTTACATGCGACTCAGGGCCTTCTCGAGGGCACGCTCAGCGCCCCGTCTGACGTGCACCGGCGTGTTGAGGCTTGACATGAGGTAGACGACGTTGCCCAGCGGCCTGGCATGGATATTGAATTCGAAGCTGCCGTCCTGCGTGTCTCGTAGATCCTTGAGCATATCTGCGCCTGCCGTCGATGAGTAGCCTGATATAGAGATGATCGATCACTCAGTCAGCAAAGGAGTAACACTGTGAAACGGGAGAACAACGCTATACGCACCGCCTCGGCCATTGCCCTCACGAAGGTAGAGAACCAGCACGGTGCCGAGTGCCATGCAGCTCTCGACCTTGGGATGCCTCGAAAAGGCCAATGTCGCCTCCTTGCTCCAGAAGCTCCACGGCCGATTGACCTCGTCCTCCCCTGTGCTGCTGCCCGAGCTCGACACGGCGCCCCAGTCCTGCCACTCCTCGCTCCACGCTCCTCCCGTGCGCATTCGCTCGATGCGGCTCAGCGTGTCGTTTGCCACTTCGCACCCAATCGGATGGGCCGTGTAGCTGTGTCCGTGCAGCAGCGCATCGACCTTCTTGTCCGATTGACTGAACGTGTCAAAGATGCTCGAGCGGGCCAGCGTGACGGACATGGGCACCATTCCCCCGGTCAGGATCTTGGCCAGGACAGAGACGTCGGGCCTGATGCCCAGGATCGAGGCCGGGGTGGTGAAGCCAAGCCGGTAGAGACCTGTGAATACCTCGTCGAAGATGACAGGCAGGCCCCTCCAGTCGTCCTCGCCGCGAGGGGGCTGCGGCGTGCGAGCAGAGCGGAGCGGTGGGTCGGTGAGCGTGAAGAGATCCTCGCTGTCTCGGACGACATCCACGAGACATCGCTGGAACAGGGGGTCGACGAAGACCATGCCACCTGCGCCTAGGACCAGAGGCTCGAGGACGAGGGCGCCAAACTTCTTGCCCTGGACAACGACGAGGTCCTCGATCCACTTCCTCAGCTGCCTCCGGTAGGTGGCGCAAAGATCAGACGAGAGACGAGCCTCAACGTCATAGACGTCAGAGATGTCACCAAAGGTCAACGTCTGCCCTGGCTCATCCCAGGGCTGCCCCTCTTCGCGTTGCGGGACCGTGACTGTCGCCTCTCCGTCGCGAATCGACACGGTCGGCGGCTCGATCCACGAGCCACGCCCTCGGTACCACTCGACGGCCGAGTTGAAGATGCCGCCTTCGCATGCATCCATGGCCCCAATCGTGTCGCCGTGGTAGGACCCTCGGAGCCCCAGCACGGTCCACTCCTGCTCACGGCTCCGCCCGCCCGCATGGCCTGCACTGCGCCCTGGCTCGACTCGCTCGGCAGTCTGCGACGTGAGCGATCTAGGGTCGTACCGCTGGACCGAAGACGCAATCGCCATCTTCAGTGCCACCTCCATGCCCGTCGATCCGTCGTCGCTGAAGAACACGCGCGAAGCCCAGCCCTTGCCAGGCGAGGCCATCGCCGTCCTCTTCTTCTTCTGCTGTGATTCGACGCCCAGGAGGCCTTCAGTCAACCTCAGCGCCGGTTCGTTGGTGCTCATGGGAAAGAGAACGTGGCCGTACCGGCCTGCGGCGCGTGCAGCGGCCATCGTCAGGCCCGCATCGGCATGTCCGAGGCACTGGGTCCACCACGAGGCAGACCCATCGAGCATAGCTGAGAGCCGTGAGCCTTCTTCTGCCTGGTCCTCTCCCTCTCCCTCCTTCGACTTCTGGCTTCGGTAGACGGAAAAGAAGTCCCCATGGGCCGAATCAATCACATTGACATCCCCGTCCGTGCGTGCCAGTGTGTGTTGTGTAAATGGCCACCAGCAGGATTCCCTCGTGCGCGAAGCCATGCTATGCAGATCGGCCAGACGGTCTTCGTGTGCCTTGCGGAGATACCGGACCGCGTCGACGAGGCCGTTTGGGCTCTCATCCGCCGACGCTCGCTCGCTGCCTCTGCCCTGCACGAGGCCACGGTAGTAGGCCAGCATGTTCTGCTCATCCTCTGCCGTACTCGCATGCTTCGCCGGAGGAAGGCCCCAGAGGTCGCCTCCAGAGGGACCAGACAGAGCCCAGACGGGCAGACCGATGTCGCGGCCCCATTTGGTCAGGTACTCGGCATTGCCCAGTCCTCGTCCTGCGTCGGCAAACAGGAGGAGCGCCTGTACGTCGTGGCCTGCAAGCACGAGGGCGTCGTAGGCTGCTCGAGTCGTCGAGATACCGCCGAGCAACGAGTCACCGATGAGGATCGTGGGCAGGCGCAGTGGTCGGAGCAGGTGCGCTGTGCTCGAGCCAGACGGCGAAGGGCTGTGGACACCACCGGCGGTCTCGAGGTACGCGACCGACGACGGGGATGCAGAGGCAGAGGCAGTAGCAGCGCACTGATGCAGATGATCCGAGATCCGCCTGAGGACTTCGCCATCGGTCAGGCCGGCTCCCGAAGCGGCCACGTGCGGCGAGACAGCCTGCTTGAACTGGTAGAGCGTCTTTGCGTCCGTCGAGGGCGAGAAGCGCTTGATGTGCCTGGAGGGAACATCGTCAGGATTGATGGCCGTGCTAATGTGTGTTTTGAGTCAGACACTCACAGATCGTCAGCATCGGTGGCCGCACCTGTCGAAACTGGCTTGACATAGTGAACCCGATCACCGTCGCTGTGAGGCTGGACGCGGCCCCGGTCGTCGGTCTGCCAAGTCGGCGCGGCGGTTGGGTTGCGCGGGACAGCAGCGCTCGCGATGGCCAGGGCCGTCGTCAGGATCGTCTTGCCTACGTCTGTATTGGCCCCAAACACCTGATGGAGCCTCAGATGCGGGTAAAGGTGCGCCATTGTTCTCACCCGGACCCCGGCCTGTTCGACGTAGTGCGCATGAGAAGATCCGCTCTGTCGAGCGCCGGCCGGGTTCTTGTCCGAGAGGACCTTACTTTAAAGCTCGCTCCGAATTCCGAGCTTCACGTGTTTTGAGGCACCATTTCGAAAGGCGTCTGCCACTACTTCAATAGGTGTTAGAAGTCTTCTTGATTGACAGACAAACACCCCCTCGATCAACGGCCTGGACAGCTTAGAGCGGACGGACACCAGATGAAGGACCAAGCGGGAGGGCACAGAGGCGACACGGAGCTCTGAAAAAAGAAAGTGCAGGTCGAAGGGCGGGCCCACGGCGGCCATGGAGCGATCCATATCCATGGGCCCCTTGACGAGGCAGCACAGCCGACACATGGTCGCCTCTGCCTGGGCCAAGCCGCTTCCCGCATGGGCCAGCGCTTGTGTCAGACCTGTGGTCGTGGCCAGGCCGGTCTGTACGTCAGGGAAGTGCTGCAAACCCGGCGTTGATGGAGCAGCGACGATGGACCTCGTCTTGGGTGACGATGCTGCCGCTGCCGTCGGCCCGCTCCGATGGCATCAACATATGCAGCCAGGTCTCGATCGCAGTCGACACGCCCTTTCAAACCACATGGATTACGGGGAAGAACTGCTCCGGAAAAGAGCGAGTCTTCCTTCCTCATTCTTCACTTCGACCTCCTTGCCTTCGGTCGGCGATGTCGAAGCGCTATTCACCAACGATGAGGTACTGCCGCAGGAAGCCAATGAACCACCTCTCTGGCTGTCAACGTTCGAAGAGCATCTCATATCATCGCAGCTCCGAACCGTCTTCTCTCAAATACGATCTGGGCAACATGACGTTGTTTCATTAGCTCGCACGCTCGTCGCAAAGCTGGAGTCATCGCCACGAGCGTCTTCTGCCTCGGAGGAACAAGTTCAAGACGCCCAGAAGCACGAAGAAGCCCAGCTCCTCATCCTCTCTCGCTGGGCTGTAACGACGCTGGCTACGCTCGATTCATCCTCACCAGAGATTGCCCTTTCGCCTTCCTCGGTCGCCCACCATGGCGTCACCATGCGGCTGTACGAGTCCAGCATCGCCAGCGGCAATCTCCTCACGACGGGCATCCCGAGAACGTTGATTTCAAGGCAACGAGCGGTGCTCCACCGTCTCTTCGGTCTCTTTCTCAGTTGGTCTCCGCCCTCGCTACCTCCTTCTTGGGGAGTCCGGCAGGAGTACACGAGACTCAAGCTCCTCTATCGGTCACTCGCCTCATCTGCAAAGGTGCTCGCTGATCCACGGCTGAAGAGGTCTCAGGTCAGATACCTCTTTCGAAAGCTCCTGGCACGCATCAGCCGAGAAGCCAGCTTCTTTCGGCGACAGAAGCCCACCATTTCGACGCATCGAGACAAGGAGCTGGACAGGCTGCGAAAGCAAGTGTGGGCTGACGTAGGTCGGACATTGGCTGCATGCGTGGACGAAGGCATCGTTCCAGTAGTCACCGATCGCAAAGGAGAGAGAGCGCTGCACAACGTTGTCAGGAGAGGAGCCGAGCTCGAGACTTTTCTCACCCTCTCTGCCGATGCTCGCATGGGCTCCATTTGCCTTGCAGTCGCCCGGCATGCCCAGCTCGCTGCCCATCGGGATGAGCAGGCAAAGGCACGAACAACGCACCGACAACAGGCCATCGTCGATGGGCAACAAGAAGAAGACTTCGACAGTCGATCGCAGAGCAGGCTTTCGAAGCACTCGTCTTCGCTCTCGCTGCGCAGTACTCTGCCAAAGAATCTCTCTATTCGTCGCTACCACTACGCCGGACGGGAGGTTCACCAAGCCTTTGGAGACGAAACATGCCTGCAACGCGTCGTCGACAGCCTTGCAAGGCGGGGGCAGGGCGCTGTGGCCAAGAAGTTGGCCTTTATGGCACCGGTGGAGCAGCGAACGCCAGGAGTGCTGCAGAGCCTGATGAGACATTGGGGCGAGAACGTCATGGTCAGTGTCGAGATGGGCGATCAGATGCAAGTAGCAGAATTGCGTCAACCCGTTTCGAATGCCCTCGCGGAAAGAAAGGGACGTAGCAGGACCAACATTAAGGAAGCGGTCGAGGTCGCAAGCTCTACCATTTACCAAGAGCTTTTGCGGACAAAGGGACTGGACTTTGACCGGGAGACGATGGAGGCAAGAATGGCGTCGCACCGCAACCACCGGAATCCATTTCTGGTCTTTGACGATCTCCGGAGGCGCCACCTGGCGAGCAGGGCCAAGGATGCTGCTGACGGAACGGAGGATGGGCAGCAAGCGCTGGAAGAGGGCATGCTCAAGGTACTGCTAGGTCTCAGCGACGCCGCCCAGATTCATGCGGTCGAGACCTATGCACGGGCAGGCCGGGTGCGCCATGCAATCAAGCTCGGCCGGAGGCTCATTGACGCGCGAATGCAGGCTTCCGTTGGCCGCCAGAGGCAGCTGTACTTCCAGACGCGCGTCCTCAATCTCGTCGTTCGCGCCATTCTCTTTGGTGGCGCAAGAGACCCGGCGGTGCAGTCTCGTCTTGTCGGCATCAGGAGACGCAGGCAGAGCCGGACTGCAGCCTTGATGGACGGCGACGCGCTCAAGCTGCGGGCAAAGCAGCTACGGAGGATCAGACGTCGGGGCAGGACACCAATGGAGAACCGCATCGTCAGCGCTCTGGCAACCATCAGGACCTTCGGATGGCCCAATGCGCAGACGACGACGCTTCTCGTCAACGCGCTCTGCCGTGTGTCGCCGGCCAAGCTCTCGGACGCCGCACTGGTCCATGCGCTTGAGGTCTCGTTTGACTGGACTGCGAGAGGCGCGGAGCACGTCTGCACAGACCTCGCTGCGCTGCTGGATGGAGCCCGCTGCGGAGCTGAGGCGTTTGATCGGGCAGCGTCGAGGCGGGCCATTCTGCTGATGGCAAAGGCCAGGCGCCAACACGCGCTGCTCGCCAGGCACTGCAGGCTAGTGCAGCGCTTCCTCCTGAGAAGAAGAAACAGGCCGTTGGCGACGCACGCTGCGCTGATCGCCGACGAACTTGACAGAGGTGCTCTCGCATGATGCTGTACAGTACATTTATTCACTACCCACTACAACTACTACTACTACTGCATTGACACTGGTGTTACATAATGTGACGATTCGAACGCATACATGCAGGAGGCAATGGACAGACTGGGACAGCGTGTGTTTGTCACCCTTCATCCCATCGGCCCACCTCTACCTCGCACAGATCCTCGAACCAGTCGGCGAGCCAGACGCCGCGCTCATCGCGCAGGTCGTCGAGGCGCTTGCAAACCTGGAGAATCCTCTCGCGGTGTTCGCCTCGTCTTCTGGCCTTTGGATTCCGGTCCGCGTTCGAGCTTCGTTCTTCATTGTCCTCGTTCGGCGCTTCTTCTAACTCTCCCTCTGCCCCGTCATCTCGTCTCCTTTGCTCCTTCGCTATTGAAAGCGTGGGATCGCCTGGCGCGGTTCCTCGCTGGATGAGCTCATCGGCCATGATTTCGAGTGTGCCCGTCTGTACGACATATCTGCTTGTCAAGAATTGGATATAGTCCACTGTAAAAGTCTCTCGAGTGTCAGCAGGGGCACGAGGAGGAGGTCTACATGATTGGCAAGAGAGGAAAGAGGAACTCACCAAACGAGACCATCGGCCAGGTGGACCAGAGCGGGTCGACGATGGCAAACTTGTCTCCCCTTGCCTTGATCGCCTCGAGAAGGAGTTTCTCGGCGGCGTGCGACAGGGCGTCCATCTTGCTGGCCTGCTTCAAGAGGCGCGCCAGGACCGTCTGCTGCTGCTGCTGCTGATCATGCTCGGCCTCAAGGTCGTGCATCACCTGGGCTTTCAGGCGCGCGTGCGTCCTCAAGAGCGCACCGAGCTCATCAGCCATGCGGAGATGCTCGGCGCTCCCGCTCGTGGCCGCCTCGAGCCGGGCAAGCGCTTCGTCAATGGCCGAGGCATTGCTCGCGAGGCTCGACACCGTCCGGGCAAAGTCCTCGTCGGCGATGTCCTCCCAGACGGACCGTGCTGCGCGGTGGTCCCACAGAATCTGGCGGAGGCGACGGTGGAACGTTGTCTCGTCTGCGCGCGAGACGAGGCCGTCGGTGGTTGCAGTGACTTGCGTCGGCGTGGATGGTGTAGCAACAGCAGCTGCTCCTGATGATGATGATGAGGGCGTGGACTGCCGAGAGGCTCGGCCGGGCACTTTGGAAGAAGAAGAAGCAGAGGGTGTTGAGGGCTTGCGTGGTGTTGCGGGAGGGGCGACTGGGCCTGAGCCCGACGTGTTTATGGGCAGGTTCCGGGGCGGCAGAGGCGCCATCGTCGTTGGTCGTCTGTCTGGTCGACTGTCGTGAATAGAGGAAGAATAAAAAAATAAAGAAGTGGGAAAGCTCCACCCGAGTCCCGAAAGGCGCGAGCGAGAGCTTTGAGTCAAGCTCGACAATGGACTGGAAAGAGATACGAAGGTGCGCTGAAGACCCAAGGCGATCATGGACAAGCCGCCGTTGTCGGCGACGGCCTCATCGCCGCCACTGTCGTCGTCGTCGTCGTCGTCAGTGGCTGCCACATCCAAGCCTTCGCTGTCGCAGCAGCTCATGAGACCCTTCCGACCGAGGGCGACGACCACGGCGGCGACGGCCTCTTTGGCATCGTCTTCAGCAACGGCCTCGCCGGACATTGGTGCCGCCAATTCCCCTGCGAATCCGTTTGAAAGAACCTCGTTGGGAGGCAGCAAGGCGCGAACGGGAGCAAAGTTCTCAGACAGGCTCTCGGCTGACGACTTCAAGACGAACATCCAAGAGCTGGAAAAGCCCCCCTCGGCCTCAGATAACGTCGAGGAGGTCATTGCGGACCGTGTGGAAAGACTGAGAGCCATGACCGCATCGCTGGAAAAGACAATCAAGGAAGAGGAGGACATCACAAAGGGCTCGCCGTCCTACCATCGCCGGTCCGCGTCGTCGCAACAGGGCGTGCCCGGCCCACCCCAGCGTGACATCTTCCAGCTCTGCGTCGCCCTCTTGACCGATGCGACCAATCTGCCCATGCCCATCCGGATCGGCGTGTGTGACCTCATGTCTACCAGTGTGCGTCTCTCAGACATCAGGGCCGCGCGGGCGCCCAAGGCCATCAATGAGACGAGGAGCGGCGCGCCAGGCTCGCAGTCCCACCGCGCGCCCGACGCCGACCACGCCCTGGCCAACATCGACCGGGCCATCCTGTACCGTCTCGTCTGTGGCCTTTCAGGTCCCTTGCCACCCGAAGACAAGGAGCCGGTCATCCCCACAAGGGACAACATGGCAGCCACCGCTCTGCCCGCCCTCAGCTCCCAGCTCAAAGCCCTCGATGTGCTTTCGTTTGGCGGTCGAGACGTCATAGGTTTTCCTGGCGTCTTTGAGCTGTTAAGCGACTGGACCAAGACGACCTGGATGGAGCTACAAGCGCTAAGAAGAATACCTAAGGGCCGGATGGGCGATGAGAACGTCGACGAGGCGAGTCAGCAGACGATCAAGCCAGCAGACGCTCTGTATGCTTCGCAGCTCCTCGAGCAGCTTTCGCTCCGGGAGTGGTCGCTCCAAGCCAGCTTGCATCTCATCACATCCATCATCAAGTTCTCTTCTGCCAAGTTGGATCTCCGTCAGCTCGAATATATCCTCGCCCAGGTCGCCTTCATATTTGCAGGGCCCTCGGCGCCTCCTGTCGTTGACGATGCGACCGTCGAGCAGCATTCTTCTTCAACGCCAGCCAGCCCCCGTACAAGGGCAGTCGGTAGCAAGAGCAGATCACGGTCCAAGACCAGAGAGGCGAGACCGCTGACAGAAGGGTATGACTACTACGGCCTTCAGGCACCCTCGCCTGACAGCAACACGCCCTCGCCCTCAGTCACACCCACGCCCAAGCTCGGACCGAAGCCATCTGCATCACTGGCAGAGGCGGCACCCATTGCTCTGACGACCCTGCCCCCTTCCTCGCTGCCACCCGCTTCTTCAAACAGTGCCACGGCAGCCACCGAGGCGACAAAGGCTTCGACGGGACCCCTGCTCGAGGACTCAGATGTCCGCTTGGTCGTCAGGCTGCTTGATGCGCTATTGCGGTACGGCTTCATGCCCTTCTCGAGCGTAGACGATGTCGTCAAGACGTTGTGTGCTATCCTTGGCTATCCGGTCGTCCGCACGGCACGGCAGAAGCAGGCGAGCAAGTCCGAGCTGGCACACTCCACCGCCGACGATTGGCGAGGCCTGGCTTCGCCTATCGTTGGATACATTCTCAGGAGTCACTGCGCAAATGCGGCATTACGAGCCGTTCGAAGTATGCTGGCTTTGCCCGAGCAGATCCCAGCTGCGGCGCCTCCGCCGCAGGATGAAGACCTCGTCGTCTTGGTCGGTGCCGTCGGCTTTCTCAGGGTGGCTCTTGTCCTCGTGGCAGAAGACAATCTCGAAAAGGCAGCAGCAGCAGCGGCTACCGCGGCTTCTTCGTCGTCGGGAGCCAAGCAACAGCAGCAACAGGCCGATGATGCGCTGGCCCCTTCTTTGAACCTACCTCTGCTGCTTCCTGCGCTGCGTGGCGCTCTTCGCCGCCAGTCGGACCTTCTTGACTTGGAGGTCCTCTATCTCGTCTCCGACATGCTTCCTGTCAAGCAGCCATCATCGGGCGAAAAGCAAGCCGCGCCTCTCTTGGGTGAAAAGCTGGACCCAAGCGACTGGGACGCGCTTCTTGACCTTACGGTCGTCGCGCGCAGGCATGTGGAAGGGTGGAAGCTGCGCGGGAGCGTGCCCAATCCTTTCGGCAGCGACGGGCAGAGCTCGATCTCACCGAGTGACCACGCCGGTGTACCTCCTGCGGTGGCAGCCATGCTTCACGTCTTGACTCGTCTCAGACTCACTGCGCCAGTCACGTCAACGTCTGGGCCTACGCCTTCCTCGCCCCTCGACGCCTCGAAGGCTGACGCAGGTCTGCCCTGGACACCCAAGCTGGCTGCACTGCTCCTCTCACTTGCGCCCATCTTGCCCGACTCGATGGTGATCAATCTTGTCAACTTCTACCGGGCCCAGCACCTCTGCCTGCCTTGCACGCCCGAGTGGATCGCCAACATTCGATCCCTGCTTGCCGCCTTCTTCCATCGCCACGAGCAGGCCGCGCTCGACTTTGGCTCGTTGCCTGCCCCGCAAGCGCGGCGACATCTCGTGTCGCTGCTTTTCGATCACGTCTACGAGGCCGTGCAGGATTTGCCGGTGCAGCGCTCGAGCCTGATGCTCGACATTGTCATTCCCTTGGCTCAGTCGGCGCTGGCGAACGAGATCGATAGCGAGGTCGAAAATGCCATCAGGAGGGTTCTCGTCGAAGCTGCTGCCGCGGCGGGTAGCCAACCTGCCTCTGCTGCTGCTGAGACGGCCGGGGAAGAGGAGAGCGACGATGAGAGAATCTTTACGGAGATCTGCCAGCTGCTCTGCAAGCTAAGCCGAGCGAAGCCACAGACCAGCCCTTCGGCGCTTCCTCATGTCTCTTTTCTTGATCCGCCAGGGTCGCACGAGCATCAGAGCTCGACCTCTTCCTTATCGCGCGTCCATTCCCATTCGAGGTCCAACAGCGGTGTCGACAGTCTGACGATGCCGCCACCGGCGCTTGCGACGGGTCATGCGCCTCCTTCCACTCCTCGTCAGGTTCGATCGGCGCTGGACTTGATCGCCATCTTCAATCGCGTCGCCTTCTCCTCGCCTTGGGCTCTTCTCCCCTTCTCAGCGGCGGGCCATGCAAAGGAAGACCGACTGGCATGGGAAGCAAAGGCGCGAGGCTGCTGCATCGACATCTTTAAGCGCCTCTTGGACCTACTCGCACCTTCGCAAGAGAAAGAGCCAGCTCCCACACCCGTCCGCCTCGCTGTTCTGCAGTGGCTCATCAGGATCCGAACGGACCGGCAGCATCGCGTCTACCTCGTTCGGGACCTCGAGGATCTTGTTCGGCCCTCTGCCACGTCGCTTGGCCGCGGCCCTGTCCCAACGCCCGGCTCGGCAGCTGCGACAGATGCTGCACAGTCGAAGGCCTCTGCCAGGGGCACAGGGACCGCCGCTCCGGCGGGAACGAAGGAGAGAGAGGCAAATACTGCAAGACAAGGGAGGGACCAGCAACGGACACAGACAGTGGCCGAAAGGTCCATGTCAAGGGCACGCGACACTTCTCGCGACCGCGGTCGTGCAGCGGATAGGACCGGTGAATCGCCCAGAGGTGGGACTGGCGCCGAACGCGATCGCAGTAGCAGTCGGACGAGAGCTTCTGGGAACGCAGCCGGATCGTCGACCAATGCGAGCGCAGGAACGAGCGCCACGAGGAAGCCCCCGAGCGAACCTCTGTGGCGCCTGCCCGAAGAGATTCTCTTCGAGCTGCCAGCCTCGAGCATTCGTAGCGACGTCGTATATACCTACATGCACGATGAGGCCGACCAGAGCTGCGGACACGCTCACTCGCACAGCGACCTCGACGACCACAAAGGGAAGAAACCTGTTCCACTACCTGTGTCCCAATACCTGGCAACATGCATCGCGATCCTGGCAAAAGAGCGCGAGTGGGACCTGGTGTCGTACCTCATCTGCCACCTGCCTCATCAGCTCGCCAACAAGCATCTCTTCTGCGGGCCCAAAGCGCAGCACCAGATCCTGGAGCTTCGCACACTGCTCGCAAAGAGCATCCTCCAGCAGAAGCTGGTCCCGGATGTGGTGCTGCCGGATGACATCAAGAAGACAGACGTGTATGCGGTGACGTACAACACCCTCACGGTGCTCATCAGCTATCGGACCATCTTTGGTCGCCTGCAGCAAGACGAGATCGTCGAGGCGTTCATGACGGGCCTCACCAAGTCGCAAAACACGGCCCAGCCCTGCATTCGGGCGCTCACGGTGGCCGTGTATGAGATGCAGAAGTCGGTGACGAGGATGCTGCCGTCGATGCTCATCAAGCTCTCGACAGTCATGTCATCAACGGCCATGAGCGTTCATATCCTCGAGCTCATCGCCTCGATTGGACATCTGCCCTCGTGTTATGCCAACTTTACAGAGACGGACTACCGTCGCATCTTTGGCATCTCGCTCCAGTACATTCGCCATCACATTCAGTACCAGCGCGCAGCCGATGCGGACCGTCAGGAGCAGCAGTCGCAGCCGTCGTCGCAGCTCAAGGAGGACTTCAGGGCCAGCCCGGCGTCTTTTGCGCTGAGCCAGTACGTCATGATGCTGGCCTACTACAACATCAGCCTCTGGTTCATGACGCTCAAGACGAGCGACCGACCAAAGCACGTGGCCGATATCACCCGCAACTTGCTTCTCGCCAACGAAGGCGAAAGCGGCGACGAGAAGATCTCGGATCAGACGGAGGTCTGTTTTGATTTCCTGGCCCGTTTCACAAACTCCAATGCGGAGCCCAAGCCGAAAAAGTCCTTTTTGAACACAGTCGTCATGGGTGCCCAGCAGGGCATTGTCAAAGGGACGGCAGCGGCAAAGGATGCCGACGGCAAGAATCGGGCGACCAAATCCTGGCTGATTGGCAAGGCGCTCTTGACGATTACGATGCTCAAAAAGCAGGGATGGGCAGAGGTCATGGTGCGGAGACCTTCGGGAACGATTGCAATGCTCAGCAAGCTTGAGAACAGTCCCGTCAGCACGCTCAACAAGGATGAGACGATGCTCGACGATTGGTCAAAGGTTGCTCTGCCAGCGAGCTTGATGATGGATCGCGATCCTGACCTCATGAAGTCCCCGGTTCGGCTCGCGCCCTATCTCCCTCCATCATCGGTCGAGGGCAGAAGGAGCTTCAGGCAACAAGCCGAAGCGAGGCTAAGGCTGGGCGACCATCTCAGGGAAAGGAGGCCATTGGGCCCGGGACATTATGGTGTGGCAAGCGTGAGGAGACCGAGGCCAGCTTCTTTCTCGGGTGGATTCTCGCCGGCCATCGTGGCGTCTCCGCGAAGTCCTGTGGAGCCAAATGCCTACAAGTACGCTGTCGTGGACGATGGAAAAGGCAACGCCGTGGCAGGTGAGCAGGGAGAAGAGCAATCTTCGCAAACGCAAGCGCCTGCAGACGAGTCGGAGGCGATCGAGGAGGTCATGCGTGAGGTTCTCTCAGATCCGCCTCTCCGTGCTGGGGCTCTTCAGGGTTCTGACGGAGAAGCAACGGTCAAATCGACTGGATTGATCAAGGCAAACGAGTCTCAGACAGCCAAAGATCAGACGGCGAGCAACAACGTCGATGTCGACCCAAGCTTCTTGGCGATCCAACTCTCTTCATACCCTGACGTCTCGAGCGAGTCTCCTCCACTCCTCTTACCCAATGACGCGGCAACGGAGAGGATGATTCGCGCAATTGACTTGACGCCTGTTGTCGACTTCCACAAGATCGGTGTCCTCTATGTTGGACCAGGGCAAACGACAGAGGTGGAGATCCTGGGCAACCAGCGAGGGTCGCCGGCCTATACGAGATTCTTGGCAGGCTTGGGTGACCTCGTCACCCTTCGAGGTCAAGAAGACGTGTACACCGGGGGGCTCGACCGGCACAATGACGAGCACGGCAAGTATGCCTACGTATGGTCCGACGACATCTCGCAGATCGTCTACCACACCGCCACCATGATGCCGAATCGACCCAGCGCTGAGGATCCGAACCACAGCAACAAGAAGGCTCTGATCGGAAATGACTGGGTCCACGTCGTCTTTAACGAAGCAGGCGGTGGCGTCGAATATGGCTTTGGGACGATCAAGAGCCAGTTCAACTTTGTCAACATTGTCATCAGCCCGGACTCGAGGGGCGGTGCGAACCTGGGCAGCGTCAACCCCGACGACATGACTTTCTGTGAGTGCGAGAGCGTTGTAGGTATGAGACAGATTGGACGGGGTCAGCTAATGCCCAACACAGACCGAGTCTCGTTGCAGTGCCGACCCGAGATCCCGACGTTTGGGCCCATCGGAGACGGACAGCTCGTCAGCGCGGCCGCTTTGCCCGACTTTGTGCGCATCATCGCCCTGAATTCGAACCTCGTCAGCCAGATCAGCCAGGCAACGGGTGACGCGATGCGGCCCTACGAGAGCAACTGGGTCTCTCGCCTGCATCACCTCGAGCGCACCCGCGCAAAGATCGAGACGCAGCTCAAGAAGCGAAGGGAGGAAAAGGAGGCACAGGGGCTCGATGCAAGTGCGACAAGGAGCCGCTACGATGTTTCGAGGTTCTGAATAAATTAACGAATTGATGACTGATGATGATGTAGTGGGAATGCGAATGTAATGTACAGAAGTCACCATCACTCTTCAATATTCATCTCCTCCATGTCTTCCAGAAGCTCATCCAGACGGACCCCTGGCGCATCGTCATCGCCCATCTCGCTCTCGCCATCGGTGGTGAAGCCGTCGTCGGTAAGGGCATCTCCATCGTCCTCGTCCATAACGTCTTGACCCGCCGCGGCCTTTTCGGCCTGCTTCTGAGCCCGCATAGCCTTCCACCTGGCTTTGTCCTCCCGCCTCTGCCTGTTGCGCTCCTCGGCCGCTGGGTCTCTGTACAGGTTGACACCAGCCCGAAGCTCCTCGTCTTCCTCGAGCTCGCGCAGGAACATTTCGTAGTCCTTTTCGACCTTTTGCCCATCGAGTCCGCCTCTCCGGCCGACGGCGGCCTTTCCCTCTGTCTCTACCTCGCCCTCTGCCTTGGCCATGCTCTTGAGCTTCCAGACGCGGCGGTTGCGTCTCTTCTTTGTGTCTGGGTACGACTTCTTGACGAGAACAACGTCTGGCCGGCGCGCTTCGGGAATCGAGTCCCATGCTGTGCTGTTGAAGTTGGCCGAGCCGAGCTGGTAGCCCATGGCCGTGTCGCCAGGCTGCAGGAGCGCGCCAAGGTGTGTGCGCGTGTGGTACACCGCGTCGGCCTCTCCAAACGACGACGCATTCAAAGGGCTGACCTGGGCATCAGCAGTAGCCCACCGCCCATCGGCCGAGGTGGTCCCGCTGGGCTCGATGTCGAGGACGAGGAACTCGATGAGCTCGGGAATCGCACAAAGAGACTCGAAAGGGTCCCGCCAGTACTTTTCCGCCGTCACATCGGCCGTCTGCAATGTGGTGGGGTCTAGCAATCGCAGACTGTTGCTGACGCGAGCGCAGAGGAGCAGCTGCGAGATGTTTCCCAGCGACTTTGCCATCGACTTGGGCAGAGCGACCAGCTCATCCTTGCAGATGGGCGCAATCTCGACCGAGTAGGTAAACTTGTTGTTCTGCGTGCTCGTGTGGATATCCATCGAGACGATGCTCGTGCTCGCCTGCGTCCGAATCGGCACCACCGACGCGAGGAATTCGCACATTTTGACGGCGTGCGCCCGCTGCGAGTAGTAGAAGTCCAGGCCGTCCTTTTTCTCTGCGATGGACACAGTGTCGCGTTGGGCATTGTGCTTGAGAATGACCTGCTCGAGGTAGAGGAAGGTGCGCTTGTGTGGCACCTTTTGGCGCACCTGCAGCATCGCTCGCCAGGTGTTCTTCGCCGCCATGCGCGTACAGTCGGGACATTGCCCGTACTGCACCACGTACTCGATCTCGAAGATTTGCTGCAAAATTGTCGAGGTGAGGACCTCTTTCTGGACGGTGAGCTTGACCCTCAGGCGCTTGCTGTGCGGCTCAGTCCAGATGAAGCTCGCATCGATCAAGCGGACCTTATTGAGGCCCTTGAGCTTCTTGAGGCAGATCGCCAGAAGCTCCCTGCTTTCGAGCTGCGCGGGAACCCAGCTTGTGGGCGGGTTAAGATATCGCTCGCAATTTCGGCAGAAGTTGACTGTCGCCTGCTTGGGGATGCCCTCGGTGATGTCGACGGAGCTGCGAAGGCAGGAGAGGCAAAGATTGGCGTTGTTGGGCGTGATGGGTGTGCCGCAATCAGCGCAGAGCACAAGCCCTTGCTGAGGCGCTTGCGGGGAGATGTACTCCATGGTCCTCTCTGCTCTACTCTGCTCGGGTGTGGTGGCAACGGATTTAAGGGCCAGTCGTTCGCCCTTCTCAAATCAAGAGAAGGTGGAAACCGCATCTTTACGATTTGGCAAAAATTCTCGAGCGAGGCGGCACGTGAAATTTGGGCGCACGCGAGCAAAGGCACTGAGGAAGAAGGAGTCAAGGCGTACGACTCACAAGAGAAAAAAGTCAACCTTCGTCACCCTTTGCCATCTCCAGAGATAGAGCGATAACTAAGCGCAGACATGGCAGCCGCCGAGGAGCCAACAGCAAACGGCAGCGCCGCAGCGACGGGTGCGGACTCGGATGTGGCCGTCTCGAAGCTCGTCGATGGCGTGCAGACGATTGCGCTCGATACATCGAAGCTGAACCCCTTGAGTCCCGAGGTCATCTCTCGACAGGCGACGATCAACATCGGCACCATTGGACACGTCGCCCACGGCAAGTCGACCGTCGTCAAGGCAATTTCTGGTGTGCAGACTGTGCGATTCAAGAACGAGCTGGTGCGGAACATTACAATCAAGCTTGGTTATGCCAATGCCAAAATCTACAGATGCGAGAACGACAGCTGCCCGCGGCCTCAAGCGTATCGGTCGTACCCTTCGAACAAGGAGGACAACCCCCCGTGTGAGGTGCCGGGATGCGAAGGAAGGATGAAGCTCCTCCGCCACGTCTCGTTCGTCGACTGTCCCGGACACGACATTCTCATGGCAACGATGCTCAACGGAGCAGCCGTCATGGACGCTGCGCTGCTCCTCATTGCCGGGAATGAGCCTTGCCCGCAACCGCAGACGTCCGAGCACCTGGCTGCCGTCGAGATCATGAAGCTGAAGCACATCATCATTTTGCAAAACAAGGTCGACCTGATCCGAGAGGCGGCCGCCGAGGAGCACTACAACAGCATCGTCAAATTCGTCAAGGGTGGGTCCTCTGCTCTTCTGGGGCTCTTTGCTGTTCAAGGCTGATCATTATCTTCTCACAGGAACTGTGGCCGACGGAGCACCTATTGTTCCCGTGTCTGCACAGCTCAAGTACAACATTGATGCGGTCAACGAGTACATTGTGAAGAAGGTGCCGGTGCCGATTCGCGACTTCTCGAGCACGCCACGCTTGATTGTCATTCGGTCGTTTGACGTCAACAAGCCGGGCGCCGAGGTCGAGGATCTCAAGGGAGGTGTGGCTGGAGGATCGATTCTGAGCGGGGTGCTGAAGCTGGGTCAAGACATTGAGATTCGGCCGGGCATCGTGACCAAGGACAACGAGGGCCGAATTCACTGCCGGCCCATCTACAGCCGCATTGCTTCGCTCTTTGCCGAGCACAACGACCTCAAGTTTGCTGTGCCTGGTGGTCTGATTGGAGTGGGGACAAAGATCGACCCGACGCTGTGCAGGGCCGACCGACTGGTGGGACAGGTGCTGGGCGCCGTGGGCCAACTACCGGCCATCTACACGGAGCTCGAGATCAACTACTTTTTGCTTCGGCGGCTGCTGGGTGTCAAGAGCGACGACAAGAAACAGACAAAGGTGCAGAAGCTGGCAAAGAACGAGGTTCTCATGGTCAACATTGGCTCAACGTCGACGGGAGGACGGGTGATGAGCGTCAAGGCCGACTTGGCCAAGATCTTCCTCACGAGCCCGGCATGCACAGAAGTGGGCGAAAAGATTGCGCTGAGCCGCAGAATCGACAAGCACTGGAGATTGGTGGGCTGGGGTACTGTCCGGAGCGGTACCACCCTCGAGGCCGACAAGTAGAATTGCTACTCCCTACTTCTTTCTGTTTATCTCACCCCCACAAAAAGGGAAATCGTGTGACATGTACCGATAACTCATTTCCTCGCGCTCCCCATCACTTTTCACTCATGAATCGCATTTCTCTCGCGACTGTTGTCTTACATGAACATGTTGTCGTAATCACTCTGTTTTCAAACAAATGTGGATCAGCATCTGGGGGTCTGAAAGATGGACTCGTCTCTCCACTCACGCCTCCTGGTGGTGGCATGTCGTCCCAGTCTGGCTCGCCGGTGCCCCTGCCACGTCCACCCGGACCGCCACCTCTCGCACCACCGCGGCCGCCTCTGAAGGCGCCGGGGCCCATCGGCCCCTGGCCGAATGGCCCCACGGGGTCGAATCTGGCTCCAGGGGGCACCATTCCTCCACCTCCGAGGCCGCCATGAGACGGGTTCTGGAAGCGGTCGCGGAACATCGGGTGGTTTGGCCCGACTATCATCCCTCCCCCATCGTCGCCGCCCAGTCCTCCGACGCCGCCACCGAATAGGGGAGGCGGGCTGAAGGGGCCCCTGCCTCCAATGCCACCGAGGGGATCGAGGTCGCGGTCGCCAATGATGAGTGGGTTCCGGCCCGGCTGAGGGAAACCCTGCGTTCCGTCCACGTCGACGTCTGGGGGCTCGAACCGAGGCTGGCGAGGCTGCTGTCCGGGCGGCGGTCTGGCCGACGAGGAAGAGGAGGAGGCCGATGCCTCTTCCTCGGGTAATTCTTCGTAGCCTTCCTTCCTCAGACCGGGGACGAGCTTTTGGATGATCTTAGCCTGGAAGCCCAGCACGAAGTCGGCGATTCTCGACGACGAGACGAAGCCATTGACGAGCGGCTCTGCCGAGTCCCCAGCGCCCACAGACGAAGAGGACGAAGCAGCGGCAGAGCCATGAGGCCAGGGAAAGAAGGACTTGCTGGTAAATCGATCGAGCTCGACCTCGTATGACTCGGTCCGGTTCGACTCGAGGGCGGTGGCATGGAAGATGATGCGGGGACCCAGTGTCAGGGCCTTTAGGAGAAAGTGGAGCGAGGACTGGTCGTGGGTGTAGTGGAGCGTGTAGGTACCCTGGGAGCTGTTCCAGCGGCCGGCGGGAAGCACATTGCCGGATGGGAGCGTGGCGTCGGACGAGGACGAGTCGGAGAGAGAGACGAGGCGGAAGCTCAGCTTCGTCAGGATTGTATGCGCCAGGGCGACGAGAGCATCGGCGGGCGTTCGCAGCTGCGCTTGTCCTGCTGGTGTTGCTTCTGACGCAGGGTCCTGCCCCTGTGCCTGTGCCTCCAAGAGGCGAGGGAGCTGGTCGAGCAACGCAGACGGGTCCAGCAGATTCATCCTTCTGGCAGTCTGTCGACGATGAGATCGAGACCCAAGAGTGGGGAAACGAGGGGGGGACGCGCAGCCTTTTTCCGTTCTTGTCTGGCCCGTGCCCACTAAATTTTCATTTGCGTCCTAGAAGCCTTCCGGCGGCTACGCCTTCGCACACCTCGCTCGATTGGGAGCACGGTCCTTACTCACTGACCCCGGAGGTATCTCAGCTATTCACCTTGCTTTCTTTCCCAATACCAGGGTCGACCCTCGTCGCCGAAAACGATGGGATCGGCCGGGAGCAGCGATGCCTTCACCCTGCATACAGGCCTCTCCTACGGCCAGGACCCCCGGCAGATCATCGACCTCTTCGTCCCAACGAGAGGAAAGGAGTCACTCGAACCTCTGCCGTTGTTCGTGTACCTGCACGGGGGGGCTTGGCGAAGCGAGTCCATTGCAGGTAACCACGACCTCGGCGCCTTCTTGGCCGGCGCAGGCAGCGCCGCAGTAGCTCTAGTCGAGTATCGCCTCTCTCTGCTCAACGATGGCGACGCAGTGCCCCACGTCCAGCACCCGCTGCATCTGCTAGACGTCTACGCTGCGCTAGAATACCTCTTGAACGAGCGCAACGCGGCAAAGTGGCACTACGATGCGCGAAACGTCGTTGTCGCAGGCCACTCGGCGGGGGCTTGGGTGGTGTCGTCGATGCTGCTCGATGCTGCAGCACCGCCCCTCCAGCAAGACGAACAGCGCATCGTTTCGGCCTGCCCACGGTTCTCACCCACGTCGAGAGCCGCGATCAAGGCTTACGTCGGCATTGTGAGTTGACCACGCCACGCCAATTGTCCCGTTTCGAATGCTGAGAAAGAGAGTGTAAAAAGGACGGGCTATACGACCTCGTCTACCTCGTCGAAAAGTATCCCTCCTACATGTCGTTTGTCTCACAGGCATTCTACAAGACACCAATCGCCACCAAAGATTCCTACACAAAAGATGAACTCCAGCCGTTGGAAAAGGTGTCGGTCAATCGTTGGAGGCTCGCCTTGCCCGAAGACGGGAATCACCAGCACGAGCGTACGCAGCGAACCAGATTCTTCTTCCTACATTCGCGCGAGGACACGCTGCTGGACGTCGAGTATGAGCAGCAGGCTCTTGACTTCTTTGCGAAGTCAGGCGTCGACTTGCATGTTGATTTAGACACGCTTCGGGTGAGTCAATCACTCTCTGCTTCGCACAAGCACACACGGCAAGAACCTGACGCAGTACGAACAAGGGCGACCACGACGAAGCCACGCACACAAAGGCCTTCTTCACTCTGCTGCAGAAGATCATCAGTTCGTAATCATGTATTGCTGCTGGAACAATCTATCCGCGCTGCCTCTGTCGTGCCCCGATCGTCTTGAGCTGTGGATGAAGAATTAAAGGTGTGAGCGAGAGTAGCAGAGGGCATGAAGACGCAGAAGAAGAAGTGCTCACGTTGGCATAAACCTTGCCCGGCGGGCTACCCATGATGAGCGCCACGACGGCGTCCCGGGCAATCTTGATGTTTGCGAACGAGCCGAGGATGTGGATCTTTGTCTCTGCCACGACCAGCCGGGTCCTCGATGCATTCTCGATCGCAAACCTGGTCCTTCCGTCTTTTCCTGCGATTCGCCCAATGGCACGACTGAGATGGTCGCCATGGAGCGTCTTCACGTCCTTGATTTCAAAGCTGTCGACAAAGAGATCGTCGATCCGGAGCAGCGCCAGGGCATCGTCGGCATCAAAGCCGAGGGCAAACGCCTTGACAAAGTCGGCGCCCTTTTGGAGCATGCCGACGTCGCCGGTATGCTTGGACGACTTGATCTCCACTGTCCGACGCTTGACGTTCATCCGGACCTGCAGACCGGCCATCTCGACCAGCGGCGTGTAGATCTTCGGCCACTCGTTCTTGAGCGGCGTCATTCGGTGCGGTGGAATGGGGATCTTGCGCAGCTGTCCCCGCGTAGTGTCGGTCGCATCCCGGGCCGACTGGGCGGCAGCCTTGGACAGGGGCGCAAACGACGGCTTCGAGGACGGATCAATCGACATGGCAGTCGCACTAGTCTCTCCCACATCGGCTGCCTTGCCCTTCTTGTCCGATGTCGACGCTGAAGGAACGCCATTTGGAGCTGCAATCATCAGCTCGTCGTCGTCGTCATCCTCCATCTCGTCCTGTCTCGCATCTTCAAAGACGTCGTCTTCGTCGTCATCGCTTTCCTCGCCGAACGGCGCCCTTTTAGACGTCGATGCCTCAGGTCCACTCTCTCCGGCCTCCCTTTTCCCCCCTACGAGCGAATCCTTGGCCGAGCCCTTGCCCTTTGACCCGGCCGCTGCTGCTTGTGCAAAGGAGCGCATATTGGTCAAACACGAGTCGATAACGAGCGAACGCAAAAATCACAGAGCCACCGCCTTCTTGTCCTCCTTCGTCTCTCCTCCAGAAAAAATTTGGACAAGAATTTTCGGCTTTCGGGAATTAGTGGATTGAAATGGACGAGGCCACGCGAATGGCCACAGAGGGCCAGCGACAGCGAGGGATCGTCGCGCTCTCCCTCTCTCTCTCTCTCCCTCACTGTCTCCACACGTTCAGGGTAGACTGATATCGTCCTCTGAGCACAGCTTCGACAATGGCCTCGCAGGTGCACCAGCTCTCTCTGGGCCCCATCACGGCGCATGCCTTCAACGCGGACCGGTCCAAGGTGGCCGTGTGCCCCAACACCAACGAGGTGCAGATCTACGACTCCACCCACGCCGGCTGGGTCCTGACGCACACGCTCAAGGAGCACGACAAGCTCGTCACGTCCATCGACTGGGCGCCCCAGAGTAACCGCATCGTGACGTGCAGCCAGGATCGCAACGCATACGTGTGGACGCTGGGCCAGGATGCCCTCGTGCCCAGCAAGCAGGTCTGGAAGCCGACGCTCGTCCTCCTCCGCCTGAATCGAGCCGCGACGTTCGTCCGATGGAGCCCCAACGAGGACAAATTTGCCGTCGCGAGTGGTGCGCGCATCATCAGTATCTGCTCCTTTGAGTCGGACAACGACTGGTGGGTGGCCAAGCACATCAAGCGGCCCCTGCGCTCCACTGTCCTTTCGCTCGACTGGCACCCCAACAACGTCCTCCTCGCCGCTGGATCGGCCGACATGCGCGCCCGCGTCTTTTCGGCCTTTATCAAGGGCATCGACGAGCGCCCCCCGCCCAGCGTGTGGGGCGAACGACTGCCGTTTGGTACCGTCTGCGGAGAGTACGCCACGCCTGCGGGAGGTTGGGTGCATGGTGTCGCCTTCAGCCCTAGCGGCGATGCCCTTGCTTTTGTCGGTGGGTGCTTCCTTTCTCTGAATCTCATGGCTTTTCCTCATGCTCATATGACTTTATCACGCAGGCCACGACTCTTCGCTGACGGTCGTCTATCCGTCGGGGCCCGAGCAGCCGCCGCATGCGATTCATGTCCTGCGCAGCCCCACGCTGCCCTACGTGGCCCTCGACTGGATCACCGAGACGAGCCTCGTGGCCGGCGGTCACGACTGCCAGCCGGTCCTCTTCGAGGGCGACGTGAACGGCGGATGGCGGATCAGCAAGACGCTCGATGTGGGCGGAAGCGCTGCGACAAAGGCCGCGCCGCCGCCCCCACCGCCCAAGGCGCCTGGCCTGAGCAGCGGCGGACCACCCGGCGTCGGAAGACTGAACAACGAGGCATTCAACCGCTTCAAGAGCGCAGACGCACGTGGATCCTCCTCGGCCCCTTCGTCGGGCCTTGGCAATGCCCCGCCTTCGCCTGGCGGTGCTGGGGCTGGCAACGGATCGATTGCGAGCCACTTGGGCGCCGTCGCTGGCGCCAGCGTCGGTGCAGACGGCGAGCTCCACACGACGCACCAGAACACCATCACGAGCATCCGCACCTACGAGGGAAGCCGCGAGGACGTCAAGAGTGTCAGCACGAGCGGCGTCGATGGCCGGCTGTGCGTCTTTGAAATCAAGGGCAAGGGTGCTGGCATCGGCGGCATCCAAAAGGGCCTCGCCAGCATGCGAGTCGCCTAGTCGCTTAGCAGCCGGGAGGGGTGGATGAGGCTCGGATTTTATAGAGCGTCTTTGGTCGAGCGCTTTCGCAGTCAGGGTTTGAATCTATCTTTTATTGACATCAATTTGTGTACGAGAGAGCAGCGGAGAAGGGCAGATCATCATGGGAATCGTGCAACATGAGTGTCAAACGATACAGTGAGGAACAGGGAGGACAAGTGCACGATCGAAAGGTGGACAAGGGAGATATCAAATGGCAAGGAAAAAAGGCGTCAAGGGTGAGGTAGATTACTCCTTCTGGTACGATGGCGGCGGCTGCGACGGCGGTGCGTAGGGCGACTCGGCCGCGGGGGGAGGACCGGGAGGAGGAGCGTAATTTGTGTTGCCGGTGTTTGCCTGTGGCGGGTAGCCATACGAGGCGTTGTTGGCACCACCCTGCATCGTCTCTCCGCCTGGTTGCGAGCCGTAGTAGTACGGCTGCTCGGGTTGCTGGGCCGTGTATGGGTTGCCCGTGTATGGAGTACCGTAGGCGGCCTGGTTTGGGCCCGGGCCAGAATAGCCGTAGGCCTGCGTCGAGTTCTGGACACGCTGTCGGCGTCGGCGGCCGAGGCAGAGGACGATGGCGATGACGATGAGGATTGCGGCAGCGATTGCGATACCTTTATGTAGCAGTGTATTATCTTGTCAGCTTTTATCTCACTGCATTGCATCGCATCGCATATGTAGACGACTGGAAGCGAAGAAAGAAGAAAGACTCACCGACACCGGCGCGCGCGCCATTGCTAAAACCGCTGCAAGTGTAATAGTTGCCATAGCGGTCCTCACAGAGGTCGCGCTTCGCAAATGCGTGCATCATCCTCGACGGAGACGACAAGATCGGAGACGGCGCCATTGTGTGCGGATGAGGATCGTGCGAGCGAGCGAGCGAGCGAGAGGCAGCTTTATACGACGAATTTGCGTGCGTTAGTCGCGTTGCCACTTCGACCTTGATGCAGAGGTTCGCGTAGGGGCAGCTCAGCGAAAGAAGCAAGCAATGGGCTTTTCGCCGTGGAAGTGTGGTGCTGGATGCTTGTCTACCGTTCGGTGGACGATGGCGATAGTGTAAAACGAAGAGACGAGAGTGAATGGGACAGGGTCAGAAAGAGAGGCAACCGAGCGATTGTGCCCAGAAAATGCAAGATCCTTGGCTCTTCCGTGGAGTCGAATCAACGAAAGCGGCCTCAAATGACGTACGATTATATCCGATTACAAACGCGACCTCGTGATAATACAATTGCGTCGACAGAAAAGGCTGTGCCATTGACTGCGCGAGACGACGCCCACGCCATCCACTAGCTAGACAGAGACAAAAGAGATACCGAGAGAAAGGGGTAGTTCTCAGCAAGTGAAAAGCAATCAGTAAACTGGTAGCAAGCATCAGATCATGTGAATGTCGAGATAGATTGTGTGAGACGAGACTATAGTGACAGTAGGGCATGCTCTTGACAGTTTTTTGTTGAAGTAGGTAGGTAAGGGCCTCCTTTCTCCGACAGGGTCCACCCCTCGACGAGGCCACGCGCAAGCATGTCCAACGAGCGCGCGGAAGGAGTGCGCCGTGAGGACGTTTAGCGCATCTGCAGAGGTGGAAGAAAGTCAACGGCTGAACGAGTAAGGCTTCAAAGCTCAAAAGTAGACCAACCTTGACAAAGCCGATGGCGTCCGCCTTCTCGCGGAAGCACTGGCGGCAGATGTCGAGGCCGTACTTGCGGATGATACCACCACCGTTGCCGCAGACACGGCTGTAGGTAGAGCATAGCATGTCAGTATTGGTGTTCTCATCGATCCAAATTTCTCGATTGCGGCGCCCATCGATTTCCTCTCGCGCCTTTCCGTGAGTGATCTATGGTATCTTTCGCAGGTACCCTGCCCCGTCTTCGTTCTTGCGTTCGTCCAGCCCCAACAAGTCGTCCACGTCCGCACTTGTTCTAAAGAAACTCACCACAGGCGCCCTCCCTTGGCGTGCTTGCGAGAGTGCGAGAACCAAATGTTGTCGTGAGCCATGTTGTGTTATGGACTGTACGATAACGTCGTTAGTGACTGCTTCCGAACTAGTGTGTACTGGTTCATTCCTTCCTCTTTCCCATTATGTGTCCCGTCCTTTCCTTCCGGATTGCGTCCCTCCTCTCTCTCATCATGGTCTTGGACCCTCGCATAGTCCATTCCCGTCAGAAATCCTCCTACCCATCTTGCAGAGCGAGTCATAATAGACACACTGCTACAGAGAGCATGGACGATTCCACTTCCGTCGTGCCCATGTCCTGTTGCAATCACCATCGCCTGCCTGTTTCACCAGCACCCTTTTGATACATCGCTATATCGCCCTCGCGTCTTCACTAAGTCTCTACTCCCATGCCTGGTTCCGCCATCCGCGTCTCTGCTGTTCCACCCTCTGCGAACACTCCGCTTCCCGCTGTATCGATAACAAGCCAATCGGACATGAATGCTCACCTTTGGGGGGGTTTTGACGAGAGGGCGGAAGGTGCGTGAGATATCTGCGTGAGTCGGCCTGTCCTTCAGCTAGGTTTGACGAATCTCCTCGGCCGGGAGGACGCGCCAGGCCGCAGCAAAACGTGGAATATTTTCTCGAATTCTTTTTTTTTTAGATCTGGATGACTAGCACATTAGTCACTCCTTCCACTTCGGTCATTTGTTTTAGTCATCTCCAGCTTATCTTTTGTGGCTTCCAAGTGGAGCGGTGATCCCAGTGCAGACCTCGTGCTCCTGTCATTCAACCAGCAGTAATCGGGTGGCCATGATCAACGTGTGCACAACTTAAAAGGGCCATCTAATTTCTTTCTATGTCTATATTATTACTGGGTCTACGTCCTGGCATGCCCTGTTCACGATCAAGCCTTGCCGGCAGCGCGGTCGTCGTAGAGCTGGCGAATGGCATCGGTAAAGGTCTCGTCGTGGCCTCTGAACTTGATGCCAAGCTCCTTTTGCGCCTTTGTTGTGTCAATCTTGAACACGGCCGGGTCGTCCTTCTTGCTCGAGCCAGGCGTTCCCTTTGTCGCCTTGCACTCGTCTGGGAACTTGGCATGGGCGAGGTCGAGGATCGACTGGTTGTCGTAGTTGCCGCCCGAGACGCCAACGCGGCCCTGGATGTTCTTCTCCATGGCCAAGACGTGTGCCTCGCCGAGGTCTCGCACGTCGACAAAGAGGGGGAAGCCCGTCGGCGGGATTTCCTTGTCCCACTGTCCACTGACAAGCTTCCAGACCTGGCCAGCACTCTCGCCGAGGTTGTCGAGCTTGTCCAGCGGCTGGATCGCAGGCCCCATGACCATGGGCGGGTTCAGCGCCGCAAAGTGCATCTTGCCCTCAAGGTTGTGCTCCTTCTGGTAGTCGAACGCGGCCTTTTCGGCAAGCTTCTTGCTGGCACTGTAGGCAAAGGCGGGAATATCCGTCGTCCGTGCCTGTTCGAAAGTACAATTGTTCCAGTCTGCCTCGGTGTAAACCTTGCCGTTGAAGGGCAGCTTGGGATCGTCGAGCGACAGGACGGCAGCAAAGCTGCTGGTAATGACAAGGTTCTTGATGGTGCCAGCATTGTGGGCAGCCTTGACGACGTTGAGCGTTCCGTCGATGGCAGGCTTGAGGTAGGTCTCCTCGGGGTCGCCGCCACCGAGGTGGAACGGGCTGGCGGTATGCAGGACGGCTTCGACGTCTTTAAGTGCCTCTGAGAAGTCGCTTGTGGCGACATCCTCGATGATGGTGAAGGTGAGCTTGCCATCCTTGACGTACTTCTCAAAGTGGGACAGCTTCGCAAACCCGTCAGCCTTGGCCTGCGATCGCACGGTACCTCGAACAGAGTAGCCCTTCTGGAGAAGCGAAAGGGCGCTGTAGACAGGGAGATGACCACGGTCAGTATCAGCCTCTATCGCTTCTCTTTCATTTCAGGAAAGACTCACACCCAGGCGGCCACGTAGCCAGTGATGCCTGTGACGAGGACGGGCTTGCTGGTGGCAATCGACATGTCTGTGGTGAAGGGGATTGATGTGAAAGGGTAAAGGGGATCGCGGACGGGAAAACCAAGGCCGTTCCTTTATACGCCTGGAATTTCCATCACGGTGGCTGCAAATCTTGGGTCCGGGTGGAGGCCGGCCGTCTGAAAAGTTCGAAGATAGTGAGTCGTGTCCCGTGGAGGACATCCTAGGGTTTTAGGGTTTTATGGGTGCACGCTACCGTGGAGGTCCACCTCGCAGCAGAACCACCTTTCAGGAGCCAATTTCGCACTCGAAGAGGCTCGCTGGTCGCCAAAGTGGCTTCTTGTTCTGTTGTTGATGCATAGAGCAATTTGGGTCTTGGCCCACCCGGCTTACTTTCGCCACGAGCCCACACCTGACAGTGCTCCCCACACCACTTCGCACCACTTTTACCTATGCTATTGATTGCGAGTGGAACGCTCTCATCTGGAGATACCTTAGAGACATGGTCTGTTCACGCAGAAGGCGCGCCCGCTGCCTTCTCGAGAGCGTGGCGGAAATCAGGTGGAATGGGTGCCTTTTTGAGCGTCCGGTCTGTGCACATAGGAAAAGGGTCAGATTTCTCTGCTAGACTCCTGCATGGAGAGGAATGAGGGTAAAGCTTCCGGCACTTACAGTCGTATGTGACATTGATCTGCTCGCCCGTCGCGACAATGGCGCCCTGCGCGACGGAGTAGAGGCCCGACTGGAGCGAAAAGCGATCGTCTCCCAGGGGCACTACGGGACGGCTTCCGACAAGGAGCTGCTCCAAATGAAGATCAGAGCCATCAGTCGTCGTCTCAAAACTCTTTGCTGATGTAGCCTCGCTACTCACCGTATCCGGATACCTGCGAGCGCATTGGAAGTACAACAAATCAGCTCCGGATACCTCTCTGAAGCGGTGTGCGCCGCGAGACTCACACGACGGGCCTCTTGTATCTGACGTTGATCGAATGCAGAATGAAGCTCATGCCCTTGCCACGGAGCATATCGGCTTGGCGCTCTGGAGGCAGGTCCAGAGCAATCTTTTCGGCGAAGCGCATCCTGGCCGACTCGATGAACCTGACAAAGTGGACGTTGTTGACGTGCTGGAACTGTGTGACTCAACACGCGCGTACGCAGATACCGACTCTTCAGTACTGTGTGCTTGCAAAACGCCAAGTGGAAAGAGGCATGTGAGCTCACCTGATCGTGGTCTCCCCAGCAGATGACCTGGTCGAAGAGTGAGAGTCAGCCTGCCGGCCGGACACGTACTGGCAGGCGGGGCGCGCGACTCACCTGGGTCCACAGACTCGGTGCGTGGTAGCCCAGCCGCACCATTTCTGCCTTGGCATCAACGAGGCGCTGCGCCGTCTCCTCGTCCCCAAGCTGGCCCAGGGCATTGCTGCTCCTGGCGGGCGCAGACGTACTCATCGCAGCCTGCCCTGTCCGCACGGTGCTCATGACACTGGGCCATTGCCGAGGTGCCAGCCTCGCTGCTCTCATTGTCGCTTCCATCTCGCGTCTTGGCCCTAGATGCCGAGCGTGATCGGTGGGAGCGGAAGTGGAAGTAGCAAGTGTAGAGACACTAGTAATGGAAAGAGGGCGGAGGGAAAGAAGAAAACGCGCCCCCCCCCCGCCTTTGGTCCCGTCGTCGACTAGATCCGCGTCGGCCCGTGCGCCGGCTTCGCTGCCGGATTTCCCGGTTGCAGTGGAAGGAAAGCGATGGCAATGAGATGGGGCAAAAAGACAAAGTACACTGTTGCTGTAGAGGGGTTGGTGGTATATACACTATGCGTCACAATTGCGCAGCTCTGGGGGCATGTATGGGATCTCGAGTACAGAGAAGCTGGAGGAGGTCATGGGTCAGAGCTTGGAATTGTGCTCGAGCAGGATCGAAGGCACTCACATGTCTTCTTCGCGCGTTGTCTCCAGGGTCGTCTTGTCGTTGTTGGAGGTCAGGCCTGTGGAGTGAAACTAATTGAAGATAGATACGAAAAAGTCAGCATCTGCGAGCAGTTGGAGGAAAGGCAATCGAGGGCATACGAACGGTGTAGCCGCGGCTCTGAGCGATCCGTCGGAGATCGCGCTCGAATTGGCGACTGCCCGTCCAACCCAACACTGCCGCTCCGTAGGTCTTGAGCGGCGAGAAGATGATGTCTACCCTTCGATAGTGGCTTCGAGGGACCGTGTCCGATCTGGGAGGCAGCACAACGACCTCGGCAATATCAAGCCTACTAAAGACTCGCTCGCTGGAAGGAGGCGTCTTTAGATATTGTTCGACACTATTCTCGGTTTACTTGCTCACTATTTGTCCGACGGCGTGGTAACATTGATGATATGAGTGACGTACGCTGTTATTGGCTCTCGTCAGCCGACTGTCGAGGCAGTGTGTGAGGGAGACCCACCCTTCTTCTTGAGCGCCCGCAGCAGCTCCTCCATGGCCGTCAACTGCGACCGAGTCGAAGGCGAGGTGTCGGCAAAGACGATGTCGACGTCGTTTGACTGGGGCTTGCCCCTGCGAAAACCACCGCAGATGGTATACACAGCATCTGGCAGGATCGCCTTGAGCTCCTGGTGGATGTAGCGGGCAATCTCTTCGACTTCTGGACGCGGAATCTTGGTGCGCAGGTCGGGCAGGATGCGCAGGCATTCTTCGACGTGCAGATGGGTGCCCATGCTGCCTCCCATACGCAACACGTCGTCCATGGTTCGACAGCCCTCGCTATAGTACTCGCGAGCCTTCTTGGGACCAATACCATAGAGCTCTGTGAACTGGCTCATGATTTGAAAGGACGTGTCCCTGCGAATCTCGTCGACCTCTGCAATCGAACCATTGGTGTAATACTGCTTGATGAGCTTGACAATCTTTGGGCCAACACCCTTCAGGCTAGCCGCCAGGCTGGGGTTGGGTGCGATGGAACGCGGGTAGGACTTCACTGCAGAGATTGCCCGCCCGTATGCGGTTGCATTGACCTCTTGGCCACCAGTCAACGTCCGCTGAAGTCGAAGAGTCTCGAGCTGGTCAACGAGGCCCTGGTTGTGCAACGACTTGAGCGGCGAAGGCCTCATGCACGCATACTCTGAGTTGCACCAGGATGGTCCAGCCGTCTTCGGCTGATTTGCAGTCCCAATGACCTGCTCGTTCCCAAGACTTCCCTCTCGACTGCTCGAATCACCTGCGACAGCGGCGCTGTCGCTGTTGCTATCACGACGCTTGCGTTTGCTCTCTCGCTCACGGCCCCGTGATGGTGATGCCGAGCTAGGGCGTTCGGGGGAGCTGACCTCTGTTGACGATCCTTCTTCTGGCGGTGCAGGTTCGGTGACGTTTTCTGTGGCCTTTGTCTCATGCTCGAGGGCCTTAAGGGTCTCTGGAGGCGAGGGCTCCTTGGGTGATATGACGAGGTAGTCTGCATACGGAAGCATGATGCCAGCTCTCTGCGAGTCATCGAGCCAGGTGTGGTGTACGACTGGTACTTTGCGTTGCTGTAGGGCAGCTTTCAGCATTACAGTCCCGAATAGGCTGCTAGATCTGCATCGCAAGAGGCGGTTCTCACTTCGGCATCGGCGTCGATGAATTTCTGTGCTCGCTTGGCGGATCGGGTGCCCGTCAAGATCAAGTTGGCGAAGCGTAGCGAGGCGTTCATTCCGCCGAGCGACGAGATTGCCGCACGAATGCGATCCACATCAATTTGCTCGAGCTTGTCCTTGATAATGAAGATGCCTTGGGAAAACGCGTTAAATGTTGTTGTCTTCTCAGAGACATGGACCTAGATGGGTCGACTCACGGGTGGAGCTGCTGAGGATCCTGCCCTTCTGTCGAGGCCCGCCTTCTTCAGACGAGGGGGCAATGAAGTCATCGCGTCGGGATGCAGTCTTACTCTTCGGACTGGTGGAAAACGATGACGTCGTCGTCGTCTGAACGACCTGGCTATTCCTACTCAGCCGCCGCCTCGAGGGCGAGGACATGGTGTTGTCATCCGGCCTGGTCCACCAGGATGAGGGGGGACGTGCGAGCAATATTTTGCCTCGGACTTTACGATCCACGTGGCTCTTCAGCCCCAATCTATGGCGCGCCCGCCCAGCGAAAACTTTGAGACGAAAGCCAGACTCTCCGAGAAGAAAGAAACCCTCTCTTCCCTCCTTTCTCCCACCCAAGTTGCGATTCGACGCCAAGCGGGCAGCCAGCAGCGCCGATCTTTCCTTCTTCTGGCCGTTGTCGTTGCAGACAAGAGGAATGATGCAGCCCTTCCGTCTCGCCCACCGCGGCCTTGGCCCCATGGCGCGGCAAGCCCCGGCCAGTGCGCTCCGACATAATGCGCTCCGAGGTAGGTTCTGCTCTAGACCGGTCTTGTACCTTTTGGCAGCCTGCTCAAGCCCATCCCTACGACAGCTTCGGCATTTCACTCTTCGAGCAACAGATTGGCGCTCCAAAAGTTCATGATGCCAGCCATGAGTCCGACGATGACAGAGGGCGGCATCGCAGCTTGGAAGAAGCAACCTGGTGATACCTTTTCGGCCGGCGATGTCCTTCTCGAGATTGTGCGTTGTCACCTTTCGTAGTATTTGGCGAACTCATTCACTGACAGTCACTTTCAATACAGGAAACGGACAAGGCCACGATGGACGTTGAGGCGCAGGACGACGGTATCATGGCCAAGATCATTGTGAGCTCCATATATGCGCTATCTTCTCAAACCCCACTCCAGACTGCTGATCCCAATTCATCAGGTCGAGGACGGCGCAAAGAACGTGCCCGTCAACTCGGCTATTGCCATCATTGGCGAAGAGGGAGACGACATCTCGGGTGCCGATGCCCTGGCTGCTGAGGCAGAGAAGGAAGGCCCGCCCAAGCAGGCTGAACCAGAGGCGCCCAAGCACGAAGAGACACCAGAGCCTCCCAAGGAGCAGGAGTCCAAGCCCGAGGAGTCAAAGAAGGAAGAGTCGAGCGCCAAGCAGGAGGAGGCGCCCTCGCGAGCCTCTGGCGAACGCGTGTTTGCCAGCCCACTTGCTCGCAGGCTTGCCCAGGAGAAGGGCATCCCCCTCGGCCAGGTCAAGGGCTCGGGCCCCAACGGACGCATCGTCAAAGCCGACATTGACAGCTACAAGGCGCCCGCCGGCCAAAGTGCTGCTCCTAGCGCTGGTGCCGGCGCTCCCGCGCCTTCGGCTGCCAAGTCGGCACCGGCACCTTCCGGCGCGTCGTACGAGGACATTCCTGTGTCCTCAATGCGTCGCACCATTGCCGGTCGCTTGACCGAGTCCAAGCAGCAGCTGCCCCACTACTACGTCTCGATCGACGTCGAGATGGACAAGGTCCTACGCCTGCGCCAGGTCTTCAACGAGGCATCGGAGAAGAAGGCCGGCGGCGATGCGCAAAAGGCAAAGGAGGCCAAGCTGAGCGTGGGTGACTTTATCACAAAGGCTGCCGCCGTGGCGCTGCGAGAGGTTCCCGAGGTGAACGCAGCATGGTACGGCGAATTTATCCGACAGTACCACACCGCCGACATTTCCATTGCCGTGGCCACGCCCACGGGCCTGATCACGCCCATCGTCAAGGACGTCGGAGGAAGTGGCTTGACGACGATCAGCGCCTCGACTAAGTCGCTCGCCTCTAAGGCCAGGGCAGGAAAGCTCAAGCCGGAAGAGTACCAGGGCGGCAGCTTCACCATCTCCAACATGGGCATGTTCGGCATCACTCACTTCACCGCCATCATCAACCCGCCGCAGAGCGCGATCCTGGCCATTGGCGGAACCGAGCCCAGGATGGTCGTCGATGAGGCCGAGGAGAAGGGTTGGAGAAAGGCCATGGTGATGCAGGCCACCATCAGCGCCGACCACCGGATCGTCGATGGCGCAACGGCGGCCAGGTGGATGAAGGCATTCAAGGATGCCCTCGAGAACCCCTTGAGGTAGGTTCATCTCTGCTCATCTCGTCAAACTCACTTGAATAAGATTGGCTGACGTCGACCTTGATTTCCCTCCCTGCGCAGCTTCATGCTATAGATTCGTCCTTTTTCCCTTTCTTTCCTCATGACTCAATGTAACAAATGAATGGCCAACTCAGCAGGACCGTATCACCCTTCGCTTTTGCAAGATGCTTCCCTTTTTGCCTCGTCCTTCTTTTGAAGCTGAAGACTTGAAAGCACGTGTGGCAGCGGTCAGAAAGGACCGGAAGCCAGCCCGTTCAGTGGAAAGATGCGGTCTGAGTCCAGCCCGCACCTACTGAGCGGACTGGTGCCGCTCTTCCGTCGCGTGAGCGGAAGTCGTTCCACAAATTCCGTGCCTCCTAACTAAGCAGATGCTCCCCTTTTTCTCATCGCAGCATGGAGTGCGATCAGTGAAAGACTTCAGAGCTTCATCTGTACAGGGCGGTCCACTTCTTTCTTTCCAATATCTGCCCGTCGTCGCCACAGCCCAGTTTAACCGTCTGCGGGCTTCTTTTACCCAGCGTCTTCCTCTCCAAGATTTTAGGAGCATCCACACCGGCCTTGCCTGATGTCGATGCCGTGTTCATATCCGATGCCGATGCCTGCGCTGCCTCCACCACCCACATGGCCTATCTAGCTGCTTTCGTTCTTCACGAGCTTATGCACCGTTCCGGCCAGATTCCCCCTTCTCACAGGAACGGAAGAAGGACGGAGGGTCTCACTTGTCGGTGGGGCAAGGACATAGGGCTTTTCGCTAGTCGCTCTTTCTTGCATCACTGCTCCAGGCAGATGACCCACCGTCCTCTAGGGCAACGGTCGGCCAAGTGTATATTGGAGAGACTAAATTGAGGATGCCTTCTGCGCTAGAGTAGAGAGAAGCCACTTTATCCCATGATATGGAGCTAGGGCCAATTTATCAAAGATCATATGGACGATTTCCTCCGGAGAACTCCACATCACTGTACTGTACTATACTACCTCCTGCTACTACCCGCTTGCCTGAACGCGGAACTCCTGGGGACCTGGATTTATGGCGAAACTAGATCGCAACGGTCCTATCGCGTCTCTTTTCGCTTGGTGTTCGCAACGTGAAAGGAAGATCGGCCCTCGGGGGTTCAGCAACGTGGGCTTCGGGAAGACGGAATGGAAGTCGGAGTCAGGCGTCGGAGCTCACTCCCGTGCCCCTCCCGATGATAGTCATGCATGCTTGCTTGCTTCTGCTGGTCCAGAACAAATCCCCTTCAATGGGTTCACGTGGGTCGGGTTCAGAGGGTTATTATCTTGGGATTCCCGGCTCGATCCTCTGTTCCTCGTTTGTGGCTTGATGGGGCTAGCCGCAAGGGGGGAACATGCGCAAAACAATCATTCGATGTAGGAACGGGCCGGCAGACACCTAGCCTGCTGCTGGTGTCCTGCCAGCGGGATCGAGCGAGGTTCGATCATCTCCCTCTTCGAGAGAAAGATTTACTGTTTAAGTTTGTAATGACGAGTCACCTCTGGAGAGGAAAGTGGCAGTTGAGCAGTACTAGTGGCCGATTGCCAGAACAGAGTAAAAAAAAAAGAGAAAAGCGGGCTAAGTTGGCTCGCCCGTAAATTAAATTCTTCCTCTATTGTTTCTTGTACCAAAAAAGCAATAAAGGTCAGGAGACTGATATGATGCCCTCCGGCACCATCGCTGAAGCTATCCCTCTTTCTTAGGTTCCAAGCAGGGCAGGGCAAGGGGCTGCTTTCCTTGGCCGAAGCTTGCGTGCATTAGCGGCCTTCGTCCAGAAGCAGGCACCCGGCCTGAGTGCGTTTCCTGATAGAGCAGGGGCCTCGATAAAGCCGGACTGTATCACTATTATTCTATGAGGCAGGGCTGGCCTTCGGCAAGACCCCCTTGGGTCCGGTGCTGTGTTTTGATTGCACGTAGAAATTCGTTCCCGTATTTGCCCCCCTTTTCTTTTCCAATACAAGAAATGACACAATAATTCGTAATCTCTGGCCAAGCCCTTGACTCTGAGGTGGGGTTTCCTCAAGGCACGCAAACACGGCTGGCTGGTTTCTTGGCTTATTGCTGCTACTCTGTATATATGTGACGCAAGCGTCCCCTCCTCTTTTCATCATCCACTTTCTCTCCCAACCCATTTCCACCTATCTCGGATCATCGCGATGAAGGTTTCTATCGCCCTTTTCGCCCTTGCTGTTGCGACGCTCACGGTCGCCAACCCCCTCCCTGAGGTGCGTAGAATTTCGTCGCAGCGCTGTGCATGCGTGTGGTTTTAGGGGGCCAAAAGGTGTTTGTCACGTTGTACAGAGGGGGAGGACGAGGGTGGCGCGCGGCTGTACAGTGATGAAGCCATTGTAGTTGACACCAGGACTTCAACAGAAGGCGCAGGCCGCTCAGGCAAACTACGGCAAAGCGAGTTACATTCGTCGTGAATCGGCGCAGGCTGCCAAGGCCGAGTATGGAATCGGCAATGGCAACAAGTACTTCAAGCGCGACAACACCGACGCTGGCCGCCCCGTCATGTACAGGAGGAAGGAGGCCTCGGCCGCATCCGCGGATACATTCATCGGGGGGGGAGGAAACTACAATTGAGCGGCTTCTTCCGACATCGGTCTTCATGAGCGAGCATTAGCTAGGATCTGAAGCTGGACACTCTCAAACTATCCTGGACGGAGTCCTTTTTTTCTTCTTGCTCGGACAAAACCATCCTATCTTCAGCTACTTTACCCTCGGCCCGTACCACCGTTCTCTCCCAGTTGTATTGTCACTATCTCAGGGGCTTTAGGCTCCTACCTTCCGTCGATTTATGGGGTGCCATCGCTGGAACTCCCTCCCTTACTTTATCCTCTGCGTTCGTTTTTGGGGCTTCGAAATGTCAAGGATTTGCTGGTCATCCTGTCTTGCTTGCTGTGAAGAACATGCACACTGCAACCGAGATCGAGTTTCCGTCGACTTCATCTTTGTCGGATGTCAAAGACTTGTCGAGGTATTGATCCAAATGCGCCGGGGAGCGACCACACGCACGATCCAATGCTAAGATCCAGAAGCAAGCGCGGTATCATCGTGGAGAACGTGGTCGTGATGCAATGGGTGTAAGCATTCACAGAGAGAGTAACCGATCGGAAAGTACAAACGAAGGAGAAGGGGAGAGGGGTGACGGGGAGGGTCTGTGTTCATTTGAAACCGTTACCAAGATCCGGAGCCCAAGAGTACACCAAAAGAGAAGAAGAGAAAGAGAAAGGCGTAAAGAGAGTCGTACGTGAGAAGCAAAGCAGAGAACAGTCGAGGGCAGGCCCTCCGCGAGCCCAAGACTGCTCATAAGAGAACCTAATCGAGGCTCAACCTGCTGGGGTTTGTGTTGCGGAACGCTGGGGCATGAGCGTTGTTGCTCTTTTGGTGATATTGACCGCTGGCTTGCTGAGTCTGGCGGTAGGCATCTTCGTAGTCTTCGTCGTCGTCATCATCGTAAAGTCCGCCGTTCGTAGCCCGTGGGAGAGCATGCGAGGCAGGAGGAGCAGCGTCTTGGAAAGCAGGGCCTCCAGCGGCAGGGTGCGCATGGCTGCTCTCGAGCGAGACGCCATCGAGGCTTAGACGAGGCTGTCTGCCCATGCTCGATGAGGCCATGTGCTTTGGACGGCGTCGGCGGAAGCCCCATCCGATCGACTCGTGCGCCTGTCGAAGGCCCTTTCCGAAGTTGTGCAAGCAGACGCAGGCGAATGCAATGGTGCAAAGTAGGGAGATCTGGGAAACGGTCCAGGATGAGCACCACCTTCATGGGAGGGGGTGAGAACAGGACGGGCTCACAGTAGCGAAGATGGAGAAGAATGTCAAGCTGAGTTCGACCGTCTGGTAGCTAGCTCTCGTCGATGGAGCATAGATGCGCGTGATCTGCAGAAGACATCAGTTCAACACATGCCTCTCGAGACAGTGGCAGCCAGCTCGGACCCACCTTGTAGATGAAGTACACGGCACCAGCCAGGAAGCAAGCAATGGAAAATGCCATCAAAGACTTGATCTCCTTTGTCGCAGCCCAGCTGGCCAAGAAAAGAACGATGATGGCTGCGGGCAACGCAGCGATGGTCACGGCATACTCCCAGTCGTTGCGGTTGGCGACGAGGATGAGGAAGGACATGGCAAAGGCGACGCCAAAGAAGAAGTCGAATTTGAGGAAGACGACAAAGACCTGATATCCAAGATACCGCCTTCGGGTCTGGATGTCTGCGCCAATCACCTAGTCAGTTCGCCCCGGAAGTGTCTGTCAGCCCATGCACCTGGCGCAGGAATCTAAGCATGTCCTCGTACCTTGTAGATGCGCCAGCCCCATTCTGACCACAGCTTCCAAGCCAAGTAGGTGAGGACGAACTGCGAGACGCCGACAATGACGGGCACGACGATGAGGAGCTTTTCCACGAGCGGAAAGAGCGTGTCGATCGCATTGCACCTCCTCCCTCGTCGCCCGGCGACTTGGGGCACGTCCATGCACCGCGCTCCGCCACCCTTGTCATCCTGGTACTGCAGTGCGTCGTGGGCTTGAGGGATCTCCAAGGCCGTCGTGACAAGGATGGCCACGTTGAGAGCGGCGACACCGATGATTTGGATCGTGTTCTTTTGCCGGTTGGCATCGAGCGAAACAAGGACGAGGAAGATCATGGCGAAGATCGTGAGCGAGAAGAAGACGTTGATCGTCTTGAGCTCTTCGACCTTCGTCCCTCGCGTGTCGAGCTGTGAAAGGGTCAGTGAGTGCGGGGATACCATCGAGCGGCAGGACTAAGAGTGGCTCACCCAGACGACACCGAAAGCAGCGCCGACCATGGCAATGACAATGATCGACTCGATGACGACAGTCAGGAAGAGCGCCAGCGCCCACCGACCAGGCAACCAGTAGCCCCTCGACCCAGCTCCAGCCGAGGTCGATGTTGCTGCTGTTGCTTTCGTTCCTCGAGAAGCGACCGTCTTGCCCCTCTTGACATTTGTTCCCTCCATAGGTGACGAGGCGGCTTCTTTGGTCGAAGCCTGGCCCTCTGGCGCCGCAAAGTAGGGCGAGGGGTGCTGTGGCGCAGCAGCATACGATGCGTACGGTTGCTGCTGCTGCTGCTGCTGCTGCTGCTGCTGCTGCGATGGGGGAAAGTAAGAGTGAGGTTGCTGTGACGACTGCTGCTGGTGATGTGCCAGGAGCGTCTGCGCAGCCGGCGAGGATCCAGCCCTCGGCGGCGTCATGTATGCAGACTCAGACCTTTGTCGCTCGAATTCTCGCGAGGCCGAGAGCGGCTCGCGGTTGAGGTGCTGCGTCGTAGGGTAGGAGCCATCGTCTGCGACCGACGACGGCGGGTATGCGGCGGGGGCATCGTTGTGTCCGACGTAGGCCCCCTCATCGTAAAAGCGATGCGCCATTTTTTTTCTCTCTCTCTTTCCCTACTCCCCCTCTCCGCAGCGGTATATGGATCGACGAGAGAGAGCGGAGCAGAGCTATAGAAGAGAGGCCTGTCGATCCTAGCTTCGTGACCGTCTTCGCCGTCCGGGTCGATGTGCGAAACGATCTGAAATGGAATTTCACCAGGCGGACTCTCCGCTCGTTGCCGCGCTTCAGCACCTCGAGGTTCGCCGGTCAAGACACGTTTTAATTTACCGTCTTAGTCTTGGCGTCGAAAAAGCAGCGACCACGCTCGCATTCAAATTGAATTCGGGGAAGATCCCGCCTTGTTTGATTAACCATCTTGGAATGAACACACCACTACCACCAAAGGACTGCCACAGAACAGAAGGTAACAAATGAATCGTAAGAGAAGACTAAGCGACTGAGTGAAGAGCGAGAATCTTGTCCACAGCCTCCAGAACATTGTCGACGAACAGTGTCGGTTCCTCTGTGGGCATCTCGTTCTTTTGGTAAACACCCGTCTTCACCAGGGCCGACTTCCAACCAGCTCTGTTGGCGCCCTTAATGTCGACGTCCGGATTGTCGCCAATCATCCAGATAGTGTATTCGTCTTTCTTTACACCGTGCTCCCTCTCGAACACTTGACTTGCATACTCGTACGTCATTTTCGAAGGCTTGCCGTAGGTGACCGTCATCTCTTCGAGTCGCTGTCCTGTACTTGGGTAGAAGAGCTTGTCGTAGATGCTCTCCAGGCTGAGCTTGATGGCACCCATACCCAGTCGAGGACGCGAAATACCTTCCGTGGGCGTGAGGAGGTCTGCCGAGGCGTAGTAGAGCTTGGGGCGGTCTTTCTCGTGCAATGGCTCCTCGGCAGATCCGGCCTTTGGCTTGCCTGCGACAATGGAGCCGTAGGGCGGGCTCATGACATCTATGGCGTACTGCATATCCCTACCCCAGTCATCGGACTCTTGCAAGAAAAAGAAAGCTTTGAACACGATGTCTTCACCGTTGATCGACAGCGAGTTCGTGCACTGTTCTTTCCTCAGCTTGCTGAACGGGAATATCCTTTCGTTCCACTGCTGAACTTCGGCGACTGTGTACACCTTTTGGAAGCCGTAGTCCTTCAGTATCTTGCTATGGCCTCCATTTGTGCCAGTGACAAGGATAGGGTCGTCGGCGTGCTTCTGAGCAAGAGCCTTCATTGGCGTTCGGCCGAGGATAAGCGATTTGGGACTGATGACAGCTTCGAGCTGTTTAGAGAGCTTCTTGGCGCGATCTTCTTCCGAGACGCCTCCTCCATTCGTGAGGAGGATAAAGGGGACTCTTTTTTCTACCAGGCGGCGTATTGCGTCTTTTGCGCCTGGAAGGACCGTATCGCCGTGCTTGAGGACACCGTCGATATCGAGTGCGAGGGCCACCTTCTTGCTCAGGTCCCTTTTTTTATATTGAAGCATCCCTCTATTTGAAGATGACGTTTGCGAGAAAACGGGGTCATACATTTCACTGTCGAAGTTCGTTTGAGAGGGAAGAGACTCCTTTAGTACTTGCTTCAGGTCCTCCGCTGTCGAATCTTCCCTCAATCCGAACAAGCTCCTGCCGTGGTACTGAAGTTCGTCTGGATTGACCTGCTCGATCATGATTTCGGCATTCTCTGCGACCTGTCGAAATCGAATTTTCTTATAGGAATCTTCATCATAGCCGTTTTGCAGAACGTGCAGGGTGTGCATGGCTTCGCCGGCTTCGATCCTGCAGTCATCGACGAATGCTTTGAGGACCGACCTTTCGAGCCGCGAGATGAGACCGTCGTGTTCGTGGTAAGCATTTTTGTTCTCCAACCTTTTCAACAAATCCTCAACCAGCATCTTTCCACGTTTCCTTGCGGCAGTACGAGAAAGACTCCATACACTTCCGCGAGCCGTCTCGACCAAACCTTGGAGCTCATGTGCATAAGCATGGACGATGTCTCCCGGAACGGGCTTTTTTAAAATGTCCAGCGCCATTTCCATTTGCTGGGCGTAGAAAGAATCTTCCTTGGTGACTTGGATGTGAAATGGGGGAACCAAATTGTCAAAAGGCGCCTTGAGAACCTTGATCCCGTCAGAGGGCTCATTGAAGCTAGACGAACCAGCCGTCGCGACGAAGAGAGCACGATCGTTGTTGCGCTTGACCTTGTGTCGCAGCGTGGTGAGAAATTTCAGAGTCTCCTTCATGGGCTCTTCAGGGTTCGCCGCATTCTGGGCGCTGTTGTGACCGTGGACGAGGTGGTACCGGTCCACCTGCCGAGGAAATTTTTTCAAAACGTAATTTACGTGCTTCTTCGGGGTGGAAGCATGATGAAAGATGTCAATGCGGTCCTTCGCACCAATTCGCTTGCGAAGGTCTTTCCGCATCATGCCGAGAAACTCTGGCGGCAGTTGAGCGAGGCCAGCTTCCAGGTCTGGAATACTTGAATGGTACGGCAGGTAGTTGGGGCCACGTTCCAGGTTTTTGAAGGCCGATTCGTGCGGCGCCGCTTTACGAAGTCGACGTCTCCCGTAGTAGTGAAAAGCGGGCGTCAGGGCGCCATAAAATCTGCGAGCCGTCTGAATGGAGCGATGAGCCAATTCATGATTCGCGACGCCCTCGCTGATAAAGTGGATATAGTTATACTTTCCGCGCCTTTCCAGAACTTGGTGCGCCATAATGTCGTCTACGTTGCCGTCGGTGAAGACAATGGCGTGGCGAGTGTTGCCGAGTTCCCTTTTTTCAAAGCGCTTTTCCCCGTGCCTCGCTCTTTTTTGAAATGGCCCTTGTGAAGAAGACGAGCCATATGTTCCACTGTAGAACGTCTGAGTGGAAAAAGCCTCCTTTAGCATTTCTTCAAGGTCCGACGATGTCTTTGTTTTATCCAGTTGGAACAAGCTCTTGCCGTGGTCAGGTCGGCCGTCACCGATTGGATGAATCGAAATAGCCTCCGGTGCGCTCTGTACAAATTGAAACCTTCCATAGGACCTTTCTCGATACCCATTTCGTAGAAAGTGCATGGTGTGCATGGCTTCGCCGGCTTCGATCCTGCAGTCCTCGACGAACGCTTTGATGACCAACCTCTCGAGCCGCGAGATAAGACCGTCGTGTTGGCCGTGTACATTTATGTCCTTGATCTTTCCCATCAAATGCTCAACCAGCTTGTTTCCACTAATCCTTGCGGCAGTACGAGAAGGAGTGTCTTCACTTCCGCGAGCCGTTTTGAATAAGCCTCGGAGGTTATTTCTGAAACCATTTTTGACGTAATCTGGAGCGCTCCCCTCGACAATGTCTTGCGCCTCTTCTATTTGGCGGGCGTAGAATAGATCTTCCGTGGTTGCTTCAATGTGAAATTTGGGAACCAGATTCTTGAAAGGCGCCATGAAAACCGTGGACCCGTCAGTGGGCTCGGTGAAGCTAGACGAACCACCCATTGCCACGAAGAGGGCATGTCGGTTGTGGTTCTTGACCCGCCCTTGCAGCCCCGAGAGAAATTTTTTTGTTGTTCTTGTGGGCTTATCACGGCTTGCTTTATCCTGGGCGCTGTTGTAACCGTGGACGAGGTGATAACGGTCTACCTGGCCAGGAAATAATTCCAAAATGTAGTTTACGTCGTTTGCCGGGGTGGGAGCATGTTGAAAGATGTCAATACGGTGCGTCTTCTCTTTAGGAAGTCGGCGATGAAGGTCTTCCCTCAATAAGCCGACGAAAGTTCGCTCCAATGTAACGAGGCCACAATCTAGATACTTGAAGGTAGATCCACGCGGTAGGTCTCTGAGGAGTTTCTCCAGGTCTTGGAAGACATGTTCGTGCGGCGCCGCTTCTTCAAAGACATTGCTCCCGATGTAGTTAAAAGCGGGCGTCTGGGCGCGATAAAAAAGGCGACCCGTCTGAATGGAGCGATGAGTCAATTCATGATTCGCGACACCCTCGCTGATAAAGTGGATGTAATCATAGTTTCCGCGCTTTTCGAGAACTTGGTGCGCCATTATGTCGTCTACATTGCCGTCGGTGAAGACAATGGCGTGGCGAATTAGGCCGTCTTCCCGCTTTTCTAAGTGCCTCTCTCCTTGCCTCGCTTTCTTGGAAGAGGTACCAGCTGAGGAAGACGAACCTTGCATTCCACTTGAGGTTCGTATTCGAGGACGAGGAGAGGCGCCAAAAACTTCCAGTAGCTTCTCCGTTGTATCCTTCTCGTCCAGTCCGAACAAAGTCTTGCCGTGTTCTGTCCCCTTCTTATCCTTGCCATGCTTGATCACGATCTTGGCGCCTTTTTCCTTTTGAACAAAGTGGAAGTCAGGAAAAGATTCTGGATTAGAACGCTGTTCCAAAACGTGTACGACGTGCATGGCGTCACAGGCCTCAATTTTGCGGCCTTCAGTGAACGCGCTGAGGACCGACGATTGGAGCCGCGAGTGAAGCACGGAACCTTCCATCTTGTTCTTTACCAGCTCGGAGATCAAATCCTTGACGTACTTCGCACCCTGACTCTTTGCCTTCAGGCATGCTGAACTCCCGTCATCTATGCGAGCCCTCTCCACCAGAGCTTGCAAACCCCCAGAGTTTTCGATGCCCGGCGGAACGCTCTGGCCGAGCTTATCCAGCACGGCCTCTATCTGGCGGGCGTAAAAATCGTCTTTGAGCGTAATTTCCCGGTGGAAGCGAGGAATACTGTTTTTGAGAGGCTCCATAAAGACTGTGACTCCGTCAGAGGGGCTCTTGAAGGAGGACGAGCCAGCTGTAGCGACAAATAGGGCTTCCCTGTTGTAGAACTTCACCCGCGATTGCAACTCCGTGACAAATTCAAGAGTTTTGGGTGTGGGATCATGTCGGCTTTCGTTGTCCTGGGAGCTGTTGTAGCCATGGACCAGGTGATACAGTTTCACCTGGCCAGGAAACATCCGCAGAATGGCTTCTACGTCGTCTGCTGATGTAGGGGCATGCTGAAAAATGTCAATGTGGTGGTCATCATGCATAACAAGGTGTTGTGCGAGATCTTTGAACTTGTGAATGGCGTTTGGCGCCGTATCGAGGTCGATCTCCCTTGTGAGGTAAGTGGCCTCATGAGGTACCGCTTGCTCGAGGACATTTTGCCCGTTGTAATGAAAAGCTTGTGTCCGGGCGCGATAAAATTTGCGACCCGTCTGAATAGAGCGATGAACCAATTCATGATTCTCGACGCCCTCGCTGATGAAGTGGATAGAATTATAATCTCCCCGCACTTCGAGAACTTGGTGAGCCATAATGTCGTCTGTCTTGCCGTCGGTGAAGACGATGGCGTGGCGAGTTATGACAGCCAAAACGTGAGTCACGGAGAATAGCAGGATGACTAGGAGTTTGCAGATCATGTTGGGATGAAGCCTTCGTCGCTGTAGCCTGAGGGCCAGCTCAGGAGGTTGTTGTGATCGGATGCTCGAGACCAGCTCAAGAGAAGAGAAATCAAAAGGGAAAGAATGATGGAGATAGGGGTGAGGATGAGGACTAGCTCGCCAGGAGATGGTCTTCGAGGGGGTTTGCAGAAAATATGAATTTGGGGTTCGACAGGCCTGCTTATATAGGCAGTTTAAGGATGCAATGTCCTATTTGTGACGCCACAGGTACAAGTAGGGTGTCCTCGAGGCCACTTTGTACGGACCGGGATGGCCGCAAAGACGCCCCTTGAGTGAGTGAGTTGTTTAAAAAACACATCTTTCATGCTTCCGAGATCCCCGAGAATCCTCTAGGTCATACTGACAGTGTCTCTGATCTTGGCCAAAAATAAACACACCTTCTGGCCGGATGCAGTGTCCTGTGTTCCTCGTCGACAGAGTCCATCAGGGTCTGCTAGTGAGAACGAACTGGCTATAACGGACTCTCTGTCCAGGGTGTGCCTCGCACGTATGGCTCGTCACAACATGAAAAGAGGGCGCGAGATGACTGCTTGGACTGAACTCTGGGAAAAGGGCGTGGCGTAAGCAGATCCGAGTGGGATGACGTGCTTTGCCTATCTGGTGACCCTTTAAGGCGTGGTGGTCGGCGCGGGCGTAGGAGTCAAGTGGCGAAGTCGAGTTGACCGTTATCAAAGCTGTCTGTGAGCGCAGCCCACTCCCAAGGCGCCATGAAAGGCCAGTCCGGAAAGGCATCCGGACCGGGTGGAGTGCTGTTGGGGGTCGGCAAAAGCGCCGTGGATGTTGTCGAGAAGGAGGACAAGGGGCCATTGTTTTCAGTCGCGGCTGGCTTTGCGTCATCGGACGGCGAGGTAAACAGCGGCGAGGATGCCTGCGCGGTCAACACCGAGGGTACAGTATCCTTGCGCGCCCTTGTCTGGGCCGCCCGATTGGAGGCCTCATTCCAGTCGGCGAATCGCTCCTTGAGCTTTTCCCTCTCGGAAATGAGGCCCACGAGAAGGCGCTTGCTGACCCTAGCAGTCGCTCCCGTCATGCCAGAGCCAACGAGATGGAGGGTGTCAATGGCCTCAAAGACGTTGGAAGCGAACCAGTCCAGATCTTCGGCCGGCCAATCGGGCCATTTGGAGTAGGCATGCTTCTCCGACGATGTCGTGGAGCCATCCGTCGCAGAAGATTCCGAGGGCGACGACAGAAAGACGATGGTGAATGTCGAAGCCGCCACGAAGAGCTGATGTGTCGGCCACGAGGGTGGGATGATGGTCCAGGGGTTGTTGGAGAGCGTGACGAGGAGCGGCATCGCTTCCAAGATCTTTCGAGCATTTCGCAACGCAGCAAATCGCATCTCGTGCGGCGCTGCAGGGTCGAGCAGAAAGGGCCGCATGAGGATGCATCGAAGCTTGTACATGGAGTTGTGCAGCAGCAGTGCCTGGGCGGCAAGCTTGTACGACTGGGGATCGTCGGCCTTGAGCTTGCAACACGCATTCTCGTAGCTCAGCCAGTCGGGCAGATCCGAGTACCAGGCCTCGATGCGGCCGTCGATGAGCACGGCCTGCTGACGACGGTCGCTGGCAGACATCCGCGTGAGGTTGCGAACGAAGCGGTAGACGTCACGGATCACTGCGCTCTGGCCCATCATCAGTCGACCGAAGCGCACAGCCGGATCGCTCGGATCACCGGAAACAAAGCTGGGCGGGTGAACGCTAAAGTCGTCGGCCATGTCGATGGCGCGGTAGTAGTGAAGCCCCTGCCATCGGTCGAGCGTCGACAGTGCCCACGCCATTCTCCTCCGATACTCGACCTCGTCATCATCAAGGATGCTGTTGCATGGCCTGTCCCTGGCCCAGCGGCTCTCGTCAAAGAGGTCCGAGGCCTTGCCCAGACGGACAGCCTCGCCCACGCTGACCCATGTCTTTTTTGTCAAGCCGGCGAGGGAGCAGTACGATGCGTACATGGTGTAGGCCTGGAGCTGATCAAAGGTGACGCCCAGCTCGTTGCCAACAATGTCGCCAGCGTCGACAAACTCTTCATCGTCTGCGAATGAGCCCTCGTTGAGGAGCGTTCGAGCTGTGCGATGGAGCACTCGGAACCGCTCCGGCTCCCTTTTAATAGCCTCGTGAGCGGCAGAGGCCGAGGGGCAGAGGAGGTAGACGGTCGCAAAGAGGGAGCAGATCAGCGAAGCAGAGAAGCGCGAGATGCGGCCGTCGGTCGTCAGTGTCTTCCAAGACGCATCCAGCCTGTCTTTGGAAATGTAGTTGACCACCCATTGCATCTCGGTGAAGAAGACGTCGAGAAAGAGGTTACCCTCCCGAACAGTGGGCAGGACGTCTTTGAGGTCATCCCACTGGACGAGCTTGTCGCCCCACGGCGGGCGAGTGTCACCCCAGCCTGCCGTTCCTTTCACGCCATCGTGCTGCAACTTCTGAATGGAGCGCGAGAGCTTGGTGAGCGTGTCTTGAAATTTGACCATGCTGTCCGACGGTGCTTGACGAGCCCGCTTGCTCTCGCCCGCGCCGACGTCCAACAGAGCGGGCTCAAAGAGGGCTTCGAGGCGTCTCTTTGTCGCTGTGTCTTCCGCCGCAGCTGCGGGCGCTTTCGTAGACGTGGGAGTGATCCGCGGCGCTTCATTGGAGACATAGCACGATGTCTGGGTGCCTCTTAGTGTGCAGGACGAGCAAGGCTGGACCCTGTCGCATTTGCTCTTGCGCTTGCGACTGTACAGACGCCGTCAGATGCCATGCTCTCTCGCCGCGAACGCTTCCTAGGCACGCGCTCGCGCACACCGACACAGACACACTCACCACGGCGCGCAGCTCCATTTGAACTCGGGCTCAGGCCTCTCCCCAGCCAACCGCATCGTGCCGCGAGCCATATTCGACGTAGGGATTGCGTCCATCGTCGTCGGTCGTGCTCGGAGAAGCCTAGAGCCCGGAGTCAGGGTCGTATGTAATCTCGATCCGCCGCCCCGTTTAGAGCGCATTGCATGCAGGGAATCTAACTCCGAGGGAAAAAGCGCGAGTCCCGATTTGTCACTCATGACACAGCGGTAGATCCATTCACTCTAGCACACCACATCCTTTGCTCTTCTCTGTGGCACAAGATGCATTTGAGATTGGCAGATAGGAGCATATTTTTGACAACTAGATGGTTCTCGATCATGCTTTTAGCAATCTGGCGTGCCTCCGATTGTGACGCCGGCATAGACGCCCAAGTGGTCAATGATGTTGACTGTCCCCTGGCCATCGATACAGTTGGAGTTCTCCTGTCCAGGGCAGCTGACGAGGCTGCTCACTTCGTCGGCAGCCTTCTGCCACAGCTCGCCAGCGGCGTGCCAGTAGCCGTCGTTGGCCGACGAGATGTCGTCAGCGCGGGGCGGAACACGTGGTACGAGGTCGTCACCGTTGTTGAAGTGCTCGTAGGCCGGGACACTGTTGGCAAAAGCGAGATTGCCTGTGCGGGGCTGACCGAAGACGATTGCCCTGACCGTCGTTCCGCTGAGCTTGCAGGTGAGGTAGGCATGGTCGAGAGAGGCAATTCTGTAGCAATGACTCGGTCAGCGTGAGGTATGACTAAAAAGATGCCAGTACTCACGCAGCACCGAGACTGTGTCCCGTGACCAAGACGCTGGCACCTTGGTGCTGGCTGAGCTGGTCGCTCACGGTCGAGAGAATGTCGTCGGCAGTGTGCGTCCAGGTGTCTTGGAATCCGTGATGCAGTTGAGAAGCGCCGTCGAGACAGCCATTGAGCCGACTGTCGAGCGGAGCAAGGGCGAAGTCGGCATCATTCTCAATCGACTGGAATTTGCTCGGGTCCGTCCCTGCAGAGGCCAGATGAGCACCAAACACTTGTCCAGTGGGAAGCCAGCACAGACTCACCTTCGTGAGAAACCACGACCCTGTTGGACGCTTCGTGCCATGCAACATAGGCGTAAGGTGTGTCGGACCCATCGCCGAAAGTCTTGATTACATTGGCATTGTTGACGTTGTCGCCAGACTGCACGTTGCAGTACGCAGCCTGAGACCACCGGGCCGGGTCAGGGTACGCGGAGTAATCGGTGACTTTGATGGGCTGATCGTTGCTCTGACGGGCCAAGAGAGAAGTCCGAGCATCATGAGGTGGTAGGGCAGCCACGGACGCGGCAGAGGCAGCCGCAATTGCAAGCTGAAGGGAGAGGGAGAGCATGTTGGAGACTGATGAGGGTCACCAAGAACAGACTGCAAACATGCTCCTTTTATCTTAGATCGACCCCATCTCTTCGTCGAGCACACCTCGCAGCAGCACCTCAGACCACCTCGGAGTAGCCTCCTGTCTCCTTCTTCGCTTGCGTGTGGGGTGCATCATGTCTGCAAAGTTTCGTTTCGTCTCTGCAGCGACCTCGGACCATCGGACCTCTCGCCGTCTGGAAGTGTAGTGCTACTACTTGCAGGCACACAAGAAGAAACTATGCGCCAATTTCGACGCTAGCAACCGAAAAAAACGCGAGGAGGAGCGAGCGTTCCTGGGTCACGCTTCGGAGACGAAGCTTTCGCTGGCGTCCCACACCGACAGGTCGTCCTGCCTCAGTGAACCGGTCTGCCTGATCGATCGATCCGTTTCTTCTAATTGTGGCCCTGTTTATCCGCCCGTGGAGAAAAGGCGGTCTGGAGAGGGCGCACATCAAGGCAGTTGCACCTTTTCCTTCATAGAGAAGTGGTTTCGGTGCTCTCTCCGAGGGAGAACATGCTGTTCGCGAGCTCGTTGTATGGTGTTATCCCGGCAACGAGCTCCCTCCTGGTGGACAAAAGCAAAATTGAGCATGCCATGAGATGCCATTGGAGTGATAACCGCAGTGCGTGTTTGTGCACCGGCGTGTGTTCCCGCGACTTTGAGAAGACCGAAAAGAAGAGAGGCTCTAAGTCCGTGCGGGCACAAATGGTTTCTTTGCGCAAGCTCACCCAGCAGTGATGATTGATACCCTTAAAAGATATGGCTCTTGATTGGACCGTGATAGAGTCCCTTTGTTCAGTCCGCACTGTTCTGCGGTGATATCGATTTCGATCACGGACTAAGCGATGGCGGCCCGTGCGTCCCTTTGTTTCCCTTTGTTACGACAGCTTTCAAAAGGCGGCATTTCGCGCTGCTCCGCGCTGCCTCTCACCTTCACCAACTTCACCAACCGCACCAGGTTCACAACACGACGCTTCAAAGCAGTCCCTCATCTCACTCGTGTGAAACCCTCAACAAAGCTTCGCCTACTTGAAAAATATGCCAGCTACAGACGCACTTCGTGAGTTATGCCATCAGTAAAGTATCTCAGCAGCGTTTGAACCAACGTTCCTTGACAGAGCCCGGTGGCATGAGCCAAGAGGCCAAGGTCGTCGTCAAGAGCTACGGAAGCTGGACGCAGTTCATGCATTCTTTTGGACTCAAGCCCTGGGAAGACAATGACGCGAAGGAGGGACTCGCTATCGCCGAGTCGTTCGCCAAGGACGCAGAAGAGGGAAAGAGCGGGAGCATCTAACGATTTCCTAGCGCCAGACAACTGTTACACTTTGTACCAGGCTGTCAAAGTGAGATTAGAGGTGTAGAGATGACCTCAGGAGAAATTATGATCTATCGAGAGCGCGCTGAGAGAAGGGCGCACTTGCACAAAGCCTGCCATCGTGAATATGAGAGGAGATCCTGATTGATCTTGAACTTGCAAAGTCAGATCTCCCGTGTTGGAAGCTTGATGTGCAGCAGTGGGAGCGATTCACCAGACACTTTGGCGATTCAGAGCTCAGAACAGACTCTCATTGGCGACAATATTGCCCATCGACAGCTCTTGGCTCTTTGCTTATGTCACTGATGATGAGGGCAAAGTGGTGAAGCTATCCTCCGAGGGATGGACTGCCTTTGCAATTAGGCGGCAGAAGTGACAAGCGGTGAGGCGCGGAGGTTGTTCAGCACGTGTCGCGGAGCCTCCAAAATTTTTGGTTTTTGTTTTGGAAGATGTCAGGCCTCTTCCTTCCCTGGGTCACCCGCAACGCGAGAAGCAGGAGTGTCGCTCGCGCCCTCTCGATGTTCTCGGTAAAGCGCTTCGACGGCTCGGCCGCGGCGTCGGGAAGCAATGACGGTGCCGGCGATGGCGCTCCGGCGCGAAATGTTGATCGAATCGCCGCGATCAACCGACAGATGCCGGCACCTGCGCCCAAGAGAGTGCAGCCGGTGGCAGGAAAGGTCAAGAGCTCGACGTCAAAGAAGCAACAAGCTACCAGCAAAACAAAGGCAAAAGAAAGATACTTGAAGGCTAAGAAAGAGAGGAGGAAAGCCCGGCAAAAGGCAATGCCTGCGGCAAACAAGAGGAAGAAGGTCGATGCGAGCCAGGAGGACGAGGTGCAAGAACTTGCCCAAGCAGCAGTCGAGGAAGGTAACAAGGGGCAAGGAAAGGGCGAGGAGGTCACATCATCATCATCAACGTCTTCTTCATCATCATCATCATCACCATCATCATCGTCGTCGTCGTCGTCGTCGTCATCAGGGTCAAGCTCGGACTCGGACTCGGATTCAGACTCGGATGCCGAGGGCAGCAGCGCGGAGGAGGTGGAGTCCCAAAGGCCAGTCGAAAGCGAGAACAAGATGGATGTAGATGAGCCAGAGGGGCTGTCGAGGCTGCCAGCGCCTCGACAGACGGAGTGGGGCTCCAAGGCAGACCTAGCGCTACAGGGCCTACCTCAAGGGCTCACCAGACCGACATTGGTAGACCCGGAACTCCGCTCGAGCGTCAAGGCAAATACTGAGGAGGGAAAGGGGGACTTGGACCTGGTCAGTGCTCCTATGCGCTCGCGCCTCGAGAAGCTGGGCGTGTCCGAGTGGTTTGCCGTCCAGACGTCCGTCATTCCCATGCTTCTTTCCCATCCGACCGCCTACTCGCTCTACCCGTCGCCCCCACCTAGTGATCTTTGCGTCTCTGCACCCACTGGAAGCGGCAAGACGTTGGCGTACGCTGTTCCGATAGTCGAGGTGCTACGACGGCGGATCTGCATCAGGCTTCGTGCTTTGATTGTCCTGCCCACGAGGGACCTCGTCAACCAGGTCAGGGAGACGATGCAGGGTGTGTGCAAGGGAAGCGGCTTGAGCATCGCAAGCGTGACCGGCCAGCAGAGCTTTGCGCAGGAGCAGGCACTCCTTGTCAACCTTGCCGAGGGCCAGCAGCGTCGAAAGAACATCGCCGGTCTCGTGTCTTCCTCTGCGACTATTTCAGAGGAGCCCTCTGCGCATACAGAGGGAGAGAACACGAGCAAGGTGGACATTCTCATCGCAACCCCCGGCCGGCTTATCGACCATCTGGACGCCACGCCTGGATTTACCCTCCAGCATCTCCGCTTTCTCGTCATCGACGAAGCCGATCGTCTGCTGGGCCAATCGTTTCAGGAGTGGCTTCCCCGCATCCTCGATGCGCTCGATCCAAGAAAGACGATGCAGGCATCAAAGGACGATGCCAGTGCACCTGCCTGGCTTCGGCGCAGCATCAGCAAGACCACTGGCGTCCGTCTGGGCACCTTTGGCGAAGAGGAGGACCGAGACCCGTCGTCGTCGCCCGTCCAGAAGCTCCTCTTTTCAGCTACACTTACGCGAGACCCAGCCAAGATTCTTGCGCTGGACCTGCGCGATGCGCGATTCGTCTCTGTACAGCAGGGCGCATCCTCTGGCAGCTTTGTCTCGCGCGAGGAGAGCTTCGCACTGCCATCGACGCTCCACGAACACTACCTCGTCGTGCCCTCGTCCGACAAGCCGTTGCACCTCTTTGCGCTTCTCCGGCCCGCGCCCGGCGCGGACAGAGAGGCACTGCGGTCCGTCCTGTGCTTTACCAAGTCCGTCGAGAGCGCCTCGAGGCTCGTCAAGCTCGTCGAGCTTTTTGAGGAGGAGCGCGCGGCGATACGGAGGAGAAACCTTGAAGAGAAGGAGGCTGCGCTCAACGTTCAGGTCTATTCGAGCGAGCTGGGACCAGGCCAGCGGATGCGGATGCTCGACGAATTCCGCAATGGTCAAGTTGATGTGTGAGTCGCAGCAGCAGCAGCAGCAGAAGATCAGCAAAATCTGGTTGAATGAATGCTGACAAGCACGGGAATTTTGGGTGTGGAAGCCTCGTGTGTTCCGACGTCATTTCGCGCGGCATCGACCTGCCCCACGTCCGCCACGTCGTGTCGTACGACGTCGCCGTCGACATGGCCAAGCACGTCCACCGCATCGGCCGCACGGCACGGGCCGGAAAGCGGGGCGACGCCTGGACGCTCGTCGAGGAGCACGAGGCGTGGTACTTTAAGCGCATGCAGCGCAGGGGCTCGGCGAGCGCAGACGAGCGCCTCGACAAGGTCAAGATGGACAAGGCGCAGCTCGAGAGTCTCCGCCCTGCATACGAGGCTGCGCTACAGCGGCTGTCTACCGTGTTCTCTAGGAATCATTCAACAGTGTAGTAAAAATTTGTACGATTATTGTCACATTCACCGCACGGATCCGTTGCTTGCATTGTGTGGAAGAAAGAGAGAGAGAGAGAGGGCGATGATGTGTGAATGAATGAAGAGAGAGGTACAGAGAGAGATTACGAGGCCTTCTTGCCCGAAGAAGAAGCAGCAGTAGCGGCCATCGAGGCGCGCAGCTGGGTCTGCCTCGATCGGCCCCAGGCGGTGAAGCACCGGACGAGGACCCACGCATGAGCGACGACGAGGAGCAGAGAAGTAAGGTAGGTGGAGAGGTATGTGTCGATTGCCTTGAACTCGAGCAGGTATGCTTGGGAGAGCCATGCCGCCTGTGCAATCTCGTTAGCATATTGATCGTCGAAGGAAGAAAGAGTCTCAAGAAGAGGCAAGGAAGGAACACTCACCTGCGAGGCGACCCAGACAGATCCGACGAGGACTGCCTCAGCCGACGAGGCAAACTCGAGCGACGGCGCAACGATGGGCAGGAACCAGAGGAACCAGGTAAAGTACTGCGACGTCGAGACCTTGTTGAGCATGACAAAGGCGGCCGTCTGCGCCGCGCAGGCGGCAATGAGGTCCTTTCCTCCGAGTGAGAACCCAATGAATGCGCAGAGGCCGAGCTGCGGGAGGAAGCCAAGAATTGGAGCGAGCGGCGAAGCGGCAGCAGTGAGGGAGGAAGGCAGGAAGCCTTCGATGGAGGCGACATTGGAGAGGTATGCGCCCAAGAAGTGGGGCGAGAAGTTGTGGCGGTGGTCGGAGCGGTGAAAGTGATGCAGGATCGTCTCATGAAGGTAGGCATCTCCCCAGCTGGGAGAAAAGGAAGAAAGGACAAGTCATCAGCCAAGGAATAAGGGACATGAGTGTTCTCGCCCCGCCAAAAGTCTGCACACTCACATGAGATAGACGGGCCCGCAGAAGCCGATGAGTGAGTAGATGGCGACAAAGCCATAGCGAGCCACGGCGCCGACGCTGCTCCACGATGAAGAGAGGCCTGACCCACGCGTCCTTGCCGAGCTGGCAAGGTGGGGGACGAGGCTGGCGGCGTAGATGACGGGGTAGAGCTTCCAGTGAATGGTGAGGGCAAAGAGAAAGGGAGCAAAGATGGCCGAGTTGGACCAGAGACTGAGAGGTGCGATCGCCTCTGTGGGCTCCTCGGGCGTTGGTGCAACCGTGTCCTCATCCGTGCCATTGGCGGCTGCCTTTGGCGCTACGCTGGGAAGCGCCAGGCTAGCCTCGGGGCTGGAGCGGAGGGTGACATCGAGGAAGCCGAACACGAGGACGCCGAGCAGCGACTCGCTCGACCCTCGCGTAGCAATCTGGGCGGGGAAGGGGTTGAGAAGCCAGAGGGCACCCGGCAGCCATGAGGCCGCGTCGTTGTCGTCGTCGTCGTTGTCTTCGTCGCTCGAGCTCTTTGCACCGGCACGCTGACGCTTCCGGAGGTCCATGATGTCCCACATGAGTAGTGCAATGACAACATCAGCCAGTGCAAAGAGGACCTTGCCAAAGAGGCCCCGCCAGGGCTCAGCAAGGTACTGGCCAGGAGCGAGGACGAGGGCGAGGAGGGGCGTGTAGCGGTATGTCGGCCGCGCAAAGGGGTTGCCCAGGCCTGCCAGAACCCGGAAAAAGGGCCGAAAGAGTGAAAAGACAAAGAGAGAGATCTTGGCGTCGGCCGTGTCGAGATCCTTGCCAAACGCAGACAGCTCCGGATCGACGAGCTCCCTCTCCATCTGGAGGAGGAAGCGAGCGGCAGCAGACAGGTATCCCTGCGCGCATAGCCCTGGCGCCTCCGGAGGGTTGACCAGGTCCTCGTACTCTTCCTGCGGCGGCACGGCAATGATGACGTCGAGCGGGCAGCTGTGGGCGACGTGCTGGGCGGCAGAGGTGAAGACGGCATAGTCGATGTCGGTGTAGGGGACCGCCGAGTGGGCATCCTGGTACATGCCCCACCCCAGCAGGGCGAAGCGCAGCGCCAGCCCGCCTGCTAGCCACGACAGGCGACTGCTGCCTATCCTCATCGTCTATTTGGACTGGAAGCGGGAGTCGCGCTCTTCAGGCTGGCTAATCGCAGGGGACGTGTAAGAGGGAAGTTAAGAAGAAAGGAAGAAAGGCGTCTTGTGTGGGGAGCAACATCTCAAATTTAGGCTCGGTTTTCAAGACGAGAAGTCGGAGGACAGATTGTGAGACAAGACGCGTCTGGCTTGCCGTGGCCGCCTTGTACGTCTGCTTCTTCTGAAAAGCACAATTGGAATGATGATTATGATGGCTATTCTCATACAGTTGTGAATCTCCGTTGCCAATACACGAGCGGCAGTTGCTCCTGCCCTTCTTCGAGGTCTTCTATTGCGTGGACCTTGGCGATAAAGACGTCAGACCCGGTCGTGTCTGCGTCTGCCGCCTGCCCCTCACTCGATGGGTCCAGCTGGCCAAGGTCGATGCGCTGCACGACGCTGCATGCCAGCGCTCCCACGCTGTGAGAGAGCACAGGCACAGCAAGTGCTTCCCCTTTTCTGCGTGCCACGCCGGAAGGATGGAAGGGTGTTGACTGAAAGGGATGCTGCTCCACGCGGCCGGCCGACGACGACGACACCAGGTCCCACGGCTCCAACCCCGGCTTGGAGAAGCCCTGGGCCGCATCTTCCTGCCTGGTGCTGAGAATGTTGATGACAAAGTGCGCCTCGCCTTGGCTGTTGCGTTGCGCGTCGTACTCGAGCGCATCGGCCAGGCGGCTGGGCGTCCGCAGGCTGAATGCGACGAGCGCGGGGTCCAGCGACACGGTCGTGAAGCTCGATAGCGTGGCTCCATGCGCTTTTCGATCTTGGCCCGCCGACGATGATGATGACGAGGATGACGGAGAAGAAGAAGACGACAACGACGATGATGATGACGATGATGAAGAAGGAGACGAAGGAGGAAGCAGCGTCGTGATGACGGCCACGGGCTGGGCCGAGGCGCGCATGAGCGAGCGGATCGACGAGGAGAGCGAGGCAGATTGCGGCGCGGACGAGGACGAGGGAGACACTACTGGTGCCGTCGAATGGAGCAGCCGAAGAGAGACAAAGAGCGACGACACCTTCGCCCCAGGCCGGACCCTCCCCGCCATCATCTTTGCTGCCATGGCTTGGCTCGCTCTCTCCTTCTTGGCTCTTCAGAGGGCTCAGATTGAGCGGACAAAAAAAAATCGTCCGTGCATTTCTGCCGCGCGCGCGCCTGTCGTTCACGTGTGTTTCAATCGCCAATCCTGCTCAACTCGAGGAGAACTTCGCGAACTCGACTATCTCGACGACGGGCGACTCATGAGCTCGCACTTTGTCGACATGTCCTCCGCCGCCGCCGCCACCACCGTGTCGACGTCGAGCAAGTACAGCGTCATCCTGCCCACATACAATGAGCGGCGGAACCTGCCCGTGATCCTGTACCTGCTCTGCACCACCTTTGAGGCCCACTCGATCGACTACGAGATCGTCATCGTCGACGACAACTCGCCCGATGGGACACAGGATGTGGCGCGGAAGCTGGCCGGCGTGTGGGGCGACGACCGCATTGTCCTGCGCCCACGGCCGGGCAAGCTGGGCCTGGGCACCGCCTATGTGCACGGGCTCGAGAGCTGCACGGGCGACTTTGTCATCATCATGGACGCCGACTTCAGCCACCACCCGCGCCACATTCCCGAAATGATCCGGCTCCAGACCACAACGGGGGCCGACATTGTGCAGGGCACGCGCTACAGTGGGCCCTCGACGGGCGCAGGCGTCTACGGCTGGAACCTGAAGCGGAAACTCGTCTCGCGCGGCGCCAACCTCCTCGCCTCGTTTGTCCTTGGCCCACGCACGACGGACGTCACCGGCAGCTTTCGCCTCTACAAGCGGCCCGTCATCCACACACTCATGCGCCAGTGCACCTCCAAGGGCTACGTCTTCCAGATGGAGATTCTCGTGCGAGCACGTGCTGCAGGCTACAGCATCACCGAGTGCCCCATCGTCTTTGTCGACCGCGTCTACGGCGAGAGCAAGCTGGGTGGCGACGAGATTGTGGGCTATGCAAAGGGCGTCTGGAACCTCTTTGTGGGCATCTGAGGCGGCCGACGATGTTACATTGGCAATTATATCCATTTAGAGCAGAGCAGAGCAAAAGAAGGGGTATGACATGGGGATCTTTTCATGCGGCAGCGGCAACGGGCCCGGCTTGCGCGGGCACAGGGACCGCGGGGGCCACTTTGACGTCCTGCGAGACGGGCCGGGCCGCCTTCTTGGAAGAAGGCGCGACCCTGGCCAGGAGGCTCGTCCGCTTCTGGTTCTTTGTTGTTGTTGTGGTTGTGGTTGTCGTCGCCGCCGCTGCCGAGGCCGCCTTGAGGGCCGCCTTGTCCTGCGACGAGAGGACCTTGATCGTGAGGAGTGCGGTCCGGCCGTCGGTGGCAATGTTGTGGTTGATGCCCGCTGTGCCTGCGGGCATCAGGTCCGTGAGGTACTCGACCTGGGTCTGGTCTGCAAGCACATATTTGAGGTCAGATTTTGTTTCCTTCACTTTGCGTCTGAATGTTGATCGAGCGAGAGAGCGGCCAGAGACACAACTCACACGTCTTGAACATGAACGACGTGACGCCGTTCTTGTTGCGCTGGCCCTGCTGGACGACCCAGTCGCGGCCGATGTTGTAGCCGTCGGGGATGATCATGTGATGCTTGCTCACGTCCTCCTCCTTGGACGCGGCAAAGAACCAGGCGCCGGTGCCCATCTGCTGCCAGACACGGATGTGGTTGCCGCCCCTCAGCGACTCGATGCATGTTCCAAACAGGTGGCTGTTCCCGCACGGCATGTACAGAGCTTCGTCAGACGCGTGCATTCACAGAGAAGCGCAGAGAGGGTCACAAGACAGAGGTCACTACTCACTCGAGGGGCGTGTAGACCTCGCGGTAGAGAAAGTTCTCGTCGACCCATCCGCGCGGGTCGAGCCAGGCCTTCTGTGGGTTGCCGGAGTGGAGTCCAAAGCACTCCATGTCGAGGTCCAGCGAGCGGAGGTATTGCTGCAGGCCCTTTCGCGTCAAGAGGTCCGGCGACGAGAGCGCAGAGACTGAAGGGGAAGAGGAGAACATGTTCACGTCAATTGGGAAGTCAAGAGACGGGGAAAAAGTGACAAGAAGAAACGCACCAATGACGTTCAGCGGCTCTCCAAGTCCGGGGCCCGTCTGGTCGATGCTCGTGCCGCCATAGACGCGCGGGTCGATGTAAGGCTTGCCCTTGGAGTCGACGAGGTCCTTGCTCACCTCGCCCTCGGGCGGCGGGACCGCAACGACGGGAACGTCGGACGCGAAAATGGCAGGATCATCGACGAGGGCAGGGTCGTTTGGGTCCTCGAGACCGACGGTACGGCCATTGTCGTCGGTCGTCACCGACGCCAGCACTGTCCCGCCTGCTTCTCCTGGCGCGTCATGGGGGGGCTCAGAGGCGGTGATTCCCTTTTTTTCGCGCTTGTGGGGAAGGAGCTTCGTGAGGGACACCATCTCGATTGAGGGGCACAAGTCGGTGTTCGCGAAGGACTGTGTCAATTGGGGATCAGTGGGAGAGGGAGAGAGGGAGAGACCATCACACTGTTTCCCTTGTCACGCAAAACCCCAAGAAAAGCAGAAGCACGATCCATTCATTCAATTCGTGTTCGTGCTCCTGCTCCCTCTGCGCCAATTAAGGGGGAAGCCAAGCTTCTATGTCGTGCGGGGGAACGTTCTCTATCTTGTTCGGTCTTTTCCCATCCATCAAGCCGAGCTCCCGAAATGAGCGGCAGAATAAACCCCTTCTGATCTCCCCCCTAGTCTTCTCCGACCCCCTATTTTTGTCTTTGGAGCACGGCAGACTTGTGTGTGGCCCGAGCGAGCTTCACTTAGTAAGCAGTGAGTCGCGCGCAGTCACGAGAACAACAGGCTCGAAATTTGGACGCGTTGAGTGGCAGGGCAGGAAAGACGCACAGCAGCAGCAGCAGCTACAGCGACGAGGACGCACGGCCACGAGGACGAGAAGAGAGAGACAACGAGACGTGGGCCGATGAGGAGGAGCAGGAGCGATGGCTACGTACGAGGGAGCGGCGGACATTTCGATGGTGGAGCAGGGAGAGGAAGTGAGCAGTAGCATTCCGTCGACGTCGCTCAGCGTGCAGCTCCTCAACCAGCTGCTGGCGAGCAGGAGGGACAGGTACCGGGCACTGCGAGCAAGTGGCCAAGCGGGCGGCAGCATTGTGTTCCACCAACCATCACAAGCACAGAATGGCAAGGAAGGACCAGGCGAGGGCGCGAATGGGGAGAGCAAGAGCGCGGTTCGGACGACGCACATGGTGCTTAGGATCCTCGGACTCAGCTTCATCGTGCCCATGGTCACCTTGTCCGATGATGGGTTACCTAGTGAGTGTGGAGGGAGACATCGCACTGTGACCATGTCAGCTGATGGAACTCGACAGAGACCCTGGATCGGGAAGGGTTCTCGGTAAAGGCCGCTCTCGAGACGATGGCCAAGGCAGTGAGAGGGACGCCAGGCGTGCTCAGCGACCTGTATTCTTTGACCCCGGACAATGCAGCTGTCAATGGCGAAGGAGGGAACGAGAGCCCACAGAGGAGTAGAGTTTCTTCCTCCCTCAAGAGCACCACAGTCGATGCATGGCTCGTGCCGCGCCTCGTCGCCGCAGCCGCCGTCTTGCATGCGCGCAGCTGCAGTCTTTCGGACGCCTCACAGAACGCGGACTCGCTGCACCTCTACACGGACCTGATCGACCTTGCCATTGAGCTTCTCGACATTGGAGTCTCCCACACCGGCGAGCTGGAGCGAGCCAGGGCGATCCTCATCGAATGCCTCTGTGCCGTCTATCGCGCCTTTGCGAGGAGTGGCCGGCCCGCCTTTCCACCCCACTTGGCGCCATCGCTTAAGCTTATTGCTCATCTTGGGGCAGATGCTGCCGAACAGCAGCAGTCCATCTTCGCCTTCTTCACCGCAGGCTCGTCAACGGAGCTTCTCGGTGCCGTTGCGAGCCCAGGCAAGGGTCCGAAGGGCACGGCCACACGCGAAGAGGGCATCTCTCGCCTCTGGCTGGCTGAAGATTACACCTCTTTTTCACCAGACTTTGGTGGGAAAAGCCTCTCGCGCGCGCACAAAGCGTCACTGAGCCACTCGTTACTCATTACTACGGTCGACGTCATCTTGAAGCTGGCGTCCAAGCATCCTGATAAGCTCGCGGATCTGGCCTCAGCCGCGGGAAAGACGCTACTGGGCGAATGGACAATCTCATCGGTCATGTCCGAATCGGCACCGGCCAAAGAGCTGGTGATGTCGACAAGCCTGGACGCCACGCGGCTACGAATCGCCAGCAGCGCCTTGACGAGGCGCAGAGAACCGCTACCTGCCCCCGTGAAAAGGCGCATCGCAATCTTCATCATCAGACACTTTGCCCTTGCCATCCGTGGAGGTCTTCCTCGGAGTGCTTACGAAGGCGAGAGCAGCTACATCGAAGTGCTTCAAGAGGCGGTCCAGCGCTGCGGCGATGCAGACGTGGCCGACGAAGCGAGCACGGCCCTCAACATGCTTACACATGCCATCATCATCGAATTGACGGCAAAGGATGTACCTCCAACGAGCGGCCTGCAGCTCGATGCTGCGGCCAAGGCGGAGCAGGATGGGGAGATGAGGCTCAAGGCCCTGGCCCTCGATGGGCTCATTGTGCTCCTGCAGAACGACGTCGATGTCAAATCGTTTGGCATGCACAGGCCACAAGCACTGATAAAGGATCTGCTCAAGCTCAACGACGAGGGAGAAGAGGAGGCGGATGAGGATCTGGATGGTGTGGCAGACTTTGTCTCACCTCGGCAGCGGTCTCAGCTCCTCAAGATTCTCGCCAATCGCGGTTCGAATCGAAGCAAAAAGGCTGCTGTGGATGAGATTGGGTGGGAGGAGGTGAAGGAGGGAATACGGGAAGACGACAGTACTCCTCCAAAAGAGGAGACGAATCTGTTTGAGCGCCCGAGCCACGGTTCGGCATCCAAAATTGACGGCTTCGCTGCCACATCAACGTATGGTATACAGCTGGCCTCCAAACGATTCTGCTTCGAGGCTAGGACACTGGCCCGTTCTAAATCGGTAATCTTCTGCAAGCTGTGCGAGTCATGTTCACAACAACCATCACGAAAGCAAGATGAAACGGGAAAGGTCTTTGGCCCAGATCGTCTCCAGGAGATGCAGGCTAGACACCTGGTGACTTCGTGCGCGTCGACTCTAACGCGCATGCGTGGTCCTTCCGCCATCGCCTCGGTCGACTTCATCAACAGTCTCTGCAAGCATGCATACAGCGAACCCCTTCTCCAAGTCGTTGGCATGGCGGCTTTCGCAGCGGTCCTCCGAGCCGGGTTGTCACATAAGGAGCGGAGTGTAAGGCTAGCTGCTGGTCGCTTGGGAGCGCAGGTCGTCCGTCAGGCTTCTGAGGTCGAAGCAAGCAAACGTGCATCTCTCTCACCAATCTTCCAGATCTATCTCGACAATCTCAATGGCACCAAGAGGAGGCGAACCGAGACGGCGATACTGGGCATGGGCCTTATGGGCGATATTGACGACGACAAGGTACAGGACTTTGTGCTCCTCAACCTCGTACTCCAATTAGGCAGCGACACATTTTCCAAGTCGCTAGCTTACACGACCATAACCCAGTTGGCGGCTCAGCATCGATGTACTAATTTCCAGCTCCTGGCGCCCTGTCTCGAGACAATCAGCGTTCAAGTCGTGGAGAAGATGACGTCGGCGCCCACGCTGTTCCTCGAGGTGCTTGCACTTACCAATCAAAATCAAAGCAAGTTCTTGCTCAGCACACTGCATTATACCTTGCCCCGCGTTCTCGACCTGGAGGAAACCAAAAGTGACAAGACGCTCAAGCTCATCGCCAGCGCCATTGGCCAGAACGTGCGGGCGATGTGCTTCGAGCAAGCGGCTGCTGTTCTCAGACACTTTCTCATGCTGCCCTCTCCGCGACGAGAGGAGGGTATGAACAGGCTCGTCGCCAAGGTGCGCGGAGATGAGGAACGCGGAGACATCAATCTCAAGGGCATGCTCAAGAGTTATTCGGTTGAACTTGTCGGTCCCCTCGTCACCTGCCTGGGCGATCCCAGCTTGCATGATAGCGTGAGCACTGGTTTTGGATGGATCTTTTGGACTTGCTACTAATATTGTCATGGCTTCCTTCAAAGGCTCTTGCGGGACTACAACAGTACAACGCCATAGTCAATGGTCCAGCTAAGACATCGTCTTCGGCCAGTGGAGGTGACCTTTCCAGCTTCTTGAAAGACGAGATCTTGGCGATTCTTTCGTGGATCAACGAGGATCTGATGAATGGACATGGGAAGAAGAGTCTTGCGCACAAGGCCATGACGGCGAGGAGTGTGGGAGCGCTCATAAAGGTTGTTGGCCAGACAATCTCCATGGTGACGCCCCAGATCATGGCCACGCTTAACAGCACCATCCAGGTTCGCGAGCTTGTTCTGCCAGCTCTCGAGAGCTGGCGGGTCTTCATCACGCGGATGCGCTACGATGACGTGGCACCCTTCATTGGTCAGACTGCGGCGACGTTTTTGGCTGCTTGGTCCCGTTTTGGAGAAGCTGAGAAGCAGCTGGCCTCGTCAATCTTGCGCTACATCGTCATTGACGGCAAAGACTCTTTTCACCAGCATCTCCGACACGGATTCCCGAGCTTGGACGAAATCAAGGCCGACATCCCCGACGTGTGTAGACAGCTCCGCGACATTGGCGTCCACGCTTCCCGCCAGCCCGAAGTGAGGCTGCAGCACATTCTCGACAGGGCAGCCAATGTCAATGCGAGCATCTGTGGACAGGCTCTGCAAGAGCTCAAGAGTTTCCTGACAAAGGAGCGCGACTTTGTTGAACGAATCACATCTGGTCACTCGTTTGGTCCCGTCGTCAGCAACATCGTTCATGTCCTCTTTACCACTGCGACGCGTGCCGACGAGCAGGAACAGATCCGTGACGCCTGCTTTGAGAGCTTGGGCATGCTGGGCGCAGTCGACCCCGATCGTTTCAAGCTCGAGACGACGAGCCGGATCGTCCTCATCGACGACTTTGAGAATAAGCACGACGTTGTCGAATTTGCCCTGCATCTCATCAAGGACGTTCTGGTTGGCGCCTTTCGCGCGACGAATGACACGAAGCACCAAGCCGCACTGGCTTACGCAATCCAGGAGCTCCTCAAGTTTTGCGGCTTCTCTTCGTCCTTGCTGCCCAACAGCACGCAGTTCCGTCAAGTCCAGCTCAAGACTCGGCAACGGTTTACCTCGCTCCCACCGGACATGCTCGAGACGGTCGCTCCGTTACTAGACTCCAAGTACTCGGTGCAGCATGGCGAGTCGTCCAAGAGGGAGCGTCCATTCTACAAGCACACCAGCTCTTTTCGAGAATGGATCCAAATTTGGACAAACGACCTGATCCTCAACTCGCAGGGTGCTGATGCGCACACAGTCTTTGATGTCTTTCGGTCTGCCATTCGAGATCACGATCTCTCGATTGCCCACCACATTCTTCCCCACCTTGTCCTCAACATTCTCATCCTAGGCGAGGACGTGCAGCTACAGGAGATCTACGAAGAGTTCAAGGTAATCCTCTCGGACCAGACCGACCCAAAGACGACCTTTTCGCCAGAGCGCAGAATGAAATCGGCCCAGGTCAGTCTCTCTCTTTATCTCCCTCAGGAAGGTGAACCTCAGCTGATTCATTGCAATTAGACTGTGTTTGGGCTGCTGGACCACATCAGCGCGTGGCTTCATCGGAGAATGCAAGCGCTGCGAAAGGCCAAAGCCGACGCAGGCAAAGGCCAGAGCCGCCGTCGTGTCGTTGTCGACGAGCGCGCCGTCGTGAGGGTCAACGAGCAATTCCAGGGCATCTCTCAGGAGCTCATGGCGCAGGCGGCGCTTCAGTGCCGTGCCTACGCTCGCTCGCTCTTGAATTTCGAGCAGAGGATCCGGACCCTTCGCGATGCAGGCGCCAAGGACCAAGACCTGCAATCGCACTACGAGGCCATGCACACCATCTATGCCAGCCTCGATGAGCCAGACGGAATGGAGGGCATTTCAACGAAGGTCATCTCACCTTCGCTCGAGCACCAGATTCGAGAACATGAGAGCACTGGACGATGGACCGCCGCCCAGAGCTGCTGGGAGGTGCGGTTGCAGCAGCGCCCAGACAGCTCCGATCTGCACATGGGCCTTCTTCGGTGTCTGAGAAGCTTGGGTCACTACGACACGATGCGTACCCACATCAGGGGTGTACTCAGCGTACATCCAGACTGGGATGAGCTCCTGGCGCCCTTTTACGTCGAAGGATCGTGCATCCTATCCGACTGGGCCGAAGTGGGCAAGGTTCTGGTGAGGGGCAACGATGATCAGAGTCCGGAGCACGCCACAGCTCGCGTGATGCTGGCCATGCATAACAATGACTCGATCACCTTTACGAAGGCAATGAAGGATGCTCGAAGGCTGCTTGGCAAGCCCATCATCGCTGCCGGCAAAGACTCCTACGTCACGGTGTACGATTCTGTGGCGCAGCTACACATGCTCCACGAGCTCAGTATCATTCATGAAGCCTGCGGTTCGGCCACGGCAGAGGGCGTGTCGACTGTATCAAGGACGAGGCTTTCTCGAAGTCGGCTCAGTGAGACCTTGGCTGCAAGATTGAATGCGACGCTGCCCTCGTTCCGAACACGGGAGCCGCTCCTGAGCCTGCGAAGGTCCGCATTCAGCGCCCACGGACAATTTCGAGCAGAAACGGGTCAATCGTGGATCGCCTCATCAAAGATCGCACGTAGGGCGGGCCACACGCAGACGGCCTATAGCGCCGCATTGCAGGCCTCGCAGTGGGACGCACCCTTTGCATTTGTCCAGCAGGCTAAGCTCATGGCTCTCGGCGATCAACCACAGGCGGCTATCCAGGAGCTTTCGAACGCACTGAGCAACTTTGCTGTGCAGAACGGTCAGATCAAAAGGATTAGCGACAGTGCCATCACTGATCTTGGCTCGAGCAACGGGGAAGATGACTCCACGACTTTGCTCAGCCACCGCGCGTACGCCAACGCACACCTTCTACGAGCTCGATTGGCCGAAGCGACGGGTCGGCTGGGTCCCAACGAGATCATTGAACAATATCGGCAGTGCGCAAAGCTCGATGAAGGGTCCGAAAAGATGTGGTACTACCTTGGACGCTTCTATGACCAGGATCGAGAGCAAGCGAGCAACTTGATGGCGCAGCAATTTAGCGTCTGCCGCTACTATTTCAAGTCGGCCCAGTGCGGCACAAAGTTCTTCTACCGAACCTTGCCCCGCATCTGTACGATTTGGTTCGACTGCGGAGATGAAGACGACCTGGTCGCCCTATCGAAGGGCAACGCAGCCAGCAAAATGGATCCAGCTCGCGAGCCGGACCGCTTCGAGGCGTTTGACTACTTCAAAAAGCTCAACGAGATTGTCCGGCGCTTCATCCGCAAGCTCACGCCGTACCAGTGGCTTGCCGTGTTTCCACAACTTTACTCGCGTGTCGTCCACAAGAACGACATTGTGTGGAAGGTGTTGCAAGAGCTCATCGCCTACGTCGTCGAACAATACCCGCATCAGGCTATGTGGTCTCTGGTCGCAGGCTGTCAGTCCAAGGACCCTGATCGGCTCAAGCGGGTGCGCGACGTTGTCAAGCAAGTCAAGGCCAAAGCCGACCGAGACAAGGTCCGGACGATTGAGAGGACGCAGAAGATGGCCGAGGAGCTCCTCAAGCTGTGCGAGCATCCCGTGGGAAAGGAACAGAAGACGTTGAACATGCAGACCAACTTTCCACGTCTGGCGGCGCTGGCCACAAACGAGCTCATTATCCCGCTCCAAGAATCGATTTCGGTTTCGCTGCCCGCCGACAACATTGCCAACCCCCAGCACCTGCCTTTTGATGTCGACTTGCCAAGGATCAGCGGTGAGCATTTGCGATCAAGCTTCCTGAGGTGAACAGTAATTGACTCTTCTCTCTCCCAAAAGGTTTCGAGCAGGTCGTGGAGATTATGAACTCGCTGCAGAGACCCCGAAAGATCGTCGTCATTGGGAGCAATGGAAGGAGCTACGCGTTCCTTTGTAAGCCCAAAGACGACCTCCGCAAGGATGCGCGCCTCATGGAGTTTGACTCCATGATCAACAATCTCCTCCAGACAAATTCAGAGTCACGGAAGCGCAAGCTCTACATTCGCACTTACTCTGTCGTGACGCTCAACGAGGAATGCGGACTCATCGAGTGGGTCCCAAACACTGTGGGACTGCGAAACATCCTTGCGGTGCTGTACAAGCAACGCAACATTGAGCTGTACACCCGCGATATTCACCAGGCTATGGACGAGGCGAGAAAGCAGACAAAGGCGGCGGCCTCCAGCGAAGTCTTTGAGACCAAGGTTCTGAAAAAGTAGGTGCTGCATCTCTTCTTATGCTATTTGTGTTATGGGCTGACGTGTTGCCTGTCGGACAGATACCCTCCCGTGTTTCACGAATGGTTCCTCGTCACCTTTCCTGAGCCATCGGCCTGGCTCAAGGCCCGCTTGGCCTACGCACACACGTTGGCGGTCATGTCGATGGTCGGCCACGTCCTCGGCCTTGGAGACCGGCATGGCGAGAACATTCTCTTTGACGCCCAATCTGGCGATACCGTCCACGTCGATCTCAATTGTCTGTTCGAAAAGGGTCTCACATTTGAGATTCAGGAGAAGGTGCCCTTCCGGCTGACACAGAACCTCGTCGATGCCCTTGGCGTGACGGGCCACGAAGGCGTGTTCCGTAAGGCGGCCGAAGTGTCGATGGGCATCTTGCGCGACAATAAGGACTCACTCATGAGTGTCCTCGAGGCGATGGTCCACGATCCTCTAGTCGAATGGGGTAGCGACAATCGGTCCAAGAGCGGGCGGGGAGCGAGCACGAATCGCGTGGACCCGAGAGTGGCGCAGGCGAGAAAGGCGCTGGAACCTGTCAAGGAGAAGCTGAGCGGCAGGGTGCGCAAGTCGGACTCGAGCTGGACGGCCGTGCACCACTCGACGACGAGCCTCGTCGATGCGCTGCTGAGGGATGCCATGTCCAAGAGCCTGCTGGCGCGCATGTACGTCGGCTGGGCTTCGTATCTCTAGTAGTCACCAATCATTCACTGTAGATAATGATGCATTTCATGAGACGATGGTGTTGTACAATATGAATCTAAAAGAGAATGTTTGATTTGCAGGCATTGCATGTAATGTCGCTATGGGCCAGCATCTCTTCGGTCGAGAGGGCCTCTTCGGTGCTGTACCAGTCGTGAAAGATGACGTGAAAGATGGGCGAGGAGGAGGAACATGAGGGCCGGAAGCAACGGCAGCGAAAGCCAGAACGGAGGCCATAGCCCTTTTGCGCCGACTGGCGAGGCACGACGATGGCCTGCGTCACGACGTTTGATGCCTCTGTCGGCGGTTTCTCCTCTGGGCTCCGTTCACGGCTGGCCAGGGCTGTCGACGGATGGAAGCTGTCCCACTCCTCTTCATCGTATCGCCCGCCCGTTGTCTGGATGACTGTCGAGATGCTGGAGAGATAGGGACGAGTGCGCAGCAGGTTGGTCAGCGCCTCTGTCCCGAAGCCGGTCCGCGCGACAAGGCAGAGCACACGGAGCGGTCGACCATCCTCGCCGTCGTCGTCGTCGTCGCCGTCATTCTCGCTTTCGTACCCGAGAAGGGTCAGACACCTGCGGAGAAAGTTGACGTCGGACGCAGAGACAGAGTCGGCATCGTCTACCGTCGCAGGCACCCTCAGGACTCGGCGCGCGCCACGGGGTCCCACGACGATCGACGCGCGTGGAGGGGCGGGGGCGGGGGCTGGCGTAGGTTGTAAGCGCGTAGACCAGATTGAGGACGTCTTCTGATGCTTGCTCTGTACTGCTGCTGCTGGACTAGGAGCGAGGGTATCTGGAGGGGAAGGGGAGGGGCTCCGACTCGTCGAGGACGGACGCTGTTGCAAGCGGGCCTGACGCTCGAGTACCGTGCGAACGAGCCGTGCCGCTTCTCGCCATTCGACGAGGCTGAGGCGATGGCCATTACACAAGGGCTTGAAGCAGCCTGCCACGCGACGTCGAAAGAGTGTGCGAAGATGCTGGCAGACCTGCGTCCGGTAGAGGTATTCGGTGCCCAGGTCGAGGTGCGAGACGATGAGTGCGTGAAGCTCGGGCGGCAGAGAGAGGAGGCTAATGGCGCGCTCCTCCTCCATGCTCCCCTTCTCACGCTCGACTCTCGCGCGCGCTGAAACAGTTCTACACTCTATAACAATCCATCACGCAGCGCCTTCAATGCCGCTATACGTTGGTCGTGGTTGCAGTCACGGCGTGTGAGGCCGTCTTTAACGCGTCAAACTGGGATTGATGATCTGCGCTCTAATTATTTAGACTAAGCCATGCGAAAGTCGAGGAGCTTTGCTTGATGAAGAGAAGGCGAGATAGACCGATCCATTAATGCCCCCCTCCTCTCCGGAGGAGATTCGGCGGCACGGAAAGCTCATACGGCACCGATATTAAAAATGCCAAAATTATTAAATTGTCCTATGCAGTTCGACGTCTCAAGCTTTCACCGAGGCAGAAGAACATAATATTACAATTCTATCTCGAATACAACATCTGAGACGTTTTTCGTTTCTGACAACCCCGCCACACTGTGGGCTATCTCTTCGGAATCCGGCACGGGTGTTTTCTTTCGAGGACAGGGCGTCTGTCCTCTCTGTCCTCTTCACGAGTCGCTCGGCTTTGCACCTCGAGGGTCCGGACCGTTTTCCTCAACCACAATTGCACTTCCGCTGGCTCGTACGACGTCTCCCGTCCCCACTCACGGCGGAACATGGTTCTTTCGAAGAACTGACGTACGACACTTCGGATCAACATCGATTACCTCTTCTAAGAGAGGCGACACACTGCCCAGGCTAGACCCCAATGTCGCAACAGCAAGAACATGGTCCAACACCTTCCTCGTCTTCCCAGGCCATGGCGCCGGAGACGGTAGCAGCAGCAGCAGCCGCGGAAAGAGGGTCGGAATCGGCAGCTTTGCCGGATGCCAAATTGACACCGAGCTGCTCGAGGTGCCGGACAAAGAAGCTGCGTTGCCACTACGACGAAGGCGTGGCGTCGTGCACAAATTGCATTGGCAAGGGGCTCGAAGACGAATGTCATCGAGACGTGAGGGTGCCGCGGGGACGAAAGAGATCCAGGTGAGTCCTGCGGCCAACGTATACCATGTGCCTTATGGGAGTGCTAGAAGGGGGAGACTGATTCGAGACTCCTTTCGCGCAGACGCGAGGATGGAATCAGCAGTGGACCTGGCCCACTTAATGCAGAAGACCCAGCGGCGGACCGGCTGGGCGAGATTGCGCGGCTCAAGAGGAGGCTAGCGGAGCTCGAAGGCGTGCCACCTCCGGCCCACCCCGCCTATGCCCAAAGGACATCATCGTCATCGTCATCGTCGTCGTCTTCCGCACCGTCGAGGAGGATGAAATCGGCGCCGAGAGGACCAGCCCCGATACCTTCGCGCTCCGACACCGAGGACGCCGCCCTGATGCTGGAGTCGCTTGCCTTTACCCATCATCACCGTGTCTCGGCCCGCTTCGCCTCTTCGACGACGAACGCCGAGGATGGCGGGCGCCGCCGTCTGACAATGGCAGACGACCAGGCCGGCTCCCAGTGGGCCTCGTCGTCCAGCCTCTCGGAAAGCCTCGGTCTTGTCAGGTCGGCCAAGCAGGACATCTATGCCAGCGACGGCGTCATCGTCGAAGAGCTAATAACCACCTTTCTCCGACGTGTCACCCACAACGTTGGTCACGTCATCTATGGCCCAGGCATTAAGCGGGCCAGCCAGGCCTTCCTGAGCATGTCCGAAGAGGAAATCATCGTCAGCGACCTCTTTGTCGATCCTTGCACCTTGGCATGCTTGCTCCTCGTCCTCTGCCTTGGCTTCGAGTTCCATTCCAGCACAATGATTGCGAATGCGCCACCCTCGCCCGGCTGGAGGGCTGTCGAACACCTACGCAAGCAGGGCATCGATCCCAGCACGCGCTGGTACGATCTGGCAAAGAAGTGCCTCAAGGTCGAAGCGTCGTTTGAGCTCACCAGCGTGGCCGCCCTGCAAGCCACCTGCCTGCTCCTCTTTCGAGGAAAAGAGACAGTAGCTCGTAATCGGATGCTGCTCAACGTGGCCGTGTCGAGCGCTCAGGACTTTGGGCTTCACCGACTAGGCGAGGCTAGGCGCAAGTCAGACATGGATGTCAATGATTTTATCCGCCTCGAGACCGGTGTTCGAATTTGGACATACCTCTGCATCTATGACTGGTCCTCGGCCGGCACCCACGGCCTCACCTACATGATTCAGCCCTCGCAGACGACGACACGCATGCCCTTGAACATCAACGATGACGGTCTCGAAAAGGCCGACGGTCGAGAAGAGCCCTTAGAGAGGTGGACAGAAGGGGCTTACGTCATTGCTCAGTACCAGCTGGCTGAATGCGTCCGAGACAGCGTAGATGTGCGCAACGAACAGGCAGTCCAGGTCAGCAGAAGCGAGCAGGAGGATCAGATCGTCGATGACGAGAAACACGAAGATCGGACGCGCAAATTCGCCGTTGTTGGCTCTCTCGCAAGCCTTTCAGAAGAGAACCGTAACAAGGTTCAGGCAAGAATCATGGCTTTCGTCGAGGAGCTGCCTCGCTTCTTCCACATCGACAGCGATGTTGCTCATCCTCCCGTGGTCCCTGTCCAGCGATGGCTTCTGGTGAGTTCATTGAAGCATATCACCACATGGCTGGGCTGACGGAGTAGAGTGCACAGCACCAACAAATCTTTGATGTTTTGATGAAGCTCAATCGAGGGCGACTCGCGACAGAGGAGGGCAGGGAGAAGTGCTTGATGCTGGCACATCACGTCCTCGACCAACAGGTCGAGATCCGCTCTGTCTGCCCCATCGTCGACCACTTTGCGGTCCATTCGTCGCATACCTACAGCGCCTGCATCATTGTCCTTCTCGACCTCATCGCAAGGCCGTCACAGGGGGATCTAGAGACGAGGCGCTGGTCACGAGAGCGCGTGGTGAGGGCGATTAAGGGTCTCCGCAATTCCGGCTGGATCTCAACTGGAGTCAGAGTATTAGAGGTCTTAATGGCTCATGAAGAGGAGCAATTTTCACTTTCGACGACGGGACAAGTCGTGCAGGGACGACGACCAATCCTGAGCGATGTAGCCAGGAAGCTGGTCCGAGAGATTGGCGGGGCATCCCAACCCCGCACTCGTCAACATCCCTCCACAGACTGGCCTGCCGCTCAACAGCCATCTGGTCCTGTCTCAATTGCACGAGAATCGAGCGGCGAAGTCAAGAGGCGCCAATATGATACGACGATGCTGCCTGTCCTGGGTGCTTTCCCTCCGGCCAGACTGTCGAGTCCATCGCTCTGGCCGCAGGAAGCTATCGCCGACAATCATACGCCGGTGACAGCGAGTCGCCGCACGAGCCAAATAGCCTCTTCATCGAGATCTTCCTCGACGCCCCGGACTACCTCGTCGTCGTCGATGACGTCGCCCACCGGCTCGATCACTTTGAAGGGAGGCCATGATCACGCCCATGTCGCTGTCACGCAACCAACCAGCTTGGCAACCATTCCATCGCAAGAGCCCCTTGCCGGCAGTGTCGGTCTCGATTTTGGCATGGTCCTTGACTGGGCAGTTTCTCTGGGCTTTGCGAACAGCCAACCAGAAGATGGCAAGATGAACGGCGACGTAGCCGCGAAAATTCAAAAGCAGCACTTGCCGCAACACGTTGTGGGAGTGGACCATGTCCAATCGACGGCCGTGCAGCAACAGCAAAGGGCAAAGGTTCTCCAGCCGCGGTCACCAGTGTCACAGCATGCTCATGCCTACGCCATGCAGCCACCTCTTGGTCCCCCGAATCATTACCTACCACATGGACATTTTGCGCATCACCAGTCAAGTCAACATGAAGGTCATCAGCAGCAGCTCTATCCTCCACATCAGCCCCAGTACCAACAGCAGCTGCCGACCTCTTTCGGCAGCCCTAGCTCGGGGCAAGATAGGCACTTCATACCGCCGCAACATCACCTCCACCCTCAGCAGCAGCAGCCCCCGTTTCAACCCCAGTTCCTTTCTCCTGATCAGCAGTATAAACCCCAGCCTGTGTACCGTTCCTGGACGTGATTGTTTCGTACTTTTCTTCAGTCAGCTTCTCTTGTCGTACGTTCTCTCTGCTTGTAACAGTACCTCCCAATTACCCCCGCTGTTTTTCTTTCTTTCGACCAAGCTTTCTAATCACGATGTCAAGGGAAAATTAATGCGACGATTGTTATTATCCGCAGCGGAGACAGAGAGCGAGAGAGCAGGGGCAGAGTCCGTGAAGAGAATCAAAGGATACAGGATGTATGGTTTGGAGAGACAATATCTGATCAGAAATGAGCCGCGGCAGAGGCGACGTGCTGAGGGATGGGCTGGACGGTTCGGAGTAGGTGCTCTACGCTTGCAATTTCTCTCTCCATGCTCGGCCAAGCATAGCCAAGCTGCGCCAGCGCCTCGATGCAATGTCCGACTTCGCGCTTCTTCGCATCGACGTCAAACGGCCCGAGACGCGCTTCGACAATGTGCGAAGGGATGTGGCCCTTCTTTTCTGTCTCCTTTTCGCGCTCGGCTTCGTCCGCCTCTTCCATGCCACTGGTGTGAGCATTGCTGGGCGACTCGACCGAGGCCGAAGGAGGGGTAAGGAGCAGAGACGACGACGAGGTATCATGCCGCGTAAAGAGCGTGCGGGGGTCGACGGCTGCGCCGTGCAGCATCGACGGGTCAAGCAATAAGCTATTCGATGTCAAGGAGGAGGAAGACGATGTTGGAGTGGTGATGATGGCCGGCGTCCTTGCCAGGAATTGTGCCACAGGTAAGATCTGTCTGAGCAGGATACCACCAGTCTGAAAGACGCGCTTGGGCAAGAGAAACTCGACGAGCCTCGAGATGCCCCGACAGGTCGTCAAGGCACGCTGCCTTGACTTCTCCAGGAGCAGCCTCACCGCCTCGTTCGCCGCAAGATCAGAAGAGGGCGAGTAGTCGAGGACCTGGTGCCGCTCGCCCAGGATGCGGAAGGTGGCCAGGTCCAGCATCGCGCAGGCAATCTTGATATTTGCGATCCACCCGAGCGGCTGAAAGGGTCGGAGGCCATCCATGATTGTTCTCGCTTCAAGCGCGCATCGATCAAAGAACAGTAACAGCGAGTCGATGCTCCTCCAGAGCGCTGCGCAAGCCTTTTCCAGCTTGCGGACTTGCGCCGATGTCGGTGTGCCGGGGAATCGGTCACGGGGAGTCAGGCCAGGTTGCGTGGACGGGATACTGTCAATGTGACGAGCGAGAAAACGAGACAGAGCGCCGACCTGCATGAGAGCCAAGATGGAGAACGAAAGACCCATCTCGCCATTGAGCTTCGGTTTCGGCAGTTGCGTGACCGACATGTCCGCTTTGGTGGGGTCTTGAGCCGGTGCGGTAGAAGAAGCCGACGATGAGCCTCCTTTAATGCCAATGGCGCGCTCAGCGGCGAAGAAAGGCTGCTTGCGGTGCATCCCCGTTATGATAGCATCCCTCGTCCACGTCGAACACCACACTCTGCTCCTCTGCATGTGACCGAACATGAGTGCGACTGCCTCTTGATCCTGCTCATCGACTTCATCTGCTCGCTCGAGGTTGAGAGCACTGAGATGATTGTATGCGGCCTTGGCGAGGGAGGAGGAGTGCTTTTGATCGACGAGATCGACTATTTGGACGAGGATCATGAGTGCCTGGATTGCCTCGACGCTCGGATTCTCTTTCAGATTGTGCTTCTCGACGAGAGCCAGTGCCTTCTTCAGCAACTCCCAGAAGAATGGCTGTCGAGCCCGTCCCCAGGCCAGCATGTCTTTACCTCGGCCCGCGCGATACGTTGCTGGCGCTTTTGGTCCATCGTCGATCCACACCTCCTGCTCCCTACTAGTGCCTTTCCACGAATTAGGACCTTGCCCTCCCGTCACGTCCTTGATCATCGAGGCAGCGCTGCCAATTGTCCCCTCATCACTGTCGAGGCTACCAACGATAGCCATGCCCATGTCTTGACTATACGTTGGGTGCGGCTGTGTCAGTTGCTGCTGGGGAGACTGTTGAGGTAAAGGCGATCCGTCGCTGTTCTTTTTCCTCTTCGACTGAATGTACTCGTCGGTGCAGACGATCATTTTGTCCTCGCATCGGCTACATCCCATTCCCTCTGGCCTTTCGAGCTTATCGCACCTAAGCCTTCGAAGACGGCAGGTATCGCACGCAACACCTTGCTTGCGCTTAGGACGTCGAACCTTGCCATTGGCACCGATGATCGCTCCATTCTCTGCCGTCGCCAACACAGTCGAAGAGGGCACGGCGCTCTTCCAAGCACCACCTCCTGGTCCGCTCTTGGCAGCGCCCTCGTCAGCCACGATGGTCGGCATTTGTCCCGCCTCTCCACCAAGTTGGTTCGAGTGATTTATGCTAAGGCCCGCTGCGCCGGTTCTTCCGGATGACGATGTCCCCTCGCCGCTTCCAGAACCACCGAAGCCGAGCAGCGCCGCATCCTGTCCGAATGCGACGGGCATATCGGTGTAGAGGGACGCCCAGGCATGCATGACAGCAATAAGCGTCTCGGTTGTTTCGGGTGTCGAAAGTGTGCTCTGCTTGGTAGCTGGCCACACAGACATCTGCAGGCCGGGCGCCGAGTGCCTTGCAGAAGGGATACCTTCCTCTTGGGCTCCGCCGTTGGCCATGATGGACATGACGCGATAGTCGCCCGAGGAGAAGTTGTAACGAGCACTGAAGTTGTGGAAGTCGACGATTGGCATTTGCATGTGCGCTGTGGCGAAGAAGCACGTCAAGAGACGCAAAGACACCGATCCAGCCATGACGCGTTGGGACAGGCGGCTATCGGCGCTTGCGCTGGGTTGTGTCAGCAGCTGTCCCGTCTGGCCCGGCTTTGATCCATGCAAGAGTCGAGCCTGTTCGATTCTCTTTCCCGTCCTGCTCGGCCGTGGGTATCTCCTCGATGGAGGCGCATGGTTGCGCGTGCATTCAAGGCCCTTTTTTACGCATCGCAAGCACTTTGTCCGTCCATTCTCTCCCACGACTCGTTCCCCCGGTGGGCAGGCGACGCATCGAATATGCTTGCTCCGGCATTGGTCGCAAGTCACACCCTGCCTCCTTTGCACCTTTGCCTTCTTGGGGAGCCCCTTGTCACCGGCCTGCTCATCTTCCTCATCCTCTTCCTCTTCGTCCTCCTCTTCGTCCTCCTCTTCCTCCTCTGTCTTGCTCGGTCGCTTTGAGGCCGGAAAGAGCGGGACGAAGGATGAAGACGTTGGAGCATGAAAGACGCTTGGAGAAATGGTCACGTCCTTGAGCGCGCCATCCTGGCTTCGGGGGCTGGCATCTGAGACAGAAGTCGAGTCAGTAGACTGGTCGGCCGACGAGTCGACTCTGCCACCATTGTGAGTCGTGCGAGGTGAAGAAGAGTGAGAGCTGAGGCTGTGGGGAATGAATGTGGGCGTCGTCTGTGACATGCGTAACAGATCTGTCGAGCTGCTGGGTGTGGAAGAGTTCCATTGACCATTGTGATGGTCAAATGTCAGGGCAAAGTCGGAGGCAGCGTTCATGGGGATCGTGTTGGTGCTGTTCCAGATCCACTTTGCATCAACGTGCGATGGAGCATGCTGGTACGATGGTGACAGACCCATCGTCGCGTGACCGCCATTCTCAAGTCCGCTTCCGCTTGGGAAATGAGAGGTATGCATGTTGCCCACGTTGTCACTGCCGGCATGGGCAGCCATGAGATCGACCAAGGCTTGATAGTTGTTGCCGGCATGATCGTGCTGGAAGTGCGCATTGTTGAAGGGACCTGCCGAGGTCCTAGGCAGGGTCTCGAGGAAGTTTACATCCTGCGGTGACGGCGCCATTGTGGAGCTCGAGGTTGACGCTGAAGCAGACCCTGATCCCGAGCCAGATGCCTGCCCCGACGAAGTCGGCGGGTACGACTGCGCCATATCCTCTGCTGAACGTCGTCCGTGTCCTCCTTGCTTCTTGATGTCAAATAGTACGAGCAGGAACTCTTCTGGCGTGCCCCCGTCGACGCTAGAAGGTGATGTCTCTTGCCGGACCAAAGATCTGCTTACGCCAAGGATGGGCCTATTGCGACGACTTCATCTCTTGCGCTCGATGGTGGTACGAGTGACAGTTGGAAAAGACCTGCTTGTGGGCCACGGATGCGCGGTGTTGCTTCCACCTCCCCTTTCACGTAGTGTAGTGGCTGTGGAGATCTCCTTGTGCTTCGGTCTGGCTCTGGAACAAGCTTCTCTCAGCACCTTCAGGATGACTGCTCCAAGGACTAGACCGGCTTCGGCGCCGTTGCCCGAACAGGGCCCGTCCTCAAAAGTCTGCTCATTAAATTGCGTCTAAACTTCCGTCTGGCTGTCTTGCCTCTTGATTTACTTTCATGCCGCATCCACTCCTGTATTAATGATTTCCCACGCCAGGGCGTGACTGAGACGAAGGACTAATGTGGAATTATATAACATGATGTATTGCTAAGAAGGACAACTTTTTTGGGGGTCGCAAGGAGGTGCATCCATTCATTCCTCCCTGGCACGTAGTAGTGACCATTGTATGCGGCGTCTTCAATGCCTCTTTTCACGACGACTGCCCAGAAAGACCCCAAAGGCTGTGCTTCTGAATGGCAGCATTCGTGAAAGTGGTGCACGACAAGCCTTATCGGCGACACGGCGGCGGGCGTGCTCCGCTGCCTCCACGCACCGATGTCGAACCGAGTTCGGACAAGCGAAACAGCGAGAAAAAAAAAAAAAAAAAGCCCAATCGAGGGACCTGCCTCATCTGCTCCTCTCTTTCACGGGTTTTCGACCACCAGGCCGTAACACAAAGGGTAGAAAGTGCATCTTTCTCAACAAACATTGCTAGAATCGGTCCACGGCAGCGGTAACCTTGACGTTGATCCACAGCGGTACGCCCGACTGAGTTTTGATTGTGTAGGCAATCCTGTCCCTTCTTCTACGGGCCAGATGTCACGCTGAAAGCACGTGCATATGGGCTCTGGCTTCTTGTACCGATCCCCTACCACGCGGCTCATTCGTCAATGTGCTTGTCAGTTCCTCGGCTTCTCCAAGAGATGTTGTGAGGATTTGAGCTATGTGTCTTTGACAGTAGTCACTGCTCATAGTGTAGAGCTGTAGAGTGGTAGCGAAAGGCACAGTCGACTGGGACGCGAGATGGAGGAGGGGTCTCGTCGGGACTCGGGCTAAAGATTTGTCAACCTTGGCTCTTTTTGTGGAAATCACCTTGCCATTCACGCCGTGCGCCGAAAGAATGCTGGCTCCCGGTCTAGCTCCGCGCGTTCGGTTTGGCTTGCAGGGCAGCATCGCAAGAAGCCAGACGATCGCTCTTCGCCCACCGCCCCATCTAATTTTGCGACATTATGTATCTTCTGCGAGCCAACCCTCAGCTTCTGCCTCTGCGCCGCCAAAGTGGTACCAGAGACCCTTGACGCTCCTCCTCGCATTCGTTCCGGTCTTCACCTTTGGCCTTGGCGTGTGGCAGATCAAGCGGTTACGATGGAAGCTCGATCTGATCGATGAGCTCGAAGACAAGCTCAAGCGCGAACCCTTGGAGCTACCGCGGAACGTCGAGTGAGCCTTTTCCTTCTCTCTCATCTGCTTGTATTCTTGCTCATTCAGGAAGCAATTCGGCCTTTAGCCTTGACGTGCTCTTAGGTCACTATACGAATCGGCTCTTCAACATTCACGGCAAGTTCCCTGCGCCTGACGCGTCCAATAGCATCTTCCTCGGGCCGAGGGTGCGAGAAGGTCAGATGGGCTACCACGTCGTCCAGCCGCTCTCGCGCCGCTCTGGCGGAGCAGACGTCGTCGTCGATCGAGGCTTCGTCGCCAAGGACAAGATCCTCAACTCATCGTCCAACGACGTCTCGCAGTGGAAACTATCGGATGTGGGTTATCCTGTGTTGAGGATTAAGGTAGACCATCGCGAATAGCCAAGCCGTGCTAACACCTCCCTTCCTCCAGACATCAGCAGGGACCTCGACGGGCCCGCATCTGCTTCTACTCCCCCGCGAGAAGCAGCGGAACTCCTTCACGCCCCAAAATGACCCGTCGAAGCACATTTGGTACTTTGCCGACGTGAGGGAGCTCAAGTCATTCTTCGAAGGCGGGTCTCGCCCGGCAGAGGAAGGAGAGGATGACTTCACGCCCTCGGCTGGCGTCGGACGTAGCGTAAAGGAAATGTTGGGGCTGGAAAAGAACGAGGTCATGCCAGTTCTCATGGAGGAGATCTTTGGTGAGCTCAGTATCGCGGGGACAACGAAGTTGCGCGAGAGCTGACCGGCTGTACGCCACCACAGAGGGCAACGCATACGAAGCGTCGCAGTTGCTGGAAAAGGGACAACCTATTGGAAGGCCGGCGACCGTCGAGCTGCGTAACCAGCATGCCGTCTATGCCGCCACCTGGTTCTCCCTCTCTGGCGCAACGAGCGTGATGCTAGCGCTCCTCCTTCGTAAAGGTCCTCGTTAACTTAACTGCAGCATCACAAAGCAAAATAATGAGACAATTACAATTATGGGTGGTGGGAACAGGAGTATGTGTGAAGGAGAAGATACAAAATATTCAGCGTGCCGACTCTTGTCTGCACCTCTCGATGGCGTCCTCAAGGTTGAGACCATTCTTTCCGAAGCCCTTCCATTCGTGCTTGGCCACGCTACCCTCCTCTCCAGCAGGCCCGTCCCAGGCCGTTGACATGAGGGCCGGTTCGGAGCTGTGCCAGCTGACGTCTCGGACCGTGGTGCTCTGGGCGCCGCCACCAGAGTACATGTATGGTCGCCGATACCTATCTGCCGCCATTCTCGATTCCTCTTCCTGACGCTGCCTTGCAGACAATGTCTCTCTCTGCGATGGAATCGGCGCCGAGGGGTCCGACGCCTCGCCGTTGAGCTGCTTTAGTGGCACCGCCTTTGACCGATCGAGGACCTGGACGACCTGGCCGTCCAAGGACCAGATGTGGATGCGACCGTCTGCGCTGCCCGAGTAGATGTACCTTTGGCCCGTCGTAGCAATGGGGCTGAAGTGACATCGAATAAGGGTGCGCAGAACGGCGTGGCCTCGGTACGTCATGACGGAGCGATCCTCGGGATGTGCCTGGTAACGTGGCTTCTTGTAGGGCCTGCGGGGACACACAAGTAAATGAGCACGAACTACAGAGGGAATTGGACACGTTCCTACACACATGCTGCGATAGTCCCACTGACGGAGGCCGTAGTGCACCTTTGGCATGCGGTCGAAGTCTTGGCTGCTGACCATCATGCGCAAGTCCCACAGCTTGGTGCTCTGGTCCTTGCCGTTGGATATGCAGTACCGTCCATCGCCCTTCGGCGCGACAAACGTGATGCCCTCGGTGTGGCCGGGCAGAACTCCTGCTGGCTTTCCTCCAGAGAGAGACCGTCGGTCCCTGTATCGAGTGTAAGAGCGAGAACCCACAGATGTCGTATGAGAGACTCACCAGACCTTGACGAAGGAATCGTCACTGCCGCTGATCAAGACATTGCTGCTCGCTGAATCGGCAAAGGCGACGCCGTTCACGTCGTCGGCATGGCCCTCGACCTTCAAGACTCTCTTGCGCGCTTCGATGTCAAAGACATAAATCTCACCAAAGTGAGCGCCTGCTACAATCTCGCGCGAGTCACCCGAGAATCGGATGGACCAAATCTGCGTTGTGGGATTCAGTCAGCACTCGGAAAATCACTCGCCTGTCCCAGTCCCTGCTCTGAGACTGCGGCCTCACCCCGCTTCTCCATCTCACCCCTGCCTCATCGTCTTCGCGGTTGCTGAAGTCGAGCATGACTTGCTGCTCGTTGTGGCTTCGGCCTCCCGACTCGATGTCTTGTGTGGTGGAAACCAGGTGGACGTAAGGATTGATGGACGAGTAAATCATCCACTTGTTGTCGGGTGACAAGTTGGCATCTGTTCCATGTATGTCTTGGTCAGCGAGACACAGCGGGGTGCAGCGAGAACAGACGGACCTGTTACAGTCCAGGTGCCATGACGACCCTGAATCGTCTTGATTGGCTTGAGGGAGGTAAAGTGGTCCGTGGCCATCGAGACATGATACCGAGTCCGCCTCGAGTCGGCGTCTGCATGTCTCCTCACCACCCTCGAGGGGCTTGCTGTGGTGTCGTAGAGATGGACCTTGAAATCCTGGGTACAAGTGTAAAAGAACGAAGAGTCCTCCGAGTATTGGCCGCAGTAGCTTCGAGCAGGATACTTGGCCACCTCAGTCCCGTTTGAGTTGGGAACATAGTCCTGAGAAGTGTCGGTCAGCAACATGTCCCATTTCCTGCCTGCTTGTGCTGTGGGAATTCACAAATAGTTCGTCCTTTTCTATCCGGCTCAGTGCACATCTCCGGCTTGCGAGCTTGTCGACGAGGTTGTAAGAGGGCTGGAATGCGCTTTGAGGGGCCCCAAGTGGTCGTGGAGGCGGCTGAAACAGAGCATCAGTACATCATATCAAGAGAGAGATCTGCAACCGGATCGAGCTCACTCTGCCGAACTCGCCACCATAGTAGAGCTCCTGGCCTGCTTTGATGGGCTCTTTGACCGGGTCCCAAAAGTCTTTGATCGGGGTTGCACGACCTCTCCGACCCATCCCTCCATAGGAATAGCTCTCCTAAAGACGTGGAGCATAAGTGAAAGTATCCCAACGAGGACGAGACACACTCACTTCGTCGTCGTCATCATCATCATCATCACCTCCTCCCTGCGCAGCTGCATGTGCCCGTCGGATCTGAATACGGCCGCTCGCAAACAGTCTTCTGAGTACCTCGGCCGCTCCGTTGCCTTCGCCTTGGCCATCGTCTCCCATTCTGGCAGCCACGGCTTGAAGGAGAGCCGAAAAATCGCCATCCTGATCCTCGTCGTCGTCGCCGTCTCCTTCTTCGACTTCGTCCGCCTCCATCTCCAGAAATGCATCCTCGTCTTCCATGAACTCCTCGTCGAATTCATCTTCGTCAATGTAGAAGTCCTCATCGTCGTCATCGTCTTCGTCCTCGTCCTCTCCCTCGTCTTGACCCTGCTCACCATCCTCTTCATCCAGCGGCACCATCCATTCTGTCCGCGGATCGTCATCGTCCTCGTCGCTTTCGAGCTGTGAAATCATCGATTCGAGGAGATCGTTGGTCCGCTGCCTCTCATCGAGCTCATGGTCCGACATTGTCTCGAGAGGTGGCGAAGGAGTGGAGCTGAAGCAATGGTTACGTGATGATAGCGTTCGGCAGCGCAGGCCGAACGGTTGCGCGCGCACGGGGCACCCTCCTAAAACAATTAGGACGCGTGAAGGGTACCCTGCAGTCTGGCTCTCTGCATCTTCTTCGTCGCAGGGGCTGGCCTTGAATCCATGCTCATCAGCGCTCGCGCTCTCAAGGTATGTGCAACGGACTGACGCCTTTGTTCATAATTGCTGATGTGTCAACAGACACTTGCGCGACCTGCTTCAATCGCTCTTCGACAATCCCCAACGCCCCATCTCTGGCGATTCTCGCACACATCGGCGCGGCGCCAAATCGATCCTTTGACTACGGACATGACGCCTGCGAGGTCGGTGCCGCCCTCGGCGCCCTTTCCCACAAATGGGCTGCTACCAAAGGAGACGACACAGGCCCTGTCATTTCTCAAGAAGTACCCAGAGTGCGACGGCCGTAATGTGCGGGTGGGCATTCTAGACACAGGCGTCGACCCTGCGGCGATTGGGCTGAGCGGCCGTGGCAAGATGGTCGACGTCATCGACTGCACCGGCTCGGGCGATATTGCCCTGGCTGAAGTCAAGCCTGTCTCGACGGACTCGAGCGGCATCAAGGTCGTATCGCCCACAACCGGCCGCACCCTGGTTCTGTCGGCACAGCTCAAGAATCCAACTGGCTCTTGGCTGCTCGGGGCGCGGCCTGCCTATGCACTCTGGCCGGACGATCTGGTCAGCAGGAGAAAGGTAGAGAGAAAAAGGGAATTTGACGTCGAGCACGGCCGGCTCGTTGGCCAGGTTCAGAAGGAGCTCTCGGCGCTCGAGCAGGCAGCCGATGAGCACCTCGAAGGCGAAAAAATTGAAGCTGCAAAGGCGGCCAGAGCGCAGCGCAAGGAAGAGCTCAAGAACAAGCTCGCCGTGCTCAAGGACCTGGCCACCAACTACAAGGACCCAGGACCCATCATCGAGACGGTCGTCTTCCACGACGGCACCCACTACCGTGCCGTTGTTGGTGGCGCAGAGGGCACCTTCCACGACCCGTCCCAGGGGCTTCCTCATGACCAGCTCAAGCTCCTCAAGGACTCCACCCTGGACATGACAAAGTCACTTGCGCTGACAGATTTTCGCTTCGAGAAACAGCACGCCGAATTTGGCGAGGCCGACATGCTCACCTACTCGGTCAACATTCTCACCGACGATACAGACTTGCAACAGGCCATTGAGGCACCCAAGGGCAAAGCCATTGGACTGTCCCTCGTCGTCGTGTCTGGTTCGCACGGCACACACGTCGCTGGCATCGTCGGCTCTCATCGCACTGATGATGAAGAACAGAATGGCGTCGCGCGTGGCTGCGAAATTGTCAGCCTCAAAATTGGCGACACTCGCGTCAAGTCGATGGAGACGCAGCAGGCCCTCTTGCGAGCAGCCCAGGCTCTCGTGGCGACAAAGTGTGACATTGCCAACATGTCCTTTGGCGAAGCCGGTGCCTTTGGTGTTGAGAACAAGGGCCTATTTGCCCAGATTTTGAGGGACTTTGTCATTCGTCAGAGAGACATTCTCTTTATTTCGAGTGCCGGCAACGCCGGCCCTGCTCTCACCACAGTCGGTCAACCCGGTGGCACAACGTCGGGCATCTTGAGCATCGGCGCGTACGTCGATGCCGGCGCCATGCAGCAGGCTGAGTACGCACTCGTGGAAAAGAACGTGCCTTCGTCGGCTACGACCTGGTGCTCCCGCGGTCCAACGGTCGATGGCGCAAAGGGCGTCGACGTATATGCGCCTGGAGCTGCTATCACGTCGATCCCACGCTACTGCCTTTCCGCCACGATGCTCGCCAACGGCACTTCGATGTCTTCGCCGAATGCTTGCGGCAGCATCGCTCTACTCCTGTCGGGCATGAAGAAGGAGGGCATTCCCATCACCGCTGCCAGGGTCTACAAGGCCATTCGTGCCACGGCAAAAGACGTGTCCGACGATCTCGGCGTGCCATTCATCCAGGTCGACAAGGCTTGGGACTACCTCGTCGAGCATCGAGACAGGCCAGATCAAGGTATGTTCTCACGCTCGGTCTCACTGAGTCGCCTGCTGACTCCGCACAACAGACGCAGAATTTCGGGTTGCCGTGACGCCGGCGGGCAAGCTGCCGGGAAAGCCTACAGACCAGAGGGGCATCTACATACGCGAAAAGAACTTTACCCAGAAGGTGAACCAGTACAGCGTCACTGTCAAGCCGACCTACAAGCCATTTGGCGAGCCAGAAAGGGCCTACGATCTTCAGCTGCCCGTTACACTCATTGCGACGGAGCCGTGGGTCAAGATTCCTGACTACCTCTTCCTCGGCGGCAATGGGCGGACGTTTGAAGCCCGTGTCGATGCCACACAGCTCTCGCCAGGCCTGCACAACGCCCTGATTGAGGGATACGACTCCAACACGCCTGGTCGCAAACTCTTCGACGTCCCAGTCACGGTGGCCAAGCCCTTGGTTCCTCAAGGCCCCACGGTCAACTTCAAGGGTGTTCGTCTGGCCACGGGAACTGTCGACCGTCGCTTCATCCACGTACCAGAGGGTGCGACATGGGCCGAGCTCCGCTTCCGAACCTCAAAACATGAGATCCCGGGCACCTCAGTTCGATGCTGGGTCCATGCGGTGCAGCTCGAGCCCCAGCAGCGGCTGGGCAACGTTGAGGGGGCCTATGTCATGGCCATGAACGAGAACGAGCCGGTGACCAAGAAGATGACGGTTAAGGCGGGCATGACGATGGAACTTGTCCTTTCGCAGTTCTTCACCAATGCTGCCGGCTTCGATCTCGATGTCGATGTCGAATTTCACGGCATCACCGTCTCACACCTTCTTACCGGTCGGGACGAGCTCACAATCGTGGGCGGCGACGGCATCGTCCGCCTCGAGTGCATCTCCAACTTGCGCATCGAGGACCTGAAACCATCGGTCACGTTTGATCAGCGCAGGATCTATGTCCGCCCAACTTCGAGCGAAATTGTACCCTTGCTTTCCGCTCGCGACCGCCTGCCGTCTGGCAACAACACGGCGGAGCTCATCATGACGTATCCAATCGACCTCAAAGAGGAAGCCAACAATCTCTCCTTCTCGCTTCCCCTCAGTGACCACCTCTACGACAGCGACGTTCCGATGCTGACGCAGCTGTACGACATCAACAAGAAACGTGTCCAGTTTGGCGACGTCTATCCGAAGAAAATCGAAAAGCTTCCAAAGGGCTCCTACACGCTTCAGGTTCAGCTTCTGCAGCAGAGTGTTGCAGCGCTAGAGAAGCTCAAGAACATGACCCTGCGCGTGGATCAGAAGCTGAGCAAGCCCGTCGAGAGCGTCAGTCTGTACCCGGACATTGTCGACCAGTTCGGGCCTGGAAAGCCTTACAAGGATCAAGGCCAGGTCAAGCTGCACCCTGGCGAGAGAAAGGTGCTGTGCATGGACACGAACCTGGAAGGCGAGGCACTGCCTAAGGAGGCGCAGCCTGGTGATCTTCTTCTTGGGACGCTGTCCTTCGCGGCAGAAGGAAAGACGACTCTCCGCTATCTCGTTCCACCTGCGCCCAAGAAGGCGCCCACGGAAGAAGGCAAGAAGCCGGACCCAACGGTTGCAGAGCTCCTCACGGGCCTGGTTGGCAAGGTGGCTGAGTCCGACAAGAAGAGCTTCCTGGACAATCTCGTCAAAGAGTATCCCAACGACTTGGGTGTGCTCGTGGCCCGTCTCGAGTCATTGAAGGCAGACGACAAGGAGGATTCCGCCCAGGTGCTCGCCGCCGCCGACGCTGTCCTAAAACATGCCGACGTCGATGAGAACCGCATCCTCATCTCCCTCGGCTCCAAGCGGCTTCCTGCCTCGGAGCAGACACCAGAGCAGAAGGAAGAAGCTCGCAAGATGGAAGAACGGAAGAAGGCTCTTGTGACGGCCCTCAATCGTCGCACGCGTGCGCTCCTGGCCAAGGAAGAGGAAAAGTCGACCAAGGACTTTGAAGAGACGTTTGAGCGATACAGGAAGCTCGTCGACGCTTCCGACAAAGATTTTGCGAGCGTGTATTCACGGTGGGCCATCATTCACGAGCGCTACGGAACGGCGCTGCAAGCGACACGAAAGCTCATCAAGGAGCTGGGCGCAGGCACCGCTGAGACCGTCGTCGAGCTCAACAAGGCCCGCCAGCTCGAGCGCGATCTCTATGCCAAGCTGGACTGGAAGCTGTGGAGTGCCATTGGTGACAGACACAGGGTCCTCGAAATCGCTTCAAAGTACCTGTCTTTCTGAAATAAGAGATTCTATGAGCAATAAAATGATGGCGTGGTAGACACATTCGGTGAACCTCAGTGTAGTCTGAATGCGGACGTCAGCTGGTCAATCTGAACACGTGGTGTCTTGGCTTAAAAAACCCGCGGACCCACCCAGAGAGAGCACACGCGCGGCGTCGGCCTGTTCGGCCACTGAAATTTCGCATCCTTGCTGACTGCCACTCTTCTTCCTCGTTTCCTCCAATCTTTCTCCTCCCTCTCTCCCTCTCTCTCGATCAATTCTCAAGGCAGGGAGCGAGAGAGGCGTCACAGGCGACGATAAGGGAAACAAGAAATTGGAAGTCTGGCGCATCTGAGTGCGACCCACTTTCCGACGTCGCGCCAACCGGCAAGTCGCGCCCAAACGCCGCTTCGGCTCGTGCGCGCATACATAGCCCTGGCGTTGTTCGACTTTTTCAGGTCCGTCAAGGCCAGTCGAGCGGACGCGCAAAGTTTTCCACCCTTTGCCCTCTCGAACCCGACGACGGTTCTTGGAGGCGACATCAGGCCGCCCAGATAGGCTCTGACCAGTTGCTTGCAGGCAAGAGATATATTCGAGAGAACCTCCACCGAGAGAGGAGACACGTTCGAAACTCGCAACGATGCTCTCGTCAAGACCGATGGACCCTATCCTCGACCATTCGCACGATGGCGAGGACACGTCTGCTGTGGAGCTGTCGACAAAGGCCGGGCGGATGCGACTGCGAGAGAACCAAGAGGCACCAGGATATGAGGTGCTCACCCCGCAGCACAGCAACTCCAATGTGACGACTGCCGTCGCAGCCTCTCCTCTGACGGCCAAGGGAGCGCGCGACATCCCTGGCGGCGGCGCAGAGCTCGCCAACGCAGAGAGTCTGGGTGGTGCGAGTCATGCGGCGCATGCGGCGCGCATGACTAATGTAGGAGGAAGCGCAGGACGCGGCCTGGCGATGCCCGCTCCCTCGGAACGGCCATCTTCGAGTGGGGGACCTCCCATCAATAGCATGGGCCGCATTGGACAGGCTTACAGCTCCAATCAGGGCGTCGGTCCTGGTGCCACCGGCCTGGCAAGTGCGCGCGGTGTAGACCTGGCCAGCGACAGCGGCTCCTCAACCCCGAGCCAGTTCATCTTCCCCAAGCTCGGCGCTCGGAGGCCCAGCGAAGCGCAGATTGGCGAAGGTGCGCAGAGCCCCGCGACAGATGGTGTCAGTGTTGGTGGTGCGACGACACCCGTGGAGGAGAAGTCGGCCTCCCTACACAAACCCAAGCGCAAGGAGTCGCACAACCCCCTCGTCGACCTTCGCCGTTTCCTTCACAACCACATTGGACACCACAGCAGCGACGATTCTTCGTCACGCTCAGGTCATGCAACGCCTGGCGGCAGTACAAAGTCGCGACGGGGTCACGACTCGCCGCCGCTGGGCGAAGAGCACGCTCATCTGGCGAAAAAGTACGGAAAGTGGGGCAAGGTGCTCGGTTCGGGCGCCGGGGGCACTGTGCGACTGATCAAGCGGTCCAAGGACCACACGACATTTGCCGTAAAGGAGTTTCGACAGCGAAGAGCGGGCGAATCGGAAAAGGAGTACATCAAAAAGGTCACAGCCGAGTTTTGCATCGGCTCGACGCTCCATCACATCAACATTATCGAGACACTCGACATCATCTCGGACCACGGCCACTACTACGAGGTCATGGAGTACGCGCCCTACGATCTGTTCAGCGTCGTCATGAGCGGCAAGATGTGCCGCCAGGAAATCTACTGCGTCTTTCGGCAAATTGTCGACGGCGTCGACTACTTGCATTCGATGGGCCTGGCCCACCGAGATCTGAAGCTGGACAACTGCGTCATGAACACGGGCAACATTGTCAAGCTCATCGACTTTGGCACGGCTACCGTCTTCCACTCGCCCGGCAAGTCCAAGGTCGTCGCTACCGGCGTCGTGGGGTCGGACCCTTACCTGGCCCCCGAGGTGCTGTCCCAGCAGACGTACGACCCACGGCTGACCGATGTGTGGTCATGCGCCATCATCTTCCTCTGCATGATCCTCCGTCGCTTCCCCTGGAAGCTGCCCGACATGAAGACGGACCCTTCCTTTAGGCTCTATGTCAACTCGCACCCAGAGCTCTGCGCACCCCCGGGGCGATCCGAGACCTCTGACAGTGGCGTGGGATCCTTTTCTTCGACGAGCTCCCCACCGGGCGGCGTCATCACGCAGACGACCAGCCCCGATGACATCAACATTCCCACGGCAAAGGAGGCCGGTTATCTCACGCCTCAGCGCGGCACTCAGTCGCCCGTCGTGTCGGACCACGAAGACGACAGCGACGGGCGGAGGGATCCGTCGAGCGGGCCCCCCAGCGGAGCTCGCTCGCCCGAGAGGCAAACTTCGACACTGCTGCCGTCTGAAGAGATTCGACCCAAGCCATCTCGGAGCGACTCAATCTCCTCCCAGACGACTTTCACGTCGGGCGCGGCCGACAGCATCTTCAGGCTGCTTCCCCGCGAGACGAGATCTGCCCTGAGTCGCATGATGGCCATTGAGCCATCACTCCGGTGCACCCTGGGCGACTTGCTCCGAGGAAGACGCTTCAGCGACACAGACTCGCCGCTGACGCGCACGCCCGTTATGTCGCGCTCCAACAGTTCAGAGGCCCTCAACACGCTGCCGACGCAGTCTGCAGCCTCAGGGGGAGTCACCATGTCGCTCTCTTCGGGGGCAGACCTCAACCACCTCTCGCATGCCGAATTCGAAGACGATGACGACACAGGCGACGAGTGGCTCAAGTCGATTCAGACATGTGCCCACCTCAAAAGCGAGGGCAAGGGTGAGAAACCCGACCACCCTCATGTCAAGGTGGTGCCAGAGGAAGGGAAGAAGAAGAGTAGTCTTTTCCACCGCTGAACATGACGTCGCTCTATTGTCTCTCGCCGCTGCTTTTCTCTCTCTCTCCTTCTCCCCCCTCTCTCTCTCCCCCTTTCTCTATCTCTCTCGAACATCGTCATCGCTCGCCCTGTGTCTATCCTCCTCTACGAACTGGAATGGTGCTAGTTATTATCTGACACTTTTGACTTGACTGAATAACGGTCACAGGCCAGCCAAGACGAGCTGGACACCGTAGACGTGGCGAGCCAAGACGTCAGAGGTCTTGGCATCGACTGCTAATCGACGGCCCATTCTTGGCTCTTGGCACTGGAGATTGCCCCTCTAAATTGGCGCTGTGGAATACATACGTAAAGTGGCTTTTACAATTCCGGAGCCACGCCATGGGGCACTAAGGCAGTGTCTTGGACGACACGTGCCTCTCGCTTTTTGTCTTATAGCCGGCTTGAGACTTGTATGTGAAAAATTGTGAGACGCAATATCGTGGATGGGCAATAGTTGTAATAAAGAATAAGATCTTGTACGTGGCCTTGGCCTTCCTCTTTGCCAAGAGTCGAGGTCTTGGCGACGCATCATTCGCCGTCTGGCAAAAAGGCCCGTCGAAACGGCAATCTCTCTCGCACTTGCTCCCCCCCTTCCCTCTCTAATCGTCGTGCTCCTCTTTGGCTCATCACCATCACCACTGCCATCACGACCATCAAAGCAACCGCGAAGACGCCTGCCACTGCCACCAGCAAAACCTTACCTACTGTTCCTGGCGGCGAAGCAAGAAACCCACCAATGAAGAGCGAGACTGGCTCGCCGTCGCTGTCGTCGCAGGGCGCGTCGCCTGGAAGCTATGCGTCGCCCGCGGGGACCCACGCCACCACTGTTTCGTCCTCATCGTCGAACCACGGCGGCGAAGAGACGAAGCTGATTGCCTGTCGCTGGCAGGGCTGCGACCAGCCATTCGAAGACCCCGAGGACCTCTACCACCACCTCTGCAATGCTCACGTCGGGCGCAAGTCGACCAACAACCTCTGCCTCACCTGCAAGTGGGAGGGCTGCGATGTCTCCTGTGCCAAGCGTGACCACATCACCAGTCACTTGAGAGGTGAGTCTCGACCGACCTCTCATCGCAGTCGTGACTGCAGCTCAATTACTGTCGAGTGCTGACTTCAATTCAATTATCACAGTCCATACGCCACTGAAGCCTCATGCATGCGAGTCGTGTGGGAAGCAGTTCAAGCGGCCCCAGGATCTCAAGAAGCACGAGCGCATCCACACTGAGCAGCATCAGCAGCAGCGTCAGATGAAGTTTCAGTTGGCTGCGTCGACGCCATCGCCCTACGGCCAGGCTCCTGCTGCAGCGATCCCCGACGCCCACACCTACAACAATTACCACCTCGCCGCCGCCCAAGCCGCCAGCCCACGGTCGCAGCATGCGCAACCACCTCCTCAATTCCAGTATCCGTTCAACAGCGGTGGTGGTGCCCCCTCTCACCCCCCACCTACCCCTTCCTCACGGCTCTACCCCACGGCTTCCGGCTACCCTAACCTCACGCCGCCCTCTCGATCGAACTACCCCTCATCGCTCTATACGTCCCAGGGCTACGCTAATCCTGCCAATACTGGCTTCCGGCCTCGCGATGCCACGCCAAGCTACGTCCACGACACTTCGTCAGCACCTTCGCTCTCGCCCATGTCATCTCACCTTGGCACCCCCGCCGCCGGCAGCAGCCCGTCTGTCTACTCCAACATGCCGTCGTCGATGCAGCAGCAGCATAGCGGTGACAGGTCCAACTCGTACCTGTCGATGCAGAGCGAGCGGCCAAAGGCCCACGACGATCCAAATTCGTACGGCTACCTGGCAAATGGCTCTTCGGTTGCTGGAGCGAAGCGAGGTTACGATGCCGATGCGCAGACTGCCTTTTGGGAAGACGTCCGCCGTAAGCGAGTCGCGCCCACCTACGATCCAAACATGGCGCAGAGGCTCGAGCACACCTTTGCCAACGGCATCGATGATGCCTCGCTCCAGGCCCTCTTTTCGTCCGTTGAGTCGGCCAACAACGGCAACAGCAACAGCAGTGGTAGCAACAACATGCCAGCTCACACTGGCCCGGTAGACCAGAGGCTCTCGCTTCCCGAGGCATTCAAGCAGACAGACCTGGCCGAGCTCAATGCGTTCCTGCTCCAGGTCGGAGCAGGTGCCGCCCGGCCTGATGCTGCCCCGCAGCAGCAGGAGCACGAGTCGACGGTGCCTGCTGGCAACTTTGACTTTGCTCACCTTCTCCACCAGGCCGGCCTGAGCCAGATTGCCGGTTTCGACGAGAACCTGCTCAACTACCCTGTCGACATGAATGCGCACCCGGAGCGCCCCATTGCACAGCTGCCTCACCGTCAGCAGCCACACCACTCCTTTGACAACATTCGTCCATCGCGAGGACCTGCCATGGTGCCTCAACTGGCACCCAGGGATGTGGGCAGCAACCTTTACCGTCATGTCGAGCCTTTGACTCGGGCCGCTCCCCTGTCTACCGACCGTGCACAGCCGGTGCTGTCGTCGGCCCCGCTCAAGGACACCGAATCGGATGACGAGATGGAGGTCGAATCTTCATCCTCTTCGTCTTCTTCTTCACGAGGTCCTCTCTATCCTCGTGTCACCACCGGCAGCATCTCTAGGCGGTTGCCTGCGCTCTCTGGCATCGAGCGAGGCAATGCTTCGTCAATCAGCTCGATTCTCTCCAGCAAGCCTCTTCCACGGCGAAACGAGGGCTATGCCACTTCATATCGCCACACAAGCTCAAGCCGAAGTAGAAGCTCATCGGCCAGCCCACCACCGCCGACAAACGTCGAGAGCGAAGGACGGAGCCCCAGGCTGTATCCAACCCTTCGACAGGAGAGCACTTCGAGCATGGATGGCATCACGGAGGATGTAGCAGCCATCAAAGTCGGAAGGAGCGTCTCCTCGTCGCCGACCCCAGACGTTCCCGAGGCAGTCCGACAGAGCCACGCTCGCATCATTGTCGACCTCCTCATCGCCCTCAACTTTCCCGAGCGAAGAACAGTGCATCGCGAACACCGGCTCCCGCCCCTCCGGCTGCACCATGATGACTCGACGATGGTTGACGAGAACAGGACCCCTACACGGGCCCAGTCCGTGCGCGACGACGACGAGGAGGAGGAAGTGGACGAGATTGAGGAGGCTCCCATGGCGAGCACACCCAAGCTCGAGTCGCAGAGGATTCTGCCCAAGATTGCCGACCTCCTGAACAAGGAAGACGTTGCTCCTGGTCCAAAAGGCGCTGGCGGCCGCAAGATTATGGATGTAGATGTATAGGCCTATCGAAACTCTGTATATTTTGTGATAATTCTTCTCTCTCTTCCTAGGACAATTCTTCACCCTTTTTTTTTCTCTTTCGCAATGTCAGGCGACTTATACATCGACTCTTGAGTCTTGACTGGGCTGTGTGCTTGCGTTTTACGGCGGACTGGAGAGGCCCTTCTGTGAGATTATTGTTTCTCTCTTTCGAGCAAGAATAGGGGCTTTCCCACGGTGAGAGCGACTTTGGGGGGACAGACGAGCCCATGGACAGTAATTATTTTTGAGGACGGGGTCTGCCAGATGTCTGAGACGTTTCAAGACGGCAGTCGTGCTCTGTCGGACTCAGAGAAAGCTTAAAGGGGGATGTCATCCTAGAAAGACAACTGTGTGAATTTGTGGTGATGGGTAAAGAAATGTTATCTGATGACAGCGGTGTGTTCGTATTCTAGAAGGTGTTTGGGGAAAGTAAGGTCAAGAGGAGGCGAAACGGAGGCGAAGAGTTGCCGATCTTGCGGAGGCACGTCGTTGTGCCGTCCCTCCTTCAGATTGTCTGAAGGCGGCCCGACGCTCGCATGCACTGATTAGCACTGTGGAGTACCATGTGAGCATGTGTCCGCACATTTGTCGACGGTGCATGTGTATTGCGCGTTTCCCAGTGCCTCTTTGCAAAATGGATCAGCGCTCGCCCGTCAAAAGACACTATGGTACACGATGGCTTGGAGCAGCTTGCACTCACCGCTTGGGGTTCCGCAGCACGGGAAGATCGCATCGCCTTGGGAACAAGTCCAGGCCTGGCGCTGATTTGGTTGTATATCCTTGGGCTTGTATTCGAGCTCGCTGCAGTCTGCGTACTTCGTCATCTCTTTGTTCGAGCACATTTTCTTCTTAAGACTGCAGCCGCCGCCGCAACTGTACGAATCCAAACTTTTCTTCTTGATGTAGCCGCAGCAGCGTTCCGTCTTCGCAGGGCCGACGTAGCACTCATAGAGGCTTGCGGCCCTAAGATTGGAAGCATGCGAGGTGGCGAGCAGGACGAAGATGCCCACGAGGACAAGCAGGAGGGCTTTGGTGTTGCGGAAGAACAACGACATGGTGAGATGGATCACTGTGGGATCTGGAAGGGGGGAGCGACTACACTGTTTGACTTGGCGTGGAAAGAGGTGGGCCTTGGTGAGAGAGGGGAGTGGGAGGTGGAAGAAGGCCCCCATTATATACCTCTCAGTACCCGGCACATAATCTCCGTAGCCCTTGTCGTCGCCTTGGCACGCTTCCTCGCCCTTCTCTTCAGCTCAGTGTCTATCGACGACACGGTGAAGCTGTCACATGGGACTAAACAGCAAGTGCGAAAGCGAAGAGGAAGAGAAAGAATGGCGGCGGTGTTGCTCCGCGTCCAACTTTGAGCGGCGCTTCAAGATGACGCGGTCTCTCGATGGGCGTCGTCACGACGCTTGGCGGCTAGGGCGGATACAGCAAGCTGAAATTCCGACGGGTCCGACCTCTGGCTCACCTTTGGGTCACACGACAAAGGCCAAGGACAAGATGGGTTACGTTGGGGGCGGGGATGGGATTCCGAGGCCCTTGGCTTACGGAAGCGGCACGGAGTCGGGGCTTCTTTGTGCCTGCTTCCGCGATGAATCCAGTCTTGGCTCTAGCGTGGCGGCGTGAACAAGCCCTTGATTACCATCATGGCTGTTCCTACCAATGGGATTGCTCACAAGCGACGCTTTGTTTGCGAAAGCTAGGGAAATGACTCTGAAGACCTGGGCCCGTCGCCGTGACACATGGTCAATAAAGCGAGTGACTGGATTTTGTTGGAGACACTAGTAGTTGGCGCATTGAAACGATGTTGAGCTCCTTGAGCTCTGCTTTGCCCTCCTGCAGCTTTTCGAACAACCTCTCTAATCGCGATATAAAGGAAGCGATAGTAATTGCGACGACTGTATCTTGGCGCAGAAGGTTTGTTTCGGAGGGTCACTGTGGGTACAGAAACAACAGACGGGCGAGAATATGCACTGTCACCAATGACTTTGTTCTGGCTTTGGGCCTTCCAACAAGCAAAAAGACCGTGAAGAGCCGCACTCTATACCTGGCTATCCAGGCATCATGGTCCTTTCGCAAATAGATTATCGTCACGCATACATAGGGATAACTAAAATTGACCAACAAGCCACTTCCTACAGCTTGGCTTTGGGCACGGGCAGGTTCTCTGCGAGAAAGGCCACGTAGTCCTTTGTAGCACGATCAAAGTCCTTGCCAGTGTAGATGTCAAAGTGGCCCATATCGTCGTAGTGCTTTACCACGCCCTTCTTTGCCGACTTTGCATACGAGAGCGAGGGACCGGGTGGCGCGACCGAGTCCCTTCCGCAGATGGCAAAGAGGATCGGCGAGCTGACCGACGAGGCGTACGAGCCGGGACGGAGGAGGGGCAGCTTGAGGATGAAGCGGGCCGGGATCTCTTCGAGAAAGGTCAGGCCGGGGGGGATCAGGGCCTTGTAGCCGGGCTCGACGTCGGGCGCGTTCATGAGTGCCGCTGTGGGTGACGTAATGCCATTTCGTCAGAGTCGTTCAGGCAGAATTTGGACAATTTCGACTCACCGTCGCCAGGCTTGCCCACGAGGGGCACCCTGACGGGCGCATCGTCCGTGCCAAAGAGAGCGTCTCTCAAGCTGAGCCAGAGGAGCTTGGGCAACGGCCAGACACCCGTGGTGAAGCTGCTGGACAGGCCCGAGGTGAAGGGGCACTGGCTGATGACCGCCTTGAGCTCAGGGTGCCTTGCAGCGACCTGAATGACGTGGCCGCCGCCGAAGCTGGTGCCAAAGATGGCCAGCTTGGTCGGGTCGATGACGTCCGCCATCGAGGGCGACTTGACATGGTCCAGCACCGCGTCCCAGTCCTCTTGCTGGCGTGCAAAGTCGACGAGGCCGCGTGGCTTTCCAGACGAGGAGCCGCTGCATCGGTAGTCAAAGACGAGGCAGGTGTAGCCCTCCTGCTGGAAGCGCTCGGCGAACGCATCGAGGCGCATCTCGCGCACGGCGCCCAAACCGTGCGCCAGGATGATGCAAGGTCCCGGCTTGGTAGACCCAGGATAGACCCACGCTGCCAGGGTCTCGCCATGCGAGGGAATCGTGATATCGTACCGCATCTCTTCTGCTATGATGTGGTGTGATCCAGAGTGAGGAGGGCGCGAAGCAACGCTAGGGTGCAACAAGGTCCGAACAAGGACCAGAGCGGGGACCTGACACGGGCGTCCTCCACTTTCACGAGCGAAGAAGTAACAGGAATAAACGTTTTCACAACCGTGCACGACCACTTGCAATGGCACGCGCTTGTTCACATTGAAATTAGACGAAACCCTTGGAGTGGTCCTCGAGCCATTCATAGAGATTATCCTGGGCTCCTTCGTCGTGGGCTTTGAAGGCCGGCCTGGACAACTTGGCCCAGGGACCAAAGTAGGCTCCGCCCAGGTTTGCGTTCTCCGGCGCTGTGGTGGCGTAGAGCTGGTTGATGCAGCCCTTTTGGATGGGGTATAATATGGGCTGAATGCTGAGGAAGAGGGCCGTCATGCCAAGGCCATGCATGTGCCGTTGCAGGCCTGTTTTCATGTTGCCTGGATTGACTGACGTGCTTTGATTTTGTGCGAGCCCCGTCTTTTTGAGCCAGAGAAGAGAGACAAATGAGGAGACAAGACCGGACTTACAAGACGATTCCGTCGTTGCCAAATTCTCGGTCGTACTTTTTTGACTGGAGAATGTTGCAGAACTGGACAAAGAGGTTCAACAGAGGTTGAGGGTAAGGACAAGGCTTCAGTAGTGTTCTCATACTCACCTTGCTGTGGCCGTAGCGAAAGATTTGGTGATATTGTTCGGGAAGGCGAATGCCAATGACACCTAGAGGCTTGGCCCACTCTGGGTCGTGCTTGTCGAAGCCCTTGCGCTGGTGCATGTTGTGACCCGCACTGCTTGTCAGGCACACTCGTATCGCGCCCTTCGGCTGTCCTGGAATGGCAGCCGTCTTGCGAAGAACGGGAAGCAGATTCCGGATCAGGACGTGGTGGCCAAGGACATGAGTGCCAAACTGCATTTCGTAGCCTTGCGCCGTCTTCTGGTCATAAGGTGGGAACATGATACCGGCATTGGCAAAGACGAGATGCAGCTGGGATTCTTGCTGCGTGAACTCGTCGACAGCGCTTCGGACGCTCTCCAGATCGGAGAGATCGCACCTCAGCAGCTTGACCTCGCCCTTGAGTAGATTTCCGTCGTCGTCTTTCACATCGCGAAGCTGGGCAATGGCCTTGGCAGCCCGCTCGGGGTCTCTGCTAGCCATGTACACGCGAGCGCCCTTTCGCATTAGCTCAAGCGTCGTGTAGTAGCCCACGCCTGAGTTACCCCCTGTCACGATGGCGACCTACAGCCGTCTTCGTCAGACAAAGCCTTATCTTCTCTTGACGGGTAGGACTCACTCGGCCTGTCTGATCAGGCATGTCTCGCTTGGGCTCCCACGGCGTCGTCATGGGAAGATTCTCCCACAGGAGTGTATGTAGCGGCTGCATAGACGGCATTCCTTGGAACAAGGCGGCCATCTTTCGTCAGGTGCGCGGTGAGATGAGGGCGGCGACAAGCGGGGGAGCAAGAAGAAGGTGTGGAAGTGGAGGTGTTGGCTAAAGAGGAAAAACAGTAACGAGGCGCGCGACGCGAAGGAAATGAAAGCTCAGCTCACCGCGCAAGTGAGCTCCAACCAGCAACCTCCCCCCTGCTCCGTCTTTGCATGCTCCCTCGTCTCATCGGACGGAGGTCAGTTTCCTTTGGCGTGCTGTCACACAGAGAGTGTCTAACACAGCCACAGCAGACTTCCACAGATTGCACTCAGGATGGCGTCGACGTCCGCGCCCAAGAGGCCCCTCTCGCCCAGTGTCAGCCAAGCCTCCTCTGCTCCATCGCCGAGTGCCAAGAGGATTCGCGAAGCGTCCGTGACTGGCCCTGACGACATAGATGGCGTCCTCGACGGCGTCGATGGATTCGACGATGAGGCCCTGATCGAGGCTGCCTCTGAGATCGAGGAAGCCGCCAGCTCTTCACCTGCCAATTCTCAGTCGCAGCAGTCGCAACCACGAAGTAAAGCGACTTCCACGGCAGGGACACTGGCGCGGGCCCCGACAAAGACATCGTCGGCCTCTTCGTTTGGCACTCAGATCAACGGCGACGCGCTCCTCGAGGCTGCGTCCGAAGTGGAGGAGGAGGCCTCCAGGTCCCCGCTGAGCCACGGAGACGAGGCGGTCGAGCGGCAGACGATGGACAAGGAGTGGTTCGATCGCATGGAAGGCGAGACGAAGAAGCCGTACTTCAAGCAGGTCAGTAGTCATACTCGTCGTCTCTGCAACCCTGACGCTTCCTTCTTTCCCTTCTGGCTGACTAGCCTAGCATCACAGCTCAAGACCTTTCTGGCCGGCGAACGAGCGTCTGGCAAGACCATCTACCCACCTGGTGAGCGCTCATGCCGGCATGGAGAATCACTTGAACGCCAGACTGACGAGCGCCATCGGCCGATGCAAAGCGCACCTGATCCATAGCTGGTCTCGGCTGACACCCCTGCACACTGTCAAGGTCGTCGTCGTGGGGCAGGACCCATACCACGGCCCCAAGCAAGCCTGCGGGCACAGCTTCAGTGTGCAAAAGGGTGTCGCAGTTCCCGCAAGTCTCAAGAACATCTACAAGGAGCTCAGCACGGAGTACGGCGACCAGTTTCAGCAGCCCAAGCACGGCTGCCTGGACGGCTGGGCCAAGCAGGGCGTGCTCCTGCTCAACGCCTGCCTCACCGTCCAGGCCGGTCAGGCTGCCTCGCACCACGGAAAGGGCTGGGAGCCATTTACGAAGGCGGTGCTCAAGATCATTGCAGACGAGGCGTCCAAGGGCGCCACGGCCAAGAATAGCAAATTGGCGAGCATGTTCAGCAAGCAGCAGCAGCAGCAGCAGTCGCCGCCGCAAAAAGACAAGAAGGCAAGCGACGAGCAGGGCGGGACAAAGGGCGTCGTCTTCTTGGCTTGGGGTCTTCCGGCGGCAAAGAGCCTGGCCGAGGCAGGCATCACAGATGTGAGTGCAGGGCACCTTGTCGGTGTCTGTTCCTTTGTCTTGCGGCAGCTCATGGCTGGTCACAACAGAAAACGCCAAACGTCCTCATCCTTCGCTCAGCCCACCCCTCCCCGCTGTCGGCTCACCGTGGATTCCTGGGAAACGGCCACTTCAAAAAGGCCAACGACTGGCTCCAGGAACGGTATGGCCCCGGCGGCGGCATCGACTGGGGAAAGCTTTGAGCAGAACACCGCATGCTCCTTCCCTCCTCGACACCCAGATGTTCTTGTACACTTTCTTTCAATTATCAAAAAGATGTCACGAAAAGAGAAAAGACCAAAGAGGGAAAGAAGGAGAGGGGCCCATTGCGCGCAAGGAGTAAATGCGGAGCCGTAAACAGATACAAAAGCAGAGAGAGAAAAAAAGAGAGACGACCTCGCAGAGGCTGGCGAGAAAAGAGAGGGGTGCGGGTGCTGGTGACGTGTCCTGGTTGCCATCGAATTAGACGAGCAGTGCTCCGGCAGCCACCATGAATGCAGCCATGGCCGACCACGCCTCGACACCAAAGGCTTGTCGCGCGCCACCGACGGCGGCAAAGGCAGTTGTGCCGGCAACCTGGTTAATCTGGGTAGTGAAGCTGTCGCCGCATGTGGTCTTCATGCTCTTGTACAAGTCGCTCTGGCCCTTGAGAATGTCGGAATTTGTCAGGCCAATGGCGTAGGGGACCGAAGTCTCAAACTTGATGTACGACGCCAAGATGTTCTTGCTGCAGGATGTGCACAGCACGTCCTTGCCAGCATCTGGCTGGAGGAAGAGGAAGGCAATGTTTGAGGAAGACAGGCTGTCCGTGTCGATGCTGGTCGCCGTGTCGGATGCATCGTCGCCCGTCGTGTTGGCTGTAGTGGTCTGGCGACGGTCAAGTTGCTGTGGTTGAGGAGCGCTGCTGTGCTCGCTCACGGACCGCTTCCTCGACTTGGCAGCATCCGAAGCAATGTTGCTGCAGCGTCACAGTCAGCTCCATCCTCGTCACACTCGCCAACCGATGGGTCATCACTCACAGCACGCAAAAGTTGTTGTTGTCGTCCTTGGTGCAGACTGCATCGTGGAAAGGGTTGATGAGATAGAGGACGTCGTAGACATCCTGAACGCCCTTGTTCTGTGCCTTGATCTCTGGGCTGCACTTGACCCAGAATTCGGCCAGGTACTTGCGAATCAGGTCCGCCTGGCAGCCCGCTGTTGGGCTGCAAAGCTGGTCGAGCGACTGCGTCAATGCATCCTTTGAGTCCTGGTTCGATGTAGAGTTCTTGGCACTAGCTTTTGCGTCTGCGTAGAACGACGTGGCCTGGAGCAGCGGCGAGGTGCATGCTTGGATGCCCGTATCGGCGTTGAGGGTTGTCATGAATTGTGTGCACATTGCAGAAATGCCAGTTGGGATCAATGATGTCGACGTGCTTGTTGACGCGGCCGCCGAGGCGGTAGTGGAGGTTGTCTGCGCCAGCGCAGAGGTAGCGGAAAGGGTAAGAAGCCCTGCAATGGTTGCTGTGAGCCTCATGGTGGTGATGGCTGGTGGTGGTTGTGATGGTGATGCAATGTTATCGCGGCTGGGTTTCGATTGATAGGGCTGTGTACGCGCAGGCGCGGGGGGGGGGCGCTTCTTGTTAAGGAACGGGGTTCGGAAGTGGAAAAAGGAGCGTCCGATGCTGGAGAGGAGAAAAAGAGCGAAAATGCTGCGACGGAGCGGCGGAATGGCAAGGGGACCAGTAGGTATCGAGGGCGGCGATGGTGACTGAGAGAGGGGTTGTGAGACGGCGCGAGGCGGGGGTCGTTCGAGGGGGCACCAGACCAGAGCCTTCTTGGCGCCCAAAAAGAATTTTCCATTCTTGTAAACGTATTCCCTATTCTCGAATCTCGATCTGACCAATACAAAGTAGCGAAATGCAGTTCCCCTCTACATTCTTTTAGGCTCAACACGTGTCGGAAATTGAACTAGACGTTTGGCGCGTTCCATGGTGAATACTACTGTCGTATCCCAGCTGACTAGTTCTGTCTAATCTTGCAAGAGGATCGTCATGGCAGAGCGCTCAGTCCAGAGGATCAACAAAGCGGGGCGATCAATCCATCGAGCTTCACACCGTTGGGAAACCCGGAGCGCTTGAAGATGCCGAGTCTCCTCACTCGAAGATTGCCAGAAGAAGATCACATCATCACTGAAAGACACCAGGAATGTAAGGGTACAAGATATCCGCACTCTATTCTGCCGCCTTTGCCTTTTTTGAGCCTGCATCTTGCTCCTCTGTTTCGGCTTTCCTCTTCTCGGTCGATGGTGCGCCTGCTACGCTCTCGTCGGCGGGCTTCTTCTTCTTCTTCACCATGCCACTCAAGTCGTTGACAGGACCGGTGTGCGCAGCAGTCGATCCACCGGAAATGGGGTTGGCATTCGTGCTTGCGCCCAAGAGAGCCTCATTGATGGCCTCTTGAAGCGCGGCCTTGTCTCCTGCTCCGGGGCCAGCGGCGCCCGAATCGAGAGAGGAGGAGCCAGGCGGTGCCGCTTTGTACTCCTCGAGCTGTTGGGGTGCGATGTTTAGTTGGCGATCCCCTCCTGAACTTCGCAATACACTCACCTTGAGGTCCAGCTCGTTCATCATTTCCTTCACGTCCTTGAGCTCCTTGTTGACGAGATCCTCGTCCATGCGCAACACATCGTCCTTCTCGACGCGTTGGGCTTCGTCGTCAAGCCTAGCCTTGCCCTTACCGTTTGTTCTCACCACGCCCTCTTCCCGAAGCCTCTCTTCAGACTCCGCGACTGCCTTTTCCGTCCTCAGCTCGGCGGCTGCCTCTTGAGCCTTTGCCAGTTCTTCGTCACCCTGCTTTCCACGCTGCAAGAGGCCGAGACGAGCCTCAAGTGCTTCGACTCGCTTGACAAGGGTGTTTTTGGCGCCTTGGACATACTTTTCTGCCTCGCTTCGGCGGCTGGCTTCCGGATGAAATTCGAGGGCAAGACCGAGGCGGAGGTAGGCGTCAGCAAGCCTACGAGAGTGTGGTTGAAGGAGGGGTCCGAGCAAGCCTAGCGAGGTCTCGTAGTCTGACGAGGCTTGCTGGAAGTTCTCTGCACGAGGGGTAAGGGATGAGCAAGCTGCTATATGCCATTCGACGAGTCGAATCCGGGTTGCTCACCTGACTCGAGACCTACGTCTGCCAAGTCGTTCAAGACCTCAGCCAGCTGGGCCTTGATGTCAGTCTCATGCCATGTTTCGCCTTCGACGGTAGCGATCGAGGCCGTCTCGCCGGCGGCAAGAACCTTTTCATAGGTTACGCGAGCCAGCTCCAGGACGCTGAAGGCCGTGCCCAGGTCATCTTCCTCTTCCTCTTCCTCTTGGCCCTCGCCCTGCTCTTCTTCGTCTTCTTCGTCCTCTGCATCCCCGCCGAATGTGAACCGCGGGTCTGCTGTCTCCTTTGACCCCGATGCTGCTGAGCCATCGTTTTAGCAGGGGCAAGCCAGAGCGTGAGATTCCCTTATTCACCTTCAGCGATGGCCTTTTCGCCTTCTTTTTCGCTAGAGGCATTGTCTGCGCGTGCCGAAGCTACCGTCTTGCTTGGTCCGTTTTGTCGTGTCGGCATTGGCGCGTCTTTGCCTCCCCCACCACCACCACCACCCAATGCGCCCGAGGTGGCGATGGCGTGCTCCAGAAGCGCATGACCGTACTTGTGGAAGACGGGGGCCAGGATGGGTGCATCTTCCTCGTGCTCTTCACGACTGTATCGTGTCATCAGCTTCCATTGAACTCAAGAATAAGGTCCTATGATCATCGCGAAAGAGCACTCACAGCTGCTCGAGGACCTCGCCAAACTTATCGGCTGCAGTGGCCCAACGCTTGAACGCAAGATCGCGCTTGGCCTCGTCGAGCAGTTCTCGCACCGGTCGTGCTTGTGCTTCTTGCTCCTGCTCCGAGACATCATCAGCAAACTTTGTGTTGAGGCAAGAGTTGAAGTCTTGACTCACCATAGTCGCTTGCTAGCCGAGCGCTGCCGATTGTAGCTGCTGGTGTTGGTTGGTTGCCTCGATAGAGTGGCACGCTTTCCAAAATTCAAAAAGTCGCGTTGCACATTTGGAGTCAAAATTGGCGCAACGCGTTCGTCGGCCGAGATTCGTGCTCGGTCTGACCAATGCTTTCCGCCCGCCTGCACCGAAACCTTCGCTGCCCGTCACCGAAGCAGGACCATAGATCCGGAACAGGCTTGGGGATGCTCGTCGGTGTCTTTGCAGGTCGCACCGCTTCGGTGCGTGCCGCGACGGGGCTGTCGTCATCACTAGCAGCTCGAGGAAGCCAGTGTCAGGGACTGTCCTCTTTCCTCCGGCCCTTTTCCTCCTCGTCCATTCTTCTCGAGGAGCCGCGAAAAGTGCGAGGGTCACCGACAAATCAGCACTTCTTCTCGCCTTCCTTGTCGAGACCTTTGCTCTTCTTCGAGTCGACACGCCCCTCTCACATCCTCCAAATCGTCCGCGCGCAGTCGACAGATGCAAAGGCGGCGGCAGGCGTCAAGGAGGAGCCAAGCAAAGGCGTTTCAGGGCTTCTTGTGAGGCTGCGCGACCAGCTCCTCGCACAGGCATCGAAATCGGCGTCAAAGGGGGCGGCAGAGGGTGCCACGCCACCACCGACATTCCCGGATGTGCGAAGACTCATCGAGCTGGCCTCAACGCAGCGGCGGACGATCCTCCTCGCCTTGGTGTTCCTCGTCATTAGCGCCAGCATTGCCTTGACGGTGCCACTAGCTATTGGCAAGGTCATTGATTTCTTCACCCAGGCTTTTGAGGCGAAGAAAGAAGGCAGCGACAGCGGTCCGAAGCTCTACGGTCTCAGCCTCGGTACGGTGGCCATCCTGCTCGTCGCCATCTTTGCAACGGGAGCGTTCTGCAAGGCGGGAAGCAACATCATGCTGGAATTGGCCGGCGTGCGTGTGATTCAGCGGATGCGGGAGGCAAGCTACAGTAGTGCGCTGAGGCAAGAGGTGGAGTGGGCCGACAGGGGAGCGGGCGATGTCGTGAGCAGGCTCAGTGTCGATACAAACATCGTCGGCGAGGCAATCACCTCGGACATTGGCGATGGTCTTCGCGCAGGCGTCACGGTTCTCTTTGCTGGCTCGGCCATGTTCTACATCTCTTCGCAGCTCACGCTCCTCATGATGGCCGTCGTGCCACCGGCTGCCATTGGTGCTGTCTTCTACGGACGCTACCTCCGAGACCTCACCCATCGGACGCAGGACGCCGTCGGTGCCATGACAAAGACGGCCGAAGAGCGCCTCAGCCCACCGGCCTTTCGTACTATTGCGGCACACAACACGCAAAAGGAAGAGAGCGAACGCTTCAAGGGAAAAGTGCAGTCAATTGTCGACCTACAGACGAAGGAAGCCTACGCCACCGGCTTCTTCTATGCAGGCACTGGTTTCGTGGGCAACTGTGCCATCCTCACCCTCCTCACCTACGGTGGCTCTCTCGTTGCCAAGGGTACCATTACTGTCGGTGACCTGACCTCGCTTCTCATGGTGAGCACGCTCCCACCCCTCTCCTTTTCCCAAAATCTGCACGTGAACTGACACAATGGCTCTTCTTAGTACACGGCCTATCTGGGAGGTGGTCTTGCGAACCTGACGTCGTTCTTTGCATCGATCATGCGGGGCATCGGTGCGGGCGCACGTGTCTTCCAGCTCATGGACCGTGAGCCAGAGGCCATCCGACTGGGTCACGGCATTGCTCCTCCCTCTTCCCAAGGCAACATCGACTTCACCAGTGTCAAATTTGCCTACCCCTCTCGCCCCTCCCAGCGAATCCTTGACGGTGTCGACATCCACCTCAAGCCCGGCGAGAGCGTGGCCCTGGTGGGAGGAAGTGGTGTGGGCAAGTCGAGCGTGCATGCCCTCATGCTGCGCTTCTACGATCCAGACGCCGGCAGCGTGACGCTCGGTGGCCATGACATTCGCGAATTCAAGCCCGAGGCGCTTCGATCGATGATCGGCGTCGTCACGCAGGACCCGACCCTGTTCGACGGCACCATTGCCGAGAATATCGCCTATGGCTACCCGCAGGCGACTCGGGAGGAGATCGAGGAGGCGGCCCGCCAGGCCAATTGCCTCGACTTTGTCAGACAGCTGCCAAACGGACTCGATACCAACATTGGTGCGAGGCAACTCAGTGGTGGTCAGCGACAGCGTGTGGCCATTGCTCGTGCACTTGTGAGGAAGCCGAGCCTGCTGCTGCTCGACGAGGCGACGAGCGCACTTGACAGCGCTTCGGAGTTCCTCGTCAACCAGGCCATCGAGCGCATCATCCAGGAGGGCAAGATTACCGTCTGGATCGTCGCCCATCGGTTGAGCACGATCAAGTCTGCCGGCAAGATTCTTGTTCTGGACAAGGGCCGCATCGTCGAATCGGGTCCGTTTGACGAACTCGATAGGCCGGGAAGCCGGTTCAGGACGCTAATGGCTGCTCAGCTCGAGGCAAGTGCGCCGATGGCCGTCGAGACCGAGCAACCGGCAGAGGTCGAACCTGACGTTGAAGTGGTGAGGAACGACCGCAACGAGAGCTCGGTGCGTCAATGAGTGAGCTGGCAAAAGAAGATGGTGGCCTGCAGATCAAGCTTTGCTTACCTGGGGCGATCCCTTTTCATTTTCTTGCACCAGTTTTCGAGGCCTGGGACTCGCAGCTTCAGCACGTCTGCTACGAGAAGAGGCCGGGAGGAGAGAGAGGGCGCACTGTCGGTCGAGGACACGGAGCTGGGAATGCCCAAAGAGGCCACCTGGTCCGTTGTTGAGCTCTTGGATCAGGTCAAAGAGGGTCGAGAGATCGGAAAGGAGGAGCTTGCGAAGCTTCACAGACTTGCTGCGTTGGAGATGCCCTCGGACGAGGAGGGGCTGCAACGAACAAAGAGGGACCTTGAAGCCATGATTGGACTCGTCGATGCCGTCCGGTCCATCGAGGTGGAGAAGGGCAACGATGTGGGCGTGGGGAGAATATGGCCCGAGGGGCGCTTCCAGAGGCTGTCTGAAGGACAGCCGGCGGAGGGTTCGAAGGAGACGCTGGACCGGGACAGGCTGCTTGGGCTGGCAAAGAGGACAGAGAGGGGCTTCTATGTCGTGGACCGTCCCAAGGGGGAGCCGAGCGAATAAATTACTACCTATAGACTTTTAGTTCTGGACACAAATCACTGCTTTTGACACAATCACTACTCTCTCTGCAGTCTAATGACACCATTCCACAACTCGTATGAACCTGTGATTGATGACTGATATATAGATACGATTACATGGCAAATGGCTTTCGTGGTATCACTGAGACTTTGCCGCCTTCTCGTTGGATGGACGGTTCGGCAGCCAGACAACGGGATATTTCCTGTACATGGGCCACGGCGGGACGCAGGCCTAGGGGAGCGGTGTCCACTGTCAGCACGCTCAATGATGCGATTGGGGTGTGGGGGGGGGGCCACACTACTCACAACGAGCGCAGCGACAACCGAAGCGCCAAAGATGAGCATGGTGATGTAAAGACTGTCAACAAAGTAGCCAACAAGCCAGGCGACGATCTGCGTTGGGCATTGACTCAGCGACGTGGTGAGGCAAGGAGGGGGGGGGGGGAGTGAGAAAGCTTACCGCGCCCATGACGACAGTCTCTTGGTTGATGCGGTCCGCCAAGCGCTGTCCCTGGAAAGGCTGTGTACAGTGTGAGTATCCTCCTGCATAGATAAGGCAGATGACAAAGAGAAGCTCACGATCTTCCCCTCCAGCGCCTTCTTGATCTGGTCCATCAGCGGTTGTTGGTTGGTCAAGTCAAGGGCGACGAAAATAAGCTCGGTCGCAAGTCACAGTCCTGCCCTTGGCTTGCACTTTGCCACGTGCAATTATTATTCTTGTGGCGAGGGCGCGCGACGTTCGTCCACATTGGAGGGGCTGATGACGTCGATTCCCACCGACCACCTCGACCTCTTTTTTTAAAACCTGACCTTTGGCTCGTCCAGCAGAAGAGACGCTACTTCGCTAGCTCCCGCCACCCATCTTTCTTTTTAGGCTCGCGCCACCTTCGTTAAGCTTATCGCCCTTTTCTGTGTCTTTCCTTTGTCCGGCGGAGGCAAGAAGAGAGAGAGAGGGACAGCAGGCAACGACAGACGGAACGGAACGGTGACGCGGACCTGCGCTTTTTTCTCTCTCTTTCTCTCAATAAAGACGGAGCAGCTCCGCCTTTTGCCCTCTTCTTGACTCCACCACACGGGCGCTGGGGCTCCACTCCTCCGATCTCTCCTTCGACGCTGGGAGTATCACGAAATTGTTTGATCGACAGTCTGCTGCACCATGGCAGACGTTGAGGCTGCGGCGGCGGCCAAAGAGCAAGCCGTGAGTTTTCCTGCTCCAAAGACTCTCCTTTTCAAGCTGTCCTTGGCTCACCATCTCCGATCACCCAGTCAAAGGGAACAACACAGGCCGACGTAGACCGAGCAGCGGCAACGGTGACACCAGGCGACGTGAACAGCATGTCGCCCGAGATCATCGACATGGACATTTTTGGCCAGCTCCTCGAGATGGACGACGAGGACGACCGAGAGTTCTCCAAGGAAATTGTCTGGAACTACTTCGATCAGGCCGAAAGCACCTTTTCCAAGATGGACCAAGCGCTGTGAGTGTGTCCATCCCCCCTTTCTCAACGCTGTGGAGTGCTAAGATTAGTGAAAATGCTGCTCCAGGTCGAAAAAGGACCTGCCGGAACTGTCGACATTGGGGCACTTTCTCAAGGGGAGCAGCGCGGCCGTCGGCGTAATCAAGGTTCGGGACAGCTGCGAGTACATGCAGCACTACGGCAAGAAAGCAGACAAGGACGGCATCACGGAATTGTCTGCTGAGGCGGCCTTGGAGAAGCTCACGACGACGCTCGAGGGCGTCAAGATCGAGTATAAGGAGGCAGAGGTGGCTCTGAGGAAATTCTACGAAGACGACGAAGGCGAAGACGGGGAGAATGAGGCAGAAGAAGACGAAGAGTAAAGGTTGCAGGGAATTTCAATGCGAAGACTTAGAGTCTCTTCGACCACCAGCATCACCACCACAGCAGTGCGAGTGCGCCCAACTGTCAAAGAAAGAAAGAAACTGTATCATTTTTTTTCCTCCTCCTTGTCTTGTTCGTACACACTCTCTTTTCACTCCAAACAACTCCCCCTTGCTATTTGTCTCATTTCGTAAAGACGGCGGACAGGAGCGAGGTAGGCTCCTCAGTAACGAATGCTAAATAAAGGGTTCAGCAGCAGTGAGATCGACTTTGGGGCAGAAAATAAGGAAAAGTTGCGACGTGACCCAAAAAGAAAGGCAGTGAATGACGCGCGCTCAAGTCCAATCCATCCCTCTCGAATTACTTCCCCGCATCCACCGCCCGAGGAAATAGAGGATTGGAGCGACGGCGACGCAGGCAAATAAAGGCCAAGATTAGAAAGAAAGGGAGAGGGCTTCGACTGGACATGGCGGCCAGTACTCAGGGCCAAGCGCCGGCGGCGACGCTGCGGAGGCTCATGAAGGAGTACCAGACGGAGCAGCAGCAGGCCGCCTCGTCTTCATCGGGATCGAAAGCGTCGACGAGGGATGAGAACGTGTTGAGGCTCGCGCCGCGGGACGCAGACGCTGGCGACCTGCTGCAGTGGGATGCCACGCTGCGAGGGCCCGTCGGTGGGGCCTATGAAGGTGGGTGCCCTTTCCTGTTGCCAATTTCCTTCCAGGCTCGCTGATCCTTGTTCCGCTGCGGAGCAGGAGGGCTGTTTGACGTAGCCATCACCGTGCCCACCACCTACCCCACCAAGCCGCCCTCGATGAAGTTTGTGTCGAGAATATGGCATCCAAATGTCTCGTGGAAGGTAAGCTCTCCGTTGCTTTGCCGACTGTCTCCCAGCTAGCTGACAAGTCTCGTGGGATCTCAGACGGGAGAGATCTGCCTCGACGTCCTTAGCTCGCAATGGTCACCCGCCTGGACGCTCTCGTCAGCATTGACGGCCGTCGTTGCGTTACTCGATGCACCCGAGCCCGACAGCCCGCTCAACGTCGATGCCGGTGAGCCTTCTTGCTTCTTCTTAAGCTTCAAGGTTCGTCACTGATGCAACCACATCCACACAGCGACCGTCTTTCGAACGGGCGATCAGAGAGCATATAGGACCATGTGCCACATGTATACACTCTTACATGCTGCTCCTTGAGAGCGCCACATCTGCATTGTACTCTACGCCTGCCGCAATCATACTCTTTGTCGTCATCGCCATCGTCATTCTTACCGCTCGCTGACTGTGACCAGCGAGATCCGGCCGAGAGGAGCCCGAGTGGACCGGTCCTTTTTTTTTCTCCCTCATGATTGATTACTTGCACACACTTTCCAAATTTTTTCAAAGCCAATCGGAAGAAAATTGAGGCAGAGGTCGGTCGTGCGCGCGCGTTTTCTTTGACTCGAATTCACTTTTGCGCCCTCGTCTTCCTCCTCACCCTTGCTAGCTAGACGTGCTAGCTAGACGTGCGCGCAAATTGAGCGCAAGCGTCGAGATCATGACTGCCACGATGACTGCCACGACCTCCTCCTCCTCAGCGGCGGCGGCGGTGGGAGCGACAGACTATTCGGTGGGCACCTCGATCCCGCCTGCGACTGCACACGCCGTGAGCGTGAGCCTTCCCCGGTGGCAGGACAATGTCGACTACGAGGAGGGCCGGCTGACCGACGTCATGGAGACGGGCTACCCAAGGTTCTTTATCCACAAGAATGTCCAGCGACTCGCGAGCATGTGCCTGCGCAAATTCGGACAGGCCAGTGTGGCGTGGTACCCGCCGGGCCAGAAGGACGAGGGCAGCGGCGGCGGCGGCATCGTCAAGGTCAGGGCCGAGGCCGAGAGCTGCCTGCTTGTGCCTTCCGTCAATGTCGCCAATCGGTGTCGCGCCTTTATGCAGCGCCAGCATGCGCTTCAGCACAAGCAAGCAGGGACGACTGCGCCCGCACCGCTAAGCGTCCGCATCGTCCACTTTGACCTCGTCGCTCGGGAAGAGAGTCCCGCCGAGGTGTTGTCCATCTACATTGTCCTCTTTCCCGCGCCGGCGTTCCCTCTCGCCAAGTCTTTCTGGCAGCACACGGGCGATGGAATCAGCAGCAGGAGGGCCGAGACAGCACTAAAGCTGCTTGAGCAGACAGGCAAGCTCGAGGCAACGGCGGCAGAAGCCGAGAAGCCGCCACCGCCGCGGGCGCCACAGCCAGATGAGCGAAGCTACTCTCGCAACCGCCACTATGCACGCGCCAAGACGACGATGATGATGCCTTCTTCATCGTCTTCGTCGTCTTCGTCATTGTCAAATGGCCTTCCTGCAGGCTCCTCGACTCCCGTCGCTCTGAGCACATCGTCGTCGAGCGCCTCCCTCCTCCGCAATGCAGGAGACTCCTCATCGTCGCCTTCCATCACCTCTCCCTCGATGAACCATTCGGAGCATGGCGAAGAAGCTGTCGACAAGCTCTGCTCGGACCATGCCACGTACGTCGAAGAGCGATACGGCCGGAACATGCCGCGCGCGCAAGCACCAAAGGCCAAGCTGGCTCTGCGCAGGCGGATTGCAGGTGTGGCGTCGGGCGAGGGTGCCCAACGCCACGAGCGATCGGCCGCCCCCAGACTGAGCGAAGACGATGTGTTTCTCTTTCCCAGCGGCATGTCTTCCATCTTCCATGCACACCAGGCGGCCATGAGGTGGCAGAGGAGAAGGAGACAGCCTCCAACTACGGGACATGACGACGGCAACGACGACGACGATGACGACGACGTTGGCCAGGCCGTCTGTTTTGGTTTTCCCTACACGGACACGCTCAAGATTCTGCAAAAGTGGGGCCCCGGCTGCTGGTTCTATGGAAATGGCACCGACTCCGATTTGGACCAATTCGAGGCGAGGTTGGCCTCTTCTCCTCCTGGGTCCGTCCTCGCCCTCTTTTGCGAGTTCCCCTCGAACCCGCTGCTCAGGACGCCAGACCTAGCCCGGATCAGGACGCTAGCAGACACCCACGGCTTTCTGATCGTCGTCGACGAGACGATTGGCAATTTTGTCAACGTCGAGGTGCTTCACTTTGCAGACATTGTCGTCAGCAGCATGACAAAGATCTTTTCGGGCGAGACAAACTGCATGGGCGGCTCCATGGTTCTCAATCCGCGCGGAAGCCACTACGCCGACCTGCATGCCGTGCTCAAGGACGAGTACGAGGACAACTACTTTGGAGACGATGCCGTTTTCATGGAGCGCAACAGCCGCAGCTTCGTCGACCGAGTCGCCAAGATTGACATCAATGCAGAGGCCCTCGTTGACCTGCTCTGGAAGGAGAAGGAGCGGGGCTCGAGCGTCGTCAAGGGTGTCTTTTATCCCAAATATGTCACTCGGCAACACTACGATGCCTGTCGAAGACCCAACGGTGGCTTTGGCGGCTTGTTCTCCCTCACTTTCCAGAGCACCGCTGCCGCCACTGCGTTTTACGATGCGCTCAAGTGCGCAAAGGGGCCGTCGCTGGGCACAAACTTTACCCTGGCGAGCCCCTACTGCATCCTGGCCCACTACGGCGAGCTCGACTGGGCAGCCCGGTTTGGCGTGGAGAGCAACCTGGTCAGGATCAGCGTCGGCCTCGAGGAGACGGGCGCGCTGCTGACCATGTTCAGCACGGCCCTCGAAAAGGCCAGAGTGGCCACTTCCTAAGTCACAGTCAATGTTGATCATCTGCCTCTCTGCTTCTCTTTATGTCTGATTTCTTTTCGATTGGGCCGTAAATTCTGGGAGTGTTGTACATTTGGCTTGGCTTCTGTCGTCTTCTCGCTGTTCGACCCGGAAAGGCCCCCCTCTTTACGGTCGCTGAAATGGCTTTGCTCTCATCGGACGACGCTACCACCCCTTGCTGCTGTTGATGCCGCGTTGTTCCTGGCCTCTATGCGCTTGGCATTGACTGAAAAGAGCTGCAGTTTCAAGCGCCCTTCAGCCACAGCTCCCGTGAAAGGATAAATAGAAAATTGGACACTCACATGGTACACGACGATGAGGACCATGCCCAGGCTTCCGAGCCAGTTGCTGAGCGCAGCGAGCTGCACGTCGTTGATCATCTTCGTTCGGCAAGGGCCTCGGTCGATGCTGGTTGGCAGGAAGAAGCTGCTCTGTGAATTCGTGCGACGAGCCAGCGCGTCGACCCCGGCCGAGCTGGAATTCTAACATTATTAGCTTGGGACCGTGCGCGCGAGCGCCGCTCGCACCTTCTTTCACACACCCAGGATACCCACTCGCAAAGCCAACAGGCAAGGATTGAGGATGTCGCAAAGAAGCGGCGGTGGCGGTGGCGGTGGCGGTAGCGGCGGCGGAGGAGGCAGCACAGGCTATGGTGCACCGCGGTACGCCTCGTCTGCCTCTGTCCCACTTGGCTCTCGACATCACCGGCTGGCCAACACGCCTCGCACGCGGACCGGATCGGGCTACCAGGAGCCTCGCGTACCGCAGCCTCCCCTCTTTGCCGGCGCCTTGGCCGACTTTCTCGCCACTGTGCCCCCACCCACGCAGTGGCCCTCGATACTCGTCCAGACGTTCATCACCGATCCCCTCGCGTCGCTCTTGGCCTCGGCCCTTGCCCTCGTCCTGAGCCCGCGCACCCATCGCCTCGTCCTGAGGCTCGGTGTGCTCGGTGCCCTCTTCTGGACCGCCCTGAGCCTCGCTGTGATTGCCTACGTCGGCTTCTACAGGGCCTGGGTGCCCGACATTGGCGTACACCGACGAATCTGGCTGCAGTATGGCCACGACGTGCCCCCCTTTGCCGACGTGGCTCTCACCACGGCCGACGGCGCCAGAAGCATCTTTGCCGAGGACCAGGCCTACGACGTCAACCTGGATCTCGTCGTCCCGCTCAGCGCAGCCAACATCGATCTGGGCAACTTTATGGTGGAGCTCGATCTGAGGACAGGTCTCAACCATACAGTCGTGTATGCCAGCAAGCCTGTGAGTTTGTGCTTCTTGCCCCCTGCTCTAGCCTGCGCACTGACGAGAGAAGAAACAAAGGCCATGATCGTCCATGAGCCGGCACCAGTGCGAGCGATGAATCACTTTGTGTATGCGATTACGCGCGACCGCGCATCGCTGAAGCTGCCCACTTCAACACCACCCGTGCAGCTCTTGACAATCAGCCTGCTGGACCGTGCGATTCTTCAGCCTGCGCCGACTTCGCATCCCTTTGCCCCCCATGGCGAGGACCTGGCCGTCACGAATGCGCACCTCTCCGTGGGACGGCACGACAGTCTCAAGTACTGGATCTATGGCGGTGGCCACGGAGTCGGTGGCGTCGACGTGCTCGAGAGCGGCAAGGGTATCATCAATGCCGCCTCTGCCGCCCAGGGCTTCCGGAGCAGGGGAGAGCTGCAGACGTATGGCGCCAGCCTCCGCTTTGACGCGCATCTCACCGGTCTCAGGTCAGTGATCCCTCTTTGTCCTTATCAAGAGTCCACCATGCTGATAGCGTGCCTTGCCCCTTCATCAGGTACTTTATGTACCATCACCCGCTCGCCTCCTTCTTGATCTTTGTGACGCTCTTCATGACCTTTGAGATGGTGTCGGCCCTGACGCTCTGGGTCATTGCCGCCGTCTACACGTCGTCGACCATGGCTGGACTCGGCGGCGACGGTCTCGCCGTCGAGGACAACTTCCGCGGAACGAGGCAGTACACGACTACCACCTCTGGCGAAGAGGCAGACGAAAGGGCAGGCGATGCCACTGGAAGGGACCTCGCAACGGAAGGGGAAGAGGAAGACGACGAAGACGACGATGAGGGAGGCGACACGGAGACGGAGACGGACGCGCGCCAGCGCTCGAGGCAGAGCCTGGCGGCGAGGGACCAGGAGGAGCGCTACGAGGCAAGGCGAGCCGCGGCGCTGCGGGACATGCAGCAGGGCAGGCTCATGACGGCTGTTGGCGGCGACGAGGGCGAGGATGACCTGGACGACGAGGAGCAAGTGGGCCTGCCGCAAGAAGAGATTCCGACGCAGGCCAGGAGGGTCTTGGGACGGCTCGACGAGGAGACCGAGGAAGAGACTGACTTTGGCGCTGGAAGCAGTGCCCTCGGGGACGATGACTACGATGACGGCGAGGGACTGGGTGCGCGGGGCTGGGAAGACATCCGGGGCGATGAAGAGCAGGAGCAGGAGGAGTCGCAGCGAGCTGGGCCGTCTGGTCTGAGGCGCAGAAAGGGTACAGAGAGCATCGGTCCCGAGAGCACAATCGGAGGGGTGAGTCTGGACCTAGGCCTCTTTCCTTCTATGAGTTAGTAAGGGACTGACATTGGGGCACAAGTCTTCCACTTCTCGCGCCTCATCGGCAGCACGCTCATTTGGCGCAACGACGAGCGCCAGCCGTGCCTCGTCGGTCACGACGGCCGCACCCAGCGGCCCAGCGTTCCGCCAAGAGCAGCCGCAGATCAAGGAGGAAGACGAGGAGGAAGACGAGTCGAAAGAGTCCGAGACCCCCGTCCAGGGCGAGCCGCAAGAAAAGGGACAGGATCCCTCTACGTCAGACGAAGCAGACGAAGAGAGCGAAGGTCAATAGGCAGCGATTCGAGCTATCGATACCCATTCTGTTCTGTGCATTTCCTCTCCCTCCTTTCGGTATTCTCCTTCTTTCATGTTCTCTCTCGTCTTGTCCCCGTGGAAATCATCAAATTTCATGAGCGTCTACACTATACTGCTACTACTATTGCTGAGCATACGCCCAATCAAGCATCGACTTTGCGCGGGCAAAGGTGATGTTGAAGATGGGATGGGTTACTTGAACCTCGTTTGCAGACTTTGCCTTGCCCTGGCCGTTTTCCTTTGCAGCAGCAGCGTGGCCGAGGACATGCGTGTCACGCTCGTCGAATGTCCAGCCAAGGCACGCTGCGTAGCAATTCGCCCGCCACACGTCGCTGCCTATCCCGCTCTGCTGCTTGAACCTCTCTGTCCAGCGCCTCCGGGCGTCCAGATCGAGTCGGATCCAGTGCTGGCACAGCGAGAGGCCCGACAGGTTGTACGACGTGTGGTATGCGTCAGACGGCTTCCCCGGTTTATCTCGGAGACCGCCCGTCTTGGGATTCTGGGCCACGAGCAGGATGTAGGCTTGCAGGGCGCTGCGGTCCAGGAGCAGGCCATCGTCGTGACGCGGGACCAGCAGAGAGTCTATGTGTGAAGCTGAAAAAGTCAGCATCTTCTATAAGAGAGCGCGCGCGCGCGAAGTCGACTCACCATCTTCGTCCTCGTCGAGGCTCTCCCAGTCATCGCTTGTCCCCCCTCCCCCGCCGCCACCGCCGCCGCCATTGTTGCTATCCACAGAGCCTGCTTCTGTTGTCTCGTCGTCTGCCGTTGCATCAGCCCACCACTGCTCGTCGTTGTCGCCCCTCAGCGTCATGAGGCCGCCCAGGCACGTGAAGAGCCCACCGCCGGAGAACCAGCCGTAGCAGCCATCGACGAGCTTGTTTGTCCTGCCCCGCATGCCGCCGCCCTCCACGGCGGTCCCCTGCTGCCAGACGGCCCATCTCAGCGCTGCGTCCAGGTCCAGCTTCGACGAAGCAGCAGAGTTGTCTACCGACCACTGCCGCCCGCTCGACGAAGCTGCTGCCGCTGCTGCTGGTGCTGCAGCAGCAAAGGCAGAGGGCCCGGACGAGGTTGCGGGGAGAAGGCTCAGCGCCAAATGGCACGCAATTGCACAATACGTGTAGCCGCCGTGCGCTTCGCCTAGTGATGGTGGCGCAGAACCTCGCTCGTAGGCGCTTGCGGCCAGGCCTCCCTCGTACGTCTGGCAGCGCGCCACGGCGTCCCCCACACCTGCAAACAGCTCTGGAGTGGCGATGCCGAGCAGCAGCGAGACGGTGATCACGCAGTACGTCGCTCGGACGTCGATCTCGCCATCCTTGTGTACAGTGAACGATCCGTCGGGCTGCTTGAGAGAGAGGAGGAACGCATAGAGCTTGTACCTGTAGGGTAAAGAGAGAGCTTCGTCATCAGAGGGAAGGCGGTTCAGTGTACAGGGCAGATTGGGACTCACCGATCAATGGCATCCCAGCCTCCTTTGCCAACATCGACGCTGTATCCCATCGCGACATCATCCTCGTCCGGACAGGGGCCCGGCCCGCCGACGATGGCGAGCGCCATGATGGCCGCGTAGGTGCACATGAGATGCCCACGGTGGCCGGGTGAGCCGCCGAAGCCGCCCTCTGTGGCATCCTGGCAGTGTATGAGCGTCGATATGAAGCGCGCACGGAGCTTGGGGTCCTGCTCCTCGATGGGCTCGCCCAGGAGGCTGTGGGTGTGTGCGATCCAGTAGAGGAGCCAGACGCGCGTCGAGTCGAAGCCGACGTAGGCAGCTGGCAGCGGATTGAGAATCCGATCGACAAAGGCAAGGTGCCGCCGCCTGTCGAGATCCGGCAGCGGCTTCCGCTGCTCGGGCAGCACTTGTCCTGTCCTGATTGGCCCGCCTTTTGTTGTGCTGGCATCGGCATCAGCACGGGCATCAGCACCGTCTGAGAGCGTGATGGAATCCGACGCTCCGCGGTAGTAAGGCTGGACGCATTCCCAGATCGTCCTTTCCACCGCCTCTTGCTCCTCAGACGTGGGCGTCTCTGTGTCGTCGACGGGCGTGCTCCAGACGGGTTGGACAAGGATCGACATGAGGAACAGGACGGGATCTCCAGGACAAAGAAGGAAGAGCGTCGGACTTGAGAGGGGAGAGAGTAGCAAAAATTTAAAGCTTTCTCTCCTCCGTTGCACCGCGTGCACGGACGTGGAAATAGAGACAGACGACCCCGGACAAAGGGAAGAGCGAAAACAATGAGAACTGGCGCAAATATACACTACTGTACAGTAACATTTGAGGAAAAAGAGAGGACAAAGGGACTCTGGGTGCTCAGTCTCGGGGAGGCGACGTCAGCCCAGGCCCACTCGGTTCTCGAGCCATGACCGTGTCGAGGGCCGACATTTCATCGCGAATCACCTGACGGGCCAGCCCGTCGAGCTCCTTGGTCACTTGGCCGATGTATTTCTGCGTCTTTATCAGTAAAAGGGCTCATAGACAAGCGCGTGTGCCAAGCAGACCCACCTTAAGCTTGCTGTCGGCTTTGGTGATGAGGTCGGCCATGCCGGCCGTCGGGGTGGAGACGGGGTCGCTGCCCATCATTGTGACCGCGGGCGAGGTAGAGGCGTCTGAGTTGAAGGAGACTGCGCTTGCACTCATCGCACTGAATGCAGACGATGGTGGTGCTGGTCCGAGATAGTAGAGGAAGCGGTAGTAGACCTCGGAGAGGATATCGCACAGCGACATCATCGTCTGACAAAAGTCGAGCTGAAAGGGCTGTGGACGAGAATCGGTCAGACAGTCGTCACAGCTCAGTCTAGCGCGCCCGTCACTCACCACTGACGCTCCGATGAGGTCGCCCGCCATGGTACCTCCCGGTCCAATACCCGAAGCACCACCTTCAAAGCTTGACGCAAGATCGGGGGCCAAGCTGCCCATGGTATTGCCCCTTTTCGATCCTCTAGAAATGCTGTTCTTGAAGAAATTTTTCATCTTGGTCTTGTCCTTGTGCTCTCCCTCGCTTGCGGCCTCGACGTCATTGATGACAGCGATAATGCCCCGGACAAGGTCTTGCCCCTGGGAGAGCTCGAGGACAGGCGCCAGAGAGCAGCCGAGGGTAAAGTATTTGGACGTACGCTTGGCCGTGCGGCTGGGCTCATACAAGCCGTCGAGGTCTCGGCGCGTGAGCCGGACCGTGTCGAGCCACGTCTGCGGGGGGTGGCCGGCATCGACGGCAAAGATGCGCTTCAAATAGGCCAGTGTCCGGATTCTGCGCATCATTGTTTCTCGCAGTTGGGCATCGGCCTGAGCAGGAGAGACCCCCAGTCGGTCAGTCGGCGGGAGTATCATGGGAGTGAAGGGGGCGCATATAACTCACCGCGGAGCCGCTCGTGGAAGCAGTCAGGCTCGCACCACCGGCAAAGGTGCTTGCAAAGGTGCTCGAAGAAGCAGTGCTGGGGGCATGGTGGTGATTCTGCTTGCCGTGCTGCTGTTCAAACGGGTTGCTACCCCCTGTGCCAATCGAGGGCGAGACCGAGGGAGAGAGACCCTCGCTCGAGTAGGCCCCACTTCCCAGCTGTGGCGGGAGCGGGATGGTGGACGCGCCAGACGAGAGCGAAGACGAAGTGGGGACCTGACTCAGCGTGCTCTGCGCATTGCTGCTCCGTCTCCCAAATGCAGACGGCATGGCGACGGCGATCTCTACGAGCTCCAAAAGGGCTGCGAAATTGAGGAGTTGCGACTTTAGGCGCGTCTTGCAGCTGGGGGCGTCGGGACGCGGAAGTCGTATCTGTCTTGTTCAGAGTCGGCCGCTGGAAGGCCCCTTCGACGCGGCAGCGGACTCAGTCGCCAATCGCTGGTGCAGTGCTTCAGTCCTCCTGCACACAAGACTCGTCATGAGCAAGCTCTGATGTACATACTCTTGTCAGAGCTGCAAATGAGAACGGTGATCCCTTGTCTGATGTCACAATGAGGCGACAAGAGCAGCCCCCTCTGAAGAGAAATACGTCTGTGGTGCGTGCCAGACTGCACTCGGCTGGAGAGCGACAGACAGACAGGGGTTCTGCCACGAAGGGAAGGTCGTGAATAAGCTCAGCGGCCTTCGCGATTGCCTTGAACATTGAGAAAAGGCAGAAAACAAAATGCTCTGAGGCCGAGCTTCAAGAGAGCTAGCCAACTTCGTCAGCATCTTCCTAGTGCTGAGCGCCTCGACGTCGATCCAACAGTCCGCATGCACGACAGGCGAGGAACAAACAGCTGGATTCTCACATGTCGTCTCAAGGCGAGCAAGGGCGAGTCATCCTCATCTTGTAGCTAGCTACCGTTCCCATGACTCCCGCCAAAAGTTGCCTCCAAGGTTCACTGGCTGCGCTTTAGAGAACATTCGCATTCTCGTACTCTTCATCCACATGCAGCACTTCCTGCTCTTTCCGCAGAGAGAGCTGTGTGCTTCGTATGCTGATTGCGGGATGCTCGCTGCGTTCTATGGAGATGAATCTCGGCGTGCGCATCTATCCACCTCCATCACGCTTGCCTCTTCGTGCTGAGCACTCGCATCCGCGTCATCGATGCTCCGACGGCCACATTGGTGGTGCTATAAGGGCTAAGCCCACGATGCGAATTTGGCCAGCAGGTGCAGGCATACTAATGATCAGTCACTGGGCTCAGAGCGTGCGGTCCATCCGACGCTGGAAGATCTTTGGTTGTGAAGAGGCGGAGCAGATGGGTGGTCGGGATGTGCGCGCAGCAATTACGAGATTTGTGGGGAGAGACAAGACGCAAACAGAGACACACGAGCAGGGAGGAAAGAAAGGCATCAAAAGGCTTCATTGCAGTGTGACAAGAGCAGAAAGGACAGACATACCTCCTCCGCGGCGGAAGAGACCCCGCGAGGAACGACGGGACGCCATGCCGAAGGAGGGCGGATGGTGTGGGTGAAAAATTCCCAATGGCCGAAGCACAATGGAGCTTGTGAACATGTTTGTTTGCAACCAGCAATGCTTCTCCCTCGGATTTCTCCTCACGGGGTAGAAGGTTCACCCATGCAGAAGAATGAAGAAGAAGAAGGAGATGGCCAGCAACGAGGTGTCTAAATACTTTCGCGGATGTCAGCACACGTGACCTCTTCTCACTTCACTCCTCACAGGCTCACGTGAGCCAGCCGGAAGGGGTCCAATCCTCGCTCAGATGCACACTTGAGCGACCCTAGAGCACAACTTAATGTAGATCAGTCGTGTAATGATTGCCAGACCCAAGGGTCGGGATCACCATCTCCTTCTCGATCCACCACGCAAACTGACGAAGAATGGCAAGTCCGCGCATCGCTGAGCGGTGCGGACGGTGCGGCGATGGGCTTTGCTGCTTTGAACGCGTCTTTCACACCCCCTGATGCACGTGGCGTTCGGTCACACCGAAACGCCGAATTCCGGGGTGGGTCCAGCTAGGCCCATGGAAGGCAGGTGAATGGAGGCGCTGGCCACTCGCTCTTTCCTTTATCCCCGTTCCCCTCACTCCACTACCACCATCATCTCCATCTAATCTCCCGTTAAACACATCTGTGCAAAAATGGTTGCCATTCCAAAGGGAAAGCAGAACGTCCTCGCCAAGACTGACGACGATGGTGAGTGGCGAGAGAGAGAATGTGGAGAGGAATGATAAGCTCACCCACCCCTCCTCTCCGCAGTCGTCATCGTCTCGGCGCTCCGGACGCCCATCACCAAGGCCAAGAAGGGCGGTCTTGCCCAGGCGTGAGTGCATGTCCTTGCCCACCTCTCCGTGCCTATTCGAGCTAACGCAAAACATCGCAGCTGCCCCGAGGACATGCTCGGCCACGTTCTCAAGGGTGTCATCGCTCAGTCCAAGATCGACCCCAAGCTCGTTGAGGACGTCGCTGTCGGCAACGTCCTGCCTCCCGGTGGCGGTGCCACTGTTGCGCGAATGGCCACCCTCTGGGCGGGTATTCCCAACACGGCTGCCGTCAACACGCTCAACCGCCAGTGCTCGTCGGGTCTCGCCACCGTCAACCAGATTGCCAACCAGATCGCCCTCGGCCAGATCGACGTTGGTATTGGTGCCGGCGTGGAGAGCATGACGCAGAACTACGGTGCTGGTGTCATGCCCGAGAAGTTCTCGGACGAGGTCATGGCCAACGAGGAGGCGGCCGACTGCCTGATGCCCATGGGTATCACCTCGGAGAACGTGGCAAAGGAGTACAACATCTCGCGCCAGAAGCAGGACGAGTTTGCCGCAAAGTCGTTCGGAAAGGCTGCCAAGGCCCAGAAGGATGGCAAGTTCAAGAGGTGAGAAGAGTTTGGAACAAATTTTTTTTTTTTTTTTTTGCTGACGTTGATTATTTACAGCGAGATTGTCGCCGTCAAGTACACCGACGACGACGGCAACGAGCGGACGGTCGACCAGGACGACGGCATCCGCGAGGGCGTCACCGCCGAGTCGCTCGGCAAGCTCAAGCCTGCCTTTGACAAGAACGGTTCGACGCACGCCGGCAACGCCTCGCAGGTCAGCGACGGTGCCGCCGCCGTGCTCCTCACCCGCCGAAGCGTGGCCAAGAAGCTCGGCCTGCCCATCCTGGGCAAGTACGTCACTGGCGCCGTTGTCGGTGTCCCGCCCAAGATCATGGGTGTCGGTCCGGCCTACGCGATCCCCCGCGTCCTCGAGCTTACCGGCCTGTCCAAGGACGACATTGACATCTACGAGATCAACGAGGCCTTTGCTTCGCAGGCCGTCTTCTCGGCCGAGAAGCTCGGACTCGACTTCAACAAGGTCAACCCCGTCGGCGGTGCCATTGCCCTGGGCCACCCTCTTGGCTGCACAGGCTCGCGACAGATTGCCACGGGCCTGGCCGAGGCCAAGCGCGAGAAGAAGCAGCTCCTCGTCACCTCCATGGTGGGTATTTTCCCTTGCCCCTACTAAGACTTGCTTTCTTTTCTTCTTTGACTGACATTCACTTTTCCTCAATCAGTGCGTCGGCTCCGGCATGGGAATGGCTGCTGTCATTGTCAACGAGCAGTAGATATCTTTGTCTCCCTTTCATAGCTTATGTCCTCTTCATAGGTCATTATTTAAAAGAATTTTGTGCATTCCAGAGCCTCGGCGCATGATGAAAATCGAGGAAGAGAAAGACTGTCTAGTTCTTGACCCAGATGTCGACAAACTCGTGTGCGGGCATCTTGAGGAGCGCATCGTGGTTGTCAATGAGGCCGAGGATCTGCTTCTTCTTGGCATCGTCAAAGTGGCCGTCGAGGTGCTTCTCGAGCTTGGCGGCAATGAGGGGGATGGCCTCCTCACGCCTGCGCGCGTGGCCCACAGGGTAGTCGAGGCCGTGCGAAAGGGTGCTGCCGTCGTTGAACTCAATCGTGACCGTGTTGCCGATGGAGCGCTTGTCCTGCTCGAGGTACTCCTTGGTGTAGGTGGCGTCCTCCTCGCAGTACGTCTTCTCACGCAGCGCATCGATGCGCGGGTCGGCGGCAAAGTCGTCGTTGTACATCTGCGGCTCCAGCTTGCCGTGGATGAGGGGCACGGCGACCATGTACTGGATGCAGTGGTCTCGGTCGGCGTAGTTGTTGAGCTTGCCCTGCTTGGAGATGATGCGGATGGCGGCCTCCTGCGTCTTGATGGTGATCTTCTTGATGTCGTCCGACGACTTACCCGCGTCCTTCATCTGCTTGTGCAGGATCACGGCCGACTCGACGGCCGTCTGGGAGTGGAACTCGGCAGGGACGAGCTTGAAGAGGACGTTTTCCATGACGTACGAGCCGTAGGGCCGCTGGAACTCGAAGGGCTTGCCCTTGAAGAGGACGTCGTAGAAGCCCCACGTCTTTGCCGTCAGCACCGAAGGGTAGCCCATCTCGCCCTTCTTGACGAGGAGGGCAAGGTTGACGGCGCGCGAGCAGGCGTCACCGGCGGCCCACGACTTGCGCGAGCCGGCGTTGGGCGCGTGGCGGTAGGTGCGCAGCGACTGGCCGTCGACAAAGGCCTGCGAGACGACGTCGACAGTCTGGTCGCGCGTGTTGCCCAGCATCTTGGACACGACGGCGGCCGAGGCGACCTTGACGAGGACGACGTGGTCGAGGCCGACGCGGTTGAAGCTGTTCTCAATCGCGATGCAGCCCTGGATCTCGTGGGCCTTGATGGCGGCCGTGAGAATGTCCTCGACGGTGAGGGGCGCCTTGCCGTTTGCGACGTTGGTCCTCGACAGCCAGTCAGCGACGGCCAGGATCGAGCCGAGGTTGTCCGAGGGGTGGCCCCACTCGGCGGCGAGCCAGGTGTCGTTGAAGTCGAGCCAGCGGATCAGGGCGCCGTTGTTGAATGCGGCGCGGATGGGGTCGAGCTGGAAGTTGGTGCCGGGAACCTTTGCTCCGTTGGGCACAACGGTGCCCTCAACGACAGGGCCCGTGACGGCACGAGCGCCGGGGAAGCGGAGCGCCTCCATGTGGCAGCCGAGCGAGTCCATGAGGCAGAGCCTGGCCGTGTTGTAGGCCGTGTCGCTCTTGATCTCATAGTTGTGCACGTAGTCGGCAATGTCCTGCAGCACCTGGTCGTATGGCGGGCGGACGTTGTCCTCGCCGAGACCGACACCACCAGCCATGGCGCGCGATGAGACGGAAAAGGCGCGGGTGACGCTGTTGTTCCTGGTGGCGGCGTTGCTCTGCGACGCAGTCCTCGTGGTAGCTGAGGCAGTGGCGACCTGGCTGCTGCTGCTGGCAGCGCGCAAGAGAGAGAGGGAGCGGGTCGAAGAAGGCTTGCTGACGACGGCGCGAAGGGCAGGGCGAGCGGCGGCAAGGTGGTGCATTGCTCTGCTCCAAGCTTGCACAGTCAGCTTCAGCACAGCAACCAGTCTCTCGCCATGGCATATTCCGCTATACTCACAGCCAGAAGAGTGGTGGAAGGGAGAGAGAGAGGAGACCAAGGAGGAGTGAGAAAGGGAACCAAGAAGATCTCTCCGCCAGTAGAAGAAGGAATGCAACCGAGAGCGGCTAGCGGACCTGCCACCGCGCTCAGACCGGCCGAGAAGCTTTCATGAATCGGTTCACGCGTCTGCCGGTCCCGACCAGGCCCGCTCAATCCGATGGAAGAAAATCGCACACGCACACGCACACGCACACGCACACGCAGACAGACAGACAGACAGACAGACAGACAGACAGACAGACTATTTAGCTAGTGTAGCAGTGCAAGGCTTTGTTGAGATTCGAATAGAGTTCATTGTCATCAGATGGCGCTGTAGTCCATCTTGCTCTCGTGCGTCTTGGCCTCCATGACCTTTCTCGCCGCCTTGATCATATCTTCTTGAATCACGTAGTCGCGGTCATCGCGAATGGCCATCATGCCTGCCTCTGTCACCACGTTCCGCAAGTCGGCCGCATTGGCCCCGTCTGTGAGCTTGACAACGGCCTCGTAATCGCTGTGCAAAGCCAAGTCGGTCAGCACCGGAAGCTCGCTGCTGCTTGTGTAAAAGAGACTCTACCCACAGTTCATCGCGCTTGGCCACAGGTCTGGCGTGAATCTTGAGAATGTCAAGCCGCGCCACTTCGTTGGGCAGCGGAATCTCAATCTTTCGGTCGAGTCGTCCGGGTCGCATCAGAGCCGGGTCCTGTGCGCCAAGTTTTTAGTCTACTTTGGTGTCTCCGTCTACTGTCAAACTAACTCACGAGGGTGTCTGGTCGATTCGTGGCAAAGATAATCTTGGTCTTTCCCAGGTAGTCGAAACCATCCATCTGGTTCAGGAGCTGTCGGGGATTTTCGTCAGTTTCTCCTGACCCGTGCTAGAGCAGATATTCAAGACGAACCTCCATCAAGGTCCTCTGAATTTCGCGGTCGGCACTGGTACCCTCGCTGAATCTCCGGCCTCCAATGGCGTCAATCTCGTCCATGAAGATGCTGTGACAGGCAAATGAGCATCAGAGGCAAAGCTAGACCGCAAGGAAAAGGTCACTCACATCGTTGGCTCGTTGTCCTTTGCGTATCCAAACATTTCTCGGACCAGCCTGGCGCTCTCGCCGATGTACTTGTCGACGATTGCGCTACTGACAACCTTGAGGAAGTTGGTGTCGAGCGTGGCTGCCACCGCCCTGGCCAGCAGCGTCTTGCCTGTACCTGGAGGTCCGTAGAGGAGCACGCCCTTTGGCGGCTTGATGCCCACGCGCAAGAACAGCTCGGGGTTCAGCAGCGGCAGCTCGATGACCTCCCTCAACTCCCTGATTTGCTCGCCCAGGCCACCAATGCCCGCAAAGCTTGCGCCCGCGGGGTCCTCCATGCTCATATTGTACACCATTGGGTCGACCTCTCTCGGAAGGATGCGCATGATGGTCAGCGTCGTCATGTCCAGCGACACCCTCACGCCCTGCTTGAGCTTGAACTTGGGCACCGAGCTTCGGATGCCAACCACATAGCGCGGGCCTGACGAGGCCTTGACGATGACTGTATTGTCCAGACGGGGGTCAGCCTGCGGGCCTTGGCGCTACTACGGCTGGCTACTCACATCGCTCATCGTCCAGCTGCTTGAGAACCTCCCCGATGATCTGGCCGACCGACTGGAGCGCCTTGATGTCGTCTTCTGTCTTGTCGTAGTCCTTTTCCAGGTCTCTGAGGCCAAAGCGGACTGGACAGAGCACGTCAGTGTCTCACTCCTTCCTAAAACGAGTGCAGTGCATCTTTGGATTGACGACTCACGATTCTTTAGGTTCGTCGAGAGGTCTTCGTGGCTCTTGAGCGCGCGCTTGTATGCCTTGAGCGCCTCCTCCTTCTGTGGGTTTCCCGGGGCGAGCTGAGGCTCGGAAGGGCCATTGCCCGACGATGATGACGCCACCTGGTCCGACATTGTTGGTGCGATGATCTTGAACTCCACCAAGTAAGTTCTCGACAGGGCCGCGCGTATCCTGGCCTGGACGTCGAGAAAGTCACGTGAATTTTTACCTCGACAACTCAAGCCCAACCTTGCTGCTTTCTGAACCTTCTCACTGCGAATCCCGACACGACCATGAGCATCGCCAGGTCCATCTTTCGCTTCTCCGACATTGCAAGGGGCACGGCCGTTCGGAATGCTCCGCTGCACCGAGCAATTGCCTCGTCAAGCCGGCGGCCGGCGGTTGTCAATGACGAGGTTAACGAGGGCGGAGACAGCAATGGTGGGCCCAACCCATACCTGGGCCTGACGCCGGAGCAGCGCAAGATCGTCATTGAGGCCAAGCGGGAGAGGAACTTCAAGAAGTACGAGGTGATGCTGCTGGAGAGGGCACGCAAGGAGGGGCTCTCGTCCGTCGAGGAGCTAAGGGCCAGGCAGGAGGAGCGGCGCAGGGCTGCCGACGCGGCTGCTTCAGCGTCGGCCGATGCGGCCAGGCCGACGCCCATGTCGGGCTTGACGGAGCAGGATGCCAAGATCGCTGCGGAGATTCGAGCGCGAGTCGAAGCGGAGGCCAAACGGAAGCTCGAGACGGGTCAGTTTGGGAGCGGGCCAGGGGTCAAGACGCTGGCAGACATCATCGACGTGGAGAAGATGGCGTCGGACCCGCCTTCGAAGATCACCGAGCTCTGGACGGGCTACCACACGCTCAAAAACAAGCTCAGCGCAGTCATTCCGGCCACGACGTATGCGCGTATGATTGAAAAGGCTCGCGCCTATCCCCAATTCATTCTTCCGCTCCCACGGACAATCATTGGCAGCCTTGACAACCAAGAGGAAACGGCAAACGTGGCTCCGGGCGAAGCAAAGCAGGGCTACGAGATGCAGTACCTCGAGTGGGGCTTCCTCCCTCCGCCTCCGCCCAACAAGGCTACCGAGCAGGCCGAGCTGTCAGCAGACGAGCTCGAGTCCATTGCGAAGGCGCCCCCTTCGACCGTTCTCTTCACGCCCCTGGCCGAGTACAAGCTCCGCCAGGAATACGCGCAGCCGGTGCTTGTGCTGACGCACTACACGGACCTGGCTGCCTCCAAGGGCATTGTCCTGATGCGGGGTGAGGTGACTGGCCAGGAAGAGGCCCAGGCTGCCCCCACGGGCGTCGCAGCCGCCGCTGCTGCAGCGGCCGCCGGCGAGTCCAAGGAGGTTCAGGAGAAGCTCAAGGCGCCGTTGCGCTCGCAGGGAAAGATGACGCAGCAGGATGCCCAGCTGCTCACTGTCACGCTCCAGCGCTTCTTCATGGAGAACAAGGAAGCGCCGATCCCTGGTGCAGAGGAGCGGCAGGCCCTCCTCGACGCCTTCCATCGGGACCAGGAGAAATTTGACATTGACAAGTTGTGTACCGTCAGCTTTGCGACCTAGCAATCCAATCACCATCATCTCTTTCCTCGGCCGAAGCTGTGTGTGAGAGACGTTTCTTCTTGAAAAAAAGTTTAAATTTTTCCCGGCCTCAACTTTTTGTCTTCTTTCGTTTTTCTCCAATTGTCAAAGGAAGAGACTGCGATGGTGTCATTCAACTGCGACGGGTGCGGCGACGTGGTCAAGAAGCCAAAGTTGGACCAGCACTTCCAGCGCTGCTGGGCGGCTGTGACGTGCCTGGACTGCTCGACGCAGTTTGCGGACCCTTCACAGTGGAAGTCGCACACGACATGCGTCAGCGAGGCGGAGAAGTACGAGCGCAGCGTCTACCGGGGTGGACCCAATGGGAAAAAGGGCAAGGGAAAGGGGCAGGGCCATGGAAACTCGACTGCTCAGAATGGCCACACGCAGCACCAGCAACAGCAGCATGGTGACAATAGGGTAAAGCCTGCGGACGGCGCCGCGCCGCAAGATAAGGACGTGGTTAAACAGAGTCGAAGCGATGAGAAGCAAGACGCATCTGCAAGCAATGGTGCAACAGCAACAGGTGCTGTGAGCGGCTCTGAAGTCAAGACCGAGAATGAGACGAGCGGAAAGAAGGAGAAGTTAGAAAAGAAAGAGAAGAAGGAGAAGAAGGACAAGGAAGAGAAGAAGGACAAGAAAGAGAAGAAGGAGAAGAAGGAGAAGAAGAAGAAAGGCGAGGCAACTGGCTCGCATGAAGCCAAGTTGGAGAGCTCAACTAGTGTCAGCACTGGCGAGAAGAAAGAGGGGCTGGCGGAGGCTGTTGAAAGCGACAAGAAAGACAAGAAACGCAAGCGCACTCCTGATGGCGCTTCAGCAGAGGCTGATATAAAGGTCAAGGACGGCAAGAAAAGCAAGAAGGATATGACGGCCGAAGAGAAGGCTGAGCGCAAGCGCGCCAAGAAGGAGAAGAAAGCGAAGGAGTGAGCGAGCCAGCCCATGACGAGCCAAATGGCCAGACTGCATCAACTGTACCAATACTACACTGCACTGCTACACAATATTATCTTTGATGACTGCCAACACAATGCCCGATGTGATAGGATCGTACGTAGAAGCGCGCCGAGAGTGGAGAATAAACGGCAATCCGCCGCCGCCATCGCGATCACATTCAAGAGGCCGCATGCGACCTCGAGGCTTTTTTAGTACCACCAGCGGCCCGGTGAGCACGGCAGCGTTCGCACAGATGACGAAATGGCAGGTTTCAATGCAATCTTGTTGATTGAAAAGAGTGGTTGCTCGAGAGGCGCAAGCCGAAGGAAGACGGGCCGAGTCCAGACACGTGAGAAAACGGACTTGACCCCGCAAACTGCGTTGCGCTGCTCTCGATCATTTATTAGAGTTGGAGCCAGGAAGAAAACTCTCCGTCCAAGACAACAGAGGTTCCTAAAGATATGCTGCCCACGGCGAGACTCCTACAGAGCAGCCGGTCCAAGGCGATCGGCTTCATTGGCCTCGGCGCGATGGGGCGCGAGATGGCGTCAAACGTGCTCCAGAAGACGTTTCAGGCAAACAGCGACAAGGACCTGACGTTTGTTGTCCACGATTCGTTCGACCTGTCCACAACGCGCTTCCTGACAGCCAATACGAGCCTGTTCCCTGGGCGAAACATTGTGCCGGCCACGTCGCCTGCAGGGGTCGCTAGCCTGGCCTCGACTATTATCACTGTCGTGCCCTCGTCGCCCCAGGTCAAGGAGGTGTACCTCGCCGAGAATGGCATCCTGCAGGGGCTCCGGGGGCTCGGCGATCCTAAGGAACCCTCCAATTCGACGCTGTGCATCGACTGCACCACACTGGACCCACTCGTCGCCGTCCAGACTGCCGACGAGATCAAGCAGGCCGGGGGCGGCGGCCAGGGCCAGGATCAGGGCGCATTCGACATGATTGACTCGCCCATGAGCGGCGGCGTCGTCGGTGCGCGAGCCGGCACGCTCTCCTTTATGGTCGGCTCCAACTCCCACCAATCGTTTGCCCACGCAGAGCCGACACTGCTCAAGATGGGATCGCGGGCGATTCACTGCGGCAAGAATGGAAACGGCCTCATTGCAAAGATTGCCAACAACCTGGTGCGTCTCGCGCATGTGCGGCTTCTCAGTTCATCGAGCTGACGATCAATTTCTTCCTTCTTTCCAACAGCTCCTGGGAATCTCGATGCTTGCCACGAGCGAGGCGATGCTGCTTGGGACCGTGCACGGTCTGAGCCCCCAGATCCTTGCCCACATCATCAACACGAGCACCGGCAAGTGCTGGTCAAGCGAGGTGGTGAGTGTTCTGCAGAATACTTGCAGCATCCCACACTAACCTTCTCTCCCTCTCTCTCTCCCTGACAGAACAATCCGGCTCCTGGCGCACTGCGTGGCACCGACAAGAGCCCGCCGGCCGAGCGCGACTATGACGGAGGCTTCGCTGCCAAGTGAGTCCGCAACCTGCTCAGCCTCTAAGGGTGTCATGCTGAGCATTCCTGTTTCTTAGGCTCCAAGCAAAAGACCTGGGTCTGGCTCTGAATGCCGCTCAGCAGCGAGGCGTGCCGACACCCCTGGGCCATCTGGCGACCAATATCTACAAGGCGCTCGGCGAGAATCCAGAGGTGAGCCAGGATGATTCGGAACTTCTTCAGAAGAGGAAGAGAACAGGCACTGATTGCATCCGTTGCACCAGTACATGGACAAAGACTTTTCCGTCGCCTTCAAGGCCCTGTCGACTGCCGTAGGCAAGATTCCCACGAGCGACGAGCCACATGCCGAATGAAGAGGCACAAAAGAAAAGAAGAGAAAGACCGGAATCGCAAAACACATTACATTACAGACGCATACAGACTCCCCAATCTCCCCTGCCATTCACTCCTTGAGCATGTCCTTGAACTCGCCCGTCTCGATGAGCTCCTTGAGAATGTCGAGCCCACCAATGAGCTCGCCGTTGACAATAATCTGCGGGAATGTCGGCCAGTCATTGAGCTTCTTGAGCCCCTGCCGCACCCCTTCGTCCTGGAGAATGTCAAAGGTGCTGAAGGCCACCTTTTCCTGCCGGAGCAACGCAACCGTCTTTTGGCTAAAGCCGCATCGGGGCTGGTCTGGGTTTCCCTTCATAAACAGGACGACCCTGCTCTTTTCCATCAGCTTCTTGCACCGATCCTCGAGCTCCGCCTCGGTCTCGTGCGCTGGAATCGAGTGCTCGCCCACGGTGCCGTTCGCGGCGCCGTTAGCGGCGCCATTTGGCTGATAAACGTCCGAGGCTGCGCGTGGCGTCGAGTTGGTCTGCGAAGAGGGTCCAGACCCGTTGGATGACGGCCCGGATGCGTGCGAGGAGACGGCGGCATTGAGTGCAGCAGCGTTGGCACCGCTGATGCGAGAGAGGAGCGTGTGGCCTCGGAGCAGGACAAACGAGGGCACGCTGTCGACGTCGAAGGATTCAGAGACATCGGGAAGTGCCTCTGCCTCGATCTGATAGTGCGATCAGAGACAATCAATCTCAGCCTTCTCCTCTTTTCTCCCCCGCAACGATCCGATCCGCTCGAGCAGAGCACATGGACTCACCATGAGGCAGAGGACCTGGGGGTATTTTTGTGCGAGCTCCTTGACGACGGCATTCATCTGCTCGCAGGGCTCGGCCCAGGGTGCCCAGAAGTTGAGGAGCGAGACCCGGTTGAGGTCCGCTGACATGAGCGAAGTGAAATGCTCAGGTGAGTCCACCGTCACGAGATTCGTGGGCGCAGTCATGTTGAGGCGACAGTCGCAAGTTTGAGGACGTGTGATGGGAAAGGAACGGGGAGGGTATGAGAAGAAGGGGGGGGAGAGGAGAGAGATGGAAGCTAGATCGAATGACGATGTCGACATTTCGATTTGAGATTTCTTTAAATTGTAATTGGCTCTCGGCCGCAAGCCCGGCGCCTGCGCAAAGGCCCGAAGTGCCGAAGGTGGCGAGCCCCTCCTGTCAGTGGCATTGCGCTGCACCCACCACACTACTACACAATGTTACGGCGCACTACCTCACTTGACTCTCCTCGAGTCTGCTTCACTTGGCTTCACCAAGCTTTGCTTCATCTGACTCGATCTAGGTTCGTTTCGCTACGGTTGGCTTCATTTCATCCACACTTCAATTGACAGGAACGGTGTAAGCGATGCGATCTGAAATCGTCCCAGGCAGACGATGAGAAACTGGCTCATCCAGGAGCCGCGGAGAGATGCAGCTGGACTGGAAGTCTTCGTGATGGGACAGAATTCTTCAAGCTTGCAAAAAGAGGTCGATTGACAGTGGACTTTAGTGATCTACTCTTCAGCATCTCCCTCGGACTTGTCTGTCTTGGGCTCGTAGCGCAGCAGCGACTCGGTTCGTGTCCTTGCACGCAGCTCCCATCGATCCTGTCACGTTTCAATGGTATCAGCAAGACATATCCAAGCATCATGAACAGAGAAGTGGGTCACTGGCAGACAATATTATTGTAGATGGCGCCCTGGCAGCAATGGCCTTGCTGAATTCTAGGTAGGCCATGCACTTCCTTCCTCGACCTCATCTTCCTAGCAGCAAGAACCCCTTCGCATGCCGCTGTGAGAGCCTCAAGATCCGGAGCCAAAGTCTCACATCAGAGTATTTCGCCAGAGCGTACATCAGGACGGGCGTGACCAAGCCCCACGCGAGTACCTTCCTCGTTGTGCGCGGGGTGAAGCGGAATCGTTGGTACATCGACGAGTGCTGCTCATAATTGCTCGTCAGACACGTTTGTACCAAAGATGGCAATGCTTGGATCACCATCGGACACGACGAGACAGAGAGCTGACTCACCATCGTCTGCCATCGCTCGATCGCCGGGTCCGACCGGTACGCTGTCCGCCAAGATAATCTTCATCAGCGTCATGGGAAGAGAGTTGCCCTCTTTGCGTCCAAGGTCACTCACGGTGGTAGTCTCCTCCCGCCATTGTTGCTATGATGAACGCTGTCGATGACAATGGGTGAGGAGCCCGCTCGCGTTGGACGTGGGCTTCGCCGTGCTCGGTTGAGACAAGTCACGTGAATTTTAATTTTCTTGGGCGGCGCAGAGGAGAGGGAGAAGAGAGGACACAGTCCAGTTCTTCTAGCCGTCACACGACGAGGTCAGTCAAGATGAGGAAGCCGAGACTGTTCAGCCACGATGCCAAGGGAATCCTGCCGAGGATGGTGAGTGATGCATTGAGATTTAGGGCCGACCTAGTGAGGCTGACACGGAAATTACCCCAGTCCTGGTCTCCGCATAACCTCTACAACCTCATCGCTCGATCCACCGTCCCCTTCCACACGGCCGACACGTCGTTCCGAAAGACTGCCCTGACCATGTACCAGCAGCGATGGCGATCGAAGCGCTTCCTGCGTGGCTACCACGGTGACCATATCCCCGAGAGGAGGTTCAAGCGCTGGTTTCTGCCCACGGATCTTCCACGCATCGAGGACCTAAAGCTGAACGGCGGAAGCAGCTCTTCGTCCCTGAAGAGCGGCGAGGTCAGCGGCGAAGAAAAGATGCCAATCGCAGGCCTTTTCTTGCGAGATGTCGAGAGACGGCTCGATGTCATCGTCCATCGGTGCTGCTTTGCAAGGAGCGCTCGGGAAGGCCGAGCCATGGTGGTGCAAGGGAAAGTGCAGCTGAATGGTGTCAAGGTGCGTTCCCTTCCTCTCCCTCAAGATCTTAGGTAGATCAGTCTGCTGAACCCAGCCTCAGACGACGGACCCAGGGACATTGCTCAACCCTGGCGATCTGGTCTCGGTGCTACCATCAGCGGTGCCGATGCTTAGCGCAGAGCTGGCTAAGCTTGCCGATCAACGAAAGGCAGCGGCCATGGCAACGGAGGGCGAGACTGCGTCCGAAGACAAGCCAGAGGAGACACCAGAAGAGGTAGCTGAGATTGCACAGCAAGACGGACAAGAGCAAGAACCGGTCGAGCAAAAGGCAGATGAAGGGTCAGAGGAGGGCAAGGAGGAGCTCGCTGCCGAGAGTGCAGAAGCGCAGTCGTCTGAGACTTCGGGCGAGGGCGAGGGCAAGGGCAAGGGCAAAGCAAAGGCGAGCGCCCCTGCCTCGGAGAAGAAGGAGGCCTCCCTGCCACCGGGCGTGCTCCCCTTCAATCTGCCTCCCTATGCCTCTCCGTTCCTCTTCATTCCACCCTATCTCGAGCCTTCATTCCTGACATGCTCGGCCATCTACCTCCGCCACCCTACCATCACACCTCTCCGGCGCAGGGACCGATCTGGCGAAAATGCTTCGACGAGCTACCGCACCGATCTGCCCTCGCCTTACCCCGCCGGGGGAGAGCTCTTCTCGCTGGCCTGGGAGCACTACGCTCGCAATGCACCGCGGATCAGATCCGACGTGCGGCGGCAAAGGGTCGAGGCACGGGTGGGAAGGCAAGGCATGGAGAGCGCGCGACAAAAGGATGAGTGGAGGAAGAGGATGGCCGTCCGGAGGGGATGGGACAAGAAGAGCGGCTCCATTGTCGTGCTTCCCAACGGCGCCGAGACGAGAATCGAAGCATCGGCGCCCGCAGTGGGCAAGCGTGCGACGGGCAAATCTTCCACCAGTGGCCGTTTTGTGGAAAAGGGCCAAGCCAAGGGTCACTCTTCTGCTAGCTTGTGATCCTCTTCATCATGTTCACCACCACCACTTGTAAAAATAAGAGACGCAATGTCACAGGATAGACAAGGCACACACGGGCGGAGACGCTCGACGCGTGAGGGTAAATCTGCTACTTTTTTGAGTTTCCTTTCTTGAGCTGTTGGCTGTCACTTCTTAGTCTCGCCAACGTCCACTGGCGAGTAGGCAAGATGGACTCATCAAACTTTTTACAGCGGAGAGCGCTGGCGGGTGCCACGGCGGCCGACTTTTACGTGTCGACACTGCCGGACCTCGAGCCTGCGCATGCGCTCTCGCTTTCGTCGGGCTACCTGCCCGCGCGTCCGCCAAGGGCAGGTGCTGCCTCGTCGTCCGATGCCGCCGACGACGCACACTTGTTTTTCCTCCTTGAACGAGCGAGACACACGCCCACGAAGCGTAGGCTAATCGTCTGGCTCAACGGTGGGCCAGGCTGCAGCAGCTTCGACGGCGTCCTCATGGAGGTCGGCGCCTTTCGTCCCAACGACAAGGGCGGCCTCGAGTGGGCCACGCCGGGCGGGGCGTGGAACGAGTACGCAGATGTGCTCTACCTCGACCAGCCCGTCGGCACTGGCTTCTCCTACGTCTCGACGAGCGGGTACACGACGTCGCTGCAGCAGGCTGCCGACGAGGTTCTCTACTTTCTCAAGCGCTTCATCGAGGTGTACCCCGAGTACCGGAGGGGCGAGGGCGTCGATGTCTACGTGGCGGGCGAGAGCTTTGCCGGGCAGTACATTCCCTACGTCGCAAACACGCTCAATGAGGCTGGTCGCTCGTCGCCAGTTGACCTCAAGGGAATCGCAATTGGAAACGGCTACATCGATCCCATTGCACAGTATGGCACAGAGCTCGACATGATGGTCGAGGCAAAAATTTGGGACACTTCTTCAGAGGTGAGTGGCTTTCCTCCATCTTTTCCCCCATTTCCTTGCTCTCCTGTCCACTATTCAAGGTCCACTAACGCATACAACAGGAATACGGACGAATCAACAAAATCAAGCAGAATTGCCGAAAGGCGTTGGACTCGATCAAGGGCGACCCTCCGCGGTGGATCGACGAGTGCGAGGATCTTCTTTCGGACATTGTCTCAGAGACGACGCACAAGATTGGGGGGCGAAACACATGCATTAACATCTATGACGTCCGGCTGTCGGACGAATCGCCAGCATGTGGGATGAACTGGCCGCCGTTGGTGGCGCCCATGTACAAGTACTTGGATCGCGAGGATGTGCGCAAGGCGTTGCACGTCGACAAGACACACAAGCCCGAGGCGTGGATCGAGTGCAACAAGCGCGTGGGCAGCAGGCTCAACGACAAGGGCTCAAAGGCCAGTGTGGTTCATCTTCCCAAGCTCCTCGAGAGCGGCATCAAGGTCATGCTCTTTGCCGGCGACCAGGACCTGATCTGCAACCACATTGGCGTCGAGCGCGTCCCCGAGCGACTCCAATGGGGAGGGAGCGGCTGGGGGAATCCGCCAAAGGTCGACTGGTACGTCAACAACAGCATGGCGGGCTACTGGCGTACGAATCGCAACCTCACGTACGTCTCCATCGCCGGAGGCTCGCACATGGTGCCCTTTGACAAGCCCGTCGAGACGCACGACATGATGCTTCGCTTCATGGGCGTCGACCTGCTCGCCGCGGCCGGTCCCAGCGCGCGCATCCCGAGCCGGCTGGGCGACGAAAAGGACCGCATGGTCCTCATCGGCGGCGGAGGCGGGACAGAAAAGGATGATAGGCCCATGATTCCGGGCGTGGATGGAAAGACAGAAGCACAGGTGGCCGAGGAGGCAAAGTGGGCTGCGTATTACAATGCGGGGAGCGCGGCACTGATCGTCCTGATTCTCCTCGTCGGAGCAGGCGCCTGCGTGCTGCTGAGGCTCAGAAGGCGGTCGAGGGCATTTGCGCTGCCAGAGCGGCGAGACGAGAACCACGAGCTGGAGCACCTCGTCGTCGATGGGGGCGAGGACCGATACAGCGATGAGGCCACAGGATCGCGCAAGCAATCGGACGCTCTTGAAGTTCAGGAGGAGCAGGAGATCTTTGACGTTGGCGACGAGAGCGACGACGAGGGGCCAAAGGGAGCGCGAGACTGATCATGCGCCCTCTTTTGCTCGCTCACTCACTTCCACACACACACACTGTGCCTCCAACAATGAAAAAGGTTGCAATACATTGTCAAGGACCCCTTCCCTAATTAGTACCTAATCTTGTGACTCGATGTTGTTGAGTCCCTGTCGTCTCCCTGCGCTCTCGGACACAGGCAGGTTTGACATTTCCCGTGAGGCAAGGGCAGCCTGGAGGTACTGCTCGCCCTTGGAAAAGACAGTCGAAGGATTCTTAATGCTTTTGGCCTTGAGTGCTGTTGCGTTGTCGGCAACGGCGGCCTCTCCACGCGACTGGTAAAAGTAGGCGGCGCCTTTTGCGAGCTCGTTGGCCTCCTTCTGGTAACCGCGAACCGTCTCGGCTGCGCCGCCGCTGCCGCTGCCGTTGGGCAGCGCGGGAGAGTTGTTGAACGTCGCTCCGTAGGCCAAGGCTTCAAACAGCGCGGACCGGCTCGCTGTCTCGTGCTCGGCCCGCAGTGCGTGGTAAGAGGACAATGTATGATGGTAGGCTTGCGACAGCGAGAGACCGTGGTGCTCGTGGAGGTGAAGTGTGCATGCGACGACCCTGTAAAAGAGAAGGAGGAAACGACCGGTCAACTTCGATTCGATTAAAACGGCAGATGCCTGAAGGAGGAAGACTCACTCCTCGGGACCGGGGTTTCGTCCCCAGTAGCGCAAGTCAGCGGCCTCTGGCCCGAGCTTCCGCGCAGGAGCCAGCTTCTCGGCTTCGACGAGGACACGCGGACGGAGCGTCTCCCACGGGTGGTCCTTGTAGAAGCGGCTTCGAACACGATCGGCAAGGTACACAATCGGTTGCGGTGTCAACTTTGGCTTCTGCGCGTGGTGCTTCTTCTTGGCGTTGAGTGGGTCTCGGCGCGGCCTCGGTGCGTCCAGGTCGAGGGAGTGTGCGTGGGAGGAGGAGGCGGCGGTGGTGTCGTAGGACGAACGAGCGGTGGGTGTGCGAGGCGGGAGAGGCGCAGGAGGATGGAGGAGCATCGTCTCGTATGATCGCGGGACAGACTTGAGGTAGCCACCGCGCACGAGGCGCGACAGCGATTGCCCCACCTGGGTCGGAATGCGCCGTGGCATGTCGTTCGCGGGCCAGAAGAAGATGAGGAGGAGGAGGAAGACGAGGGGAGCGAGAAGGTCGAAAAGTGCGAAAATTAGACACGTGAATTTTTAGCTCTGCTACACCACTGCTCGCCGCGACGATGGTGAGCAGCAACAAGCGGATGCGGGTGGGTGGTCGTGGCTACTACGCAGGAGGAGTTGAAATGAAGACTGACGACAGTGCGTGCACCACGGTAGGGCATCGCCGTCTCGCGGCCCATCATCATCGGAAGCACCGCGACGCCGTTGTCCGATGCCGAGAAGCTGACGGCGCCCCCGGACCACACGCACAAATGGACCGTCGCCGTGCGAAGCGCAGCCTCGAATCCGCTGCCCACGGTGCCTGGCTTTAGTGCCAGCTCCAAAGCGGACGTAGCAACAGCGGGGAGACCAAAGACTCCGGCTGCTGACGAAGGAAGCGCCGGTGGGTCTGGCACCCCTGGTGTCAGCACAGGCGTCAGTACGAGAGGGCGAGAGCAAGAGACAGACTACCATAAGATGGTCGGCGGCAAAGACGATCTGTCGCACTTTGTCAAGCGGGTACAGATCAAGCTCCACGAGACATATCCGCAATCGACAAGGAGTGAGTGTTTTCCTGATCTCCCGCTCAACCAGTCAGAATGACTGCTGAACGAGATCGCGATAGACATCGACCGGCCCCCTTTTCAAGTGACCGAAACCGGCTGGGGTGAATTCGACATTCAAATCAAGATCTTCTTCCAGCCAGAGTCAGGCGAAAAGCCGGTGACGTGCTTCCATCGGCTGAAGCTGCATCCTTGGCATCCCATCGCCGTGTACCATCAGGATCCGGCAACAGCGCCGGCCCCGGCTCTCAACACGGGGGCCGATGAATCGGCGGCAGCAGACCAAGTCCCAGCACCTGCGGAAAGCGCAGAAAATGAGCAAGATGTCACAATGGCCGAGGTTGCGCCACCGGCGACGGATCCTGATGTAGCAGCAGAAGCGCCCCAGCAAGTCAAGCTGGAAGATGGCACACTGCCAAACAAGTCGCTCCCACCGCCGCCCCCCGTCGTCCATTCATGGACTTATGACGAGATTGTCTTTCCCGAGCCGACTGAAGTCTTTTACGATGTGCTCTTGGCCCACCCTCCCACACCGTGAGTAGCTGGCACCCTTGGCCTGACCTGACGCAGTGTCTCATCTGACTGATCTTGATCGTTTGGACACAGCCTTCCTTCGACCTCGGCACAAGCCTTCGGCGATCCGGGCGCGTTCAGGAGCTACAAAGCTGCCCTCGAGCAACTGGAAGAGGGACGAGATCTGAATGCCGACTCAGGCATCAAGCCGCCGCACCCGCTTCACAACACCTCAGGCGCTCTGTTTGACGCATTGTCGCAGGAGGCGATTCAGTCCGAGGCAGAACGCCTGGACAAGGCTCGCGCCTTTGCCATTCAAGAGCTCGAGGAGACGCGGAAAAGGCTCATCGAGGGTGAGAAGCTGCTTCGCGAGAGTCGCAAAAAGGGAGTAGTGTGATACTTTCAATCTGTACAATCAATGTAATTTACAAGTTTGAGAACGGAGCAGTGGTTCTGGGGCCACGAAGCGCTCCTCCAGGATACTTCGTCTCCCCCCGCACACAAGGGCAAGGGTATGGGAAGGCGGCATTATGTTTCTATATTCAATCAAGCTAGCCAGCACCGAGATTATTTACCACCCTTGAGCTTCTCCAAGAAATCATCCTTGGCATCTGTCTCTGGGTGAACCTGGATATGGCCGCCCTGATAGAGCTGCCAGGAGCTGACGCTGGGATCACCCGCGCTCGGGTCCTTGACACTCGCTTCTGGCGGATTTGTTGGTCGCCAGCCACCTCCGACGCTGGCGCCGATCAGCGCTGGTACGAGCACCATTAGGCTCTGCGGGTGGACGTCTGCCTCTCTCATCTTCTTCGCTCGGCTCTTGCCCAGTGGGACGAGCCTCGATCGACCTCCGCGCAGTCTCGCAAACGTAGAGAGCTTCTCCGCGACCTGGCCGATGGCCGGCTCCTCCCATTCCGCCTTGGTCTTCTCCGCCTCGGACTGCAGGAAGGTGTTGGAGCGTGGTGAATGCTTCGGCAAGGCGTCTGGGTCGGGCATGAGGCCCAGTTTGATCAGGGTCTTGTCAATCGGCTTTGTTGGGATCAAGCGAATGAGTACTCCGACGGGCCACGAGATGATCCCGCCGATGATTGTGATGCCCCAATCGCGCGAACGGAGTGGCACAACGCTGAAGGCTTGTCCGCCCTTGTACGAAATCAGGATCTGCAGCCCGATTTCGATGAGGATGATGCCCATGAACCAGTAGTTGCGGTGGAGCTTCTTGAAGAAATTCAGGTCTCGTGTCAGGCTGCGGCAGTTGACCTGGTTGAAGAGCTGGCACCAGACGTAGAGGTTGAAGATGAGAGCGCGTAGACTGCGCTGGTCCTCGCCAAAGTTCGGGTCGAGGCCCAAAATCGAATAGCCTGCAAAATTGAGCACAAGAATGAGAGCAAATTGGTAGATGGACTGGCCAACGATCATCTTCCACATATCTGTCGAGATGAGTGGTGCATCGCGTCTGTCTGGCTTGCGGTCCAGAAGCTCGGGCGACGCTGGGTCTGTCGCGAGGGCGAGGGCGGCAAGAGTGTCCATGATGAGGTTGATCCAGAGCAGCTGCACCGCCGAGAAGACGCTCGACTCGCCGTCATCTGCAACGGCTGTGATGAACGTGATGCCGACGGCGCCGATATTGACCGACAGTTGGAATTGAAGGAAGCGTCGCACGGCGTCGTTGACACTGCGGCCCCACATAATGGCCGTGACGATGCTCTCGAAGTTGTCGTCCATGAGGATAATGTCCGATGCTTCTCGAGCGACCTCTGTACCGGCGATGCCCATGCTGAACCCCACGTTGGCCGTCTTCAAGGCAGGTGCGTCATTGGTTCCGTCGCCTGTGACACCGACGACGTGATCCATGTTCTTGAGGCACTGGACGAGGATCTTTTTGTCCTCAGGGCTGCACCGAGCGAGGACCTGCAATCGGGGGACGACCATCATCATCTCGGATTCCGCCAGTTTTCGGAACACAGGACCCTCCATAATGATGCCGCCGGGCGTGTAGATGCCGCACTGCGTTGCAATCGACCGAGCTGTGAGCGCATTGTCACCGGTGCACATTTTGACCTGTACACCCGCCTTGCCGCACGTCGCGACGGCATTCCTGACGCCGGGACGGAGGGGGTCTTCGATGCCGGTAATGGCAATAAGCGTCATGTCCTTGGCAAGGCTGTTGTACGTGATGACGCCGTCCTCGTCGAACTGGGCGTCCTGAGGCGGCCACGACTCAAAGTCGCGATAGCAAACTGCAATGGTGCGAAGCGTCTGGTTGGCGTAGAAGATGATCGTCTTGGCCACATTGTCTCGAGATTCCTCGTCAAACTCCTCCGTCTCGATGGTAGAGCTAGGTGCTTGACCCTCCACGGGCAGCTCAACTTTGACGTGACGAGAGCATAGGCTGCTCAGAATCTCGCTTGCTCCCTTGGTAAAGAGACGGTAACCTCCGTCTGCTCGACGAACAACAACGGCCATTGCCTTGCGCTCGGAACTGAATGGGAAGCTAGTCACCACCTCGTGCTTCTCTCGTGCCTCTCTGTAATTCTCCCACCCGAGCTCTTTGGCCATCTTGAGTAATGCCGTCTCCGTCTTGGAGCCAACAAAGCTAACCTCGGAAGACTCCTGCTCCTTCGCCTTGACCTTACTAAACAAGCCGGCGACGCGTTTGAGAAAGGACGGCAAGGGCACCACCTCTTCCTCCTGTGCGACCTTGGGCTCCTCTTCAAACGCAGTCGAGTTGATTGCAATGGCATCGTTGAAGAGAGTCTGAAGCGGCTCGCTTATGGCCTCGTTGAGCTCGTGCTGGTCCACAGCCCAGTCCTTTCGGCCTGTCCGCATCTGCAGCGTCTGGGGAATCGACAGCTGAGATGCACGCTTGTCCTTTTCCTCGACGACCTTTTCCTGGGCATTTGTGTCGACTCGACCCTTGTTCTCTTCGAGGTTGTAGGCGAACTTGAGGTGAACACCGATACTGCCCGCTACCACGGCCATCTCGTTCTGCGTAAGCGTGCCGGTCTTGTCGGTGCAAATGACACTGCAATTTGCGCTAGTCTCGCAGGCCGAAAGCAGTCGCACCAATAAGTTCTCCTTGGTCATGCGCTTCGTCGCAAATGCCAGGGCCAGCGTTGTTGCCAGGGGTAGTCCTTCGGGCACGGCTACGACGACAATGACGACGGCTTGGATGAGAATGTCGATGAATTTCTCCGCCTTTTCGTCGGGTGTCCCCATGTCACTAGGCCTTGTGATTTGGATCAAGAATCGAACTTTGTAGCTTGGTTAGCAGATCTGTCGTTCACAGCAGCAGGAATGCAATCACTCACTCATCAACGCGACAAAGAGCACAATACCGGCACCGCCGCCGGCATAGGCAATGATTTCGGCCAGTCGGTTGAGCTTAGCCTGCAAAGGCGTCATCTCGCTGTCGGTCCTCAGCGCCATCATGAGCTTGCCATTGAAGCTGCTCGTCCCGACGGCGATGACGACGTATTCGCCCACGCCCTCGAGCACCCTAGATCCCGACAAGAGGAAGCAATCGCGCCGAGGCAGTTTCTCACCCGTCCTCTCATGCGCCTCCAGATCGGCCAGGCACTCTTCGTAGGACACTTTGCGGATCATGTCCGACTCGCCCGTGGCACCCGATTCGTCACATTTGACATTGTGGCCGCGGAGAAAGACGCCATCGACGGGAATCACCTCGCCAGGCTCCAGCTGAAGGATATCACCGACCTGGAGCTCGTGGACATTGAGCAGCGCCGGATTGCCACCGCGAATAACCTTGACTTCTCGCTCCTCCTTTTGCGCATTGAGCTTCTTGAACTGGCGCTCCTTTTGCCAGTCATTGAGGGAGCCAACAACATCGACAATGACGACGGCGACGAGGATGGCCACGCCCTCGACCCATTCGACTTTGGGCAGAGGACAGCCCGGTGCGCCCGGAGGTGGGTTGGGGCACGTCTCATCGTAGTCCTCGGGTGTGCCAAAGTCGGAGTAGAGCCCGAGAGAGAGGGAGACGACGGCCGCAATGCAGAGGAGGATGAGAATCTTGTCCTGGAGGGCGAGCCACATGAGTAGAAGCAGACTTTTGCTCTTTCGCTGAGGAAGCATGTTGCGGCCGTAGACGCGCTGCCTGTCGGCTTCCGATGCGCGGACAAAGCCCGAATCATCGACTGCTTCAATGTCGCTGTCGCCGTCGCTTCCCTGGGCGCCCATGCTGAGGCCATTGTGAGGGTCGGTGCCGAGAGCAGCAACGAGGCCTTTGACGCCACCCATGTCGCGCAGCTTGGCCACGCTCTTTGGATCAATGAGGTCGGCCAGCTCGACGGGACGGTGAGGAAACGGGCTGGGGTCCATTTCCCGCTCGCGCTTCTTTGCCTCCTCGAGCGCCTTCGCTTGGGCCAGCCGCCTTCCCTGTCTCGTGTGGCCGGCCAGACGCATCTTGAGCCTTGCCCAGGCCGATGTGTTCTCCGTCTCCAGGCTCTCAATCTCTTTACGTGGGTTCCTCTTTTTGCCGCCGTCTTCTTCCGCAGCGGCGGCGGTGGTTGTGGTTGGAGACGATCGCGGGTCCTTGGAAGGCTGGCTCGTCTCGTTTGTGAATGCACTCGCGATGCTGACCTGCCGACCGTGCTGAATGCGTGGATCGTTGTCCCGGAGTGCAAGTGCAGTTCGAAAGGCGCTCCCTTCGCTGGGACCAGCCGAAGAAAAATCAGACGTGGCGCTGAGGGTGGGGGACGAAGGAACGACGTCTCTGTCCTGCTCGACTGCCGTCGCCCCTGGCACCTGGAGGCTGGCTTTTCTCGCATGCCCCGGATGACTCGTGCTCCCACTCCCACCGCCTGCACCGCCACCGCCACCCGTGCTGCTGATGCTAAAGTTGCGGCCATGGTTGTGCCCCGAGGATGAAGAAGTAGAGGCCGCCACCGCACCTTGAGCCTCGCCACTCGTCGCCGACTCGGTCGTGATGATCGTCGGCAGGACCGGCTTGCTGTCCTCGTCTGTCATCTTGGGCCGCTTTGACGGATGGCGCAGAGGATGGTGTAGGGGGGGACAAGGGACTGGTGAAGCCAATAAGAGGTGGCGAGGGCGAGGTCGAGGGCGAATGCCGGGAAACTGTGACGACTTAAGAGAGCGGCGGCAAAGTGGCTGGCTGGCTGTGCACAGCAAATGGGCGAGGGGCGAGAATCACGCCCAGTGGAAAGCGAGCATCCGTCCTTTGGGCGGCCAAAGCAAAAAAATAAAATAAATCGCCCTCTGCCAAGGCGGGCTGTGTCTGTGACCCTCTCTCTCTCTGCACGTCTTCTCCGCCTCTTTCTTGACAACGGGTCGAAGCTGCTGGGCAAAGGGAATTGAATCTGTCGGAGAAAAGAGTGGGGAGAGGAGGAAAGAATAATTAAATCGTCGATGACCGAGTGCCTTGATGAAATAGCGATGAGCCAGGCTACGACTACTAAGGCGGGTCGAGGCAACCGAATCCAATCGCTAGCACGGCGCCAAGAACTTTTCCTGAATACTAAAAGGGGAAATAAAAAGCCTCTTCTGGCCTTGGCTCTCCATCGAATTTTGCATAGATCAATCTGTATTTGGACACCCTTGGAGGCAGCTTGTCACTTCATTTCTAAAAATAGAAAGCCAGGAACGGTCCCTCCCGTGAACATCGTCGCACAGGAAAGGGCTTGGCGCAAGCTGTCTTTCTTCTTTTCACCGCCCCAGCTGTGTCAGGTCGGAACATCAGCTCGGCAAGTCTGAGCTTGGAACCTACGCCACGGAGCCTTGTACTCCAATCAGCTGCTAGCCCAGCATACTCCGGGCTTGGACTCGGGGTGGAATGTCCCCGCTCGACGTTTTCGGAGGCGCACCCTCGCTCGATGAAGACTCTCCCTTGTTCCCAAGCATGTACCCAGGCAATTCTTATAGGTCTGAAGTGGCTCGACGAGAGTCCAAGGTCTCCTTGCTGGCTGATGAAAGCTTCGATGCAGGTACGTAGCTGTAATGGAAAAACGTAAGAACGCGGAACTTTCTTGGGACCTGCGCGCTTCGTTGAACTCTCGATAAGCACGCTTCCTGCAACTGTGACTGTCCTGAGCTTGCGAACGGACTCGCAAGTAGCCGAAGGAAGTCGTGTTGGTGGGCGAACTGCTAGAGTGCAAACGAGACAAAAGGTAAAAGTAGCAAAAAAATATCGCCTCCCAACGAGGGGCTCGAACCCTCGACATTTTGATACCACCTGATGATCAGGTACTCTATTTCAGAGAAATAAGAGTCAAACGCTCTGCCGACTGAGCTAGCCGGGATGGGACGATAATACAGCGTAGAAAAGGATCTTGTATAAGCCTACACACATTCTAATATTAAATGCGCTCCTGTCCTTATCCTTGTTTTAGTTTGATCATTTCCAGTGGCACTTGATGATAGGATACAGGGCTTAGAGATGTTATTTACGTGGGAGGACGCTGCTGCTTGGATCCCAACTGGCGAGACAGGTGCGTGCGCCATTCCGAGGTGCCCTTTAGAGGCAATGCAGGCGTCGACTTCTCCTCGTCTGGTGATGACTGGGTTCTGTCAACAAACTCAATGTCTTCCTCGTCATCGCCGTCGCCGCCGGCACGTTCAAGAAAGTTGCTAAGGATGGACTTTTCCGTCTTCATCCTGTTGGGGCCTGTTTGTTCTTCATGGGGCAAAGTTGGATGGTCTTGTGGTGACGAGAAACGGCGGGGCACAACGTCGCGCACAGTAGACCATGTGGTGGCGAGAACGGCAAAGAAGGCGGACAGGAAGACGTTCGCAGTGCCGGTGTATGTCGAAATTGCCTGTATCGTGATGACGCTCGAGTGAAAGGTTGCTAGGTATAGGACTTGGCACAGAAGTGGAGGCACGAAGCCCATCAGAATCGACTCGACAAAGAGGTTCAGCTTGTGCCGCAAGTTTTTTTCGTTGTCTGCGAGACCTTTGCGTTGGATTTTGGCGCGCATCTGCTTTCTGTACCGATAAGCGCGAAGAAGGATCAAGGCTGTGGAGGAAGTCAACATGCATGGGTGCCAAAGATGTAAGAGCGATGAGAGAATTACCTGAAACGTAGCTGCAGGATAAGATCTGCAAGCTAAAATCGATGATTATGAGGATACTTTGGAAAACGACCTTCCCAGCATTAAAAAAAATTGAACCGCCGCTCTTGATGTAGGCATCTGTTCCCGAAATGTCTTGCCACACCAGTAAGGTGTACAGAATGAGCCGAGTTATGAGAGCGGTAAGAAAGGGCCCCAGCACGAAAAGTCGCTTCGTGCGTGATGCAGTCCACGACGGGTACATTGCGCTGAGCTTAAAGAAGAGAGTTGAGTCGGCCACCAAGGGACCAAATACGGAAAAAAAATCAGAGGCAATGAGCCCTGTCTACGTAGGTGAGCAACTCAGGGCTGTCCCGGTAGCTGAGTTTTAACTCACATCTGCACATAGTCAACGATGCGCCAACATCGAATATGCCGTTTGGTGTTTGTGTTGCGTACAAGAACACAATCTGGGGCTGAAGCGCTATCTGAATGATGAAGAAAGCGCCTGCGCAGATGAAGGAGAGAAGATGCAGTCGAAAAAGGGTGGAGCGGCGCTCGCTGGGCTTGGAGAGTAGGACATAGGTAGCAGCAAGGCATACGTCAAAGGACAAAAAAGCTGCGTTCAGTGCAGCGCCGTGTATGGCGCCCACTGCGGCGTGCGGCAGCCCACGAGAATTCCAGTCCTCTGCTATGGATGCTGGCGCTGTCGAACTTGACGTTGTGTTCGCCATGGTGGCGGGTGATCTGATTTTGCTGACAGGAAGGAGGGAACATTGATCGTCCATGGTGCGATCGCTCTACTCTTTCCTCACCACTAGCGCGGATTGATGGAAGCACCGCATGGTTGAGTTGCAGCAAAGTCTTCACGAAGAGACTGAGACAATTATTAATTTACCAGCAGCTCGAAAGCTTGCATTTAGCTTGATCGCTCCCGGTGGCACTTCGTCCGTGCTTACTGCAAGGTATGCTAAAGTAGCTGTCATTGATACAAACAGCTTCATCTTCCGTCCTGTTCAGCACGTGTGCTCTCACACCTTCGCTTCGTTAGCCTCGGCTTCTTGTCAGCTCCAGCTGTCTCCTTTACCTGTCCATGTCCATGACTGGCCTGATGTCCATGCGTCCGTTGTTATGAGCGTTGTCGGGGCCACAAAGAAGTCAGTGAACGCCCTGATAGGCCTGCTATCGAGGAGGCTACCATAAGATCCGGATCAACTTGGCTACCCTGTTCAAGGATTCCTATCAACTTCGCGATGGGTTCCAAGCTGGCAAAGCAAGCTATGGGAGTGGATTCGTAACCGTGTGGCACGAGGTTCTGGTGGCAAAGGCAGCACCGCGCCGGCAGGAGGCATGCGGAAGATCATGTTTCTCGCACGGGGACCATCTTTGCTGGGGCTCAGAGCTAAGAAATCGATGTGAGGGCACGTCCAAAGTTTGAAAGTAATTGAGGTTTTTTTTTGTTTTTTTCTCACTACCGCGAATTTGTTGGCGAGACTACGACCATATGAAGCTCCCGCGACGGACACCGTACGAGCATGCCGATGCGCTGAACCAGCTGCACAATCTTCTCTACTCGGATGATGCTCAAGCTCAGTCGCAAGGCGTTTCCATTGCCCACGTCTGGCTGAATCGGTCCTCATGCCCTCACGCCGTCGAGTCAACGAGCAGCCTGGTCCAAGCGCGACTGCTTGAGTCTCTTTCTCACCCCCTACTCGATCGACACCAGATAGACTGGACGCTACGAAGCAGCTACTCGTCTGCGCTCCTTCGCTTTGTCAATTCCGTCGCCGACGCCTTTCAGACGGGCCTGTACGCGCAGAGCATCTTCAACATCGCCCAGCGGATCGGCCTGCCAGCTTGGTTTGTCGAACTTCGCCACGCAGCCACACACGAAGAGCTCCCCTCGCTGCAAGTCTGTCGGCAGGCTTGTCTCTCGGCCCTTCAATGGCTCGATGCTCACTTTTGGTGGCCGAACATGGCCACGTCTTCTTCGGTCCAGCCAATGACACAAGGCGTCAGTCAAGATCTATCCCTGTCCCTTCGAAGGAGCCTGTTGTCCTATCGCAAGATCGCCAAGCAGGTGGCTAGAGACGAGTCGCTTAGGAAGACTCAACAACTACGCATAGAGAAGCTCTTTGCTAGAATCGACGGCTCGATCCGAGCAGTAGGAGGTTCTGTTTTTGTCGACGTAGGTCAGGATTCCACCTTGGAAGAGGCTGTCGACATCCTTTTCGAGCCAGGCTACATAGTACCACTGGCAAAAAGGTTCGTCTGCTGCGTTCCTGTTCTATGCTATTGTGTCTGCTGACCTCTCTTCTCGGTTCAAAGAAAACGTCCGAGGCCCGCTGCAGACGGGTCGGTACCGCCGCTGCCTTCTCATCTCTACAACACGTGGTTTCCACTGCTTCGTCACCTCGACCAGAGCGTTCAGGGATTTACTAGCACGTTTCTCGATGGGCTGCTGAGACGCCTGACATCAAGAAATGCCTCCCTGGCAGGGTCCAGCTACACACGCTGCATCGCTGCTTGGCTTGTGGCTATCTTTGGCGAAGAGCCGTGGCATCTGGAGGGAGCTTCGTCCAGGCAGGCCATGCAGGGAGAAGACGGCATGATGGAAGATGAGGACGAGGCCAGGGACCGATCCTACCCGATCAAAAGGTGCCTTCTGAGCCCTACCCCGGCCTCTCTCGTCGTTGCCCGGCATCTCAACCAAGGCAGTCAGTGGGGCCACGTACTGGAGCTCGCCAATCTTATCGCGACCGGCGACAAGTCTCAACGCAGCGAGCAGACGGGGCGGGAAGAGGAGCTCATGTCCCTCATCGAGGAGATGGAAAGACATTCGGAACAAGTAGACCTCGAAGAAGACGAAGCAGGTCGTCAAATCGTGCAGAGAGCTATCGACGATTCAATGAACGAGCAGGATTGGGCTGCAATACCCGGTTGGGCCGTTGCGCAAGACTGGCAGCCATGCCCGCTCGGATGCCTCCGAGGTGCTGTTCCCGTTCTCCAGCTTCCTCCAGTATTGTACTCGCATTAGCCAACGAAGGAAGCGCTGGTTGGAGAGATACCAGAATAAAGATGAAATTGGAAATTCAGGCTACAACAGCGCCAAGCCAAGCTTGCCAAGCCACTCCTTGAAGCTAGCTTAGTCCAATAGACGAACTTCTCTTGCCCACGCTTCTGTTCGACTGCGATTCTTCTTCTGAGTCTTGGCGTCCGGCGGAAGATATATATACAAGACGAGAGAGAACGTGCTCATCACCTTTGCAAGGTGTCGAGCGACACTCTGAGAGGCCGCCGCTCGCGGTTGATGAAAGAGCGAACGTGTGAGATAGACCTTCCAGGAACGGAATGGGATGTTTGACACCTTTGACGGTGTGAGGAAGCTATAAATGGCAAAGCTTCGCAGGCAACTCATCCTCTGCATCTCTTCCTGTTCGCCTCTGTCATGGTGTCGTTCTCTGCCTTTTCGTCGCTGCTCCTATTGGGACTGCTCCTTCTCGCGTCTGCAGCACCGAATGCAAAGCAACGGAGGCAGAAATCGGTGATTCAACTTATTGGAGATGGCTTTGGGCCTGCTTCGGAGACTTTTGCTCGCTCATTCGTGCAGGTGAGCAATCACCGCTATCAATCCTCCGAGATGCCGAGCTGATCGTCTGTACCGGGACAGGCGAGAGACGGGTCACCTTGGGATACGCAGCTTGCTCTCGACTCGCATCTCATCGGTAGCATCAGGACCCGTTCGACGGACTCGCTCGTGACCGACAGTGCAGCTAGTGCCACTGCTTACTCCTGCGGAGTCAAGTCTGTCAACGCCTACATCGGTGAGTCTCCAGGTGACTGCTTGGCAAACATATTCTCATTTCTATCTCTCAGGGGTCGACAACGACAAACGACCCTGCGGAACAATCCTCGAAGGCGCCAAGGCAAAAGGCTACAACACTGCGCTAGTCACCACGTCTCGTGTCACCCACGCCACCCCTGCCTCGTACTCGGCCCACATCGATGACCGTGATGAAGAGAACGAGATCGCAAGCCAACAGCTCGGTGGCTACAGCCTCGGTCGTCAGGTGGACCTCCTATGGGGCGGAGGCCGACGGCACTTTCTGCCAAACTCCTCTTCCACCAGCAGCCGAAAGGACAGTCGAGACCTTATTTCCGAGGCAAAGAGGAATGGCTGGACCGTTGTTCTCAATCGGACCGAATTTGAGAGTTTCCACAATGGATCCACCGTCTCTTTTCCCAGCTTGGGCCTCTTCACATCGTCGCACATGGCTTATGAAATCGACCGCAACCACACCGCCGAGCCTAGCCTGACGGAGATGGCCATCACCGCGCTGAACGCCCTCAAAAAGGACGGAAAACCCTTCTTCATCATGATTGAGGGTGCTCGCATCGATCATGCGGCCCACAACAATGACCCGATCGGCCATGTTCACGACATCATCGAGTACAACAACATGTTTGAGGCGGTCAAGCGCTGGGTGGATGAAAACGACCACAACGACGACGAGGAGGAGCCTCAGTATCTTATGGTGTCGACCGCCGACCATGAGGTCAGTAGCAGGCTCTTCTCCGCTCCCTATGACTTTGCTGACACTTTGGACCTAGTGTGGCGGCCTTGCGTTGGCCTACCAACGTCCTGAAGACGAAGAAGGCGCCTACCTCTGGTATCCGGATGTTCTCTTGAAAGGCAAGCGATCCACCGAGTGAGTGACTTTGTAGCATACATCGAACGGACACACTCTGACTCTCTTTTACAAGATTCCTCGCCGCCGAGTACCTCAAATTTGCAGCAAACAAGACAGGCGATGAGCTCAAGACCCGCATGGCCGACTACGTTATCCGTGACAACCTCGGCATTTCAGACGCCTCCGATGAAGAAGTCCAACGAGCACTGGACCTGTCGAAGCAAAATGACACCGGCCTAGCTCTGACGATCTGGCTTGCGAGTATTGTCAATTGGCGTGCTCACCTCAGCTGGAGCACGACGGGCCATAGCGGCGTAGACGTGAACCTGTATTTACACACGAAAAGGAGCAGACCGGCGCTCGTCAAGAAGATGAGGGGCAACCACGAGAACTCCTGGATTGGTACCTTTACCGCTGATTATCTTGGTTTGGACCTGGCATCGATTACCCAAAGGCTCAACAACGGCTCGAAGATCCCGGCAGGAGCCGGAAGCGCAAACAAAACGACGTACCTCGACCACTACCACGGCGGCGTTAAGCGGGTGGTGCCGGCCATCTCTGTTGCCAAGCGTTCAAACGAGATTGGCTACTCGCATGCAGAAAACGATGCCATTTGGGCAAGGCGAGCTTCCACAGCTCATGAAGCAAGCCATCTCTCACTTCACAGGCGTAGCACAAACGAATTGTAGGGTCCCCTCCTGTCACCGTGACAGTCCAGAATTGCATGGTCTTCAGAATCATATGCTCCCACGTGTTCTGAGTTTTGGCGGCTTTTTCCTGAAATTTATTTCTTCTCGTCGAGACGCTCGCAGCAGTCACTCGACTACCGCGGACAAAACAGGTCGCAGGCCTCTCCGGAAAGAAGAAGACAGCCATGTCGCTCTTCTGCCCGACATGTGCCAACATGTTACTCATCGGCACCGATGATCGTGGGCTGTACAAGTGGGCTTGCAGCACGTGCCCATACGAGTTTCCGATTGCAAAGCAGATGACCACGAGGGTGAAGCTCACCAGGAAGGACGTCGACGATATCATGGGTGGGGACGATGCATGGAAGAATGTCGACAAGACCGCAAGTGAGTAGACTTGCTGGCTTGGAAGGATCATGGGATGAGACTGACAGGAGGTTGTCGGACCAGTCGCTTGCCCCAAGTGCGACAATCCCGAGGCATTCTTCATGCAGCTCCAGATTCGGTCGGCCGATGAGCCCAGTGAGTATTGAAAATACATTGAGACGTCCGAGAGAGATTGCTGACCAGAACGTATCAGTGACTACGTTCTATCGATGCACCGAGAGGACCTGTGGCCATCAATGGCGAGAGGGGTAGCAAGTGTCACTCGCCAGAAGAGAGTACCGCATCTCTGTCAACCCCTTCAGAAGAAAGCAATCATTGTACCACCACATCTGTACACCTAGCTAACACACATCATCTTGTACTTCTACGCTCTTTTGTTCCGATGGGCTTGACGTCTTGTGCTTGTTAACCTCAGCTCGAACAATCCAGGGTAATCTTGAGCGACAGAAAAATTAAGACGTTCTGGAAAGAGACGCGCTTTGACTTCTTCGTGCCGAAAACACCAACAGCGACCATCTCACGAATACGACAGCACGCCTCTTTTTCCTTCTCTTCGCTCGAGTGCCGACAGGTGCCTCAACTTTCATACCAGAGGTGAAGCAGCACAGGCCTGACACACGACTATGTGGTGAGTTGGTACGAGACCGAGGGCCCTCTCTCCCCAAGCTCAGCGGCCCCGCCCCCCCGGCCCCCGCCCCCGTTTGCAGCAAGCACATCCTCAACGCCCAGGTCACGATCCGGGCACCGTGCTGCCAGCGGTTCTTCGACTGTCCGCAGTGTCACGCCGAGTCAGCCGATCACCCGCTGGGCAAGACGACCGAGATGGCGTTTCTGTGTAAGAAGTGCAAACGCGCCTTTCGCAAAGATCTGACTGTCTTTGAGGACGGCGACGAATACTGCCCACATTGCGACAACCATTATGTGAGCTTGCAAAATCCACTCTCCCCCCTCTTCCTTTTATCTCGCTCGCAGACACACCTCTGGACTTGAGGAGCACGAAGTCGGACAGATGGCTGAAGGATGATGCTTTGCTGCTAGGTGATTGAGGCAAAGACGCCGGCGCCCATGTTGGGAATCGAGGGAGAGGATGCTCGGGTCGATAATCGGTATGTTGTGCTTACTCGCAAAGACGCTCGACCACGCTAACTCCTTCAACACAGCATGCTCAAAGACGATCGAATGCGATATGACCCCCGACGCGATTGGCAGGCACGAGACCAGGCAGCCCAGGAGTCAGACCGCGTCGACCAAGGGGGCTGGCAAAAGGCTCTCCAAGAGCGGGACAGTGCACTTGTTCCGACCGACGCACGAAATGCAGACGGGGAAAAGATCATGGACCTCGTTGACGAGGATCTCGACTGGAGCTAATGCTAGACGGGGATCTATTGCTGTAATATATTATCACGAGGCTAGCAGGTCAGAAGCCGAACGAGTCCATGCTGAACTCTTGAGCGCCCTGCTGTTGAAGGTCCTTGTCCCTCTTGATAAGGCTAGGCGCCTTGGTCGCCGGCGTAGCCGGAATATCTTGCTGCTGCTGCTGCTGCTGCTGCTGCTGCTGCTGTGGCTCGACTCGGTTGGTAAACTTGGAGGCAGCAGTGGGAGCAATGGGAGCGGCCTTTGAAAAGGTCCAGCTGCGAACAAGCTCGAGTGCCAGTGAGTGGCAGCCTGTAGATCGCAGATAAGTCAGCTTGAGGCGTCTGAGAGATTGAATAGCAAAACGCACCGCTCTGACGAAGCTGACGGGCCGAGTCAAGCACGAGCTGCGCTTCGGAGCGGCTCGGCGGTAATGGCGGGGGCAAAGTCTGTCGGAGTGTCCGGTACAGCAACGGCAGCGACGGATCTTCCTCTTCCGCTTTGGCGACGTTCAAGTCGACGACTAGTGCTTCCTTTGCAACGTCTGTCAAGGGTCTCTGAGGAAGATTAATGTCAGTGAGGGAACCATGCTATCCAAGGAGAGCAACCCACAACCAGAGACGCCAGAGCGTACTCCTCACGACCGAGCAGGCCGAATGCCCAGCTGGCCAAGTACCGATCACCTCTCTCGACGGCAAGCGGAATCGCATGCTTCTTCAGAATGTCAGCTAGGACGGGACCACTTTCGCCGCCCTCGTACAGTCGAGCGATTGTGACAGCCAGCGAGAGATCGTCGAGATTTCGGATGCATACGTTGGCCGCATCCCTGACGCTTCCACCCAACAAAAAGAAAGTGGCAGCCATCTCTTCAAGGCGGTGTCAGGAGACGGCCCAGTTAAATGCCCGAAGCTGGAATTGCCACTCACCAAACCTCCGCTGGCTTAACAAGGCAAATGCGTTTTTGAGGGCAGCCGAACGCCAGCGATCCTGCGTGAAGTCGTTGGCCAAGAATTGGAGCATCTTCTTCTGGTCAGGATGCCAGTAAGCCTGCTTCCAAAGGCCTAGCACGAGCTTCTGTTTGCCCAAGGCAAAATAGAGAATAGAGCACGCAGAGGGATCCCTATCCTCCCCCTTCGTGTACTGGCACCTAGCCACAAGTTCGGCCTGGGCGCGGACGTCGTCGTTTGATCGAAGCCACATGAAGAGGCCAATCGAACGAGCGGTAGGCCAGTCAATCTTGGAGTTGTACCACCGGTCAAGGACTTGGACAAGAAGTTCCTGTCTTTTGCTGTGGAAGGCAAAGATAACATCTCGCCATGGAGTATCAATGTCAGACAAGCTTGCGAGTCGCCACTTGAGCGAGACGAGGTAGCGCAAGCCCTCGTCATCTAGCGGCATTTGAAGCTCATCGACGTCAATGATGGCTCGGCTGATTGCTCGAAATTCTTTCTTGTCCTCTAGGTGTAGTGTTGCGAGGTGGTCAAGGTCGCCGCCCGCATCTATACGAGGTGCGTCGATAATTGGCTTCTTCAAGCACGTCCACGAGCCATCAAGAAATTCGTCGTTCTTGAGCGCATGGGCCAGGATGTGTCTTGCCAAGTCCAGTCTCCCTAACAGCAAGCACCCAGACAAGACCTGGGGATGGTACTCGGGTAGTGGTCCCAGTTTCGAGGCGGCCAATTGCGCTAAGTGCAAAGACTTCTTCTCCGGATCGTTCATAAGTGGTCCAAAGCTATAGAGCTGATTCGAGGAGGCAATGACGAGCTGGAAGTCTGAAAGCCATACCAACGAGGAGATGGGTGCGGCGACGGCGGACGATAGATCGATCTGGGCACTCAGACGCCAACGAGATTTTGCATCACCGCGAGTCCCCAGCAGATCGTTTCGGGCTCGGCAGAAGATGTCTACGCTTGTTTGCGAGGCAACGGCGAGCAGCGGGCCATTGGACGTATCTGGAGACCATCCCATGGCGACTACTTTGCCCGTAGGTTTGATCGTATCGGTGCTTCTCGAAGCCAGATCGTGGACAACGATCAGAGATCCATCGACCAGCGCGGCCAGATTCTGGTCGTGCTCGAATGTCGCCAGTTGCAAATGCCCCGTCCCGTTGATGCTTTTCTGTAGACGTAGGCAAAGCCCGGACTTCTCAGTCGTGACTGTCCAAACGTCCAATGACTGAGAATCGATGGTAAGGACTGTATCGCTGTTTCGTCCGTCGACAAAAGCTAGAGCCTTATTTCCCTCCCTTCCATTTAGTTGCACCCTTTGCAGATTTGGTTCTTCTCCTTTCCACGCAAAGACCTCCCCACTTGTAGTCGAGATCAAGGCGAGAGTTTTATCCGAGATTGACGTCCAACCAAGATCTTGCATCTTCGATCCCGGAGGAAGTCCGTCGAGCTTCAACAACCGTTTGCCAAATTCCCCAGCAAAGACTTCGCCGTCTTGACTCTCCAGGACGCAACGATTGCCTCGCATTGCAACTTTGCCGAGCGGCGCAGCGATGGTCTGGCTAAGCTCTTCTTTTTGCGAGCCGTGGGGAGACCACCGAATAGCCCGTCCGCTACCTGAAAAGGAATAGAGCGTGTCGCCGCTACAGGACAGGCTGGAGATGGTGTCGAGGTGACCCACACTTCCCGACGGCCTCTTGGAAGTCAGACCCTGCCCTTGACCGTCGAAGAGCAAGGCTGGAGATAGTTGAAAGTCTGCAATACCGCCTTTCTCGCCACCTTCGATACGCATAAGACCCGTAGGGTTGTCGCAATCGGCCGATGGGGGGATCGTGAGCGTCACCAGGTCGACGTCTTGCATTGCTTCGCTCTGAACCAGATCAGGGGCGGGAATCTTGAGCGCAGTGAAGCTTTCGCACAGCGTCGGTGGTCGTCGATCGACACCAGCCAGTGCCCGAACCCCCAGGATGCCTTCTTGGTTCACATGGAGGAACATGTCGGGCGTCTCTGAAATGAATTGTTCCAGTCGACGGGCCCGACTTCGTTTGAGGTCCACTGTCTTCTCTGTGAGATCAATTCGATCGCTGCCCACGCCAGTCTCTGCCATTTGGATGTCCCGAAGGAGAAGATCTAAGCTGCGTCGCATGGTGGAGGTAGCTCTCCTCGCATCGAGATAGATGCAAGGCCGCTGCTGTCCCTTGCCTCCCGTTGCTCGCCGTCTGCTCGAATCAAACGAAGCGGCGTCGGTCGCGGACCAGAGCCGATAGCAGTCTGGTTCATCTATGACCGCCATCCATAGCCGCACGACTCCGTCACAAGTGGTGGTGATCAGCACGTCAGCGTGGCTCTGGTCTTCTGGTGCGCCCCTCCATGAGACTTTGACAACCGCTCTCGAATGTCTCAGTCTGTTCCTGAGCTTTGGCCTTTTTTCTGCGTCGATCGTCCAAACGAAGACTGTCGGGTCCTGCGAGAAGGTGGCCGCAAAGCGGCGACCGGTTCCATCAAACGATGCGCAGGTCACTGCTTTGGACGATTTGAGACGCCAGGATCTTGTCCAGGAAGCCACTGGCCCATCCTTGAGCTTCCAAGTTGACAGGCTCGATTCTGCGCCAACCAGAAGGGTATCTGTGCCGAATCATGTTCAGCGATGATTCTCTCTGCCTCTTCCATGGCACAAAGTCACCTCTATGCAAACTCAAGTATGTCACGGCATCTTCAACGAAAAATGAAGTTTGCAGCTTCCAGTCGCTCGAGAAGCCCGAGGTCCACACCGAGATGCGATTGGAAGACGCGGCCGCCAACTGTGTGTGGTCAGATTATTTCCGGCGCAAAGCAAGCCTCTACACTCACGATTCGAGCTTCTGATCCAAAGCCAAGGGCCAGACACTGCACGAACCACTCTTTCGAAAACGAGTCTGAGGGAACTGAGGAAGCAAACGAGATAGTCGTTCGCAACTTATAGGATCCATCGAGAATGCAGATCTGTTGCCCGCTGGCTTGTGCAATGTCGCTCGTGCGTCCGTCTGTACCTTCCAAGTGCGCAAAGCTCTGCCGCAGACTCTGAGCAGCCGATGAACCCAACGAGGTCCACGCTGGCCTCAGAGAGGCACTCGCTGCCATCGTCGTTGCACTTCATTAAGATCATAAAGGCGTCCGTGCATTTGGTGGCCCTCCGCTTCACGTGCATCCCTCGTCCAAAAAGTCGATGAAAGTCAAAAGGCTCAACGTTAACTTGCATCGAGCAGCCAAGAGAATCTTTTGGTGGCCATGGCAACGGCGGTGCTCGCAGATGGAGCAGCGAGCACGACGACGCGAGTGTATCAGGATGATACAGTCAAGAGGCGTGGCAGCGACGAGGTGGGACTCGCGGTGAGGTGCTGGTACAGTGAAGAGGAGGGTCACTACCCCGAGGTCGAACAAGACAGCTTGGAGAGGCCGGTAGGTTCTTCCCGGCTTGGACATGTGCAAGGTATAGAGTGGTAAGCTGACAGGGATATCTCAGCTCAAGCAAGGCGAGATTGGGGTTATCTTTCCGGCCAGTCACAAGAGAGAGATTTTGGATGAGGCCGACCTCGAGGTGTGCGATCGGTAAGTCTTTTAACTTTCTCAAAGACCAGCGTGCTGACCGGCCAGCAGCGCTTTTCAACTGGGAGATGTCTGCAAGAGATCCCTCACCGCGACATTGTCGGCCGTCATCGTGGGCTTCTCGATGGAGCTGGAACTGGAGCATGCGCTGACGGGGCAAAGGCTACCTGTCAAGATCCCTGCGACTGAAGTTGTAAACGCCATCAGGATCAACGCGGGGGATCACGTCATTCATGGGAATTGGGTTGGCTACGTCGAGGAGGTATTCGAGGAGGCTCTCGTCGAGACAGACGGCTCTCAGGAACTCGTGCGGGTGTGCGACATTGGGCATAGCCTGAGTGTTGGAGCCGTGCCCAACGACGTGAGTGGTCTTTTCTCATCTTCCGTCGATGCTCTTGCTTAGACATACCTGCGACACAGCTCGCCTCGCGAAATAGCCTCTGGATGTCAGTCTTCAATTGGGAACAGGAACACAGCAAAAGGATCGTCGACGTCCGGCAGATTCTCGTCTGCGTCAATTGGCTGGCCATCAACCAGAAGCTGACCCCCGCCGAGCAAGAGGGTCTCAAGCGACCAAAGCGATTCTGGACCGACCTCGATAAGTTGACAAATCTTGGGGTGCTGGGAGATCGGGCCCATCTCTCCGGTGACAAGGTCGTCTTCCGAGATCCTTCGATGATTGAAAAGTACGGACTGGAGGTTACGAAGCACGGCGTAGAGAGATTGGAAGTCAGTGTCATGAACGTCGTGGCGACGCACACCAAGCTGGATCTCCTCTGGCAAGACTCGACCACCTCGACGGAAGCAGCAAAGGATCTAGTCCCGTACGTCAACCTGGATGAGCACGACGTCTGGGGAGGCGATCACGTCCTGTGGAAGGGGGAAGGGGGGCAACAGAGGGGTGCCGTTGTCCAGAGCATGGACCCAGTCGAGAGAACCGCCGTCATCAAGTACTACGACTCGGACGAGGTGGAGACAATCCCGGTCCTTGAGCTCGACGTCCAAGGTCCGGATCCTGTCACGTTTGGTGTGCATCGGGGCGACACCGTCCTGCTCTCGACGGAGGACACCGCTTTCGAGGCACCAACACTGGGGCGGATAGGCGAGTCGGAGGAGTTGCCGCATCCAGACGATCTGCGCGAGGACATGAGCAAGAGGGGAATGGCCTTTGCAGCACACTACCAACGCGCAACTCCCCAAGTCATGCCCCGATCAGCAGCCGAAGCGAGCGAAATTGACTGGTTTGGCACCGTTGTCGCTCTGGAGCGCGATGGTGGCGTCGTGGTCGAGTTGCCAGACGGACGCAGGACGCTAACATCGATCACTAAGCTAACGCTCTTGGCCAGAGATGAGGGCGAAGACGACTGGGCCGATGGCTCCGAGTCCTACACGGACCATGAGGGGAGTGCTGGGAATAGTGACGCTGCCTGGATGACCGAGGAGGGTGTCGAGGCAGAAAAGGGCGACTGGGACGATGACTGGGAGGACATGAGCGAGACAGGAAATGTCCCGCCGGAGGATGGCGACGTGGAGATGGCTTCGGCTCAAGAGACCAAGGAGCCCGAGGTTGTTGCCGTCGCAGCGCAGGGGGAGGGCGCCACCGTCAATGCGGAAGCAGAAGCACCGACGAGCAGCGACAGCCACGCCAATGGCGGAACCAACGGCACAGCGACACCCAGCCAAGGCGAGCTGCCTCGACACAGCGGTGCAGATATGCCTACCGACGATGCCCGGTGGCCTCTCTTCGAGATCAAAGAGACCGCGCCGGACGACCATGCATTTATCGGCGAGACCAACGATGGAGCGCCAGCCAAGGCCTTTTACTCGCGCTTGCAAAAGGAGTTCAGAGCACTTCAGTCGAGCTTGCCAGGTCAGTCGCTGTCTCTGAAATACCACGGAGCGAGAAGATCGCTGACACATTGCCCTTGACAGACTCGATTCTCGTCCGGGCGTACGAGGACCGTACGGACCTTTTGCGGGCCATCATCATTGGCAGCGAAGGGACTCCGTAAGTGCATCTTCCCTTCCTTTTCCTGTTACTGTGGAGGCTCATCGTCATTGAAGCTACGAGGATGCACCTTTTCTCATCGATCTTCGCCTCAAGCCCAGCTACCCACACGAGCCTCCTGTTGCGCACTTTCACAGCTGGACAAACGGAAACGGAAGGGTGAGCCCAAACCTGTACGAAGAGGGCAAGATCTGTCTGAGCGTTCTCAACAGTGAGTTGTTGCCCCCTTGTGTTCCCAAGAGGCACCAAAGCTGACCAAGACCTTTCAGCATGGAGCGGGGAAAAGTCCGAGAGCTGGAACCCTGCAAAGAGCAGTTTGCTGCAGGTTCTCGTCTCGATCCTCGGCCTTGTCCTGGTGCGAGATCCATACTACACAGAGCCCGCTTTCGAGAGATTAGCAGGGACCGAAGAGGGCAGATTGAATGCCGCCTACTATGCCGAAAGGGCGTACGTCCTCTCGAGGGGCTTCATCAGGAGAGCGCTCGAGCACCCCGTTCCGGGTTTTGAAGAGGAGCTCAAGTTCTTCTACCTCGGTGGCGGTGCCGGCGATGATGGGCATAAGGGCAGACTAGAAAGGGTTCTGGCTAGGGGCCATGCGCTCATGGCTAGCTCCTCTTCGGACACGACATCAGCGGAAGGCACAGAGGCAAAAGGGGGGATAGATCGGCCCGAAGCGGTGCAACGGCTGAGCGGAGGCGGCGCCATCCTCCTCAAGAGGACGCTGGATAGACTTGAAAAATTGGCCGACAGCGGCAAAACTTCTTAAGGCGGCAACTTTCTCCCTTTTGCACCCATCTGTACGATTCATGAATTGATCATGCTTTTCTCAGCTCAGCGCCCTTGTCATACAATGGACCCCGCTCCATATACGTCCGAAGCGTCCGCGCGACCCTTTATGCTCCACCACTGTTGAGAATTGATGGTCAGAAGCAGCTCTAGAGTGAACCATCTTTTCGAGCAACTTACACGAGCTGAAAGAGACGGGTGCACATACCGGCGAAGGCAATGTCAGACTCGTGTCAAGCAAGTGATTCGGAGCGGTCAGACTTACGACGTGGTTGATGGGGATATGGATGAGCTTGACAAAGTAGCCGATGAAGCCCATGACGACGAATCCCATCCCAACGGCCCGGCAGATTTGGAGGAACTCTGGAGAGGAAGAGACAGAGAAAGAAGGGTCAGACAAGCGTCTAGAGGACTGAGAGATAGAGCAGGAAGCGCACCTTTCTTGTCGGGCTTCGTGCATCGGTTCATGAACTGCAAGGGAAAGTAAGGAAGTTTGAGGGTGGATTGAAAGTGAAGGTGGGAATAGCACGTACCTGTGTGCCCTCGCGCACGAACGTCTGAGGCAGCTCGGCGATCTCTCGAAGTGTGTCGGCCATCCTTGTCTCTGTCTATACTGTGTGGTCTGGAGGAGAAGAAGGCGACGGGCGTCGAGAATAAAGCTCGGACGTGGCCTGCTTTTGCACGTGTCGAGGCGGGGCGAGATTTTGAGATTTTTTGAGAGGAAAGGAAGTTTGGTTCAGGAAGCATCAGGCAGTCGAGGGGGGCGTGCTTTGACAAGATGGAAGAAGGCAAAGAGTCGAGCATAGCTCACCCAGACTCAGGAGAGTCTGAGCAGCAGCCTGGAACGGCAGGGCCAGTGGAGGCCAAGGTCCGGCCCATCGACGAAAAGAAGGTCCAGGGCAAGATGGTGAGTTGATCTGTTGCCGGCTAAATTGTCTGGCAGAAGCTCATCTCCTGCAACAGCACCACGTCATCAAGCTCGTTTCACAATCGGTCAAACGTGCCAAGACCTTTGAGACGCAGCGCATTGTCAAGAAGCTCAAGTCTAGCAAATCCAAGGCCAAGGAAGAGGAGGAGGAAGGCGGACCGGACTTGGAGAAGGAGCTCGAGGTGACAAAGGCAGTCGAAGCACAGGCCGTCGCGCTGCAGGCCCTTTGGACAAAGCTGGGCAAAGCTCGCTTACTTCCTCGTGGTACAGCTTCGGACAGTTTTCCGCTCGCGGATATCCTCGGACCCACACATCTCCTGATCGAGGATGCGTCCAGGCGACGAGGAGCCGACGGTAGTGGTCCAAGCACGACCAGCGTCAATGACCTGGTCCGGTCGAGGCTCGTATCCAGCAAGATCGTCTCGGAAGAGGTGTCTAGGGGCGTGAGCGAGATTGAGAGGCTTTTGGGGCTGGGTTTGCAGAAAAGGGTAACCGAAAAGGCCAAGGACCGGACCTCTACTGCTCCCACTCCGCGAGAGGTTGGTCAAACGCGAGCATCCAAGAAGATCCCGGTCGAAGCGAAAATCGACGAAGATGGGAAAAGCTCGGTTTCTGCAGGCGTGAAGAAAGAGGCTCAGAAGGAAGAGACAGGGGAAAGGAAGCGCAAGAGACTGCCCTCGCCGACACCTTCCAGGGACTCGTCGGAGGACTCGCAACTATCCGGGCAAGATAAAGACCTAGAAGGCGAGGAAGGCTCAGACCCGATCTCAGGTTCGGAAGACGACGACGACGACGAGGGCACGACGTTCCTCCCGTCGCTCGCAACGGGCTTCGTCGGCGGTCGCGGCCTGAACTTAGGACGCGGAAGCGACGACGAGTGGAGCGACGGCGATGCCGAGCTCGAAAGTATCGACTCGGACGCTGAGGACCGAGGATTGGATGGCAAAGTCCGCGCCGGTGCAAGAAAGAACCGAATGGGCCAAAGAGCTCGCAAGGCGTGAGTACTTTCTTTCCGCGCGCAGGTGTGACATGCTGCTGATGCAGTTCTGCAGCTTGTGGGAGAAGAAATACGGGCGCAACGCAAACCATCTCAAGCTTCGGGAGCGAGAACCACGAGAACCACGAATGGCAGGCGCCGCGATGGGGGGACGTGGAGCCGCAAGAATGCATCCAGACCGGCTACGTAGAAATATTGCAGGCACGGCACCTACATTCGACAGGGCAGGAGGGCGGCCTCCTCCAGAAAGACGAGCAGAAAGAGAAGAGAAAAGGGCAAAGACGCAAGAGATGCACCCAAGCTGGGTCGCAAAGCAGAAGCAAAAGGAGATGGTCGAGGCTGCCACAAGGGCAGCAGTTGGAGGTCCAACATCGAAGAAGATCGTGTTCGATTGAGGAAGAAGAGAAAGAGAGCAGACATGCACGTGTATTCTAGCAAAAGCCCATAGGGCAAGCATCTATGATCGAGCCTGCTCTTTAAAGAAGTCGGTAATGGCGTCGAGAACGGCCATTCTCTTTTTGTTGTCCTCTTCGGACTGTCCCTTGACGTTCTTCATCATGATGTGCTCGTACCCGTCCCAGATCCTGCATGATTTCGTGGGTGAGGAGACCCTCTCGCAGAATGCCTGGGTGCCGAGGTAGCTCGTCGCTCGGTCATTCTTACCGTGGTGGAAAGAGACGGGGACTGTAATCTTGGGCGCAAGCTTTTGGAGCTCTTCGAGACCCAGCAGGATGGCGAGGCCTGTGGCGATCCGGATGTAGCCCTTGTAGGTCTGCGGATCGGCATGGAACTCATGCTCGACCCGGATGTCGTCGCTGACGTTTCCCTTGACGCCTGCCGCCAGGGGCAGGCGACCGGCGAAAAAGGCAATGACGCGTGCGATTGTTTCGAGGACATACGACGGTCGTGCTGTTTTCGTCGCGGCAGTGGTCAGCAGAGAGGAGCTTCTTCAAGTCCACGATGGGCTTTTGCTCACAGTGCGGGCTGATGGCGAGCATGGGCGCGGCGCATGCGATGCCCGCAATGTTGGGGCGAACACTGTCCAGCTCAATCTCCGTCAATTTGGTGGGGTCCGGCCCGCCCTGCGAGGGAGGCGAGAGCGGCGGGTACAGCGCGGCGTAGTAGAGTGCCGTGAAGCCGCCCCTACATGGTGGATATCAACACAGGTGCCCAGTCGCCGGTGTGGGAGAGTTATAATCGTACTCACATGCTCTCGCCCTGAAGGAAGAACTTGTTGCCCCGCAAGTGTGGGGGATCGTGCTTGATGACATCCTGCAGCACCGAGTGCGTGGCCTCGATGAGGATCTTGAGCGAGGGAATGTACGAGTGCAGGCCGGAAGACTTTTCATAGGGGCGAACAGATGTTAGCGAGCGTGGATCATATCTCAAGGTAACAGCTCAACTCACTCGACCAAATGAGGGTAGATCAATGGCGATTACACGGAAACCGGCCTCGCAGTGGTGAAGCCCAGTGCCTGCAGCACGCCCGCCATAATTCTGCGAAAGGAGGCAGGCTGTGAGTGTGGCTGTACCTAGCATCGACCAGTGCAAAATACTCACATTAATGCCATGGAGGAGAACCACCGAGGCTTTATCTGTTGGGGGGAGAAGAGCACATTAGTGTTCCTTGCACTTCGTACTGCCTCGACAACTCCTCTCACGCTTCTCTCGCTCCCAGGCCTCGTCGATGCGCCAGGTCGAGTAGGCAACAAAGCTGTACTCTGGTCGGTCCCAGCTCTTTCCTTTTCGCAGAGCTTCCTCGGTTAGATGAATGGTGCGCGACTCAACCGTGACCCTTGGATTGTCGTAGATGTAGCGCTGCTCGTCTGCGGAGCGGGGCAGCGAGGCCCTTCCATACGTCGGGTCGCCAAAGCCAGGCGTGACCAGGCCGAGCTGGCAGAGGATTGGTTCGAGAAAGACGCGGTAGGCCTCGATGAGGTACCAGCTGATGGTGATAGCCAAGTTGAGGCTGTCGCTGGCGTAGGCGTCGACGTCGCCCTTGTTCTCGACCATGTTGTCGCAAATGGGAGTGACTGAAAGTCGTTTCATGCGCTCACCGATTCGCAGGTACCACATATTCTCAGGATCGGCGCGCCCAGCCCGAGATCCGAGAAGGAGACTTAGACTAAACTCTCTTGCTCGTGGAAACACGATCCACCACTACTAGCATCAGTGACTGGAGTCGGCAGCGCACGAGGCCCACCATTACGGCTCTTCGCTTGGCATCGTTTGCCGCACGGCGGAGTCGCCTCGGGCTCGCACTCCAGCCGCAAGTCGTTCAGCGCAGGCTTTACTATAATGACAACGCAGCCGCGGCGACTATAGCAACCAGGGACATGACGCCTCCTCCACCGTGGCAGGCCCTCTTTGCCGGCAAGAAGCTGGCCGAGGGCAAGCATGCCGAGCACCATCATCAATACCACGAGCAAGGTGACCACGAAAGAAACAAAGAGGAGGTAGCTCGCGTCGAGCTTAAGTGCGAAAACGTCGAGGCGGCCGTAGAAGAGGCTCTGAGCGACAATGCCATCCTCGCTCGGCCTCCCGCTGCACATGTTGCCAGTCATGCTGCATTGCCATCCTCAACTGCGATGCGATCTTCCCACAAAGACAATACAAGCGCCCTACCGTCACGAGACTGGCAGGGCAGACCGCGCTCTTTGCTTATCGACGACGTCGATCGCAAGGGTGGCTACGAAGGCACTGCCCGACACCCTCACAGCAGCGTAAGCGGTATGGCCAAGCAATCGCCAGACATGGCCGTGGGACAGCTGGCCGACCCTTCCAAGGATGAACAGGTCCTGGGCCAGGCACAGGGGCGAGCCCGGGATGCCGCAGCAAGCAGTAATGGCAATGCCAGCGAGCTATGGAACATCTTTGGGGGGCTGTTTGGGACGACGTACGAGGAGAGTGGTGCGCCCAAAGACGTCCAATTAGCCCAAGAGGAGGAGAGCTTTCTCGGTGCCGCATCTAGGCTTCGCTCGATGCTCGATCAGGACTCGTCGTCCAAAGACACTTGGCTCGAAAAGCAACGCAGCGAGGTTGATCGTGCCCTGAGGTCCGCTTCGGTGAGCAGTAGCAGCAGCGGTGGCGACGGTGATGGCAGCCATGGGACAAGCTCGGACAGCTCGTCTGCCAACCTGCGAGAGCAGACGACGTATCTCTCTCCTCGGCTGCCCTTGGTCTTTTGCCACGGCCTCTTTGGCTTTGACACCTTTTCCCTGGCTCCCGCCGCGCTCGCCGAGTCGCTTCCTTCGTTTTCCGTAGACTACTGGCGGGGCATCGTCGATGTTCTCCAGCGACGCGGCAACGAGGTGCTGGTATGTCGGGTGCCCATGAGCGCCAGCATCGAGGAGCGCGCCAAAGCTCTGAGAGAAATGATCGAGGCAAAGTATCCTGAACGTGAGATCAACCTCATCGGCCACAGCATGGGCGGTCTCGACTGTCGGTACCTCATCACAAATCTCAAGACGTCGTTCCGCGTCCGCAGTCTCACGACGATTGCTACGCCCCACCGTGGCTCGACATTTGCAGACTACATGCTCGACGAGCTCATTGGCAAGGAGCGGATGCCCACGCTCTTGAACCTCCTCGAAAAGACGGGACTTCCGGGCGGAGGAAGAGCCTTTGAATGCCTGACAACGACGGCCATGAAGCAGTTCAATACGGACACACCCGATGTCGACACGGTGCGCTACTTCTCCTGGGGTGCAGCGTTCCGGCCAGGCGTCTTTCACGAGTTCCGCATTCCCCACGGCATCATTCTCGAGCGAGAGGTGAGGACACCTTCAATTTTCAATCGGGGAGCTTCTCTTGACTGACACTTTTCTCCCAATGACAAAAGGGGGAAAACGACGGCCTGGTCAGTGTGACATCGAGCATGTGGGCATCGTACAAAGGCACCCTTACAGCCTCGCACCTGGACCTCATTGGCTGGACACGCCGGCTAGGCACCTTCAGGGCCGCCGCCGTAGGAGGCCGCAAACCGTTTGACCCTAAGCTCCTCTATCTCAATATCTGTGAAGACTTGGCCCAGGAGGGCTTCTGATTAATTTCGGCCACTTGCAATCTGTGTACCTTATAAACCGTTCAATCAAAGCAACTATTTGTCCTTGCGAGCCTCCTTCCAGGCCTTCCACGTCTCGTCCCTGAACTCTTTGTCGACGAGGACCTTTGCGCCGATGACGGCAATGCCCGTCGCGGCTTTGAGCGTGGCCTCGTGCGCCTCTGGCGTCTTGGCTGCATCGGCGAATCCCTTGGTGTGATTGCCATTCTTGTGCGGGTCGCCAAGCGGGATCTGGTACAGCGCATGGATGCCGGGCAACTCGTAGGTAATGTTTCCAAAGTCTGTTGGGACAAGTAGAGGAAAGTCAATTCCGAAGTATCTGAGAAAGTAGCAGATGAAGAGGACAACGATGGGCACCCACCTGTCGAAGCCTCCCACACGCCGCTGTCGACCTTGAGGTCGTACTCGCTCTTCATGTACTGTCGGTAGGCCGTAGTGAGCGTCGTCGAGTTGGCGACGTCGGCATACACGGCCCCGCGCTCAATCTTGACCTTGCACGACGTGGCGAGGGACGCTGCCTCGAAGCACTTTTCCACCCGGCCGGCCAGCTCCTCGACCGCCTTTGCCGTGGGCGCGCGCACATTGTACTCGAGCTTACAGTTGTCTGGAATCACATTGGGCGCCCAGTCGGTGCCCTGGAGGATGCCATGTACGCGGCAGTCGGTCTTGATCTGCTGGCGGAGTGCGCTGATGCTCATGTACGACAGCACGCCTGCATCGAGGGCGTTTTTCCCCTCCCACGGCACAGCACCCGCGTGGGCAGGGACACCCTCAAAGGAGACATAGATGGGCACGACTGCGAGCATGCGTGCGACATTGTCAAAGGGAGAGGGATGCACCATGAGGCAGGCGTCCATGTCCTTGTATGCGCCGGCCTGGAGCAGGTTGATCTTTCCACCCCCGCCCTCCTCGGCTGGCGTGCCGAGCAGGATGACCCGTCCCGAGACGTCGTGCTTCTCCAGTGCCTCAGCCACGCTCAAGGCCGCAGCGACGCCCGAGATGGCAATGAGATTGTGCCCACAGGCGTGGCCGATGCCCGGCAGCGCATCGAGTTCTCTGCGTAGCTTGCGGTCAGATTTGAGAAGAGAGCGGGGGGAGGTGATGAGTGACTCACGACTGGAAGCCAATCGTCGGCACCTTGTCTCCCTTAGCACCAGACCCAGACTGGTGGACGAATTCTGCCGAAAAGGCCGTCTCGACACCAAAGGCGTGCGGGGTGACCTTCCAGCCGTCGCGGTGGGAAAGGTACTCGACGAAGAGGTCATGCGTCTTTCTTTCCTCCCAGCGGACCTCATGCAGGTCCCACATCTTGAGGCTCAGATCGCGAAGTTCTCCGGACAGCGCGTCCACCTTGGCCTTGATCGTGGAGCTCAGCTGGTCGAGGACGCCCGTCAAGGGATAGGCGGGTGGGACATCGTCGTCGTCCGATGCGCGCTTCTCATCTGTGTCGAGGAGCGCAAAGGACCCGCAGCACGCGTGCAGGGTGTGCTCCTGAGCCTGTGCAATCTCCTCTGCTCGACGATGAGCAGCCGGCGCAGCGGCTCGCCTGCTGCTGCGCGACGGCAAGAGCGCAGAAAGGCAGCCGGGCATGTTGTATCCAGATGGTGAAGAGGAGCAGGCAGTCAACTTCACGCGAAGTGGAGATGCATCGCACCCTCTCGCACGGCCTCGCTCATTTACACTTTCATATTCGGCAAACGTGCGTGTGTTCTTCTTTCCCCTCGTCGTCTTCTGGTGCAACACCCGACGATGCCGCAGACGTTCGTAAACAGCTTCCCGCTTCCCTTTCCGTGGTCACACACGGCCCTGTCGGTATGGCACAAGTACCCGAATCCATCGGCACCCCACGTCGTGTCGATGGACACACTGTCGCACCAGTACGATGACCAGACGGGCCTCTTGCGCATCGAGCGGATCCTCGGCGTGCGGCAGGGCGCGCCGACGTGGGCAGTCAAGGTGTGTATCTTATCTGCACCCGCAAAGCGATCTGTTCCTTCATCAGAGAAAAGTGACAAGGTAGTGACGTGCTTGAGCATGCTAACATTGGCTGAGACAGCTCTTGGGCGGCACCGAAGACACTTACGTTCGCGAAGTGACCATGATCGATTCGGCAAACGAGCGCTTTGAAATGACGAGCACTAAGTGAGCCTCAATGGCGAGAACCTTAACTCTCGGCGGCAAATACTGACGGTGAATGCACTTGAAGCCTCTCGCTCAGCGCCTACCTCCTCGTCAAGGAATACATCACCTACCTGCCCGCCTCACCCACCACGTCAGTATTCAACCAGACGGCCCTCATCACATGCTCTGCAGGCTCGGGAGGCGGCTTTATTGCCAAGGCGGCGCAAAAGATTGAAGATTGGAGCCATAAGCGCTTTGGTGACAATGCGGAGAAAGGCAAGATGGGGTTGGAGCACGTCTGCAAGCAGCTTTGGGAATCCAGGTGGCAACAATCAGATTCGTCTTCCATGTCAGCAGCTAGACTATGATGGACAATGCAGAAAGATTTTTGCTTGACAAGGCAGCGTTCTATATGAAGTCTTCTACATGAAGCCTCTGCCCTCGGATCTCGTCCTTGTCTGCCCAGCTCGGTTGCCATTATGAAAAGAACCCCAGATGCTGTTTCTCTTCTGTTTGACTTACCCGTCTCGCTCGCACAGACTCCTCTATTTTTATTTTTCCCTCCACCAACGAGGAGAAGGAAGAAAGCTGGCGCAAGCACGATGAGGTTCAAGGCGCTCGTCTTAGCGACGGTTGCGGCAGCTCTGGTGCCGCAGATTGCCCACTTTGTCAAGGGCGAGAGCCTCATCGATAAAGTCCTGGGCGTGAGTTCTTTCCGTGTACAGGCCGACAAGCATCGTGCACTGGCACAAGAGGCTGACTGTCTCTCATGCAGAAACTGGCACCAGAAGAACTTCAGGCGCCGTCCTGTCTGATGCCACTCCAAGGCGGCATTGAAGCCATCGAGGAGAAGTTGACGGCTGCAACACGAGACAATGATGAGAACTTCATTGTGCTTGTGTGAGTCTGTGTAGAACCGTCTGATGAGAGTCGATGCCCCTGATACCAGGATTCAGCACCGCATCGTCGGACCGATCGTCGCAACCTGCCAAATACAGGTTTTACGAAGCCGCAAAAGCGGCCTGTAGCGAAGAAGACCGGGTGGCATCTCGATGGAATTGGGCGCATCTCGACTTCGAAGAGGAACCAGGAATGATCTGGCGATGGTGGATCTGGAAGTGGGTAAAAAGTGCCCCGTGCGCAGGAGCGGTGCAAGTGAAAGGAGAGACTGATCTTTGTCGCCGGAGCGCAGAGTGCCCATCATCGTGTTTGTCAACCGCTCCTCATCTTCTTCGAGGCCGTACGATGTGCGATTCTGGAAGATTGCCTGGCAGATGCCCAAGTCAGAGCAGATTGTGTACGTCAGGCGGCTGTCTGTTGTCTCGATACATGCTGACGGCCAGGAACAGCTCGGTGATAGATGGCTCCCGATGGCGCCTCATCACGCCGTGGGAAGGGTCCCTGGCACCTGGAGGTCCGCTGTGAGTGTGCTTCGATCCTTTAGGATAGCCCGAAGTTCATCGCAAAATCCCTCCAGAGAGTCTGTGCCGCTCCTTCTTTCTCAGGGCTTCTCCGTGGTCTACGAGATTCTCGACCCCATGCCGTCGTGGCTTCTCACACTTGTGGGTGCCTCAAGTGGAGCTCTCCAAGCAAGCAAGAGCCATGCGGCTGATCTCTCTTCACAGCTCAGCATGGGTGTGGGCTTCGTCTTGATCGGTTTTCTGCATTCCGGCAATTCAGCACAGACGCCGGCCAGGCGATCTGCGGCCCCGCCGAGCCAAAGGAGCGGGCGTCCAAGACAGAAGAAGCCTTCATCGTCCACTTAAGCCCGTCAGTCTGGATTGTGAATACCACTGTATCACGCGGCTTGCTTGTGTGTGCGTATGGGAGTTGTGCTCTTGCACCAAAGAGGATCTATAATACATTTAAATGGCCACCATCGTTGGTAATCTCTCCTTGAGCGCCTCTACTCTCGATCGTATTCTCTCGCGCACCTGCTTCTGGGCCAAGAGCTGGTTCTCTGGGAGTTTGGCGCTCGGCTGCCATCTTCTCCTGTACTTCTGCTGCTCAGGTTGAGGCTGGCTTGCGTCCTTCTCGAGACTGACGCCTGGAAGCAGCACGACGCGGGGCGACGAGGTGGAGTCGAGCAGCTGGCGGTAGAGGACCTTTGTCTCGAGCACGGCCGAGGCAAAGCTCTTGGCCTCCTCGTCCTTTCGACTGACCGGCACACCAGACTCCTTTTTGGGCTCCTCTGACTGCTCTCGCACCCTCGTTGGTCGAGACTGCAAGAGGGGCAACGCATCCATCCTCTTCAGCAGGTCACCGCTCTTGAGGTACGAGTTCTCCCTTCTCAGATGGTTAAGACAGCCTCGCAGGCTCTCGACCTGGTCCAAGAGGAACGAAGTCTCGAGGCTTGATGAGCCCATGAAGCTGTTCCCTGTAACTCCGATGCCGCCTGCGCTCGCCCCGCGCTCCATCTCTGCCGATCCCTTGGTGCCCTCGCCTCCTGCCTGAGCAGGCGCAGACCTGAGCTGCTGTGCCAGGCCGTCGTTTGTCCTCTGCATCTCCTCGAGCTCCTTTTGCAGTGCCTCGTTGCCCTCTTGGTATGCCTTGGCCTGTCGCTGCATCTCGCTCAGGCTGCTCTTGACGTCGTTCATCTGCAGCGATTCCTCCTTGCTCTTTTCCAGCTGCCGCTGCAGCCGCTCGACTTTGATGGCGCCCTCCTGCAGCGCCTCGTCGCGCGCCTTGATCTGCCGGTACAGGTCCTTGGCGTCTTCATTGAGCTTGGCAATCTGCCGTTCTGCCTCGACGTTGTGCGCAATGTCGGCCTTGATCTGCTCGACTCGCAGCAGCCAGGGCGAGGAGCCGGTGATCTTGACGACATTCTCCTGCTCCGTGGCAGCGGCCAGCAGCTCTAGTATCGTCTGACTCAGGCGGCCTGTCGACTGCAGCGGGCTGGACCAGAGCTTGACATCGACCTTGCCGAGTCCCTCGCGGGAAGCCTCGGTGATGTATTCGATGACCTTGGCCATGCTCAATGGCGTCTTCGAGGTCCGAACGAGGGCCGTATATGCGCCCAACGACTGGGCAAGCTGGGCGGCAAAGCTCACGAGCTGGCTACTTAGCTGGCCAAGTCCGGGGAGCGAAAGGATGGCGTGCATCTCGACGGCTTCGTCGTTGGCATAGAGGCTCGCCAGTCTTCGGAGCAGCTTTCTGGCAGGCACCTTGGCCGCTCGGACATTGTCGATGAGCGTTTGCAGCGGCTCGAAGACGTCGTCTTCCACCGACTTGCCACCGAGCTCCCACTCAATCTCCTCGTCGTTGTAGAGAGAAGCGACACTCTGCTTTGCAAAGCCCAGCGCAGCAGCCAGCGTATCGAGGTCGTGGTCGAAGAGAGTGGCTGAGCCAATCTCCTTTGCCGCCAGATCCCAATCCTCTTCGCCCGTCATGCAACCGCTGCTTCCCAATGCAAAGCTGAACTCCTCGAAGCTCTTGACGAAGCGGCGGAACTCCCTGCCGCACTCATCCTCCTTGACCTCTTCCCGACGAAGGCCCTCGATGAAGCCATCGATGCGCTTCTCAATCGATGCCAGCTCGCGGTACATTCTGCCTGCCTTGAGGAACGTCTCGACGGGTGCATACTGGACCACGGCGGCAATCTGCCTCGATGATGCGGCAAAGTGGGCGAGCGAGTGGCGCATCTGGCAGATACCGATGAGCGACTCTGGCACGACAGAGGCCAGTGAGCCCGCAATGTCGTGATTGCCCTCGACGATCGTCTTGATCAAGTCGGCCTTGTGGGCCATGCGGCGGAAGAAGAGGAGGCTGGCAACCGCGTCAGCGTCTGCTTCGAAAAAGGCCGGAGGAAGGTAGGGACGGATCATGTCTAGGTTGCTCAGGGCTTGCGAAGCATCGAGCTTGCCCAGCTCCAAGTCGATCGTCTTGGCCTGTGACTTTAGATTGGAAGACTGCAGTTTCATGTTGAGGTTGAGCATTGCCTGGCTCTGGCTCGCCAGATCCTTGCCGTCGCCAACAGCCTCCCGCGCCTCGGCCTGTTCGCTCCGAAGCTGCTCCAAGTCCGTTTGCAGATTGAGCACCAGCTCTCGGAATTGGGCAAACGTCGATTCGTAGTCGGCCACATTGGCTTGCAGCGATTCGTGGCGGGCCTTGTGTTCCCTCAGCTGCATGTCTTTGAGATCCACTTCCTCCTGGAGCTGCTTTTCCGTCTCGACGTGCGTCTCTTCGAGCTCGTCGTTGAGCTCCTTGAGGGCCTCCAGATCCTCAATCATGACTTGCATCTCCTCGATCCTCTCGCCGAGCATCAGATTCTTGTCCGTCAGCTGCTCGAGCATCTCTTCAGCTCCGAGAGCGTCGTCGAGCTGGATCTTGAGATCTTCGAGGAGCGCATCCGACGTCTCCAAGCGCCCACACACCGACTCATACGACTGCTGCAGGTCTGACAGCGAGTTGAGCTCCTTCTCCAGCTCAGCGATCCTGCGCTTCTGATCGCCTTCGCTCTCCGTCGTCAGGTCGCGCAGACGAATGAGAGCATCCTTGAGGCGCTCGTTTTGCTTCTCGAGCTGGAGGTAGCCCGGCGAAGACTTGTCAGCCTCGTTGCTTCCGCCGTGCTCGTAGAGGGCATTCTCCTCGCGCAGCACCTCGACTTCGATCTGCAGCTCCTCTGCCTTCTCTTTCTCTGCTTCCAGATCCACCATGGCCGCCTCGGCCTTTTCCTCGGCCATCTCCTTGTCGAGCAGCGCCATCTCGGCCTGGTCCTGCGCCTCGGCCAGCTGCCTCTCGAGCTCCTCCCTCTGCGTTGTCCAGTCCTTTTCCAGCTTGCGCAAGTCGCGCAGGTCGTTCTGCAACTCTGCCTGCCGCTCCGTCAGCTTGGGCTTGACGGCGAGGAATTGGTCGGCCTCGTTCTTGACGAGTTCCATCTCGCGCATCTTCTCCCGGTCCTCTTCGCGCTTCTTTTCCGCGATGCGCAGCTTGGCACGCAGCTCCTCGACCTCCCTCTGCAGCTCGGCAGCGGCAGCAGCCCTCGCGGCTTGCGTCCCGCCGGTGGAAGACGAGGCCGTAGCGCCGGGACCCGATGAGAGAGACATGTGGTCTCTCTCCTTGAGAAGCCTCTTGCGGAGCGAGGGCGAGTCGAGCACGTCGACCTCTTCGTCTCTTTCCGAGTCGGACGACGAGGGCGGCAAGAGCCGGCTTGGATCGTCGTCGTCGATGCTCATGGCCAGCAGGTCCTCTTCGTCGTCGTCATCGTCATTGGTGACACGTCGTGTGGTCTGCTGCGCCGATGCCCTGGAATGCGACGGCACTGCCCTGGTGGTCGCAGTCGCTGGCGTCCTCGACGGTAGAGGAGTAGCAGCAGCAGCGGCGGCACCACTGCGAGCAGGCGTCATTGACGGCCTCGAGTGGGCCACTGGGCGGAGACCAGCGCGCGCCGTGGCCGTGTCGGGCGCCTTGCCGGGAACCATGGCTCGCGCAGACCGAATCGATGTTGCTGTCCCTGGGGTCCTGGCCGGCATTCTCGATGCCGTCGTTGCAGATCCCGCTGTCGCCGAAGCCGGTGTTGGACGGGCGCGGGAAGCAGCGGCGGGTGTCCTGGGCGTGGCCGTAGCAGCTGCGTTGCGGGCCAGCGAGCTCGAGGTTCGAGGCGTAGCAGCAGTCGTGGGACGCGACGAACCAGAGGCGGCCGAAGAGGCAGCAGATGGGGCGCGGCTGATGCTTGGCCTCGCGGCAGAGCCAAAAGTGGTGCTGGCGGGGCGGGACGACGCTGGCGTCGCCATTCCCTTGGTCGGCGACAGGCGTCGAGCCGCAGCCGCAGATGCCGCAGAGGGAGGAGGCATCGCAGAAGTTCGCGGTCTATTGACAGTGCCAGGAGTACGTCCGATGGCCGACATTCTGCCTTTGATCGGGCTGGCAGTCGAGGGTCTGGATGAGGCAGACGTCGCGACCGAGCGAGGCTTCACCACCTCCTCTTCCTCTGCCTCCGCCTGCTCCTCTTCCTCCTCTTCCTCATCGAGCACGTTAACCTGGCTCGTTCGCACAAAGAGGCCGTGTCCGCCGTTGGCTGTAAAATAACGCTTGCCCTGGACAACGCCATCGTGCTTGCCGTTGGGCTCGTCGAGGGCGATGCCGACCCAGACGCCTGGCGAAAAGGACGTCTGGCCGACAAAGAGGATCTCGCCCCGGCCGTACGTGCCCACATCGCAGCGCGTGTGAAGACGCAGCGGCGCTCCGCCAGACGCCATCCTTGGTTGGGAATATAGTCAAGACGCCCCAGTCGGTGGTGGGATAGGGAAGGGGGAGGAGATAGAGAGGGAGGAGGCTAAGGAGACGCGCGCGTGCCATTTCGTGTTGGTCTTGCGCAGGCCCGCGCCCGTACACAAGCCTTCTCTCAGTGATCACGGATATTGAACATGACGATTAAGGACCTTGACTTGAGCTTTTGTACAGTTAACAAAACAGGAGTGATGGGAGAAGTGGAAAGTGCAGGGATGAACGAAGTCTAAAGAAGCAGCTTGGGGGTGTAGGCAAACTAATCGTTGGTGATGAGCTCAGAAACCTTCCAAAGCTCAAATGATCCGTCAGGCAGCGTCCTTCGCACGATCAGGGGGATCTTCTTGGCCGCCAATTCCTTCATGGCAATTGCCAGCGGGTCCGTCTCGCCATCGACGGGCACCAGGACGGGGGCATTCATGCTGGTGTGTCTCAAAAGGTCAGCATTCGTGTCCCGACTTTCGATTGTCCCATGACATCGAATCCATAGCCTTCCTCCTTGGCGCCACAGTTAGAGACACCAAGGGACCAGCGCTGGATTTGGAGACGAAGGAGCAACCCACCTGATCTGAAGTGCCCTCGTCCCCAGGATTCTCGCCCGTTCGTACTTGGTCATGTACGGCGTCGTGATCTTCTCCGTGTTCGGCGTCTCGGCCGTCAATCCAGTCGGATCGTTGCCGTCGACAATACCGTTGGCCTCTCCCATGTCGTCCTGGCCCATCACATCGGCATCCGGATCATACTGCTCATCGCCATCGATGCCCTCGTCGTAGTACCTGGAGAGACAAGGCTTCAGACCCACGCCTGCGTGGTGCGAAAGTCAGACATCAGCTACTTACTCGACGGGGTCGGCAGCATCCTCGTGGTCAGACATGGTGGGACGTAGCTCTAATGTGTGCGCTTGTCGCTAAAGACGACCGGAAAGAAGAAGAGAAGAAGAAAAGGAAGTCGGGGAAGAGAGGCAATGACGAGCAGGAAAAAAAATAAAAAAATAAAAAAATGAGAAAATGCTTTCGTCCGCGTGCGCGTCGCCCAGCGCTGCTGACGGGTTTTCGTCGCAACTTCGCTTCTTTCTTGGTCGCGAGACTTCCCCTCACCACCATCAGTCTGCCAGGGTCCGATTGCCACCACGTCCCTCTTCTGTCCTTAAACAAGACGTCGACATCGTTCTGATAAGTCGTCGACTGGGCTGGCTGAGGTCACGGTGGTGTTGAGGAGCCAGTCGCTCGGCGTGGTTGGTCACCGGCTCAGCGCTTGATTCAGGCTCCGCTTGCTCATCATGACAGGTGTGCATCCATCCTTCCTCTCGCGATGCTGCCTTTGGAAGCTGACTGATCGCCTCTGCTAGACGTCTACGATGCGTACATGAGCGACACGCTCAAGGGTGTTGGAGCAGAAAAGTACATCGATGAAGAGGGCTACGAGACCTTTGGTGGTGGTCTCAATGGCTACTCGCAGGGCTACGGGGACGAAGAGGAGGGCGAGATCACTCAGCAGGGATGCTGGGAGATTATCAATGCCTTTTTTGCAGAAAACGGATTGGTGCAGCAGCAGTTGTCGAGCTTCAACGAATTCGTAACAAATACGGTCCAGGAGCTCGTTGAGGAGGTTAAGAGCTTGACGCTGGAGCAGAGCAGTCAGCACACGGGTCTGGAGGGCGACATTGCGGTATGTGCCCTGCTACTTTTTATGCCTTTCCTCCCTCGGAGCTCACGTCTTTTGTAACAGCGGCGATATGAGATCGAGTTTGGGCAGATTTACCTTTCCAAGCCATCTGTGACGGAATCCGACGGCCAGTCGATGCCGTTGATGCCACAGGAGGCCAGACTTCGCAATCTTACTTACTCGGCGCCGCTCTATCTCGATGTCACGCAGCGGAGACTTATCGAGAGCGACGAGTACGATCCAGCGACCGGAGATAAGCTTTGGAAGGATGAGGACGAAAACAATGTCATTGAGGAGCAAAAGGTCTTCATTGGAAAGGTGAGCAACTGTCTTGTGCGAGGAAAATCAAATGTCGAGCTTACAGAGTGCGTCCTGCAGGTCCCAATCATGCTACAGTCCGACTTCTGCTATCTCAAAGACCTGGATGAGAGCAAACTTTACGAGCTCAACGAGTGCCCTCTTGACTCCGGCGGCTACTTTGTTATCAATGGTTCGGAAAAGGTACTGATCGCTCAGGAGCGAATGGCGGCGAACCACGTCTACGTCTTTTCCAAGGCTCCTCCGGCACCTGTCACATATCTGGCAGAAATTCGAAGTGCCGTGGAAAAGGGAGGCAAGACGATCAGCACGATGCAGATCAAGCTCTTTTCGCGGCAAAAAGAAAAGGCGGTCAACAATGTCATCCGAGCCACGCTCCCTTACATTCGATCCGACATTCCCATCGTCATTGTCTTCCGTGCACTGGGCATTGTTCCGGATCGCGAGGTGCTGCAACATATCTGCTACGACTTCAACGACAACGCTATGCTCGAGATGCTCAAGCCGTGTATCGAGGAGGCCTTTGTCGTCCAGGACCGCGACTTTGCGCTAGACTTCATTGGTCGTCGTGGTTCCCAGACTGGCCTGTCGAGAGCGAAGCGGCACCAGTACGCGCAAGACATCTTGCAAAAGGAAATGTTGCCCCACGTCTCGACAGCCGAAGGTTCTAACACCCGCAAGGCTTACTTCTTTGGCTACATGATCCACCGCCTTTTGCTGGCCGCTCTCGAACGTCGGGAAATCGACGACCGAGACCACTTCGGAAAGAAGCGATTGGATTTGGCAGGCCCCTTGCTCTCCGGCCTCTTCCGCATGCTCTTCCGTAAAATGACGCGCGACATTTACCGCCATCTGCAACGTTGCGTGGAAGAGAGTCGCGAATTTACGCTGCAGGCAGCTGTCAAGTCCAGCACCATCACAAACGGTCTCAAATACTCGCTGGCCACGGGCAATTGGGGCGACCAGAAGAAGTTCACAACTGTCAAGGCTGGTGTGTCACAGGTCTTGAACAGATACACTTTCGCTTCGACGCTCTCGCACTTGCGCCGCTGCAACACGCCCATTGGTCGAGATGGCAAGATTGCTAAGCCTCGACAGCTGCACAACACGCATTGGGGCATGGTCTGCCCCGCTGAGACGCCCGAAGGACAGGCTTGTGGCCTGGTCAAGAACTTGAGTCTGATGTCGACCATTTCGGTCGGGTCTCCCAGCGCGCCCATTGTCGAATTCCTCGAAGAATACGGCCTCGACAACCTGGTGGACATCCAAGTGGCCGATGCAAAGACGACCAAAGTCTTCGTCAATGGCGTCTGGATGGGCACCTGCGAACAACCTTCGGGCCTCGTCGAGACGCTGCGAGACTTGCGAAGACGAGACGATATCTCTATCGAGGTCAGCGTTGTGCACGACATTCGAGAGAAGGAATTGAGACTGTACACCGACGCTGGACGAGTTCAGCGGCCTCTCTTCATTGTCGACCCTGACGACAAGACGCTTCTGGTCAAACCTCGTCACGTCGAATGGCTCCAGAACACTGAAAAGCCCGACGGGACGCCATTCACCTGGAGCCAGCTGGTGCGCGAGGGTGTCATTGAACTGCTCGACGCCGAGGAGGAGGAGACGGTCATGATCTGCATGAGCCCTCAAGATTTGGAGAACTCAAGAGCCTACAACGAGAATCCAGACCTTGTCAAGGGGCGATCCGGCGATCCCTCTGCGCGCCTCGTTTCGATTCAGACGTACATGCACAACACTTGGACCCATTGCGAGATCCACCCGTCGCAAATTCTCGGAGTCTGTGCCAGCATTGTTCCCTTCCCGGACCGGAATCAGTCTCCCCGTAACACCTACCAGAGTGCCATGGGCAAGCAGGCGATGGGCATCTACTTGACAAACTATCAAATGCGGATGGACACCATGGCCAACATTCTCATGTATCCGCAAAAGCCGTTGGCTACGACACATTCGATGCAGTACCTCAAATTCAGGGAGCTGCCAGCCGGCCAAAACGCCATCGTGGCTATTCTTTGCTACTCCGGCTACAACCAGGAAGACTCCGTGATCATGAGCCAATCGGCCATCGATCGAGGTCTCTTCCGGTCGCTCTACTATCGTACCTACATGGACATGGAGAAGAAAACGGGCATGGTTCTGCTCGAAGAGTTTGAAAAGCCCTCCAGAGAAACGGCGATTCGACTCAAGCATGGCACATATGACAAGATCGATGCCGACGGCTTCTGTGCCCCCGGAACCCGCGTCTCAGGCGAGGACATCATCATCGGAAAGACGACCCCGCTACCTCCAGACAGTGAGGAACTTGGTCTTCGAAGCAAGCTGCACACAAAGCGCGACGTCAGTACCCCGCTCAAGTCGACAGAGAATGGCATCGTCGATCAGGTCCTCGTGTCCACGAATGCAGAGGGCCACAAGTTCGTCAAGGTCCGCGTTCGTTCGACGCGTGTGCCTCAGACTGGTGACAAATTTGCTTCGCGTCACGGTCAAAAGGGCACAATTGGCATCACTTATAGACAGGAGGACATGCCTTTTACACGGGAAGGCGTGACGCCGGATATCATCATCAATCCTCACGCCATCCCCTCGCGAATGACAATCGGTCACTTGGTCGAATGCCTGCTGTCCAAGGTCGGCGCCTTGTCGGGCCAAGAGGGCGATGCAACACCCTTCACCGATCTCACAGTCGATGCGGTCAGCCATCAGCTCAGGGCGTATGGCTACCAGTCTCGCGGTCTCGAAGTCATGTACAATGGCCATACGGGGCGCAAGCTCATGGCCCAAGTCTACCTCGGCCCGACCTACTACCAACGCCTCAAGCACATGGTGGACGATAAGATCCATTCACGGGCACGAGGACCAGTCCAAATTCTCACACGGCAGCCCGTCGAAGGACGAAGTCGTGACGGTGGACTGCGTTTCGGCGAAATGGAACGCGACTGCATGATTTCGCATGGCATGGCCGCGTTCCTGAAGGAGAGAATGTGAGTCCTTTTCGGTCATTTTTGCCCTTGTCTTGACTAACAAGAGAGACATTTCAGGTACGACGCTTCGGACGCCTATCAGCTTCACGTCTGCGACACTTGCGGCCTGACGGCCATTGCCAATCTGAAGCGCAACACCTTCGAATGCCGTTCGTGCAAGAGCAGGACGGGCATCTCCAAAATCTTCATCCCCTATGCAGCTAAGCTCCTCTTCCAGGAACTCATGAGCATGGGTGTCGCCACCCGTCTCTTTTAGCCCCTTGTAACACTATTCTTGTCTCAGGTCTCTCTCGAGGAAAAAAGGCCGTCCTCATCACCAACCCCATTTGCAATCAGGAGAATCTCTCATCTTGCTCTGTATGACGTTGAACTCTTTTCGATTGCTCTAAGAGAGGCGAGCATGGCGTTTTGTACATGAAGAGCGAGGCCCTGTGCCCGTTGCTTCCTGCTCAAGGTAGGATGCGCGAGGTTGGTTTTGAATGATGAGGAACCATACGTGATGGAAGATGGATGACGACCGATCGTGAGAGTGAAAATGCGAGACGGAAGAAGTAATGTGCGGGTATCGCCGTTTGAGTCCTTAACGGAGACGGCTGCAAAATATCGCCGTGAGCAAGGAGAAAAGGCAAGGTCGCACGGGACCCATCTACTCACCGAGCCTCGCGCTCCGACTCGAGGAGGGCAAGAATGTCATCCTCCTTGCAGGGGCCCTTGACGTTACGGATGATGCTCCGCGTGTTGTCGTCCATCATCTCGACGCGAACCTGGGTGACACCACCCCGCGAGCCAGTCCGGCCAAGGACTTTGACGACCTGTGCGAGAATGAGTCAGCTTCATGTTCCTGTCCCCTTTCGCCTTCTTGCAGCGCTCGATCGGTCCGTGATCTCCTCCCAGCTACCACCTCCCACTCTCCGGCCCCTCCCTCGACTAGCAAGCCATTCCTCCTCAGAACGCCAGCCATAATCCGTCCTAGAACCCTCGCTTTTTCGCCCCAACCGTCCTTGCAAACGACATCGTAGCAGTTGCCCCACAGCCTCTGCATCGCTCTTATATTTGCTCGCACACGTCGCTGTCCAGACCCTCCCCTTCCAGACCCCTCAATGCTCCACGATAAAGATACTCACTCGGGCGAGCTTGACTGTAGGTGTGACATGGCCAAAGTCAGCATCCCCATCTACTTTGCACGGTGCAGGCGGCACAACTCACCGGGCTGCTTTGCGGCGCTGGCGTCCATGTTGTTGATATGTATAGAGAGAGGTTGGTAGGAGGAAGGACTCGTTAGCTGTCGTGCAGGCTTGAAGCAGGTCTCCAACAGTCGCTCTCATGAACCCAGCTGCGGAAACACGTGAAGCGCAGCACACGTGACTTCAAGTCTTGGAACGGGTAATTTTTTATAAAGAAGGTCAATCAATCCATTCCAAAACGGTGGAGGCGACCTGCTGAGACAGTAGTAGCAGACAGTGGGGTAACGGAAGGACATGCAATAGAGAGCTACTCGAAAGGACATCCAAAAGAGAGCTACTCGACATCGTGATAGCCGGCGCGGCGCATGGCTCCGAGCGTCTGTCTGGCTTGATTGAGCTCTTTTTCGAGCTTGAGCACTTCTACCTGCTGCTCCATCTCCTTGACCTTGAAGTCGTGCGCAGGCAGTGCCGAGTAGTCAACATCGGCTTGGCTGCGCTGGAACTGCTGCTCGGTCAACGTCTTGACCTGCTTGACAAGGGCCTTGCATGCATCCGTCACAGCCTTTGCCGCCCGCTCCAGCCTGTCCTGCGTCTTGCTCATGAACTCCGACTTGACACGCGAAGCAAGAACCAGCTGGGCGGTCGCCGCGCTGACTTCGTTGGAAGCGACAATGAGCTGCTCGAGATTGTGCGTACCCGTGATGACGCCGTCGGCCGACTCGATGAGCATCGTCGTTGCAAAGGCCACAGCCCGAGCCGCGGAGATAAGGCCCTCGGTCCAGCGGTGGTTCTTTTTGTAGAATTGCTGGTTGGTACTGGTGCCCTTGCCGCGGGCCACGATCTCCTGCTGCGACTCGGTGGCCGCCTTGATGAGGCCGGCAATGGCACGGGTTATGACCAGTGACGCTTCCAGAATGGCGTCGTGGACTTGCAGGTTGACAGCACTGAATCGATCGGTGTCCTTGGGACGAGCCATGAGAGCCTGGAGGCGCTGTGTGGCCTGCTCGATGGCCTGAGCGGCACTGTTCATCTCACGTTCGACAATGTCGCCAATATCACCGTTGGCAGTGGCCAGCATGCGGTCACCAGCCTTGACCATGCCCTCAACGACGTCGCTGATAGCCTTGAAGGCGTTGTTTGCCTCCATGCTTTGCCGAGCAACGACATCGCGCCGCTGAGCAGGGGCCACACCCGCCAGGCGGTAAGACTGTAGGGAGCTGAAGAAGCGCAGCATGACGTCGCCCGAAGTGCGACCCGTAGAGACAATCTTGTCGACAGCGTCGTCGCTCTGCGCCAGGCGTGTAATGCCCTTGGTGCTGATGAGGACGTCGCTCATCGTCTGTGCCAATTGGTTAGCCTTCTTGATGACCTCGACGTGTTCGCCGCCGGCCTCCTGTGAAAGGTAGAGGCTGTAGGTGGCTGCAAATTCGTTGCCAGAGCCCACGCCCTTTTCGATCATCGACAAGACGTACTCGGGCGTGGCGTTTGTGTTGCCCGAGGCAGAGGGGTTCTCGAGCTCGTACAGAGCATCGTCGACCTTTTCGACGCACGCCTGCAAGATTGAATCGATGATGGCGTTGAGCTTCTTTGTATTGTCCAGGATCAAGGTGTCAATCTGTGCATTGACAGCTTCGTCGCTGACGCCCTGGTTCATTTGCAAATCCGACATCTGCTTGATGGTCGCATCCATACCCTCTTGCATGATTTGCATTTCTGCGTCCTTCTCATCGCGTAGCCTGGCAATCTCGGAGTCCTTTTCGTCGAGCTTGCGCATCAGCTCGTCGGATCGATCGCGCTTCCCTCGCAGCTCATCTTCGAGTTCGGAAATCTGTCGGTTGAGCGTCGACATCATGCCCGACATCTCTGTACTCTTGTTCCGCGTCGCATCTTCAGCCCTTTCGTTGGCAAACATCAGGTCCCGCTTGAGCCGGTCAAACTCTTCCTTCTGGCTGGCCTTCACCCGGTCGAGATCGAAGCGGGCACGGTCTCGCTCTCGGATCATGTCGGCCAATTCGAGGTTCTTCGCCTTGACATCGCGCTCCATTCTTTCCATCTTGTCGATGGCTTCCTGGGCGCTGCCAGCCTTGATCTGCATCTGCTTGTACTTGGCCAACATGTCCAAGTGCTCGGTTCGGAGCTGGCTATAGAGCTTGGCGAGGGCCTCGTACTTGTTTCGCCAGAGCGTCACCTGGTCCTGCAGCTGCTTCAGCAGGTCATCCTTGCTTCCTAGCTGCGCGTTGACGTTTTGTCCAATCATTGCAAGCTCGTTCTCGAGCGCTCGAACTCGATTGTCATACTGCTGAAGCATCAGCTGATCCCGCTCGTACTGGCCACGCATCGCCAGGAGTTCGCGCTCAAGTTCGGCAGCTCGTCCGCCAGCCATTTGGTCCATCTGTGCACGCATCAGGGCCTCCCTTTCCTGCCTCTCCTTCTCTTCCTGCAGCCTCTGCTGTTCCTCGAATTCTCGCTGCTGGCGCGCCGCCAGCTCGGCTTGCCTGCGCTTCTCGGCATCTTCGGCGTCCTTCAGCGCCTTTTGGCGGTCCTCGTACTCCTTGAGCATCCTCGCCTGCTCGTCAATTTCGGCTTGCGAAGGGCCCACAGGAGTCGATGGCTTGGGCGTTGTCTCTCGTCTTGCAGGCAGCTCGGGCCCATCGGGCGAGTCGAACAGGTTCGGCGGGTCATGGTTGAGCTTTGGCACGTTGATGAGCGAGGTGAGAAATTTGAGGTTGGCGCACTCGTAAAAGAATCGGCGGAGAGCATAGTGCTGGGTATTGTATCGACCTCGCAAAGGTTCGAGGGCGTCCATGGCATCTGTCCTTCTGTGCATGGCGCGAAGCATGGAGGTGAGGAACTTGTAGATGCCATAGCTCTCCTTTACCAACGGAACCAGCGAAGAGATGCGGCACTCGTTATTGGCCGAGCCTCGGAAGTGGGCAAAGACGAGCTTCTGGAACTGCTCGATCTGGTCCTGGAGGTTCATGAGGTCCATGATTGTCTCGTAGCTGCGTTTGCGTTAGTAGCGGATCGGTCAGAGTGTAGCTGAGAACTCACCCTTCATCTGGGTTGTCGATGTTCTTGAGAGAAATGTACTCTTCGTATTCGAAGAGACCGTTGAACTCTTTGTGATGTCGGTGGAAACGGAGCTTTGCCAGGATGAAGGAGACATATGCCCTGATCAGGGGAGCGTATCCTTTACAAGTCTTAAGTGAGAACATGCTTTCACACCTCGTTGCGATGTGGATGGCTCACCTCGAATGCTGTCAGAGCCAACAGTGCGTGCGCATGTTTCAAACCAGCCAATCTGAGCTTGGGCCTCCCTCAAGACCTTTTCGAGTGCAGAATGTCAGCGATGGATCCGAGTGGAACCAAAGTGGGGAAAAGCCAGACACTCACGACTTGATGGCCCTCTTGGAGGACCTTGTGAACCAGGATGAGAGCCTTGAACGTTTGGACCTCATCGCTGAGGATCGGCTGGACGCGCAGTCCGTTCCACACTGACTGCGAAGTGCGGTAGTCCCAGGTGTAGACAATGCATTCTGGGTTGGAGTGAGCACTAGAGCAGAAGAAGTTGCCGTTTCGCCTACCCACTTCGGACATGCTTCTGCTTGGGTGCTGTCTCATCTGCGCTGGTGGCCTTTTTGATGTTGAGATCAAGCTCCGACTCAGCCTTGTCTCGATTCACTGGTCGGGTGGGGAGGTGTTCTTCGAAACGAGGCCTATTGCGACTGGTGGGTCAGCAGTAGATAGAACCTACCGCCAGAGGATGTACTCACATGTTGGGATGAGCCGCCGCCCAGCTGCACGTCCTGACTTGGGTGTAAACCGGTAGTCGCTACTGGTGAGAGAGTCTCTCACTGGAGCGTGCCTCGAAAGAGATCGAGAGACGAGCTGAGCGCCAGTGGACACCTAACCCGGAGACAGTGCTCTAGAGCGGCTTGTGCGTGCCTTTTGGAAGTGTGGCGCTGCCTTGGTCCGTCCACGTGTCAATTCCATTCTTGGACGCGCCTGCTCCGAGCTCCAGATTGCATCCACGATTAGTCAGTCACAGTCATCCTCCATTTACCACATTTCTCCAGAGTCGGCGAAAGAGGCGCACGCAGGAAAATGGACGAGTCTATGCACCACCAGGAACAGGAAGCATCGGGCCAGGAGCACGAGCAGGGCAGGTCTTATGATGGAAACGGAGGTTAGCAAGCTCAAGGTGTGGATGTTGCCGAGAGTCGCCTTGCTGATCTAAGCACCAAACAGAGTCGAGCAACCATGGCAATAGCAACACTCACCCGCAACCACCCCCACCTTTCGATCCGCAAGCCATTGCCGCTCAGCTTCCCGCCAATTTCCCGCGGGGCGATGCAGCCGCGATGGATGCGGTCATGCAGCTGGCTCAGGCCGCCAGCCAGCAGCAGCACTTCAACTTTGGTCAGCATGTAGGGTCGAACAGCGAAGACAGCAGCCAGATGGAAGCAAAGAGCAAGCGAAGGCGGAGCTCGCAGTCCAGAGGCAGGGGCGGTTCGACAAGCACAGGCACAAAATCGCAAAAGAGGGACGGGGAACAAGTCGGGACGAGCGATGGGCAGGACCAGGATCAGAGCCAAGATCAAGGCCAAAATCAGAATCAGACACCTTGGTCGCCCGATTACGAGCAATTGTTGAGGCGACACCTCAACCAGGCAGAGGAGGAAGGAATGCGTGACCAGACGCAGCAGGGCGATGCTGCAGGGGGCCACGGAGAGCATGACGGGCATGAAGCTGCTGTCGCTGCTGCAGCTGCTGCCTCGGCCGCCGCCGATGCGGGTGCCGGTACCTCGCTTGACGAGACGTCCGCGCAAGCTCTTGCACGCAATGGACGAGCCTTGAGCAACACGAAACGTGCCGCCCAGAATCGTGCTGCACAACGTGCCTTTAGAGAGAGGAGGGACAAGTAAGTTCCTTTCCAGTAGGACTTGCCCTCGTTCATGCATGCTGATGAGTAGGGACTTCTATCAGATATGTCAAGGAAGTGGAAGCAAAGGCAGAGCTGCTGGAAAAGGCGCTGACCTCGGAGCGGCACTATCGAAGCCAGTACGAGGATGCACTCAAGACAATCGAGGGGCTGCGATCCGACAATCAGAGTCTGCGACTGGCCATCAATGCACTGGGTGGCAACGTACCAGCAGCCCAATCGGCCTCTGAGTCGGCACCTGAACAGCCGCAATCTCGAGAGGAAGGCGAGGAGCAACGGTGGGAACAGGTCGATCCCACCCTGGAGAGGCAAGCAGAACACGGAAACGACACAGCTCCGTCCAAGGAGCAGAGGCAGACCAATGAGGACGGGCAACTCGATGGTCTGAGGGCTGTGGCTGCTGCCGCTGCCGCTGCCGTCGTCAGCGAGGGCAACAAGGACGATCAGCAGACGCAAGAAAACGGACAGTAAACCAGAGGTGATGTTGTAAAATGCATTCTTGTACGAGTAGTTATATAGTAGCAGTAGTAGTATACAATGGAAGCACCGACTTCAATAGCGAACTCGCTGGCCCGTCAATTCTCCCGAATAGTGGCAGATGCCTTGCCGATCAAGCCAAGTTCTGAGCGCCTCTTTGCTACGCAAGCCCTTGACACCCGCTCTCTTGGCCGTGCTGGAGATCTCGTCAAAGGAAATTGGCTCAAAGAGAAGGATACGCTTGTACAAATCTGCGTCCGACGTGATGGCTCTGTGCAATTGTTGCGATAGCGTCTGGGGCACGTTGATTGGAGACGGCTCCGGCAACTCATCTTCTCCTTCGCTTCTTCGACCATTCTCTTCTTCTTCCGCTCGTCTTCCTTCGTCGTCATCAAGTTCTGCATCGTCGTCGTCGTCGTCGTCGTCGTCAGAAGTCATCTCTTCCATGAGCCGATTCGTCAAATCACCGATGTCGCCGCCCGTCACTGATCCGCTAGCTCCTACTGTAGTATCGCCCAGCGTCGAGGGATTTGACGAGGAGCAGATCGAGATCTCTGCAGGATCGTCCTGCTCAGCTGCACTTTTGCGTCTGTGAAGGGCATCCCAGACCTGGTATAGCTGTTCCTCGAGGACAGATCGACTCTTGACAGGGCGGAAGCCATATTGAGCTGCTTTGGCCTGCGAGCTGCTCAGCGTGTCCAAAAGGTCCACCGAGGTAACTAAGCGAACTCACCTGTAGATCGGGGATGGACCATGCATGATAGTCTGGTCGAAGAGGCTCTTGGGAGCTGGGTCCTGAATCTGCCGGGGAACGTGATCGTCGCTGTAGTCTCTGCTTCTTACTCTGCACCGACTGGCCCGCAGCGGAGGAATCCCGTACTTGACTGGGCCCTGCCGCCCTAGTGCTTGATTGGGAAGACGACGCCGGGGCCAGGTCGTCCAAGTCGTCCAGCAATCCCATCTTCGCCAAGGTGCAGTCAGTGCAGTTGAGAGTGTCACTTTTGGACGACGCGAAAATCGACGCGCCTCTCACACGTGTTTGGCCCATCTCCACAGATTGTCGGGCTCGATCAGCGAGTGACGTTCTCCTCCATCTGGAGATTACATCGAGCGACGAGAAGCAAAAGCCCAACGCCGGCGACAAAAGTGCAGACGTGATGAAGCAAAGAAGGGGAAAGGAGGGAGGCGCCAAGCGAGCTGCAGGGCCCAGCGTGAATGGGAAGGAACAACCGAGGCCGAGGCTGCCTCTCCATCTACTCATCCTGAAGCATACGCAAGGCATCGTCACGGCAGCGACGACGGTCGGGGTTCTTCACTATCGCAACTTCCACTCCCTCTTCTTCGTGCTCGGGTCCTTGACGACAAGCTTCAGTGGTAAGTCGCATCTGGCTCGCACTCGTATCCAGAGGATAGTGTTAATTCTCAGAATCACACCTTAGCGAAAGGCCTTAAGCTCGTCATCAAGGAACCCCGACCACCAGGATCAGTCGTCACAAAGACCCACGGGATGCCTTCGACGCACAGCTCAACCATCACGTTTATGTCTTTATACCTCGTTGGACTTCTCGTGGCGCCCTTGAGCCCGACCTCGGATCTGCTCGCCTACAGATCGCTCCTCGTTCCCCTCCTTCTCGCTTCGCCCCCTCTAATCATGTGGTCGCGTGTCAAGCTGGGCCTTCACACGCCAGAACAGTGCATGGTTGGAGCTGCGCTGGGCTTCGTCAACACTTTGCTACTCTCTCTGCTCTGGAGAGGTATCGGTAGTTGGGTGGGATTGAGAGGAGACGTAGCTCCTCGGGTCGATGAGGTGATCCAACACCTCGAGGATACCCTTCGTGGCAAACTCGATCTGTAAAGTGCTTTTGAATGCTTCGTCAAATAGATTGACTACTCCTATAAGGGCTGCTGGAAGAAGCATCAAGCCGTATCGATAACTCGGTATCCATTGACCTGGATAAAGCAATGGGTCAGCTTCCGGACATGCTAGCCACCCAAGATAAAGCATACCTTTGCGTCTTTGAGGAGCCCCATGTACCTCTGTGCCAGATCATGGCAGACCTGGTAGTGGTTGATGCCCTCTGCCTTCTGGCACTTCTGCAGCTCCTCCCGGACGATCCGCGCCTCCATCGTCCTCACCCACGATTCCCGCACCTTCTCATCGCGCTCGGCCAGCGTGGCTGTCCCATTCTTCAGCATCATGTCTCCATTAGCTCGCAAAGACAGACGAGCACTCACCCTTGAACTCTTCCGTCGTGGGGTGGGCGTTCATGTTGCCTCCTCCGGTGTTGCTGCCTTTGTTGGACGCTGACGTTGGACTGGAGATGGGAGGCATGACGCGCTCGCCGTCTCTCGGCCGGAACCGCCCGCCACGTTTTTGGGAAATCTGGCTGAGCCTTGGACCGCTGAATTTTATTTTTGCCAATTAGATTTTCCACGTGGAGCTGCGGCGAAGTGCAATGTCGGGCAGAACTTCGACGTCGACGGTCTAGGGACAATCTCGACTGACGCTCAAGACCAAATCGGACAAGTCAAGATGGTACGTTGTCATCCTCATTCAGACTCAAAGTAGACATATTGACTGACTCAATGACTCCAAAGGCAAACAAGGTCAAGGCACACGAGCTCCAGGCTAAGTCCAAGGCGGACCTGACAAAGCAGCTCGACGAGCTCAAGAGGGAGCTCCTCCAGCTTCGTGTTCAGAAGGTGGCTGGTGGCGCTTCGAGCAAGCTCACCCGCATGTGAGTGTCTCACGGAAGTAGGGGCGAAGTACATCGGTGGTGGGCGTGTAGAAGGCAGGGAACGGATGGGAAGGGCAATACTAGGGGCAAGGTGTCCGAGATGCAAGGCCAGGTGTGGATGGGCTTCGATGTCTGCGGAGGCGAGTCGGCACGCCGATGGATGGGAGTCGGGCGCTATCTTTCAGAGGGTGGAGCTGGGCGCTGGGAGGGAGGAAGGAGGTCATGAGAGAGCGAGATGTGCTGGAAAGTGCGTATGGGTGTAGATCTAAATGCTGACTCTTCTCTTACAGCAATGGCGTTCGCAAGTCGATCGCTCGTGTCCTCACGGTCATGAACCAGAAGCAGCGCCAGAACATCAGGGAATTCTACAAGAACAAGAAGCACCTCCCTCTCGACCTCCGCCCCAAGCAGACCCGCGCTATCCGCCGGGCTCTTTCGAAGGTGAGCACTCGTTTTTCCTGCTCTCGCACTCTCTCCCTCTTCCCGAGCGCCGCCAAATCAGCGGAGCGCTACCTCTCGACCTCGGGTGTGACAAGTGGGAGAGCATATTGTCATCGAGGGAAAAAGGAGGGGATGGCCTGGTCTTGTATTGGTCTCATCGATGCCGCTGCATTTCGACTACGATGTCGGCAGAATATCGCAAGCACTTGGGGAGAGAGAGGGAGCAGTGGTCTTCTAAGTATTCTATTCACTTACCCTATCCTCCCGTGCAGACCGACCGCAAGCGCGTCACTGAGCGTCAGCACAAGAAGGACATCCACTTCGGCAGGCGCAAGTACGTTCTCAAGGCGTAAATGGGTCTCCGGGACGTCTTGTAGGATACTTTTCTGGCTTGTGAACCGAGAGGAGCTCGGGAGTGACGTTCACACAGCAACCTCAAAAGCTTCTTCCCTCATTTTCATGTACCTTCATAGCACTACTATGACATGCCATAGCACCGATTCACACATTCACTCGCGGACCTCTTGTGGACCTTCATCCTTTCATCATGGTCAAGACTGAGAGGGACACGGTCACGTGCCGCGTACCCGCGAGCAGAAAAGTCAACCTGGAATTCCAACAGCTCCCCGATCTCACCACCTGCAAAGCCGTCTCTAGGACGTCTTTTTGTCGCCCCCCTTGTGAGTAGCTAGAAGGACGAGCGACAAGCGCACCATCTGTATTATCAGGGAAGAGGTATCTTATCGTCTGTTCTGCTCTGCTCCCGCCTCGCCCTCTCCTACGCTAAATCACGCTGCTCTCATCCATCCCATGTACTCCGCTGCTTTACGCATGGACGTCTTTGCGCAATAGAGCGTTCCCTTGCAGCCTTCCACCGCCCTCTCGGACCTTTCTTTCCTTGTTTGCCCCACGGATCTGCTTTCTACCGCTTCTACTTCGACAAATCCTACGACATGGACGACGATGGCTTTGATCTATACGGCGTGAGTTCTCAAGCTTGTCAAGAAGGGTGACGGCCAATTACTCAGGTGGATGAATTGAATAGGACGCCGATCTTTATGGTGGAGAGATCAAGGCAGAGGAGGAGGAGAACGTGAAGCCCGAGGCGGAGTCGCGGCCCAGCGACACAGGTGACAAACGTGGTCGAGAGGACAGCAGTGAAGATGCAAAGGTGAGCAGATCTCCACTGTCGGAAAAGCCGCAGGGCTCCGTCTAACTTACTCGTATTACAGATGGACCAAAGGGTACCCTCATCATCTTCGGGGGCGAACGGTGGCTCGGCCGGACAGCAACAGTCGTACCACCAGGGTGGAACATTTGATGGAGGGAGGCCCGTCGATGCAGGAGCGTCGGGCGGATACCCGTCTGAGTCTCCTCGCGAGGCATTGGCCGGTCGTCCAAAGGTGGAAGATCCTAATGTCCAGAATGCCTTATATGTCGGCGAGCTCGATTGGGTAAGCAAAAGCGCATTATCATCCAGGATCGCACTCAGCTGACGACCAGTGAATTGCAGTGGGTTTCGGACGAGGATCTGAGAAGAGTAGCAGGGCAAGTGGGTGTCCACGTCGCCCTTTCGGACATCACCTTCTCCGAGCACAAGGTCAACGGAAAGTCCAAGGGGTAAGTGCCTCAATCATACACTCCTCGACATATGTGCCCCTTGGCTGATCTGTCTCCTCTCTACAGCGTGGCTTACATGGAAACTGGCTCAGAGGACGAGGCGAACCGGCTGAAGGACTGGTTTGACAACAAGTGAGTCTTCTACGCTGCCGAGTGTCGTACAGACTACTGACGGAGTCGGCAATCTTCCCAGCGACATCAACCATAAGCGAGCGGCTGTGACTTTGACATCATCAGCCAATGGCAATCCTTTCAAGACGCTACCTAAAGGTGAGGACCGCTTTCCCCAGGCACATGGAAAGAGGCTGACAAGACCATAGACCCCCCGCCAAGAGACGGTAGACCGATGAGGGGAGGCGGGATGATGCGCGGCCGGGGAGACTACAACAACATGTCGAGAAGACGAGATGATGCACCTCCTATGGCAGGCGCTCCGATCCGAATGGGTGCCGGTGCTGGCGCTACGGGACCAGGAGGGATGCCGATGATGAACCCAATGATGATGGGGATGATGAACCCCATGGCCATGGCGGGCGGTGCTGGATCTGGACGGCCTCCATTCATGGGAGGGGGAGGGGGAATGGGTCGTGGTGGATTTGGCGGACGTGGAGGGGGCCCAAGGCCGAACAATAACATGGGTCACTTCAATCCCAACTTCTTTGGAGGAGGTTCGATGGGCGGTGGGATGCAGCAGCAGCAGCCTCCGGCGCAGCAGGGAGGACGAGGCGGCCCCGGAGGAGGGGGCTACGACGAGCGCGAAAGAAAGAGGCATCGCTACGACGACCTCTCGTAAATTATGTACTCTACCTCCCGTTTCTTTGGGCTCATTGTTGAAATTTCAAGTTTGGTGTGACCTGCACAATGTTATCGGTATAGATGAGGTAGGAGTCCACTAAAGAAGCGGAGGGAAGCACTTCGTTACGGTAAAGAGACACGATCAGCTGTACATCTGCCAATCGAATAGGATCTTGTTCCCCCAGATGTCTGAATCGCAGGTCGTGGGACTCTGGCTTTGTGCGATGGAGCTCAAGCCTTTCCCTCCTGGTCCCTGCTGCATGACAAGCAGGTTGAGGTTCTTGCCATCCGCTGCTATCGGCGTCCAGTCGACGGCACCTGTCGGTCCCTTTGGGATGCTATTCCTGGCAAAGTTTGCGAAGCGCGTCTGAATCTCGCGGGAGAGCGTCTCTTGCGCCGTTGTCGGAGGCCCGGGCATCGTGCCAAAAATAAGGAAAATGTCGTCTTCGTGGCAGACGTGACCATCTTCGACACAATAGTTCCGACTCGCGTTGTCTGGATATGTGGCACCGACGGCCCACTCGGCCACCCACACCTGGCTAGACGCCCTTGCGAGGCTGGCGAGGAGAAAGGGTCAGATTCGTCTAAGGACGATGACAGGGAGCATAAGCTCACTTTCGGGCATTGTTTTGAACAGCGCATCGCCAAAGGCCATCGGTGGCTGCCTGCTCGAATGTGCGTCTAAGAGCGTCCGATTGCTCGACTTCGTACTTGTACTGAGGTAGCACAGCTGCCGCGTTGCCCCTGGCTTGATTGAAGATGTAGTCGAGCGCTTCTCCAAAAGATACGCTTTGATTTCCGTACGCCAGCTCGAGCGTTGTCGCGCCTGGCTGAGTTGCTTTCCAGCTGGCGGCCGTGATGCTTCCCGCTTCATTTTGCACCGTCGACACAATCATGGGCTTTGTGGTGCCCTTGCCCGCAGCCGCGTTCTGCTCGAGGGCCGTCGGGATATACTGCGTACCGATAACGGGCCGCCAGGGCGTGCCTGCCGCGACCCCTCCGTCCTGTGCGGGCCCATTGCTATAGGTACTAAATGTTGCATCCAGAACTTGGTCGGCTGTCCTGCTGCGTGCGCATGCAACGTCACCCACGTCGCAACCGAGCGACTTCATGGTGAGGTCGCCCAGGAAGCTGTTCTGCGCAATGGTAGAGGGGCCGTAGTCTTGCGTGTCGCTGACGAGGATGGCCTTTGAAAAGAGAGGTTCTGCTGCTGGCGTCGTCAGCAGGGCCCTGACGAGTTGTGCACCGCTGCTCTGACCCATCAGGGTCACTTTGTTGACATCGCCTCCAAGGTATTGGCCCACGTTCCGGATCTGTTGCAGGGCAGCCACGACGTCTCGGACGGCCTGATTTCCTGCGAGCTTGCTCGAGCCTTGTTGGCCTGCTTGTGGGTCTTTCTCGTCAAATGTCGCTGTCGTCTGCAGCCATCCAAAGGCGCCGAGACGGTACTGGACAAAGACGACGATGGCATTTTGAGACGAGGCCAGCTTGCTCCCATCCAGTCCTGCCGCCGTCGAAGAGCCAGAGAGGCCACTTCCACCGTGGACCCAGACCAGGATGGGCAAATTGTCGCCCATCTTTGCTTTTGCAGGCTTGTAGAATGTCGCGTAGAGGCAGTCTTCACTCTGTTTGTCCGCGCCGCCGATCGGACCGTTCGTTCCTTGGATGCAGGCTGGTGGGAGCGCAGAAGCATCGAAAGTCTTTCCGTTGGCAGCGGAGACTAGCTTGTCGAGCTTGACGGGTTGAGGACTGGCGAAACGGAGAACCCCCACAGGAGGTTGGGCAGTGGGCAAGGTGAAGCGATGTGCGGCGCCCGAGCCTGCGACAAGGCCGCGAATGCTTCCCCCAGGGAACAGCAAATTTGTCGGGTCGCCATCGCGAGATTGCAACGGAAGACAGCACGTATGCGCAGCGACGAGAAGGAAAAGGACGCAGATTACGGTAAAGAGGAGCATCTTGAAAGGAGGTATGGGGAAGCGTGTCATGGGGTATTTGGATGTCTATATGAATGCTTTGCTGTGCGATGCCGGTTTTTCGTGCAAAAAAGACGCTATTCTGAGCGTCGCAGACCGTCTGCGTTGCTAGCTTCCGGTAGCCAGTGACTGTGGCTTTGCTTGTTGCCCCTCTATGTAGGAGAGTGGCCTTCTAAGTCACCTTTCATGAAACAAAGAGGTTGTCCTAGCTCGCCTGGAGTGTGGCACTTGACCTCAACGGGAGGTTAATGGGACAAGAGAAAGAGGCAAGAGGCCCGTACTGCATAATTGGCTTCTGCCTTAATTCCCTGCTTTTGCTTGCCTTGTTCTACCTCTGTACTAATGCCCCTTTATTCCCGGCCATTATCCCTTTGTGACAAGACGATGAGACCTCTGACACGGTTCGGAATTCTCCAGGAGGGCTGAAGCGCGGCGCCCTTTGTCCCAGGCGCGCCGCGCTTTTGTGGCTTGCTCTTGTTCTCTGCAATCTCGTTTATCCGCTGCCCTAGTTGTTTCGCATCGGCCGCTCTTTCCACAACTTGCTTTCCTTTTAGCCTTGCTTATGCGAGTTGGACCACGCTTCGGACCTTTTCAAATACGCTCGGAGGCTGGTGTGCTTGCCTTCACTCCGTTCAGGAGCAGGTTTCCACAAGGTCGGTGCAGATGTTTCACATACTAAGAATGGATCGAGGCTACTGCTGCACCTAAGCTAGCGAGGTGCACACAGAGGACACTATTTCACTTGGGAAAGCGCAGCTCGGAAGATCGTTTTCAACAGAGGGAGGACAGCTCTCACAAAGGGGGGGAAGCATGAGACAAAGGGACAGAAAGGTGGCTTGCCCGTACAAAGGGAAGAAAGAGCGGAGGAAGCCGCGCTGTGCTACCTTTCCCTAGGAACAAGATCAAAGGTCCCTGCTCGGACAAAGGGAGACGGCCGGAGTTGCCCTTTGATCCGGTGGTGTGGCATGATGTAACAGTCGTAAACTTGGACATAGGAAGAGTAGGACAAAGGGGCGCTTCACCTCGGCAGCAAGATTGTCTTGGTCGAACCGTAGAAGGCTCATCGCGTCTTGATCGTGCATCCCTTTGTTCTGTGCGCCGTGGCTTGCATGTGTGGCTTCCCTCTTTGATATCGTGATGCGTTTGGATAGGGAACCAACCAAAAAGCACCGTTGCTGCTTCAAAGGACTAGTATTAGATCGAGCAAAACAAAATATGGTATCGTAGTCTACATTGTTCAAAGGGCAAGTCAAGATATCAGATGGCCCACTCGACGCCCGAGTCGCTGCCCTCATCGTCGGTCTTCCAGTCGACGGCGCCCTTCTTGGTGACACCAAAGAGTGAGGCCCGCCTGCAGAGGACGGCGAGAATATCTGTCAATGTATCGATGCTCTCTTCGAGCTCGTAGACGGCACTCGCAGGAGCCGCGACATCAAAAGTGGGCGTGGCGGTCGAGGTTGAATCTGATAGGATGCTTGGTGTAGCGGAAGCCGAAGGCGTCGAAGAAGAGGAGATGGATGAAGTCGTAGAATCGAGCGAGTCTCGGTGAGTCGCAGCGATGCGGACTTCTTCGGTGAGCCGAGGGCGAGCGCTCGCCAAGAATCTCCGAATCGAGAGTGAAGTCTCGACGATGGAGACTCTAGAAGCCTCGCCTGCGTCGGCGCTCATCGAGAGAGTGAAGAGGCGAAGGAAGCGAATCCAGCCCAGAGTGGAAGCGGCCAAGGCATCAACATCATCCTTTGCCTCGATGTCGACGAGGCCGTCCACCTCGGCGTTTCCGGCGAGGACGAGCTTGACGAGACTACGCGCGGCGGCACTCTCATCGATCATCGGCAGCAGAGTCAAGGCAGTCTGTCGAGCAAGGCCGGTCTTTCCCAGAAGCAAGGCCCATGTAGCAAAGGTTGTGAAAGCGAGTGCGCGGCTCCTCGTAAGCGGTGGTGCGCGAGCCGTCAGGCGAGCAATCTGCGCCGTCAGGCCGTCCCGAATAGTCGCGTCGTCCTCAACAACATCGAGGCGAACCTTGAAGCTAGAGTGGTGCTTGATAAAGTCGCTGGCAGAAGGTCCGTCGCGCAGAGTGTCCGTGGGGCATGTGCCTCGAACGAGGCTGCCAAGAAGCGTGGTCCAGATCGAGGCAAGCTGCTCTGACTGCTGCGTCGCAGCGATGCTCAGCATGGGTGAGATGAGCGAGGCGCGGTGAGCTGCATCGACGTTGGGCGCAAAGGCGCCGACAACTTCCGTCGGTGACGGACACATGGCCAGCGCCTCGGCAAAGGGCAGCTCCAAGACGCCATCAAGCCACCGCTCGGAGGCTTGGGCGATCTCAGACGTGGCCCGCTGCTCGTCTTCTTCGTCATCGTCATTGGACAGAAGTCGGCATCGGCGAGCCATCTCCCACCTCGCCTCGGCGATGGGCATGACAAGCGAGTGACCGCCAGCGGCGCGCACCATTGCAATTGCCATTGTTCCGTGAATACGTGCCAGATTGAGCAGCGAACCTTCGGTCGAGGAACCAAGGTTGGGAAGTGTAGCGACCTTGAGGAGTGTGTGAAGACGAGCGAGGAGGCTTCCTTGAGCCAACGGGCCCAGTGACGTCTCGACCTCCAACAGTCTGCACCAGACAGCCGAGTCCTCAGCTTCCCTGGCTGGCGAGGCGAAGACTTTGCGCTCTGAGAGACCGAGCTTGATCATGCTCTCCCCAACAACAAAGATGCCGAGGGCAGCGGCACCGCAGATGGCCCTTGACGGTGCGCCGACAAAGATTCTCATCGTCGCGTCCATCTCGCGGGCATCGGGCTTGGAGCGAGCCAAGGCGGTGAGCATGGCCTTGCGTCGTCGGTCATCGATGGCGATGTCTGCCTCGTTCTCCTCGACAACGGTGCGTCTCGGCTTCTTGGCCTTGCGGATCCTTCCAAAGATCATGGGCGAGATCAAGGGCCAGAAGATGAAGACAAGGCCGGCGATGAGAGCAAGTGCGCGAGCGACCTCGACGGCGAGGAGGTGCGAAGGCAGGTGGTCGTAGTGGTGAGGTTCCTCAAACGATGTTCCGACATTGAGGCGGGTGGCGGCCATGCCTCGCTTCAGTAGCTGGTGGCTTGCTCCGAGAACGCGGCCGCCCGTGTGGCGGACAACGTTGTGAGCGTGCTCAGAGGCTGATGAGGCAACGTGCTCGCTAGCGAGCTCGACACCACCACCAAAGACGCTGACACCCATGAATACACCCATCATGTAGCGCGACGACGATGATGACGACGATGGCGAAGTCTTGGAAGATTCCTCCTCTTCGTCATCGTCCTCGTCCTCGTCTTCGTCGTCGCCCATGTCAAAGCTGTCGTCGCCAAACGAGGCCTTGGTCTGAGCCTCCTGCTCCGCCACGACCTTTTCCATCTCGCCCTCCCACAGCTCGAGCAGCTCCTCACCGCCTTCAAGACTGCGGACGAGCTCGCGCAGGCCGGCGACCTCGGAGACGAGACGAGTCTCGCGTCCCTTGAGGTAGCGGATGTAGTCGGTGGCCTTCCCCAAGATTGTTGCCTTGTTGAGCTTCGTGGCGGCGGGCACACCGTCGACGAGGTCCTGCTCCTGGGCCGCCTTGCCCTTTCGCGAACCTCCTGGCTTCTTTGGGCGGAGTTCGCGCAGCGCTGGCACGGCGTTTCTCAGTGCTGTGATGCGGTCGTTGATGTTGTTACGGTAGCGACGCTCGATTGCATTGTGAGCCACCTTTTTCTGCTGCTTCTGCGCCGGTGTGGCATTTGCCGTCGACTCAAATCCTCCCTTGACGGAAGCCTTGCGACCCGTGCCATTGGCCGTAGCTGCATCGAGGCGAGCGGCGGCTTCCTGCTCCTGCTTGATCCGCCCATCGCTCTCGGCCTTGCGCTTGGCCTTGAGACGCTCGACGGCTGCGCGCGCCGTCGCATTGCTGCCCACTTCCATCCGCGGGATGAAGCTTGGGGTGAGGTAAGCAGCCGCTGACGACTCCATCTTCGGCTCCTGTGTTGTCTGCTGCTGCTGCTTTGGCGGCGGTGACGACGATGAAGAAGGCCGCTTTGTCTTCTTGGTCGCTCTGCTGGGGTCCACTACGCTCTGACCAGTCTGACGGACCGCGAGCTCCTCTGCTGAACGCTTTCGTGTATCCAGAACGGCCATCTGAGGAGGCATATAGGTGTGTTGTTGTTGCATCTGCATTTGCTGCATTTGCTGCTGCTGCTGCTGCTGCTGCTGCTGCATTTGTTGTTGTTGTTGTTGCTGCTGCTGTTGCTGCATCGAGGCATAGGGATATTGCTGCGTCGATGCAACGAGGCTCGGATCGAGGCCTGCGGATGGAGGAGCACTGCTGAAGCCGGTGCCCGAGTGGGAAGCAGAGAGGGCAGACTGGATGGCCTGGTCAAAGTCGAAGCTGAGCTGGCTGGGGTCCAGCGATGTCTGCTGTCCGTTGCCACCACCGGCGGCCATGATGCTTGCAAAGTCAAAGCTCAGGCCGTGGCCCCTCCGCTCGGGCGAGTTGGCATCGCTGGAGTGGTAGCCGCTCGTGTCGCTCTCGGGTGGCGTCGGGAAGCCGCTGGAGCTGTGGATAAAGTCGTGCAGGCTCTGCAGGCCCGAACTGCTCGCAGCGGGGCTCACGCTGTTATAGCGCGCCTCGTCATGGTTGTTGTTGGAGGTGTTGAGATGTACGCCACTGGCGCCACCCATCATGGCAACAGGGTAGGCCGTGTGGTCGATGGAGTTGGCCAGCAGGTTGCGCAGCATCACCTCCTGGTCATCGCTCCAGGCTCCCCCAGCGGCGGCGGCAGCCATGGCATCCTTTTGCTGCTGCTGCTGCTGCAGCGCCATGCCAAAGTGTTGCTGAGCGGCGAGCATCTGTCTGGCCGAGAGGTTGTTGTGGTGCAGGAGCGAATCCTCTTGACTCTGACTACCGGGAGGTGATATAGAGGACGACGCCATCATGGCCTGACTGGCCCTTGTTCAATTGCCTGACGTAGTTGCAAGCAACCGTCAAATAATAGGCCCATCCATCTCCAATCGGCCCACCCAAAATGACCTGATTTCTCGATGGAGTCCTCTTTATTGGCAAAAGCCGCGTGACAAAATCAATCAGTCACTACTTGTTTAGATTTAGGAAATAACCAATCCAAAGAAATGGAAGCCACAAACGAGCGTCTAGGAGCAAAGATTTCGTTCTGCAGATTGCAGATGTCAAACAAGGTGTCTTTTTCGGCATCTATTCTATACGACTGGAGTACAAAGAAGAAGCAACTACTATTCCCACTGGGCTCTTCGAATGCCCTTCTGCCAGGCATCCTGAGTAATGAGATCAGCGGCTCGCTCAGCGACCATGAGCACAGTGAGCATGGGGTTGATGGTGGGCAGAATAGGCATGACGGAAGCATCGACGACCCGGATGCCCCTGAGGCCGACGACCCGGAGGTCGCGCTCATCGACGACGACGTGGGCATCGCGGCCAGGCGTGCCCATCTTGCAGGTTCCTGCCGGGTGGTAGACGGTGTGAGCGGCCCTGCGCGCGTATTCGCTCAGGTCCTCGTCCGTCTGGATGTGGGCGCCGGGCGCAATCTCGCGGACGAGGTGCTCCTTGAAGGGCGACTGCTGTGCAATCTTTCGGGCCCACTTCATGCCCTCGACGAGAATCTTTGCGTCGTACGAGTCCTTGTCCTCAAAGTAGCGAAAGTTGAGCAGCGGCTTCACGGCCGGGTCGGAGCTGGCGAGCGAGAGCTTGCCGCGGGCCTGGGAGCGGCAGATGTTGGGCGTCATGCAGATGGCGTGGTCCGGGTGCGGGTAGCCCATCCGGTTGGTGTTGTCGGTAAAGGGAATCTGGTAGATGTGGAACATGAGGTCGGGTACGCTGGGCATGGGGAACGGCTCGGCGCTATCGGGGAGCACCTTGAGGAAGAGGCCGGCATCGGAAGACATGACCGTCTCTGGCGGTGTCTCCTTGGTCTCCCAGATGATAATCGACTCTGGGTGGTCGTGCAGATTCTCGCCCACGCCGGGCAGGTCGTGTCGGCAGGGCAGCCCGACCTTCTCCAGGTCGGCCTTGGGACCAATGCCCGAGTGGAGAAGGAGCCGTGGCGAGTCGACGGCACCGGCGCAGACGAGCACCTCTCGGCGCGCAGTCAGCGTCTTTTCGAGGCCGTGCTTGGTGCGGACGGCGACGCCGCGGACCCGCTGCGGGTCCTTTTCGTCAAAGGTGAGGCGCTGGGCCCACGTCTCGAGGAACAGGTGCAGGTTGTTTCGCCTGTATGGGCCGTGGGGCATGATGGGATGCAGGTACGCGACGCTGGCGCTGCTCCTCGATCCATCGTAGGGGTTGTATGCAATGTTGAAGAAGCCGACGCCCTGCTGGAAGCCACCGTTGTGGGCAATCTGGGCGTTGAAGTCACGAATCATGGGTGCGCCCGTCGCCGTCTCGCACGCCTGGACCCAGTCCCGTGCCACCTGGTTGCGCTGCTGAGGAGCGACAGGGACAATGTTGAGCTTCAGACGATCGCCGTACGGCTGGATCGCGGAGGACCGCCACGAGGGGCAGCCGTAGCCATCGGCCCACAGATCCAGGTCGGCGTTGAAGGGGCGAAAGGAGATGAGGGTGTTGTGCGAGGAGCAACCGCCGAGGACCTTTGCGCGGCTGTGGCGGATGTGCGAGTTGCCCATCGGCTGCTCCGTCGTCGGGTAGTCATAGTCGAGGTCCGAGCCCAGGAGCTCGAGCCAGCGGCTCAGGTCGAGCACCCTGATGGACGCGCTTTCGTCAGTCTCTATGCGGGCTGGCTGTCCACTCTCTCTTTCTTGCTCGCTCTCACCTGTCAAGGCCGACGTCGCTGGGGCCACCTTCGATGACGGCGACGCTCACGTCCTTGTCCTGCGTCAGACGATCGGCCAGGACGGCGCCTGCGGTGCCTCCACCGACGATGACATAGTCAAACTCGGTGTTTCCCTGGGGCAGGAGGTGCGAGGCCAGCGAGGCCAGCCGCTCGCGCGCAGAGGGCGTCTTGGGCTGCGACGACGTTGCCGACGACGACGGACCCGCCTCGGTCGTCTGACCGTGGACCGCGTTGGTGTCGGGGCCAGGCCCAGTCTTGCTCTTGTTGTCCACCATGGTCCGACCTTACGTATTTCCGATCAGTCGAGGCAAAGAGGAAAGAGACGAGAGAGAAGAGGGTGGATTGATAAGGAAGAAGGAGAGGAGGAGAAGGAGCGAGAAGGAGCAAATGGCGCCTCTTAAGAAGCTCGACGCGGGTTTTCTGTGGGATTTTTTTTCCTTCTAATCAGAGCCGTCTGTGTCTCGCCCATCCGGCTTTCGCGATAGGGAGAAGGAAGTGCGCACCGACCAATTTGTGGTGGAGAGAGAGGCCGAGGCACATAAGTTGGCCCGCGGCAGAAAAAAGTTCAAAACACGTGGCTTTTCGCTTTCGCCCCTCACCTCTCTATGCACGCTCAAGGACGCGTCTCTTGCGGGAAAAGAGCGCGCCTGAGCAACGCGCGCTCACAAGCTAGCTGGAATTCAATTTGAACGGCAGGTGGCCAGCCGGCTTCACGTCCACGACCACCACAGGCCAGATCCAAGACAGGAGAATAGAGGCCGAAGGTCAAGATGGCACAGGCAGTCACAGCCATAGGTCGAGCCGTGGTGCTCAAGGGCCCCCACAGCGACTCTCGAAGCTATGTGACTGCGCTTCCCGACACGCTCGAAGTGAGTATGAGCGAGGCAGGTCACCGCATGTAGAGCAGCATCTGATTTTTTGCTTGCCTCCTCTTCAGCAACTTGTATCAAAAGCACGCGAGCGCTTTCCAGTACCGCCGGACCACACGCCTCACATCACGCTGGGCGACGACACGGGCGCGATCCTGCTGCCCGATGCGATGCCCTTCATCCGCGATCGTGAACTCCTCGTCTTCCGATGGATTGCAGACACGCCTCGGAGCAGCCTCAAAGCCGCGCGCATGTCTGAGCATGGTAGTGGTAGCAGCAGCGGCTCTTCTTCTTCTTCCTCGTCGTCCTCATCGACCAGCGTCGGTGGCAGCGGCGGTGGCAGCGGCTCCTCGAGGTCGGTCCGATGGGATGCAAACGTGGTGAGCAATGAGGGCAAGACGACAAGCCACCATGCACGACCACCCTCGGCTTTCCAGGGCGCCGCCGCCAGGGCTGCGCATACGGCAAAGGTGCTTCAGAGGGAGCAGCAGAGGCGACTCGCAGAGGAGCAAGAAGCGGCGCGACGTAAGCCGAACAACAGCACCATGACGACGACGACGGCAGAAACAGCGACGACGATGATGAGACCCGACGGCCACGAGTCGGACGTGTTTGGAAGAATGCGACCAGGTCCTCCTCGATCGCTGCAGCCAGCAGCGCAAGAAGAGGAGCAGCACCACTACGACTCGGCCGTCGAGCTTTGCACGCCCTCGCCGGCTCAACGCCAGCAGAAGAAGACGGCTGAAGAGGAGCAGCAGCGGCAGCAACAGCAGCAACAGCAGCAACAGCAGCAGAGCTCAGCCAGCAAGCTCAGACAGATGATCCAAGGACACCAAGAAGACATCGGTGCTGCCCAAGACTCGCGGGCCTCGCACCCTGCAGAGACAAAGTACCCGGAAGAGGAACAGCCGAGCTCCTCGCCGATTGCCTCGCCGACGAGGGACGTGCTCGGTGCGCGAAGGTCGCCCCTCAACGAGCTCTGGTCGCAGGGCGCCTGGAAGGATCTCGGCAGCGGGCCATCTCAGACGGCCAAAAGCGTCCATCTGCCATTCGAGCAGCCGACCGAGGATGCGCAGGCCGCAGAAGTCGAAGGGAGACAAGCTGTGGTATCAGACGAGCCCGAGAAGGAAGCAAACAACCTATTTGAAAGCGTCGAGGGTAACAAAGAGCTACCCCCGGCCGCCATTACAACCGTCATTATTGAGCAAGATCGTGAGGCCGCGCTGCCAGCATCGATGAGCAAGCCGGAAATCACGGTGTCCGACTCGATGGAGACGGAATCAGACGAAGAGGAGGCCGTCGAGCGGAGCATCTCCAGCTCGAATTCGAGTCCAGTCAAGGAAGCGACGCTGAACAAAGAGCAGGAGCAGGAGCAGCAGGAGTCAGTGACGAAGATCGTGGCAGTTCCCAAAGAGAAAGAGGAGGTTCCCAAGGCTACCAACCAAGAATGGTGCAAGATGATGCGCGTCGTTGTTGATCAGCTGCAGGGACACCCGAGCAACGGCACCCTTCGACGGTCCATGTCAGCCCAGCTCAATGACTACTACGGACAGACTGGGAACGGCCGTCCAGCCGGTGGGTACAGTGGTGTTCTAGCATGGAGACACAAAGTGCTGACTCTTCTTTTCTGCTTGCAGACTTTTCTACAATCTCGCAGCGCATCGACGCAGGTAGCTACAGCCGAAAAGATCCTCTGACCGACTTCGCCACGGATCTGGCACAAATGTGGTCTGCGGTCAGGGGCTTCTATGGGCCTCGAAGCGCCGAGGCGAGATGTGCAGACGAGCTCGAAAGATTCTCCATGATGCTCCTCGATGAGTTCAAGAGAGGTGCCTCGAGGACCAAGCAGCAAGATCGGCCAAATGAAAAGATGGACGCAAGGGCGAGGGCCGTCATGACGCTGAAGCAGATGAGGTCGGGAGGAAGCCCAGGCTCTCGCAGCGAGAGTGAGTAAATTAAGAGCTGCTTGTTTCCACACTGGCCGATACTGAACATAGCCACGAGCAGAGAGGCCCGCATCGTCCATGGCAGGACAGGGTCAATCCAACGGTCCCCACAAGCGCACCGCGGAAGAGCAGCAAAAGTATTATGCCAATCTCATCAGGATGGGCATCACCAACAAGGACGCATCGAAGGCCTTTGGCGACCGGCTCGAGCAGCAGGAACAGTTGAGGAAGAGGCCAAAGCTTGACGCGACCATGAGAAGAGGCAGCGGGCAACAAGAACAGCAGCGGGTTGAGACGACAACAGTGAGCAGCACCAGTCCAGCAGCCATTCAAGAAGGAGTACCTGTTGCGGCGACTCAGGAGGAGAGGCAGGAGGAGAGGCAGGAGATGCCGGAGCAGGATGCGGAGATGGCCATGGTTGTCGAGCAGAGGACGGAACCGGAGAAGGACAAGGTGCATGAAGTGGCCGCTCTTCCTGATTTCAATTCCCTCGCCGATGAAGAGAGCGCCAAGATGGAACGCTCTGGGCCCACAGCGCAGGTCGAGAACACCAACCTTGCCAGCGGGGACAACTCGTCATCTGGCACTCCACAAAAAATCCAGGCCGGAGTGTCTCCCTCTAACAGTGCTTCGTCCAAGGGCAGCAGGCGGAAGAAGGCCACGTCGCCGCGGACAAGCAATCGCGCTCGTGCCACCAAACGGCAGACAAGGTCGGCTGTCAAGGCATGATCGAATGCCTCTTCTCCTTAGCCTACATGCAGACTTTTCTCTCTTTTCCATCCAATGAATCACTCAACAGCACAACCCAACCTCACGTAATGTAATATGTTTAGCCCCTTGCTACAAGCTCAACCTTCTTGATTTGGACTGAGAGCGGACGCAGGGTCGTTGGGTCCTGGTGCCTCTGGCGAGACGGATGATGTCCCGCCGGGCGGATTGTTGGCGCTTGATGCTGTCGGTGCATTCCCGCGAAATCTGAGGAGTGCTCGCAATCGTCAGCCATTCGCGTCGCCTGCCTCATGAGCATGCACCTTCCTCACCTCTTCCTCATGTCCAGCTGTTTTCCCCGCGCGCCTTCGTTAGCATCCTTTTCCTCCCGTCAGTCCTCTCCACACTCACCATGCCCCTTCGACAGGCGACGTAGGACTTGTACAGGTGCTGACAATCCTGCGGCAGCTCGTCCATGTGATCCCGGAGGCACTCCTGGCCCGTCTTTCCCTCCTTTTGCACGCAGTCCGTCGCGATCAGGCAAGCTGCCAGGTCATTTCGTATACCGACGCACTGGCGGAGGCAGAGAAGCAGGGGGAGCAAGATGAGCATGAGCGCGAAGGGGGAGAGGGCACTCGGGCTACTTACAGAATTCATGGTTGTAGTCTCTGAAGAAAGACGGAAGAAGACGAAGGTGGAGGATGCAAGCTGCCATGAAGTCTAAAGCGCACGCGCGTGTCGTCCAGGCAAAATATATGCTCAACATCGTCTCTAATTGCAAGTAGGTAAGAAGCCAGGTGACGGGAGCGACGGAAGGCGAGAATAATGACAATGAATCCTAATGAACATTGAGGGTAGAGCAGGGAAAGGGAGGGGGAGCAAAGTCTATGCAAAGGTAATTAAGCCGATGAGAAGGGCGGCCAAGATGGAGAGCAAGATTGGAGGAGCTCGCATGAAGCTCATGGCCGAGTCACTACCAGAGGGTGTCAGCTCCCGACCGAGATGTGCACTTCAGATGGATGGAACTCACCGGCCGCTGGTCAGTTGCTTGACCGTTAGGACAGCGATGCGCCCATCTTGGGCTGGCTGACCCTCAAGGGCAATCTGAGGGTGGTTGATCCCATCGGTCGTAGCGTTGAGCAGCACACCCGCCGGCACCCATTCGACGGTCGTGTTGTAGCTGTAGGCCTCCCACCTTGTCCCATTGGAAGCCGTGGCGTTGCCGACTGAAAAGCAGCCAAGTCAGGTGTTGATCAATTGCAATATAGATTCGTATCACTCACCCAGCTCGTCCCTCCCAGCATTGTAGCCATTCTGGGCAATCATGTGACTCGTCGAAAGGTCCAGCTCGACACTTGACGCCAAGAAAAAGGCATTGGTGCCGGCCTGTCTCCACCATCTGAAATGGTTTCCACCCTGGAATGTCTCCTTGCAAGTGCCCACATAGGCATCGCCGTAGTTCCATCGAAGTACACCATTGTCGCCATCGCCCGTACCCTGGGTTACATTGCCTTTTCCGTCGCCGAGGTTGGCCAGCTGATTGGTGCCATTCGCCTGGCCCAGGCATGAGACGCCAAAGTTGATCGAGGTGGCCCAAAGCAAGAACCCTTCGATGCTCAAAACCGACGCATCGGAGAGGCCCGAGACGATGACATTGATTGGCTCACCCAAGCCCGGCACATTTGGGATGATCTGTCCTCCTATCAGCCATTGTCACAACGTGGGAAGGGAGAAGAAACACTCACAGTGAGCATCTGGCCCCCATGATCGTTTGGATCCGTGTAGTTTGTCCGATCTCTCCGCTCCAAGGAGTTGGTGGCTCGGCCATAAGCATCGGTGACGGGAGAAGCGTTCGTCAAGCCCAAGAGTGAAGCCGCCAGTAGACCAACGAGCGCCGATGCTACTGCCCAGCTGTTAGCCCCCGCCCGTCTTCTCTTCGCCTTCGATGGCATGCTGCTGTTGTTTCTACTCGGTCTGTCGCCGTTGATCCTGAGTTGTGACGTGGACGCCATCGAGGCGTCGTTCAGCACCGCGTTTGTTGAGCCTCTGTCGCCTTTTCTGCTTTTTCCCGGCGACTTTCCTTCCCGCTCCCAGGTAAAGATTAAAATATTCCCGAGATGCGCCTGCGATCCGCTCCGGTTCGTCGATCGCTCTTCCTCGTCGCTGATACCTCGAGTGGATGGTGAAGCAGAGGAAACTTGGGGAAGCGCTTGACTGAGTCTGACGATATGCGACCCTTTCGATGGGCTGGGATGATGCAGATCGACTAAGCACTGTGAAATTCCTGGAAGTGGAACAAAACGATAAATTTAGTACCGATTCGCTCGCCTGATAATGCCTCTCGCCCAGTTTCTCTCACGTCTTCTCTATCGGGTCGGTGTCGCAAAGAGGAGAGGGCAAGCGGGAAACAAAGGAAGCGCACTTTATCTACCATGGAAACAAATCCTCGTTTCTCCTCGTCCCACTACCAAGAAGTGACATCAACTGACGCCGATGCCTTCTTTGTACCACTTGCATGGAGTGGAGCGGCACTGCTTTTCCTCTGCGTCGCCTCAGGGTCTGTCTGCCTGCAGACCGCCAGTGCCCAGCAATTTTTATTCACCGGCTGACTTTAAAAAAAAAAGTAGCTCGAATCTTGGTAAGTTTTCTTGGTGGTGTGGCTGGTATTCAGAAGGGCGAATTTGCTGGATAACGTCACCAGCGCTGCGTACGACGACGTGATGTTTCTTGCTTGGTCTTCTGCGTCCAGCGTCACACTAGCTTCCCACCTTACACGCCGTACGCAGCTCTCAAAAGCCAATGGCGAGCAAAAAGAAGCCCATCAGAAGGGAACCCAAGCTAAGAAGTTGACTGGCATGCGACGGACACCAACCGGGGAATTCTCTTTCATCAAAGACGCGTTCTAAAAAGACGACAAAGAAACAGACCAGATAGAGTGCAGAGGTAACAATAATATGGAATTCGTCCAAGAGAGTAGTAGTGTAAGCCAGAGCTGTCACATTGGCCTCAAGAGCGATTTTGATAGGTCTGCATGCCTGTAGCAGGCAGATGATGCAGAATAGAAGAGTAGGACATTAGATGTCCTTGCCGCCGCGGCCGGGGCGGAGACCTCGGACGACGTGGCCAGCGCGCCACATCTCCTGAGCAGCAATGGCATCCGTCTCCTTTTCGTAGTCCTCGCGGTACGTCTTTCGGCTGGCAAAGTCGAGCGTCCGCTTGGTCTCGGTGCCGTCTCGGACGGACTTGTAGAGGCGCTCAAAGACGGGCTTGTTCGCCTTCTCGAACTCGGGCGCCCAGTCGAGCGCACCACGGCGGGCCGTGGTGGAGCAGGCCTTGTACATGTAGTCCATGCCGTGCTCGCCAACAAGAGGGTAGAGAGACATGAGGGCCTCCTCGCACGTCTCGTTGAAGGCCTCCGAGGGGCTGTGGCCGTTCTCGCGGAGAACGTCGTACTGGGCCTTGAACATGCCCTGGATACCACCCATCAGGCAGCCACGCTCGCCGTACAGGTCCGAGTAGACCTCCTTCTCAAAGGTCGTCTCGTAGATGTACCCCGAGCCAACGGCGATGCCCATGGCCACCGTCTTCTCCATAGCCTTTCCGCTAACGTCCTGGTGCACGGCGACACTCGAGTTGATGCCCGTGCCAGCGAGGAACTGGGTTCGGACGGTGCGGCCCGAGCCCTTGGGGGCACAGAGGATGACATCGATGTCCGTGGGAGGGATGACGCCCGTCTGCTCCTTGTAGACGACGCTGAAGCCGTGCGAGAAGTAGAGGGTCTTGCCCTTGGTGCAGTACTTCTTGAGGTTGGACCATCTATTTATGCTTGCGTAAGCATCCGTCGGCATTCTTGTTTGAGAAATGGTACTCACTGCTCGCTCTGTGCAGCGTCACTGAGGAGGTTCATGAGGATCGTTCCCTTCTCGGCGGCCTCCTCGACGGTGAAGAGGTTCTATAAGGGCGCAAGTGTAAGCATCTGGGTGTGGGTGACGACAACATTTGAGAGCTTTGAACGCACCTTTCCGGGCACCCAGCCGTCGGCGACGGCCTCCTTCCACGAGTGGCCGTCCTTGCGGACACCGACAATGACGTTTAGGCCGTTGTCACGGAGGTTGAGGCCTGGATGAGGGGCAAAAGTCAGACCATCTTGCCGTCGTTGGCTCAATTTCCAAGCCATACACACCTTGTCCGTGACCCTGGCTACCGTAACCAAGCTGTACAATGTGTCGCAGGGTGGTGAGCAGGATGCATTAGGAGAGCGAGCAGACGCAACTCACAAGGGCAAAGGTGTCGTTCTTGAAGTAGTCCTGCAGCTTCTCGAGGGGCCAGTCGGCCCTCTCGTAGACGACCTCCTTGGAGCCGGCAAAGTCGAGCGTCTTCATTCCCCTGCTCTGGACAGCAAGAGGAGCAGCAGCCTGGGCCTGGGCCTTGAGCGAGGGGCGCGGGGCAGCCTGGGCGAGAGCGGAGAGGGAGCGCGCGGCCGAGGGGGCGGCCGCACTGCGGCTAGCAGCGCGCATCGAGGCCCGGAGGGCAGTGCGAGAGACGGTAGGAAGGGACATTGTGCAAGCTGAAGTAGTGGTCGAGTAGGAGAGCAGAAGGAAGAAGAAGAGGAAGAAGGAGATCGTCCGGTCTTCGGTCCAGTCCTCGGGCTAGAAGATTGTCTGGCCTGTCTCGCTCTAACTTTTTGCTGCCTGCCACTGCTTAAGCGGCCTTTCCCGGGCAGCCAACTTTTTTCCCCTCAAGTGACTCGAGGGCCCACGCGCGAAAAGCAACAATTTTTTTTTTTCAGTTTAAAATATGTGAAAAGCCACAGCCCAGACGAGTTAGCATGCCTGCTTCTCAAGTGAAGCAGGCTCCTCGTCCGACGCCTGTCAGGGCTTGGACCTGATGATGATGGTGATCAGATGGATTGTTGTTCGTAACGAGCAGATCAGCACAAGACTGGAAGCTGGCTGAGGTGGTCTGAGTCTTTGATTAGAGTCATGAAAAGGACGTAAGAGGGCTGCTCTTGGGCAGGTTGAGTTGCCACGTGGCTTTGGCCGCAGCTGGCGCCGTCACGTTTCCAAGGCTGGGCTCTGGCCCAAGAAGTTGACGGCTCTCTTTGAGACTGCTTCAACGACCAGCACAACTTCAAGAAAGGTGAGCATCGCAGCGTGATTTCATGACCTGTATTCGATTGGATAGCGCTACACTGGACTGGGATGGGTTGGGCGATGCGAGGTCGGATGAACGGAGGTATCATGAGGGGGTAGTGTCGATGTGCGATCTAGGAGTCAAAAGAGCTCGAGTCGGATGAATGGCGAGATAGACATGGAGTTCGAGACTGGCGGAAATCATTAGGATGGCCTGGGGAGATGGCCGGGCGTGCACATCATAGAGGGAAAAGAATAGGACAGAGCGGAATGCTGACCTCGTTTGACACAGTCGACATGTCGAAGCCTCAGGCCGGATCCAAGTTCAGGCTCACCCTCGCCCTGCCCGTCGGTGCAGTCATGAACTGCGCTGACAACAGCGGCGCCAAGAACCTCTTCGTCATTGCCGTCAACGGCATTGGTGCTCGTCTTAACCGTCTGCCTGCTGCTGCTGCCGGTGACATGGTTGTTGCCAGCGTCAAGAAGGGAAAGCCCGAACTGAGGAAGAAGGGTGAGCAATCTTACCACGAACGCAATGTGTCTCCGTCCTCGGCTCACCTAGCCTCTCCCTCTCAGTCATGCCCGCCGTCGTCGTTCGTCAACGCAAGCCCTGGCGCAGACGTGACGGTATCTTCCTCTACTTTGAGGTACGTACTGCAGATAGACCACACACGACACACCTCAGCCCGCTGACTTTATCGAACAGGACAACGCTGGTGTCATTGTCAACCCCAAGGGAGAGATGAAGGGTTCGGCTATCACTGGTCCCGTCGCCAAGGAATGCGTAAGTCATCGATGGTCTTTTATTCGTTTCATGCAATCTGACATTGTTCCTCTTCAGGCCGACCTGTGGCCCCGTATCGCATCCAACGCCGGTACCGTCGTCTAATTGCATCCTTTCCATTCCATCACGCCCCTTCGCACTGGGCAATGTCACATTAGTCTCAGACATCAACCAAAACACTTCTTGGCTATGCATCCCATGACAGATGAGCAGCAGCAGACGATGACGAAGTATACGATTGCGGAGAGTCCATTCAGAAGCCCTTCGCGTAGTTGCCCTTGCTGTTTGCACACGGAGAAAGATGATCAATGTCCGATGAGCCGCGCGGGACTGTAATTGAGACTTACACATAAAAGTCTTGCAACCTGGCCACGATCTTCTCGAGGGCGTCAAGCCATCGGTGAAGCTCTTCTTCGACCTTTTCCGGAGGGGAGCCGAGCTTCTTGTAGAAATCGGCTCGATAGGGGCATGCCTTCATGGCCAGCTGTGGTTTTCGATGCTCTGTGAGCTGGCGTCGCTAGGGCTAGGAAAGTAACGGACAGCTCACCGAAAAGGCACCCTTGACGACGAAGTTGTGGTACTGCCGAAGACTACCTTCGTAGGCCTTGGAGAAGCTCGTGCTAAGCTCTTCATTCTTGTCCTTGGTCGACCTCCTGAGCGCCTGCGCTGTGAAGTCGAGACCCCTATTTGGGAACGGTGTTTAGCAAGCGGCACAAAACTCAAGCAGTAATGAATGCCAACCCACCTGACGAGCCACATGAGCCCCTCGGAGGCCGTCCGGCCCTTCTCGCCCGGCTTGCCCTCGCTGGCGACGAGCTTCTCGAGCGTGTTTGAATGCACCGGCGAGGCGAGGAAGCGGTCTCTGATTTTCTGTTCCAAGAGGGTCAGCCGGGTACGCAGCTGCACCGCAACCAGGCAGGAGGCACACCTTGACATTGCCGTTCATGTCTGTCTGTACGAGGGCAAAGGCCGAGTTGCCGAGCAGGTCAAAGAGCTTGACAACACCCTCGGTCGCCTCGAGGAACTGCGACGTGTCGATGCCCTCCTCGGTGATGGGCACATCGGCGTACGACTGAGCAGGGGCCAATCGAGTCAGTCAAGGCTACATCTCTCAGTCGTCCTTAGGGCGCACCTTCTTGACAGTCTCAAAGTAAGTCGACATGGTCCGCAGAGTAATGGTGTTTGTTAAACAGGAACCGCCAGCCGATCCAAAGTGCACGGACAACGGCGCGTCTCTCACATGGCCTCGTTTCTTTTTTTGGGTGCGCCTGGCGCGCTTTGGTCACACGAGAGGGAGTGCCCCGGCTTTACGGTCCAGTCTCTTTGAACACGAACAGAGACAGAGATGCGATGCTGGTTGTTTTCAACAGAGCAGCACTCGCCAGCTTTACCTCCTACGTTCATTGTTGCCCTGAGTGCGGCCTTTTGAGTCTTCGTTTTCAAAACTCTCCCCTGCCTCCTTCCGCAACCATTGCACATCAACTTCCGTCAATAAAAGATGCAAATCAATTACTATCTATGGCATAGTGCGACAAAGCAAAGCAAAGTGGCGACTTTAGTACGATGTGCAGGCACAGCCCTTTGCTGGGCATGCGAATGCTGATGTCGTCGAAAGGGACGTCAGCAATATCCCGAGGCACACACAGTAGGATAAATAAGCTCACAGGGAAAAACCACACAGCCCTGTCCGTTGCGACAGACCGTTCCGGACGCCCCGCAGTCTGAAGAGGGAGTGAGCTTGACCTAAGCAGTGGTAGGAGACCTCAACTCACTCGATGTCTCGCAAGGACCCGTGTACTCTTCGTATTCGCCATAGGAGCTGCAATCGGCTTGGCGGGGTTCATACATGCTTGCGCCCAAGACGGCTGTCGAGCTGGCCATAGCGAGAAGCGTAACGAGAAGGAAGCGCATGATCGTTGCTCTTTGCGAGAGAAGTCTTACCCTCTACGAGCCCTTTTTATAGCCATCATCTCTGGGTAGGGGGCTCGACTTGGCAGCGTCAGTAGACTTGGCACTCTGACGGTCCACTACAGTACCAAGGCGCGCTAAAACAGTTTGGGTGTCGTGAATTGGAGACTTGGCGTCAATGTCTCTTCAAGATTGACGGAGAAGAAGCCTGACAGTGCAGGGCAGTGTTCGAGTCGGGTCCCAGACGTCAGGATGACAACAAGGACAACTCTTCCTTTGGCTCATAAGATTTTTGTTTGATCTCGAGCTGCCTGGAGCACGAATAATGCGTAAAAGCGGGTCAATAGGAAGCTCAAGGCCTTTAGAAGCCGGCTAAAGTTCTAGTCATTTGAGTAATGAAGCTAAAATGTGCCGTCGGCCGGCTCTAGCAACAATTTGTCGCGCGGTGTCTTCTTGAACGCGGCCGAACCGCTCGAGTCATCGTCCGCCTCCTCTTCCTGAGCACCATCACAACAGTTAAGATGGATCTGCGTCGGGATGAGGAAAAGGACCAAAGAGGCGGTCGAGATGGGCCGGAAGAGGAGGTTCCGGAGCAGTTTTGGACAGAGCAAGAGGTCTCTGTCATCAAGCGGAAGCTCGACATGCAGATTGTCCCCTTCATCTGCATCACGTATCTCGTCGCCTTTCTCGATAGAAGCAACGTCGGCAATTCAAACGCGGCTGGTCTGAGCAGGGATCTCAAGCTGAGCGACTCGCAGTACCAGTGGCTGCTCACCATCTTTTACATTTCCTACATCGTCTTCCAGTTCGGCCTCCTCGGATTTAAGCTCGTGCCGCCATCGAAATGGATGGGGTCCTGCGTCCTGGTATGGGGCATCGCGTCCATTTTGCAAGCTTCGGCGTTCAACTGGAGCGGTCTCATGGCGGCAAGATTCTTTATCGGTGTCAGCGAGGCTGCCTATGGCACGGGCATTGCCCTCTATCTTAGGTGCGTTGGTTGGCCTTGCAAAGATCATTGCGAGAGTCTGACCTTTCCCTCTCCGACGGCAGCTTCTTCTATCCCCGCTCCGACATTGGTATCCGGTTCGGATGGTACGTCGTGGGATCTGCTATTGCGAGCGCCATCGCTGGCTCCGTCGCCTACGCTCTTCAGGGCTCCTCGGCGCACATTGACAAGTGGCGACTCATCTTCATCGTTGAGGGCGCTCCAACGATCATCATGGCCGTCTTGATCTTCCTCTTCATGCCCGACTCCATCGCCACGGCAGGGCTCTTGACGCCCCGGGAAAAGGAGATTGCAGAAGCCCGGCTCTACCGCTTGTCCATTGACAAGCGCTCGGGCCACGCGGACGGGAGAGGCGGCACGGTCCGCTCCTTCCTTCAGAGTCGCTTGAATTTTTCCAATGCCATGGCGGCGCTGACAGATCCAATCAACTACCTCACGTCTGCGCTCCTCTTCATCATCAATGTGGGCTACGCCGCTATCCCCGTCTACCTGCCCGCGATCCTACAGGGGATGGGCTACACGGCCTTGCGCGCCCAAGCTTTTTCTGCGCCACCATACGTCGGTGCATTCGTCGTCGCGCTCGCCGTCATGCTCGCATCGGACCGCCTCCGCGTCCGCGGACCTTTCCTCGTCGTTCTCTGCCTCATTGGAGCCGCCGGCTACATGGTCCTCGGCACCGTCGAGGACAACCACGCGCGGTACGGCGCCGTCTGGCTTGTCGTCATCGGCCTCTTTCCCTCGATTCCCGTCCTGTACATGCTGCTGGCCAACAACCAGGCCGGCGAGAGCAAGCGCGGCGTCGGCCTCGCCCTCTTTGGCACCATTGGGCAGTGTGGACCGATTCTCGGCACACGTCTCTTTCCCGTCTCGGAAGCACCTTACTACCGCAAGGGTATGTTTGTCTCGGGCGGCTTGCTCTTTGCCGGCTGCGTGCTAGCGAGCCTCACGAGCGCCTTTCTCTTCTGGAAGAATCGAAAGAGAGAGACCAAGATGGCGGCGCTTGCTGGCGGCAGCGGCGGCGGTGGCAGCAGCAGCAGCGCCGACGAGGCCATGGAAAAGATCGAGGAGCGCGACGAGCACGCTGGAGAGAGGCTCAAGTTCAAGACGCACTTGGACCTCCGCGTCCCCAGAGAGGCGCAGGAGCATCATCGGAGGCAAGTCGATCTCTCCAGACGGGGCGAGGACTCAATCTACTGTGAGTGTGCCAGGAAATATCGAGCAAGCAGATAGCACCGCTGAAATTGCCTTGCAAACAGTTCGCTATACCTGGTAGTCGAGATTCTTCATTAAAATAAATGGCTTCTAAATGCATGCTACAACACCAGACAACAACATGAGGAAAGAAGGAGGGTGGAGGAGGCTAGTGACGAGAGACTCTAACAAAAATCCGGAAGAGAGAGACAGTCAAGACGATGACATAGGCCAACAGGCTGGTGAAAACGAGACCAATGAGGGCGCCCTGTAGCCGGCAGATGTAGGGCTTCTTGCCGGGGTTGTTGAGGACCTGGTTACCGGTCACTGTGGGCGAGTCGTTGCCAGCATAAGGCGAGTCAAAAGTGGTGCAGACGAGCGTCGAGGTAAAGTAGTTGTCAAACGAGAGTGATAGCTCGGCGGACCAGAGGCACACAAAGATGAGCTGTGTACGGCAGATGTCAGCTTGAGAGACCAAGAAGGAGGCGAGAAAGGAAAACGAACCTCGGTCAATGTGTAGAAGAGCTTGCTGCCGACGCGCCAGAGACCAATTGGCCTGGAAAAGTACTCGAGCCAGATTTGGATGCCGACGTGGAGGAGAGTGAGGGGCGAGAAGATGATGGCAACAATCGGACTGCTTCCGACGGCGTCTGGAGCATCCTCGTCCCTGAGAATCTGGTACAATTTGATGGCGACGGCCAATGTCGTAGTGGTGAAGGTGATGTTGATGAGGCGGAAGAGGAGAGGCACAAAGGCATTGTGAAGGAGAAAGGTGCGCCACCAGGCCAACGTTGTCTGCTTTGAGCCTCGTCGCTGGCTAGCCTGCTTGGCCGGCGTCATACCCTTGGAGGGCTCTCTCGTTCGTTTGTTCGCCTTGCGTCTCTTGATGACGCCCCCTCTGGTCTTGCGCTTCGAGCTCGACGTCTGCTTCGACTCTGATCGGGGAAAGTAACCCCCCTCACCAAAATTATTGAAGCGGTACTTTCCAATTTCGATTGAGTTGTTGCCCCTGGCCTCGGGATGCCAGGGCGAATCCCATCCCGGTGTGAGTGGCTGATGCCTTGAGAAGTCGTCGTGGTGGCTGCGTGCAGTTGTCTGCGTATTAAGCCGACGTGGGGCGCCGGCACGTCGGGAACGAAGACCAGTACCACGCGCCTCTCTGGTATTCCCCTCCTCGTCTGTCCACTCCTCGTTGCCGCCAAAGCCAGTGTCAGCCGTGTCGTCGACATCCGTGCTCTTCTCTCCCATCTCCTCGTCGATGACCTTTGATCTACCCTGATGCCGAGAGAATGTACGATCCTTCTCAGCGTCTTCGCCCTCCGACATGTTTCGCGCGTGGGAGCTCTGATTGCGACCCATGTACGCCGAGGAAGCCAGCTGCCTGACGGCGTCGGCAAACGTGCTGCTATAGGTAGCCGTCCCGCTCCCTCTCCGGTCTCTCGGCTGATCTTCTGAGTCGCCTTGGTTGACTCGAGAAGAAGTCGACGATGTATTCGTCTGTTGCCTTTTCAGCGGGAAGCTGGTCTGTGGCTTCTCACCGTCGTCGCCTCCTGCTTTGCCTCTGTACTTGGAAGGAAGGGTAAATGCCCAAAAGCGGCTGGGACCAGCAGCGTCATCGGTGCCGTCCGAGCTCTCGGAGTGCGTCGAGAGGGGCCTCTCGTCGACGTCGTCATTGCTGGCGGCCTTATTGTTGTTGTTGCTGCTGCTGTCGCCATTGCCCTTGGCCTGGATGGCTGCCGTGGTGAGCGAAGTCATGGGGGCACGCCCATCCTGCCTCGGCCAGGTGCTCGCGCCGTTCCCCCCCACGGGTCTCGATTGCGGTGACTGCGGTGGACTCGGAGGCTCCTGACGCGCCCATGCTGTTGGTCGCAAAGTCCTTTTCAGCTCGTGCAGGAGGCTTGTCGCGGGCGTCGCATCACTCACCTGGAACTGTGTTGACTGTCCTTGACATCTTCTTCGTCGCTGACCTGCTGACTCCGCTTCCATTTGAGCTGCTCCCACCGCCGCCGCCGCCATGGGCACTTGGGCTGAAGCTGGCCATAATCGAGGGGTGGTGGTTGATCGTGGTGGTGCCGTTGCTGCTATCCGGTGCAGCCATCTCGGCTCGTTGTAGGGGTCTATTTGGGGAAAAATGTTAAACAGGCAATCCGTCCTGCGAAAATTCCTGGAAAAATGAGATGTTGACCGCCGCGTTTGGGAGAACGAGGAGTGGCGGTGTGCAAAATTCGAGGGCGCCCGGGTATCAAGACGCAAAGCTTCCTCCAGCGACGCCTTTTCGACTTGCGTCCTCGGGCTGATCTTGCTCGTCGTTTGCACTTGCGCCGAGCCTCGTGCTTGTCCTACTGCTCTATTGACTTCTATCGAGGCCAGCGATGATGGTGATGATGACAATGCCGACCTAGAAAAAGCAAGCCACCAGCAACGTTTTGCCAAGCAGCAGGTAGACGTCACGACGTGCTAGCGCGTTGAACCCCCCTCCGCTCCTCCCCCCTTTTGGATTTTTGGCAGGCGGAAAAAAGGGCCGTGGAGTTCAAGTCAAGTCGATCTTGAGGCCACGTGTTTGGAGGACCCTCGATAAGACGCGCGCCGGGGTCCAAGATGGAGAATTGACAGTGAATTTGGTTGGCGTCAAAGAAGATCTTGATCTAGCTTCCAAGCACCTTGCCACAGTCCGGCGGAGTGGACGCAATTCTCGCCCACACGTGGATCTCAAGGTAGCCGGGGAGCGGGATCGAAGGAGAGGTGGTCCTCCACCCCTGGACAGGTGCAGAGAATGACCCTGAGCAGCAAAGGGACAGAGCTTCAACAGGGTTGATACAGCTGACTCAGCCTCACCAAATCACGACACGTACGGATCGGCAGCTTCCACTTGCGTTGCCCACCACGACGACAAAGAGAGACAAGACGCCATCGACAAGGCCCCGAAATGCAGGGTGGCCAAGGGGATTCTGCGCACCCCTCATCCCCGCCCCTGTCCTCGCTGCCGCCGCCGCCGTCGTCGTCTTCGTTGTCTTCTTCGCCAACCTGGCCAACGACAAAGGGCGATGGTGCGCCAGCAAGCTCATCGAGCAACGGTAGTCGGCCATCGACCCACGGTCGAGAGCAACCAAGTGTACCACTCGTCAGCGGCAGCGGTGCTCGCGTGCCAACGCAGTTGCTCGATCAACATGGTGGCTTCTCCAGGCCGCATCACCAAGCCTCTAATGGGCCATCGCTGGAGTCCGGACCACGATCCAGCGGTGCGAGTGGCTCGAACGCTGGAGGCGCCTCTGAAGAGTCAAGCGCCATCGACCTGACCAATGACGATCAGGACGAATTCCAAGTCGTTTCTAGCAAAGGCCCAGATGTCCAACGCCAGCTCAACCAGTCGGCCTTTGTTGATGCGCCAGTCTGCATTGGCATGATCAACTCCGTTGTGCTGAGCGTCTTTGGCCTTCCTCAGGCGCTTGTCGCATACCCAAGCGCAACCAGCGACCCAAAGTGGTCCCCCAGCGAATGGCCGCCCAATTGCGAATACTACATCGAGGGCGGCTACAGGCCCATTCACCTTGCAGTCAAGCCCGCCACAGAGCCGCAGGCTAAGCTCGACGTTGACGTCTTTGAAGTAATCTCGCCCCTCGAGTCGCGGGAGCATGCAGCAGTCCACGGTCAGCCTCCTCCCAATGGGCTCAAACTCCGTCCAACCGCGTTCGGGACGCTTGCGGAAAAATATTCGCGAGCCCTGGCACCATTGATGCTCCAAAGGCTGGTCGGAATCAAGGCACGCTGCAGGCTTGTGGCTCCCAATGCCGCTCAGGTGAGCGGGTTCTTTGTCACCCGAGGCTTTTTGATCATCAGCGCTGACCCTGCAACAGAACTTTCTCCACGCACTCGAGCTCCTCATCTTCACGACCCGTCGCCACCTCAACGCCGTCTCCAACATTCTTTATTCGGAGAATGTGATCCTCGAGACTCCTGCGCAGTACGATGCCTCGCAGCATGCCGGTGCGCCAGAGTTTTTCAATCCTCACGGCTCATTCGGACGCTCCAACCAGGCAGCGTCAGGCGGCCAACAGACGCCTCAGCCGTTCTCCTTTGGCTCACGAGCAACGCTGATGCAGACCAAAGAGGCAACGGAGCAAGAGCGAAAGAAGCAAGTCGATACCGTGTATGCCGCATTAAGAGGCGGCGAAGACTTGGAGAGCGTTGAAGCGCCCAAGCTCGTCACGACACCGCTCCTCCCTCACCAGAAGCAGGCCCTCGCTTTTCTGCTCGACCGTGAGCGATTCAGACGGTTTGAGGACGCCATTGGCAAGGGCAAGGGAAAGCCAGATGACCCAGTAGACGTGACAAAGGACGACTCGGGCATTGTGTCGCTTTGGATGCCAGCTGTCCGCTTCTCAAAGTCAAGTGGAAACAACGTGACCCCGAAGATCACGTCCTTTGTCAATGTCGTCACTCGTTCAGAACAGGGAAAGCGGCCGAGGATTTGTCGGGGCGCCATCCTGGCCGATGACATGGGTCTGGGTAAAACGATTGTCACAATCGCCCTCATTGCTGCCACACTGGAAGAAGCGCGGCGGTTCGGAGCCAGCAATCCAGGCGAGGAAGAGGATGATGGGGACGAAGGTGCAGAAAAAGAGGTCGAGGGTCAGCGGTCAGCTTCTGGACTAGGAGAGGAGAACGGTGAAGTGATTCACGTCGCCGATGACAGCGACGAGGATGTCACTGTAGAAGACTTCAACATCAACGTCCACGGCGCACCTCCACCGAGAAAGAAGCCAAGGAAAGCGCGGAAGCCAAAAGTGAGCAAAAAAGCAAAGAAGAAGGAAGACGCCGAGTCACTGCGACTGGCTCAAATTGCAATAAGGAGTAGGGCAACGCTCCTCGTCCTGCCTCTGACGCTCGTCTCTAATTGGGAGGGACAGATCAAGGAGCACTGGGATGCCTCGAAGCAGCCAAGCATCTATCTCTACCACGGTAGCACGCGAATCACCGATCCGCACGAGTTGGCTCAATTCGACATTGTCATGACCACCTATAGCACCTTGGCCACCGAATTTGCGCATCAAAGCGTCTGGGCGAATGGGGATGAGTCGGAAGATGAGGAAGTTAGCACGCCTCAATCCGAGACGGTCGAAGACGACGTGCTGCTGGTGGATGTCAATGGAAAACCCTTGGAAGGCAAGACAGCAGCACAGAAAGCGGCGGTTCTGCGAAAGACACAAGAGGGAGGCTCCAAGACAGCAAATGGAAGCAAGAAGGGAAAGCGAAAGGCAGATTTGTCAAGGGAGTCGGAGAATCCCCTGCAGAGGATCGAATGGTTCCGCATCGTCCTAGATGAAGCCCACACGATCAAAGAAGCAAAGACGCTCCAGTCTCGTGCCGTATGCAATCTCGTTTCGCCGCGACGCATCGCTCTGACTGGAACGCCGGTACAGAATCGCATAGACGACCTCTTTTCACTCATCAAATTCTTGCGTCTGGAGCCCTTTGACGACCGCGCCATTTGGAACCAATTCTGTGGAGCTCGAGAGAAGCCTATGGGGTCGCTTCGCGTGCGCAAGTCGGGTGGAGAAGTCAAGAATGCCGATCCGCTCGACGCCATGGCTCTGGCCCGCGTGCAGACCATCATGAAGTTCCTCACCCTCCGTCGTACCAAGGAAGCAAAGATGGCTGATGGAAGCAGGTTGATAAGCCTTCCGCCAAAGTTCTCAAGGATCATGCGCTTGGACTTTGAAGTAAGGGAAAAGGCCCTGTACGCAGAAATGAGCCAGAGATACATCGACGACATCAAGACAATGAAGGCCTCCGACACGCTCAAGAACAATTACGCCACGATTCTTCACGAAATCTCCAACTTGCGCATGACGTGCGATCACCCAGGTCTGGTCGATGCAGGAAAGGACACGAAGAGGGCCAAGGGCGCCGTCGAGGACGACCCGAGCATTGCCATCCTGCAAGACGGGCTCTCGCACGACCGTGCCGTCAAACTGTTCGATCTGTTGTGCCTCTCAGACCGTGCTCGTTGCCACATCTGCGACACGGATCAATCTGGATTTCCTCGTGGCGAAGAGGGCGAACCGAAGCCGGTCCTGACGAGATGCATGCATCTGACATGCTCAGACTGCTTGCGCAAGTCGGTGGGTGCGCCGACGTTTGACAAGCCCAAGGCAGACGATCGTTTCGCTTGCCCCGAGTGCGGCATTTCGATCTCTCCCTTGCTCGACATCCAGCAGATTCTGCCAGGCGACATTGAAGGCAACGAAGGAGGAGCAGATCAGCAGCATGGCCAGAGTTTCAGGAGCCTCAGCCTCCAATCGAGCAAATTTGGGTGCGACAGAAACGTGCCTCTCGACGATCGCGCCGACTTGAGCTCCAAAATTCGAGCGCTTCTACAGGAGCTGGAGCCATTCTCCAAGTGCAATCCGAATAGCGAGCTCTACGATCCCACAGCCCCCGTTCTGGATCAGGTTGCCGTCGATCAATCAGTGACCGAAGGAGACGAGCCGATCAAAGAGACCGTGCAAGTTGTTTCTATTGGATCAGGGACGAGTGTCACCCCAATCAAGTCCGTCGTCTTCTCGCAATGGACGACGATGCTCGATAGAATCGCCAAAGCACTTCACCGGGGTGGCATCAAGGCCACTTATCTCGACGGTCGAATGCGGCGTCAGGAGCGCTCGGAAAATTTGGAGAAGTTCCGGCTTGACGACTCGGTCGAAGTGCTCCTTGTCAGCCTCAAGGCCGGCGGTATCGGTCTCAACCTCGTCTCGGCTTGCCGGGCTTACCTAATGGAGCCCTACTGGAATCCCGCGACAGAAAATCAGGGTCTGGACAGAGTTCATCGCATGGGCCAGACGAGGCCAGTCATTACGACAAAGTACGTCATGGGCGACAGCATCGAGGAGCGCATGCTCGAGCTACAAAAATACAAGCTCCGCCTGGCCGAGCAGGTCGGCACGCGCAGAGGCGTGGATCGCTCCGAAAGGCACCACGAGGAGCTCAACATCTTGCTGGGCATCAACCAGTAGTCACGAAACAGTGACAATATTCGGCTTCTTCCCCCTTTCTCCTCTTTATCTCTTATGTCTCATTACAACTCTCACTCTGTCTTTTATATCTCTTCTTGATCCCCCATGATGATGGCCGCGATATACACACTTGTACACCTCATTCTCATTTCTCACAACATTACCCCCTAAGAGACCACCGGGTCCTCTCATGTCCACTCCTGTAAAGATTTACAAAGAGAGCACCACAGAGAAGCAATCATTAGACTGTCACACTTTTGACGTTTCCGCCGAATGAAGACGTGATGGAAGACATTGATTCTGTGCAGATGAGGCGCATCTAGGAGAGGCTGGGTCGACGTAGGCTTCCGAAAGACGGAGAGGGGCCTCGGCGATAATGTAGACGAGGGATGGAGATAAAGGATGAAAGGGGGGAAACGAATGGCAAGCAAGAACAAGAGAGTAGTGAAGTCGAAGGTCATGAGAGAAATTATACAGCAAAGGACAAAGTGCTTTTGGGAAGAGAAAAAAAAAGAAGAAAAAAAAAGCAAGAAGGTGGTGGTGGGAGAAAGGCGCGAGGGAGCTAGCTGCCTTATTTAGTCTTGCACCTGTTGATGTGCGACTTGCTGCAGCAGGGCGTCTCGCAATGTCTCGGCCTCTTCGACAGAAGCGGCCTGGCAGTACAATATCCGCTTCGTGTCGATGATGCGAAGGACCGATTGGCCAACGATCGTCACGGGTGGCATGCCATCCGAGGAAGGCGACTCGCGAAGCCTCCAGATGGCGTAGAGGTCCACCGGTCCAGAGGCGTCGCTGGAAACAACGACTGCAACGCAGATGTCGTTACAGACGATGAGCGTCAAAGGTCGCTGTTGGACTGTCTGCTCTAACCGGTCCACCTGGACCATCCTCCGTGGCTGCTGCTGGACCATTCGCCAATTGTCGCTCCGATCCTGGAGCTCATCGCCGAGCGAGAAGCTTTCTCCAATCGACGCAAGGGCGTCCTCTTCCTCTTCTTCGGTCCAGATCGACTCAGAGGGTGCGTGAAAAGCAGCAGTGCGTTCCACGACACGCTTCAGGACGACTTGGCCGTCCATGATGAGCCTTCGATGAGGTTGTACGAGTGGCGAGGGCCAGGCATAGTCGTTGCCTCCTCTCCCATTGCTATTAAGGCTACCTCCTCGAAGGGGACGGATCCTCGTTTGCCACGCCAGAAGTCTCCGATCTTTCTCCGACTGGCGCTTGCTCTCATTCATCGACGAGGCAACCGTCGAGATAGCTTCCAGGGCAGATTTGACAGACGCGGGGTCCCGAAGTCTTTCTTCTGGCGTGCTCCGAGCCAGGTCCTCGAGCAGGAGGCGGTACCTCGGGATCCTTTGCACGGGAAGCAAAAGGTATGCTTCGAGGGAGAGCTGCGAATGCCGGCGGTCCTTGCGGGCCCGTTGCATGAATGCTCGGATACGCTTACGCTCTTTGGGAGCAAGGAAGCCATCTTGTTGTCCTTGCTCTCTGGCGCTTGCGACTCCGCCGCTCGTCGAAGGACGAAGCTTGCTGCTTGCGCTGTTGTTACTGCTGTGCGTCTGGCTAGAAGGGACCGCCATCCACGTCTGTATTCTGCGCTGAGAAGCGTCTACGTTGTTGACATAGGACGAGTACATCCGGAAGAAGGCGTGGTGTCGCAAGAAGACGTTGGCCATCTCTTCAGCCACGTTTGCCGTCAACTCGGCATTATTGCCGAACTCAACCTCGTCAGAACGAAGAGGGGCAATGGCAGCCTCGAGCAGCGGCAAAAAGGCACCTTTGTGAAACTGCATGATCCCCTCAATGTCGCCAAACACTTTGCGATGCTCGCTCTGTGGGATCCAAGGCACTCCCGAGTTGACCTCGACGAGCTTAGATGGCTTGACGTAGATGTCGACGAGCTCGCAGAGGCCGCGGAGGTACGTTTGCTCTGTGACGACGATCTCGTGGAGTATCTTGAGTCGACGCACAGAATCGTCCTTGATTGGCTGCCTCTCGCCTTCGATCTGGTGGGCGATGGAGGAGGCCGACGTTGATCGTGAGAAATAAGACGTGGACTGCTTGGTTCGCAAAGTATCAGGTGTTGTGGAGTGCGAGATTGGGGATGCCGGTCCAGAGCGCCATCCTGGGCTCACAGAGGTGTCAAAGGTGCGCATGTGCCTTGGTGATGGTGGCGTCAGGTCGTCGAGGTCGCGCAGGTAGGCCATCAAGGAGCGGAGAGCAGAGAGGTGTCTACGTCGTTCGTGGTAGGCGCCAGGCGCTGCTTCGTTCCATGGCAACGATAGTTGCAGGTAGGTCTTGAAGGGGCACAGCTCAATGGGTGTCGCCACATAGTTTCCGTCACCAAACGGCGAGAGCGGCGGTGCGCCTGTGGGGGTCGAGTCTGCACCTCGAGCATGGCTGCTCTTGAGATCCGCAGACGGAGGGAGGATGTCGAGCCGATCGGTAGAGGTCTGAGAAAGGTGAAGGATGCTATTGCTCCGACTCTTGGATTGATGCAAACTGCTCGCATTAGAATTGAGAGAGCTGGTAGACGCTTTCTTTCGCAGCTTGCGCTTGAAGAGCCCCCAACCCTTTTCATTGTCGAGCTGCGTGAAGCTGCGGGGTCCGTCGCTATCGAAGTCGGGTGACTGCTTTGAGCTGTCAGGTTCGTCTAGAGCAGCCGGCTCGTCAAGTGCCCTCTGGATGTCGTTATTACTTCGCATCCTCCTCATCAATGGCCTGAAAGCATGGGCGGGCCTTCCTGCCTCGCTTCGAGCTGGCGCCGAGGTTGGCTGCCCGACTTCTTCATCGAGCTCCTCGAGCTCATCTTCCTTTGGCAGACTCGTGTCGGTGCCCGAAGAGACCGTCGTCGTTGCGGAAAGGGATCGTTCTTTCATCCATGATTCGTCGCTGGACGTGAAACAGGATGAAAGCGGAGAATCGACGAGGAGTGTGGTGATCTCTCGCCAGGTACGGTGGAAAGTGTTGTCTTGAAGAAGGAGAATCTCGAGCAGTGCAAGGCGGTGGACCCAGCTCGGAACATGGGTGAGGAAATTGTTGCGGATACTGAGGACCTGCAGTCTCTCGAGATTGGCAAAGGTCCTCGGCAGCCCTCGAAGCCCGCATGAATCGGCGAGGAGCACGCGAAGGGTCTGGACGTCTCCACAAAGCGATAGAGGATTGTGTCCCACCAGAGTGTTGTGCGAGACATTCAACTCCTCGAGGGCTTGGCAGAGAGTCAGGCAAGGTGGCAGAGAGGTGATGCCACAAGCGGAGACGTCAAGAACCAGCAGTGACTCGCCAGTGTGGGATAAGACACGATGGAGAAAGCCATTGTCGACGCCGCTGCAGCCCGACAACAGAAGATGCGTCGTCTTTGGACCAATGAGCCCTTCCACTTCTTTTGCGCGACGGCCTTGACCATTGACGATTTGCTCATAGCCTTCCTCGACGGCGCGTACGGCCAGACCCGAATCCTGGGAGGGCAGATCGCTGCCATCGCCCCGAGACTGGTATCCCTCGGGGCTGTTGCTGCCCAAGGCCGGCAAGCCGTAGCTATTTGCGGAGCAGAAGAAGCTGTCGGGTACGGCGGCACGCCGACGATTCCGCATCGAGGAAGTGGTCGACGAGTCACTGTCCGAAGCTGCGTGGCGAAGGTGGGCCGGCCGGATGGTGGCGTCAATTTTATCGTGCGATAATTGGCGGAGGTGCAAGGCTGGCAACGGTGGCGGCGGCGCCGGCGGTGAGACGAGAGAACCTTTTGCCGAGGACCTCTTGAGGGAGCTAGTCCTCGGACCGATGGCGCTCCCGGGAGAGCCGGGTTGGGAGTCGACGGAGGAATGGTTGGACCCGCGAGTGTACTGATGACTGTCGTTAGAGTCGGCACCGCCATTGGTTAACGAGCTCTTCGTGCTTCGAGACGATCCCGGGCGGCCCTTGCTGCCGTCTGAATGCGTGCGCGCCCTCGATGCAATGCGATCTGGCACGGCAAAGGGCCCTAGCTGCGAAGGCAGAATGGGAGAAGAGGAAGAATCAACAGCCTGCTGGGGCACGTGTCGATGCTGGCTGTTGGTGCGAATGGGAGTCAGACCACCATGACCCGTTTGCCTCGTCCAAGAGGGAGCACGATGGTGGGCAAAGGGGCCCGACAGAGTGGCCGTCTCTGAGGGAGGAAGTGAACCTGCACTGATGGCGCGGTGCTCCATCGACCGGGGCGCCGCATCGGCTGCTGTCTTGGCGACGGCATTTGGCAAGGGAAAGTGCCCTGAACGGAACGGCTCCGAGCCGTTGAAGTACTCGCGAGGATCGGTGCCCAGCGGAGAATCGGCCTTGAGGATGCCTGACGTGCTTGGGCTCGTCGCTGCGCTGCTGTGGCTCTTCTCGGTCCAGATTGAGGCCCGCGTCGAGATAGAGAAGCGCGCAGAGGAGACATCTGAGCACGTTGGGGTGCTGCTGCTGCTGCTACTGCTGTGGCCCGGAGGCGGAATTGGACCCACGCAAAAGCTAGGGTCGCTGCTTTCGGGCAGCTCAAATGTCGCAGGATCGGGCAGGTCTCGCAGCGAAAGTCCTCTCATGCCGGTGCCGAGATCAGAAGTGGTGACGCCGAGCCCGTACTTTGCGCCCTCGGAGGAGGTAGAGGGCTTGAGGATGCGCGGCGAGGAAGGCGAGTCGAAGTCTTGATGACGGCCATCAAACCCACCCGGGCTCTCGTACGAGCCCCCAATGGGTGTGAGGTAGGCTTCGGGGGGCGAATGGCCTTGGAGCGTCAATGGCGACGTCTCGAGGTGTTGCCTGGGACGGGGCGTGGATGGCAGGGGCTGCGTCTCGCCATCTGATGTTTGTCCACCTCTTGGTCAGTGGCCGTCCCTACTCGTCTCTGAGCCGACGCAACTCACCCTCGCATTCATCTAGCACGCTGCTCGAGGTGCCCTCGATTATCACGCGAGGTGCCACAGTGTCGATCGGTGGTGCTGGTAGCTCTTTGTCCAGGCCACGCCCGGCCACGGAGTCGAAGGCAGACATGGTATAAGGCCGCACCGCGCTTCTGGTCTGACGATCCCGTCGTGTTCGGCCAGGAGGAGGAGGGAAGCAGCCAGCGAATCAGCAGGCCTTGTCCCACGTCGTCACCCTCTCCCCTCGTCGTCGGAAATCTCTCCCTCTCAAATATTCGGACTGACAACGTCGGGGTAGGTGGGCGAACAATTGAAAAGTGGTCGTGGAGAAGGGGGATTCCCCGTTGTTTTTGTTGTTGTGAGCAAGGTGATGCGAGCGTGCGCTTGGGGTGGAGCAAGACAAGGCGCTCGCGCGTGTGCGCGGGGGACTGCCTACTCTCTTTGTGCCTCCCTCCCTTTGCACGTCAGTGATTGATACTAGGCCGACGAAAGGCGGCCACAGCGCAACGGCCCGCCCGGTGCGGTCTTTTGTGTTGCGAAACGACGGCACCGTCTTTAGATGTGAGGAGCGGGCGGCAGTGTCGACCCAGTAAGGCGACGACAGCGGTGTTGAACGAGACGAGAAAGCTCAGCTCCGCTCTTACTGCACTGCAGCGAGGGGGTTGGGGGAGCGAGATGGGGTGGCGAGATGGGGTGGGCCAGGGTTGAGGGCGGTCCAACGACGGAGAGACTGAGAGGCGACGGGGGCGGCGTCTGCGGCCGCCTTGTTCAATGGTTGGGCCAATCGAGATGGGGGTTAGCGAGCAAACGGGCGCAAGATGGAGATCGACCAAGCCAGCAGACCAGCAGCTGTCTGGATCGGAGCTCGACGACGGCAAAGTCAGGCTCAACCTGAAGAGAAACCGAAGAGAAAACCGAGACGAGAGGGTGGTGAAGTGGTCTTGACACTAGCTATATCGCGAGCAGTAATACATGCGGACAGCAAAAAAAGCCCGAAATAGAAAGTTTGCTCTCCATCAGCTAGCAGCAACTTGCCCCTTAAAAAAAAAAAGAGGGAAGATAAAATATAATAGAGGGACCCTTTTTTGGTGCCTTTTTTTCCGCCTGTTCCCCCACTAGGAGCTGCTTGGGTCATTGTTAGGGCAGGAACCGCGCCTTGGTTGTGGGAACTTTGCAAAGAGGATGGGCAGGCGGCGCCAAATTGATTTCTCGGCTCAACACCCTTCCGCAGATGGACCGAGGCCAGCAACTCGGGTCAGGAGTAAGTCCAGGACGTTTGCTGCCAAAATGCATGTGGTCCTTGGGCACTCAGCCTTCGCTTCCGAGGGCCTTGCCTGCGCGATTCTGTGCGCAACGGTTCGTGGATCGAGATTGCTCTGAGCATGGCGCACAGCCTGCCCACCGCGTTTCATTCACTCGCTCGCTCGCTCAACAGGTCAGATCGGGTTGTGCTGGTGTCAGGACACTACACCAGATCTGACCCTGCCTGCAGCTCCCTCTGGGACAAGAAGCAGCAGGCATTATTTTTACGCAACGAGAGTGGTGCTCGAGCTAGACTTCGTCCTTTGTCCTTTTTTGAGGCCCAGCGGCGGACGGTATCAGCGGTCTGTAAAAGGCTCGTGTCCAGACGGGGTCAAAACAACTGCAGCAATGCGAAAGTAGAAGAAGAAGGCACCCCGATGGTGCACCGCTGAGCACCGCTGAGCACCGCTGAGCTCAGATGTCATATCGATTGTGTAGTCTCGCACCCACGACAAGAATCAGGCGTCGTCGAAGCGTCATTCACATGTCCCTCAGGCGGCCTCTTCTTGTTACCTATCTCCACTCTCGAGCACACCGAGGGCGGAATATGATCCGATGGGGTGCATTCTGGCTCAGATGGAAAGTGCAGCTTTCGCCAGTTGAGCCGACAGAAGTGCGACTCCTCCCGATAAGAAAAATTAGCCGTTCTCTCAGGCCAACATCTCGCCCTACCAGTCGCACCGAGGGTCGAGCTAGGAACAAGTTGCTGGACGGCCTCCCTCCACGTGGTGAGATGTGGGAAGGCATATCGGCGATATAAGAATTTATGACTGGTCGCGCCCCGGAGAATTTCCGCGCGTTGGAACAACCGGCGATGACCTGTCCCGTCGGACACGCTCGCCGCAACGAGGACCAATGACGAGTCGAGTGGCCTTCTACCTCGTCCGTCTGCCGTCTGCTCGCCCTGCATGGCTTCGTCCTTGGTGATCGTGTGCCAATCTTAACCTTGTGTCCCCCTTGTGGCAGGTTGGCCTCGGTGGGAAAGTCGGACGGACGGACCATTTTACCCGCGCCAATTTACGTACTGCTGCTGGCTATGGCGGTAGACAGAGGAGCAACAAATTTGCCCAATGTGGTAGGCTGATGATTGTCTCAGCTTAAAGACTAACGACGGCTTCTGCTTGCATCTCTCTCCTTTCACCTTCTCCTTCGCGTTTGCACTGGCAGGCATCTCTCTCGCCGCCTCGTATACCCCCATCCCCTCTGATCTCCTTGCTTCTGCATCGAGACGAGGGCGCGGGTTCGCTCGAGGAGGCGCTGTCACGACCCCCTTTTCCTTCATCTTTTTCTCTCTTCTCACGACAAGCACCCTCTCTCGGAGCCCTTGATGGGTCTAGACGGTGTGACGATTGCTTTCATTCACGATTCTTGACGCTGTTCTCAACGCCTCTCTCTACGTCACCTCCAAGCGAGGAAACAGCTTCTCACGTCTCAGCTTTTGACGATTCTTTACACGACGTGCAAACGCCTTTCACGAGCAACACTGCTAGCCGGTGGTGCAGACGACAAGACACACGTCACTTCTTTCCAAACCGCCTCCCTTGCTGGTCAACGGAGGCTCAAAGCGAGGCATACATAGCATACAATGGAAGGAACTTCGACGGACAAGGGAAAGGGAAAGCGGAAGTCCCGCGATGACGAGGAGGCTCGCAGTGCAAAGCAGCGGCCTGCTGGTGGTGGTGGTGGTGGCGGAAGCAGTGGTGGCAGTGGTGGACGCGAAGAAAGGGAAAGAGGCGGCAATCGAGGCGACTGGGTAGATGCGTCGAGGCGCGATCTCCCTGGGTTTCCCCATGGACGGACCGTGGTGCCGTCGGGTATGAGTGCACCCGTTAATGAGGGAGAAGGACGGGTGTATCCTGCGACGGGCATCCTTCGCCGATCAGGCCCCGATGTCCGCAGGCTGTCCAACATCCCCGACCTCGAAGAGCCAGGACCGAGCGCGACGCCGATTGTCATGACGCCCCCGCCTCAGCTTCTCCCCTCTCCTGCGATCCAACAAGCTGCCACGTCTCGCCAAGACATGTCACGCACCCTACCCAGGCGCTTTGATCCTGCGACGGGCCGCGCAGCACCGTCAGACCACCGACGAGCGCCACTGCCCCAGTCCTTTGCTGCGCCGCCGTCGTCTTCCTTTCCCAACCCGTATGCGCAGGCGCCAAACAACAACGACCAGCGACGGAGCAAACCAAAGACCGCCGACATTCCTCCCACGCCTCCGCTGGTGCAACCCACGCCGGCATTTGGCACAGGCGCCCCGACGACTTCAGCAACGGCCCAGAGCCCACGTCGCGCGCTGCCGGCAATTCCGTCCGGTATGCCGGCGGCACAGATCAGCTGGGCTCAAGACCCCGCGGTGGACGAAGAGGGAGACGAGGAGGAGGAGAGCGACGAAAACAACCGTTGGAGCTCGGGGGAATCGACGCCGACGCCCACAGCGAGCAGCGTCGCGGCCGCGAGCGCCAGACGAAAGGAGGCGGCCAGGGACCTCGTTCCTGTCGCTCTTGTCTCGCCCGATCTCATGGCGGGCCCCGCCCCCAGAGTGTCGCTTGCTCGTTCGCCAGCTCCACGCATCCAGGCCCCGCAGCAGCAGCAGCAGCAAGCCGTGTCCTCGTCGAGCTCTCGGCCCCTCTCGTCTGGGTCGTCGCTCAAGCTGGCAGACGGACGAGAGGTGCCCACGGTGCGGACCGACTTTGATAACATGAAGCGATTCAGCCGGCCCTCTTCGTCTTCCCAGCCAACGTCGATGCCCGAGGCTCGTCGGGGCTTGGAGGGTTCGCAGGCTTCCCTTGGCCGTAAAAGCGCGCCGACGCCCGCGGCCGGTTTGCATGCAAAGGCCGGGTCGAAGCATCAGGGGCGTCGGAGCGACGATCCCCTACCTACGTCGACTCGGGCGCCAGACGCCCCCAAGCTCCAGCAGGGGCTGCGTTTCAACAAGTCCGACCCTGCCCTCGGCACGCCTGAACAAAGTCGCCCGGGAACGGGCACCGATGCTGCTGGCCACGTCGCGCCTCTTGTCCAGCCGAGACGCGCCAGGGATGACATCGCAGCGCTGCAGACTGCAGACCGCAACACGTTTGGACCAGATGCTTCGCTGTTTGAGCACGCCAACCGTGCTCTCCTTCGACACCAGGCGGAGCAGCAGCAGCAGCAGCAGCAGCAGCAGCAGCAGCAGCAGCAGAGGAGCTCGCGCGCAGCTCCTGCGACTCTTTCAACGCCCAATGTTCCAACGACGGCAGCAGTGGTGGACGCAGAGTCAGACGAGAGGCCTCGAAGGCCGTCGAATGTCGAGTCAGTCCGCCGAAGCTCATTCGGTTCAGGAACGACGGCACTCGACACCCCCAATCCCGAGCACCGTGACTCCATCGATGCCCTCTATCCCACCAGCGGTCGGCGTCGATCAAGCTCGCAAGACGAGGGAGCCACCTGGGGCCGAAAGGCAGCCGGCCTCGTCTCGGGCCTGGCTGCCCCGCCCAGCGATGTTCCCGAGCTCGTGGAGCCGTCTAGATCAGGGGCCAGCAGCCGACACCAAGGCCGCCATCGTCAGGGCCACAATGGGGACGGTGAAGAGTCGGACAGCTACCAAGGACACTGGCAACCTCATCAGCCAATGGTGGTGACGACGACGGCGAACGAGGCGAGGGGCGATGCAAAGCCGCCAGCGACCTCTTCGTCGCTCCGCTACGTGCCTATCCAGAACATCGCCGCGCCTGCACCCGCCGCCCTCAAAGGAGGCCAAGCTGCTCCCGCCCGTCCACTGACTGCAGGGTCCGTCACCTGGCGTCCGGGGACGGGGCAGACGCGCTTCTCGGCTCAGTCCTTTCGCACCCGCAGGCTCCCCAGTGGGCACGGCAACACGCCGGCGTGCCGCCAATGCTTCCGCGCCGGCTTTGACTGCGCCATGAACCTCCAGCTCGGCTCCGGCACCGGCGGCCGAAAGGCCTTTCAGGACTTTGTCAATGCAGGAGGCCTCGATGCAATCAGCATTCGTACCGGCGGACCCAACGACCACGATGACGGAGCGAGCATCACGGTCAGCCAGGCGCTCGGCCGCAACTACGTCGACAAGCTAGGAGAGGTTGCCTTTGGTGAAAGCGCGCTTAGTCGCCCAGTCACGCGCGGCGTCGTCGACGACATGCTCGAGGAGCGTGGCAGAGTCATGGCCGAACAGCAGCGCAGCATGAGCGTAGAGAACTTTCTCGCAAGTCTAGCAAAGGCAAAGCAGGAGCAGGACGACGAAGACGAGCAGCGGGAGCGTGATGCACAGCTGGAGAGAATGGGCTCCGAACTTGCCAAATCGGCAGAGCAGCCAATGGACAACCGGGACGGAGCCGCAAAAGAGGCGGCGCCCAAGTCGTCGATCATGACTCGTCCACGGGCAGTGACGCCCTCCGTCGCTGGGCAGCAACAGACGATGCAGATCGATCCAGAAGACTATGCCAGCCACGGACCCTCTTCTTCCACCTCGACGCTCTCTGACGACCTCTACTTCTTGGCCGATCGCTGGTCGGTGACCAGGAAGCTGTGGCAGCTCACTGTTCTCTGCGTGTGGGTCTTTGTCATTCAGGCCCTCGATGCCGGCTACACCACCTCCTTGGAAACGATCGCAAGAGATTTCCAGACGATGCCCATCTCGCTCATGACTGGCCGCATGGCATACCTGTGGGGCGAGGGAGGCGGATTGCTCCTTGGGTCCAGCCTTTCCATCCTGGGCCGACACCGCGCACCAATTTTCTCGACCTTGGCGATGGGGGCCGTTGCCATCATTGCCGGTTTTGCGAGAAGCGCAGTGGTGCTGACGATCCTCCGTGGTGCGATGGGCATGGGCGCAGGCATCTTCCAGATCATGGTCCTCGGCTCCATTCTCGACATGACGACGACGAGACGCGCGCGATGCGCCGCAACAATGTATCTGCTGGCCTGGGGCATCGCTGGTCAAGCCTCGGGTCCCTGGATCGCGACCTTGGTCATCTCCATCAGCAATTGGCGTTGGCTATACTGGACGACGACAATCGCTGCGGCGGTATTCGCCGTCCTTGCTGGCACGTTCACTGCTGAGACGGCGCATGAGACTTCCTACCGCGACAAAGTGCTCGAGATTCGTCGGCGCCCTTATCACCTCTATCCTCCCCAGAAGGGACAGCAGAGCACCCTCCAACAGGAGCAGCAAGAGCAGCAGCGCGAGACGCCCTGGATGTCCGAGCCACGAAGGCTGATTCGGCTGCGACACTATTTCCGCTTCTACCTCTGGCTCCCGTACCTCGTCCTCTTTACCCACGTCCTTGTCTTGCTCAGCGGCGCCATCCTTGCCGTCTTTGTCGGCTCTCTCGTCCTCGTCCTTACTGGACTGCCCGATGTGCTGACGTCCAGGCACGGCTTCTCGCAGCATCTCGCCAGCGTGACAATTACTGCGTGCGTGGCAATTGGGTGTCTCTTGGCTGCTCTGGGCGCCCTTTTACTGCTGCATTGGCCAACGATTTCTGGAAAGGAGCCACCGTCCAATCGAAGCCGGCTACTGTTCATCGACGAGAAGGGCTACATTGATACATCGAGGCCGGCGCACCGACCGGAATTGCTTCTTCGTACCGCTCTCGTTGGCTCTCTTTCCAGCTCTGTGGCCCTCTTCACGCTTGCCCTGACGGCCACGACAATCAACTGGATCTTTTCCGCCCTGTCACTCGTCGTCGCCTGCGCGGGCGTCACGCTGCTGGCCCTTGGCATCGTAACGTACCTCTTCGAATCGTACTACCCGGCTGCAACTGCCGTTCTGGGCGAAGTCATCGCTGAACCCGACGATCTGGGCCCAGCGCCTGGCTTTGGCCGCCGTCACCGAAGCTCTTCTCCCTCGATTGTGAGGCGGGAGGATGAATGCACGCTCATGTCGGGCGCAGACGAGAGCGGGAAGCGATGGCCGATCAAGTGGGCCCTCTACTCGATTGCGGGCGCGCTCAATGTTTCTTTCTTCATCGGTGGTCTCATGACGCTCTTGGGCATGTTTGGTGAGTCTCAGCCATCTTTCCAGTTACTTCCTTCCTGCTATGAACACTAATGAACATTGCTCTTGCTCCAGCACGAGGGCTGCGATTCGAGATCTTGGCCGTCATCGTGGCAAGCGCCAGTCTGGGCACCTGTCTCCTCGTCGTCATTCTCGTCCGATTTGGAAGCGCGATGCGACACAACATCTTTGTGCGCATCGCAAAGACGGAGCAGCACCTCTGGCTCAAAACAAAACGCCACACCATTTCGACTGCCCCATCGCTGTCGCGCAGTGGAACGGTGGACTTCACGGAACGGCAGCGCTCGCACCGACAGGAGTCGCAAACGCGAGAGAAAGCACATGAAGGACCCGCCCCTGTAGAGCCAGCATCGAAGCTCAAGAAGCTGCTCCTTGTCCCTGTCAAAGAGTACTGGAAGCCGACGAGACGATCAGAGGAAAGCAGATTAGGGGAGGGAAGAGAACGTACTCTCGAGATATCTACCCCAATTATGCAAGAGGCAAGCTGGGACATGGTACAGCACCAGACGCCGGGCCAGACCGACAAGCTAGCGCCCATGCCAACGCTACGGGCGGAGCCCAGGAGCCCCTCGACGCCCGTCACATTGAGGAAGCCAATTTCAGATCAGAGGCTGACGTCGCCCGGCTGGATCCGGGCGACAAGAGCAAGCAACGAGGAAGACCCTTACTCGCCACTACCTGCTACGACAAAGTCATCGACGATGCTCCCACGTCAGCCTCCTTCTGCCCAGACCGCAGACATGTACAGCCCAATGCCTGACTGGGTGTCGCGGAGAAGGGAGAGGCAGCCATCGACTGGCGGCATCGACCTGAGCCCGCAGCAACCCCCTCGCGCCCACCCGCAATGGCTTAGACGACCGAGGGACCGGAGCGATACCTTTTAATTCCCGTCTTCTCTTCACGATGCACATATTCGACGCTGATGATTCCGACGAGGTCTTTTCTTTTTCTTCTTCTTCTTCTTCTTCTCTGTTGATGCTTGAGACGTCTCGTACATGAAAAGTTCTTTCTTTGCGTTGATCGCTAGAAGCTTACGTTGTTGCAATGTCATGATGTTTCCTCCTCTCTTTGGTTCAAAAAAGACGGGTGATTGTCGTACGCCCCGAAGGCGTATCGAATACTTGCTTCCGGTTCACTGTGCCAGCGACTCAGCTATAAGCCTTGGTACGACGCCAATATCTTTTCCGACTCACCGTGCAAGAAGATCTTCCTTCTTCCCTCCTGAGGCAACGGCGGCGGCACGAGACCAAGGAGCCCGCCATTGATGAGAGCCCATGCGATCTGCCTGAACGGCGGCGTGCCGCGCGACATGCGAGCCAGGAAAAGGCTGGCAGAAGTGACAAAGGCAAGGATGATGGCGTTCATGTTCGGCGAATTTTGAGTGAGAGGAAATGGTGCTGTTTGTTTCAATCGAAAGAAGGAGAGAAAGTGGGAGTCCTGCTTTAAGTAGTTTTGCACAAGGTGAAAAGATGGGGCTACAGAAAGCACTCGAACAAGATGATAACATTGCGACACGGGGTTGGTTACGCCACGACAAGAAAGGAAGGAGGACAAAGGGAAGGATGAGACAAACGGAGAACAAACAGGTGACAATAAGGTGCAATTGCCGGGGTATGGCTGCAACTTCATAGTGAGGCGAGAAGAAGTGAGAGCGCCTTCGATCTTTGCAACGTCACCGCAGGCGCAAGCTGCGACCATGAGTCTCAGCGCCATTACCCCAAAAAAGAGCAGTACCCCATATGGAGCTGGTGCTGGACCCTACTTTGACGCGACACGTGAGCCGAAGAAGCGCGGAACAAAATTAGGTTCTTTCTTTCGCACCTTGTGTCCTGCCGCGCCCCCGTTCGAGGACCGCCACGGCGAAAGCTGCCCCTCAAAAAAGATGAATTCGGCTGGGCAAAACTTCTATCGCTTTGCTAGAACGGCGGCGGCAGCCGCAACGGCGCCGCCATCCCGCTCGGTCCATCATTAGCGCGATCGTGATTGAGCTGGGAGGACTTAGTATCTACGTCGCCCAAGAGCACCTCACGTTCGGCAGCTGACAGCGGGACCCCTCCCTTTTCATTGGACATCCGGCGTGCCATGTAATGCTGAGAGCCCAGAATAGCTTGCGCGCCCGAATACAATACAATTTGCCCATCGCGAGGAATTTCCACCAAAAAAAAAACTTTTAAAAGTTAAACCCGTCTTTAGACCTGTGCCGGTCAACTCCCTACCTACCGTAATAAAAACCAGTAGTTGCTGGGGAAATGCCTGCAGGCGGTCAGAGCCGCATTTCTACTGCCAGTAGAATTAGTTACAGTTGCAGTACTGGAGTACTAGAAGTAGTACTAGTGTAGTGTAGGACGGCAGAGGATCAACAACTTCTTAGTTCACAGGGGCGGCGATGGAATTGACAATTCAACCCTGCCCGTCTATTACTGTCAGCATCACCGTTTTTCCCCTCGGCAGCTCTCGATTCATCACCATCGCCCTTCCGCTTGTCTTCCTCCTCCTCCTCCCTCCTCGTCTCGCTACCTGACCCTTCTTTGCGTCCCTTTGACTTTTCGGAGGCTCCTGGATCTTGGCTCGTCTGTCTCCTCAGCCGATTCTGCTTCAGGGCACAAAGAGCGAAGCCGCATCGCTTTCGTCCGTGACGAGCCGATCCTCCTCTCGCCCGTCGTCTCCTCTACCCTTGAGGCCCGCATACGCAAAGGGGAACCACATTCGCTTAGCCGAGATCTTCTCCTTTCTCACCACCAGCCACTGGCAAGCGGCGCGAGTCCGCACATCGATCTCAGCTCGGCGGGGAGCGAAATCGGCCTTCTTTTCATAGACGTACAAGAAAAAATAATACCTCTTCCTCACTGACGACCCTTCAACGACGTTCGACAAATTGCCAAGATGGCGCCATCCTCGGACAGCTTTCCCCTCGGCTACATCTACTCTTTGCCGCCAAGGCCAAAGATTAGATCGCTGGGAGATCACCTGGCTGAGCACATCACCGACAATGGGCGCATCACGACACTCATCGATGCTATTTGCTCGACGCCCAACCCGGCGCTGTGGTCGCCAGATCTGAATCGACCACCGATCGACCATGCGACAATCAAGCGGTTCATGAGCTCCTTTATCCTGCCCTCAACGAGAGCACCCCTTGGCCCCAACGATCGCGTCATGATGGCCCTGCCTACAGGGCCTGAAAACGCGCTGGCCCTGCTCTCGGTCGCCGCCTACCACACATGCGCGCCTGTCAACGCGAGCTGCACTGCAGGCGAGCTGCGCGACGACGCGGTGCGCCTCCGTGCAAAGGCCGTCGTCACGACGCGCGACGCTGCTGAGCGACTCGAGGTGGCCTCGCTGTACCACGAGGAGAACATGGAGATCATCTTTGTCGAGAACCGGACGTCCGGCCCGGCCGGGCTGTTTGACATGAGCATGTTTGGCCAGCAGGGGCTCGCATCCACCAAGGGACGGCGTCCTTCGCAACCCCACGGGCTCGAGCATCAATCGCTGGTGTTGCACACATCGGGCACGTCGGGAAAGAAAAAGGTGGTGCCCTACTCGCTCAGGCACCTCATCGTGGGCACTTCATGCGTCGTGCAGAGCTGGGACTTGAGACCAGAGAGCGTGAACAGTGAGTCTTTACAGCTCGATTCCCCTAATTTTCCGCGTTGCTGACCAGCCCGTGACACCAGTGAACATGATGCCCTTGTTCCACGTCGGTGGCATCGTCCGTAATTTGTGGGCGCCCATGTTTTCGGGAGGAAGCGCAATCATGTGCTCTGGTTTCGACGCAAACGTTTGGTGGACATTGGCAAAGCAGCTCGGCGCGACATGGTGAGTCTCGTTTCTGCCCATATACACGACGTTGGCACTGACCATTTTCCAGGTACTATGCCGCACCCACGATGCACCACGCCATCCTCGCATCCAAGCCAGAGGGCGTCAACACGGCAAAGGACACGAGCATCAAGATGATCGCGAATGCTGCAGGTGGATTGCTGCCCTCGCTGGCTGTGCAGCTCAAGGAGACGTTCGGGGGATGCGCTGTGCTGCCCTCGTACGGCATGACAGAGTGCATGCCGATCGCCTCGCCACCGACAAACTACCAGCTGGACAGGCCCGGTTGCTCGGGTGTGGCTTGTGGTCCCGATCTCTCCATTCGCGATCCTTTTGACCGTGAAAAGGAGCTCCCTGTCGGGCAGACGGGTGCTGTTTCGGTCCGGGGCCTCCCTACCTTCTCTGGCTATGAGACGTCGACCGATCCGTTCGAGCCCCTTGACACTTCGAGTTTCTCCAGCGAGGGCTGGTTCGACTCGGGTGACATGGGCCACATGGACGCTGACGGGTATCTCTACATCACTGGCCGAAGCAAAGAGATCATCAACAAGGGTGGCGAGGTCGTGTCGCCCTTTGAGGTCGAGGAGGCCATCACACAAGCCTGCAAAGACCGGGTCAAGCAGACGTTGGCCTTTTCCATCGAGCACAAGGTCCTTCAAGAGACGATTGGTGTCGTCATTGTCCCGGTCCCTAACCAGCCCCGCATCGGACTGGCCGAGATCCAGAACCTGCTGCGATCCCATTTGCACCCGTCCAAGTGGCCCTTTGCTGCCGTCTACATGGACGATCTGCCCAAGAACCAGGCAGGAAAGCCGCTGCGTATCAAGCTCGGCACCCGTCTCAACATCGGACCACTTTCGGACGATGTGCCAGCGCTGCAGCGTCACTTTGAGGCCAAGGCGCCGGGCAAAGAAGTCCCACTCTCGGAGCCGATTCCCTGCAACCTCGTCTCGGTCGACGTGCGCGCCGTCGAGCGGGCTTGCTACCGGATTCCTGGCGTCATCGAGGCGGCGGTGCGTCAACGCAAGGATGGTGCACCAGAGGCCTTTATTCACGTCGAGGAGAATGCCGAATATGATGCATCGGACATCGATCGAGCCCTGGCGCAGGTCCTGCATGGCTACGTTGTTCCCAACCCGCTCCACGTCTTCCGTTCACCGCTGGCCAAGGTCAACGGTCGCATCGACTTCCAGACAATGGAGGACGAGGTTCGCGCTCAGAATGCATCGTCGATGTCCCGCACCGCCCTCGTCGTCCGTGACATTATCGCTCGGCTCCTGGACACCGAGTCTGGCACGATCACGGCCGAGTCGGACTTCTTCTTGCTCGGTGGCAACAGTCTGCTCCTTGGCCGTCTTGTCCACCTGATTCGAAAGGAGACGGGTGCCTCGCTCGAGGTGTCTACCCTCTTCAACAACTCGACCGTCGAGGGCATTGCCAGTCTCATTGAAGACGAGCAGGGCATCGATGATGACGAGTACGACATGGAAGATGGCTTCATGCAGGAGAAGGGTGGCAGTGCGTTTGCAAGCGCTCACCGGTACGACGACGAGGCGGGCGACGCCGATCCCGCCTTTGCCAGCCACGGTTACAAGCCTCGAAGCCAGACGCACCCATGGGTTGTCTTGGTGCAGCTGATCCCCATCCTCTTCTTCTACCCCTTCAAGGCTGCCTGGACCTGGACGGTGATTTTGCACGGCCTTGCCTTCTCGGCCTACTACATCGACGACGTCTTCTGGGAGCGCGTTGGTGTTCTGCTGGCCTCTGTCATCATTGCTCGATTCACCAGTCGAATCATCTGTCCCGTCACCGCCATCGCTTTCAAGTGGCTCGTCATTGGTCGCTACCGTCCAGGCAAATACCCAATGTGGTCCAACTACCACCTTCGATGGTGGCTCGTCAATCAGTCGCTCAGAACGGCTGGTAAGGGCCTTTTCGGTCTCACGCCCTCTCTGACAAAGACGTACTTTAGGCTGCTGGGCATGTCCATTGGTTCAGATGTGCAGATCGACCGGTTCGCCAAGATGGCAGAGTACGACCTCATCACGATTCACGACGGCGCAAGGATCGACAAGTCGCTTGTTCGAGGTTTCTGTGTCGAGCGGGACGGCTACTTCAGGCTCGAGCCCATCATCATTGGTCGCGACTGTGTCGTAAACACCTTCACGCAGATCTCGCCCGGTGCCAGACTGGCCGACGGCACGGTGTGGGGCCCGCAATCGTCCTCGCACGAGGAGCCATCGAGCGATGCGTATGCGTCGTACAACCGGAACGCTGTGCCCACGCCAAATGGAGCCCTCATTGCCTTCATCGGTGTTCCCATTCTCCTCGTCATCCGAATCATCTGCTACGTTCCTTGGTTTGCTGCCCTCTTCATGCTCCTGTCTCAGCCCTTCGAGTTCAACCACCACGACTCGGTCAAGGGCGTCATTGCCTGGTTCGCCTACCCTCGTCGTATCGGCTGGCACTACGTCGCCCGTGTCGTGCGAAACATTATGCCGCCGCTCATCAACCTGGTCCTGGGCATCTTGCTCAAACGTATCATGGGCCTCAATCGCGAAGGGTCGATGCGCAACGCCACGCAGATCTCGCTCCTCCGGCGCTGGCTCAACAGCCAGCTTCTGTCGCAGCCCAACATCCGCCGCGCCATGGCAATCCTGGGTACCCACTACGAAATGACTTCGGTCATCTACCGTGCCATGGGCGCCAAGGTTGGCAAGCGGGTCTACTGGCCAGGCAGTGGCATCTACTGCCCCGATCCAGAGCTGCTGGAAATCGGCGACGATGTCGTCTTTGGTTCCAGATCCGAGGTCTTCACGTCGGACTCGATTGGCTGGGCGAGGGTGCGCGTTGGTCGTGGCGCCATGATTGCCGATCGTGTCGTCCTGCTGCCCGGCTGTACCGTGGGTCGACAGTGTGTCATGGGCTCCGGTGCTCTGGCGGTGCGAAACGGTCACTACGAGGAGCACACGGTGTGGATGGGTTCCAAGAATGGCTCGGCCGTCAGCTTCGGCAAGGCAGCCCGGGAAAACAAAGAGGCCGGCGTGCCGGCGGATGAGGAGACGATTACGCCGTTTGGTCGAGCATTCTACAAGCGCAAGGCCACCTTCTTCGTATTCCCTTACCTCATGCTCGTCGCCATCAACGTCATCGTTGCCATCTTCTCCTCGGGCTACTGGGCTACAGCCGCCGTTGGCACCGTCCTCTCGCTCAATATCCTGAGATCAAACTTTGAATACGTCAGCACCGCCATCTTCAGCGACCACTGGTACCGCCCTGGGTTGGTATACGCATTCATCGCCATCTGCTTCGTCATTATTCTTAACATTCAGGCTTTTATCGCCTTCCTTTGGGTCATTGGGACAAAGTGGGCCGTCATCGGCCGTCGTCGCGAAGGCCGGTACGACTGGGACAAGAGCAGCTACTGCCAACGGTGGCAGCTCCATCTCACCCTTCAACGTCTGCTTGGCAAGGGCTTCGGCGGTCACCTCATTGGCCACATCTCCGGCACATGGATGGCCGTCTGGTACTTGCGATCGCTGGGTGCCAAGATCGGCGACGAGTGTGCCATCTGGGCAGGTGGCAAGCCAAGTCTCCAGCTCACCGAGCCGGAACTCGTCACGATGGGCAACCACGTCAACGTCGATGACTGCTCCATTGTTGCTCACATCAACTCAAGGGGTCGATTCTCGCTAAACAGGCTCATGATTGGCGACAACTGCGCACTTCGAACCGGCAGCCGATTGCTTTCGGGTGCAAGCATGGAGCGAGGGTCGATGCTCCTTGAGCATACTTTGATCGCATCGGGAGAAATTGCAGAGGCGAACAGTGTCTACGCGGGCTGGCCCGCTAGGCAGCTGAGGTTACGCAAGGCTGTACAGAACAAGCAGCCCAGCTCGGCACTCTACCAGAATGGTGGCCCACACTCGGCAGAGAGCTCTTCATACAACCTCGGCAGCGCCTCTGGTCCCTCGACGCCTGCTCTCAACTCGTACAAGTAGTCTGTCTATAGCATCACTTCACCCAACCCCCTTCATCCCCAGCATACCTCTTGTCAACTGTCTCACAAGTCAAGGACAATCTCTCCCGTCACACACAAACACAAACACACGCAAACGAACAGTCTTTCTCTGTCTTTTAATTCTCTCTTTCTCTCTCTCGCTTCCATCTTTTCATTCCTGTGTCGTTATCTTCCTCCCTTCCTCTCTCTCTCTCAAAAATGGCAATTGTTTCCAGGATAGCAGCTTTAGACTGACGTTGGAAGAGAGAGAGCGCCTTCGGCCGACGGGAGTCGGAAGCGGCGTTTTCTTCTCTAAAGTTTTGGACCACTTTTTTCCCTCTTGACTTTTGCAGCCAGGATCCAAGAAGCTAGGACGAGGGCGGTCTAGGACAAGAGGAACGAGAAAAGAGAATGGCGGAGTCGAAAGAGGCGGCGCTGGACCTTGCGGAGCTGCGAGCGCAGATGCAGCTGGACCGAGCGAAACTGACGGACAGCATCCTTGCCAAATTCACCGCTTCGTCATCGTCGTCGTCGGCTGCGAGCAGCGCCAAGGGCAAGGGCAAGGACAAGGGGTCGCCGATCGGAGAGGGCGCAACGGCGGGAAGAAAGTTCCGGCCGGCGACGCTCGGTCTCGGTGCAGAGATGAGAGCAGAGGATGAGCGCAAGGGCGCAGCAACGAGGGAGGATCGGAGGCTGGTGGGCTTGCTTAAAGGGAAGAAGAAGCCTATGGCGGAAGGCGCTGGGACTGGGTCAAGGAGCAAAGCAGAGGAAATCGACGACGATGAAGAAGAAGCGGGAAGGGCGGCAGAGGTGGAGGCAGCTGCGGGCAGAAAGAGGAAGCAGGGTATTGTGGATCCCTTCGCCGTGGGAAACAAGAAGAAGAAGAAAGAGGTCCAAGGTGGCGCGGCCGTGAAGAGCAACATGCCGGGAAAGGAGTCGCACTTGGAATCAGAAGGGATTGTCGAGGCTAATGCCAATGAAAGCACTAATGGCGAAGTAGAAACGGAAGGGCTGTCGAAGGCCCAGAGGAAGAAACTTAACAAGAGGAGGCGGCTGGAGGAGGAGCAGGCAAAGGCTAGACTTGCTCCCGAAGGAGACCTAGGAGCGGCAAGGGAGGCCACGGAGGAACCAGCAAGAACCTCGCCACCGCCACAACCGACAAGCAATCAGATGGATGCCCTAACGGATCACCAGCAGTCGCTCCTCTCGCACCTGTCCGGCTCGCGCTTCCGTCAAATCAACGAAACACTCTACACCTCACCCAGCGCTGCTGCTCTCGCCATGATTCAGGCAGAGCCAAGTAAGCTGCAGGAGTACCACCAGGGCTTCCGAAAGCAAACAAAGTCTTGGCCGGAGATTCCCGTCGAGAAGATTGCGAAGATCATTAAGGATCGGAATGCGCCGCTCCTGGTTGTGGATTTGGGCGCTGGCGAGGCCATCTTGGCAAAATTGCTTCGTGAGCCTCAGCCTTCAACGTCAATAGGAAGCAAGGCAAAGAAAGGCAAGGGCGAGGACGTTCCAGCGGCAATTCGAGTTCTGAGCTACGATCTTCTGGACAGCGAGGACGGTTGGGTGAGAGGTGTCGATGTCGCTCAGGCTGGAGGCCTTCCGTTGCCCGGCATCGTCGGGGAAACCAACGGCGCGCGAGTGCGGCGTGCTTCGAGAAGCGAGTACCAGGATCCAGCCATCGCCGACATTGCCGTCTTCTGTCTCAGTCTCATGGGCACGAACTGGGTCGAGATGATCATCGAGGCCCGCCGCGTCCTTTGCCCAGGAAAGGGTAGCCTCATTGTCGCTGAGGTCGCCAGCCGTTTCACCAATATCGACGAATTTGTCAAGCTTATCGAGTTGCTCGGTTTCCAGCTCGTCTCGAAGGACGCCAAGAACACCCACTTCAGCTTGTTTGAGTTCCGGAAGTTGAGTGACAAGGAGCTCTCTTCTCAAATAGGCGGCTTAGCCTCGATCAAGGACGACGAAACAGAGCGCAGAGAGACCAAGATGCTCATTGAGAAGGGGCGAACTCTCTTAAAGCCATGTCTGTACAAACGACGATAGCCAATTGCGACGATTTGACGAAACAGGACGAAACAGGATTGTGAGAACGATGTGAGAACAATGAACATCATCAGTTCATCCTACGCCGACAATGTAGAAAGGTTATATCATTCTTCTCTGACTTTGTTTGGAGCATTGCGGCTGTCTTCTAGAGGTTTATGATGCTACTTTCCCATTAATGCCGACTTCAGTGAGGTAGGAAAAGAAAGCAAGTAGCGACCCGGGTTCGAATCCCGGCAGCCGCAAAGGTTTCTTTTTGGCCTCGCGAGAACCTTCACTTTCTTTTGCTGTCGATCGTCGATCCTTCTTATTGCTCTCCAAACAAGTATTTTTCGTCACAGAAGGCTTCTGGATCCGTTGGATTAGTGGCAAGCCAGTAGGGTGAGAGCTCTAGGTCGTTCGTGCCGAAAATAGTATCCCAGGTTAGTTAAGCCGCGACTGAAGCTCCGCCCGCATCGATTGTTTTATTTTTACTTTCTCTGGCTAGCGTTGCTCCTTGCCTTCCGCCGGTCGAAGAAGGGCGGTGGACCACTGTGAAGACGGGATCCGGGAGCCTCCTGATGTTGCTTTTGGAATCTGACTAGAGAAAATGGGAACGCTAGGCGAGGTGCATTGAATTTGGTCCCTGTTTTCCCCCATTACTGCTGTCAGCTAGCTAGGCTAGTACTACTATCGTCCCCTGTCAGCAGCCGACTGTGTTACGAAAATAAAATCGGCCGGCGGCAGCATGTGCGGTGGTGCGAAAGCGAGGGACAGCGCATATCACTTTGAAATTCACTTTTTTGACAGCCAGTGGTGCTGTAGTTACGGGCGTACGTCGTCATCGATCGGATGGAGAACTTTCTGCTCTCTCAACCACCTGTAACGATACAGGGTAGGGAGAGTGCTTCCCCATCACGATCACCATCATGGGCTCGCACATCTTCCAGCTTCTTCTACTTCTTCTTCTTTTCGTTGTCTCCTCGCTGGTCGGGTCATCAGCGTCGGACAGACACAGCAGCGACAGAGGAAGCCTGAACCCGCAAGAACTATGCGGGGGCAAAAAGATGTACTATACACCATTGGTCAGATCGCATGACCAACAGGAGCTGGGCGTTTGCGACAGCTCTTGCAAGGCCCTCGATGACCGTGTTACCCTCTCGACTTACCATTCGCCTCGCGAGGAGAGTCCACACGATATCCTGGCGCACGTCTCACACCCAATCAACCGCCGTATGGCTTCGTCAAAGCGTCGGCTCCTCGTTGCTCGGTCTCCTCACAAACGGGGAGCATCGTCATCGACGGCCTTCAAGTGCGATGACACCAAGACCCTGCCGGAAGACGGCGTGCCCGACGAAATTGCTGGCAATTTTCCCTTCAATTCCATGACGTGTTGGGTCATGGACGGTGGCGACGGCTATGAGGCACAAATCGCCTTTGAGGATGCGTGCAACCAAGCTCAAGGCCAATTCACAAATCCATACTACAAGACGTGGTAATCACCACCCCTCGATGCGTTGATCTGCTCCGGCATTTGGATCCGCACACACAGCACAGTGACTCTGCTCTTATTTGACGATGACAGCACCATCCGACTCTGTATCCTCATTTGTAACATTATCTCAAACATCATTCAATGCGCTGATATCACTTCCTTGGTGCTAAACACGGCAAAGAGCCGCCTCGAGCAGTTGGCAATGAGTGGGTGGAGAAGACCAGCTAGCCTCTTTTTATTTTATTTTTTGCGTGTGGGGGAGTTACGCTCTATTTTACGCCTCCTTTCTTCTGTCTCTTCCTCACTTCCATGACGGCCAAGCATTCGTATTGTGACATCTTAATTGTCGGTGCAGGCCCAGCTGGGCTCATGGCAGCAACCTGGGCAACTGCTCAGGGGCTGGGCGCAACGACACGCATCATCGACAAGCGTAACGACAAGAGTGAGTATTCAGTGCCTTGACCGGTAAGAAGCAGAGAGCTGAGCCAGGTTCAGTCTTTACGGGGCAGGCCGACGGCTTGCAGTGCCGCACGCTTGAAGTCTTTCAGTCCTTTGGACTGGCCGAGGATGTTTGGCGCCAATCGAACCACATGCTTGAAATCTGCCTGTGGAATCCAGACGAAAACGGCCGACTGCACCGATCGAGCCGGATCCCTGACACGATTCCAGGGATATCGCGATGGCAGCAGGTGGTCCTGCATCAGGGCCGCATTGAGCGACTATTCCTGGACAAGATCAAAAAGAGTTCTGGTGATCAATGCCGGGTCGAGCGGGGTGTACTGCCAGAACAGCTTGACATTGACGAAAGCAAAATCGATGACCCTACCGCTTATCCATGTACGGTCACCTTACGTCAGCTGTCCGACGAAGAAGCAACACCGCCGCAGCTAGGGAAGAGCGCCCCCAATGGTCTGTTTCGAAGTGCACTTGCGCCCGACGATACGCCTACCTTGCTCCAGAACAAAGCCGGGCAACGAGAAGTTGTGCATGCCAAATACGTGATTGGCTGCGATGGGGCTCACAGCTGGACAAGGCGCAGCATCGGATCAAAGATGGAAGGCGAGTCAGTGAGTAATCCCTTTTCGCAGTCCGCCTGCTCTGGACTGAGTTCAAAAACTTCCTCAGACCGACTTTGTATGGGGTGTCATCGACGCTGTTCCCATCACCAACTTTCCCGATGTGAGTCCTTAGCCACAGGCCATTTGAAGAAGCAATGCTCAATCAAGTCAAGGTCCGCAATCGATGTGCGATCCATTCACAAGACTCTGGCTCCGTCATGATCATTCCCCGTGAAGACGGCCTAGTGCGCTTTTACATTCAGATCTCGCACTCGATTCAGAACGTCGATCGAAACACAATCACCTGGGAGGCTATTCTTGGTGCGGCCCAGAAGACTTTCGCCCCGTATACATTGGACATTCACCCAAACGACGTTTCGTGGTGGACAGCCTATGTCATTGGACAAAGGACCGCTGATGACTTTGCCAAGTTTGATCGGGTCTTCATTGCAGGCGATGCCTGTCACACACATTCACCAAAGGCCGGTCAGGGCATGAATGTCTCCATGATGGACACGTACAACTTGACCTGGAAGATCTGCTCCGTTGTCAAGGGCCACTCTCCCCGTTCGATTCTCAAGACGTACCAATCGGAACGACGAAAGGTGGCCATCGATCTCATCACGTTCGATCACAAATTCTCACGCCTTTTTTCGGGCAAGCCGGCCAAGGATGCCGCGGACGAGGCCGGCATCTCGCTCGACGAATTCAAGCATGTCTTTGAGACGGGCAATCGGTTTGCGAGCGGCACATCTGTCAACTACGGGCCATCGCTCATTGTCGGAAAACGGGCTGAAGAGAAGCAGGACGACGGTACGGCCGTGGAGGAGCCTGGCGCGCTGAGCAAGCCGGAGCTTAGCTCAAACAGAGCAGGCGAGACTCGTATTGAAGTTGGCAAGCGCCTTAACACGGCCCAAGTTGTCTGCCAGTCCGATGCCAGACCGTGGCAGCTCGTCGATTGGATGCCCTCAGACGGACGCTGGCGCGTTCTCGTGTTCTGCGGCGATATTCGAAACGGAGCGCAACTGAGCAAAGTCGAGAAACTTTCAGAGTACCTGGAACACATCTTGGTGCCACAGTACACGCCCGAGGGGGACGACGTCGACTCCGTAATCGAAGTGTTGACCGTGAGCAAGTCGCCGAGGCTCGAGGTGGAGCTCACGGACTACCCCAGGGCCCTGAGACCCTTGACGACTCGGTGGCATCAGCCGGGGACTGGTGGAACTGGCCAGAGCAAGGTCAAGAGCCAAGACTACTGGAAAGTCTTTACCGATGATGTAAGTATGCCTCCTGCTCTACCTTTACACTCCCTGACATTGGTTCCTGAAGGATACCTACCACGAGGGCCACGGTCACGCCTACGAAAAGTACGGAATCGACTCAAGAGGAGCGACTGTTGTTGTTCGCCCCGATGGCTACGTTGCCTTGCTGATCTCGCTTGAGGATCATGCAGCCCTTGGCGAGTTCTTCTCCCGATGCCTGCTGCCAGCAAGTCAGCATCTTTGGACTCGGTCCCGGGGAGCAGCAGAAGCCGTCGAGGAGACAACCATCAAGCACGACGAAAGCCAACTCAACAATCCTCTAACAAATGTCGGTCGAGAAGCAGCAGTGGGCATTGGTGCAATCTAATGATATCATTTTTTTTCCGAGCTAGCTATGCCCCAATCCGAGCCTTGACCCATTGCTCTAGCCCACCCTCTGTCCAGATCTCCTGGACGGCTGTCCCGACGCCCGCCGGTCTCGTCACGTAGACCTTATCCTCGCCCGCTCGCCTCAGCACTAGTTTGCCGTCCTTGCTCGAGACGCTGACCTCGGCGTCCTTGAGCAGCACGCTGATCTCGCCCTCGTTTTTGCCCCCAAATCCTCGCTGCCCTTCCTTTGCAAATTCTCGCGTCAGATCCTCGACGAGCTGCGGGCACTCGAGGCAGACTAGTCCATTGTTGATGGCGTTCCGCTTGAAAATGTCACCAAATGAGCCGGCCAGGACCATGGGCACCCCTGCATGCTTGAGTGCCGTGGCCGCCTGCTCTCGGCTCGAGCCCGTCCCGAAGTTGTAGCCACCAACAAGAATGACTCCGCTCTTTGTCTCTGCCTCTGCCTCTGACTGGCCAGACGAACGCAGCGAGGCGACGGTCGCGGCAAACTGCGGGTCGTAGTTCTCCATGACGACCTGCGCTTGTCGTTCGGGCGTGATGTCGTCTTGGTATGTGTACTTGCCCGGGTAGATGCCGTCGGTGTTGAGGTTGTCTTGCGGCGCAAAGATAAGGGGCCCCTTGAAGAGGGCAGGGAATCCAGGCAGGAGAGGCGTGTCTTGTGCCTCGGAAGGTGCAGGGCTCTCTGCCGAGATTTCGGAAGCGGCCGTCTGGATCGAGAATTGCAAGGCATCAGGACCCGGCAGTAGCGCAGGGTCCAGGTCGGCCGGTCCGCAGATCTTGCCCTCGACGGCGCTGGCGGCCACGACGGCAGGCGAAGCGAGGTAGGCCTGGGCCTTTGGGCTTCCCATCCGTCCCTTGTAATTTCGGTTCGTCGCCGAGATGCCCACCTCGCCGTCCTCCAGCAGACCGACGCCCAGGCCGATGCAGGGCCCGCAACCAGCCGGCAAAGGCTTTGCACCGGCAGCCATGAGCGCGCCCCAATCGCCCGATTCCTCACTCTGGCGCTGCACAACGCTGCTCGCTGCTGCAACATAGAACTCGACACCGGAAGCAACCTTTTTGCCACGAATCACATCGGCCGCTGCCTTGAGGTCCGAAGCGCGAGAATTGACACACGAGACGAGGTAGGCCTTTTGGATGTCGATGTTCTGCGAGGCAAGCGTGGTCAAGGGTGTGCTGACCTTGACGCTGTTGGGTCCGCTGACGTGTGGCGAGAGCGTACTCAGATCCAGACGGAGGTGCTTGGAGTAGAAAGCGTCTTGATCAGGCTTGACCAGGTTCCGCGAGAGGTTGTCAAGGCGTTCCATGTTGAGTCGAGGGTGCGCGGCAGAGAGAGAGGGCGAAGAGCCCATCTGGAAATTGAGCTTGTCCATCTTCCTAATGACGCCTTCGTACCACGAGAGCGTCACATCATCAACGGGAAAGACGCCAGCCAGGGCGCCCCACTCTGTCGTCATGTTGCTGATTGCCAAGCGCTCGTCGATTGTCAAAGCCGACAGGCCGCTTCCGGTGAATTCGATGGCCGCGTTCAGAACCTGGTCCTCGTTGAAGTAGCCACAGAGGGCCACAATGACATCCTTTCCCGTGACGCCAGGAGGGAGCTGACCGCTCAGCTCGACCTTGACAACCTCTGGGATCTGCCACCACGTCTGGCCCGTGGCCCAGATTGCTGCAGCATCGGTCCTGACGACGGGTGTCCCCACACAGCCCACGCCTCCATACATGTTCGAATGGCTATCCGAGGCGACGGCAAGCGTCTGAGGAAAGGCATAGCCTTCCTCCACCATGACCTGATGCCCAATACCTCGTCCCGCGGGGTAGAAGTCGATGCCCTGCTGGCGGGCAAATGTCTCAATCTTGCTGTACTTTTCCAGATTCTTGGCCGTCTTGTTCTGAACGTCGTGGTCGAGCGCAAAGACGACCTGCGAGGGATCCTTGATCTTGGTCGCTCCGATGGATCGGAATCTGCGCTTGGATCAGTCTCTGCCCAACGAGATGAAAGGTAGCAAGGATTGACTCACTTGGAAATGCATGGGCCCGTGTTGTCATGCGTCATAACGGTCCCCGGACGGATACTGACATAGTCGCCTGCGCGAACCTTTTGCCCCTGACGAAGGTCCACGGCGTACCGCTGGACAATCTTTTCGATGAACGATTGCGGCGTCGCACCAGCGGGCATGGACGTGTGTGAAGCTAGACCTCGCCTTTGGAGGCACTGCTGCCGAGCAAGGCTTGCACATGGCATCGGTCTCGACGATGGCCCAGCGGCGCGCAGCAACCTCGATGCGGCGCCCATCGTTACGATCGAAGATCTTGCAAAGATGTCGGGGAGAAGATCCTTTGCGACTTTTCCTTTCTGATTTCCCCTCGATTTTTCAGAGACCGGATCGGACTTGAGCGGCTTTCGCGTTCTGCCCCAATGAGGATGCTTTGATTTTCAAGAGCGCGTACAGTTCTTTGGACGACCAGGGCATAGTTGAGATGGTATTCATTAAAGAAACAGATTGCAGAGGGCAACAGTACGGATGATTGTCGATACACGGACTTATCTCGGACCAGCCTTGCTGCCTGGTCGGAGGCTTCGGAGCAAGGCGGCCCTCGTTGAAGTGGAAAAGGAGGGATTGGTGGTGGTACGAGCGCTGGAATTGGAGGCCGCAAAGGAAGGAACGCTGGCCTTGGAGGACAGGGCACTAAAGGAGCTCGCTGCTTCGAGGTGTTGTTCGCCTAGCCCACGCGAGGCGACACCTACCGTGTGTGCCCTCGAGCGTCCGTGGCTGCTGCTCGATGCTTCGCTCTTCTCGGCCCTTTCGCTGCGCGTTGCTGGCGTATTCAGCGAGGTAGTGGCGGAATCACGTTCCGAATTGGTGGGCGAGCCAATGACGGTGCCAGAGTTTCGCCATTGCCTTGTCGTGGGCGTTTCTGGCGCTGCTGCCTTTTTGCGGCTGTCCGGAATAAAGGCATCTCGAGCTGCCTGAGCAAAAGACAAGCCGCGGGACCTCATCGACAATTTCTCCCGGCCATCTCGACCCTCTGTCGCGGGGGCCGAAGACGTCTGGTCCCATCTTTGAGGCTGAGCCTGCGTCGGCGAACGCCGTCGCAGTCCGCCCACCTCAATTCCCTCGCCCGGCAGTGTGACCGGCCTTTGTCGTTGCCTAGGCTCAACCTTCTTCATGAGACCATAGCTGAACCCTCTGAAGCCTTCGCGGGTCTGGATTGACTCGTCTTCACTCGCGCTGCTCCATCTATCGGCATTGTCGAAGTCGCGCTTGACGCCTGGAGGACGCAATCGAGGCCTTGACAGTGCATTGCGCCCACCACGGCGACCTGCTCTACCGGGCAGAACCGTGCCACCCTGCCCCGCAATCGTAGCTCTGGCCAGAGCCCGCCTTCTCCACTCTGCGACTAGGGCCGTGCTCTCGACCTCCCCTCGATGGCTGTATGCGTACAAGAGGTAGCTCCTTGCTAGAGCGTGGAAGAAGGCGCTGAAGTCGAGATGGGTGATGCAGCGCATCGACAATGTCTGCGCAACCGAGTAAGGATCATCGTTTTGCGATGAGCCAAAGGCGATGGTGATAATGTCTGGACTAGACTGCAATTTCAGCCTGGGCAGCGTCACGCCGTCTGCACGCTCCGAAGCCACCCATCTGGCGCTCGACAATGGCCAAGAGTCGAGCTCGGCAGTCGGTTCGCCGTCCACCGGACGAAGCGGTTTGCTGCGATGCATGTAGAGCTGACGTCCTCGAATCGACATCCATCGCAGCTTCCACACGCCTAGGCCGGCCTTGATGGCCTTGTTGGACCCACTTCCAGGCTTGAATACGTAGCAATAGCCCTCGCAAAAGGGTTCGAGGTAACGGAGGTTCGTCGTCGGATTTGGCAATGGCTGTCGAGGCGGAACTCGGGACCTCGATCGAGGGAGGTAGATGCGATCCTGAGGAGTGGCCAGCTGTACCTCCAGCAGCTCAAATGGCCGGATTCGGTAGCTGGCCACGGTGAGGTGGTCCTTGAGCAGCTGACCGCTCGAGTAAGAGTAGAGGCAAAAGTGGCCGGACATGGGATGCTGTAGCTTATCATTAGCCTTGGAGATTTCGTCGAGATTGACGCCGGCCAGCCGTGTTATTTGCCTCATGCTGCTCGGAGTAGAATTGATCTTGGAAGGACTTGAAGCAACGTGGTTGCTGAGTTTGGGCGTGGCCAGTGAGTCAGAAAGCTGCCGCTGCATGGCCACGTCTGCCGCCGTGACGGTACCAGACCGTTCCCTTTCCGATGCGCGAGACGGAGCGTTCAGACGCCCGCTAGGATCTTTCTCTTCAGAGATCAAGCTCTCGACGGAGAGGTTGGCCTGGTTTGCGCCAACCGCGTCTGTGGGAGTCTGAGGCCGCACAGTAAATAGCGGTGCGTCCAAGTGATGTTCGCTATCGAGACTGTCCCTTGGCTCTCTAGCTGGCCGGTTCACGTTGGTATCGGACCAGGAGCTGATGGCACGGAAGAGAGGCACATCGCCTGCCGAAGACGAAGAGTTCGTCGCGCTGAGCGTGGGACTGAGAACTGCCATGGCTTCCTGCTCCTTTCGCAATGCCTCCTGGTTGCCCTTTAGTACGTCTCTTTCATCAAAGTAATCCAGGTAGGATGTCTCCTCCGCCTCCGTATTTTCGTTACGCCCCCCATCCTGGAGAGCAAGTTTTGGAGCATCTGCTTGCGGCGGCATTTGAGCATCAGAAAGAGGCATTGTGCTTCTGCCATGGTCTGCGCTCGACGCTTTTGCCTCGGTAGAGATGGCACGACCGTTGAGGTTGCTGCTGCCGCCGCCATCGATGATTGCATTGAGCGAGGACATGCCCGTTCGTGTCCGAGCTACTCTGTGGGACAAGGGCGTATTCTTGGGTGTCGCCGCATGAGTAGAAGACGATGAACTCGCAGGGGTGACGGACTTCACCCCAAAGGAGGGCGACGATGGCATGCTCTCAAGATGCCCTTGGCCTGCCAGCGTCACAATACCAAATCTGCCTCGCCCACCTCTGCCAGGATCGCCGCCCAAGAGATCCGTCGCCGTGGCGTACCTGTCCTTGACTTTGCCCTTGCCCGGCTTGCTCGGGGAAGCCCAATTGTCGCCCAGTAGATCTGGCGCGGAGAGGTGAGTTGAGGACGTGTTCGTAAGTGTCTGGGTCGGCGATCGCGCAACAAAGGCCTTGGGCATCGAGCCCGCCCTTGAGGCATTCACGTTTTCGTAGAAGCTATGATTGAGTGTCGGGTCATACGAAGGCAACTTGACCTTTGCCAAGATCTTGTCCTTGACGGCTCCCATGCTGCTCCTCACATCGATTTTGGTCCTGATCCAGACGTCCTTGGGCACAATTCGGACATATACAGTGATGAGCCATCGCTCGCGCTCACTTTCGTCGATCGTCTGGTCCTCGCCTGGCCCTGAGCGGTATTGCTGCTTTGAAGGGGTCCCCATCAGTTTCTCGCCCAACGACCGACGAGTCGTCGAAGACGCGACGGAAGTGGAAGCAGGCTTGTCCATGTTTGAAATGCTTCTTCTTCTACATGTGCCGCCCTCTATCCGATCCTGCTCCATCCAATCAACCTTGGAACAGTTAGCCTGTGGCCGTGCAGGATATTAAATCCTTGTGTGCAACGATAACTCACGCTGCATTGTCCTAGGTCGTGTGGGCGTGTGGCCAAGGGAGCTGGTGATCGGTGCGAGCCGCGATCTCCTCTCTGTTCCGCGAAAGGAACGCCCGGAGCACGCGCGATGTTGGCACGCTATGATCTTGAGTCACCCCACTACTGCTACTGGGGCGCACTGGTGCGGGGAAAAAAGGAAGCCGCCGACTTTGGCAGGAGGAAGCTATCGAGCGAGCTACTGGCGGCGGATTAGGCGGCACACGTGTCGAATGTTTTAGCTCGTTTTCCCGCGACAAGTCTTCGCGCAGGAACAACACAACGAACCGATTCTCGACAAGTGAAAGGCCGGTTCGATTCCTTTCACAAGATAGAGTAGCGAGAGTAGAGTTTGACACCGGTGCAGGGTCCGAGCAAGGGTGTGTTTGTGTGGGCTAAATTGAGCGCTCGGGGCCTGTTAGGGGCCGCCGTGCAAGGTCGGGCCAGCTGAGCGCGGGTCGTTGGGCGCAGAGGCATGTCGGCTGGCAAGGGCAAAGGAAGGGAGGATGATGAAGTCGTTCGCTTGACCGAAGAAATCTCGTCCATCGAAGATCAAATCAAGTCCTTGCAAGATCTTAAGAAGTCCGTTGTGGCGCAGAGAGAGCGCAGGCTCAGCAATCGCCCGTCGACGGCTTCCGGACCGAGCTTGCCAGGGTCTGCGATTCCAGCGACATCGAGTCTGGTCGACTATACCAGGAACAGCTTCGATTGGAGCGATGAATTGCTGCCTAGAGCCAAAGCCACCTGGGGCATCGAATCGTTTCGGTCCTGCCAGGAAGCCGTCTGCAATGCAGGTAAGCTTTCATATAGTTGAGACTGGAGACTTTTGCTGACCATCTGCTACAACAGCCCTCGATGGCCGAGACGTCGTCTGCGTTATGCCGACTGGGGGCGGAAAAAGCCTGTGCTACCAGCTGCCTGCCATCTTGAGCGTCGGCCTCACCCTCGTGGTCTCACCGTTGATCTCGCTCTCGACCGACCAGTGCTGGCACCTCCGCGAGGCGAACATTGCGTGCGAGATGATGCACAGTGGAAATACGAGGGAAGAATCCACGAATATCCTCCAGCGGGTCAAGATGGCTGGTACCTCTCCAAAAGACCGCATCAAAGTGCTGTTCGTCACACCGGAACGGGTCGTAAAGTCGAAGACTCTGCTTGCCTCTCTACAGAAGTGCTACGAACGAGACCAGCTGGCGCGCATCGTCATTGATGAAGCACATTGCTGCAGTCAGGTGAGCCATTTTCCTCTGCTGATGATGAAGCTCTGGCTCACCGCTGGTGGAGGACAGATGGGCCATGACTTTCGACCAGGTTGGTAAAGACAGAAACAGCGCCATTTCTCCCCAAGGCTGACCTATTGTACAGACTACAAAAAGCTGGCCATCCTACGCAAGATCTACCCGGGTGTGCCAATCATGTGCCTCTCGGCAACGCTCTCTCCGAGGGTGCTTGGGGACGTGCGTAATATCCTCGGCCTCCCACCCACCGTCGATCCAATCCACGCCATGCCCAACAAGACTGTTTATTTCACAGCTCCGCTGCACCGGCCTAACATGCACTACAAGGTTCTAAACAGGCCGAGTCTGGCAAAAGATGCCAATGAAGCAATTGCAAAGTGGATAGAGGAGCACCACGCAGGTCACAGCGGCATCGTGTATGCGCTGAGCAGGAGCGACACGCAAAAAATGGCTGACGCCCTCAACGAGATCAGTCAAGGCCGTATTCGGGCGGGCGTGTACCATGCCGATCTTGAGGACGCCGAAAAGAAGCGCATTCATCATCATTGGCGCGACGGCAGAATCAAGGTCGTCGTGGCAACGATAGCTTTCGGCATGGGCATCGACAAGGGTGATGTTCGCTTTGTGCTCCATGCCTGCATCAGCAAGTCGATCGACAGCTACTATCAAGAAACTGGTCGAGCTGGCAGAGACGGTCAAGATGCAGACTGTGTACTGTTCTACCGCCCCGCTGATGAGGCCAGAATCAGTGGTATGGTGGCTGGCGAGCCAACAGGGCAAGAGAAACGTTCGTAATCCACACCTTTTAGCTGCTTACGTTGCTGACCTCTTGCCACCCCAGTACGCTCGATGCTGAGCTACGCTCAGAGCACACGATGCCGCAAATGCCTCTTCGGCGACTATTTCGAAGACCGGTGCGTGCGTGTCCGTAGCTTTCGGTCAAGCAATATTTCGCTGACCCCTTTCCCTGGCAGCTTCGGAAACGACGGTGCTTGTGGTACATGTGACAATTGCACCTCCCCACTCGAGGAGCAGGATTTGACGTTGGAAGCCTGGAAGACGATCAAGGTCATGGAAGAAGTGTACGACGAAGGAGGTCGGATCACATTGGCAGGCCTCGCAGATCTCGTCCGTGGACTCGGCGGAGGCCAGTATACAGTCGTCGATTCGACCGTCAAGAAGCGGGCCAAGGATCGAAAGGGCGCGAAAGCCAAGCAAAGTGGATTCGTCGATCTGGATGCGACGTGTGGGGGCAAGGTTGTTCTGAGCAAAGATGTGAGTACCTATTCAGGTTGAGGCCCGAGTTGGTCAGCTGTTGATCCAGTGACAGAACACCGAGCGAATGTGCATCGAGCTCCTCCTCAAAAATCTCCTTGCCGACGAATTTAGTGAGTGTGTATGTATCTTGAAACAAATGTCCTTGAGACTGACGAAGGGGAGAACTCCAGACGCCACGGCCTATTCAGTCAACGTCTACGTACGACCAGGACGCGATGCGCTGCGCTTGTCTCGTCTCTCTCTCGACGAGGTGCAAACCAAATCAAATATGGTCAAGGTGACAGTGACTGACAAGAAGAAAGGAGCCGGTACGAAGCGTACAAAAAGAGCAGGCCCGTCTTCGAGGTCTGGTGCGGAGAAGGAAGAGGATGACGTAGAGGCAGAGGAGGAGGTGCAGCTCAACCATAAACGATCACGAAAGTCTGGTGCTGACCCTGCGCCGGGTAGCAACGACGTCAAAGAGGGAGAAGAAGCGGAAGAAGATGGCTGGCAGGTGCTGCACACGACTCGGACAGCCATGTCAGACCCCATAGAGATTGACAGTGATTAGGAGTAGCAAAGTTAGACGGACGAATCATCACACCCATGTAGCCATAGTCACAGAGCCATCTATCACACCAAGATTACGTAAGAAACGTCGAGATTTTCCCACTCGAGCTCTTTTTTTCTCTCTGGCGAAAAGGAGCGAAAGTGGCTGCTTCTTTATCCCACCTCTACGTTCTCGACCGCTTCCCCTCTCTTTTTTCTCGTTTGCTCTCGCTTGGCCTCGTTAAGGGACCGACCGGTTCTAGGTCGGCCGGACTGTCGCTTCGTGTTGTGCTGGCTGGAGAGGGTACGCTCCTTCACCATTCTCACATCTCCCACTGCTTTGCTCGTCACGGAATCTCACCCGTTCCGAGCGTTCCCGCCGCCCACATTGAAATTTTGGCGTGGGGTTGGCCAAACGCGCAAGTCTGCCAACATTTCCCTTTTTTCCTCCTCCTCTACCACCTCTTCGCCTCCTTCATTTCTCCTGCGCTCCCTCTGGCACACTACTTGCGAGGGAGCAACGACAACATGGCATCGTCATCAGCTTCGACGGCGAGGAGCCTGTTGGACCTCGTGTGTGGGTGCTGCTTGGGCAGGAGGCATAGGGGGACCAACTCCGACCTGGAGCGCGCTCCGCTCCTGCCTCCGTCGTCGGCGGATCAGACTGCTGGCAAGCCCTTTACCTCATCTCGTCTCGGCAACGCCACGGCGGACCACCAGACTCCTAGACAGGGGCAGCAGCGCGGGGCAAACGAAGGCAGCAGCAGCCGTGCCACCTCCAACGGGACCGCGTCGCCGGAAAGCGTCGCACGCAAGCGAGAGGAGAAACGAAGGCTCGATGCGGCGCGCTTCAAGCAGGTAAGAGAGTCGGCGCGAAAGTGAGTACTCGCTGTTGCTGCTGCTGCTGCTGCTGCTGCTGCTGCAGGATGGGATGGGCGATTCAACGCCGTGGTGGGAGAAGCTGGGCGCCTTTGAATGCATTCGTCGTGCCAAATCTTGCTCCTGTGTTTCTACTCGATGGCCTTGCAGTCCTGCTGACATTTGATAAACAGCGCCCTCTTCTCCATCGACGATTCCCAGCTGCTACCATCCTCGGCCTCGACATCGTCACCGACGTCCTCGTCAAGGTTGAGCTTGCCCCCCAAGAGAGATGCAAAGAAAGACTCGCAAAGGGCCAGCCTCATTGCCGCGTCGGACAATGCCGAACGTCTGTATAAGGCGGCGCTGGCATCGCCAAAACAGGGTGTCGGCCCCTCCTCGTCGCCCGTCGGTCTCGTACGTCACCTTCACCTCTCCGTCCATGAGCCGGCACGGACGCCTTCAGCAACGGCAGAGGGCCAAGAGGACGACGTTCTCGGCGATGTGAATCACGAGTCAATCAACGACGAGCTGGTCAATACTCTGTCAAGTGGAAGCTCCACGAAGCAAAAGAACAAGGCGAAAAAGCTGCCAAGCCAGCACTCTCTTCGAACCATTCGACTGGCCGCGGCTGCGGAAGAAGCTTCCCCTTCGATGTCGTCGGACAACGTCAATGGCACACAGAGCAGCACAGGAAGTGCAGTCGCCAACAAGATGCCCACCAATGGCGATGACAACGACGACGATGATGACTGGGGACGGAGGGGGAGGACGAGGAGCAAGCGTGGCCTCGTCTGGATCGAAAGTAACAGCGCAGCCATGACACCCTCTTCGTCCTCGACGCCGGCCAATCAGAGGGGCAAGCTCTCGGAAGTCTTTCCTGCCCAGGCGCAGGAGACAAAGGGGGACGAGGAGCTGTCAAAGGCAAAAGTGGACAACGCACTCCGCCTCAATCTCTCAAATGCTGAAGCCTCGCGAAAGATGGTCGAGGACCTCAAGAAAAAGACGGCAGACAAGGGCCCAATTGCTCAGGCGTGGAACGATGCCTCTTCGTGAGGGAATCCATGCTTGCCTCATACCCAATCACTCTCTCTATTTGTCCCACCAAAAAAAAGAGGTTGTCGGCAACCTCGCTCTCTTGTCACCCACCACCATCATCATCTTCACATCTGGCAATCTAACCAAGCATTTCTTTTTTTCAAACACCATTATCGTTATTGCAAGCTCTAAGGCGACTCGTTGGTAGACAGGTTCTGGATGCCCTCCTGGGCTGCCTTGACAAATGTTTCGTTTTCCTTTTCGCCCTGCTGAGCCGCTTTTGCCTCCTGACCTGCCGGTCCTTGTGCGGGTGCCTCGCCCTTTTGAAGATGTCTTGGGTTGACCTTCTTTTCCTTTTTCTTGACCTCTGGCTTCTTCTCCTTTGGGTAAGCCAGCTCCTCTACTTTTCTAAATTCCTCGCTCTCGTTGAACTCGCGCTGGATGGGCTCGAGAAGCGCATTGATGGCGTCTGCCACGCCATTTTTCAGGTCGAGTGGATGGAGCTTCTTGTCGGCATAGTCGGCCTCGAGGGCCTCGTAGGTCGCGTAGTGGAGCGAGCCGCCGTACTTGTCTGGCCGAACGATGGAAAAGAGGGTGCCCTCGGGCGCATCGGCGCTCACGTAAGGTTTTGAGAGCCCCTTGGCCTCGACCGGCGTGGCGTCCAGCGTCTTGCTCTCGTTTCGCAGACGGGAGATGGGAAACAGAACGGCCTTTGCAAAGGCCAGAACGCCATTCTCCTCGACGACGCCCTCGATGCAGGCAGCATCCTTGAGCTTCTTTTTCACGTCGGTCGGTGTGTCGAGAAAGTCAATCTTGCTCCCGCTGTCGGAAGACGACATCTTCGACCCCTTGAGGCCGGGCACCATAGCGTTCATGAGGTGTGCGCGCTTGGCGTAGCCCAGCTTCGGCAAATGTGTCTCGGCAAAGATGAAGATTTTTCGCTGTCGCAAGACATCAGCACCTCGTAAACAGACACAGCTTGGATGAAATGAGGGACTGACCTGATCAACGCCACCGAACTGCATGTCGACATCGAGGTACTGCTCGTCGAGAGCCTGGAGCAGCGGGTAAAGGAGACCGCTGAGGATGGGGCTGGCAACCTGCTTGACAACCTCTGCGCCCGCTCTCTTTGCATCATTTTCCGACACAGTCGCACACAGCCTGTAGTTGTCCATGTTGTAGGCCTCTGTGAGCTGGTAGGACGAGCCAATGACAAAGATGAGTCGGTCTGTTGGGACGCCAATGGATCTAAAGACGGACAGGAGGATGTGCTTGTAGTAGTTTACGCGGTGCCGAACGAGCTCGATTGGCGCCTTGAGGTTGTCGAGGAATGCATGAACGTCGGCCAGAAGGACCTTGACCTCGACGCCGGCCCGGAGAAAGTCGGCAATCTTGGTAAGGGCGACGAGGTAGCCGACGTGAGGCTTGCCCGTTGGCGCCGTTCCCCAGTAGAGCCGTGGGGGCCGCTCGTTCTTTTCCAGAATAGCCTTGATGGACTCGGACCCCAGGACCTCTTGAAGGTCGCGTGTGATGAGCTCGAAGCGCTCCGCCGCTGACAGACTTGCCGACGCCATGATTGAATGGTAACGAGAAGATCTCTCGATGTGACTCAATAAGGCCCGTTCGAAGCTCTTTAAAAATGGGAAAAAGAAGCTTGCATGTCCGGCGTTTCGCCACGTGCTTTCCCTCTCCTCCTCTGGCGATGAAGAAGAGAACAACACTTTTCGGTCAACGACTCTGCTCGCTACCGCTGACACCCTCACTCTCCCATGCCTCTGCTGCAAGTGCGAGGTGCATTGACGCAGCTCGTCACCAAGCAATCGCCGCTCTTTACTGCCCACCGCTGGTACGCCCGTGCGACCGCCATGGGGGACCTCACGCCGATAGAGTCATCGATGAGGGATAAGCTCGTGCAAGAGTTCACTCCCTCGGTGCTCAACATCAGGAACGAGTGCGTAGCTGCGGAGAGGCAGTAGGGCAGTCCTGACACCGCTCACATTTCGTCCTCACAGCTCTTCGAAGCATGCACACCACGCAGCCATGGTCGCGCAGGGTGGGGGAAATGGAGAGACTCGTGAGTAGCACGCGGCTCTAGATTCGAGCACCTGGCTGAAGCCAGTGGATCTCCCTCGGCTCCCAAAGACTTCTTTGTCGAGATCGTCTCGCAAGCCTTCGAGGGCAAGGTGAGTTGTGTCGGGCGTCCCCGTCTCTTCTTGAGTTGACGAATGGCAACTTGACAGACGCAAATATGGCGACACCGAGCCGTTAATAATCTCATGAAGGACGAGTTTGCAAAGGGGCTCCACGCACTCAGCCTCCGGACCAAGACACCTGCCGAGGCCGAGAAGGAAGCAGCCTTTGACAAGGCTTCGTCGAAGTCCTAGAGGCTGTGGTGCTTCGATGTGATCTAAAACGTGTATTTATAATAAAAGCTCCCGTCTTTCAGCCCCGCCGGAGCAATGCGGCATTATTAACCTCGAGGGATGACACCTTGACGAGTCAAGAGAGGTATAGTGAAAAGCACGAGCACAAGTCACAAAGGAAGGTCTGTCGGGTCATTGCCTGAGAGGGAAGAAGATGACCAAATGCTGCCACGTGACCTTTGGTCCATAAGTGAGAGGGCCCACACCCGGGAGACATGAAAGCCACACAGCCGGGGCCTCTATACCCGCGCGATTTAGCTTCAATATGAATTGAATGCGAGCTAGTAGTAGTAGTAGAAGTGGTACCAGCCTCTGATCATCGCATCATCCATCCATCGCCCACGCATAGCTGACTCTTGTCGTCATCGTCCCTCTCCTTATCTCCTTTCAGCGTCCCAATTTAGCAACCTCGAGTGCTGTCGTCGACAAGGGGGCTTTCAACAAGGCTCAGTTTTCGATTTGACAGGTCGGGATTCCACGGTTTCGAAAATTTGTCCTGGCACGGGCCGCCACTGCTGCCCTGAAGTTTCATCGCACAGGTGGATCAGGGGACTTAATTTTTTGGACACCGTGCATTGCAGAGCAGAGGGACAGTACGTACGGTGCTGCGCAAGAAATCTCCCTAGGCAAGGGCAAGGACAAGGGAAAAGGCGAAACCGAGAGGAACAATCGGCAAGGCCCGATACAGTGGGTCTCCCTTTTCTGCTTGTGCCGGTTTCGTCGGCCCGGAACACATGTGCAAGCAAGGCTGATGGTGTCAGATTCTTCCCAGGTGGCCCCTGAAACTCTCGCGCTCTCTCTTTGATCCGATAAGCAAGCAATCGTCACTGCTCAAAATACTTTCCGGCAAGCGCACAGGCCCGACGACGGTGACGAGCGGCCAGGAAGGGTTAATTGCGCGAGTTGCCCACCGAACAGAGGCCGTAATTGAGGAGCTGTCCTGCAATTGGGTTAGGGCGAACGAAGAGATTTTCGGGGGCCCAAGCGGAAGAGCAGGACGATTACGACGTTACTTCGGAAGGCGGAAGGCGGAAGAATTTGAGTTTACCTGAGAGGCACCAGGTCCACTCCTGCAGGAGCGAAAAGCGCACGGCAATTTGGCAGATCGATAGGGCACTTGCTCGCAACATTTTCTCAGGAGTGCAAGTCCACTTTCTAATCTTGCGCTCCCTATCGGTCCACTACTGCGTCGCAGTGCGAAGCGCAGAGAAGGCCGGGACCGTGGCCCCTGCAAGTCTGACGTTTCACGGACCGAGCAACGAGGGAAAAAAAATTAGTGGTATAGGAGGGAGGAACCTTGCGTATAGTTGTGGCGTGCAAAACGGGAAATGACTTCGTCAGTTCGTAGTTCGGAGCGAGATGAGGGAGGGACAGAACCGTCGCATGGCCGGCACGAGGCTGAAGCTAGCTCTGCCTATATCTCCTCGCCTCTTCGTCGAGCGATTGCTCTCTCGTCTCCTTCGTCCTCGTCTCTCTCTACTGCATCGCTCGACGAAGGCTCCTCAGCGATGGCCATTGCTTCTCCACGTTCACGGCCGTCGGACATACTCGCCGAGCAAGTGTCCGACGGTGATGAGGCTGACAGCGGGGCACCCCTGTCAGGGTCGCCTGTGAAGCGGCACAGCAGCCGGTTGAGCGCCGCACTCAGTAGACTCAACTTTCGACCGTCGCACGGGAATCAGCACGGAGGTGGGGGGAGTGGAACAGGGTCCGGGTCCGGGTCAGGGCCAGGGACAGGGATAGGATCAGGGGCAGGAGCAAAGGGAGGAGGAAGCAGCAGCAGAGTCAGCCATGACCTCGACCACAGCGAGAGTGCCGAACTTGGGCTCGACCTTCACGGCCATGGACTGTCGAAGGGCAATAAGGGCTCCAAGAACAACAGCAAGCTGAGCAGCGGCAAGCACACGCCCACGTCCAAGGAAGCCACGGGCGACTTTGCCGACTTTTTGAGAGGCGAAGAGATCAAAGCGGCCCTTGCAAAGGAAAAGGAGAAGGAGATCAAGCGAGACCTCAAGCTGGCAAAACACCCGACAAAGGGAAAGAAGGCCCAGGGTGGGTCCACCTTTGGCGGCAAGGGTAAGGTGCGCACGCCCGAGCAGCGCTTCCAATCCGGAAAGGCAAACGAGGACGAGATTGCAGGCCCGCCAGAGCCGACTCTCGAAGAAAAGGGCTACTTTCCGGGCGATTGGCGCCACCACGGTCACTGGGAGAGTAAGCGCACACTGGGGTCACGTCCGACGTCGCAGCACGAACGTGAAGGGGGAGAACGTGGGTTCAGCCTCGCTTCCATTGCTCCCTGCGGCCCCATTTCGGACAGCGAGGATGAGATGGATGGTGCGCTGGACAACGACGACGACGCCACCGAGGGCGGTCATCATTCGGCCGGCTCGTCGCCGAAAGCGCGACGGATCCCGCTGCACCGTCGCAAGTCGTCATCGGCCGTCTCCACTGCTTCGTCCTCGTCTTCGTCGAGTGACAACATCCTGCAGCCAGTTGAAAGCGCGCCTGACGCCTCCGTCGTCAGCCTCAAGAGCTGGCAGTCGCAGGACTCGTCCAGCAAGAGTCTAGCCAGTGGCGGCGCCAACCCCGCGCTCCAGAAGCCTCTGCTGGAGCTCGAGGAACTGGAGTTGGACTCGTTTATCAAGAATTTTGGCCGGCACACGCGGGAGATTCGCGTACCGCAGAGCGCCAATTTTCCCCGTCGGCGTCTGCCACGGTGGGAAGACTTCAAGGTTCCTGCGGGGGAAGAGGCGCTAGCGAGAGCCCAAGGCAAGCGCGTCACCGTTCTCACCCACGTCGACCGAGGCCTCAAAGCCATGGCCGAGTCCGAGGGCCAGGGTGTGCCCCTGCCTAGATCAGCGCCAAAGGACAAGACTGGCAAGAAGGCCAAAGAAGCACAACTTGCCCACGCCTTGGACTTGGCTGCCAAATCAGCAGAGCACCAGCGACAACAGCAGCCGCAGCATCAGCCCGCCCAGCAGATCCAACAGTCGCCTTCGCAGCAGAGAGTCACATTTGCAGCCGATCACCCATTGGAGAAGAAGGGCAGCATCGAACGGCCAGAGTCGCCCGAGATGGCGTTGGCGGGTCTGAAGCAGCGCAACCTTGAAAAGGATGAGAAGCTGGCTAAAAAGCAGGAGAAAGAGACGGCCGGCCACGGCGAGGAAGATGAGCTCGATGGCGGCGTCGTCGGGGTGCACGACTTTGGCGGCATGAATATTCATGACGCTGAGGGCGAGCTGAGGCCGTCGCGCGATGAGACTGGTCTTGGCGACGAAGACTGGGAGGTGCTCAACAAGGCGGCGGCAGCTTCTGAAGAAATCCACGCGCCGGAGGACGAAAAGGTCGACAGTGTCGCCTGGGCGATTGCATACATCCTCGCCCTCGTCGAGCGGTATGCGCCTGAAGAACTCGACAATTCGCCCGATCAGACGTACCGAGAAGGCAGACTCCGGAGTCATGTCGAGCGTCTCTACCTCATCGCACCTTTCTGGGAGCGATTCCTCTATGGAATTCGGAGAGTGTATCGATGGGACAATCCAAAGAGGACGAGCACGTTTGCGATGGTATACTTCACCCTCTGGTACGCAGACTTGATTCCTACGGCCTTTGGATGGTGAGTCCCAAAGATCCAGTGCTGCAATCGCGCACTCAACTGACTCTCCTCTCCCGCCAGCATCATCATCTACTATATTCTCCAATTTCGCTTCTTTCCGCCCTCGGCCTCTTATCTCCACGAGCAGGTGCGCGCACGCATGGCTCGAGGGATCGAGGCTGATCGCTTGGCCGAGAGGCTCCGAAGGCGAAGCAGACTCGATGTTCTTGAACTGTACAAGCGATTCGTCATTTCCTACGGCTCGGCCTCGATGATTGCCTGCGGCGACGTGGCCGACTTTCACGAAAAAGTGAAAAACCTCATTCTCTGGCGCAATCCAGCAGCCACCTGGAGAACACTGACACTCTTTGCCATCACGACGACGCTCGTCACCATCGTCCCCGCACACCTGGTCTGGAAGGCCATCTTCTTCTTTTTGGGCATGACTTTTTTCATCCTCCTCCCGCTGCAGTCGCACTACCCACGCTTCAGGCGTCCGCTCAGTCCCATCTGGTGGGCCCTCTGGGGGACACCGACCGACGGTCAGTTTGCTGTCCAGCTGCTCCGCCGTCGACACTTGGAGCGTCAACGAGCCAAGCACCCGCCTCCGCCCAAGGGATTTGGGGCCGATGGCGATGGTCTGGACGAGCACAATGGCGGAGCCGGCAGCCACTCGCCCAGCAAGAAGAAGAAGTCGGCCCATCGATCGCAGGCGGCTCACGCCGTCGCATACGGCTCTATGCGCCCTCTCCGCGACGATGACGAAGGCCTGCTCGACCTCGAGGACACGCGCTTGTCCAAATCGGGCGAGCTTACGCGCAAGCCTCGGAAGCTCGGCTCCTTTTTCTGCCAACACCACGGCGTGCCAGGCCACCTGCATGTCACGACAAAGATGCTCTACTTTGTCGCACTGCACTCCCAGGTCGGTCCAGGGTCGAGCCACAAGACGTGCAAGACGCCCCTCGAAGACATCGCAGGCCTCGTCAAGACAAAATCCATCCGACTCTTTGTCTGGAGCTCCTCTGGGCTGCAAGTGGTGCGCGCCAACAAGAGTTCCCTCTTTTTTTCAAACATGCCCCATCGCGATAATGCCTTTAATCTCCTGCTCGCCTGTGGCTCCGAAGGTGAGTTGTCTCGCTGCTCCTGCGTCAAGAGTTCGCTGTTGCTGACACGCATCGCTCAGTATGGAGCAGGCGTTAATCTTTACCTCTCAAAGATACCCCTCTCTTTCCCTCTTTGCAAACGGTCACTCTGTCACGGTCCACTTTCTTTATTTCCTGCCAATCTAATTAATATCTAATAGGAAAGCGCTATCGACGCTCGTCGTGCAACAGGGCCTGCCTTTCATCGGCGTCCTCGTCAGACGTGGGCCGTGGCGAGGTCTCTTCTGTCACTTCGACGTCTCCGTAGAGGGTATAGTGCTGTATGAGGAGTGCAACGTCAAAGAAGAGAGAGAGGAGCGAGAGACCGAGCTTGCCTGCGTCTCCCCAGACGCCCGACCAGTCATGGTTGATGATCTGCGCGTCGAGTGCCAACTGCAGCAGCGAGAGGATGCCGCCGGTGAAGTCAAGGAGGATGTTGAGAATGGCAAAGCCCCTCGTCGACTTGCGAGACCAGTTGAGATAGATCTGGGGCCAGTACTTGACGAAGGTGACGACGAGCTTGACGTAGGAGCACGCATTGACAAAGTCGAGCCATTCAAACGACGAGGCGCCGTCGATGTGGACGAGGAAGAAGGCGACGAGCAGCGAGCTGACGAGGATAGCTATGAGGTACATGGCCCACCTGCTGAGCTTCTGGCCAGGTGCACGCTTGAAGAAGATGGACTGGCCGACCTGCCATGACGCAATGAGGAGCGCATGGATGGCAAAGAGCGCGTCGTTCCACCGCACCACGTTTTCGCTCCCACCGTGCCGCTGCCGATATTGCTCCTGCACAGTGGGTGAAAGAAGAAAGGCAAGGTTGAAGATGGTGTAGGCGACGAAGCCGACGACGTTCAAGTAGAGAAAGTCGATTGACATGCCGGCAACGGTCTTTGTGCGTTGCATGAGGATCGCCTGGGGCCAGAAGGACGCGGTCCAGAGAATGAAGTAGGACCAGCCGAGCAGCCGAGACAGTGCCTCGGCCAGGACATGGCCTTGGTCACCTGCACCTGCCTCTCCCTCACGGAGGAGCAGCAACGAGGGCATCGGATTGACGTTGGTAGGCAGACTCTGGTACGACCGGGTGGAGGAGTCACACAATGTTGTCTTTTGTCACGTGAAGATCATTAGGTGCCAGGGCAGGAGAAGCGACTCAAGAATCGTATTGATTGGCGGCATTCGCATCCTACACCGACATGCAGATGAGTGAAAGGACAGCGACAGCAAGCATCATCCACCTACCTTGGTTGCATCGATGCCGAGCGTGACACATCTTGATCTATGTCGGCCGTGCCGTGGCTTGCCATTCGTCATTCTGACGTTGGAGAGGATTCCGGCCGTGCTCCCCATTTAGAAAGTCAATACAGCAGTTGTCGGGAGAGACGCACAAGGCTTCTTTTTAGACTTTTTTGAGTTTCAAACCACTTGCCCGGCCGGTCGATCAGGCAAGAGACGTGGGAGAAATAAAAAAAAAATGAAAAGAAAAACGCGCTTGCAAAAGGCTCGCGCGACGACGAGGGAAGACTGATCGTGTGCCCAGGCGAGGGCCCCTGCCGCCGCCAGGCTAACCACGCCCCTGCCGCCTGGCGCGCTTTAGCACGTCTGGCTCTCTCTATCTAAACCTGCCCTCTTGGCGAGGAACGCGATCCGTCACCATCACCATCGACGTCAACGCCTACATTTTGCCTCCTTTGACCACCCCATTTCCCGCCACACGACGGTCGCACTCGACCCGATTACTCTCGTTATCTCGTTCAGTCGACGCACGCCAGGGCGGTATCGGACTGCGAGCTCCCTTCTTTCCGTCGACAGGCTGGCCGTGGACTTGGGAGGACCCATATAGTTTGCGCGCCGCAACTGTCTCCGGAAGACACACTTTTCTTCGGACAGGATCACAAGGCTCCTGATGGGCGGCTTTGCAACGGTGAGCTCTACATGCAGTGGGCCTTTATGATGAAGTCCTTCTCACACAAGGGTCCCTCCCCTTCACTAGGTCGTTGCCAGGGCGGCGAAAGCCTCTCTGACGCCTTCGCTCGCAGCTCGGGCCACCGATGGTCCGGAGGAAATCACCGATGATACACAAGAGTGAGTGTTAGACGCTGTTCTGATTGACGGCAGTCGACTGATGTCTTCTTTAATTGACTGCAGTGCCATCAACGGCAAAGAAAGCTCAGGGCTGACACCTATCGAGGTCGGAATCACGCTGGCCGTCTTCGTTGGCATGTTTGTCGTTCTCGTCTGCATTGGCGAGCTGTTGAAGATCTACAACAAGCCTTCGACCGAGGCAGCGCCATACATGACATTGAGCAGGCAGCTCTATCAACCCAGCGCCGCGGGCTATGGCACTAGAGGACAAAAGCAGCAGCAACAGCACCCGTCGTCTTCGCTTGCTGTTCCAAGCAACCAAAAGGTTGGGAGCCGGACCAGCCTGCTCGAAAGCGCAAGTCCCATGGGGACCGGTGGCCGAGGCATCGACGACTCGTTTGGCGACAGCACAATGACCACGCCTTCGTCTCATGGTCACGGTGGTGCCGGCGACTACTTCTCCCGAGGGGATTACGCAACCAATGGGATGGGCCCCGGGTCATCGCGAGGACACGCTCGAGGTCAGAGTTCAGGTATCAGCCTGCCGGGCCCCGCCGCTGCTGCGCGGAGAGGAGGTGGCGGCGGCGGGGAGCAGCACCCAAGGTTGAATGGCGCATCGCCCATTGGACCAGACGGCGGCGGCTTCCGGCCGGGGCAAGTGTTCAACTATGCCTCGATGGCTCCGGGAGCGGGGCCCTCGGGCGCGCCTGTCAATGGAGGATACCGGGGACCAGGCGCGAAGCCGCAGCTGAGACAGCATCCCATCGGACGAGGCCCGCCGCCTGCTCAGGATGGCAATCGGCGATCGCGGTACGCTCGCAGTAGGATTGACAGCGTCGGGCCAGGTGTGCTGCGCAAGTCAATGTACATGTCTGGCGATGACGACCCGCGATCTACCTCCGGCGAGGGCGGCAGCAACTTGAGGAGGGTAGACAGCATCGGCAAGGGCGACCCGCGCCGCAAGAGCCAGGCATATGGCTTGGGAGCGGGAGGACCCTCGTCGCCTCCCAAGGGAGGAAGAGTGCCCAGCATCTACAACAACGGTCATGCAGAAAAGGCCACCCTCCTCAGCGCACAGGCAGACAACTTTGGTGCTGGCAGGACGGATCCTCTGAGCGCACGCCGAGGTCCTTCGCCCAACCCTGGTCCACGGGGTGGGAATGACCCAAGGGGTGGGGGCAACTACAACATGTCGCCCTCGCCCGTTGGATCTGGTCCGTCACGCCCTTATCCCTCTCCATCGCCCGGCGCGTACCAGGCTCGAGGACCACCACCGCCACACATGCAGTCGGGCTATCCGGGCCCACGGGCCGGTCCTCCGCAAGCCTATGGTCGACCACAGATGATGGCAGGAGGCGGCCAGCGGCAAATCATCTAGGACAATCTTCATACCTTCCGTCTCGCTTTGTTTCCCCAATACACGGCCGTTGCAGCCCTTGCTACCTCTAACCCCTCCCTCACCCGCCCTCTTCCCTCTCTAGTAAAGCACTCTCTGTGGACTGTATGCATAGCTCCTTCATTTATCGGGTCACAAAAATCCTCCATTCCATTTGCTCTGTTTGCCATCACCTACGGACGAATGAAGCCTTCACCGGCTATGCTCGCTCCAAGACCGAGAGCGAATGAATGGCCGAGGCCTCTCCGTCTACCCTTGTTTTCCTCAGGCTATGCAAGAAGCCGGAAAATTAAAATCCAAAGGGGGAAAAAAAAATCAACAGGCGGGCCCGCCAATGACGGACGACGCTTGCCTGTCGCGTGTCCAATGAGGCAGCGTCTAAAGTTGGTGGGTTGGGCACACGCACACACACACACACAAAGTCACGTATCACCGACCGACTTTTATTAAATTCGCTCGCCTTTTGAATCCGACTCTGACCGCCTCGTCGCACGACGCTCAAGAGTCACACACACGCTCAACATAGCCACGACTTGAGAGCGAAGAAGATGGCGACGGCAACGGCGCAACGGAGTCGGGGCCTGTCGGCTTCTTCTTCTACGGCCGAGGCAGGTCCCTCGTCGAGGCTAGCGCTCAACGTGCCCGCCGCGGCCGGGGCGTCGTCTCCCTCGGCCTCCTCCTCGTCGCCATTGGCGTATGCCTCTATGGTCGACGACCGGCGACAGGCGCAGAGGCTTCTCTCAACCATGGCGCTCGAAGATGGGCCGATGCGACTGCAACGGTCCAAGTCGCTCAAGAAGAATGGCAACGTGACTAGCAGGAGAAGGAGGGATGTGGCTGCCGGCGTGGCGATATCGGTGGAGGAGGCGCAGAGCGTCCGTAGCAGGAGGACAGAGAGCTTGAAGAGGCCCATCATCCTGCCGGATCCACGACAGGCTGCTTCCATGTCTCAAAATCGCTCCAATAGACTCGCGGTGGTTGACAGAAACCATTCGCCGATACTGGATGGAGACGATGACATCTTGGTAGACAGGGACGAGCTCTGGAGCTATGCTTCGGATGGATGTAGGCAGGATAAAGTCTCAAGCGCCAAGCCGAGGTCGAGGACAAGGCAGAGAACACGACCGACTTCAGAAGAGGCAAAGTCGCGCACCGCGCTCCCGTCTTTGCCTGTATCAGTCGAAAAACATTGGTACGCAGAAGATGATGGACAGCGACGGCAGTCGTCGTATGCGCCTGGTGGTGTGGATGCGCATGTTGGTGGCGAAGAGGAGCAGCACGAAGGTCGGACCCGACACCGATCCGGGTCATCGTCTCTCTCGATTCCCTCGCTGCTTCGCAGGCCATCACGGAGCTCAGTCGCCTCGGCCATGTCGTCTCAACACCTCGCTGCCCTGGTGTCGAGACCCTCTGCCTCGGTTCCGACAGACTCATCGCCGAGCATCAACGCAAGAAGCGCGGCGACACTGTACAATCTGAGCAGAGGCAGGAGCACCCACGTCAGCCCCTCGAGGCGGTGGGACAGACGAGGAGCGAGCGCGAGCGTCTTGTCGGGAACGGACAGCGCTGGCGACGAGGAAGCCGTGGTTCGAGATGAGCCAAGTGCTAGGATCAGGCAGCTCTCTGCCTCTGAGCAGGTCAAGATTCGCGCGGCCAAGCTGGCAGAGTCTCGCCACAGCAGTAGTCCAACACCACAGTCGACGTCCAAGGCCAGGTGGCAACAGTCGAGGCGCACGAGTGCAGGCTCGCTGGACATGGCTCTCTTCAGCTCCGAGGACGGCATCTCCTCCTCGTCCGATGACGAACTGCACCCATCCTCTTCGTCGCGAAGATCAAGCATGGACAAGGAGAAGCGGCGTGGATTGAGAGTGCTTCTGGCCCCATCCTACGAGCGCGACGATGGAGAGGCCACCCTGGGCGCAAGAGTAGGCTCTTGCGCCACTTCCTTGACCAGCGAAGAGGTCCTCTCCGACGAGCGAAACAGCCTCGCTTCGAGCTGCAGCAGCAGCACGACTGACTTTCTCGAGTTTGGCACCCGGAGAGGAGTCCGCCGAGACGAGAGAGAGGATAGCGACGAAGGAAAGAGGGCGCGGCGGCAGGACATGGCTGATGACGAAAGCGATGGGACCATTGGCACGTCGGCTTTGCTGATAAGGCGACGGTCAAGATCTGGCAAGCGGCTGCTCCGGTCGACGCTGCGGTCGCCCACGTCGCCCAGCCGTGCGGCACCTCGCATGTCTGCCATCACATCTGGCCTCACGCCTGCTTCGGAGGAGACGGTGGACCTGACGCCGACAGCTTCCGGCTTCTCGGATGCCACCACCGTTGGCTCCTCGTCTCGGCCGCCCACGACGCTCCTCTCGCAGAGCCAAGAGAGCTCACAGTCGATCACGTCGGTGCCTGTCGAGCAGGACGCCGATCCGCTGCTCAGCTCCGGCTTTGGCAGCGTTGCAGACTTGATCAATGTCGATGCCGTCGTGTGGACTGATTTGTCGAGGCGAGGTTCGGCGGCAACCAACTTGCTCTCCATTGCCGCGCAGAGGGATGTCGAAGAGCAGGAAAAGGCGAGGCGGTCCGGGTTTGCAGTCGCCTACCAGGAGAGATTGGCCTCGCTGTCGACGCAACTCCGGCTCTGGTCACGGCCTGCACCCGCCTCACCATCCGAAGAGACGGTCCTAGGGACTGGAGTCGCAACGCCTCTGGCCAGCGACAACTTGTCAAGCAGTGGCAAGGCACGGGATCCCCTCAACGAGCAGACACAGCAGGCACATCAGGCACAGCAGGCAGAACAGGTGCGCGCCACTGTCGAGCAGGAGACCACGCCGACCAGCGAAAGCCTCTTCTCCAGTAGCTGGCGCCACCTATCTAGGTTGCCCAATCTGCTGCAGCTCCCAGCTCTTTCCTCCTCCTCCGCCAAGACGATCACTCAGACTCCCTTGAGCCCCTCGATGGAACAGGATGCGCGGCCCTCGTCGCCCAGCAATGCGTCATCGAGATCGGTCCCTTCTGCCTCCTCCTCGCCCGGTCCGTCATCCCGATCACTGTCCGACAAGGCAAAGGGACGCGGTGTCATGAACCCTCTCGAAGGCGACGCAGACGTGAGCGCCTATGTCTCTGGGCTGGGCATGCCCATCGACCCAGACGTCGAGTTGTCTTCGGTCGTCCATCTCCAGACGTTCCGCAGTCGAAGCAAGAGTGTTGGTCCGCCTCCTCTGATTTCAGCAAAGCAATCCTTCCAGCCACGCCTCGACACTGCCTCCGAAGACGAGTCACCACCAGACCAAAGACGCCATCGGCGGACCGCGTCGGACTGGGGACCAACGGAGAGTCTGTCGAAGTTCAGGGCGCCCCGTCGTCCCGAGAGGCAGTCGAAGCAGGGTTCCACGCCCAGACTCTCCTCTGCTGATCAGGAGGGAGGCGCTGCCGCTCTCTCCTCGAAGCTCGCAGCGGCACGACGCCTCTCCCCTCCCAGATGCTCCCGCCCTGCCGTCCAGGCGCCCGTGCCTGGTAACTTTTCCGCCTACAATTCGTCTGCATCGGGCTCCGAAGACTCGGAGAGCGAGCGGTCTTCTCTCGCTGAGAAGAGGCGGCGTCGAAGCGACGACGAAGGGGAAAACGACGATCGGACGAGCAGAGGCCAGAGGAGCGGGACGAACAGCCGACGAAGCTCGCCTCCTTCCAGCTCAAGGCAGTGTGCCATTGGTCTCTTTTCTTCGGGCCCAACGACGCGACGCCGGGAAATGAGCCAAGCCAGCATTGTTGAGGTAGTCGAGGAGCATCAGGATGGTGTGCAGATGATCAGGGTCAAGAGTCTGCCCAACCTCTGCAGCAACGGCCGGTCCGCCGTGTCAGCATCGGCACGTGGGGCGCACAAGACCTCGAGTGTCTCGCAGCGAGGCGCGGCTTCGAGCCGCAGGGGTCAGACCGAGCTGGAGACTAGAAAGAGCGACCAAGACCAGAGTAGGATTCTTGAGGAAGCGGAAGCTTCCAAAGAAGACGATAGCGAAGACGTCCGAGGCCGCACGGGGGGACGAGGAAGGGTGGGCTCCGTCAAAGTCGTCAGCGCCTCTCTTGGACCATCTATGTCGCCAAGTGGCGAAAGTCCCGCCCCTCTCTCGATGTCAATGCCCTCCACTCCATCCCCCTTTGGAGGCAATCTGATGGGGAGCAGTGCCATGGTCATGGGCTCCTCTGGCGTAGGCGCCAATTCGGGAATTCGCCCGAGCATGGTCAGCAACGGCGCTCATCTTCTCATGCTCAGCCTCGAGCTCGAGATGATGCGGAGCCGCAAGATTACCTGCAGCCTCAAACCGAGATGGCTAAAGGCGCGGGCGAGACCAGAACGGGCGTCTGCGCCTGGTACGCCCCTCGATGAGCTGGACAAGGAGCCGGTGGCCAGTCCACCGATCTCTCCGCCCTCAGGTCACCTCCAGTATCTTGCTTCGAAGCCGCGGTCGAGCAGCAATCTCCGCTTCGAGCTGGGATGATTGACGCAGTTGTGGAACCCCCACCTTGTGTACTACTACTTCTATATCATGATCCTTATCACATTGTAGGCTCAGATGGCGAAATCGCATCACGTGTTTCTGAGCCAAATTTTTTTGAAACTGGAACTGGAGGGAGAGAGAAGCACGCACACAAAATTCAGAGGAAGCTTCTCAACACCTTTTGTTGACTGGGCCAGAATGCCTCGAGCGCCATCCTCTACGAAGCTGAAGCGGGCGAGCGGGGGCGCAGCGGCCATGCGGCACGAGCCGCTCCATGCGCAGATCCAGTCCGATGAGCAGACGAAGCGGTTCGGCACGGTGAGCCAGCCGGGTAGGCGCGCGCGAAACGAGGTCGGCGGCGTCGTCGGAGACGATGATGAGGAAGAGGAAGAGGCGCTGGTCGGGACGGGCAAAGGAATGGTCCGGTCCAGTCGCGCAGGTGGATCCATGGAGAAGGGGACGTCTAAGTTTGTCGATCCGAAGCTCAGCCGAAACATTCTCAGGCTGGCCAGGGCGCAGCAGGACGAGATTGAGGCGGAGGAGGCCGAGGCGAGCAGACCTGGTGGCACCGCGCAACGTCAGACGATGAGGGATGTGCACAAAGCGATGGACTCAGACGACGAGGACGCGCAAGGAGCTAAGGGCAGCGAGGAAGACGATGGAGAGCTGAGGTCAGACGAGGAGGAGGTCGAGGAGGAGTACGAAGAGCTCGAAATCGATCCGGAGGATGAGGAGCTGATGAAGCGCTTTGAGGGCGGCGATGCGGGAGAGAGAAGGGGCAACAAGACGCTGGCAGACATCATCATGGAGAAGATCGATGCAGCAGGGTCGTCTGGCGCCACAAAGGAGGGTATCCATGAGAGGGAGCCAAGAAAGGTCGAGGGAGCCATGCCCATGCCGCCGGGCATCAATCCCAAGGTCATTGAAGTGTACACCAAGTGAGTCTTCCTCTGCTTATCTTTCCGCTATGTTGCTGTTGCTAATTCAGAACAGGGTTGGAGAGCTGCTGTCGCGGTACAAGTCTGGGCCGCTGCCAAAGGCCTTCAAGATCATTCCCTCGCTGCCGGCCTGGGAAAACATTCTCTACATCACCGACCCATCGAGCTGGACACCGCATGCCACGCTTGCAGCGACGCGCATCTTTGTGTCGAATCTCAAGGTGCACCAGTCGCAGCGCTTCTTCAAGCTCGTCCTTCTCGACAAGGTGCGCGACGAGATTGCCGAGTCGGGCAAGGTCAGCTACCAGACCTACGAGGCCATCAAAAAGGCCGTCTTCAAGCCGGCAGCATTCTTCAAGGGCTTCCTCTTTCCCCTCTGCGAGACGGGATGCACGCTCAAGGAAGCGGCCATCGTGTCGAGCGTGCTGACGCGTGTCTCGATTCCCATCCTTCACTCGGCCGCCGCGCTGCTCCATCTGGCCGAGATGCACTACGCAGGACCGACGTCGCTCTTCATCAGAGTCCTGCTCGACAAGAAGCACGCGCTGCCGTACAAGGTCGTCGACGCCCTCGTCTTTCACTTTTTGCGCTTTGCCGACCCAGACATGGGCGTCGAAAAGGCAGAGGGTGGCGGGCGGAGAATGCCGGTTCTGTGGCACCAGAGCCTTCTCGTCTTTTGCCAGAGATACAAGCAGGACCTGACCCCGGATCAAAAAGCTGCCCTATTAGACCTGCTCCGCGTGCAGCGTCACGATGGCATCGGACCAGACGTCAGGCGAGAGCTGACCACGGGCAAGGCTCGCGGAGAGATGCTCGAGGAGCCGCTGGATGAGGATGATGACATGTCTATCTAGTACGAGTGATTCTTTGTTTTTTAATACAACTCGTCAAACGGTCTCGTGTCTGCGAAGCAGCCCGTCCAGACTTCGTCGACGGCCCGCTCTGCCTCTGCATGATCCTTGCAATTTGGATGTGCTTGCACCGAGAGGATTGCTCTTCTCCGAGCGCAGGCCTGGTGTTGCTTTGTAAAGGCGTATTCTCGCCGAGTGACTTCCCTGCCCCACGAGCAGTCTCCCGAGAGCGACGCTGCTCGAATCTCGGAGCAGGCGAGGTGCCGCAAGTCGTTCCAATCGACCAGGAAGCGACAGTGATCGAACCAGTGCACCATCTCGTGCGACAGGGTGTGCTCGAGGTGCTTTTTGCTCATGATTCGGTTGGTGCAGATGAGGATGTGTGACTGCGACTGCGGCTCGCCCGGCGCAAAGCCACCAGCCATCTTTGGGTGGCACGTCTCGAAGACGATGGGTGATGTCGCTTGCTCAGACCCAGTCTCGCCAGTGGGCATGGGTGCTGCGAGCGGGTCGCACGAGACGAGATTGAGGTGCTTGGTCATAAATCGAATCATGGGGCCTTTTGTGTGACAGCGAATGAGTACGACTGTCAGAGAGCGGAGGGAAGGCAGGCCATACTTACTTGTCCGAAACAGCTCATTCTTCCATTGCTCAACCATCTCCCGCTGCCGTCGCTCCTGGTCCGTCTCGGGGTGTTCTTCCCAGGCATTCTCCTCCTTCTCTGCCTGTTCTGCAGGCTTTACCGGCTGTTCTGATGCTGCAGACGACGACCCCTCGCCCTTTAGCCAGCCGAGGCCCCATCCTCTTGCCCAGCTCCCCGTGCTACCCTGTGGCGGCTCCAACGAGGCGACCTCGCTGCCTTCCACCCTTGAAGCCGCGATCCACCGAGGTTCTCGTCGGCGCTCTGAGCCCCCGCAGCGCGGCCGGGATAGGGGCGTAGAGAGCGCCGCCGTGCAAGCCCGTCTCCACCGCTCGAATCCTGGCGCCGGTTCCTCTACCATCGTGCTGATCTCGAGAGAAGACTTCTTGCGCTCTAAACCTTTTCTGATTTTGACCCTCGATCTGTTTTTTTTTTTTTTTTTTTTTTTTTTTTTGAAGGCGCGTGCAATCTCCTCCGACAATCTTCTTGCCCATTCACCAAGGAAAGGGGAACATGACGAAGGGAAGACATGGACGGTGAGGGGGAGCTGGAGCAGCGCATCGACGCTCGCAAAGAGGTCCGCAAGGCCGAGCGTGATCCCTGGAATCGGCTCAACAGCATCGTCCAGGTCAGTCCCCATTTCTCCATTGATGCTGCCTTCCTCGTGAAGCTAATGACTTTTGTCTTGTCCAGGATGCAGAATGGGTCTCGAGCATTGCATCGAGCCTCTTTCCATATCTCCCGACGGTGGCAAACCTGAGATGCGGGGCATGGTATCTACCTTCGATGGAGCGAGGCTGCTACTTTAAATCCACCGATGGCCACACCCACCAGTGGGCCTTCAGCCTCAAGCGGTACAATCTACCGCTGCTCGAGCTCATCCTTGCGCGTGGGGGATGCGTCGTGGTGGACTCGACGCGGCGGGGCAAGTCCCTGCCAGACGCCCTGTCCAAGACGCTGCCGATCTGGTGTGCGGTGCTGAACCGAGCTTCATCGAGACGGTACGGCTGTCCTGCAACGGCGGAGACTTGCAGGCTAAAGACGCCAAAGGATGTCGTCAGTCCGTCGGAGCATGCCCAGATCGAGGACAGGGTTGAGGGTTGGGTCGAGGCACTATTGCAGTCGGACCTGCCCATTGTCAAGCTTGATAAGCCGCTGAGGCCGCTTTTTGTGACGCCGAGCCGGATCGACGAGGAAGAGAAAGACGTCTATCCAGTCGTGGCGCTCTCGGCGTCGGTCATGGTCGACGATACTCCCGAGCTTGTTTCTCTGTCTCCGAGCCAACATTGTGCTCTCCAAAGGAGGGTCCAAGCTCAAACACAACCTAGGCGTACGGATGACGATGACAAGCTCCAAAGAGTTGAGCTCATCGACAGGCAGTTCATCTACGTTCAAGGCTCTGGCGATGACGAAGAAGCCTGGGCCCAGGGCCTCACGCCATCGCTCTTTTGGCAGCGGGACAATCTCGAGGCGATTCTTGCATCGGGTGGTCCAGAGCAGTGTCAGTGCATTCTACGAGACATTGAGGCCAAGAGCAAGGGTCTCACCGCCATCAGACTGGATGAAGAGCAAGGGGACACGAATGTAAAGGGGACCCCTCTATTTCTAGGCCGCCGAATCCAGGGCCACGCTTTCTCAAAAGGGGAGAAGGACCGCTTCGATGTCATTTTCTTCATGGATGACACTCCTTCTGTTTCTGATGAAGAGGAGGAGGAAACTAACGCGGAACAAATCCACCGCCTCGGTCTCCAACCTGGGAAAAGGGGCCTGAATGGCTTCCGAGCGGTTCTTGAGGCATGGCTGCCCCGTATCCAGCGTCAACTAGTTGATCAGCGATGCAAAGGCATCCTCTTTTGCTCGACGGACGCAGACAAACATGCCGACCTCGCCGCTTCCTTTGCCATTGCTGTCCTGGCGCGCTGCTTTGACGCCTCAAGAGAGCTGATTGCCCGTGGCGAAAGAGAAATCGGAAAGGACGACGTTCGCAGGAGGATGCAGTGGCTTGTCACCGACGTGCCCTGGTCGAACCCGTCGAGGAGTCATCTGCTGAGGGTGAACCAGGTGCTTTTGAGTCCTGGTCATCGACCATCTTGCAATGCCTCCTCATAATCACTCTGTACACTACGCAAGACGAAACGAATTGATAGTATTATTATCCTTGCTTCAGGCTTGATGTGCCGTCACTTTGCGAGGACCACTCTAAAGGAAAGAGTGAGACATGGAATCTACGAACAAGAAGCAGAAAGAGGGAGAGAGGTGACAGATAGAAATACATTGGACAAGACAAGATGTTCATTTCAGAGCGGCTTGCCGGAATCGTTGTCGATGAGGCAGAGAGAGGCTCGGCCATCGAGGAGAGCCTGAAGCTTGTTCTGGTCGACAGTCTTGGAGCTGGACGACGAAGCAAAGGCCTTGCTCAGAGCCTCGACGATGGCGGTGTGCATGATGTGATCCTCTTCGCTAGAAGAGGAGCTGGAGGCGGCCGTGGTAGTGGCTTCGGTGTAGGAAGGAGGAGCGGCCTCGTCTCCCTCATTCATGAGCGAAACGAAAGCCTCGTTGACCTGAGCGTCCGTCAAGGCCTTGCTTTTGCTGCTAGACGACTTCTCCGAGCCATCGTCTCGCGAAGGCGACAAATGATCGACAACATTGAGCTTCTCGGAAAGCAGCCTAGCGAGCTGAGCCGTCTCGTCGCCCTGCCTCGGGAAGCCAAAACCGCTCTTCTCGCCCAGTGTCAGGGAGGAGGCCGGCAAGTGAGGCACGAGGACGGTGTGCACGCTCATAAAGTTGTTGCTGCTGCCCGAACCACCCACTCCGCCCCAGAACGATCGAGGTCCGCTCGAAGAGCTAGCGGAGGGCGGCAAGTCCTTCTTGGTGTTCGGCTGGCTAATTGCCGGCGATTGGCGTCGGACCATCGAAGGACGAGGCGACATGGGGCGGGGAGACGATGGGATCATGTTGGGCGTCGAAGGGCGTGAGGAGCGCGACACGGGCTCATTCATAGACGCAGACGACGAGGAGCGAGGAGGAGGGCCCATTGGTCCGTCTTGAACGGGAGTAGCGCCGCTGCTGCTGCTGCTGATGCTATTGTTGTTGTTGTTGAAAAGACCCTTTTGAAGCGCTTCAAGAATCTTGTTGACGTCACTGCTGCTCATCGACTTTGACTTGAGTGCGCGCACCTCCTCGTTGAGCTCCTTGTTCTGCACCGTGACTTGGGAGAGCTGCTGTCGAAGCCCCTCGATGATAGCATCGCGATCAGCCACCTGCTGCTCGAGGTGGGAAATGTGCTCCTTTCTCCTCGTCCTGAAGTTTCGAGCCGAGATCTTGTTGCGCAGCTGACGCTTTTCCTTGCTGCTGAGCTTGCGATACTCTTCAGGGTCTGGCCTCAGCTCGTTGGAGGGGCCCATGATGCTGCCAGGGATAGGTGCCTCTTCGTGTGATGGCTTGTCGATGCGCGAGGGACGAAAAGCAGTGAACTTGCCCGTCTTGGGCTTCACATCCTCCTCACCGTCCTCCTCGACCTCTTCCTCGTCGTCCTCTGACATGCCATTGGCTTCCGCAGAGTTGCTTCGGTAGCTCGAATTAGACTTGTTGGGCGATGCAGCCGCTTGACCGAAAGAAGAGAGGCGAGAGACGGTGAATGGCTGATGGACGCTGCTGAGCTCGACGAGATGAGGATTGATGTCGCCAGCGGGACTGGCGCTGCTTCTCGTCACGCCATCGAATGATCCGTCTCCCTTGAAGGGCGACACCTGCTGACGTTGGTCTGCAAGAGTCATGGTGATGTCGCTGGACGGCGCAGCAGTGGTGCTTGCCGATGCGGCCGCCGTCGACGGCGACGCAGTGTTGGTCGACGCACCCTGCTGACGCTCGGCGCGAGTGAAGCTGTTGTAATGCTGGGCGACATACTTGTCGATAATGGCTTCGTCGGCAGAAGCACCCATGCGGCGCAGTTCGGCTGCGAGATAGTAGCGCTACGTGGGGTGGTATGAGTAAGAGCGACCCTTGCGGTGATTGACTGAAACACTCACAAACAGCGTTTCTGGCGACGAGCCTGGGGGAGGCGCATTTTCCTGACTCGCCTGCTTCGCGGGTGCTTGCTGCTGCTGCTGCTGCTGTTGTTGTTGCTGCTGTGCAACGGCAAATAGGGGGCCTGTCACAGAGGCATTCGATAGGCGAGGGGTGGCCAAAGGCGACGGCAGATCGATGTAGTCTTCAAATGACGACCAGGGCGCAGGCTGGCCCGGCGTCATGGGCGACGACGAGAGAACGTCAGTGGCCGCCATTACGATGGAGAACGAGTGAGAAGTTGGTGGTTGAGGTGGCGAGCGATAACGGGTGGGTGAGAGCGCGCAAGGGGGGAGGCCGCCCGTGTTCCACCTGATTGTTCCATGGGGCTGAGCTCAGAAATGACACGTGAGATCACGCGAGGGTGTTCGGACCCTCAATTTCGAGAAACTGCCATATCTCCGGTCACGACTTGACCGCCTCTGAGGGTCCGAATAAGTATATTTAGAATTGGACTGAGCTCGTACAAGGCTTGTATTTGACACTTCGACATTTCAATCCAACATTATCAATAACAAAGAAATGTTGGTACCGGATGTGGTCTCGCGTCAAGAGGACATTGCTTGCACGTGGGTCACCTCGAGATTTTTTGGATTTTTTTGAGGCTTTCCACTTTCCTGACTTGCTAGAGGCAAGGAAGAAGACCTCCAGCGGCAGTATAGGGATACCAAGATGAAGATCAAGGCGCTGTCTCGTTCGATGGACGTCCATGGGCCCTCTCGGTCCGGGGATGCGCCTCGCGTCTCTCACAATCTCGACCCAGCCCTTCACCCCTTTTCGAAGCCGCGGGAATACACGCGCGCGCTCAATGCAGCCAAGCTCGAGAGGATGCATGCGAAGCCCTTTGTGGGCGCCCTGGAAGGCCACTCTGATGGAGTCTACTGCCTCGCAAAGGATCCGCAGAGGCTCGGCGTGATTGCAAGCGGTGCTGGTGACGGCGAGATCCGTCTTTGGGATATGCCCACGCAAACGCTCCTCACATCCTACCCAAGAGCGCATCAGGGCATCGTCTCGTCTGTCGTTATTTCGCCTCTTCATTTCTCCCAGCAGGGCAATGCGGTCTCGATGGGCTCTTCGGAGGAGTCTAATTCGAGAATGGGAGCAAGAAGGCTGCTGAGCTGCAGCACAGACCGGACGATCAAGCTCTGGGATGCTGACCCGCATTCGGATCGACTGGGGCCAAGCTTCATGGACGAGGATGAGGATGAGGAGTCGAACGAGCTAACAAGCGGCGGCGGGATACTTGGTGGCAGCAACCCGTGGAAGGCGGACGCAGACCGTAGCGAGGTGAGCAGATCTGACACCTTAAGTGCATGAGGTGGCGCTGAGCTAACCGATTCGTGACATACCAGCCGCTGAGGGTCTGGAACACCAAGACGGCCATCAACTCACTCTCACACCACGCCACGGAGCCCATCTTTGCATCGGCATCATCATCGGTACAGACATGGGACATTACCAGAGGCGCAGCGTCTTCCTCCGCCGGTGGTGGGGCTCTACGAGAAATGGGCTGGGGCGCAGAGAGCATCAACGTGGTTCGCTTCAACCCGAGTGAGCAACAGGTGCTCGCAGGCGCAGGTAGCGACCGTGGTGTGGTCCTATACGACCTGCGGAGTGGACAGCCGCTCACAAAGATGGTCATGAAGGTGGGTAGAACGAAAGAAAAGTGTCCTGGAAGGGGTTGCTCACAGCTCTATACCTATACAGATGCGCGCCAACGATATTTCATGGTCGCCCATCGAGCCAACGACGTTTGCCTTGGCCTCTGAGGATCACAACGTATACACGTTCGACATGCGAAACTTGTCGGGTGCACGGCAGATTTACAAGGACCATGTTTCTGCCGTCATGTCGGTTGATTTCAGCCCCACGGGCCAGGAGCTTGTTTCGGGATCCTACGACCGGACACTACGGATCTGGACGTTGAATAAGGGCAACCACTCTCGAGACGTGTACCATGGCGCGCGTATGCAGCGCATCTTCAGCACACTCTTTACCCAGGATGCCCGCTTCGTCGTCAGCGGTAGCGACGATGGCAATGTCAGGTTGTGGAAGGCAAGGGCATCGGAGAAGCTCGGCATCGGCAGCGGCAAGGAGAGGGCCGCGAGAGAGTACAGGGAGCAGCTCATCAGCCGGTACAGAAATACGGGCGACGTGGGCAGGATCGAGCGGCAGAGGAGGATGCCCAAGGCCATCAAAAATGCCCAGGGTCTCAAGAGGACCATGCTCGATGCGCAGAGGGTCAAGGAGGAGAGGAGGCGAAAGCATACAAGGGTGAGTCGCTCCTCCATTGAAGAGCTTGCCATACGATGGGGGACTCATTGTTGTTCAAACAGGCCGGAGAGGAAAAGCCGAAAGCCGCTCGCAAGGACGCCATCCTCGCCATCAAAGAGTAATCACCCAATCGAAGTTTCTCTACATAACTTGTACTTTTATTACGAAATATCAACATGCCGTCCTTTCTTTACCAAAGGAAGAGCAACCATCCACACCATTCGTTGTTCCTGAAGCTCAGCGATATGTTGAGCGTGACCTTCACTGACGCAGGAATCTAGCGCATGGTGACGAGCTCTGATTGCGGAGTGAGGAAGAGCGGTCAGCAGTGGACTAGGGAAGCGGAGAGATACGACGCTCACCCTCAGCAGAGGTCGGGTGGATGGCGACAGTGGAGTCAAGGTCCTTTTTGGTGGCTGTTGGTCAAGTTTAAGTCAGCTTGTTGGGCTCTTTCAAGGATGATGAAAGGCCGACTTACCTCCCATCTTGACAGCAACGCCAAAGCCTTGCATGATTTCGTCGCTGCCCAGGCCGATGATGTGAATACCAACGACCTTCTCCTCCTTGCCGACACAGACGAGCTTGTAGGCCGACGGCTGCTTGTGCTCGAGCATGCCAAAGTACATTGCAGTAAAGCGTGACTTGTAGATCTTGACTTGGTCCTCTCCGAACTTCTCCTTTGCCTCTGGCTCCGTGAGGCCGACGGTGCCCGAGGTAGGGTGGGAGAAGACGACGGTAGGGATGTTTTCGTAGTCGAGAAAGTCCTTTCCACGCACATCCTCAGGCCCGTACAGGCGGTTCGACAGGCGGCGCCCCGCAGCGATGGCGACGGGCGTCAAGAGGGCTTTGCCGGCCACGTCTCCGAGCGAGGTGATGTTTTGCACGTTGGTCTGCTGGAACTTGTCAACGACAATATTGCCCTTGTCGTCTGTCTTGACGCCCGCCGCTTCGAGTCCAAGGTTGTCGGTGTTGGGACGGCGTCCGACGGCCCAGAGCAGGCAGTCGACCTCGAGGGTCTTGCCCGTGTCGAGCTCCAGGGTGAGGGGCCCGCCCTTGCTGCCGGTGACCTTCTTGACGTTGGTCTTCTTGTGGACATTGAGCCCCGTGTTGCCCATGTACTCCTGCAGCGTTTCGTGAATGATTGGGTCAAAGTTTCGCAGGAACTGATCTTGGCGGATGAGGAGGTGCGTCTCTGTGCCCAGCGTGTTGAAGACGCCGGCGAGCTCGACGGCAATGTAGCCGGCCCCAACGACGGCCACACGCTTGGGCTGCTCGCGCAGGTCAAAAAAGCCATCGGAGGTGATGCCCAGCGAGGCGCCAGGCACATCCTTGTCCGAAGGAATGACGGGTCGTCCGCCAGTCGCGATGCAGATGTGGTCGCCTTGGATCTTGTGCGTACCACCGGTCAAGCTCCCGTCCTCGGCACGCAGCGTGATCTCGACCTCGTCCTTGCCGGTCAGCTTGGCGTGGCCAGAGATGTACTCGACCTTGTCGTTCTGCAGGTTGCGATCGTAGATGCCGTTGAGGCGGCGGACGTAAGCGTCGCGCTTCTCGGCAAAGTAGTTCCACTGGAAGCCCGGTTCGGCGTTGAGCGGCTTGCCGTCCTTTGTCCCCAGCCCGTATTCGGGTCCGGCACGCAGGGCTTCGGCCATGTCGGCGGCATGCCACATGAGCTTCTTGGGGACGCAGCCGACGTTGACGCACGTTCCACCCAGCCGGCCGTCTTCCTCAATGACGCAGACCTTCTTGCCATATTGGGCCGCACGCCGGCTCATGCCCATGGCTCCGGAGCCGCCACCAATGACGATGACATCGTATCGCTCCGACGACGGTTTTGGCACGGGAGGCATACTGGCTGACGAGCTTGTCGAAAAGGCTCGGGACGAGGAGGAGGAAGATGAAGTAAGCAGGGAGACCTGGCCGGCGAGACGCGAGCGGGCGCGGGCGGTGGCGGAGGCCGGGGCGAGGGCGGCGGTGGGCTGGGAAGACAGAATGGAGACGTATCTCACGCTTGGGAGGGTATTTATCCTTGCTCGCCTCGAGAGGTGAGACGCTGAGCGGAGGGGGTTGAGGCAAGCCAGATTGGGCGAAGGCCAGCGTCGATCTTAGGTGGTGCTGTCGGTAAATGGGCCGGATTTAATTTTCCTTTTTGCTGCATTCAGTGACCTTCGCCACTAAGGCGTCTTCTTCCACCTCCGTGGCTCCATCCACATCTCCTCGGATTTATCGAAACCTCGACTCCGCGCATGTTCAGAATTACACGGTCGCCCTGATGGTCCCAAGGAGGTCGCTGATGCTGGCCGACCGCCTACAAATGGGTGGTCGCATTCCATCATAACCCAGGCGAAAGGACGATGCGGCTTGCACAAACTCCGGCCATTGGTCAGAACCTTTGCTGCTGCTGAGAGTGAAAGCCACCCTTTGGTATAATGTTACCGTCACCCTCCTTCACCAAACTCATGACTGGAAGCCGGGGCAACTGATCATTGAGAAACGAGTCTGAGAGTGAAGACAGGCAAGTCTCTTTTGGGCCGTGATCATGCTAGCCGGAGGGAATGGGGTGTCTGGCTCCTCTTCGGAAAGCAGACCATGGAGCCACTGGGAGTAATGCGCCAATAGTGCTCCGTCCGACACTTCCAGCGACTCTGTGACGGTCTACGGCCTTTTTCGATGTGTGTGTGTCATTGAGATGAAGGGAAGAAATATGATGTTACATGGGGAGGGAGCAAAAGCTCCCGACATGTGAAAGAGTGCGAGCTCTTTGCTTTTGACCAAGGCGTGTTGCTGGAATATGACAATGCATAACGAGACCGAGAACCAACGAAACCGTCTGAAGAGACGAGACGATTAGTGGCCGGCGCGACGCTGCTCAGCAATGACGTTGGTGAGGTACTCCTATAGAGATCTTTTGTCAGATAAAGGTCCGCAAGAATGAAGACGCAACCGTCCACTCACCATCTTGCCCTTGGCGCGGCGGAGGGTGCCAATGCGACGCTTGATGAACTTGCGGGCACGCTTGTCCTGAAGGAGAGAAGGAATGAAAAAGTCAGTCATTGGGCTCGAGAACATGAGTGGGGCTCCTGCTCTCGGCCTTGGTTCCCGACGCCGGTCTCTCATGCCCAGGACCGCTCGTTGCACAACCTCGTACGTTCGCCTCGGCTTTCACACTATACACCTTTGGCTCTGACCAAAGAAGTGCAATGTATTTGTCCTCTCCAAATAGCAATGCCCGACCTTCGGCATGAATCTCCTTTCCTTTCATTCCTTCGACGAGTGACGGTGATGTGACGACCCAAATCACAAGGTACCCATTCCCATCGCCCAGCTCGCCGGTCAATTTACGATCGATCCGCCTTCACCTCCTGTGCTATGTCTAGTCCGTCTTGCTTCCCCGTCCACAATGTCCTCTCCATCCCGCTTTCTGCCTCGACAATGCCCCAGGGTCTTAAACTCACCTTGGAGTTCCTGATGAGCTCCATCGCCCTCCTCTCGTAAGGCGCGAATCCAGCGACCTCTCTGACGACGCTCTTGACCACCGCCTTGCTCTGCGAGGACCTGCCCTTGCGGTTGCTAGGCTTAGCCCTGGGAACGCGGCGCTCCGTCTTGTGGCCGCGGTCGACACCCCAGACGAGGCCCGAACGCTGGACAGTGTCCTTCTTGTGGTGAGGGTGAGAAGATCCGCCGGGCATGATTGGTCGATGTCCTTGTCGTCGTTGGTCGTTGATGAGAGGCCGACTCCAGTTGGCTTCGCACCCAGCGCTCAAACGGCCGCAGTGTTCGGTTCAGTGCCACGCGAGAAAAAGAAAAAATTGGAGAGGAAAAATCGGCCGAATGAAGTTTTGTCACAACACGTGACTTGTCCCTGCCTCCAAATTTTGTCCTGAACTTCTCAATCCACCATCGCAGGCCCCAGCTCAACGCGACCGCTCCTCACCTCAGTCACTGCCCGCCATGCATCTCATGTACACGTTGGACTCGGTAGGTGTTGGAACAAAAAGGGGCTCTTGATGCGGTGCTGATCAAGCTCTCTACAGAACGGAAACCGCGTCTACACGCTCAAGAAGGCGACGGCGACTGGCGGTATCACTAAGAGCGCACATCCAGGTGAGCATCCTCTCGCGCTCGTTCTTGGCTAGCGAAGGAGGGCAAGGGCGAGAGGCGCAAGGTCCGAGGGGCGGGGGAGTAGATGTGGAAAGGGCTGCTGGGGGCGTAAAGAAAAGAGGAAGACACGCAAGCAGTCAAGAGTGTAAAACTGCAAATGAGAGGTCTACAGAGACAAGAGAGTAGTATACAATGATGCTGACGCCACCTTCCAGCGCGGTTTTCGCCCGACGACAAGTTCTCGAGGCACCGTGTCACGGTCAAGAAGCGCTTCGGTATTCTTCCCACTCAGACACCCGCCAAGCCGATGTAAATCAACTGGTCAGACGGCGTACCCCAATTCGTGGTCGACGATAGCCCGGAAGCGTTCTGGTTTGAAAGGAGGAAAGTCGACCAGACTTGCCGAAGGAGAAGACGAAGACGATGACAGCAGATCGCTCAGCAACCTGAGGAGGCCGTTGCTGGACGAGAGCATTCTGTCAGCGGACGTCTTCGCAAAGGCGATTCATTTTGTATTTTTAGGTGCTCGACAATTCACAGATTCCCACTCACCTTTGCGTATGTGCCTCGGTTCCATCACTTTCGTGTTCTGGAGATTTCAGACGGACGAGAAAGACGTAGCGTTGGCTGGCTAGTGCTTCCGCCAGCTCGACCTGATGGTTATCCATCAACGTTTCGTTTGGGACGACGACCACAATGGGCCGCTCCTCTTTGGGAAGGCGAAGAGCTTCGAGGATTGTGCCAGAGCCTGTTGAAAGCCCTCAACCAGCTCATCAGTCAGTCACTCATGATTGGATGGGCAGGTATATGTGACCCACCTGCATGGGTGAGAACAAAGTCTGCCGCTCGCATGAAAGGTCTGACGTCTGCAACGTAGTCGACGAGCTCCAGATCGACTTGTCCTTGATGCGTCGCAACCCGAAGACAAACAGATCCAATCTTTTCACCGTGATCCTCGCCCAGAGTGCCTGATCCTGTCATCGAGCCGCCACCGTTCGCCACGGAATTCGCAGTCGCAAGACTCATCTTCATCGTGCCCTCCTCGTAGACGTCTCGAGCTCTTCTCTGGTACATGATCTTTTGGACGAGATTCTTCCCCGCCAGGAGATCCTCCTGTTGCGCAGTTATCGAAGCTAGCAACGCACTCGAGCTTGTCAAGACGTCAGCGATCGGCGTGCTGCCATACTGAATCGTAATCTTTGGTGTCTGGTCGCTGCTTTCTCGACCGCTCTTGGCAATAAGTTCGAGACAGTCTTTCGACAGAATGGCTCCTACGAGACGACTAAATTGGGTGCTTCCCACAGTGACAAAGATCGCCGCCATTCTGGACGGCCCTCCTGCCGCTTGGTGATGATAGGCGGTGCCAATAGCCCTCCTCGATCTGGCTTTAGGTGTAGTAGTGGCTCGAGCACAAATATCGGCACAGAAGGTTAAAAATTGGTACACGTGGCCCCGAAACCGTTTGTCGCCCGTCCACGTCGTCCCTGCTTCCTTCTTCTATTCGCAGAGACGACATCGGACTTCCTTCTCTGTCGCAAGTTCGGGCATCTCGTCGCTGGATCTCGAGAGCTGTCCCTTGAGCGGAAAATAAGGAAGCAGGACCGAAGAGGAGATACCGAGAAGAAGGGGGTGTTTTGCGAATATGATGCGATCAGAAGGTACCGAGCTGGACGATGCGCCACCGGCCGTCCAGCAGTTTCTCGCCCAATCCTCAAAGGCGCAACAGCGTTTCCAGGCCTTTCTTGATCAGACGACTCCCTACACGGCGAAACGATGGGGTGCCACGGCAGGTCTCCTCTTCTTGTTCATGCTGAGGATCATCCTTTCGCAAGGGTGGTACATTGGTGAGTTCCGTGTCATGCAAGTCTGCGGAAGAGGTAATCTCACAAGTTCGTCCTTTCACAGTCTGCTATGCACTCTTCATCTATCTCCTCAATCTCTTCCTCGCCTTTCTCCAGCCGAAGTTCGATCCCTCCATGGACGCCGACTTGGCTGAGCAGGACGTGGAAGAGGGCGAACCGGGTCTGCCGACGAGCGCGAGCACGTCATCGTACGGCAACGGGAAAGGATCCGGCGGCGGTGGAGGGGGCCTGATGAGCGGAGTCTTTGGCGCAAATGGCGGGCAGCAGGAGGACGAGTTTCGACCTTTCATCAGAAGGTTGCCCGAGTTTAAGGTGTGTGTCTGTAGGAGGAACCTACGAGGGACTGCGTCGCTGACGATGGTGTGTGTCTACAGTTCTGGCTTGGCGCGACGCAGGCCATTCTCATCTCGCTCTTCTGCACCATGTTCTCCGTCTTTGACATTCCAGTGGTGAGTATGTCGGATCTCAACCATTCCCCTTTGACTGATGGCTGACCTCCATCCCGCCACAGTTTTGGCCGGTGCTCGTCATCTACTGGTTGATGTTGACTGGCATCACGATGCGAAGACAGATCAAGTGGGTCGCATTTGCACTCGTTCCGTTGCAGTGAGCTGACAGTCTCTCCTTGCTAGGCACATGATCCGGTACAAGTATGTCGTGAGTAATCGAATGGTCCCTCTCCTCCTTTCGGTCCCAAGCTGACCTATCCTTCGCTTGCCTCAAACAGCCATGGGATCTGGGCAAGATGAAATACGGGAGAAAGTAAAGGAAAGCTTTCTTCGACGCTCCTTCATTGTTGTACAACGTTTAATTGTGTAGGCACGGCCATCGCCATCTCTAAACTTCCTCCCTTTTACCGGAGAGCGACATAAAGTACATTTCCTTCGCCCGTCTATGCTTTCATGCCTCTCCATCTCCGGTCCACTTTTGGCCAGTGATGCGCTCGTACGCCTCCTTGTACTTTTCCGACGTCTTGCGCACTACTTCATCGGGCAGCCGTACCTTGATGCCTTGATCCGCGGCCTTGTCGAGCCCATTTGCCTTGAGCCACTCGCGGACGTACTGCTTGTCGTAGCTGTCTGGCGTCGTTCCCACCTCGTACCCTTTGACGTCCCAAAAGCGCGAAGAGTCGGGTGTGAGGACCTCGTCGACGAGGATCAGCTCCTGGGAACCAGCCCCGGGAGGCACCAGTCCAAATTCGAACTTTGTGTCGGCGAGAATGATGCCCCGCTCCCGCGCATGTGACGCAGCCTTTGCGTACAGGTCCACGGCCGCCTTGCTCACCTTTTCGGCAAGCTCCTTGCCGACGAGGTCGGCGACTATGCAGTCAGAAAGAGAGACGGTGGTCAGCAACGTAATCTCACACCCACTATGCTCTCTCTGACGACTCACCCTTGTCTGGGTGGATGTTCTCGTCGTGCTCGCCCTGTTCTGCCTTAGTGCTCGGCGTAAAGATGGGTCCGCCGGGGATCTCTTGTGACTCCTTGAGACCTTGCTCGAGCCTGATGCCGTGCACCGTTCCGGCCTTGGCGTACTCCTTCCAGCCGCTGCCCGTGATGTAGCCGCGCACGATGGCCTCGACGGGAATCACGTCGGCGCGCCTAACGAGCATCGATCGCCCCTCTACCTGGTCCTTAACAGACGACAGCTTTGCCTGCAGCTCAGCGGGAAAAGCGGAAAAGTCCGTGGCAAGTACGTGGGAGCCAATGATGGAGGGCGTCAAGAGCGAGAACCAAAAGGTCGAGAGGGCGTGCAGCAGCTTGCCCTTGGAGGGAATCCCCTGTTCGCACTCTCTCTTTCAGCGTCTCTCTTCTTTCTCTCGTGCTGTGTGGGTGGAAAGGACTCACATTGTCGAGGATGATGTCGAAGGCTGAGATGCGATCCGTAGCCACAAAGAGGAGCGCACCCGCATTGGCTCCTTCGCTCAAGCCCGAGTCGTACACGTCCCGCACCTTTCCCCGTGCGACGAGTTTCAGTGGTAGATCCGTCGTCGTGATGGCTTGTTGCGTCATATCTGCGTCTTCAATTGATGATCGTTGGATAACGATCGGCTGCCCGAAAGTCCGACTCAGGAAGAAGTGACTCTAAATTTCTGGGCACGTGTCGCAGCTGCCCGGTCATGATGAGAGTCATTGACGTCGACCTCATGGAGGTGATCCTTTTCCATCATTGTAAAAACCCTATCCGAGGAGCCCACTGTGCCTTTGCAATAGGAGCAGTTGCCGGCAAACCGAGGAGAGAGAAAGACTTCGCAGTGATGATAGGCTACAAGAGGGGGTACATGATGGTTCACGCGAGCCCGACACAGCCACGAAACAGCAGCCTGTCTCCCTTTCTTGCCATCGTGCAATACGCAAGCATCTGTGAATGTTTGATGAATTGTATCGGTACCGTACAAGAAGCTCTTTGCTGAAGCTGATGGTGCTTGGTTGACAGACCAGAGAGACACGAGGAGGCGGACTTGCAAGCAACGCGTCTGGAAAATCCGTCGCACAATTTAATCGCGCGACTTGGAGACCAACACCGACCATCTCCCGTTCAACCGCGATGTCGTCGGCACGGGACAGAGAGAGCGCAGCGCGATCGTTCACGAATCCATACACGGGGCATAGGCTCCTTAATTCGACGGAGCAAGAGGTGCTGGGCGAATATGCGAGATTGGCTGGCACTATCAAGAGGGTGAGGAATCATAGCGCATGTCTCTCCTCTCTTTAGCCCTGCTCACATTGTCAGCTTCTCCGTGTCGGCAGATAAGCGCCTTGTCCGCTCCTCTGTCATCCTCTCAAATGCATCAGCAGCTTCTGACGGATCTCCGTGTCCTCGAGCGAAAGATGGGCCTTGTCTTAACGCTCTTCAAGGCCAGCGTCTGGGCGCTTATTCAGAGCCAACAGGACGAGATGGAGGCACAACAGGCACGCGAAGAAGAGGAAGGACAACAACAGCAGCAGCAGCAATATGGCTACGTGTCCGGGAATGATTACGATGACGAAGACACAACCATGACAGGCATGGGCGGAGGCCAACAGCAAGACTCGTCGCGATACACGAGGAACAGCATGGCAGACCAGAGCCAGTATCATTAGCACAGTGCTCAGTCCGCATGCCCGCTTCGATCATGACCGAGACCTTATTGTACAGTATGACTATCTGCCTTGTTTCCAAGAGCATGTATTATGTGATTCTGGAGCGGACCAGGTGCGGCGACTGAGCGCGAGCGCCTTGACAATTATTACCGGCACGACACTCTCTCTCACGTGGTAAGCTCCAGTGACCATACATCTGCATCCGGTAGATCTGCATCGACTCCTTGAGTTACGCTTCCCATCGCATCCGAGCCCGTCGCTATCGTATGGCGACCAATTCGAGATCTAGAAAAACGCATTGTAGACAGAAAAGAAAAAAAGAAAAAAAAATAGGAAAAAAAAATTTTGGCTGTCCCCAACCGGGTTCGAACCAGTGACCTTGCGATTTCACAAGCAAGAGCTTGTAAGGTATTTCGGCTGAATCTTCAGTCGCACGCTCTCCCAACTGAGCTATGGAGACTTCCTTATACAAATGGTTTTGGCAAGATGAATATATCAGGCACGTTTGTGACCAGAAGGAGAGTCTTTTCATGACCCGCGCGGGACGTTCCACCGTCCTCGTCTGACGGCCAAATCGTCGAGGACGAAAGGAACTTTCCTATGCTTGCCACAATCTTTTGCTGCAACAAAACAATCCCTTTGTCAGGGCCCTGTAGCGTCCTGGACGCTCCGGCGCACTGCTGTCTCCTAATTTCTCCCTCTTCTCGCTCGCCCTTGTTTACTAGGCCTGTTTCTCAGGCCTTGTTCGCCGTGCCGTACGTTCGAAGCACCCGATTGAGTGCTGCTCAGCACAGCAGGCCAGGGGCTCTCAGGCGCGCTCTCCAGCATGATGTTCCAGAAACAGGCGACGTTGGGACCCTATTGGCCGGTTTTCCTGCTTATGCCCTTCCTCCCTCCCTCCCTCCATCTACCCCTCCGTCCTCCTTCAGCTCTGTCTCGTCGTCTTGCTCCTTCTATCTCTTCCATCAAGCCACCCCTCGATCTCCTTCTGCCAGTCACAGAAGAAACCTCTTAAACGCCGTGCCGGCAACTCATTCAACGCGGATTGGGTTCCTGGAACGGACACCAATTATTTCTTACTTCCACGTAAGCGTGTATCGTGCTCCAGCATACCCGGCATGGGAAGTAGCGTTCTTTAGCAGATGACGGAGACAGCCGTAGTAGCTTCTTCAGCGTACCTGAGCAAGTCATCCAGGTTCTTATCCAGGCTTAAGTCTCTCGGCAAATGATGGCCCTCCGTTGACTGGAGGCCAAGGCCGTCAACGACAGGCCCGTTATCCGCATCATCCACATCTTCTGCCCAGGAGATCCTCGTCGACGCCGCCGGCATGCTCGAATGCTATCTCCAGTCGTGGGCTGAGGCCAATAGCGAGAGTTTACCGGCCAGCGTCATTGGATTTCGCGACTATATCACAGAAGGCCAGTATTCGCATGCCGTCGATGCATAAATTGCAAGCTTCAAAGCCGCCGCAGACAAGACTTATCGAGCCCTCGGTAAGCCTGCTTACGTCCCCACGCTCACTTATATTGTATGCAACAAGCGCCACCACAATCGCTTCCAAGCTGCTGTTTACATGCCGTCGCCAATGACAGGAGCGGCAAGCTGCCCACTGGCACCGTCGTCGATACGAATGCCGTCCATCCCTTCGAATTCAAACTAAATCTCCAAGCACACTCGGGCATCGTCGTACCGCTCGTCCAGTTCATCATGTCCTTCTTCACGATGATAAATTTGGAAAAGCGTCATCGTCGGAGCGTCCTTTGCGTTGGAAAGCCGTCGTCGGAGCGTGAGCTATGGATACTCCCTTATACAAATGCTTTCTGGGAGATGAAGATATAACATTATAGAGTGTTAGGACGCTCATTTCATAGTCCGCGGGAGACATCCCTCCATCCACCTCTGACGATCCGAAGACTGTCTGTGATCGATCTTCTTATGCGCTCGAATTCCCTCGTTCAGCAGCTCTTTTTTTTGTGAGCTTTTGAGTAGCTCCTCTTAATGTTGATTGGGATCACAAGACGCTGAGCCGTGGACACTTTTGCAAGCCTGAGGTGCGAGTAGGTGGACTCTCAGCTCTGTGCCGCCTGAAAACCATCACAGAGATACTCACCGCTATGAAGCTATTACAAGTCTCCCACCAAGAGAAATGATTTGTGCTTTTGCATAGATAATTTGACTGTCCCAATGTTATTCCGGTGTGTCCACTCGCTCCTCCGCCCGCGCGTCCACCTTCACTGCCGCTTGCGCTTGTTCCACCGACGGCTGTGAGCTCCGCTTCTGCTGGGCAACTGTCAACGAGCACACAAGAGAAATGCTGAAAGTGACGAGAGTCAGCTGGCAGGAGCTCCTCCGCCCTCCATCTGCACTCACCCTGTTGGAAGGCCCATCTGCGCCGGTGCCGCAGGCGCCAACTACCGGGAAAGTCAGCGGTCACCTAGCAGCGAAAGGACACAACTTACTGGTAACGTCGTACTTCGGGCCTGGTTTAAACATTACCCATGAACTGGCGGTTCGCGTCAGTCGGAAAAGGCATTGTAGAGACGCGAGGTGGCACAGAAGAGCTCACTCGCTGGCAACATGCTTGCACTTCTGTCGTTTGTAGAGATAAGACCGCTTATCGCGCCAATTGGCCTGGAGAGGACCGAGTTCGTGCAGGGCAACAGTCTCACCCCTCCTTGCTTCATCGCCATCTGCGAGGCGGTGGCCATCGCTGACACCGACTCTGCCCTTGCTACGAGTGATGAGGAGGCTCTCACTGTGAGCGGCGGTGGCCTACGCTCGACCGAGTGAGTTTGGCTCTTTGGCTCTTGCGTCAATCGCTTTTAGCAAGACTCACGGTCACCACAAGAAGTACGAAGGCAAGCTTGAGGAAGAGGGTAAGTGGCCCCATGACGTCTACGGTGATTCGTCGTTATGGCTCGATGCGTTGAGACGTTCGATTGGATGTAGCGATTTGGACGTATGTGGTAAGAAAGACGACGGAGGTTTGTAAGGAAGAGGGGGGTACCCTTGCTCAGCCAGTCACATGTAGAGACTGGCGCAAGTCGGGCTTGAAAATGACCAGGACAAGCGGTGACACACTCAACAGAGCACTGTTCCGTCCTCCGTCTCTCGATTCCAGCCCTCACCGCATCAGTCGACTGTCCGCCGTTCCAGACGCGCGGCGGCTGATTGCGCAACGTCTCTCGTTTCCCCGCTCCGAAGGCGAGATTCAGATTCAATCCGATACTCTTTGCGCTCCAGTCGCCAGAGGCGCAGTAGAATATTATATCTATCCAGACTCGTCCTTCACTGAGTTGAGCCTCGCCGCTCCGACGCACCTCACGCCACGGCTGCACCGACACGCAAGTAGGTCCAGCTCTGAGGCCCAGCGTGAAGTCGTGGTCTGCGACGTTGTCCATCGAGCCAGCCTGGTAAGTTCCGACTTCTGGTACAGATATAAGCGCCGGCCTCATCATTTGCCAACAAGATGCAGCTGCGAGTTCCGAGCTCCACCATGACAAAAAGCTCAGATGACAGCATTGTCGTGGCTCCCAGCACGTGCGAAACTGTTCGCAGTCCATTACGTGCCTGGGCACACGACAGCTCTGTCCGACGTGCTTCTGTACCTGCTCCCTGCGGCCGTGGATCCTGGGGCCCCACTGCCCCATTGGGACTGGCTGGATGAACTATTTAGTTCTTCTTTTAGCTCGTCTTTCCATTTCGTGCTAAGAATGTGCGGCAGAAGACCCGCGGCCAGAGCCTCTGCTTTCGTGCAGCACCCTCTGAGCGGCTGCTTGTCGAAATAATGTTGTGTGTGAGGGTGGGATAGCGCTGTACTCTACCCTACTCCACGAAAGAAGCCGGCTAGCTGTAGCAAGCAGTGTTGGACATCGGCCTGTAGACGCGTCGAAAGCGCTGACCAACTCAGGTCTGCTGCTGCCGAACGTCCTTCATCCTAAATAAAGCTCATATAATGTTACTTCGACACAGGTGAATACAAAAGAAAAAAAAGAAAAACTACGCTAACAACAAATGACCGCCGGGTCGTAGGACAGCCCCCTTTAATAACTGTCCTGCCTCTTTTGCGGCACGGCTTTCCGCCGGTGTCCATCTTTTTCGTGCCAGGGTGCCTGAAAACACGCACACGAACTAAACATCAGGGGGCTCCTGCCGTGTCGGCCCTAGAGGGCTCGACGTGGGGAGCTGTGAGCCTCGAGCCTCGTTCTTTTCGCCAACAATTGTTCTTCTATCCTTTCTGCCCACTTGACCAGTACTTCGTAAGCTTCCCCCCCACACCACCCTTTTCCTCAGCCCTCGCGCCCTTTTGCCCCCTTATCGCGACTCTCTCGTCCCTCGCCCCGGCCGTCTAGTAAGGAAAGGTGAGAAAAAAAGAGCCAGCAGGCAGAGGCACACAGACACAGAGCCCCGAGACGCTCTTATTCATAGCATCGCCTGGTCTCCCGTTGTGCCTTGTTCTGGCGTGCCAAGAAAGCCCCCCCACTCCTCACATTCAGCCATCGTTGTACTGATTTTGGCTTTGCACCCTTAAAGCAGAGGGTTGTCCCTTCTCTTTCTCTTCTCTTTCTTCCACGACCCTCTGTGCTTTCTTTCCGTTTACGACCAATATCGCGACAAGAAAGGGCTTGACACAATGCGCGACCTTACCAATGGACTCTTCAAGTTCCCATCCAAGGAAGAGCGCGTCGCTGCGCGGGCCGGCGCGCCCCTGAACCCGTTCAAGCTCGCCGCGATGCTGACGCCCATGCAGGGCGCCATGTTCTTTAGCGGCTGGCTCGCCTGGACCATGGACGCCTGGGACTTCTTCTCCCTCTCGCTGTCCGTCACGGCCATCGCGACGGAGTTTCACAAAGAGGCGTCCGACGTCACACTGGCCATCACGCTCACCCTCCTCTTTCGCTCGGCTGGCGCGGCCATTTTTGGGTGAGTGTTCTGCTCACAAGCGTCTCTTTCTGTCGGAGCTCTCACTGACGTGATTTCGATTAATGAAATTCAGCCTGATCTCGGACCGTTACGGACGCAAATGGCCTCTGGTTGCCAACTTGGTTATCATTGCCGTCTTGTCGCTCGGCACCGGCTTTGTCCATTCCTTCTCGGCCTTCCTCGCCGTTCGCTGTCTCTTTGGTATTGGCATGGGCGGCATCTGGGGCATGGCGACGGCCACTGCGTTGGAAAACATGCCTCCTGCTCCTCGCGGTCTCTTCTCGGGCATCCTCCAGCAGGGCTATGCCGTCGGCTACCTCTTTGCTGCCTCGGCTAACCTCGCCTGGATTCAAAAGTCGGGCAACTGGCGGGATCTCTTCTACCTCGGTGCCGGCCTCTCTCTGTTTGCCGCCATCGTCCGCATGCTGCTCCCGGAGTCAGAGCTATTCAGGCGCCAGCAAGAGGCTCGCAGGGCTAGTGGCAAGGAGCACACCAACAAGGCCAAGCAATTTGCCATTGAGACGGGACACATGCTCAAGACCAACTGGGGCCGTGTTATCTTTGGCATTCTCCTCATGACCGGCTTCAACTTCCTGAGCGTGAGTGTTATTGAAGCAGTTTCGCGTTCACTTCAGGATGCTGATGAGAATGTCGGTTGCAGCACTCGTCGCAAGACCTTTACCCCACCATCATCCAGAACACGCTGTCGAACCTGCCTCTGTCCAAGGCCAAGGAGCTGTCGAGCAAGGCGACAATCATTGGCAACTGTGGTGCTATTGCTGGCGGGTTCCTTGCGGGCTACATTAGCCAGTACCTTGGCCGTCGCCTGACCATCATTGTCTTTGTCGTTTTCACGGGTGCAATGATTGCCCCCTGGATTCTCCCCACGACATTCCCCGGACTGGCCGCGGGCGCCTTTTTCGTCCAATTCGGCGTCCAAGGTGCCTGGGGCGTTGTTCCTATCTACCTCAGCGAGATTTCGCCGCCAGCCTTCCGAGCCACCTTCCCCGGCGTGGCATACCAGGTCGGAAACATGGTCTCGAGCGCCTCTTCGCAGATTGAGGCCACTGGTGGCGAGCACAACAGAATCCCCAATCCCAGGTTCGGACAGCCCGGCGCCGGCGATGCGGGCAAGAACCCGACGATTCCCGACTATGCCAAGGTGTCTGGAATCTTGCTCGGCGTCGTCTGTGCCTACTTGATCCTCGTCGTCATCTTCGGCAAAGAGTACCGCGGTGCTGCATTCGAAAAGGCACCCCTGGCCACCGAGGCGCACGCCGGCGAGATCAACCCCGACGAACTCAAGGGGCCAGAGAGCTCTGAACACGTCGGCGATGTCCGCCAACAGGCTGACGACGCCAGCTCAGACGAAAAGGTCTCGGACAAGGGTGATGGCCAGTACAACGCCGATGCGCTCAACAAGGCGTAATTCTTCATATCTTTTCACGATTCACGACAGTTCACGACTCGTCTGTGCAACTCCTCTCCTGTACTCTCTGCTTGTTCGCTTCACATTCATCGCTGCTTTCTTAGTTGGTCGTTGAAATGAATACCAGCGTCACGATACTCTTGTGTGTCAGAAGTAGGGCTCTCTAACCGGTGGTGGCTCTTCTGGATCGCGTGCTCTCGCGTCTCAGGCGCGGAGATATCCCGTTCGGCGATAAAGAGATGCTCGCACAGCCCTCCTTTTCTGGCAGCTTGAATTATCTTCCCTGCACACCAAACGTCCTCTTCGAGACCAAGCAAAACGCCAACGTACAGCAGCAATGGCCAAGGATCACTCCGTCACGCAGCACGCTGGCAGCGACGGGCAGTTTCGCCGCCAGGAGTCCACTTTTCGAAGCACCATTGCACCCGGTACGGAGCACCCGCCCGAAAAGGGCCGCTACATCCTCTATGTCGCACTCATCTGCCCCTGGGCCTGTCGAACGCTTCACGTCCGCGCACTGAAGCAGCTCGAAGACATCATCGATGTTGCTGTCCTCGACTGGCAGCTCACAGAAAAGGGGTGGACATTCAACCGGAGGACCAAGGAGGCCACCGGCGATCCCGTGCTGGGCAAGCAGCTCATCCGGGAAATCTACCACCACGACGACCCCGACTACAGTCTTCGCTACACCGTCCCAGTCCTCTTTGACAAAAAGACGGAAAAGATTGTCAACAACGAAAGCTCCGAAATCATCCGGATCCTCTACACGGCCTTTGACGAGCTCTTGCCAGATGGCAGCCCGGCCAAGGGCAAGACGTACCTGCCGGCTGAGCATGCCGCCGAGATCGACGAGCTCAATGGGTGGATCTACGACAAGATCAACAACGGAGTCTACAAGACGGGTTTCGCGACCAAGCAAGAGGTACGTCGAGCTGCGAAGCCTCGGTGAATGTGCTATTTCTCGCTCACAGATGCGCTCCACCAGGTCTACGAAGCTCATGTGCAGAACGTCTTTGATGGCCTTGATCGCGTCGAGTCGATCCTCTCCGACGGCAGGCAGTACCTCGTCCCTGGTGCTGGTCTCTCGGAAGCCGACATCCGCATCTATCCTACCCTGATTCGCTTTGATGCAGCCTACTATGTCCTGTTCAAGGTGAGCCCCAAGAGACAAACCTCTCGTTGCTGGCAGCTGTGTGCTGAAAAGAAGAGTGTGACAGTGCAACATACGCTCGATTCGCGATGGCTACCCTCACATCCACCGCTACCTCCGCAACCTCTACTGGAATTATCCTGCCTTTTCGGACTGGACCAACTTTGAGCACATCAAAAAGGTAAGCGTGGCCTTAGCTTAAGAAGACCGGGCGAACTGCTGACCCGGCCGGGAGTGCATTCAGGGCTACTCTAGCGCTGGTGCAGCCAACGGCATCGTTCCCCATGGACCAGTACCCTCGATTCTGCCTCTTTAGCTTTTACGGCCTACTCTACTACTACTACTACTGTAATCTCCCGTCTTGGCACGAGGTAATAAATTTATTGAGGGAAAAACCGACGCAGCGTGCTGGTCAGGTCGGCACGAAAGACCCTGAGACCCTTGAGTGTGCCTTCGGTGGAGCACGCCTTCCGGGACGAATCACGTACGGGTCCCAAGGGAAAATGAGAGCTAGCGCCCTGTTCTGCACAGAAGCAGCCGGGCTATCGCCATCGGTCTCCACCCTGTCTAGCGTCGATGTCCAGCAGCTTTCAATTTCTGCGTCCTGGTCGCCTTTCCTTTTTTTCTTTCTTTTAGTCCTCTCTTTATTTCTAATAGAATTGGAGCCAGGCGGGGCCTGGACAATGACGTCTCCGGCTTACTCGAGCCGCCCGCCTTTGACCATAGCGCGTGGTCAGCTTCAAAGCGCAGCATTAAAAGCCCGTTGGTGGGAGACACTGTCGATGTGGGGACCCCGGGATTGATGACGCTATGGATGGTGTCGTTGTGTAGTGTGGTTGGGAGGAGTGACAAGAGTCGGATTCAATAATCTGTGCTTTGTATGGATCTGTACAGGCTGCTTCCATCCCAACCAGAGGCTTTGTTTGCTTAGCAGCGGAAGCAGAGCGAGCTAGGGTAGCGGGTTCTTGATACAATAATGTCCCATTACTGCAAGCTGCAGCCGTCCTCTCACACGATTTGTTCAAGCACCGATCGACGGAGCTTAGGGTCCTTCAGCCTTTGCCTATTTTGCATATAATATGCCGTTCCTCCCCATGTCTGAAGCCATAAAGCCCGTCTTTCACCTCCTTCAGACTGAACACCAAGCTCGCTGCCTTCTTGCCACTGCAACAACATGTTCACCCGCACCGCTCTCCGTACCATTGCCCCCCGTGGCGCTCGCTTCGTCTCGACGGCCGTCGGCCGCCAGACTCCTGCGGCCACCGCTGTCGCTGCCTCTTCCTCGTCGGCCGCTCCCATCAGCACTACGGCCGGCGTGAGCCCTGCCAACCCCGGCCCGGTGTCTTCGCACATTACGAACCATGACGGCCGTCTCAAGTCTGCCAACCGGTGAGCGGTCCTCTCGTCAGTCCCTCTTAGAAGAACCATTGCTGACTGGACCGGGGATGGCAGACACTTTCATGCCAATGCGTCCGAGTCATCGGCGGGCCTCAACGAGCCAATGGGGGAGCCAAAGGTCCTGGATAGGAACCTCCTCCGTATGCGAAACGCAAAGGACCTCGCCGGGCTCCACTAGAGCCTTTTCCGCCCTCGCTGTACTTGTATCATAGTCGCCTTCCCATCGTCTCTCTTTCCTTCTTCAGACCCTTTCTTCTCCAATACAGCCACACAAGCGGTTGAAGAAATAAAGACAGAGCTAAACAAGATGTAAAGAATTCAAGATTGTTATCTCTTTTCATCAAGGACCCCAGTCCCAGAGCCATTCATCGAGGTCGAAGTCGACCCTGTCGGCAATCTGCTTGACCTCTTCGTATCCCACGTTGGTCCTCAGGCTCATGGGAGCGCCCCCGTCGATTCTTTCCCACGGTGAAATGCGGACGAGGAAGCGGCCCTCGCGGCAGAGGGCTTCGATAGCTCGGTACGTCGACACTGCCTTGGCCTGATGCTCCCAATAGCGGGTCATGTCTTGTGCTCTCGCCGATGTCGTGGTATGTTCCGGTCCAGCTTCCGTGATCAGGGCCTGAAAGATGGCGAGCAACCGCTCCTGCGGGAATGGTCTAGGGCCAAGCAGCTGCTGTCGCTTGAGATCCTGCTTTGCCGCCGCATCGGCGCCAATCGCGCCGTCAATACGGGCCCTCTTTCGGCTCGTTGGTTTCCGCTTGAGCGCACCTCCTCGTTTCCGGACCTTTTCCTCCTCGCCGTCGGGTCCGATTGCGCTCGGCAAGAGAGACGCTTCGTCTCGCAGAAAGTAGCGGACGTCGAGTCTCGAAGGGTTGAAAGAGGCGAGAAAGGAGGCCAGGACGATAAAGGACGGTACAAGGGCCAAGCTTGCCTCGCTTGTTCTGCTCTTTTCACGAATTGCTAGGCCCTTCTGCTGCCGCAACATCGTCTGGACCCACTCTAGCGGAGACAAGATTCGAGGAAACAAGCGAGCGAGTGCGTCGCGAAAGAGGTGTGACGACTGCGACACCAGCGGCTGTATCGCAGAGGCGGCAACAGCACCCGAAGCGACGGGCTCGATGAAAGGGTGCCAGACGCAAGCCGAGAGAAGCCGAATCTCATCGATGTCTCGCACATCGCTCGCAAAGGCGTCATAGGCAATCGAGGTGAAGTTGTCGTAGACTCTTTTCACACCTCGCTCGTCCACGTCGTCCCTTCTCTTTCTAAAGTCGAGCCAGAGCCGATCGAAGTCACGTTCCAGAACTCGAAGGACGTCTTGCTTCTTCAGTCGACCCAGTGTGATGCTGATGGGCGTGCCGGGACCCGTAATGGGCGCAGCACCTCGGGAGGTGCGAAAGTGGTCAATAGAGAGGCTGCTGACCGTGATGAGCGTAAGTTGACCAGGGATGAGGGCCTGTTGTGGCGGGCAAGAGTCAGCACACAGAAGGGCTCAGGGCTGATTGGCGACTGACTGACCTGCTCCGCAAGGCTGTACAGTGGCTCCCAGACGTGCTCCGGCCAAATGTCCCGCATTCGTTCCGCTCGCTGCACAACGATGATGCCCTTTCTCGACGGTTGGCCCCTGAAGTGTGTCTGAATTGGATCGATAAATGAGTCGATGGAGTCGTCGGCAAGTGATCTCGAGTCTAGGCCGAATGAGGAGAGGATCGCTGTGAAGAGGAGCTTTGGCGAGGGCGTCAGCAAGGGGTCGATGAATGCTGTTGAGACGAGAGCATCGGCCGCGACAGTCGACGTAGACGGCGCAGCTGTTGTGCCGAGACCCTCTGATAAGCTCGAAGAGCGTACAACATCCCGTACGAGTCTATACGTAGCGCTGGGACTGTTTGCATCATGGACATGAATAGCTGTAGGCGATGGTTGCAGAGGCTGCATCTCCTGAAAGAGGTCAGTCACAAGAGATCGGATCGCTTCTCAGGCAGAATGACCACCCACATCTCCTATGAGGTCAAAGAGGGTATCGGCAGCATCCTCTCGCCCCGGATGCCGCTTCTTGACCGCATCTCTTGTCATGAGACCCTGCTGCTGCGTTGATGTGTTGCTTGCGATGTTGGCGCCGGAAGACGGAGAAGATTGTCGCGCAGAGCGCGCTTGTTCTGCCCTTCCATTTAGTTTTTGGCACTGAGCTCGGGCCACCCTGATCTAGGAAAGCAGTACGACCACGGCAACGTCAATGGAGTCGCACGTCGCAACAGCCTGGGAACCAGACAGGCTCACGTCACTTCCAACGGAGCTGTCGTTGCTCGTGCTGTCATTTCTCGATCCACCCTCGCTCTGCCGATGCCAGGAGGTGTGCAAGGCCTGGCAATCATTGGCTGTCAAGGACGGCGTATGGAGGAGCGTCGCTCTCAATCTGGGCTACCTGCCACCGGGCGTCATCCGGGCCCAGGATCTTTGCGGGCCTCCGGCAGATGTGCGTTGGTGCTCGAACACGAACGCATACTCGCTCGACTATGTCAAAGGTGTTGAGCCAGTACAAACGCAGGTGCGACAGGGCGAGTCCGTCGACTATCCAAGCTTCCTGACAACGTCATCGGCCAGAGGCTACTACGATGGACTGGTGTCATTCCAGGACCTATGCATACGGAAATGGCGTGTAGATGCAGGCTGGTCGGCTACTCGTGAGCGCGAGACGGGTGCTCTTCGGGAATTACAGCCAGAGGTGCGTCTGATCGATGCAGCTCCGCCCCTCGTGCACCCAGCAACAGACTTGGAAGAGGAGGTCGTCGAGGAGGAGGGCAGAGACGTCTGGCGCATCAAGCTGGATCCAGTCGACCGCACAATTATATCTACAGGCCAAAGAGGCGGCGTCAGAGTGCTTTGTCTGGACACGAAGCAGGTCTTATGGAGGCTTCCCCAGCTTGCGACAAGGCAGTATCCCCATGTCGAGTTTGACCGCGGCTTTATGGTCTTTGACAGGATGGGACACGGTCACTTTGAGGTCTGGAGGGCTCAGAGACTAGCCGGTGCTGACGGCCAGAGGGGGCACTTTGACCACTATGCAACCCTGGCCTCACCGCGACCGCCGCGTGCCCTTCGCTTTCAGTACCCGAACCTCGTCGTAGCAACCCTCGATGGCCATCTCTTGACCTGGGATATAGTCTCAAAAACGGTGGTGCAGGACATTGACCTGGAGGACTCCGTCCATAAAGACAACGTCAACTACATTGACTTTGACGATGAGTTTATATTCCTCTGCGGGACTGGAGGCAAGTGCGTCACGGCCGTCTCGAGAAAGAAAGGAAGCATCATCTGGTCGCTTTCGATGCACTTTGAAAGCAACCTACCTGCTCCCTCGACTTATCTCTACGAAAGAAGATCTGATCGGTGCGAGCACTATCACCTGGGCAAAGAGAGTCTTCAAAGGACGTGAGTATCTGCTATGTCGTCGTCTGTGCATTCGTTCACCTTTCTTGCACTCGCCGCAGACGTCGAAAGAGTCCGTGGCAGGAAGCGCCAAGCCGACACAATTTTGCGCAGTTGTTGATGACAAGGGGCAGACAGGAGTGGTCCGCGGTGCATCCCGACCATCGTACCAACACGCTAGTGGTCGTGGGAGACACTGACGTGCTACTCATCAGAGACTACAAAGTCGTCTTCAGAGCCTGGGAGAGGCTAGCTCCTGGTCAAGCGCCCACAGAAGCACTCTGCATTCCCTCTATGTTTGCCGATCTCTTCTTTGGAGACGATTTCGACGATCCACAGCCTTCGACGTACGAAGGATTCGGCAGCCAGCTCGCTGTAGCCGATGGAAGAGCATTTTGCGTAGCAGTGAGGGGCAGATTCAGGAGAGATCCCTATCGAAAGTTGTCTTGACTCAGCCTGCTCTTCTTGATCTTGTAATACAGGGACGAACCCTGTTGATTGACTTGGATCCTGGTCGTCAAAGCAGGGCGAATCCGAGCACGATCCCTTTCCCCTCTAAGGACAAGCTTCAGTCATCGGAGACGACCGACCAATCTGCGGCTGGGTGTGATGAGGAGGTATCGACCAACGAGGCTGGCTTTGCAGTCTACGATTCCAGCATACAGGGAGGCATAGAGTGCGTTTGTCGATCTGGGCTTTGTACGACGGGGAGACTGACCCTGCCATGCTTCCAGAACCGACGAGGGACTGTACACTGCCTCTGTAACGTTGAGCACCTGTGCTCAGATGGACTCGACCGCGGCCTACTGCGTCTGCATCAGCATTGACAACGAGGAGTGGGACCATTTGCCGACGGAGAGCCATGTCCTCGCCGTGGTCGCTTTCGATTTCGCACCTCCACGGAAGAACGACCAGGGAACCAGCTCACAAGCATAGCAGCGGACCTTTGTGAACTCCTCTTACATTATCACCTCTCGTTGAGAACCTTCCTACCATCTCATGTCAAATAGCAAATAGCTTGGGCCCCAAGCCTCCCTTCGTCTTGTTCACTGTATTTCATATCATCTCACGTCATATTCCCGCTTTCGTGCGATCAGCGGCCTACGGAGAATGAAGATTTAAGGTGAGGGAGCCCGTTGAATTTGATTGTACTGTACAGGGATGTATGCCGAAGGAACGAGTTTCGCCTCTGCGTCACTCGTCGAGGAATCGCACGTCGGAGCGCGTCGGTTCTGCAGACGCTCAGAATCAGCCACAACTGACAAGTGTGAGAGCAAAATAGGGCGACTCACTGATCATGGGATGAAGCTGAGCGAGGTAGACGATGGCCCACATGACGTAGCAGCATGTCAGCGTCAAGAGTGTCGACGATCGGATCAGGCTGAGGTCGTGATCCGGGGTCAGCTACAACAAGGGAAAGCAGAAGAGACACGCTACTCACACCTGGTTTGGGCCCTTTGGCGTTGCAAACCATGTTCCCGAGCCTGCCGCAACGGCCGCAATGAGGACCCAGATGGTGGTCCAGCCCGACATGGTTGCTGCTTGATCTTGCTGTTGCTGACTGGTCGACGTCCGTCGGTCGATGCCAACTCCTAAACTTTAGAGCTGGAGCGACGTGCACAACGTGGATTTAGCGCCACGTGGTCGTGGCTTTTTACTTGCTCCACCCTTTCCGGTTGATCGGGCCTCGAGAGCCGGAAGAGGACGCCTTTGTAATCGAGACCGTTTTTAAGATAGAATGAGAGGTCTCTCTGCCGCTCTTTCTTCCCCACCTTTCTATCTCTCCCCTTCCCTCCCCCCAATGACACCTCCAGCAAAGCACCTGTCGATTCCTTCGGAGCTCAAGCCTGCGGGCACCTCCGGTGCGCAGCTGCTGGCCATTGAGCGTAAAAAGGCCAGCTTCGACTCCAAGCAGATGGCCGCTTACCTGCACGGTAAAAAGTGGCTTCAGCGCGATGCCGAGCTCGTCGAACTGCTGCAGAATGACCCCTCGGGCGCCTTTGACAAGTCGTCGTGGAATTACCTCGGCCGCACGGACAAGTTCCGCGCTGCGCTCAAAAAGGACAAGCGGCTGGCCCAACTTGCGCGAGAGCACAGTTGGACCCGTGAAGTGGAGCAGCATGCAGAGAGCCTGTGCGACCTGCCCGGTCCCTTTGGCCTGCACAAGTCGATGTTCATCACGACAATAGACTCGATGGGCACCGACGAGCAAAAGGAGGAGTGGCTCGGCCCTGCGATGCGGTACGAGATCATTGGCTGCTATGCGCAGACCGAGCTCGGCCACGGCTCCAACGTCCAGGGACTCGAGACCGTGGCCGTCTACGACGAAAAGACGCAGGAGTTTGACATCCACTCACCCTCAATGACGGCCTCCAAGTGGTGGATTGGTGGACTGGGCCGCTCGGCGACGCACGCCATCGTCATGGCCCAGCTGGTCCTCAAGGGCAAGAAGCACGGGCCTCATCCCTTCGTCGTCCCCATCCGAGACCCTGTGACACGCGAGCCACTGCCGGGACGCTACATTGGTGATATTGGCCCCAAAATGGGTTACAACACGACCGACAATGGTTTCCTCCTCTTTGACCACGTCAAGGTGCCCCACTTCAACCAGCTGGCCCGCTTCGCAAAGGTGGAAGCCGACACGGCCGTCTACGTGCCTCCGCAGTCGTCGGCCCTCACCTACGGTACCCTGACCTGGGTGCGTGCCAACATTGTCCAGCAGTCGCGGACGGTGCTCATGCGGAGTGCCACCGTCGCCATCCGCTACTGTGCCATTCGACGGCAATTTGCGGACCGCGACCACCCAAAGTACGAGGGAAACAAGCCAATCGAGACGCAGGTCCTCGACTACTCCATGGTCCAGGCCCGAATCTTCCCCGTGCTCGCCAAGGCCTTTGCGTTCCACTACACGGCAAAGTACATGTTTGACCTGTACAACAAAAACATTGAGAACATCAACCAGGGCGATCTCTCGCTCATGGCTGAGACGCACGCCAGCACGTCGGGCCTCAAGGCGCTCTGCACCATCGAGGCCGCCGAAGCCATCGAGACATGCCGGAGGGCCTGTGGCGGCCACGGCTACTCGTCGGCTTCGGGCCTCGGCAGCTTTTACTCCGACTACCTCCCCCAGGTGACGTGGGAGGGCGACTCGTACATGCTCTCGCAGCAGACGAGCCGGCACCTGCTCAAGCAGATGCGCGCCATTCTCAAGAACCCCGACGACGTGCCCAAGGGCTTCATCAGCGACTACATCAACATGTACTTTAAGAACAAGGGCACCCAGGCCCACGCCTCGTACTCGGGTGACCTCTACGACCCCATGTGGTTCGTCAAGGCCTTTGGCTACCGAGCCGCGCACCTCATCGAGCAGACGCTGGAGCTCCGCGATGGCCCGAGCAAGCGGTCGTGGAACTCGATTCTGCCGGAGCTGTACAAGTGCTCCAAGGCTCATGCCCAGGCTCTCGTCGTCTACAACTTTGCCATGGCCATCCTTCACGATGAGGAGCTCAACAGCCAGCCAGCGCTGCGGACCGTCATGCAGCAGGTCTTCCTCCTCTACTGCACCCACACGATGGAGCTCGAGGGCGCCGAGTTCCTCTCCAGCGGCTACCTCACCCCGGCCCAGTACAAGCTTCTCGCGACAAAGGTGCAGGAGTGCCTCGCATGGATCCGGCCCCAGGCGGTGCCCCTCGTTGACTCCTTTGCCCTCTCCGACTACCTCCTCAACTCGCACCTGGGCTCCAGCAAGGGCGACGCCTACGAGGGCCTCTTCGACCACGCGCTCCGCGAGCCAATCAACAGCTCAAAGTGGAACGTCGACATCAACGACCTCGATGCTGCAGACATTGACCAGTCCCAAGCCCTGCCTCGCTCCAAGCTGTAGATAATCATCATTCCATCCACAAAAAAAATTGCATCAAGTCCGAATGGCATAATTCTATCGATGACTGGAAAGAAGGAATGGCTTGACAAAGACGACGAATATTGATGATGATGATGATGCTAAGGCTTACTTTCTGGGAGGGACCGGGGGTGGTGCAGTCTTGCGCTTGGAGAGCCCTTGTGCGCTCTCGTGAGGCGATGCGACGCCGAGGTCGCCTCCTGGTCCACCGCTGCCGCCGATCAGCGTCTCTGCCTCGGCGATGGAGTAGGCCGGTGGGGCATCGTCTGGGATGGAAGTCGAGGGGAGGCGAGAGGCCGAGGAGGAAGAGGGAACACCGCCAGGCACATTAATACCTTCGTCATTTTCCGAAAAGCCAATCTTGGGCTTCGACGAGTGCGTCTCGCTCCTCGGCAGCCTCTTGATCTGGCCCGCCCGGACCATCTGCTGGCGCTTCTCCAGATCATGCGCATACATGGCAGCGCCGACGCGGTTGCTGATGCTAAAGGCCATGCCGAGGATCGGCACGCTCTCGAGCAGGGCGGCCGCGAGACCGAAGCTGCGGTACTCAAATTGACGCTCCGTCAGCCACACTTCGACTTGGAGTGCCGTCATGCGCTTGTGCGCAAAGAAGAGCGAGTGAAGCTGGGTGGGACAAATCAGCTAAGCTAGAAGTGGAAAGGTGCGTGTGAGGGGGTCCACTCACCTGCCTTCCCATGCTCAGCGACCGCAGGGCTGAAGAGACAATGAGTCCCAAAAAGGGGATAAAGTCGAGCGGAAGGAGCACGACTCGCAGCAGAAAGATGCGAACGAGGGGCGTGGCCAAGCGGACGTAGAGCTTCTGCTTCTGCGCATTCTTCCTCGCCTTCTCAACTGGTGGCTCCTCCCACTCCTCGACGTAGGGCGTCCACCACTCCTGCGGCTTGCCTCGCGAGATGACGGTGGCTTCGTAGGCCTTGTTGCGGTATGCCCTCAGCTTTCTCCGCAGCCAAAACTCCATAATGCTATGGCACTGGCCGAGGACAAACATCATGGCCGCAAAGGTGGTGAGGCTCGGCAGCCCAAAGATGCCCAGAAAGCGCGAGTCCTGCGAGCCATCGAGCGAATCGGCCGTGCTGTGGACCGTATGGTAGAGCGTAGACATGCCCGTGACCTTGGCTGAGCCGCGCATAAAGTAGTAGACAAAGAGCTTCTGGATCGGCCAAGTCACCACAGCCCAGCCCGCAGCGACGAGACCAGCCCGCTTGGCCGCCTGGCTGCATTCAGCCCACATTGGCTTCCATAGCTGCGCGTCGTGGAACAGGCGGTATGCACCCACGACGCAGTACGCCGGCGGGAACGAGAGCGTCTCCTGCGGCATCGTCTGCTTCTTCCCTCTACACTGCGTCAATTGGTGAGCTCCACACACACTCACAAGCCTGAGAGGTGTGTGAATGCACTGCATAGTATTTTGCTTATGTCAGCTATGCGCGAGCGCGCGCGGCCTGAACTTTTTGTGTTCGGAGGAACTTCGAAAGTGTCTTGCCCTTCTCCACGAAGGGCTCGTTGCAGGATGACGAGCAGCCACCCAGTCCCGGCCAAGCTGGCCATCAATGCCGACACGCAAGCCAAGCTGCATGCTTGGCAGGACAGCATCAAGAAAGAGGCACTCGACATTATGCAGGTCAAGATCCCCGAAAAGGTAAGTCCGTCTCTTGCCCGCCCACTCCCGTCGTGCTTTCTGACAAGAGCGTTTGATCATCTACAGATCCTTTCACTCAACGAGAGGATTAGAAAGATGAACACAGACTCAAAGGACATCTTTGTCAAAGATCTGTACTATCACCCAGAAGCGCTTGGTACCGACATCACAGTGACATACCCGCCCGTCGAAGCAGAGGAGTCCGAGTCTTCCAAGAAGCGCAAGGTGGCACCCTCTGGCAGCGGCAGCAGCAAAAAGGCAACGGCAATCAACGGTGATGCCTCCCTCGGTGACAGCGACATGGACAGCTCTTCTTCGTCGTCGGCTCACGTCTTTCGAGGACAAGTAAGGGCGTGCGAGTACCTGACAAACTCCTTTGAAGAGCTGCGCAAAGAGTGGGATGACATGGTCGGCTACATGGACGCAATCAAAATGTTCATCAACCTACAGTTCCCCAAGATCGAGGACGGCGACACGTTTGGACAGAGCGTGCAGGAGGAGGTGTTGGGCGAGGTGGTGCGGTCGCAGGATTCGGCCTACAACCTCCTCCATACGCCTGCAAATTACTTTGGCGTCCGCGGCGACCTCGCCGCCAAGGTTGTGCGATTCCCTGGCGTCGAGGACTATGCTCATGCGCTCCGTGAGCACGACCGCAGAGTCTTCTACCGGATCCGTTTGCAGTACAACGACATGCGAAACACATACTCGGTCGTGCTTGACCTCCTGGTCAAGAACATGGAAAAGATTGCCAAGCCCAAGAGCGGCAACCAGATGGGTTCGTACGGCTAGGAAAGGAGGGGAGTAAAGCAGCATGAAAAAAGCTAGAAGGATCCGCACGCACAAAGCACAAACTGTATCACTTTCAGAAATGTTCATCAAGTTCAGTCAATCTATCTTTTACAGCTCCTCTTTGCCTCCAGCAGCGGCAGCGGCGGTGGCTCTTCGTCGGGCGGCGGAAGGGGTTTTTGTCTCGCCGGCGACTGGAATACTTTCCTTCTCCGACTTTTCTCTCGGCTCTTCGTCAGCCTTTGATGCTTTGCTCTTGGGAGCTGCTTTGGACGTGGCAGCTTGAATCCAGTCCTTGATCTGGGAAGTCACGAGGAGGGCCACTCGAGTGCATACAGTCGACCACATGCCTGCACTGACCGAGCCTGAAGGGAAAAATCAGCCTCTTCCCAAGCGAGAGGAATGATCATGCAAGTACTGACCCCTTGGTGCTGCTGTCATGCTCAAAAGCCAGCCAAATGGACCCAAGTAGGTCTCATTGGCCATGTCCCAGGCGTGAACGTGGTGCTTTGGGATCTGAAAGCCCATCGGGGCCAGCTTTGGCGACTCGGTTGCGCCCAGGTGCCGCGACGAGACGGTGCCCGAAGGCGGGAGAAAGAACATGGGCGTCTTTCCAAAGTAAAACGTCAAGACAAAGGGGAACAATGTCGTCGCAAGGAAAAGCACGACTCGAAGCAGGATCGAAAGGGTAGAGGAAGCGGAAACCAACTTGCCATCTGTTTTGCGAGCAGCGCGATGATGAAGTGAGCTTTGGTCGCTCTCATCCCGGAAGCAGAAAGTATGACTCACTGACGGCCTCGAGCTGGCCAACCATCTTGTCGACATTACGACGCAGCTTTGCCCATTTGGCAAACTCGTCCTGGCTGCTCGTCTTGTTGAGTGTCTGCCGGGTCTCGAAGATGTCTTTCTTGAGCCTCTTTTGCGCCTGCAAGTCGGCTCGATAGAGGAGCCGGAGGTAGAGCGGGAGCAGAGCTGCCTGGATCCGCTCCCGGCCGATGAGACCGATGATGTGTGTGCCGAAGACGACAAGCAGGATGATCAGTGCCGGGTGCATCTTGGATCCTACCAGCGGTACTGCTTCGTGAGTAGAAGGTCGGGTCTGGCTTGGTGGAGCTGTCACCCATTCCTAAGAGCACGTGACTGCGAGCATATGCAAGGATGTCTAAAATTGGCCCAATTCAGGCGCTCAAGGCGCGGTGTTCCATCGCCCCCTTAACTTTTGCAAAGGGCTAGCGAACAACCGTCTCCATCAACACACCTCGACACGATCTGACTTTTCTCTTAGACGGGCGAGGCAGCTGAGGAGGACTGGCAACTTTGCGTGTTTCTCTCCCTCCCGCATCAGGCTTCCTAGGCCTCCTGTGGTCACGATACAAGCCGCGAATCGACGCGTTTTCTCTTCTCAACTGGCCGACTTTCACCACGACGAGGCCGCTTCACCGCACTCATAGATGATGACGCGGTTATATGCCTCGGCTTGGGCCTTTGCCCTATGCGTGCTTTTCGCCTCCATCGTCACAGTCCAGGGAGCTGACCCGATCGGAGGAAACAACAACAATAACAACAATAACCAGCAGCAGAGCGGGAGTGTGTCAGCGTCAGCGTCAACCACCTCGATTCCTCAGACGGCTGCAGCAGGTGGGATTGTCATCACCCAACCAGCCGAGCAAGCCTCGCAGCAGTCGTACTACAAGATCGCCTCCGGCGTCAATGTCACTTTCGGCTGGAACTTTACTTCGATCATTCAGCAACCGTCGTCATTGACGGTGCAAGCTTACAACACGGAGATGTCAAACACTTACCTGATCACCGTCCTACCTGGCACGGCCACCTCGGTTGTGTGGTCGCCCTGGGAGCTTCAATCGTCGCAGCGAGCACAGAACAAACAGGACCTCACCCAAGCTACTTACCGACTACAAATCTACGACGAAAGAGGTCTCAACACCGGCATTGTCGGAGGAAGGATGACACCGAATCAAAAGGTTCAGTTTGCCCTCTACATTCCCCAGCCATACACGAGTCTTGCGGGTGGGTCCTTTTTAAAGCTCATTTTATGAAGAAGAGGTGCTGATGTGAGAGACCCTCAGATGGTTGGACGTGCGATGCGTGCACCAGCAGCGGTGCAGCTTCAAGGGCGAAACGGCCACTTCTGCTTGCTGTCGTTCTCACCACGTTGCTAGTCACGCTCTCTGGCGTATGGGAGCTCTTGACGAGATGATGGTGCGAATCTACGACACGCCCTTGGACGATTCCTATCTGTTGCAATCACCCTCTCACCAATACACTGGAGTTTCCTTCCGGTCGACAACGTCTTCCGTTACCCTTCGTCCCTCTTGCATTACGACAGTCCTTTCTTCTTCCGTCTCTCTCCCTCTCGCGTGCGCCTTCGCCCACTTGTATCCAACAGAACAATTCATCATTTGAAATGAACGAAACAGCACAAGGTTCCATTATATCATACAGCGGTGATCTCACTCCTCTACAATTTCCACATCTTCGTCGTCGGCCGCCACAGGCCTTCTCCTCGCCATTTCCTTTTCTCTCCGGAGCTTTTCTCTCTGTTGCTTCTCCTGCCTCTCCTTGTCCCTTCCACCAGCACCACCCGATACAGCTGTCGTAGACGTAGACATCGAGATAGACTGGCTGCGTTGTCGGGTAGGGACACTGATTGCGTTTGCGTTGCTCGATCGCCTTTTCTGTTTCGACGCGCTCGCATCGAGGGCAGGAAGGTCTTCTTGATCGCCCTCTTCGATGGCCAGCGAAGCTTCTTGGCTTTCGCCTCGCAAAAGTCCTGGGCTCCGGGTCGGTGTCGTGCTCTTCTTGCGGATGACTCTCGTCGGTGAGGCCCCGCCTTCCTCTTCTACAATTTCCTCTTCATCTGCCGCTTCCTCGTCTTCTGCATGGTCGCCTTCCTCTTTCTTGCTCCTGTTTCTCTTCTGATCCTCAGTCATGCTTGCGTCAGGATCAAAGCTTCTCGCCTCGATTCGGGGAGCTTCACCCGACAGATCGACACCCGTCAGCACGCCGTATTCGGTCAAGTCAACGGGCAACCGCCTCGCAAATGCGGCGTCCAGCATCCTCGGATTCTTTCCCTCCTCGAAGCGCCACTTCTTCTTGATCGACGCCCTGTCGCGCGATTTGAACATCCTCGAAATCATTTCAAAATCTGTGCCCCACATTGAGACAGCCTTGAAGAATTGCGACGTCTCCTCAACCGTCCACTTTTCTCGGCCTCGCCGCTTGCTCCAGCTGGCGGAATTGACAAACTTTTCGCGCTCGTTCTCGTCGATGTATTCAGCTCCTACGCCGTCCATGCTCGGGTCTTGGCCAAGGCTGACCTGCAATGAGGCGTCGTCGATTACGATTTTGCCGTCGACGATGCGCGTCTGCACCGCAAATCTATTCTCGCGCAGGGTGTGGTGCGTCGAGGCAGTCGCGTTGGACATGGCTCCGACGGACTCTGCATCAGAGGCTCCTCCTTCTCCCTCCTCGTCGTCGACTTCTTCTTCGTCAAAGTCATCATCATCGTCTTGGCCTCGATCGGATCCTGTATTGGGACGTGCGGCTTCGGTATCGCTCGGCTCAATGACTTCTTCCTCCTCGCCCTCAATGTACCCGCGTGAGGTGAGCGCTGCCATGCCTTTGCTTGAGCTGCCTCCAGCCTGCTGCTCTTCTTTGTGGCCCACCTCTTCTCCCTTGACATTGTTTCCCCCCGCCTTCGCCCGATCCTTTTCATTCCTCAGCTCTCTCCTCCTCTCTTCCCGCTTCTGTTTGAGAATTTTCTCCATGTGGAATGTCCTCGTGCCAATGCGACCCCTCTTGAAGCTCGCTGAGCTGATGTCCTCCATCGTCGTTGAGTTGATATCAATGCGATTCCCACGCAGTTCTGGCCCAAACTTCTGCAAATCGGCCAAATACTCTGCCTCGTCTTCGGAAATCGTCGTCGTTTTGCTTCTGCGCTTCGCCGACCGCCTCTTCCTGCCACTCTTGCTGCCTCCCTCGGACGTCTCTCCTCCTTCCGTTTCACTCGCGGACGATTCGTCGGGCGCTTGGCTCGCGCGAAAGGCTTGGACCTCTTCATCGTACTTGCGCTTTAGCTCCTCGGCAATGACTTTGTACTTTGCCTTGTCGGCGGCCTCCATGGCGTTCCAGGCATGGCTAGCCCGCTTCATCTGGTCCTGATGGGCCGTCAGGCCCGTCAAGCCATGTGCCTTCTCGCGATCGTTGGCAGAAAAGTCTCTCTTGAAGAGCAAGAACGCATTCATGGGCCTCTTTGGTTCTCCCGTCTTTCTTTCACTAGTCTTCTTGCGCTTCCCCGTCTTTGTCGACGTTGGCTCCTGTGCCAGACCAGGGGTCGAAGCCTTTCTCGGGTTGTGTGACCTCTTTGCGACCTTTGCCTGAGTTGCAGATGACGCTACGTCGGGCTCTGATGTGGCGCCCTCGACGTCTTCAATCTCCTTGTTCTTGCCGCGTCGGCTCCTCTTGGCCTTCACCGGCGGCCTGTACTCGTCTTCTGCGTTTGAGTCTTCCAGATCTGACTCTGCTTCCGGCTCTGGGAGGGCCTGCTCCTCATGGCCATCGCCGTTGGACTGTCTCGTCGGTAGCTCTTTCTCCTTGCCGCTAGTACGCTTTGACCGTCTCGTCAAGGCAGGTTTGGATGAAGTCTCTCCAGGTGTTTCCAAGTCTTTGGAGGCCTCTTTTGAGGATTCCTGTTGGGATGGCGCTGCTAGGCTACCATCCTCCGCCGAGGCTTCTGGCTGTGGTCTTCCCCTTCCATTGGCCTTGGAAGTGCTACCTTCTTCTCTACGTTGCACGGGCGCGGACGAGACAGCAGGGACAGGCGTGTCCGACGGCTGACGAGGCGAGGGCGTCACCGACCTCCTACCGATAGAAGGTCCTACTGAAGGCGCCCTAGGCGTCGGCGCTCTGAGCGGAGGGCCCATGGAAGCGTCCCTCCCCGGCCCTGGCCCCGATATCCCGATCGTGATTGGAACGCCACCACCACTGCCTCCTCCTACTTTCTTGGAAGCGGGCGACACGAATGCGTAGCTCTTTGTCTTGGTCGCGCTTCCGCTGCCGCCCATCGACGAGCCGGGAAGAGAAGGCACGGGGCTCGGGGAAGGTGCGGTCCTCATGCGCGGCGATGCGCCGGGGGCGCCGGGTATGGTCGAAGGTAGCCGGATTGGCACGCCGCCAGAGGAGCGCGAAGGCGCGTCTTCCCGGCGATTCGAGGGCGTGGCAATGGGGGCGCCAAGGGCCGGAGGCCTCCTCGAGGGGGAAACGATAGGAACAGATGGGTGGCCTTGCGCTCGCACAGACGGCGAGGTGGGTGCAAGGCTGGGCGAAGGGGGCAATGAGGGTCGTCGTTGCTGCTGCTGATCTTGATGCTGTGGAGGTAAGGATGGCGACGAAGGAGGTGCTTGCCGTGACTGTTGCGGCCGTGTGGGTTGCGAGATGGGCACGCCACCCGAGGGGCGCCCCTTTCCCGGAGGTCCCGGTCGGAACTTGACCGCGCCAGGCTTGTCGATGCGCGACGACATCCTCCGTCTCCCCTTCTCTCGTCTCTGGTGGTGATGGTGGTAAGAATGGACGCGTCGCTTGCCTTCCAAAAAAATAAAAAAGTGGATGATTTCTCCGAAGGCACTCTTTGATTTTTTTTTTGGCGCGCTTCTCTTTCTCCATCTCTTTCTTACAGCTAAAAGGTGGATCGGGGTTGGACGATGATGGACCGGCAGGCATCATCGTCGGCCTCGTCGTCGCGGCTGACCTCCCCCGCCTCGTCGTCGCAGGCTCGCAAAGCTGCGACAGGAAAGAGGAGTAAGTGGGATCTCCTCGATGAGGACGAAGACGGGAAATGCGCCGATGAGCTCGAGCGTGAAGCGATCGAAGCGAGGGCCAAGGCGGCGGCAAAGGCTTCGCGAAAGAGGGCAAAGGCTGCTGCAGCGGCAATGGCCGCTAGAGAGAGGGAGGAGCAAGCCACTGGAGAAAACGGCAAGGCAAGAGCGTCTTCGTCTGCCGCGAGCGAAGAGCCTCCACCGAGAACCCGGCCCCCATCCCCGCCTCCCGTCCCCCCACGGGAAGCTCATCCAGGGATAGCCGGCTGCCGGTCTGTCTATTGCTATGAGAGGCTCAATCACATCGAGGAAGGGTCCTATGGTGTCGTCTTCAGAGCCAGGGACAAGGAGACGGGCGAGATTGTCGCGCTCAAGAAGCTCAAGATGGACAAGGAGACAAATGGGTTTCCCATCACCAGCCTGCGAGAGATCCGGACGCTGATGGAAGCAGCCCACGAGAATGTGGTGCGGGTGCGAGAAATTGTCGTGGGCGATACTCTGACACAGTGAGTTTGCGCCAAATGCTTCATACACGGCAGGGAGACTGAAGAACCTGCTGCTCTTGACCTTGACAGGATCTTCATCGTCATGGACTTTATCGAACACGACCTCAAGACGCTATTGCACACCCAGACCACGCCATTTCTTGCCTCGGAGGTCAAGACGCTGATGCGTCAGCTCCTGAGCGCCATCTCGCTGCTTCATCGGAATTGGATCATTCACCGGGACCTTAAGACAAGCAATCTTCTCATGAACAACCGGGGTCAGATCAAGCTGGCCGACTTTGGGCTGGCGAGAATGTACGGCGAACCGACAGGGGAAATGACGCCCCTCGTCGTCACACTCTGGTACCGGGCTCCGGAGCTCCTACTAGGCGCAGAGACGTACGACACGGCCATTGACATGTGGAGCATCGGCTGCATCTTCGCGGAGCTCATCACCAAGGACCCTCTCCTCCCAGCTCGAAATGAGACAGAGCAGATATACAAGGTTTGTGGCCGTGAACTTTCTCTTCGAGTGCACATCAATAACAGATTTTAACCACAGATCTTTCGACTGCTCGGGTATCCTACCGAGGATTCTTGGCCTGGCGTCACGTCTCTTCCTAACGCACCGTCGCTTCTTTCCAAAGGATCTGCGCTCCCGTATGTCTTTATGCCCCCTTTCTCACCAGTCCGTTTCCCTTTTCCGTCGCTGACTCTAATACGCTTCTCTCAGGCCGTACAGCCAGCTCCGTAAAAAGTTCCCCTACAGCACCGAGCAGACCATTGACCTGCTCCAGAAGCTCCTAACGCTCGATCCCCGCCGTCGAATCACGGCAGACGAAGCGCTCCAGCATCCGTACTTTCGCGAGTCGCCCGCGCCCGCCCATCCAGATACCTTTGGAAGCTTTCCGAGCGTCGCCGCGGGTGAGAGGAAGCGCAGCGCCTCTCCGAACGCGCCCCACCGAGTGGCAGACCAGAAGCTGGCCTACCAGCTCGAGATGGACCTTTGATTCTTGCCGCCCTGCCGTCTTCTATCCAATCTTGTACGCATACATCCACCCTTGCTCTACCTTCAATCGACAACCTCCAAACTCCAGATTACGGTGCCATGTGTGTCTATCTTTTATCCTTTTTCTATTTTCTCTATGGCAGCTCTTGAGAAAGGAGGGAGGGGAGCCTCGATCTCGACCCTGCCTACTCTACCTATACATGGTGGGAAACAGGAGATGGAAGCTAATGAGCGAAGGGATGAGGTTGAAAAGGCGCGAAAGAAGGTGACGGTACCGGACAAAACGGAAGAGACTGTGGACAAAGCGTAGCGAGGGTAGGGAACAAGCGGACTGAAGACGCGACCGCCGCACACGGCCAGAAGCTGTTGCGCAGGACGGATCATTTCTCAGTAGGTCTCGTCCGGAGTGGCAGAAATCTGCCGCGATGGAATGGGGAGACAGAAGAGGAAGGAAAGAAGACAAGGGGGGCTAGAAGAGAAGAAAGAGGCTCACGTCGACGTATGCGCCCAATCGATGAATTGGGGCATGTAGATAGGGCGCCCTGCTTTCTGGTAATGGGCGATATCCGACAAGGAGTAGCTGGGCAAGCTTTCATCGGCGCACCGTTGTGCTTCGTTGAGGTTGTCAATGACGCTGTTTTGAGTTGCACCATAAGCTTTAGTGCTGCCTGTCAGGTCCGTCCCCTGGCCAGTGCCGACTCCGTCGCGGATCAATTGTACTGGACCAGCTTTGCTCCCTCTGCTGCTGTTTGTGACAACCGTGCAGGAGCTGTCGCTCGATTGGGTGAAGTTGCCAAAAATTATCTTGCTACTTTGTTGCGTCGGCTCTTTGCTGCTTGCGTTCTGTCGGTGGCCCTGATGCTGCTGCTGCTGCTGCTGCTTCAGTTGATGCCGCTCTGCTTGCATTGGAGGTGTGCGAGACTGTTGATGAGCCGATTGTGCCAGCTTCGGCATCGACTGCTGAGCCTGTGATGCTTGTAGTTGCTGCTGGACGGGATTGGCGTGTGGCATAGGAGGCGCTGGCGTCATCATCACCACAGGCATTGGACCCGCGGGTATACTTCCACCGTAGTAATCTACCGAGAGTGGTTGGCTAGCCGAGACCATCCCATATGGTGGGAATGGGCAACCCGCCGCCATGGCGGCTCCCGTCATTGGATCGACAAAGTACGGGAGGAACGGTGGAGATGAATGGTGAGGAGGAGGTGGAGCCTGAGATTGCTGCCGAGACGTCGAACGACCCATAGCTCCTTGCTGTGCTTGATGAGGCAGAACTTGACTGCGATCGAGTGCGAACATCGGTGGACCGGTCGGTGCTGGCTCACTGAGGGGCCAGAATGTGGGCGCGACCTGTTGGTATTTTGGCTGGTTGGTCCAATGCTGAGAGGGCGCTTTGTAAGTATGCGTGTGCGGCTCGTTGGCACAGTTGTAGCCAGACGACACGAAGTGCTGGTGGACGAAGCCCGAAGCGTGATGCATGTCGTTGTTGTTGCTGGCCATCTCGATCTTGGTGTTGACCCACTGGGGAATCGTGTAATTGTCGTTGCTCTGGTCCTCCTGAGTAGCAAAAGGACGAATAGGCAGACGCTCTTTGCTAGGAGATTGCGGTGCTTTTCCTCCTTCATGGAGATTGGCTTCTTGTTCAGTGAGCGGCCCCTGATAAGTGGTACCGGGGCCACGAAGCTCAGGGCGGTTTCGCCAGCCACGCTTGTAGCTGTTTCCAACATGTTTGCGGCGGACCTAAACATTTGTATATGTGTAAGTAGAGTCAGTCACGCAGGATGGGTGGACGAGAGAGACCTGACTGACCACAATGCGCCGACCGCAGACTTCGGTGCCGTCTTCAGTCAAGGCAGACTCGATGGCGTCGGTGTGATAGAATCTGTTTAGCAGGGCACGGTGTCAGGTTTTAAGAGGGCGAAGGGTCGACTTTGTCCTATCAGAGACTCACTTGACAAAGGCAAAGTTGCAATTCTCGGTCTTGTGCCGAACGACTCGCAGCTCCACCACCTCGCCATGCTTCTCAAAGATGGTCGAGAGGGCCTGTTCGACGTCGTTGCCACTTCCAAGGCCGACTTTGCCCACAAAGAGGGCGAGCTGTCAGGAAGACGTCATGAATCAGCTTTCCCTTTTGTGTAAGGCGCATACAGAGGCAACTTCACCGGATCAATTTCCTCTGGAAGAGCTTGATGGCGATGAATAGAATAGCTATTGTAGGGTCTCATGTATTGCCGCTGATTCTGCTGCCGATAATGGAGACTGCCAGGGTGTTGGTGGTTTTGGTGGTGCTGGGCGGCATGCTGCGCTCTCTTTGAGCGATGGCTCGCGGGGCTCGTTGGTGGCCTCCTCTCCCTGGTCTCTTTGCCATTCATGACCTTTTCGTCAATGACAGAGATTGTTGGTGTCTTTGGAGTGTCGGTCGCTCCCGAAGTTGTAGAGGGGCTTGGGGGTGTCTGACGAGCAGGAAAGTCGCTGTTGACAGACGGAGGAGGTGTTGCTGCTACGCCCGGCATGGTCTGGATCCTTGGACAGTGGGAAGAGAACTGTTTGCGTTGAGCAGCTTGCTGAATGAATGATATAGAAGAAGGAAGGACAAAGGCGAGGAGCCTAAGGGATTGTAAATGTAGTGGTAGGTAGAGAGAAGAAAAGAGGTAGAAGTTGAGAGGGAGTGATGATTTATGAGGGAGGGAGAGGCGAGATGAGATGATGACAGATAGTGTATGCAGCTGGGGGATAGACGGGCGCAGAAAATGCAGCCGGGCATACATCCCAGAACTCGCCGCCGCCCGATGTCCTCCGGTCTTTCTTCTCGAGGTAAGGTGCCTCGCTGTAGCTCTGGCTCACTGCTGCCTTCCCTATCCAACGATTAAACCCAATCGCTAAGCTGCACGAGAGAATACAGACATGTTCTATCACACGGGCTGCGGTCTATCCTAGCCCTCATCATCCATTCACTCGAATATTCAACCTGGGTAGCCAGGAAAGCTGAGGAGCGGAGAGCAAGAGTACAGTTGCGCGGGCGTTAGCATTGAACTCCTCTGCATTCCGAGTCTCTACACTTGGGGCACAGGTGCAGTCTCGATTCACTCTACCGTACGACATGCCGAGGTGAATCATCTCGGTGTAAGTGCTTTGGACCGCTGGGCCTCGCTTCCCCCTTTCCCCCCCTCTCCGCCGTCTTGCGCAACCGTGGTTGGAGGTGTTGCGAGGGCGTCATTAATGATTATTAAAATGTCACCAATTCACGGAGCACTTTTTCGACACGCGCTGCTTACAAAGAACTCTCTCTGCCTGCCCCGAATGGGATCCGCTCCGACCACTGCGAAGAAATAATTGCCTCAACTTTTTTTTGTTGCTTCTTCCGCCAACATCATCTCATCACCCAAACGACGTCCCTGGACATCTCCACATCGACAACGATGGCATCAGGACTTGGCGAAAGCGACCAGAAGTGAGTGATTGGTTGCCTGTATGGTGGAGTCTTCAAGCAGTCTGTGGGCTGACAGAGACGTGCCTCCGTCGACAGGGAGCTGCAGTCGTTCCTCGACGCTGAGCAGGCAAAGGCGCGCGTCCAATCGAGCATTCACAACTTCACCGACGTGGGTCCATCACCTCTTCTTTCTCCCTCGTACCGTCACACTCACATGCATCGCCATACCTCCTCTACAGATGTGCTGGGACAAGTGCGTTACCTCGTCTATTGGCTCTCGCTTCGGCAGGGGCGAGGAGGCGTGCCTGGCAAACTGCGTCGAGCGGTGAGTAGCTACTACTACTGGCCCCAGTCTCGTCGTCTCCGAGACGTGTACGCCCGTCTTTGGACGCGTGCTGACGCAATTGGTCTCCACAGCTTCCTCGACAGCTCCCTTTACATCGTCAAGCGCCTCGAGGAACAACGTCACCAGGCACCATAGTCGCTGTGTCTTCCTCTCGTCCATCACCCTGTAGCGTTACTGTCCACTACTCAATACATTTGTGCAACAAAATAGGAAAGTCACAGCTCTCTCAGACCAGCGTTGCAACAGACAGATAAACCGGGAAAAGAATCTGATTGAACAGAGAGAATTAAGACGTTTACTGCAGCTGCTTGCTTGGAGTAGGCGCCGCAAGGTTTGGCGGGAGGGCCAGGTCGGGTCGCTGGTCCTTTGCAAGCTTGCCGCCAAACAAGACATTCCCGTGCTTTTCCTGGTATTGTGCGATCCTCTCTTCAATCTCTGGCCTAAAGTGCCGGAGCAGGCCCTGGATCGGCCAGGCGGCAGCGTCTGCCAATGCGCAGATCGTGTGGCCCTCTGCCTGCTTTGTAATCTCCCAGAGCTGGTCGATTTCTCGCCAGTCCGCTCTGCCCTCTTCCATCCGCGCCATCATCTTCTTCATCCACGTCGTTCCCTCTCGGCAGGGTGTGCACTGGCCGCACGACTCGTGGGCGTAGAACTTTGCAAAGCGCGAGATGCCCTTGATGACGTCCGTCGACTTGTCCATGACAATCACGGCGCCCGTTCCCAGCGACGACTGCGCATCCTTGAGCGAGTCAAAGTCCATCAGGACATCATCGCAACGGTTCTTGGGGAGAATCGGCACCGAAGAGCCACCGGGAATGATGCCCAGAAGATTGTCCCAGCCGCCGCGAACACCGCCGCAGTGGCGCTCGATGAGCTCGCGCAGGGGAATGCTCATCTCTTCTTCGACGACGCAAGGGTTGTTGACGTGGCCGGAGATAGCAAACAACTTGGTGCCCTGGTTCTTCTCACGGCCAAAGCCGGCGAACCAAGCAGGGCCGCGACGGATGATGGTGGGTGCCGCAGCGACGGTCTCGACGTTGGCCACCGTGGTGGGGCAGCCGAAGACGCCCACGTCGGCAGGGAACGGGGGCTTGAGTCTCGGCTTGCCCTGCTTTCCCTCGAGCGATTCGATAAGGGCCGTCTCCTCGCCGCAGATGTAAGCACCAGCTCCCTTGTGAACGCTGTTCGATGTCGTCAGCTCTTGGTCCTTCTCAATATCACGTCAAGTCACGTAGAGGCACTCACTAGACATCAAAGTCGTAGCCACTGCCGCAGGCATTCTTGCCAATGAGGCCCTCCTTGTACGCCTCGTTGACGGCCTGCTGAACGTGGGCGGCCTCGAGGTAGAACTCTCCGCGAATGTAGATGTAGGCAGCGTTGGCGCCCATCGCTCGTCCAGCGACGAGGCAGCCCTCGACTAGCTTGTGCGGGTCGCCACGCATGATCTCTCGGTCCTTGCACGTTCCTGGCTCACCCTCATCGGCATTGACGACGAGATACCGTGGCCGAGGGTCCTTTTCCCAGCCGGGCTTGAGCATGAAGGACCACTTGAGGCCAGAGGGGAAACCTGCTCCACCGCGGCCTCGCAGGCCAGAAGCCTTCATCTGCGAGATGATCCAGTCGTGGCCTTTGTCGATGATGTCACGCGTTCGGTACCAGTCACCACGGGCCTGATTGCAAGCTTCTTCAGCTTCCACAATCTTCAAACTTCTTTTGCGAAAATCGTCTTTGATCAAGGAGAGACTCACAAGTGCACCCTTGAGAAGGTGGTCATGCCTCATGTATGCATTTTGGAAGATGCGGTCCTGGTCCCTCAGACCTCCATACTTTCTCTGGGGCGCATCCTGGACCGTGGCGAGACCTCGCGCACCAGCGGGTGCACCGGCTGCAGAGACAGCTGCCGACACGCTGGACCTCGAAAGACGACCCGAGGTGGCCGAGGCGTGGCGAGCGAGAATAGCTGTGCCAGAAATCGCCGTCGTCAGCAGCCGCCCATCTTCTAGTCAACGCCTCTCGCGGATCGCGGGAATCAATACTCACAAGCACGCTGCATCTTTGCTTCGTCTCGTCGAGAGGGGACAACGAAGAGAGAGACGAGAGAAGGTGGTTGTCACGGGTTCGTGATGGCAAAATCCGATTTTGTAAGACTAACCCTCAGTCCAATCATCTTCGCTCGTTTCAAAATAACAGAGAATTGCCACGTGGACGATGATTACGATAGCCTCGACGGGAGGATCACGGTGATGATGCGTAAGAATACAGTACGGGAGAGACAAGAGTCGATAAAAGAATTTCAAGCGCTTGCGGTCGCCGTGGCATTGGCAGGTGGGGCAGACATGGTGGGACCCTGAGAATCGGGCTGCTTGTTCACCGCACCCAGAGGGCCCGTCTGGCCCACGGAGCGAATGACTCCAATAAGCTTCGTTTTGCCCTCCCTCGTGATGAGCTTCAGGCCCGGCTCAACGTATTCTGCAAACCTGATGAACTGCAATCTGAGCAGCGCTCGGTCGCCCGTTCTCACCACGGGCTTGTCGGGGTTGGCCGAGGCCATCGTGGTGTCAGTGGAGACATCGCCGTGCGAGTCGAGCTTAGCAATGGCCAGGATGCGTACCGTCTGCCGGATGCTGGCGGCATGGAGCACCATGCAGCTTCCTACGCTCAGTGTCGTGGAGTGGTACAGACAGAGAATCTCGGCGTCGCACGTCATTGAGGCCTTGGGAGGCGAGTCAGTGCGCGAGAGCATGACCATGCCCTTGCGGACCTGGTTGCGACGGATGCGCTTGAGCGCAAAAGAGGCGCTCTGTCCGGCAGAGGCAGCATCGACGTTGACACGCTTGCGCTGGATGGAACGAACACTAGTGGGCGTGAACTGGCCCAGTGTGTCGGGTCCGATGATGAGGTTATCGCCCACCTTGACAACGCCAGACAGAATGACGCCGCTGACGACGCAGCCAACGAATGGGACGCTGAACACATCCTGCAATTGGAACTTGAAGGGTGCCTCTGGCGAGAACTTGGCCGGGTTTGCCTGGGGCAGCACGTTGAGAAAGGAGCGTAGGAGCGGAAGATTCTGGCCCGTGACATTGGAGATCTGAAAGATGGGGCAGATGCGCTCGTTCCCCAGCCGCAATGCCGTCTCAACGGCCTGCTCCTGATTCTCGACAAAGACGGGCGTCTTGCGGCAGCCGGGCGAGCGCAGAATCTTGCTAAGCTGCTTGATGGTTGCCTCGAGGATGTGCGGAGGAGTCATGTCGACCTTTGTGATACACACGAGCACAGGAACAGCAAGGGCCAGAGCCACGCCGAGATGCTCCTTGCTCATGCCAATCAGACCCGCATTGCCGCCGACCATGAGCATGCAAAAGTCGGGCAGGCATCCTGTGAGACCACCAACGGTCGTCTTGAGGTAGCGCTCGTGTCCCGCGAGGTCCTGCCAGTGGTACCCTCGCTTCAGCACATGAGCTGTTCTTTCCCAAACTGGCGCGTACTCACAATGAAAGAAATAACCTTTGCGCTCCTCGCACACACCTCCTCCCAGCTCATCTTTCTTCCTGGCTCCGTCGACCCCTTTTCGGCATTCGTGACGACCTCACCCTCGCTGTCGAAACCCACGATTTCCATGCCTACGCTTGACGTTCGCCCGCTCTCGATCTCGTGCTTGTGTCTGAACAGGTTGACACGGGCTTTGCCTCGTCCATCATCGAGCCCGCCCTTGGTAAGAACGCCGAGGGTAGACGACTTGCCGGCGTCGACATTGCCAATGACGGCGATGCGCAGCTCCAGGAGCTCCTGGGCACCCGCCGGTATTCTCCGGAGCATCAGGTAGGCGTAGCTCGACTGTGGACTCTGTCCCCTGCACAGCACCGTAGCCTGGCCTTCGGCATCCTGGCATGCCCTCACGACATTCTTGACGGCCAGATCGAGCTCGTTCTCGGTGAAGCACCGATCGACAGCCTCGATCCCGTCAATGTCGTGCTTAAAGTGCTCCTGCTCCTCGTAGGTCCTCGGTGGCAGTCCCAGGCGGAGAACTGCCTCTCCACCGTTGGCCCAGATGTGATCGTGAAGGCAGACGCTCAGGACTTCGCCAGACTCGGTGCTCGTGTCAAGCAGCAGCGTCTTGATGGCGTCGTTGTCCATCGTCGCAAGTCTGTCCCCACTCGTGGCACTGGCACTGTCGGCCAGCTTGCTGCTCTGCAATGTCGCCGTGAGCGCGTCGATGGTGTTCGCGTTCTTCTTACCGGCCACCCCTCCCGCTGCTGGTGCCGATGCTGCGGACGCGTTGGCGGTCGCTCCCGCCGCCCCGACAGCAGGAGCAACAGCAGGAGCAACAGCAGGAGCAGCAATAGTGGCGCTTGTGGCGGTGGAGCCGGCAGGAGGAGCTGAGCCGCCACCGCCGTCGCGTAATCTTGGAGCCGACATATGGTATGAGGCTGAAGATACAGGAAGAGCGTTTGGAGGAGGAACGTGTAAAAAGAAGTAGTAAAGGAAAGGCGTGAGTGCCAAATGGACGATGGAGCAGCAAAGAGACGCCTTGGTGGCCGTTGCGGAGAACGTGTAGTCAGGGTGCAGCAGTGCTATGCATGCGATGCGCGCCTCCACTGACTTTCAGCTGAGACGCGCTTTAGTGTAGCCTTCCAGGACCAAAAGCAGCAGCTCTGGGCCGGTGACGCGAAGAGCCCCCACCTACTACTGACCTCTTGGTTCACTTCGTTGTCGACAATCAAAAAAAAAAGCGCCAAGTACTTCGAGCACTCCTGTAGTGGAAGTCTTATATGAAGCCGGCCAAACAGCAATTGGAGCGAGCGGAGTCACTGCTTGCTCCGTCTCAACTTTGGCGCTGACTCATTTTGCAGACACGTGAGAAAGGAGCATGGTCCTTCGTCTTGTTTCTTTTCATTTGCCATTTCTACTTTCCCCTGCTTTCTAGCCACAGACTGGGTCCAATGCAATTCACAAGGGTAGAGAGCTGGGAAGCAATCAGGGCTCCAGCCGCTTGGGGTCGCGGGGGAACATGCTTGCTCTCCTGATGTTGCCCTGTTTGGAAAACGAGAATGTCAGGAAAGAGAGGCGGGGGATCGGCATCAAGCAACCAGAGATGGGTACACACCAGGCCGAGGTAGAACATGACGACACGCTCGAGACCGATGCCTGCTCCTGCATGGGGAGGGCAACCGAGCCTGAAGGCGTCGACGTATGGCTTCATGGCGCTGACGGGAATGTTGGCCTCGGCCATCCTCGCTTCGAGCAGCTTGGGGTCGTGGACACGCTGAGCGCCCGACAGAATCTCCTGTCCGCGGAAGAAAAAGTCGTACGACAGACTGTACTTGTCGTCCTTGGGGTCGGGCATCGTGTAGAACGGCCGAATGGCCAGCGGGAACCGGTCCAACATGAAGAAGTCGCTCTTGTACTTGTCGCGCACAGCCTTGCCCAGGACGCGCTCCTGCTCCGTGCTCAAATCGTCGTAGTCGCCAATCTCCTGGCCCGCCTCGCGCAGCATCTTGACGGCCTCGGGGAATTCGAGCCGCGGCATTTGATCGGGGACGAGGAAGTCCTCGACAGGGAATTGCTTTCGGATCACCTCGATTTCCTTGCTGTACCGCTTGGGAAGCTGCTGGAAGATGAAGGTGAAAAGGCCCGAGAGAACGTCGAGAACCTCGTGGTAGTGCTCGTCGAAAGCCATCTCGAGGTCGAGGCCGGTGAATTCCGTCATGTGGCGAGGCGTGTTGCTGTCCTCTGCCCGGAACACGGGGCCAATCTCATAGACTTTGCCAAAGTCGGCAGAGATGGCCATCTGCTTGGGAAGCTGGGGAGATTGGGCCAGGAAGGCGTCGCCCTTGAAGTAGCTGACCTTGAAGACGCTGGCTCCGCTCTCGGTGGCTGCTGCCTGGAGCTTGGGCGTGTGGATCTCAACGAAGCCCCGGTCATCGAGGAATTCGCGGAAGAGCTTGCAGACGCCGTGCTGGATACGGAAGATGGCCTGGTTCGTGGCCGTGCGCAGGTCCAGGACACGGTTGTCGAGGCGCGTGTCGATGCCGATAAATGCCATTGGCCTGTCGGTCGACTGCGAGGCCTGAATCTCGGCGTCGGACCGCACGGCATCATCGACGTAGAAGGGAATGGGCTCGTCAAGCTTGAGCCCAGAGACGACGTGGATCTTGCTGATCTTGACCTCGGCATCCTTGACTGTCACCGTAGATGACTCGATAGGCTTGTCGACCTTGGATACGGTGCCCTCGACTTGGACGATAGTCTCTGCGTCGATGCCGTTGGCCCACTTGACCATCTGCTTCGACACCTTTTCGGGTGCCTGAGCCAGAACGCACTGAACACAGTCGAATCGCTTACGCAGCGTCAGGAAGACGAGCTTGGCTGTTTCCAGTGTCAGCTGTAAGAGGCCCAAAGGTGAGCGACGGGCCTGTCACATACCAGAGGGAGACCTCGACTGCTGAATGCGAGCCGTGAAGAGCACATCCTTGCCGTCCAAGGCAGCGCTGATCTCGCCAATGTCGGTGAATTTGCGCCCTGTCCGCTCCTGCGACTGGTTCAATGGCAGCTCGCCGTAGTTTTGCGAAGCAAAGTCCTGCATTCAATGCAACAGATCAGCCTCTAGGCTTCCTGATCAGGAACAAATGTGACACACCTGCTCGCTTGCTTCTCGTTGCGCCTTCTCGGCAGCAACCCTGGCAGCCGTCTCTGCCTTTTTCCGCTCCTTTTCCAGCTTGGCTGCCCTCTTCTTCTTCTGGTTGTCCGACAGCGGGGTTCCGTCCGGGCTGTGCTCCGGTGTCAGGCCATCGTGCCCCTTTCGATACACAGCTTCTGCTACTCACTTGAGCTCCTCATCGAGGTTGGGCGCCGCGGCGGGCGCCTTCTCGGGTTGCTGTTGCTCCTGGCTCGCCATGTTTGTGTAGTCGAGTCAAGAAGAAAGGATCAGGGACGAGCGCCCTAGACAGAGAAAGAAAGCTTGCTTTTCTTTTTTGTCGGCCGAGGCTCCACCTCGTCAACTCTTTCTGCTTTCCTTTTTTTCCCAATTTCTTATCCTGCTGATCAGGATCGACCCGACAATCTCTAGAACAGCACCATGGCTGCGCCCTTTGCCGTGCACGCCGTACCGACCTCGGCCCGGGACCCCAAGACGTCTTCGACGCTGGAGCCGTACCAGGTCTCGTACCTCTCGATGCTCCTCTCGTCGGAGATTCTCAAGTTTGGCGGTCCATTCACCCTCAAGTCGGGCCGCCAGTCGCCCTACTTTTTCAACGCGGGCCTCTTCTGCACGGGCGAGAGCATCGCCGCCGTCGCGAGCTGCTATGCCGAGCGGATCAAGCGCAGCGGCGTCGAGTTTGACGTCCTGTTTGGCCCTGCCTACAAGGGCATCCCGCTCGCTGCCACGGTCGCCATGGCCCTGCAGCTGCAGCACGGCATCAATGTCGGCTTCACCTACAACCGCAAGGAGGCTAAGACGCACGGCGAGGGCGGCACCCTGGTCGGTGCGTCAATGAAGGGAAAGAGGGTGCTCGTACTCGACGACGTCATGACGGCCGGCACCGCCATCAACGAGGCCGTTGCATACATTGCGGCAGAGAAGGACGCAAAGCTCGTCGGCGTCTGCATTGCCCTCGATAGGCAGGAGCGGATCAAGGAGGACGACACGGAGGGGACCGTCGACATGGTGAGCAAGCGGCTAGGTGTGCCAGTCCTCAGCGTCGTGGGACTGGACCAGATCATTGCGTTCCTTGAGGCGCGGGGAGGATACGAAAAGGAGATCGAGAGCATGAAGGACTACCGGGCAAGATACGGCAGCGTAAAGGGGTGAACGTGTTGTTTGTGAAAAAAAAATGGCATTTCTATCTAGAGTCCCTATTTGTGTGTGCTAGAAGCGCGAACCAAACGTGATGATGACCTTGCTCATGATGTTGGCCGCGGCCAAGACACCGATGATGAGGCCGACGTGGGAGACGAGGAGCGTCACAGCGCCGGTCATGAATCTCGGCGTCCAGATCTTGAAGAGCATCAGATGCCTCTTGAAGTGCGCTGCAAAGAGCGCAGACGAGAACGTCACAATGGAGTGATAGAGGATAAAGGACAAGGAGGCGTCCAGGAGGACAGCCAGCGTCGGCATCCTTTCTTCCTCTGGCGCTGCTTGGGCGGCGCTTCCCTGTTGCTGCTGCTGCTGCTGCTGCTGAGAAGCTCCCCTTCGTGGCCTCGGGGCCAAATTCCACAGGACCAGCAACGGCACCGCCATTGCTGGTAGCAGCGCTACTGGACCAAAGCTGTTGAGCGCGACGAGGAGGGGCGAGAAGGGGTAGACGACCGTGTCGAATCCTACAAAGGCGGTCCTCCATTGGATCGATGCAAAGGTGGCCTGGTGACCTGTAGCAAAGAACGTCACAAAACCCACGAGGGCCACTGTCGCCACCTCCAGGAATGTCACGGTGGGCGATCCCTTGGGACCAGACGCTGCTGCGGCGGCTGCAGCAAACGAGGACGACGGTGTGTCATTGCCCTTTTTGTTGGGAACTGCGGCGTCGACGGGAATGGCAGCCTTTGCGAGTGCTTCGTTGAGAAGACGTCCGTCACGTTCGCCGTCGCCAGCCTCCGCGCAGCATACAATGACCAAAAAGGCCAGTACAAGGACAATTTGGCCCGTAGACTGAGCCACCAGGAAGAGCAGCGCGGTGACGAGGGAAAGCAGCAGAAGGTAGGAAGATCCGAGCGAGTTCGCAAAGCCCAGAACAATGAGCCTAGTTGTTGGAGCTCCAGGAGCCTGCGGCTGCTGCTGCTGCTGCTGCTGCTGCTGCGGTGGCGACACGTTTTCGCGTTTAAGCTCCAAGCACAGTGGACTAAAGGCCCAGAACGCCACACCGATGACGACGATGAGCATCATGTCGGCCCTCGCCAGCGCCATCTTTGCCCACTTCAGGGCACCCTGCGATGCTGGGCTCAGCTCTGAGCCAAGGATGTTGGAGGTGAGGAGCCAATCGATGAGCCAAAAGCCAGCACCTGCCAATAGCGCAGGCCGTACGAGCCAGTTGATAAAGAGGGGAGCGACGCCCGCGAAAGACCGACTGATACCCAAGGCATATCCGATGAGCGTGGGCAGGAAGAAGGAGAGGACGTAGGCAAAAAGGATGGCGATAGGACTGTTGGAAGACATGTCGCCCGCTCCGTAGAACGTCGATCGGCAATCGGGGGCCTGCTCTTCGCGGCAGATCCGGCTAAATGCGGCCAGGCGAAGCAAGAGGGCGGTGGCGGCCATGAGAGCTGGGATCCTCAATCGGAGACGTGCGGTGGGGCTCGCGACAAAGCCTTGCACGCCGCGATAGATGATGACCACCATGACGAGGGCCAGGACAATCTTGTCCTCGTGAACAGTGAAGCTGTTAGAGGAGAAGGCGACTGCATGGAGGAATGGGAGCAACATGCCAATGTATCCGTGCCCATCGGAGGGCAGCGCCAAAGACCGAAAAGCGCCGTCCTTGGATGAAAAGTTGAGACTAAGCTGACTGCCGAGAGCTGCTCCCGAGATGATGCTGTCCAAGACAGAGAAAGCTTGCAAAGGGCCCACGGGCACGAAGAAAATGGAGAAGAGCTTGCAAAGGAGGCCGGCCGTTGCTCCTCCTGCGGCGCCAAGGCACGTTGATGTGTACACGTCGGAGGCGAGATCCGTGACGTCCAGTGACGACCGAATGCCTCGCCGGGCAGCATTTCGGAGTGTCAGACACGTTGCGAGGCTCATGCCAAGGAGGGCGAGGCCGGCGGCAATCTTGAAGAGCTCAAATTTGGCCCAGACGCTGCGAGCACGGACGAGGCTGCTGCGAGTGAAGTTGAGATAGGCACGCGAGGCTTCCAGCTCAGCATGCTCGACGGCCTCTGACGATGCTCCTTGGTGAAGCAGGCGAGCATAGATTTCGTCCTTGAGGAGGGCTTGGTGCCAGTCGTGGCGGATCGAAGCCTCGAATGGCTGCAAATCCCTTGACTCTGCCGCGTAGGCGTTGAGGTAGCGGTGAATCTGGATGGCGTTTACACGGAGCGCTCGAAGCAGTCGATTCTTTGCTTGAGCGGCGTCGACAGCCTGCTGCAAAAAGACCTCAGGAATGACGGTACCCAGATTGTTGAAGGGAATGGGAAGGCCCATCAGAAGCGACATGGTGGGCACCAGGTCGATCTGCGCGACGGATCGATGGCCCTGCTCGGATGGACGAAGAGGGCTGAACTGAACATGTGGCTCGATATCGCCGCTATTCAGGCCTCGAAGGACATCGGCGGCGATCTTCTCGACATTGGAGCCCTTTCTCGCGCGGTCTTGCCGCGCATACATCCACAGGCCAGAGCCCACCTCGAGCTCGCCGTCGCCGCCGTGGTCACCCTTGTCGTCCATGCCATGATCTCCCAGAAGGACAAAGAGCGAGTCTTTGGGCAGATTGTCGATTATGACTTTGACCATGTCGTCCATCTCCTCGAGCTTAGTGCGCATACGAGGATGTGATGTTCCTAGTCTGTGACCAACGTGATCAACGCCGAGTGTGTGCCCGATGAGCAGCCGCCAGTCATTGTTCTTGCTCTCAAGCAACGGAAGCAACTTCTCCTTGACCCCTTGGTCGACGCTGTCGAGATCCTCGACGTTGAAGCTGTCGTAAGGGAAGGTCCAATCTGGATCAAACAACGAGGGGAACACGGTAACCCAGGTATCGTCGCCTGCGAAGCCAAGCTTGTTGGAGGATGCCTGGCTGTCTGCCAGCTTGCGCTTGAGCTGAGAGATCCAGTTGTCCTCGGTAATCTCTGCGCCACCAAAGTTGGAGCCAGCGTCGATGAAAGTGGGCAAGGTGCCCGTCGTCAGACCCTTGAGGCGCTGCAGCGTCGTCGTCGGCGCGTCCGCGAGAAAGTGTGCAAGGAAGGAGAGGTGCTGGTTTGATTCACGGCTCTCACGATCCTTTTGGGGAGGTAGCCTAAAGACGTCGTGGAAGAATGGATTCGCCGTGGTATCATTGCGCTCGATGGGCGCGATGAAGTCATAGCGAAGGGCATCGATGATGAGGACAAATGCGCGGTCGTACGTGGAGGGAAGGGTGCATTCGGCGTGCTTGAGCAAACTCTCCTGCCATTGCAGAATGTCTTGCTCCGTTCTTGTGAGCGGAGCTTCGACCTGGTCGATGGGCCGCGGAGGTTGCCACGTCTCGACGGGCGCCCGGTCGCAATGCGCTACGCCTTCGAGGGTGGTTCTTGTGAGCAGGAAACCCTTTGTGAAGATCCAGAGCGCGCCTGCTTGGATCGCCAAGAGGAACAAGAGGATCGCAGCCGCTGAGGCAGCCGGCTTGACGACGCTCGGTGGGCCTTCGGGATCCTCTCCCAGGTGCCGCTGTCGCTCCCGCTCCTGGTGCGAGGAGTGCGAGGTGTGCGAGGATCCGGACGATGAGCCTGAGTCAGACCTGTGCAGGCTCGGTGGCGGTGAAAGTTGCCCTTCTGGCACCGGAGGGTCTCCCAGGGGAAGCACCGGTGTCGGCCTCAGTCTCGACATCGCTCGTCTCCGTCGCCGTCGTTGTCTCCTTTGTCGTGGCCAACAGCAGGGAGCACGGGCGCTTTCTTGTTTCTTCCCAAAATAAAGCAACCCTTTCAATTCTTCCTGGGCGCACTCCCGCGCGCGCGCGTGGCAGAAAGGCTTGCCTTTTCTGACTTGCACAACTTTTTTCTCACTTCTTCGCATCGTCATCATCGACGACAGAGCATCGACAATGGCGAGCCTGGCATCGAATTTCGCGAGGCTATCCATCCTGCGCCCCAGCCTGCCCATGCTGGGCGCTACGCTGGCCACAAGGCATGCTGTCGCATCGACATCGACGAGGGGAGCCCGGGTGGTTGGCGGCAGGAGGCAGAGCTACGCAACGATTTCGTCCCCACCTTCCATCTTCAGCATCGGTAATCTCAAGCCACTGCAGCCCAAGAAGAACGTGAGTGTACAGCTGGCGCTGAGGATTGTGTTCTTATGCTTGTTTCGCTTGCTTACGAGATTGTATATGCGCCTCGACAGGTCAAGAGATTGGGAAGAGGACCGTCGTCGGGCCGAGGCGGGACATCGACGAGGGGCCACAAGGGACAAAAGGCCCGCTCCGGCAATGGCAAGCCGACGCCAGGGTTCGAGGGTGGCCAAACACCATTGATGAGGAGATATCCCAAGCGAGGCTTTACAAATATGTGAGTGGAAACCCAACGAACGCGTTCTCATGTCCTCGACGACGAGGCAGAGCAGCTGACGATGGTTGGTCATCAGCCATGCAAAGCAATACGTCGTCGTCAATGTCTCACGAATCCAAGACTGGATCGACCAGGGACGAATCGATCCTTCGGTTCCCATCACGGCGCGAGAGTTGCTGAACTCTCGTTGCGTGCATTCAGTCGGTGACGGCGTCAAGCTGCTGGGCGATGGCGCAGAGGAGCTCCGAACACCGATCAACATCATTGTCTCGCGTGCTTCTTACTCCGCAATTGAGGCCGTCGAGCGTGTCGGAGGGGCCATCGAGACGAGGTACTACACGGCTACGACGCTGAGGGCGCTCACCAAGCCCCACCTCTATGTCAACAGAGTGCTGCCGCGCCAGCCTGACCCGGTGTCCAAGAAGGAGCTGGGTGAGTAATCTCCTTGCCCTTTTCGTGTCTTTTCTTCTTCGTTCTAGCTCATCATTGCCCGCTTCTCTCGACAGTCTACTACGCAAACGTGGCAAATCGTGGATACCTTGCAAAGCGACCCGCGCCGCCCAAGAAGGAAGAGGAGCCAGAGGAGCCGGCACCGAGCGCTGCGCCCGTCGCAGAAGCAGTCCAAGGGCAGCCATGAAGGAAGCAGCACGCGCATGCATTCTCTTATTTTAATGTATTCTATGATACTGTGGAAAGATAAAGAGAACCATAAACGAACTGACTGTCCATGTATGGCATGAGACGCGATCCCGAGGAGGTGATTAAGAGAAGGGGCGCGAAGAAAGTCGCCATCACACCTCCCATGCCTTTGGCTGCCCATCGTCTCTAGGCACGAATCTCCGGTCGACCTCGCCGTTGGGTCGAGAGACGAGGTTGTTGTCCAGTGTGCTGTTCAGCGCCTCTTCGAGCTTCTTTCTGCTCTCTTGGTTCTCCCCCTCGCCTTCACCCCCTTTACCCGCCGCGCGCTTCTCCTTTTCGAGCTTTCTCCGCTTCTCGTCGGCGGCCTCGGCCAGCTTCCTGTGCCTCTCGACTTCTTCGAGGATGGACCGGGCTCCGCGCTTTGTCGCCAGCTCCCTCGCCACCTCCTGGCCCAGCTGTCTCGCATCGTCGATCGAGTGGCAGTGCTTCGTCATCTCGTAGCCGCAGTGCCTCGTGCCGTCGAGGGAGACGACAATGGCATACAGAAGCAGCTTGGCGCCCTCGCTTGGCTCCGTTGCGCGGTCTTCGGCCATGAAACGGCCCTTGTCACCCCGCTCCACAGCCCCGTCGCCATTCATGTGTCCGTTGCCGCTCGCAAGCCCGTCCGACGGCGGCTGGGGCCGGTCAGTGGCGAGCCTCTGGAGCGTGCTCGGCCTCGATGATGACGAGGACGACGACGACGACGACGACTCCTGCTTCTGCACCTGACTCGTGGGAATCGTGTGTCCCTCGACGACGAGCGCCTCAGCCCCCTCGTCGTCGCCGTTGTGGCTCGCCAGCCCATTGGACCGGTTGACCTGCTGCACGGCGGCCCGTTCGCACCGCACACCCTCGACGGCATCGTGGTCCTCGAACCTCGTCTCGACGCCGACGGGAATCGAACAGCCGCCCTCGAGCTCCCTCAGGAGCGAGCGCTCGGCCTCGGCGCGCCACGTTGCACGCCAGTCTCCAATCGAGCGCACCATCTCAAAGATGCGCGCATCGCGGTTCGTCCGTGGGTCGGCGCCCTCGGGTGGGGTGCGCACCTCAATAGCAAGCGAGCCTTGGCCCACGCTGTACATGAGCACGGGCGCCGAGAGAAAGGCCGTGATCCTGGATGCCATGCCCAGGCGGACCAGGCCGGCTGCGGCGAGGACGAGGGCGGTGTAGGGCCCTGTGGGTGAGTCGAGCTTGGCAAGGCGCGTGTTGAGGTTGCCGCGCACGTCGCTGAAGACGAGGTTGGGATATCGCCTTCGCAGCTGCGCCACTCTCCGCACCGACGAGGTGCCAATGACGGATCCGGGCGGGAGCTCGTCGAGCGTTTTGTAGGGCAGGCCATCCTTGATCACGAGGGCATCCCGCGGGTCTTCCCTCTCCAAGATGGAAGCGAGCGTCAGGCCTGGAGGAAGCTCCGTGGGCACATCCTTGAGGCAGTGGACGATGGCATCGACGGCGCCTTGGGCCAGCGCAACCTCGAGTTCCTTTGTCCAAATGGCCTTTCCCTCACCGCCAATGACGTACAGGGGAGAGCGCAGATTCTGATCACCAGACGTGCTCATCGAGGTGATGGGAAAGGTGCTGGGCTTGCTCAGACCGAGTGCATCTAGCCGGGCGGCCCATTCGGCCAGCTGGGCAGGCGTGAGTGGCTGCGTCGGCGAGTCTGGAGGGGTGCCATTGTCAGACGTCGAGCTGAACAAGGGCGAGTGGTTGCCAAAGTGCGACGAGAGCATCTCGCTGACATGGCTGCTCTGCACCAGTGCCAGCTGCGAATTGCGACTGGCGAGGACGAGGCTCGTGTCCGGGTCCAGCGTGCTCCCAGCGCCAGGCGCAAGGGGATTGATGTTGGCGGCAGCCTTGGCCTGCTCGAGGTACATCGACGTGGTCCTCGAGATGGGCGGTGTGGCAGCCAGGTCCTCTGGCGTACGGAAAAAGACACACTTGTCGCCGGTGGGAGGCCTCAACGTCGAGGCCGTCGCATGCTTTGTGGGGGGATGCCCTGGCGGGAGCGGCTGCGTGGGCGCGTGTGCGACGGGGCATTGCGCCGTGCCCTCGTCGACCTTGTGCCCGTTTGTGTCGACTTCGAGCATTGTCGTCGTTTTATGATGATGATGGTCGTGATGTTTCTTCGATCCCGAGAAGTGGCGTGGTCGCGTAGTCTAGCTGCAGCCTGAGACTTTCTCGTTCGACCCGGCCAACCGGGGTCTTGCGCCTTTTGCCAAAAAAACAGTTGCACGTGAGTATCGAAGGCCGCCCAACCAGTCAGGGCCCTGCTGATCGACCCCGATTAGAAATCAGCACACGCCTCGGTTCCTGTCGAGCCCGCTCTTCGTTGTTGGCCGGCTCTATTATTGTCGAGTGACCAAAAGTTGCATGCGAGCAGATCAGCATGTCTTGCACCGTCATTGATCGTTATATAGGATGGTAGCCTAAAAGGGCCGATCTACCACTATAAACGTCATCACGGGAGTGCATTTCAGGTACCGCTGGTCAATAACATTAAAAGCACTGGCCGACAAGGTCATTTAGTCTTCCACTGTGTTGTACAACACCCTTTATCCGGCGCTCTACGAGGTGTCCTGGCAAAAGCAACCAGATGCTGGGCTGCCTGCGTGTGTACGTGTTCCTTGTCGCCAATTGAGAGGAGGCCAGACCCTTGGGCTACTCTAAGACCGCGCCGCGCTTCCAGCTCCACCCTGGGGTATTTATTATTTTTATTTTATTTTCTTGTCTCAGCAAGAGATAGAGGCAACGTTGGCTCACTTGTGTTTTCACCCGTTGCCATCATAACATCAACGACGACCCTTCTCACGACCCCTCTCTTCTCTCTCTCTTTCTCTCTTACATTACGACCTTTTCCCGCCCTTTCGCTTTGCGCGTCCGAACCATTCTTGCGCCGCTCGCTTCCCTGCCGGCACACGCTGACTCACCCTCGACGCGTCCAACGGCTCTTTGTCGCGCGGCGCTTTGCAGTCGTTCCTGCTCCTGCTGGGAAAGCAGCCTGGGAGCGGACGACATCCTTTTGCTTTGAGCTCGCGTAATCACGAAGCTCTCGTCTGGTGGCTCTGTAGATAGGGCTGCCTGAGCGAGGTGAGTCTTGCACCCTTCGAAATGGAGGCAGTAAAAGGTGCAACTGACACGCATGGGCGACACCAGACGCTCGTGTTTCGTGCGCTCTCCCACGTCGCATGGTTGGTTCTAGCGTTGGACAGCCCACTCTCCTCGACTGCTGGGCATGTCGGGATCTCAAGCGGTTCCGCGCCGTCCTCAAGGGCGGTAACGCCGGCGCGGGTGGTGGTGGCGGTGGTGGAACAGCCAACCTATCGTCGTCGCACCCTCGCTCGCCGGCACACCACTCTTGGGGCAGTGCAGGAAACCACCAGCACGGGCCGTGTCCCCCGTCTGAAGTCAATCGAAGGGACCATCTCGGCAGGACGACGTTACACTTGATCGCAGCGAGCAAAGAGCCCGGCTCGGTAGACTACCTCACCGCCCTCCTTGCTCATCCCAGTATCAACGTCAATCTGCAGGACCACGAAAGTGGTGAGTGTTGGAGACGTCGTTCCGACCTCAATCACGCTGACTCCTCTTCTCAGGCTGGACCCCGCTGCATCGAGCTCTCTACGATGGGAATCTAGTCACTGCCCTGACTCTCTTGAAGCGCTCGGTGCCTGCCGACCACCGCATCAAGGACTTTGAAGGTCTGACCCCTTTCGACCTTTATAACTCGACGTTGCATGGTACCAACCCTCCGCCAACTGAGGGACACGTCGGCGACCTTTTTCTTTGGGGCGCCAACCGGAACTTCACGCTCGGCGTTGGAGATGGAGACGATCGGGGACTGCCGGATCGGACGCAGCTGAGGAGACGGGAGGGCGACCGTCGCGACGGCAGCGGAGAACCCGGCGCGCGGTTCGATCGGATCAAGGTCAAGGACATTGGCATGAACAAGTTTGCTTCGATCATCCTCACGGCAGAGCGTTCCAACAATGTCTGGGCTTGTGGTATTGGCGCAAATGGGAGGATTGGAAGGGCGCCATCGACGCAGACGAGCTTTGAGCCCTTGCGCGACTTTCCAGATCTGGCTACGTCGATTGCCGTGGGGCCTGATCACACCTGCATCGTCACTGCGTCAGGTGATTTATACACGTTTGGTTACAACCGCTTCTCGCAGCTTGGGTTTGGCCTCGAGCATGGACAGGGGCAGGTTTCGTCGACTGGAGCGTCAAAGGGCACCGCTTCAGCCACCTTTGGAGGGACTGGCGCACCTACGGCGAATCAAGCGGACCTGGATGTCCAGATCACACCGCGAAAGGTCCAGGGACCTCTCAAGAAGGAGCACGTTCTCGGTGCAGCGGCCGGCAAGATGCATTCGGCCGCCTTTACCGCAGAGGGGCTCTACACTTGGGGCACCAATACGGGCCAGCTCGGGTACGACCGCAATGCCACCCCGGTCCAGGTCAATCCTCGCAAGGTGACGGCCCTTGCCGCGACGCAGGCCATCAAGTCGGTGGCCGTGACCGATTACGCGACGGCGTGCCTGCTCGGCTCGGGCGATGTCATGCTCCTGCACAACGACTCTTCCTTCTACGTCCGTTTCCCTCAGGCTGGCTTCAGCTCCGACATGTCCGTCTTCCGACCTCGCCAGGCGCGACCGAAGCCTTCGATTCGCAGACTCGTCTCGGGTCCCAACAATGCATTCGCGGCCATCTCCGACATGGGTGACCTCTGGCACTTTGCCATTGACCATCCCTCGGAATACGCAAAGGACGGCGTGGCTGGCTCGAAACCGACGATCAAGCCGCAGCTGGTGTGGTCGGTGCGAAAGAACAAAAAGATTGGCGCCGCGAGAGACGTTGCCCTGGGCGGAGGATCTGATCTGATCCTCGTCACCGAATCAGGCCACGTCTTTGTGAGATCCAAAAAGGGCGGCGACCAAGGCTTGAATACCTCTGCAGGTGCTGGTGCGACTGCGATTGGAGGCGGTGTTGTTCCATCTGCCACAGCTGTGAGCACGGGAGGAGGAAAGGGCAAGTCTGGCTGGAAGCCAGTACCGTACCTTCAGCGAGTGGTTCGCGTCGCGACAAACGAAAGCGGCGGCTGGGCCGCTCTCAAAGTCGACGCTTCCATCCGTGAGATCAAAGTGCGAGGAAGGTCCGTCAATGAAGCCCTTCAGAGTCTCTTGCCCCACCTCAAGGCCCACTCGCTCAACGGCAAGGCTGGCGACGAGATCGAAGCCAATCGCAACAGTATCGCAGCTGACCTTGCCGAGGCGGCGCTGGCCGTCGAGGATGCTGCGAGGAATGGGGAGGGCAGCGACAACGACGGAAGCAGCGTCAGCAGCAGCGGCGAGGAAGACAACGAAGGAGAACTTAGCGCGGCTCGACATCTTCGTATGGCCCAGCTCATTGGCGAGGCCGCACGGCGCTGGGAGGGATCAACAGAGGGCCAAAGATATGGACCCGACAACGTCAGCTTGCCTCCGTTCGGCTGCGATATGTTCCTCATTGCTGGTGGGAGATATCTGCCTGCTCATCGGGCCATCTTTGCTGCGCGGATGCCATCCATTGCGGCTCAGGTCGAAGATCCACCTACAAAGGGCACAGGAGGTGCTCCTCCAGGCGTCATCGTTCGCAGAGTTGGCTCTGCCAACGTCATTACGGTGACGTTGCCTGGCTGCTCATTTGCCACAGCCCTCTTTCTGCTCCACTACATCTACACCGATGACCTGCCTGCCGTGTGGACGGCCAGCGTTGGACTACGCATCGAGAAGCAGTATGCATCGCTCAAGCTCAATCGCAGTCAGATTCATGCTCAACTCAAGGAGCTGGCAAGGCTCTTGGAATTGCCCGCTCTTGCTCCGGCCCTGGATTCCCCAGTACCCCGACCGCCACGACCGACACTGGCAGGCGACCTTGGCCGCTTGTTCAACAAACACGTCAATGTCGAGGTCCACTCTTCACCGCTTCACGACGTCATTCTTCGCTTCTCTGATCGCACCGTCCCGGCGCATTCGGCCCTGCTGCGTCGATCTTCCTTCTTCTCGTCCTTCTTCCAGCCGCACTGGACGTCATTCCGATGGAAAGAGGGTATCATCAACATTGACATGACGCACGTTAGATGGGAGGTGGCCAAGGTCGCCTTGGCCCATATTTACACCGACATCGGCGTAGAAGTGCTGGCGGGGACCGATGTGGATCGATCTCATGACCAGTACATTGACTTCCTCGTTGAGGTCATGGCGCTGGCCAACGAGCTGCTTTTGGAGAAGCTCAAGCTCGTCTGCAGTGCCCTCCTCCGCCGTCGCTTGCAGCCGAGCCATGCGGCAGCCATGATGACCGACGCAGACTTCTACCATGCCGTGCCGCTTAAGGAGGCTGTCATGGACTACATTTCGCGTACCATGGAGACCCTTCTCGAGTCGGCCCTCCTCGATGATCTCGAACACCGCATGCTCAAGGACCTGACACGCTTCATTCGCAACCGTCAAGACGAGCGCATGCATCGCAAGGCCGCCGAAGAATACCTGACCGGTCTCTTTGTCAAACATGCAGATTACGTTGAGGACCTCGACATCCCGCCGCCGTCGCTGGGGCTCGTCGCTTTCAAGGTGCCCAAGCGGCAGCCCTACTCCCCTGGCTCGGGTCCCGTTGATGCTTCCTTTTCAGCTGCAAGTCGGCGCGGAAGGAACGGGTCGTCTTCGACGCCCATCACAAGTCCAGATCTCAAGCCAATCGCGCTCACCGGCTCGACACCGTCTGCGCATGACAGCAGCTTGATGTTCTCCATGGATGACGATGTCGATGCCGGCGGAGCATCGCCTTCCTTGGGTCCAACCGCTCGTGCGAACGGCCGATCTTCCAGCGGCTTCTCTCTTCCACCTGCGGCCACGACTTCCAAGACACCTCCCTCGTCTGGGCCCGGAGGGGCCCCATGGAGATCCAAGACTGTCGAGAAGGAGAAGCAGACCGGGACTGGGTCACCGCTGATGGACTTGCGATCCATCATGGCTGCGGAACAATCGCGCAGACCGTCGGGGATGGGATCATCGTCCATGTCAAACTCGCTCGGGGCGACGGGTCCGGGTAGTGCTTCCGCTGGTGGCTCACATGCAGGCAGTGGCACAGTCACGCCAGTCAAGGGTGTTTCTGCCGCAGTGCCACAACAGCAGCAACAGGGATTCCTACCTGTGCAGATGGCAACGAAGCTCTCGCAAAAGGACCGAAAGAGGCAGCAGCAGCAGCAACAACAACAACAGCAACAGCAATCCTCTTTTGGAACCTCTGTTTCTGAAGCGCCATCTCCAGCTTGGGCCTCTTCCGGCGCTGCTCAGGGCCAAAGTGGGGGCACGACGGCCTCTCCTTGGAAGCTGCCGGAGTCAAGAATGTCGTCTACGCCTCCGCACCACGGGACGCCGCCTCTCCGACCGGTAGCGACGCCGCTGCAGCAGGATACCCCGGTGTCCTCCTCGTCTTCATCCAGGATGATGGGCCCGACTTACACGCCGACACGTGTGCCCAGCGGCGTACCGTCATCGTCCTCGTCATCCTTCTCGAGACCGTCAGCCTTGAAGCGGAGCATGGGCTCAGATCTGGGAGGATCAGCCGCCGCCATTGGCTCGGGTAGCAGCCCTTGGTCAACACCGGCCGCTACGTCTGTTGGACTCCCTGCGCCTTCCACGTTGAGGCTCGGAGAGAAGTTGCAGGACCTCTCGCTCGGCAATGCTTCTTTCCCGCCACGGCCCTCTCCGCCCGGTTCTCACCCCAGTACTGGAGGAGCCGGAGCCGGAGGCAGCGGCAAGAAGAGTTTCGCCGAGATCCAAGCCGAGGAGGAGAAATCGATGCTGCACGCTGCACAGTGGCAGAGCTCGCAACGAGTCAAAAGCTTTGCACAGCTCCAGGAGGAGGACCGGTTGGAAGGAGAGAGGCGCAAGAGGGAAGAGAGGGAGAGGGAGGAGTTTGAAAGGTGGTTTGAAGAGGAGAGCATTAAGGTCAGGTCCGAGCAGGGCGCGGCTGGAGCTGGAGGACAGCGAGGAAGGGGAGGAGGGGCAAGCAGGGGAAGAGGAAGGGGCGGTGGAAAGGGCAAGAAGGACAAGGAGAAGGAGCCAGGGCCTTCTTCGTCTGCACCTGCTAGTAGGGGTGGTGGCAGCGGCAGCGGCAGTGGCAGCGGCGGACGCGGTCGCGGTGGTGCAAGAGGCGGCTCCTCGAGTGGCTCTAGAGGAGGGCGCGGTGGGCGTGGGGGAGCAGCACCAACGGGGGGAGGGCCTCCGGCTGCTGGTGCCCACCAGAACCCGACTGCGCCCGTCTTTACACCCTCAGGTGCTGCCTAGCTGTTTCGTCTTCGAATCTCGTCGGGAGTCATTGTTATACTTATAGAGCTTTTCGTTATGCTTGTCTTTGTAGCAGCTAGAATCGGGACTGGTTTATCTTTGAAATGGCCAAGTGCTTCTCCGTTCACTTGTGCTGGCTCGACTTCACTGCTTGATGGTCGATGATGTATAGAATTACAAAGGTATGACTATGAAGGACACGGGCACGTTGGTTCACCCTCTTTGGAAGCTGTGTTACGATACCAAGGCAAAGCTCAGTCTACTGGTCACGATGAGGGGGGTAAACGTCTCTACTCACGTCTGGGCCTGATTCTTCTTCCGGAGGTAGTACAGATCGGTCCTGCTCGCACCGAGATTGACGACCTTTGGACACCCATCACGGTCTTTTTCGAGCCGCGTACATTCGGCACAGTAGTATGCATCCTGTGAGGGTCTCGTGTCAGAGAAGAAATGACAAGAGGGGAGGTGGACGAAAGGTTTTAACTTACCGAGATGCCGGAGTTGCCACAGATGATGCAGCGCCCGCCGTACGTTCCAAAGTTGCACTCTTCGCATATGCGAACGAGCGTCGCAGGCCGCACGAGTGAGTCGCAGATAGGGCTGTTGCAGCTCGTGTCAGCACAGGTCATCAAGACAACAAGAGAGGCAGAGAGAGGCAGAGAGAGGCAGAGAGAGGCAGAGAGAGGCAGAGAGAGGCAGAGAGAGGCAGAGAGAGGCAGAGAGAGGCAGAGAGAGGCAGGAGGGGCGACTCACCATTTGCCATCGCACTTTTCGCACAGACGACCGATTGCGATGCCCGGGAGCTTTCGGCACAGGATCAGATCCGGATGATGTCTGAACGTGATTGCAGACGGTCAGCACACGGTCTCTCTTGTGATGAATTCTAGACAGACTCACTTGGACATGGTGGCGAGGTGATCGTTGTTGCCTGCGAAGAAGTTGCGCGCCGCGCTGAGAAAAAGAAAAAGAAGTACTGTCGTCGACGGCTCAGCGGCCTGCATAATCTCCACCCTGCGAACGAACAAAGCCACGCGTGTGTGAAGGCTGCCTTATCTCCTTTCCCTCTTTCTTCCCACCGCCTTCTTGGGCTCGTTGACGAAGATGAAGAAAAAGGTCAGTGCTGCTATCTCACCTGCCTGTACCAGGTTAAACCGTGCTGACGAGACAACTGCCTATACAGATTCTCCTCATGGGCCGATCAGGCTCGGGCAAGACGTCGATGCGCGCCCTCGTCTTTTCGGCCTACAAGGCCGCCGACACTGCCCGGCTCGGCCAGACGGTCGATGTCGAGCACTCCCACGTCCGCTTCCTGGGGAATTTGGTCTTGAACCTGTGGGATTGCGGGGGCCAGCAAGCCTACATGTCCAATTACATCGACAGCAAGCGTCACACAGTCTTTACTGCTGTCGGCGTCCTCATCTACGTCTTTGATCTCGTCGGCGAGGACAGCGAGGAGTGGGACAAGGACGTGAGGAGCTACAAGTGAGGAGCGCATGTGATGGAAATCCTGAGGTCTAAGTGAAAGCTGACAAGCGGTCGGATGGTGGACAGAGACTGCCTCTCGGCCTTGCAGACAAATTCGCCCGATGCCCACGTCTTCTGCCTGCTGCACAAGATGGACCTCGTTGAGGCTTCTCGTAGGAGGTCCGTGTATGCCTCGAGGGTCGAAGAGCTGCAGAAAAAGAGCGAAGGCACAACAATCCACTGCTTTGCGACAAGCATCTGGGACGAAACCATCTACAAGGTGCGGCTTTGTTCGTCTTTGGACTGCCAAGACCACTTCTGACCGAGCATTTCTTCTCTTGAAAAGGCGTGGTCGCGTATCATCCACACGCTGATCCCAAATGTCTCGGACCTCGAGCGACATCTGTCATTGTTTGCGCGCACCAACTCGGCTGCCGAGGTCGTCGTCTTTGAGCGCTCCACCTTTCTCGTCATCTCCAGAAGCACGGCCAAGAATCTTTTGTCACCTAATGGTGGCACAGAGAACAAGGGACCAGTGGAGTACACGAGCTCAGACGAGGACAACGACGAATTACTAGGATTTCCGCCATCATCCGACAAGGAGAGCTCGTCGCAGCTGAGTCCGGGCAGGTTTGGCAAGATTAGCCAGATGGTAAAGAGCCTCAGGCTGGTTTGCTCGTGAGTATTTTTGCCTTTTCTCTCGAGGCCGTGGAACACAGTTGCTCACGCCAACAACAGCAAGCTGCAATCGCACTTTCAGGCCATCGAGATCCAGGGGGCAACTTTTGCTGCTTACCTCGATGTCCTGACGCCCAACACCTACATCATGGTCGTGACTACCGACCCACGGATAGGTATGTCGTCCCATATACTCTGTATCCCAAGGCTGCTGCTGACCACTCCCATCTCTGCGTTCACTCAGAGCTTGGCGCGATCAAGCTCAACGTTCATCTCGCAAGAGACCAATTCGAAAAGCTTCAAGCCCTCAACATCAGCAGTCGATAAGCGCAGGCAAATCTGAGATACCCTTTCACAAATAAACATGACAACAGAACAATCAATCATCCTATTTGTAACATTCTCTATGTCATGCGTCTGCCTCTTCGTCTTCGTCCTCTTCCTCGTCGTCTGAATCTCTCTTTCGGAAGATGAGCTCGCTGGCGCCCGCTGCCCCTGCGCTGGCGATGCGCCTCTTCTTGGCCGCCGCTTCCCCGTCGTCGTGGTCGCCGTCTTGCTCCTCCTTTCCGGCACCCGCTGCCTCGTTCTGACCTGGCGCAGGGCCCTTGACCTGCATTTTCCGCTGCTTCTTCTTGTCCCTCTTGGCCCTGTTCTTGCTCGTCTTGCCCTCGAGCTCCTTCTCGCGCTCCCTCTTTCGCTGCTCAAACTCCCTCCTTTCCTGCTCCTCCTTTGCCTCGTCCTCCATCAGCCGAATGCGCTCGTACTCGCGCCGCCTGCTGTGCTTGTATACGTGGAACTCGCCCGAGCCCGCCCCGGCGCTGCTCCCGCTGACATTTTTCATCATCTCGCGCGGCGGCCGCAGCTGCTTCTTGGCCGACGACGACGACGCGGGCGGGATGACGACTTCCTTGGACGACGCCTGGAGCCGGGCGAGGGCTAGTGCTTGCTGCTCGACCGGCGTCAAGTTGTGCCGCTTACGTTGCGCCGGTTCGGGCGAGGCGCTGCCGCCAGCAATGGGTGCCGGTCGAGGAGAGGCAGACATCGTGTGCAGCCTGGGCGGTGTAGACGGGCAAAGTGACTCGACGAAGGTTGGATGGATTGGAAACCAGAGAGACGCGCGAACTTTTTGCTCGAGTTTCCGATCACGGGCCACCTCTTTTCTTTTTCCTCAACGCCATCTTTTGCTGCATTTCAAGTCAAGGCAATGATGGGGGCTAGTAATATACATTTGGTTCTACATACACGGAAGTCAATCCCTCCACTGTTTGGACAATTGCATAGCTTGTCAGCTCTGTTGTGAAGTTGCTCGAACTGTGGGCTACTCACCGTGACTAGCGGCGCATCGGTCCGGAATCTTTGCGTCGTCGTCGTCTTTTCCAGCGGTGTGTCGAGGCCCATGCGATGAGCCAGGAGTCCAGCATGGGCAATCATGATGCCATTGTCGATGCAGAAACGCTCATCAGTGGCAAAGACTCTGCCGCCTCGCTCAATAGCCATGGTGCCCATCATGGCCTGCAGGCGCTTGTTGCTGCCCACGCCACCGACAATGAGCACCTCTGGGCTGCCGACGTGGGCCATTGCTCGCTCCGTAATCTCAACGAGCATGGCAAAGACATGCTCTTGCAGAGAGAAACAGAGGTCCGCTGCCGTAATGCCATCGTCTCCCTCTTCCCCCTGACCGTCTTGACTTAGCACTTTTGTCTCAATGCCAGCAGCCTCTTGGCCCTGGTGCCTCCCGTCTGAGCTGAAGCCGAGGCCGTTGGCGAGCGACGCCTTCATGTCCTCAAAGGCATCCCTGTTGTTGGCCTCGCCACCAGGCTTCTTTTGCTCGTTCCTATTCCCTCGATAGCGCTTGTCGCGCGTATAGGCTTCGGTGGCCGCCAAGATACCACCCAGACTGACATCCATGCCCTTTGTCGCATACGGCAGCGCCAGCAGCTTCCTCCCGCCCTTGGCCTCTTTTTCGATGTTCTGGCCGGGGCTCGGGTCGTTGCTCAGACCAATGACACGAGCAAAGCGGTCGAGGCAGTTTCCCACGGCAATGTCGAGCGTCTCGCCAAAGATTCGGTAGCGTTGGTTGCTGTACGCAATGACTTGGGTGTTGCCGCCCGAGACGTAGAGGACGATTGGGTTGCGCGCCCCCGTGATCGTTCGACCCATTTCAATGTGCCCAATGCAGTGATTGACGCCGACAAGGGGAAGGTTGTACATCAGTGCGAGTGTCCGTGCGACGATAGAGACGGACTGCAAAGGTGCGCCCATCCCTGGGCCTGTTCAATCGGACAACAAATCAGCTGCCGCCCTTGCAGCCTAAGCCAGCGGGATGAAATCCCTCAAAGAGGAGACAGCTGACTCACCCTTTGTGTAGCAGACACAGTCGCACTGCGAAATCGAGGCGATGCCAGCCTTTTTCACGGCCTCTCGCGAGACAGCGACGAGCCAGCGCCGATGATGGCGAGCCGTGTCCGAAGGCAGGAAGCCGGTGCCGGGAGGGGTGACGTAGGTGTGCCGCACGTTGGAGAGCACATCGACGGATTCATCGACGTTGTGACGCACCACACCGACGCCTAGCTTGTTTGCGCTCCCTTCTAGGCCCAAGGCCAGGAGCGGCCTCGTAGCGTGAGGTAGTGGCTCTGGCATGTCTGTTGTCTCGAAAGGGGCCCGAGCGTTCTTGGTTTTCTGTGCGAGCAATACCAAGAAAAGGGCAAAGGATGGGCAGACAGATGACACGTGAAGAGATTCTCGACTTTATCCGTCTGCAGGCGGACAAAAACTGTGGAGGAGCGTCGGCGCCGAGAACGGAGGACTTGGAAAACGAGGCTGAATCTATTCGTCTGCACTCTAAAGATTCTCCTGGCCTCAACAAAGGCCGGCCGCCACCTTGGCGGAGCCTGTCACTCTACGGCAAAACTCTGCAAGCCCCAAATAATAAAGGCGGCAGAAAATGTCCGTTCCCAGAGGTGCAAAGTAATAATTGCCATCAAAACACACAGGAGTACGGGCCACCGGGTTCCGGTCGGTTACTGTAGCCGTACGTGTTGCGACTTGGGAAGGTCTGACTAAAGATGAAGCGCGTTCAAGTGTTTCAGTGTGGGGGTGCTATAAAATCAAAGCCTTCTGGCAGATCCCTTTCCATCTCTTTCTCCTCACCGCTTCCTTTCTATCTCACAACTCTGGTCCTTCCACCCACCGAATACACATCCTGCCAACAATGGGTTCGACTCCTCATCCCGTTGTGTCTGAGGGAATCATCTCGCCTGGTGCCTGGGCCCTCATTTCGTCCAACTTCTCGCCTTATGCCAAGGACACACTCGGCAAGGTGGTCAACTTTGTCATTGTGAGTCTCTCTCTTCTTGGCCACTACACATTGCGGCTAGTTTGAAGTCTGACCTGTGCGGCAGAACGAGTGCAACCCAGCCGAGGAGACCTACCATGCGCAGCTCGGCAAGGACGCAGCGACTCGATGGACGACTGTGCCTCCGGTGATTGAAGACCTCAAGAAAAAGGCCAAGGCACAGGGCCTCTGGAACCTCTTCCTGTCCAAAGCCCACTACCCCAAGCACGGCACACCGCTGACCAACCTCGAGTATGGCGTCATGGCCGAGGTCATGGGACGAGGTGGCCACTTCACCAGCGAGGCTTTCAACTGCAGCGCGCCAGACACGGGCAACATGGAGGTGCTGGCAAAGTACGGAAACGAGGAGCAGCAGCGCACCTGGCTCATTCCCCTTCTCAACGGCGAGATCCGATCGTGAGTGGCGTGGTCGAAGCACCTTGTCTGGACCTACACTGAGTCTCAATCTCCCCTGAATAGAGCGTTTGCCATGACGGAAAAGAACGTGGCGTCGTCGGATGCGACCAACATCTGCACCTCGATCCGGCAAGAGGGCGACGAGATTGTCATCAACGGACACAAGTGGTGGATCTCGGGCGCGGGTGACCCGCGCTGCAAGGTGCACCTGCTCATGGGCAAGTCGCACCCAGACAACGAAAACGCGTACCGGCAGCAGTCGATGGTCATCATCCCTGCCAACACGCCTGGCGTGCGTGTCGTGAGGCCGATGCACGTCTTTGGCTACGACGATGCGCCCGAGGGCCACTGCGAGATTCTGTACGAAAACGTGCGGGTGCCGCTCAAGAACCTCATCAAGGGCTGGGGCGCCGGCTTCGAGATCATCCAGGGCCGCCTGGGTCCCGGCCGGATCCACCACTGCATGCGGACCGTCGGCACGGCAGAGCGGGCACTCGAGTACATGGTGCGAAGAGCGACGGACAAGAAGAGGACGCCGTTTGGAAAGATGCTGTGCGAGCACGGCACCGTGGTGGCGAATATCGCCCAGTGCCGCATCAAGATCGAACAGGCCCGTCTACTCGTCCTCTCGGCCGCCAGGATGATCGACCTGTACGGCGCAAAGGCGGCTCAGAGCCAGATTGCGTATGCCAAGGTTGCCGTCATCAACTCGTCGCTCGAAGTCGTCGACCATGCGATGCAGGTCCACGGCGCTGCAGGCATCAGCCAGGACTTTCCCCTGGCGGGCATGTATGCTGGCCTGCGGACGCTGCGATACGCAGACGGGCCCGATGAGGTGCACCTCCAGCAGCAGGGCCGACAGGAGCTCAAGAAGTCGGAGAAGCTTTGGCTGCGCTACAACGCGACGATGGCCAAGAGCAAGGAGGTCCAGAAGGCCTACAATGTCAAAGCGCACCTGTAGATTTCTCTCTCACTCTCTCACTCTCCCTTGCTCGTCCGGTGTCATTGGTTACTCTCTCCTCTCCCACCTCTTTTTGTGATTCTACACTCGTCAAATAAGCGGCAAAAGTCATGGTCAAATTCTAACGATGAAAGAACAAAGAAGTTTAAGCCTTGGTTGGCTTGGGAGGCGTCTTGATTGGGTACTTTGTCTTGTCCACCTTGGGCACCGTTCCAAGACCGAGCACCTTGTTGCCGTATACCTTCCACCACGGGGTCGATGCTGGGATCTGGGCGTTGCCGGGCAGGCCCGTGTAGACGAGGTCGGCCCAGTTGGGCCAGATGCTGCGAATGTAGAATCGCCACTGACATTCAACACAGACGTCAGCTCCCTCTTCTCATCTTTACTCTTTCCCTGCCGCTATAGAATAGACGGAACCATGCTCACCTGCCAGTCGGGGTACATTGCCGTGATTCGACCCGAGTTTTCGTCCTGGTACCATGCGCCGCAACCCGTCGAGAAGACGAGCTGGTTCATGGCCTTGTTGACCCAGTACTGCTCGTCTTCCTCGGCCTGCTCCTTTACGTCAAACGACGGTCCGACTTTGAGCTGCTGGGCTTCCGTGGCCTTGTCGGCCTCGCCCTGCTTTCCAGGCAGGTGAAGGCGGAGCGTGGCCTCGTCTGGCGTGGGCGAGTCGATGAGGACAGGCTTGGCGACCTCGAGGAGGTAGAGGACCTGCGATTCGGACGTGGCAATGAGGCTCTGGTGGCCTGTGGCCGAGTTGGGGCCGTTGAGGTTGCCGTAGTTGGGGAAGCCAGCCATGAGCGTCGCTCGGTAGTTGACGGGACCCCCTGCGCCAAATTGGCTCCAGTGCTCGCGAATCTCTTGGCCCTTGGCGCCGTAGACGCGCATGGGGAACCCAGCCCGGTTGGTGGCAAAGCCGTTGGCCATGATGATGACGTCTGCGGGCAGGCGGCGGCCGTCGGCCGTGACGGCGGCATCGGACTCGATGCGTGCAATCTTTGACCGTTCCAGATTGACGTGGTCCTCGTTGAGGCACTTGAGATAGTCCTCGTCGAGGATGCGTCGCTTGCAGCCGACCATGACCTCCTTTTGCGTGGGGATGAGAGCATCCCAGTACTTTTTGGGGGCAAGCTTGCGGGCGTGGTTGGTGCAGTTGCGCTCCCACACCCAGCGGAACAGGTTGCCGAGCGGGTTGAGGAGCGTAATGGTAAAGTGGGACTCCATGACACACCAGATGATGAAGCGCTGGAACCACATGAAGAAGGGGACGTGGGACACGAGCCAGCGCCAGCCGGGCAGCTTGTCCATGGGGTTGTGAGGGATGGGCGCGTACCAGTGCTTGGAACGCACAGCTGTTGGAGAGGCAGTCGCTAGGTCAGCTTCCCTCGTGTGCAGTCTTTTGAAAGAACTCTCACCCTGGGTCAGTGACTTGGCTTCCTTTGCGACCACGGGCATGAACTGGGTGGCCGAGCAGCCGTTGCCCACGACTACGACATTTTTGTCCTTGAGTGAGACGCTCTGGTCCCAGCGAGCCGAGTGGAAGAGGGGGCCCTTGAAGTCCTTCCAGCCATCGATGCCCGGCTCCTTGGGCGTCGAAAGGCCACCGACAGCCGAGACAAAGAGGTTGCAGACGTAATGGTGTTGCTTGCCCGCCTGTGGGCCCGAACCGATGTCCTCGGTGGCCAGATGCCAGAGCTTCGTCTTTGCATCGAAGCGGGCCTCGTGGACGACCATCTGAAGCCGCATGCGCTCCAACAGGCCAAACTCGGCCGCGACGAGGTTGAAGTCTGTCCGTTTTGCACGTTCTAGTCAGCAAATGCACACCAATCTTACGGTTGAGGCGCGCGGCCACTGCAAACTCACAGTCCCTCAGCTCAGCCTGCTTGGGAAAGAAGCGGCTCCAGTCTGTCTTTTGTCGAAAGGAGAACGAATAGAGGGGCGCAGGGACGTCGCAGCCGGCCTGCGGGTAGTTGTTCTGGCTCGCGCTCCATGTGCCCGCCACGCTGTCGGTCTTTTCAATGACGATAAAGTCCGAGACGTTGAGCTTGCGCTGGAGCTGCACGCCCATGGCGATGCCGCTGATGCCGGCGCCCACGATGATGCATCGGTGGTACTCGGGGGTTTCATTGAAGGCAGCATGCGGCGTGGCCGAAGCCTCGCTGCTCGCGGGGGCCAGAGGTTCCTTCTTGGGTGCCGACGAGGGTGCCATGGCTTGGTTGGAGGTGGTAATGGTGAAGGATCAACACCTGCTTCCCACTCTGATCTGGGGCAACTGCTGCTGCTAGAGCTCTATCCAGCTTTCACATCGAATACGCCTTTTCCTCTCCGCTTTTTTTTTTTTCTCCACCCACTCTGCCATTCGGATTTGTTGCTCCCGCTTTCAGATCATGACTTGCAATTTTCCCTTTTTTTCTCCCCTTCTTCTCCCCAATTTTATATGACGCTTTTTATTTCTTATTTCTCTCATTTGCCTTGTCGAGATATTTCGACGGGACTCGGCCTACGTATGATCCTATGCAGAGTTCCGAACAGCGTCCGCCACTGTGCTCAGAGCTCGGGGGTTGTGGGCATTCCGCAATCAGGCCTGCGCGTTCGATCAGGGTAGCACTGTTCAATTGAGGAAGCCCTGATGTGTGAAAGATGGACATTGATCTTCGTTGAATCTTTGGGAAAGCCAGCTTGAACAGCAGCAGGTCAGAAGTGCTCCTTGGCTGGTCGAAGGTCCAGCTCAAAGGTCCACGTCGAAGGCGACTGAAGAGCAAGGAAGAGGTAGTTCTTGGCAATCTCGTCAGGACGCAGCGTCTGGGAAGAGTAGAGGTTTCTGTGGTCAGCAGCAGCGTCGCCATCGTCGTCGCCAAGGGAAGAACAGTCTGTGCTCACGGTTCCATCGCGGAAGCGCTGATTGTCTTTGAAGCCAAAAAAGCTCTTGGCCTCGTCTGACTCAATGAGACCATCGACCACGACGTGAGCGACGTGGATGCCCTCGCGGCCATACTCGCGAGCGACGGACTTGAATCGAAGAGAGAAGACGACGTCAGCTAACAGCTAATAATAAAGCCAACAACAGACAATAGTATCGACAGACTCGCACCTGACACATTTGTCGGAGGCCGCCCTTGCTGGCTGCAAAAGCTGCAAATTGCTCCCGGCCTCTGATGCTGCTCGTGGCGCCAGTTACAAGGACATTGCCTCCCTCCGTGCCGTTGCGCTCCTTCATGGAGCGGATGATCGTCTGCAGGAAGGTGAAGCCAGCGAAGCTTAAAGACACCCGTCAGCAATTGTCAACGTAGAGATAAGACAGAGATTCCCATCTCACATGCTGGCTTGTACCGAGTCCTTCATGGCGTCCATTGGCAGCTCCAAGAAGGGCTTCCTCTTGCGGACACTTGCATTGTAGATGGCCGTCCCGATCTTCTTGTCCGGCCAGGCTGCTTGTGCCTCACCGATGGCACGCTCGATGCTGCCATTGTCGAGCACATCGCAGGCGAAACCTAGCGAGAGAGGTTGCTCCTTTGCCGTCGACGACGTACCTCGAGCAGCGCGGGCCACCTTGTCTAACTCCACGGCCCATGCATCCAGCCGACTCTTTGTCCTCGACATGATCGCCGTCGTGTAGCCGTACGAGGCGAACGTCTGTGCGATCGCCAGCCCCAGACCAGGACCTACACCCAGGATGAGGACAATGTGCTCTGGTTGCGGGGGCCCGTAGAGGGCGCCCGTCCCCAGCGCATGGACGGTGGGGTAAGGGTCCGTTGTGGGGTTGAGCAGGTCGGTGCGGTTCTGGTTGCGTCGGGCAGGCGAGGCCATTCTGAAGCTCTTTCCGACTGGTCGGGGTAGGTGGTGTGTCAGAGCAGAGAGCAGGACCGGACGTCGAGCTAAGCGAGCAAGCATGTGTCACTGTCCTGTGTCGCTCAAAGGAAAAGACTGCGCAAGGGGACCGGCTGTCGGCAATAAAGGTGTTCCTGTTACAAGCCCTCGGAGTCTCCGAGTGAGCGCAATAAGTCCGTGCGCGCCATCCAAAGCTTCATCACGTGAGACACTCCCGCGAGAATTTTTTTTAAATTTTGCTGCTCTGACCTTCCAAAAGTAGGCGCTTCCTTAATCCTTTGCAGCAGCAGCAGCAGCAGCAAGCGACAATGCCCGGTCTCAAGAGGAGCCGGAAAGACGACGTCGCCGAGAGCGGCGGCAAGGCCAAGAAGGCATTGCACGAAAAAAAGGGCGATGGCAGCCACAAAGTCAAAAAGGCTCGCCGAGCATCGACAGATGCTGCCTCTGCTTCTGCTTCCACCTCAGCAGCAGCACCGCCAAAGGAAGTCGACTTTCCCCGAGGAGGCGGCTCCTCGTTGACTCCATTCGAGCACCATCAGGTGCTTCGAGAGGTCAAGGATGAATCTGCGAAGCGAAGAGAGGCGAAGCAGCAGGCCGCCGCCGATGACGACTTGTTCTCCTCCGACAAGAAGAGCAAGGCTGGAGGCAAGAAGGCCTTGGATCGCAGCAAGAGACAGGAAGGTGACAGGAACAAAAAGGGTGGCAAGAAGTCCGCATCGAACACTTTGAAGGAAGGGGCCAAGGCAGAGCTGAAAACGAGAGTCGAGGCGCTCAACTACAAGCGCCTGCTCCCAGGCACGAGGTTGTTGGCTACCATTCTCGCTGTCCACCCGCTCGCCCTCGTCGTCTCGATGCCCAACCAAATGCTGGGTCATGTGCCAATCACGCACATCAGCCAGCCGCTTACGGCCAGACTTCATCAAGCCGCCGACGATTCAGACGATGACGATTCAGAGTCAGAACAAGAGAACGAGGACGAGGATGAAGTCATGGATGGTGGAGAGGCAAAGGGGTCAAAGGGAGTGCCAGAGCTCAGAGACTTGTACCAAGTGGGACAATGGGTCAGCGTCAGCGTTGTGGCGGTTCACTCTGCCGAGAAGGTGCGAGGGCGCGAGCGAGGCAGGGAAGGAGGCGAGTACGAGCAGGAATCGCGCAGGGTCGAGCTGTCGATGGACCCTCGGCTGGTCAACGAGGGCGTGTCGCCGCAGGACCTATCTCGTGGCTTTGTCCTGCCCATGGCCGTTAGAAGCAAAGAAGACCATGGATACCTCATGGATGTCGGCATCGAAGGCTTCGAGGGCTTCCTCTCGTTTAAGGATGGCGCATCGTTGCACGTCGGCCAGGTCATCGAGGCCGCCGTCATCTCGGTGGGTGACAACAAGCGGACACTTTCAGCGACGACAAACGCAAAGGAGCTGCGCAAGGCCGAGCTTCCCTCTACGTCTGCGCCCGCCATCTCTGGTCTGGTCCCAGGCAACCTCGTCTCGGCCCTCGTCATGGACTCGTCCAACGCAGGACTGCATGTCAAGCTCTGGGGCATGTTTGATGCCACTATCGACTCTACGCACCTCCCACACTCGGACGGAGAGGCCTCTGGCGTACCTGTTGGATCAAAAATCAAGGCTAGAATCCTCTGGGATCTGGGTCCGGCTGCCGACACGGCCGCTTCGCTTGAAGGAGATGTGGCCAGCAGTAGCAGCAGTGCACATGCGCGCAAGTTGGCCCTCAGTGCTGCTCCTCATGTTGTCGAGCTGGCAGAGCCTGCTTCGATTGTCGGACAAGACATTCCCAGTGTCGGGACAGATGTAGAAGCGACAGTGACGAGCACCCTGGGAGACTGGGGCTTGACTTGCAAGCTCGAAGGGACCAGGCTCCTTGGTTTTGCCCACATTTCCAACGTCTCCGATGACCACATCGAGAGGCTGCCTCCCACCTCAGGACCGTTCAAGATTGGCACAACCCACCAGGCTCGCGTCGTGGGTCATTCCCTCACCGATCAAGTTCTCCAGCTCAGCCTCAAGCCCAGCGTGCTCCAGCGATCTTTTATGCGCGTCAGCGATGTCCAGAATGGTCAGGTCGTCAAGGCGACGGTCAAGACTGTCAATTCCAAGGCCATCATTCTCGACCTCAAGGGAACCGTTGATGGTGTCGTCTTCCCGAATCACTTCTCCGACGTGCCTCTCAAGAAGCCCGAGAAAAAGTACAAGGAGGGCCAAGCGGTCAAGGCGCGCATCTTGAGGGTGGACCCGGAGCGAAACCGGATTGCCCTCACGCTTAAGCGGACCCTGGTTCAGTCTGAGCTGCCCGTCGTCAGCTCCGTCGTCGAGGGTGATGTTCAGGCGGCAAGGGTTGGCGTGGTGACCCATGCGGTCGTCTCAAAGGTGCTCGAGGGTGTCGCCGGTCCCACTGCGATCCTCGTCGACATGTACGGTCCCGTACGAGCCTATGTTCCCATCTCTGAAGCCACTGAATCGCCGTTGACGTCATCCGAGGCGGGATCTCTCCGCAACGCCTTCTTTGAGGGCAAAGTTCTCAAGATCAGAGTGACAAGAATCGACAAAGAAACGGGCAGGGTCACTGCCTCAGTTCGGCAGGCAACCGCCAGTTACCTGGCCAAGCTCAATCTCGACGCTGTGGAGCTGGGAGAAAAGGTCCACGGGAAAGTCGTTGCAGTGCGCCGAGACATCGTCGTGGTGAATCTCGAGCCTTCTGGAGTGCGCGCACTCGTGGGTCTTCACACTGTCGCTCAGGAGAAAGGTTGCTCGGTCGACGACGTCAAGGCGATGGTCAGCGAGGGCGATGAGCTGACCAACCTGACCATCCTCGACAAGTCACCAGAAAAGGGCGCCGTCTTCTGCGGCGGATCGAATGCGCGAGCCAAGGTCTCGGCGACAGGTGCCACCGTTGAGCAAGGCAGTGTCCACACCGTCAAGGTGATGCACAAGAACGAAACAGCCGCCGTTGTTGCTCTTCCTGGTGGGCTCCGTGGCAAGCTGCATGTGACGGACTGCGGAGACGACTTTGGCGCACCGAGACGAGATGCTGCTTCGGATCTGCTTCCCAATGAGGGCGACACAATTGATGTCGCTGTCATTCAGCACCTTGGGAAGATGGCTGATGTGTCCACGAGACCTTCGAGGAGGTCTACTGACGCCGCCAAGGGCAAGGCCCCTCGCGATGTCCAGATCGACGATGCAGCAGACCTCCAAGAGGGACAGGTCGTTCGAGGGTTTGTCAAGAGCATGGCCGAATCTGCAGGTCTGTTTGTCGAGGTCTCAAGACGATTGACGGGGCGCGTCAAGATCAAGGATCTCTTCGAAGAGAGGTTCGTCAAGGATTGGATGAGCGAGTTTGAGGTCGGTCAGCTCGTTGAGGCGCGCGTTCTCAAGGTCGTCGACAAGCGAAGACTCGATCTGACGCTCAAGAAGGTTCAAGGAGGTCAACAGCAGGCCACATCGCTCCCCAAGCTCGAACTCAAGCCCGGCGACAAGATCAAAGGTTTCGTCAAGAGCGTCGTCGAGTTTGGCGTCTTTGTTCAGGTCGAAGGTGCCAATGTCAGCGGACTGGCGCACAAGTCTGAGCTGTCGGACAACAAGTCAACGAGTGCACAGGAAGCCCTCAAGGCGTTCAACGTTGGTGATCGCGTTATGGCAAAGGTCCTCAAGGTCGAAGGGAAGGCAGATGGGTCCGTCAAGGTCTCGTTTGGGCTGAAGCCGAGCTACTTTGAGCCGGAAGATTTTGATGAGGATGATGACGATGACGAAAGCGGATCCTTGGAAGATGGCAGTGATGACGACGAGGACGATGACGACGAGGATGGCAGTGACGTTGAAATGGATGCCAGCCAACTCCTCAATGGCGATTCCGACGATGAGGAGATGCTCCAACTCGGCGAGGACTCGGCAGAAGAAGACGAAGAGGAGGAAGAAGCGGAAGAAGGTGACGACGATGAGGAACAGTCTATGAGCGAGGAGGACGAGGAGGAAGAGGAAGCGACTCCACCCGAGGCCCCTGCCAGCAAGATTAGCGGCAAAGTGGTAGCGCCTGCCCTCGAGCTCGCGGGTGGTTTTAGCTGGTCGGCTCAGCAGGACGATGACGACGAGCGAGCGTCTGACTCTGCATCTGACTCTGAGCAAGACTCCGATGGCGATGACGAAGAGGACGAGGAAGCCCGGAGAAGGAGCGACAAGAAGAACAAGAAGAAGCAGAAGACCGTGTTTGAAGAAGACATTACCGCAGACCTGGCCACCAAAAAACCTGAGTCGGCGATGGATTTCGAACGGTTGCTTCTCGGCTCGCCTGACTCCTCCTTCCTCTGGATCCAATTCATGTCGCTACAGCTGCAACTGTCAGACGTCGATCGAGCGCGCGAAGTGGGGCGAAAAGCGCTCAAGGTCATCAACTTTAGGGAGGAGCAGGAGAGATTCAACGTATGGGTCGCCCTTCTCAATCTCGAGAACAGCTACGGATCCGACGAGTCATTTGAAGCGACATTCAAGGAGGCGTGTCAGACGAATGAGTCCAAAAAGGTCCACCTGCGTACTGCAGAGCTCCTCGAGGTCAGTGGCAAGATCGAAAAGGCGCACGATGTGTGGAAGCGCACGACGAAGCGCTTCGGGCATAGCAGCAAAGTCTGGGTCGGTTTTGGCCGCTTCCTCTTGCGCTCTCACAGGGAGGACGAGGCCCGCGCACTGATCCCACGCGCGATGCAAAGCTTGGAGAGGCGAAAGCACGTCAAGACAATCGTGGGCTTTGCGCTGGCCGAATTCAAGCTGGGCGACACGGAGCGGGCCAGGACGATCTTTGAGGGTCTGGTAGACAGCCATCCAAAGAAGCTCGACGTCTGGTGGCAGTACATCGATCAAGAGACGAGGCTCAACAACATTGCTCAGGTCCGGTGAGTTTGCCGATCCCCAGCCTTGTCATGAGACATCTAGACTTTGCTGACACCGAGAAAAACTCTACCTAGTGACTTGTTTGAGAGGATTCTCTCGCTTCGACAAAGCAGCAAGAAGGCCAAGTCAATCCTGAAGAAGTGGCTCGACTTTGAGAAGCGAAGCGGGACAAAGGAGGGCGAGCAACAGGTGCTCGAACGGGCTCGGGAGTTCGTCGAGGAACTTCAGGCAAGACAGCGGGCAGGTGAAGGCGCGACTGAGCCCGAAGAAGAGCAAGACGACGAGGACGAGGATTAAAAATGAATGATATCTGTGCATAGATTCTCGCTTCACTCCCTGCAACCATCGAACAGTTTCATGTTTGAAAGGAGGCATTCTTCTTGTCGTAAAGGATTTCATCAAGGATGCAACAAAGAGACGGAAAGAAGTTCGTGATACAAGGTATGAACCAAATCTAACGATCCCGAGTAAAAACGGACGGCCAAGAGAAGTCGACGTCTTACACAAAAGGGGGAAGAAAGGCAGAGGAAAAGCGAAAAAGGGAGAAGGGGTTGCACTGAGAGTACACAGAAGAAAGGCTCTCACTGAGAGCTGTTGACGGACGCATCCCTGGTCTCTTCGAGGGGAGCCGACTGCTTCTCCTGTGGCTCGTTGTGGTCGTAGCCCTGCTCGGCGAGCATGCTGTCGAGCGCAAGCGGCCTTCCCTTCTCGTCGTACCTCCTCGGTGTCCTCCTCTCGATCTTGACAACGTCGTAAGGGTTCCAGATGCTGGCCTGCTCGAAGATGGCCGACATCTCCTCGAGCGAACGACCGGCAGTCTCGGGGAAGATGAAGTAGGACGTGACGAAAATGGCCGCGTTGAGGACAGCAAAGATGATGTACGTCTGGTAGTGGATCGTGGCAAACGCGATGGGTGTGATAAGGACGACCAGGAAGTTGAAGCTGTAAGGAAGACGTTAGAATCTCGATGTAATCTGAAGTTTGAGGTAGGAGAGAACACTCACATCCAGTTGGACGCCGTGGACACACCGTTGGAGGCGGCACGAATGGAAAGAGGCGTAATCTCGGCAGGGTAGAGCCAGGTCATACCAAGCCAGCCAATCGCGAAGAAAGTGTTGAAGATAAAGAGGAAGACGGCAGCCGCATAGGCCGGTCCCTGTTGCGTGGCCTTGCCTGCCGGATCGTTGTTCACAGGCTTGAGTGCTGCGGGCGAAGTCGTAGCGGCCAGAATGACCATGCACATGCTCATTCCAAAGGCACCGAAGAGCATCAGCTTTCTGCGGCCGAAGCGCTCAATCGTCCAGATGGCGATAAATGAGGCAAGGAAGTACTCTGAGAAATGTTGTCAGCAATGGGCAGATTTAGAAGAGGAAGCGGCCAGGAAAGACACCCACCAGTGCCGTTGCAGGCAGCGACGATTCGGCTGACAAGAGGCGACATGCCAATGTTTTGCTCGTAGATTGTGGCAGCGTAGTAGGTGATGAGGTTGATGCCAGAAATCTGCTGGAACATCTGGTTGATGAAACCGAGGAGGGCGCGGTGGAAGTTCTTTTCCTTGCCCTGCTTGAAGAGATCCTTCACACCGGCGCCCGTGGAAAGCTCGAGCGATTCGCGGATCTCGCGAATCTTCACGTCGATCTCAGGGTCGTCGATTGGAAGCTCATCGAGCGAAGCCATAACGCGGCGTGCGTCTTCATCGCGGCCCTTGAGCACGAGCCAACGAGGCGACTCGGGCATCCAGATGGTGATAAAGGTGGGAATGCAGAGGAGAATCTGGAAGGCAATGGGGATGCGCCATGCTCCAGTCCAGTGAGGGTATTCTTGAACGTGGTTCTGCCAGTCGTCGGGGTGCACCGAGGATGGGTCGAGCCAGTAGAAAGCAAAGTCGATCCAGTAGGCCATGCAAATGCCTCCAGTGATGAGAAGACCCTCAACCATGACGAGCATGCCTCGCTTGTGTGGAGGCGAGCACTCCGACTGCCACATTGGGATCGTAGCAGTGTGCATGCCGTTGCCCACGCCCGTGACAATTCGACCGACGATGAGTTGGGCGAGCGAGTAGGAGGAGCACTGCAGAGCATGTCAGCTTCCTTTTTCGGGGCTGCTATTTCATTTGACCTGATCTGGAGACTAACCTGAATGATGGCACCAACGATCATCCAGACTGTGCCGATCCAAATAATAGCACGTCGACCGAGCCTGTCACCAAGCCAAAGGCACGAGAGGGCACCCATCAAGCAGCCAACTGGAGCGTGGAAGGAGTGTATCAGTCGCAAAGCTCGCCAAAGGGAAAGGGGGATGACCACGAACTCACTTTCGTAGATACCAATGGCAACACCCTGGAGTGTCGACTCGTGCGACGTACCCGTCTTGGCACTGTCGTTCTTGGTTGTGTCAATGGAGGGGAAGGTGGTAACGAACGAGGGAAGGGTCAAAAGACCTCCCATGACACCTTGGTCGAAACCGAAGAGGAGCTACAAGGTCCGTATAGAGGGTCAGCGGGAGCGCACAGGCGAGGGCCGAAATATCGATCACTCACGAAACCAGCGCCAGCGGCGAACCCGATCATGCGGGACAGAGCGAGACCGCTAAGGCCAAAGTACTTTGGCCCATCATAGCCGCCTGACACCGACGATTTCTTGCCCATCTTGGGGAAAGTAAAGGGGTGGACCGAGGTGAGGACCGGTAGTCAAAGTGCAAAATCCCGAAGGTATGCTTGATGAGAGCTTTGTCAGTCTCGAGCCGCGACGGAAGGTCTAGAGGATGGAGGCGCGGGGGAAATGTGGGGGAGAATGAACAGGTTGGGGAAAGGGTCCTGTCCCGTTCTCCTCTTTATATAAGCTTGTCCGCGCGTAGCTTCAGGCGAGGGAGGCGAGGGAGGCGAGGTACGAGGGGGCACCCGAGAGCGGGTGATAGGGTCGTAGTGCCTTTTTTTGCACAAGCAGAAGGGCAGTCTTATCCGGGGTGCAGCAAGGGGGGTGGTGACCCAATCAAGATGCCGCCCTCCTACGCTACAAGTGAACCACTACAAACACTATTCTTGCCTTAGAGGGCCACGGCCTGCTCCTACTCACATAATGCCGAGAATAGCGGACGGGGCGCACATGTGATTCTCACTGAACTCCAGCCCTCTTCTCTCATGCCTCATGCACTGCCGGTAAAAGGGGTGGATTCGTAGCTTGTACACCGATCGAAGGGCATTTCACCGCAAGGTGACGGAGTGCCGTTGAGGCAGAGGAGCAGCCGGGCGTTTGCATTTTTAAAAGTCAGACACCGATAGGCTAAGGCAAGAGGCGAAGCGGACCATGAAAAGTCGCCTGATATAATGGACGTCAACGCAAAGTAGGCACAGCTACTATTACCACTTCTTTTCCTACTACCGTTCCTGGCAAGAGACCGCTCGGTCCTACCTATTTAAATAACACAGCACAATATATTCAGTCTCCCCACGCCAGCGTGGTGCGGCCCTTACCTAGCTCCAAGCTGTACAACAAAACAATTTGTCTACGAGGCGACACACTCCCGACTGAGGAGTTGGGTTCGCACGCGTACAATTTGGCACTTTTGCAGTGTCCAAGCAGCTCTTCCATGAGAGACCGACGAGCCTTGTCCCGCCCGATCCGCCCGCTGTCTGCGGCTCGGCTGTAGTGAGTCGAAGGCTCTCTCGTCGCGCCCGGAATGCCCGCATTTCTGCCAAGAAGACTTCAATGCCGCTGGCCCAAGGTGGTCCCAAGCTTGTCAGCGCAACTCAAATCAGAGCTCGAAATCAGCAGGAACATGACTGCTCCTGTGCCTGATCGCACTAGTTAAAATTAAATTGAGGGGAACGGGGGTCCGGTCGTTGACAGCGTTCCTGCGCAAAGAAAGGAAAAAGCTGGAGAATAAATGGTGGAACAATACAAACCTTTTAGTGCTTAGATATTAAGAATGAGGAGCCGAGGTTCTGGACCCGGTCTTGGATACCGCGTGATTGGTGCCCCTCCCCCACCGGTGCGGTCCGACGGGAAAAGGCTTGTCGGTGAAGGACTTGGTCTTCTGCAAAAGAAGATACGGCAGAAGCAGGAAAAGAAGGGACGGGGTTCAACCATGCATCTGGACAGTGACGATCCGATCACCCGTCCGCCCGTCCGAACGGTACGTTGTCCGTCCAGCGTCGAGACTTGTAAGGTGTGAATGTACATTTTGCAGGGTGAGTTACGGATAGAGGAGCAAAGAGTCTCTTCCTGTCTGAGGGTAGCAAGATGCGTCCGATGTGGCTAGGGTTGAAGGTGGCTGTTGTGCATAGATTACTTTGTACCGTTTCGCGAGCGTCGCATTCCGCAAAATTCGTCCACCGCCTCCCTTCTCTGCAGCTTGCCAGAGTACTTTCCATTGCCATGTCGCCCACCCCACCACGTTGGTGGCTAGCCAGAAGAGGGCAGCAGGCGAATATCGAGCCTGGAAGATGGCGCAAAGCAATTATCGAAGTTTCGACTGAGACCCTCTTGGCCTGGTCCAGTGTCTTGGAAAAAGCAGTGCTCACGACCGCATGGTCTTCGGCATCGCCTTTTCAATTTATTTTCCAGTGTGCGAGGTCGACTTGCTAAATCCAGCGTCACAATATTTGAAGAGCCAGAGCACCGCCACTGGGACTTGTAACGCCAAAGCGGGCGCTTATGTCCTCACGTCGACATTCCAGTGTCAGGCAATGACAGTGAGGCAGAAAGAGAGCCAACTCTTCGCGCTAATCACAACGGACGATCATATGGTGTCGTCGTTCACAGGATCAGTGGTAGATGTCTTCATAGATCTTTACGGCGAGAGCCGTAAGCTATAAGAGATCGTGCATCCGGTATCTGAGAATGCCATCATCTCTCCCTGATTACCCTCTCGAGAAGCACCAAGAGAAACCCCTAGACTATGCACCTCTCCAAATTCTCGCTCTTGGCCATCTTCTTGGTGTTGCTGGCATCTCCAATCATGACCGCACCCGTCGAAGGCGAGAAAGTAGGCACCACTGAACACCGACCTTGCGGAGAGCCGATACTTAATATTGCCTGCAACAGACCAAAGTTGCTGCCCAAAGTCGCGACGCTAGTGTCCAAAACGAGGAAGCACAAATGATCAACATGGAAAAGAAGGCTTATTTCGGCAGCCACTCATCGGGTTCCTCCGGCGGCAGATCCTCAAGTTCGGGATCAAGGTCGAGCAACACCTACTTTGGCTCGAGCAGCAGCCACCACAATGGATCGAAGAGCACCCAGGGGTCGAGTGTTCTTGGTTACGCATTATTGGTCGGCTTGTCTACGACAGCAGCTTCCTTGTGGACGAGCTTCTAATTCTGCAAATACGCTCCGACAGACGTTGCTTCATATCTCTGGACTTGCTCACGAGGCCTCACGCATGTACTTTTGCTGCCGTTTCATCCACGCACCGCCATCTCAGAATAATTGTATCACAGTCTTAATCTCTTCGTTCACGTCAGTGGCGCCTCAATTTCCTTCTAGAGTGTGCCTATTGCTGAGGCGTGCAGAGCTACCTGTAACTAAACACGCGAACCAACCAACCAACACACGCGTCGATTTTTGAGTTTCGGCCTCTTTTTTTCCCTCTCTTTGCCTTCTTCTCAATCTGTCCCTTCCGTTACGTATCAGGTCAGACAGCGACGCACCATGGAAGGGCAGCTCGTCGCCGCGCTTAGAGGAACACTGGAGCCCAACGTGGAGACAATCCGAGCGGCAGAGCACCACCTCAAGCACGAGCTTCACGAGGACCCATCGACTGGGCAAGCTCTGCTCAACATCATCTTCAGCTCTTCCGAGGGCGGCGTGAATTTGGCCGTTCGCCAGGCTGCAGCGGTCAATCTCAATGCTTGGATCAAGGAGAGGTGGAGCGCCTACTTTGATGAGTTTCGAGGCTTCGGTGCAGGGAAAGAGGTTTTGCCGCTCGAGCTTAAGCCGCCGATCCGCGAGGCGTTGCTACGCGGTCTGGTACTGGAGGACTCCAAGCTGCGGGGGCCCATGAGCAAGGCCTTGGTCAATGTGGCGGCTTGCGACTGGCCAGACGAGTTCCCTGACCTCGTGCCTCGGATCAAGGCGCTATTGCAGGGCGGCACGCCCGGGCACAATCAGGTGGCCGAGGTGGGTGCCCTGGCGTTTCTCGACGATTGGATCAATCGAGACATCGACGAGGTGGGACTCATGACGGTGACGAGGGAGCTTCTTCCGGATCTCGAGCGGATCTTGGGTCAAGCTGGGGTGAGTTGATCTTTCTATCGCCTACGGTTCCACAGACAAAGTCCTTATTCACTCTCGTGACTTTCGAAATCAGACCTACCCAGCGACGGTCCGATGCCACTGCATCAGCATCTTCAACCAGCTTCTCGAAACCCTCCTCATGGTCCGTGAGACTTTTGTCGAGGCTTCCAAGGCGGTTGCCGACGACCTCCTTCCCCGGTGGCTCACGGCGCTAGAGGGTCTCGTCGCCTCGGACTCCACGCCCTCCAGCCTCCAGACCTTTGATCGTTCCGTCGGTGAAGAAGCGGCCTTGCAAGTGCAGGCATGGAACGTGCTCCGAACGGCCTGCCACTTTACAGGCCACTTTAAGCCAAGGGCTCGATCGCTCGTAGAGCTGGCTCTGGAAAGACTGAGAGCCCTTCTTGAGCCAGTTGAACGCTTCCACATCTCGCCAGCAGAGGAGCAGGAAGACATCGAAGATGCAGCACCGTCTGATGCCGTCTTCTTTGCTACACCCTCTGAGCTAGCCAGGTCCATCATTGATTTCGTGGGCGTTGCGGTCGACTATCTCCTTTTTGCCGCCAAGAAGGACCGGACAGGGTCGTCGATCGAGGGACTCACACCGGCAGTCGTGTCCTTGCTCCGGTCCTACTCGCAGGTGACAAAGTCCGACGAGGAGGAATGGTCGGAGAACGTGTCTACTTTTGTCGCGGCGGCCGAGGACGAAGCTCTGGGCGCTCTGGCCTCGTCCACGAGAGCACGATGTCTCGATGTCGTCGCCGAGATGCTGGCGAGAAGGCAAGGACAGACGATGGCTGCCCTCGATGAGGCAATGCGAGCAGGTCACCAACGTGGGCAAAGTAAGCGAAAAGAGGGGGTGGCAGCCTGGTGGAAGGAGGAAGAGGCTGGTCTGGCTCTCATCGGGGGTGTCGCAGAGGACATCGTCGAGCAGCTGCAAGAGGGTGCCCCATCGACATCATTCAACCTTGAGAGCATCTTTACGCAGAGCGTCCTGCCTCACATTCATCCCGAATCACCACCTTTTCTCTATGGCCGATGCTTTGTCTTTGCATCGCAGTTCGCTCCGGTCCTGCCACAGGCCCTTGCAAGGCAGTTCCTGGACGCTGCTGTCAACGTCATCGAGGAGGCGTCAACTTCGTCCGAGGGACAGGTCATCGTCAAGCTGTCAGCTGTTCGATGCTTGAAGAACTTCCATCGGCACCTGCCAGAGGACGTGGTAAGGCCCTATACCGGCCGCATTCTCTCTCAACTCGGTCCACTGCTGTCCAACGCCACGGAGGACACCCTAATCCTCATCGTCGAGACTCTTCAAGCCGTCGCTGTACAGAGTGAAGGCCACCTCGTCGATCCTGCCGCCGCCGGAGTGCCGCCACAGGTCTATGGCGAGATCGTCGCCGAATCTATCAAGGCATGGGCAAAAGAAGCAAAGGACCGCATGCTACAATCCGTCGTCGAGGATCTCGTAGAAGCATTCTCGGCGCAGAAGAGCGAAACTATTGCCATTGATGTTGTCGATCGAGTCGTGCCCATGCTCGCTCATCTTCTCTCGCCAGACATACTTGCCCAATCATCGGCCGGTGGCGGTGTCCTAGTCGAGGGCTCCTTGGAATTCGCTGATGCCATCGCCCGAGGTGCCAAGCCCGAGGTGCTGACTCGGAGTGGCCTGATTGGCGGCTATTTGCCCCATCTCTTCAGGGCCCTGGAAGCCGGCGACGATCGTGAAGCTTTTACAAATGGTGCTAGCTTCCTTTCTCACATCATCGCCAAGATACCAGAACAAGTCTTCGAATGGTGGGTTGGGCAGCGCTAGAGCATCGAACCGCGATAGATGACTTACTGACCAAATAAACAAACAGGCAAGATAGTTCGGGTCAGGGGGCCACATCTCACATTCTCGTCCTCATCTCCAAGATGATTTCGACAGAGGACAGCTCCGAGAGCGGCGGGCTGGCAGTGGGCGACCTGCTGACTACGTTGCTGCGCAAGGCGCCCTCGCAGCTTCAAGACTCGCTCCCAGGCCTCTGCACTGCTCTCGTCGATCGCCTTGCTTCTGCTCAGTCTTCTTCGTTGAGCCAGAGCCTCATCATCCCCTTGGCCTTCCTCATGAACGACCATGGACCAACGGTCATTGCGCTGCTGCAGCAGCACATGGTATTGTCGCGGGGCGAAACGGGCCTGACAGTATTGGCCAAGCAGTGGATTGACCACGCAGAAACTATTCAAGGCTTCTGGAACCAGCGAGTGAGCACCCTTGGGTTGTCGGCTCTGCTCAAGGCGAGGGTGCCGTCGCTCGATCAGGTCATTGTCAATGGCGATCTCATTCCAGACGATAGCAATGGTGAGTGGCATCAGTTGGTCATCTTTACCTTCTGTTGCTGATGAATTCTGGAATAGTCATTCGAACGAGATCTCGAGCCAAGTCGAGTAAGTGACCTGCCTCTTGACACATTCTTTCCCAGGGTGGAGCCCTTGCTGACGATGCTACGCAGCCCCTCATCGGTACACACAGGTGCCCCTTCCGGCAAAGGCGCTCAAGGTCCTTATCAATGACTACCGTTCGGCGCAGACTGGTCCACCCAGCTCCTCGTCCACTCAAGTGCCCGGCCAGCGCGCCCCGACGCCCGACACGGATGATGGGGTGAGTCTCGTCGGTGATTTCGCACTCAGTTTCGCCTCTGTATCGCTCAACCTCCTGTCGTGCAACCAGAACGACGAGTGGGACGATGACGAACCCATAGACGGGGGTTTGAGGAAGGACGAACAGTTCCTGTCAGGTGAGGAGGATCTTTCTCGTTCTTCTTCTCAATTGATGTCCGGTGGCTCAATCTGCATATCCAACAGACATGCTGGGCGAAGACCTCGAGGGAGGGCTCGAAGACTTGATCGCTCAGCACGACGAGGAGGTGTACAAGGATGATGCCATTTACAACATGAATCTCAAGGCCTACCTCGAAGACTTTTTCCGGCAGGAGGCGAGTCAGAGCGATGCCGGCGCTCGAATTGCCGCCTATCTCACGTCCAACGAGGTCGAGCTTCTCAAGAAAGCGATCTCCTAATGTTCTACAATACAAATACCATCTTCTTCTTCTGATCCTAATGCTTGATGTACAGTGCAATGCGTCTATCCTCTATACTGTGTGCGGGGCATCCGTTCGCTGCTGCTCCCTCCACCGCCTGTATCGGCCTGCTTCCTGATCCTTTCCCATGCGAATGCAAGCTATCTCGAGGCCTTTGAGCGCCTTGATGGTCATGTGCATCTCTTTCTCTGACCTTCCACTTCCTTGTTCTGTCCTTCCTTCTCCCCATGCCTCTGTACTTCCTGCCCGAAGCGATACTTTCTCTCGAGCAATCTTTCTGCGATAGAGTTGGTCCCTGACCATGTCCAGGTCCATCCTCGCCTCGACCTCGTGCCCCGACGTCAGCAAGCGACAAAGCCCCAAACGGAGCCTGGCTTCCAGCTCTTCGTTCTCCTTGTCGGGACCGGAATTTTCTTTGTACGACGAGGCCATAGCAGAAAGGGCGGCGAGCGTCGTTATTACGTGGTCCGTCTCCTCCTTGGTCAGCCTGGTCACGGCTGCCTCGGACCGAGGCGGAGAGTCGAGGAGCTTGTCGAGCTCGACCCGAGGAAACAGTGGCGAGGCGAAGAGATCGTCAACGTACGGACCGATGAGATCTGGTCGGTACAGACTCGAATCTTTGAGCAAGATCTTGCCCTTCCCCTCGGTCGAGGCGCTTGCCATCGTCGCCGGAAGAGAGAACGCCCCCTCGTCGATTGAACAGTCGAGCTCCACGCTCAACCTCTTCCGTAGCAATCGTCACAGACTGGTTTGAGTAGCACAAGGAATCTATAAAGGCACCCTTCCGATCAGCCTCATCAAGGCTGAGACTTTGACTAGAGCTTCTCGCTCAAAGAACTCACCGGCCTTTAGATTTCGGCGATAGAGCGGTCGCAAGATGGAAATTTTGACTTTCGTAGCGTCTCACTTCGCGCTGCCTTCGAGCTCTTCCCCTTCCACCGACAAGACTGATCCTGAGCGCAATGGCTTCCGCAGGCGCTCCAGATCCGAAGATTGCTCGACGCCTTGCAGGCGTCAAGAACATCATTCTGGTCCTCTCTGGTAAGGGCGGCGTTGGTGAGTCTGCTGTCGTCTAGAATATGAAAGGCAACGGCGTTGAAGCTTACGCATTGCGAGCGCACCGCAGGCAAATCGAGCGTGGCGGCCCAGCTCGCGCTCTCGCTTTCGAGCAACAGCGGGCCGGCTTCTTCGTCGTCTTCGGATGGAGGCAGGCAGGCAGCACGCGTGGGTTTGCTCGACATTGACCTGACGGGCCCGTCGATTCCGCGCATGCTTGGCCTCGATGGTCAGTCGATCCGGCAGTCGACCGATGGGTGGGTGCCCGTGTACGCCGATGCCTCGCAGCGCTTGGCCGTCATGTCTGTCGGCTTCCTGCTGCGGAGCAACAACGACAGCGTCGTCTGGCGCGGGCCCAAGAAGAATGCCATGATCAAGCAGTTCCTCGGCGACGTGAGGTGGGGCCAACTCGACTATCTTGTCATCGACACGCCACCGGGCACGTCGGACGAGCATATCAGCCTGATGGAGTACCTCCATCACTTTGCGCCGCGCGCCGTCCTTGTCACGACGCCGCAGGCCATCTCGCTGGCGGACAATGTTCGGACGCTGGACTTTTGCAAAAAGACAGGCCTGCCCCTCGTGGGCCTCATTGAGAACATGAGCGGGTACGTGTGCCCCCATTGTGCTGAGTGCACCAACGTCTGGGGAAAGGGCGGCGGCGAAGCCTTGGCCAATCGAGAGGGGCTGGAGTTCCTGGGTAGGATACCCATCGATCCGAGACTCGTCAGGGTGCTCGACGACGCAAAGGAAGTGGCCGCGACGCAGATCAGCAATGGAGACCAGAAGGATGAAGACGGACAGTCTCGGTTGACGACGGCGCTACCTCCACCAGAGCGAGAGGCACACGAGACGCAAGAGACAATGCAGAGCACCACGCCAGCTGGGACAGTCCTCAGCCGGACCATCCTCGACCGCTACCGTGACTCGGACACCTTTCCCATCTTTCAGATCATCACAGACCGAATCGCCGCCATCGTCGCATGACAGTACTTTCTTGCCTGTACTCTTGTTTCTCCCTTCATTACCATCGCCCAGACAATGTAACACTGCTTTTCATAGACGAGAAAATTGTCATTCTGGCCCTACGTCAGTTTGCGAGAAAGAAAAAGTTTACATTAGGTGCTTGTCGGCTCTGCCTCCTCCTTTTGTGTTCCGGTACAGAGTCTAGTGGTGGGCCTCTTCCTGGTATGGTGCCTTTGCCGCCTCGAGGAACTCGCGCACGCCCTCGTTGCTCTCCGTCACTTCTGCGCCCGAAGAGGTTTGCTTTTCGGCGTGGTCAGGCTCCGCCTTGGCGTAGGCGTCGAGCTCGCCGCTGAGGTCCGAAGACGAGGGAACGGCGGGTGCCTGGGGCTGCTTGGGAGCGTGGAAGTCGCGCACCTGGCCGACGTGTGCATCGGCAGCCTATTCAAGATTCCGGATCAGTATCGCGACGAGGTAGTATCTACCATAGAAAAAAACGAACCTTGGCGGGGGCCTTGTAGGCCTTGAGCTCGCGGAGGTAGATCTCTTGGACAAAGTCTGTTGCACCACAATCGAGCAGCTGTCAGCACCGCACAAGCTTGTCAAATGAAGAGGAGAGGCCAGAAGGTGACGCACCCTTCTTGGCACTCATCGAGGTCGAGAATGCACGAGCAGTCTGCATCGAGACAGACGAGCGGGCCTGCAGAGAAGAAGAACGATAAGGGACGGGTTAGCTCCCTGTGATGCAGTCTTCAATCCCTTCGGAGGAGACAGACGCACCGCGCTGAGGGCGCCCTTTGCGACGAGAGAAGCGACCATGACTGTTAAACGGCGACGACGGCGACGACAAAAGAGGTAGAGAGCAGGAAGACTTTCGTTACGCGAGGCTTCTGCGATGCAAAATCGCTCGCAGCGACCGGCCAGCGCCGAAAGCGCTTCACACGTGTTCTAGATCAGTGAACGACACAAATTCAAATCTCCAACCGGCCCGCGCATATTTTTGTAATGGTCTGCCAAGCTCGATTATTGAATCCAAGAGAGAGTGGGTGGCACTGCCTTTTTCCTATTAAGGCTCGGCCCTCCATCACCACTTATCTTGCTTGACGACGAGACGAAGCTGCCTGACGAAGCAACATCTTCTCTTCACCAACGCATCTGCGCTCCAACTTGACATACGAACCGCTCACATTCTACTAAGAAGAGAAAAAAGACACAATGTCTGAGCAGCCTTACGACCCTTACATCCAGCCCGAAGGCAGGCAGGCCCCCGCCGGAGGTGCCAACCGGACGGCGGCCATCCAGAGCCAAATCGATGGTGCGTCTCTAATGATCTTCTTGCCATGCTGAAGTGTCTCCTGACGATTTCTTACGATCTTTCTTCCTCTCGCCCTTTCCATCTCTTCGCCACTTTCCATCTCGTGTCCTGCTACCTGTTTGATACTGGTGGTCTCCCTCGGTATTGCGCTCCGCCACAATGATACCGTCCCAACCACAGAAACCGTCGGCGTCATGCGAGACAACATCAACAAGGTCAATGAGCGTGGAGAGAACCTCAACGACCTGCAGGGAAAGACCGGTGCGTAAATATGCCTCTCGACTTTCATGTCTGGACGAAAGACAGACAAGGCTAACCCATTGACGTTGCAAACCAGACAACTTGGCCGTCTCTGCGCAAGGCTTCCGTCGCGGAGCCAACCGAGTGCGCAAGCAAATGTGGTGGAAGGACATGAAGATGAGAATTCTCATCATCGTGGGCATTATCATCCTGCTTCTCATCATCATCAGTGAGTCTTGCGCCCATTCCCTCTCCGCCTTGCCTCGAGCTCACAACCCCGACACATGTAGTCCCGATCGTCGTCAAGACTACGTAGAAGGATTCTTTCGCAACGCTTTCTGTTTCATGCCCATCTCGTGCCGTGGGACCCGTTTCTCTCTTCCCTACGTCTTGGCGACTCTTCATTTCCTCTCACTTTCACGACTGGCTCCTCACCTCGAGCACGAGCTTCATGTACTTGATCATCTCCCTGAATATTTCTTTGACGAAGCTTGTTTCTCATTCCTCTCAGAAGACAAAAGGCAAAGTGAAGACGACGATAAAAATGTATCTATAGGCGGCCAGGGCCAAAAGCGAGTCACTTGGGCGCGGCACGGTGCTGGAGGTAGTACCTCGTCAGGCCCGACGTGCTCGAGTCGTGGCCGGCGCCGTCGACCTTGGACACGTCTCCAGACTGGAGCAGGGGCAGGATTTTTTTTGCGAGAACCTTGCCCAGCTCGACACCCATCTGGTCAAAGCTGTTGATGCTCCAGACGAAGCCCTGCGTCGCAATCTTGTGCTCGTACATGGCAATGAGCGCACCGAGCACGGCGGGCGTGAGCTTAGGAAACATGATGGAGTTGGTTGGCCGGTTGCCTCCAAAGACCTTGGACTTCACGAGGAAGGTGTTGGATTGGTCCGAGGCACTCAATTCCTTCTTGACCTCGTCCTCGCTCTTTCCAAACGCGAGCGCCTCGGGCTGAGCGAGGAAGTTGGAGATGAGAATGTCGTGGTGCGGGCCCAGAGGGTTGTGCGACTGCACGGGCGCGAGAAAGTCGCAGGGAATGATGCGCGAGCCCTGGTGGATCTCTTGGTAGAAGGCGTGCTGGCCATTTGTGCCTGCCTGGCCCGAAATGACGGGACCCGTCTCGTAGTCGACCCTCTCGCCGTTCTTGGTGATCGTCTTACCGTTCGACTCCATATCGCCCTGCTGGAAGTAGTCGGCAAAGCGAGCCATGTACTGGTCGTAAGGAAGCAGCATGTGAGTCTGGCACCCGACAAAGTCGGTGTACCAGATGCCCAGGAGGGCCAAGATGACGGGAATGTTCTGCTCGAGGGGCGCCGTCTTGTAGTGGACGTCCATGTCATGGGCACCCTTGAGCAACTGCTCAAAGTTGTCGTAGCCCACGACGAGGCAGATGGAGAGACCAATTGCGCTCCACAGCGAGTAGCGGCCTCCAACCCAGTCCCAGAACTTGAACATGTTCTCCTTGGCAATGCCAAACTCGGTCGCAGCCTTGACATTGGTGGAGAGAGCAACAAAGTGCTTGGCAACGTGCGACTTGTCGCCGGCGGCCTTGAGGAACCAGTCGCGGGCCGTCGTGGCATTGGTGATTGTCTCCTGGGTGGTGAAGGTCTTGGAGGCGACGATGAAGAGCGTCGTCTCAGGGTCACACTGCCTCAGTGCCTCGGCCATGTGGGTGCCGTCGATGTTGGAGACAAAGTGGGCGGCCAGGTCTCGCTTTGCGTACGGCTTGAGAGCCTCGGTCACCATGACGGGTCCGAGATCGGAGCCTCCGATGCCGATGTTGACAATCGACTTGATCGGCTTGCCCGTGTAGCCCTTCCACTCTCCTGACCGAACGGCGTCGCTGAACTTCTTCATGTGGGCCAGCTCGGGCTTGACCTCGTCGACGCCCTCAACGGGAGGCTTGAAATCGTCGCTAAGGTCGCGGAGGGCAATGTGGAGGACCGATCTGCCCTCGGAGGTGTTGATGGGCTTGCCTTCGAACATCTCGTCCCGCTGCTTCTCCACCTCGGCTTCCTTTGCGAGACTCAAAAGGGTCGAGAAAATCTCATCGTCGATCAGGTTCTTGCTGAAGTCGACGAGTAGCGAGGCGTCGGTCGTCTTGCCCGACCACTGGCGCGAGTATTCCTCGAATCGCTTGGGATCAGCGCTGAAGGCCTTGCTGAGGTTGAATGCCTTGCCCTTGGACTGGTAGAGCTGCTCGAGCTTCTTCCAAGAAGGCTGCGTACTGGCGAGCTTGTGTGCCATCTTTGCTTGCAGAGTTACTGGGGTAGGAAAGAGGTGAGAAGAAAGGGAGATGCTGCTTCGGACTCTTTAGCGAGCGGTAGGTTCAGTCCGTCATGCACATTCCCCCAGCCACAATTCCACGTGGTTGTGGCCTCCTTTTATTTTTTATCCTCTCTTCTTCTCGCCGGTGGAAAGTGCGTCGTCTCGCTCGTCTGATCACGACGCTTCTTTCGTCACACCCACCGGCAATGATCAGGAGAGGCGCATTGGCTACCTTTCGAGGGGCTGCTGCCGCTTCGAGAGGCGCAAGAGGGAACAACAGCTCAAAGGCGTGGTTTTCTTCAACGGCGGTGCCCGAGCAGGAACAGGAGAAAGAGCAGAGTAACAAAGTCGCAAGTTCTAGCAAGGCAGCCCCAAAGGCTCGCCAGTCGCCTGCCGCACCGCTCAAGTTCGACATGGACTCCTTTCCGTCGCTGCTTGATCGGCCGGACCCTGTGCTGGACTCGGGAAAGGCATTCTACAACGAGCCTTCGTCAACGAGCGCACACAAGTCGTCAGTCATCTTTTACAACTCGCCGAGGTACTTTGAGCCGACTCGACCAACGGCCGCCTCACTAATTCTGTCCGGCTCCGACGATGGGGGAGACGAAGTGGACTCTGCGGCCTACCTGTCGACAGTGACACCCCTCACTTCTGCCGAAGTCAACAACCTTTACAGGCACACATTGACCGTCAAGCGCGTGGTGCGAATGACGGGAAAGGGGAAACAGCCCAAGATGGCTTCGCTCGTCGTCGCCGGCAATGGACGCGGACTGGTCGGCTACGGTGAAGGAAAGGACTTGAATGCGGGCAAGGCGAGTCGAAAGGCTTTCCACGAGGCCGTCAAAACATTGGACTACGTCGAACGATACGATGGTCGTACGATACCCGCAGAAGTCCGTGGTAAATGGGGTGCTACTACCGTCACTCTTCGACCTAGGCCTGCCGGTAAGTCAATGTTGCTGATCATTGTGTCCAAGGAACCTTTTCAGCTAATATCTCTTCGACAGGTTTCGGTCTTCAGGTCCCGCCTTCCATCCATGCCATCGCTAGATCCTGCGGAATCTCTGACCTCAGCGCCTCGATCCTGGGCTCAACAAACCCTTACAATGTGGTCAAGGCTACGCTACAGCTTCTGTGGGGAGGCACTGCCCCCCTGGGTCTTGGCGACGGCATTGGCGGAGCTATGAGGAGAAAAGACAGAGGCGTGGGCATGCGGACAGTCAGAGACATTGAGATGGCCAGAGGCAGACGTCTGAGAGAGGTGCCGCAGAATTAGCTGTAGAGTACCATAACCTCGCTAATCATGTAGAGACAATCTCACTTGCCATACAACCTCGAAGTGGTTCCATGTTTGCTGCTCTTGTATGAGGAAGAATGGGTGAGGCGGAAAAATTGCACGTGATTCACTTGAAATTTTCTGTTGCCTGCCCACTCCGTCTAAATCTTCTTGACTGGACCACCCGTCAACTACAGCGACACCGACAGCACATCATGGCCAAGGACGAGAGCAAGAAGGAGAAGAAGGCGCGCAGAAAGTCGGAGGCTGTCGGCGACGAGAGCGCCATGTCCGTCGACGTGCCTGAGCCTGCAGTGGCCGCGGTGGAGACGCCTTCGAAGAAGGACAAAAAGGAGAAAAAGGCCAAGAAGGAAAAGGATGAGGTGGACGACGATGCGGATGAAGTTAGCCCCGAAGCTATCAGCCCCATTGCTCGTGAGTGTTACAATAAACACAAATCCACTTGATAGCCGTGACGAATCAGAGGGCTAATGAAGTGTTTTGACGCAAATAAAGAACCACTGGCGCAAAAGAAGCTGTCCAAAAAAGTCTTCAAGGCCATCAAGAAGGCATCCAAGAACCGGGGCCACGTCAAGCGAGGTGTCAAGGAAGTCGTCAAGGGTCTTCGCAAGGGAGACAAGGGGTGGGTCACACCGCGCCCAGGATCTTTCAAAGTGCCACACTAACTTTCTATTGAGCCAGCCTCGTTATTCTCGCTGGCGACATCTCGCCCATGGACATTCTCTCGCACATTCCCATCCTGTGCGAGGACACGGAGAACCCCTACATCTTTGTTTCGTCTAAGGACGCATTGGGGCAGGCTTCCAGCACCAAGCGACCAACATCCGTCGTCATGATTGTGCCCGGCGGCAGCAAGCGGCCGGCCGGTCAAAAGGCCGGGGATGCCTCCAAGGAGGACTATGCCGAGGAGTACAAGGCCGTCTACGGCGAAGTCCACAGCCTGGTGAGTCACTTCAATTCTATCGTCGTGCCTGTTGATCTCATGCTGACCATCCTTTTCATCGTGAAAAAGGGAGAGAAGCTCGTTCTGGGCTCTTAACATGCTCTGTTCGCTTGTTCTCTTGTGCATACACACACTTTCTCTCTCGATAGATTATCGAGCGAATTTCTCGTTGTATTCTATATCGTACACAGCTCTCTCAATCTGAAAGACCGACGAGTCTCCTGACCTTTTCCATCGTCGGACCCGCCCTCTCTCTGGCCTTTTCTCGTCCCTTCCTCTCCACCTCTGCAAGGTACGCCGGCTCATTTTGGATTCTCTGCAGACGCTCCTGTATCGGGCGGAGGGCCTCGATGATGGCGTCTGAAACTGCATTCTTGAGGGCTCCGCCGCCTCCGCCCTCCTTGTTGAGGTCCTCTGCCAACAAAGCTGGATCGTCTCTTCCCATCAGAGCGGAAGCAATACCCAGGAGGTTGCTCACTCCCGGTCTCTTTTCCGGATCGTAGCTCATCTGCGTCTCGCCATCTGTCACGGCCTTCTTGATCTTGGAGCGCACCACGTCGGGCGAGTCCGTGATGAGGATCCTCGAGCTTGCATCCGGCGCCGATTTAGACATCTTCGAGGTCGGATCTCGCAGTGACAAAACCCGTTTTGTAGGTGCTGAGATCCTCGATCTTCGTTAAGAAATGGCCACAGTCGAACAGATACCGATTTGGACTCACTAATGATGTGCTGAGGAGGGGGAAATAGCTTTTGCTTGTAGGTCCGATTGAACAAATCGGCAATGTCGCGCGAGAGCTCGAGATGCTGGACCTGGTCTTCGCCCACAGGTACATGCGTAGCCCTTTGTTGCGTACTGTAGGTCAGCGTCGTCGTCGTGTTCTCAGTTGAAGTGGGCAGAGGAGCAACTCACCGATACAAGAGGATGTCCGCAGCCTGTAAGACCGGGTAAGCAAACAATCCCAGCGCCAGCGCCCCTTCCTCTCCGCCGCCGGCTGATTCCGCCGCATCGGAACTCCCCCGAGCGGTAGCAAGCTTGGATTTCCACGTAGTCATTCTGTTCAGCCGTCCGACGGACGTGAGGCAGTTGAGGTACCAAGCCAGCTCGGCGTGCTCCTGCACCTGGTCTTGGTGAAAGAGAATGCTCCGCTCTGGATCCAGGCCGATGGCCAAGAGGCTCGCAAGCATGTCTTTCCGTTCCACACGGAGCTGCTGGGGATTCTGAGGCATTGTAATGGCATGCAGACCCACGATAGAAAAGATGACAGAGTCGCCGGTCGCGGTCGCCTCCTCTTGCAGCCTGACCCAATTCTGCAGTGCCCCCAGGTAGTTGCCGAGCTGTACAGTCAATTCAATCCTGTTCAGCGCTATCTACCCCTCCATTCTCTCTAGTAGCACAGCAATATCTCTCACATGCGGCGTCCCCGTTGGCTGGATGCCCGAAAAGATGGTCCGAGGAGGCCCTGCCTCGTCCTTCGTTCCCGCTTGCCCTGACGCTATCGAGGTACTCCGAACGGCGCTGCTGAAAAAACCTCTTCTCCGGTTTCGGCAATTGGAGACGACTTGCCGCAACGATGGCCTTGCGCCGCGCAACGTGCTCCTTGTCGTCGAGGCAAACACCATCATTGCACCATCGTCTATCGTGTCGGCGAGAGGAGAACAAAGCTTAAATTTCTTCTCGACATCACCACGGCCAAAAAAATAAAATAGTGGTGTTGACGCGTGACTTTCTCATCTACTTATGATATCCGTCACGATGACGGAATACAATTCTGTAGACAGTAAACTAGAGTCGGATAGAGAGGACCATGCGCCATGTGGTCTCTGCCAGTCGTTGTCGCTGCTAATGCGGCTGGAGAGGATGCACACGCGCCAAATACTCCTTGATTGTCCGTTCGATCGTCCTCGAGGCAGTCAACCACACGAAGAGAACAGTCTCCGTCCGTCAGTATTACCCCAGGGTGTAGCCATATCGAAACGTCTTTGGCTCTCTCGCCTTCTTTCCAAGCAGACGGTTCGGGTATATCACGTGACCATCAGCGAGGCGACCAATCGTTGTTGAGACGAAACCAAGCCTTCTGAACAACTATTATCGAGGACGGTTATGGCGCTCTCACGTCAGGTCCTGCGCGCAGGTGCGATGCGCAGCCTTGGCGCCACGGCACCATCGCTCTCTGTCGCCGCTGTCTCTCGGTCGTTCCAGACTTCGGCTGCCAGAAGAGGTGCCCAGGCTTCGCACCAACAAGATGACGATGAGACGTACCCTTCTGAAGGTTCGTCACCTCTCTCGTCTCCCTCCTTTGTGTTTTCTGCTTGCTGATCTCTTCTTCTGTCTGTATCCATAGGCTTCAGCGCGCCCATCTGGCGCAACACAGTCTTGTTTGTCATCGCCGCCACGGGCATCTATCGCTTCTCGAACCTGCATGCAGATCCTCACCCATCCCGAGCCTCCTCGTCTGGCCGCTCTGCGCCCGGCAACGAGTCGGAGGACGATGAGCACGACGACGACAACCGGCCATTTCTGACGAGGTACATGGATTACTACTTTACTCCTGCTTCGTTCTGGAAGGAGCGCAATGAGCGTCACCTTGACTACGTCCGGGAACGTGCAGAGGAGAAGCTTCTGTTCCAGGACGCCGAGAGGCCGCCTATCCACAGGCTCAGGTACCCTTCGTGAGTTTGTTCGAGCTCTCACCTTCTTCTTCGGACACAACCAAGCTGACCTCCATTTCCCCCCTTGCAGCACGTTCGAGCAGGCCTCGCCCCACCGCATTAGCGCTGGCGACCAGGTGGACCTGTCAGATCTCCATGTCAAGAAGGCATCCGAGTAGAGTGAAGCCAGACACCAGTGGAAATCAAGCATTCAGACCATGCTGCGTGAGGCACTGTGCATACATTGAGAGATATGAAGAAAGGCTACAATCAGCTGTCCTTCTTGCGCCGAGGCACCTTTGCCATGATGTTGCCCAACATCTCCGTGAGCTGCTGTGGTTGCCTTTCTCGCCTCTGTCTCTGCATCTTTTGCCGGTTCGCCCGCTTTTGCTCCTTGATGCTGTATATCCTCGAGCTGCCCGATGATTCGCTTCCAACACCGTCGCCCATGGTAAAGTCTCTAACCATTGCGGTTCCTTCGCCAGAGTGACGATGCAGGTAGCCGTCAATCTCAGCGACCCAGCCTGGTGAGCCTGGGATGCCGCGTGCCAGCCGGTTGCGATCGGCCGACTCGCTGGCGCGGACCTTGAGGCGTGTGTAGCCCAGAGAGGGGTTCATGTAGGCATCACCACTGAACACGCCCCTGATGCTTTGCTCGCGCCACGCCTGCATGGGCCTAAAGTAGCCGTTGCCCTTTCGAGGGTCGTTGCCACTCCAGTCAATGGCGCGAAGACCGCCGTCGTGTTCGTTCTTGATGTAGGCGATCCGGCCAGCCACGGCAGCGGCCCAGCCCTCTTTCTTGTAGCCCTTGTCATCGTCGCCCATCTTCTCCAGTACACGGCCGGGAAGTGGCGGGGCGAGGAGCTGCGTCTGAATGCTGTCGGGCTGCGAGTACTGCAATCCGGCATGTCTGTGCAGCGCCGGCTGCAGGCTTTCGTTGGTGCTCGAGCCGGACATCTGCTCTTTGCTGCCCGACGGAAGCAGTTGGCTCTCTGGTCGAGATGCCCTCTCGTTCTCCCTCCAGGTGAGCCAGACACTCCACGGAAGGGTCGTCGAAATGCCGATCCGGCTCTGATCCCACATGTCGGCGCGCACCTCGTCGACATTGGGAAGCGGCAAGTCTCGAGCCGTGACTTCCTCCGGCACCTCTATCCGCGTCGCACCTTCCTCCCTTGCGCGCATGGCCTGCTTCTGCATCATCAACCTGCGCTCGTTGAGCTTCTTCACGGCCTGATGGCGAGCCCTCTGCGCCGCTGAGAGAGCAAGCTGCCTCTTGAAGTAGCCCCGAGACGCCCGAACCTGCTCGAGGAACTTTTCGAACCTCGCCGGGGACATCGAAGTGTACTTTGGTGCAAACGACATGGAGTTCGAATAGAGCCTCGCGACACTCGAGAAGGCGTCGTTGTCCGTAGTGCTGCCGGAGGCGTCCTGCTGGTGAATTGGCCCTCTACCTTGGCGTGCCTCTCGCTGCAAGTGCTCTCGAACTTCCTTTGGCTCTACCTCATCATAGAATGTGGGCAACGCCCTTCGCGTTGAGGGATCGTAGACAGTGTTGAGCCGCGGTCCAAGCTTGCCCACTTCTTCCACGACGGCTTGCCCCTCCTGGTCTACCAATTTAATGTGCGTCTCCGACCATCGCCGGAGCATGAGAACATCTCTCTCCCTCTCGCGCCATGACGTCTGGCCCTCGCGAGTGTCCATGTCACTGACATCGACGTATCGGATCGTGCCCGGAGGAGCACCAGTCGTGGGTAGGGGCCTCTTGAGACCAAAGTCGCCACGAGCCTGGTGTGCCGCCGGCGCCGTAAACACCTGTCCCTGCCCAGGCTGATACGCCGTCAGTCGAGACGTAGCGAGCAACCGCGAAAGGTTTGTCATGCCTCCCGAAGAGGACGACGCGGGTGCCGCCATTCTTCCTCTAGGTGCTCTTCGACACCGTCAGCGAGGATGCAAAAGTGAAGTCGAAGAGTCCTGGCCGAGCAGTCACGTGCTTTATTCTCACGTGAAAGTCTACCAAAATTTTGGATTTTGAGAAGGTTGCTGCACCGCTCCTCCTTTGATCTGCTGCAGAGTTGCAACGACATGGCCGGCAAGACGCAGCCGATGCCGGCGACAAAGACCAATGGAAGGGCAAAGAGAAGTAAGGAGGCTGTCGAGGAGGGCACTGCAACCTTGACCGAAGAAAGGAGGTTGCAAGAGATCCAGACGGCGCTATCCACCTCTGCAGACCTCAATCCCTTGTACGACCTCATCCGACTGGCTCATGGGCTCAGCACGAAGCAGGAGCCGAACCTGGTCAAGACGCTGTACGCCTCAGCCAGGATCTTGGCCCGATCTCTCACTTCGCTCATCAAAGACGACAGGATCCCCCTCGGCCACGTGGACGAGGAAGGCTACGTTCTGGGAGGCGCAACTAGCACCTCATCCACAAAGGAGCTGAGTGAGGCCGATCGAGCAGTGAGGAGCTGGTTGCGACAAAGGTGGAACGAAAGCGTAGACCTACTGTGCTCTCTCCTCGGCCATGAATCCCAGGATCTGAGAGCGCTTGCGATTCGCCTGCTCATGACGTTGCAGGTCGCTGCGTCGAACTTTCTCTCTGGCCAGTCGAGCTCTTCAAAGGATCCTGCAAACTTGCAAGCACGCTGGTCCGAGTCTCCGTGGCGACGCTTGATCACTTCTTTGCTCTCTGGAGCACCGATATTGTCCCCAGAGAAGCTCCTTGTGGTTGACAGGGTGGAAGAATTAGCTCAAGATGTCCGGCTCGTCTTCGCCGAAGAATATCTGGAAAAGTACGACGACGTCCGCTTCGCATTCTGCAGGGATGTCACAGCGCAGCTCAGCAAACCACCCCCCAGCATCTCTCAGAGGAGTGACGTCCGATCCAAGGCCATGTCAATGATGCTTCTCTTGACCGCCATTCCGACCCAGGCTGCCGACCTCAACGAATTTTTCGTTCCGGCGCTGGCCAGAGCACCGCCAGGGTTGAACAAGAAGGCAAAGTCCAAGAAAAAGGGGCCAAAGTTCGCGGAAGATGGAGGGAGCGATGACGAAAATGGAGACGGCGGCGGTGACGACGAGGACGATTTGGCCGACTGGTTTTCCGATAGCGACAATGAGGGTAGATCGAAGGAGGTCAAGCAGCTCAAGAAGAGGGATGACATAGCCGGGCTGGGGAGCGCTGCTGTGTCTGCAAACGAGGCAAGCCAACAGCAACGAAGGTTGAAAAGGAACCCGCCCCTACTGGAAGCCATCCACTCGCTGCGAGCCCAGAAGTCGGCTTTCAGCAAAGCATGGCTGGCTGTGCTGCTGGTTTCTCGCGACGCCGAAGGCAATGCCCTTAGGGGCGAGCTGAGTCTGGCGCAGACACATGAGGCCCTCGTCCGGATCCACTCTCAAATCCTGCCCCATCTCGTCAAGCCAAATCTTCTTCATGATTTTCTCGTCGATTGCCTCGACGCCGGCGGTGCAACTGCCTTGTTGGCTCTCAATGCGCTCTTTACGCTCATGACGTCGCACAACCTCAACTACCCCTCCTTCTACATGCGGCTTTACGGTCTTATGGTAGCTGATCCACCTTTCCTTCACGTCCGATATCGTTCTCGGTTCCTCCGGTTGCTCGATGTCTTCCTCTCTTCCACCCACCTGCCCGCTGCGCTCATTGCCTCATTTGCCAAGAGGCTCTCCCGAGCTGCCCTTCGTGCGCCCCCCTCTGCCGCCGTGACTATCGCCCCATTCGTGTGGAACCTGCTCAAGCGACACAAAAGGTGCATGACGATGATCCATCGTGAATTCGAAGGCGATCGATTCGAGGCAGGACCCGCTGGTATCGAGGATCCCTTCGACCCCCTCGAACGAGACCCTCTCAAGACCAGAGCCATCGACTCGTCGCTGTGGGAGCTTGCATCACTGGGCGCGACCCAGGCTGCCGCGTCAAATCAGGGTCTGCCGACAGATGGCGTGGGGGGCCAGGCGCACTATCTCGCCAGTGTCCATTCGCTTGCCAAGATTCTCGCTGAGCCGTTTACAAAGGAAAAGTACGGCCTGGAAGACTTTTTGGACCTGACCTACAGTACCATGTTTGAAAACGAGACGGTGAGGACGTTGAACCCGAGGAGAAACGAGGACGGGACGAGGATTGTGAGACCCAATGCCAAGGAACCGGCGTTGGCGTATTCCTTGCCGACAGATCCCAAACGAGGAAAGAGGGCGGCCGCCTTCCGGCTCGCGGTCGATCAAGACGAGGAGCAGCGGGGGGTTACAAAGAAGCAGAAGACGATGCAAGTGAACAACGACACAGAGGATGATGAAGACCGGGAAGCTCGACTGGCTATGAAGGAGGTGGAAGAGCAACAGGAACAGCAAAAGAAGGAGCAGGCTGATGCATGTAATCGTCTCTGGATCTTCTCATAAGGCATCGTAATTTTATAACCATTGCAATCAGAGAAGAGAGAGGGAATGTACCACCACCGACCTGCGTCCTCAAGCTGCATGGAGCAGCCCGAGGCAACGATTGAAAAGGCTATTGAAAGACTCGAGGGCCAAGGTGCGATGATGGAGGCTTGATCTGGGGACTTCACCAGGAACCGCAAAGGCGTAGGTTCGCCCTTTGCGGGCAGAATAGTCCCGGGTATCTTAGCTTACATGTGCGTCAACAGGTTACAGCCGAGCGTCTGGTGTGAGACGGAGGTATTTCGGATGAGAGAGATGAGATTGAGGGAGAGGGAGGATAGGTGAGATGGTAGAGGTTGAGAAGAGAAAGATGCGCTGAGAAGAATTTGGCTCTAGAAGACAAGAAGAAAAAAAAGTCGTCGAAAAATTCACGTGTTGCCGCGCTGCATTGCGCTGAGAAGCTCCTCTCCATTTCACTGATCTCTTCTTCTGAACTCTTGCATCGGGCATCTTACACGGGACAGAGAGACCACAAAGATGCGACCGACACTTGCTTCGCTCATCAGAATCCGTCCGCAAACGCTCTCGGAGCTTGGCGAAAAGGCCGCGAGCCTCAGACTACCGCCGAGCAGCGCAGGCGCCGTCGCTGCGTCGGTCGCGCAGACGAGTTCGCGACAACGGTCAAAGGGCAGGGAGGAGAGCACAGCGGAGCGGCTGCTCGCAGAGGGAGAAACTCCTTCCAACTTGAGATTTGAGAAGCATGTCAGCAACAAGGAGATGTTCTGGAACGTGAGTCGTGCCTACTTCGGGCCGTCTGTGGAAGAGAAATGTGCTCATCACCGATGAGAGATCTTTGCAGATGCCAAAGGACAAAAGAGAACCGCTGAAGAAGCTCCTGAGGGAGTCCTAGGAACAGAGACAGCCAGCACGACTTGTACACTAGCGAGGTCGCAACGACAAACCATCTAATAGACTATTCACAGAGAAACCAATACTCGATCTGAAGGTGAAGTGAACTAGTGAGAGGATAGCTACCATCCAAAGAGCTCTCGATGGAAGTGAATGTCACCCTTTGCGTCGCCGCGGAGGATGGCTCTCGGGCTCGTCAGGGCTCTTGTCACTCGCCGGACTTCGTCGGCCGGAGCAGCAGGGCCGGAAACTTGAGGATGCCATATTAGCGACATTTCCGCACAAGAGGGCGGCAGAGACATGCTTACCTCCTACAAAGATCCGACCACTAGCACGGAAGACGGCGGTATGGATAATGTCTGCGATATCTGGTCTTCCCGCTCTGAAGAACGGCGGCTGACCAGTTGGGCCAGGCTCGAAGGCCGTGTTGGTCGTGTAGTGCACCCTGAGATCCACGAGATTCGCTGCGAGAGGTGCTATTCGTTCCAGCTCAGAGTAGAACCATTCGTAGTTGACTAATGCCTTTCATTAGCTCAAGAGATTAAAGGGAGAGAAGAGAATGGGGCTCACCGTAGTGACGTATTGTCCAGACCCAGATGATGCTGCGGACGAGCGCTTCGCCTCGCCTTACCTTGATGATGAGGTCCATCAGGATCGGCAGGGTCCAGGATACTCCGGCTCCACCTGCCATAGTCCAATTCGTCAATGCAGCTCACTTTGCGTCGCTGATGCACTCACCAGCGAAGAGGACAACGGTGTCATAGTACCGATGAAGAGGGGTCAATGAAGGGTACGGTCCATCAACGAGGAGAGGAATCGAGGGCTTCCCGCCGCGCAAAGCCAGCTCCAGCAGTCTTCTCGTCCAGCCTCCCCTAGCTCGAATGATGAAGATCAAATTTGGTCTTGGAGGTCGTATGGACGCCTGGCCATGTTCCGTCGAGATGGACATTGCGTGTCCGTCCTTGGACCCGTCTAAGTCGTACATGCCAAACTCATCCTTGTCCGACGCTCCGCCCTCGCTCAAGCCTGACTGCGAAAATGCTCCGCAATTCCTCCTCTTGCCTGCTTGTCTTGCGTAGACACTTTTATCTTGCGGTGGACAAGACGCTATCGTGAAAGGATGAGCCTGGGACAACCACGAGAGCGCCGGCGTAGAGAGGTAGGCATATGAGCCGGGTGTCCAGCTGGGAAAGTCTGGCTGGAAGACTTCGACACGAACCGTGTCGTTGGACAGCGGGCGCACAGTGGCAGTGCTGGCCGGAACTCTACGTTTGCTGTTGGACGTCAGCCGCCAGAGGCCATTATTGATCACGATTCGAAGAAGGCGGAACATGCGATCAGAGCCCCAGAGACAGAGCGAAGCGATGAGCCAGTTTCGCTGACTCGGTCGGTGCGCCCAGACGAGGCCGATAAACGAGCTGCTCATGACAGGTAGCTCCGCTCAGTCTGTGTAAGCAGCTAGGCAGCAAGGAGCCCAGACTGACACAACGAAGAGAACGTGCAATGTGGTAAAGACCTCATAAGCGAGGATCATTGACCATCGGTGCGCTGTCAAGAGGATGCAGAGCGCCATTGTGAATGCCGCGACGCCATACACGCGAAAGTCGGTCGCCGAATGAAATGTGTGGTCTTCACGAAGCTTGGTCCATGAGTGCATGATGGCGAGGATAATCGTCATGCGTCCTACCCATCGGTGCAGGAAAATGAGTCGGTCAAACGGCACACCAGTAAGAAAAGTGATGATGTTGTTCTTGGACGCGAGGGCAATCTGGAGAGGCAGGCTCGAAAGTGCGAGCTTCGATGCTCGATTGCCGATGCCATGCACAGTAAACGGGAGGACATTGCCAGCGGGTATATTTGTGTCTTGAGTCCAGTATGGCGGGATGAGCACAGATTGCGCACTTATCAGAAAAAAGGACTCACTATCGACAGAAACAAGGATGAACATGGCCGAAATGTAAACGGCAACGATGATAAGCTCGGCCAGGGTCAAACGGAGGAAGAGAACGTCGACCATCGCAAAGTACTGTTTCACAGGTCAGAGAGAGCCTAGAAGAGCGAGGGGCAGCTGACGAATCTCACCTTTCTGATGAAGGCTACGGCGGCGCGGAACAGCCTTTCGTACAATGCTGGTTTGCTTGTCTCTTCGTCATCAATGATAAAGGTACTCCTGCCGAGTGTGAATGAGCTCGCTCTTCCCCGACACCTCTTTCTCGCTAGCTTTGCATCAACCTTGGCAATGAGCCGGCAGACCACAAAGAGGGACAGCGCGGCGATGATAAAGTACCAGTGGTACTGGGCATGTCGGGCAGTCTTTGCACGGTCTTGGCCCAGAGCCCGCAGAAAGTCTTGCATCCCTCCGTGCTCAGGAAGCGGTTGCTGGTGCGGAGTAGGGGGAGAAGGTGAGTGTACAAGCAAGGGATGCGAGGTGGGTCCTTCATTGTGTACAGCTGCTACAGGTTGATGGTCGACTGGGGTGCCCGAGGACGCGGGCGGTGAAGAAGACGGAAGCGCGGCAACGATGTTGTAGGGCTTGACAGTGTCGGCCGTGTCCACCGCCTTGGCAAAGATGTCTGCCAGTTCCTGCGGCGACCGTCTCTTCGCCCAATGTCTCGACCGCTTCACTCGCCCATTGAAGTGAGTCATGGTGGTCTGAGGTCCTCAATTAGCTTTCGCCGTTGGAGATGGTCGCCACTTGCACCTCCTCTTTCGCATTTCACAACGGCGCCACAAAGGAGAGAATAGGAGCTATCAAATCTCAGCCACTTGGGCGCAATGCTTTGCCTTACGCAGCAACGGAAAACAAGTGCCGGTCAAGGGGGAGATAAGTGAAGGAGGCTGAATGCCTGGGAAAAGCGGCGCGGAGTGATGTCCCTTCCGCTGACAAGTTTATGAGAGAAAGGCAGCGACGGGTGACGGCCCAATTCCCAAGGCCCAATTTCTCCCAGCAAACATTGCCCCTCCAAGTGGGTCTTCGTTACTGTCCCTAGGCATGTCGTCCCTGAATTATTGGTCCGCTCTCCTAGCAACGACGGCGACAGAGCCCCGATCTCGCTGATGCGCCGCGTTCAAGATAGCGTAGTATAATTTAAAGGGTCATCGCCCATTTTCCTATGTGCGCGGCCTTCGAACATTTTGGAATTGTAAATTGAGGAGGGGAGGGACGAGACCAGGCCACACCTGTTTTCGAGAATGGCATGATGAGGTGATGAATTTGAAGCTTGTGCCACCGAAGACGATTGCTCACCTCCTCATCAAACCAACGCGCCAAGACAGTCAGCATCCTCCGAACTGACCAACGTCAGCTCGGCACCCGTCTGCCAAGTGCGGAGATAGAGCACCAGTAAGGCATCGAGGTGCGTGCTGCGTACCCCGACGACACTCGAGCCACCGGCGGCCGAAGACGGAATTTGATCTTTCGAGCCAATCGGCACCAGGCCTCTCCTCCACCGACCGCGGCCTTCAGCGCAAGCTTTGGCACACTCTCTTTCCCACACGCATCACCAGCGCACGACCGGCAGATATGTCGTTGGCGGCCACAGCGCACCACTTTGTTGGTCGTCTGAACTCGCGCAGGCGGACCGACGTAGAGACACAGGCCGCCGAAGAAGGGAGCGGCACTGCGAATGATTATGGCGGCGGCGGCGGCGGTGATGGCGGCGGACATCATGCGCGAGAAGCCAGCGGTCGCTCTGTGCTGAGCAACATTTCAGACCGATTTGCGTCAATGCGGCAGCGAGAGCGAGAGAGCGACATGTTCCGGGTCCAGAATCGAATCGAGAGGTCCACAGCGACAGCAACCGCCAGAGGCGACATCGAGGCAGGAGCGCTGCCGGCCACAGAAGCGCAAGGAGGTGCAAGCGCAACCGCACCCGCAGCAGGCGCCACCACTGTCGCAGCGGCTCCCACGACGGGAACAAAGAGCCGGCGGGAAAAGGAAGAAGGCGCGACGCTGTTCGGTCCCAATCTAGCAAACTACTTTGGCACCGGGAGCAGCTCCAGCGGCGCCGTAGCAGGCCTCGGTCTCGGTGGCGCTGGCACCTCGACCCAGCCTGGAGCAGGCCCCGTCAATGGCACTACTTCGCCACTGGCTCCTGCCGTCCCCACCTCTCCCATTTCTCCCGGTCCCAACGATGGGACGTGGGGACTTCGGGGACGGACTCGGCTGGGGAGCCGAGGCCGGGCTCGCGGCGCTAGCCTGAGCGGGCTGAGCAACCTGTCGCTGCCGCTTGAAGCCGACGAGTCGGTCGCCTCGCTTCCTCAGCAGGTTGCTGCCGATCTGCCCAACGAACAATTGGCCATGGCCGAGGGCATCGAGATCAGCACGCTGCGGAGGTGGATCGAGAGGAGCACCGTGGGTGGTGCAGTCGAGATTGCAGGCCCAGATGGTGCTTCGTCGGTCAAGGGAGAGCTGGGCAACCCGCCCACGCTGTGCTCGACACTGCAGAGCTACGTCAATCTGAAGCGTAACACCGTCAGGCTCAACCTTGTATCGGCAGAGCAGCAGCAAGCGGTCCTCCAGAACAGGCGGTTGCAAGCAGCCACCGATGCTAGTGCCTCGTCTCCCGTCCTCGAGTCGCCGTTGGCTCTGCGATCGGTGACCTCGTTTGGCACCTTTGCCCAGAGCTCGAGGGCCACCAGTATCCCACCCCCGACGCACTCGCTGCAGTTTGAGTATGACTGCGCTGCGCCCCTCGCCACGATTCAGGTCTTTGTTCGTGCTTCGCGCAAGCACGGAACCTGGCTCAACTGGATTGCGATGCGCGAGGCGCAGGGCCTGGCAACTGACCTGACGCTGGACGGCGCCGACGAGGACAAGTACCTTGCTCAGCGAGGGCCACCGCCACACGTCCTCGGCTGGCCCGTACACTCGGCAAAGATCAGGAGAGGCTTCGGCAAGCCCCTCGTCGCCAACCTGCCTCTGCACATCGACTACTTTGCCCCTCCAAAGCCTGCAGTCAGCAAGGATACAAAGAAGGATGGGCCCGCCGTGCCTGAGACGCCTGGCCTCCGCGAAGAGGCGCCCGCGGCACCTCCTCTGACTCCCGTCACGCCTGGTGTGGCCGATCCCCTCGCCGCTGCCACCATCCCGGCCGAGGAGACAAAGGAGGAAAAGGCGGCGCGGGAAAAGGCAGAGCGCGAGACGCTCAAGATGGCCATTGTGGTGGAAGCACTCGACGAAGAGGGAAAGACGCTCAAGGAGCCCAACCTGCAGATGACCTACCTCCGTCTCTCGTCGCTGCCAGTCCGGAGCACGATGCAAGAGACTATGCAGCATGCCAACGAGGAAGCTGGACCGGGTGTGCGCGATGGCGATGCAGTCCAGGACATTGCTCCAGTGGCGACCGAGGCCCATCCCGACGGGAAAGGCGACGAGGAGGAGCAGCTGAAGCAGGACGAGCAGAGGCAGCAAGAGGTCAAGCGAGTGTGGTCCATTCAGGTGGAAGGCCAAGAGGCAGAGATTGGGCCCCATCGTTTCCAGCTCCAGGAGCTCTACGGTCTCTCGTCACGTCCGCCACCCGTTCGCTCCCCCGAGGACGACGATGGTGAACATGAAAACGAGAACGAGGAGGGAGGAGCTACACAGCAGACGGCTGCCACGCCCGTCGTGGACTTTGAGGGTAGTAGTGGGGGCGAGTGTCTCATCTGCCTGAGCTCGCCACCCACGACGCTGCTCCTGCCGTGTACCCATGGCTTGTGCCTCGAGTGTGCAGTACAGCTCAGTGACAGCGTCAAGGCAACACGAGAGGGAGAGCGACGGAGGGGTAAGAAGCCGAGGCGCAAGTATGCCTGTCCCGTTTGTCGAAGGCGTGAGTCCCTTAAGAAACAGCATCTCTCTTCCTCTAGCATTGCTGACGATCACGACAGCATACACCAACATGCTGCATCTCTCACCGGCCGACGAAAAGGCCGTCGCGCAGGCGGCCGCAGCTGTCGTTTGACCACCATCCCCTCTTGTCTTATTCACTTGCTGTCGATATCATTTACCCATTCTATTCCGTCGTTTGAATACCCCTACATGTAGCTTCGTTGTGCTCAATGCTCCCCCTGTTTTTACCGTCGAACCAAGCTCGATCCTCTGAGTCGGTTCGTCTGCTTCGTATTCGCTTGTCGACGCTGACACTGAACTCGCGCTTATAGAAGCGCACGACAAGTCGCACGGGGACAAGCGACGCATAGCTAACTTTGTCCGTCAGCTCGTCGTCCTTGAGCAATTCCACAGTAATGCCTCGCTCCTGCGCCATTTGCAGGAACGGCTTCTGGGAGCCCAGGATGTTCTTGCCGTCTGACCATCTCGACGTGTTCTTACGGCATCCCACACCTGCCTCCTCTGTCCTATCAGAAAGACCGGGTCCTTGTCGACGGCTGCGGGCAAGATCTGCGCCGGAGATGCCGGCTGGCTGGCCTTTTCGACGGCGGCCCAGAATGCATCGGCATCTTCGAGCGAGCGGAGGGCCATTGGCTTTGGGAGCGGCTTCAACGGATAGATCGTTTGGTTCGCAGCCCTGCCATACCCATCCTTCTCCACACCTCTCTTGTCCGCACGCTCACACTCGTCAGCCAGAGATTACTGTCATTATCGCATGTGTTCCCTTTTTTTTTTCTATTTACAGCTTCCACCGGCCAAAGATCATGTCTGCCAGAGCCTGCGTCGTCCACCGCCGGTTCTCGCCCTCGGGAAAGACGATGGAGCGGGGGCCGTAAAAGACCTCGTCGTCGACCTCGTTTGCCTTGCGCGGCAAGCAGTGCATGAATCGCCAGTCGGGCTTGGCGCCGCCGGCCTTGGCGAGGGCCTCTGTGACTTGGAAGCCGGCAAAGTCGCGCAGCCGCTGCTCCTTGCTCGACTCTTCGCCCATGGAGATCCAGGTGTCGGTGACGACGACGTCGGCGTCCTTGAGCGCCTCCTTGGGGTCCGTCGTCCAGCTCACGGAGCCCTTGCGCCAGGGCGTCGACGTGCTCCGGAGGCCGTCTTCCATCTCGCCCCAGACGATCTCGTCGCGCTCGTAGCCCTTGGGCGCCGCGACGGCGAGGTCGATACCGAGGCGCGGGTAAGACACGAGCATGTCTGCGAGAATGTTGTTCGAGTCGCCGACCCAGGCGACTTTGAGTCCCTGGAGCGCACCCACGGGGCCCATGGCCGTCGAGGCGGCTGCGCCCGTCTTGGTCGACAGCACGGCGTCCTCGGTCATTGTCTGCAGGTCGGCGAGGATCTGCATGGGGTGGTAGCGGTCCGAGAGGGCATTGATGACGGGCACGTCGGCCGTCTTTGCCAGCAGCTCGACCTCGTCGTGGCCATTGACGCGGGCAATGATGCCGTCGCACATGCTCGACACAATCTTGGACGTGTCGTACAGGCTCTCGTTGACGCCCAGCTGGATGTCCGACGAGCCGAGAAAGAGGTTGTGGCCGCCGAGGGCGGCGACGGCCGTCTCGCTCGAGACGCGCGTGCGCGTGCTCCGCTTGCTAAAGATGAGCGCAATCGAGCGGTCCCGCAGCGACTGCGGGAACAGGTGCCCGCCCTCGTGCTTGCCCACGGCGGGCGACGTTGTGGCATCGCCGAGCGCATGCTTGGGCGAGTACTGGCGGTGGACCTGCTTGAAGTGGGTGGAGAGCGAGAGCACATCGGCAATCTGCTGGGGTGACAGCTGGGCCAGCGACAGGAGCTGTGGAGGCACGCGCGCCGTCGTCTTGGCGTTCGCAAGCGTGCTGGAGGCGCGAGTGGACGAGGCCGACGACGACGAGGCCAGCGCTGCCACCCGGCCAGCCGACTGACGAATCGTAGATGCCATGGTGGTGTAGTGAGTGAGTCACTTTCTTCGCGCGCAGATAACGAAATCAGAAGAACTGTCCAAAAAATAAAACATCAAGGGGGAGCGTGCGCAAATGACAAATTGCGTGACGAGTCTGACAGCTTTGTTCGAACGAGGCATGGTGACAATGCATCTATTTCTGCAGAGAGATCTAGGAAGCACGAAGAGCCTCAAGCGCGAGGCAGACAGCCTGAGCGCCACCGCCGAGGGGTCCGCTAGCCGCTTCTGCGGTGTGCCAGAATGCATATGCCCGTCGGATGCAAACGCTGTTGGTGGAAATCAGCCTTTGTGGGCTTGGGTCTGCAACGAGGCAAAGGCCAGACTCACTAGTGTGCAAAGGCGGCAGCAAGGATGAACCAGTGGAAGCTGAGGGTGATCGATGTCAGTTTTTGCTGGAAGAAGTTGTTTCAGGCCAGACTCACATCTGATGCGAAGCTCCCTGAGATCCGCTATTATTGTCAGTCACCGATAAGAAATAGGAGACCCTCCGACTGGCTCACAAAATAGTCAAAGGTGCCCGGCGAGAAGCGTTCAGGGATGCGTAGCATGTAGGTGCATGCGCCCACCACGTACATGGCGCCGCTCGCAATAAGCCAATGGACGCCCATTGTCCGTGAAATTGCCTCAAACTGTGGAAGCAGATCAGCTGTCCTATCCTTGACGCAAGGAGGTGCGAAACGGACTCACACCATACATTGCGCAAATGTGCGCCACGGGCACAATGGCGCTCAGGCCCAGGGCGAGAAAGACCGAGGTCCTGATGGGCCGATAGGCAGGCGTGGAGTATCGTCGCGACATGACGGTATACATTGCACCTGTCAAGAACAAGTTCTGTCAATGTTCATCCTGTCTCGTCTCTCCTCTGCACGTTCGACTCACCAGAGCCCAGCGAGGTAATCATGAACGCATACATGGCCTGGAGACGCGGGTGGCAGTAGAAGCCGTAGTGTAGCGCGGGCAGGAAGCTGCCAACGATCATGACGACGATGCCAATGTAGTCGAGCTTGTTGCACCGGTGCGCAAAGTCCCTCGAGTGGCACGCGACGGTGTGGAAGAAGCTGCTGAAGCCCAGGCAGACGACGGCGGCGATGAGAAAGATTGCGAAGCCGGCGACATCCTTCCAGTCGTTGGGCCGCTGAGAGGCGATGGTGTGCAGCGGGCCCATCAACGATGGACGAAGGACGGGAAGAGAGACGAGTGCATTGAAAGAGGGAGGGAGCGAGGGCGATTGAGCTGCTGCTCCTCTTCCGACGGGGAGCCAGGAACGCCAGCTGTCCTTTGACACAATGGCAGGTGTTGGCGGAACGATGGCGGCAGGGTAAAAGAGGGGATTGTGGGTGACAAAGCGGAGCTGCTCGGGAAGCCATCCTAGGACTTCGGCAGTGTGGAGCACGATGGCGACGAGGGCCACCTGGACGCCCCAGAAGTGCGTGTGGATGTTGACTATTGTCATGGTCGTCAGCCTTCCTTCCAACCTGCACTACACTGAGGAAAGAACTCTCACCTGTCTCGTTGTGGACATAGTCCCAGACGCTGCGCCAGCATTTCTAGAGCAGGAATCAGGTGCTTGAGCACAAGCACACACGACATCAGACTTCAAGTCGAGCGTGGCCCTCACTCACGTAGACGGAGTCGTGCTCGAACAGCTTGGTCGTCAAGACGCTGCCATCCGCCTCTTCCTTGCCATTCCCAGCTCTTTGTCTCGCGCCATTGCTCGCCCCGTTGGCCGTCGAGGTCGAAGTCGAAGTCGAGGCCGACGTCGAGCCGGCCAGTCGGGCCTGGAGCTCGTCCGATGTTCCGCCTGGGGTCCTGTAGCCTCTGAGGATGAAGTCGTTGTCTTGCGCCCAGATAGGGAGGTCGTCGTGCGAGCACAGCTTTGGATTGCCGTCGTTGCCCATCTTTTAACTGGACTGGCCTCCTCGTCTTTGTGGACGAGCGAAGAGAAGAGAGAGTTGATCGGTGCGAGCACACGTTTCTCCTTTCAGCAAGGTTGTTTGTTCTCTCTGTCCTTCGCATCCGGGAGTCGGGGTGGAGGACTTGGACTGGATAAATCTGAAAAAGAGAAAGACAGACTCCGTCTCTCTCTCTCGGTGACTGAGTCGCGACTTTTACGACTTGGCCCACGCAAGCAAAGGATGTCGCTCCTCCGGCCGTTCAAGGCCACGGACCTGTTCACCTTCAACTCGGTCAACCTGGACCACTGGACCGAGACCTACTCGCTGGCCTTTTACTTTTCCTACCTGACCCAGTGGCCGGACCTCGTCTACACGCAGCTCTCGCCCAGCGGCACGACGATGGGCTACGTCGTCGGCAAGGCCGAGGGCCGCGAGTCGACGACGGGCGCCATGGGCCGCACGCGGCCGCTCAAGGACCGCCACGGCCACGTCACGGCCATCACGGTCGCGCCCGAGTACCGTCGGCTGGGCCTGGCAAAGGGCATGATGGACCTGCTGGAGCGCGCGAGCGCAACGACGTACAACGGCTATTTTGTCGACCTCTTTGTCCGGCCGTCGAACCATGTCGCAGTGGCCATGTACGAGGGTCTGGGCTATGGCGTCTACCGAAAGGTCAAAGAGTACTATCAAGGAGGCGGTCAGGCAGGTCGGGACGAGGATGGATTTGGTGAGCTGCATCTCCTCAACAGGAGTTCTCCGCGCGCGCTGACTTGCAATTACTTGCTACCCAGACATGCGCAAGGCACTGCCCAGAGATACAAAGAAAGAGACGGTGCGCGATGGCAAAGTGGGCCGAAATACTGTCGTCAGCCCAGAGTGGGTGCCTGCTCGATTTTGTTACACCGTGCTCGGCCGCTGACCTCTTTGCATCGCTTCCACAGAGCCACCTATTTTGAGCCGTTTCCCAAACCAAGACGATGATAGAAATACAATTGCCAGCTCATAAAGATGATGACGATGACGACCGATGCAGTACTTATGTAGGCATGCACTTAGTAATAGTGAATGGCCTGTCTCCTGATCCTCGGCACGCCCACGTCCCACGGCCCGCTCCTGCCCACCTTCCACCGCTGGGCGCGCCTCATCCACGCGGGGCAGACGAGGCTGAGAAAGACGGCGGCGAGGCTGTTGGCAGCGACGGCCGTGGATGAAAAGGCAGCCAGGAGGGCGCTCGAGGTGATGCAGAGAGCCAGCGTGAAGAAGATCGGAGGGCCAACGACACCGAGGGGATGCCTGGTCGACGAGGAGGAAGCCACAATGACGACGACGCAGGGTAGATGGTGGCGAGACCACCGTGGAACAAAGGCAAAGAGGCAGATGGACGAGAGAATGAGGCTGAAGACCTGGGTCGGAGAGGGCAGGCGCGAGGCGAGGACGATGGAGGAAAAGACGCAGGCGTTGAGCGAGAGCGTGGCGGGCAGGTTGTTGGCCCCAGGCTGGCGGTGCTTGCTGCCGCCGTCGGGCCCACTGAAGTCGGCCAGTGCAAAGCCGAGGAGAAAGAGGGCAGTGGAGAGGGCTGCGATGGAGTCCGACGTTGTTGCCTCGGTCAGCGTCCGCAGCAGGGGCGACAGGGCCAGGAGGGTGAGGGCCAGGAGCGCATACGAGAGCGGCTGTGCGAGCGGCTTGGCCCGCAGCTGGGCCTCCTGCTTCCTCCTCGCCGCTTGTCGCGTGGAGAGGGCCTCATTTGGGTCGGGCGGCGGCATGCTAAACACGCTCGTCGCAGGTGTGGTGCTGGCGAAGACGACGATGGCTGCCACGCTGGCCAGGGCGAGACCCTCGGCGCTGACATGGCCGGCGCGGAGATGCAGAAAGAGACTGACAAAGAGCGTCGTGATGCTGAGATGCTGCGTCAGGGGCAAGGACCAGACGACCAAGGTGAAAAAGGAAGGGAGCGATGTGAGGGCTGGGTGTTGTGCATGCATGCATGCATCAGCTGCCGTCGAGCAAGAACAGAGAGTACCCATGCTCCACTCACGATCCGTCTTGAGCTGCTTGAGAAAGTCATCGGGGACGTAGTCGTCCGGATACGGCTGGCTGGCCCACAGGATCCGTCGCCATTTGGGCTTCTCCATTCCTCGTGGTGGAGGAAAATGAGGAAGGAAGGTCGGGCGAGGTGGAGAACAACATCAAGCACTAATCCACAGACGCGCCCTCTCTTTTTCATATCCCTCACTTTGACCAGACGAACGATGGCAAGCCCGAGCGGCTCTCCTGCCCCCCGCGCATCGTCGTCGTCGTCGTCATCGCAAGCCTCACCGTCGCTACCATCCTCATCGCAGGCCTCGACGGTGGCCAAGGCAGCGGCCATCTCGGACAAACGCCTCTTCATCGGCAATCTGCACCCGAGCGTGGACGAGTACTGCCTGGTGCAGGCCTTTACGCCGCATGGCCACATTGTCAAACTCGACATTGTCTTTCACAAGACCGGTGCGCTCAAGGGGAAGCCGCGAGGGTATGCATTTATCGAGTACGCAAAGACGCAGGAGGCCGTCAAGGCTATCCGGGCCAATGACGGGAGGATGCTCCGGGGCAGAGAGCTGCGCGTGTCCTTTGCCAATGCGGTGAGCATCTTTCCTGCGGTCCTTCGACAGTTGACAGAGCTTGTTGCTGATCCTTGTCTCTTGCACGACTCCTCTCAGAACGATCACTTGGACGCGACAGGGACCGGACCCCATCGAAAAGCTAGGGTGCCCGTCGATGTGCAGAAGCCGACAGCGCTGAGCCTGGTTAAGAAGTCACAGAGACCCGATGGGTGAGTCCAGCCACCACTTGCTTCGCTTGCATCGATAGCAAACTGATGGGCGAGTGTGGCTCTTTCGACAGCACCGACGCAAGAATAGCGGCCATGGAAGCGAAGCTGGCCAATCTGCGTGGAAAGTCCAGTAAGGAGGGACAGGGCGCCTCAACGACGATGGCGACGACGACAGCGACCAAGACATCGACGCTCAAGGGCCATCCATCGCTGCCAAAGAAGCCACCCACCTCACAATAATCTATGTAGAAGTAGCATTGTAACCATAACTCATTGTCATCCTGCCTCTTGGCTAATTTACTCTCCTGCTTGTGGAGCCTTCGTTGCCTGACATTTCTTCTCCACTTTTGACCTGCAACTTGCGTTGTCTTCAGGTCGGTCACACAGAGGACCGACTCGGACGATGACATTCACGCAGCGCAACCTCTACTACCTCCGAGCCTCGCCCCACATTGTCCTTCAGACGGTGCTGTACCTTGACCCAAAGCACCTGCGCTGGATGAATGCCTACTATGGCGACGACGAGGACGACGAAAACGACGCGCAGCACCCCTCCGGCCGGTACCGCGGCGACCTCGTCCTGGCAAAGGCGCTGCAGGTCCTCAAGACTCGGTGCGTCAGCCACTGCATATCCCTGCCCCTCCTTTCCTTTAATACGGCCAGCTGCTGACGATTATTGCCCGACAGCATCATGCCCAAGCTCAGGAGAGAGTCCCAAGAGGGTGGTCCGCTGGGCTCGACGAACAAGAAGGAGCAGGTCGATGTGCACGTAGACGTCGACTTCCAAATGGCCTACTTTTTCAAAAAGGTCCCGGGGAGGCATGCCGTCCTGCTCAAAGTGGGTCGAAGTGCCGTGTAGTGAGATGGAGAAAAGCGATCGCTAATGTATCTGGTCCATGGGGCACTCCTCTATCGCCTCACCACCGGCCCAGGAAAAGGCAATGATGTTTCCTCAGGCTCCGAGCGGTCCGATGGCACCGCCGGCTCTTCCGGCTTCAGCGGCAAGGAAGAGGAAGCAGGGTACAGAGCTGCCCCGGCCATCGGACCTCGCTGCTCGACAGGGTCTCCAAGCGGGCGAGAGTGTCGTGGAAGAGGGCGCGGACGTGGCAGAGGGAAATGAGCCAGAGACGGATGGAGATGGGGGGTCAGAATCATTGCGAAAGAGGAGAAGAGGGCTCGAGGTGATGGGCATCCGTGTCAAGGAGGAAGATGACGATGAGGTGCAGCCGCTCGGCGAGCTCAATGGCGCCTTGGCCTCGACGTTCGTCAAGCAAGAGGAGGAGGAGGCGGCGGACGCAGCCCCACTTGAGAATGAGCCCATCGACCTCGGTGCCAATGACGATCCCGTCGACGACAAGAAACCAAAGATCCACGTCAAGTACTCTGGCTTCAAGATGTGAGTGTTGCTCGTCGCTGCTCGAGGATTACCCTTCTTACTGATGGTGTCCCAAACAGATTTGGCAAGATGCTGGTCCTGGTCATTGAGCCGAGCCGGCAGATGAAGAAGCGCGCGCCTGAGCTGTTTACAGTGCAGACAGCAACTTCCACGGCACAACAGCAGATGCGACGGATCAGCGAGACGCCGGTACCTTCCTCCTCACGAGGCCCGCCAGACGTTGCGTCGATGCGAACACCCAGTCGAGCTCGCTCCTCGTTTCTGGAAGATGAGGATGAAGACGAGCACCCGCGCGACTCGAGGAACATTAGTCGAACTCCAATTCGAGGCTCAGCGCTTGGCAGAGGTCTTTTCCGGGGCACGCCCAGCGAGTACGAGGCCACGCCGACGCCGACGCCTGAGCCAGAGGGCAGGAGGATCCAAGATGCGCTGCAACCAGAGCGAGGCGAGGACGAGGAGCGCGAAGAAGAAGAAGACGAGGGAGGGGAAGAGCAAGTGGACCAATCGGCAAGCTTCATCCTTGCCAGCCAGATGCTCGAGGATGGCGTAGGCGGCGAAGGAAATGACATTGATGACGACGCGGGCGACTAATAGAAGGGGACTCATGCATTCCATCTGTACTTCTAACAATGCAATGCTCTTGAACAGAGGGGGAACTTGGTATCTCATGCTGTTGCTCGCAGTACGTTCCAGGCAGTGTGCCTACTCGTGGAAGAAGGCAATGGGGTCCTTTTCAGACATGATCGCACGGTACCACTTTGGGCGATCGTCGTCGGGCGTCTTTCCGCCCTCTTCGGTGTAGAGCGAGTGGAAGACGACGTCCTTTGCGCTCTGCTCGCCATCAGGAGGATCATGGATCCTAACGTGGATGTAGGCGTCGGGACCAGCCTTTGGGAGGCGGATCTTGCCAAAAATGATGGTGCCATACGACACTGTCCCAGCACGGACGGCGACGAGGTCTCCCTTCTTGACGTCAAAGGAGGCGAGGTCAGCGTCAGAGACGGACGAGACTGACTCGTACATGCGCGGCTCGTGCTTGTCCCAGTCCTTGCGGCTGCGTTTTGGCCACGCCTAGTCAGCCCTGGACGCAGACTGCAATCAGATCGTCACTGGGGTCACTCACCTCTTGAGGAGCACCTCTTTGATCTGAGGAGAGAGGATGCTGAATGCCTCGACGGCGCGGTCCTGAGGGGCGTGCTGCTCCGACAGGGAAATCTCTTCCGTCATTGTCTAACTATCCTTATCGTGGGGTTGCGTCTGGGTGCTGATTGGGAAAGTGATAGCGGTAGCGTGAATGGGAAGCGCCAATCCGAATGGCGGTGTGGAGCGAGCTCTATTTTTGGCGAGGAGCGCTCGGCAGCACGTGAGGTTGGGGGCTCGAGCGTTTCTTCTCGAGTCAGGCATGACGTCGTGTCACCACCATCGCTACTTTCCTTCTTTCTCGTTAACGTCCGAAGTGGTCGAGATCGAGAAGCCAGACGCCTCGTCGTGATCAAGAAGCTGCCATAGAGACATAGAGACAAGATGAGCCGAAAAGCACCACTGGCGGTCAATGTGCGGCCCGCCACGCCCGACGACATCCCCACGTTGATTCAATTCGTGAGTCAGCCTGTTGCCCCTGCGCAATGAGCCGGTGCTGCAAGTACTACGCTGAACAGGGACATCGACACGTAGATCAAAGAGCTGGCCATCTACGAAAAAGAGCCCGATGCAGCAAAGGCGACACCCGAGCTGGTGAGCATGATTTCCAACGCTTGTAGACTGACCTGGAGCTGACGACACACACGCCCCCTATTCTGTTGTCGACAGATGAAGGAGAATCTCTTTGAGAAGAAGTACGCAGAAGCGCTCGTCGCTGAGGACCCTGAGCAAGGCAATCGGGCCGTGGGGATGGCCATCGTGAGTCCAGCTGCTGTCCTCTCTGTTCGCGACGAACACACGCGGCCGTGGAGCTGTACTGACGAGCTGAATCTGCACCTCCCTTCTCAAAGTACTTTTTCTCGTTCTCGACCTGGACCAGCAAGGTGAGATACAGCTGCTAACTCTCCCCCTGCACCAATTTACTGACGAGAAACTCTCTCTGTGCGCCTGATGCAGCCGTCTCTGTACCTGGAAGACCTCTTCGTGGTCCCGAACCTGCGAAACCGTGGAGCGGGAAAAGCCCTCTTCCGCGCTCTTGGACGAGTCGCCGAAGAAAGGGGCTGCCAGAGGCTCGACTGGCAGGTGCTCAAGTGGAACGCGTAAGTTCTTACCTCCTCCTGCCTTTTGCCCTTGTAGACGGCGCGCTAATCGACAGCACAGCCCGAGCATTGCATTCTACGAAAAGGTGCTCAAGGCTGAGCCGATGCATGACTGGGTCCAGGAGAGACTCGATGTCGAAGGAATCAAGCGATTGCAGACTCTTGGCCTGTAGCATCTTCCCTCGTCACTTTTGAGAAGTAGCTTCCAAAGTTCAGGAAAGCCTATTTAGTCGCACACGTGTTGGTTCTCCACTCTGCGAGCAAAGCGCCCCCCTCTCTATTCATACGTCATTCTGCCGGGACGTGGGCCGACCTGTCTGATTTTGGCACTGCCGGCAATCGTCTGTGCTCTCACCACCATCAGCAACAAAGCTTCCCCCCTTTTCCGCATACACAGCCCACCCGGTCACATTTAAAGTCCAGTAGCCATGTCTGTTAATGAACCCAACTCGACTTCTGCGAGCTCTACGGCGGCCACGGCGGAGTCTGTGACGGGCGCGGGAAGCGCCGCGACCGCTTCCGACCCAAAGATGCCGACAACGGGGGAACAGGTGCCCCTCGCGGGCATCGAGCCGGGCAAGGACGTGCCCTTCATGGACCAGGTCAAGGGCAACGCAAAGATGATGGCCGGCAAGGTGTTTGGAAACGACAAGGAGGTGCAGCAGGGCGCGGCCGTGTGAGTTGTGTTGGACTCTGAGCTGAGAAGAGACGATCGTTTTGCTGACTTTGAGCAAATGCGATGGATTGGCAGGGTCCGAGGTCATGAGAAGCCTCCTAGCTCTCAGTAGGAATGTCCGCTTCCTTTCTCTTCGTTGTAAATAGATACAATACCTGCCAGAGTCTTTCCTTCGACTACTCAGCCAGGAGGGCAGCGACTGAAGCGTGACAAGCAGGGTGAAAGGTGACAGATGAATTTTGGGCCGTTACAGGAGCAAAAGCCAATAGGACATCAAGGATTCGTCAAGAGAATCAACAAGGTATATCGATCTAGAAGAGCGACTTGCAAAGCAAAGCAAAGAGAACGAGATAGAGGATGACGCAGAGCCTGACAATTGGGCCCGTCAGGGGTGCCTTTTTCTGCTGGCTAGCCCGAAGGGCCTCGAGCTCTTCGTCGGTCAGGTTGGCCAGACCGGCGCGCTCGACGACCTCTTCATAGCCGCGCACGACGGCATCCATGGCGTCCCACCATGTCTTGCGCGTCGCTACGAGCTGGGCGCGCTCGCCCATCGCTCCGCGCAGCGCGCGGTCCCGCACGAGTCGCTCGAGGAGTATGCTGTAGGACCGTGCACAGGACTGGAACGCAGCCGACGAAGGCGACATGGCAGCGGCAAAGTCGGCCACAGAGGGAATGGGCGCGGCGAGGCCCGATGTGGGCGCCTGATGGATCTTGGACGACGAGGGGGAGCGCTCGTACGAAGGGCGAAGCTTGGACGCGGCCGTCGTGGCAGCCTCCGCAAAGTCGGCCATGACGGCTGCCGTCGCTGCCACCGCCGGCGTGGAAGACCCAGAAGGCGAGGACGACGACGACGACGACGACTGCGAGTGTTGCCGGAGTGCCCGCAACCGTGGCGAAGAGTTGGCCAGGGATGTCGTGGACTTTTTGGGCGAAGACTCAATTGCAGACGAGGACGAGGAGGTCGCGGCAGCCTTGACATCGAGCAGAAGTCCAGTCCTGCCTTGCGTGACGAGGTCCGAGGTGCCCTCGGCGTGAAGACCAACGACGGGAAGACCCGAGGCCAGTGCCTCGAGGACGACCTGGCCAAACGTCTCGGTGAAGCTGGGAAAGGCAAAGACGCTGCTCGACGCATACATGGCCGCCAGTCGCTTGCCCTTTTGATGCCCCATGAAGGTGGCGTCGAGACCGTAGCGCGCACAGAGCCTCGTCAAGTCACCTCGGGCAGGACCGTCACCGACAAAGACGAGCTTGGCAGCCGCGCGAACGGGCGTGGGAAGGAGCTTGAAGGCCTCAATGAGGAGACGGATGTTCTTCTCCCAGGAGATGCGGCCAACGTAGAGAATCACCGTCTTGCTCTCGAGCGACGCGGATCCCGTCCCAGCCGTCGTGGAAGGGCCCTGGTCGGACTTCGAAGACGAAGAAGAAAGGGCAGGTGGGGGCAGTGCAAAGGCACCACCGGGCAGGTCGGGAATGCCCGAGAGACTGTCGTACGCCGGGGGTGGGCTTAGCTCGGGCGAAGCCGTCAGCGAAGGACCAGTGGGGGGCGTGCGGATGAAGCTGTCGTCTTCGGGACTCGAGCTGGCCGAAGACGAGGAAGCTCGCTTCTGTCGCCTCGAGTGAAAGCCGACACGGAAGCCAAGCTTGCTGGCGAGCTGAGCCATAGCTGCTTCTTCGACTTCGCTGCTGTTGAGAGCGGGCGTTGCCAGGTCCTTGGTCAGATTCAAGGGCTTGGGCGTGCATCCCCAGCTGGAACGGAGGTTGTCGTCGCGGGCGGCGGGCTTCACAAGACTGTCAGCGTGGTGTCGACGCTCAAGACTAAAGCTAGTAATCACTCACATTGAAAAGAGTCGTGTCAACACCGCGGCTCCAGATCTCGACATTTTCAAAGCCCTTTGCCTGGAGCATGCGTCGAGTGCTCTCGCTGGGACAAAAGACCATGTCGCACCGAGCGTGCAGGCTCCTCGTCAGGCTCCACATGGTCTCTTCGAGCCATGGCATGCCGAATAGCGTCGCGTAAGTGGGCAGGTTGGTGTGGTACGATGAGACGCACGGGACGAGGGGTAGCCACTTTTGAACGACGGGCAGCATCTGAGCACCCAGCCAGATGGGGTCGACGAAGTGGATGACGTCGGGTTTGAACTGCTGCAGTCGACGGATGAAGCGAGGCCGCATGAAGTTGAGCTTGAGGCCAGGGTAGATGATGAGGGGCAACCCGAATGTGCCCACGACGGCGTGGCCAGCATACTGGGTCTGCAGGGTAGCGAACGACGCCAGCTCAGTCACACGGCAGGCCAGGCTGGGCGGAACCACTCACAATGCCAGTCTCGGGACCACACACGATTGCCTCATGGCCTTCAGCGTTGAGATGCTCGAGAAGACGCGCCAGTGTACGCGTCACGCCGTCCACCTTGGGAAGGAAGTTCTCTGAACAGCCCGAGTAAAGGATCGAGTGAGTTTGGCGCTCGTATCAGACACGGCTTGACGTCTACTCACCGGTGACGATGGCGACGCGGAGCTTTCTCCTCTTTTGGTCGGCGCTGGGGTACGGCAACGCGCGCCCAGATGACGCGGAAGGTGGCGCCAGCGCGACCGTGACCTGGTCCATCTTTTGTAACGTGTTGTTGTGCGACGATAAACTCGAGTGAGTGGCGACCGACGAGAATGGCGGTGGCAGATGAGGTAACAAGGTAGAGGGATGAAAGGAGGAGAACTGAGAGCGCCTGCGTCCAGTGGCAAGAGATGGTGGCGTAGACGACGAGGGCGTGTTGATCCTTCTAAGGGCTGACTCCAGAAGGGGCGAGGTAAATTTGAAGGGGGCCAAGCAAAGGAAAAAGAAATCCCGTCGGTCGCCGTGCAAAATCCGTTCGAGAGCCTGCTCTCACTCGTTCGTACGAGATTTTCTCACCAGCAGCTTCCCCCGTGCTGCACCGATCCGACTACAAAGAAGGACCTTGTGTAGGAATAATAATGCGCGCAGGAGGGGCTCGTGTTTGTGGTGTTGTTAATTTTTTTTTGGGACGGTGGTGAGCGTGCATGCTTCTACAAGGTCCAGTCGCCCGCTAGCTTCCTCCTCCTCTTCGGCCCGCAGGAGTGGCCAAAACGATCCCTCTCGGAATTCTCGCGGTCTTCTACGGCACTCGTTTCGCGCCTGCCCATCTCGAACGAGTCGAGGGCACGACCCCCTGAGCAGCGACGAGGCAGATAGGGTCAGCGAGCTTAAATTTTAGAGCTGCCAATGCACGTTTGCTCTAAGTGAGCGAACGTGGAGTGACCGATCCTGACACAGCGCCCGACGATATGACCAAGTGGTCTTGTTCTCACGCACGCGATCCTGTCAGCTAACTTTGGCGCACAGTACGATCTCAGTAGGACTCTTCTCGAATGCGGAGAGTCGCTGAGGAAGGCAAGAAAGACCCTGACAGATTTTTGTAAGCAGCATCTCAGACTTGGTAGAAGAACGAGCTACTCCATCGACAAGCATCGGCTCAAATTCACTTGAGTCGAGAAGACTCAACATAGAATCTCGAGATCGAATATAGTCTTCAGGTGTCAACCCGTCGTGTTCGAGCGCGCCTTGCCCATCGCATCTACATTGCCTAGGCCTAGCTTTCACCCACGAGCCTGCGCCTATACATGAGAAGGAAAGCGACGAGGATATGCGGTCCCTCCCAAGCAGGTACGAAGCGAGTCCCCGATGGAACTCGAACATGAGAAGGGAGTGAATACAATGACTGAAAGCGAGAGAATTCTGACAAATCTCAATGCAAGCCACGCGAGCCCGAAACCCGCACCTGCATCACCGCCACTTTTTTGCTCGCGAACATCTCCCAGCTTTGGTGCGGGGGACATCCAGTCACGACGGAGATCCGAGGCACTAGCGCTTCCCCCTCTCTTCTGCCTGATCTTCGGTCGTAGAGCTTTCTTCATCACCACGACAAATCCACAACAGCGCGCAAGTGAAGACAGCGGAGGACACAAGAGTGGGACCCGACTTCTGTATCAGTGCCCCTTTTTTGGGTTTCTCCATCTCCTTCCACCACAATAAGTTTTTCGCGCCCGCGCGCTCTCGCTTCGACAACGAAAAGCTTCTCAACATTCTCCCAGAGTAGGACACAAGATGAAGGCCGCCACACCGGGCACCATTCTGGTCCTGGCCGCCTGTATTCTTCTCGTCCTCGTCACCGTCTCCACCCCAGTCATCAAATCGATCACCTTTCTCGATGCAAAGATTGGCGGAACAGGAACCGAAGGAGGACAGACGGCCTCGTTGGGCTGCCTTGGTTACTGCATTGGCGACAAGTGCAGTAGCCCGTCGATTGGATACAGCTTCGGTGAGGACAATGATGATTTCAGTTTCCATCCTTTCTGACAAAGGTTCCTTGCAGATCCCAATCAGCTGCTCAACATCGACCTCGTCCCGGCAAAGTACACCTCGACAGTCATCAAGGGCCTGACGTATGCCCTTGTGATGCATCCAGTTGCGCTGGCCTTTGGTGCCATTGCGTTTATCATGGGCATTATCGCGCACTGCAGTGCCGTCTGTTGCTTGGACGTCATCTTTGCCAATCTGGCCGCCGGGTCTGCCCTCATTGCCTTTGGTCTCGATTGCGCCCTCTTCATCATCGCAAAGAAGAGGATCGAAAACATCAATGGAGCAAGTGCAACTCTCGGCACCGCTCGTGAGTGTTTCTTTCTTTTGCAATGTGCGCATGCGCTCTTTTTTCATTGACCCCTTATGATCACAGTCTGGATGACACTGGCCGCATGGATCCTCATGTCGATTGGTTCTTGTGCACTTACGTGTGGCTGCTGTGCTGGCCGGAAGCGCGAGAAGAAGATGAAGGACGACTTCGACTCTTCCTGGAAGAACAACGGCGGAGGGAGGACGGGAGAGTCGTACGGCGAAAGGATGCGCATGGAAGCCATGGAGGCGGAGCGTGACCGCAAATGGAGGCAAAAGGAAGCGGATCTGCCCAAATTTGCAGAATTTGAGACCGAGCACGTCGAAAGTGTGCCTCTCAAGAGCGCGGACTACGATGAGCAGGCCTACGCGGCCGGCAATGGCTATGGGTACCAACATGGAGGTGCCTATCATGATCCGTATGCGGACCATCAGAATGCCGCTGACCCCTACGGCGGCGGGCCGGCAGGCTACCTCAACCACGATCCCTACGGCGGTCCTGGCGGTGCATACGCTCCTGGCGTTGGCCCTGGGATGCCTCGACACAACCACCAATACGAGCCCTCTTGGCAGCAGCAACACCCTGATTCGTACCACAACGAGGCAGCGTACGGCATGGCGGGGGCGGCAGGTGCGGGCGCAGCGGCAGCGGCAGCGTCTGGCCTTCGCAGGCAGCCCACGCACGAATACGGAGCGTACAATGATGCAGCGGCAGGCTCATCAATGGGCCACGCGATGGACTACAGCGGCAACACCTTTGGCGGAGCGGCAGGCGGTGGCAGTCGCGCTGGCGGCTACTCCGATGTGGGACATGCCTCTTCGCACGACGACTACGCTGGGCCGCATCGATCCTTTAGCCAAAGTGTCGCGGGGCAGTCGAGGACACCATCGCGAGCCGGTAGTTCGAGGAACTTGCCTCCGCCGTTGCCGACGATGCCTACTTCTCACAGTAGCAACAGCAATCACCCGGCAGAGATTCCTTACCTTTCTCCAACTTCGCCTTCGGGCGGCCGTCTCCCGGGGAGGGAGCCATCGATCGATGATGGCTTCGGACTTGCCGTTCTACAAGCGGGCGAAGCGCAAAAGCACCTCCAGAATCGGCCCCTCCCCTCCTCACCGCCGTCAGCGACTCAAGCTGACAACTTTGAAGAGGAGCAACCCCAGCAGCAGACCTCGCAGCTCTACAGAAACGAGAAGCAAATGGTCAAGGATCACTACGCGCAGCAGGACGCGTCAGCCTCGGCTTCAGCTTCAGCGCCGAATGCCGCGAGATCCGCCTCGAGAGCGAGGCCACTTCCCGCTGCGCCTGGTCACAACGATACATACCAGAAGGGAGAGTCGTCGGGGTACGAGCGCTCATACCGGCCCTCACAATCACAACGAGACGCGCACGACGACGAAGAGGCGCCGCCATACCACCCATCCGCCGATATGGACCCTGCCACAGGTGCCTCCGAAGGGCAAGGAGGCGACCAGTACTATTCTCACGCATACTGAAGGACATTCTCATAACGACCAGCTTTTAGCATCTCGTCTTGCCTGCCAGTTCTTGTACCGTTAGTCTTGCTCTTCGTGGACAATCGATCTTATTACGCTACAAGACGTTTGTCAACAGCAAGAGCCTCTTTTGGCAGAGGCACACCAGTACATCCTCGCCTCCTGACGCAGTCTCGAGATGAAGTGCTGCGACAGAGACGAGAGGTCCACTTGGGCTGCCTTGCTCCTGGTCCTCTTTCGAGTCTTGTCGAGTGCCCAATCGTATGACTCTGCTCCTCGATGTGTTGTCATAGCGCAACGGCTGCCCCGGTTGGGCGACATTCTTGGGCGTGTAATAGACGAATAGATTCCCCGCGCCCATCGATGACGTGCCGTGCCGCCTCTCTTCCTCGACAGCGGGTGCATTTTCAAAGGCCAGCACGACGGAGCCCTCCGTCGATCGTCGAGGGAAGATGTAAGTCCGGTGGGCGTCTCGTTTGGACGCGAGAACGTATGCGAGCGCCGGCAACGTCTCAACGTGATTCCACCCTTGAGAGGGCTCCTGTTCAAAGACTATGCCGTCCAGGTCTCTTTTGAAGACGAGTTTAGCGGCAAGACTCTCCGGTGAGAAAGGGAGCGGTGTCGCGAGACACATCAGTGGACCTGGTCCATACTCTTTTGACACGGGGATCATGGCTTGGACCTCGGAAGGCGGGGTTGTTTGCATTCGCAGCACAAAGCAGGGCTTTCCTACGGTCGCATCTTCCTCCTCCAGACCGTCTTGCAGCAGACTCGATGGTTTTGTTTCATCAGCCGTGGTCCCTCCAACGTTGCCGCCGGTCGACTCCGGTCCGGCATATCTTTCGAGACCGTCCAGAACATCGAGAAGCTCTGTCGGGTCGAGCGTCTCCGGCACCTCCTCTTCCTCCTCATCTTTGAAGACGGTTGTCCACCTCGATCCGACTTGGGCCTTCTCAAGGTGCAACGTCAAAAGGCTCACCTGCTTTTCCTTCTCAGTGCTCTTCCCATGAACTTTCTCCCAAGTCCAGACCGATCCGTCCGGGTCTGTGTCTGCCCAAAAGCTTCGCGGTGCGTACCGACCGTCCTTGAGATTTTGAGCAGCTGGATGCGCCGCCTCGCTCTCTTCTTCCTCTTCCTCAGTTCCATTTCCGATCTCGACAATCCGTGGTCCGTCGTTGGAGGAGGAGGTAGGAGACAGCTTGAGTTGAAGGGCTTTGCTCGTAAATTGGCAGCGCACATTGCGTTTCTCGACGGTCGACGGAAGCATAAAGACGACCGTCACAGTCTCAGAAGTCTGTGTCCATGAATAAGGCGGTGGCGGTCTCTTCGGTCTCAATTTTTCGTGATTCTGGCCTGATAATTTGGACACATCTTCCTCCTGCGTGACTTTGGCTCTCTTTCCTGGTGGCGGCGATTGCGGCGAAGCGGCCCCTTCCTTACTAGGATCCATACGAATGGGGGCTTCGGCCGCGAGATAGACTGTCGCTTCGTCCTGCTCAACAAAGTAGCACGGTTCATCTGAAACGAACCTTTCCACCAGCTCCATCACTGTCACTGCCGATCCTGCCGCCTGGTCACCGCCTTCCGCTCCCAATCCGACTCCAACTTCGTCCCCGAGCTGAATCCGAGTCACGAGAATCTCGAACACCGTCTGCGCTGTTGGCCAAGTCGCTGACGAGGAACCCATGCTTCCTCCTAGTCCGGGTCGCTTAGTAACCATTTGCTCGACCCTATCTGCTCTTTGCAGTACGAATTGAATACAGTCTTTTTGGCGCAGTTGGACGGCTGACAGTAGCTTGAAAGGCTCTTGCTGGCCAAGGGCCCATGTCTTGACTATCGCCCCAGTCCATCTCGAGGAAGACTCCAGTTGCGAGGTGCGCAGAAGGGAAACAAGACCATTGCCATCCGAGACGAGCCATCGATCGCTGTCGATTGCTATCAGAGATGGGAGCTCCTTGGTTGCTGTCGAAATACGGTGAAGGGGATGGAATGACGGGTGTAGGTCCTGTCAAAAGCGATATTGAATCAACGACCTTTCTGATTGCGGCAGTCATGCTTTTATTTACCTCTGGTTCGAACGTCACAAGGACAACAAAGCCATTGCCGTCAATGTAAGCAGCCTGATTCGGCCTCGCGCCCGCTGCGAGGTGAGGGTGCCTCGAGCGATCCTTGAGCTCCTTGTATCCTAGCGGAGCCGCTGCCGACGAGGAAGATGAGAAGGTGCTGCCAGGGAGTGGAAAGGACTGTTCGACGACTCGAGAGGAGGCATCTCCGTCGTCGTCATCAATCAAGCGATAGGCTTCGAAGCGAGGATTGAGCAGCGCCCTCTTTGCTGCGAACGCCATGGTCTGGAGAAGTCTGGAAGAAAGTGCAATGGAGGAAGGCCACTTCGCGTGGAATTTTCTCGCACGTCCTTCTGTCTGGTTGCGAAGAATTCTTCTTCTGCCAACACCATCATCACTTCAACCCCAATCACAGCGTCGAACATGTCTGAACAAGCCGAAGCTGGTCCTGCGCCAGGGAATCCAATCGTCTGTGAGTTAAAAGATGTCTCTCAAGAAGGACTTCCTCATTCGAGACTCACTGAGAGTCTCTCTCAGATCTGGACATCTCCAACCCGTCGGTGCCAGCCCCTTCGGACAACAAAGGTGCTGACCGCATCGTCCTGGAATTGTATGCCGATCGGGTTCCCAAGACTGCCGAGAACTTTCGTGCGCTCTGTACCGGCGAAAAAGGCAAGACGGACGATGGAGTCGAGCTGGCGTTCAAGGGGAGTGGCTTTCATCGGTGAGCAGAGAGGCCCTCTTCCTTTTCGGTTGGCTTCATCGGAGCTGACTTGGTCCTGTCTCCTCATGAACTCATTACAACGTCTCACAGGATGTGAGTCCCAGAAGCTGCACTTTTTGCGATTTCCCGCCCGAATGCTGACCACTTGATCCCCGTCGACAGCATTCCAAAGTTCATGATCCAGGGCGGCGACTTCACCAGAGGTGACGGTACCGGAGGCCTCTCGATCTATGGCGAGAAGTTTGAGGATGAGAACCTCGAGGGAAAGCACGACAAGCCGTTCTTGCTCAGCATGGCCAATGCTGGTCCCGCCACCAATGGCTCGCAGTTCTTCATTACGACCGTGCCCACACCGCATCTCGATGGCAAGCACGTCGTCTTTGGCCGTGTACTCGCTGGCAAGAGCGTCGTCCGGCGAATCGAGGCCACGCCCACAGCCGAAGGCGACCGTCCCTTGCAGCCAGTCAAGATTGCCGATTGTGGCCAATTGACAAGCGCCGAGACGGGCTGGGGCATCGAAAAAGACTCCACTGGCGATGGATTCGAAGACTTCCCTGAGGACAATGCCGGCACCACTATTGACGTGGATGACCCTGAAGTGGCCTTCAAGATTGCGACGGAGCTGCGGACGATGGGCAATGGCCTTTTCTCGCAGGGAAAGACGGCGGCAGCCTTGGGGAAATACCAAAAAGCACTCCGTTACCTCCAAGTCCACCCCGTGCTTCCAGACACGCATGCCAACAAGCAGCCGTTTGCCTCGGAGTACATCGCGCTACGGACGCCAATCCAGCTCAACGCTGCCTTGTGCGCCATCAAGGTGGCGCAAGCCTCGGTCAAGTCTGAGCCGGCCCGTGTCTCGTCGCTCTCCCAGACCGCCCAGGGCCTGACGACGTCGGTAATCGAGCGCGTCGAAGAAGCCGCTGGCACGACCTGGGAGGATGCGGATGAGACGCAAAAGGCCAATCTTGCCAAAGCGTACTTTAGAAGAGCACTCGCCAAGATCACAGTCAAGGATGAGGAAAAAGCGCTCGTGGACCTGGACCAGGCCATCAAGTTCGCCCCGGGCGATGCAGCCATTGTCAAGGAGAAGAAGAACATTCTCAACCTTCGGGCAGAAAGGGTCAAGAAGCAAAAGGAGGCGTACAGCAAGATGTTCAAATAGAAAAAGGGTCTAAAGGCGTCATTTGCTCAAGTGAAATGAAAATTGCGACGTGGTCGTTACAACGTACACCTGCCTTTTTCTTTTGGGAGAAGAACAACGAGCAGCTTGACTATGACATGACTGGAGAATAGCTGAATGGATTTTGTCGGATAAAGGAGCGCGGATCTATGGAATGTGGACGCCTTAAACGCGAGTGGCCTTGTAGAAGGAAGCGTACATGTTGACGTTGTCGATTGGCTTGCCTGTCTCGCGGATGTGGACCGCTTCGACGTGGAAGCCCATCTTTTCAAAGCGCTGCGAGTACCACGGTTGCTTGGCCGCCGATCGGTAGAAGACGCTTCCACCCTTGGCAATGACTCGGCTCAGCTCAAAGATTTCTCGGTCGAGGTCGCTGATGCTCTTGTCTTTGTCGTTGCGAGCCTGCTGCAACGTTGGTGCGGGTCTCGCGGCCGGAACGGGATCGTACCAGTCCATGTGGTCCATGGTGATGGCACGCGTCAGGCTGCCATCTTCGAGCCCGCGCAGCACACGGACAATGCTGTCGGTATGCAGCCTGAAGCTGTCGAGGAGCTTGGCAGCGTCCTGCTTGAGCTTCTTGAAGCCTTCGGGCTTGAGATACAGGGGGCACGACTCGCGCGTGTAGTTGCCTTCAAGACACAGCCGGTAGTGGTAGTTGTCCGTCTTGACGAGCGACCGGCTCGAGATGGAGTCGAGCGTGTCGATGGCGTACTGCTCGACGCTCACACCCTCGTGTCGGAAACAGTTGTACTGATTCATGGGCACGCCCAGCGCATTCCAAAGGAAGGCTGGGTTGCTGAGGAAAAGGCGGATCATCGTCTTGTTGATCAATGTGTTTCGGAGGTGCTTGTCCCACATGGCCTGCTGCTCCTCGACCGTCTTTGCTTCGCAGAAGGCGTCGACGTGCTTCTGAACACCAGCGAGTCGGAAAGCGATCTTGGCCAGTCGGAGGGCGTGGCCAGAGTAGCCTCGGAAGTAGAATGCCCGGTCAAAGTAGTTGTTGTTGAGGCGCCAGAACTGGTAGGCGTGCGACGAGAGGTAGGGCGAAATCTTGCTCTCGAGGAGCTCACGGAACTTGTCGCTGCGACCGGCGCCAAAGAGCGACCAGAACTCCTCGTACTCGAGGGAAGCAATGGCAGCGAGCTTGAGCTCCATCAGATGGCCCTGGCAGGCATTCATGTCGACGCAGTGGATCCTTTTTGGCTGCGCAGCAATGGCGTAGTGCAAGGCATTGTCGCCGGCAGAGGTGATGCAGAGAACCGAGTCATCCTTGGTCAAGCCAAGGTGGGCCATGTCCACGTATGGGTCCTCCCAGGTAAAGCCATAGATGAAGGAGCGGAAGCTGGCAAAGTCAGGGTCGACTGCGCATTCATGTGAGCTCTTTACCTCTATGATATTACATTACGTGGTAGTAACTCACTGTAAGGCAGGCGCCACTGGCGCTTCTGGTAGTGGAAGGAGCTGAGGGGCACTTGAGGGCCCAGGTCAATTTTGAAGCCCGAGGCCGAAGAGCTAGTCGAGTTGGTCTCGCTTCCTCGACGCTTGACGAGATTGCTTGGGTCTGTCAAGACACCCGTATGCGCGGACGCTACGGCAGAGTCCTGGCCGCTCTTTTCCGTCAGAATCTGCGTCTTGGATGCCGAGAGGAGATGGGCAAAGGAGAGCTCAGGGAACGAAGGGGGCACAATGACGCGGTTCCCGGCTTCCACCTCAAAAGCCTGGATCGCGTCCGTCGTGTCGCGGCTACGCGAGCAGCCAAGCCAGATGTAATAGGGGCTGGAAGAAGAGAGAACGGAAGCTTGGTAAGCTACAGTACGAGGAGCCAGCCATTTTCACTACGACTCACATGCGGACAATGAACGGGATGATGAAGTTGTTGCGGCCATTGAAGCACTTGATCGTGCCAAACTTGTACTCAAGGTAGTCTGGGCGAACGAGAAGATGAAGCAAGGAGGTCTCAGTGCCAAATTGGAATAGCTTTCAAAAGAAAAGAGTGTCTTACCTCTGCGAGCAGGGTGCAGCTCGACGTGGTCGAACTCGAACCAGTGGCTCCAAAAGAAGCGGCTGAGCCAGCCACAGTGCCGCCTGTTGTCACCACCGATCTGTGCGCTCTTGTCCCCGCTCGGAGGGCTACGGCCCGAGACATAGAAGTCAACGACGCCAAACACGCCCGTCTCAGGGTCAAGGAAATCGTTGATGCGGTCCAGAACGGCATAGAAGGGAGGGATCTAGAGACCAATTTATGTAAGAAATGCGTCCAGCTGCAGAAGTTATTGATCCGCCTCACCATGGAGATGCTGTAGCTGCACGTAAAGAGGTCCACCTTCTGGTCGTCGGCCAGGCTGGGGAGCATAAACTCCTTGGCGTCCTGGCACAGCACCTGAACATTCTTGAGGCCCCGCGCGGCAAAGCGCTGGCGAGCCACCTCGAGCAGCGGCTCGCAGAGGTCGATGAGGTAGATCTGCGAGATCTGGTCAAGGGGAAAGTATTCGGCCATCTGCTCGATGTTCCAGCCTGCTTGCCAGAATCGGTCAGTACATGCTGCCCTTCTCGGGTGGTTCGCGGCTAATTGACGCACCAGTGCCGCCTCCAATGTCGACCCAGACGAGAGGCTTTCCAGGCTTGGTGCGCTGCATGTCGCGAAGCTGGGCAGCAACGAGTCTTTGGGCCAGCAGAGGGAACGCGTCAGAAAAGAGAGGACCAGAGGAGGGAAAGGAGGATATTTCTCACTTGAGCATGGTGCGGCGCCCACGAAGGAGGCCGCTGCGAGTGGCATCATAGACTGTGACATTGCACACGCGGTGAGCGAGCAGAATGAGGGGAAGAGAGACAATACGACATACCATCTGCCTGGTGCTGATAGAAACGGTCGAGACGCTCGCTCTGGTTGGCTACCTTGCCGATAGGCTGCAGGAAGCAGTTGTAGGCAAAGACGAGGGAGGTGCGCACGCCAGGAATGAAGCGAATGGCAAACGACAGCGCCAACAAGCTAGCAAGAATAAAGAACAGGACCTGGAGCGAGAAGGGAGCGCCCTTGACGAACGAGGGCAACAAGTCGCTCGACGAAACCGAGGGAAGCCTCAGCCCCGACGGAAGCCGCGAGGGAGGCGAGGAGAAGGACATCTCTGCAAGTCTAGATCAGAGAAGGGAGCGATGGTCGTGGTGGAATGGAACAGCAGGTACAGACCGGGAGGAGGTTGGGGGAGAGAAGGAAGAAGTGATAAATCTAGCCGAGCTCAATTTGGAGGAAGCTCCGGGGGGGACGTGCACCCCCTCGCCCGACGAATCAATGGGGCGAGCTCCTCGGCTTTCTTCTTCATTTTCAATACAGTCCGCGAGACGTTCCTCTCGCGACTTGCAACGTCTCGCGACCCAAGCCGCTAGATGAACCCAGGCTAGCCCAAATATTTGCAAATGGTGTCGGCTGGCCTCTCGGTACAAGAGGCGCACCCGGTCAGCAGCAGCAGAGAGTGCGAGGACGCACAGAGAAATGGCTTTTTCCAAATCTTCGCGCTCGCACGGGTCACATTGCATGGACAAGCTCTATTTTCTGTCTTTCAGGCTTGCGACTTATGCCTGTTTTGGCAGAGAGGGACACAAGATGTTTCTCCTTCTCCTGACATTGCGCGCTTAAGACGGCACAGTGGTAGCGAAACGAATGGCGAGTGCCATTCCGACGCTGCTCCCATGCCGTTTTCGCCTCTTTCATCTTTCAATTTCTCGCGGAGGGGGGGGGGGGGGGGAAATGGAGGTTGGGCCCCTTCAGCGAACGTGTCATAGGCACTGGCAACGTGCAGCCCGAAATCGAGGGGGCGAGCTTAAATACTCAAGTCACGTGACACCAAAGTGATCGGTCAGTGACACATGTCCAAATACGTCAGTGACAGAGTGCGAGCCGAGGGTCGGAAGCCACCTGGGCTGCCCTATGCGGCTGGCCAATTTTATTTTTCTGGCGCGCAAGCCACCACTACAACAACTCCCAGCTCTAGCCAGCCACTTTGGACTACTACCACTGCCCGTACCCGTACCCCTTGCCCCTTTGCGCTTTCACCGTCGACCCTTTCAGCTACCAGCTTCCATCGCCCGCAGCTGTCGCTATCGCAGAGCGTACCAGCAGCTGGCTTGGCTCGACGCACGGCCCTGGGCGAAAGCAAAGCCATTTTGCGACCTAAGGAGGATCGGCCGTTTTTGCATTATCACAAGTCACGCTCGGTTCGCTTTCCACCTGTAACGGCTTCGATCTCGCCAGAAAGGAATTGACATCTCCACGAAGGTCTCTCGATAGCACAAAAAGAGGGTGTCAGACGCTAGTCAGGCCCTCCGAAGGTCGCATCACTTGCGACATATACGACCACTACATATCCAGCCTGTTCCCCTGCGCTTGTGGGCTTCGAGCGACACTTTAGCGCCAAGCCAATCACCCACACCGACACAATGATCCCCGCCCAGCGCAACAAGATTGACATCAGCGTGCGTGTGCTTCCATCTCCCCCACGGAAACCCAGCTGACCGCGAATGCATTTGCCAGTCCCTTACCGAGGAGGAGCAAAAGGTGTTCCGCCTGTACGGCAAGCTGCCCAATCGCAAGGATCTTCTTGGTAACAAGCTCAAGGTGGGTGTCTCTGGCTTTTCTCTTCATGGTTGCACATACTCAGATGGGCATATGTTCGTCAAGCAGGAGCGCAAATACTTTGACTCGGGCGACTACGCCCTGTCCAAGGCAGGCAAAGCCCCCCAGCAATCGGTCGGTACTGCAATTCCGAACCCCGAGACGATTCCGCATGCTTCTACGGTCTCGTCGCCCCCGAACTGCACGGCGGCGCCCTCGAGCTTGGGCCAGAGCGTCGGTGCGGTGCCCGTCGCGGTGCCCAATGCCAGTGGCATTGGCCGGAGCCCGCCTCAGGTGAGCGCCTTCCCAACGGCCACTGGAAATGGTCTGGCCGGCAGCCCGGCAAAGGAGAGCAGCCTGGGAAAAGAGGCTGCAGGCGCCGATGACCTCATGGAGGAGTGATCCGTACCCTCACGGACTGGCTCTTCTTGTAAATGCACCGCTGGACGTCTGAAGACCGCCCGACCCGTCAACGACTTCTCGCCTCGTCGTCTTTTCACACACTTGTATCAACAGCTGCCTCTCGTCGTCTCTTCGTTTTCCCTCTTCCCTATCTCGTTCGCTCGCGTCAGCGTTTCTCCGGTTCTCATTCTCTCCTCCGTGTCTTTTTACTCGATGAAGCCTCCAAGGCTTCCTGTCCCTCTTCAGTAGCATCTCGTCTAATGTCCAAAAAAAAAGGGGTATATCAAGATTGATCGGCGGTGCGATTACCAGTGGTTGGAGTCGAGTTTGATGAAGAGATCTCGCAGGTCCTCGAGCTTCCACTGGCCCATTTCACGCTCGAGCTGCGGTCTCGTCGGTGCCTGCCCCTGGTCCGCAACCGCATTGACATACGCTGCAGTGGCGGTGCTTGGCCTCGCACGGACGTTCACCGTGCCATTGCTGACCTCGTCGTCACCCACGACAAGGATGAAGTTGTACCTGCTCGACTCGGCCCTCCTGACTCTTTTTGCCAGCGTCTCCTCGCTCGCGTCCACATCGACATGAAAGACGTGGGCCGGCCTGCTGCTGCTGTTATTGTCTTCGCTGCGCCCCAGCGCCAGCCTCTTCTTTACCGCTTCGGCATACCGCATCTGTCCCTCTGCATTCTGCGGCGATACAGGCAAGACGACGGCCTGCCTCGGGCTCATCCAGAATGGCCAATTTCCCCTCGTATGCTCCATCAGAATGGCCATGAAGCGTTCCACAGATCCCAGAATAGCGCGATGAATTAGGACTGGTGTCTGCCTTGCCCCTTTGTCATCGCTGTAACTCAGCTCGAATCGCCTCGGAAGCTGAAAGTCGAGCTGGATCGTCGCCGTCTGGTGCTTCTTGCCGAGCGCATCGACGAGTCGAACATCAATTTTGGGCCCGTAAAAGGCGCCGTCGCCTTCGTTGAGCTGCCATGTGTGACCCGATGCATCCAGAGCCCTCTCGAGGCCGTCTTCGGCGCGCTTCCACTCCTCGACGCTGCCGATAAATGCGGCTGGTCTCGTGCTGAGCACAAGCTCAAACGCGCTACCGAACCCAAAGGTCGTATATGCATCCGCGAGCATCTTTAGCATAGACGAGATCTCGCCCTCGACCTGATCTGGTCGACAAAAGACGTGGGCGTCATCCTGATGGAAACGACGGACTCTTGTCAGCCCGCTCAGCGAGCCAGACGACTCGTTGCGATGCAACGGGCTGAACTCGGCGTATCTGATAGGCAGGTCTCGGTACGAGTGTTCGCCCTGGCTGGCGAAGACGAGGCAATGGCCAGGACAGTTCATTGGTTTGAGGCCAAAGGAGGCCCCGGCCTCGTCGGTACCGGTAAGCACCGCAGCGGGCCGATCTGGCTCTCCTTGGTGCGAATGTGCATCACAGCACGCCCTTGACTCCTCCCTTGACTCCTCCTCGGCGGGCAAAAGAGAGTCTGCAGGAACAAGGCCTTGCTCCCTCTCTTTGAAGCCCTCGACGGCAAACATGTCTTGGCGATAGTTTTCCCAGTGCCCGCTCCTCTTCCAAAGATCGCTCTTGAACAGTTGGGGCGTCACGACCTCGTCGTAGCCCCAAACATCGTAGAGGTCCCTGACGACTCTCTCCACTTTCCTCACGATTCGCATGCCGTGCGGCAGCATAAAAGGCGTGCCTGGCGACGAGTCGTGCGTTATAAAGAGGCGTTGCTGGAGGCCTAAGGCCCTATGATCGAGCGACTGAGCCTCTCGCATCGCGGCCAGATGCGCCTTGAGGAACTTCGAGTCAGGAAAGGCGAGGCCACGAAGGTGCAACAGAGACTGTCGCGAGGGAACGAGGGACTTGTGCGTTACTTCGAGAGGCGTCCAGGTCGCAGTGGATACATCCTGGATCTTGAACGCCTTGATCGGTCCAGCAGACGAAAGAACGGCCCATGTCCCTTGAGCTGGGGCAAGGTCGAAGTAGTCATCGCCCACACAGACAAGCGTCACCTGTCCTTCTTGTCCGTCCTGGCCATATCTTGCCGCCAGCTCCTCTCGTTTGAAGGGGTTGGTCAGAAAGATGAATTCAGCCTCCTTGATTGAGACCTGCTGGAGCCGCACGACGGCGTCCGAGTCGATCAATTCCTGGAACTTGTGTTCGACAGCAGATAGCTGCTCGGGCGAGAGTCTTGGGGGAACCGACGCTGGTGAAGAATTGATCAAGTCGATCGAGGCCTGCAGTGGTTTGCCGTTGCTCGTAGAGCCCGTGGAAACAGATGGCGATCCCGCTCCTTCGTCGAAGAAGTAGCTCGTTGCAAACCCAGATCCACCCAAGGCTCCTATAGAAGGCGGCGCTGCGATCCGAACACCGTCACCAAGATGAGCCTGGAGCGCAGCATTAAAGACGTACGTCGCCGTGAGCCAGAAGGCCTGCCTGCCCGCGTCGTCCAATGAAAAGAACGTGAGAAAAGTCAAAGCATCGACATGGGCAGGGATGCCCTCCTGTAGCGAGTAGACGTTTCCGTCTCCGTCTCTAGCTGCAAAGAAGCGCTGCGCTCCCTTTGGCGGCATTGACGCTAGAGACGGGAGTGAGAATGCCGCACACATGAACAGAAGGGAGAATAAACCCACCCAGCAGCACGTCTTTGACCGTCTTGCTCTCCTGACCCCTCAGCTCTGGAGGAACGTCAAGATTCAGCCCCAGATCCTGCCCTTTTTCCTTCGCCTTCCCCTTTGCGTCTGCCTGAGCTGCCACGAAGCTTGGCCGAAAGGCTGCCATGTTCGTGAGACCTCGCACTTCGACCTTCAAGGGCGCTGGTTCCCTTTCCGCACATCGATTGCGTGAGACGTTCCCACGAGAGAACGTAGAGAACTGCGACCTCGACGGCGCTCCTCGCCCAAGCCGCCTCGCCCGCAAAGCCAGCGTCAACGGTCTCATATTCTCGTCTTTTCTTCGTCCTCGGAGCACGATTAGGCCATCTTCGAGGCCCGATTCTTCTCAACTCAACGAAGTCCGGAAAAAAAGGTAGGGCAGGATTTGTCTGTCGGCCGACGGACTTTCCAAATTTTTACCTTTGGATTCTCTCGACGTTTTTGGCTTGCAATCCTCCCAGGACCACACACAGTCTTAGACGTAGCTTGGGTGCATAGTCCGCAACGATGGCGCTCCGCAATGCCGTACATCGGCGCAACCACAAGGAGAGGTCCCAGCCGCAACATCGCGCAAAGATGGGTCTTCTCGAGAAGCACAAGGATTATGTCCAGCGTGCCCGAGACCACCACTCGAAGCAGGATCGCCTGCAGCGGTTGCGACAAAAGGCCGCCATGCGCAACGCCGACGAGTTCAACTTTGGCATGCTCTCGGCGGCCCCGACGCGGATCGGTCTGAGGAACGGGGGCATGCACCACCAGAAGAGAACGGGCCTGGACAGCACAGCGATGGAGAATGGGCTCGTGGCGCTGCTCAAGACGCAGGACGAGGCCTATGTGCGCATGATGGTCAACAAGGAACGCAAGCGGATCGAGGACCTTGTCGGGCAGATTGCGCCTACATTGCCTTTGGTCAGGAACGCATGGCTGGAGGAAGGCGGCAAGGGAGTGGACAGGGAGGAGACACTCGTTAAACAGGGTCTGCTGCAGCCCGGTGTGGATCGGAGCATGAGGAGCCCAGACGACATGCTGGCGGCCGGTGGCAAGAAGACGGTCTGGCTAGATGACGTCGACGAAGTGCGAGCATACGGAAAGAAGGAAAAGAAGGCAAAGAAGGGCGAGACGAGAAAAGTCAATGAGGGAAAAGAGGAGAATCTTGACGACGTCTTCGGTCAAGGGTGGCAAGAGAATTGGAGCATGTTCGACGACGAAGGAGAATTCGTCGTCGATGAAGCACTCGACGATCAGGTCGAAGATGGATCGAGCGAACAATCACGAGCCGAGGTGAGCCCTGCTCTCTCCAAGCAGCCAGTGCGTGGCGAGAAGCTGACACTCGTTGCACAGAAACATCTCGGGAGCCTCGTTGCGCAGCTCTCTGCGCGCCAGAAGCGCCTCGAGACGCTGCAAGAGGCGCAGCGCAAGCTGTCAATCGTGCGCGCCATCATGACAACAAAGGGCACCACTGCGCGCAAGATTGACTCACAAAAGCAGAGCCAGGTCAAGGAGGATGTCTTGAAGGGAAAGCTCACGCCGAAAGGCCTGGCTCTTCCCGGTCAAGGCAGCGACGATGAAGAGGAAGAAGACGAAGGCCCGTTGGGTATGGGCCCGGCAAAGAAGCCAAAGCGGAGCATCTGGAAGTGGGGAAAGGAGCGGAAGAAGTAGAGAGCACTGTCGTTGTCCGTGTTGTATTTGTAGATCATCAAACCTTTAATTAGATCGAAAAGCACAAGAGGAGGGCGCAAGTGTCCGTGAGGGATTCGTTATATTCGATACACAATTACACTGAGGCTCTGCAACAAAGCAACAAATCCCAAGAAGGTCGACATGAACAAGAAAAGGAAAAGAGGAAAGTCGTACAGGTATGATAGCGAGGGGCACGCAAAGTAGCAAGCCGTCACGGTGAGACAACGAGAAGCGAGAAGTGGGTCGGGTAAGAATTATCAAGCGGCCATAGAGGACCTGTTGACGCGGCGGTGCTTGCGTGACTCATCTTCGGGACGCGCCATCTCGCCTGTGCGCTTTGTCGAAGAGGACGCAGACGACGACGAGGCCAGCGAAGAGGCTGCGTCAGCCGTCTGGCGTGCAAGCGATGACGAGGCGCTCGGTACAGCGAGGGGCTGCTGTTGGACGGCAGGTGCACTGGCACTCAACAATGTGCCATCGAGGTTGCCTATGGTCGGCACCGCACCCAAATTGCTGGGTCCTCGCCGCCCAGGTGCTTGAGGACTGGCGTGAGGGAACGGAGACAAGCTTGACGGGGCAGGACTTCCGGACGCCGAGCGACCATGACGACGTCCTCCACGGCCACCTGCATGAGCAACTGGAGCACGAGCTGAACCGGCACCGCCAGTAGAGGCCCGGGCAATTGCGCGTTTGGCAGGCGATGGACCGGGCGTCATGTCATCCGCCGGATCATCGATTACTGTAGTGTTTGTCGAAACAGTCGTGGAACGCGTGTGGCTGCCCTGATGCTGGGGCATGAAGGCAGTCGTCGGGTACGACGGCGGCGAGAAACCGTAGTGGGGCGCGCTGCCAGAGTTTCGGCGGCTCCAGACTGAGACAAAGAGGATGCGCTTCATCCTGCGATTGTAGAAAAAGGTATAGTTGGCCCACAGCAGGCCACTGGGCACATCGTCGTCATCGTACGAATCACTGCTGCTCAGCGACATGGACATTTGTGGTTGTTCATGCTGCTGCTGGCTTTGCTGACGCTTACGTTGCGACGAGCTAAAGTAATCACCCGCTCTGGCTCGAGTCGAGGTCGGTGTCCTCGGCGTCGCGGGCTGCGAAGCGGGGTTGGAGTCTCCCTGGAAGCCACCGCTAAGGTAGTCTTCGTCAAACATGGGCGCATCAATGTCGTGGGAGCCGCTGTGTCGGTGACGCATCTCGTCATCGTCGTCGTCGCTGCTCAGGCCGCCGTCGTCATATCTGTCGTCGTCATAGTCGTCGGCCTCCTCCTCGTCATCGGCGCATGCGTGAGGGTCCGACTCGGCATCGGGATGAAAAGAGTAGACTTCGCACTCTTTGATGTCCATGATGTCGTCGAGCACCGTCGCCAGCTCAGGGTGACTGATGGTACTATTACCTGTGCGATCGAAGCCGCCATCGAAGATATTGCCCATCCGGGAGCTTCTCGTTCCGTCAAACGTCTCCTCGTGCGAGCTCGGGAAGGAGCTGAAGGACCTTGGTGTGTTGGAGTTGTGACGCAGGCTGAGCAGTGTCGTGCTCAAGCTGTTGAGCACCGAAGCGGAGCTCGGCTGCCGCCGAAAGTCCGAGGGACTGACGACGCTGAAGTCGTGATGGGGAAAGGCGCCGTTGAGAGTTGCAATGAGGAGGAAAAGAACCTTGCGGGCGCCTGCCTGATCCAGGCGGCCAAAGGGGCTGGCCAGCGTCTCATCGAGATAGTCGGGCGGCGACATGGAGGCAGACTGCATGTACTGCGATTCGAGCGATTTGAGCAGGCGCTTCTCCTTGCTCACCGTCTTGCAAGAGTATGCTTCGAGCTGAGTGAAGACCTTGCACTCGGCCGACTCAAAGGTGAGCGCCTTGGACAGCCTGTCGAGCACAGGATAGTCGAGGAACTTCATGTCGAACTGACTCTACTCTACGGTGAGCACCAAGTCCGTGTTGCTCGAGCATAGAACGACAAACTCACGGGTAAGAATAGGGGAAAGGAGATATGCCAAGATAGGAAGGGAAGAGGAGGAGACGTGGGCCTACCGTCGCGTGGATTCGCGTCGGTTGGCTCAACACAGTAGGGATTGGTGGGAGGGAGGGTCCGAACACGCGTGGCTTGCGTGCTCGGTGGTAGCTGGCAATGGACGAGGAGGTGAGAGGTAAAGGTGAAGAAGGAGCGCCGCTCAGGAGAGCAGAAGTTCTTCTCGCTGTTGAACCAGAGAGCAATCACGGCTGTGAGCTGACCCTGCCTCCATCATCTCATCACAAGCGAGCGCCCACCGACACTAACTTCTAGTCTCCTTGGTTGGTGCTCCGCTCCCCGACGCTCAAATACGGGTGCGCGCCCTCCGTTCCGTCTGCAAGCCGTAAGCCCATACATTCAGTCATTTGAAGTCGCGTCCTCCAACAGTCATCATTACTCACTCGACAAAGGGGATGGAAAAGAAGGAAGCAGACCAGCGAAAAGAGACCGTGACTGCCGAATAGAGGAAATGCTAAGGACCGTCGGATGTGTGACGTGTGATTTATGGAGGTGTCGAGGTGCGTGCGTGCAGCTGCAGATCAAGGCGCGCGAACGCAACTTTGAAGAGAGCCCGCGGTCTTGCGGTCCTCCGACAGTGCAGTGCGGGGAAAAAGAGCAGGCTTGCAGCAATGGCGCAGCGCTGCGGCTTAATGCACGAGTGTGGGCGGCAGCCGCTGTCGTCGATGGAGGGATGGTAGGGCGACAGTGGTGTTGGTGGTGGTAGCAACGGCCGGGGACCGGTAATCGCAACGACCAAAGCCCACACAGCTTAGACACAAATCGGGCGCGTCTTTAAGGCACCAGGTCAGTGTGGTTTCACTGTGATTTGAAAACACGTGCTCTCCCGCTTCATGCGCACGTCGGCTTCCCTCTTAATGACAGGCATGCATTGGTGACCATTACGGTGTTGCCGTCCTACCACGCCGCTTCTGGCCCTGGCATTGTTATGAGAGGTGTTCTGCCTATTGCAAAGGCTGAAACATGCAATTTTGAGTGCAATGAATCTGGCACTTGCTCATATTTCACATTCGGAGGGACGAGATACCGTCATCGCGATGGAGATTGAGTGACCCCACAATGCATGGAAACGGCCTCATGAAGCGTTTAAGAAGATTATCATGTCTCCCCGTCAGCCTTGTGGAAAGAGATCGAAAGGCTTGAACTTCTCAAGCCAAAGCCTGTTTACTTTCGATATTATGAAGCATCATTGCAAGTTTCAACGAGATCGCGGGAACCTGTGGGAACCTGTGTTACGGTGTAGCGCTTACTTCTCAGCCCGACGAGCTCCTACCGTCCGGTCGAGGGTTGAATCTGAGTGAATGCATTTGGAAATCTTGGGCGAGAGTCGAGATTGTCTAAAGCATCAAAGTACGAAAGCAGATTTTGTCACTTCTCGACAGATGGTTACCGCAAGATGATTACGGCGAGGAGCCGCCGGCGCGATCCATCCTCGCTCTCCTATTTGAGAAGAATTTTCGCTTCTCGTGGGGCATTGAACGGCAGAATCTCTTTGACTATCATCGTGTATTACAGATGTCTTAGAGGATACAGTAGTACAATATGATACCGATTTGAAAGAGGCTGGTAATGGAGTTCGTGAATGTTTGTACGAGTAAAAGGCGCTCTGATGGCGGGTGACATAGGGACTCAGACCATTACAAATTGGAGCAGCGTGAGAAAAGATTGTATTGAAGCCGAGAGGAATGCCAGCGGAATAATGATAACGATGACGTCTCACCCCGTCTTTGCCATCTCCTTGGCCTGCTGTCGTACTCTCCGTCTATCGCAGTGTCATCCATTAGCTGACTGCTTGACTATGGTTGTCACTCATCCTGTCAACTCACTCATACTGCTGCTTGTCCCTCTTGAATGTCTCAAAAGCATCGGTCTGGGCAGGATCTTCCGGATTTGGGTTGTTAAGAAGATCTTGAATGCCGAGAAGGATCTGCGCGACGGTGGGCTGGGATGAGTCTTTGCTCCTGTCCCATGCTCTGCGACCATCTCACCTGCTTGATTGTAATTGCCGGTTTCCAAGCCTTTTCCTCATCTGCACCAATCAAGTGACATCAGCGAGCTCGCTCTTGGGAAGCAGACCGGGGTAAAGCCTCACCAAGGATGGAAAGGCACACAGTGCCCGAGGGAAACACATTTGGGTGGAACAACGGAGGCGTAAACTTGCCTGTGAAGGGACTGTGATCAGTATAGCTCGCAATTTCGCAATCTGACCCTCGTGGGAGGCTCACACTTCGGAGGTTTGCTCGGATATTCTTCCGGAAACATCATCTTGAGCTTGTAGACGCCGCCCTCCCAAATTGTCTGCATGCCCTCCTCGTCAGCCATCGTTCAACAGGACACAGCGTTCTAGAGACTTACGTCTTTCCGTCCTGGGATCTCAACTTCCCAGGCCAGCAGATTCAAAGATCCATCGTCTGCCTTCTCCGGCCGCGCGACGAAGCCCTATCATGTACGACTGGTCAGAGGCACCTTCGTTGAATGAGTCCTGCAAGGAAACTCACGAAAGGATGATCCTTTCTCCACTGTTTCCGCTCCTCGGCCAACCTAAGAGACGACACCAACGTCAGCCCGCCAGCGCCTGCTCTATGCTGCCACTGTATTAGCACACCCACCGACTTCTGCAGATTCCGGCCATGTCTATCGGTTTCTTTCTTGGTTTTATGGGGCGTAGGTCCGCTGAATTCGTTCGCAGGTGCTATACCTCTTTACAATTGCCCTCCCGTGAACGCTCCCCGCTCCGAAAAGCTCGCCTTTTGTCGTCGAGAAGAGAGAGCAGCGAGGAGAATCAAGCTGAACAAGCTGTGACACTTTCGAGGTAGCTCACGTGACCCTCAACGCGCCTTGCAGCCTTGCCCTCCAGATTCAATCCTGAGATTACCGTCGACCAGAGATCGCTCTCTTTGGCAGCGACTGATCGACATCTGAAAGCGAGTACTTCAGTTCGAGGCCTCGTTCAGCTTGGAGCCAGCTCTCTAACGATCAGCGCGAAGAAATGTCCATTCAATGACGAGCTCGGACGGCATGGCATTGCAGGGCGCCCCATCATCGCTCAGAGAGGGTGAACGTCTAAAGCGCTCGGATTTATAAGAGGGCCTGCGAAATGGCGGCGCGCGTCGTTTTCCAAAGCTAAGCAGGGCAGAAAGGGCTTCAAGCAGCAAGCGCGCCGGCTTCAGCCTCTCATTTCTTTTTAATTTTTTATTTCCCTCCTTCCACCTGCCACATCTCTATCTTCATTTCTCTGTCTGCCATCCTTGCTACAAGACAGCAAGGCACTTCCACCTCAAGCGACTCCATTCACCCCAAATAAACAACACACCAAGCTACAGCCATGGTTGACTCGAAGGCAAAGGGAGGAAAGGCCGGCGGCGCCGCCAGCAGCAACAAGGACGGCAAGTCGAAGCCCGTCACCCAGAGCAGCCGTGCTGGTCTTCAGGTGAGTACCGGCTGGGAGGGGCACAGGTGAAGAAGTCTTTCCGGCAGGCCAACAACGCAATTGGAACGGTCGTCTGACTTACCGGGTGGATGTGTGGATGGATGGATGGTTGGTTGGGTGGTCTGTAGAGAAAGAACCACGAGAAAGATCACGGTGCACGGATGTCGAACCTGCCGACTCTTTGGACAGTACTAACACCTACCTATCTCTCAGTTCCCTGTCGGGCGTGTGCACCGCATGCTCAAGTCTCGCACCGCCAACAATGTTCGTATTGGAGGCAAGGCTGCTGTTTACACCAGCGCCATTATGGAGTACCTTACCGCCGAGGTGCTCGAGCTTGCAGGTGAGCCATCTAAAGTCTGTATCGATAGCCGCAAGAATTGGGAGCTGACGGTGAATCCGAACTCATAGGCAACGCTGCCAAGGACCTCAAGGTCAAGCGTATCCAGCCTCGTCACCTCCAACTGGCCATCCGCGGTGACGAAGAGCTTGACTCGTTGATCCGCGCCACCATTGCCGGCGGTGGTGTGCTTCCCCACATCCACAAGATGCTCGTCAAGTCGAGCGGCAAGAAGAAGTCGTCGGGCGCCGCGGCTGCCACCGAGTAGATGCGAAGCAGAGCGCAGGGGGAAAGGGACTATCGAACATTGGAACGCTGCGCCCAGCGACTGTTTGGCTCTCGCTTGCAACTTCCTTCAAGTATCCCATCACCTAAGTAGCCCTTCTCACCCATCCTTCCTATCTCTCTTTTCTCTTTCCCTTTCAACTTTCTCCGCTCTCTTTCTTTGTCTCTGCGAAAGTCCTTTTGAACTAAATGTTGTACTCTACTTCATGACAAAAGGTGTGCCTCCCTGCGTGTGATTGATAAGGGGGTATCAAATTGCTTCATCTTTCTACACAAACTGGATCGAGTCGATTCCCCAAGCCCTTCTGACCTGGATAATGGCCGTCAGCTCCTTGATCGTCTCCTCGAGAATGACGACATTGTCGAGCAACGAGCTCAGCGTCACCATACGGCTCTGCCCTCCTGCCGACGTCCCCTTCTGGTTGTCGACATAATCGTCATCGTCGTCGTCCGCGCCTGGATATTTAAACTCCTCGTCCTCGGCGTCCTGCTCGTCGTCCTCGTCGGAGCCGACGTGTGACCTGAATCTCGTCCTCTTGATCTTTCCCTCCGTTTGCGTCGCCAAGACTGGCGTCTCCCTCTTTCGATGCTGCAAGCTCCAGGGCGACTTCTTTGAGATGCGAGCCACGCGCGGCTCGACGAGGATCGACCGCGTCTGCCGGTAGTGCTCGACAAAGGGCATGACAGGCGCCAGCGTCGTCGCCTCACCGTCCTTTGCGGCAGACGTCTGGCTGGCGTTGGCACTTGACGAATCCACCTTCCGCGCGGGCCTTCCAAAGAAGCGCGAAAATCCGCTGGCACGATCTTTCTTCGAAGAAGACTTGGCGTCTTCTTTGGCATCTTTCATTCCTGAGATGCCCTCTTCGTCCCCATCGGCATCTCCTTGCAGAGAATCGTCGAGGCCCTGAGACGGCGTCGCAGAGGGTGGTGGCGGAAGGCTCATTCTCGCTCCCGCCCTTTGCGCCTTTGACTTCTTGCCGCTCAATTCCTCTACGATTGGATCGTCGATTCCGATCGACTCCCACAGGCGCTCAGCCGACATGTCGTGGCTGGGAACGACCAGCGACGGTTTGAGCGTCCCGTCAAAGCCGTTCTCCTTCTCGCCGCCTTCGTGCTGCGTGGGATCGATACCGGCTAGGTTCAGCGCCTCATTGAGATTCTCGACGTACAGCAACCCCCGTCGCCTCTCATCAAGAAGTCGATCGAAATCCTGGATCTCGCTCCGATGAATGTCGACCTGCTTTGCCAAGGACCGAAGCAGCGCAAGGACGATTGGCGCGGTCTGCTTCTTCCTTTTAGTCTTGGATCCTTTAAGCGCTCCCCCACTTCTCGCCCCCGACTTGTGAGCGGGCCAGCTGGTCGTTGGTCGATGCATTGAGCGTTCCATCTCGTCATCGGATCGATCATCGTCCGGATCAAATGCCGGTCGAGGCTTCATCAGATCGGCCGCCTCTTGCATCACCTCGGTTGTACCCTCTGAGGAAGTTGGAGAAAAGACGAGGAAGCCCTCCAAGCTGCGAAAGGGGCACAGGGCCAGGCTTGACAAGAGGCCAGCCAGAGCGACATTAACATCGGGCGGATGCTCAAAGAAGCAAGCAAATGTAGCCAAGAGTGTCCTCATGAGCTGATCTTGAGCATTGATCTTGTGTTTGAACGATTGAACGCCGAGGCCTAGCTCGTCCGCCTTGTCCAAGCGCAATGGAGACTGGCGGCTTGGGATGTCTGCAGTCGATTCCAATGACTCTTTCACAGGGGCAGAGGCAGAAAGGTGCTCGAGATCCCTCAAACCATCGATGAAGATGCTGTCCCGTACAAGGTCTTCCTCAGCATCGCTCAGGTAGTTTTCAAAGCCCGTGCTCGAGAAAGCAGCTTCCTGCGACGCGTTTCCGTGCCCAATGGCGGAGACCAAGGAAAGATAGAGGTCCATCTCAACAGCATGCTGAGCCACACTGATGTCGGCCGAAGCGAGACGAGGTAGATGGGCCAGCTTCTCGTGCCGTACAACCTCTTCCTTTGTCGACCCTGGGTATAAGAAGTCCTCCTCCGAGTCTTCCTCTCCCTCCTCTTCGTCGTCGCCGGCATCACCACCGGATTTTCCGGCATCCGAGGCATCCTGTACAAGGCGTGCGGCAATGATGTTGGACGGGAAGGAAGTGGCGAGCTCATCGGGGATAACGTCAAAGAAGAATGAGAGGGCGAATCGTCCGTGAAAGGCGCTCAGCGTGTTGGCAAGTCGCAATGCCGCCGTCTTGGAGGCAGCACTCGTTGAGGGTGCCAGATGGTCCTTGACGACATCGCGAAGTCCATAACGGCCGAGGGCATCGCTGAAGTAGGTTGCCCGATCCTGCCCAGCAGCTCGGGCTTCATTTTCAATCTGTAGCATCGCAGTGCTCTTCCTCTTTGGTTTCATGACTCCTTCAGTCACAGCACTCTTTGATGTTTTGTCCTTGCTCGCTTCTTCCTCCATGCCCACGAGCCATCCAATGACGAAATCTGCGAGCGGGCTATCATCCTCGATGACGCTCAGAATAACATCGAGATAGGACATGACGGCGACGGCGCTCCCATCCGCATCACTGCACTCGAGCAGCGAAGGGTAGAGAATGTTGCGCAGAAAGAGCGTCTGAAGCGCAGAACCAATGCTCTTCGTCAGATCCCTTGCAATATTGGCAAGCTCTACGGCGAGCTTCGCGTCCTTTTCGCTGGCTCCCTTCCCTTGTTGGCGGTGGACGCGAGTAGAGGTTCGAAGGATGTCTTGGGTGAACTCCAGAATGTCGGCCACTAGTCTCGCCTGGCGCCTGACTTCTGCGCCTGTGCTGGCTTCGATGCCTTGTTGGGCCAGCTTCTGCAGCTGAGCTTCCGTCGGAGACGATGCTCCCGTCTCTTCTGCCCCAAGCAGCATGCTGCCACTGGCCGACAAGACCTGCCCTCCAATGCCTCGTCCCTCTGTTGCTCGGTCACCAGTCTCGTTTGACTTGACTAGGGCTAGCTTGCTTGGCAGGAGACCGTAGACAGCACCCAGGCCTGCGCCGAGGACCTCTGCAAAGTCGGACTCGAGCATGTATCGCGCCAGGGCTACACTTGGGCCCGGTCCAAGATCGACCTCAATCCTTCCGCTACCTCGTCCTGCCATGCCACCTCGTCCACGGTATGAACCACGTCCCCTCACTTGCAAGCGGCTGCTGTGAGAGGCAGCTGGGGTGTGGGGTCCCTTTCCTCGACTCAAGTTGCGTCGTCCGGGTGCCAACGCAACATCGACAAGGAACAGAAGTCCTGCTCGAGCCAGCTCGCCTGTGCGAGATTCACGATGGACGAAGCGGAGGAGGTAGGAAAAGAGAGGAAAGTCGTACGTGAGCTGACCGCCTCGGCCGCCCTCACTCGAGGTGGTAGACGATGGCGGAGAAAGAGCTTTGGTGATGGCCAACGGCGATGTCGGTCCCCTGAACGTCGAGCTCGAGGGCGTCGATGTGCCCGCCGGGGAAGACGCCCGTGTGCTTCCGGCCGACGAGCCCGAGACAGCAGCATCAAAGGCCCTGCGTGCTTCTGCGTCCCTCTTCCTTTCCCGGAAAAAGATGATGAGGAGCTCTGGTGTGTTTCGCAGTCGACTGGCAACGTGGCACATCATATCGACGAGATCCTCCTCGAAGCCCAGCACCTCGGCGCTGCCATTTCTGCCGAACCGTCTCCACGCCTTGCGTTCTTCGTCCTCGTTGGGATCCTCGGGTTCTTCTGCTAGCGATGCGCCCGGCGTGTAGAATTCGTCACCGACGCAGATGCGCATCAATCTGACGAGAGGCTTGTGGACCGCCTGCCTTGACAGGAACTTCTCTTCGAGGAGAATGATGAGCGAAGCGAAGAGCCGGACGACCTCTGCCTGACTTCCAGCCAGACGGTCGTTGGCTGACAATCGGACCAGCTGTCCAAGAACTGAGTTTGAGGGCAAGCCATTCAGGAGATTGCTCTTTTCTATACTCAGAAAAGCGAACAGAGCACTCACTATCGCCTTCGAGCAGCATTTCCATGCAGGGACCCGGGATCTCGTTGTCGTCATCAGCCCTATTTGATTCAAAGACGAGGGCGTCTTGGAGGTCTTGCAGTCGCGCCGCTACATCTGTCCTCGCGATCCCGTGATGCAGCGCAGCCTGGTCCGGCGACGCAAGCATGTTCTGTAGGACCTCCACATCAGTAACTCTGACATCTTTGCAATGAACAAGAAGTCTTGCTGACCCTGATGGCAAACCAATTGTCTCGAAAGGCGACGGCAGCGTTGAGCTTGTTGGTAGGCCCCGGATTTCGCCTCTTGGCAAGCGGGCTGCGTGGCAATTGCAATTTCGAGGCGGGTCCCCCATCGCTCACTCCATCTGTCGTGTTCCCAGACGCCTGACCGCCCAACGACTGGGCAAGGCGGGCCAAGACGTCCATGATGCGGCTCTCGCGTCGTCGTGTGTCCGTCCGTCTAGCTCGAAACGTACGCTGAGTGTTGGTTGCCTCCTCGCAACCAAAGCGCGCTCTAAATTATCTCGGCCGACAGCGCTCCCCTCCACGGCCGGCTTTGGCTGACGACGAAGCCGGCCATCCGATTTCACGCTTCTTGCCATCCGTCACTCAGCTCACAGGTCTCTACAGATGGATCTCCTCCAGTCGGTGGACCCAACCAATGCAGGGCTGTCGTCGGCCGATCCGTACAGGCCGTCGTTCTTCGAGCTGGCGGCTCAGGAGCAGCTGGGGGATCTGCTCAAGCCTGCGCTGAGGTATACCCTTGCCGTCCTCGCCCAACGCAATCCGCGCTACTTGCTCCGAGTCGTCAACCGCTTCGACGAGGTCTACGCACTGATCATGTGGGCTATCGAGAGGCACTACCTCAAGACGTGGGGTGAGTCTTGCGTGATGGCTGAGTGACTTGGCGCGTGAGAGCTTATGCATGGATCAAAAGGCTCTTCTTTCGCCGAGAACTTCTACGGCCTCCGCCGGCGAAGACGCCCGGGCATCACAACGCCTCGAGCCAAGAAAGCGTCCTCCTCGAGGTCGACGCAACAATCTATGGAGGCGCTTAGGGGCGTCGACATCAATGTCTCGCTCCTCATGCTCGTTGGGCTTCCATATGCCCAAACTAAGCTGCACGATCTTTGGGAAAGCATCGGCGGCGGCGTCGATGCAGGCCCAGAGGGAGGGCTCTTTGGAGATGACGAGGAGACTGGAGGCCGGGCAGTCTTCCAAGACGGTGGAGGACCGACGTCGAGAATCGAGAAGCTCCGAACGCTCCTCAAAGTATGCTTTCGCAAGGGGTATCCGTACGCGGGCGCAGCGTGGCAGCTATGGCTGCTGGCCTACAATGTCGGTTATCTCTTCGAAAAGACGCCATTTTGGAGACCATGGTTCAAGTTGATGCGAATGGACATCCGAAGAGTCGCCAGCGATGACTATGTGAGTACCACTCTTCTTTTCTATTTCGTCGGGGTCCTGCTGTTGCTGACGGGCCAATTGACAGGCTGCTTCGCCCCCTCTGCTCCCGCCCAATATGCCTAATCCTCTTCGGGAGCCAGCTCGTTTTGCGCTGCAAATGCTGCGATCTTCGCCCTTTATCTTCTTCGAGGCGCTCAAATACGCACTGCCGGCTTCGATCTTCTTTTTCAAATTCCTCGAATGGTGGTACTCGCCCGACAATTCCCGGAGGCGGAGAAGAGGCCGAGGAGGCGGCGGAGGCGGCGGTGCGGGGACCGGAGAAGCAGGCGGGTCCGATGAGATGTACAAGCTTGAGCCTCCTCGAGTCCTGCCTCCCAACCAGCGAGGAGTCCTCTACAACAAGGCGAGCGACTACAAGGAACCGCACATTCCGAGAAGCAAGCTCGCGCCCAACTTCGACGAGGATGGTGACCTTCAGTCGACCAAGGACTCGCTCCTGCACAATTCCTGCCCGCTTTGCGGTGCTACGCCGATGAACAACCCGTGCGCCTTGCCGACCGGCTATGTTTTCTGCTACACATGCGCCTTCGCTTACGTCGAGGAAAAGGGCAGATGCCCTGTGACGCTTGCCAAGGTTCAAGGAACCAGTGAATTGCGGAGAGTGTTGGGCTAAGGTACAAGTCTAGATGCTACAAGAAGGTGGTGTCTGGAAGAGGACAGCCCTCCCCCGTGGTTGTCGGTGTATGTTTGCGAGGATTTCCTAGGACCCTCTGCTTGTAATTGTACAGTACAATCAAGTTCAATCAGCCCAAATCAGCTTGGATGGTCAAGAAGTGAGGATGTGACGTAAGTTCTTGACGATGGACAATGCGCTCTGGTGAATCTGTGGTCATCAAGTCAGCAGAGGCCAGCCAGCCCAGCAGGAGAGGATAGCAGGACGGACATCTTTGCGTTTCGTTGAGGCAGCCTGCTCCTTCTGGTGCCTTTCCATCGCACAGCGGCTCGCTTGCTTGATGTCCTCAACTGATTCTCCTAAAGATTGGCGAGATCGATCAGCTGTAGCTGAATCAGTCGCTTTGAGTTTCGCAGATGCGCTCACCTTGATCGAAGAGGTCATCAGCAAGGCGCAGCATTTCTTTGGCAGGATAGCTCTCGACAACCGCCTTCAACGATCCCTGACCGCTTTCGATTTTCTGACCCGTCACCACCGTGGTTCAGCGATAGGAAAGAGACACCACCACACCATGCTGCTCACTCCCAGAACGGCCTCAAAATTCTTGTCCCACGGGCCAATGTCCGGGAGCCTGTTGCTTTCAAGCGCCTTCTTGACGTTCCTCAGGGCCGCATCGCTACTTGCGTGAATCAGCACTAGCTCGTCACTGGTACACATTGAAGATCTTCCCCACTTCTTTTTCTTGTCCCTTGCCAACTCGCTCTCGATCTCTGCTTTGCTCTGCGCAATTCTATCGGCAAGGCGCACCCGCAGGTCCCGGTTCTTGAATTGCTCAGTCTTGATCCACTCCTTCTGCCGGCGCCCAGCTAGAAGCTGCTCTTTCTCGGCAAGTCTGCGCATAGAAGAAATTTATCGCATCGACAAGGCTTCTCCCATGAGCGAAAGCCAAGATCGGACTAGAAATTGAAACAAGACAACCAACTCTTCTTTGAGGACAGCGGCAGCATCCATATCGGCTGTACGCCTCTTCGCTGGTCCTGATGCCCTTGACATAACGGCAAGTTCCAAAGCGTGTTCTCACGTTTAAGGCAGAGGATTCTGTGTGAAGATAAGCTGGAACGGAGCTTGCCTGTACATGCGCGTGGTGCGGGCGCACAAGACCAACATCAAACGAAACTGATGCCGTCTCCATCTTCGAACGCGTCGTCAAAAATTTCGTTTCAATCTCCACTTTTCTCCAATCCACTCCCGATTACACGCCGTATCTATCAAGCACGATGGCGTCCGACCTCCGGCGCTACGTGCTGAGCCTGCCAGACTATTCGGACCCGTCTTCAGCGTCATCGCCCCTGCCGTCTCTCTATGCGGACCTCGCGACTCGACGAGCGTCAAATCGAGCCTCGTTCGAAGCGAGCGTGGCCTGGTGGAAAGACGTCCTGTTTGGGGCTTGCTTCAAGGGCGCACAAGTCGCTGGTCCCAGCACCGGAACTGAGACAAAACGGAGTGCAGATCGGCTCGTCCTGCACGTGGGGTCCAAGCTGCTCGAAGATGTCAGCATCGATGAGGTCGGCCGACCGTTGGGACTTGGCACGGTCGTTGAGGAGCTCCGAGCATCGTCGCATCTCCACGCCCTGTCCGGCTTCTTGAAGAGTCAGACGCCTGTCCGAGGACCCAGCTCTTCTTCCTTTTCGTATGCCTCTGTGGCGGGTACTTTGGGCTCGCTGGCCACTAGACCGCTAAGCTGGGCATTCTCGCAACTGACGCTTAGTCTCGGCCTCACAAATGACGGCTCGGAAGATGCGGGAAGAGAAGACTGGAAGCGCGCCCAGGGCGACTGGGTCATCTGGGACAATGTCGAGGTGGGTACATTTCCCAATTACAACCCTTTTCGTGCGTGTAAGATTCGAAGAAAGCTTACTTTGTGGGTCACTGCCGACATCAAAGGCACTCGGGGAAGCAGTCTTGGCGATACATCGAGCCTCGCCAAGGCTCTCGCCGCTCGAGTCGCTCTTTTCCACCTCGTCTTTTCGCCGGTCCGTCCTTTCTGATGCGCTCGAGTCGCTGGGCCTTCCTTCCAAGAGCCTATCTGACGTCGATCTGCGCGTGCTCCTCACGCACCTTGCGCGGGACAGATCCGTGGCGCTGGTGCACGGCGATGTCGTCAAGCTCGAGCACGTGCAGGGGGAGCCGCCGAGCCCCATCAGCGAGCACGAGCGAGGCATCGTAAATGTCCGTGAGACGCATGCCAGGCTCGAGGAGCAAGTGGCTGAGATTGAGTCACGGATCAAAGAGTGAGCATTCTGCATGCAGACTCGGCCTTTTTTTCTAACATGCAGTACACTGACGAGGATCCTTGTAACTGCAGGCGACAAGCCAAGGTGGAAGCGTCTCTGCGGGCAAAGAATAAGGAGCAGGCCCTGTCCTACCTGCGCTCCCGAAAGGCATTGGAGGAGCTTTTGCAGCGGCGCGTGGCCTCGCTCGAGACGCTCCACGGTGTACTCGTCAAAATTGAGCAGGCGGCTGGCGATGTCGAGATTGTCAAGGCGTACGATCTCTCGACGGCTTCGCTCAAGACGCTGCTGGCGGACGAGAGGCTAAAAGTCGAAAATGTCGAGGGGACCATGGACAACATGCAGGAGGCGCTTGCAGATGCAGACGAGGTCAGACAGGCCGTCGAGGTGGGACAGGATGGTATGCGACACGCCGCTGGTGTGCCGGACATCGACGAGGACGAGATGAACGAGGAGCTCGCTCGCCTGGAGGAAGAGAACAGGCGGGAAGAGGAAGAGAGAAAGAGAAAGGAAGAGCAGAGAAAGAAGGAGGAGGAAGAGAGAAAGGAAAAGGAGAAGAGGGAGGAGGGGAAAAGGCAGAGGATAGAGAAGGAGAGAATAGAGGAGGCCGAACGACAAAAGGCGGCACAAAAGGAGAAGGAACAGGAGCAGGAGAAGGAACAGGAAAAGGGTGGGCAGCAGGAGCAGGCCAAAGAGGCTCAAACGGCCGAATGAAGCAAGAACACTCTCTATAATTTCACCTTGTGCTTTTAACCATCACTATCTTTTGCTTTCTTGGACAAGAGTGCGGGCTGGAAGGAGAGACGATCACTTGTTGAGCGCGTAGGCGCTCTTCCTGTCGACGCCGCCGAGGCCCTTCTTGGTCTGCGAAAGGCCGTAGCTCTTCATCCGAATGGCGCTCGTCTCGATGAAGCCGCTCGTTGCCTCGGGGCTGAAGCCTTCGTTGGTGTCCATCGACGCCAGCTCAGCATTGTACAGCGTCTCGGGCGAGGAACGGCCAATGATCATGGCGTTGCCCTTGTACAGCGACAGGCGCACCTGGCCGTTGACGGTCACCTGCGAGGGAACGATGCAGGACCTGACGTAGTTGCACTCTGGCGAGTAGAAGTAGCCGTAGTCTTTTGTTCAGGATAGAAGTCGGTTAGCTCGTGATCATACCTTTCCTTACCCTCGTCGAAAGGTGACGAAACTTACAAAGAAGCTCAGAGTAGCGCTTGCCGAGGTCATCGCGGACTCGGCGCACCTCTCGGTCCATGGTCAGGCCCTCGAGGCCAATGTGGGCAGCGCGGAGAATGTGGTGGCCCGATGCCTCGTAGCAGCCTCGCGACTCTACAGAGAGAGAAAACCAAACAGTCAGTATCGAGAGGTGGAGAGAAGGAGAGCCGAGTTCAATTTACGCACTCAGTCCGATGAGCCTGTTCTCGACGATGTCGATCCTGCCCACGCCGTGCTTCCTTCCGACGTCGTTGACGGCCAGGAACAGCTCCACCGAGTCGGTGTAGGTCTTTCCACCGATGGTCGCCTTTGTGGGGAGGCCCTTTGTGAATTCGATGTGAATTTCCTCGGGTGTGTCCGGTGCCTGCGTCGGGTCCGTCGTCAGCTTCCACATCTCCTTTGGCGGCGTGTGGTCCGGGTCCTCGAGCACGCCGGCCTCGTAGCTGATGTGGGCCGCATTCTCGTCTGTAGTCAATCTTCGGGTCAGTTCTGTTGCCCTTCCCTGCGAGCTGGGTAAAGCCAACTCACCAGTCGACCAGGGCTTGCTCTTGGTCTGGGTCACGGGGATGCCCTTGGAAGCGGCGTACTCGAGCAGGGCGCTACGTCCGGCGAAGCGGTTGTAGAACTCAGGGATCCTCCAGGGTGCAATGACCTTGATGTCGGGCTTGAGGCCGTAAAAGGCCAGCTCGAATCGGACCTGGTCGTTGCCCTTACCCGTGCAGCCGTGCGAGACGTACTCGCAGCCCGTCTTGGCGGCGGCGGCCATCATGCCTCGGGCGATGACGGGTCGCGCGAGTGAGGTACCGAGCAGGTAGACGTCCTGCACGAATGAATAGTCTGAACCAGTCCCCGCCGCTGCGATGAAAAAGGTATAGAGGACGTACTCACCTCGTAGACGGCATTGGCCTGGACAGCGGGGAAGATGAGCTCCTCGATGAACTCGCGCCTCATGTCCTCAAGGATGAAGTCCTTGGCGCCGCACTTGATCGCCTTGCTGCGAGCGGCCTCAAAGTCCTGCGCACAGATAAACAAGTTGTCAGTCTTCGTCGCTGCAATCCAAAGAGGCAACTCACCTCCTCCTGTCCAACGTCGGCCATGAAACCAATGACATCGTAGCCCTCGTCGATGAGCCAGGCCATGATGCACGAGGTGTCTGTGCCATCGTAAAGTCAGCTCAGCGATGCACAGATCAGATCACCGATGTCTGAAGTCACTAACCGAGGCCGCCAGAGTAGGCGAGGAGCACGCTTCCCTTTGCCATGTTTGCAGTGTTGTTCGAGGTTCTGATCGTTCGTGTGAGAGATGGAGTCACCAATCAAATCTTCTTGCCCACTTTCTTCCGGACTTCTCTTCGCCCTGTCCAAAAAATCAGAAAAAAAAATCAAAAGATAAGCGTAGGCTCGGGCAGCCACGTGGACACAGGAACGCGCTTGATGAGATGGCCGGCATGGCTTTAAATTTTGTTGCAGAGCCAAGACTTGACCACGGTCGTCGACCTTCGATTTCCTTTCCCCATTAAGTCTCCCAACTCGACACATCGGGCCATAGGGCAACCAACACCAGGACCTTGTGCATTTCAAGGAGCTACGATCAAGCATCGCCAAACGCCACCCGCGGCTCCGAGTGCGGTAGAAAAGAATGTCGCGCTCATTCTTCGCCCCCGACAATGCACGGCCGGGCTCGCCCTCGAGGGCGCCCTTTTTGCCAAATGGCGCAGGAAACGGCAACGGCAATGTGCACGCCAACGGTGACGAGGTCAAAAGTGCAAAGCTCGAGGCAGAGGAACAGTATGCCAAAGAGCAGATGAGCAACAATGCAAGCAGACCCGAGGCCGCCAGCCGTCCCGCCGCGACAACAGCAGTGTCTGGTCTCCAGGCCTTGGCACCCATCCTGAGCTACTGCATCGCCAGTATCACCATGACTGTCTTTAACAAGGTACGTGCAGGGTACCAAAAGTGCTTTACGGATCAATGTGGCACTGAGCTTTCTTGTCCTTCGCAGTACGTCCTCAATACCAAGTTCAGCCTGAACCTCGTCGTGCTCCTCATCCAATCCATCGTTGGCGTCCTTCTCGTCATCGGAGCTCGCAGCTTCAACTGGATTGAGATTCGACCGCTCAACATGAAAGACGTCAAGCTGTGGTTGCCAGTCAGCACTCTCCTTGTCCTTGTTATTTGGACTGGAAGCAAAGCCCTGGTGGGTCCGACCGGACACAAGTGTTGCTCAAGCCTAAGCTGACCCGCTTTTCTCGCAGCAATTCCTCACCATGGCCGTCTACACGATCTTCAAAAACTTGACAATCATCCTCATCGCTTACGGCGAGGTCCTCTGGTTCGGCGGCAAAGTCACGAGATTGACGCTCTTCAGCTTCATTCTCATGGTCTTCTCGTCGCTCATTGCCGCATACAACGATATCGCTGGCTTCCTCCTCATCAACAGCATCTCCATGCCTCACACTCCAGATTCGCTCGCGGGATCGACGATTGACCCAAAGACGGGCGCTCTCACAGCGCCGTTCGACGCTCTCGGCGAACAAAAGGCAGAGATCGCTGCCCTGGAAAGCCAGCAGGGCCTTAATGACGAGGTCCTCGAGGGTCTCGGTGGATGGGGCATCCTCAATAGTGGTTACCTGTGGATGGGGCTCAACTGCGCCTGCAGTGCCGCCTACGTTCTCTATATGCGCAAGCGCATCAAGGTCACGGGCTTCAAGGACTGGGACACGATGTTCTACAATAACCTTCTCACCATTCCCGTCCTGCTTGGAATGTCTCTTGTGAGTTATGTGCCCCCACATCTCGTCCAAACGTTCTTGCTGAGAATCATCGCACACATGTAGGTTGTTGAGGACTGGTCGAGTGCCAACTTCGAGCGCAATTTGTGAGTCCCTCGGCAGTATCCGCTCTGGCTGCCTGCTGACGGCCTCTCAACAGCCCCAAGGAGACTCGCCATACGCTCATCACTGCCATCATCTTTTCGGGCGCGTGCGCCGTTTTCATCTCCTACACCACGGCCTGGTGCGTGCGGGTGACGTCGAGCACGACGTACAGCATGGTCGGTGCCCTCAACAAGCTTCCCCTCGCTCTAAGCGGCATGGTCTTCTTTGGAGAGATTGCGACATTTGGACGTATCTCAGCCATCGGCGTTGGCTTTATTGCCGGGTGAGTCCTGTTCGTCCCCCTTCCCCCTCCTCGATCCGGTCTGACCTATTCTCCCACGACAGCCTCGTCTATGCCTACGCTAAGAACCTGCAGGCAAAGCAGGGCAAGGCGTCGACAAGCACGCCGGCAACGGGAGTCGAATCATCACGCGGCGGAAGCGCGCATGGACGGAGCGACGGCGTGATCCCGATGCACAACATGAATGGCACCCAGCAAAAGGGGGACCGCGAGGACTAGCGGACGGCGTCGTCTGACTGTACCCCTCTTCTCCCTACCTCTTGCCCTCATACTGGACTCTCCCTATCATTCTTTGTTTACATCTTTAAAGATCTTGGAATCGGCCTAGATTCTCGGAGCAAGACCAACTGCAGCCTCTCAGGAATCAATTGAAGGGTATGAAGCCCGCTTTAAGACAAGCGGGAGGAGAAAGCAAAGGTCACTTGCGGTGGGGAGCGCGCAGGCCGAGCATGCTGCGGATCCTCGTACCGATGCTTCTGGAAGCAAAGGCGTCCATGAAGTGGCCCCTCTGGTGGTGGTGGGAAGAGTGAGGAGTAGTATTAGCCTGCTTGTGGCCTTTGCGTGAGGGAACCTGCGCGCGCGCGTCTCACCATGAGGAGCTGCCTGCGTGCATGAGAGCGTCCCTCGGACGACGTCGAGGGATTGTTGAGCGCGGCCTTCCAGCCAGCCACCCTGCGCTCCTTTGGGATCTTGCGCTGGTGCGAGCGGTACTTTGCCATGATCTTTGCTTATCGTAGAGGTTGCGTTGCCGACGTGCGTGTTTGTGGTGGAGGAGGGAAGATATACTGTATCTCCGCCGATCAGGGGAAAATGTCAAACCAACATCTGTCCCCCCGACCACACTAGCTTTTCAGTGCCAAAATGGGTTACAGAGGACCGAAAATAGGATGTGACGCGCGGAATGGGCACTGTTGACGCGATGGAAGGCGCTATGCGGTACGCCAGATTTGAAATGATTCTAATGATGATGAAGGTTGCTCTATTTGAACTGATTTTGTGGAGGGACGCCTCGAGCGGTGCAGTGATTCTTCTTGAGGAAGCCGCTGGCTAAACGGCATACGCCCAAGTAAGTTACTGTCTAGGCCACCATGCTGGTTTCACATTGTTGCGAGCGCGATCACCAGGTATAGATAAAGCCGACATGGAAACCAGAGCTCCGAAACAGACTCTGCGTTCGGTGACGCTGGACACTGGAACGATAGTAAAGAACGGTTACACTGTGGTGAGCGGCGTGAGGGGCTAATGTGACGACGATACGACGATGTCGTGACTTCGGGTCGTCAAAGACTTTGTATTAAAGCAGCAGAGTGATAAGAGCGCTGTCTGTGGTGTGAGCCGTCCTGGTGAGCCTTGTCCCACGCAGGGGCCCGCAATAAGTACATTGTCCGCCATCTATTTGTGCTGATGTTGTTACATCACAAGACTGTGAGCAAGACGGCAACAGCGCCAATAAAAGAGGTGAGGCCAATGATGGATTTTGTCGCCATCGCACCGCCCACTTGCGTCGCCTTTTTCATGTCGGTACTCGTGAATTCGGGGGTGCAGTTTCTGCCATGAAGGAGCGAAACGTTGTTGTATGTAGGACCAGGGAAGAGCACCGTGCCGTTGCCAAAGTATACGTAGCCCTACAGAAGAAACCTGTCAGCCTTGCACGTGGAACACCAAGCTGCAGGGGGCAACCTACGATTACTGCATACAAATCTGGCACGACGAAGCCATCTGTGTTGTTGTCGGTGCTCAGAGCCCAAGGGTGGCTCGTAATCTCATTCTTCAGTGCCTCTGGGTACATGTCGAAGAAAAAGGTCGTATCGCCCACGACATCAGTCGCATTACCGACAGTCGGCAAGATCTGGGAGGCCTTGTACGTGTGGTCAACAAAGATCTTGTTGCCATCGATGAAAGCACCTGTGAAGCACCCGTCAGAACTAGCAAATCGATGCTCAACCTATACTCATCTTACCTTGGGGCCCGAAACGGGGTTGGCCAAAAACGAATCGGTAGGTGTTGTTTTCGTGAACGTTGTCTTCTTTGAGAACAACTTCGAAAGTATAGTTGGCTCGATCGCAGGAGTAGAGGCTTCTCGGTCCTCCGAGTCCATCTCCCACATCTACAACGCTCGTGTTGCTATACACCAATGGTATGTTGTCTTGGCGACGGGTAAGAGCTGTCAGTGGATGAGCGACAGCACTGGCTGCTGTGGCAAGAGCAGCGAGAGCGGCGAAAGCGGCAGCGTGCATTCTCGAGATGTGCGTGCTGGAATACGCTGGAGGATGGTGATGGTGAGGCAAAGTCAGGCGACCAGCTCACCCCTTTTGAGAGTGGCAGTAAGTACTGCATGGTCGAAGTGGATCATGCGGTCCGCGAAGAATTAGCTCGACCATGCGGTCGCGCAAATAAAGCCACTCTGGTTCTGTTGCCTTTAGTAGTGAACTCTAATTACGCAGAGAGTCCGAAGAAGGTGATAGTGATAATGGGTGAGATGGCGTCCAAGATCAGAGCAGCATCAGAGCAGAGTAACTGACTCGCTATCCCGACTCAGCGCTTATTCTGGCGTCCGGCAGAAAGCCTCTGTTCTCCTGCATTGCAGTGTTTCTAATTACAAGATGAAGGCAAGATGAAGGAACAGAACGAGCCATATTCAACCCACAACCGTCTCAAAGGGACGGAGTGCCCGGTATACGGGCTTCCACATGCGATCGGAGATGTACCCTTCAAGGTCGTCGCTGCGTTTCGATTAGAGTCAGCTTCTATCCTAATTCCGGTCAAGAGAGATGTGGAATGCAAGCACTCACGGCCATGTCGCCTTTGCTTGTCCCTCCTCTTTGGCCTGTCGCATCACTGCAGCCGCCACCTGCACGGTGACGTCCCTGACGTGCTCGAGGTCCGGTAGCAGTCCCTTGTCCTCATTCTCGAGCGCCGGCGAGAGTGCTGCGAGAGCCTCGACGGCGGCGACGATCATACTGTCGGAGAGCTTTGCCGATTTGGACAGAACGGTGCCCAGGCCCAACGCCGGGAAGATGAGGGCATTGTTGAGCTCTGCCACGACGACGCTGCGGCCTGGCTTGGATGCATGCGAGACCGGTGGAAAGGGGGAGCCGGTGGCCAGGAGCGCGTGGCCGTCGGACCACTTCATCGCATCGGCGGGGTCTACCTCGCACAGGCTCGTGGGGTTCGAGAGGGGCAGGATAATGGGACGGTCTACATGCGCGCTCATCTCGCGAACGACCTCCTCGGTGAAGCTGTGAGGAATGGTGGATGTGCCAATTAGGACGGTGGGCTGGATTGCCTTGACGGTATCGAATAGCGTAAACTCTCCCTGGGACTTGGAGGTGGATGGCGCCCAGCTCTCAACCTCGGACGTTGGACGTGCAAACTCCTCTTGACCGGTGCGCAGTCCCTGTTGACCTTGGTGGATGAGGCCGTTTCGATCAATGAGGTAGAAGCGGCTATTCGCTTCTTGGCGACTCAGCCCTTGCGTCTGGATCATTGCATCTCGAATTTGGTTCGTCTGGCGCAGGCCCATCGCCCCTGAGTCAGGTTTCTGTCGTGCCAAAGCTTAGGCGAAGTCCACTCACAATGCCAAGGCCAGCGGTACCTGCACCCTGAAGGACGATTTTCTGATCCTTGAGCTCCGTGCCTGCCACCTTTGTCGCGCTCATGAGTGCCGCCAGCGCCACTGCGCCAGTCCCTTGGATGTCGTCGTTGAAGACCGAGTACTTTGGCTGGAACTTGCGCAAGAGCCGGTGTGCATTTGCGTTGCCGAAGTCCTCAAAGTGGATGAGGGCATCGGGAAAGCACGAAGCGGCCGTCGAGACAAACGAGTCGACAAAGTCGTCGTACTCCTTGCCTGTTGGGATGAGGTATTTCAGGAAGTGGAAAGGTGACAATGCGGACGGTACGAGTACTGACCAGTGATGCGCTTGTTCCTCCAACCGAGGTAGAGTTCATCATTTAGGAGCTGCTCATTGTTGGTGCCTGCATCGAGGACGATGTTAAGGCACCGGTTGGGATCAATGCCACCGCCGAGCGTGTACAGCGTCTGCTTGCCCACGGCAATCTGGATCCCCCCCGCTCCCCAGTCTCCGATGCCGAGAATGCCCTCGCCATCGGTGACGACGACGAGGTCGATCGAATCCGATGTCACCTTGCCGTAGTCTGTCAATGCATCTTTGAGGTACGCGGCTCCACCTTCTTTAAAGTGCGGGTAGGAGAGAAAGAGGCCGTCGGGACGACGGAACATATGCGAGTACTGCTTGATGGCCTCGGCCACCGTGGGTGTGTAGATGATGGACAGCGTCTCCTTGAGCTTGGCCTGAAGCAGGGCGTAGAACAGCACCTGATTCTGGTCCCGAAGACTTCTCAGAAAGGCATACTGCAGCACGGGCTCATTACGCCCAAACAGCTGTGCCGCGGCTCGCTGCACCTGGACGTTGAGTGCGTGGTGCTCATAGGGCAAGTAGTGCTTGAGGTGGAACAGCTCCCGCTCCTCCGTCGTGAAGGCCGAGCCCTTGTTGAGAATCGGCTCTTCGGTCAGATGCTTACCCCTGAGAGGCGTGTAGAGCGGCGGCAGGCGAGGCGCGCTCACGTCGTTGCTCGGGTGCCCGTGTCCGTTCTGGTCCAGAGCACGCCTCGATGTCGAGAATGAAGCCACCACAAGAGATCCCCTTCTTGCCTGCTGGCACCTGGCGAGAGACGTCCAGAGCAGAGGCAAGCCTGCTCTTTGGCGATGGAGCATCATCATCGCAGTTCTGGTGAGGAGCGAGATATCCTTCTCCCTGGGCGTTTTCGTTTTTCGTATCTTGAATCGAATGTCCGCGCGAAAAAAACAAAGTGGAGGATGGTCCGAGCGCTGCCTAACAAGCTTCATCTCCGCCGGCAAGCAATCTCTGCTGCTACACTGCTCATGCCCTGCGAGAAGGCTGTCATCTGCTTTGGGCGTCCAGGGACCCCTGTGTCGATATGTCGTCAGAGATTTGACCTGGGACAGGATAACGAGGCAGGGTCGGAGCTTTTCTTCTCCCTCTCCGAAAGAGAGACAGGCACCAGACGTCTGGTCGACACGTGACTTTGGATCCTGAGGAAATCCGTCGTGCGACCTGCCTGAGCAAGCGTTCCCCCATCTTCTTCTTCTACTTCGACTACTCTATCGAGGTCGTCGTCACCATGTCGGAATACTGGGTGTCGCGCAAGAAGTGGACGTGCACGTACTGCAATGTGACCATCAACGACGATGTGCCCTCTCGGCAGCACCACGAGAACGGGCTGAGGCACAAGGGAAACGTCGAACGGAGCCTCAAGGAGGCATACAGAAAGAGCGAGAGAGAGAGAAAGGACGAGCGGGAGGCAAAGAGGGAGATGGAGCGCATCGAAAGGGTGAGTACTCGCATGTGCTTCCACATCACTCCCTTGGGGAGGAGTGTGTTGAGACTGACCACCTTGATTTCGGTTTTCTCGTCGCAGCTCGCGCAGGATAGCATGGCGAGAGACGCGCCGGCCTCGACTGCGCCGGCGACTTCGGCCTCGCCACCTGCAGAATCATCCAGCAAGCAGGCGCAAGCCCCGACACAGCAGAAGTGGAAGCCAAAGGGCCTGTCAGCCTATGGGTCGGCTGTCGCGCACGACCTGTCGTCCAAGGAGCTCGAGGCCGAACAGCGGCTCCTTGAGCAGGAGGAAGAGAAGCGCAAGCAGGGGACCGCAGGGCAGTGGCAGACGGTCGCCGTAGAACCTAGTGCCATCGCTGGATCGAGCAGTGGCTCGGCAACTGCCAGCCACGGAGAAGACGAAGGGGATCGGGAAAGGGCAAGGCGGTTCAAGGTCAACGAGAAGAAGGCATACCTGGACGACGATGGCAGCGAGGAAGAGGAGCCTGAGATCAAGGTCAAAAAGCGATCGAGGGTCGAACAGCTTGCAAGTTCGTCGTCGTCGTCGAGCAGGCAAGAAGAGGAAGCTAGAAAGATGATGCCGGCAACCTGGACGCCGCTGCAGCTTCAGAGGAGCAAGGATATCAAAAAGGAGGGCCTGGAAGCCGTCCCTGTCCCTCCACCGCCCGAGGTCAAGGCGGAGGATGGCGATGTGGCGCCCGTGGTCAATCTTGTGGAAGATGTCAAGAAAGAGGAGAAGGTGGAGGATGCTGAAGAGAGAAAGGTGGGCGACGAGACAGCAGGAGTAGGAGCAGGAACAGAAGTAGAGGCAGGAGCAGAGGCAGCAGAGGAGCCTCGCCCGAGTGGTGGGAGCAGCAGCGGAGGGGGCATGTTCAAGAAGAGAAAGGCAGGCGCAGGCGCAGGTGCCAAGAAGGTTCGTGCATTTGTATAGTAAAGAATTGTCTACAGAAAATGTCGCAAAGAATACAGCAAGACCTTGCCCCGGCTGTTGCCCAGCGCCATGTACTCGGACGAAGAGGAGAAGTCAATGCCGTAGACATGTCCCAGCGGCGTGGCCGACGTGGGCCAGTTTGAAAAGACGGAAAGCGAAGGGAGATGGACGAGCTTGACTGCGTCCTTCTTGTTTCGGCTGGCCAGTGCTAGGATCTGGCCGTCTGCATTGTAGCGCATCGTTGTCGTCGCCGTCGTCAGGTTTCCCACATCCTTGTTGGCCTCGAGATTCGTTGAAGCCGAGTCCGTGATGCGGTTGCCGTTGTACATGTTCACGATTCCGCTCTCGCTGCCGATGGAGCACCACTGGCCATCGGGCGAGGACTCGAGCCCCTTGGGGTTGAAGAGGCCCACGTCGCGCTTCTGGACTTGGCACTTCATGTTACGCACGTCCCAGAGGTGCACGATGCCCTGGTCGCTGAGCGACATGATTTTGGTAGGGTCGGCGCCGTCCCACGAAAGGCCGGCGAGAGGCGCATTCATTCGCAGCGAGCCGATGAGGGAGCCGCTGGCCGAAGCGCCCTGCTTGCCCCACTCCAGCAGGTGGACCGCACCTCGACGGCCTCCCACAGCCAGTAGACTGCCGCCATGGGGCTGGAACCTGACCTGGCTCAGGTCTCGCTCGGCCGAGTCGAGGTCTGCGTGTTTGCTGGTCCCGCGCCATGGCGACGATCGAATCGTGCGGCCCGACTGCAGGTCAAAGGTGTACATGAACGGGCGTGGCCCGCTGAGCAGCACCGAGGCTCCGCTGGGGTCAAACAGGCCGGACTGTAGCGGCAGGTCGGGCACGTGGAGCGTCTGCAGCAGCGCATTCTCCTTGCCGTCGATCTGAAACAACCGCACCCTGCGGTCCCTAGAGAGCGTCATGAGGACGTGGGCCCTGGTAGAGGGATGAAACTGCAGCGACTCGATCGCTGCCACGGTCCCTTTCCCTTGCGCTTCGTTGGCGTTTCGCAATCGATCCACCTCGAGGCGTCCACTGGCAAGTCTGCCCTTGGATCCCGTCATCCGAGCAACGAGACCAGCGTCTCTGCTCAGGAGATCCGACAATGTGTCTCGCCCTTCCTCCTCCAGCGTCCTTGAGATTCCATTCTCGTCTGCTTCCGTTGTCCGCCTCAGGGACAAAGCAGCCCAGCTCGGCCTCGGATTGAGCTTCTCGAACCTGGAAAAAAGCTAATTAGTCGGCATGTTCTCCAACCGCACGAGCTAATCCTCCAGCAAGCCAAACACTCACATTCGTCTCAACCGCTTCTCGTATTCTGCTCCATCAATCTCTCGTTCATCGGCCGTTTCCCTCAACCTGCGCAGCCGAGACGTTCCTATTCTGCTCCCATCGACAGCCCTCGCTTTCTCGCCCGTCAGCGCGACGACGAGGTTCGCACTCGCTTCGTCTGTCCAGACCGGTCTTCTTCTTTTTCGCTCTCGGCCCTCGGCTGAGCCGCGCTGCAGAGCGCTCACGGAAGTCTCGCCAGATGATTCTGCCTCTCCATCACTGTCCACGTCGTCGTCGGCTTCCTCATCGTCTGAGTGCTCGTCATCATCCCCATCATCGTCCTCGTCTTCAACCTCGTCTGGTCCTGAACGTGCACCCGTGTCGACCATGAAAAGCTGCCGAGCGTGGTCAGCAAGACGAAACAGAAGAAGTTCAGCTGCACCGCATGCATACCTGGTCATCGTCGAGATGCTCCTCGTCGGCCCTCGCCCTCTTGCTTCTCGAACCTCCAGCCAGAGATGACGCATCGCTTTCGTCGTCCTCGTCAAAGTCTCGCGCCGAGCTCGCCGCCGGCGTCGTCGATCCGAATAGAGCGGCCGTCAGCTCCTTCTCCTCCTCCCTGTCCTTATCATTGAACCTCCGCCTTCTCCGCTTCTCTCCCCCCTTTGTATGCGTTGCCGCGGCCGCTGCTGTAGCCATGACCTGTCTTCTTTGCCTTCCTCGCGTCGTCTTCTCAAAAAACAAAACAAAATTGTCGCCCGGGTCAGAGAAAATTTAAGACGGTAAGCAAGGCAGCTTAGGTAAGCCCTGCCAACTTTTTTTGTGATTTTCCAGGAAACTTTTTTGGGCGGGCTTCTTCGTTTCGGCTTGGCCTAGCAGCAGCAGCAGTAGCATCTCCTCTTTCAAGAACGACATGGCTTCGACATCGACGCCGACGGGCGCGTCCGAAGCGCCCATCGACGCACTCGTCCTTGATGCGGGCCCACTCGTGACGCGGACCTCGCTCGGCGGGCTGGCGAAAAAATTCTACGTGCCCGCGTCCGTCGTGGCCGAGCTCCGCGACGTTCGGGCGCGCGAGCACTTTGAGTGGCTCCAGCGCACCCTCGACGTCGAGGTGCGCGATGCCGGGCCCGAGGCACTGCTGGGCGTGGTCAAATTTGCGAAAAAGACGGGCGACTATGCAGTGCTGTCGAGGCCGGACATGAGTGTGCTGGCGCTCACGTACGCGCTGGAGCTGGAGCGACATGGGACATGGCGCGTCCGTGAAGACGTTGGCGGGAAAACGGGCCAGCAAAAGGCCGAGGAAGAGAAGCTGAGAAAGAAGAAAGAAGAGGCGGAGCAGGCCAAGGATCAGGTCGAGGACGGCGGAAATGGCGGCGCACACGAGACGTCACGAGTGGCGCGGGTGGAAGAGGAGAGCAGTGAAGATGAGTTCCAGGACGTCGAAGAGGCCGGGGACGAAGAGGTGGACGAAGAGGAGAGCACGAGTGCAGCGGCGGCCCAGTTGTCAAACCTTGAAGTGAGCAAAGCACAGGCGGAGCAAGACGAATCGGGAGCTGCAGACGCCGCCGATGCAGGTGCTGCGCCGGTGGAGCAAAGCGATGAACAGGCCGTCGTGGCAGCGACGCCAGACGCAGAGAGAGAAGACGACGAAGATGACGAGGAGGAGGGAGGCGAGTGGATCACGCCTGACAATGTCGTCAAGCACAAGAACCGGAGTCTGGGCCTCGTCACCGACGAGGACATGCCTCTCTCGCTCTCCTCGTCGTCCAAGAATGCGCGGAACGCGTATACGAGGCCGGGTAGAGTGTCCATCGCCGAGGGAGACGACGGCTGGTCCACCGTTACTGCCAAGGCTGGCCACCAGGAAGACCGATCGCGGTCCAACCAGCAGCAGCAGCAGCAACAACAAGCAGGCAAAAAGAAGGGAAAAAAGGGCTCAGGCAGGCTGACGGTGGCATGCATGACGGGCGACTACGCCGTACAGAACGTGCTGCTGCAGATGGGACTCTCGCTCGTCGGCATCGAGGGCCAGCGTATTAAGCAGGTCAAAAGTTGGGTGTTGCGCTGCCACGCCTGCGCCAAGATTTGCAAGGATTCGGAGCGCAAGTTCTGCCCGCACTGCGGCAACCCGACCCTGCTCCGAACATCCGTCACCAGCACGTCGCCCGACGCCACAGGCAAGGCAGGCACAGGCCAGTCGCACGGTGGGCTGCAGGTGCATCTCAAGAAGAACTTCCAGTACCGGAACAGGGGCACAATCTACTCGCTGCCGCTTCCCAAGCCGGGCAAGGCGGGCGGCAAACCAGCCTCGGTGCCCGTGCTGCGCGAGGACCAGGCCGAGTGGCAACGGGCGGTGCAAAAGGACAAGGTGCAGCGGCAAAAGGAGGAAAAGAGGCTCAACAGGGCCCTCGAAAAGGGAAAGGACAGCCTCACGGCGCGGTACGAGGATGCAGACGAGCTCACGATGCTCCTGGCCGGTGGCACGGGCAAGAACAGGGGAAAGGGCGGGCCCGTCGAGATGCCAGAGATTGGCGTTGGCCGCAAGAATCCAAATGAGCGGAGGAGGCGAAAGGTGTGACGAGACTTCTGCAATGAACAACATGCAGAGTGTATATTATTACTATTACTATCAACAACAAGCGGATCCTCCGATGGGCAGCAGCAGCGCAATATGCAGCAAGGCCAATGCCATCTGCCCTTCCACTTTTCTATTTCGCGTCCTTGTTCTACTCATGCACCTTTACTGGCCCTTGAGGCTCTTCCTCTGGCGGCTCCTTGTGCTTCCTGCTGGTCCGTCGAATCCACTGACGCCAGCGGCAGCCTGAAGATTTCCCGCAATCTCGATGGCAAAGTAGGCGGTAAGAATGAGGGGCACGAGGAGCCAGAAGCCGTTGGGGAGGGCAAAGAGGACGAAAAAGTCGTAGGCGCTGTTGTGGCCCGTGTAGCCCCAGCCCTTGGGGCCACTGAGGTAGTCTTGGAGCCAGTACAGGACCGTCTTCCAGAACGTCATGAGGGCGACGGAGAGGCCCAGGACGGGCGAGGCGGCGCGCCAAGCGGGCCGGCCATCGATGGCGGCCATGTAGACGTAGGCAAAGTTGAGGATTGTCTCGATGATGTTCATGTAGCCTTCCATACGTGCAGCTGCGTCAATTGTTGCTCATACATCGTGTTGCGTAATAAATGGACTCACCCTGAGCGGCGGTGAAGCCGTTGAAAGCCTCATAGAACCTCCGGCTGTAGATGAGGTCAACCTTGCCGTAGAGGTCGTAGGGCTGCCAGAGAAAGTGGTACTTTCCACCCTTGAACGAGTGCGGGCGCAGGAGAATGTATCCAGTGTCCCAGCTGGTGGATTTGAGATCAGCGAGCAGTTGTAGTCAGGCACTCGAGCAATACTCACCAGACTATAAGGGACGAGATTCTGAGCATAGAAAAGGGCGCAACCAAGACAAAGGAGAGGTCAGCTCTGGCTGGCTGCGGGGAAGAAGGGGAACAGGAGCGCAGACTCACACAAACCAGGCAAGCACCAGCTTGCTTGGTTGATGATTGACGATTGCCATGGCTAAATTCCTGTTTGCTGCTGGGTTGCTCCGCCAAGTTAGATGGTGGATGGTGGTGGTAAGAGAAGAAGAGATGAAGGAGCAAAGGCCGGCGGGTTCCCTTCGAAGTGACACGACTTCCCGGAGTGTTGTCGAACCACTTTTTAGTCTCTCAGAAAGGCCGGCCTGCATGCAGCAGCCTTCTTTCTCCAAGCAGCCTGCAGTTTCCACGTGGTTCGAAATTAGAATTTTTGCCGTTCTCTCTCTCACTTTTTTTGTGTCGCCTGCCTCTCCACATTCAGGAAAAAAAAAGCAGCACAAACAAGAGCGAACATGTCCAATACCGACAGACGGGGGCATGGGCAGTATCGGGGAGACGTAAAGAGAGGCGGAAGGGGAGCATTCAGCGCAGCAAGAGGCCGGGGCCGCGGTCGGGGATTTCGCGGGGGTCCCAGAGTTGGGAGAAAGGGGCGCAGCGAGGACGACTCCGAAGGGTCACCGGCGCAAGGCGGAGGCGGCGTGAACCAGCTCAAGGCGGCGTTGAGACAGACGAAGCGACTCTTGGCCAGAGACAATGTCGAGCCCGGCAAGAGGCAAGAGGCGGAGAGACGGCTCATTGCCATTGAACAAGATATCGAGGCTAAGCAGACGCAGAGCGTTGAACGCAACAATGCAAAGAGGTACCACAAGATCCGTTTCTTTGAGAGGCAGAAGCTCGTCAGACGAATCAAGAAACTGAAGAAGTCACTCGCGGAGGACGGCGAAGAGGAAAATGAGACCAGAGAGAAAGAGCTTCAAGAGGCCAGGGTGCTTCTCAACTACGTACTGCACTACCCAATGTCTCACAAATACGTCGCCCTGTTTCCAAGCACTGCCACCTCATCGACAGACTTTGATTTGGCCACTCTGTTTACAGTCGCCATAGCGCATCCGCAAACCAGCGGCGGCGAAGCGGAGCCCGCCGACGCAACCCGAAAGAAGGCTGTCGAAGTCCGGAAGCAGATCGAACAGGAGATGGAGGCTGGCACCATTTCAACGGAACCAGAGGTCGAGCTCGAGAAGAGGGGACACGAACAGGACGGCCCATCTTCAACAACGTCGTCGAAGAGGAAACGTCTCGATTTTGAAACCACGAAACCTCAGAAAAAGAAGCAAAGAGACGACGAAGACGAGGACGTCGAGGCCGACGGTGACAAAGATGAGGAGGACAGAGACGACTTCTTTGCATCGGACAGCGAAGACGAGGAATGAGAAAAACAATAATTGCTTTGTAGTGGTACTGTTACAGTTTGTAATCTTATCATCCATCATGCATTGGTAACAAAGCCCTCCAGTCTCGTCTTCACATCTGGTCGAAGAAGGTTGGGCGGCGTTGACGTCAGAATTTGCATAATGATTGGCACTCCTCCTACCTCTTTCGTCTCCAGGACGAATGACCACAGGACTCTTCCCACGAGCTGGTCGACCAGGTCCACAAACGCTGGTCGCTCGGCCGGACCGACGAGCCGGTTCCAGCGGGTCAAGTTGCCGTAGAGATGTGCGATCCGTTGACAGAAGCTCACCCGCGCAGGCGGAGCCAGTGGATGAAAGCCGGGCGCCGGGATAGCGGGTGCCGAAGAGGCTGTGACTTGGAGCAGGCAATCGACATGGGCCTTGAAGCGGGCGACAAATGCCGAGACAAGTGACTGAAAAGGTGCTGAGCTCTTTTCGATGAGATAGCTGAGCTGCTCGACGAGCTCCAGAGCTCCTCGATTGTCCCGTGGGTCCCAGGGATCAAAGGCCCCGGCTTCGACGAGACTCAAGGCCCTTGGAATGACGACGTTGTTGATGATAGATTGCACCACCTCTTCGTCGCCACCGATAGCCCCAGCTGGCTTTCCCTCGTAATTCGCCTCTGCGTAGTGCGTCAGCTCGATGAACCATGGAAACCTGTCTAGGCTACTCGGGCCTAATGTCGCTTCCTCCTCTGCTCCCCTCTGGCCATTCGAGAATGCCCTGAAGATGTCCCAGAGGCAGCACTGCTTCCTCGCCCAGAACTCCCAGACACCAGACAGAGCTAGGCCGCCCCATGCGCCAGCATAGTCGTCGGGATAACGCTTTCGCCAATGCATGAAGCGCGCAGCCAGGCTGGCAGGGTGTAGCGCCTTTCGCCCATCGGACTCCCTTGTGATCTCGGCGGCGGGATCAAGAAATTCGGCTGCCTTGACATCGTCGAAGAGTTGTTTGAGCCGACGTTCCAAGTCCTGACGAGCAATGGCAAAGGCAGCGAAGTCCGAAGCCTCCAGATCGTATCCTTTCTCGCCTCTGGCAGCTGCCTTCTCGCGTCGAGAGATTCGGATTGGGCTCGATGCGTCGCCTTCCTCCTGTGGAAGCCTTGAGATTTCGCTCGCATTGTCGCTCTGTTCTTCTTCGGACAATTTACTATTGCCGGGCAGCAGAGATCGGCTGGGCACTCCAAAGAACAGCGAAAGCTCGTCCTCTGCGTCTCGGGCCCGTATTCGCTGCGTCATTCTCGTCCGCTCCTGCAGAAGGCCCATCCAATCCGCTTCCAGTGCTTCTAGTCGAGGAGCTTTGTCATCCAAGAAGGCCGCTACGCTCAGGATAAACTCTTCGAACTCCCTGAACCAAGCTTCCTTGTCGCCAGCTTGCTCAATGTCCACCTTGTTCTCCGCTTCTTCGTGCTGCAGCTGCTCCAGACCCCTCACAGCATCGTCGGCTACCTTCTCATGGCTCATTGCCGATGTTTCGAGTTCCTTGACCTGAGCAGCAAGACGGGCCGAAGTCGAAGTCAGCGTGGGAAGCGGCGCCGTGAGTGGAATCGGAGCAGGCTTGAAAGGTGATTTTTCGCGATGCTCTCTCTTTTGCCGGGCGCCCGTTGTGTCGATTCTGCTCATCTGGGCCCTTTCCCATTCATCCTCACTGTTGTCTTCCTCATCGAGTTCGTCCACTCTTTCGCGCATCTCCTGACGCCTCTTTTGCTTCTCCTCTTCGATGGCCCTTTTGCTCAGTGCCACTCTCTCCGTCGCGCCCGTGAAATCTGCGAACTCTTCTTCGCCTGAACCCCATTCGTCATCCTCGCGCTGAAGCCTCGACTCCGGATGTGGGCCTCGAGAGCTCCCACCTAGCGAAATGAAATCCTCTTGTCCATTTGTATTCTCATCGCTTTTACCCTGAGCCGCTCGCCTCCGCTTCTCCTTCGCTGCGTTGACCAGAGCCTCGCTTGGGATGCCCTCTTCAGCAAAGTCGGCCCCAAATTTCATCCGAGCCAGGCTCTCGCCCGACTCGTCGACCTGGACCATGGGATCAGAGACTGCTGTGTAAGCGTCATCTCCTCCTGGACTCTCGTCCGTGTCCATCGCCACTCCCTTTCGCCCGGGCGTAGCGGCTTTTAAGTCGGCCAGGGCTGCTGGACTGTATGCGCTACCTGCTCCGGAGCCGATACTGGCCTGATCGAGGGACTCTGGCGGGCCTGCTGCACTGGTTCGTCTCGCTTCTTGAGATGCCCTAGCAAGCGCACTTTTCCTGAGCTGAAACGCTTCGCCCTCATCCCCTCCTTTTTCCCCTTCTGGTCCCCCGCCAAAGCTTAGGCCTACTCGAGAAGACGAAGACGAAGAACTCAGCGAAGGCCGGGCGGACGCGCCACCTCGCCCTCTGCTTCCAATAGCTCTGAATGAAGGCGAACCTATCCCTGCGGTTCTGCGAATGCCATTCACTTGGCCATCGCCGCCCTGGCTCCGATCATCCTCGTCATCGGCACCTTGCTTACTTTGCCCAGGAACCGCTTCGGAGGGTGACGACGCGCGCTCTCTGATCTTTGCACCAGCCGAAGCCCGGCCTTTGTTCTTCTTCTTCTTGACGAAGGATGCCACTGGCGGCGAGGGCGACCTCCTGTCCTCGTCCTCGTCTCCATCGAGCATCGTCGTCGTCTCGCCTCGTCTTGCCTCGCCTCGTTTCGTTGTAGAGTGGATGCACAAGCAGCAGCAGTCGTAGTCGAAAGAAGAAGCACGCGCCGAGATTTTTTGAGCTCCACTTCTTCTCGACTTATGTCTCGAAGAGGACCCTAGAGGCAAGTCAGTCGTCCAAGCATCAAGGCACTGAGACGAGGTATGGCTTCGGGGCTGTTTTCATCCTCCCCGCCTCGGGTGCTTTCCATCGCTGGGTCGGACCCGTCGGGTGGCGCCGGCATTCAGGCCGACATCAAGACGATGTCCTCGCTGGGTGCATACGCCATGTCCGTCCTCACGGCCCTGACGGCTCAGAACACGACGGGCGTCCAGGGTATACACGCCGTCCCCGCCGACTTTGTGAGGCAGCAGCTCAGCGTCGTTCGCAGCGATGTTCGGGTTGATGCGATCAAGATCGGCATGCTGGCCGATGCAGACATTGTCAATGCCCTCGCGGCTGAGCTGAGCCAAGGGCAGGCCTCGTCTGGTGAGCATTTGTCCTCAATTGCATTGCAATGCTACCTCTTCTTTTCTCTGATCATTATCTATACCCCACTAGGGCTCCCAATCGTCCTGGACCCAGTCATGGTGTCCACGTCGGGATCCTTGTTGCTCAGCCACACGGCCATCAGGGACCTCGTCGACAAGCTCCTCCCTCTCTGCACCGTTTTGACGCCAAACCTGCCCGAGGCAAAGGAGCTACTCGCCCACTCTAGAAGAGCTGAGGAAGGAGGACAGAACAATTTCACGGGCGGAAAAGCAGACAATCAACTGGCTACCCTTCAGTCTTTGCTGGCTGCGGCTAAGCAGCTCTGTAGCCTCGGCCCTGCGTCGACGCTCGTCAAGGGCGGACACCAAGTCATGAGTCGAGCGACCGTCGATGCGGCGCTGAAGGAGCTTGGGATCACGGAGCTGGACGAGGATCAGGCAGGACAAGATATCCTTGGTGCAGAAGTCATGAACGGGACGTTGTTGCAGCAAAACGCAGAGGAAAAGGTGGTTGTCATAAGGACCGACGGGCAACCGTGGGCCGACGTTCTTCGACTCTGGTCCCAGGACGACGGTGTCAGGGATCCTGACGTGACCAATGTCGTTGTCGATGTTCTCTACGAGACACAGCCGAGAAAGTACACAATTTTCATCAAACCTCACATCGAGGCGACTAGCACGCATGGGACAGGATGCACGCTCTCTTCAGCCATTGCCACACATCTGGCCGGTGGCGACAACGTGGCGATTGCGACGCACCGCGCTATTCATTATGTGCAGAATGCCATTGCTCGTGGTCTGTCGGACCTTGGCAAAGGCCCAGGTCCGCTCAACCACCTTGCTGGAACAACACTGCGTCCCATCCTAGCACCTTCGCCCGTTGGCTCCCAGAGAGCCCCCCTTTGCGGTCGCCTCATCGCCCACTCGCTGCCGTACTGGCGTCGCTTCACTCGCCACCCCTTTGTCACAAAGCTTGTCGAAGGCACGCTCCCAAGAGAGTCATTCGTCTGGTTCTTGAGGCAAGACTATCTGTTTTTGCGCCACTACGCTCGCGTCTGGGCCTCGGGCGCCTCGAGCAGTTCCGTAGGGCGCACATTTGAGAGGATAGCGACTTTTGCTGGGATAGCGTCCGAGATGGCGTCCGAGGCCGAATCGCACGTTGCAATTTGCAAGCGCTGGGGCATCACGAGGGACGACCTCGAGAGCAAGACGAGGGAGAGCGCTGCAACGCTGGCTTACACACGGTTTGTTCTGGACACGAGCCGGTCGGGCGACGCACTAGAGCTCCTCGCGGCGACGGGCCCCTGCCTGCTTGGATACGGTGAAGCGGGCGTATGGCTCGGCAGAGAGTGGAGCCGTCGAAAGGCAGAGATCAAGGACATGGACGAAGAAACAAAAGCCTACGGAGAGTGGATCGACTACTACTCCTCAAAGGATTTCCTCGACGTTGTCCGAAAGGGCATTGAGGACATGGAGAGCTATGCATCTTCCGACCCACCCTCGCAGGCGAGATTGGCAAACTTGCAGCGCATCTGGAACGCTGCCGTCCGGTTGGAGATTGGCATGTGGGACGAGGCCCTCGACAAAACGTTGCGACGAGAGATTGTAGATCCATGAGGGAGATATATTAACATGAAGATGGAATAATAGAGCAAAGTGAATGGTCGCCCTGTGAGAGGAATGCACAGGGGGCGTTTTTATATTACACAAAAGAACCATGAGAACCAGACCGATGGAGGTGCAGCTCATGTTCAGCCTCAATTTCCTGACGCGTACGCTGTCGCTGGGCCTGGTCATTGTCCGCGTCATCGGCGAGGTGCTCTTGCCCGTCTTGGTCGTCGTGCACATCCCTGGGTGCTGCATTGTAGATCGGCGTCTTCTCCTGCTTCGCTCCTGCAGTCTTTTCAATGTCGTCGCCCTTTGCACCCTCCTTCTCCGAGGGAGCCGATTGCGGTTGCTGCGGCTGGGCCGCAGATCCACGCATCATCATCTGGAGCATCTTGTTGGCCTCTGCACTGAACTTGCACTTTTGGCGGATCGCTGCGCCCCTCTTGTAGAAGTAAAAGGGAGCGGGCAAGAAGAGAAGAGCCAGTGCTCCAGCGATGGCAGGTCCAACGTGGATGCCACAGCTCTCGACGGGGCAGCTGTCTCCACCGCCAGGGTGGTACATGTAAGGCGTGAAGAGCGGAAAGGCGGCGCCCAGGAGTGATCGCACCACGCTGTTAGCTGCGAGGACAGAGGCAGCGTAGAGAAGCTGTTTTGACGGACGGAAGGACGCAGGTTCAGCGTCTGTATCCATGCATCCGAAGATAGAAAGAACTCACGTAGGAATCAATCAAGTACTGCAGCGCATCAAGAAAGAGAGAAGGCATGTCCGTCGTCAGCGATGGTCTCTTCTCATCATCATTCCTTTAGCAGTCCTGTGACTCACGTTTTGCAGCGACAAGAAGATTAGCACCATTCCTCCGCCGAAAGGAGCCGACAGCAAGATGGGAACGATCCAATGGATGCTCGGGAAATCGGTCGCAGCAAAGCCAGCCAAGCCAAGAACGAGAAGTGGCGCGCCAATCATCGAAACGACCAGCCGGTTCTCCGGGGGCGCCGTGACACCGCCGTGCTGATCGACGATGCGAGCGTAGCGCTTGTTCTCGTAGAGGGCTACATAGGCGAGAGCGAGGAGCATGCCGATGAGAATGCCGAGGAAGGCGAGACCGCCCACGCCAGCATTCCAGCCACGAACCTGCTGGAAGACGATGGGGAAGGCGCTGAAGAAGCTGTACAGGATCGCATAGACGATGGCAACGTAAAGGGAAAGGAGCAAGACGATGGGCTCGTAGATCAGGAGCATCCAAGGGCGGGACAGGGCGACACTAAATTGGCTGCGGATCGATGTGTCCTTTCCCTTGTCCATGCGAGGGATGTAGTGGTTGCCTGTAGCCTTGTTCAGCTTGGCGGCCCGACGGCGGAGCAGGACCGGCGCGTAGGTCTCCGAATAGATGAGAATGCCCACCACGAGAATGGCGACAGTGAAAAAGGCGAGGAAAGCCATGACCCACCGGATACCATCTCTGCCCGTGTCGCCAATGAAGCCTCCGGTGATGGGGCCAAGAGCCGGACCCATGAAAGGTGCTGCCGCGAAGACGGCCATTGCGAGGCCTCGTTCCTTGGCGTTGAAGCAGTCTGCGATTGTACCGCCTGCATTGGTGAGAGGCGAAGACCCAAATGCGCCGGCGAGGAAGCGAAAGACGAGAAGCGAGGCCAGGTTTGGGCTCGCAACAGCGACAGCGTTCCAGAGCGTGAGCATGAAGTAGGAGAAGACGAAGAGGTACCGACGGCCCAGGACTTCCGAGAGAGGAGCCCAGATCAGCGGTCCCAACGCGAAACCCAGCACGAAGAGCGAGACTCCGAGCGTAATGACGGTTTGCGAGCCACCATACAGCTCTTTGATCGAGGCGACGGCGCCCGAGTAGGCCGACGAGGCCAGCGAGACGGCGAGTGTAGAGACGCTGACGAAGACGGTAAGACCCCATTTGGACAGCTCGCTCTTTCTCATTGGGTTCTCAGGATCATTATCGAGCCATCCAATGAGGAACGGCTCCTCCTTTGTCCCCTTTCCTTCGTATTGAGCATTAACAATATCCTCGAATGGAGTCACCGCTGTGTTCCACGGTGTCCACCGGTTGGTCCACTTCGCATAGTCGATATCGCCGAGCTTGCCGCCATTCTCGAGCGAATTGTGAGCAGTCGACTCGCTGCTTGCGCCACCTGCTGCGCCCGCATCGGTAGAACGACTCTTCTCCAGGTGTGGTCCCTCGCCTCCCTCAATCTTGTCGCCGACTTCTGCGCTCATCTTGTGTGGAGCTTCGTCTCTCGGATTGTTCGAAGAGCGATACACCGTCGATATTCCTGTTGGTAAATCGATGACCAGATCTCCTTGGTCACGACGGCAAGTCGAGGGTAGCTCAAAGAGAAGAGTGGGAAATCGAGGAGGGATGCAACGACTGAACGCAACGAGGAACCTGGAATATTTTATACGTCCCCCTTGAGCCAGCCTCACATCGTCTGTTGTTTTCTTCTGTTTTTTTACAGAGCTGCACTGTCGTAGATGCTTACCACCGTACCTAACCAGTTCTACTACACTTCTACACTACTACTACTACAGGCGACTTGATTTAAGTTAATCCTGGGTACCTCTACGGGAAAAACTCTTTTCTAACACCGACTCCGTGGAACTGCTCTCTCGGTTTTGGCCGGCCGACCGGACGCGCCCAGGTCGGGATTCGGATCATCATACGGTCTTCCTTGTCGTTCGTCAAGAACGACATCTCCATGGACATCGTCAAGCTTTTACGAGTTGCACCTTGGCTGACCTTGTTTGCAATCTGTCCGTGCCTTGACCGTTGCACAAAGGAACAGAAATTACCCGCCGGAAGCTTCGGGGGCATGACATCTGTGCGTCAGCAGGTTCGTAGCTTGGCGCTCATTTCGGTGGCTTCCCGCCACAACTCGGACCTCGTCATTCAAACAAATCTTGACAGGTTCGTGGAATCACTAGTCTCAATCCCGGCCTTAAGCAGACTAAACATGACGAGGAGCTTACTATAATATACACTTCCCGTCGTTGCACAAACATTTGCATCCTTCTGTCATCCTGAGAATCTCTCGCACCTTGCTCATTAGATCTGTCTCTGTTGTATACCTCTACGACAGACTTTTGCCACTCCTCGACCTCCTGCTCGAATAAGTCTATATAAGGTCGAGAACAGATCGCTACACTTCTTTGTTATGTCCGCAACGATCGTTTCCTTGACGGTGGCCAATGTGGCTTTCTTGGTCACAGGCTTACTGCGCGCAAATGAGTAGACCACTTGATCTGTAATGCCTTGCTGATTGCTGGCCTAGTGGTAAGACTCGACAGCTAATTCTCATTTGTAGCACACGGACTCGGTTGCTGGACTCGAACCAGTCCGGCTCGGTCGCTCATGTAATTCAAGTGGGCGCCGAAGTGATCCAAGTTCAATCAGAAGGCGCGTTGTACCCTCCAGAGGTCACACTCTTCTCCGATCTTTACGCAAAGCAACAAGATGATAGAATCTCTAAAAGAGAAGCTTTGTGGTTTGGAATGGTCTTGGATGTAAATACAGAGTGTTCAATGACATGGAAGCCCTTCGCAGCGATGCCCCGGCTACTCTGTGTAGCGTTGACGATCGCGCGGTACGATTAAGAGAAGAATGGATAGTGAGGAGCGATGTGGTAGAATTATAGACCCGGTAGTTGAAACCCGTGACGATGTAGCAAGGGGGGCCAATTGGCCCTTTGTGCTAGACAAAGAAGCCTTTTCGAAAAGCCATGAAGAAAGAGCAAACAGAGAACGTTTACACGAACTCCCAGGTCATCTGGAACTCGCCGAGGTCGAAGTTGTCGTTGGTGAGAGCGCCGAAGAGAGACTTGCTCATGTCGAGGCTTCCGTAGTTGCAGGTGGGGCACGAGTCGGCGACGGTAGCCGTCTGCGTCTGACCGTTGTGGTGGATGCGGACCTTCTTGCCGCAGTGCTCCGATTGGTCGCTAGTAGACCCGTACTGGGCCGTGTTGAGAGCGACGATCTTGTCCGCGCCGGTGTTCTCCCAGCCGCAGTTACCCATGCCGGCCTGGTAGTAGGTGGCGCGGCCCGAGTAGGAGCGCTTCTCCAGGTGCGCCTCGGGCTGCGAGTCGACGGGAGCGGCGGTGGCAGCGGCCGCGAAGGCGGCGAGCGAGAAGATGAACTTGGCAGAAACCATCTTGAAAGAGAGAGTGTGGGTGGGTTGGTGGGAGATAGAGATGGGTGTGTGAAGGTCGATGAGAATGGTGATAATTGGGGGTCGAGCAGTCTTTGAGCTGCTCTCTTATACTTTCTAGTGACCTCAAACATCGTCATGTAACAGGGGTGCGACCTGGGGGAAGAGGTGAGAGAGGTGGTCCCTCGAAATCATCGCATCGATGGGCAAAGACATCGCCCCTCAGGCTACCTTCTCGAAACGACACCCTGCTTCATCAAGAACTTCTCGCTTAGGGGCGATGTACAGGGGCTTGGACGAGGTGCGAAGGGACGCATCCCGGGAAGGTAGGTGCACCCGTTGGCAAAGTTGGTGAAAGATCGACATTCAATTCCGAAACGAGGATAATTTCGAAACGAGGACAAAACAGGGACGAGATCATTTCGGCGCTAATAGACTCGGAAGGAAGCGCTCCCTTAATTTGTGTTTAGACCCTCTCGACCGGTCGTGTAGTGTAGCACCTCTTTCATTCTTATTAATTTTTTTTTGGATGTTTTCAAATAGACTTCCGGAGGTTTCCCCTCGCCGGCAAACCTCAGCCACCTTGCTTAGCACTCCTGCAATTAGCCCACCGCCGGCGATTCCCTGCTCTTTGCTTCGCCCTGTCAGGCGCCCGATCTGTCACGAAGACCAATGTTTCCCCATACATTAATGAAAAACAGCTGTCCCCCGGGATCGTCATATTAAGTCGCCGGCAAACCAACAAAGACCACGCGAAAGGGAGGGACCCACTGCGATTTCAATTACACACAGTGGGTGCAAAGACCTCTCGCACGCGACAGGAAGGGTGTGAAATGCTTCAGTCCAGGTCGGAAGCGGTTGCGGAAGACGTTGGTCCGAGACCATGACCGAGCCATGCACAGCTCGCCAAGTTGAGCTACTCACGGAGAGCGAATAGTCCGGTCAACATTCTCGAAGCTGTCTCAGACGTCAGAGCATTTGCTGATCTTCGGACTATGTCGCTCTGCTCACGTGCATGGCACAATAACCCGATGACGGCAACTTGTCCCCATTCACCATGTGCAGATGCAGGAGTGATCTTTTCGCAAGGAACACCGAAGCGAGCGCAGCACCCTTTGAGATTTCGCGTCGGTCTTCCTTTAGCGTGAGTGTCCTGAAGATCATCGCGAACCTTCCCAATTCAATTTTTCCCCGGGCGAGAGACACTCTCGCTTTCTCCTTTCTCCGCGTGACCAAAAATAGGGCTGTGGTAACGCACAGAGGACAAACGTTTTGCAGTGAAAATTCGGACCCTTCTCGGGTGATGAGGTTGCGGAAAAGCTCTGAGACGTCACAAGTTCAGTCACAGACTTCTGTCAGTACCGCAAAAGTCCAAGAGCAGGCCAATCCAGTGTAGTAATCGTGCAGGCTGCGCTCCTATTTCCGTCCTTCTTCTTCCGGCCTTTCAACTCGCCAATTTCTCGTGCGAATATTGAATAGGGACCGGTTGCGCAGGATCGCCGGCTTGCCGCTGCCTCTATAGAGGGCAATGCGTCTACAGAGGGGCGTCTCAGCACCGCTCGAGACCACTGCGTACCACCCCGAATTCTTACCCCGAATTCTTCCTTCGCTGAGTAATCGAACGGACTAAGGCGTCTCGGTGCCCGGACCACTCTCAATTGATCGAACAGACCGCGCCCCTCTGGCAGGTCGGTCCGGCCTCTAATGAGGGCGGACCGGGCACGAAAATGCTAAGCCATTCCGATGCCTCGACGAAGAGTCCGATTATTCGTGATCGGAGAAGGGGGAGACCGTGCTCGGAGAGACCATGCGACCAAGCATTCCAATGGGGATCGGACAGTAAAGTACGATGGAAAATGGATAGATGGTTGTCGTTCAGCGGTACAAGTACATATGCTAAACTGGGCGTGCCGGATCTACACCTCTAGGGCTTGCTTGTAGGTGCTTCCCTCGTCCGATGCTCTCGTCTCTTCGATGAAGAGGAGCCTTCGCCTCGAGGCGTCTCGTGCTTCGACCCACTGCTGCTGCTATTGGCGCCCTCCTTGTCCTTTTCGCCTTTCTCTCGTGTCCTCCGGAAGCATAGAAACTCGAGAGCTGTGTGCCTGCGGCTGCTCACGAGTGTCTTCTTGACCTCTTCGAGCTCGCGTTGTAGCATTGAGGCCTCTACCTCGCTTGTGGGGTCGCGAACATACTTTTCGCTCACCGTCTCATACACCTGTTTGAGAAGCTTTTCCGACTTTGGCGTGACGTATTGAGACAGAGTCTGGTGTGTGAACTCGATCTCAAGAGTCGCCTGCAGCATCCCACCCATTCCGAATCGGGATATCCGGCTGAAGGAATCCAAGACAACGGCGGCCAAGTCCTCGAGGAGCGTGGAGATCGTGCGGTGAACGAGAGGCTTGGCCACCGAGCGCACCTGGGCATGGACCTGAACGAGAGCCAAGAGGGCATCGTAGATGAAAGGGTGTACCTCGAGAGGCTTGGGAATCGTTTGCCAGTCGATGCCGCTCTCGAGGATGCCCTTGCGAAAGATGCTCGACACCATCTCGCTCTTTCGCTTGGCAAAGTCGTCAAAGAGGATTTGGTCCAGCTGCTGAGCAACCTCATCTATCGTGCGCAGATCCTCGCTCATTTTGACGTGGAACAGCTCCTGGAAGTGCTTGGTCAGGGTTGGGACGATGTTTCGAGTCAGGCGAGAAAGATTGGTGACGCTGAGAAGGATTCTCGTGTCAAGCTCCTGAACGTCGACGGTCATGCGCGAGTCGGCCACCACCTTTTGGCTCGTCGTCATGTTGGGGTCCAGAGGATCATACTCATGAAAGGCCAAATGAACAATGCCGTCCAGAAAGACGTAGATGGCATCGAGGTAGGTGGCCTTGATTCTTGCTGTGAAGTCGGAGTTGATACGACTTCTGCCGCCCGCGGCGGCATCCTTGGAAGCGCCGTCTTTTCCGCCGGCGATGAGGTAGGCGGATCTTTGGTTGGACCTCTGAAAAGCAGAAAGCTCGCGCAGATACAGCGTTGTGGCTTCTGCGTCTGGATTGAGCGTCCAATCTTCAAGGCGATAGAAGACCTTTGCGTCCTCTTGCCAAAGTTGGCAGAGAACTTCTGTGAAGCAGAAGCCTGCATTGGTGACGAGGCTTGACAAGCTTCTCGGCGTGGCGCCAATGTCAAGGGCTTTGAGATCATTAACGACATCCGACAGCTCCGACAGCGTGAGGCGCATGTAATGAGCGGCCGTCATTGAGCACGTCTGCCTGGGCACCCAGCTTGGCAGAGGCGACAGGGGTTCCCTTACGAGGATGCTGACTTCGGTCAGCTTGAAGAACTGTACCAACATCTTGATGTATCCTTCCACACTTTCTGCTGCCCACGCTCTCCCTTGCGCCTGGATCCCCTGCGCCTACCAAAAGAGAGTCAGAATAGCCAGCAAGAAAGAACGAGGACCTTTGGAAGAGCCCAAATACCCACTTTGCTCTTCAATTTCCCGTCGACGAGGTTTTTACAGACCCGCCAAAAGCTCGGCAAGGTCTGAATGATGGTCTCGGAAAGGCTGCGAACAAGCTCGTGGATGGCCTTCCACCCAGGTGCTCCAATCATGCGGTCGAAGCTCTGCTCTGCTCTTGACAGCTGACGGACGCATGCCTGAATGTCGCGTGCTCGCTCCTTCTCGCCTCTTGGCAGCAGCTCGCTGACCGAGGAGGCCGACTCAATCTTTGCGACGGCAGTCTCGAACGACTTCGCCATGAGAGACCGTATGTGGTTGTGTTGTGACTCGAGAAAGACGGAGACAGGATCCCGCCTCGGCTCGAGCTCGAGGAGAATCTCGATTGTCTTTTCCTGTTCCTCCACGCCTCTCCTCGGCTCGCACAGCAGCTCAAAGAGTCGATCGCGCATCTCCTGCATTGTGCTTTCGACGGCATCCCAGACCTTGGCAAATACACGCCTCTGCTGTGCCTGCTGCTTCGAGCTACCGGCGGGCGCTCTGGGGTCGCCTGCCTGGCCGGCGGCTGTGTTGAATGCAAGGAGCTGGCCGGGCCGGCTATCGAGGAGGTGTTTGCCCTTTTTGTAGTCTCGAAGCGCCTGCTCGTACCGGCCCGCATCGACGGCTTCGCTTAGGCTTCCTGGGAGATTGAAGAAGAATCTTGAGCGCTCAAACACGCCCAGCGTGCTCCTCAGCTTGGCTGCCTTGAGGTTGTTCTCGAGCACAGGGGTAAAGACCTGATCGGCTTTCGCGCTGGCTTGGGCAAGAATCTCCTTGAGCTCCTTGACACCGTAGTCGGCATCATCGCGAAGAGGTCCACCCTCCGACTCTTTCATTTCGCGATAGACACCATCTGTAGTGGCCTTGACGGCGACGAAGCGATCGAAGTTGTCCTCGACGAGGACCTTGAGCGCCCCGCTGCGCTGGTCGATGCTGTCCTGCAGCTGCTGGAGGCCCCGCGAAAGATCGGCAAAGGTGGCATCGGGATGAATGGTAGAGAGAAACACTTTGGGGTCGAATGCCTTGCTCGAGAGATGAACCTGCGCCCGCGTATCCTTGGACATGTTGCGGTTCGTCTGGATCGTGCCCCGCAGCCCGAGTGGGTCAGCCTCCTCTGTCGTGAGGTTGACCGGGCCGGCCGCACCGCCGTCATTATCGTCAATGTCCGTCCATGCCGGCGGCTCCAGCGTGTCAAGGCGATAGGCCTTGAGCAGCGTCGCCTCGTCCAGATCCAGCTCCGGGTCCATCGTCGTCCTGGTCCACTCAAAATGCGCCCTACCGGTAGCCCAAGAGCGACAGATGGCCAAAGCACAACTTTATTCCACGTGTCTCGCGGTAGGAGTTTTGGGTGGTCGGACCTCGGCGAGATTCGCTTGGGAGGTTTATCGAAATGATAGTATGCTTCTTTCTTGGGTTTCACCATCACGCTCTCTTTCTTCGCACCTCTCTGCACTACACCGCCATCGTCACGCTTACAGAATGGTTGGGTGAGAACACGGTACAGAGATATCCTGCTACTTGTGGCTTTCTTTCTCTGACTCCTGCTGTCCCCCCTTCCCCACCAGCACTCTCGTCTTGACCCGTCACGGCCAGTCCGAATGGAACGAGCTTAACCTCGTGAGTGCCTCTCGGCTGCCATAGTGCTCTTTGAAGCGGAACAATGACTGACAATGCCCTTTGACCGCAGTTCACTGGCTGGAAGGACCCCAAGCTCACCAAGCAGGGTGAGGCCGAAGCCAAGAAGGGTGGCGAGGAGCTCAAGAAGTTTGGCTACGTGAGTGCTTCAGCTGCTTTGAAGGAAGATGCCGTACTGGAGACAAGCGGCTAACCCATCTTTGTGCAGACCGACTTTGAGTAAGTTTCAGCACCGCCCGCTGTGGCCGATGTGCGGATAAGTTGAGAGGAAGGAGCTGAATCTGTCGACCCAACAGCATGGCCTTCACCTCGGACCTTACCCGTGCTCAGAGCACACTTGGCATTCAGCTCAAGGAGATCGGCCAGGAGGACCTGCCCACCAAGAAGGACCAGGCTCTCAACGAGCGCGATTACGGCGAGCTCACTGGCCTCAACAAGGACGATGCCCGCAAGAAGTGGGGCGAGGAGCAGGTGAGTTGTCCGGAATAAACCTCCACCTCTTTTCTCGTCCATGTGCTAAACGATGGTCCTTCTCTCTTCAAGGTCCACATCTGGCGCCGCTCGTTCGACGTGCCCCCTCCTGGAGGCGAGTCGCTCAAGCTGACGGCCGACCGTGTGCTGCCGTACTACGAGAAGGAGATCAAGCCCGAGGTGCTCAAGGGCAAGAAGGTTCTCGTCACTGCCCACGGCAACAGCTTGCGCGCCATGATCATGAACCTCGAGAACATGACCGGCGAGCAGATTGTCAACACTGGTGCGATCTGCTCCTTTTCCAGATTGGTGTGTTCATTGCTGATCACCGTTCCCTCCACAGAGCTGGCCACTGGCGTTCCGATCGTGTACAAGATCGACGAGAGCGGCAAGGTCGTCGAGAAGAAGATCCTCGAGTAGATTAAAGATCACCTTGAAGACTGAATTGAGAAACATGGCCTGAGTCTCAAAGCAACCGTAGGTGGACGAAGTTGACCTGTCATGGAAGTCTGCCGAGCTAGAGTTAAGAGCGTTTGTGTGACCATCCCCTCCCTATCGTTGCCATTTCCTATCTGCCACACAGGAAAGAATCATTATTGGCATCTGGATCTTCTCTTCATCATGTATTCTTCCTTCGAGACATCGAAAAGAAACCGAGACTGGGAGAGTAGCGCTACATTTTTACTTTACTTTCTTCTGAGCCTGATGTTCTGGCCTGTGGTCGACCTCGAAGTCGACATGAACAAATGCTCGCTCTACGGACGGGAGCTGCTCCAGCTTGTCTTGCAAGTCTTGCGAGACATTGTGGCTGAGCCAGAGCGGCGTGTCGGGCCTCATGACAATGTCTACCTCGACGATGTACTTGGGACCCGAGTGATAGGCTTTGACCGAGTCGACCATTTCAATGTGCTGGAAGTGGATGTGCAGGGCGTTGTAGGTGCACAGCTGCAGGAACTCGACGGGGGCAGACACGCCGCAGAGCTCGCGGAACTGGCCGTATGCGGTGCGAGTCCAGGCAAAGATGATGCCAAAGGAGATGATCATGGCGCCCGCGGGATCGAGCCACCAGACAATCTTGGCACCGGCCGCCGAGGTGAAGATACCGAAGCTGTGATGATGGTTGTCAGAAAAAAAGAAAAGCAGCAAGGATGAGCGGACTCGGTCGGGCAACTCACCCATTGATGAAAAGGTCATTTCGGCAGTCTTCCCAGAGCATGTCGAGCTGGCTCGAGTGCCTTCTGAGAATGTAGTTGAAGAAGCCCAAGACGGCCTTGGTGATAAATGCGACACCGACAGCAATCAACGAAGGAACGTAGAGCTTCTCCACGTCGCTGGCTTTATGCGTGCCAATATCCCTTGCCGATTCAACGATGAGAACGACCGAGACCATGCCCATTATGCTGGCGTAGGCAATGTTGCCGGCATTTTCGAGGCGGGAGCCGCCGATGGGCCACTTACGTTCGTCGAGATTCTCGGATTTGCGGTGGAGCCAGTTGAGGATCACATTGGCAAACTAGACGACGCGGCAATGGTTGTCAGGTGAGCGTGGCGACGAGGACACAGCAGTGAAAAGCACTCACAGGGTCAAAGACGCTGTCGGCTGCCGTGGCAAAGAGCGAGAGGGAGAGCGATGAGATGGCGGCGTAGAGCTGCAGTGCGGCCAGGGCAAAGTTGGCATAGATGTTGGCATAGATCATGATCTTGACCTGAGCAAGGCAAGGAGAGGGATAGTCTGTGAGTATGAGTCGCGATTCACGACTCTTCACGTCAACACACCATCTTGCTGGCTGCCTCTGCCTCGTCTTCGTTCTCGCTCGCATGCTTGGAGATGGGCTTGAGCAGATTCTCGATGAGGGCGTTCTGCTTCTCGTAGTGCTTCTTGATCTTCTTGTCTTTGAAGTGACCCTTGCTCGGCCTGCGTCTCAGCTCCTGCTCGTTGACGACACGGCTGCGCAACAGGAGCGGGTCCGCCGCCTCGTTGGCCGGGGTGAGGTAGCCCATGGCGTAAGCCTCGTTGATGCTCATGGCGTTCTCGGGAGACAGGCGCGGTGCGGGATCCGAGCCAGCGGGCTCAATGTTGGACAGGTCCACCCGCAGAGGCAGAGGCTCAGAAGAGGTAGCGGTGCTGGCACTAGCGTCAGCAGTGGCAAGAGCACCTGTGGCGCTCAGTCGGCGATCCAACTTGGCCTTGTCGGACTTCTCCAGGTCCACATTATCGAGCTCCGTCGTGTTGAGTGGGGGCGAGGTGCCGGGCTGGTGGGCCGCATCAGGCGAGCTGGGAGGGGAGCCAGAAGTGGGCGCAGCAGTGGTGGCCAGCACCTTTACCGCGGACGTCGCAGGGAGACCACTACCAAAGAGGGGTGTCATGGTCGCGTTCGTACGTTCGATCGTGGTGGCGCATTCAACGCTTCCCCTCCTCTTCCTTTTATGCAACCTTGCACTGCTTTTCCTCGGGGCTGAGCCAGTGGGGGAAGGACAAACAAATGGGGCGGTGGACGAACGTGGATGGGCACGGTGCGCCTATCGCCCCACGGCTTTATTTCCTATTTTAGAAACGCCATCCATATTTTATTTTCCTGAATATCTCCTGTTATCTCGAAGTTGCGCCATGGGAACGCGGCACGCGACATCCGCCCCTTACTACTATGTTGCCAGGTCTGGAGGGATCTTCGTCGATCCTCTTTCTTCTAAGGCCTTGCTCATCAGCGGCCTGGTTAGAGAACAGCAATTGTTGTGCGGGTCTTACATAATTACAAGAGAATGATCAAGAGATGCCGATGGGGCCAAAGAAGAAAAGGCTGAGGAGTAAAGTAGCTACGCCCGCAGGGTGAGCCGTCAGTTTCCACTCCTTTTCGCTTCGCGGGGCGCAGTGATGACGAATGGAAGTTACAGGCCGACAGAGCAGATAAAGCAGCTTTGGTTTACGTAGGGAGAGGCTTCGCCCACACGGCCAGTTCCATAGGACTTTTAAGAGCTTTTCACCCTCTTTTCCGTGCACGGCGGCTCCCATATGCTCGCGGTGACACAGATGGTGCAATTATGCTGGGTACGCGCACCCGCTGGAAGGCGACAGCTGCCTACATGCGACTTCCTTGCTTCCTGCCCTGGCAAACCTCGTCATCCTCGCTTGAGGTTGCAAGTAGCGGTGTAGCAATCGGAGCGACCAAGGCAGGTCCGTCACGGGTGTCCGTCACACTTCTGTCACAATGTAAGCCAAGACCGCCAGGGTTGGCACGTCTTTTTTTTTGGAGCTTTCCCGAGCCTCGCTCAGCGCTAAAAATAATGGTGACAGGAACAATAGCACTACAAGGAAACCCATTTTAAGTCTGTGCCAAGAAGTGGCGGGAATTCCCAGAATTCCAACTCGACAGCTCAATTATAACAGCGACACGTATGACTAGTGCACATCGCCAGAGCAAGAACGCGCAAACAACCACCTCATCCCCTCACCGTTGCTATTCAGTCGTCGGGCTTTGTTCACATTCAATGAAAGCAATCTGGGAGCACATTAATTTTGGTATTGCCTTTCCCGCTCGAGCGATTGCCCACTCAGGTGATACGGTGAAGGACAGGAGACAGTATTACCTCCTTTCCTCACCACCACTACTCATCAACACCCATCTCAACCGTTCCCCTTTCTGAGCCAGACGTGTTTGATACACTGGACTGCTCGATCACCCCACTCCCTCCGAGCGCTAAATTAACGCACAGAAGAACGCTCCCGCCACTCTTTAACAACACCTCCCTCTGTGAGCGTGGTGAACAAGCTAGAAGCGTCTCGTTTACTAATGCATTGTTGTCTCACAGGAAGACAAAATTAATCAAGACTATGGTCAAAGTCGCGACTCTCCTCTCCGTGGCCGTCGCCGCTGCGTCGATCCCTTCGATCGTCTCCGCCTCTAACGAATTCGAGAGGCGCGCAGCCGACAGGAAGCACTCCAAGTCGAGCTCCAAGTCGAGCTCCAAGTCGGGCAGCTCAAAGGGGAGCAGCAAGGGAACTGCCGCCGCCGCTGGCGGTGCTGCCGCAGCGGCCGGTGGTGCTGCTCTTGCTGCCGTCGCTGGAACTTCTTCGAGCTTCACGGGCTCTCTTCCCGCCAGCGTCGAGTCCATTGTCGCCACCATCTCGTCTGGGACACCCACCAACACGCCGACTGCAACGGCAAAGAAGACGTACACTGCAGGTGCTGTCAACCCTTCGATCACCAACGCTCCTGGGCTTCCTGACGGTGAGTCCCACCCTTTTGTCGCCCTCGTCTTTAATTTGTTCTTCTCTTGCTGACCATCTTGTACAATGGCAGCCAACTCGCTTGTCATCACCAACTTCCCTACGCTCGACCAGCTTCCTCCGGCCGACCTGGCCTTCTCCAAGCAGATCCTCGCGTCGATTGACCTTTCCGACGTGCCTAACGCCCCAACGACGGACGGTACCTGCTCAGGCAGCCCTGCTGCTCTCAAGTCCGCTACTTCAAGCGGTTTCTGCTGGTGGACATGCGGTGGATGCACTAGGGACACCGACGTGACGACGTGCCCCGACAAGAACCACTGGGGCTTGTCCTACGACGACGGTCCTTCCCCTTACACGCCTCAACTGCTCGACTATCTCGAGGAGAACAACCTCAAATCGACTTTCTTTGTCGTCGGCTCCCGTGCCTTGTCGAGGCCCGACCTGCTTCGCTACGAGTACATGACTGGCCACCAGCTGAGCGTCCACACGTGGTCACACCCAGCGCTGACGACGTTGACCAATGAACAAATCGCACTCGAGCTCGGCTGGACGAAGGAGGTGATCCGTCAGATCACGGGCGTCACGCCCGTCACCATGCGGCCCCCCTACGGCGACATTGACGACCGTGTTCGCGCCATTTGCAAGAAGCTCAACCTGACGCCCATCATCTGGACCTCCACCAGTGCTGACCAAAACTACGACACCAACGACTGGCAGATTGGAGCTGGCAAGGTCTCGGCCGCCGAGGTGACGTACAACTTTGAGCAGATTCTCAAGAATGCCTCGCAGCTCGACACCGGCTACATTGTCCTGGCCCACGACCTGTACAAGCAGTCGGTCGAGCTGGCCACCGAGGTGGTTCTGCCCGCGGCCCTGCAGCAGCAGCCCAAGCAGACCGTGGAGCCCATCATCACTTGCCAAGGGCGTCAACTTGGAGACTCGTACGTCGAGACCAACCGCAATGTGTCGGGAAGCGGTGGCGTCAGCTCTCCTGGCGGTCTCGAATCCGCGGTGCCCTCGACGTCCTCGTCGTCGTCGTCGAGCAGCGGTAGCAGCGACGCTGTCCGCGTCATCGCCCATGTCTCGGTTGCCATCGGTGGCGTTATGTTTGGCGCCGCCGCTCTTTTGCTCTAAGGCATCCAATACCTGAATCACAAGCTCCATGCCGCGCGGGCGGACCAACCACACGGGCAACCCGCACAAATGAAAAATGTAGAATGGGCTCACGGAACCGCATACAAACCGTCATCGACCATTTCGCGTTGCAGAGCATCGTAAATCTCGCATTCTCATGCTTCTTCGTCTCAATAGGATAATTCCCCCAGTATAGCTTCCCGCCTTCCCATCATAGCACACATCCTACAGCACACCCCTTTCCTCCCTCTCCGCCTTCCCCTTTGCTCCCTTTTTCTACTTCTCTCTCTTTCTTTGAATATGAAAAAGGACTTGCTGATACTTTCTTTTCGATTGCGATTCCTTACATGCATGTAGACGTTCTTTTTCGAGTGCGAGAATATAAGGGAACCGGGACGCCAACAGGCAAAGGCGGTCAAGGCAACTGGCAAATGGCGATGTAGGGCGTCATGATGCCGCCCATGAAGAGGAGCTTCCGCTTGGTGTCGTAGTGCGCAAACGTCGGGCTCGAGACGATCTCTCCGCCGTCTTCGAACGCACGCTCGACGACGTACTTTTGGCCAAAGAAGGCGTCCCGGGCCGTGTTCTTTGACACTTTGAGCACGGCAGAGGGCGAGCCAACGGACGGGTCCTTGAACGACGTGCCGGCCATGTGGAGCATCTTGGGGAAGCCAGCGACCCAGAGGTTGCCGTCGACGTCGACGCTGGGATTGTCCATCGGGTAATCTGTCTGGATCTCGTCAAGCTGGAGAAGAAAACTCAATCAGCTTCTGACATCTCTCCATGAAGGGAAGCAGCACTCACTATAATCAAGGATCCATCTGCTTGCAGCTCGAGAACCCTGACTTTGCGGTCTGCCGTCGAGACGGAATAGAAGACGTTGGGGTTCGCATTGGGAAATTGCGTACCCCCGGCGAGGCCATTGGGGTAGGGCAAGGGGTCCATGGCAAGCTTGCAGCCCTTTTGCCCATCGCAAAATCCAATCGAGGAGCGCGCGGAGAAGAAGTCGAGGTTCTTCTTCAGGCCAGCCTTGACGCTGTGATCGTTTGAGAAGATGAATGAGTCCGGACCGGTAGGCGAGACATCGTTGGGCGTCATGATGACATCGGAGTGGTAGGTGCGGATATGGTCCATCGAGTCGCTTCCCAGCGTCGTCTCAAAGAGCTCCACAGTCGAATTGGCGCCGACGTAGTTCTCGACGAGGGGCGGGCGGTGGTTGACAAGGAAGACGCGCAGCTTTGGCTGTTCGCCCTCGGCTACGGTCGCTGGGGAGTCGAGGTGAACGCCGACTCCATGGACATTGATGGTGCCGTCGCCTTCGACACCGGCAAAGTTGCGCAGGGCTACCTTTGTGATGCGCGACGAGGCTGGACCGCTGGCTTTTGTGTCCAAGATGGCCACGTAGTCATCCAGAGCTCGGTTCGAAGCGTCGAAAATGTCCATGTTGGAGAACCAGGACAGGCGGTTCTTGGGGTTCGAACAGGCCAGGTACAGCAGTCCAGATGGTTCGTGGAACCACGCATCTTCGCAGCCCTGGAGCTCTGTAATAGAGATCTAGTCAGCCCACTTTACTTTCTTTTCCTTCCATTTTGGTAAGTAACAGCAAAGATGCGCACCCGGGATCTTTTGGCATTGTCCATTGTTGACGGGCCGCACCGCTTGGCCCACGCCCAGCGTGTGCCGGACAACGGGCACGACGTTCACCTGGAGCAGGATGGCCAGGCCCAAGAAGACGACGCCGATGAGCGGAAATAGGGCTGAAGCCATGGCGTGGGTTGGGAGGAAGGCAGGAAAAGGATGAGAGAGAGAGGAGAAGGAAGGTATTTCACACAAATACCTCTGACATTATTACATTGACCAGGCAGAAGCTTGCCGACCCATCAGATGCGGGGAGAGTATAACCCAGCTACATAGATAAATCGGAACCCGAGGCCGGCCAGTGGGGCCGCGCGCGCCCTGCTTGCGCTTCCTTCTAGCTCGGTCACAATTAGAAGTCAGGGACGACCAAAGTGGAGATCAGTTTTTCCACTCTCAGCCAAGCCACCATCATGGTGTCTCGTCTTTTTCTCTCCTGACGGCTGGCTGGCTGGCTGGCTGGCTGGCTGACTGGCTAGGACCAGAACAGTGATCCGCCATAGAGGCCAGGGACTGTCCACTTGAAGAGATTGTAGCCAAATGCGACTATGCCCAGAGCGTGTGTCGCGTAGATGGCTGGAGTTGATTCGCACGGTGTGAGCAGATCGGCTTTCGAAATAGATGAGGACTTCCAAAGCCGCGCCCCCTACCCTCTAATTTACTCACCCCACTTTCTCCTTTCAAAGCGCTCGGCAGCTTGAGCCGGAGCAGGCAAGCCGGCAATGTTGCAAAAGATATGGGCCACCAGGGGCGCCACGATTGTGCCTTGTCCATCGAAGCAGGAGATGTCGAGTTTCCATCAGTCTCTCCTCTCGGAATCATTGCTGATGCATTCAACTCTGCTCACCAGACCGCAGGAAGAGGAAGTTGGCGTACCAGCCAAAGACGCTCGTGTAGGCAAATTGCACGGCGGCTCGAAGAAGGCCCCTCTTAAGGCCTTCCTTTGTCCTCCCCGACTCGACATATGCCTCGTAGGCGTGGTGTAGGTGCGCTGTTGAGAGCGTCAGAATCCATGCAGCAACCGGAGCTTTCGATAGGATCTTCCAAGCCATGCAAAGGACGGGATCACTCACCAACGCCAAAGTAAATGGGTGTCGCAAAGACGAGCAAGGCCTTGTTCTTGATGCCTGCAAAGTAGTGAAGGCTCAGAATGCAGGCCCGAAAGACGACCTCCTCTGTCAGCGGTCCCACGACGTAGTTTCGAAGCCCCCAGACGTTGTCCCAACGCGCTCTGACCATGGTCGAGTAGTTGAACATGCGCTGGCCGGGCAGCTCTCGGTCAAGAAAGCAGACGTAGAGGGGCCCAAGAAAGAGCGTCGAGGTGAGGAGCAGTGGGGAGAGCACAGCGGGAAGGACGTGGTGCAGACTGAAGAGCGTCACCGACGGGGTGAAGGGAAGGGTATTGGAGTGGAGAATCGACGGGGCGGGCAACGGCATGCCGAGAGCGCGCAGCGTAGAGAAGGTTGCGATGAGGGGATGCTATACCAGCGACAAGTCAGCGAGCAAGTAGGGCCAGCTGGCCTTGCTGAAAAGAAGAAGATCGGGCACTTACCTGGCCATTGAAAGCTCCGCCGTTGTTCAAGATCGCGCCGGCAGCAGCCAAGGAAGCCAGCGAGACGACGCTGGCTGTCTTCATGCGCGCCTTGACGACGGCGGCATCGTCTCTGCTGATGAGCGCCGCGCCCTCCTTCTGGCTCCGACCGACCCGCGTGCGCGTGGACACATACAGGCCTCCGACATAGGACAGCGTGAGCACCGATGAGGCGGCTGCGGCCGTTACAGGGCTCAGAGCAGCTGTGAAAGGGTCGGGCAGGTGAAAGATGCCCATCGTTTGGTCGCAGGCGCCCTTGTCTGGCTTGTTCTTTCAGAGAGGGGGGGGGGATGGAAACCGAGGATCTCGCCACTTTTTTAGGCTATATAGGCTTGTCTCTAAAGCGCGCCAAATTATTTAGGCTTCTCTTCTGTCCCTTTGTCCGGACTTCAGCGCTTCATCAACGACATTGACCCAAATATGGCGGGCCAGGGCCAGCAGGCCAAGGCGCCAATCGTCATTGACGTTAGCATGAGCGACGATGAGATGGATGATGTCAATATAACAGCGCTGCGAGCACCCTCTCGGAGCGTCACCCAGCGCGCTGCCGAGCCAGTAGAGATCAGCGACAGCGACAGCGAAGACCTTGCAAGCAAAGCCGACGGCAGGGCATCGCTTCGGGCGGAGGGCGAAGGCCGCGCCAGAATGCGGCCGTCGCGCACACTTCACAACCAGACGCCACTGATGCGACGCCGTCGACGTCGTCAATCTCGGCATGTCCCTCAAGTCAATGAAGAACTGATGAATCGGGTCTTGGAACAGCAGCTTTCCTCGTCACCCTCTTCTTCTTCTTCTTCTCCTTCTTCTTCTTCGCGATCCACCGCCTCACCTACCCAGATGATGAAAGAGGACCAAGAGGAAGAAGGAGACGCATCACCCGCCCCAATCAACATGGCAAAGTCTTCCTTTGCTTCGTACGAGGTCAAGGCGCTGTCCAAGTCACGCATAGAGGCCACTCGGCTCCCTGACCTCGTCCAGTACGACCAGAGGCGCAACATCAAGTACGATGGCCAGGCGAAGCTCTTCATTGCTTATATTCGCGACAGCGAGCTCTCTACCGCCTCGTTGTCCATCACAAATATGGACCGGATCAACCGCGACAACATCGACGCCTACCAGCCTTGCCCGCCCATGGACTTCACCTTTACAGACGACTACATCCTCACCGACAGTGTCGGCCAGAGCGATGACGGCTCTCCGGGGTGTGACTGCGACGACGATGAATGCGACCCGGCCACGTGCAGCTGCTACCGCCTACACGAAGCAAATTGTACCATACCGTGGACGAAAGAGTACGAGACAAAGATGGACCCAGTGACGGGCGAGGAAACGGAGGTCCTCGTCGAAAGCAAGGTCAAGGGCGATTTTGCTTATGCAGAAGATGGCAGACTGAGACCAGAAATCGCCGTCTATCCGGCGACGCCCATCTGGGAATGCAACTCGCGGTGCGGCTGCTCGGGCGACTGTCGCAACCGCGTTGTGGGCAAGGGTCGCAAGGTGCCCCTGGACCTCTTTAAGACTCAAAGCGGCAAAGGTTGGGGAGTCCGCACCCGTAAAGCCTTGCCACGGGGCACGTTCATTACCGTCTATGCCGGCGAGCTCATCGACGAGGACGAGTCAGAGAGGCGAGGCAGAAAATACGAGAAGGTCAATACGTCGTACGTCTTTGACATTGACTTTGCCCACATTCGTGAAAAGTACGATATTGAGCCCTACCGACGGCATCTCGAATCGCTTGGCCTGCCTGTTCCAGAGGACTTTGACGAGCTGCTCGAGGATGCCACCAACTGGAACAAGAAGCCCGACGCCGTCTACTCGGTCGATGCAGGTCTGTGGGGCAACCTGTCGCGCTTCTTCAACCACTGCTGCGATCCCAACATGACCGTCTTCTCGGTCTATACCCAGGAGCGGGACCTGAGAAGGCCATTTATGGCCTTTTTCACTAATCGATACGTAGAAGCGCACGAGGAGCTCACCTTTGACTACAACTCGGGCAGCAAGGCAAGCACCACAGCTGTCCTGGACGATTCCAAGACGGCAGCAAGGTTAGAAAAGAAGCTCGACAACGCCTCTGTCGGCCAGGAGATCAAGGTCGAGCAGGGTCTCATGGCCATGAAGTGCAATTGCGGCGCGACAAATTGCCGGGGAAGCGTCTTCCGGTGAAGAAAGCATCACATCTGTAATATTAGTACCATTTTCTTCCTTTCAACATGTAGCAATTAAATGACAACAACAACGACAACAAGGGTGGACTAGAGCTTGCCCGCAGCCTTGGCCAGGCCTTCGCCTTCGACGAGGATGCAAGACCCTCCAAGGATGACCTTGTTCTTGGTCGCCTCGTCCTGCTCCTGCACCCACTTCTTCACCTCGTCGTCCTCGGCGCCGGGCTGAAGAGAGGCGAGTCAGTGCTGATTCCACATATCTCTGCGTTCTTTACCACTCACCTGGAGCCAGACACCAGCGACGTCGAGGTCGAGGAGCGCCGTCTTGATGACGGACAAGGTGACCTTTGGAGGCGTAATGACGCTCACGCTCGTCTTCTTGGGCTCGCGGAGATCAGACACGTTGGCCAGCGTCGTCATCTCCTCGACGGACGTCTCTTTGGGGTGGACAGCGACCGTATCGAGGCCATGTTCCTTGTACCACCGAAGCACCTGTCGCATTTCAAAGCAAGTCAGATGCGCTTTCTGCGTTGCATGTTCGTCGCACGCCTTTGCTTTCTCACCTTGTTGCCGTACTTGGTCCGGTCTTTGCTGTGGCGACTCGGTCAGTCTCAGTCACGCTGCAACGCGGCCAGCACTCACGAGGCGCCCACGACGGCGTAGTGTCCGGACTTGAAGAAAGTCTCCTTGGCAGCTTGGATTGACATGTTGGTTGAGTGGAAGAAATAGAACAGGCAAGCTTCTATTGCAGCTGCCCGGACTTTGGACTGTATGCGACCGGTAATCGCCGCCCTGCGCGTGTAAGTTGCGTGGTCTGAGCGCGACAAGTCAAGATTTCTCCACGCGAGCGACCTTAGAGTGGCTTACCCTCAGATAGAGCGAGGAGACGTCATCACAACAGGGGGCGGCCGAGACTCTTGAATTACCCGCCCGCCGCCATTCATTGGATTTCCTCGATCTCACTCAATCCATCCATCCGTCCCCCACCTACATACCTTTACAGAGAATCGCAGCGCATACACCCCCGCTCTTGGTTTCGAATCACTCTCCACCTCTTTCTTTCCCTCGCCAGAATGCGCCACTCATCCGCTGCCTCATTCGTCTTTGGGGGCCTGCTTCTCGCTGCGCCACTGAGCGTCGCCGCCTCGCCCATAGATGTTGCGCCCTCGAACCAGATTGTCTTTGCACACGATGACACGCCATCAATGCAGCAAGGAGGAGCTGGAAAAGCGACGCACCGAGAGCCAGACCTCGTCGATCAGATGCTGGCCGAAGCGCAGTCGAAGGGCGAAGACCTGCGTCAGTGGGGCATCGAAATTTTCGATGGTCAGGCCCAAGCGATGGACGAGTCGTCGCGGAAGCTCTGGCAGGCCGAGCAGCAGCAGCAAGAAGATGCTGAGGATGTCTTCCTCGAGGTTTCGGAGTTTACAAAGGACCTCGTCGCGGACCTCTCAGATGATCTGGAGAAGGCCAAACTCATGATGGAGGCCGCCATGGACGACGCCATCTTTTCGATCCTGCCCATCTCGGAGCAGGAGGCAAAGAGCAAGAAGGAGGGACTTCTGTCGCTTGCGGACGCCGATACCATGGACGGTCCGCCGGGAAGCGGATGGGTGTGGAACGTGTGCGGATCGGGAGATGAGGCCATCGTGCTGCAAGACATCAAGGTCAACCCGGATCCCCCCAAGGCCGGCGAGAACCTCACCGTGCACGCCGTTGGCGAGGTCAAGCACGACCTCAAGGTGCGTTGCTTTGCCCTCCCTATTTCTGGCTTCACAATTTGACATTGCTCCCGTTGTCTCACAAACAGGAAGGGAGCTATGCAGACGTAGTCGTGAAGCTCGGATTCATTCGCCTCCTCTCTCGCCGCTTCGACATCTGCCAGCTCGCCAAGGACAATGACGCCGAGCTGCAGTGCCCCCTCGAGCCGGGCCACTATGAGATCACACACACGACTGAGCTTCCCAAGGAGATCCCACCGGCCAAGTTCAACGTCCACGTCAACGGCAAGACGCAGGACGATGTCGATCTCATGTGCATGGACGTCAGCATCGACTTTATGCACCACTAGATAGGCTTGAAGCCTGTAGAGTAATACTTCTTCGGGATGGTTCTCGCACACATGCTCCTATCTGAACGCTCTTCTTTCTTGTCATGTTGGCTTCCTAGCACACAAACACGCACAAGCGGTTCTCGTTAATCTTTCTCAAGAAATTTCCTCGGAGCAATACAATACTGTGACTTGTACGCACAAGCGATATCATCGCCGTCATCGTCGTTTTCAAGTGTTATTGCATGGGTAGTGTGATTGAAATGTACATGGGTGTGCTGTGCTATTGTTAATCTTTGCTCTGTCATCCCCCGGCCTTGCGTCCAGCACCACTGCTGCTGCTGCCTCCGCTGCTGCTGCTCGTTCTCGATCGTGCTGCCAACGCTTCTACCCCTTCGCCCAGCGCAATTTGTCCAGCTCCTACTCCTGAGCTTGCACCTTCTGCAACGGCCGGCGTCGTCGTTGGGACCGCGTTGATGGCAGTCTGAGAGGACAGGCGCCTCATCAGCGTTGGCCTTGCTGCTAGAACCGCACTTGCGATCCCGGCTGACGGCTTCATCGAAGACACGCCCTCTTGCCCTTCCTCGTCCTCTCTTCGCGCTCCTCCGGCGGCGCCAGCCTGAGCGGCCAAGAGCGATGATGTGTAGTGTCTTGGACGGTGCGGGGACGTCGGGGTCATCCGGCCACCTGGTACGGAGCCCAGTGACGTTGTTGACGGCGGAGAAGTCGGCCTCTTCGAGGACGGACGAGAGGGCGAGAGAGGCCGCATGCTCAGCGTCGAGGCTCCTCCCGCCGATGAAGACGTGGACGACGAGGAAGACGTGGGTCTATTCATCGTCGCTGTCGTCGACGTCGGTGATGGAGGTCGCGCCTGGAATTGCTGAAGCGATGATGACGAGTGCGAGTGCGACGAGGACGAGGAAGACTGTGGTCGGAGGGCCAAGGTCTGGTGCCACGACTCGAGCAGGGCACGATCATCTTCAGTCGACCGCTGTTCCTCAGAATAGCGACTCATACGACGCTGCAAGTGCGGGGACGATGATCGTGCCTCGGCCAGGGATGCATAATTGAAGGGAGCAGCACCATTCTCGACGGACGCGGAAGCCGTGGCTGTACTGGAGCCTTGGAATAGCCCCGTCTGAGATGCTGAACCTCTTCTCGACGTCGATTGCTGCTGCAACCTCGACGATCTTCCAAACGCCACTCTCGCCTCGTCAATGCCAGCGACAGCGGCTGCCGTCGCGGTGTCGAGGCTTGCCGGCGCCTGCTCTTCCTCGTGTTGTAACACCCAGGAAGCCGGGCGAAAGCCTGATTGTGTCTGCGGAATGTCGACGTTGTCTGACACCGGGACCTCGTCCCTCGACTCTTCCCATCTCTCTCCGTTCGGATCAGAGTTGAAGATGAAGACGTCCTCTGCCGCTGAAAGATCGCCAGAGACACCTGTTTCTGTCAATGACACATCTGCAGCCGAAGTGAGGCTGTCATCGTCAGGGTTTGCAAGGGTGGTGCGATCCTCCACAGCAGTGGTCGGTATCATCTGTGAGTCTCGTGGGCGCCTCTTCTCCATCTCTTTCGCCCGCTCCCTGAGCTTCACGGCTCGTTTGGCCTCTCTCCACTCCTCTCCCGGGCCAGCATAGGACGCATACATCTGCTCCTTGTTGCCATTGACCCCACCTGGCGTGTCCGTTAAGACGCTGAGCTTCTCTGACTTGTCGGGCAGCCTAGCCGCAAAGCACACGCGAATGTTCTTGTGCAGGTAGATCTTGGGCTGCTGCGCGGCGCTTGTTGGCCCTGTTCCCCCCGCTGCACGGGGATCTGGGGGATGCGAAGCCCTTGCTCGACGTGTTGTGCGAGCCTCGATAGGGACATCGAGTCCCTCGAAGCCAGCCTCTGGTTTTCTCGCTGCCTTTGCAGGCGCATTGGCGACGGCACAGAATTGCAAGTGGACGGCATATCTTAGCGTCTCCTTTGCCGAGAGCCTAGGTGTTATACTGCTGCTGGGTGATGGGGAAGGGGATGGCGGCGGCGCGTCCGGTGGCCGGCTTGCCAGGCCCGTCTCCGAGCCCGGAACAGGAGGAGCAGCGTGACTCTTCTGCCGGATGAACGTCTTGGTCCCCGCCGGCATGTCGGACAAGTCGTACGGGACAAGAAAGAGCTTGACGGCGGTGTGATTCGGATTCTTAATGACGAGCTGGATCTGGCCCTTGGGTGGCACACGATAGCCGGGAAAGGCTGGCAGCTTGGTTGACTGCGCCTCTGTCTCGTCCTTGTCATTTGCTTGTGAGTCGTCCGCACCTCGCCGGCTGCGCGGACTTGGACGCATCGGGTGGCTCTGCCTTGTGGAGCCAGCGGCAGCACCGCCCTGGACGATGTCCATCGGTTGCTGCGACGTTGTGGACTGGGAGGACGCATCCTCAGAGAGAGCCAGTGCTTCGTCGAATTGACAGGCCAGCAGCTCGTCGAGGTAGTGGCTCTCGATGTCGATTGTACCTACATACGGGCTGCCCGGCGAGACCTTGCCTTCCTTTTCCGAAGCGCCCTCGAGGCTGTAGAAGTGGGCGGGGAACTTGACGTTCAGATGCGGTGGACAGCGCAGGGACGGCTTGCACTTGCCCAGGCCCAGGACGCCGAGCTCTGCGTCGAAGATAAGCGGCTTCGAGGGCAGTGTCGACATGCGTCCGCTGAGAAGCGATTCCTCGTACGAGCCAATGAGGCTGCCAAAGTTGGGCGTTGGGCTCACGCCAAAGCTCTGACCAGAAAAGCGCCGCCTGCTGCTGCTCGTCGGCGATCGAGTCGCGCTCGACGGAGGGCTGCGTGGGTGATGAAGGTGCGAGGGCGGGCTCGTGGCAACATAGGCATCTACAGCCGAGTCGGGCGACCAGGCCCCTGGTTGCCTAAAGCGATGAGGCGGCGTGCTCATAGTCAATGGATGCGATCTCGCTGCCGCCGCTGCCGACGCCGACGCCGACGAGGCTGAAGCTGGCTGGGATGCTCTCCTCGCTTGCATCGTGAGGAGGCTGCCAGCGTTTCTAGGACCATTGTCGATGATCTCTTCCTCTCCACTGGTGCCGTCGAGCAGGGGCGATGCTCGCGATGGGTTGGAAGCGTGCCGAGGCTGCTGCTCCTTCATTCTCAGCCCCAGGCCAGTGTCGCCTCGGAGGGCCGAGCGGCTCAGCGGGCTGCTCGGAAAGGCACCTGATGGCACTGCTTTAGCGTGCTGACAGGTGCGGCAATCGCTGTCTAAATTCTCACCATGGAAAGTCATGATTGGCGGCGCCTGGCTTGGCAGTGCAAGCCGTGTTGATGACTGCGTGCAATGCTAGGAGATAGTCGAGCTGTGTGGGCCAAAATTGATGCAGGAGACCCGGATCTGGTGCCTATGTACGCATGTTTGCAAGTACGACAATGATGTGCGGAGGTGCGACGGCAGAGCGAGTGCTTCACTACGGCGGAGGGTGAGCGCACACCACAGGGGACAGACAGGCAGTGCGTCACTGCCGGAGCAGACACGGGTGTTTCTCTCGGCTCAGGAGTCGATAAAGAGCTCCCCTTTGCCTCTTGTGCTGCTCGGGCTTCGCTCGAGGTGTGCTCTCACTCGAAAGGGCAAGACCAGTCGTAGGGCCGTCCGTAGTGATTATGGATAAAAGAGAGTCGGGCGAAGGAGGTGGGCGTAGGGTGTGTATATGACTGTGATAGACCCACCCTGGCCCGATGAGTCCGAGCGCGCGCGCTCGGTCCAAAAGCAGAAAAAAAAAATCACTGTCGAAAAAATCAAAATCTAAAACATTGGCAATATGATGTGAGACCCGGAAAGGTTTGCAAATCAGAGCAAAGCTCGGGACCGCCATGACGGTACACACACACATGACCTTGAGTGGGCAACACAATTGAAGAGAGCGAAGGGGAAAACAATCATCAACATTGTTCTTTGGCTGGCGCCTGGGAACTTGAGTTCTCGGCCAGAAAGTGTCGGAAACGACTGTATACAGACGGAAAGGGAGGGAAGCATAGGCCTAGGTCGAGCCTGGCAGTGTATGACAGATGGAGGGGTCTTGGTGAGAGTAAGAAAGTCTAGCACCACTGGATGTTGACAGAGGCGGTGGGCAAGCACGAAGTGATTGCCTGTTTGTATCCCCTCGCGTCGTCCTTCTTGCCAACGTTCGTTTGGCTCCACACGTCAGGTGGAGTGTCCTCGAAGCGGGCAAAAGTCAGAGGGGCAATGAAGTTGGCCTAGTTGCAAGGTGTGCGCCCCCGAGCGGCAAAATCAATAGAGAGCTTTTTGGCGAGTATCTAGATCAAGCGAAACTTACCTCGACCCCAAGCTCGTTTGGGCTATCATCGGGCCACATCTGCGCACCGGCATTGCTCGTGGTGAGACGGGTTCCCATGAGATTCTCGGTGTAGGACATGTTTTCAGGGCGGTCTGTCAGGATGATCTTGCCGTTCCAGCCCTGGCAAGGAACCGAGATTACCGTCTTGCTAGTGGGAGGGAGGGCTCTATCGTCTCAGATCGACCTGTACTCATTATGGTATAGGAAAGATAGGAAAGAGACTCACGCGTAGATTTCGTCAGGGTTGGTGTGAGGGTCGCTTTGCTTGATTTCGATGTCCTTTGGTTCAATGGCATCTATGGAAGCCTGATCCATGCCCTTGATGTAAAACTTGTAGCGATAAGCGGAGCCTGCGCAACGACTCTTTAATGAAAGAGGGAGAAGTGATCACGATGAGTCCAAAAATCCATTGAGAGACGCTCGCTTTCCACTCACTCCGTCAGCGGTGATGGTGACCTTGCAGCTCTTGTCGAACGCGCCATCGCTGGGCAGGGGAAGAATGAGACCCGTGCTCGTATGAGGCGCCACGGGTCCTTCTCCGACACCCCTCTTGCACGATGTCCTGTCGGGCATGCTGCTGGCACTAGTCTTGAGCTGCGTCGTTTGAGGCTGTGTGGCCTGCGTAGACTGCGTAGTCGTATTAGTCGTCGCGTCAACAGTCGGATTGACCTGCGTGGTTGTCTTGTCATCGTTCGGGTCAGCCTGTTTAGTTGTCTTGTCATCGGTCGGGCCAGCCTGCGTTGGCTGCTTCACGGCCGACGTCTGCGTATCGTCCTCTTTAGTCGGCGTCTTGACGCCCGTGTCCTGCTGCACCTGTTGGGGCTTAGTCTTCTGCTGTTCATCACAGTCGTCCTCCTCCTGCTGGGGCTTCTTCACCTGTGCTTGTGCTTGATTGGTAGTGGTGACCTGCGGCTGCTGCAGCTGACGACGGCGGAAGAAGCCAGCGAGACGACCGTGGCCGTATTGGACGCTCTGGTATTGTTTGGGCAATGGGTCAGCCAAAACAAGACCCACGAGGGCGGCCAGGGCGAGGAACGTGATATTGAGGGTGATGGAACGCATGAGGGGCAAGGAAAGGGGGAAAGGGAAGAAGACTGGCGATGGTGCGCTGCGGATTGATGGGAATGGGAAAGAGAGAGTCAGTGGAAGGAAGAAGTTAGAGAGAGAAGAAAGGAGACAAGGACTAAAAGCGAAACGAGGTCTCCTTTTGAGGTGCAAGAACGGTGGTATATCACAGATGAGCATTGTGCCACGCACCCTGCAGAGAGAAGGACGGAGGAGAAGGTCTGACTTGGCAACCGCCGCTGTCCCTGAGACATCACCGCTCTTGTCCCGCTTCGCTATGTCTTTGTGCGCCCTCCGCGCTCGCTGCCGTTGTTCAGACAGCCAAACACCGCTGTTTGTCTTGTTGAAACCGCGACACAATCATGCACCGTCAAACGAGAATGGAGCCCGGGACGAAAGGCCCCTTTCCTCTTGCTGGCGAACCACATAATCTACATCGGAGCAGGAGCGAGTCGAGCGTCATAGCCGCCAAGTTTCTTAATAGAGTTGCGTCAGACACCTGTCCACAACAAGAGAAATCCAAGAACACCGGGGCCTAAAATGGCGCAGAACATCTCGGAAGACGGAAGGAGGGCCAAGTCACTGAGCAGAAGGATGCTTGATGCAGATTCTGACGCCCCGCTGCACTGAGCAGCGGAGAACGTCTGTTGCACACGCGGTAGGAGAGGGGTGGAAGAGCGTGGAGACAAAGGTAAATCGGAGATCTGGGCCATCCCACTTTGCACACGAGCTCAACCTGACTCCGCTCTACCAAAAAGGGGCCCTCAGAACCATTTCTGTGCAGCGGCGTCGGAGATGAGTCGTCGCCGTGGCCCGTCTTTCTCTCAAAAAAATCAATTCACAATGGCAATTGCAATGGCAAGGGCCAGAGGCCCGTCTATAAGAGAGACAAAAATAGCAGTACAGTGGGCATCAGCAGCACAGGCGTTGCTACTCGTCCTTTTCGTCGTCTGGCAGCGTTCGCCGCTCCTGCCTCTGAGTTTCGTTTGCTTCCACGTCCGTCTCGCTTCGCTGCTCGTTGATGAGCCCTTGGCTCGCCTCTACGTTTTCATCGCTCTCGTACGGCAGAATGAGATTTGCGATGCCGCCAACGATGGCACAGATCAGGAACGGCGTCCTGTTTCGGGCAAATGCATCAGCAACTAGCACAAAGCGAGCAGGAGAGGGGGTCCAAGAAGGGAATTGGCAACTCACTCAATGATGATCTCAATCGACAGGTAGAAGCCCTCGAGGGCCTTGTTTGACGTCTCGGGCAGGAAGTAGGTCGCCCACTTTGGCACCAGGAGGTTGCCCAGGCCGAGGGAGAGCGAGAGGCCGAGGATGAAGCGGTTGCGCCGGTTGAGCTCCACCTTTTGCAGAATCGAGAGGCCAGAGACGGCGACGCTGGCAAAGAGGAACGTCGTGACGCCACCCAAGATGGAATTGGGAATGGCGAGAATCGCGCCGGAAATCTTGCCCAGGATGCCAAAGAGGATGAGGAAGAAGCAGCAAAAGTAGCCGGCCCGACGGTTTGCCACGCGAGTCAGGCCAATCAGGCCGTTGTTCTGCGCAAAGACGGACATGGGCGTGATGGTAAAGAGGGCGCTAAAGATGCCGGCGAGGCCGTCGGAGAGGACGCCGCCCTTGATCCGTCGGTCAAAGTTGGGTCCAGAGACCTCGAGACGGCTGACCTCAGACGAGGCCGTGATGTCACCAATGGCTTCGCTCATCAGCGAGCAGTAGACGGCCAGTAAGGGTAAAACGGCAGGACCATAGACCTTGAGCGGGAAGGTAGTCGTCCACAGAAAGGTGATTGCAGGCGCTGCGTCGATCGAAGACCGCGAGGTATAGTGGAGAGGAATGCCAAGCACGAGGGTGGGGAAGATGAGGCCAATGACGACCGAGGCACTCCGCATGGCTGGGCTGCCCCAGATCTCAACGACGACGATGGTGAGGAAGGAGAAGAGGCCGAGTCCAAGGAATTCGCGCGAGCCCCACGGCAGCGCATGTGGCGCACCCACCATGGGGCAGAGAGCAAACAGGCCCGAGGCGGGCCTCGAAGCGCAGTCGTTGGCGCCGCCGCCCCAGTTGAGGAAGCCGCTGTCGCCGATGAGCGAAGTGCCGATGAGAAAGACAACAGGCCCAGTGATGAGCGGCGGGAACATGCGGCGCAGGACACGGGCGGGCATGAAGCTGAGAAAGACTTCGAGCAGACCGCAGACGGCCGCCGTGCCAAGCACCATGCCGTATCCCTGGGGACAGGTGCCCCTCGTCTGGGTGCCATCGGCCATCGTGACCATGGGGCAGGTACCGTCGGCATACAGTGCTTCGGCAATGGCCGTGGCCGTCGACAGGGTGGCAAAGGAAGTGCCGACGACGCTGAGGATGCCCGTGCCGATCTGGAGCCTTCCTAGAAAGGGAAGCGGCACGCGGATCGCGCTCATCTGGATGGCCGAGAGGATGCCACTGGCGATGAGCGAGGCCGAGATGAGGTAGGACTGCGTCGAGGCGTCGAGCTTGAACAGGTTGGCGAGGATGATCGGCGGTGTGATCAGACCGGCAAGCATGGCCAGGCAGTGTTGGAGCCCAAGGGTGACAGCGAGCAAGATCGGCAGCCGGTCCTCGAGGCCGTAAAAGGGCATCGGCGTCAGTCGCTTCGACGTGGACGACGACGAGGATCTCCCGAGCCGGTAGGGCCACAGGCGCGGCATGCAGAGGTGCGCCCAGTCATAGTCGCCCAGCCAGGCATCCTTTGTGAAGAGATGTCCGACCCTCTGTCGCAGCCCGCCGCTCGCCCTCTCGTTGTATTCGCCATGACCGTCGAGCGACGAGACCTGCACCTTTGGCTGCTCTGTAGGCCCCGGCTGCGCTGTCTTGACGTCTTCACTCATGTCCACTTTCTTCGTGTTGCCAAAAAGGAAGAAGAAGACGACGAAGACTTAGACGACAGAAGGAGACAGTGATCATTTCCTGCAGTAATGAAAAACGCTCTCTTTCTATATCTCATGCGCCTGGACGGCAAGTTAGCGCGTCGACCAGAGAGAGGCGAGCAAGGTCGGGGAGATTAGATACGGTCAAGGTGCACGACCTCGCCCGAGAATGCGATATCAGTCCAAAAAAGCCACGCCGCGTTTTATTTCTTCCACTGAGCAAGAAACTGGCCAGTGATTTCGAGGCCCTCGGAAAGGACGTTTGAATCTCCCACGTAGCCGATGCGGACAAAGCCAGGCTGTCCAAAGGCGAGACCGGCCGGGACGATGTTCTAGCAATGGCAAGGCGGGTCGAGGTCAGGATCTAGATCTAGGGCGGCGTGACGAGGGCTTGCAAGGACTCACCACGCCTCGCTCTTCGTTGAGGGCTCGGCAAAAGGCCTCGTCGTCGACATTTTGACCGAGATGAACGAGAGCAGTGGTACCCGCGCGTGTCGGGACCCACGACGTGCCCCTCCCCGGCGTCTCGACCCATTTCTGAAGCATCGCTCGGTTGGTCCGGGCTAGCTCGATATTGCGCTGCAAAATCTTGGCCCGGCACTGCTTGCCCAGCGCTCTTGCCGCCAGCTCGTCATCGACGCCGCTGACGCTGATGGTGTTGTAGTCGCGATTTGCGTGCAAGCGCTGCAAAACATCGCGTCGAGCCGTGGCGATCCAGCCGACCCTCAAGCCGGCGAGGGAGAATGCCTTGGAGAGGCTTCCCGTCGCAATGACATTGTCCAGTCCAAGCTCGAGAATCGAGGGTGGGGCAGCACTTCCATTGTCGAGCGAGTGGAAGAGTGGCCGGTAGACCTCATCGCAGAGTATGAGCGCGCCAGGCGCCGCTTTTTCCTTGACCAGTTCTGCGAGCCTGCTCAGAGTCTCTGTCGGGATAACCTGGCCCGTGGGATTGTTGGGGTTATTAATGATGACGAGGCTCGTCTTTTTCGTCAGGAGCTTCTCGAGGTCCTGAAGCTGGTGCTGCCACTGCGACTCGGGTCGCAGGCGCCATAGGTCCACGTCGGCACCAAACGTCTTCGGCAGTTCGTACAGCTGCTGGTACGTTGGGTGGACGCAGATGACATGGTCGCCCTTGGACACGAGCGAGACAATGGCTAGGAAATTGGCACCGATGGCACCCTGTGTGACGAGGACGTCGTCTGGCTTGATGCTCCCATTGTAGAGGGAAGCAATGTTCTGGCGCAGCTTGGGTGAGCCGGCAATGTGGCCGTAGCCCATGCGCTTGGAAAAGAAGTCGGAGGCGTCGAGGGCCGGCTCGCCATCGTCACGCGACCACTGCAGCACGTCGTTGAGGGGCAGCGACAGGGAGCACGTCTCGGCGAGATCGTGTGTCGCCCTTGTTTCGTACTCGTCCATCCATCTCTCGACGGCAAAGGGCTCGAAGAAGACCATTATTGCTGCGCACGGGCGTCGAAAGGCTGTGCTTGTTTGTGCGCGCGCCTGGGCCAGCGCAATGTTGAAAGGCGAGACAAAGAATAAGAAATGTGGGCTGTGCGAAGCAGCTTTCGCGCGCAGTCTTGTCGAGAGAAGCTTAAAATCCAACCCCTCCACCGTCCACTGATTGATTCGATCGCTTCTGTCCCACCATTGACCCACTCATTCCACGCACTCACGCACACACGCACAAGCCATGGCCTCGTTTTTCCAAAAGGCCAAGGACCGCGCACAGGAGGCTGCGGCCCAGTTCCAGCAGCAGCACCAGTCGGGCGGCTTCACCTACACGGGTGGCATTCCCCACTACTTTCGCAACGAGGTTGTGGCAACATACGACCCTCGCTACAAGCACAACCGCTCCTTCCACAAGCTGTCCGGCAAGCTCCACAGCGTCAGCATCGACCACGAGGCCCTAGCCAGGGAGACAAAGCAGGCGGCCGCAGCCACGTACGAGTGGGGCCAGGACCACAAGCCCGAGAACCGAGAGGACAGCGTGGGCGATGACGTCTTGACCGATGGTGAGTCTTTCTTTCTCTGTCTCTGCTATGCTGATGCATCTTGCCGCTGGAGCTTTTGTGGGAAGAAAAGCTAACGGAAACATCCGCCACTGCCCCCACAGTGACCGACCGCCTGGCATATGTGCTGTCAATGGTTGGCGATCTGCACCACGAGCACGGCAAGAGGCTCGAAGCATCGCGCGCCGATTTCAAGGCCATCCAGAAGCTCGAGACCGAGCTCGCAGAGGGGCGACAGACGCGCATCAGGATCCACCGCGAGCTCATGACGCTGATCCCCGAACGGACAAAGGGCAACTCGGCCAAGGTCAAGCCGCTGGAGGAGCAGTTGGACAAGTCGGAAAAGGACGACGCGGCAAAGGAGGAGGAGCTGGGCAAGCTCAAGCGCCAGTGCCTCCAGTCGAGCTACACGGCACACTTCGACAGCCTCATCGAGCTGGGAGACAAGCTGGCACTCGTGGCAAAGTACGGCAAGCTGCTGACGAGCCAGATACCTGTCGTCGAGCCGCCGTTTCCCAGTAAGCGCGTTCACAAGGGCGAAGAGAGCTGGCCAGGCGCGCCCCAGATTGCAGCCATCCGAGCGGCGGTGGAGCCAGCCGTGAAGGCGCACCAGTCCGACAAGACGTTGCCTCCCCTCCCCTCCGTTGCGGCAAAGCACCAAGGCGACGATGCCGCATCTAGCGATACCCTGTCCTATGCCGAGAGCCACGCCGCAGAGCTGGCTGAGTCGACAAAGGAGGACGAGCAGGCCGACAAGATGGCCACCGAGGCGACTTTGGCTTCTTCTGCAGGACCAGCCCCGGCCAGAAGGACGTCGGGCGATCGGCGACCCAGCGACTCACTCTCGCCGCTCCCCGAGGGAGGGTCCTTACCTCCCAACCTCAACATGAATCCGGTCCTCTCTCCCTCGTCGCCGCCCGTACTTCCTCCCCGGACCAGCGGCTCCCAGCTTTCCTCACACCAAGAGAATCCGTTCAGTGAGGAAGAAGAGGCTGACGAGGGACCGACCTTTGCGGAGACGGGCCAGCCCATTCTCAGCTCGGATGACCCTGGTCCCAAGACGGGCACGCTGAGCCCACGGCGCAAGCCCGTCGCTCCCACGACTTCCTCCCTGGCAGAAGCAGGTGTGCCACCACCACCGACGAGCTCGGCGGCCAGTAGCAAAGAGGCTGAAGCGATGGCTGAGAGGCTCGCCAACGAGCGGGCAGAAGTGGCTGCCGGCGCTGTCCAAGCAAGGTTGCGCAGAAACGGGACTGTCGTCCGAAGGGGCGATTCCGACTGGGACCAGGCGCAGGCCGAAGACCTGCCGCCGTACGCAGAGTAGCCGTTGTAACGAGGTCTCTCTACCCTAGCTATTGAGAAGTTATGTTTCTTTCTGTCAACAAATGATACACCCCTTTCTCTTCTCTTCTCTTCAATGCAATGTAGTTGACAGTCAGACGTCTCTTTCTCGGACGGTGTGGTTGTGCAAGTGTTGCTCTCTGCATAGCCACATGGCCCAGAGCCGCCGCGCGCGCGCTTTTCTGACGTTTTTTTTTTCAGAACGCAATCCGACCGACCCGGGCCCGCTTCCTGGATTTCCAACACAAAACGCAAAAGCTAACACAAGGGTGGTCCCTACTCTTCTACCAGCCCAGCGCGCCCGCCCACCCGCTCTCTCCTCTCTCTCTTTCTTTAACCTCGCTCTTCCTCCCACCCCGCTCACCGAGTACGTCTCTTGGACACCTAGTCCGGTCACGCACTGCTCCACGCGCGGCCAGGGGTTCACACAAACGCGGTGTCTCCTCTCTCTTATTCATCACGCGCATTTCCCATCGCCAGCACAAGTCACGGAGGAGGGACGCAACTCCGACGGCCTGACTGTCTCTTTTCCGTCTCCGTCTCGCAGCAGTTTCATTTGAGTCAAGCAAGCCGAGGCAGCCAATTAGCGAGGTGTTTCGAGGCTGAGAGAAATAAAAATACACCAAGAGGGCGCCCGACTTCACTCGATCTCTTCTACCTGCCTGTGCTGCTCCTAGCGCCTCCTCTCCCTGTGACATTATAGAGGCAGCTCCCCCCTATTCTTGTCAAGCCAGACGAACGAGCCCTTTCATATCATCCAACTTCGAGTCAGTAAACGGCATCAAGTCTTGCTTCTCTCTTCTCTCTTGGCCCCTTCCTGACGCCCTTGCCTCGACATAGACGCCCGCAATGTCCGACCTCAACGGCGAGAACACCAAGGCGACAAGCCCAACCGCTGGCAATGTGGCCTCGAACCCATCCGCATTGTCCGGGTCGGCCGCTGCTGCCTCTGCTGGCGCCTCTGCTGGCGCCGCTGGCTCCTCGGGCGCCGCGCCCAGCGGCAACAACGTGCCCAAGGCCATCATCAAGAGCGTCGACATGGACGAAGACATGCAGCAAAAGGTCGTCGACTACGCCATGAGCGCCCTGTCGCAGTTTACAGTAGAAAAGGACATTGCCGCCCACGTCAAGCGGACGATGGACATGGCCTTTGGGGCGACGTGGCACGTCGTCGTGGGAAAGCACTACGGGAGCTACGTGACGCATGGTGAGTGAGACGCTCTCCTTCTGCCGCCGCCTCCAGTAGCCTTCGACAGAGCACTGACTTGTTGGCATTGACACTTCTACAGAGTCCAAGCACTTCATCTACTTCTGTGAGCTACACGCGAAGAAGGCTTCTCTCAGCTAGACACTGACGCTCTCTCCGTTGCAGACCTCGGCCAGATTGCTTTCCTCATCTGGCGGGCATGAGGGAGAAGAGAATAAAGATGGGAACCTCTAGCAAACAGGCATGTACACGGGCGAGCGTTGGGTGGTGGATGAGGGAAGCGTAGCAAGGGAAAGACACAATTATCAAGAAGATGGTACAGGGCATAAAAAAGGTTTAGAGAAGGGCCCCTTTTGCGCACCTAAGAGATCCATCACCGGTAGTTTTTGCCTCTTTTTTCAATAGCTTCTCTCCCCTGATTCGAGCCGTGAATCATATCTGTCTGCGACGAAAGTGCGCCCAATCTGGAGTACCTTAGAAAGACCAGAGAGGACCAGAGAGTTGAAGGGGCAAAGGGGAGCAGAAAGAGGGAAAAGTGCTCATTGATCATGGTACACAGTGAAAGGACACTCAAGCGAATCTGACGCTCTCGCCGCATCCGCACGCCTCGACGACGTTTGGGTTGTTGAAGACAAATTTTGCCGAGAGCCTGTCCTCCTGCCAGTCCATCTCGGAGCCAATGATGCTGAAGAGGGCCTTGCTGTCGATGAGGACCTCGACACCGTCCTGCTTGACGCGCTCGTCAAACTTGCCCGCCTGGCTCGGCTCGACGTACTCGAGATGGTAGCTCATGCCAGCACAGCCCTTGTTGCGGACTCCAATTCGAATCAAGCGGCCGCTCGTGTCGAGCAGGTCCTTGAGTCTTTCGAGAGCCGTTGGCGTCTTTGACAAATGATCCAAGAGTCAGCACCCTCTTCTTTCTATGACAAAGCACTCGTGACTCACCAGTGTGATTGCTGCCTTTTGCGCCTTGAATTTGCCGCCGCTTGCGCTTCCCTTCTTGCCTACACTCGGTCGATTGACGACCTCGGGTGGGATGGCCTTTGGCGCCTCGCCCTTGTCGCTTGCCGGCGACGCTGCTGATCGTTCCCTCTCTCGGTCCTTGCCCTGGCTCCGCGGTGCCGAGGGCGAGCTAGGGCTGAGAGTGGCGCATGCTTCGTCCGACGGCACTTCTTCCCTCTGCTTCTCCTTGGATAGCGATGTTGGAGACTGGTACTCTTGTTTCTCTAATGATGATGATGATGATGGTGATGATGAAGGCGCGGGTGGTGGCGAAAACATCTGTGATTGGGATGATGACGAGCCATTATTCCTTCCATCGACTGGCTTTGCATTTCCAGGCGTGCCCAGGGGGTTGGGAGGCGTACCGAGCGGCTTCGAGACCGCAGGCTCTGGTGGTGGCGGTGGAGGTGCGTGGCGAGTGACTGTACTTGAAAGATCTCTTCGTCGCTGTGATGATGCGTGCGGCGACGACGAGCGTGCTGCCGACGAAGATGACGAAGATGACGACGACGAAGATGCCGCGAGCAGCGGTGACGAGCGGCGGGCAGCCGTTGTGAACGCTCGCGAGCCATTACTGCCGACCAGCGCTTCGGCTGTGGAGGGAGCAGCCGACGCCGCCACGCCCAGGGCCCGTCTAGCCAACGGTCCCATCATTTCGTTGCAATTTCTGCTTTTCTACCCCTGGAGAGTCAGAGGAGGCGATGGCGTGTTTGCAGAAGAGTGCGTCGTTGTCGCGATCGATGTCTCTGCTAACCGCCGGGGTCCGTTGTGATGATGCAGTTTCGTCTTGGAAATCAAACACGCTGATTGGAGCTCATTGACCAGGTTGGAGGCGGATTTAAGGTCACGTTAGACCAGTCTCGGCCGAGATACATTTTCAAGGTCTCTCTGTCCTCACCGTCCATCGCCGAACGTATCTACCTTTTTACAGCCAAGGGCCACCGCGGACCATGCCTCTCCGACCCAATGCGCGCGTGCTGTGAGTTGCGAGAGTGACACGAGCAGGTGGAGTGAAGTGGGCTGACAGGTATTGTTGGCTGTAACAGGCGCGACATGTCGAAGCGACAGGCGGTGACCTCCCACGAGCTGCTTCGTCGCGCGTTCAAGTTCGTGGCTCGGAACACGACCCTGCCTTTCCGGGTCAGACATCAGGCACAGCTTCAGCTCAACCAGTTCCCGCCAAAAAGCAGACCGACGATGGTCAAGGAACGGTGTATTGAGACGGGAAGGGGTCGGGGTATCATTACCGAATTTGGTCTTTGCCGGGTGAGTTTTACCTGACAAGAAATCGCACGCCTCGAGGTGGGCAAAGACTGGCAAAGTGGAAGGATGACTGACGGAGACCTTCGCGACTGCAGTATCAATTTCGACAAAAGGCGCTTGCTGGGGAGATTGCTGGCGTCCATAAAGCGTCTTGGTAGACCCCTTGTAACATCATCATGATTGCCCTGCAATTATCAGCGAGATCGAAAGACCTGCGAAGTCGAGAGAGATTGTTCGCAAATTCGTAAAGAGGGGAGTCAATTGCTAATTATAGAAGTACAATGATGATAGGCAAGGTAAGGTGACTATGCGGGGCCTCTCTCATAGGCGTTCGGCACTGGATCGGGATCGGCTTCTTCGCTCTCCTCGGTCCTCGTTTCTGTCACGACCATGGTATTAGAGCCTCTGCTTTTGACTCTCCGTTTGCCCTTCCTGGCTTTTTGATTGTGTTCGTGTCCGTGCTCATGCCTGCACGCCTCCTCCTTGCGAGCATCGTTAGGCTCCTTGCTCTTCTTCGATGCTGCACGTCTCTCACGTAATGCTTTTGTTGCATTCACGCCCTCGGCGCTCTCGGTGCTCGAGCGACTCGAGGAATAAGAGGACGAGTCTGAATCTTCATCAGAATCGCCAGAGCCTGCTGATGAGGATGAGGAATCCTCGTCAGACGATTCATCGAAAGCTTTCGGTTTATGGTAGATGCAGCAGACTGTCGAGATTGTCAAGGGTTAGAACGAGGCTTCCCTTTTCGCAATGTCTTGAGCTCACTCTTGCTCTTTTTCCTGCCCATGCCTTCGTTATCAACGGTGCCCTCCTGCCACACGACCCTCCTTGACGGATTAGCTGCTCCGCGCAGCCGTAGGACCCCAGCTCCTCCTCGCCCGCTACTCGAGCCAGCTTCATCGGACGATCCTCCCTGCTCTCCCGTCGGTACATCATGGATTGTGATCGTCCGCGATCCGTCTGTCGGTCCAGCCGTATGTCCAGGTCGGAATTGTGTGCGTCCTGCCATTGCTTTGGCGTGGCTTGTCGAGTGGATTGGGTGGTTGTCGCCAATGACGGCGTGTGGCGGAGGTTCTCTCACTTCGAGGAGCCAACCCACGTGAAATTTAAGAGCCCTTGCTTTTTTAGGAACGCGACACGCCCGGTCCTTGGAAAGCTCCATCCCAGTTGCCCTTGGCCGAATTTAGCAAGCAAGTCGCAACGGTCCGTTTGAGAAAGCGCAATAATGCTCTTCAGCGCCGAAGAAAAGGTTCTTTGCTTCCACCAAGCGCTCATATACGAGGCAAGGGTGAGTCAGGAGCTGTTTGTACGGTCGACAAGGCAGGGCAAGAGAGCCAACTTTCTACCTCCAGGTTCTCAAGGCCGAGAAATGGACCGGTGACGACAATATACGCGGAGTCGAGGGCCCGCACTACCTCGTCCACTATATGGGGTGGAAGGGAAAGTGTGAGTGCTCACTCCCAGAAAGCTTCAGCGGTCACCGTAGCTAACCTTTAATTCTCATAGGGGACGAATGGGTGCCAGAGTCGCGAATGATGAAGCTCAATCCGGAGAATATCGAGAAGCAGCAGGCCCTCGCAGCATCACACAAGGCAGCCGAACAAGCAAAGAAGGCTGAGAAGAGCGGTGGGAGCGGCGGCGGAAGTAGCGGGCGAAAGAGCACTGGGAGAGACGTTAGCGAGACTGCCGAGGAAGGGCGAGGGAGGAAGAGCAAAGATGCTAGAGGGACAAAGCGAGGGCGTGATGCAATTGAGCAGGTGAGTCCAGCTTTCTTCGGACATTCTTATTGGCAGCAGCGCTGATATTTGACATCGGCAAAAGGAGGACGAATACATCAAGAGGCCAGAGATCAAGATCAACATTCCCGATACCCTCAAGATCAAACTGGTGGACGACTGGGAGAATGTTACGAGAAAGGATCAGGTGAGGCACCTTCGTTTGTCGCTGCGGTTAATCAAGAAAAGGTACTGACAGGGATTCGTGCTGAAGCTGGTTCCGTTGCCACGCAAGCCAAATGTGCACGATATCTTGGCCGCGTACCGTCAACACTACATGACTGTCAAGCGCGAGGGCAAGGCAGGCCGGCCACCGGCGGTGCTCGATGAGATCCTCGATGGCTTGGCTCTCTACTTCAATAAGTCGCTCGGCAACAATCTGCTCTACCGCTTTGAGCGGGCGCAATATACGCAGATGCGTAAGGAGATGACCTCGTCTCCCAAATCAAACGCTAGCGACGAACAGGAGCTCGATGCGGCAAAGGTATATGGCGCCGAGCATCTTTTGAGGCTCTTTGGTAAGTTGTTTGCACCAGTGCAATACATCGATATCATGCTGATTCTTCTATTGTATTTCACCAGTCAATCTTCCATCCATTGTTGCGCACACGACAATGGACCTAGAAGCTTTGACGCTGCTTCGAGAACACCTTACAGAATTTCTCAAGTTGGTTTCTCGTGTCTTGTTCTTAGCAGCTTGGCCGTCACTCACTGTCGCTTCTGTCCACAGCTTTCTGATCAAGGAACGGAAAAAGTTCTTCGTCGCCGAATACGAGGACGCCAGCCCTGCCTATCATCGGCTCTCGTCAAGTTAATGCTTGATGTGAATGAAACGAAACCCTCCTCCGTTCCTCACCCTCTGTAATCTTATCCGACACAATGCTGTACCTGTTTGTCTTACAAATGATCGAATCAACAATTCCAAGGCAGTACAAAAAATGTTCTTTTGACGATGTCTCTATGGGTGAGGAGGGCAAGCAATGAACTTGCCGGTCAAGACAGCCAAGCAGAGACGGGGAAGCGCGCGTAATCCCTGGAGGTGATCGCCGTAACCTCGAAAGATGCTGGGCAGATCTAACGGAACATTGTCCATGTCGAAGTGCTGCTGTTGTTGTTGTTTATGTTGCTGTTGATCCTGACCATAGTGCTGCGGCCATCGGATACGAATTCGTACGCCACCGGGCAAACGCTTTCCATCCTTGACGCGCAGCATGAGCGCAAAGAGCGGCAGGTGGTTGAGCAGCGCCAAGGCTGTCTCAAGCAGGATTTCAGTTGCGACGATGGAAAGTCTCGCGAGGCTGAAGCAGAGATAATAGACTGCCACCGTCGGCCACAGGAAAGCGAGCAGGGTGAAAGACAGCGTGCCAAGGAGCAGCTGGTCGAGATCGTGCGTTGCCTCATCGGTCCGGCCTCGTCGCAACGGGTTGCGCTTCTTTCCTCGGAACAAGTAGAAAAGCGCAGCGATCGTTGAGTTGAAGAAGGCATAGATAGATCGCGAGATGAGGTAGAAGAGCGATATGTGAGCGGTTAAAGCCGCCACGACGTCGGAAGCCAGCGAGAGGAGGGCTGTGAGGCCCAGAAACCGGCCAGAAGTTCCGATGAGGAAGATGACATGAGCCAGGAGTGCTCCGTCGGATGCCTCGAGATGGGCCACGATGTTTGACCCCCATACGCTGGTCAAGCCAGAGTAGACATCGCCAAAGAAGGAGGCGAGCTCGGTGTTGAGCTTCAAGCCGGCCGGCCAATGTCCAAGCCAATCGAGCGTTTCCTGCAGCAGAGCAACGGTCACCTGTCGCAGAAAACGAGCGACATGGCGACCGAGAACAGCATCGTTCTCACACAGCCAGCCACCCATGGCCTGACCAAGGATCATGTCGTTGGCGACGAGCCAGACCCCATTCCACAAGCCAATGTACCGAGGGCTTAGAGCGGACACTGGCAGCTGTTCAGACCGACGCTGTATGCGAATTCGACGGGCGAGGGCCGGCCACAGAATCGCTTGTCCTAGTCGAAGGTGCACTTGGCGGGCTGGCGGGTTTGTCTGCAATGAGCTAGCATTTCATTGGGGAAAGTCGACAGAGCATACTGACCTGCACTCGAAAGATCTCGCAAAGCGACTTCGCCTGCAGACACATCGAGTAAGGAGCGCAAGAAAGCGACGATGGGTGTGAGGTATCCTCCTCCGTCGAGCTTCGAAATGGATGACGAATCTCTTCTCTTGTACTTTCCGGACACCTTCTCTTTCAAGTACTTGACTCTGTTGATCTGTGCAACGGACATGAGCAAGCATCTTGAGGACCCCGTGTCACTACTCCTGGACTCACTAAGAGAATTGCGCGTCTGAATCCTGCACCAGGTCCGGAGCATCGTTGTGACCTTGTGAGCTCGTACGTTCTTGCTGGATCGCCTTGAAGAAGCGTCTCGAGTCTACGATGCAGCTCTGTGCGTTTTGGACCAGACTCCCTCTCCAGACCTTCGAACGTTGATGCCCTTGGGAGCAGGATCGCTTCGAGCGAGAGGAATTGGAGCGATTCCGGCTCCGGTATTGAGTAATGGAAGACATTGATGGTACACTGTGGTGTTTGACTCGCGATAGAGCCGGGTATACGAATGCTGCAGCTGGTGTGAGCGATTGTCTATGCCAGGCAATTCGCGCTCCGTCTCAGCTCACCTACGAATGCTCGCTCCTCCTTCCACATCGAACCAAAGCGTTGCCTTATGACGGTCTATCCCGCTGCTTTCTTCTTCAGCGTCTCCAACGATGCAAGGCTCCGTGTCGGTCGAAGCTTCTGGAAGTAGAGCTGTCGACAGCGGCGAGAGGCGGGCGCGATCGCATGATGACTTGCTTGCAGCGCCGGCAACAACGACGACAACCTCACTGGGTCCACCACCCACACACCATCCAAAGAGGGTACCGTCTTGCGGACAGATCAAGCCTCTAGGCCAGAAGATCTGTGCCGTGGCGGTCCTGGGTACAATGGCAAAGTCATCCTCGAGCCGCTTGATCGATAGTCTGTTCGCCGCATGTCAGTCATGGTGATCTTGTTTGATTTGAAAAGAGGAAGAGGAGTCGCTGACCTTCTCAGCGATGGCTTTTGTGAGCGTCCATTGACGGCGCCATTCATTGCTCTTTGTCCTTGGTGCCCCTGCTCTCGATTTGTTGCGTCATCCGGGCTCGTTGCTGGGCAGCCTCGTCGGCTTCGATTCGCTCGACAGCCAAGCGCAGCGCTAGCGGATAGACGACGCAGACAGTGATGACGATGATTGCAGTGAGGACCAAGAAGGGGTGCTGTCAAGCATTTGGTCAACACCTTTCTCGAGCTTCGTGCTTTCTAGACGAGCGGAAACCCACCTCATCGACCAGCCCGGAGATCATCAGACTAAGGTTGATCCTCTTAGCGCGCGCGCAGGACGGGTTGAGTGAACGGACATTCGAAAGAGAAGGAAAAAAAAAAAAATTAAAGTCGTCTCATGGGCGGCGCTTCTTCCCAGCGTGACTCTTTCGCCCGCACCACCATGTCCGCCACCTCTGCAGCTGCTGCAACCTCTGCGCCGGAGGTGATCCCTCCGGCCGCTCAATCGGCGCAAGGCTCCCAAGCCCTTCCGAAGGTCGCACCGGGAAAGACTGTGCTCATCGACAACTACGACAGCTTCACTTACAACGTCGTCGAGGTGAGCAAGCTCTCCGAAAGGTTATTACTAGCGCACTCGTGGCTGACCCGACTCTTTTCACAGTTTCTCTCGGAGCTGGGTGCCGACCTGGTTGTGTACCGCAATGATAAAGTCACTATTGAGGAGATCGAGGCCCTCCAACCCGCAAACATCGTCATCTCGCCCGGACCGGGTCACCCTCTGCATGACTCGGGCATCTCGATTCCATGCATCAAGCACTTCGCCGGCAAGGTGCCCATCATGGGCGTCTGCATGGGCCTGCAGGCCATCTATGCAGCATACACGGGTATCGTCGAATTCGCCGGAGAAATCCTTCACGGCAAGACTAGCCCCATCGTCCATGATGCTCGGGGTCTCTACGCTGGACTGGCGCCCGACGCTGTCGTGGGTACACGCTACCACAGCCTTGCCGCGCATCTGGACAGCCTGCCGAGGGAGCTCGTGGTCACTAGCAAGACGGATCAAGGCGTCGTAATGGGCATCCGACACACCCGCCTGGCCGTCGAAGCGATCCAGTACCACCCCGAAAGCATCCTCAGCAAAGGAGGAAAAGAGATGTTTGCCAATTTCCTCAGCTGGACCGGAGGAACGTGGAAGGAAAATCCCCAAGCTGGCATCGACGACGCTGCGGTCGAGCAGGCTGAATCGACAAAGGAGCCCGTGATCGCCATGGCAGCTGCGGGGGGCGCTGGGGCCGCCGCTGCTGCCGCTGCCGGCGCTACTGCTGTCGCCTCGAGCTCCAAGCCAAATGGTATTTCAAAGGGCTCCATTGGGACAATTTTGGAAAGAATTCATCTCCAGCGACTCCAAGACGTTGCCGAAGCAAAGGCTGTCCCTGGCTTCTCGCCCAGAGACCTCGAGACAGGCCTGGCCATGCATCTTTCGCCTCCTCTCATCAATTTCCCCGCCAGGCTGACAGCCAACGCTGCTCACGGCCTTCCGGGCGTCATGGCCGAGATGAAGCGCGCGAGCCCGAGCAAAGGCGACATCGACCCAGACGCACACGCAGGTGCACAGGCGCTGGCTTATGCGAGGGGAGGTGCGAGTGTCATCAGCGTCCTGACGGAGCCAAAGTGGTTCAAGGGCTCGCTCAACGACTTGACGCTCGCCAGAAAGGCTGTCGACGGCATGCCCAACCGTCCAGCGATCCTGAGAAAGGACTTTATCATCGACACATATCAGATCATGGAGGCTAGACTCGCCGGCGCCGACACAGTCCTCCTCATTGTGGCAATGCTCACCGATCCTCAGCTCAAGGTCCTGTACGACTTTAGCGTCAGTCTGGGCATGGAGCCCCTCGTCGAGGTCAACAACCCAGAGGAGATGACAAGGGCTCTCAAGTTGGGAGCAAAGGTTGTCGGCGTCAACAACCGCAACCTGCACGATTTCAATGTCGACATGGGCACCACGAGCCGCCTGGCCGACGCGGCAAAGGAAGCTGGCGTCATTCTCGCAGCTCTCAGCGGCATCACGGGTAGGAGCGACGTGGAAAAGTATCTGCAAGAGGGAGTTGGCGCTGTCCTTGTCGGCGAGGCTTTGATGCGATCCACCGACAAGAAGGCGTTCATCCAGGGTCTTCTCGGTCTTCCGACTCCGGCTGCGAATGGAGTGACTTCGACGACGGTCAGCGCGAATGGTTCTGCAGCTGCCGAAGGCCATGAGACCCCTCTGGTCAAGATCTGCGGCATCAAGACTGTCGACGCCGCCATCTCTGCCACCATGGCTGGCGCTGACATGCTCGGCATGATCTTGGCCCCTGGGACGAAAAGGACAGTAACTCTGTCACAGGCAGCTGAGATTGTCAACGTCGTCCGGTCCTTCAAGGGTGGAGCTGAGTCCATCCGAGCCGCATCGGCCGCTCTCACCATGCAGCAGATTCAGCAGCAGTCCGAGCACCCTCAGCTTGCATCTCCTTCTACACCGCTCGTCCAGGGGCAAGACTGGTTCCAGAGTCACGCTCAGAGGATCCGGACGAACCCACATGCGCCCCTCATCGTCGGCGTGTTTCGGAATCAGCCACTGTCTGAAGTTCAAACATACGCCCGAGCGCTCCGACTCGACGTCGTCCAGCTGCACGGCAGGACGGAGGACGTGGAATGGAGCAAGTTCTTGCCAGGCGTGCTCGTGATCCGCGTTTTCCACGTTGGAAAGGAGACTCGAGAAGGCCCGCAGGACGACCTGCGAGAAGCTACGAGGCCAGGCTACCACCACATTGCTGCGCTCGACACCGCGGGGTCCAAGACCAACGCCGGCCAAGAGGGCGGGTCTGGCGAGGCATTTGACTGGAACATTGTCGAGAGAGTCGCGAACCTCGACCCGGTCCCGAGCCGTGTCAAGGGCGCAGAGGTCCAACGACAGCCAATAATGCTTGCTGGTGGCTTGACGCCCGACAATGTTGTGCAGGCCATTGAGGCGGCCAAGCCCTTCATTGTCGACGTCTCTTCGGGCGTAGAGTTGGCCGATGGCCAAAAAGATGTTGCAAAGATCCAGGCGTTCGTCAAGGCGGCCAAGTCTGTCTCTGTCCCGAGTCGAGGCAGGACAGGAACGGTGACGCAATAGCTCGGCTTCCTCAATCTTAGACGAGAAAAGTGTAGAAATAGCGTTGGCCAGAGGAGGCAAATATGATGTTTCTTTCTTCTTTACAGAGAGTAGCAGTACAACAGACGGAGCATAGCTTCTATTCTTTACATCTGGCATCGTCTTTACGTCTTGCGCTTTCGCTTCACGGACAAAGTGTTAACAGTCGGTCCCCGTTCCTTTGCCTCTTCGGCTTGTTCTCCGCCATTGGGTGCTTTGCCGGCCGAGGAGAGCTCCTTCCACTTCTCTTCGGCAATCTTGATCTGCGCCGACGTGGGACCTTGAAGCTCGACTTCTTTCCACACATGGTCTCTCCCAATGTCCTCCTTTTCTTTCTTGCCCGCCCCATTTGCGGCGCTCTCTTGACTCTCGTCCTGATTTTGCACCTGGCTCAGCTTACTGCGAGCCTCTTCCGCTGCAGGGCCCGCCGCTTTTCGCTTCAGATTTCGCTCGACGACGCCGTCCCACGTCTTTGTGAGGCTGACTGACTTTTCGGCGTCGGACCATTCGCATGCGTCGACGATGAGGTGCTTGTACACCATGTCCTTGATGGCGGGATGCGGCAGCGCAAATGGCTGGGCTTCCATCGCCGACCGACCGCCACCCGCCGAAGCACCTTCGTCCCTTTGTGCCGCCTCGTCACGATGGGGAAAGAGGGTAAAGAGGGCCACAAACACCCCAACGGCATTTCCCGAACAGCACTCCTGCCGAAAGCCCATCCTCTCCCAGAACTCATCAGGGCTGACTTTGTTCAGGCCGCCGCGCTCTCGCATGTGGATCCTTTGGGTCGAAGTGAGCTTGACGGGGCTCGGGCTCGGACTTGCAGAGGAAGAGGCACCGGGGGTGTTGCGGCGAGAAGAAGCCCTGCTGTTCTCGGCCTTGAGTCGCTTCGTTGGCGTGCTGGGCGTCGCGCTTCGCCTTTTAGGTCTGCCTTGACCATTGCCACTCCCATTGCTCGTTGTCTCGTCACTACCCTCGCGCTTTTCCTCCTGCTGAGGTTGGCCCTTTGCATGCTCGTGCGAGTCCCGGGCAATTTCGGCAATGAATCGGCTCTTTGGGTCGTCTGGGAAGTGGGGGAGGAGCGTGGCGATGTGGTTCTGATTGATGAGGGGCGCCTTCTGCATGTCAAACGACGGCCCGGACAATGGCAGGGGAGGTAGTGGCTCATTTGACTTGAGTCCCGCGCCCTTGTGACTGTACGGGTGTCCATAGACCCAATGCGTCTCGGCAAGGGCCTGCTCGGGTGTAGGCTGCGCGTTACTGCTACGTTTCGCGCTGCTCCTCGGGGGTAATGGGACGAGCGGATGCGATTCGAGGTCGTTGTAGCCAGGAATGATGTAGAAAGATCGCACGTCGAGCGAGCCTCCACCGTTGATGAACCTCCTCTGCACACCACACGAGACCTCGCTCACGATGGCGCGCCACCATTTGATGAGCTGCCCATCAGAGAGGACATGCTTGTTCTTGTTCTCCTCCGACGAAGGAAACAGGTAGGCCCTTTGAGCTCGGGCAAGAATGTGGAGCGATATATGCCGGACCGAAGGGAGCGTCTTGGACGACGTCCAGTGAGAGAGGCTTGCGAAGTACGACAGAAACGATTGAGTGAGAACTTTTGTGATGCTCGTGCTGTAGTTGAAGTCTTTGGCCTTCTCCTCTTTGCCGTTGTGGGCCGTGGTTGTCTGACCATCGATCAGCTTTCGCAGGTGGGTCGGTGTCGGTGTTGGGCCCCAGCCTGACGAGTCAATCTTGGAGACGTACATGATGGCAGATTCGTGTGCAGGCAGCGTGTAGAGAAAGCATTCGAGTGCATATATGAGTCGCGCCTCTCGCTCCTCTGAGCCCGGCGCGGTGCGTTCTTCAGCCGCGGGCGTGAAGCTAGCGGTGACGAAGATGTGCTCGACCAAGGCCTTGACTGGGGTCGACTTGGACGTGGCATAGGCATCGTCTGCATCGACGTGTGCAAAAGGGTATAGCTCGCGGGCCTGCCGAGGGACGCTGAAGAGGACATGGAGCTTGACGGTGCCCCGTGCGGCGGCAGGGCCTGTGGCTGCGTTGGAGTTGGCGAGCGAGTCGGCAAGGTGAGAAAGCAGAGACGATGAGCTGGGGTCGGAGGGGCCTGCGGCAGCCGAGGGGAGCCCTTCGTCCGACATGCTCTCGCGAAGACGTCTGCCCGGACCAAGGGAGGGGTCCAGTCAGCAAGCTGTCTACTTTGGCTAGGTCTGTGCAGCCAAAAAACGAAAAAAGGGCCCAAGGCGCGAAAGCGCGCGCACGCGCGGCGCTCCTGCCCTGGACTTGTGCTGGGTCGCGTGGCTGACCAGTTCTTCCTTCTCTAGCTCCACCATCCAATCTGCAGGTTCATTCTGCAGCGCCGACAATAGACGAAGGAGGACAACATGGCGACGGCAGGTGTCGCGGCGGGTGTTGGAGGTGTCAATGAGCCGTTCGATCTCATGCGTCTTTCGCTGGCCGAGCGGGTCTTCGTCAAGCTTCGTGGCGACCGCGAGCTGAGGGGAACGCTGCATGCATACGACGGCCACATGAATCTCATCATGAGCGACGTCGAGGAGACCATCTACGTCGTCATCGATGAAGATGAGGCTGGCCCAGATGCATCCGCAGGGAAAGTAAAGGTGAGCAGCACCCCTCACGCTCGCTTCTAGAAGTGTGGACGTTGACTGTCGATAACGCAGACCATCAAGAAGCAGAGCGAGATGCTCTTCGTGCGCGGGGACGGCGTCATTCTCGTCTCACCGCCATCAAGAGCGTAGTAAAAGATGGCCGAGATGTACAGTAGACGGAGCAAAGGCAAATGACCAGAGGACACGCCGAGGTGGTGTCAATGGTAAAGCATTGTGACTAAGTTACATGCCTACAAAGGGAAGGGACAAAGGAAGAAGGAAGGAACGGCCTTTGGGAGGAAGCATCACAGGAATCATTACACAACCCGATAGATCCTGTCGTCGGTGACGTTCCAAATGAAGCCACGGACGATGGACTTTTCCAGTAAGGGGTGGTTCTGGACCGTTTTGACATCTTCCTTCAACGATTCCTCGAGCGACTAGGACGGGGAAAATGAGCGTCTCATTGAACAGCAGTACAGAGGGGAAGACAAAACCCACGCTGATCGGATGGAAATCGAGCTCTTTGAAGAGCTTGTCCGTCTCATCTCGACCCAGACGATGCTTGACCTGTTCGTGCAAGGCCTCCTCGAGGTCTTTCCGCGGCGTCACCATCCCACACTTGGTGTGATGGATGACTTTGGGAATCCTGCAAGTCAGAAGAGCGCGAGCAAGCGCATGCCGTGCACCGCACTTACTTGTGATATCTCTTGTGCCAAAGACGAGCTGCGAGATGATGATGCTGGGAAGTATATTCTTGACTCTCCCGCCTGCGTTCCGCAAGACGTGTAGCGAGCCGGTGGGCACTCCTAGCGACTTTTCCGGGCTCAGTCGAGCATCCATGCAAGTGACGACGACGCCTCTCGGCTGGTTTGGGAACTCTGAGTGGCGGGGATGGAAGTTCTGAAAACTCTCGCCGTCAGCTCAGCTCCTCTCGATTTCAGCTGTCCGCTGTTTCTAGGACGGACGTACCTCGTCATGGTTGAAGAACGTCAAGTAGTCTGACACGGCATAGTAGCGTGAGATGTTGAGTTTCTCGTCGCCAGCTAGTGCACATGTTCCCTTAGATGGAAAGACTTCAATTGGGAGACTCTCTGTTTTTGCTAGGGTTGACGCCTGGGCATCGCGAGGTTCGAGGTCTTGCTCATGAGGATGGCCTGCAGTAGATGGCAGGAGCAGTAGCATAGAAAGAAGCCACCGTTTCAGTGCAGCCGTTGGCAACATGTCTTTAGGGTGATAGAGCGTCTTCGAGAAGGTGATGAGCTGCTGAGAAGAGGGGAAGGGTGATCAGCAACAGTGTGACTTCATTTAAATAGCCGCGGACTGAGTCACCGCCCAAAACCCAAGACCCAGTACCAAGGCCAATCCTCAGCCGAACATCCACCAAATGGAGTAGACGGGGTTCCATGCCCGGAGCCAAGCCAAAGACAAGTCACAGCCATCGTCTGATCTACCCGAAGGGACTTGCGATGCCTTGTCTTTGAGCGGCCCGCCGGTCTATCAAGGCTCTCGGAAGGCCACCTGAGACCGTATCGAGGAAGCGCGCGGACACGGAAAGGCGAAGAAAGGCAAGCACAATTTATCAGCAGACGGAGCTCACGGTCATCCGTCTCAATTTACTATCCTCCTCCTGTTGGCCAGTCGCTCCTCCGCGCGCGGGCGCAAACGCGCAATGGTCAGCCTCACTGCGCACACGAGAGTCGGAGCTGGAGAAACAATCCTCAAAGTGCTTGGCAATTGCAAAATTAGACAAAGTCCCTTAGTAGATTTCGGCCATGATAAGAGCGATGGTCGAGGACCAGCCAGTGAAAGGATGACTGCGCTGACCCAGACCCGTTTCTGGGTTGAACTGCTCCCATGTGAAGCCCGTGCGTTTGTACTCCTGTAGTTTTCGATTCCGTCAATGACACGGACAGGACAGAGAAGACGAGAAGAAGAGCAAGACTGTCCTCACCTTGAAGGTGTTGTCAATGAGATTCTGACGCAGCTCGCTGTAGATCTTCGCAGCCTTGGTTTGCAGCGGTCCAGGCTCAGCCGCATACTTCTGCGTCAGAGCCTTGAGGGCCATGTAGTTGAGTGGCACCCAGATGGGACCTCGCCAGTAATTTTCGCCTTTGCCGAAGAATGGATCTTTTTTGCTCAAAGAACGAATGCCATAGGGAGACCAGAGGTGCTCTGGATCCGAAATGAGGTCCAGGACGGGCCCCAGGCGAGGGCTAGTTGGAGAAACGAGACCGAGCAGGACGGGGAAGAGGCTAATGTAGCCCGCGTGGCAGACGTGGAACGATTCATCGTTCTCGTCGACGGCCGCATCGCAGTACATTCGCTTTTCTTCGTTCCAGTGCAGGTCTACAGAAGCGGAGAAAGAAACATTAACAGTCAGCTCAAGGTCTTAAGAGAGCGATTGAAAGACTCACCATCAATACTCTTGACAATGCCGTCATAGTGACGCCCGTACTCCTCCTCATCATCTTCCTCGCCCACGACGCTGGCCACTTTGCGCATGGTGTCGGCAAAGAAGCCCATCCACGATATCAAGTCGAGATGCAGCTCGCCAGTATGTGGAGTTGGAGCGCGCGGATAGTCGTCGAGCCCAGAGGTGAGGACATGGTCCTTTGTGCGTCCTCGCCACCGGAAAGCCTCCCCTCGGGCTCGAGCGACGCGATCCCATTCCTTGATCTCGCCCCTCTGCGTCCTCCGGAACCAGAGGTAGTGGGCGCGTAGCTTTGGGTAAATGTCAGCGAGAAAGGAGCGCGCAAGGGTTGGGTCGTCAATGTATCGTGACGAGTTGGACGACTGGGGGGACAGTACCGTCTGGTCGACCTTGACGTCCGCCGCAAATATGTTGGTACTGCCATGCTTGGCATCGAGGCGGTCGAGGTACGTCGTGAGAGCCATGATGAGTGTAGGTGGGTTGGCATAGAGCGGATACTGAGTCTGAAACTCCACGGGCACCCGGCTCCGTGCTTCTTCGCCTAGAATCTGCTCCCTGGCCACCCAGCCATCCTCATCGACGAGATTGATCCAGCTCTTGAAAATCTCCAGGCTCACGTCATTGTCCCAGACGCCAATGTGGGCCAAATGGAAGCCTTCGTCCCAGTAGAAGCCACGAGGAAACATGCTGCGGCTGGGTGTTGCTGTCAGCAGCTCGCGCTCGTCCGTCAGCTCGGGCTCCTCTTGGCCTCCCTCGTCCAAGTTCAGGGCTCCGCTGCCTACGGCCACATCGTATGATCTCGAGAAGGAGCGATCGACGATGCTTTGCCCAAAGTAGTAGCCAACTCCACCGACGAGGGAGCTCGTCAGATATCGCGCGTACTGGTAGAGGTCATCGCTGAATGTCCTCGACAGCGTCGTTTTGAGACGCTCGTCGTAGGCCTCTTTGCTAGCCTCCAGCGCCACAGTTAGCCCCTTGCCGTCGAGATGGCTTCCTCTAGCGTCCGCCTCTGAGTCGAAAAAAACGTCAAAGCCAAAGTCGCCAGCGAAGGTCCTCTGGACGGCGATGAAGTTGGAAGCAGGCCGGACCTCGTCGGCCAGCGTCATGAGATCACCAACGAAGGGCAGCTTGCTCTGGTCCGACCCGTATTCGTTCATAGCAGCCCTAAATGACGTCGAGATATCGCTGAGAAGCCAGTCTTTGCCCCGCCAAACCATTTCGCTGGGCACTTTTACGCCAAGGTAGTGCCACTTGTCGCGCGCATCTCTGAACTCGGTCTCGTGCTTTGTCTTTTGACCAGGAGGCGGGTGGTACGCCTTGTTGGGCGCACCAGGTGTGTTTTCAAAACGCATCGAGAAGGACCCGACAGGCTCCTCAATGGTTGCCTGAAACAGCCGTCCATCCTGGACTTCGCCTTGAGGGATACCATCCTCGTAAGATCCATCTTCAAACGTAGGTTCAAAGTACGCCTTCTCGTCCTCGAGCGAGAAATAGTAAATGGGCGAGATAGCAGCTGGTCTTCCTGCAGGCGGGCCGGCAGAGGGACACAAAGTTCAGCCTGATCCCTTCACAGTTGGAAAAGTGATTCGGCAGCCACTCACGCGAATCGAGCACGGAGCCCTTTATTCTTGCTGCCCAGCTGCCGTTGCCCGTCTTGAGCCAGCTCGTCTCGATGAGGTAATTGAACTCGACGTCCTTGATCTCCTGGACGCCAAAGGTCCTTCCATCGTGGTACTTCCACCCGTAGCCATTCATGTTGTGGTCGTCGCTGCAGTCGTGCCTGGCACTGACCAAGCCCTTCGGCGAGCTTGGCTCAAACCAGAGGAGACCAGAGAGGATGGAACGGGGCATGGACGTGCGAAGACCAAAGTAGATCTGTGGCCGGAAAGTGCCCCAAAGCAATGACGGATCCAGCGCCTGCGCAACCGCCGCGGCCGCTGCCAGGACTACGAGCAAGGCAGCAGGACCCATGGCAATAGAGAGTCCGTCTTCGTCGTCGTCGTCGTCGTAGTGTTGTTTGTCAAATGAAGTTTAATTAATGGGCGCTCTTCTTCTCGCGCTTCGCATCTGAGCTGGCCTGTGCAGCGCGGGCTCTGAATTGCAATGCCATCTTTCTCCTTCAGGCAGGCGAATCTCGCTTTTTTTCCTCTTCCCAAAAATCGGCGTCGGAGTTGAGCAGCAATGCGACGGCTGCCGTCTCGGTCTAGCCATCACAAGCACCTGTGAGAGCGACGGGGCGGCGGAAGGGCGGTGCTGGCATCGGAAGAGGGTGTGCTGACCCACGTGAGGCGGCCACTTGACACGTGTGAGGCAGTGGGCTGAAGCTTAAAAATGGCTCTGAACGCTCCATCGAGTGTTGCTCGTCGCTCCTTTTTGGAATAGTGAGATCACCTCCTTTCATCTCGACCAGGAAGCATCAGCACATCACAGGATAGACAAGCGACCATGTCCGCGCAAGGCTTCGACCCAAACCGCGCGCAGAATCTGCCCGAGATCGAGAAGCAGATGGCCGTCAAGTGCGTCGAGCAGGCCCAGACGCTCTGGTCGCTCTACGAAAAGGTGCGACCCTCGACGCTTCGTCTCACCAAGCTTGATGACGAGATCTATGCCGACCTCGAAGAGACGTTTCCTGATCTGAGAGCGACGGAGCAAGACAAGACAGGTGGTGTGGCCAAGCTCGATGAGGACCGAATGAAGAGCGAAAAGGGCAAGAAGGAGTGGCGAGACTTCATCGCAAAGTACGAGGGCAAGGGTAGGTTCAAGATGCTCTTGCTGTTTTGGAGAAAAGAGCATTTGGAGCTCACCTCACTATTCGTACAGTCTCCGACTTCAACTTTGGGACACTGATTAGGACTGACGTGGCGGACGAATACACACAATTCAACACCACCTTCGGTATGTCTCATGCTTCACGAGCTCCGGTGCGCTGCTCCCTCTTGCTCACTTGTCCTCGTCCTAGTCACACGAATGCAATTTTACGCATATGAGATCGCACGTAACCGCAGAGGACTCAACGACTGGGTCTACGAGAAAGCCCAGGAGGAGGCAAAGAAGGAGGTGCGTCTTGTTCGCTCACCCTGAGGTAACTTTTCTGACCGTCCGAGTCCCTTGCAGGCTGCCAAGAAGAAGTAGTTTACGATGGCGGTGGCAGAAGTAATCTTTATCATGTGTTTACGCCTTTGCTCTAAAATACAACACCCATCTCGTCTGTGTTCATGCTCTCTCATCCCAAGAAGTTGACGACGAAAAAGTGCAAGACGACTGACCCGAACAGAAAGTCGCCGAATGCTCTCTCTGGCGTGACGCTGGGGAAATCTTTTTCGTTTGCCCGGTTTGCCTGAATGCGGAGCGAGGCAAGCAGAACAAACTGGCCGACAGTGGATGCGAAGCTGGGATGGTCAAGGTCTCAGCTGCCTGCGTAACCTCTCAGTGCGTCGTTAAGCCTAGCCTAACTCACCCGGCGATGAACGAGTTGAAAGGGAAATTGGTGACTAGGACACAGTACGCAAACTGCAGGACGCCAGCCAGGATGAGGAAGAGCAGGAAGCTGTCGATGAGCTTGAGGCGCGCCGGGGTGTTGTCGCTGTACGACTTGATCAGCGTCGAGACGGCATTGCTCGCCGTCTCGCCCGACGAGGCGGACCCAGCTGACGAAGAGACTGGGGGCCGAGAGCTGCATCCCGAAGCATGTCAGAGCGCCGTGACTGAAACACAAGCATTCTCCTCATAGGACTCACACTTTGGTGCTCCTGTTCATCGTCTGTAGGTTGTTAGGAAGAAAGGCTCATGCTGCCACTTCGCGGCGCCAGTGCGATGCCATTAGCACGAAATGCCACGCGAAAAAGATCAATATCAATTTGCTTTTTGATTCGACTTTGTATTTCAACGCTATGACGGCGGCTCTCTCATTGCGGGCTTCCTTCAACTATGGCCAGCTCCTGACGCTGCCGCAAAGGCCCAAGTCCCGTCGAAGAGCCGCATTTGCGACTGTGTTATCGATTATCATGCAAGCTCGATTATCATGCAAAACTCAAGAGAAGGTATATTGTTACAATTGAAAAAGACGGCACAAGACGTCAGATCCCAAGGCCAACGGAGTCCTTGCCATCGTCATCGGTGAACTTCCAGTCAGAGCAATCTGCGCAAACGTCGTCAGCTGAACTGTCTCTGTGAACTGTCAACGAGCACACATACCTCTGCACTTTGCCTCGCTTCGCAGGCGAGGCACCGAGCCGACCTTTTCTTCGTCTGGCTCATCCTGGTCCTTTCGCGACCAGGGAAAACGCCAACGGCTGGTCTCTGTCTTGTTGTTCAGCTTCGCCTTTGCCTTTGAAACCTTCTTGTCCCAGTCTTCCAACAGCAGATCTTCCACCAGCGTAGCGATCCGATGGGTGACGACGCTTGACGACCACCCGAGCTTCTCAACAGTGTCGTACAGAATTGTGTGACCGGAATGGCAGCGCGATTCCATAGCGAAACCAAAGTTTGCGCAGAGAGAAGCAGCCCCAATGCATTCACCCACTGGAGATGCCATGGGTCAGCGTAATGACTCTTTCATCAAATCAGAGCCTTGTTTCACTCACTTGGGATGGGGTCGGCAGTGTGGTAGACGTGGGTAATGGGTAACTCATGCAGCTTGCCATGCTTGGTTGGGAGGGGCAAGTGCAGCCTGAGGGCGGCCATACGCTCTGCAGGTGCTTCGAATGTCACCGTCGGATTGCCGAATGTCATTCCGAGCATCGCGCCAAGCGCTCCTCCCAGACTGTGACCGGTGATCCAGATCTGGGAGTTGGGGTAGGCGTACGATATGTTGTTGAATAGGTCCGTCGTAGCGGGGTAGTAGAACGACTTCTTGATCAGGGCCTTGGAAAGGCAGGTAGAGCCACATGTTTGCTGATCGGAGCTCGAGCCAGGCGAAAGGGATGCGGCGCTCGACTGTGCCTTTTGTCCATCCTCGTAGCAGTCGCATACAGTGTGCCAGGTCCAGCCGACACGAGCACAGCAGCAGGAGAAGAAGAGGTTGTCCTTGTGAGAAGTCAGCAACTTGCGAGCTCTTAGCCTGTTGGCGAAATGCACTCACATTATCCTTGTCACGCTTCGAAGTTGAGCCATTGTCAAGCAAGGCGGCACTCGTGCCCTTGAGAGCCACAACTACGGTCGAATTATCCTCCGTGGCGAAGACGTGACCGCGGATGCCATCATTTTCCCAGCCAAAGGATGAAGACTGTGGCGGAGACTGATCAGCGATCTGACAGTCGTCATCTTGAAGAAGAAGTACCTACTAGATTCCACTCCTGTTTGCCCCCGATGGTCCAGTCGCCATCGCCTTTCTTACTGGGCTCTTCGTATGCCTTGCTCGCCATCTTGGCCAATGTCAAGAGCGTCTCTCGATCCTGTACATCTGGAGCATCGACCTCAATCTCGTCCCAGTCCATGTCGTTGAGGCTTGACTTGATGCCTATGCCGTCTCCATTCCTGTGAGCGTGCAGGTAGTCACGGGTGTCTCTGGGCTTCCAAGTCTTTACACGCTTAGTGCGTAAAACTCCTCGAATGTTGTTGCTGTCGCTGGATGATGCGGAGATGGAGCCATCGCCAAGATCGAGGCGGGCAGAAAGACCCGGGTAGCGCACGGTGCCCTGGTGGTAGACATGTCGCAGGCTGATGACCTTCGTTTGCGGGGCCGGGCTTGCCGCCCAATACAGCTTATCAAAGACTGCCGACTGAAGCCTGCTTGCGAACGGCAAGGCTTCCCAGGGAATCTGGAAAGCCGCGGCACAAGACGTCAGAAGCGCCAGCAAGAGGATGAGGAGATGCGCCCGCATCGGCAAAGATGCAATGCTGAAGGGGAGAGGGGATTGTGATGGTGGCAGATGGTGTCTGTTGTGTGGCTGCTCGTCCGACTTGGGGTCCTAAGGGGCTCAGCTTAGCTACTCCACACAAAAAGTTGAAATCGACCAAGGGAAGCTCAAAATTGCACGTGGTCTGAGCGTCGTCGTCAGTAGCTGGGCCGCGCGTTTGTTGCGAAGACGACTCGTTTCCCTGGCTTCGTCTCGCTTGGCAACACCTCGAAAGTAGCTGCAAGATGTCAAGGTCTTATGACAGAGGTGAGTTAAGGAGGTTCGGGAGCGGGGACTCGTATGTAGAACCGGCAGCGACTGACAAACTGCTCAGCCCTCACGGTCTTCTCGCCCGACGGGCACCTCTTCCAGGTCGAGTACGCGCTTGAGGCGGTGAACAAGGGAACCTGCGCCGTGGGCGTGCGGGGAAAGGACACAGTCGTGCTCGGCGTTGAGAAGAAGAGCGTGCTTCAGCTTCAAGACCCCCGAACGATTCGCAAGACGGCCATGCTCGACGACCACATCTGTCTCGCCTTCGCTGGTGGGTCCATCATCGCTCTGCCCTGATCCGACAGGCCTCCCTGACTCTTTTCTCGTCCTGCAGGTCTCACAGCGGACGCACGTATTCTCATCGACAAGGCTCGTGTCGAGTGCCAGTCGCATCGTCTCACCGTAGAGGACCCGGTCACTGTCGACTATATTACCAGACACGTCGCAGGGATCCAACAGGTAGGTCATTCTCTCACGGCCGCTGCTCCTAGCCCAGAGAATTTAATGTCTTGGATCTAGCGCTACACGCAATCAGGTGGTGTCAGGCCGTTTGGCATTTCGACTCTCATCATCGGTTTCGACCAGAGCGAGAACATCCCCCGGCTTTATCAGACGGAGCCCAGCGGGATGTATAACGCATGGAAGGTGAGTTAAGCACCTCCAGAATTCAAGTGCCCCAAAGAGCTGACCACGATTGCCTGATTAGGCCTGCGCGATTGGACGTTCGAGCAAGACGGTGCGAGAATTCTTGGAAAAGAACCACGAAGAAGACATGACGAAGGAGCAGACGATTAAGCTGGCTATCAAGAGTCTCCTGGAAGTGGTGCAGACTGGAGCAAAGAGTAGGTTGCCTCTCTCTCTTTCACCATATGGACGACATGCTCACCACCTTTCTTCTTGATGCAGATATCGAGATTGCGCTCATGGAAGGACACGGGAAGGTCCGGAATCTGGAGCTGTCTGAGGTGGAAGAGGTTGTCAAGGAGATTGAAACGGAAAAGGAAGCAGAAGCCGAAAGGAGGCGGACGAGACTTGCGGCCACGGCAGGTGCACAGGCTTCCATGACCGGCGGTGGCTCTTGAGATGTGTCCTCCCCAGTGAAGGGAAATCCAATGATGGCAATTTACTGGCTAAAAGTACATGTTGTTGGTGGCTCGTCCGTTATGGTGATGCCTCGTCTTTTGAGAATGCATCAGCGATGTTGTATCGCTTAATGATGCTGTTGAGGGTGAAAGACAGACACGAATGAGTTCTGAGCTCTATGAAGGTGAAAAGTCTGTACTTGCTTTTGCTCGTATGGGTGCTTCTCGTCGGGAAAGATGAGGAGCCTCTCGAGCCTCCGGTCCCTAAGTTTGTTCTTTGGCAGCATACCTGACACGGCCTTGCGGATAACCTGTCACCATATCATCAGCGACAATGTCTCAAGATGCTCCCTGGAAGCAATTGCTTACCTCCTCTGGCTTCTTCTCCATCATCTCGGCGTACTTTGTCACCTTGAGTCCACCGGGGTACATGCTATGTCTGTAGTACACCTTCTGGTCGGCCTTGTTGCCCGTGACAACAACGCGCTTGGCATCTGTGACGACGACGTAGTCGCCCGCATCGACGGACGGGTCGTAGATTCCACCGGGCTTGTGCTTTCCCATGAGCACAGAGGCAATGTTAACGGCGAGCTTTCCAAGCACACGATCCCGTGCCGAGACATGGTGCCAGGCCCGCGAGAACGCAAGCGACGTCTGTCGAGATATTTCCCAGGTCAGCCCTCTCTTTCACTCTCTTTCTCTACGGCGTGCTCCACTCTGAGACGATGGCGATTGCGCGGAACTTACATTGCCAATCGTCTGCGACATAGCTGGGTTTGATCGACAAAGACACGAAGACGACGAGAGGATCTGAGAAGGACGACCGAGTGGACATAGAAAAATAAAAAAGCTTGACGCTTCTCGCACGTGGCTAATTTCTTCCCTGACCTCGCTCGAGCGACCGTCGGGTCATTGATTCTTGAGACGCAAGGCATTCGCGACAGGCAGAGGCACCGGGACAGACGCAGAGAGGCAGGCAGCAATGGCGGCAGAGGAACAGGCAGCACAAAGCAACAGCGCCGGTGGGGGATACGAGTCGGCAGAGGCGTTTGGAGGAGAGAGGGGAGGGGGAGAGGGCGACGAGCTGCACAATGCCCTCCACCAGCGGCTGGTCCAGACGGGAGAGTGGCACAGGATCCTCTCTGCGCTCCGGCAGGGCCTCGACGAGAGCGGGTGGACAGCCACGCTACGTGACCGCGCGATGGGTGAGTAAGGTCGGTTTGGAAGCGAGACTTCTACAGCAAAGGCTGATATAGACGAGTGTCGATAGACCAAGCGGCCGCACAGGACAAACTCAGTCTTCCGGACCTCATTGCAGAGCTTAGTCCCTATGCGCAGCGTGAGTTAAGCACCCGCTCTCAGTCTCTGCTTGCTTGTGCTCTAATACTAAAACGTAAATTTATAGGGACAATACCGGCAAATGTTAGGGATCAGATTGCATCAATGCTTCACGACTTTGTGTCCCGCAACGTCGAGGACGCATAATCCTGCATCATTCACCCTATATGTATCAACCATCTTCCCATCACAACCTGTTCCTAGAGACTCAAACATCTTTGTATTGTATAATAGAATATGACGACAACACTACCGCTTGACCCAGCTGTGCGAAAGAAGAGGTAAAAGGGTTAGCATTGGGAGCAAGGGCAAGCGGGTCTGTGACCGAAACGACATACGTGTAAGCCTTGCGAGCCTTTGCCAGGCCGGTCTTCTTCCTCTCGACCATGCGCGGGTCACGCTTGAGAACACCGTCTGTATGGATGGGTCAGGATCAGCCAGAGCTCCAAAAAGGAGCAAGTCGAACCACAAGTACGCACCAGCTTTCAGAAGGTCGTGAATGCGCTCAGCCCTCTTCTTGGCCTCGAGGGCCGCTGGGCTGTTCTTGCCCTCTGCCTCTTCGACAGAATTTGCCTTGTGCTCAAAGTAGGTATGGAGCGCCCTTGCGATGCCGTGCGCCGTTGCACCGGCCTGGCCGCTGTTGCCGCCTCCGCTCACAAGGGCAAAGACATTGAAGACGCCCAAGAGCCCCGTCAGCCGGAGCGGGTAGATGATCGAATCGCGATGGTGTTCTCTCGTGAAGTAGGCCGAGATGGGCTGGGCGTTGATCAGAACCGAGCTGGCCACCGACGTCGGCGCCGACGTCTCTGCTGCTGCTGTATCCTCGACGTCCTTGCGAGCGATGAGCCAGACTCGGGCACTGCTCTCTTTTCTCCTTCCGCGCGCGTAGGCGCGACCGAGATCGTCAACGCCCGTGCTGCTGGCACCATCGACGGCGAGCTTGGGCTGGGCAGATTCAAAGTCGACCGTGGCCTGCCGCATGAAGCTCCTCAGCGTGTCCTCGACGTGCCTGGCGAGTCGCGCATTGGCTTCTCCCATCTGGCCGTCTCCAAAGTGATCGCGGACCACGGCTCGATATCGAGACAGGACGCTGAGGCGTGCGACAATGTGGCGGTACTGCGAGGATTTGAGCGGAATGCCCAGCCTGCGCGAGAGGTCTTGCACCTTGAGCCACAGGATGGCGCTGCGTGAAGATGAGGACGTCGAGGCAGCAGCCGCGGCTTCAGCCATGGGGATGCTGGCCTTTTCGAGCGCACGCTTCGTCCGTCTAGTCAGGTCCTCGAGGAGAATTAGCGAGTCGATGTAGGTGGGACGAGCGGTGTAAAAGGAGGAGGGGACCGGTTTGATGCGCGAGGGAGTCAAGGGAGGCAGCTCGCTGGGCAGCAGCCGAGGAGGGGCGGCAGACGTGCTTGCGGCCGCGGCGCCTTGCTGAAGCGGTCTCTGGAGCACAGGTCGCCTGCTCATAAGCGACCTGGCCGCTCTCGCAGCCGCCGTCCTCGGAAGCACCATCTCTGTCTCCTATGTGCGTATGTGTGAGGGTGAGAGCGAGGGGGGAATGCGACTTGGTCGAGCAAAGATGCAGCAGCCAGGGCTGAGAAGAAGTCGAAAAAGTCACGTGTCCCACTTTTCCAATTTTTTTGGATTGCTCTCACTCTCGGACTTCTTCTTGAAGCACTTGCTGTGTCGACTTGTCTCCAAGGAACCAAGGCCGATCGCAAATGTCCCAGCTTGAGCGCATGGCGATACGATGGGCGCTGCGTAGCCAGGCGCCCGTCGTCATTCCGAGACTACCGTGTGCAAGGCCCTTCACGTGCGGACGTGTGGCCCGGCAAGAAGACAAGGAGCCGACACCATTCGACAGGGTCTTCAGCGTGACAGAGCCAAAGGACAAAGAAGTCCTACCACGCTCGGTGTTGGGCGAAGGCAGTGATGAACTCAATCGAGAATGGGAGGGCTCCATCTTCAGGACTGAAGGGACACGGAGGCTTCGACGGGGCGAGCGGCCAGGCGCGGCTGCGTCCAGGTCCGAGCTGACGCAGAGCGAAACAAGAGACTTCCAGAGGATTTTCGACCAAATTTACAAGAGCGATCGCCCCTCATCGCCGTTTGACGAGCATGGCGATGGGGACTTTGGGGCGAGCGTCGGCGCGGGCGCGCGCGGCGAGGAGTCTCTGGAAGCATTTGCTGATCGCGCCGTTCGCTCTCACAAGGACAAGATTCGAAGGGAAGGGAGGAGGAGCCAATTCGGGACGCAGAGACCACGAGCGAGGGCGATAGCCGCGCTCAAGGAAGGCAACGCATTTGAGGATGTGAGCTACCAGCAGCTCGAAGAAGAAGTCGAGCGGGCGCGAGCAGACCTGGCCATGTGCGAGACCGAGTCCAACGTCTGGTCATGGGCCGGCAGGGAGGTGTTTGGCAGCGAGCCAGAGCACAAACCTCAGTACGGCATCGACACGCCCTACTATGCTCCCGTGCTGCACGAGCTGCTCAAGGTGCTGCGCCAGCGCTTCAAGGCGCCCCACTCCGCCCTGGCCATTCTCCGGATCACGCGGGCCCTGGGACCAGCGAGTGTCGTCATGGGATGCACCCCTCACCTCTACGCTGAGGCCATACGCACACGCTTTCGCTCACTCGGGGACCTGCAAGGCGCATCTGAGGTCCTTCGAGAGGCCAGAGAGACAGGCGTTCTGGGTGGGAGCAGCCAGGCGGGCGCATTCACAGCACACATCGCCGTTCAGAAGGGAGACTCGGACAGTCTGCGAGACGAACGTCTCATTCGCCAGGTTGTCACCGATGTCCAAGCTGACGTGCGCCGAAGGGCCGTCGAAGTCCGCTACCATCTCGGCAAGGACGAAGATGACATTCTCCCGGTCAAACAGGACCTTGCGATCCTCGACGACATGGATCGCCTGCTGGGCCCCTCACGAACAGCGTCATCGCGGTAGTTCCGCTCCACACCAGCCTATTTCCTTCCCGTGCCTCTCACCCCACCGCGCGCGTGCGTGAATTACGAGGTCGTTCAAAGCCGGGCGAGCCTATGACAGACCAGCTTTGGATTCCTGTTCTATCATTCGTTGCCACTCCTGTGTCATCTTGGCGGCAAACCTGGTTTTCACAACCAGTCGAAAATGTCAAATCTGAATAACTCAACAATACAATCTCGGCCTTTGCCCAACAAGCCAAAGGGTTGTTCCCCTCATTGAGTTCTAAAATATTGTAAATTTCGACAGCTTCGCCTTTCTCTGCGGTTTCTCTCTTTGTTTTTGCCACCACATTTACCGGGAGCTAGCAAAATCAAGCTCGTGCATGTCTTACCGGCCTCGGCTCTGTTGCCTGTGGTGGGGAACGGGTACTACTTGTGACCTAGTTGAATGGTAAATTTTTCCTGTTTCTTCTCGGGTGGTGGTCGAGCCTTCTCCTCAGTTCATAAGCAGCTCAGAAATCATCATTCAGCAAGACGCTCCCTTTGGACCCCCGCCAACACAAACCTCCGCCTACGCCCTCCTTCACCGCTCCCTTAAAACCGCAAATAGGCGCCGTCTGAGACGTCCGCTACCCTTCGGCAACTCCGTCCTCACACGTCTCATCAGAGGGGTTTTACTTTCTCCCCTTGCCTCTCGGCGGTCACCCATTTCCACCCTTTGTTTTTCTTTCTTTCCTCTTCCTTCACTTTTTGCCCCTCGCCAATATGTCTTCGAGTGCCACTGCGCCTTCGCTGACTTCAGCTACCCAGCGTCAGCAGGCCAAGCCCGAGGCCGTGGCAGCTGCCACTACCGCAAAGAAGGCAGCCACCACCGATGGACGCTACTCGCACCGTCAGGCCAAGTCCTTCAAGAAGGACGAGCTCAAGCAGTTTCGCGTGCCTGACTTGACCGTCAAGGATCTCCTCTCGTCGATCCCGGCGCACTGCTTTGAGCGCTCGGCTCTCAAATCGTCTGCCTACGTCGTTGTCGACTTTACCCTCGTTGGTCTCTTGGGTCTCGCTGCATCGTACATCGACCCTACCCTGTCATCGTTTGACTTTGCCAAGTCGTCTCCCCTCACACCCTACCTCTCGGCTTCGTGGCAGTACTCGCTTGCCCGTTTCGCCCTCTGGTCCGCCTACGCCTTTGCCCAGGGCCTTGTCTTTACCGGCATCTGGGTCATTGCCCACGAGTGCGGCCACCAGAGCTACAGCGCTAGCAAGACGATCAACAACACCGTTGGCTGGTTCCTCCACTCTGCTCTCCTCGTTCCCTACCACTCGTGGCGCATCTCGCACGCTCGTCACCACGCCGCCACGGGCCACCTTACGAGGGACGAGGTGTTTGTGCCTCGCACGCGCGCCCAGAAAGGCCTCCTGCCCCTGCAGCCTGCCGGCACCCAAGCGGCAGGAGGCAGCAGCGACGAGTCGGACGACGAGCAGGTCGATGCCCTCGTTGGAGGTGCAGCCAACCAGTCGCAGCAGCAGCAGCAGCAGCCCACCGAGGAGACCTGGGGCGAGTGGATCGCCGAGACGCTCGAGGACGCACCCCTGTACAACTTCATCTACATCATCATCCAGCAGCTCTTTGGCTGGCCTCTGTACCTGATCCAGAACTCGTCTGGCCAGCTCCACTTCCCCAAGGGCACCAACCACTTTGACCCCAACTCGATCATCTTTGACGCCCGCCACCGCTCCCAGGTTCTCATCTCCGACGTCGGCATCGCACTCACCCTCTCGACTCTCTTTGCCTGGGGCACGCTCTCGTCGGGCGGCTTTGCCGAGGTTGCGCGCTACTACATTGCCCCTTACCTCTGGTGCAACCACTGGCTGGTGATGATCACGTACCTCCAGCACACCGACCCGGCCATCCCCCACTACACGGCCGACAGCTGGACGTTCCCCCGTGGCGCTCTGTGCACCGTTGACCGCCAGTGGCTCGGCCCCGTCGGCCCTTACCTCTTCCACGGCATCTCAGAGACCCACGTTCTCCACCACGTCTCGTCCAAGATCCCCCACTACAACGCCTGGGAGGCCTCCGAGGCACTCAAGCAGCGCCTCGGCGAGCACTACCAGTCGTCGGACGAGAACGTGTTTGTGAGCCTGTGGAAGTCGATGCGCACCTGCAAGTTCGTCGACGAGTCGGACCGCATCTGCTTCTACAAGGACGCCCATGGAGTCCCTCGCACTGCCGTTGCTCCCGACAGCGGCTACAACTCCGATTCGGGTCTGGCCATGTCGGAGTGATTGGCTCTATCATCGTCACCATGTCATTCTTCTTATACATCTAGCCTCCTGTCCTGTCTTTTAAACCCGCCTTCCCTCTTCCGCCTAACCTAACGTAAAAACCCTAGAGATGCAAGATGATGAGCCGTGGCAATAGACGTCGAATCGCACCTTCAAAGCTGCCTGACAGTGTGGTCAATAATGTGTGTGTGTGTGTGTGTGATGGTTGTTGATGTCTCGGCCGAAGAAACTTAAAGTTGGCTGGAGGAGAAGCGACGTGTCTCTCGCTCGCTCTCTTCTCAGCTTCGAATCAGAAGAAAGATCACACAGCAATGGCGGCCATCTTTGACCAGGACCCGTATTCGACCAACTCATACGGGTACGGGGGACAGCAGCAGGGAGGAAGTGGATCCGGAGCGCGAGGAGGTGGGGCAAATAATCTGCAATTCTACAGCGGGTCCTCTGGCGCAGGGGGGCAAGGGCAAGGAGGCTATGGAGGAAGCGGAGGGATGGGTGCAGACTATGCCACGGGGCGACCTTCGTTGGAGGGCAACATGAGCGGTGGTGGCGGCGGTGGCGTTGGTGGACAGGGAGGCTCGGGGCAGGGCATCGATCGGAGCCTCATGAATGCCCAGATGGGCTTCTGGTCTGCCTTTGGGACGGGCGGGTTCCCCGATGAGCCTGGCCTGATGGAGGGTGAGTCTAGGCGGTCTACTTCGTGGTTCTCAAGTGACTGACTATGTGGCTGCGGCTTGGTGAATGTAGAACTCGGCGTCAATCTTCCGCACATTGTCGAAAAGAGCCTCACGGTGCTCAACCCCATTCACTCGTACTCGGCCAATCATACGCGGGATGCGCACATGATGGACGACACGGACCTCGCCGGCCCGCTCCTCTTCTGCTTCGCATTCGGCATGATGCTCTTGCTCGTGAGTGGCTGGTACTCTTCCTTTGTTGTCACTCTTCCTCTGTGCATGCAAGCTAACGCTTCAGAACAGGCTGGTAAATCCCAGTTCGGATACATCTACGGTGTCGCCTTGCTCGGCAGCCTCTCCATCTACATGCTCCTCAACATGATGTCCGAGGAGGGCATCGACGCATACCGAGTCGCCAGCGTGCTCGGCTACTGTCTCCTGCCCCTCTGCCTCCTCAGCGCCGTCAGCATCTTTTTCCGATTAGAGTGAGTCAACCCAACAGGGGTCGTCGTCGTCGTCGTTGTGTCTGACAAGCACGGCTAACTTCGGCTCGGTGTGGTGCACAGCTCATGGTGGGGATACATGGCCGCGCCCCTCTTTATCCTCTGGTCCAGCTCGAGCGCGTCAGGCATCTTTGTCAGCGTCCTCCGGCTCAGCGAGCAGCGCTTCCTCATCGCCTACCCCCTCGGTCTCCTGTACAGCTGCTTTGCCATCCTGAGCATCTTTGACTTTGGCGCAGTTGGCGGCAAAAAGGCATAGAGTCGCCACAGTACCACCTTTCCTGTAACTCACTTTTGACGGAGCGGCCATGGGAGTCCGTCTCGCTTGCCATTCGCAATGATGAACATTGTTTAGAGACAAACAAAAGGGTGGAGACAGGACATAGTACACGAGAAGAAGAAACCAGGGTTCTTGCAAAAGACGCAAATGGGGAAAGGATTAAGAAGGGAAAGCTAAGAGAAAGGGGAAAGGGGGTTGGTGGTGGGTATTGGTAGAGGATGCGCGCAGAACCTTTTTGCTGTCAGAGTCAAAGAAAGAGTCCGAGGGAGAGAGGTGTATGTGACGGAGATGATTGTCGAGTCTATTCGACAAGAACAGGGTTGTTCGGGTCTCCCACGACGACGATGGGCTTGCCACCAAGGACACCCTTGAGGTTCTTCTCGTCGGACCCATTGTCCGCCGGCGCGTTCTCTGTCGGAGGCGTGTCGGGCGTGGGGCTCTCTGCGGGTGGTGCGGGCGCGGCAGGCGCGGCAGGCGCGGCTGCTGCATCATCCTGCTTCTTGGCGTCCTGCTCCTCCTGTGCCTTCTTTGCGGCCGCGGCCGCCTCAGCTGCCTTTTGCTGCTGGTAGTGCTTTGCTGCATTCTTGTGATGTCCGTGGTGGTGCGAGTGCAGGTTGGCCTTTGCCGCCTGCACGTGCCCCTTTGCCGCTTTGGCTGTCGAAGAGCTGGTCTGTGTGGCCGCCGCAGCGACCGAAGCCGAGGAGGCGCCCTGCTGGTTGACCTCGGCCTGGGCCGTCAGGTTCAGGCTTCGGTCCGAGGGCGGTCTGATAATGCCCGGCGCGACGCAGAGCATCAGTCCGTCGTAGACGACGTCGCAGTTGAGCAGTGGGTTGTTGTTCTTGAGCAGCGACTCGGTGATGTTGTACCTCCTGGCAATCGAGTGGCAGCTGTCGCTCCCTTGCGCCTCGTGCACCAGCTGGCAGTCGTTTCCGTACCTGCCCAGGCACAGGTCGGCGCCAATCTCGAGGGTGTAGCAGTCGCTGCCGGCCTTGGGAAGGTTAAAAGACATGATCTGGTACGTGCTCGTCATCGTCTTTTGGCCAATCTTGTCGCAGGTGTCGCCATCGACGACCGTGTAGTGACGCGTGCATGCCGTGTCGCTGGACGGGAACTGGGCAGCCGTGAACGTGGCCGCCATGGCCATGACGATGCCAAAGACAGCGACGAGGGCTGTCCGAGATGTATTCCCAGAAGAGACCATATTTGCTTGTGCTGAATGCGCCGCGCGCGTGGGCTCTGTTCTGAGAGCGCTCCTGGTAGTGTTTCGATGCTCGCAGTTGGTGTTTCCCCGCCTGGCTGGACCCGCAGCCTTACTATTTGCTTTCGATGGCACCACTCGACGTGCGTGTCAAATAGAAGCAGTCGGCAGTTCTGAGGTGCGCTCGGGGTACCGGTTCCTTGATTGGAGAACGGTGAATGCCGCGGTAATTAAAGGAGAAAAAGGCCACAAGTGCAACGGACGGGGCGGCTGTAATTGGCGAATAGGACCTCCCCTGAGACGTGAGCGCGCGTGCGTGTCTGTGAAATGAGTGTGGGTGGGTCGATGGGTGGGTGCCCGTGAGTCGGCGACGGTAGGGGGGAAGGAAGGGGGAGAAGGAGGAAGAAGGGACCGAGATTTAAGGGGCGTGAAGGAGTGGTGGTGGTGCGGAAAGTCGGAGCGCGGAGAGCGGGCAGCGGCCTGGGGGGGAGGAGGCCAAGGGAGAGACAGACCGGGAGAGGATTGTTCAAAACAATACTGTAAACACGCCTCGGTCTGGTTAGTGTATTGGGCCCCGTCAAGATTTTTCCGATTTTAAAGCCCCCCCTTGACCAGGCCAGTGGTGTTCTTTGATGGAAAAAGAATGCGTGTTCCAAAATGGCCGCGCAGACACGTGGGGTGCAGACAAGACAGGTAACGAATGGCTAATTTCACTGCAATTAGAGCGCGACAGAGAGACCAGCTCAGTGATAGTCAATGAGGCCAGGCTTGAGAGACCACTGGCCCAGCCAGCTCGTATCCATCTTCTTGTCTCCGTACAGCACCCTGACGCCCTGCATGATGTTGGTAAAGTAGTCACTGCTGATGTCGTCTCCGCTGGTCCGGTACCCATCCGAGTCGGCACCGGGGCCGGCGACCCAGGACCCCAGGCCAGTCTTCACCGTCGGCGTGACCTTTCTGCTGCCCGTGTCTGCCACCGTCTTTTTGCCCTTTGCAATGGCCTGCCAGTCGTACGGGTCGCTCGACGAGGACCTGGCGAGGTTAGACTGGATCCAGAGGGCCATGTGGATATTGACCCAGGGCCTGAGCACGTCCTCTTCCGTGAGGGCCGTCACGTTCATCGTCTTGCCCGTCTTCCAGTCGATGAGGCTGCCCTGCACGCCGCTTGCTTGGACGGCCAAGGACACCTCGTCTCCCGACGCGCTGTGCTTGTCCACCTGGGCGTGGCTCTTGAACAGCGCCAGCTCCTGGCTGCCCCCACCGGGCGAGACCTGGAGCAGGCCGACGGAGGCGCCGCTGTCCAGTCGGCCGCCGTTGACGTTTTCGGGATCAAAATCGGACTCGGCGCGAATGTCGCCCAGGACAATGCGGGCCATGGCCATGGTGTCGACCTCTGGAAAATAGCGAGCGGCGGCCGAGAGAATGGCGGCCAGGGTTTCATTGACCTGCGCGGTCGACATGGCGTCCTCGTCGTAAGCCCAGCTGGTGATCTTGCGGTAATCTGCCTCGAGCTGCTTGTATCCGTACTTGGAATCGTTGGACGTCAGTGTCAGTGTCGGTTTCGCTGCTGTGCTTGTGCTGGTCGCTGTCGCCGAGGTCGTTGAGGTTGCCTTTGCGTTGTTGGATGTGCTCGATGCGCGTGTCGTTTTGGCGGTAGTGGCTGCACTCGCCGTCGAGCTGGATGACACCTGCTTCGACCGACACTTGCCCTTTGCTTCGCTATCGTCATAAGCCTTGGACGCCGCTGCCTGAACTGAAGTCACGGTCCTTGTCGAGATACGTGAGGAGGTTGACTTGGCCTTGGCCTTGGACTTGTGCTTGTGCTTGGTCGCCTTCTTTCGTCTCGTGTCCAAGCTGGCTGCGAAGAAGCTACGCTGAGGCCTGATCGCCGGCATGATGATGGCAACATCCCGTGATTTCAGGGCCAGGGGCAGCGCGAAGGAAGATTGGCGCAGACAAAGGGTCAAGAGCCAAGCCAAGACGTTAGCACGCATGTGAGAATGTAAAAGTGTCGGCCAGCCGAACAAAGAAGAAACAAAGGGGAGAAAGCAGAAGTAGAAGGAGAAGTGGTGAAGGAAGATGAGCTTGCTCACGGAGCCATGAAGAAGAGAGAGACTAGAGACTGGTGGGATAGATTATAGGGACAAAGGGCGTCCTTTGTTCCTGAGCTGATCTGACAAAGTAGGCCCGCGCCGTTCATTGTTTGTCTAGACAAGGGACATGACGCGCCCGTTGTGTCGGCCATTTCTCCAGCTCCCAGGCCCTTGTCTAATTCTAGACAGCGTTGCCTGCCGCCTTGTTGCCGGCGCATGATTTTCACGACGGCATTTGGTTCAGAGTGATCAGTCATCACCCGAGACGGCTCATGGAGAGTCCGAAGTCAGCGCAGAACTGCTCATCGATTGGGCAGAGAGACAGACGTGTATAGGCTCAGGCGCGGCGGTGGGCGCCCAAAATGGAAAGAGAGGACTGACTAACTAACACGCGTCGAGAGACAAAAAAGAAATGAAGGCGCGTTCATAGCGGCGACTGGCGACCAACACTTTCTTCTCACTTCATCGACGTCTGCTGGGCTCTCTCCGGCATGTTTCTTCCCCAGAGGCCAAAGGCGGGTGCGACGGGAAAGGGGGGCGTGGACGCAAAGGAGCAGGAGAAGCTGGCGAGGCTGAGGCCATGGGTGGAGAAATAGTGAGTAGTCGGTTGGGCGCGGCTCTCGCTCGCAGACAGCAGCTAACTGGACCCCTGCCTCAGCCGACCGAAAACGATCGAGGATGTGGCAGCGCAGGAGCATACGGTCAGCGTGCTGCGAAAGACGCTCATGTCTAGCAACGTGAGTGGGCTCGAAAGATGGCGGTGCTGTGAGAAAAGAAGCTGATAACCTCGAGCAGCTTCCGCACATGCTCTTCTATGGCCCACCGGGGACGGGAAAGACTTCGACAATTCTCGCGTTGGCACGGCAACTGTTCGGGTGAGAAGGCGCTCCAAAGTATGCGCTGCAAGGGCGAAACGGATACTGACCTCGATCCTTAGTCCTGAGCTGATGAAGTCGCGCGTTCTGGAGCTCAATGCCTCAGACGAGCGCGGCATCTCAGTCGTGCGCGAAAAGATCAAGAACTTCGCAAAGGCAGCTGTCAGCAATGCCAACATGTGGGTGGATGCCCTTTCCTTAGTACCCTCCTTTGCTGACCAGGGACAATAATACGCAGCGATTACCCGTGCCCACCGTACAAGATCATCATTCTCGACGAGGCAGACAGCATGACGCAGGATGCCCAGAGCGCGCTTCGACGCATCATGGAGCAGTACAGCCGCATCACTCGCTTCTGCCTCGTGTGCAACTATGTGACGAGGTGAATACTGGCGATGCAAACGGCTGACAAGAGCAGGGCTGACATGTCGACAGAATCATCGAGCCGCTCGCCTCGAGATGCAGCAAGTTCCGCTTTCGCACCCTCGACAACGTCTCGACCAAAGACCGGCTCGACTTTATCGCCAAGGAAGAAGGCGTCGAGTTCGAGGATGGAGTGAGTCGAGAAGCCCAAGATCCTATGCTTTTCAAGGGCAAGCACTCACTTTGGACACTGTTACAGGTCCTTGACACATTGATCAAGACGTCGGACGGCGATTTGCGAAGGGCAATCACCTATCTCCAGTCGGCCTCTCGTCTGCACAGTGCTGCCGAGAAGCGCACGCCCGTGACACCGAGGTCGATTGTGGAAATCGCTGGCGTCGTGCCCGACGAGGTTATTCGAGCACTGGGAAGCGCCATTGGGGTGCCGAGTACGGGAGACGAAGACGAGAGCATGGCACCGGGTACCACCAAGAAGCTCGACGGCTTCGAGAGAGTTCGCGCCGTCGTAAAAAGCGTGGCCAGAGAGGGCTACAGCACATCGCAGCTCCTGATCCAGGTGGGCATTTGCGTACGTCTCTACCTCATAACCCCCTCCTGACCGACACTTCTTTGGCAGCTCCACGACTACATCATGGAACATCCGTCTTTGACGGCTGCGCGCAAGGCACTGTGTGCACTTAACCTGGGCCAGGCCGACAAGGCTCTTTCAGATGGCGGGGATGAAGAGCTGCAGCTCCTGAGCCTGTGCCTCAAGATGAAAAAGTCACTCGATTAGCAGGATGTGCGCGCATACATAACCAAAGAGTCCTACAACTATTATTGTACATTGTCACTGTCATCGACGTCTGCCTCTGCCTTGCGCTTCCGCTTCACTTCCTCACGCGCATTTCTCGCGTCCCGGGTGTCGATGAAGCGGCTGCCTCCCTCGGCCGTCAGGATCTCTACGCCGTTTTCTACAATGAGCAGCGTCTCCTCTGCCGCCGCCGAGCGAGCGCCGTCGACGGTCGAGACGGTCCAGTCGTCTGGCCACGAGAGATCGCGCCACTCTGAGCCCCAGTTGAGCATAGGCTCGATGGTAAAGATGTGGCCGACCTGCATGATGCCGTAGGCCTTTTTGGTGCGGTGGTGGTACACCGTCGGGGCACTGTGAAAGGCGCGCGAGATGCCGTGGCCCGTGTAGCGCTTGACGACTGCGCAGCCCTTTGACTCGGCCAGCGGCTGGATCACGCGGCCGATCTCGGCGTACGGCTGGCCTGGGCCGCAAATGGCAATGGCGGCATCGAGGCACTCGCGGGCCGTCTTGATGAGCAGCATCGAGTCGGCGTCCTCCTGTGCCTTTGGGCCCACGGGGTACGTGGCATTGAGGTCGCCGTGGAAGCCGTGGTGAAAGAGGGTGACGTCGAGGTTGATGATGTCGCCGTCCTGCAGCGGTCGCTGGTCGGGTATCCCGTGGCAGATGACTTCGTTGACCGAAGTGCAGACCGACTTGGGGTAGCCATGGTACCCCAGCGGACTCGGGTAGCAGTCGCGCTTGATGGCCTCCTCAAAGACGACCTTGTCAATCTCGTCGGTGGTCACGCCCGGTGCGACCTTGGACGCAGCAATCTGCAGCACCTCTCGCGCGAGCTTGGCGGCCTTTCGCACGCCCTCCTGGTCCGCCTCGGAGTTGACTCGGATATTTCTAGACGCAAAGAACTGCGAGGAAGAATGCACGGCGAGGAGAGCAGTGTCAGCTTGCTTGTCCAACAGCAAAGAGGGCAGGACGGAGTCCGCAATGGCAGCCGCACCTGCCACCAATAGGCCAGCGTGTCCCTCACCGATTCTCGCGCATAGTTGGGCCGCACAATCGAGTCGGGCACCTTGGACTTTTTCGACAGCGGGTAGGCTGCCTTCACCGTGCTCGGCTCCGGGTACTTGAACGTCGCATGCGACGCAAACGGGTCAAACGGCGTCGCAGTCGGCGTCATTTGCGGCCTTTGGCTGGTGGAGACCGGAGAAGCGTAGCACGGATAAGGGAACAAATTATTAAAAGGTGAGATTGCGAAAGTCGAAAACTTTTTTTTTTTTCTCTCTCGATTTTTCGGAATTTGAGCTTCTTCTTTCTTGTCTCGTCGCCTAGATTCATTCTCTCCATGCATGCTCCTCGCTCGTCCCTTTAGAGGCATTCTCCTTCAACGGGCAAGACTCGCCACGGTACCATCACTGTCCACACAACCTATAAGACTCAGCTACAGGAAAATGAGCGCAGAGGTGCACAGCGCGGCACCGGCCAAGCGTGCCCTCGATGAGGACCCCGACCACGATGCTGTGGCGGCCGAGCGGCACGCTGCCATGAAGAGGCAGGCCAATGAGGAGGAGAAACAGATGGTGGAGGCTTCCGCTTCCAAGGTCAAACACGTCGACATCCACCCAAACGACGAAGAGCTCCGCGCCGACACATCGCCCCTGCCAAAGTCGACATCCACGCTGCAATTCTCCCCCGGTTTGCACCTGGCCCCGATGGTGCGCATCGGCTCGCTGCCCACGCGCCTTCTTTCGCTCCGGTACGGTGCCGATCTCGTCTGGAGCCCCGAGATTGTCGACCGGGCCATCTTTGGCTGCGATCGGACCGTCGACGAGAAGAGTGGACTGGTGGCATTTTCGCGCGAGGGTAAGCACATCTTCACCACACACCCCGTCGAGCGGCAGCGCGTCATCTTCCAGCTCGGTTCGGCCAGCCCCCAGTGGGCATACCAGGCCATCTCCTTTGTTACGGCCAACGACGATGTGGCAGGCGTGGACCTCAATTGCGGTTGTCCCAAGCCATTCAGCACGATTGGAGGCATGGGCGCGGGTCTCCTCTCGACGCCGGACCTCCTCTGCGACGTGCTCCGGGCGATGCGGAGGGCCGCGCCGGCTCACGTCTCTGTCAGCTGCAAGATCCGGCTGCTTCCCACAAAGGAGGCCACCCAGGCGCTCGTACGCCAAATCATTCGGACCGGCACCATCGATGCGCTCACAGTGCACTGCCGGACAAAGGACATGCGTCCGCGACAGCCGGCGCTTCCCCACCGTCTGCAGGAGGTCATCGATGTCGTCCAGGAGGAGACGGCGGGCGAGCTGCCGCTGATCCTCAACGGCGATGCTTGGGATGCGCCAGAGGCCCGCCGCCTCATGAAGCAGACGGGCGTCCAAGCCGTCATGATGGCCCGTGGTCCCGAGGGAAACGCGAGCAGCTTCCGGAGCGACGGAGGCGTACTCAGTGTGGCTTCAGTCGTGGCGCCCCAATGGGTCCGCCTGGCCCTCTCGCTGGACAACCAGCCGGGCAACACAAAGTACTGCCTCAACTCGATGGCCTTCAAGGCAACGAGCAGTGTCTCGCCGAATGCTAAACCGCTGCAGCCACCGCCGGGCCTGCCGAGGGACACGAAGCAGAAGATGGTCGAGATCAGGCAAGGGCTGGCCAAGTCCAAGACGGTCGAGGATCTCGCAAGGGCGCTCGGTGTGGATCCAGATGAGCAAAAGAAGATTCCCATCGACGAGGTCCTCCGAGAGGTCAGAGAGGCCATTGAGCGCTCCTCCAGTTCCAAGGAGGGCAACGACAGCGGCACAGAAATGTCTGAGAAGCCTGCTGCCTAGATCCTAGCCCGTCAAACCCTGCCGCATTGTTCCTGCATATGTACAGTACTCTAAACCATCATCGCTCCTCTTTCGTTGTTCTCTCTCTCTTGTCCTTTTGGCAAATGGCAATCATATTACAAAAGAGGGAACTCTATTCGTCGTCTTCGTCTTCCATCTCATCTTCCTCTTCCTCGCCTTCCTCCTCATCATCCTCGCCGCTCGATTCATCGTCTTCGTCGGGCTCTTCGAGCAGGCCTTCAAGGTCGCTCATGCCCTCTACCTCGACACCCTGGGCTCTTGCTTCGTCGACCAGGTCCAGCAGCCTCTGGAGCTCCTCAGCTTCTTCGGGGTCCAGCTCCTCGTCGGTTCCTCCTTCGACATTGCTTCCGCTCAGATCAGCATCCTCGTCGTCGCCGTCGCCGTCATCCTCGTCAAGCTCTTCCTCCTGCGCCTCGCGCTCCGCAGCCAGACCGCCAGACCCTCCCACGACACCGAGACATGTGAGGCGCGCACCGCCCGTGTCGTGTGTCGCAATCGCCTCGACCTCCTCGCCCTTGGCTCCTGCGGCAATGCCTCCAATGTCAAAGATGCGAATCTTCCCGTCAGAGCTGATCGTCACAATCAGCCTCGTCGTCTTGTTCTCCTCTGGCGATGTCACGACCTGGATCGAGGAGATGGACTTGACCCGATTGCCGTGGCCCTTGAGGACGCAGCTCGGCTCGTCCCACACCGCCTTTGCTTGCTTGAGATTCTCCTGCACGTCGTAAAGCTCCACGACGCCCTCCTCCTTGCCCACGCACAGGAAGGCGCCGTCTTCGTCTCTGTCGGAAGGAGCAAACGCAACGCTGGCCATCTTCTTCCTCGCCGCATCTTTGGGCACCCGGACGGCGCCTACAAGCTTCATGTCCGTCTGATAGACGTTGACCACTGTCCGGCCCATGACGGCAAAGTGGGTTCCGGACTGCGACCAGACGACGTCGAGCGGCTCTTCGGCTGGCACCTTGCGCTTCCGTGAGCGGGCGACCTCCTCTAGATCCTCGTCTTCATCGTCCTCCTCGTCCTCTTCTTCGTCTTCGTCTCGAGCAGGGACGCCCAGATTGAGACGGACGGCCCCAGCGCCCTTTCCACGCATCAGATCCCACATGCGCAGCATTCCATCCTTGCCCACCGACAGCGCGAGACGACAAGAGGGGTGAGCACGACAGGCGTTGACTGCGCCAGTATGGCCCCTGAGCGTCTTGAGCAGTGACCAGTCCCGCGTCCGGTAGAGGTTGATCAGACCCGATGAGTCCGTCGACAAAAGGTAGGTCCTCGCGGGGAACGACAGGTTGAGAATCGTGCCTCCGTGACCAGTCAGACCGCCGACTTCCTTGCGCTTTCGGAGATCCCAGACGCGCACCGTCTCGTCGCCTGCACCGGTCGCGAGCCACTTTGAGTCGGCACCAGCTGCGGCCAGTGCGCTGATCGAAGAGGTATGCGCAGCAAACGAGAAGATTGGGCGAAACGCTGGCTGCAGTTGCTGGGCTGATGAGGACGATGCTTGTTGCTGCTGCTGCTGGAAGGTGACATGGAAGCCGTAGAGGAGCCTCTCATAGCTCCCTGCCAGAATACGAAACGAGGTGGCGGGCGCTGGAGGTGGCGGGATTTCCATCGTGCTTGGCATCAGCGTCTCGCTGCCCGCCTTCTTCTTTTCCGGTGCAGCATTCGACCTGGGCTTGGGCTTTCCCTTGCTGTCCTTGCTTCCGATTTTCTTGAGCGCAACTTCGTCCTTGCCTCTACTGGGTATCGTTGTTTTAGGCCCTTTTCCAGACTGGGCGCCGTCCCTGTGCCTCGGCTTCCCATTCCCATTCGCACTTGGCGGACGTTGGCCTCGCTCCTTCTGCTTCGAGTGCGCGCCCTGACCTTTCGACTCTGGCTTGGACTGAGTCTGCTCCGAGTCGAGCCTTTGCTTCTTTGCGCTCTTTCGGAACACGGTCGCTTTGGGGCCTGCTCCGCCCGATGGGCCTCCTGGCCGTTTGTGTCCCGCCATTGCTCAGTCAATGGCTCGCCCTCTCTTGCTTGTGCGTTATGCGAAGAAGGTGGTTGGTTCTTCCTCTCGAAGGAATTTTTTGAATTGGGCTCACACACGTGAATTTCTCCACCTCGAAAGAAAAAAAAAGGAAGGAGGAAACGAACCCTACCACAAAGAAAGAAAGCTAGTTAGCTACATCGCTCATCTTGACCGGGAAGTTTGACGGCGACGAGCAAGGATGAACGGCGCCTCTTCGACGCACGATGCGTCGGCGCCTGCCAAGCGCTTCACACAGGCGTCTCCGTCGGCGGACAACGGCAGTGGAAGTGCTGCGGGTCCATCGCGTCTCGCACCGTCTCAGGTCCCGTCGAGCATCCTCAACGATGCTGGGCTAAACGCCGCCATCGACACTCTGCTGCCGAGCAACTATAATTTTGAGATCCACAAGACGATTCACCACGCCAGGCACTATGGAAGCACTTGCGTAGCCTTGCAGATGCCCGAGGGGTTGACGCTCTGGGCCACGGCCATCTCGGACATTGTCGAGCGATTTACCGACGCAACGACAGTCATCATGGGCGACGTCACCTACGGGGCCTGCTGCGTCGATGACTATACCGCAAAAGCGCTTGGCTGCGACTTTCTCGTCCACTACGGCCACTCTTGCCTGGTTCCCGTTGATCAGACGTCGATCCGCACGCTGTACGTCTTTGTCGAGATTGCCATTGACCCGCTGCACCTCGTCTCGACTATCCGAAGCAACTTTTCACATCGCAGCGACGAATTCCAAAAGAGCGTCATCGAGTCTACAGAGAGGGGCACAGCAAGTGCGAAAGTCGACGTCGGGATAGAGGGAGACACCGAAAAGAAACGAGGACCGACTCATCTCGTTCTGGTTGGCACAGTCCAATTCATCAATGCATTGCATGGGCTTCGGGACAATCTCGAATCGAGCCAGTCCTGGGAGCAGTACATCGAGGCAGGCGATCTGTCTCCGGCAGGACGTTTGAGGATAATGTCGTCATCAGCCGAAGAGGCGTCGTCCTCGAACCCTCCCAGGTGGCACGAGGGGCCTTATCGTATTACCATTCCCCAAGTCAAGCCTCTCTCTCCTGGCGAGATTTTGGGCTGCACCTCTCCTAAGCTCCCTCAGGCAGCAGCCGACGAGGTTGATGCCATCGTCTACGTGGGGGATGGCCGCTTCCATCTCGAGAGCATCATGATCTCCAACCCGCGCACGCCGGCATTCCGGTACGACCCCTACGAGAAGCGTTTCGTGCGGGAATGGTACGACCATGGAAGGATGAGGAGTGGCAGAGGAAAGGCAGTGAACACAGCGAGAGATACTCTGCAGCTCGGTTCAGCTCCGAAGGAAGAGGAGAAGGAGGAGAAGGGATGGGGCTTGGTTCTTGGCACGCTAGGTCGACAAGGATCGACAAAGGTCCTCTCGCATCTCCAGTCCATGCTCGAGCCAACTGGTATGCCACACATTCCCATTCTCCTCTCGGAGCTCTCGCCGCAGAAGCTGTCTCTCTTTGGGCCCTCGCTTGTTGCCTTTGTTCAGACTTCGTGTCCGCGCTTGTCGATCGACTGGGGCGATGCGTTCAAAGCTCCGCTACTCTCTCCGTATGAGGCCGCCGTCGCGCTTGGACGAACAAACGGCTGGCGCACGGGCGACGGCGTCGGCCTGCAGGCAAAGGGCAGAGACGAGGAGGACTACCCGATGGACTTTTATGCGGACGACAGCAGGGGCCAGTGGACGCCGAGACACGGGCTGGGAAGGAAGAAGAAGGAGACGGGCAAGATGAGTAATCGAGACTTGATCAAGGGCTTGAGAAAGAAGACAGCAGTCCCTCCTCCGCCCCCTCAACAGCAAGCACCCGCACTGTAGCATATCCAATGTCGCAAACATCAATTTGCTTTTATTTATCAGCCGAGGTGTCAATAGAGTCTCACAGGTGAACCTGTCTGATCCCGCCGGCCTATAACCTCATGGGGCCACGGATTCCTTCAAAGTTTGGATCTATCGCTTTCTTTTATGTGTTCGGGGTTCGTCGCCATTTCGTGGCGCTGAAAACGAATATGTTCAATTGGGGAGTGACTGGGGACAAGATTCTACGAAAATTAAGGGAAGATGACCGGCATCTATAAAGAATACGAAAGGGGTAGATGGGTGTAAGGTGTGAGAGAATAAATGAAGGAGATGACGTCGGGATCATGCCCTGCAGCTGTATAGAGGAGTCGACGATAAAACTGTCGGACGGTGTCTTTAGAGAGTAAGGTTGGTCTTCCTCTGAGGCTTCATCTTGAGGTGGTGGTCGTTCTTGAAGTGCGGCTTCTTGTGGTGCTCCTTCTTAAGAGCCTTGTGCAGCTCGGACTTCTCCTTGTCGTGGGCCTTCTCGACAGCCTTGTGAGCCTTGAGCTCCTCCTTCTTGCCCTCCTCCTTGAGGGACTCAGTCTTAGAGTGCGCCTTGTCGCCAGTCTTTTTCAGCTCCTCCTGGGTCTTGGCCTTTCCCTTCTGACCTTCCTTCTTGAGGGTCTCGGTCTCGGAATGCGCCTTGTTGCTAGCCTTCTTAAGGTCTTTTTGGGCCTTGGCCTTCTCGTCATGGCCCTCCTTCTTGAGAGGCTTAGTCTCGGAGTGCGCCTTGTCGCCAACCTTGTTGAGCTCCTCCTGCCCTTCCTTTTTCAGCGACTTAGTCTCGGAGTGCGCCTTGTCGCTAACCTTGTTGAGCTCTTTGTGGGCCTTGGCCTTCTCCTCGTGGCCCTCCTTCTTGAGGGTCTCGGTCTTGGAGTGCACCTTGTCGCCAACCTTCTTCAGCTCTTTGTGAGCCTTGGCCTTCTCCTCGTGGCCCTCCTCCTTGAGAGACTGAGCCTCGGAATCCTCTTTCTGCTGCTCGTCCTTGAGAGCTTTGCCAGCTTTGGACTTCTCCTTGTGACCCTCTTTCTTGAGAGTCTGGGCCTCGGAGTGTGCCTTGTCGCTTTCCTTCTTCAGCTCCTTCTGAGCCTTGGACTTCTCCTCATGGCCTTCGTGCTTGAGAGCTTGAGCCTCAGATTGTGCCTTGGCGCCTTCGTCTTTGAGAGCCTTTTGCGTCTTGGACTGCGCCTTGTGGCCTTCTTTCTTGAGGTCTTGAGCTTTCGTGTGCACCTTTTCAGTGTCCTTCTTCAGCTCCTTCTGCGCCTTGGTCTGCGCCTTGTGGCCTTCGCTCTTGAGAGTTTGAGCCTCGGAGTGCGCTTGGTGTCCTTCCTTCTCCAGAGACTTGTGGATCTCCGACTTTTCCTTGTGGGCTTCCTCCTTGAGAGTCCGAGCCCCGGAATGCACCTTGTGAGCCTCTTTCTTGAGGTCTTGAGCGTGCGCGTGCGCCTTGTGGTGTGCCTTTTCGAGAGCCTCGTGAGCCTCGGTCTTCTCCTTGTGGCTTTCCTTCTTCAGAGCCTTGTGAGCCTTGGAAGTTTCGTGGGCCGCCTGGGCCTTGTCGTCCTGCAACTTCTCGTGCACCTTGCTGGCCTCCTTCTTGGCGGTCTTGCCGTGGACAACTTTGACAATGTCGGTGTAGCCTGTACAAATCCTTTCAAATGAGCCTATACCCACCACGGTGACACCAAAAGGGACGCCTTTCATGGTACGTACCGTGAACCTTTTTGTGGGTCAAGGAGTGCACATCGACGCTGTACAGGCCCTCCTTGATGTCCTTGGGCACCTTCCAGAGGTAAGCTCCGCAGCTCTTTTCGCCATACTTGTTGCACTTGGTCTTGTTGTTGGTGGCCGAGATGTCCTTGGCGATGTGGTACGTGGGCAGGCTAGCTTTGTTGGGCTGAACTTTGGCGTCCTCGGGGTTGAGGAGAATGTCGATCTTGCCCTCGAGTGGGTTGAGCCAGTTAATGACGTATGAGTGGCCAGCCTCCCATGTCACCTGGCACTTGTAGGAGTCGCAAGAGGGGTCAGAGACAAAGAAGCTTTTGCCCTTAGGGTCATTGTTAGATTCTTGGCTGTAAACGAGCGTGGTGGTGAGGGAAAAGAGCAAGAGGGATGCAAAGCGGAACATGATTGGAGTGTTTCAAAACGAGCGTGAGGGGTAGAGAAAAGGGGGAAGAGGGAGGGATAGTTGCTCAAGACAAATGCTGCAGAGGTCACTCTCATATATGGCAACCGTCGGTCAGCTCGGACCTTAACCGCTAGCTGACGATGCGCGCTTAGTGTTATGCATGCGCGTAAGCTTTCCAGGAAAGAATCAAATAAGAAGCGAGAGCCCAAAATAGGTGACAGCCGATAGCCGATGATGACAGGACCTCCTGCAGCCCTATGCTACCTATCGTCAGAAGGTCCGAACAACCCCTGAAATTTTTTCTGATGGGCTCTCTGCTGTGCCGATCTGCAAGAAGGAACAAGGACTAGTGCAGATTGTTTGCGAATCAGACAAGGAAACGCGCGAGTAGAGGAAGAGAAAGAAGACGCTTAAATTTTGAAGGGACAAAGACGACGGACGCAACAAAGATAGGCAAGCACTGTGACGAGGGCACGGGAGGCAGGGAGCAACACAAGGGATGCAGTGATGACAAAGGGCAGCGATGGAACAGTGCCCAAGTCTCTGTGGACGTCTCTACTTTGTGAGTGTCACGGATCCCTGCATCTCAGCGAGGTCTATTGATCAATCCCGTCTCCAGTGCTCTTCGTCGTGGTCGCCGGGGCCACCACCTATCACTCTCGAATACATACTTTCGGAAGTTTAAATTGGCTCAGTCAAGGCCCTCGATCAATTGGCATACTCGCTGCATGCGGGCTTGCTTTGCTACTGGCTGTGACTATCGTTTGGCGTGTGCGGCTTGCGAGCCTTCACAAGGCGATAATTTGGGGCGATCAGATCGTAGTCGTGACAGGGGCCGCTGGCGGCCTTGGCTCAGCTTTGGTTCGCGCATTTTCCGAAAGGGGAGCTCGAATTGTTGTGGCCGTCGATCTCAAGCCTACAGCAAACTCCAATGCGGCCAAAGCTGAATACGGGATCAAGGCGATCCAAGCCGATCTGAGCGATTCGCAGCACGTCAAGGATCTCGCTTCCGCAATCCATCGAGAGGTGTGTGCACCTTCAATCTCCTCCCTCTGCACTCAAGAGCTGACTTTTTGCGGGCGACAGTTTGGGAAACCCACGGTTCTCGTCAATAATGCTGGAATCATGCACGGCAAGCCTCTCCTGGAGCTTCAAGAGGGCGAGTTCGAGAAGTCAATGAAGGTCAATGTGTTGTCTAGCTACTACACTTTGCGCGAGTTCCTGCCTTCGATGGTGGAAGCCGATTCTGGACATGTCGTATGTTCACCGGTTCTCTCAGGCATCGAATGCCGGCTGAGCCTCACCCTTCTGCAGATCACGACGGCTTCGATAATGAGTTACATTCCCATCTCTCACCTCAGTAAGTAGACTTGGCGGCTCCCTGCCTCACGCTGTCGTAAGCTGATGTCCTCCATGACAGCCGATTATGTGGCCTCGAAGCACGCTCTTTTGGGCCTCGTCGAGTCGCTGCACTACGAAATGAAGAAGTCCGGCGTCTCGTTCTGGCTCCTCGTCCTGGGAAAGCTTGACACGCCACTCTTTGCCGCTGCTCGTGTCCCGAATTTCGCCGAGCTCCTTGCCCCAACGCAGGACCCGGAGTATGTGGCAAAAGCTGTCATCGACCGACTTGAAGCTCTCGGAAATGGGAAGGGTGGTCTTCACTATCTCCACCTTCCCCTGTATGCTCGCTTCGTCGCTCTCCTCAAGGCGATGCCGACGTTTGTCATGTCGTGGTCGAAATGGGTGAGTGGCACAATCGGCCGGCGCTCACTGGACAAGTGCTGACGAACAATCGCTCTGTAGCTCACCGCTGCCGACGAAGCGTTACAAGCGAAAACATGATGTGATTGTGATTATATTTGTACAATGCTTAGAGTACTGTGTCGACTAGAGCTTGCCCCGAAGACCAACCTTCCACATGTTCCACGGCAACCGCCACCCTCTTCCGCTGGCTACCAGAGGCAGGCTCGGATCAAAGACGTCAAAGTCCTTTCGCTGCAGCTCCTCGAGAAAGGTTCTCGCTGGAACGGCCGCGACCAAGGGCCCAATAGCTGCCGGTGGTATCCGCCCCTTGAACTCGTCTCGTAACAGAGTCCTGGCCGTGATGAGGTAGTCATTTGCGCGTGTAGCCGTGTCAAAGACGGCATCCTTGAGGCCCTTTGCGTGGCTGCCTTCCCTGAACACTTGTTCCTCGACGACGTTGTGAGCATGCAGATACTCGCTCGGGAGCACGACTCTCCTCTTCTTCGGTCGAAGCACGCCCTTTGCTCTCCTCTTTTGCTGCTCTGCTGTCTCGTTCTCCTGTGGCTGCTCCGTTGTACGAATGACGCCGGCATGGAAGGGCATGGCGCTGAGGAGGAGTGCGATGCCGCTTGCCTTGCCGAGATGGCTGAAGATTTCGTCGAGCGTCGGACTCGAGACTCCGACGAGATTCAACGACAGGTAGAAAAGCCGAGACGACGTCGCCTCTGCGTACGATTCCACTTGCTCCAGCGAGGGTGGCGCCAACGGTGCACCAAGGTCGTTTTCCTGTTGAATTGCCTCGAAGAGTGAGCACGAAGACAGAGTGAAAGGAATTGTAGCGAGACTAGCGCACCCTTGCATCACAAATTCGGAGGAAATGGTCTTCGACGAGACCGCCATTTCTTTGAACCACGGGGTCGTGAATTGCATCGGCCAGGGCTAACATGGTGGGATGGCGAGGTGCTTTTCCTTGAAAGGTACTCTTGATGGCGTCGCGCCACCATGCCACGCGGATCCTCGCCATGAGCTCGTTGTCTACGCTCTCAGCCACGCGCGAGACTTCGATATTGAAGGCTCGAATGGCCAGGTAATGGGCCTGAAGCGGCTTAGGGAAGAAGCGTGAGGCGAGCAGCGATGGTCGGTCGACGCTTGCTACGAGCTGCAATGTCGAGGCAGCCGGTGAGCTTGATGACGATGCATTTCTCTTTGCAAGCCCAACCGTCTCCCGTCCTGCTGCCTGCGCCGCTCTCCGGCCCGCTGTCGCTCCGATCATCTTGTAGCGGTGGCTTGCCAATCGAGAAGGAAGGGTTGGTTGGTCAGGCTCCATGGCAGGGTCGCGCACGTGAAGGACCCCGACTCTAAAAATTTCAACTCGGAGCAAAAAAGTCTCGCTTTTGACTTTCTTCCAGCCCTCAAACGACGAGACATCCTAGGACCATGGCATCGCTGTTCAACAAGGCGTCTCACTCGAGCAATGCCAAGGGGAAGAGAAAGGCATCAGATGCAGAGATTGCGTCGGAAAATGTGGCAGCGTCGGACGTCGTGGCCCCCAGGCGCAACAAGCAGCGGGTCCTCTTGCTTCCTTCCCGCGGCGTAACGATGCGCATGCGTCACCTCGTCAACGACATCGAGGCGCTGCTCCCCCATGCGAAAAAGGACTCGAAGCTCGACTCCAAGTCCAACCTGCACATTCTCAACGAACTCGCTGAACTCAACAACTGTAACAACACGCTCTACTTTGAGGCGCGCAAGGCCGAGGACCTCTACCTGTGGGCGAGCAAGACACCCAATGGCCCCTCTGCAAAGATGCATGTCCAAAATATCCACACGATGGATGAGCTCAAGATGACGGGCAACTGCCTGAAGGGAAGCAGACCCCTGCTTAGCTTCGACAAGGCCTTTGATCAGAGGCCGCATTGGGCTCTGCTCAAGGAAATGTTCACCCAGGTGGGTAGCCGTCGCTCGTCTCTTATCTGCTGCTCGAAGCTGACCTCAAGTATTAGATGTTTGGGGTGCCAAGGACAGCACGACGAATCAAGCCCTTCATCGACCACGTCGTTTCCTTCTCCATCGTCGACAACAAGATCTGGTTCCGCAACTATCAGATTATCGAAAAGGACCCGGGAGTGGTGACAGACAAGAAGGCGAAGAAGGACGAGGAGCCCACACTCGTCGAGATTGGGCCACGCATGGTTCTGACTCCCATCCGCATCTTTGAGGGCAGCTTTGGCGGCGCAACTGTGTATGAGAACCCAGAGTACATCTCGCCCAACGCTGTCAGGCACAACGTCCGAAGAAAAAAGGGAGACGAGTACCGCGATCGGACGGCAGCGCAACACAACCTCAAGGCAAAGCGGCAAAAGCTTCAAGACGAGCGCAAAGTCGACGAGCTTAGCAGAGACAAGGTGTTCGCCTAATGGTATTTCCAATGCTATCCGTTACTTTTTCATAAAGTCGTCTGGGTGCGATCATCTGGGTCAGCGAATAGGGACCCCCGAGGCTGCCAGCGGACAACTCACTGAAAGCATCAGAGTGATCTGGATGCCACCTAGAAAGGGGAGGGCGGTCCTGAAGGACGTCATTGACATTCCACTGCCATATGAGAGTAGTCAGCCCCTCAATTCCGCCGGATTCAAAAGGCGCTTTACACACCTCCATTCTCTTAAGGTCTGTTTCCTTCGGAGTCTCATTGTCGGGGCACAGAATGTAGAAGCTACCCTTCTTGATCTGGTCGAACATGTAGTCGACCGTCTGCTCGGCCGACCAGGCTCCGTCAGGCTTTGCCTTGCCGTCCTTGGCGCCAGTCAGGCCAGTAAAGACCCAGCCAGGAATGAGGAGTTTGGGCTCAATGACCTTTGTCGTGGCGTCCCCGCGCATCTCGGCGGCCAGCTGCTCAGTAAATACCTTGACGACGGCCTTGCTTGCATTGTACGCGGGACCCGTGCCCGGCGGCGTCGTGATGCCCTGCTTGCTTCCCGTGTTGATGATGAGGGACGGCTGCTTGTGCGTCTTGATCTGGGGCAAGAATGTCTGGACGCTGTTGATGACACCGTACATGTTGACGTGCAAGATACGCTCCCAGCCAGCCCAGTCCGATGCCTTTGTGGGTCCCCCCACGCCGGCGTTGGACATGAGAACCGTCAAGGGAGAAGAGGGAAATGCCGTCTGGACCTCCTTGCTGAAGGCTTCGACGCTCTTGCGGTCGCCGACATCGACGTTGTGCCCGAAGACCTTGGATCCTTGCTTGGCTTCAGACTGGACCGCGGCGACAGCCCGCTGCAGCTCGGCGTCGGGGACAATGTCACCGATGGCGACATTCATGCCGAACTTGGACGCATAAGCCGTGGCGGCCGCCAGACCAATGCCAGAGGCACCGCCCGTGATGACGGCGAGGTGATTGGCGGCAATAGCAGGGTGGACAGACATTCTGTTTTCGTTCGCACCAGATAACAGAGTTGATGAGAAGAAAAGAACGAAGATCGAGAGCAGTGCGAGTTATTTGCACATGTGTAACGAAGAACGCTTCCACTCCACAAAAACCTGGACGCCCGTCTCCACTCTCGGTGCTCTGCTTCTTTCTCAATTGTAACTTTTTCAACAAGATGCAGCACTTCCACTCAGAAAAGGGACTGAGATTGATGAATACGGCAAAAGAACAGGGAATGTTGCGAAATCTCGTAGCCAGTAAATAAAAAGATTGAGGCTAACCCGATTCGAACGGATGACCTTCTGGAGATTCCTATAAAGGACTAACGTTGCTAGAACTATACCTGGAATCAGATGCTCTACCAACTGAGCTATAGCCCCACGGAATAAGAGAGCGAAGACTTAGAGTCATATATATTCCCGATCCATTAGAAAAACGAGGGAGTCAGCTTGCGAAACAGATAATCATTTCTGATCCTGAGAGAGACGACATCGAAGCATCCAGTGGAGCCAATGGCAACCCCAAAGAACCTTAACTCCACGAAGATAAGGTCAAGGCGATGGTGGCGCGATGCATGTGTTGTCTTTGTGGCTATACACGAAGAGGTCGTTGCGTGCTCCCGAACCGAGTTCGCGGCGAATGAGAATCATACGCTTTGTAGCGCTCTTACACCATCAAGGAGAACACCAGAACAAGGTCACATTGGATTTGAGGATGGACAAATGAAAGACTATTGATCTACTGAGAGCGGCTGCGCGCGGGCTTTCTCTCTGCCGTTTCCTGTGGATATAGACTTATATGGAGCTGAGGCGTATTGCCGGTCCGTCATGCGAAAACAGGTAATCATATCGCAAACGACCAGAAAGGGGGAATACAACGAAGAGCGTACAAGCACGCTCAAACACTCTTGGCTTTCTCCCTCCTCCTCTGCCTGGCCCTTTCGTGCCCACGATCCCTCTGCAGAATCCTAGCGTAAAGTGTTCTCAGCGGCAAAAGCACATCGGCGAGCCTCAGAACAATCCTGAAGAGCTGATTGGAGATCCATCCGAGGAAGTAAGGACGGCGATGAATGAAAGAGCGACCGTCCATCATCCTCCGGGAGGCAAGCACGGCAGGGTACGCGTAGCTCCTCATCGACGACTCGTATGAGCCAATTGAACTGATGATTTCAGGTGTGCTTTGACTCCATCTCTCGCCAAGGGCTTGAGAGAGGGCAAGGGCGTCTCGCAGGGCGGTGTTGGCACCGACTCCACGGCCGGCTGCAGGAAAGAGGGTGAGCAATTGACGTCAGTGCGTCGGAGAGGCGAGGCTTACGAGTCATCGTATGGACCGCATCACCAAGCAGGGTAACGCGAGATGGCTGCCAGGCTTCCTTGAGCGGCTCGCTCGTCCGAATCGCAATCGGGAAAGCTGATTCCGGGATGCTCTTCTCAATAAGCCTTTGAAAGTCTTTGCAATAGCCTAGCTCCTGAGCGAGGTCCAGTGCCGCAGCTGCGATGTCAGCGTTTCTCTTGGCAAGGATGTCGGGAGGAAATTTGTCCGCAGATGCCCAGATAGCCCAGTGCGCCCAGTCCTTCATGCTCGGTTCGCAGCGCGAGAGGAGTGAATCGGAGTCATTTGAAGCATACTTGCTGCGTTGCTGCTCCGTCAAGGTCTCAACTAGGTCGTCTCTGTTGGAGAAGTAGAGGGTGTGGATAATTCCGCCTGACCCCCTTGGCCCGTTGATGAGCGTCACACTTCGGTCGACGTCTTTGGGCATCAGCTGCCGGGCCTCCTCATCGAGCTCATATTTTGCAGCGAGCGAGACGATATTAGTATCGACGACTTGAGCTTGGGGTAGGCGCTGTCTTCGCACAAGCGAGTTGGCGCCATCAGCACCGACAAGCACATGACCGGTGTCTGTGGTGCCGTCGCTGAAGTGGACGGTGATTGGACCGTCACCGTCTTCTTCGTAGCGTTCAAATGTCTTACCAAAACGAACCTCGCTACCTTCCTCCAAATCCGACTTGGTAGGCAAGACCTCAAGTCAGCAAAATTTGCACCTTGAAAGACATCACACCATAGCTTACCAGCAAAACCTGTCTCAAGATAGGCCTTGACACACTGTGCTCTCTGTCCTGGACGGGGGTCGCTTCATCGACGCCAACACCGAGCTTGAGCAGCCGTCGGAACCTTTCGTCAAAGATGATGAAATACTCGGGCTCATGTGCAGACGTTTTGTCAAACATTGTAAAGAGGTCTGGCGAGAGCAGCTCCTGAAGCGCATGTGATCCATCGACGCTGATGCCCACACGATAGCCGTGGAGGCCTGCCATCTTTGTCGCGTCGCGCTCATAGACGACAAACGGCACGCCTCGCTTCTTGAGGCCGTGTGCGAGGGCCAAGCCACCGAAGCCAGCGCCGATGATGATGACCTTTTTCTGTTCTGGCTCCATCTTGACGATTGGTGAGGGCACTTGGAAACGTTCGGGGGGGCGTGCTTTTTTAGTACGCCAGATCAAGGGCTAAGTTTGACTCAGGCACGCTCAGCTGCCCGGAGAATCGCGCCGATACGCGGTGCTATTACCCGCTCGCATGACCTTCTTTCATCAGCGTGGTCTTCTCCCAAACACGGGACTCTGTTCACATGCTAAGCAGCTCAGCGACCTCACGCAGGTGTGGGCTCGAGCAACAATAGCAATGTTCATCTCCATCAAGTGGGCTGCAGTCCAAAAACACTGAGGGCGAGTCTCTCTAAAAACACGCGAATGAAGTCCCCCGTCCTTGCAACAAAATCCACGTGGCCCATGTAGTTCTCGACATCGCACCTCTTTTCCACATCGTCAGCGCACAACCTAGACCAACTCACCGCACAAACACTCGAGAGACACCGACGATGAGCGTTGCAGCGAGCGTTCTCGGCTACGCAGGCCTCGGCTTCCTGACGCGCTGCTACCAGCTCGGCATCCAGAAGCGCAACATTTTTGACAGTGCGTAGATGGCGGCACTCGTTGTCGTAGCGGGCCACTGGAGACCTTCGTGCTGAATTTTTTCTTCGATTTCTCTAGACCTCGGAGGGCACGCGATGGCCATGACCGCCTTTGGCGCCCTTGGCTACTACTTCCACGGGCTTGAGGGACGGCAGCAGGAGCTGATTCAGAAGAAGAAGGAGCAGATTCTCGAGAACCGCGAGAGGTTGGCTGCGCGGGCCAGCGCAGCAGACGAGTAGATGATGCACGCACACGGCACCACAGACTAGGGGAAGGGCCAAATACAATGTCTAAAAATCGTGCTCCAATTGATTGAGATCACTGGCCATACAAGACGCTCTTGTAGTCTCGGAGGATGACGCCCACACTCTCAGGGCCGCTCAAGCCCACCTCGCTGGCTACGGCTGTGACGTAGCGGGGTGGGGTGAGATCGTACAAGAGATTGACGGCTCCCAACGATTCGTTGCCCTCCCATTCCTTTGCCGAGATGAGGTCTGTGTCCTGCTGCTGCGCCAAAATGTCGCGAGGGTCGCCTGTCATGTTCGGTGTCAGTCAACGGTCATGAGAGGTTCTGCTGAGATTGGCCAACTCACCTGCCTCATTGACTACAAAACTGTCGAGCTGGATTCGCTCGCTGAACTTGTACGTCTCGCAGCACACAATGACGGGTACCCCTTGGGCTCTCGCCATCATCGCGCAGCTGGCCGTGCCAGCGCGCGCATAGAGTGCACCGTTGGCCAGCAAGGAAGCTGTGCCGAGCAGGACGATAGAGGCCTTGGCGACGAGGGAGCTGAGCGAAGTCAAGAGACCGTAGGTGCACGGGATGCCTGCGTCGACGAGGTTGGTGAGCAGCTTTCTCCCTTCGCACAGGGGCCGAGCGTCGACAACGACCACATGGAACCGTTTCCCCCGCTTCTGCCACGCCTCGAGCAACGTCTGCTCGACAACACTGCTTCTAGCAAAAGTCAAGACGACGTCGCCGTCCTTGATCTTGCCCGTGGACAGGTTGCTGGCAATGACGCGCGTGGCGTATGTGATGCGGTCCCTGACAAAGTGGTCGACCCTGGACAGGATCGTCTCCTTTGCCTCTTGCTCGCTCAGCTCGACGGGCACCACGCTGATCTCGTACTTGAGGAAGCGAATCGCATGGCCCACGCTGGCGCCCAGTGGTCGCGCGGTGACGAGAAAGGTGATTTGCGGGTTAAGCTTGGTGACGAGGTCGCGGTTCAGCACGGCGCCTTGCGGTGTCCGGTAGTCTGCCACAAAGTCACGCAGCGCGCCAAGAACGGCGATCGCCCTTGCGTCTGCGCCGACGATGCTGAACGACGAGAGCTGTTGGGCCAGCTTCAAGACAGAGGGATGCACCTGTGCTCGATGCGTGGCTGCTGTCACGTAGGGGGCAAGCTGCGCCGAAGACTTTGATGTCGACACATTTCCAAAGAGGGAGATACCCCCCAGGACCGACGGCGTGGCTGGTGTCGTCGTCGCCGCCGCATTGGCGGCTTTGTTGGCCGCCGTCTTTGGCTCTTCGCCTCGTTGTGCGGCCTGTGCATGACCTTGCCCTCTGGCGTGCTCCTGTCGCGCTGAAGATCGGCCCTGCGAGGGCGACTGCCCATCTCCCTCCTGCCGCGGCTGAGACTGCCTTGAAGGAGCCGCCCCCCTCTCGGCTGTCCTTTCTCCCCTCGCAGCAGGTGCTGCTGCTCCCCCTGTCGCTCCCCCTGCTGCTGGCGGAGGTGCCTTTGCGCCGCCAGCCTTCTTGGCGGCCGCTGCAGCTTTCGCCGCCCTCTTGGCCTCCTTTGCCGCCTCCCTGTCCGCCTTAACGGCTTCTCTCGATGGCTTGTCCTCCTTGGCTCGCCCCGAGCCCGATCCTTCTGCCGACATGGTGTGCAAGGAAGAGGCTGTCTAGGTGCGATTGTCGTCGAGAAGGACGCGTGACTACTTTAGAAAAAATCCCGTCAAAGAAAAAAGTCTATCACAAAAAGTTGGAAGATTGGGCTCCCAGGGCGCACTCTCGTCTCTATTCAGAAGAAGACGAAGCTTGGTCAAGAGAAGAAGAGAGAGAGAAACATGGCGTCGGAGCGAAGAATCGTGGTGCTCATTTCCGGGTCAGGTGAGTCAGGATGATCCAAGCTCGCGCGCCGAAAACGAGGCTCAATGCAGACTCGAGAACACCAGGGAGCAACCTCCAGGCGCTGCTCGACGCTGTCTCGGACGGCCGGCTGGGCCAGGCACGCATCACCCAGGTCATCTCGAACCGCAAGGCAGCCTTTGGGCTCGAACGTGCACGCAAGGCCGGTGTGCCTACGGCTGTACTGAGCATGAAGACGTGGCTGGGCCGCAATGCAGGCAAGACGCGCGAGGACTACGACGAGGTGCTGGCGGGGGCTGTGCTTGCAGGCGCCTCCGGTCGTTCGCAGGAGTGGCTCGACGCCCAGGGAGCACAGGGGCAGCAGCTGGTACAACAAGATACGGCAGCTCCGACGAAACCGGACCTGGTCGTCTTGGCTGGCTTCATGCACATCGTCTCACCGAGGTTCCTGCAGGTCGTTGGCAACACACCCTGCATCAACCTGCACCCTGCCCTTCCTGGCGCATTCGACGGCATCGAGGCCATCAAGCGGGCACACGATGCCTTTCAGGAGGGAAAGCTCAAGGACGGCAAGACGGGCGTCATGGTGCACGAGGTTGTGGCAGAGGTAGACCGGGGAAGACCAATCGTGGTGCAGGAGGTGGAGTGCATAGAGGGGCAGTCGCTCGAGGACCTCGAGGGGAGGATCCACGAGGTGGAACACCGCATCATCGTCGAGGCCGCCGGCAAGATCTTGTCTGAGAGATCATGAACAACTTGTACAGTACAAGAAATTGGATTACTTTTCTACCCGCGTAAATGCTCTCCGGAAGGCCATTTGAACACGCAGCAGGCAGCCCTCGAGCGTTGCGGGCGAGGGCCGTGTGTCAAGGTAGAAGGACAGGCTGTTGCCCCTGCCCGAGTAGAAGTCAATGACGTACTTGACTCGCTTGCCGCACCGATCCACCTCCCAGTCGTGCCGGTCAAACGGGAGCTGGTATCTGTTTCTCCGCTCCTCTCTCATTAGGTCTTGCGATTAAGAGTCCAATGAAAGCCCAGAAACTCACCCCACTAGGCTCCTCAACCACGCCTTCCAGGTTATGTCTTTGGGTCTGCCCTGAAAGCTGACGAGCTTGGGGCCCCCGCACACCTCTGAGCCCCCGGCGATGCTCTCCCACTCGAGAATCTGCTTCCATGCGCGCTCGTTGACGGCGTTGTGGATCGGCACGACGATGTTCATGTCCTCTGCCTTTGGATCGTGGTTCTTGCGCGCCATTGCGTTGTAGAATTGCGCAGGCGAGGGGTAGACCCAGTTGCCGGATCCCTCCTCCAGCTCCTCTCTCTGTGTCTGCTGTTCCCCAGAGGTGCTCAGGAATCGAGGAATGGACGAGATGACACGGTCTGTCGAGAGCTTCGACGGCGCCACGTTGGCGGCCTTGCCTCGCGGCACAGGGTCCTCGTACTCGTCAGGCCCCCTCTGCGAAGCGAGAAAGGCACGAGCAGAGGCAGCGGCTGCCGACGAGCTGCTTTCGCCCCTCTCGCTCCGGTGCTGCGAGAGCCAGGCCTGCCGCGTCTTGTCATCGACTGGGCATTGGTCCGCTCCTGCGCTCGGCGCTGGCCTTCTTGCTACTTCATCACTCTGGTCTCTTCCTCCTTCCTCCTTCCCTTTCCCAAAGGGCCACATGCCGGATCTCAAGAAAAAGGTGAGAAATGCTTCGTTGCTGATGCGAAGGCCTGTCGAGAATTAAAAAAATAAAAAATAAAAACCCGAGGACCCTGGTCGGTCGGCCGACTCGGAGCAAAACATCCAAAAAATAATAAAGAACTGTACGGTCAGTCGCATCGATATCTCCTCTTCTGTGACTGATATCAGCTCGGCGATGAGCCAGAATCATGACAAAGAGCAGACCAGCGGCGAGAGTAGGGGCACGGGGGTGAATGGCGACGAAGCCGAGCCGGGCAGGCAGCTGGAGCCGCAAGAGATCGATGAAGAAGCCGAGCAGGAAAAACCCGGCCGGGTCCATGTCGCGCTTCGACTCTCTGCCGTCGTCTCTCTCCTCGCCTTTTCAGCCATCTGGGGCGTCCTCACCCGCCTTGGCCTCATCGCGCTCAACACCTATTCAGGACAGAGTGTCACGCCCGTCATCTGGGCGCAGGCGGTTGGCTGCTTCGTCATGGGCTGGGCGCTGTCCAATCGTAAGGCGCTCGAGGAATGGTATGCACCACTCTACGTCGCCATCACGACGGGCTACTGCGGCTCCGTCACCACCTTTTCGACCTGGATAGTAGAAGTCTTTCAGGCGTTTGGGAACCAAGAACACTGGGACAGGCATGGACTGCACAATGTGAGCCTCTGCGATCCCTTTATCTGCGCATATACACAGCTAATCTGTTGGAGAACAGGTCATGGACGCCCTCACTCAGACGGCCGTCACTTTGGGCATGTCGCTCGCCTCTCTGGCCGCAGGAAAGGCACTGGGGAAAGTGCTGCGGGTGGATCCGGTCCTAAAGCGCTTGGGCAGAAAATCGGGCTCGAAGCCAAGAAAGGGAATGCACCCAGAGCGCGCAGCCGACGTTGCTGCCGTGCTAATCGGCATCGTCTTCTGGGCCGCGTCGGCGATTCTCTGCGGTACATATGCTCCCTTTCGCAAAGTGGCGTTCTCCATCGTCCTCGGACCCCCTGGTGCCATCCTTCGGTGGTACCTGTCCCGCTTCAACTCGCACCCACGCTCCAAGCAGAGACCTCATTGGCCCTTAGGGACCTTGTCCGCAAATCTCATCGCCACGGCGGTGCTCTGCGCCGTCTTTGTCGGCCAGCGGGTTGGGCGGGTTTCTGGCAGAGGCGGTGGAGGCGCCTACTCTGTCACTGGTTGCTACGCCCTCTATGGCGTCGAGGAAGGCTTCTGCGGCTGCCTGAGTACCATCAGCACCTTTGCCCAGGAGCTGGCCACAATCAAGCCAGAGCGGCGCGCCGTCTTGTACGCCGTGGCGAGCTGGACCTTTGGCATTCTCATCTGCATCCTTCTCATCGGAGCTCCTTGGTGGAGCATCGGAATGGACGGCAGCTGCGTGGGCGTCACGCTGTAGGAATATCTCTAGATACCAATCTGTAATACATTGACACCCCCCGAGGTATACCCAGAATGGAATTCCAGTTTGTCCCGTCTACTGAGCCTTGGACGACTCGATGGCATCGCGCGCTGCCTTTGCTTCGTCTGACTCGGCAATGTCTCCTTCCAGTCCTTCCTGCGGCAGATTGTGGGCCCGAGCATCAGCAGCATTACCCTCACCATGATAGGACATCTAACTCACCAGGATGTTCTGAAGGTCTGCGACGGCCGCCTCGAGGCGCTTCTTGCAGTCGGGGATCATCTGGAGGCAGTCCTGAAGGACCTCCTTTTGCTTCTTGACTTCCCACTCCTCCTTTCCATCGGCCTCTGTCTTTGCCACCCTGGCCTCCTGCTCCTGCGCTTCCTTGACGTAGGACTTTTCCTCCTTGACGAGGCTGGAAGGGAGGGATCCGGTCAGCCTGCAGTTCTGTCACGGACAGAGGGGACGAGACTCACCGCTTGACGACGCCCGTCTTGATGGTCAGCTGTCGCTTGGTGGATTTCTCGTCGCTCATGATGGTTAGTTGCACTTCACTTGGTGGCGAAGAGCGCGATTGGAAGATGGGCGAAGTGTTGCTTGGGGAAAAAGAAGAATGGGAAAGAAAGCGTGGCAGCACTAACAGTACACTACTACTACTAGGTCTAAGAATAGTAAGTGGTGGAAGAGAAGACGCGTCCGCTTCTCGCTCGCCCTGCCAGCCAGAGTTCATCCCTCACATCGCATGTTCACCTCGACCTGGCGAAGACAAGTCGGCCGCCACTTTTACTCAACAAGCAGCAGAAAGGACCCGCAGAGGGCCACGCCGAATCCCTTTGCCTTTGCCGCCATCGCCGTCCTAGCTTTTGGAGCGTTTGCCTACACACTCAAGGTCCGACAGGAGGATCCGCTCGACCAGCAGCAGCGCCTCAATAGGATCCCTCATCCGAACCCGCTGATCCCGCCCCGAAACCCGCAACAGGGGCAAGTAGTCGCACAGAATCAGCAAGATGGCAGCGCCCACGTTTGAATCTGAAAAGGTCCTCGTCATCTTTGTCCTCGGTGGCCCCGGCGCCGGCAAGGGCACCCAGTGCGAGAGGCTCGTCAGCCAGTATGGCTTTGTCCACTTGAGTGGTGGGTAGTCGAGCTGACGCTTGAAGAGATAGTAAAGCTCAATTTACTGATCCTCTTTTGCTTGTCCAGCGGGCGACCTGCTCCGCGCCGAGCAGAACCGCCAGGGCTCGCAGTACGGCCAGCTCATTGCTGACCACATCAAGGAAGGCAAGATTGTGCCCCAGGAAATCACCATTGCCCTCCTCCGAAATGCCATGGACCAGGCCGTGGCCTCTGGAGGCAAGACACTGGCGGGACACGATGTCGGGCCCGAGCACAAGGACAAGTGGACAGGCGGGAAGGGCCGCTTCCTCATCGATGGCTTCCCAAGAAAGATGGACCAGGCTGTTGGCTTCGACGAAACGGTACGTTCCTGTCTCTCGCACTTTGCGGGTGTCTTGATCTGATCTGTCTTGCGCAGGTCTGCAACTCCCGCTTTGTTCTCTTTCTACACTGTTCCGAAGAGGTCATGCTCGGGCGGCTCCTCGAGCGTGGAAAGACGAGCGGACGAGCAGACGATAACGAAGAGAGCATCAAGAAGCGATTCCGTAAGATCTATCGCTCTTTCTTCACAAAAAAGCCTGCATATTAACCTGAACCTTGCCAGGCACGTTTGTGGAGACGAGCATGCCCGTCGTCGACTACTACCGGAAGCAAGATCGCGTCGTCGAGGTGCGTACCTCGTGCAGCTTGAGGGCTTCCTATCCCCTCGCTGACGTCGACTGCTTTCCTACAGGTGGACTCGCAGCAGGATGTTGCAAAGGTCACCGAAGACATTCGCAAGGCCATGGACCAGACTTTTGCTAAGCTAGGACAAGCTGCATGAGGCGCATAGAAGTCGAGTATCTCAGCTTCGAAGTGAATTTTCACGGAGCTTTTGATTGCCTCATTTCCATCGTCTGCTCGTGGATCTCTCTCTTCGATTATGAATGTGGAAGCACATCAGAGACTCGAATGGCCTGTTGTGTGAGGCAGATGAGAAGGCTGGCCGGTTACAACCGCACACCACCTCCGCAAATATTGCAGCAGATCTTCTACTTTTGCGACATCGCGAGAAGGTCAGGTGTCAAAGGATGCTGTGCACAAGCGGCTTGTCCAGATAGCCATGCAGTCACTCGTCTGAGATCGTATTTGTCATCGACATTGCTGACGGAAGCGTGCCAAAAAAAGCAAGCACGGGGTAACAAGATCATCGTCGCCCACCAGCGAGACCGCAAGTCTCTGACCTCCTTGATCGTGGCAGGGAGGACCATTCGAGAGGTCCCACCTAGAAACTGCAAATAGACCAGGTTTATCTTAGCCGTCCGCTTTGGTGTCTCTGGACAGAGTCACTCACGGCTTAAAGTTTCGGCTCTCTTTGAGCTTCCTGACCTTTTCTCGGTCCTCCTGGAACTTTTGCCGCATCTTTGCCAGCTCTGTTGGAATGTCAGGTCAATATGAAAGGGCAAAAAGACGAGCATCACAAGTGTACCCACCCTCTTTCTTCTGCTCCTTCCTCTGGAACCGGTAGAAGTCTTCCATCTCCAGCTTCTTTTTCTTCTTCTTTGGCTCCCCGTCTTGTGCATGCTCCCTCGCTACCCGTACGCTCGCCGAGCCTCCCACCTCAGCGGTGCGACCGTACTTGCCGCCTCGTTGAACAATCGTAAAGCCATCCTCGTCAAGCAACTCTCCATCCGGTCCGACAGTAACGCCCTTGATGGCCGACTTCTTGGGCTTGGGATTCGCACGCAGAAACTCGTAGCGGGCCACGACGGAGTCGGCATGCGCCTTGATGCTCGCAGGGGGAGGGCGCAGTGACCGCTGCCTTGCCAACAGAAACTGTAGTCCAAGTGGAGGAGGGCCTGCGGACATTGACTCGGCCATGGCCTGCTGCGCCGTCGCATGTGCAGCTCGTTTCCTCTTCTTCTTCTGATCGGACCCATCTGCTCCGTCTAGGTCTTGCTGTGCCTGAACGACGCCCTCGAACGGGTCGGGCCAGCTTCGGACCTCTGACATGGCAAGAGCCCTCTGGAGCGATGAATCGTCAAGGAAGGTGACGTGAGCGCTGGTTCCCGTAGTGAGAAGCTCGTGCGGGTGGCGAGGATCCAAGGGGGGTAGAGGCACGACTGCAGGCGCTCGGACCTTCTTTCCCTCTGCTCCCCGATACTCTTCGTTCTCATCCTCTTCTTCCTCGTCCTCGTCCTCCTCTTCCTCTTCTTCGCCATGTCCCTCGCTCCTCTTCCTCTTGTCTTGCCAGAAAGATACCTTTTGAATCTGACCCGCTCGCGAAAAGAGCGCCCGGAGATGTCGATCTGTCGTGTCCGGCGGCAGGTTTACTACGAAGAGCGTCCGTCCCTCGTCGCCTGCATGCTTTCGGAGATAGACGTAGTGCTGTCCGACTTTCAGCGCCCGAAAGCCGCTGATGAGCTGCTCTTTTGAGCTCGACGCCCGCTTGTTGTTTCCCATCGTCTCTCGCCCTCGTCGTGTCGATTTGTCGAACCAACGTCTTCTTCTCGTGAGAACCAAAAATTTCGCTGCAAAGCCAAAAAATAAGAAAACACGTGTTTCCGCCCGATCTTTCCTCCACGTCCATTGACACCATCAATGGACGCGCAAGACACCTCATCGCCCGCGCAGGCGAACCTCTCGACGTGCGTAGAGCCGCCAAGGTCGGGCGGTAACGCTGCTTGGTACGATGGTGCCTTGAACATGCTCTCTACGCAGCCTGCTTGGCCAGAAGACAAGGAAAGGGTGAGACATGCACGCGTGCATAACAGCGAAGCAAAGCTCATCTGCCCTACCACAGGTTCTGCTCGAGCCCTACACCTATCTCGAATCGAAGCCTGGCAAAGAGATCCGATCGCAGCTTATCGACGCTTTCAATGTATGGCTCAAAGTGCCCGAGGAAAAGCTGACGGTGATCCGGAAGGTCGTGGGAATGCTGCACAACAGCAGTCTTCTGTGAGTCCACTTCATCTTCTTGTACGTTACTTGCGTAGCTAATTACAATGCAGCATGGACGACGTCGAGGACAACTCGGATCTACGCAGAGGCATTCCGGTCGCACACAAGGTCTACGGTGTCCCCCAAACGATCAATACGGCAAACTACGTCTACTTTCTCGTCTTCTCACAAATCTCTGCCATGAATGGCCAAGGAACGACGGAGATGATCGTCGACGAAATGATCAACTTGCATCGCGGTCAGGGCATGGACCTCTTCTGGCGCGACAGCCTCACATGTCCTACCGAAGCCGAGTATGTCGAGATGGTGAACAACAAGACCGGCGGGCTGCTGCGCATTGCCATCAAACTCATGGTCGCCCAGAGCCCCGAATACGCCGGGCCGGACCTGGTGCCGCTCGTCAATCTGATTGGACTCCTCTTCCAGATCCGCGACGACTTCATGAACCTGCAGAGCGCTGATTATGCAGATAATAAGGGCTTCTGCGAGGACTTGACCGAGGGCAAGTTCTCTTTTCCAATCATTCACTCCATTCGTGCCTCGTCGTCCTCCAACAACAACAACGACGCCTCTTCATCGAGCAGCCACACCGACCGGCAGGTACTCTCGATTCTCCGGCAGAGGCCCACGGATGTTGCGACAAAAAAGTATGCAATCGAGTACATGAGGGAGAGGACAGCAAGCTTCGCATATACGCGTGACGTCATGACGAGACTTGACCGTCTGGTTCGAAGCGAAACGACACGCATTGAACAGAGCATAGACAGCAAGAACGAAAAGCTGGGCATGATCCTCGACGCACTACGAAAGGGCTGGTAAAGGCTAGCCAAGGGCACCCATACAACATCATCTATTGTAATTGTAACATTATCCATTTCACAATTTCTGTCGCTCTGGCCAACCATCGAGCTCTTTGAGATCCTTTACCCGGCCCTCTGGTCTTGAACTGTCGGCCTTGGGCGTAGCTTCTGGCCTCCACCGCCAAATTTCCTTGGCTTGTCCCTCGAGTCGATCGACGATATACTTTCCAATCGTTGGGAGGAATTTGAAAGCCATGCCCGAATCTCCCGTTGCGAGCAGGAGCGAGTTCGCATGAGCTTGAGGATGGAAATCGATGAGCCAATTCCCATCGTTGTGGTCCGCACACCAGCAGATCATAGGATCGACCACCGGTCGATCTTTGAAGCGAGGCAGGACCTCTTCAATAAAGCTCGACAAGGCTTTGATGGCTTCGTCAGGCAGTGCAAATTTGGTTTCGGAGGGAAGCGAGAGGCCGTCCTTGTCGCCTACAGCATTTTGATAGCCCGGCATGGCATTGCAGATTTTGATCTGGTGTGTGTCCAGTGACGGCTCAAAGAAGAAGCTGTGAAGAGCTCAGCCTCGGAACCTTCTAATAGCTAGAGCACAGCTCACCCGTGATCGGAATGGTCAATGACGGGCAGGCCTTTGAGCTCATGTGCTTCTTCGGGAGTAAGCTGCAGATGACCGACGGTCCAGCACTTGCAGCAAAGTTGAATATCGTTAGCGAATGAGACCGAGAGGGCTCTTGAACATTGGAAAATACCTTGGAGAAGCACTGCCCTTGCAAATCGACGAGTCCAGGGCTCCAAGCCCCTGTACAGAGGATGATGTGGTCTGCTGTCCAAAGCCTCCCATCTGCTGTGACAAGCGTTGCTGCACCGTCTGGACCCAACTTTACCTCCACCACGGCTCCCTCCTTTCCGCAGACGTAGCGTACACCGAGCCTTTGAGCCTCCTTTGCCGCCGCTTCGACTGCATCTTTTGCCATAGCCCACCCATTGACGCCATTCCACAGCCCGAACCAGTCTTCGAGCTTGCCACCGAGCTTCTTGAGCTGAGGTGCTTGTTGAAAAATGGCATCAGAATCTGCCAGCAGCGACAGATGAGGCGCCAGCTTCTCATTGGTCTGCATATGTTCATACGGATCAAATATGAGCTCGCGAGCAGTCCGCGAATTTCGATCTGAGCAGGCCACAATCCAGCCCGTCTGGTGGAAGTGTGGTGAGAAGACCGGGTCGGCCTTCCATGACTCGACGGCTTCCAGCGCGAGGTCCGAGTAGATTTTTTCCGAGTACTCTGTTCGAATGATCTTCCGTTCGTCACGTCCTCGTCAGCTTTTTGCACTGCTGCGTTAAGGAGAAAGTGATTACCTTGTTGAGGTCATTGCCGGCGCTTACTTGGCTCGGCGGTGGGAACTTGTCAATGGCGGTCACATTGGTATAGCCTCTCCGCGCGAGGTGAAGCGCCGTGCTCGATCCAAATGTTCCTGCTCCTCCCACGACAATGATTGACGAGCTCTTGCTAATGGGCGGCATCGTTGAGACGACCGTCAAGCTGACAAGGAGGAGGAGTGGAAAGGAAGGGAACTGAACAGCTTGATTGGTTGCAACGCCCCCACGCTTATCGCTGAGACGCGAATAGGCTAAACATTCTTCTCGGTCGCCGTCGGTCTTCTCGCCGAGCGTTAAATTTGTGGCGCCGCCTGTACGATGCCAGTCATGTCCTACCGTACCTTTTCTTATCGAAGGAGAAAAGATAGCGCAAAGCGGCAGCTCGGAGAGGATGAAATCAAGTAGTAGTAGTAGCGACGTGTAGGAGCGAAAGCATGCAGAGATAGGCCAGCGCGGCGAATTTTGGGCGATAGGGTCCGGCCTGCATATCCCCCGCGCACACTAACTTGGAATGCCCGTGAACGAGGTACAAGCTGGTGCGGTAGTGCGGTAGGTGTGGGTCAACCGACCCATGCTTATCATTTCGCCAAAAAGACTGCCCTATTGACTCATATAAAAGAGAGACCGCCTATCCTCCTCCTCAGAACCAGAAACGCCAAGAACAGCAAGATCACCATCATGTCTCTCAAGAAGGAAGACGTTGAGCAGAAACAAGGCCAGGTCGTAGAACTCGGTCACCATGAGGGAGAGAACAACAACGTGGTATACCCGCGCTGGTACCGAACAACCTTCTTTCAAATGCTTGTCATCAGCGGGCTTGCATTCGCTGGTCCAGCAATGAGCGATGCAATTTCCAATTTGGGAGGTGGTGGTATGGCCAAACCTTATGCTTGGTCGGCCGCAAAGTGAGCCAAAGAAAGCTGCAATGGTCCGAATTCCTTCGTGGTACGATAACTGACCTCGCCTTCGTTAAGTGCTGCCAACTATTCTTTCATGGCCGCCGTCTGCATGTTTGGAGGACCTATTGTATCAAAGATCGGACTTAAGGCTGCCTTGATCATCGGTGCGGCTTGCTTTCCTCTGTGAGTGGACCCCTCTTTACAGCGCGACTCTTAGGCTTACTTTACCACGATGGTATTCAGCGAAGGATCTGCGCTCTACGTCACGTCTCAGCATGCCAATGCATCTTGGTATCTGATCGTGAGTAGATTGCTTGGCATGATGCCGCGCTTCTCTAACCACGATTTACTTCAAAGTTCGCCGAATCATTCGCCGGTATCGGACTAGCCTTGTGGTACGTTGGAGAAGCGGCGGTGGTGCTCAGCTACCCTGAGCCCAATCGTAGGGGAAAGTGAGTAGACATTTGTGCGCTGAAGAGAGGAGAAATTGAAGATGGCGATGCTCCTTAAGATATCTCGCCCTGTGGATTGTCAGCCGCAATCTCGGTCAGCTGGTCGGTGGTGCAATCAACCTCGCAGTCAATAAACCCAATAATGCTGCGGGTAGCGTCTCACCAAAGGTCTACATCGTCTTTATGGTCATCGAAGCGCTAGGCTTTCCCATCGCTTGGCTCATCAGCCAGCCCTCCAAGGTTCAGCGCGCCGACGGTTCGCACATCCGAACTGCCCCTGTCGACAAGCTCCCGGTCGAGCTAAAGAAGCTGCTGCAGACACTTCTGAAGCCTACCATTCTCCTCATCCTTCCATTCAGCATCTACAGCTTCTTCTACATTTCCGTCTACAATGCCTATCTGACCGATTACTTCACCGTCCGGGCTCGAGCTCTTTCATCGCTCATCAGTCCTTTCTTCTGCATCGTCGGATGCTTTGGACTAGGTATTCTCCTGGATCACGACAAGTGGAATCAACGAAAGCGTGCAATTCTCGGCTTTGCAGTCGTCGTTGTCAGCGCAATTGCTATCAACACATGGAGCCTTGTCGTTCAAGTCCAATTCAAGCACAAGAACCCAGGGGCAATCGATTGGACCGATTCCAAGTGGCCAAAAGCATTCCTGTCTTACTTCTTTATCAACACATTTGGACCCATTGGGCAGAGCTACATGTAGTAAGTGGTCTACTCGCTCTGTAAACAACGGCACAAGGTCTGACAGTCGCTATTACTTTAGTTGGCTCATTTCGTGCTACTCGACGGACGTGCAATCCAACGCGAGGATGGGCGGCATTTTCCGCTCCATCGAGGCTGTCGGCCAAGCCATATCCTACGTAGGTTCGCTCTCGTCTCTTTCCCTGCCTTGTCGCTGACTGAGAAGAACTAGGGTATCATGTCAAAAGATGGCATTTCACCACTTGTCGGTTTCATCGTCAACTACGTCCTCATATTTGCCATCATTATCCCTACTTCTATCATCGTCAACCGGGTGTCAACGGTTGAAAAGAAGATGGCACCTGAAGATAATCAGGCGGACGAGGTGCTGGACATCGACCAGAAGTGACTGTAGATATTGAAAGAAAGATGTTATCTCGTATGCCCACCGTCACTAATAGTGTAAGAGCGCTAGAAAGCATATGCTACTTTAACTATTGTACCTGATGTCCGAAGGCTGTAGGACTCGTCATTCCCTGGAGGTAGATTGGTTATCGAGGGGCTGGAGGCTGTAGCACTCGGCCATGGACCGCCACGGGCTGCGTCCCGATGTCGATACCCCCCCCCCCCCCTGACTTGGTGCGGTCGCCGCTTTCGTAGGCAAGCGACCGACGAATCTCAGAGATACGATGGAACCTGTCCTTGGGATGCTGAGCTGCTTCCCGGGATATAGTCCTGCGTTTGAGCAGGTAACAGGCGCTGCGGCGGAATCGGCATACCCGGCAGCACAGTGCAAACCTCCATGGGGACGAAGGCCTTGATTTCAAGAATGACGCACTGCAGATGGGGCTAACGAACGACGCACTGCAGATGCGGCTGACGAACGATGAGATTGTACTTGTCCTTGAAGTAGGCCACGACGTTGGTGACCTTTTCGTTGTCTGCGCCGACAGCAGGCGCCGGGACGGGATCGGCGTGCCCGGTAACACGGTGCAGACCTCCACGCAACCTGCTGTCCGGAGGATGAAGGACTCAGCCGGTGGCGAGATGTCTTCTCCCCACGACGCGATGCAGTCGCTGACAGTAGTCGATGTTGTCAGCAAGACCGTCGATGTCAATGACCGTAGCAGCATGATGTACTCACCGGATCGTAGAGCAAGCAGATCGCTTGTCCAATGGCGGGTATTTCGACCACCCATGACTTGATCCGGTCGCTGCTTTCTTGTGCAGCGACGGGCGAATGTCAGAAGCACGACGGAAGCAATCCTCAGGACGCTGAGCGGCATCCCGGTGGTCGACTTGGATGCGCGCGTGACCGATGTCGTTTGGCCCTGAGCGGTCTGGGCGAGCGACGCGACTCGGGCTTTGAGCGAGGCTTGCGCCACCTTGCTTGCACATAGGGCAGCATTGAGCTGGATCGGCGTTCGCAGCGCGACGTACTCTGAAGCAAATGGCTGCTTGTTGGCATGCGTGTCAGGAAGCACAGGGTGGACCTGAAAGTATCGGAGCGCTTTCTGGTACTCGCCCAGGGCCATCACCGTCCTTCTGTGTGAGAAAAGGGCGTTGCCCATCGTACGCAGCACGACGGAAGCGATCCTCGGGTCGCTGAGCTGCCTCCGACTTATGTCCGGTGTCTGAGCCAGCAGCAGGCGCTGGGATGGGATTGGCGTGCCCCGCAACACGGTGCAGACGTCCACGCAACTTGATGTCCGGAGGCTGTAGGACTCAGCCCTATCTCGCCAGGGCTGTGCCGAGATGTTGACGCCCCACGACGTGATGCGGTCGCTGACGGAAGTCGAGGTTGTCAGCAAGACCATCGGTGTCAATGACCGTAGCACGACGTATTCACTGTATCGTAGAGCAGGCAGATCGCTTGCTTAATGAAGGAGACGTCGAACACAGGAGATAGCGTGTCGGACGAAGGGGGACGTCTCGCTTGGCTCTCGTTGTTGATGTCCGTGATGCATCGGGATAGATGGGGGAAGGGAAAAGGAGGGAGGCCAGAGCCTCTGGTATGGGAAGGGAAGAGGAGGGAGGCCATACGATTCTGGTAAGGAGAAGTTGGTGTGGCGCTATCCTTTTCATGTGCGAGAGAGACAAGAAGAGGAGAGAAGAGAAGGGGCGGCGCGAGAAGAGAGTGCCCTTTGCCATCGGCGCGTCGGTGTCAATGACCGTAGCATAACGCACTCACCGTACCTTAGAGGAGGCCCGCTGCCCCACGACGTCAGGAGAAATGAGCCGGCGTGCCTATAAAAGGCTGAAGTAGAGATAGTCAGCGAGACCGTCAGTATCAACAGCCCAGCACGATGCTCTTTCAGCTCCCTACGATAGATTTTCTCGTCATCGTCATAGCCACAGTCTCGGGAGCCTTTCTTCAACGACTTCGTCTATTCAGCTGCCCCTACAGCGCCCACCGTGGACCCACATACAAGCGCCGACAGGGAACAAAAAGGTCCGCCACCTTTCAGCTTTGGTGTCCTTCTTGGCCTAGGCTAGGCGCGTACAAAAGCCGCCAAAAATAAAAAAAAAGAAAGCGCTTCATACTGGTTTCGAACCAGTGACCTTGGAGTTCTCCGTCATCGACTAGAGAGGGGATCCTAAAGCTTAACAGCTCCACGCTCTGCCCCTGAGCTAATGAAGCACCTCACGATAGCCACAAAACTCATGTAGACTTATATAGAATCTACATTGTTACGAAAATGTCCGCGGATTTCGCTATGAGACGCCCCCGGCGATAGTGCCGAAGCAAGAAGGACTTGACTAGATCGTGCGACAGAGAGAGACCAAAGGCGACTGAAAAGGGGACCATTACCGTCTCTCATAAAGCTTTATCGATGGCGTGGCTTCTTCATTCCCCGAGCTTGAAGCTTCTGGTAAACCGTCTATTACTTTAGCTTAGCAGAGAGCCCGCGCTAGTGATGAGAATGGCCCTCATTGATCATGCTAATACCGCTATACATGTGGTGGGGGCTTCCTCTACCATCTGTTGACCCATATAGACCCCCAAATTACAAAGGCGATTCAACTGTTGAGCGGTGTCCCTGCTCTTCTTTCGCTCACGACTCCACTTACACTGCCAGAGTGCCCCATTGCACTTCAAGATAGCCGGCTTCAGCCTCGCGGCCCGAGCGTAGCTTGCATCACGCGGGTCATGACGAGGGCGTAACTGCAACCGCGGATGCTAAATGTCCTTTCGCTTCTCCTTTCACTCGCGCCACACCTTCCACTCCAATGGCTTCGAAGGACTCTGTCTCTAAGGGCGATAGCCGTACACAAATGAACATGGATGGCACCGAGCACCATGCTAGGAAACGACTTCCTGCGTCTGCGGACGACTCCACGAATCGAAAGCGTCAAAGGTCGGTCAGCATCAGTAGCGAGGCCCATCAGGGCCGTCAGGCGTCATTGAAGATGTCCGAGGAGATCTCGGAAAAGGAAAAAGGCCCTGTGCGCTTTGATGAAGCGCTCTCAAAAGAGTTGCCGCTGGCCATGAACGTGGCAGCACATTCGCAGGCCAGCGGCACAGCTGCCATCAGAGACGTGGCTCGGGCTGACGCTGAGCCTCTCGTTCCTTCAAAGCGAGACGACGACTCTAAGCATTTGGAATTCCCCGATCGCGATAGTAGCATCTGGACCTGCGACTATGGTCGGCCGGATGCAAGTACTCAAATACAGGGCCACCGCCACAACAACCCTCACATCAATGTGTACGTTGCTTTCGCCGACCTCCCACCATACAAGGATGTGCTCGCCAATGGATACAGATACCGTGTGGCGGACCCCTTCTCTGTCATTTACCGTCTCTCCAACCCTCTTCCTCGAGCGAGGAATGGGAGAGAGCTGTTCGAGAAGATCGAGGATTTCAGCTTTCGCTACACCGGTGTCCTTCGTCAGCAGTATATCGAATTCCTCTCCTCGGCTCCGACTTTCTCTCCTTTCTCTCCTGCCGAACGCATCACCCTGGTCAGAGACACCCATTTTGGTGTGAAGTATGATCGCCGTCTGAAGACGTATCGCGCAATCATCTTCCTCCCAGAGACGATCCATTCCAAGACCGCCGAGTTTGGCCTTCATTTTAAACCCGTCATCGATAGCTGCAGCGCAACCGTTGAGTCGGTTGGCAGCGCCATCAGTGCGCATTACATCACCGTCCGTGTCGCCTTTCACATGCATCACATGGCTCCAGGCGACTTCGCTCTACGACTCGATCAGGCTCTTGGCCCGAGGGCAAGTGTCTTGAATGTGTGGCAGCGTCGTGTCTACGGCATGGGCAATTCTTGCGACCAAGCTTCAGCTTCGGGAGAATACAAAGTCCTTGTCGAGCTTATCGAGGATGATGGCTGTCCCGCCCACAATGTTGTTCAATCAGCAGAGGAGCTTCCTCGATGGATTCGGCTGGAGCAAGATGAGGTCGAGCTCCAATACCTCCATCGCCGGGCGTATTGCACATATTGCCGCTCGCGTTCTGGCCCTGCCAATTACCATGTGCGGGAGGACTGCGATTTCGCGGCCTGCGGTAAGTGTGGAAGCAAGAAGCATCTGAGCAGATCGTGCCCAAGGAAGAGGTCCAAGAGAGCCAAGAAGAGATTCCTCAAGGCCTCTTCTGGCCAGAGCTCTGCCACAGACGCGCTTTCTTCCTCTTTTCAGCCACCTCTTTAGGCCCGAACATCAACGACGCTTTCGCCCAGGCCTGCAAACCGCACTACCCTTAGGACCCCAGTGAAACGCAAGTCCTCTGACCATAGCAATGTCATCTCAACTATCCATTGTGAAGCATTTTTGTGTATGCCTTGGTCCTCGATCTGTTGTCTTTACCACGCATGTCCACCGTCATCCAGGACATAAAGTCACTCCTCGTTAGGGCGAGCCTAATTTGGACGCAAAACACGGAAATCGGGTATCGGGCTGACGTGCGTCTCGGAGCCATGATTTCGAGACGGGCTGATAGCTCGCTCGCCTTTGGGCCTCTTGAACATTGCGCACTGTGGGACACACTCCGTTGACTCTCATCGGCACGGTCCTCCTTGCGGGTTTCGGGAGACACTAGACTGCATCTATCAAGGACCTGATCAACCTGGACTTTTCTTTCTTGAGACTACAGGCCTCGATGTCAATGAGGGAGGCACTCCCTCCTCTCCTTTGGGCGCATGTCTCTCACTCGACCTTACGGTCATCGGCACTCGCCGATACTGCTGGCTGAAGGAAGCGACACCTTTAGCGCAAGGTACGCTGCTCTTCCCATCGAGTTACGGTCGATCATTGAGAGGGAGGTACTCTTCGGACCTGGCAGCTACGCGGGCGACGAGGTTGAGGAGCTTGTCGCGCCGAGCTACAGTGCCGATCTGCGACTCGCCGCTCTCTGTCACCTGCACCGCCACAATCGCAATGCGTACGATATGATTCATGTGCGACGCTCACTCGAGCAGGCCTTCAGTCAACTGGACACGGTGGGCCTTGTCGACGTGATGAGGGGCAGTCCAGGCCTTCGAAAGGACTTGCTAGAATTGTGTCGAGGAAGGTCGTTCAGCCAAGCGCTGTATTCCTCGCACTCCGTGGACTTTCTATCGAGGGTTCTGGATCTGCTTTTGAATGACATTCAAGGGACGCTGTCGGACGATGACGAGCTGGTGCGAGATGTCATGCGCCGGATGCTCCTTTATTGCGTCAGAGAGGAACATGCGATCCTCATCGAGCAGCCGACATCTTCGTTGGCAATCAAAACGCTTTTTGGCCTCTCCGTCTCTCAGCTGCAACCTCTCTGCGACCTCGAAAGGCGTCTTCGAGCGCGCTTGTTTGATTGGCGTGACACAGAACGGCTTACGGTGTACCATGCAAAGATTGGGTCAACAGCATGGTCCCATCACAACGACCTCGTGGGCGCTTCGAACTGGCTCGCTCAACTCACACTCCCCCTGATCCCCGTCATGGCGCTTGCCTGGTTCTTTTCAAACGCCCTCATCCGAATGGCGGCGTGGTGTCTCACCGTCTCGCTCACTTCGAGCTGGCTTCTCTTGCTGGGTCTATATCTACGCCGCGTCGTACGCAAGCTCGCAGTCGATCACGTCTACCTCAGGAGCAGATCACCAATGCTCGTTCACAGCACCTCTGTACCACGATCGAGCAAAAGCAGCGTCGTTAAACACCCAGCTCCCTCGCTTGCTGTGCAGTCTCGGCGGTCCTTGAGCCTCTGGCCCTGGAATGAGATTCGCATACGTAACGCCTCGAAGGGCTCGATCCTCGTCTCGTCTTACAACGCTGCCGACCACTACTTCATGGGTGAGCATATGTCGTCCTCTCTTACCGCTTATCACGCTCAAAAGTCTTCTCTCCAGTCACGCCGATCACGCAGACCGTCATATCAAGCCGCTGCACCGACATTGTCTTTTCGACGTGGGATCTGCGTGGAACTAGAGTGTGGGTTTTCTTCTTGTGGCTATGCGACCTTCGGTGCATAACAGCTGATCGGTCGCACGTTTTATCCACATCAAGTCACGTTCAGCAGTGCAGGGAAAAGCGAGACGAAGTCGACGAGAAGACTGATGAGCGGTCTCTTCTCAAAGAGTGGGAAAGGGGCAGCCGCTTCAATCTCTATGCGAAACGGATCCTGCTTGTCCCAAAGAGCTCACAGGTGAGGCCAGGAGGCAGGCACGATTTTGTTATTCAGTCGACTGATCACGAGGCTTGAACCAAAGCTCACTGTCACCGACGATGATTTTGTGTAAATGTCGCCATGAATGCGGTGATGTGCCTGTCGAACATTTCGGCGGGATATCCCATCTTGATACCATGACCCTGTGTCGCGAGCCGAAATCGACTGTATCTTAATGTCGCCGTCCCTCGTTTCAGTCGAGTCAGTCCTCGGGAGGGGTTACGAGGGAGCAGTGGGCAAAAGCTTTGAGAAGACGGTCGTATTTCGTATATCATTATAGCTGCCAGCATTTTTAAGGCAGACTGTACATTCGAGAAGAGGTCGTCATGAAGAAAAGAGCGACATCCCGGGTCTCGAAAGGGGCAAAGGATGCCCAGAACAAAAGATAAAAAGAGAACAAGGGTACCAATAAGCCCAATACTGTCCAGCCCCAAGGGAAAAAGAGAGAAGGTGAAAAGGGTCAGGGTCCGTCTTCGTCGTCGATGTCCTCAGCATCGGCAGGCGCTTCGGGAGGCGAAAGGTCTCTCCTGGCTGTAGCTACTTCTAGCACGTCTTCCTGCCCTCCAATGCGGACGGCAGTACGAGTCGATGCATTGGAATCGGAACGGGCGAGGCCGTCTGCCTCCACAGGATCGCCTCGAAGGAGAATCTTTCTTGGGGCGTCCGCTGCTTCGTCTGCATTGGTTCCTCGACCAATGAGATCCGACCCATCCTCGTTTGGCAGAGAGCGAGTACGGGCCTTGGCACCCAGCAACGGCAAGCTATCGACAGCGATCAGGTCGTACGTTTGAACAAGAGCGAGGAAGCGCGCATAAAGTGATGTCTCGGCCTAAAGAGAGGAAGGTGAGTCGCGGAAGCTGCGAGGAAGTTCTTATCAACTTGCTCACCTCGCAAGCCTCAAAGACATCGGAGTGGTGCTCGTAAGCATGAACGAAGATGCGGCTGAGGCGCCTGCTCACGCTTCCAAAGTGTCGCAGGCTCGTTGTTGGGATGTAGGTTCTGCTTGGGAAGTGTCTGGCCGAGTTGAGAAGAGCGGTAGTGCCGTCGAGGGTATGAACGATGTAGTCGATGGCGCAGCACTGCTTCTCCTCGCCGTGCGATGCGCAGAGGTACATCCAGTCATCAGCATTCATGGCGTCGCACGTCTTCGGCCGCGTCTTTCGATCGCATTCCTTTTGCAGAGACGTCAACCATGGCGTGGAGAAGCCGAGCACGATTCGCCTGTCGTGGGAAAATGTGAGCCTCCTACATCCTTGATTACAATCCACGGAGCCTACTACCCACCTGAGCTGCTCGTAGACCCAGACATCAGTGTCAACAGCCTGTGGCTCTTCGTCCGGAAGAAAGGCATTGTCGTCTTTCGCTTTGCCCTTCTGCAGCGCAAGAGCTTCTTCTGCAAACGTCCTCGAGATCTCGCTCGAGGGCTGGGGCAAGGCGACAATGCGCTCAACGTTGTGCGGATCCTGACGGATCAGTAGTGACAGGTACTCTTGCAGCTGGAAGGGCGAGTCGATGTAGTGCAGTGGCGGTAAGACCGAAGGCACCGGCGGCTGAATGTCCTGCCCAAGCAAAGCCGATCAGGCCTTGTCCATTCCCATAATAACGCGGGCACAAGCTGCACTCACCTCTAATCTCTGGCCCTTGCGTATGCGATGGAGATGGGGTTGGCTGTGGCCCTTTTTCCCGTTCATCGAAGAGTCAAGCCTGGCAAGGGGAGCAGGTGTGGCCTTTTCCACGAGTGGCGACGGAGGGGCCCGAAGAGGACGGACGGGGAGGGGCGCGGGGTCGGCGAGGGCCGATTTCGAGGGCGCTGAAGAGGAGGAGGCAGTGGAAGGAGGAGACGAAGAGGACGAGGCCGCAGGCGACAGGTGAGGATGATGCGCCGGTGATAGTCTGGTCGCCACCTCGAGCATGTCGAACGATCCGAGAAGGACCCTGGACGCGAATGTGCGACTGCGAGAAGAAAGTCCGAGCGCTCCCAGTTGACTCGTCACCGTGTGATCCTGTCTACTGCAACCTCAGAAGCCTGAGTCTATGCCAGCGTGTTCGTGACTCCTTCTGTCGTTGTTGTCGCTGACCAGATTGTGAGATTACCGAGGGGCTCTTCGATAGGGGCGAGGGCTCCGACGTAGAGAGCGCTTTCCTCGCTAGCCCCGACCCCCGACGCGCTGCTCGCGCTGCTCGCATGGCGTCCAGGGACCCTTTTTTTCCCCTCTTCGACACTAGAATATTTGTTTTCTAAATTGTTAGTTGTGACACACAAGACATGTTTCTATCTGTTTCCCAGACTTTCAATAGGCGCTACTGCTTATTGACGCCGCCATAGGTCACGGTCATTGCAATGGTTGTAAAGGACGGCTCTTCCAGGTGATGAGTTGATGCCGCCCCGTCGCATTCGTAGCCAGCCCGTCGCAGGAATTTCTTTAGGAATGACTGGCTTTCTTGTGACTGCGGGCGCCCCCTTTCTCCGCCCCTTCACCTTTTGGACCGCGCGAATCATGTCCGTCTGTTCCTATTCTCACCCAGCAACGGTCCTCTCCCCGTCGTTGCTTTCTACCCAGCAAAGCTCATTTTCCCTTTTCTCCTTCTTACATCCAACTCCCTCTCACTTCCTCTCCTCGTTGACTTGCCTTTGAACAGTCTCGATCTACTTTCCTTCAAAGATGCTCGCGTCCATCTTCACTTCGACCCTCATGGTCACTCTCTTTGCTCTGGTCCAGTGCAACCCGAGCCCCGTCGTGAGTTTTTGGTCTCATACTGTACTGTGTCTTTCCTTGCTCAAACCATCTTTCACCCAAGGCCGGCGTTGACGGCTGGCACAGTCTCGGCGGTGTCGGTCACGGTGGCTTTGAGCGTCGTCAGCAGACGCAGAAGGCAGCAGTCACGGTACCCGCTGTGGCACCTGCCACTATTGGCACCCCCCCTTCCACGGCTCCTGTCGCGGCATCTGCTGCTGCCAGCCCGGCAGCAGCTTCCGGTAGGGACACAGCGTTCGCCGCTTGCGACAACACCACGGACTACACCCAACTCACCGAGTGGGGCTCCGTCCGCAACTGGAACACGACGGACGACAAGGTCTTCTGGGCTGCACCGGGTCAGGGCGCTTGCGGATTCAACTACACCCTCGAGACCAACGGTATCTGCCTGCACCCCGGCTGGGTCAACTCTGCCAACACCAACGGCTGCAACAAATGGGTTCAAATCTTCTCCATCGAGACCGGCATCACCGCTCAAGCTCGCGTCGTGGACTCCTGTGGTGCCGGTAAGAATTGACGTCCAGTCTTTTCACTTTTTGCGAGACCAAGAAGCTGATACTTACCTCATGCGAACAGGAAGGTACGACGCCTTTGGATGCAACGACGCCCTGGTCACGAAGCAGACTTTCGAAATCCTCGCTGGAAAAGGCGTCAAGAAGGCCCTCGATGACGGCCACTTGCCCGGATCCATCCTCTTCCGTTTCATCGAAGAACCCTGCTGGGCTTGCAATGCTGGCCTCCCGGGCATGCTTCCCAACGGTACAAAGGACGACTGCACGGGCGAGGACTATCTGGGCTACCCCCGCTGCGGCCGCAAGTCAGGCAACGACCGCGTCCTTGGTCCCCATGCTGCGCTCGTCTGCAACCGCAACTTTACCTGCCCAGCTATTTGATCTCTCCCAAAGTCTTACCTCATATAGCTCTCTCCTTCGAACCCCATCTCCCTCTAGACCCTCATGTGTCGAAACAAGACGCGAGCCATCTTCTGGCCCTGCGCATCATCTTCACCCCAATCAGACAACATTTCCCTGTGATGATATGAAGATTTCGGGAGTGCCGCTAAGACATGGCCAGCTTGCTGTAGCTCGGCGGTGCCAGAGTGGCTCTCGCCAGTTTGATGAAGTACAGCGGAAGGCTGCTCACCGCCACAATGACGGCCGTCTTCCAAAGGAACGTCGTCGTCAGGACGAAGGAGAGATCTGCGGCACAAAAAGAAGTCAGCATCCGTTGGCTTCTCGGCGTGTGGCCAGAAACTAACCGAAGAACTCGGGTAAGAATGTGATGCTGATGCAGTAGATGATGAGGGTGACAACCTCGGAGAGAATCATGTAGACGTGCCTGTGGATGTGTGTTAGTGACCAAAAGGACAGTACTTAAGTAAAGCTGAAGCAGGACTCACCAGGTGGTGATTTCCAGGGCAACCATGATGAGCTCATTGAGGATGAGCGCCGTAAACGAAATGGAGAGAATGTTGATCATCTCCTTTTCAAAGACGACCAGACTCATAATCATGATGGCGCCGCCTTGATAGATGGAGACGATAAGCCACTCGGTGAACGTCTTTGCCGACAGGCTTCTGCCAATGTCCTTGAAGAGCTCCGGATAGAGTAGTGCCACATCCTCGCTCACGTCGCGGTCCAGCACCAGGCTAAAGACGGGTGCCATGGTGTAGACGGTGGCGTAGCCGACCATGAGCCAGCCCTGGTAGAGGGCGATGGGAGCAAAGTAGAAGATGGAGGAAAAGACGGCCTGAATGACCGAGATGATAAGACCACGATGGATGACAAATTGCGCCAGCTTGGCGCTCCGCTTGTACGAGTTTCGCCCATGCCAGACCACGAGCTTGGTGATATGAGAGAATTGTGTCAAGGAGAAGTCGGCGGCCAGCGAAGCTTGCTTGCCCTCCTTTCCCTCGATGCCGAGGCCCACGTCGGCAGCCTGGATCATCGACACGTCGTTGCCTCCGTCGCCGATGCAGCAAACGCGTTTCCGGGTGTGGCCCCTGATCAGTCGTGCCACATCGGCCTTCTGCGTTGGCGAGCATCGACAGGCGACGACAGCGGTGAGCTGCGTGGCAAGCTCGATGAACTCCGTCTTGTGATTGTCCAGGCTGAGCTGCAGCGACTCGCCGTCAATGACGAGGCAGCAGTCGAGCTTGGACCGGAGAAAGTCGAGCATCTCTCGAACCTCCTGCACCGACTTGAGCTTGGCCACTTGATGGATGTACTGGTTGCGCGCGACAAGCTTGCTCGAGATGGCAATGCACGTCGCCGTCTCGATCTTGTCGCCAGTCAGCATCCAGACGCGCACCCCAGCGTTGCGCAGGAGCTCGAGCGTCGTCCTGACGTCGTCTTGCAATTTGTCTTCGACGCCAGTCAGTCCGAGAAGCTCCAGGTCGCGCTCGAGGTGCTCGTCGATGGCGTGCGCCATGGCTTCATTGCGTCCACTGACGCGGACCCTCGCGGCCTTGTAGGACCTTTCAAATGCCTTCCAAGACTCCTCGCTAAGTCTCTTGCGTCCCACGACCAAGGTTCGCAATCCTTCACGGGCCATGTTGCCGCACTCCTCGTCCAGCCAGTCATTCTGCGTCACAATCTTGGCCATGACGACATCAGCGCCCTTCTGGTAGAATGTCAGCTCGCCAGTGCCGCGATCTCGGACGACGATGCCCATTCGCTTGCTCTCTGAGGTGAAGGGGAATACCTCGAGAATGTCAAAGGCGTGCGTTGCGCCGTCTGCCAGCGTCCGCAGCGACATCGAGGTTCGATCGCGCGATGTCAGGGCGAGGCCCACCGATTCGGTCCACCGGACGATGGCGACCTCGTCTGGGCTGCTGGCCTGATATGTGATGGATCCATCGCTGTCATCGACGGGCGTGACGTTGTGACACAATGCCAAGGCCATGACGACGTCTTTGACTCGCAAGCTCATGTCGCGACGACCTCGGCTGCCAAACATGCCACCGGCGGCGAGCATCGGGTTGGTCTTGATGGTGCTGGGACTTCCTGGTCCGCCAGCGCCGCCGACTTGGTTCTGCTGTGCCTCTCGCTGTTGCTCCATGGCTGCGGCGAGCTGCCTGGCCACTTCGTCCATGCTGTCCCAGCTGTAGCTCATGGTGCCCATGTGCAACTTCTTGAGCTCCATCTCATTCTGCGTCAGCGTGCCGGTCTTGTCGCTTAGGAGGTATTCGATGCGGCCGAGCTCTTCTGGAAGAGTGCTGGTCCGGACCAGCGTGCCTGGAATCTCCTTGTCGTTCATGATCTGGCGCGCATACACCGTCTTGCCCATGTCGAGATTGACGCGAAGGCTGATGGGGATGATGGAGCTGAAGAGAATGAGGAAGCGAAAGATGTAGATGTACCATTGACCACGGAAGCCGTTGAGGGCGACGAGGCCGACGGAGAGGGCAAAAGTCACACCGCAAAGGATCTTGGACAGCTTATTGACCTCGAGGTCTAGGATGCCCATCTTCGTAGACGGATGGCTCGTGTTCATGACCGCTCGAGTCTCCCGGCCAGTGTAGACGACGACACCCAGCGCACTCCCCGCTGCCAGGACTGTATTGGCCCACAGCACGTTCTCGGCGGTCAAGGGCGCCACCTGGGCCTGTCGACTGAGCTTGATGGCCGAGTCCCTCGCTCGCCCCTTTGGCAAAGTGGAAGGCTCTGGCGTTCCAATGAGATCGCCAACGACGGTGTCGTCTTGCAAAGAGGCTCTTGAGACATCTTCCAATGGGCTCGGGTGGATTGTCAAGTTACCGACAAAGGTGTGGATGTCCTTGATGGGAGGGCCAGCATATACACTGGCCCGATGTTCCAACTTTGCCAGCTCGTCCTCGCTCATTCGCTGCGTCAAGTCAACTGCGACACGCAGCTTCCAGTCTGTCTCTCCATCGAGCTGATCGGTCCTCACGAAGCAGGTGCCGCCCTCGTCCTCAGCTGGCCCATCTTCTTTGCCTCCTTTCGGACGAGCAGCCTGCCCCTCCTCCTCTTCGTCATCCTCGCCCAGGATGAAGTTGGTTTCTTCAGCCACCAGAGAGCGTCTAGGCCCCGTCGAGGCGTGGTCGCCAGCAGTGGTACGCAGCAAGACCATGTCGGCCGGCACGCGTTGGTTCTTGTGCAGGAGGACAAGATCACCGACTCGCAGCTTGGAGCTGGGCTTTGGGATGAGGCTGACTCCATCGGTGAGCTGCCTCTCTCGGTCATCCCTCTTCTTGCGACGAGGCTCCAGCCTGGCACCCGACACCAGCGTCTCGTACGGCGAGCTGTTGCTCTCGACGTCTCGCTTGTAGCGTGCATGGTCGTCGATGGCCTCCTTGCCAATGGTGACAAAGAGCACAAAGGCGAGCGGGGCGATGTACGTCGCGATGAAGCCGATCTTGAGCGGGGGTATGAACTGGCTGAGGGCGACAAGAAGGAAGTAGAGGTTGAAGAAGTACTTGAACTGCTCGTAGAGGACCAGTGGGAGAAACGAAACAACGTTGTACTTTTGGTTCCTCACGACGTTGGGAGGAAATCGTGTTCGGTTGCGGTCTGCATTGGACCGAGTCAGCTTGTGAGGTCAGCTTACAGAGTGCCGGGACACAAAACACACACCTGCCTCTCCAAAGGTGATGGTCCGGCTTGAATTCCTGGTGTCCCTGCCCCTTCTGCCAAACGGCCAAACGCTCCAGCGAGACCGCGTGGGAGTGGGAAGAGGAGATGAAGAAGGGGGAGGAGGCTGATATCCGGAATCCTCGTCTTCGTCTTCGTCGCGGTAGCCTGCAGCTCCCAGGTGGGCCCCCAGCAAGCCCCTACTCTCATCGGCGTCCTCTGCTGGGTCCCGACTCTGCCCTTTTAGCTTCGAGTAGCGCGAGCCCGACGCGTTGTCGGCGCCCATGCTCGACATGTGAGTGCTGTTGAGCGATCGCAAAGGTATACTTCGGTCGTCTGAGTCGTAGCTGATATCGTTGTCGTCCACAACGTCGTCGCGGTATTTGCCGGGGTTGCCTTGGCTCTTGGTCGTTGTCCAAGGCATAAAGGCTTGTGCTGCTTTCGACGCGGTCACAGAATAGTCTCTCAGGATGGACCCAGGAGGAAATCAGTGGCGGCGTAGGTCGTGTTAGGGTATTGCCAGCTCATTATTTGACAGACTCGAGCGGCAGCGGCGGCGGGTGCGACGGACGAGCGCGGCTCGACCAACAGACCATCAATTGGGGTCAATGTGCTTGGACCGTGATGATGTGCATAGCATATTTGCTTAGTAATCCATGAGCAGGTGACTGGCGGGACATTTTTATTTTATAAAAAAAAAGAAAGCGAATACGGCGAGAAGACAGGACGGGCGATAGCAGCCAAACTACTCCTTCTCTCAGTTTTCTCGCCCTAAGTGACAGCGCATACAAGCAGCACCATGCCGGGCGTCAATGCGATCAAGCTCTTGACGGGTAAGTGTGCCGTTTGCAATCGTCTTTTTCTCCAATCAAAAGTAATTGCTACAACTTTGGCTCCGCTACAGGCAACAGCCATCCCGAGCTGGCGCAGATGGTCGCAGATAGGTGCGTGCGGGACCGGCTAATCCTCTGCGAAAGGTGCCTGCCATGAGCTCACCGCCCATCTCCTCGCTGTTTCCCTCTCACACAGACTGGGCATTGCCGTGACGCCGTGCGTGTGCAAGAAGTTTGCCGACCAGTCCATCGACGTTCGCATTGGCGCCTCGGTCCGTGACGAGGATGTCTTTGTGCTCCAGACGGGCAACTCGCCCTACGTGGACCCCAACGATTCGCTCATGGAGCTTCTCATCATTCTATCGGCCTGCAAGACGGCCTCGGCGCGGCGAATCACGGCCGTCATCCCTTCGTTTCCCTACTCGCGCCACGACAAAAAGGACAAGAGCCGGGCGCCCATCACGGCCAAGCTCGTGGCCAACATGATCACAGTTGCCGGTGCCGACCACGTCATCACCATGGACCTGCACGCGAGCCAGATCCAGGGCTTCTTTGATATTCCCGTCGACAATCTGACGAGTGAGCCGAGCGTGGCGCGGTGGATTCGGACAAGGGTGCACAACTACTCGGACGCCATCATTGTCAGCCCAGACGCCGGTGGTGCCAAGCGGGCGACGTCGCTGGCCGACCTGCTCGGCATCGACTTTGCCCTCATCAACCGGAATCGGAAACGGGAACAGAACAAGCGCATCCGTGCCGCACAGAGGGAGCAGGCGGGTCTCAGCACCCAGTCGTCCTTCAGCGACCTGCAGTCGGGCCTCACGACACCCAACCCAAGCAACCTGCTGGTCGAAAAGGCCGCGCTGCAGAAGTCTCGCTCAGCCAGCGGTGGCAGCAGCAGCGGTAGCAGCGGTGACAGCGGCATTGGTGGTGGTGGTGGCAACGGCAACGGTGGTGGTGATCAACGCCGGATAGCTAGCCAGGACCAGCTCCGGTCCGTCAACGACCAGCTGGATGACTTGTCGCTGCACCAGCAAAAGACATCGGCCGATGAGACGCCCAAGCTGGGACATGCCCATGCTCATGGCCTGGCCAATGGCAGGCTCGAGCCTGCCTTTTCGTCGCGAGATTCCTCGCCGAGCGCCGTCAAGCAGACGCTGGCCAACGGCGTCCTCGTCGACGAGCGAGGGCACTGGATGACGATTGACGAAAACGGACACCGGGTCGTCTCGGGCGGGCTCAAGCAGCCCGAGTCGTCCCACCCTCAGATTTCGTTGCAGAGCCAGGATCTGTCGATGAGCACCTCGAGCTTGGGCAGTGTCAACATGGGCGAGGGAGCAGCAGACGATGGCGAGGAGACAAAAATGGAGATTCTCGTCGGCGATGTGCGGGGCAAGACTGCCATTCTCATCGACGACATGGTCGACACGGGCCGGACACTGGCTCTGGCTGCAAAGACGCTCAAGGATGCCGGTGCCAAGGAGGTGTACGCCCACATCAGCCACGGCCTGCTGAGCGGCAAGGCGACGGACCTGCTGGCCATGCTCGATCTCGAGCGTCTCGTCGTGACAAACACGATCCCCAGCCTAGAGAAGGCCAGGGCCTCGAAGGGCAAGCTCGAGATCATGGACGTGAGCGCAGTCATCGCAGAGAGCATCCGACGGACACACAACGGAGAGAGCATCTCGCTCCTGTTCCAAGAAGACGCTGCCCTGCTCTTTTAGGGACTTTTTTGCACTCTCTCACACACACTCTTAGGTGCTTGATGTATGTATATGCGAAACGATACAGCTGTCGTCGCAATTTGCTCGTCGTTCAATAGCCAATTATCTACTTTTTCCCCTTGCCCTTTGCGCCCTTCTTGTTTGCCAGTGGCTTGCCTGCCCGGGCCTCCCTTCCACCGACGCTCATCCAGTCGAGATCCTGCTCTCCAAACGCGTTTCTCCCCTTTGCCCCCTTGTCACCCGAAGACTCTGCCGCAACAGCGTCCTCTGCACCGCCGAAGCGCTTTCGGAATCGGCCCAGACGCCCGCTCTCGTCTTCGTCGTCGCCGCCCGCGCGCCGCTCCAGTCCCGGGTTCCAGAGCGGGTGGTTGGTTGGGTCCCTCGTCAGCCTCACAGAGCTCCTCGGTGACGTCGTCGAGAGCGTGATTGACGATCCGTCTGCCAGAATCGTCGTCGAAGGGAAATGCGGGATCGGCCTCGGGAAGTGCCGCTCGGCCTCTTTGAATGCTCGGGCGCATGTGTGGAACCCGCGGCTGGCACTCGGCGCACCAGCACCAGCACCTGCAGCTGTGGCACCGCCACACATGACTCTCGAGGGGCTGCCACTCTTGCTCGAGGCCGCAAAGTCGTCCCATCGCTTCTTCTTCTTCTTGTAGTCGTCCTCGTTGTTGCCCAGCTCTGTGTCCTTGGTCAATCGCAATCCTGTCCCCCCGCCGCTGTCAGCTCCGGCCCTCGCTAGACCAGCCCTTCAGTCAGCCAATGACTCACTGTAGGCATTTGACTCATCGTTGAGCTTGCCCTGGACGACGTTGCGCTTCAGCACATCGACGACCTCGTCCCACTCCTTCAAGCCTTGGTCAATGGCGGCGCTGTCCGTCTGGGTGCGGGCGGCCTCGTCAAACTTTCGTCGCACCTCGAGCCGCCAGGCGTGCATCGTCGCCTCGTCATTGACAAATGTCTGCTGCGACGTGCGCAGCAGGCGCTTGTACAGGCCAATGGCGCGATGCCTCTGCGTAGGTGTAAATGCCGACATGCTCCCCTCCTCTTAAGTTTCTCGTCCCTGGGTACGCCGGGTGAATGTCAGAGGCAATGGTCCTTCGTAAGACGAGAAGGCGAAGGGGACTTTGGATTTTTCCCTTCCTCTCTCGACTTTTTATTTGCACGTGGGAAAATAGGCGGCCGACGCCTCCAAGATGAGCGCTCGCGGCGACGCGACAGGACAGGACTGACCAACACCCAGAGTCTAAGGACAATTGGTCTGGACCGCCCGCACGGAAGAGAGAGAGATCGAGCGACCTGGCCGCGGCGTAACGATGCCTGAAGAGTTTTCAAAGATCGACATCGATGAGCCCGAGGACCTGGACCATGTCGTGTCGTCCATCGAGTCGCACGCCCGGAAGCTCGTCAAAGCCCAGCTCGAGCGAGAGGGACAGCAGGTCAAGGCCGACGAAGAGACGAGGCTAGTTTGCGAAAAGGTCATTGAGCAGGTGTGTCCTATGTCTTGCAATGGGAGTGAAAGATCCGTACACTAATAAGAAGCCACGGGGCGACAGTGGGTCAAGAATATGCGGCAGAGATTGGAATCGAACCTCCTCGTCAATGGCCTTTCGTTCAAGGAGAGCGTCGTAAGAGGAGGTGAGTGTCTCTCCTTTGTATCTTTCACGGTGACCTGCGGTCGAGGTGGCTGACTCTTATAGAGTGCAGCTGTCGAGCCGTTTGATCAGGCGCTGGCGACGCGGGTCCAAAAGCTGTCGCAGGATGTGGACAACATGACCGAGGAGGCCATTCACATGCGCAAGGCAGTCCCAGCCCGCAGAGAGGCCCTGTTGGCTGCCAGAGCAGAGGCTCTCGAAGAGCTTAGAGGGTCAATAGAGCGCAAGCGGCAGAATGTCGTGGACGAATTCGTCAAAGACCGGCAAGAGAGGGCCGACGAAGAATGTGAGTTGTTCGCATGAGCCCATCCCACACCGGCAAGTGTTGATGTCGATGGCGAACGCCGACAGTTCCACATGCCATCGAGCGGACCGAACAACTGCAAGAGACGGTCAAGGCAGCTGTATCCGATGTCGAGAAGCTGGCCACGGTGAGTGATAGAATTCATGACGCTGCCTGAGCATTGTCATTGACGGCGCACAACCTAGTCTGTCCTCGAGACCTCGTCGATGACACAACAGCAAGCCTCGTTGATCAAGCGCCTACGAACCATGTCTGACTAGTCTGCGCGCGGCTTCTCCCTCTCATTCTGTATCATAGCGTTATACCCTCAGTCTTCTCCGTGGTCTCAGCCTGTAGAGAAGGAACAATGTACAGTTTCGGATTGAATGGGTGGGCAGGGAAGAGACATGGGGAGAGCGTCTAGAGTTTCTTTTCGATGTCCTTGATTCCCTGCTGGACCTCTTGCTTTGCGTTGGCTGCCGTCTGCTTGACCTCGTTGGCCGCATCGAGGATGGGACTGGCCCCGCTCTTGGTCTGTTGTTGGTGGCTGGAAAAGACGGGTCCGCTATTTAGCACGCTTCTGCCCTTGCACTCGACTGGCACCTCTTTCCCAAAGGTCTCAACTCACTCCCAGATCCTGTAGAGCTGCGCAATGCCGGTGGTGCCCACAAAGAAGTTGACGGCGGCCAGCGAGTAGTTGACGGGGGTGATGACGAGCGAATATCGGACCCAGATCATGCCCGTCGCGGCCAGGGCGACATTTTGCGAGACCGAGAGCTTGTCGGCGGGCCGGCTGAGGTCCTTGATGCCTGCAATGACGAGGGCCCACTTCATGATCGGTGCCCAGAAGAAGACTGCGAGGAATAATTGTCAGCCGGGCAGCAGGGGAGGAAGGGTCCCGCAAGATCCAAGGGGTGCCCACCGGTTTTGGGACCCGCCGGGTGGTTCATAAAGGCCTGGAACCTCGAACCTGCTCCTGCTGCGGCGGCCATCGTGGAGTATGCTTTCTCAGAGACCGAGGAGTGGGGGAAAAAAAGAGGCAAGGACGATTCAAAAGAACGTCGACAGTCCTTCCGGTAGGTAGATGGTTGCTGCAATTGATGGGGGGAGATGAGCGAGGTGGACCAAAAATGACTCAAATTTATCAGCACGTGGACGCGAAGGTCGAGAGGAGAAGGCGATTTTCTCCAGTCTCCCTGCTGCCATTGACGCAACGACGACAAATAAGCCAAGTAGAACATGCCGCGATTAGCACCGCTCCTTCGAGGTTCGCTCGGATCTGTGCGCGGTCCGGCTGGGTCGCTGTCGGTGGGAAGCTTTGTGCTGCCGTGCCGCAAGCTGGTGCTGGAGTACAACGAGACGTGGCCGTCCTCTTCGGGAGCGAAGGAGTACATCGAGAGAGAGGCACAGCAGCTCGCGAAACGGCATCCTTCCGTCGAATTCGTCGTGCAGGAAAAGCCAAACAGGCACCCCGTTGCGCGAGGCTTCTACGGTGAGTGTCAGGTCCTTGATTCTGCTCCTCGCTGCTGCGTGCAACGTACTGACAGGCGAGAGCACAGTCAACAATCGGGAAAAGGTCATCTCGCTGCGAAACATGGAGCCTTCGCTCGTATCTGAAAAGGTCCGGTTGCTGCTCGAGTCGAGCGGGCGGAAGCTGACAAACCTCAAAAGGAGACCCGTCGAGGCGGGAGCCACAGAGTCGGCCAGGGGCGTCTGGAGTCAGCTTCACGCAGCGAAAAAGGACCTGTAATTCGAGCTGTTCTCTAGTTTTCATCTTCCTTTAGCCGTTCTCGACAGCAAATGTAACCATATTATTCACCAGAAGGCAACTTGGGAGAAAGTGTCTCTAGATATCCGTGGCCTGTTTCTGAGGAAGAGTGATGTGAAAACGGCGTCGGCTTTTCTTCAGAGATGCCGATTTTCTCATTTTTGGCCAATCTTCAGAAGGAGTAGGCTTTTTTTTTAGGCTCGAGCGCGTTGCTTTCTTCCTGACCCACTTACAAGCTGTGGGCAACGATCAATGACGAGCGCCGGCAGGGAAGAGCCGCCGTCGCCTGACGGGCCAGCCGAGGAATGGAAGCTGCCCGACCGCAAGGCATACCTGACCTCGCTCTCGACGGTGGCCTTTCTCAGCGGTCTGGGCATCGCCACGGCCGTGGCTGTGCGGAGGGGGCGGGCGCAGAAGGCTGCTCAGGACGCCGTCCAAGCCGCAGGCCATGAAGTGGCAACCTCTTCGACGGTAGCGACGGCTACGCGCACGGCAGGGAACACTGGAGTGGCCGCTCGCAGTCTCCCAGAAGGGACAGTAGACTCACTGGAAGGAGCGACCGAGAAGGGGCCCCTTGCTCTATTTCGGGAGATGAATGCGGCTGCCTTTGGTCTCAAAAAAGGTTCGTCGTCACCGTCGTTTCCATCGTCTTCCTCGTCCGCGCAGGCACCGGCCCCAAGCGCTCTGAGACGGACCTCCATTCAGAGGTCCGTGTTTGATGCGCATGCAGCCGCTCCTCCGCCTTCAGCTCTCGTTCGAGCACCCGCTCCGTCGTCATCGTCGTCTTTGTCAGCGGTAATGAAAGGAAAGGAGAGGGCAGCAGCCATGACCAACGGAAAGGGAGCCGGCCTAAGCGCAAACGAAGAGGCGGAAGAGGACGGCGAATCGCCCGCACTCGTCGCCATCAAGGCCCTTGGGATCGCCACGGCCCTCGTTGGCGCAGGCGCGCTCCTCTTTGCCGAGGTGGCCAGGCGCATCCTGGGCGTCAAAAGTGTGAGTATCGCGCTCTCCTCCCTTCTCACTTCAGAATCTTCACACTGACGGTGTCGCTGCCACAACACAGACGGACGAGCTGGTGGAGAAGCTGCACGAGCTGCTACCAGAGTCGATGCGGGACAACCACGGCCTCGCGGGCGTGCGACGGACCCTGGGCGCGGCATTGGGCAATGTCGAAGAAGGAAGAAATGACGGAGAACGCTCTGATGCAGATTTGCCAGCGAGCTACGGCGAGGAAGATGGGGAACCCCTGCCGCTGCAGGAAGCGCTCGACAGGATGGACGAGGCGGCCAGTCGCGGAGAAGCGGCCGAATGGGCCGGCGTCATGAATACGCAGATCAATGCTGAGGTCAGGCAGATGGTCGAAGAGCGCAGGAAGAGGTTGCAGCAGCAGCAGCAGCAGCAGCAGCAGCAGCAGCAGTGAACACCATCACCCATCGATTGAACCGGTATAACAATGTATATTAGTGCTATTACTACCATCACTACTACTACTACTACATCATCATCATCATCAACACATGCAAGCATGCGCAAGCTGGCAGTGGAATGGTACCTCTACCGACTCGGTGGCGCCCGCTCTGAAGGAGTCGACGAGCCAGACTTGTTGGCCCGCTGCTCCTTGTCGCTGCTGCCCGAGGTGCCAAAGATGCGCTCCCGTGCCCGGCGGTACTCCTCCTCGCGCTGCTGCAGCGTCTTTCTCTCGGCCTGTCCCTGCGACAGCGCGGCCCTCCTGGCCGCCTCCTCGGCCTCGCTCAGCCGTTCTCGTCTGAGGATTCGTGGTGGGGGGGCTCCAGCGACACTCGGCAAAGCGGCTCCCGATGCCGCGCCAGGCGAAGAAGAAGAAGAAAAAGGCGAGGAAGAAGACGCAAGGCTAGGTGCGAGGACAGATTGTGGGAGGACCCTCGTCGAGCTGAACACAGGCTGGACCGCTGGCCTCGATTGATTGCTGCCAAGAGGTCATCTGTTCATTAGCGAGCAAGTCTCTTGCACACACGGTTGTCGCGAGCAGACTCACGCCTCTTCCCACAGCTTCTTGCCCTGCGCGGGCGCCCGGCCCCCTATCCCGTTCCTGTCCGACCCCCATATATCCTCTTTACCTGTCCCTCTGCCCGCCTCGGGCCTCGAAAGGACCCGTGGTGGCTGGCCGTTGAAAGGCAGCCTTGTGCCTGTCGATGACGACGATGACGACGAGGAAGACTCCGGAGCAGCGAGGCTCGCTGGCCCGTCCTCGGGCTCGGAAGCATCCCAGTCGTCGAGGACTGGCTCCACGGGTGCTTTTCTCCGGCCTTGTGTCCGCGATGACATGGCCTGTTGATCCCGGGCCGGGCTCGCTCTCTACTAATGGCGCAAAAGGGAAAAGTAGAGCTCTTGGAAGATGGGAGGCGATAATTGGAAGCTGCCTAGCCGGTGAAACGAAGCAGGCCAAAAAGATCAAAAAAAGGTTATATTATTAGCAATCGACCGTCAGTCTTGGAGTCTGTGGACCCAGCGCGTGCGTTTCTTTTTCTTCTTCGTGAGCGCATCCCGACGTCGATCTCTTCTGGCCCCGATCTACCTTGCAGCAACGAACACCGGGGGTCCAGAGGATCGTAGGGAATGACACGGACGACGACAGAGGACAAGACGTAGAGCTGGTTAGAACTAGAGAGGGACAGGGAAAGAGAGAGAGAGAGGCGCAGCGTCGAGGAGCAAAACGAGGCAGCCAAACATGGAGGAAATCATCCCGGGTCTCTGGATCGGCGACCTGGCCTGCGCACTGGCGACCGACTACCTCTCCCTCGCTGGGATTACACACATTGTCACGGCCATGAAGCAGCGCCTGCCTAGCCCCATGTCTCTGCCCGATGGGAGAAAGATTGAGCGGGCGACGATGCACCACGTTGCGATCGATGATGTCGACGAGGCTCCCATCCTCGTCCATCTGCCCCAGGCCATCGACTTCATCGACGAAGCCCTCAGACAGACGTGGCTCGACGAGGGTGAAGGGATAGAGCAAGGCGGCCAATGGGCCACCATGGGCGAGGGCACAGTCATGGTCCACTGCCAGGCCGGTGTGTCGAGAAGCGTAGCCGTGAGTCGCCAGAGGAAGAGCCCATCTTGCCCTGCTTTGTCCTCTTGCTGATCCATATTCGACCATTTTTCCCCTTTCTCTTCTAGATTGTTACGGCATACCTCATGAAGACACGAAGGCTTTCGCTCAAGGAGGCCCTGGCCCTGGTGCAATCGAGGCGTAGCCAGGCCGGCCCCAATGCCGGCTTCATGCACCAGCTCGAGCTGTACGAAGCGGCGGGCTGCCACGTCGACCTGCGCAACCAGCAGATCCGTCGCTTCCTCATGTCGCAGGCCAGTATCCTCCGTGGCGATCCCATCGAGGATGTGCTGCTGAGCTACTACCCCACGCCGTCGCATTCGCCTGCTCCCTCGTCGTCTTCCTCGTCCAACTCTTCGCCCCTGCAGCACGGCGGCTTCCTCGCCTTTAGCCCCTTGGATAGCGCCGTCGCTGCCTCCTCGTCCTCGGGAGCAGAGGAGGCGCCCAAGCGCTTCAAGACCGTCAGCCACAGGAGCAGCCCTGCCATGTCTCGCCAGACCAGCAGCAGCGGCGGCGGCGGCGGCGGCGGCGGCGGTAACTCCATTGCCGTCGCCATGTCGACGACGACGTCATCGTCGTCAACAACAGCATCAACATCGATAAAGGCGAGGCCGAGGCGCTACTCGTCTCCGACCCGCAAGCGCGATGGCATCCGAGGTATCGACCTGAGCATCACGCCCTCGATGCCGCCCGCTTCCACGTTTCTTCTCGACGAGTCCAAGTCGGGCCAGTCGGACGAGGTCGAGGAGGAGGGCGCAAAGAACTTCAGGGATGCCTTTACCTCGATCCTCGAGCCGTTTGAAGTCATGGTCACAAAGGGCCGCGGCAGGCTGCCGGGGGGCGTGGAGGCGCTGCGGGGAAACGAGGGAAAGAGCAACGTGGGCGCGCTGCCCAAGCCCCACTACCGAGACCGCAAGCTGAGGTGCAAGATGTGCAGGCGCGAGCTCGCGGCCAGAGACCACGTCGTCGAGCACGAGGAGGGACGGGGGCAAGAGGCATTTGCGGTCAGGAAGAGGGGCAAGGACGAGGCAGAGAGGCAGAAGCAGCTGCGGACGGCCGTGCCCGGCGGTGGTCGTGCTTCTTCTGTCACAAGAAGTGCAGAGACCTTGGAGCAGAAGTTCGGAGCGCAGCTCAGACCAGAGCAGCAGCAGCAGCAGCAGCAGCAGTCGCCAACGCAAACAGACGAAGAGGAGAAGACAGCAGCCCAACCATCATCACAAAGCAACGGCAATGCGAGGCCAATTCAGTCGGCTGCCAGCCTCACGTCGAGCCTGCCGCCTCAGCTTGCTGCCTTGCGACTCGGGCGTGCTGGCGGCGTGCCGACTGCTGCTGCCCCAGCTGATGCGAGCGCAAAGGCAGATGGCGAGACTAAGACGAAGGAGTTCACAGAGGAAGAGCTGCTGCCCCGGTCGAAGGATGCGTCGAGACGGATGCTGCATTCGCCGCAGTGCAGCGCCTACTTCGTCGAGCCACTCGCTTGGATGCAAGGTCTGCAGCACGGTGAGATCTCGGGCAGGCTCGTTTGTCCCGCGCCGAGGTGCGGTGTCAAGCTCGGAAGCTGGGATTGGGCGGGCATGCAGTGCGCATGGTGAGGCATGCTTCTTTCGCGTTCGCATTTGACCATTTAGCTGACGATGAGACCCAACAGCGGTGCATGGGTCACACCGGCGTTTGCATTGCACAAGTCAAAAGTAGATGAAGTTTGAAGAGACCTCGAGAGATGCTGTAGTAATAGTAGTAGTAGTAGTAGTAGTAGTAGTAATAGAGAGGACTCGCATATGACATGAACAGAGCCTTGCAGTGAAGTTGATGATGGATGGCGATGTCGACGACGATGATGATGATGTTGAATAATGACACTTTACTTCTAGGAAGGGGGTGCATCCTTTGCTCTGCCAAAGGTGAGTCCGTAGCCGAAAAAGTCCTGTCCCTTCTCCAGCGTCGGCCAGCTCTCGCCCTGGACCTTCTTGACGAGGATGAGGTCGACTTTAAAGCGCGAAACGGTAAAGGACGACGCCCCTGCGTCAATGTTGGCAAAGGGCTCCAGCGTCTTGTTGAACCGCCTGCCCGTCGTCGAAGTCGCGGGCACCGGAGGCAGAGAGAGGGAGAAGACGACTGCCTCGTCCGACAAGTCGATCTTGCTCTTTGGCATGTCGACGCCTTTTGCATAGACGGTCACGCGGACGTCGGCGGGTGTCTCATAATGGTCGATCCGGCAGTCGACCTCTTCCTCGTCGAGCTCCTGACCAGGCACGCTCGGGAGCTTGCCCAGCCTGCGAGAAGATGAGTCTTTGAAGAGATGGCCGCGCTTCGCCTGTGTACAGGGCTCAATGTTGAGGAACTCGTCGAATTCAAGGACGCGGCGGCGACAGCATGTATAGCCCTGATATACCAGAGGAGAGTCAGCTATCGTGCTGATCACAGAAAGGGCTCGCACGTACTACACACCTTTGAGCCTTCGTGGAAGATGGCAGTGCCCTTGTGGTAGCGGCAGTCCTCTGCTGCCTTGTTCCTCTTTCCACCTTCGAAAGTAGCCTTGCACCCGTTTCTTTTGCACGTCGAGCCGGCGGCAATCTCGTCTGTGTCGTCGTCTTCCTGCTCCTCCACCTCTTTGGGCTTCGTTGCCGCCTTCGCAGCCGCTGTTCTGGCTATGGTCTGCGTCCCTGTTGCTGCTGACAAAGCACTTGCGCCGCTCCCATAGACTTCAGTCCCATTCGCTTCAATCTTCACTGGCCCGCCCGCACTCGAGCTGCCTGGCCCGCTGCCCGCGACAGCCGCCGCCGAGGAAGATCCAGAGGCTGGGACCGCCTTTTCCTTCTTCACATTTGTGTGCACCAGCTCTGTCGTGCATCCCTTGATTGCAAGAAACTCGTCAAAGTCGAGCACGGGCTTGTTGACCTGTTCGCAACATGACCACGACTTGCGACCCTCGTGGAAGATGGGCGCGCCGGGGTGGTAGACGCAGGGACCCGCGCTCGACCCGGCAGACGTGGAGGAAGAGGAAGGGTCAAAGTCGACGCCGCAGCCTGGTCGTGTGCAAATGACCATGATTGAAAGCGTCCGGGGGTTGCGTCTTGGCAAGTGGTCAAGACCAGAATCTCGAATGGCTTTTCGAGAATCGGAGGTGTCGTGCGGAGAAAAAAAAAAAAAGCCCAACAAACCACGTGGCCGGTCGCTTCGCGATGACCGAACCGGACGAGACAAGTGAGGGGGCGTGAAATCCGTCTCACCATCATCGCCATTGACCACGACGCGCAGCAACCATGCCGTCGCCACCGAAACCGTGGGAAAGGGCGGGCGCATCTGACGCTGCCTCTGCTGCGAGTTCGACTGCCGCTACGACGACGACGACCCCTGCAGCGACAGCGGTACCTTCGATCCCAGAGCGACCTAGCACGCTCGGCGCATCCACTACGATGGCAAACAATGCCCTAACAACGAGTGAGCATGGCACTGTGCACTGAACTGCTCTCGTACTGACTCTCATCCCTACAGCGAGCCCCTATGGAGCCACCTCGGCATATGGCTCGCCTTACTCCTCAGGCTACGGCGGTCTAGGGTCCACGTACGGTGGTCTTGGCAGCAGCTACGGCTCCCCGTACTCACGCATGGGCATGGGCGGGATGGGAGGTTATGGAGGTTACGGAGGCGGATATGGCAGCTACGGAGGCTATGGAGGCTACGGAGGCATGGGAATGGGCATGGGAGGGATGGGCATGGGTGGCATGGGCTACGGAGGCATGAACGGTATGCCCGGTCAACCTGGAGACATTTCCCTCACCCAACGCATGGAGTCTGGCACCCAAGCGACATTCGAGCTCATCTCCTCCATCGTGGGCGCCTTTGGCGGATTCGCACAGATGCTCGAGTCTACCTTCATGGCCACTCATTCGTCCTTTTTCGCAATGGTCGGTGTTGCGGACCAGTTTGCGCACCTGAGAAACTACCTTGGACAAGTTCTCTCCATCTTTGCGCTGGCCCGATACCTCAAAAACCTCTTCCTGCGCGTGACGGGACGGGCGCCCGCCATTGATCTCGATCCGCGCGAATTCAAGGACTTCGCCGCCCACGCCGGCCAGGCTGGTGCCAATGGTCAAGCCAAGGCGAGACCGAGCAAGAGGCCGCTTGTCGTCTTTTTCCTCGCCGTCGTCGGTCTTCCCTACCTCATGGGCAAGCTCGTGCGGCTCATCACTGCGCGACAGGAAGAGGAGAGGCTTCGTCTCGAGAAGCAGGGTCTCTTGCCACCGGGTCAACAGCAACAGCAGCAGGGCATGCTCCCTGGCCAGCAAGGCGGTGGAATGATCTCTCAGCAGCAACAGGAGGCCGCGCTGGACCCGAGCAAGCTGACATTTGTCAGGGCGCTGTATGCCTACAATGCCGCCGATCCGCTCGAACTCGGTATCAAGCAAAACGACATTGTCGCCGTTCTCAGCAAAACGGATCCGCAAACCGGTCTGGAATCGCAGTGGTGGAAGGGTAGGACAAGGGATGGACGTGTGGGCTGGTTCCCCAGTACGTGAGTAAACAGATTTTTTCCAAGGCATTCTATATGCGCACCCGTTCTCTGACTAATATGAATATTACAGCTACGTCGAGTCGCTCGAGACAGCCAAGGAGCGGGCAGCAAAGGCGGCTCCTGGCGAAGCAAAGGCGGTTGATGCGGCCCCTGCAAAGGCGCTGCCGAAGCCTACTGCTACGGCGGCTTCCTCCTAGATGAACGTTGCAGGACTTGCTACTTTTACCTCATTCTCATTCTCTCGCTGATGTATCAACAATTCTTATGGTTACCTTTTTAAATCTTTGGTGTATCGTCGCACCGTGCTGATACATTCATTACACTCCTGTCTTCCTTACGACGGTGATCGGCGAGTCTTGAGATGGCTACTCGTCCGAGTCGATCGCGCAATTCTCTTTTCACTATTCGGGGATTTCATGACCACAACACCATCTGCTCTCATAGTCAATTTTAGGGGACAGATGCACAACTGACGATCCATTGCAAGAGAAAGCCATAAGCCAAGAATCTTACGCAAATCTGCGACTCTTGACAACATTGCTGCTGATACCACTCGCCTCGCCCGAGTAGCCACCCTGCAAGCTGTTCTGGCCACCCTTGAAGACGGGCCGCGTCGACGAGAGCTTCTTCTGCGCCTGGTCGTACTTCTGGCGCTTCTTGACGCGCGGGTTGCGCGAGGCCTTGTTGCGGCGCGGCGTCAGGCCGCGGTTCTTCTCGATTGCTCGGTCGATGCCACGGTGGTCGCCCGCCTCGCCCGCTGCCTCGCTCATCAGCTCGTCGCGCAGGGCAAGCTTGGCGGCATCGTGCTCCTCCTTCTTCTGCTTCTTGGCCGCGCGCTTGCCGCTTACCACGAGGTCGTAATAGTCGGCCGCACCGGCGTCGTCGTCGTCATCGTCGTTGGGCTTGGACGACAAGGCGCCGGCTGCATTGCCCTCGACACCCATGACGTCCCTCCAGTCCCTCGTGTCTGCCTCGCCCCAATCACCGCCGTCGAGATCGAGACCCTCATTGTTTGCTCCGTCCTTTGCGGCCCGCTTCGCAGCGGCCTGCTGGACGGCCAACCTGCTCCGCTCTCGGTCGCGGTAAGGAATGTCGGTGTCGCCACCGACCGAAGGCCCGCCCAGCTGCTGCTTCCTCCTGGCGTCTCGCGCATCAATCTGGTTGGTATGGAAGCGGAGCGACTTCTTTCGCGCCTCCTTGTCGAGCGAATCCGAGGCCGACAGCGCTGTAGGCTCACCGAGGCCGTCAAATGCCTCCTCGTCAGACACTGTCCGTTTCACTCCTCGTTTCTTCTTGTTGCTGCTGAGGGACGCGGCCAAGTCGCCCACCAGCTCATCTTCATCGAGGTCGGCCAGTTCGGCCAGCGGAGGTGCAGGCTCCTTCGCGCCCTTTTTGCTCTTCTTTTCCTTCTTCTCTGATCGCGCAGAAGTTGCAGCTCCCCTCGAGAGTGTGCTTTCCTTCTCCGACAGCTGTTTCCTACCCTTCTGCACCTGGGACGGCAACTTCGATTTTGTCTTGGGGACGGCATTCTCTTTTTCTTCCGCTGCGAGTTGAGATAACTCGTCGTCCTCGAGGCTTCCTAGAGAGACACTCCCATCATCGGAGCCCTCAGCGATGGGCGCCGCTTTGATGTCATCGAGGTCCATGCCTTCGTCTTCATCTTCCTCCTCCTCTTCCTCCTCTTCCTCCTCCTCCCCTACCTCGCCTCCATCGGATCCAGCCCCGAACCCGTAGTCCTCCATGACTGAAAGCCCCTTCTTGAGCTTCATGAGACGCTCGAGGACGGGATGCGACTGCAGCTTCGTGGGGTCGCTGGCATAGGCGGGCGATGAGCGCAGGTGAAAGTAAAAAGCCAGCGTCGTGATGTAGGTCAGGAGTGTCTGGTGATGGAGTTGCATGAGCCCCATGCTGGGGTCATCTGGATTCTTGGCCATGGCCTCGTTGATTGTCTCGATATTTCTGGAGACGTCATCGACGATGTCGGCAAACTCGCCCGCCAGCGCAATCGTCTCTGGCGTCGTCTTTTGCACCCGGGCCACAAGGAGGGACCTTGCAGCAGGATCCGAAGGCAAGGCTTCCTCCTTGGAGGGCGCGACGGGATCGGAAGCAGCACCATCGAGGTCTCTTCGCCGTTGTTCCCTACTGGAGGCGGTGCCACGCATGCGGTCCTTGCTCACCTCCGCGAGGCCAAAGTCGTCGTCGTCCATGCCCTGCCTCGACTTGGCCTGGAGCCGCTTGACTTCTCTCAGCTCCATCTCCCGCCTCTCCTCCTCATCCATCTCCGAGTCTGAACTGAGGTCCTCGAGATCGTTTGTGCTGTAGTACGATCGCTTGTTTGGACCCCAGCCTTCGCTTGCCACTCTCCTGTCCTCCTCGTCTTCTTCTCCCTCGTTGTCCTCATCCTCTTCGTCGCTGTCTGACTCTACTTGAGGAGCAGCGATCCCCGCCCCTCTTGCCTTTCCTTTTGGTTCATTTGCCTCTTCATATTCATATTCATCCTCGCCCTCCTCGTCCTCGTCCTCCTCTTCTTCGTCCTCACTTCCATCCTCGTCGGCGCCCTTCAACCCGAGGACTTCCCTGCCACCTCCGAGGGCGTCTGCGAAGCAGGATCTCGTGAGCCACGCATTGATTCAGGAAAAGCCAACCTAGCATGACCTACCAAATTGATCCTCGTCCCCGCCTTCGTCATCGTCGCCAAAGACGAGCTTGTCGCGCTGCCTGTGGAAGGCGTCTTCATCGTCGTCGGGAATATCGTCTTCGTTCTCCCACCGCGCCAGCGAAGCCGTCGAGGCGTCGACTCTCGAGCGAGGCGAGCCGCTGTTGTTATTACCTCCGCGGGCAGAGCTGCCGCTACTCGGCTTCGGCCTGCTTCCTCTGGCCATGTCGATTTGTGGTCGTTGCGAAGAAAGAAGAGGAGCTCGTTCAGCCGTCTGCCGTGAGCCTTCGAGGAAATTTTGAGCTTGAAACCTTTTTTTTTCTTTTTCATTTCTTTCTCAAAAAAATTGTGTCACTTAGGGTCAGGTTGGTCATAATCTTTGCACGGACCACCATGGATGTTGACCCCCTTAAAGGGGAAGTGATTGGTCGCTGTTACCAACCTCTAATCACTTCTCTCATCTCAAGACTCCTAGATGACAAGCAACAGCAACGGTGTCGGCGGCACCAGTGGCAGCGGCAGTAGCAGCAACGCTCCATCGCAGCCGAGTCGGCACCATGCGCCGTCGTCGTCGTTCACGGGTGGTACTGGCTTGGCGTTTGGGAGCAGTAATGCGCCTCCGCCCTCTCAGCTTCCCCGGGCAGGAACTTCGATAGGCCACCACTCGTCTTCAGCGAACAACGTCGGAAACGGGAGTCCCCGTACCGCTGCTTCGAGCGCTTCCTCTGCACTTTCAGGCAGCACCGGCACATCAGCGCCAACTACCCGCCCGTCGACGACTAGCATCTCCAATGGAGCGGCCGCCTCTGGCAGCAATGGCAGCAACGGCGGTAGTACTGCAGGTGGCGGTGCCAGAGGGCCAAATCCCATGCCAGCGTCTGCAATTCGCCGCACTTCGGCTCTCTACCCTACATCTTCTTCCGCACAGGCGTCGTCTTCGTCAACGGCGCCTGCTACGAATCCATCCGCAGCGGGGCCAACCGTGACGGCGGCTACCCAACTCTCGACCCAACCACATTCCTCTGCGGGGCAAAGCCACAGCATGTTCCTTCCAAACTACTCTTCTCAGCAGCAGCAGCAGCAGCAGCAGCCGAGCTCAAGCAGAGGTCAGCCAATGAATGGCTTCGCGGGTGTGCCTGCAAACAGCAGTCTCTTTGGTCTACCTCAGCCCAGCTACGGCAGCCAGACACGGACCTTCCCGTCGGTCTTATCGTACCAGCCGCTGGCCGCAGGAAACGGCTCACCGCGGGCAGCATTAGGAGGCGGCCACAGTTCGCCCGCTCGAAATAGTAGTGGCGGACCAGGCGCATGGCCAGGCGGGGCCTCGAGTGCTGGTGTCGGTGCTGGCCCTGGTCCTGCTGCCGCAGCTGCAGCTGCTGCCGCCGGGGGATACGGTACGCCGCTTCCGTGGATGTCTGGGCTGCCCCACTCTTCGTCGCCCGCGAACCAGACCCACACTACGCAAGGCTATGGCTGGTCCCTGGCCGACCCTGCGGGCTGGAGCGGCTGGCCCAGCGCACGGAAGGCGTGCAGTGGCTTCGAGGAGAACCAGATGGTGTCCTTTACATGGACCATTTCGGACGCCCACCTGTTGCGCGAGGAGGTTGAGCACTCGCCCCTGCCCTCGGAGGGCGGTCGTTCGGTCAGTGCCGGCGCGGGCAAGAGCGAAGTTTGGACGACGCAGCCCCTGTTTGGCGACGGCAAATGGAAGCTGGAACTCGTCAGGACGAGCAGAGCAAAGCCGCAGGAGAACCAGGATGCAGGTGCTGAGGAGGGTATCGCTGCTGGCAAGAACGACCAGGAAGACCAAGGCAATAATAATGAAGAAGGGAGCGATGATAAAAAGGTCGACAACAACAGCCTGACGGTCTTGTCCATCTATCTTAGTGAGTAGACTTTTGCATCATTGTCGAGACCGTCGATCACTTATATTGCTTTGCACTCCCTTGAATTTGACCAGCCTCTGCCCAGCTCGACTACGCGCAAGCCGACGTCGAGATTCCCACAGCAATCATGTTTGGCATTCGTCCTGCGCGCACCCAGGCAGGGCAGGACAGCAGCCGAGGCGGTCCCTGGCTGTGGCGCCATTTCACTCGTCACGTCTTCAAGCGCGAGGAAGAGTACGTCGAGTGCCACTCCTTGCCCTCGATCAGCGAGCTTCTCTGCGACGAGGCCATTGCCAAGCAGGACGCCTTTGCCATTACGGTGCAGATCGGCACTGGTCCCGGAACAATCTCGCCGCTTGGCTTAACCCCAAGCTCTGGCCTTGTCAGTGCGACCCAAGGCGAAGAAGGAGAGGAAGGAGAAGGAACACTGCCGTTTGTTGTCAAGGACAAGCAGCTCGTGCCAAGATCGCTCATGGATGGCCTAGAGGAAATGATTGACAGCGCAGCAACTGGCGATGTCATTCTGATCGTTCGTGAACGTGGCATCGTCGTGAGGCAGGCAGTCGATGGTGACGAGACTGCCTCGCACATTGTGCCGCTTCCCGTGGGCCAGCCGATGCCTGCCTCGGCCCTTCCATCCGCTACGGCAGCAGCAAACGAAAGCATCGTGGAATCTCAAGACGATGAGGGCCCTGAAGTTGTCGTTCGAGACCGGGTCCTATGGGCCCACTCCTCGATCCTCTGCTCTCGGTCTGAATTCTTCCGTGACATGCTCGGCAGCCACTTTCTCGAGGGTCAGTCACAGACTCTCCACGGTGGTGGAGAGCATGTGCCAGCGGACGCGATGCCGACATCTGCGACATCGACGTGGCACGAACAGTTCGGTAGGCGGTTCAAGGCGCTTCGAATCCCTGATGCCGACTTCACGGCAGCATACTGGCTTCTGCGCTACCTCTACCTTGAAGAGGTCGAGTTCATGGAACACGAGGATGTCAGGAGCACCTTGGATGAGGAGTGGATGATCCTTGGCAGCGATCATGGTGACGAGAGGGGATCTGGAGCAGGGACGACGACGAGAAGGCCGCTGTGGGAATGGAGAAGCATCAACGACATCAGGCACGGCGCTGCTAGACAAGACCAGGCAATCCAGGTCGGAGGAGGACACGAGCTGGGCGCACATCCAGGAACATCCGGCCTGTATGCGGGGCCTAGGTCGGTGTCGTCAAGGCACAGCCTGCATTCGATGAGCTCTACCGCGTCCGGCACTGAAACAGCTGTTGGAGCGGGAGGGCCAGCAAGCCCAACGATGACAACGACGACTCCGACGGGGAGGCGCTCGGCCGGCGGCTCATACCACGATGTGAGCCCCTACCCTCGTCGTCCGGGCGAATGGGATCCTCGGAATCGCGCTTCTGTTTCCGAGTCCTTGCCCTTTGCCGAGACAAGGACAGAGCCGAGACAAGATCATGGCGACAGCTTGGGTGATGCTCTTCGACGAGACCCCCACCCCCATCCTGCAAAGAGGGCCTCACCAGCGAGCGCCCTTGGCCTGTACCGTTTGGCACACCGGTATGGCCAACGAGGGCTGTGCAGCTTGGCCAAGCAGCACCTCGTCGCGTCCCTCACCCCGCAGTCGTGCTTCTCCATCCTCCTCGCCACGCACCTGTATGCGGACCTGCACGAGCCCGTCAAGGCTTACGTCCTCGAAAACTGGCATCTGGTCTGCACCACGGCCGAGTTTGAGCGGTGCTGCGACGAAGTCAGTGAGGGCGAGTGGGGCAGCGACGCCGGTCGGGCGTTGCGCGTGTTTATGCGGAGCCTTGTCAGTCCTTCTTCGACGTCAGCAGCTGCCTCTGCAGTCACGTCCTCTGCGAGCGCGACGGCCAACTCCGCTGCTGGTCTGCCCTTCTCCTCCTCGTCTTCCTTTCGAGGCAGGTAGGTAGAAGGTTGACCAGAAGCGGCTACTGCAACCATAGAAGGAGAGGTAGGGAAGGTGTATTGCAATGAGAGATTGAATGTATGATTTATTCCAGGATAATGTACTTTTGGAGATGCTGAGGAATGGCGCTCTCGAGCTCCTTTGACTGGAGCCACTTGCGGCTGAAGAGGCGGTTCTGGTAGCGGTAGGCGCCATCGCAGAGAATCGTGACGACGTTGCTGCCCTTGCCCAGCGCTTTTGCCATTTTGGCAGCGGCGACGACATTAAGCGCCGAGCTTGCGCCGATGTAGATGCCCTCCTCGTCGAGGCAGCGGTACACCATCTCGATGCTTTCTGCGTCGGGCACGTGGACGCTACCATCGAGCTTCTCAATGTCTGGCTTGAGGTTGTCTGTCACACGGCCCTGGCCGATGCCCTCGGTGATGGAGCCGCCCTGCCGATCCATGAGTTCGCCACCGGACTGGATGTAGGAGTGCAGCACACTGCCCGGTGGGTCGGCCAGCCAGCACTTGACCCTGCCCTGGCTCTTTTCCTTGAGAAAGGCCGTCACGCCAGCCAGGGTGCCGCCGGTGCCCGTGGCGCAGACGAAGCCGTCGAGGTTGCGGCCGTCGTCGGTCTGCTCCCAGATCTCCGGGCCGGTCGTCTCGATGTGGGCCCGCCGGTTGGCGACATTGTCAAACTGGTTTGTCCAGACGGCATTGTCGAGCCGCTCGGCGTGGCGCCGGGCCTGGTGGTTGTAGTTTTCCGGATTGTCAAACGCGACGGCGGGGACGGGGTGGACCTCTGCGCCGAGCATGCGCAACAGGTCGATCTTTTCCTGCGACTGCGTGTTGGGCATGTAGATGACGCACTTGTAGCCCTTGCTCCGACAGACGTGCGCCAGGCCGATGCCCGTGTTGCCTGCAGTCCCCTCGACGACGGTGCCGCCGGGCTTGATGAGGCCCTTTTCTTCGGCGTCCTTTACGACGTACAGCGCCGCTCGGTCCTGCGTCGGGTCAAGTTTTAGAACTGCTCAGCTTTCTAGCTCTTGCTCCTGCAGCAAAGAGGAGCCGCACTCACCTTGACGCTTCCTCCCGGCTCCATGAACTCGGCCTTGCCCAGGATGTTGGCGCCGACCTCGTCGCTGAGCTTGTTGAGCCGGATCAAGGGCGTGTTGCCAATGGCGCCGACGAAGCCATTGACGGGCGCCATGTGTGCAGCGGCGACCTTGGGCAGCTGTGAGAGGGAGCGGGAAAAGGCCTGTGGTGATGCGCGCGAGGGTAGCGCTGTGCGGAGCAGTGGGCGCGGAAGAAGCCTGGCAGCGGCCATTTGCACGCGGAACCAAGTCGGTGAAGGAGATAGGGCGAGATGGGAAGGGGAAAAATAAGAAGATGCGCTGCCCTCCCTCCACTGGCGGCGCGCGAATAAATCATGCGCTCGGCCGGAGCAACCAACAAATAAGAGAGAGGCGCTAGGCTAGGACGCGCTAATATGTAGAGGCGAAGGAGAGAGACGCACACAACCACCACGATGGCGTCACCGCATGGGGGAGCGAGCCCGATGCAGGCGGCCATGATGGGCGTGGCGTCGGGCAACGCGGCAGCTGGGCCCTCGAATCTGGTGGCTGACCAGCTCAAGTCGCCCGACGACCTGGCCAAGATTGCAGCGCTGCGAAAGAAGCTGCAAAAGGAGCAGGCCTCGCTCTCGGCCAAGCTCAAGACGGGCGCAAAGGACCAGCTCGAGGCTACGCGGGACGGCTTGCTCAAGCTTCAGGCGACCAGGAAGGACGTGGCCGGTATCCGAGAGGCATTCGCAGATGTCGAGTCGCTCTGCGGCGACGCAGTCGAAGGGAACGAAGGTGCTGGCGTCGCGGCATCCTCCTCGTCGAGAAAGTCAGTTGCAACGACAAAGAGCTTCCGCGTCATTAGCCAAGTCTCGCAGATCCACCGAAACTTTGTCCAGACGGCCACCACACTGGACCGCCTATCGAAGCTGCCAGCAAGAATCGAGGCGCTGGCAGGCATGCTCGAACAGGCGCAGTCAGACCTCTTTGGCCCCGCAGAAGAGCTTCTACCGCTCCACTACCACATCAGCAACCTCGAGGTATTTCGAAACGAGACCTTACAGCTGGGTCGGTCGTGCTCCTCCGACGTGCGCTCCACGCTGGCCGAGTACTTTGCGCCCCTAGACGGTCTCGTCAAGTCCTTTGACGACTACCTCTTGGCCCTCTGCAAAAACACAATGGACCTCGTCAGGGAGGGTAGGGGCACCGTCGTGGTCAAGGTCATCAAGATCATCGAAAAGGAGAGCCGCGAGGATGAGCGGGCTGCAGCAATTCGGCTGGCGAAAAAGGCCAATCTCGAAGGGGCCGCGCGCTTCCAGAGCGTCGTGGCCAACGCCAGAATCATCAAGCTCTACCGGCCCAAGCTCGTCGAGGCCATGGACGAGGCCACTGCCGAGCTCTTCAACGAGTGCTGGCAGCGATTCGGCAGCGCAGGCGACCACATGGACTTCCTCGGCCATCTCGACTGGATCTACAAGGACCTTGCCTTTGTCCAAGAAGAGATCGTTGGCCTTTTCCCGCCGGATTACAACATTCTTCGCACCTTCGTGCGGTCTTACCACAAGCATCTCGGCGCGCTTCTACGTGAAAAGATATTGGCGACGGATCCCGAGGCAAGCGCTCTCCTGACCCTCTACCAATTTACCCAAGAGTACCAAAAGACAATGACGAAGGAGCTCGGCGTAGAAAAGGCCTGGCTAGAGCCTAGCCTGCTGGCGGGCCGCGAGCAGAGCATCATCGACGACTATCTCGGCCTCATCACTCGCAAGATTGATGAGTGGACGGCGAACCTCATGGCAGACGAAGTGCGGGCGTTTGTGGCCAGAGAGAGTGCTCCAGACGAGAGCGCAGAAGGCCTGTACGGCCTGCAGTATGCCGCCATCCTCTTCCAGATGGTCAACCAGCAGGTCGAGCTCGCTGCCGACTCTGGACAGGCCGCCGTTCTCGTTCGTGCCACGTCGCATGCGTGCCAGGCCATGCGCTCTACGCAGGCCACCTGGCTGCGCGTCCTCGAGCAGGAGTTTAGGAAGCAGCGCGAGGCCAAATCGCCCGAGGAAGTCACCGAGGGCCTTGTCGAATATGTGATCGCGCTGGCAAATGACCAGCTCAAGAGCGCAGAATATGGCGAGGGCCTAATGTCTAAGGTCGAGAGCCTCGTCTCGGCAAAGTACAAGGCGCAAATTCGCGAGACCGTCGACGAAGCCATCAATGGTTACCTCGACGTGAGCAAGCGCTGCACTCAGGTCCTTGTCGATCTCGTCTTCTTTGACCTGCGTCCGGCGGTCAAGGAGCTCTTTGTCTTCCCGCAGTGGTACGCAGAAGGAACGACGACGACGATCGTCGAGACGATTCGCGACTACACGTCCGACTACTCTGAGCGGCTCAACCCGAACCTGTTTGATGTCCTCTGTGACGATGTCATTGACCGCTTCCTCACGGCCTACCTCGCTGCGATGCGCAAGGCCGGCAAGCTGAGGATGCCTGCGGCAGGCGAAAGGCTGAGGGCCGACATCGACGAGACCGGCGCCATGTTTTCTGGCTTCAAGACAGCCGAAGAAGTCCAACAGAAGATGGAGGTGCTTCATCTCATGTGAGTGGTGGCTCCATGTCTCATCCAACCAAGGTTGTACCGCTTCCTAACTCAACCCTCTCATCCCCCCACAACAGCCTGTCTATGCTGACATCTTCATCCACGATGGTCTTTCTGTCCTACTGGAACTTCGCAAAGGCTCATGGACCGCAACTCAATTTCGTCGAGGCCCTCATGCGGGCGCGCGACGATCTGGACAAGGCAGACGTGCAGGCGATCATGGAATCGGCGAGGCGAAAGGTCAAGCAGGAAGGCATGCCGGAGGTCCCACCGGGTGGCATCACCGTCGTTGGCCGAGTCGAGCAGGCTCATGCCCAGGGTGGCTTCTTCGGCATGGGCACAAAGAAGATGGCTGGCCCTGGTGGCATGGCGCTTGGTGCGGGCGGCCCTGGCCTGGGTGCCTCTGCCGACGGCTCTGCAGGCGGCGGCTGGAGCGCATTGGCGGCCAGCGCAAACTTTTTGGGCAGTCAGTGGAGGGGCGCAGCCGACAAGAGCGCCATTCCCCCCGTGTCGGCCTCGCACTGATCCCCACGTCGTCCTCGCTTTGGGCCCTTTCATCTGTATTTGTACTGTACGAACTAGCCACCTGCATGAAACTACGGCTTTTCTCTCTCTTACTCTTGTCCAGCTTCTTGTCTTGTTTTCACGCTTGCATTTGCTGTCCTGGCACATAATAGTACAAGTGGGGTAAGATTGGGAGTGGTGACTGTTTGGATGGCTATGATGGGTCTCTATGGCTCGTCTGCCGGCTCCTTTCGGAAGCTGTTGGTGTTTAGGCGGGCCTCATTAGCTTAAGCTCGAGGAGCGGGGCAGCGAACGAGGGAACTTACTATAGGTCGATGGCGCCGCTGAAGGCCGCAAAAGCGATTCCGCCGCCTACGATTGCCTTTGGACCCGACTGTCTCGCGAGGATACCACCGGCAACGAAGCCTGCTAGGACAGGGTTCCAGATGTCGTTCTTCGCTCGGTACTGTTTTATCCCCCACTCTCGTCGTCAGTACACTACACGCAACGAAATGAAATGACGACAATGCAGGAGACTCACACCCTCGATGCAGCACTCAACACCGCTGTATAGCGCGCCGACTTTGCCGAAGCCCTTTGCGCTCCTGTACATGCCCCTGCCCGTCTCCTTGAAAAACTCCTTTGTCTGCTGCGCCGTCGTCTTTTCCGGGGGCAGCGGCAGGCCCTTTTCAGAAGCCTGGAGCTGCGCCGCAGCCAGGTGGCTCCGCCGCAGGGGATCATCAACGGAGAGGGAGCTAGAGAGGAGCGAAAAGAAGCCGCCCAGGGCGAAACCGGCGGCGCCCGAGAGGACGCACTTGACGGGGCACGACTCCATGCCCGTCGACATCAACGTCTGGTAGTACTTCATCTGGGCCAGCTGCGCCCGGTCAGACTCGTTGGCGCCAGGCGGAAGCGGCTCCTGGCCCGGCAGGTAGATCGGCGCAGTCATCGGAAGCTGCGTCATCGACATCTTGAAGCCGTTTGCCTTTTCTCTCCGGTGAACGGTCGGTCAAAAGAGGAAGTTCTCGTCGCGAGAGTAGGGCGGGCGACTTTAAAATTTCGAGCACTTGTAGCACACGTGATTTCGCAGCGATGACGATGATGGTGACGAGACAATGTTAAGGTTGGCGCAGGATGCTACAAGTACAATTTGAGACGGGAAGGCTACCAACGAACAAGATCGATGACTCTGCCCACTCCTCGGGTCGTCTTCCAAATCGTCTCGCAATTCCCACCACTTTTGGTGACCTGTTCTTCGAAAGCTGAAAGACCTCCGCCCACACCAAAGTAGAGGACCTTTGCAGCCACTAAGCAAAGCGTCTCCTGTTTTTGGCTCTCTTCTGATTCGGATCCTGGCTTTCGCGCGCCTCCTGCTGCTGCTTGGAGTGCATCGACGAGGATGGGCAATGTCTCGAGCGAGTAGATCGTCTCAGATGTGACGACCACATCGTGCTTTCCCGCAGACGGTGTCGTGAGAGCGCCGGCGTCTGCTAACCCTTGCCATGGTCCTGAGAAGAACCGCAAAGAGATTCTGCGAGCTTCCAGTGCACTCTTGAATGAGTCGATGGTCTCGTCGTCAAGCTCTACGTCGCCTGAATCAGCGTCTTGATGAGGATTTGACGGCGAAAAGTACCAGGCCAAGAAGAGATTGGGTAGTGTCACCTTTGGTCAGACAGGAATGTTCAGCTGTTGTCAACTGATTCATGGGGAGCGAAGAGGTTGAAGAAACTCACAAGCTTTAGTGCCTGCTCGTTGAAGTCGCAGAGCGTAAAGGTTGTTTCTTTCTTCTGGCTATCATCCTTAGGTGGTTCCAGAGCCAAGAGATCGGAGAAAAGGTAGAGACATGGGACGGCCGTGCCGCAACCGAGCTACAAGGTCGTCGAGATGAGTTCACGAGAATCACTGCTGGGTATATGCGACTCACCTCCAGGACACTCTTACCGTTAACTGGTGTCGCGCGCTTCTTGAGCACCTGCACCAAGTCCAGGGAGCATTCCCAAGTCTTGAGACCGCCTTCATACACTCCAGGAACGAGGTCGGAATCTGCTCCAGCGCTCCACTTGCCTTCTCCTTGCTTCTCTTCCTCGTCTTCGCCGTCATTGAGCAGCTGGAAACGGGCATCGAAGAGGTCGCGTCGGTAGACTGTTGCCGCCTCGCCCTCTGTTCCGAGGTCCACTCTGACCTTTGAGTATGAAATCCGCGGGGGAAGATGATAAAGCTGCACATAGATGCGCCCGTCAGCCCATTCCTCTGTTACAATCCTTGAAGATGGTCGGCTTGCTCACCAGATCGTCGAATTTGAGCTCCTTGGCCTCTACCCTCGGTCCCTTTTCTGCAGCTTGCCCCTCTCTCTTGCTGTTCTCGTCTTGCGCATTCCCCGCCTCTCCTCCAAGCCCCAGCTTCTGAATATCTTCATCCAGCTCATCCTCTCCAAAGTCGAAGTTGAACGACGCCATGCTCGCTTTTGCTCTCGGATCCTCTTTAAAGCGCGAGAAGAACCAGAAAAGGGAAAGAAAAAAAAAAAAGTGTAGAGCCAGCCCCTCCACAGTCCGATTTCCGAAGCAGAATCTTAATCTGGACCATTCTTTCCACCAATCGACGAGGGGTGACAAGGGCGAGTGACGATGGCTCGGCCCTCTTCTGGTCAGCTCCAGATGACGCTGGCGCTGATCAAGCCGACCGTGTGCTCATATCAGCCAGACGTCAGCCTCGTACTCAAACACATCAAGTCACAGCCGAACATTGCTGTGAGTAGAATGCCGCTAAGACGCCCTTCCTGACTGACCAACTCCGAGGCCATGCAGGCGGTCCGACAAAAGCGGCTCTTTTGGAAGACAGAAGAGGCTGAGAAGTTCTACGCCGAGCACAAGGGCAGATTCTACTACGACCGGCTCATCGCGGGCATGACGAGCGGGCCGTCAATAGCACTGGCGCTCGCAGGTCCAGACGTCATTAGGCGGTGGAGGGAGATGCTGGGTCCAACCAAAGCATATCGGTGAGTGTGCAATCAGACTCCTCTTCTGTGCCACCCTCCGCTTCGGGCAATATCAGACTGATAGATGCAATGCACTTTCCTACAGCGCAAAGTGGGAGGCCCCCGATTGTCTGCGAGCACGCTTTGGGTTAGGCGACACGCGCAATGGTTTCCATGGCTCAGGTGAGGCTTTGTCGCCGTATCTACCGACATGACATGGCAAGCTCAGGGGCTTCTCCTTTCATTAGATTCACCCGAGTCGGCCAAGAGAGAATTGGAACAGGTCTTCGAGGGCTTCGCTTTCCAGTCCTGGCTAGAAGACGAGCGGGTCACACGACCACTGCTCGGTGACAATGTCTCGCTCTAAGATGATGGTGATTTGACGATCCTGACTGGATATGATACAAATACTGTGTAACTGAGTCTATCTACGACATCCATCTTGCCTTGTATTGCACAACGGGCGTTTCAATAGCCTGTCTGCTCTGCACCACCTTGAGCTCGCGCCTTCGCATCACCTCGACCCTGAATTGTGTGTCGTCGATGTGGGCCGCCTCTCGCTCAGCTTGCGTTGGCAGGGGTTCGCTCGCGGCGATTGCCTCCGACGTCTTGCTCAAGACGCCCTGAAGACCTGCTACGGCTTTCTCCGCGGCCAGCGAGAGATCCGTGTCCGGTGCGCCTCCCTCCTTGGGCTCCTCCTCGTACTTCTCTTGAGAGCTGTTGGACGTTTGCAACTGGAAACGGCCCACGAGCAGGGCCGAAAAGAGGTCACCGACGCCAGAAAAGTACCCCTCGACCTCGGGCGATTGAATGAACCAAGGTCGTTGCTGCCCCTCGTTGCTGCTGCCCACCAAGACCATTGCACCGTTCTTGGCCGAGGTCCCAATGAGATTCAAATCCGATTCCTTGAGGTCGACCGAGGTGATGACGACATGCGGCACCCCACGCTGGTGGATCGCTTGGAGCACCCCGGCGAGCGAATCCAGGTCCGTAATCTCCTTGTCTGCCAATGCCTGTGCTTCAAATTGGTTGGGGCACACGATCGTGGCATAGGGCAGCAAATCCCTGTAGATCGGCAGGCAGCCCTGGTCCACGTAGAAGCCGCGGCCCATGTCACCCATGACGGGGTCCATGAGATAGATAAGCTTCGAATTGATGCGCTTCAGCTTTTGCACAAAAGTCTTGACAGCAGTCAAAGCGGCAGGCGAAGGCGTATAACCTGTGAGAGCGTGCGAATTAGAATAAGCTTTCACTAAGGAGCGATGCGGGGAAGAAGAGAGGGAGGAAGAGGGCACGTTGGCCATGGCACGCAACGTTCGTTCTTCCTCCGAGAACACGTGTGCTGCCATGGCTGGGAGGACCTGACTCACCGCTCAACATGCGACTATGTCGGAGGAGGCCATTTTGCTCCAGCCCGGCAAAAATATTCTCGAGGTGCGCTGCATCGAGACGCATGCCCGTAAAGCGACCATAGCCTGTGTGGTTGCTTAGCTGCGTGGTGTTGACCACGTCTACGTCCCAGCCTAGCAGCTGCAGTGGAAAGGTGGCCGAGCGATTTCCTAGTTTAGTTTTGCACCGATCAGCGTCGTGCGAAACGGAAGACAAAGCTGATCGAGGTGACTCACCCACATAGCCAGTGACGACGTGGCTCTGGACGCTGATGAGCCGCGATGGATCTGGCTGGTTTGCCGCCATTCCGCTTCCTCCTTGATCTTCTTCTTTGCCAGATTGCTCTCGATTCTAGAAGGGCGAGGCTAAAAAGTCAAAAATCCGAGATAGGCTCACTTGTACCGGTATGTGGCTTTTGGCTGGCGGCAAGCACACGTGCCTGTCCAACGCGGGTTGTGGAGCAGTGTCCTCGCTCGACTCAAGGGGCTGTCAGACCGTGTGACGACGGGACTGGAAAGAATGACAGGAGGCAGAGTAGTCCGTCTCTGTCGAATCGATAGGCTCTCCTTGTCACCCCCTTGTATAAAGATCGAGGTCCTTGGCCAATATGAATGTAGCCAGTATTTGTAAAATTTCCACGCCAGCAGGAACGTCGTCTCACCGGCGAGTCGACGATGGTGGATCTCGTTCAAGTCGCTATCTGTAGCTCCTCGAAAGCTCTATCTACTTCGTTCTGGGCGGCGCTCCTTTATTTAATTTATCCAATTTCATTGAGCAAGCAGGCTGGAGCTAGGCGGTGAAGGGCACGAGCTCGTGCCTCATGAACTCTCACTGTGTTGCCAGCTAACAGGACTCCATCGGTCCCTTCTCCATCACTCCCATCCTCTCCGGCATCCAATGAGCCACGCACCGTCCCGCATCGTGTCGCTTACAACCATTTCTGATCCGTCTCGTCGTAATTGTGGCTGGCCAGAGCGAGACACTTTTCTATTTTCGGTTTCTAAACCGTAAAAAAGAGGAAAAAAAAAAAGAAAGGGAGGGCGAGAGAAGTGCCGGCCGCGCGCCTTTGCATCATCGAGGCGATTAAGAACTGTCGACCCGCGGCCAGGCCTGTCTCGGGCTCTCTTCGTTCCACTCTCTCGCGCAAGTCCAAGCGGTAACGTCTTGCCTCCAGAACGTCGCCTCCGACCTGTGCAACGATGGCGACGACGGGGAGAACCAACGAGGGCGCAGCGGGACTGGCCTCGCCAAAGGACGACACGAAGGGTCTGGGCCGATCGGCAAGCCACGGCAATACCAGCGGAGGCCGCCGTCGCGCTGGCGGTGCTGGGGAAGGTGGTAGTCTCGATGACGCCAATGGCAGTGTGGTTGACGCTCACCCTGTTGCCCTGGGGGCGAATTCTGACTCGCCAAAGCCATCGTCATCGTTAGGACTCGGTATGCCGCTTCGACACCACCAAATTCAGCAAAGCGCGACTACGCCTATTTTTGAACTTCAGCAAGACCCTCTCGTTTCTGGATCTTTGCACTCCTCGCCCTCTCATCCGTCCAACGCAAGCAGTGTGACCAGCTTCGTAGATAGCACCAAAAGACAAGAACCGTACAAAGGCTCGTCAACGTTGTCGAGGGCAGCTGCCACGCCCTCACCCATCGACACGAAATTGGCTGGGAGGATGGTGAAGAGAGGGAGTCTCAAAGAGGGAGAAAGGCGACCAATTAGTCCCCAGTAAGTAGTCACAGACGAAGTAGAGCCACAAACAACTGGCTGACTAGTACCTCAAACAGCATAACCTCTGCAACACCGACGGCAGCACGTCATTCAATGACCGCATCCTCGCCTTCGCAGTCCAATAGCGAGCGCAGGTCGTCGGCGGCGCCTAATCTAAGCGACACCCCGCCAAATCGACAAAACAGTCTCAGCCGAGTGGCAGCACACGCGGCGCAAAGTCTCATCGATGCTGTGTCGGGCGTAGGAGGCAGAAGCACGCCGCCGGCGAACGCTGGATATCCCTATCGACCGGACTCGGCGAGCGCAGTTAGCAGGAGACATGTGGCATCTCCCGAGGCGATGGGGTCAGCACATGTGCTTTTCGATGGGACCGGGGAGGACGAGTACTACGACGACGAAAGTGGAAAAGGTCACCGATTCCCTGTGCCACCAGCCCCGCCCCGGAGGTCTAGCGCTGGTCCCTCATCGGGCAGATGGACGCCCACGATACTCACGGGGCTTGCATCGAGGAGAGCAGATGGCGCAGGTTTTTCCCCCGTCAATCTCTTTCACAGCAGCCACCAGAGCCCCCAACACCATCAGCGTCATCACATCATTGACCAGTCTCCGAGGTTCAAGGGCTTGGTCATCGAGCCAGAGGAGATCGAGGAGGAGGAGGAAGCTGCAGGTGCAGCGAATGCGGCAGCAGCAGCATCAGCAGCAGCAGCAGCGTCTGCAACTGCCGCAACAAGCGCACCTACAGTACCGTCAACGATGACCGATGGGCGCAAGACGCCGGCCCACTATCGCCCTCAGTCTTCGTCGAATGCAAAAGGCAGCTATTATCCACCTGCTCCTCAAAATTCCTCAAATTACCGGACAGTGAGCCACCCACTCTCGCACGCACACACCATGTCGACATCTTCGACCAGCAACTCGTCTCACTCCATCCACATGAATTCTCCTCCGCGCATGTCCATGTCGACCAACGCATCGCATTCGAGGCATGCAAGCTTCCAACCTTCGCCGGTTCTACTAGCCTCAAATCCAGCAACAGCCACATCGTCGCCACTTATCGTGCCGCAGGCGAGACGAGGTGCTATGAATCTTAAGAAACCAAGGCGAAGACAGGGACAGCGTTCAAGAAGGGCGCGGTCCTCGCTCGGTGCGTCCAAGCCCATTTCAATTCCGGCGTACAAGCAAGTCTTTCGCGTTGCCAAGGCAATTTGCTTCGCCATCGCTCATCCGATGCAATCTGCTCGGCATGTTGCTGCTACTGGTGCGTCGACTCTTCGCGAAATCGACGACGCTTTTCGGGACCCAAGGACAGGAGCGAGGGTCTGGCGGCCTGCGTGGCTAAGCGCATATGTCCCACTCCTCATCTGGCTCGTTGTCAGTTTGGGTAGCACGTTCACAGTTCTGATCTGGCATACGCAAGTCTTTCGAGCTCTTGACAATCTCTCGACTCATCTTCAGGAGCTAGGAGCGAAGGGACGTGTGATTCTGGGCGCCCTCATCTTCATCACGACATTTCCCCCGCTTCCCCTCTACTCGACGCTCATCGTCCTGTGTGGCTTCAGTTTCGGTCTCGTTCAGGGCTTCATCATCAGCTACATTGCTGCTCTAACGGGCGCCATTGTGGTTTTTCTCCTGAGCCGAAGCCTGTTGCGCGGATGGATGCTGGGCCTTCTCAACCAGAGTGGCGGTCTCAAGAAGGTGGTCAGAGCCATCGAAAAACGTCCCAAACTCCTCTTCCTCGTCCGCTTGGCGCCGTACCCATACAATCTTATGAATACGCTCTTGGCCAGCTCGCCCACGTTAACGCTCAAGACGTACACGCTCTGCACCGCTCTCGCCTTGCCCAAACTTCTGGTGCATTGCGGATTAGGGACCACGATCAAGAACTTTGCCGCCTACAACGGTGCTGGTGGAGGATCTCGAACAGGATCTTCCAACAGTACCATTGGGTCCAACAAGGAAGACTTGCCGAACAGTGATCTATTGTCATCGCCATCCAACGTGACCACAGGCATCCCTGACGACGCATCGGCTTCCGAGATGGCCGAGGTCATCAAGCACGTTGCCGGCTTCCTCGGCGTAGGGCTCTGCGTTGGTATTTTTATTTATCTGTTTACTATCGCGAGGCGTGCTGTCGACGAGGAGCTCGACGAAGACGACGATGGACAAGAGTACGACTTAGTTCTTTCGGAAGAGGAGGAGGAAGATGGTGTTGAAGGCCGGGGAGGTGACGAGGACGACGAGGACGAACTGGATGCCGACAGCCTCTCGATCGGAGGCTATCACGATCAGGACGGTGCTAGAAAGGACAGCGGAGGTTCTAGTACAGATCTTGACGAGCGCAACAACCGTCACTACCGCATCTCCATGTCGGAAAATGCGCCCTCTTCGGTGTCGTCGCCTGTAATGCGCTGCGGCGGTGGCACCCGATTAGCTGCTCCCCCGAGCCAACTTCAAAGTCGTCCTCATCACGAAGTCCACAACCACCGACACCATCCGAGGTACCCGTCGGACGGAACCACGCCCAATTACGTCGCTCCCGTGCCGGGGACCACCTACTTTTCGAGCACCAATCACACCCCGGGCTTCTTTGCCTACGAGAGCAAGAACGACAAAGCGAACGGCGGTGCAGTAGCTGGCGACACCAGTGTCGTATCGCTTGCCGACAGCATAGCCGAGATGGAGAAGCAGGTCGAATGCTCGTCAGACGAGGACGAGACGGAAGGAGATGGAAGAAAGGGTTCGGGACGGAACAATAGCAAGCGTCAAGGACGGCATGGGCGAGCCGAAGAAGAGGAAAACGAGGAAGACGAAGACGAGGATGAGAAGAAATCGTTTCTGGCCCATTCCAGGATGTCCAGAAGGAGCCAAGGCGGGCTCGAGGAGGAATGGGCCTTTGACACCCAACGAGACCCCTCGCGACGGTAGAAAAGGCAGAGAAGGCGCCAACAGCGAGCAAAGCAAGAAAAGACAAAAAAAGAAACACAGCAGAGGTTCCGTTTTCCCTTGTCACTTTACAATACCTCTTCTCTCATCAATGCGAAAGGCTCCCCCTATTCTACCTTTTCGCGTCGCGGACCTGACCTTTGCGAGTGCTTGTCGAACGATAAAAGATCCTTGGCCGTGAGATCAAGGGCTGAAATATACAAGGTATGAGACTGAGGACCTCTGCTCTGGGCTTGTTGACGGACGGAGGAGGCAAAATGATGAAGCATAAAGCCGTGTGTCTATTTGCGACGGGGGGCTCCCCCTCACATGCCAAACATGCCGGTGCCATCGCGGACTTTTGCCACATCGCTCGCTGAGATAGGCACGGGTCAGCAAGAGCATCGCAGGTGCCTTGGGGAAAAATGACATACCGCTGAGGTGAACCTTCTGAGACTGCAAGAAGTCCTCAAAGACTTTGATCTGAGAAGAGGTCGGGTGCTTCCAAAGTCAGAAAGGAGGTAGGCCGGCGATAAGAATATAACCTGGTCCCCACTCACCAATTCGGCTTCGCCCTTGACGTGACCCGGGCTGGGGCTTGGACTGGCGCTTCCGTCCTGCTGTCCGATGAAGCTCTTCTCGAGATAATCTCGCAGTCCGCTCCAAAATTCGACGCTGGTGACGCGGTTGTAGTGCAACCGGCTGATGCTGCTGCCTGCACCGGGCGAAATCGAGGTGTTGCCGGATCCCATGTCGGGTAGCGTCGTCGTTTGACTGTCTGAAGGGGTAATGGGCCGCGAAGAGGAACTGGCCGATGCGCCAGAGAACGACGACTCATCAGGCCCATCAGTCGTAAGAGTCAGCTCGGGAACGGAGACATTGGACGAGGTGGTTCGGTGGTGCACGCGGGCGCCTCGCTGGGCGACTGACGTGTCTAGCATGGCAGGGCGTGCTTTTTCGGTTGGAACGGCGGATGAAGAAGAGGATGAACCAGAGAGCTCGGCATATTGCTGAGAAGAGTGAATCAAACTTGAGCTAGGGCCTCGCGACTAGAGGCTCAACACCCCTTACCTTTGTCGTGTAGGTCTTTTGGGAAAAGGCATGGAGCTGTGCGATCTGTTCCTTGAGCAGATCGTTCACTGTGGGAATGAAAATGAGACAAAAGAAGGGGACAGAGCGGGGAGAGCAGTTGCTGGTAATCACCCATTCGGTGCCTTTTGAGAGTCGGAAGCCTGTTGCAGGTACAAATGTGTGAGATCATCTGCGTCCGTCTTGAGAGACGCCTGTTACTCACCCCTCGAAGACGTCCGAGACGATGATAACGTCGTATGCCTACAATTGCCGCGTTAATTCCGATCTGAAACGGTCGTGTCAATGCACTGGAACCCACCTGGCCGCAACCACCTGAAACGTCCGACACCACCTGTCATGTGCATGCCGATTGAGGGACAGATCTAAAGCTCGCAGCACCACATCAGACCCACCAAAGCAGACACGTTCTGCACCTTGTCGCGGATGGCAACCTCCAAGTCAGCTTGCGAGACCATCTTTCCAATATGTCTACCGCTTGGACGTTCTTGTTATGGGCGCTGGCGAGAGACCGGCTGTATAAAGAGGCAAATTAAAGCGTTGAGCTCGCCGTTGGTTGGTGTGTCTCTGGGTGGTCCGTTCTACGAATTAAGGTATTACTAATCAGATGAAATCACACGTGGAAATTGCTCGAGTACCTCGTCGCTGCTAAAGGACCTTCCATTGCAACGACACTACAAGGCAAGTAGCTCACGACGAGGTCTTCGCGCAGGGTGAGTGTTCCAAAGAAGCACCATAGCACGCTGAGCTCAAGATCGCCCACACCACAATCCCGCAGGTCAGATCGCGAAGTAGAGGATCCGAAGCTGCTCTCGCCTATCAAAAGTCGTCTCAAAACCAACTCTCGTGAGCTTTCGAGCGTGCAATCTTCACATCGTCCTCGCGCTCCGGCTCACATTCATTCTCAAAGACAAGAGCCATGTCGTCGCTGTACAGGGACCCTTGGGCGCGGCGTGAGGCCTGGCGCAAGCACCCCGTCTTCTCACACCGCTTCATGGTCCGGAACTTCATCCCCGGCTTCGCTTTCGGCGTCGCAGCCTTTTCCGTCTATCTCGCAGTGGATGCGCTCACACACCCAAGCAACATCGAAAAGCTCAAGGAGGATGCGAGGAAGCAGAGAGGGGAGCAGTAAATAGCGTATGATGTGCCCGGCTGGGTCCAGCAGTGGGTGGGCAGGTGGTCGCAATCAACATAACATCGCACGTATGAATGCAGCGACTGACTCTGGCCTTGAGACCTTATCCGAACGGGCAAGAGCCTGACTTATGGTCTTCAATGCTTTGATTACTAAGATCGTGCTACAACACAAGGTCCTGCGAGTCATAGTTCTCTGCAAGAAGTCTATAGACGAGACTGACCGGGTGTTCGCCCACATTTGTGATGAGCAAGTCGACGAGGTCCGGGTCGACGTAGTCCCAAAGAGGATTGACGACATCTACCTTTTCTGCAGCCTGGCTTTCTGCATCAAAGGGAAGGACTTGAGCTGGAGGCCCCTGGTTGCTGTTGGCGCCGCTAGTGAAAGTCCAGGAGGATGTGCTGGTGGACTTGTGCACAAGGGAGGTCCCCAACCCAACCCATGCCCAATCGGGACAGACCTTGTAGACACCAGCCAGGACTACCGTTGGGGTAGAGTGGGCCTTTGCGGCCTCAAAGACGATGCGGGAGCCGGCAGATGCCAGAAGACCGCCGTTTGCGAGAATACTGTGGGCACCGAGGACGACTTTGGAGATGCGTGGCATGACGGCAAACGTCGCCGAGTCTGGCACGAGCAAAGTGGAGACATTAGACGACGACAGGGCGCGCACCAGCTTGTGCCCCGAGAAGGCTGGCGCTGACTCGGCGACAATGACGGTGAACTTGCGGTCTTTGGCAGCAGCCTTGAGGAAAGTCTCGACTGTGTGCGAGTAGCCGATGGTGAAGATGACTTCGCTGTTGAAGTCAAAGTCAGTACCCAGCATGTAAAGACAGAGAAAAGTGGCAGATTAGCTCACCCAGAGTGAACGTGATCTCTTGCATCTTTGGCAATGTTTCCATCGACCGTCTCGAGCTCATCTATGAGCTCTTGGATGGCTTGGATGAGCAGTGGTTTGAGATGATAGGCTCCCTTCCTCTTCTTGGCTGCCTGCTTGTTGTCTTTCTCCACTTGTCCCTCCGTCTCTTCATCTTCGCCATCGAGCTCCTCGTCCTCTTCGTCTTCATCTCCATCATCCGCATCCTCGTCCTCTTCGCGGAGTGCACCGCCAGAATGCGACATATGCAGTCTCTCGACGCCATACCCTAGCCCCTCAATGCTCGTATTGGCCCACGCTGGCGTGCTGGCGCCGCTTCCCATGGGCGTCTGTAGGGCGCTGCTCGCTGTCCCACTCGCAACATTGGCACCAGCATTGACTAGGTCCGAAATGGAGAAAGTCGATCCAGGCCGGAAGCTGCTCAGAGTTGGTCTTGTTGATGACCGGCTTTCGGTCAAGTGTGATCGGCTGGCAGCAGTAGAGCTGCTACTGGCGCCGACGCCGCTGACACTGCTGCTGCTGCTGGGAGCAGCGTGTGTTGCTGCTGGATTTCTAATGTCTGCAAAAGAAGAAGACAATGACGATGACTGTGGCTCGCCATCTTCCTGTGCTGCCGCTCTCGCCTCCTCCCTCAGAAGGTGAAGGACCCTCCTTGTAATGTTGCCAACCGTTTGCTCTGTGGTCCGCAAACGTCAGCTGAAGTCCCATCTATTCACCGAAGACCGGCACACTGTGCGGCAGTCAGTACTTACCCCTGACTTGCGATTCCTGCAGAAATCGGCCGGCGGCTCTGATGATGTCGACGAGCTCGTCCATCGTCGCGAATCTCGCGGCGCTGACGACGGACCTCAGCGCGCGTGCCGTCGCAGCGGCCACATCCTCGGGGCCCGACACAGTACCCCGCCGAAGCTCGAGAGCGAGCAGCGACAGGGTCTTGAGCGTTGCTCGGTCCCGAATCACAGCTTCGACCGGTCTTGAAGGCGTCGCCGTCATGGTCGTCACTCTTTCTTTGGGAGACCAGGAGACAAAAGTCAAAACGCGCGAAGACTTGGACTGCCTGCTCTTGGCCCTTTTCTAATTTTTTTAGAACGTTGCAACGCTCGCATCCTCACGTGTAGGAAGAACCATCACCATGACAGAGACGAGAAGGAGGAGCCTGTTCAGGCCGTGCATCGACCTGCATCAGGGCGTCGTCAAGCAGATTGTGGGCGCTTCTCTGCGGGACGAGGACGATGCACGGCAAAGGGCCGTCGAGTCATCCTCTTCTTCGGCATCCTCGTCGCTCAAGACCAACTTCACCTCGGACCTCTCGTCCTCTCACTACGCCAACTTGTATCGGTCGCACAACCTGACTGGCACCCACGTCATCAAGCTGGGCCCTAAGAACGATGAGGCGGCGACGAGCGCGCTCGAAGCGTGGCCAGGTGCCCTCCAGATTGGCGGCGGCATCACGTCGGACAATGCGGCCGACTGGATCAAACGGGGGGCAGGAAAGGTCATTGTCACATCGTACCTCTTCCCCTCGTGCCAATTCTCGATGGACAGGCTGCTCGACCTCGAACGGCTCGTGGGCCGCGATCGGCTCGTCGTCGACGTGAGCTGCAGGAGAAAGGGAGACAAGTGGATCGTGGCCATGAATCGTTGGCAGGACATGACGGACATGCAGGTCGACAAGCAGTCGCTCGACATGCTGGCAGAGCACTGCAGCGAGTTCCTGATCCATGCAGCAGACGTGGAGGGGCTATGCCAGGGCATCGATGAGGATCTCGTCAGAAGTGAGTCCCCCTGGTTTCTTTTACCCCTTCAAGCCTGCGCCGACATTTCCCCGCCTACAGAGCTTTCGGAATGGGTCACGATCCCCACCACGTACGCTGGTGGTGCGAGACGTGGGTATCTGTGGTATATTGACCTTCATGCGCGCCTCGTATCGACTCTGATCTCTTCGTCGCACTCAGATATCGGAGATCTCGAACTCGTTGACCGCCTCTCCAAGGGCAAAGTGGATCTGACCTTTGGAAGGTGAGCATATGAGCGCATACATAATTCTTAATGAGAACCTTGGCTGATGGTGAAGAGCTGTGAAGCGCACTCGACATATTCGGAGGCTCGGGCGTCACTCTAAAAGAGCTCGTCGAATGGAACAACAAAGGAAAGGACAGTCAACAATGAAGCAATGGGATGTGACTTGCAATTGTAAAACGAACACAGCACATTGGACATGAAGTTGGGGGAGAAAAGAAAGGGGGTATGGCATGGGATCTGATCTTTCACCACTCTTCTTCGCTTTCTACATCATCGTCGCTGTCGCCCATATTGTCCTTGCGAGCGGAAAGTGCTGCAGCTAGAGCGCTGGCCAGGTCACCTCCTCCATCGGAACCGCCGCCGTCGTCTGCTGCAGAGGACGACGCGGCGGCAGCTGCCGCACCTGCCCCCACGGCTGCACCTGCTCCAGCGCCAGCAGCGGCGGCTGGGTGGTCCGTCTTGCGAAGCTTGGCGACGCTTTGGCCTTGAATTGAAGCCAACAGGTCCGCCCGTCCTGATTGTGGCGGAGGGAGCGACGCAGCAGCCGGGGGCGCACCGCCAGGCGGTGGTGGTGGCGGAGGGGGTGGGGGAGCACCACCTCCCGATCCTGCCGGCGGGGGCGGTGGGGGAGGTGGTGGCCCTCCTCTTGCTGGTGCTGGAGGCGGAGGTGGAGGAGGCGGTGGTGCACCACCACCTCTGGCAGGTGGCGGCGGGGGTGGTGGGGGGGCAGCTGCTGAACCAGCCCCTCCCCCTCGGACAGGCGGAGGTGGAGGAGGCGCAGGAGGTGTTGATACTGCGGCGGCGGGAGAAGCGGCCGCGCTGGGCCTGACTCTCGGAGCCGGGGGAGGCGGCGGCTGCTTCCTGGCTGTAGTCGGTGCTCTGCTCGGTGCAGGCGGTGGAACCTTCTTGGCCTTTGCCGCTGGCGGCGCCGCGCCTTTTCCTGGCCCTCCTCGTTTGCCAACGAAGTCCTTGATGAAGCCCTCGTTTTTCTCAATGTCTTTTCGACTGACACCCATATTGGAGAGCTGCTCGAGCAGAGACTGCCAGCTCGGATCGACATTCTCCGAGGTAAAGCCCTTCTCGCTGGAGAAGCCCATGTGCGAGACGTGCTTGAACTCTGAGGGAGACGAGATCATCGACTTATCGATCTTGGCTCCGCCCTTGCTCTTGCGCTTCATCAGCCCTCCACCACTGCTGCTCGCTCCCCCTCCTCCCGATGACTTTCCGCCTTTGACTGTTGGTCAAGCATTTAGTCTTGAGGACTCCTCGAATATTCTGCCTCTTGAAACTCACTATACTTCTGTCGATTGTTGACCTTCTTGTAGAATTCGCCTGCCTCCCCTTCATCTGCGAATGCGAACCCGATCAAAAATTCCTGTTTGAATTTCTAAGCACTTGCGGCCCACGGCATACTGCTGAGCTGATGGACTCACATCTCCCTGTAGGGTATGGAAGAAGGTGCGATCCTGATTGTACGACAGCGGCTCGTACAGCTCGTGCTCGAACAAGACTCCCCCGCCATCCTACAGCAATAGCGGGTTAGCGGGATGAACCCAATCGATCAAGGAGAACGAACACACCTTGAGGTCGACAACCTTAAGGGCGAAAGAGTTCTTGGACAGATCCTTTACGAAGGCCAAGGCGCCCTCCACGCCTGCATAGCTCCAGCTGCTTGGATTGGGGTGGGCTGCGTAGACGCGAGCTACTGTTGCTGTCAGGATCTTATGCGTAGATGAAGGTAGGGCATGCTTGACTTTAGATTTGTCCGAAGACGAAATGGTAGACGACGATGGCATCCTTTTCCCTTCGTCGTCGTCGTCGTCGTCCTAGTCGTCGTCTCATCCAGCGCCCAAGTCTGACGTCGGCGCTCAGTTCCACTTTCGTCTGCCACGTGTTGTGTCTCTTCGGCCGAGCGTATCGGGCTTACCGACTCCTCCTCCTCGCTTTACCCGTTCACCCATCAACATGCACTCACGTTTTTAATGCTTTTAGGATTTTTCACCTCGCAGTCTCCAATAGCTGGGAGCTGAGAGCTGGGAGAAGAGGCGCGAGATGAGGCGCGAGATGAGGCGCTCTTTAGACGAGCGCAACCATGCTGCCGTTGCGTGCAGATTTGAATTGCTCACACGCGTAATTAACAGCAGACACTTTGCTTGCGAAGGACGAACAACACTGCCTTCGAGACTACTTTAGGCCAACTCCTTTAGGCCAAATTTGCCGGTCGGTCGGCAAGCCTGTTGTCTGATCGATCGACTGTAGAACCATGAAAGCGATCTTTCTTGCCTTTGTTATCAACGCTGACCTACAGGTTCTGACGCAATGAGCAAGGCCATGGTCTCGGCGTGGGAAGTCTTCGAAAGGCAAGCAATGCCGAGCCAAGGATAGGATGTCATTGCATGTCTCGCCTCTCCTTTGTGAAGGCCAGAACAGATTGTGGTGTGAGAAATTCCTTCTTGGAGTGGGTCTACAAGACCTTTCACACGTCGCAACACCAGCATTTAGTGCTTTTGGTAGCGTCGTTGTAAACCTTGTTCAAGACGGGCCAGAACAAGGAAATGGATTTTCTCCGCGCGTGTCTCATATGACAGGACAAGCTTGTTGACCCCGCTACTGCTCCTCTAACATCGGCTCAGAGGAAGACGAACTTCCCGCAAACTCTCCTTTGTGTCCTTAGACGGGCGGCGGCGGCGGCAGTTCGTTGGAAGCTTTGAATCTGTTTTAGATGGCTCTCGGAGCCGGTGCGCCCATGGAGATGTGGGTAGCTAGGTGGGCGTGCATCGCGCCCCACCGTTTTGTTTTAAACTTTTGCCATTCTGCCATTCAAACTTCGACCGAAGAAAAAATTCTTGAGAAGGGGGAGGGGTGGTAGTCAAGCCGACAAGCTGGGCCGCTGTCCTTGGCGCCTTGGGTAGAAAGCTTCCTCCGTTGCTCTTCATTGCCCTATTTCAGCATCCGAAACCAGCGCGCAGCAAGTTGTCGTCAGAGTCACAAGCTGCGAAAGCCACTGCGCCACTCTTACCAGGCGATACGCCACGCAGGGGAATGTATGGAATACCCGCGCTTATGTTACTGTTCCTTTGAATTAGTCAAGGACCCTTTCCGCGGTGAGAGAGCAAGCTTTTTTTGTCAGCGGCAAGATGTAAAGGGAAGAAAAGAGATGAAGATTTATGTGGAGCGGGCTTTCCCTTGGACCGAACGACGGCAGCAAAGGTCCGCGCGCGCGCTCTGGATCCGGAATTGTCGCACCGCCCGCGCAAGGGACGTTTCAAATAGACATCCTCTTTTTTTTTTTCTCTCTTTTTTTATTCTTCATTGTTTCTCGTACGAGGAGGTGGAACCTTTGGATTGCCCGGGCTCCGAGCGGAGGTCGCCTCAGCACCACCACCACAGACGACACTCGCACAAAGAGGAGGCAATCGAGTGGGGACTGATTAATTGATGCAGGAAACAACAGGCGTGCATGAGTAGTAGTCGAAGTCGTAGTAGCTAGTTGGCACACAGCAAAACGAGACGCAAGCAAGCAGCGGCATTCCGTGCCGACTGCGAATTTGGCGCGCGTGTCCAACGCCGTCGCACAACTCAGACGCCGGGAGCGCAAGGCCCGCCTTCGATTGTCAGCAAGAGGAAGCAAAATTGGCTCCTCCTCGCAATTCTGTCTCACCATAGCCCGTTGCCAAGCTAGTGCAGGCCGGCACCTTTTATTCCGCTACTTGCCTTTTTGGCCGTCTGGAGTTTTGACACCTTACCCCACCATCGCCATCACCCAGAGAGGGGTGCCGCATATAGCCTACTCGGCTTGCCCTGCCCTCGGCTTAGCTAGCAACGATAAATAGGATCCGGCCTGCCAAGAAGCTATATCAAGATGGTCTCGTTGGACCGGGGAAAGCAGCCCTACGTAGGCTCCCCTCCGTCGTCCCTCTTTGCACCTGCTCTACCTTCATCTGCCTCCTCGACAACGTCACCCTCTTTGCCGCCTGTCGCTCCTCACACATCCTCAACTCCTTCGTCGCCGGCCAACATGCTGCTGAACCATTCGCACTTGCACCATCATCACCATCTTGGTGGCAGCAGCAGCGGGCACAGTCACCACACGGCCATAAAGAAGCCAAGAAGAGGCAGCCCAAAGATGTCGTCGCTGTCTCTGGCAGATCCGTCGTCGCCCATGCCCTCCTCGTCCTCACTCATCGTCGACAATGAAGGCCAGGCCCATGACCCGGGGTACGTAGGCGCGCTTCGCCTCATCCACGCCCAAATTGGCGCAAGGGCCGAGGGGGGCACCTCTTCTGCCCCACCCAGCGTCTCGTCCTTTTCCTCCCCGCGGCGGCCGTCGAGCGGCGGCGGCGGCGGGTCTCACGCACCCATCAGGCCCTCGAATCTGGGCTTGTCATCTCACGGCCATGGACCTCGCAGGTCCCGTTCGACCCTCACCACGTCGACGTTCTCCTACTCCTCGTCGTCGGATCTGGACGATGACGACGATGATGACGACATTGCTGGAAACGGCAGAAACAGCGACGAGGACGCTGACTTTTCCTTTTCTCGCGATTCGGATCTCCGACGGGCCGCCAGTCTGGCCCGGGCGTCGATGGCAGGCGCCGGACCTTCGTCGAGGCACTCGTCTTTTTCCAACAGCGCCCTTCGTTCTGCCGAACGCACTCCCCCCAACGCTCCCCGGTCTGATCTCTCGGGTCTTGGCCTTTCGGGCCCCTCTCCACCGCCGTCATCGTCCTCGTCACCTCCGCCACAGCTCAATGTCCAGCAGGAGGGAAACGAGTCGCGGCGCATGAGCTGGACGAGCCGCTCAGGAAGCCACAGCAAGACCAACCGCTCTCCTGCCCGCAACTCGACGTCGCACGATGACGGCGGCATGGCCAGCGGCAATTGGGGCTTCACCGGCATCGTCGACGTCGAGAGGGAGAGGGAGCGGCACAGGGCCAACAACAGCCCCGACTTGGGATTAGACGACCTCGACGGCGGCTCCTACAGCTTCCATTCTCCCTCACATACGGAGCTTGTCGCGGCAGCCAGCCTGAGCAAGTCCAGAAACTCCGGTGCGCCCGCCACCGCCTCGCGCATGGGAACCCGGACACCGCCCCAGACCCTCCACGGCAGCATTAAGCGACCGTCTTCGTCCACATTGGCAAGCAATGGCGACGCCTCGCTCGCCAAAGGCTTACATTCATCTCCCTCAGCGGCCAGCAAAAAGCCATTGGGCTGGTCCAACGGCCCTTCGAGCGAGGCCGGCTCCTCGACTACCGGTCATGCCAAGCCCTCTTCGCTCAGGGAACGTGTACGCTCTCGTACCACATCGGGGGAACAGCCACAGTACTTGGAAGCAATCGAATCGGGATCTGCGTCTATTGCGCCTCCCAAACAACGAAAGGGCCTGAGCACCATTCTCTCTGGTCGCCCCTTCTCCTCGGACGACGCCAATTCCTTTGACAGTTTTGGTCGCGCCCCACGAGGCTCCGTCGAGGGGGCAAGTGTTCTTCCCGACCTTCACCACCCTCGAGTCTCTCACGAAGTGGATCCAGATCTGGCCGATGCAGACTTCTCCGTGGGCCCGTCTCGGATGAAGCAGGCCAAAGAGTTTTTGTCAAAGAAGTCGCACAACCTCGGCGAAGAAGCTCACGACTCTCCCAACCATCTCCGACGCAAGATGCAGAGCATCGCCCTGGGTGTCCGCTTCAAGACTTTCAAGGTCCGAAAAAGCATCGAGCGCCGATTCTGAGTCGCCAACTTTCCCATTCACACACAGACATTTTTAGTTACCCCTCTGTCTCATGGCATTCCAATTCAAGTTGATACCTTTTCTTTTCCTCTGGACTCGATTGGCGGCTGGTGGTGAAGAGAATAGTTGGTCGAAGAGCTATTCTCGTGTGTAAGGCTTTCACGAACAAGGTGCTTTTTGAGTGCCTGCGTTGCTAGAGCTGGGAGGGTGTATTATTTACTTCTGGCGTGAATAGGAACGAAAGCGAAACGGAGAAGGCGAGCTCTATTTTTCCAAAAAGCGTGGGCGCCCTGGGCGCGTCCCAGCAAGATCTCTCAACTCCGTCTCACTTTCCACGAATCACCTCCAGGGACACTCACGTTTGACCCATTAATCAACCGCGGGGTAGCAAGTCGCGAGAGTCGCAGTCGCCATTCGATGAACACGATTCTCAACCGGCTCAATGCCGTCACGGCGCTGGCCACCTCGACCATCCTGTGCCTCGTGGCCGTTGTGGCCCTGATCAGCTACCCAACCCACAAACCATCAGGCCGCGTCGAGGTACACTCTCTACAAGTGTGAGTCCCGCAACCAGCTTTGTCCCGCTCAGACTTCTCATTCTTATCCTCACACGCGCGACTCTCTCCTCCTTGCCTTCTTCCTATTTGCCCTGGTGCGCCTCTTGACTGTCCCAACAGCGTCCAGGGACAGGCGCAATGGCACATGGACCGCCACGTCCAGGACTTTGTCAAGCTCCAATTTGACGTCGATGCAGATTTTTCGCCGCTCTTTAACTGGAACACCAAGCAGGTCTTTCTCAGTCTCGCAGCACAGTACGAGGGCAAGCGCCATGTGAGTTGCTCCCTCGTGGCAGCCTGCCAACCCCTCCCCCATTCCTACTTCTGACCGCGAGAGGCTCATTACCCCTCCAGGCGGCCAACAACGTCGTGGTCTGGGACCGCATCATTCGGAGAAAGGGAGATGCCCACGTCAAGCTCCAGGATGCAAACAACAAGTACGGCTTCCGCGAGGTGTCTAGGTCGTTCGAGTGAGTTCCCTTCTGCTCCCTCGCTCGCGCTCTCTCTCAGATACATCTCTAAGCTGACAATGTTGCTCTCGACAGAAACGTCACTTCAACGACGTTTACGCTCAAGTGGAACGTCATGCCCCATGTCGGTATCCTGGCCTACGGAGACGAGGCCAGGACAGGCGAGCTCGAAGTGCCCAAAAAGGTCGTGCCGGTCATCGAGGAGGGCGCTCGACGCCCCAGGCCCGAGAAGATGTGGTTCTAGAGAGCAAAATACAGAAAAAAGAGAGGCACTGTGTATCCTCAACTACTCAATGAATACACTGCATTGGCATTGTCGGCCCACTGCCTGCCCATACTCCCTTCCTCGTTGACAGTAAATCTGCCCGAAGGCCATCTGAGCGTTTGAGAAAAATAGACGGGCGCTTTGAGCAGCGTAGCGCAAAAAAGGTTTCCCCGTCCGGGAGTCGAACCCGGGTCTTTGCTGATCAGATCGGAAGTGAAAGAGCAAGAGCATAACCGTTAGCCCAACGAGGACTATCATTCACGCTAGCGGATTTTCGCAAATATATCCATACCTATCTACAAGGCCGCCGAGAACTTGGTGAAGGTGGGTGCACTTAATTGCGCCTGTCGAGAGGATCTCTCCAGAACGGTGACCAGGCTGGGAGTGATCGGGTCTCGCCAGTCAGGTTATAGTCTTTGATATCGCCCATGACAAGCGTCGAATGCACCGGGTGGCGCATATCTAGAGCAGAACTGACTTCCCCGGATCTTACCCAGATCGACGGCTTCTTGATCTCCTGATCTGACCTCGGTTCTGCATCCTGAGCGGTATAGCTCCTCCCAGCGCAGCTCCGATATGGTATGACATGTCTAAAAGTGTGTGATGTTACTGATACAGATGATGAATATTGGTCACTCCCCCTACCGTTTCGCCTTCTTCCCATTGCTCTGTTCGTTGTTTGTCTGTTGGTGTAATGACGATGAAGACGAAGATTCTAGGGAAGATACATTGGCAAGCGCCGCCCTCGTCGATTGGTGGTCGTCGCAAAGTTGCTTCAAAAGAACATCGACTTGCGCCTTGAGCTCCTCTGCAGTCCAGAAAAAGGTATCAGATCGCTTTTCTTCTTCCCTCCGGAAACATGGACTATTGATGCTTACTGGCCTCTTGAAGAGCGCTTCTGTATTCCTCATTGGCCACCTTCATCTCCTCGTCCAAGCCTTGGAGCTCACGCTGGAAGGCTTCTTCGTCCTGCGTGACTGGGAGTCGATCGACAAGAGTCTCGATGTCCTTTGCCTTCTGGATGAGGTCATCGGTCAATTCGTCGATGCTCTCCTTCATCGTTGCGCGTTCGACCATGTTGGAGTTTGCATAAGCTCCCGCAGCCCCTGTTGGCCTCGATAGCGGGATGGAGTCGCTCAGCTGGACCATCGAGGAGCGCGTTGAGATGTAGTGGATGGACGAGGTGAGGATGCGTAGTAGCAGCGAGAGATCCTGTTCGATCAGAGTGATAACGTCTTCTCGCTTGGCATCTTCTTCAGACCCTCCTTCCAGCTTGACTTGGATCTGACGGTCACTTGTCGACTGCAGCGTCGCATGTTGCTCGCTCGACGAATCCATGGTCGGTCAGAAGCGACGTCGCAAAAGGACGCGAGCTTGGCCAAAATAAGGCCCAAGTTCTCCGGCCCCGAATTCCGAAAAAGGCGCGAAGTTGAGCGCTCGCTCGCCTTGGCTCACGTAAGGCACCTACCTGGAACGGCACCCTCGGCGACTTTTCTCACCTTGGAGCCGGCCTCCTCACTGACTCTGCTCGATGGAAGAAGGTTTGGGAGCTCAAGGTTACGATGATGTCCGAGGCGCAGCGTCTAGTTGCGACGGCAATCTGGTCGAGCAGGCCGCGCGTGGTCCCCGTCGTCCGAGCTAGGCCTAATCTGCCAATCACGATTACGCGAACCTATGCTGCCGTCAATTCTTCGCCTTCTGCTTCATCGTCGTCAGCGTCGCAAGGGAAAATTGCTTCTGACTTTCCTCTTCCAGCGTCTCCTCGCGCTTCACCATACGAAATCTTCCACTTGCCCCGGCACGCCACGCCGTCGCAAGTCAAGGCGCGATACTACGATCTCGTCAAGATCTACCACCCCGATCGGTCCTCTCTAGGGACAACGGCTTCTCGCAGAAGTGCATCAAGAGGGAGCAAACCATCACATGGCGATTTCCAGCGCGTGCAAGAAGCATACTCAGTCCTGTCCGACGAGCGAAGGCGAAAGCTGTACGATGTCTCTGGAATCGGCTGGAACGAATCCTCTTCGTCATCGTTTGGACCTGCTCCGCCAGGTTGGGGAGGAGCTTACCCGACCTCGGAAGCAGATCGAGCAGCATACGAGGCCTTCAGCGACCATCTGAGAAGGTCAGGCTCTTCTGCGTCAAGCTCGCGTCACGGCTGGGAACGCCGAGGTTCACCGGCAGGAGGAGCGAGAGGACACGACAAGTTCGGCTGGCAATCGTACGCGGGCGAATCGGGCTACTTCTATGGCTTCCATGCTCGAGACAGAGCTGCGCCTCACGATGGTCTCTACACGACCAACCATCGCTTCTTCTCCCTCGTATCCCTCCTCACGTTCGTGCTGGCCGTGGGGCAGTTCATTCGATTGAGGCAAGAGAGCAAGATGGTTGTCGATCTCGCTGACCGGAAGCACAGGGATGCAGCCAGGAGCCTGGACGAGGCGAGGAGCATTGCCAGGAGTGAGATGGGCCGTATGCGATTGGATGAGATGCGGAAGAGGCACCGACAACGTCTGATCGAGGAAGGTCGAGCGTCGGAATGGGACTTTGATGGCGACAGCATCGGTCACGGGGGACCAAGCGGGAAGGATGCGTACCAAGAAAGGATGAAGCGGATCTCTCCTCCGTAATGTCAGATCAGATTCACAAATCAAGACCTCAGATTGCCTTGTGACTTCCTGGCATTGCTCATTTTGTTGCATTCCACCAAAGCTGGACTGAAGATGGGCACTAGTACGGTGGAATCCTCGACTGAAGCCGTTTGCAAATGACAGAAGAAGAAAGACACTCGATGGTGTCAAATGACAGCCTCAATGCCAATCGCGGCCAATTTCTTGATTTGTGTGCTTCAAGGTCTGTGTTCAATGCCCTTGATTGTAGACGATGATGTAGAAGAATTTACTTGATACAGTATTTACTGAATTGCTGCAATCCGTGTAGATGGTGAGAAGATCTGCCGTCCTCGTGAGAGGGACACATGTTCCACGACGCCGCTCTAAAGATATTTGTTAACTCTCTTTAGACGACGGGGTCCTGGATGGGCTTGTTTCCCTCCGAACCGGGCCCTCCAGTGGTGTTGTCGTGTGCTGTGGAGGTGATGCTTAGGGATCAGCTTCTTTGTCCGCAGCGTAGCCAGCAAAGTGACGAAACACTCACCCTTAGGGTCGGTCTCGGAGATCTGCGCTCGGCCGGCGCTGCCGCCCACCTGGGGCTCGCCTGTGACCGACTTGGAGGCATTGTCCAGACGGCGCTGGGCGTCCTGCTCGACGATGTCGGCGGCGCTTCCGCTCTGCTGAGTCTTGTCGTTAAAAGTGGCCTCCATCTTGGAACTTGGTGTTAAGTGCGTCGCTGTGTATGTGTAGGCGGTGGAAATGGATGAAAAACGACTGGTCGTGTGATGGTCAAGAAAGAAGAAGGACGTTTCCAGCACTTCCTCGTCTGCGTCGATTGACGAAGAAACCCTTGATCGGGTTCGGGCGCATTGACATCATTCTGCCGCTAGGGATCGCATCTGCAGCAGCTCCCACGTGTTTTGTTGTTATTGGAAGAGGCCGTCGAACGAAAGCAGTTATGCACGTTTTTGAGCGAAGCGCGTCTTGGACTTTGAGCTTTCTCTTGCAGGGCCTCTCTTCTCGTTGACCGACCCGAAAGAAAGGTGTGCCAACAATGTCGTGGTTCTCGAACCAATGGAACAAGTTTATGGGACCCGACGAGGATGCACCGAGGGAGCCGGTCCGCCGAGTCGAGGTCATCTGGGGTCGCGAGAGGTGAGTCTGTCGTCTTGTGCGCTTTGAGATGAAGCTAATGTGCTTGCCCATTCCATCTGCCAGGCTCGTGGTTCAACTCGATCGAGGGGGCGGAGGGAGCAGCGCCGGAGCCGGCGGAGGAGGCGGAGGGCCTCTGGCCCAGCCAGCTCCGTTGACATTGGCCGACCTCAAGCAGCGCCTGGTCCAGATGACTTCGGTTCCGTATGGCCAGCTCAAGCTCATCTACCAAGGCCTGGTCCTGAAAGACGACGGGGCCTCGCTCGCCTCGTACAACATTCAAAACGGATCCAGACTGATGCTCGTGGGCACACGAGGGGGTGTTCCAGCGACGGGCGACATGCCCGGGCAGAAGTCGAGCATCTACGACCAGGCAGGTGGGGCGGCGGGCGCGTCGGGCGCAGTTCCTCGGGCCTTGACAAAGGGCGAGGAGCTGGCGATGCGCAAAAGGCAGCGGGAGGAGGACGTGAGCGAGGCAGGGCTGATGGGCAGAATCAACGAAGCAGTCGAAGGGGTCCGCAAAGAACTCTTGCCCGAAGTCAAAGAATTTGTCAGAACAACAACAGCGGCGGGAAAGGTGCCGGCGGAACAGAAGGACAAGCTAGCGTTGCAGCACCGCAAGCTCTCTGAATTCCTCCTCCGTGCCCTCCTCACACTCGATGGCATCGCTGTCAACACAGACGAGACACGCAAGCACAGAAAAGCCGCCGTCAAAGAGGTCCAGGGCCATCTAGACCAAGTAGACGAAGCATGGCAACATTTCAAGGAGGCATCCAAGGGTAGTGTGGGCGAAAACAGCATCAAATCATAGTAGCCGAGAGAGCACAAGCATCCGAAATCACATGTACAATCACAACTAGATCCCATTGACCCCATTGACAAAAGAAAAACGGAAAGATGGTATAGTAGCAAAGGGTTCAATGCAATGCATCACCGTCTTCTCTCATCATCGAAAGGATCGTCGTCCTCCTCGTCTTCGTCATCGTCAAATAAGACGTGGTGGCCTTGGCCACCATTCCCAGTCACGTTTCCATTCATTTGCGCATCGGAGCGGTCATTCTTTGCCCTCTTGCCCTCGAGCCTGTTCATCTCGAGGGAACCAGAGCTGCCGCTAACTACGCCTTCCTCCGAGTCCTCGTCGACGCGCAGCGGAGCCGATTCACCCATGCTGACGCGGGAATAAAGCGAGCGGAGACCACCGGACTCGGCAAGACCAGCACGACCGCTGCGGCCAGCAGTAGCGGAAGCAGCGGCCTTGCGCGCGGACCCATAACGCCCACCTTGGGAAGTGTAGAGATCAATGAGGACGTTTGCCCAAAGAAAGAGGAAAAAGGAGATGGAGAAGTCAATGAGGCCCCAGGTGATGTGATCGACGCCGTAGGAGTCTGCCCAGCGCAGCTCCTCGTCGGTGGCCGACATGAAGAGGACGCCCGAGGCAAAGAGGAGCCAAGGTGGCAGGTACTGGAATGCGCGAATGGGGAACCACTGCTTCTCCGTGTCCATCCTTTGCCGTTCGTCTTCCTCCGATGGTCGCTCCGAGTCCGGTTGCTCTCCTGTAGGGCCGTCGCCAAGGACAAAACAGACCTCGATGATACGGGCGGCACCGGCAGCCATGAGACAATACCCGAATAGCGCATGAATCATCGTTGAAATCATCTGCAGAAATGCTTTGGAGTCAGCAACAGCCGCGATGAGGCTCAGTGGGACACTCGACGTTTCCGATAGCTTCCCGTCGATGCGTCTGGTGGCCCGAGCGCGAGCCCTCAGACAACAGCAACAACAATGACCCGACGCCGTTTACTTTCTCTTGTGACACTCCTTTTGCTCTTCATCCAATCACATCCTCTGCGCTCTATCGTCGGAACGATCGGAGCGTCGACGGCTTCGCCGTCGCCGCAGCGCGCGGGGGCTGACTTCTAAGCATGGAGAATGTACTCACCAAAGCCTGTGCGTGTCCACTCATGGCCCAACCAGTGATGATGATGACCACGGCGGGTACCACGCTCCGCCTGCCGCCCTTGGAGAGCCACATACCAGCGGCGCCACCAGCGACCCAGACGACGCCGAGCAATGTGTGCTGCAAATCCTTGTGCGTCCACGGCCCGCCGTGGTGCTCCGTGAGCGCATTGACACAACCCCAGGCAAAGATGACAGTGCTGTCGAGAAATTCCTGGCTGGTAAGGGTCTTGCGCCGTGAGAGCCAGCTGACGCCAGCCTTGAGCATGATGAGGAGAACGGTACCATAGCCGATGAATGCGCTGCCCATGATGTGATGCGCGAGGCACTGGCCCGTCCGGCCGCCCATGCACCAGGAGCGCAGCGTGATGATTCCAAGAAGCTGAATTATAAGCGTGTATACATTCAGCGAAGAAGGCGGTCATATTGCGTAGAAGAAAGAATATCCTCACCATCTGCAGCCAGCCAAGAATCGAGAAGAGCTTCCCGATGAGGCCGTGGGCGAAAATGACGATCGGACGGACGAAGCCCTCTGCCTTCCATTTGAGATGGAGCTTCAGATAGACGCCTAGTGCACCCTGCGCCATTAGCAGCGGGATCAACAGGTTGGCCACCGTTCCATGAGCCGTGTGGGGAAACGACCTTCCGCCGTGTCCGTGGCCCAGAAAGTAGCCAGCAGTGGTCAGGACGAGAGCTAGCACGGCGAGGGGCACGTGGAGGCGGTGCCTTGTCAGGCCCAAGACCATGGTGAGGGGGAAGAGGATGAACCAGGCGAGCGACTGGATCAAGATGTGCAACCAGAGAATTGAATCAATGGGCACAGAGTCATCGGCGGGGCCTTCCTGATGGTGACCATGAGCGTCGACGAGTGCGGCAAGAGAAAGGGCTGCAGAAAGAGCCACCGGTGCTGAGGCACGCCGCATCGTCGTCACCTTTGTGTCCCCAGTGCTGCTGCTAAGCGAGCGTGTGCCGAAGGTGTGAATGGTGGGGGAAGTGGTAGTCTGTGAAGAGGGCCGAAAAAAGCAAATGCACAGGGAGCCATGCCATGCAGGGTGCGTCTAGCCGCCGTCTCAAGCGTAAACCGCATTTTCTTTCTAACTTTTCGGCCCGCGACGCAGACTAGACTACTACTCAATCTGGTCCTGCATCTCATTCGCCTTTGCTTCACGACTTCAGCACGGTGGAGCGCTCTAGCGCCATCACATATATGTTGGCCAGGCGGTTGGCGCCATTGAGCCCGGTCTATCTGCTTAGTTGGATTGATTGAGAATCAGCGAGGTCATGACAAGTGGCCGTCCGCCTCCTTGTCTTGGCCGTTTTGAGAAGAAAAGCTAGCTCCACTTGTGACAGAAATGGCACGACTACCAGAAGTAATTGGCAGAGGCGGTTGAAACTGCAAGCCGGAAGCCGAGCTTGATTTCAAAAAGTAAGTCTCCCATTCACCCTCACTCGCACCTTCGGGGCTTCCGAGATCGCTCCCGCCCTCCATTCCATTCGCGTCAAGCACCAACCATGTCGCAATCCAAGAGGCACGTACCGACCGACGACGAGCTTCGGCCACCGGTGTACGAAGAAGGCTCCAACGTGGGGCCCAACATCTCCCAAGCCCTCGAGCTCGAAGACCTGGACCGGGACCTGTACCGGAGCCGGCAAGGGAGCCTGTGGCTGCCCGCCAATGCCAGGGGCGTCTTTGGCGGCCAGGTCATCGGTCAGGCGCTCACGGCGGCCAACCGAACGGTTCGAGACAATGTTCGAGTTCATGTAAGTCAGGACTCCCCGCCATCAGACCGCTCTCCTGGAGCATGTCGATGAGTTTTACTGATACCGCTGCTCTGTTTCTTCAGTCGCTACACGTGAGGACGTCTCCTTTGTGTCTTTGGAAGAGCGTCGTCATTTGCTGACCAGCAAGTATACAGAGCTACTTTCTCCTCTCTGGCGACGTCACCGTTCCCATCTACTACTTTGTGACGCGGCTCCGAGATGGCGGCTCGTACGTGACCCGTCTCGTCGAGGCCAAGCAGAAGGGTCGCTGCATCTTTACCATGACGGTGGTGAGTGCCCGCTTCCGAGCTGTGGTTGCGTGTCAAGAAAGAGCACTGCTTACATCGGGAGCCCCGGTGGGCTTGCGCGCATGTAGTCGTACCAAGTGCCCGAGCCATACCGACCACGCTTTGCAATCGCCCTGCCCCGATCCGCCGGATCGAGCGACAAGGTTGAGCAACCCATGAGCCTGTCCACGCTCAAGGCGTCCGAAGAGGTGAGCCTGCCCTCTCGCTTCAGCAGGGAGAGGGCAGAGGGGAACATTGTCGAGGGTCTGCCGTCGTACGAGGATGCGCCGCTCAACGAGGAGCGCTACTTGCGGCTTCTCGAGGAGATGAAGGACCATCTGCCCGAGGGCATCAAGACAAGACTCAAGACATGGATCAAGGACCGGCAGGACAGTGCCATCGAGATTCGTGATGCGCTGCCCAACATGTACGACGAAAACGGCCTGCCGATGCCTGGGTACGAGCAGGCATTCTGGATGAGGACGAGGCTGCCGGTCCAGGGCGGCGAGGATGCACAAAAGGCCGCGCTGGCCTATGCAAGCGAGTGAGTTTAGATTGCAGACCGTGATGCGCACTTCCTCTGACTCAGTGACGATGACGATGAAATTCTAGCCTGCAATTCCTGGGCACCGTCACAAAAGCCCTGGGCAACAGCCGGAGGATAAAGATGATGGCCACGCTCGACCACAGCATCTGGTTCTACGAGCCATTTGACTTCCACGAGCCTATGCTCTTCTTTGTGAGCCTTCCCTTTCTTTCACCTTCTTCCTTCCTTCTCGCCTTGGACTCACAGAAACGGAGCCTTCCCATTTTCTTTCAAGATGCAAGCTCAGGCCGCCTCGAACGGGCGGGGTCTCGTCTTTGGCAGGTTCTACAAGAGGGACGGCACTCTCGTGGCGGTCCTCGTGAGTAATGCAAAGAGTCGAGCATGTCAGAGGAGCATCACATGTCTGACCGCTGAATCTTCTTCCCGTGGCAGTCCCAGGAGGGTCTCGTGCGTGGCAAGAACGAGGGCGAGCCGGCAAGGGCAAGCAGCAGCAGTAAAGGCAAGGACGAGGGCGACAGCAGTAGCAGCAGCAAGGCGAAACTTTGACGAGTCGATGGAATTGACATTTCTTTGCTTCGGTGACATTTGGATGCTTGCTCTTCTGGGGTTTTATGAACCTGTTGTGTGGGATGGGGCCTTGGCTAAATCTACAGGAGATGTGGCTGGTGTCTTTCGCGAAAAGAATCAAAGGCAGTGGACCACTTAGGCGTTGAGCGGGCCAAAAGGGCAGAGCTGGAAGAAGCGCTGCCGGGGAATGACGACGAGCGCAGCTCTCTTGTGGGGCAGGTCGATGAGCTAGATTTTGAACGGTTAGTTAGACAAGGCAAAAGAAGAGGGCTAGGAGGAAGGGAAAGACACACCTTTTCGACGTGGCCGCCGCACATGATGGCATAGTCGATCATCTTTGTGTTGCTCGCCCTTGGTTCCAGCACGACTTTCTCGGTGCGAGGATCCAGGAGAAAGAGGAGATGGATGAGGCTGCCCATCCATGTTCGAACGCGATGGGGGCCTCGGAAGCCTTCTTCGCCGACGAGGGCATGGAAGCCCCGATCGTAATCTCCCATGTGTGAGTATTGCCCAACGTTGCTTTCCTGATGGGGTCTCTCGCATTCAGTAAGGTAGCCAAAGAGGGAAGAGAAGGGGGAGATCTTGCGCAATCAAGTCGCTCACCTTTGCGTAGTAGATCTCGAGGTATCCCCACGGCGCGCCGTCCCACTTGCCCACGATGCCCATGTTGCTTGGAGAAGCCTCGACGGACTCGAGGTATTGCCGCTGCTTGTCTCTGTCCCCTCTCTGTCTCCAGCCATCGGCGACTCGATCAGTGTTGTGCCAGCGCGTGACGAGGTCCACAGTCTCGTCGTTTCTAAAGGAGGTCACCTCAAACGTGAGCGTCTGGTTGAGCTCGATGGAGAAGCGCCGGTAGAGGGGCGACGACGTGTCCGGCGCGAGCTTCGGTGGACGGACGGGGTGGTTGATATTGTTGGAGAAGGTGTAGGAGGTGGGAAAGGCATGCGCATTGGCCTGCGGGTCACCAACTGCGATGCTGGGAAGGATCCAGGGAGGGCGCGAGAATGGGTAGCTCGACTGCCAGAATGCTGAACGTGTGGCGAGCACAGTGTTGGCAGCGAATTGTGAGGTGGAGGACGCAGACGACGATGCTGGCGACGACGACGACGACGGCGATGAATGGGTAGGGTGAGGCACCGCTAGTCCCGAGGCAAGAAGCAGAGCGGCGGCAGAGCTGGAGGCACGAGAAGTGTCCCTGCTGGCCGTCGACGATGCCGACGACGTCGCCACGTTGAATGCCTCTTCGTTGGGAAAGAGGGTGTGGAGCGCGTAGAGCTGGATCCAGAGCGAGGCAACAACGTCGTCGGGCTGCTCCGAGCGCGACTTGCCCACGTCCAAGCGAGCGTTGGCGAGCCTCGTGCTGCGCTCTGCGGGCGAGTTGTCGTCTGGTTCCTCATTGGGGTGACCATAGCGCGGCTTGGGTGGCTGGCAGTACATCTCGAGGGGGAAGTGACGGGTGTCGAGCTTGCTGGCGATGACGGGCTTGTAAGAATCGTCTTTGCTGCTCGAGTGCCCATTCTCTTCAATCGCCCTGTGCCGGAGGTAGAGCGATGCTTTGAAGATACGATCGTGCTCAAAAGTGCCGGCATCGTGGATACCAATGTCGAGGGTGACTGCACTGCCGTCGGGGAGCAGCAAGTCAAATTGGCGAGAAGCGCCCTTGGACAAGGAGCTGGGTGACGTGTCCAGCTGGCTCAGCGCCTTGGACAGATTGATGACGCTGCCCCCGTTGTCAACCATGATCCAAGGGCGCTGGCAGCGTTGTAATGTGAAGTGTTGATAGTGTGGTGTGTGGGACAGCTCACAGCTCGGGGTGTGGCTCCAATGACCTGGGTGTGAACAGACGCGGGCTAGTTCAAATGACCTACCTACCTGCCTATCTCATCTTTACGTTTGATCTTTTTGATTTTTTTTAATTCTCCGTTGACACATAGGCCGCACGGACCTTGACAAATCAGCGCTTTCTCATTGGTCCTCGTCTAGGTTTGGCAAGTCTAAGGATAATCGTACAGGCAGGCAGAAGCTGTCGTCCACATCATCATCGGGCTCTTCCTGTAGCTCACCGTCGCCACTGTCAAGCAGCAATGCCGGTTTGGACGTGTTCCTAGTCATTCGTCGAGCTAGAATGTCAACGTCTGCCTCTTCTTCATCCTGCTTTCTGCGGGTAACTTCGTCCTCGTCTTCCTGTTGTGACTTCTCATGAGCAAGTACATCAAACGGAGAAAAGGGGAAAGAGGAGACACTGACCAGGTCAAACTCGTCTTCCCGTTCTTCGTATTCCACATTCTCTTCGAGCTCCTCGAATCCAGGCGCAAAGGCGCTCCAGATCTCAGTGGGCGGCGTAAACCAAAGATTGACGGTGCCGGTATGCGAGACCGAGGCCAGGATGGCACGATTGGGATGCCAGTCCACCGCAATTAGTGCATCCCTCGGCCCTCGCAGCACCTTGTCCAGGGCCCCCACGCTTCGGTCCCAGATGTAGATGTCGTGCGAGATCTTGTGCGCAGCACCTCCAAAAACGTACTCTCCATCGCCGCTGAACCCAATGCCAATCCACGGTGTTCGATTCACCTGGTCTTGGAATCGAAAGAGCGGTGTCATAGAGATCTCGTCTCGATCGCCACTCTGGCGATTCACCATGACGCTGAACAGTCGAATGGCACGGTCGTTTGAGTTGGCGACGAGAGTCCTGCCAACGAAAGTCAGATCTTTCCATCAGACCAGCACGGCCGCTTGCTTCCACTCACCGCCCCAGTCTGTCAAAAGCAAGTTCTTTGACTCCCGACGCACCCGATGCCCCCATCTTATGAAGAAGCTGGCGGGAAGACGAGGTTGGAAGGGCAGTGTCAAAGTCTCTAATCTTCTGAGGCATGGGCCTTTTTGACACTCACTCTGCCCGTGTCTCTGTCCAAGACGAGGATATCGCCCTTCGACGTACCCGCAAACACTTTGGAACCATCTGGCGAGAAAATCGCACTGATGATCGACGACGGCGCTGCCTGAGCATCAGTCTGGTAGGCATCCAGGCCCAGTTCGGTGCGCACTTCGGCGTCATCGCCCTGTAATGGTGACGGAGAGGAAGGCTCGGCCGGTGCTGCGCCATTGGAAGCTCGTCTCCGTCTCCTTCTCTTCCGTAGATCCACTAGAAAAGCCTGCTGCGACTCGAGCACGACGAGGAGAATTCTGCTGTCAGTGGGGCAAAAGCGGGCACTGAGTACGGCAGTGTCGAACCGGAGAGTCCTCTTTCTTTCGCCCGCTCCCTTTGCCAGGTCCCAAACGATTACGTTCCAGTCGAGGGAGCTGGAAGCCAGGTAGCGGTTGTACTTTGACCAACTGCTCGAGCCAGTCAGCGACACAGTGGGACAAGCAGCGTGGGTTGAAGCAAGAGCACGACGACCCACTTGACACTCGTCACTGTCTTGACGTGCCCCTCCAGCCACCTCACAAGGCCCTTTGTCTCGATGTCCCAGATAGCAACATAGCCATCGGACCGGCCCGAGGCGAGATATTGGCCCGCAAAGAGACCTGGCCCGTGGTTGAACTCGATGCAGGACGCAGCGGCGTTGTCAAGGATGCTCTCGACCGAGTCGGGCGCCTGGACGGCGAAAGGATCTGCGAGGGAAAATACTAGTCAGCTGAACTTCGCCATCGAGCGGCGTCTCTCTTGGGCTGTGAGCACCCACTCGCGTTCATCCAGCACTCGGTCTTCCCTCTTTGTGCGTGCGCGCGAAGAGAGGATAAAGTGAGCCTGTCACGAAGAAGCACCAAAAGGTGGAGAAATCCACGTGATAGCCAACCCAATTTTTATTTTTTTCCTCTTCGCGCCTGTCGGTGGTTCATCCTACGCTCTCTCTCTTTCTCTCGCCTCACAGCCGCCGTCAGTGCTACTCTCGTTTCTCGCCAAAAGACAAGTTTGATCACGATGCGGCTCATCACACACAACCTGCTCGCGTGCCACGCACGAACCTGCACACAGACGTCCAACAACTTCCCGTTGCGCTTTGAGCAGATCACCAAGCTGGAGCTCATCGAGGCCGACTTCAACGAGGCCTTTGTCCGCGGCTTTCTTCCCAAGGTCGACTGGGACGCCCTCGTCTCGGCCGCACGCTCCCTCGGCAGCGACGTCGGTGAAGGTCTGCCAAAGTCGGCGCCGGATCTCGATGACCCGATGCTCGACCAAGAGCTGCTGAAGAAGGTCCACCATGTGCTTCTCGAGGTGAGTCTTGGCAGGGCCTGGAGAGAGCAGCGGCATGGGCAGATGACCTGACGCTGGGCGAGACGGTTGGACAGATGCACATCGTAGAGGGGCAGATGCTGTGCCCGAACTGCTCTCACGTCTTCCAGATCCGAAATGGAATCCCAAATATGGTGAGTGAGATCTCTCTTTCTCTCCATCTCCGCGCCAGAGGCCCGCGTACTGACACGACCTTCAACACTCTCGCTGCAGCTCCTCGCCGAGCACGAGCTGGCGCGGTGACAGCGCCAGGGAACATAGACCAACGACAGAGCGACATTTGTACTTTTATTCATGCGTGCGGCAATCATACATCAACTCAGGCAGACGACAAAGGCAGCAAGCTAGGCCAGGAGCAAATGCATTCCGCAAGGAGAGACAAGTCTGAGAGTGTGACAATTGTCCCTGTTTCTCTTCCCTTCCCTTTGTCTTCTTCCTCTTCTTTTTCCTTATCTTTGTACATCTCACGGCTCTTCTTTGAGTTACGACCAAACTTCCCCACCTACTCCTTCTTCTTCTCTTCTTCCTCATCGTCGTCGTACTCGCCCTCCTCGCGAACGTCGCCGCTGATGCCCTGGATCGAGCTAAGGGACGGTGATCGAATCAGCGCTCTGCGGACGTCATTGGAGAGGAGACAGAGGGAAGACTTACCGGATCATGACGCGCCACATGAGGACGTACCAGAAGATGTTGAGGAGCAGGAGAAGGAAGAGGGGCGCAAATACCTGGTACTTCATCCACCAGGTGAGCCAGACGCCCTTGCTGGGGAGGAAGTACTTCGTGTAGGCTGGAATCAGGTCGAACTGGTACCAGACGGACCAGAGAGTGACGGCGCTGAGGTAGATGCGGAAGTAGCTGGAAGTGCGAGGGTAGCAGAGTCGCATTCAGCAGGCAAGGCTGGATTCGCAAGGTTAGACCAAAACTCACGTCCAGATGAACATGAAGATGCCAAAAATGATCGTGGCAGCTAGGTCGAGACCAAGGTAGTTGAGACCCTTGGCCGCCTGTCGTCGTGGGTGGCAGACGCAGTGCGCAGGAGTCAGAACCGCATATTCATCAAAACACAGCAAGGCGAGCAAGTCCACACTCACAGCGAGCCAGGTGTCAGGGATGTCCATGCATACAAAGACAGTCGTCCCAATCATGGTCAGGTTGATGAGGTAGGACCAGCCGATGAGCCAGAGGGTGACGAGGTGGTGGGCAATGAGCTCGTAGTAATCCTTGCGTGGCGCCTCGAGGCGCAGAAGCATGACGAGGGCCTGCTGGAGCCAGTAGCTGAGCTGAAGGAGGTAGTAGGTCTTGAGCTCGGGCCGCATCTGCCAGTGCGGGTACTTGAGCCAGAGGTGCTCGAGCTGGAACCACCAGCTCTCCTGGAAGGACATGACATAGAGGCCAAGCAGGCCGGCAGTGCCCCAGTAGAGGAAGGCGTAGCCCTGCTCGGTGAACCGCTCGCGCTTGCGCTCGTTCTTGATACCCCACCACGCGGCAAAGGGCTTGAACATGTACAGCGTCGTCGTTTGTCGAATGCAGCTGAAGACGATGATGTAGAAGAGGATGAAGAGAAGGTCCTTGTAGCCCTTCTGGTAACGCACGGTATCGCCTCGAAGCGCCACGCTCGGCTCCTCGAGGAGCACAGTCGCGACAGGGATGCGGTGCGAGAGAAAGAGGAAGGGCTCAAACGGGTTGGCGACGTGGGGGGTAAGGAGCCGCCAGTTGAGCCAGAGGACAATGATGATGCCAGCGAGCTTGGCCGATGAGGCTGTCGGGAACGCACTTGTCAGTCCTCTTGCAAGCACGGCAGTGCCGAAGGTGATAGCCGGACGACGACATGATAGCCCGTCGGTACCTCACCTGGCTCCGTCATCCATCGGAAGGTAATGATGTCCTTGAGAAGTCCCTGGCTCCTGCTTACATGCTCGTCCGCCTTGGGAGCGCTGCTCTTCTTCGCGACGGCTTGTTTGCCCTTGTCACCGCGCGTCGACGACGAGGATGATGAGGCTACGTTGCTCTTCTCACCCGCAAGCGTCGCCTTCATCTCGGCTGCCGGGTTCTCGTTTCCGTCCTGCGAAGGCAAGACGCTGGCTCCATCGGTGTACGTATTGACCTCGGAGATGGCCTTGCTGACCGAGGATCCTCGCTGTCTGGCCCCACCCTTGGGCGTGGCCGTCGTCGACATGGTGATGGACGCGGTGGTAGTTCTGATGCTACGTTATGTTGATGGAATCGGAAGGAGAGATGCATGCTCAGGAATTTTCGACACTAATTCTAAACGTGGTGTGAACTTGTCGGTGTCGAAAGCAATAAATAAGCCAAAACCAAAAAAGCCAAGCTTTGCTCTTCGTTCAAGGCGAAGAGAACGCGCGCTTCGATTGCCTGCTATCTTTATTTTTGACTTTTGATTTCTGCTTTCTTCTAGCTCAGCTGTGACACGCAGGACCGTCGCCACTCCACCAACGTCGCAAAGATCTGCTTCGATTTCGTCGCCGCTCACAGCAAATAGCATCATCATGGGCGACGTCGCACCTTCCTCGGCCCCGTTCTCGGTCCGAAGCGCCGCCGTGGAGCGCAACACCAACGAGACAAAGATCAAGTGCAGCCTGAGCCTCGATGTGCACCCGCAGCTGGCGCCTCAGGTTATCAGCGTGAGGACGGGCATCGGCTTCCTTGACCATGTGCGTTTAGATCTCGAAGACTTCTCTTTCTGAGCAGCGAGAGCACGTAAGCCGCTAACAGCGCTCCCCTGTCATTGCAGATGCTCCACGCGCTCGCAAAGCACGGCGGCATGTCGCTGTCGATTGTCTGCGATGGCGACCTGTGGATCGATGACCACCACTCTGCCGAGGACTGTGCCCTGGCACTGGGAGAGGCCTTCAAGGCAGCTCTGGGGCCTGTAAAGGGCATCAAGCGCTACGGCACCGGGCATGCGCCCCTCGACGAGGCACTGTCCCGCGCCGTCATCGACATCTCGTCGCGGCCCTACTGCGTCGCCGAGCTCGGCCTCAAGCGCGAAAAGATTGGCGACCTCAGCTGCGAAATGATTCCTCACATCTTTCACAGTTTCGCCATGGCTGCCGGCGTCACGCTCCACGTTGACTGCCTCCGTGGAGACAACGATCACCATCGGTGAGTCTCTCCTTCCCAGAATTTCTACTTCTCTGCCTCGTATACACATTTCTGTTTGCCTGACTCTCTCTTCATCTCCAGTTCCGAGTCAGCGTTCAAGGCTTTGGCGCTCGCCATCAAAGAGGCTGTCTCGCGGACCGGTCTCGACGACGTCCCCTCCACAAAAGGTGAATTGACGTTCTCCTTTCCATTTATTGACAGGCTGCATGGCTGACACAATGTGCCTACAACACATCAGGCGTTCTGTGAATGCGGTCGGATCTCTCTCGCTTTGAAACGGACTTGGTCTACCCAACTATCATAGGGGAGATCTGATGTAGAATACATTGCCTGGGATTGGACTTTAATTTTGACTTTGACACACAAAGGACTCTCAGCCGTGACCCAGAGAGGCCTTGAGCTGCCGGATCCCCTCCTGCTGGTCTGGTGGTAAAGCACTGATCTGCGCCGGCGTGAGCTGGAGTACTTGCTCGAGGAGTTGCTGCAGATTCGTGGTTCCATTAGCAATCGTTGCAAAGTGCCCAAGCGCATACAGACTCACCCTCTGCTCTTCTGGTAAATGGGCGCCTGGCACCGCTGCTGGAGGCGCCGGCGGTGGTGGGGCTTGCTGCTGCATGTAAGGTGGACCCTGAGGCGGTCCGCTGGCATAAGGAGGCCTGGCCATCGGTGGTGTTCCCATTTGAGGCGTGCCCATTTGTGGTGCCATTTGCTGGGCGTGGGGTGGCATCGGGCCTGGACCAGTCGGTGGACCACCTCCTCCCAGAGCACCAGAAGATGCGAGAATGCGCTGGAGGAAACAGAAGACCCTTGTCAGCGAGAGCCAATGACAAATTTTCGATGATGTTGACTCGGACTCACCTGGAGGATATTCGGGTCTACGACTTCCATCATGAGCATTGCTTGGAAGAGGGCATATGCCAGCTGTGGGTGTCCGCCCAAAAGGGCCCTGGCCTGATCGGGAGACGATGTGACAAGCGACTTCATGTGGCTCAAGATGTCCAGCATCTGGTTCGGGGGCAGGGCGGCCAGTGTCTGCGAGATGGAGTCGGTCGCACCCATGCCGGGAGCCAAAGGTTGGCCCTGAGGAAGGTTCGGAGGAAGCTGTGGCGGGCCTCCCATCCCCCTGCCCATCCCTCCCGGTCCTCCCCCTCCGCCATATCCTCCACCGAAGCCGCCCCTGCCGCCTCTACCGCCTCCTGGTCCTCGTGGTCGATTCTGAAGATCATCATCCACTTGACCCATTTGTGTGGTTCGTCCTTCGAAGAGCGGGTCGATGTCGGCGTAGTCGATCCTCATCGGTCGCCCGCCTACCTCCTTGTCGTTGAGATTCCTCACAGCCGAAGCAGCCGTCTCGGCATCTATATCACAGAATTATCAGCATTACGCCTCTGCCTTATGGCAGCTGGTCCAGCTCACCTTCAAATTCGCAGAATCCGTAGCCCTTCGGCTTGCCCGTATCTCTGTCAAAGACGAGCCTGCATGGATGGTCTCAGTTGTCGCTGATGACGGCAAGTACCAGGCCAGTAAGGCAAGCTTCTCACCTGAATCCCTTGACTGTGCCAACTTCTCTGAAAACCTCGACCAGCTGCTCCTCTGACATGTCGTAGGGGATGTTCCCCACTGTAATCCATGAAGAGGGAAATTAAGCATTAGGCCCGGCAACTCTGCACAACTCGCTCAGATTAGCTCACCGAACACGACTCTGGAACCTCGCTGAGGCTGTGACATGTTGCTTTCGAGAAGGAAGGTGGGAAATGGCGACGAGAAGAACGAGCGCGTCCTTTGGATGGTGTTTCGCTCCACGTGCAAATATTAGCTTTCCCACCTTGTCCTCCACCCGGTCCCAGCAGCCCGAAGCCACTCGATGCTCCTGGGTGTACTGAGGAGAGCCCTACCTATTCACCGAAGCTCTTGCCTCTCCTCTCGATTCTCCACCGCCAGTATGTCGGCGTCTCAAGAGTACAAGGATGGATCGATGAGTTTCGCAGGCAAAGATGGCCACTATCGTCGTCAAGTCTCGTCGTTCCGCGATGCCATCTCCGGCGAGGCCGACGCCAAATTTAAGCCCGAACGCAACCGCTACCACCTCATTGCAGCCTTGGCCTGCCCTTGGGCCCACCGTGCGCTCATTGTGCGCTCGCTCAAGGGCATCGACAAGGTCCCGGACCTGCTTCCTGTGACCATCGTAGATTCGCTCTTGGGTTCCGAAGGCTGGAGCTTCGTTCCGTACGACGAGCCCGCTGGTCTTGGTGTGCCTGGCACGGGCAATCACATTCCTGGACATGAGAACAAGAAGCGTATTCGCGAATTCTACCTTGCAGCAGAGCCCAACTACTCGCAGAGATGCACTGTGCCCGTCATCTGGGACAACAAGCTCAATACCATTGTCAACAACGAGTCGTCGGAGGTTATCCGAATGCTCAACCACTGCTTCGATGACTTTGTCGAGCCTCAATTCAAGTCCATCGATCTTTACCCCCAGGAGCTCAGGGCTGAAATCGACGGCATCAACGAATGGGTCTACAATACAGTCAACAATGGCGTCTACAAGAGCGGCTTTGCAACGACTCAGCAGGCATACGAGGAGAACGTCAAACCCCTCTTTGAGGTATGTGTCGCTCTTATCGCAGCATCAGCGATTTTAGCTTAGCAGTATGTGAGGACCTTTCACAGAGTCTTGATCGCCTCGAGAAGATCCTCAGCGACGGCAGGGAATTCCTGCTCGCCGGCAAGCTGACCGAGGCAGACGTCCGTCTCTTCACGTGAGTGTGTTCGTTCTAGTGATGCAAGCGACCAAGCTCACTCGACCTCGTAGAACCATCGTTCGGTTTGATCCCGTATACGGTAAGTGCTCGTCCGCGCAGCGGGACTGTCAGGCTAGAGCTCACGGTATCATATCACAGTCGGCCACTTCAAGTGCAACTTCGACACGATTCGACGTGGCTACCCTCAGCTTCACCGATGGCTCCGCAACCTGTACTGGAAGGGACCAAATTCTGCAGCTTTCAAGGACACGACCGACTTTGAAAGCATCAAAGCTCACTACTACCAGAGCCATCCTCAGGTGAGCTCGTCTTGTCCTATCTAGTTGCTGAGCTGACACACAACGCTTCTTCCCTCGTAGATTAACCCGACCCGCGTCGTGCCAAAGGGGCCTATTCCTTCCATTCTGCCCCTGGACTAGGGAAAGAGGCCAAGTGGGGAAATATGATAGGGAAGCAAGGGCTTAGATGTTGCGAGGTTGCTCTCGTGTTGTTTGAGACCTTTATCAGAATGCCGGAAATGTCACCGAATGCGAGTGGATTTACCATTCTGTTCCGCTTGTGCCTGGAGCGAAGCGAGGTGCTCTCGAGGCTGAGACGAAACCTGAGAGAGTATAAAATGATTGGGTTGCTAGATGCTAAGAGGAGATACAGATGCGAGAAAGAGCGACGCTCCAGTGTAGTGATAATGTACAATGAATGCAGTTTCAAGTGACGAGGCGGTCTCTCAATGTCGTTGCCTTTTCGTTGGCGTCGAAGGGCCTGCCTGCGACAGCGAAGCCGCTGCGCGGTACTGCGTCGAACGGACGATTGCATCGCGAGGTCGAACCTTGTCCGTTGCGACGCCCTCGTAGATTGGGAAACGAGGCAAGCCATCGTGGCTAAGCTCCTGGAAGCGATAGCGGATGATCTTGCCCACGCTGGGCTGCCAAGCGTCTCGCTGCGCATGAGTAAATCCCGACCCGACGGTGAGTCTATTGCCGCTCTCCATCTCCATTACCACGGCTCCCATGCGCCCCTTGTGCTCGCCCTCGCCGTATTCCTGTCCGACAACAAGGCCCTCGGCATCGTACCAGTGCTTGTACTTGTATAGTGTCTTGCTTCTCTTGAATTCGTATTTTGATCTCGGCTGCCGCAGCATCAAGCCCTCACCGCCCGAGTCGAGGACCTTGAACATGAGCTCGTGCAAGTGTGAACGGCTCTCGCACTTGACGGCCGGCAAGACACAGATGTGTCCGCCGCGACTGGCCGACTGCACCTGGTCAGGGGACAGCTCGCCATCGGGTAGCCGACGTTTGAGCTCTTTGAGCCTCTCTTCGTATAGAAGCGACGCATTGGTGTAGTCAAATACCATGAAATTAATCTGAGTCCAGCTCTCATTATCCTGACGGAAGGAGTCAGTCTCATCTACGAGCGGGCTTGCACTCGATCGCAAAGGGGGCTCACAAAACGCCTGCAGAGGCCCGATGTCATGTCAAAGGCATCCCTTCGAATCCATAACTCGCCATCGAGGTGCATGTCCTGGGGAAGCTTCTGCTTGAACCATTCCGGCGGATTCCAGGGCCGGCCCGATCGTGCCCACATGCGCGAGCCATCCCACCATGCGCGCACCCCGTCGAGCTTCTCCGAGATCCAGTATCCGCTCGGATCCTTGTCTTCTGGCCACTTTGTCGCCAGCAACAGCTCACTCTGAAGTAGCACAGTGCTCTTGGTCAGTTTGGCGGGCTGACATTCATTGGAGCCAACGCCTTTTTTTTTCTCACCCCTCCATTGAGACCGCGGGGGCCATTGGTATTTCGTTCGTTCCAATTCTGAAGCCTCTTCTCCCGCCGCAAGCCATCCTGCTCACTACCCTCAGCGTGTGGAAAGGAATCGTCGAGACCCGGAAATTCTTCTCTCTCTTTCCGCTTCCTATTTCCCGGCGACTGCTGCGACAGAACTGGTTTGTCGTTTTTGGCATCTTCGATCCGCGCAGCCTCGTAAGCCTCGCCGAGCAGGCTCTTGAGATGCGAGCACGTTCTCTCCGCCTCAGGACCTTTGCTGTTGCGCCATGAGGGGCAGGTGCACGAGTAAAAGCCCTGAGCCCGTCTGTCAGGGAGCGCAAAGTCCGCTCAGCGGCTGTTCTGTTCGAAGTCCGAGGAGAGTTGCTCCGGGGCCAACACACCTCTTTTGAATATAAGGGTCCTTTGCGGCTCCCTTTGCCGTCCGCTTCTCGCCCACTTCCAGAAGCACCTTTGGCTTTATTCCGGCGACCTCAGCGGAATCTTCGTCGAGCATGGCGCTGCCCGCCTGCTGCACGAGTCCTGATCAGGCACTGATGGGGCTTGACACAAGGTGGGCTCTAAATTGTCAAAGCACACATTCTCCACCTTGAAAGACCACGTGGAATTGCGCACGGCCTTTCTGGGTGCCCTTTCACGCCGCCGCCGCCGAGCAGGAAGGATCACCCACAAAGAGTGGGTTAGGAAGCCAGGGCACAGTTCGTGATCCGACATGGTCAATAAACGTCTGGACGCTACCGCGTCCGAGCATGCTGCTCCCAAGGCGCCGGCGCTGCGCTCGCTGCTGTCGCGACAACCGTTGCGGACGCTTGTGCATCTCTTCATTTTGATCCAGGTCCTCTTCGTGCAGCTTCCAATCCGTACCATCGCCTACGTGCTCCTTCCTCGCCTCACACGGCCTCACCCGCAATGGCCACTGGGTCGCTCGCTACTTGTGAAATGTCTAGGATCGTACAGGAAGAACACAAGGATGCTCAATATCCTTTCTGGGCGCATCAACAAGTCCGTCTTGCCTCTGGTCAAGGTCGGTGCTCCTGCGACGCCAGTGTGGGTACCACCCATTGACGGGCAGGCAACGCTCGAGGGCGATATCAAGCTTTGGTTCGATAGCGCACATTGCACCACCAAGCGCATCCCTGGCTTCTGGTACGGCCGCGATCACCACGCCAAGAACGGCGTTCGACGTGCGAAGGAAGGCGAAAAGGTCTTTTTGTTCTTCCACGGGTGCGTGCAAGGCAGCATTTGTGTGTAAGCGGTGCTTTATAGGCTGACATTCTCTTCTTCATCAGCGGTGGGTACATCGAGTACAGCGCCCACCCTAGCGGGCCGATCGCTGCTCTTCCTTTGCTCCTCCTACGTGCATCGAACAAGTCGCCCAGCCCGCGAGCGCCCAAGCGCCTCTTCGCAGCCGAGTATCGCCTGAGTGACGAGACCGCCTTCCCGGGCATCTTGGCAGATGCACTCGCCTCATGGATCTATCTCGTCAAGGACTGCTCCTTCAAGCCCGAAAACATCGTCCTCGCTGGCGATTCTGCTGGTGGTGCGTTGTGTGTCGATTTTTAGCATCCTCTTTCTCCTCGCTTACCTCGGCATTCCTTCAAGGCAATCTGGCCCTTGCGCTTGCCCGCTACCTCCGAGACTATCGACCGCTGTCCAAAGAAGGCTTGTTCACTTCAAGCTCGCCCATCGCCGACTCTCTTCTCCTCTTCTCGCCCTGGGTTGACCTGTCGCTTTCGCACGCATCCGCGGGCCCTTCGTCGTCGTTCAACAAGCACGCAAAGTTTGAGTTCCTCACAATAGAAGGCTGCATAACCGCCCGCGATCGTCTCGTCGTCGGATTGCCCCCTTCTGTCCTGCGCTCGAGGTGGATGAGCGCCGTCTGCGTCAATCGAGAAACAGAAGAGGACCTCTTTGACAACTTTCCCCGGTGTATCGTCGTCTCTGGGTGCGTGTTCATTCTTTTCTGTCTCTTCTTTCCTCTTGCCCTTATGCTGTGAGCTCACATGCATTACTTGCACCGTGCAGGGCCCTCGAGCTGTTCCAGGACGAGATCAAGGCGCTCGTGCGTCACTACGAGACTGCGTCAAAGGCAGGCAGGTCTGGCCAGGTCGAGCACGTCGTTGAGCCATTGGCCGGACACGACTTCACGGTCGTTCCGTTCATCTATACCGAAGAGAACAAGCGCATCGAGCAACGCATGGCGAGGTGGCTGTAGCTTCCCTTCTTCTCTGTCCCTTTCTTTTAACTTTTTCGGCTCCGTAAAATGCACGGATTCGCAGCAGAGCAAGTTCATGGTATATCGTACAAGTGTTGCTATCAGAAGTGTCTGGCCTGTATTCAGCCTTGCCGTGTTGATGACGACTGGCCACGCAGCCACGGGGACGCCATCACCGCTCGATAGACGGCCCCTGCTCCACCCCCTTGGATCCGTTGCTCCTGAATTGCAACTCCTACACGTAAGCCTATGTCCCCTCACAACAGATATTCCTCTCAGTGCGACTCACTCCAAGAAGCGAGGCGATCCGGCCCCTCGTGGCTGAAAAGACGAGGAGAGCGACAACGACCAAGACGTAGACGGAGAGGATCATGCGGTCGCGGCTCGATGCCGGCTGCAGGCACCGCGCCCACACCTCGCCCTCCCACCCCGAGCCCGTGTCCTCGTTGGGCCGCTCGAGCTTGGCGCCCTTGCAGGCCTCGAGGCCCTGCTGCAGGCAAAACTGCCGCGTGCACGTCGAGCAGGGGTTGCGCGGGTCCACGGGCGCATACAGCGGCACCAGCGTCGTGTTGGTCACGAAGCAGGTGCAGCGGCAGAGGTAGGGGCCCGAGGCCTTGCGGAGAGGCGCGTCTGCTGCAGAGAGTACCGGTGCGACGAGGAGGATCGTCAAGACCAGAAGGACAAAGAGTGATCGTGACAGGCGTGACAGGCGTGGCAGGCGAGTCCTCATGGCGGTGACAAAGGTGGTAGGTGGTGGAGATGAGAAGAAGATGGCCTGAGCGCGCGCTTCACAAAATTTGACATTTTTATTCTAAGAAGAGACCTGGGTAGTGTGATGATGGTAATGGCGACGGAACAGCACAGATGATGACCAAAGCAAGGCAATGATGGCGATAGGGTTATGATCATATGCAAGAGTAACTCAATGATGCTTCGAATGCCCATTTCCGTTGTTCGTTTCGCTCGAGTTGTCATGGTGGTGGTGGGGCGGATGAGGATGCACCAGCTGCTGCACGAACTCGTACGTGACAAACGACGTCCCGATGGAGGGTGCGACCTTGAGGAGATTGGGGACGATGCCACGGTACAGCCCAAAGAAGCCCTCTCTCGTCACAATCGTACGGATGGCCGCAAAAGAGCCTGCAAAAAGCCACGTCAACTCTCTCGAAGGGGGTGTGTTGTATGCACATGGTTGAACACTCACTCTTGTCTGAATACCCCAATTTGCTGTCCTTCATCCCCGACACCTGCATCCTTCTTCGCAAGACATCGAGGGGATAGGTCAGCGTCTGACTGATGCTTCCCGCCAAGGCACCGCAGGAGAGCTTGCGAACCGTCGAGATCTCGCCGTCCTCGTTGGCCAAGCGCTTCCTCAGAGCCTCGTATGCAGCAAAGTTGATGGCGACGTAGGGCGCCACGCCAGCGCTCGTGGGCACGCAACCCTTATACAGTGCCCTTATCCCACCCTCCTCGCGGTAGACCTTGACGGTCATGGCCCAGATGCCAGGAACCTTCTTCTGACGCTCCTCGATGATGCGCCGCACCTCTGCCCGGCTTGGCTTGCGCTTCGGCTTGCTGTCCACCGGTGGTTCAGACAGCGAGCCGGTGGCAGCTTTGGCGTCGGCGTAGAGAGAGGCACTGGCAATGGAGATGCGGGAGCGGACCAGATCGAGAGGATAGGTCGACACGACGCTGGCTATCCCGGCCAAGGCACCGGCTGTGAGCCTCCTGGGCACGTCGAGCTCGCCATCTTTGTCCTTGAGATAGTTCTTCAGGATCTCGTAGCTGGAGAACTGGACAGCACTGTATGGGGCTATGCGGAGACAATTGATGCCGTTTCCACGCATAAAGCCCTTGAAGCCTTCCTCCTGCCACATCTTGACGAGACCAGAGACAACACCGCTGTATGCACCTTTGTGCGGCTTCGTGTCGCCCTTCATCGACTTTGGCTGTACTTGCCTGCACCGTCCACTGTCAGCCAAAGAAGCTCGTGGTAGAATACGATCGACGTACTCACATGATGATCTTTAATCTTTCTAGCGGGCTCACCACGGTTCTGCTTGTAGCGCCCGCGGCTCCCCCCGCGAGAAAGTAGCTGACGAGAAATGCGGCACTGACGGCGCTCTCCTCTTCTTCCGCTTCCTCCTCTCCTCCCACTAATTCTTCGCCTTTTCGTTTGAGATCGTGCAAGGTAGCAAGGACGCCTTCCCCAGAATCATCGCGTCCCTCCTCGTCGTCGTCGTCGTCATCGTCGTTGTCGTCGTAGTCCTGCTCCTGATCGACACCGCTCTTGAGCTTTCTGAGCACCCTTCTCTTCAGCCGGAGGCCCTGGTTTGCCGTGTCCATCGCAAGGCTCGTATTACTCGCCAAAGCCTCATCGGGGCCAATTGAGGGGCTGTGCCTCGCCAGCGACTCTCTGGCTCGTCTCTGCACCCGATAGGCGCGTTGGCGTGCCGCCTGCAAGCCCTGCGCGGACCACTGCGAACCGTTATCGTCCGAATCGTCGTTTGCGGGCGAGTTGGAGGTGGCCGAGAGACCAAGCGTCTTCAAGGGCGACCAGCTCGAAGGCCCAGCTTCGGACGACGACGACACATCCCGAGCCTCCGCCGAGCCTGGCCCCGATGCCATCGTTTCCTGAAGAGGGCGCTGCGCTACCGCAGAGTCGGCATCTAGGGGAACCCGTTTGTCTGTCGTTTCCTACTTCCGCTCCGGTCGATTACGAATGAGCAGCAGGATAACGCCAAGGGCGGCTCGAACCGAGCAAAGATGGAGAAGGTGGGGTGTGTGGAGCGAGCGAAGAAAGGACACAACAGATACCGACCGACCGACCGGAGAGAGCAGCGGCCTAAAACCCCAGAGTCGAAGCAGGCAGGCAGTAAATGAAGCCTTGCCCTAAAAAGGACTTTTTTGAAAGGCCCTGAACCCGTCTCGCTTTCGGACCGGTAAATGACTGATAGATGAATTGGGTCTCAGGGTGGGCCAGCCAAAAAGGCTTTGCGAGGTCATAAGACTGGGGGACACGCGCCCGAAATGTCCCGACAAATCTCACGCCTGCCTCTCGATCGCCTTCTTCTTCTTCTTTACCACTCGTCACAGAGCATTTCTGTCCAGAGCATGCTGGTGCGGGCAGGACGCTGATGGAGAAGCAGGGAAGGGAGCATTTGCGTGAAGCATTTGTCTCTGGACTCAATCAGGCCCGAAATTGAAACTGGAACCCTCGAGTAGTCGTAGCTGGCAATGACTGAACTACCGTGCAGAATGCGCATGCGCAACGTATTTTGTCCTTCTCCGCTTCAAGTCAGCGGCCATGTCTCAGTCTTACTTTGCAGAAGGCCGAGCGTAGCTGCTTGCCGGGCTCAAGCGCTCTCAAGGATCCCTTCTTCAGGATCTTTCCCTTTTGTACTGAAATTGTATTGATTAGGAATCACAGCTGACTCTCCCTCTGCATGATGATGAAGGTGCCAGCACGACTTGAGTTCGGAAGCACAAGCTGCTCAGTCTTGCTTCTTGCCCTGTAGATGGCGCAGAACGCGACAGTCAGCAAACCCAAGCCTCGGCGACATGCTTCTCGACAACACATCTCCTTGCGCAAGGATCTCTTGCTCGCGCTATATGCAACCCGGACCTCCTAACCTGATCCGTCCAACTCCCCATTTCCAGTCCTTTCTTTTGTCCTCCGCGACTGCTATTGCTTGCGTACACGCCGAAACCATTCGCTCTCCTGCAACGTCACGAAGACTCACCTTTGCCATGTTGTAGAAGCCACCAACGGTTCCAACCATGCCGACAGTGAAGAGCGACATGAAGAGGCCTATTCAGGAGATAATAAAAGGAGCAAGCAACTGTCAGCTCGATATCTCCGTCTCCCTCGAGGTTGAATTGTCATTGAAGGAGGAGAGCTTGCCCTCCGGAGAGCTCGCGCATTATCCTGCAGGGCAAGCGCACGCTGTCCTCTCGATCCGACACAACAAAGATCTTCGGTGTTCGCCAGGAGAGGAGAGACTTACCCATGTACAGCCTCGAGCGGGGAAGACGCTGGTAGACGGGACGGGTGTCGGCCTGGTAGATCCTCTGGCGCTGAGGCACAGTGTTGCTGTCCGAGGAGAGGCAAGTCAGCGCCCTTCTTCTGCAACGTCCCTCTCCCGAGAGAAGGCAAGCTGTTGCAGACACTCACGCGCGGTTGACAAGCGAGTCCATTGTTGTGTGTGAACGGAAAGCGACGAAGGTTCGAGGCGTCAGAGGGGAAAGGGTGAGGTGAGAAGAGAGACGAACGCCAATGTCGACGATGAAGGCTGGACGAGAATTCGCGCGCCACGTGCATTTTCAGGCCAATCAACTCAAGCCCACTCCCTGGATAACGAGCTGGAGAAAATCGCTCGGACACCTTCTGCCACGGTGCTCAAGCCGTCTTCGATATTTAGAGCTCATTAGGCCACTGCAGGTCCTGAAATGGATGATGATCGACATCGTGAACGCTCTTGCAGAAAGGAAGTGTGATACTTGAATGGATATTAATATTCTTATGACCACCTCGCAGGAAAGTGTAAGAGACGCTCTAGGAAGAAGGAAATGCTGAATCAATTGTGACCTATCATCAAAGGACCTGCCCTCGTTAGAACGCCCTTTTGCTCAAGATCCAGTCTGCATCGGTTAGTCCTGCATCGTTGTTGAAGCGAGTCCAGAGCCTGCGCCGCATCGCCGGGCTCAGCGAGGCGTACCACGGCAAGTTGCGGACCTTGTCGAATTCGTAAAAGGCGCCAGGAAGGATACTCTTTCCTCCGAGTTCGTCGTCCGACAGGGCGAGGCACATAGCTGTGCGGATGCCGTCCTTTGGATCGAGGCCGAGGTGATGCATCATGTATCTGCCTACATAGCCGAGGGGTGACTGAGCGAAGGACTTTGTTGAGTAGACATCAAAGATCTTCGTACGGACGAGTCCCGGGTGAAAGGTGTTGACACGCACGTCGTCGAAAGGACCTCGATCATTGCATGTCTTGCCACTGCTTTCCCAGACAGAGGCAGGGTGCTGATGGTGGACTAGGATCTGCTGGAGCGTGTCGGCAAAGAGAACCTGGAAGGCTTTCGAATGGGCATAGTGAAATGTATCCTGTGCACCGCTGACAAAGCGAGGGACGGTAGAGCCATGGAAATTTAGGTAGCTCGGGTAGTGAAATCCCTTCTCGATCACGTTTGCAGTTGACCTTTCAGCCACAGCGGGAGAGAAGCGTGCGTAAAAGGCGCCCTGCGACGAGGTGATGATGATCCGAGCTGAGGGGGAGAGAAATGGGAGTAGCAAGTTGACGAGGAGATGCTGACTGAGAAAGTTTGTGACACTTTTGACCAGCAGGAAGGCTTCGATCAGTTCGATCCACTACGCTATCTGCGGGACACTTACTAGAAGAGATCGAGGCCTTCCTTGGTGAAACGGCCCATGCCCGTGCTCCTCTCGGCGAAGCCAGCATTGAGAAAGAGAAAGTCAATCTCGGAAGGTGCGATCATGGCTTTGGAAGACCAGCTCGTCGCAAATGCCCGCACGCTGTCAAGATTGCTGCTGTCGAGCGTCATGATCTTGAGCCTGTCGGCCGTGCCGGGGGTACCATTAACCTCTTCGAGGAGCAGACGGCGCGCTTCTTGAGCACGCTGCGAAGATCGGCAGGCCATTGTCACTGTGCAACCACGTTGAAACAGGTCTCTTGTGATGGCCAAGCCTATTCCTCCGTTGGCACCCGTCACAATGGCCGTCTGCCCATCGAGGCGCCGCTTGTCCGGGCTCGGAGGCGTTGGCTGGCGAAAGATGAAGCTGAGCACACGAGCAAAGCAGAAAGCAAGCATCACGGTCATGCCAGTCCAAACGTTCTCGCTGAGAGAGACAGCTCGTAGCGCGGTGCCCACGGGCCTCGGTTGTCGAATGCCTGCCTTGTTACTTGTCATGTCGCTTCGTATTGCTGCTTCTCAGATCAACACTCAAAGAGGGAGTGTCCCTCCATCGCCTTCCTCAACACAGACTATATATCATTTTGCAGGCAGTGTCTCTCGTTTCCTCATATACTTCTGTTACTCGAGTCCCAACCAACAGACTGTCCATTCCTTGTAGTCCTACCGTAAGCAGCTGTCCAAAATTGGATTCAAGCTTATCGCAGGACCGGCACAGGAGGCGACTCCACCAACGAGTTCCGAGTCCCGGAATTTGTCAGACGGCATCTGTGAGCGGCTCGATAGCACCACGAACCGACCGTCGTTGGCAGACAGGTACGAAGGAGGGCAGAAGTCAGGGAGAGAGGAGGGCAGACAAGTCCAAATCTGCACACAAACGCACACACATCTTCCGTGGAAATGGAATAGGAAAGCCGTAATTTAGCAGCACAAAATACCCATTTCTTCACATAAAAATTTCGAAGAGCTTTGAAAAATGGCGACTGACGATTTCATCGTCTTTACATGAGGAGCGTCGTCGTCACCATGATGTCGGTGACCTGGTACGGGTCGATGTTTGATGCCGGCCGCCTGTCTTCAAGGTAGCCATATCCCTGAGCGGCGACATGTCGGGGAATACGGATCGAGGCGCCACGGTTGGCAACGCCCGACGAGAAGCTGCCGATGTGGCCCGTCTCGTGCTTGCCGGTCAGACGCTGGTCGTTGTCCGTGCCGTAGACGGCAATGTGCTCGGCGTGACGCTTGCTCAGCTTCTCAATGGCAGCCTCGATGGCCTTCATGCCGCCCTTCTGGCGCATCGACTCGGTCGAGTAGTTGGTGTGGCAGCCGGCACCATTCCAGTCGCCGGGAACGGCCTTGGGGTGAAGCGAGACCTTAACGCCCCACTCTTCGGCAACCCGGGTGAGGAGGAAGCGGGCCATGACCATGTCATCGCCCATCTTGATGCCCTCGCAAGGACCAACCTGGAACTCCCACTGCGAAGGCATGACCTCAGCGTTGATGCCCGAAATCTCGACACCAGCGTACATGCAGGCGCGGTAGTGAGCCTCGATGATGTCGCGGGCGTAGACCTTGCCGGCACCTGTGGTCGCTCTTAGTCAGTCGGAAGAATCTCCGAGACAAGACGAGCAACTCACCGACACCGCAGTAGTAAGGGCCCTGAGGGCCAGGGAAACCTCCCTTGGGCCAGCCGTAGGGCTTGTCATCGATGTCAAAGAGCGTGTACTCCTGCTCGATTCCGAACCAAGGCTTCTCCTTCTCGGCCTGCTTCATGACCTTCACGCAGTTAGCGCGGTGGTTCGTCTTGTTGGGCGTGCCATCGTTGTTCCAGCACTCGGCCAGGACAATGATGTTGTCGCCGCCACGGAAGGGGTCGGGGTAGATGGCAGCAGGGCGGAGGTAAATGTCCGAGTTGTCGCCGGGAGCCTGGTCTGTTTGATTGCCAGAAGGAGTCAGCCATGCTCAGTGACGAAGATAATTGATCAAGTACGTACTGGTCGAAGAGCCGTCAAAGTTCCACTCCTTGAGGTCCGAGACAGCCTTGGGCTTGGAGTCAAGAGTCTGCGTGATCGAATGATCAGCCAATTGTCCACGTCAACAGAGAAGAATTCTAAGGGCTCACCGTAGTCTTGGAGCGAATCTCGCCTGAAAATTATCGAGTAGGAAATGGAGTGAGAGAAGAAAAGCAGTCAGTCGCACGATCCCATGGCGAATCAGGGAATGACCATCCGAATTGGTGGGCCTTTCTGGCTCAGCTTCAGAACGCCTGGCCTTACTGCGCCCAGAGCAGACTGGTTCGCTGGCAGAAAGGCAAACAAAGCTGGCCAGTGCGCGCCTCTCTGCGTGCCAGAGAGGGCCTCAATGCGAGATCACTCACCATCGCCATCAATCCAGATGTACTCAGCCTGGACCTTTCCTGCAATTCAGAAAGAGGTGTGAGCGAAGGCTGCAAGACGTCTGAGTGACATATCGCTGTACTCACCCCGCTGGTCGAGCTGCATGTAGGGAGCCAGAAGGCCTGTCGTGGAGGTAGACAATGATCAGATGTGAATCGATCTCGCCCGGGAGATGATACGACTCACTCTGGTTCTTGAGGAAGGGAACAGCCATGATGTCGAAAGTGCAGAGATCGGCAAGAGGGAGCTGTGCGGGTGGTGATGAAAATGGGGGTTGTGGTGGTGGAAGAAGTTATGAACGGGAGGGCGTCCCTCCTGTCTCATGACCTTGGTTCAATCTTTATCTTCAAGTCGTCTCGTGGGACGGGCTGACCGGCGAAAGCCAGCGTCATTCGCGTGTTCGGTTTGAAGCGAACGAAAAAATGAATTTTCAAATGGGGCCTCGTTATTCGCGGGCAGAGGGTGGGGTTGCAGCAGTGCGGCACACGATCAGTCTCAGTCTCCCCGTTTTCTTCCTCACTAGAACAGTAACACTACTACTACTACTACACTACAAAGGGTACATGGCGAATTGCCGAAAGCCGCTTGAGGGACTGACACCTTCAGAGCCCAGAGCCAATTGAAAGCGCTTATTCTTCCGCCGTGTCCTGGTTGGGGGTGCTTCAGCCTCACCCGGGTGGCAGAAGAGGTCGGAGCTGCAGCTGAAATCCGGTCTAGCCATTGCTTCCAGCCATGACGATTGGTCAGGATAAAAGATAGATAAGGGCTCCGATCCGTGCAGATCCAGAGCTCAACGTTGGCTTGTACCGTCGAACAGTCACGTTTTGGCGGGGGAGATACCCCCCATCGTCACCTCTCTGTCTCTTAGCTCCTGTCAAAAGGCCGCTAACGCCCAATCCACGACATCATCGTCGCAATGATCGCTATTTTACATTGTCTCTGGTCTGCGATTACCTCTCAGATCTAAGTTCATCAACAAGATCCGTGACCCTTACCCGTCGCTGCTTATCTCTGAAGTCGAGGAGCTGGGCAAAGGCGCGAAAGTCCGCAGGCTCGGACCTCAAGCCACACACAATTAGAGGCAGAAAAGGAAAATTGGTGCCAGCCAACAATGCCTCGAGCCTTCAAGCGCGCGCATCAGAGTCGCCGACGCGAACGTGTGCCGGCGAGCCGGGCAATTAGAGCTGGCCCAATGTACTTCTGTCACGACGATGACTGTTTTCTCGCTCTCTCTCCAGCTCTCTTTATAAGATGACCATGCCATTGCAAATGCAGAAGTCGACGAGAAGTGGGCGAGGTCGTGTGCCGTTTTTCTTTTCTTTCCAATGCCCTGAAGACGCGTGCTGGAATTGGCGTGGCTTCTATGCCTGAGGGGGAAAAATGATCGCCAACCTCCACCACCACAAGGTCGGACCAGATTCGGTGTCAGCGCCGTTTGCTTCAACGGCTCGCTACATAGCGAACCAACCCGACAGGTCGGGTCACGGACTGGCAGCTGAGAGGCGGGCGATCCACCTGAAGCGGATGCTGCCAAAGACCGCGTCGTAGTCTCCTCATCATCATGGGAGCACCGAAGAGTCCAGAGGGAAATGAATCGTCTTCTTCCTCTTCGCAATCGCCAACATCATCCTCGACGTCGTCGACAGGGGTGGGGGCGGTTGCCACGTCACCATCAGAGAAACGATCTCGGGGGGAAGCTCTGAGCGGTGGTAGCAGCCGAAGCAGGAAGCGGACAGCGGCGCAGTCTGGACATCGGTCTCCCTCTCCCAACAGTGGCGAAGCTTCGCCGTCGTCCAGGTCGTCACCCTCTAGGTCGCCCCAACGCAACAACAATCAATCATCGCCCAGGTCAATCTCGCCAAGGTCTGGTGGCGGCAGTCCCAGCCGGACCTCGGCACGAGGCGCTGCGGCGCATACAGGATCGCCTGGGAAGCCATGGGGAGAAGACACTAGCCTACCTGAGATCGCCGACGAGCCGGGGGACTTGTCTGGCTCATCGTCATCCTCCTCCTTTGGTGGTGGCGCTGGTGGGGATCCTGCAACCGGGCATGACTCATCGATGGATGATGGCGACACGTCTGCAGACAGCTCCTCAAGCTCCCATCGCGTCTTCAACAATACAAACACGCCCAATTCGCTGACAGCGACGATCTCGCGTGGCCACTTCCACCAGTGCGGCACGGCGAGGCGGGTCAAGGTTTACGAGCTTCAAGGAGAGATCTGGTTCGATCGAGGGACGGGTTACTGCGCAGGAGTCTACGATGAGGCCTTTGATGAGGCGCTGCTCGTGGCCAGGATGGAGAACAATTGCGTGAAGCTCAAGATTGAAAGCGAAGGTGACGAAGCAGGACGGTCCGACGCCGTCGCAGCAGCTGCTGCTGCTGCTACGACTGCTGCCACAGGCTCGACAGACGGCCAATCCCCCATCACTGATGGCGAGGACAAGGACTACTTTGTTCTCGTCGTGAGCGAGAATTTAGAGACGGAGGACATGCTGCTCAACACGCGCGTCGTCCGAGAGGACGTCTACCAGAGACAACAGGGTGAGTACAGCATCTCGATCACCGTCCGCCGCTACACCGCAATCTTACAGAGCCGAGTCGCAGACACCCTTGTCGTTTGGACCGAGCCCGATGGGACCGATATGGCCCTTTCTTTCCAAGAGGCCGACGGCTGCAATGAGGTGTGGGATTTTCTCACTGAGGTTCAAAAGCACTTTATTACCCATGGCCAAACGGTCAGGATGGAGCAGCAAGGCGCGGGAGCGGGCACAGGTAGTGGCTCCGACGATGAAGGCGTGCTCCTCGGAGTTGATGGAACAAATTCCAGCCAGGATGGTGGGACGCTCTTCATGGCCGACGGCAGCCCTTTTGCTCTCCCGGATCCACAGCGCGACAATCTCGAGGTCGTAGAGGTCACCCTCAAGGATGGGGCAAGTCGAACTGCAGCAGCGAGAGGAAAGGTGGCCGAGTGGCTGTTTAAAGACGAATACGTCAAGAAGCTCATTCCCGTCTTCCATGACGCAGAGGAGCTGGAGCAGCTCGAGGACTTGCACCGGCTCTGCAGCATCATGCAGACGATCCTGATGCTCAACGACAATGTTTTGGTCGAGAGTATTCTCCAGGACGACGTCTTCCTCGACGTCATGGGCATGCTCGAATACGACCCAGAGTTTCCCAGGCTCAAGGCCTCGTATCGCGACTACCTTGTCAACCAGACTCGCTTCCGCCAGGTGGTGCCGATCCATGACCCCACGATCCTGGCCAAGATTCACCAAACCTTTAGGCTCCTCTACCTCAAGGACGTCATCTTGACGCGCATCGTTGACGACTCCACCTTTGCCATCCTCAACAGCCTCATCTTCTACCACCAGGCCGATATCATCAACTTTTGCTCGAGTTCAGAGCAATTTCTCACAAGCCTGTTTGGCATCTTTGGTGATCCGCCGCCCGCCTCGCAAAGCGACACCAGCGGCGAGGTGCAGGTCTTTGACGACGAGAAGAAGGGCGAAGCTGTCATCTTCATCCAGCAGCTCGTCAGCATGGGAAAGCAGATTCAGCTTCCCACTCGCATTGCCCTCTATCGCGTTCTCACCGAGTGGGGCTTGCTGGTCGTGCTCGAATATGCGCTCTCGAGAGAGGACGGCAGACTCAAGAATGCGGCGACCGAGGTGCTCCTGACAATCATCGAATACGATGCTACGGCTGTGCGGGTTCACATCCTGGAGCAGGTAGATCGAAGCAGAATGTCGCTTCTCTCCAAACTCGTTGACCTGCTCCACGAGGAGACCGACCTGGGCCTCAAGACGCAGCTCACCGAGGCGCTGCGGATCCTTTTCGATTCAGCACCCGATGGCACGAGCGTTGGACCCGGTGTAGCGCAGTCGTTGAGCGCTGCCGCCGCCGCCGCCGCAGCGGCTCATGGAGATACCGACGGAGACATGGTACAGAAGGAGGACTCCGATCTGTTCCTTGCTTGGTTCTACGAGGAAGAGGTCGAACACCTCTTTGAACCCCTGAAGCAACTACCAAGGATGAAAGAGTTGATGTCATCGGTGTCATCAGGACAGAGGCGGAAGAGGGGCGATCTGTCGCTGGAGCCGCGAGCAAAGTCGGCGCTCATCGGCCATCTGTGCGACCTGCTCACTTACATTGTCATCCACCATTCCTACCGGAGCCAGTACTGGATCGTGTCGTCAGACATCAGCGCACGCGTGGGCGCGCTGCTCTCTGCGAGAGAGAAGCACATCCGACTCTCGGCCCTTCGCTTCTTTCGCGCTTGCCTCACCAGGACCAACCAATTCATCAACCGGCACCTGATCAAGCTCAACGTTTTTGAAGCCATTCTGTATCTGATGGAGACTGAGGAAAGTAGAGGCAATCTCGTGGCAAGTGCATGCCTTGATCTCTTCGAATTCATCCGAAAGGTGAGTTGCCCTTCCTCTTACTAATTTGAAAAGTACGAGGCTGACAGACTTTCTCATGGTTCCTTTTTGTGTGACAGGAGAATGTACGAGCAGTCATTGGACACCTCCATGACAAGTTCAAGGCTCGACTGGAAGCACTCGCAGCGAGGCCGACGTGTGGCTCTTTCTTCAGTGCACTGCTCGATCAGGCGAGGAGAAATAAGGAGGCACCCGTATCTCAGGACTCTTCTGCTGCGTCGGCGGCAAGGAGCAACGCAATGAGTATGAAAGACGAAGCCGAGCGAAAGAGACGAATTCGCGATCTCGAGCGAAGAGGTCAGAACAGAGCCATGATGGACCTCGACGAAGAGAACTACTTTGGAGAAGAGGACGACGAGGATGAAGGAGAAAAGGCAGCTTCGACTTCCACGTCGGCATCCACCTCTTCCTCCTCCCAGTCGTCATCGTCGTCGTCATCTACAACCACGTCAGCGGGGCCCAAGCGAGGCGGACTGGTGCCCTATTCGGACGAGGATGGCGAAGAAGAGGCACAGGAGGTGGCTTCCTCGCTGCCGGCGTTACACCTCACTAGTGTCACACCATCATCACAAGAAGCAGGTCCTCCTGGCACTTTCCAAGCTACACCGCCCACTTCTTCCATGCCTGCAGCGCACGTTCAGCCGATGATTTCGAGCAGCGCACTCGAGGAAGTCGTTGTTCCGAAGCTTTCTGGTGGACGTAGGAAACGCGATGCGTCAGAGGGGCAAGACGAAGAAGACGACGATGACGATATGATGGGTAGGCTTGCCAAGCGGAAATCTTCACGAAAGAGCGGCGGCGGGCTCGAGCCGGCTGCGAAAGCGCCAAAGCAGGAAGCGGTGGCCGGCGGATTTATCAAAGAGGAAGACGCTGAGGAAAAGCAAGCCAAAGGACCAGCCGCATTGGCGGCGGCGGACGACAAGGAGAAGGCAGGAGGAGGCAAGAAGAAGCTGTCGATCAGCCTCTCGTCTTCCAGCCAAAAAATGATCAAGAGCGACGATGATGCTTCGTCATCCCCCCCTTCCAACACCACCACCTCCTCTTCTTGAGGAGTCTCATGATCTCCCTATCTGCATCTGCTGGCAACCTAGCCGGCCACTGTGATTTTCAGTGATTGTAATTTTGATGTATGTGCTCTTCTCTTTTCTGCTCGGCGTGAAGTAGTAGTAGCTCGGTGATTCAGACTTTTGACGCGTCGGTGCTTCGTTCGCTCTTACTCCGCTCTTTCCATCCACATCCCGCACGCACACATACCGCCCCAAATGGCACCTCACTATCGGCCACGCCAAGCCGTGATCGTCTCCACCTCTCCTGCCACTCAGGAAGACACCAGCGCTTCCTCGACGTCGTCGCCCTCTTCGACAGCCGAATGGAACTCGCTGCTGCTGTGGGCGCGCCGCGCGAGGGGACCGCAGTGGGACAGCTCGACGTCGATCTGGCACGTCGACCGGGGCTCGCGCGAGTACTATGCGTTTGCCGATGATGCGGCGCGCGGGACCAAGCTCAGCGTGCAGGGCAGCAGCAGCAGCGGCGGTGGCGCTGCTGCTAGGTCGGGTGGGGTGACCGCGGGGGAGGACGGCGCGGGGCCGGCAGCGACGGGCGCAACGGGATCCGAAGAGGGCCGGGATGAGGGGAAGCTGCGTGAGAGGGAGCGGGAGCGGGAGCGAGAAAGGGATCGAGAGAGAGACGAAGCACAACGACGAAGGCTCGCGAGCATCGGCGCAAGTCGGACCAACAGTGCAACGAACAGTCCCGCGCCGGCCACGGCTGCTGCCACGGGGCCTGGCGCCCTGGTCGGTGGGGCCATCGGCGGTGCTATGGCGGCACCGTTCGGCAGTGGGATCAATCCGTTGACGGGAAAGAGGGGCCGAGGAAGGCCGAGAAAGATTGTGGTGAGGCCTGAAGACCAGCAGCAACAGCAGGTGCCGCCACAAGGACCACAACATCTTGCGGGGCAGGTCGGTGCGGGTGCAGCAAAGGTGGAAGGACAGGGCGGCGCCCAGCAGGTGCCGCAACAGCAGCCTCAGCAACAAGTGCAACCACAGAGCGCGACCGCTGCAACTCCTGCGCCTGCTACGGCCCCCCGTGAGGATGAAGAAGAGGACGATGAAGAGGAAGAGGACGACGACGACGACGACGATGGGGACGATGACAACAAGGGAGGGTCAAGCTACAAAGGCAAAGGTAGCAATGAAGACGATGACGACGACAACGATGACGATGATGACGATGACGACGACGATGATGATGACAATCAGTCTCACACAAGGCGGGGAGGAAGTTCAGGAGAAGACAGCGATGATGGAACAGCAAAAAGAGGCCGCTTCCGTTAGATAAAGTAGAGTCAAAGATGTTCATAATCTGCATGCATTATGTTATCTATCACAGTCCCAGGCTGAGTCGAGCATCTTCGAGCTTCGGCCTGACCCATGCGCTTCCACTGAGATCAATGGCCGTCCTCACGGCTTTCTCGCCGACCTCCAGTAGCTTCTCGTGCTCGTCAAGATCTGCACAAGTGATCTGTCCACGCTCCAGAGCGGTAGCGAAGGCAAGGCAGTCTGCCTCTGCCTCCACGCCCCTCTCCTCGGGTCGGTCCGAGATGCAACGGGCAATGATGAGCTTACAGAGCTGGGGAGCGTCGCGGGCGAAGCGTTCCAGCAGCCTCTTTGGTGAAGGACCCGGTGGTGGTGGGAGATATTTGACTCTTGGGTCATCGGAATCCAAGCCCTCCCCTTCCTCGTCGTGCAGAATCGCAGCGAGGTCGACGTCGTCGGGCGTGGGCAGAGAGGCAGGAATGGCGCCCGTGCTGCTCCTCTTCAGGAGCTTCGTCCTCCGGAACTCGAGGAAACCAGATTGACCTTTACCCAGGAGCGTTTCTCGGATATCGTTGTCTTCGATGTCGTCTCGCAGCGCAAATGCTCGCACAAGGTTGCACCCAAGCGCCCACAAATCCGCAGAGGCACCAACACGCCTGCCCTGGGGTCCCGCAAAGGCCTCGGGAGGAATCCAGTCATAGCTTGCCAGCGTCACGCGCCCATCGCCCCCGGGGATGCCTCGGAATGGATTGGCGTTTTCGTAATCAATCACGACAAGCCTCGCCTGCTCATCAAACATCAAGTTCTCCAGCTTGATGTCGCCATGCAGCCATCCAGCAGCGTGGAATCCGACAATGGCGCGGAGGGCATTGACAAAGACAAGAGCCACAACGGGGTAGAGCTCTCTCTCTTCGCAGCCTGCGATGACGAAAAAGGCCTCCTCGGGGTAGTCCTCTTCCAGCCGGACGTATTTGCCATCAGATGTCTTGAGCACCTTTGCCACAGCCATGCGACCAGGATTGAGCGTCTCTGCTTTTTGCACCTCGTCGAGGATGTCATCGACGTAGCGATCGCGCAGCTCGCGGAGTAGGGACTTGGACAAGGGGTTGGCGCCCAGGGTCGGGTCCACGTTGCGCATCTTTGCCTCGATGCTCTTGATCTCCATGGCAGCATAGAAGCGTCCGTCGCCATCCATGGCCCAACGCCGCAGCTTGGCCGCACTCGAGACTCGGTTGTCAGGCGTTGTGATGAGGTACGTTGTGGGGACCATATCCTCGTCGGCCACTGCATCTTCGTGAACCAGGCTCGATCTCCGCAGATTGGAACTCGGGATCTTGTGAGAGTGATGGCGATGGTGGAAGTCTCGCTTCTCGTCTTCGTCTGCGAAGGCGACACCGTCGCCGGTGTCTTCGGCGCTGAACAGGCGCACCGAGAGGCCGTCAGTGACGGCACCCTCGCGAAAGGGACCGGTACGGTCGTACAATGTACCATCGACCGGGATCGGCTTTCTTCTCCTCGCCAATTTGAGAGCCAAACGAGGCGAGGAGCTCCTCGACGCAGTCTGCGAGCCGGTGATGCGTGAGCCGTCCGCGCCCAGGTGACTTGACGGGGAAGATTCATCGGATCGGTCGTACTCGACTCCCTCCAACTGCTCGTAGCGCAGCTGAGCTTTCTCCCGGGCATGCTGCACCATGCTCTCTACGCTCATCGAATCCTGGTCGTCGTCGGCCGCGCCGCCCTGAGCCGAAGCGGCTGCAGCTGCAGCTGCCTGGGCGAGAAGATCCGATGAACTGGTCCTGTGCTTTGGTTTCCGGGTCCGCGAGGCGCTCTGAGTGTGCGCTGGAGATGAGGCCCCCACGGGCGACACCTGACTGACAGGACCAGATGCTGGGCTGATCTGGCTGAGCGGGGCGAGAGACAGACGCTCAAAATGCTGCTGTGGTGCTCCACCGATAGACGATGCGCTCGACGAAGACGATTCGCGCCTGGGCGTGTGGATGCCAATGACAGTCTCGTGCCTCATGATGGCGGCCTCCGGGCCATTGGATGAGAAACGCCTCGGTCTTGGCGCCGTTGTCGTTGCAGTTGTCGTCGCGGTGTCGCCGCCCTGCCTGTTGCTGCTAGCCGAGGAGGAGCCCCTCCTCGTCGCTCCAGCGTCATGGCCTCCAGGTTGCAGCTGCTGCTTGATCCGCGGCCTCCAGAGACCACTGCCATTGCTGCTGCTTCTGCGACTGTTGCGCCGCGTGGAAGGAGCAGCACTGCTGGCACTCTCGGACATCCATGCATCATCCTCGGACCACCTGCTGCCCGACCCTCTCCTCCCGTCTGAGTCCTCGTCGTAGTCCTCGTCCTCGTTGTCATCCTCGTCGTCCTCATCTTCGTCGCCCTCGTCCTCGGCGGCAAGCTTGGATCGGTTGACCAAGCTCGAGGTGCCCTTTTTGAAGGCCAGATGGACCGAGCCACCAAAGGTGCCCATGCTCTCGCGCTCGTGTTGTTGCCACCGCTCGTGGTCCTTTCCCAGAAACAGCGTCTTGGCCCGATAGCGACTCGGGGGGATTGTCCACTCTGGCAAGGGCCGGTCACGGTTGTGCGACTGAGCATCGCGCGCTTCAAACATGGTGTTTGTCCGCATCGATTTGAGGTCCATTCGGCCGGCCTTTACGGGGCTCCTTTTGATCTTTGGTATGGTCGTCGACGACGACGGCGAGCGGGAGCCGCGGTCACCGCCAGCCCGATTGGGGGAGATGGAGCCAGGAGGCGTCATGGCGATGAGGGCGTCGTCGTGCAGAAAGGAGGACAATAGCGAGTGAGAAGGCCGTCGCTGTCGCCGTCGCCGCCGTGGAGACCCTTGCGTGCAGCAACCTTTTTTCCTCGCAGATTGAACCCTTTGTGCACGCGCGCACGCGACGATGACGCGAGTGACTGACGGAGCTGCAGCCAACGGTGCGAGGCGCACAAAGCGATGCGTGCGGGGAAAGGATCAGAGAAGTCTGAAGGGAAAGGCGGTGCAGAGGTAAGGAAGCGTGAGAAGACAGGTGATCAAAACGGGCCTGGACGGTTTCCTGCTCCCTCCTCCAGAGACGTCGAAGAATTTAAAAAGATAGTAAGGAAAGATGGGGGCGGGCACCCGACTGAGGGGGAAGAGGGCTTAGTTTAGGGTGCATCGCCGGGGGCGATACTGCAAAAAAGCGTCATTGCATCTCTTAGACCGCGGATTTTCAGTCTTGCACATTTCCTCCTTAAACTTTTAGATTTTCCGCTGCTGTTTGAAGATCGAGCGGGGTGGAAGATCTCAATGCATGGACGTCGTTGCGAATGCATGGTCCTCTCGAAAACCTCGGAAGAGTGTTCACCGCGGCTCACGACCCGCGCGAATAGCCAAAGAGAGCAATACACCATGGAGGCCTGGTCTAGGCCGATGTTTAATGAAATACATCAGTGTGAGGGAGACTGTTGAGCCCACGGTTCCGAGGTAAAGCAGTCTATTTTCCCTAGCCTACCCGCCCCACTCTCTGTTCCCCCGCGCACTCCATCGATCAGATTCTAGGGTCTACTACTAGCTACTAGTTCTCTGAAAAAGGTCGCATGACCAACAGGTACAGCTTGTATCGGCGAAGCCATGGCTGGATAGCTGGGAACGGTGTGGCTGTGTGGCCTCCAGCACTTTGACTAGGCAAGCTCATGGTCTGCTGAGAGCGTACCGGGAGACAACAAAGGTCGCAATCAGCTATTTCCAAAACGGTCCCATATGGTCAGAAGTGCCGCACCCGGCCCAACGGTAGCAGCCAAGGTGTCCGCTATATGTCCCATTACGGTCCGCCTTCATGTGCGAACGCAGAGGACAGCAAACGAGAAAGAGCATGTCGGAAATTGCTGGAACCGCTGCGTTTTAAGAATGTTAGAGATGCGGATTGGTAATCACTTTCTCTTCTCCGTCATCAACAGATTCCCTCCCATCCTGCTTTCTCATGATTGTTCGCTTCTCATAGCATTGTCTTAGAGGGAGCTTTTTTTTTTTTTTTTTTTTTTTTTTTTTTTTTTTTTTTTTTTTTTAGGGTCTGGTCTGGCTGGTGACAGACCGGCAATTTAAAAAGTCGCTGGACCGGATGTTGACATCCACCTTTCCCATCATCACGTTGACCCGCGACTCATGGCTGGAGAGGACGAAGTGGACGGCCTCACGGCTGGTGTGACGCCCTCGTCATCAACTGCGGCTGCAGCAACAGCGCCGCGGCGTCCACAGCACGCAGGCACCGTCTACCGACCCAGCTCGCGCTTCTCTTTTCCCCGCGCTGCGCAGCCTGAGATCGTGCGAGCCTACCAGAAGGATGTTTACTATCGCGACATGCTCCGGGACCAGCTTCAGGACGTAGCCAGGAGTGTACTGGGCAGCCGCACACTGTTTGCCCACGCAGAGACGATCTCGTTCCTGGGCAGCGTCGCCTACTTTACGCTGAGCACCCTCGGAGGCGCCCAGACGCTCGGCGAGGAGTATGTCAATGCCATGATGACCGATGGCAAGACTGGCAGGATTGTCGCTCTTCGCGTGAGTGTTCCACTGCTTTATCCAAGCCAGCAATCATGTTCCCCTCCGCTAACTGGGCTGCACCTGGTGACAGCGACGATCTGCGTTCATCTTCTTCCACGTCGTCTCGCCTTACCTTCTTTCGAGAGTCTATGGCGCGAGCCGGAGGCGGATCGTGGCGAGCCACCAGCAGCGCTCTCAGGCACTGCAACGAGCGAGGCTACGAGCGGCTGCCGTTGCACCTCGGCGTGGTCCCGAGGCGGAAAAGGCCAAAGCAAGGGAGCCTCAGCCCAGCCGGCTCGACCGGCTCGTTGGAATCCTGGCCGAGAGACTACCTTCGATGGAGTCCTTTAATGCCTCGGACGGATGGCTAGCCTACGCCAGCGCCGCTCACCTTGCGCTCTTCTACCTCGGGAGCCGATACTATGCCTTTGGACAGCGCATGGCCGGCGTCGAGTACATTTCCACAATCGCCAGGCGGCCGGGCTCGAAGCCGCCGTCGTACGAGGTGCTTGGTTTCCTGCTGGGCTTGCAGCTCGTCATCAAGATGCTTCTCGGTGCCAACCGGTGGCGTGTGGCTCGCAGCAAGGCCAAGAAAGAGAAGTTGATGAGTGAGGGAAAGTGGGAGGAGAAGCGCGAGGCGGAGCGGGAGCAAGACGAAAAGGAGGTCGTTCACCTTGACGACGTCGCCTGGACCCACAAGACGCAGCCGCCGACCAGGACCGAATCAGGGACCAGGGAGGAAGATCACGGCAGAGTGCCGTTGTCCTATGCGGACCCCGACGCGCTGAGCTCTGCCGCCGAGCTGGGTCTGGACAAGGGAGCGTCACGAGAGCAGCTCGAGGCGAGCCGGGGTGCAGCACGAGTCAAGGCGGCCGAACTGGAGGCTGTGGCCGAGTCGGTGCTCAAGTGTACGCTGTGCATGGAAAAGAGGGAACCGGAAAAGGGGACGAGCGCCGTGACGGAGTGCGGCCACGTCTTTTGCTGGGACTGCATCGTGGGCTGGGCGAGGGAGAAGCCAGAGTGCCCCCTCTGTCGACAATCTCTCAACCCATCTCACATCCTTCCTATCTACAACTTTTAGCCTGATATACATCTCTCCTCTTCTTTTGTAATCTATCAATGGACTGAATGCTCGTCTTTGACTGAGTCATGGGAGAAGGACCTGTGAATTGAGAGCAAGCCAATCCAGCCAGAAGACGCAAGACGGACGCGTCGAAGGCGGCCAACCAACTAAAAAAAATATCAAGTGTTGATCCATCCACACGCAGAGCTTGAATTGCTGACCTCTCTTCTCGACCAACACGTCTTCCTCTCTTTCTTCCATCTCTCTCTCTCTTCTGGGACGAGACCGGGCGCGAGACCTGAGACACTGACAACGATGGCGACGGCGCAAGCGACAGTGAGCCAGGCGCCGCTGCGGACGCACCTGTCGCTCAAGGGCTCCGTGGCCCTCGTCTCGGATTTCTTCCTCTTTGGCATCCAGTCGATTCTCTACCAGCGCGAAATCTACCCCTCGGACGAGTTCCGCAACGTGAAAAAGTTTGGGACCCAGGTCCTGACGACGACGGACGAAGGGCTCAAGGAGTACCTCGATGCGGCCATGGGCCAGGTCAAGACGTGGCTCGAGCGCGGCCAGGTCAAGCGCCTCGTCGTGGCCATTGTCGAAAAGGAGACGGGCGAGACGAGGGAGCGGTGGCAGTTCGACATTGACGTTGTCGGTAAGGCCGAGGGCGAGGAGAGCGAGGAGACGGGGAGTGTGGGCCAAGATGGCAAAGCGCCCAGCAAGGAGAATGTCGAGTGAGTGGTTGGCTCCCTGACTTGGCTGAGGAGAGAGACACACAACCGCACACACGCACAAAGAGAGCTTGACGAGACTGACATGGGACCGAGAAGCCCGAGCGCAGACAAAGACGGGGCAAAGAGCAAGAAAAAGACAGATGCCCAGGTCAAGGCCGAGATTTCGGCCATCATCAAGCAAATCACGGCCAGCTGCACCTTCCTGCCCTTGCTGGAAGAGCCATGTGAGTGCCTTGGTCTTGAGCCTAGACAGGATGCAAGGACTGACGACGGGGGAATTTGCCAGGCGCATTCACCATTTTGGCCTACACCAGCCTCGAGGCAGACATGCCCATGGAGTGGTCCGAAAGCGATGCCCGGCTCATTGCCGCCGGTCAGGCCGAGCAAGTCAAGCTGAGGAGCTTCAGCACCCAGGTGCACCGCGTCGACGCCCTCGTCGCTTACAAGCGTGAAGACGAGGACGAGTAGCAGTCCCCTGCCTTCTCTCTCTCTTTCTCTTCTCGCTTGTCTCTCTCTTTTATCTTCCTTGTACAACATCTAGATTACGAAAATGAAGCTGTTCATTTCTCGAGTCCCCTAGGCGAACTCGGGCACATTGTGTTGGCCAGGTCCGTATGGCTTCGATGTCAAGGCAGTCCTTCCTTCGGCGGCCTCGGACGAGTGCCTGCCGCTCTGCGGGCCAGGCTTGGGCGGCTTGCCATTCTTGAGGCCGTCGAGGAGCTTGATCGTTGTCTCTGGCGTCAGGTCCTCCTGTTTGGCATAAATGTTCGTCAGCAGGAGCTCGGCTCTTCATGCGAAAGCGAATTGAATTTGCTCACGTAGAAGTCATCGTTGACCTGCACCATGGGTGCGTTGGCACAGGCGCTGGTAAAAGGCAATCAATCGTCAGCCACTTGTCTCTCTCTTTTGGCAGAGTAAGGAGAGAAGGAAGTGCAACTCACCCAAGGCACTCCACCTCCACCAGGGTAAAGAGCTTGTCGGGCGTGGTGTGTCCAGCCTTGATGCCAAGCTTGTCCTCCATCGTCTTTTGGATCAGCTCGCTGCCGCACCCGCCGAGCATGCACGGCGTCGTGGTGCAGAGCTGCAAGAAGTACTTGCCCACGGGCTCGCGGTTGAACATGGTGTAGAACGAAGCCACCTCGTACACCCTCATCGGCGGCATCTCGAGAAACTCGGCGACGTAGTTCATGACGCTGATCGAGGTCCAGCCGCTGTTTTGCCGTTGGCCCAGGTCCAGCAGCGGGATCACGGCAGCCTTCTTGTACTGGGGAGGGTAGTGCGAGACGATTTCCTTGGCCTGCTTCAGGTTCTCCTCGTTGAACTTGAAGGGAATCTTGGGGTTGCTGTTTGGGGTTTGTAAAAAGGTCAGTTCGTCGCTCGCTGTCTAGGGCCATTCATCTAGAGGTGCAACACCCACTTGTAGTCGGTGTCTCTGTGGACAAAGAGCGCATCCGATCGGTTCACCCTCGAGGTCGACAGGGCCCTGACGGGAGCGGCAGTGGCAATCCGAGGACGAGAAGCCACTTGCCGAGCAGCGCTCAGAGCGACAGAGCGAAGCGAGGCCATTGCAGATGTGTGGTAGTTGGAAAAGAGGTAAATTGGAGGAAGTCTACTGGCGCTTCGATTACAAATACGCGCCTGCTTCACGGCTGAAGCCTCCCCTTCTCCTCAGCTTCTTCTCAACCTTTCTTCGTTTGACGGCCGTCTCAGCTTCCTTCAAATTGACAGACGTTTAATCTGCAGGTTTGAGTGCTGTCTATCGCTGTCGCACCACCGTCGCAGCAGCTCTGAGACTAGGGCTCGGAGAACTTCCAGATCCAGTCGAGGCACCAGGTGATGCACGTGACCCGACAAGTTCCGTAATTTTTTCGTTCGTCGTCACCTTTCTTCCTCCGACGTCTCCTCACAGCGACGACGGGACGGCCAATAACTAGAGCGAGCCAACACAATGTGGCCATTTTCGGGTTCAAATCAGGATGCTCCGGCTCCCGCGCCCTCGGCGACCGAGGGAGTTGCGCCGACATACAACTCAGCCGGCCCTTCCTCAGCGCCACAGCAGCAGCAGCAACAACAGCGACAAGACGGCACGGCGACCGATTACTTCCAATCGTCATCTGCCAAGTTTGATCGCTCGCAGTCGCCTCAGTACGATCCTAGCTACACGCCGAACACATCAGACCTGTTCAACAATGCTGCCTTCGACGTCGCACGATTGCATCCCATGGCCGGCCTCGGGAAGGATGAGATTGAATACCTCGACATTGTCGATGCGCAGCCTTCGACGCTGGAGGGTGGGCGCACCGCGCTGCCCAGCCGGGGGTGGAGCGACGATCTTTGCTATGGAACTGGGACCACATATCTGTCGGGTAGGTTTGACTTCTTTTCCATCGCGTCTCTTGCCCAGAGCTTACATTTGTACCAATTTGTACCATCAGGTCTTGGCGTTGGTGGCCTCCTCGGTGCGCGAGAGGGCCTGTTTAGACCGCTGGGCGTTCAGTCGCCGACATTCCGCCTGCGACTCAATGCCGTGCTGAACCAAATCACAAGACGGGGAAGCTTTATGGGCAACAGCGCCGGTGTCCTGGCCCTCATCTACAACATCTTTGACGCCTCCATCGACGGCATGCGCGGCAAGCACGACATCTGGGGCAGCATCGGTGCCGGTGGGCTCAGCGGCGCCCTCTTCAAGTGCACCGCCGGCGTTCGCCCCATGATGATTTCGAGCAGCATCATGATGGGTCTCGCCGCAACATGGTCTACCGCAAAGACTGCGCTTCTTTAATTTCGTGTAGGAGCACATACATTCGCAGAGACACATCTTCACCACCACTCGCTTTCTTCCTCTGTCTTTCTCTATCAATGGCAATGGTCCATTCCGTGCTCACATCTTGCTCGCGCCCAGATTGCCAAAGCCTAGTTCGAGGCCGACTGCCAGATGGGCGAGCCTAGCATCGACGGCGTATCCCTTCTTTTGGAAGTCTGTGCAGAGATATAGCATCAGCTGCGATACTCTGAATCTGGTGGGCGTGAATGAGACACCAACCACTGAGGCTGTTGGTGAGGCCACGGAGAGGGACGAGGTGCTTCTCGATGATCTCGCCCTCGTCTGGCTTCGCCACAGGATCGGGTGCATCGTCTGCGACGTCGATCCGGACGATGCACAGTTTCATGTTTGCTCCTGTCATTCCCTGATTTCCATCCCTTGTCAGTCGCCTCTACTTGGCAGGAAAGAGAGATAAAGAAACAGGAATTCTGATGACGCACCGGATCATTGTACATGATGTTGGTTGTCTCCTTGACGTCGACCTTGGCGCCGTCCTTTGTCGTGCCATAGCCCGTCTCCTCCTCCAGCTCGCGCAGAGCAGCCCTCGTCGCGCCGTCGTCGCCCTCCTCGCCCGCATCGACGAGGCCCGCCGGCATCTCGATGACGCTCCTCCCCACGGGCGGCCGGTACTGCGAGATGAGGAGCAGGTGCGGCTCCGACGAAGGCCGGTGGATGAGGGTGCAGATCGCGACGGCGTCCACGTCGCCCTTGCGCGTCCGCCGGTCGGCGCTCTCCCACTTGCGCTCCTTGCCTGTGGGGTCCTTCCAGTGGATCGCGCGCAGGCCAATCCACTTGCTGTCGGCGTCGTTGAGCGGCTCGGACCGGAGATTCTTGGCCGACTGCGACGACATGGCGCTCTCGGCGATCGTCTTGATGCTATGTGAGTAAGCAGTCGGGGCTAGCGTTGTTGCGAGTTTAGCAGAGGCTCTCGTAGTTGTAGTAGTAGCAGCAGTGACAAGTCTCCCTGGTAAGAGACAAGTCGAAGCTCGAACGAGAAGCATCAATCAATGCGAAGGGAGGCGGGAAGAAAGAAAAGTGGAGTGTTGCCTTGTGTCACGCACGCACGTCACGTCAGCAGCTCTGATCAGCAGACCCTCGGCCTCAACCTGTCAAATCTCAAAGCCACTTCAATCGTACAGCGTACGAGTGAGAGCACATTCTGACCCGAAGACATGTAATTGGAAGAATTATGGAGTAGTACAGCAGCCTCACTTTCGGTACCAGAGCGTCATCTTGCGGCCTCTCCTCATCTTCCTCATGAGACACAGCATGCCGTGCAGAAGCGCCTCGGCCGTGGGCGGGCATCCTGGCACGTACAGGTCCACGGGCACGATTCGGTCGCAGCCACGAACAACGCTGTACGAGTAGTGGCTGATTCGATGAAATGCGTTAGAACATGCTCAGAAGTTGAGGGCGAAATGAGCGATGCGCGAAAAGAACTCACTAGTAACCCCCACCGTTGGCACACGAGCCCATGCTGATGACCCATCGAGGCTCTGGCATCTGAAAACGCAAGGGTTCAATATAAGCTGAAGTTCAACAAAGTGCCGATAATTCGTGTGCAACACCAACCTGATCGTAGACCTTGCGGAGAGCGGGTGCCATCTTGTTGGTCAGGGTACCAGCGACAATCATGACGTCCGACTGACGAGGGCTGGCACGGAACACAACGCCCAATCGGTCCTGATCATATCGTGCAGTGGCGACGTGCATCATCTCAACGGCGCAGCAGGCGAGACCGAAAGTCATGGGCCACATTGACCCCTGACGAGCCCAGTTGACGACCTTGTCCAACGTCGTCGTCACGTATTCTGTGATGCTTTCCCGTTAGGTCACGATTAAAATAATCGCTCATTGAGATGCGAGGAAGCACTCACCGACATTGTTCCGAGGCGTCTCGAGGCTGAGCTGGTTGCTTCCCCGGTTGGCGACGGCCGCAAACGAAGCTGGTTCCCCCGTGCCTTCACCAGCAGGTGAAGCCTGGCTGCTGCTCGACGACGTGGCAAACGCGCGGCTCTTTCCATTCTGGACCTGGCTCTGCTGCTGGCTGCTGGCAATAATGGCGGGGAGGAGCGAGGACTTGGACGAGGAAGCGCCGTCCCTCGAAGCCGACACTTGGCTCATGAAGCGGGCGGACATCGCGCGAGGAACCGACGAGCGCATGGCTGTGAAGATTTATCAGCTCAATCTGGTCCACATCAAGGGCAGAGAGAAAAAACCAACGCACCTCCAGCCCTCGAAAGGGTGCTGAATGCCGAACGAGAGACCGACATGTTGTCAGTGAAAGCCCGCGCGATAGTCAATGGCGATGACGAGAAGGTGGAAATGGCTTTGTTCGCCGGGTGGCGCCCCTTCTCTAGCCAATCGTTTCTCGCGCTTACAAGATTGGATTCCACGCGAGAATCAGTCAGACACGTGATCCATTTCGCCCAAGATTCTTCCTCTGATCCCTTGGATCGCACAACTTTCGACGACAGGAATAGAGGCACCAAGAGACCACGATGAAGGTCAGGGCGGAGCCGATGCTGCGAACGGCAGCCAGGGCCGGTTTGTACGGCGCATCTTCCTCGCGCTTGACTTTGACACCCATCAGACAGTGAGTTTGTTGATACTACTTTGCTTTGCGTTCCTCTGCGGCTGACATGGAGCTCTTACTTCTCAGCTTCTCGTCGTCTCGCGCGGCCTCTCGCTCGGTCCTCGACTCGCTCGCAGGCCTCGGAAACCGTCTCGGCATCAACACAAATCCTCTCTATCGCGGTCTTGGCGCCAAGACACCCGAGGAAAAGGCCAAAAGGGCCCTCGAAGACTCGGTCCGCTCCGACCCTGAGAAATCCAGAAGACGGCTCCTGCGAAAACGGTGGGGTGCGCCCAAGATGATCGAGGTGTCTTCTTCGACGCAGGGCGGCGCAGCAAAGAAGAGAGAAGCGATACCGGCCCCGCCGAGATTTGCAGGGCGGACAGCCAAGACGACGAGGCTCGAGGAGCGCGTTACGGAGCACAAGTACAGCACGGCTGCCTTTCGCATCTCGCCCCGCAAGCTGAAGGTCCTGGCGGACCAGATCGGTGGGGGTAAGCCCATCGACTTTGCCATCCTGCAGATGCAGTTCAGCCCGAAGCGGGCGGCACGAAGAATCAAGAGCACGCTTGCTCTGGCGCGGGACCATGCAGTCGCAAAGGGAATGGAGAGAAGCCGGCTCGTCGTGAGCGAGGCGTGGGTGGGCAAGGGCATGAAGTTCAGGAAGATGGAGCCAAAGGGAAGGGCACGGACAGGTGTCAGGGAGAGCTTCCAGAGCCGACTCTCCATCGTGCTCCGTGAGGGAAAGACATGGGACGAGAAGCAGAACGAGAAGCTGGCAAAGGAGAAGAAGAGGATCCGAAGCATCGGCACGGGAGGCGTTGTCAGGACCCAACGTCCCCTGGTCAACACATTCCAGAGGCCAGGATGGCAGTGGTGAACATCCCTCTCTTCATCTCGCTCCCTTCATCTCGCTCCCTTCATCTCGCTCAGAGGCGGTAAGAAATAATATCATCGAAAAAAAGTGCATGTCTTCCAATGTGTATATAGAGATGGCCCCAGGAAGCTATATTTACTGCGCACATTTGGGAAGAGAGCAAGAGCGAGATGTCAGCTGAAACACGTTCTGATTGTGAAGACGAACGAGCGACGTCACTCACAGTAATGACGGTCGGCTTGGATCGACCCGTGAACTTCTCGAGCTCGGAAATCTTGAGTGCCTGCTCAATGAGGGGCTTGAGGCCCTGCTGAGCATCGGCCTCGAACTCCTTCTCATCGTTGCTGTACTTTTCCACGTAGAGACGGATCGTGGCACCCGCCGAGCCGGTGCCGGACAGACGGAAGATGATGCGGCTTCCGTCGACAAACTTGGCGTACAGGCCTTGGTTCTTGCTCACGCTGCCATCGATGGGGTCCGTGTAGGAAAAGTCGCCCGCCTCGGCCACCTCAAAGTCGCCAAGCTTGGTGCCCTTGAAGGACGAAGAGGTGAATTGGGAAGAGAGCTGGGCCATCATGTCCTTTGCGCCGGCCGACTCGACCTCCTCGTAGTCGTAGCGCGAGAAGAAGTTGCGGCCGTAAGTCTTGTAGTGGGCGAGGAGCACGTCAGAGACCGTCGTCCCGGGCTTCTCCTTGTTTGCGGCTGCCAGGATGCTCAACCAGGCTATTTGATTCTTGTTAGCGGCCCGAAGCAAAGAAATCAGTCTTAAGACATGCGGCCATTCTCACCCACGACGGCCCAGAGCCCATCCTTTTCGCGGATGTGGTCGGAGCCCGTGCCGAAGCTCTCCTCGCCGCAGATGGAGAGCCTGCCGGCGTCCATCAGGTTGCCAAAGAACTTCCATCCCGTCGGAACCTCGAAGCACTCGAAGCCCTTCTTCTTTGCAACGCGGTCGATGGCACCGCTCGTGGGCATGCTCCTGGCCAAGCCCTTGACGCCCTTGTTAAAGTACGGGATCGCACGGTCAGCCCAGTCTGCAATGATGGCCACGCTGTCACTCGGGTTGACAAAGGCGCCCTTGCCAATGATCATGTTTCGGTCTCCGTCGCCGTCCGAAGCCGCGCCGAAGGAGATTCCCTTGGACTCGACGGCATCGACGAGCGACTTTGCGTACGTCAGGTTTGGGTCCGGGTGGCCCCCACCAAAGTCGGGCGAAGGGACGCAGTTCTGCACGGACGACTCCGGCAGGCCGAACTGCTCGACAAAGAGGGCGCGACCATAGGGACCCGTCACGCCGTGAAGAGCGTCAAAGAGGACGGAGAAGGAGCCCGACTGGAGGAAGGACTTGATGAGGCCAAAGTCGAAGATCTTGGACAGATACTCGACGTAGTCCTTGACTGGGTCGATGATGTCGATCTTTGTGCTGCCAAAGGAGGTGGAGCCGATCTTGGACACGTCGACGTCGTCGCCCTCGACAACGTGGTACTCGCTGATGGTGGTGGTGACGTTGTAGATCTTGTCGGTGACACCCTCGGGCGCTGGTCCTCCGTTCTCCATGTTGTACTTGATGCCAAAGTCAGCATCGGGGCCACCAGGATTGTGGGAAGCAGTAAGGAGGATACCGCCAGTGGCCTTGTAAGAGCGAATGATGTGGCTCACGGCCGGCGTGGAGAGGATACCGTTTTGGCCAATGATAAGGCGAGAGACGCCGTTGCCGGCGCATAGCCGGATGATGGACTGGATGGCGGGGATGCTAAAGTAGCGTCCATCGCCACCAACGACGAGAGTGGAACCCTTTGCACCTGGCGAGGGGATCGACGAGAGGATAGCCTGAACAAAGTTCTCTGTGTAGTGAGGCTGCGAGAAGACCTTTACGCTGTGGAGGTTGTCTCCTATTAGAATTGTGGCTCTCTCGATAGGTGGTACAAGCTCCTCCCACTCACCGCTTTCTGAGGCCCGAGGTGCCCGGCTTCTGGCCCTCGAAGGGCTTTGTCGAGACTGTCTTGACGGAAGCTGCCATTGCGAACGCTGGTTGTTGCTGCAGTTTGTGGCGGGAAGGAAGAACCACGGGGAGAAGAGTCTAGGCAGGCAGTCAGTTAGCGAGAAACCTTGTATGCGAAACGTGGCACACGTTCGGTGCACGGACCGATCGTCTTCCAAAAGCTCAAAAAGAAAGCTGAAGCCGTCGCGGGTAAACGAAACGCTCGAGAAGAAGAAGACGATAACGACGAAGGGAATGGCTTCGACGTCGATGATGGTCCACCTCGACCGGTGGGTTTCAACCCAGGCGCCACTCAATGAAGAGGAGAAAGCGAGCGTCAACTTACTGTCCGACTTCATCGCGTCGCCCGCCCACGCATCGACGTCCACTTCAGCACCACTACCGAGGGAAGAGGCGCGAGCTGGCGTGGCAAAGGACGATGTTGCATCGGGCAGTGGTACATTCGAGCCCTCGAGAGCGGACACGGCCTCCTCTGCGGCAGTTTCAGACCCCCTTCTGCCCGTGGCTCCGCTATCAGATGCACCCTCGTATTTGAGTTGGTTTGCAAAGCAGCAGGCTCTCATCACTTCGTCGACTGAATCGGCCCACGTCAAGCAGCTCCAGGCGATGACGAGGGCCGCCGATGAGGCAGATGCGCTCCTTGACCAGCTCGAAGCCGCCCGTATCCACATTGCAGAGCTCAGGGCTGGCGCAAAATATGTACAAGAAGGCAGCGAAGGCCTGCGAGAGGAGGCCGAGACGATGGTCGAGCGCATCGATCATCTCTCTCAGCTGGCTGAGGCTTTGGCTGTGCGGCTGTCCTACTTCGCCATCTTGCCCGCCAGCACATCCTTCTTGTCGTCGCCCTCACTATCACTCGCATTGTCGCCCGACTTTCTCTTCACCCTCGATCGCCTCGACGTTGCCCTGGCCTTTGTACGCGCCCATCCCCACTACCGAGACGCTGCGCTGTACAAGATGCGCTTTGAGCACTGCGTTGTCCGCGCGGGCACATTGATACGCATGTATGCCGTGGGGAGGTGGAAGGACCTGGCGTACGAGGTGTCAAATAAGCTCAAAGAGTGGGACAAAGCTCGGCATTCGAAAGGCAAGGAGAAGGAACGCAGTGGTGACGACGACCGCGTTCTGATGGTGAGTCTTGCCAATGAAGAGGCAGAGGTCCACATGGAGCTGAAGCATATTTTCTTCCTAGTTGTTTGCAGAACCTATCATCTACTCGCTTCTCTGGGACCGATACGAAGAAGAGTTTCCGCAGCTTCGACCTCTGCTCTTTGAGCTCGAGAAGCGTTCGGCGCCAGACGGAGCGCCCGCTTCGACGGACCTGACATCGTCACCAGACGCTGCTGTGCAGGGCAGTCAAGATACAGGACCGATGGACGAGAAGAGCCTTCTTGCCGACTATTCGGCGACTGAGAGCAGAGAGGAGGAACAGGTGGACGAGGGGCCTCAAGGGAAAGAGGAAGAAGGGATGGAGGCTTTCAAATCGCCCGAGTTTGCTTCCCTTCTCTCCGAGTGTCGCACGGCCTACTTTGATGGAAGGCGGTCTTTGCTGTTGGGCATGGTATCGGATTGCGTCGCCCGTCTGGAAATTGCTGTGCAAAGCCAAGGCGATGCTGGCCCGTTAGCAAACCCAATTTCCTCTTCGGCATCTTCACCTCGGACGACTGCGACGGCGGCATTTGTCAAACGGGGCCTCTCCTTTTGTCGAGCCCTGTGCGAAACTGAGAAATCGCTCTACGCTCGCTTCTTTGCTCTCACGGGACACGGCTCGAGCAGCAAGGATCTGCAGACCTACTTTGAGCAGCTCTGCTCGCCCTTTCACGACCGCATACGTCCTCGATTATCGAAGGAGACTAGCCTGGCACCACTGGCCGAGCTATCGTTGGCTCTTCTGGAAGGTGGCGAAGCCCTAGCTGCGCCCTCCGATCCCGTCTTCACACCGATTGCCTCGGTTTTGCTCAACGATGTTCAGACACGCCTGATTGCAAAAGCGCGCACCATGGCCGTCGGCTCAGAGATCGGCGCCTATACGGCCAAGGACAGTGATTTGGACTATCCAGCAAAACTCAACGCGAAAGCACACAAAAGAGCCCAGAGCAGCATCGGCGGTGCTGGGCTCTTGGAGGCTGCTGCCGCTGCCGAAGCTGGCGTCCCCGGCTTCCGTCGATTCGACGCTGGCACGCCCGCTTCACGATTGGGCGCCACAAGCGGTGTGCGCCTTTTTGCCTCGCCTCCTGGCCCCATTGTGATGACTTGGTACCCACCTTTGGCCCGGACGCTGTCCCTTCTCTCGAACCTCAACGAGGCCGTCACGACGGCGACTTTTGTCCAGATCGCCACAGTCGTAATCGAAGGCTGTCGAGGTTCCATCGTTGCTGCAGCGGAGACGATGCAGTCGGGCGGGTCGGGTGGATCATCGGGCGGGTTCGCGGGCGCCCGAATTGGCGTGAGCGGTCGCATGGATCCACCGCTCTTTGCTCTTCGGCACCTCTTTCTCTTGGCAGAGATGGCTGCTAGTGTTCAGCTCCGTGCCACGAGAGCGGGCGACACCTTGGCTGATCGTCGGGCACAGGCGATGGGCGTCGCCACGGCGGGCCTCGAAGCATCGTCTGCCTCACGAGCCATTGACTTTGCCATGGTGGTTGATGCGCTCAATTCGCTGTGGACAAGCACGAGCTCGGTCGTCTTTGCGCCCAGATCCTTTATTGGCCTAGCCAGAGGGGGAGAGCCAAGTACGAAGATGAATGCGGCGACGGCGGCAGCAGTGGCAGACACGCCAAAAGACAATGAAACGAAGGTCACAGAGAGCAGCGGTGACAAAGAAGAAACACAGCTGCAAAAGGACATCCAGAGTGCTTCGAGCCAGTTCGTCGATGTCGTCGCTCAAGGCGTCGTCTTGCCGCTGAGAGTCTACATGGATCAATCTTCGAGGCGTGGGTCGAGAGCAAGCATCAGCAAAGCGTCAGGTCAGCCTGCCCTAGCTTCCATGTCGTCACCACCCGCACCGCAAGCACAGATTGATCCCGCGTCCCCACCAACACCGCTCAAGTCCCCGCCGATGCCATGCTCGGCGCCGATTTCCACGTCACCGGCGTCATCCAAGGTCGTCAACAGGGCAAGGGCGGCCCACCAGGCCTTTGAGACCTGTGCGCAGAACAACCTGATGGAGGCAGTCGGTGCTCTCAAGCTATATCTAGAGGACGAGCGGGCGATCAAGAGCCTTGCCGAGCCAGTGATTGTGAGTTGGTCTCTCTTCAAACTTGGCAGACTAGGGAAGCATGCTTATCGTGACTCTCTCCTTTACTAGAATAAGATTTTGGACGTCTACGCCGTCTTTGGCGAACATGTTCGGGCTTCCTCTGGCGATGCAGACCTAACGTGGCTCTTGGACATGCAAACAACTCGGGTAAAGTTGACTGCCTTGCTCCTCGAGTCCTAACGACCAGCCAAAGTCTTCGTGTAGAGTAGTGAAGCTCTTCTCTACATTTCTTTCTTGTCCAAAACAAACACATGGTCGAAAGCATACATTTGGGCATCGGCGGCCAGAAGCAGAAGAGAATCAAGCGGTAGTCGAACGCGACTTCTTCCACTCTTCAATGTCTCGCAAGTACTGCTCCCTTCCACCTTGTGACTTGAGCTCAAAGGGCTGCTTCTCGCTCGGGCTGAGCTCCCTCCAGGTCGCGCCAGCCTTTTTGGTGAGCTCGAGAATCGGGACTCCTTCTGCCTCGGGCGACTTCCTGAAGTCGATCATGAACTCCATAAAGGGTGAGAGAGGCCCCTTGGGCTTCGAAGGATCCCTCAGCCGTGCTCCTCCCTTGCCCGTGCGCCTCTCGCCCGGCTTGGTAAGCTTTCTCTGTGCGCTGATGTAGGCATTCTGGCGTCGGATGTCTTCCGTCGTGAGGTTTGCACGCCATCGCTCCATCGCAAGCTCGTGAGCAACCTTTTCCTCTTCGGCCCGTCTTTGATATGGCTGCCGGCGTAGATTATTGTCAGTATGCTTGCTCGATAAAAGAGAAACGAGAGCGTTCAAGAGTTGAACTCACCGCCTTTGCCGTCTCGCTCATGCTCTTCCACTCTTGTCCGAGCGACGTGGTGACCTTGGGCAGGTCAACCACGTCTTTGCCGTCCTTGCTCTTGCGCATCAAGCCCGGCTGCGAGCGGACCTCTGGGAATCGATCGCCGACAAAGATCAAGAATGCTGACCGGCGAGTCGGCTTTGTAGCCGATGGCAAGGGCACTGTGGATGCTTGTCAGCTCTGTCCAGCCAAAAAAAAGAAACAAGAGTAGAGTGGAAAAGGGAATGGGAGGAAAAGAGAGGAAGACTCACGCATCTTTCCGTCGGCACCGCGCGCCTGCCAGGGCTTGAGCTTCTCCTTCTTTGGCTTGGGCGCCTTCTTGGGGGCGGCTGCCTTCTTCTTTGTTGAGGCGGTGGACTTGCTCCTCGTAGACTTCTTTGTCGCTCCAGCGGCAGAGGCAGGCTTCCTTCTGGTGGATGACGCGCTCTTTGTGCGGGGGGTGGAAGCGGCGGATGCGAAGGAACGGAAGGGCAGCGTTGCTTTGTGTTGCTTTGTGGAAACTGCAAACCGAGCAGTCAACGGCGACCGCAGCGAGACGGCCGACCGCACAGAGAGACGGACGAGCGTAGCGCTCAACATGCTGACGAACTGATGAGGGAGAGAAAGGGCGAGCGGAGGACTCGGATGCGAATCGGTTCTCAGGTCAAGTGGATGGATGGATGCATCAGAAAGATCGACGCAACCGAACGCGTCGTGTGGGCCTCGTGCCAGCGGTTATCAAGCTGACGCGCGCTTTTCCAATTTTGAATTATTATTAGTGTTGCTATTCATACAAAGCTGGCAGACTTGTAAAGCGCCGCATGTGCGCTAAAAGGAGAGGTGCGGTGCACTGACCTTCGCCGGTGGAGAGCGCTCTCTTTCTTGTGTCTATTGAAGAGGCCGTCGCTAGACGATGGAGATCGGCGAGCATTGCAAGCTCGAATCCTGCCATCGGCTCACATTCTTGCCCGTCAAGTGCGCCTACTGTCGAGATCTGTACTGCCAGTCTCATTTCCTGCCTTCACAGCATGACTGCAGGGCGCCTGGAGCCGCCGAGGCCGATCGGATGCTGACCGACACCGAGCTCCTCAAGCGGGTCCAGCGCGTCAATGCTCGAAGGACAGAGCTTCAGGCGGGTGGGACCTCGTCTTCTTCAGGCGCGACACAATCTCAGGAAGAGGTCGAAGCAGAAGGACCGTCAAGACTGCCTTGCCAAAAGGCGGGCTGCAAGCGTTTCAGCCTCCAGCTCGACGGGGTGCCGGCACCGCCAAGTAGCAGCAAGACGCCAGTGGGCGTCAGTGTTAGCGACGGAAGGCATGAGGCGAGATCAGTGACGCATGCGGCCCCCAGATGCGATCGTTGCAGGGGCATCTTTTGTGTTGGCCACCGTTCGCCACTGTCGCACGGCTGCACAGCCCCTGCCCCTGCAACGCAAGGCGACCTGAGGAAGAAACAGGCAGACGAGAGGAAGAAAAAGGCCCAAGAGGTTCTTAGCAAGCATTTTCCGAACAGGCCCAAGAAATAGAGTCACCTCATTGTAAAGTAACGCCATCATCTTTAGCATCCTGTCCAACTACTACACGCCTATGATGAGATTCATCATCTGATCAGCCCATTCACACTATTCTCTCTGGAACGTCGGTTGGGCCTCTTTCCGCGGCTAGTCCTCGAACTTTTATTCCGGTCCATTTTATTTCTGGCGCGCGCTATCAATCGTTTGCAGTAGTCGAACGAACTTCCTTTTTTCTCGGAAAATCATTTTTAAAGTGAGCTCACATGAGCAGCCCATCTTCTTCTCTACCTCCTTCCAGTCTCTCAACCTCTCACAACGATTCGCTCGCTAGCATAACTCTTCTTTCTCCAGGTGAGTAGGCGCAATGCGCAAGTACATCTCCCCCGAGATGACAGTTTTCTATTCGGTCTGCAAGCCGATCTCGATGGACGCCACGTCTGGTCTCAGAGGTGGCGTCCGCAAAATGAGAGCGGGTTAACCCATTCAAGTCCCTGAGGGTTCTTCGCTTCTTCCTTTCTTCTTCCGTGATTTCGAGAAAACAGTGGAGGTCTGACAACGTCCCCTTTTGGCCTGCTCAGCACATCATGGCTCCCACGGCTACCAGCGCACCCTCCACGAACAACCGGAATCTCGAGGGCATCAGCAATTATACCAAGTTCTGGCAGAAGGACAGCAAGAACGACGGAGAGACGGACACGGCTAATCGCGTCGACCAATATACCAGCGTCGTCAATGGTGAGTTTTCTTTCGCTGATCGCTGCCTGTTGAGACCTCGAGGCTCACCCTCACTCGGATGCTCGTCAGGATACTACGATGGAGCCACGGATCTGTACGAGTACGGGTGGGGCCAGAACTTCCACTTCTGCCGCTACTACCCTGGCGAGGCCTTCTACCAGGCGCTTGCGCGCCACGAGCACTTCTTGGCCCACTCGATGCACCTGCGCCCCAAGATGCGCGTCCTCGACGTCGGCTGTGGCGTTGGCGGCCCTGCGCGCGAAATTGCCCGCTTCGCAGACGTAGAAATCGTCGGGCTCAACAACAACGAGTACCAGATCGCGAGGGGAACAAAGTACACCCAGAAGGCCGGCCTCGAGGGCCAGGTCAGTTTCGCCAAGGGCGACTTCATGAAGCTCGTCGAGAAGTTCGGCGAGAACTCATTCGACGCCGTCTACGCCATCGAGGCTACGTGCCACGCGCCCAACTTCGAGGGCATCTATGGGCAGATCAAGTCGGTGCTCAAGCCCGGCGGCTACTTTGGACTGTATGAGTGGTGCATGACCGATGACTACGATGCCAGCAACCCGGAGCACAAGCGCATCGCTCACGGCATCGAGCTGGGCAACGGCATCCCCGAGATGCGCTCGATCTCGGCGGCCAGGACTGCCCTCAAGAATGTCGGCTTTGAGATCGAGAAGGAGGAGGACCTCGCCGCGAGGGGCGACAAGATCCCATGGTACTACCCGCTCGAGGGCGACTTGCGCAAGTGCCAGACGCTCTGGGATGTCGTCATGTGCTGGCGCATGACGTGGATGGGCAAGGTGACGACCCAGACGACTGTCAAGGTTCTCGAGCGTTTCGGACTGGCCCCCAAGGGCACCTATGATGTCGGCGAGAGCCTCAAGATTGCCGCAGACTCGCTCGTTGCCGGTGCACAGTCGAACCTCTTTACCCCCATGATGGTAAGTATCTTCTCCTCCTCTGTTCGCCTAGCAATTCTCCGCTGACCCTTCTCCCTTTCCTCCCTCAGCTCTTCGTCTGCCGCAAGCCCCAGAACTAGAGCTAGACTTTGTTTAAGCTTTACCAGACACCTTGGCTGAACGTTAATATTGCACATGTTATTCTCTCTTTACTCCTCTTCTTACTCGTCTGTCTCTTCGTCCCCATCTTCCTCGATTGGAAAGAAGTCCACAACGACTGGGTCGTCCTGCTTGCCCTCAGCCTCCGTCGCCTCGACAACGCCACCCAGGCCTTGTCCCACTGCGTACGTCATTTTCCTCTGCCTGCGGTTGGCCTCTGCCGTCCTCTGCCGAAGATCCTGGGCCGCGGCGTGCCTTTGCTCCCTCGTCTGTTTCCCACCGGACGAAGGACTCTCCCGCGAGAGCGAGACCATCATGTCCCAAAATATCTCTTCAGCCTGTCGAGACGCGAGATCCAGCGACCCGACGAGGTTGTTGTTGCTGCTGCTGCTGCTGCTGCTGCTGATTCCTGACGCCAATGTTGACTCGGAGAGCTGTGGCGGGAAAGGAACTCGAATGATGCTCTCTTCCTCCTTCTTTTCCTCTCCCATCTCGCCCGCATCGCTGTCTTCCCCTTCCTCCTCGACTTGAGAATAGTAAAGCTCCATCAAGGGCTTCAACCCCTCATCTTGTTGGCGTTCTTTCGACTCGAACTCCTGGGAGTTCCTGCCAGCGAGGCGCAGCAAGATATTCCGATATGGCTGGAAGAATGTCTTGGGGTCTGTCGCTCCAGTCTCGCCATCTGTGTCGTGCGACAGAGGAGAGGACAAGTAGACGACATATGTGCCCTTTGGGCAGCTGAATGTGCCCTCTCCCATTTGCAGAGCCGTGACGGCGCTGGAGTTGGGCCCACTCTCCTCAGAGGGAGGAAAGACGATCAGAGCCGTCTCTGGCGGCGTTAGTTTCTGCTTTTCTGGTGCACCTTCCGAGGGGCTTACGCCTCCTTCTTCCCCCTCTCCTCCCTCCTGGACTTGCTCCTCCCCTGCAGCCGTGAACGAGGCGGAGGAAGAAGACGGGTCGTCAAACGGAATCGAACGATCGAGTACCAAGACTCCCTTCATTATCGTTCTTCCTTTCTTTCCTCTCCTCGCCGCCGCGCCCTTCCTGGGCAGTCGCTGACGCAAGCAGTCGGCGTCGCCCACAACGAAGTCCGAAGATGTCTCGCCATCGACCCCTTCCAGCTTCAGCTTCCAGCTGCGCGGACCTTCGTCCTTTTCCAGCCGTTCGATGCGGTGGCTCAGCACAAATGTCGCACCCTGCACCGCCGCGGCCCGACAGAAGCACTGGGCCATCTCGCCCGCGCCACCGTACTGTCCGACGAGATAGGCCGAGTTGCCGTAGCGGCCTACGCTGTCAATGTGCGTCTTGATGCGCTCCATCGACGCCGCTTTTGAGTCTGTCAAAGTGCCTCTCAAAAAGTTAGTTGACGAGGGACAAGAAGATGGCAGAGGGGCCGACTGCACCTTTTGAAGAGGAGCAGAGAGCAACCCCATACGCAACATCCCGCGCAAGGTCCATCGAAAGCTTCGCCTCGTCGGTCAGATAGTGCAGAAACGACTCGTCTCGTGTCCCATCTCCGTCCTCTTGCTGCTCCGCTACAGTCGAGGTGGAAGAAGCGGCAGCCTGGAGGAGCTTCATCAGTCTCCGCTTGTCGGCCAGCTTCATCGTCTTGTCCTTGAATATGTCTTCCTTGGAGCTAGGCACCTTCCTCAGCGGCCAACCCTCCACCTCTGCGCTTGGCAATGACGACGACGAGGGGGTGGCGTGATAGACGGACGTGCGCTCGAGGAGGCGGAAAGTGCAGTAGCTGGCCACTTTGGACCGCACGAGGACGTCAATCGTGGGTCCCTTGCACGGCAACAGGGCCGGTGCGAGCGAGAGGCTAAAGTGCCTGTTGAGCCGCTGCAGCTCGGCGGGAAGCGAGCCGGCGTCGACAGAGGGGTATGCGGGGAAGGAAAGGTCGACATCCCGGATGGTGCCGCTATCCAAGGCGGACGTAGAGGAGGACGAGGACGAGGACCGGGACCAGTCGAGGAGCTCCTGTAGCGTCAAGCTCGCCCAGGGCCCGCCGTAGTGATCTGCTTCGTCGATGTGCAACACCTTGTACCCCGATCGAGACAGGGCAGCAGAGAGTATGGCATTGGGCAGCGAGGTACCGATGAGGACGACATCGTAGTGCGCATCCAGGGCTCCCGACATGACCCGTATTTCGTCTTTCTACGAGCTCTGCTCTGCCCTGCCCTGATCGGTGAGAGAGCTTAGAACAAACGAATTTTGGGCTGGCTCGAGCGAAAAAAAAAAAATCAAGAGAACGCGTCGCCGGTCTCATTAGACAGACAGACATCTCAAGCAGTTTGGCGGCTCAATGGGCCATCTTCCGAACACAAGGAGAGGCCAGGAATTCTAGTGTAGTTTCGGAGTGTATTGCATTTGATTAGTTGCGAGATGAGGAGTGGCGGAAGAGGACGAGTGGTGGGGTGGTATGGAGTATTAGCAAGAAGACAGGAATTTACTTGTCCTTTGCTTCTAGGGCGCGACCCGTGGCCGACTTTGTGGGTGGCTTGAGGGGCCATTCAAGTCCCTTTGCCTTTGCAGCCGCCTTTTCCTCTGCCTGCCTTGCTCGTGTGCGCTTGTAGCTGGCGTCAGTGCCCATGAAGTGGTCCCACCACCGGAAGCTGGTGGCGTAGCATCCCACAAAGGCCATGTGGTGGTGGTCGTGGTGGTCTGCACCAGCCCAGAAGGGAATCCAGTTGTGCATGCTGATCGGCAGGTCGTAGCCAGAGTGCGCGTCGATGGCCTGGAACAGTCGGAGGGTGATCCAGATGTAGACGGTCAGGATGTGCATGTTACCCGTAACGGCACAAAGGGCAAAGGGACCTCCAATTGTGCCCATGCCCAGGATGATAATCTCGGCCGGGTGCGCGTATTCTGCTGCCAGACCAAAAGGCGCCGAGAACTCGTGATGCTTCTTGTGGATGTTCTTGTAGAAGGGACCCCAGTGCAGTAGCCGGTGAGCCCAGTAATGGAACATGTCTTCAAAGACGAAGAAGGCGCCAATTTGCCAGAGCATCGTTGTGATGCTGGGAAAGGGTACTTGCCATGTCGCAAGACCGAAGTACTCGCACAGCGGGTGGAAGCTCGTAATCTGCGGCACCTCGATGGTCATGTGCGTCAGAAGGACGTGCTTGGTCGCCTCCCATTGCTGCTTGGGCGTCGCCACTCGGTCCTGTATGCGGCTTCTGTCAGCTCTCAAACTCATCCTTGAAGATAAATTACGGGCCCAACTCACGTCTTGGATCTTGTACTTGCGCATCGAAGGCATTGAGTCGATGATGATCCAAGGGATCGCACGACCGAAGTAGACAATCTAAGTCAGATGAAAGCGCATCTCGTCAGCCCTCTACAGATAGCGTCTTTGAAGATCGGGACAGAAAACATACCTCATGCAGCAGCCAGCTAGCGATACCCGTGGCAATGATGGGGTTGCCCCAGTAGAGATACCAGTTCATCCATGCCTTTTCCAGGAAGTTGAGCTGCGTCACGTCGACATTGGCGTACAGTTCCGCGGCCGTCTTTGCAGCAGCAGGCGTGACATAGGCGCCGATCGTGTCGACAAAGCTCGTGGTCCCGTTGGCGAGCCAAGGGTGCGACAGCACGTCCATGCTGGAAGGGGAAGGAACGAGTGAGGGGGTAGGATAAGGGACAGTGATGGTTGTGGTGGCGGTCCGAGAAGATGAGCTGAAACGTCTGTTGTCTAGAGGGCACGCTTCCAAAAAAAAGTTTCGTTTCGGCGCGAGGGAGGTGACCTGATTTTGATACCAAGCAAAAGTTAAAAGACTACACCGAATAAAGAAGTAAGAATAAAGTGCATCAATAGTAATAAACGATTAGGCGAAGTTCAGACGAAGGCATTTTAGCATTTTAGCCTAGCGCCGGCATAGACGTGCGAAATTCTCTGTGGAAAGCCCGGTCGGTCCCCGTCTTTGGGGTGCAGAGAATTGAATTGGGAGACCGTATTCGCAACGCAGGGACGCGCGGGTCAGGTCACTCTCATCTATCAGATACATGCATCCCGTGTGGTGATCAACTGACACATCTAGGTGGCTCGTCGCGACCAGAGAGTCAAACTCCAATCATACGATTCGTGCTGACACAACACCTGTCAGCCTGTCACTCTTCCTTCGGTCACGGCCAGTTAAAGTGGACTCAGAGCCTCCTTTTGCCACCGTGGCGCATCATGCGGTGCTCACGGGATGCAGAGTGCGGCTTGCCGTTCGACGTGTGGCACGCAAAATCATGAAGATACCAATGCTCAGAAATCGACTCAGCTAGACCAGACCATCTGTGGCTCAAGCGCGCCCCTATAAGCTGGCCTGGTGCGATTTCACTGTTGCTCATGCCCATCGCTGACGATGAAAAGCAGCTAGATGTCAAGTGAAGAGCGCTCGCTCACCGGAGGAAAGCAAAGAAATGGATTGAAATTGTCGGATCTACAAGGTCACTTCACGTCAGAAGTGTCCATCTTGTTGTCTTGCTGCTGCCATCGGCTTCGGGCTTGCGTTAGTCCTTCTTGGCGTGCACCTCTCGACACTCTTGCGTGAACTCCGAGCACGTTTCCTCCGGCACCGGCTCGCACTTTTCGCCGTCGTGCGTGAGTTGAGGGGATTGCGAACCTTTCGATCTGTTACGTTCCTTCCTGTATACGGCGTTGGGAAGTTGGCATCCAATCCCCATCGTCACACTCTTGCAACTTGATGAACACTCACCAGCAGCAGTCGACCTTTTGCGACTTCTTCTTTCCGCACTTGTACGGTGTGCGACCTTCGGAGTCGCAGGCTTTGGTTTTATACGTTGAGTCACTCTTATAACATGGGTCACCGAACGTATAGCATTGGTTTTGGTCTTTCAACAGCCCAACCATAGGGGTGTCGGACCAACTGCAGCACGCTACGCTCTGCACGGAGTCATCAGATCCTTTCGGCTTGCACTGGAATACATTCCATTTAGGAGCACTGAAGAGCAAGACAGGCAGTCAGCAAAAGCATGGCGCTCGAAGCCGAAAAGGACAGTCTGCACTGACTTCGGATCGTTTTTTTTCGAGTCGGAGCCCTCGGCGATTGTGATGGCCAGGACGAACGCAAGAGCGACGATAGTGAGGAACTTGTACATCTTGTGTATAGTCGGATAGTGTGGCGCCTCTCGTGGTGTCCTTGAGAGAGAGAATGCAGGGGATTTAAAAGGGGAGCGTTTCCGGCAAGAAGATTCATGAGCTTTTCTCCCTTTTGTGTCTCGGTCTTTATACATGTACCACAGGCTATGAGCAAAGGCGAGTAAGTTGGAGATTGCCGGCCAGCTTTCAACTTTCAGCAGCGCTCTGTGCAAAGTCCTACGGGACAAAGCCCGCTATAGCGGTGCTCCTACCTGCCGGAGGTCCGCGTTCACGTTGGGAATGAATCACATAGTGCGCCTCCTTTCTGTCTGTATGAGCTCAGACTTGTGAGTAAGTCCTTTCTGCTCTTCTCAGCAGGTCTTCATCGCTCGCTAGGCTGCTTCTTCCACTGATAATTGTATCTTGGCTCTTCGCTTTACGAGATTGGAAGATCAGAAGTCGAAACCGTCCGCAATCAGCAGCCTGAAAGTCGTACCAGAACGCACTTTGGCAGCGGTTCTTTACCATAATTGTACAGTACAAAGTCTCGGACTTGCGTGGTATTCAAGCGCCGCTTCGTTTCTGGACGGACGGATAATGCACACAGCGTCAGCCGCAGAGGACATCCGTGACTGCCTGTCGCTTCAGACCCCATTTCGATACGGACAATTTCGCCATTAGCACCCGCTCCGACTCAGAGCAGTAGATACCAATTCAGACTCCGTAGAGATGCGTTCACTTGACGGCTGACAAGTTCTTCGACCAAAATGAGACTTCATCGAGGATCCCCTGTGCGCTTTCGTCGCTGCTAATGAGTCACTGAGTGTAGCGACAGAAGAAGACTCTGGCAGCGATGTCGCCAATCTTCTTCTTTGCATTTGGGGTTACAGTTTATATATATCGAAGAAGGGTGGTGTGTAAGAGGGTGATTGGGCGGACCGAGCTGGGGCTGAAAATCGCGAGCGCAGAAAGTTACAGAGGGTCGTGCGAGGAGCGAGTGCAGGGCGACTTTTGCGGCTGTCCCAGCAGCAAATGGGTCCCCTAATAATCGGTCTTCTTTAGCATGCAGGGTATTGCCATTCCGCGCAAGAGAGCTTTGGGGTCATCGCTGTGCCCTGTTGATTCAATTGCCACCTCGCCGTTGTCGCGGACCGCTGATTTGAGCGAAAAGGGTTCAAAAAACTCTGTCGATGTGAGTGGGAAAGTCTCTTCCCACGGGTAACCTAGCAAAGTTCTCTTTTGTACTGTACCACACCTGAAGGGAATTGGGGAGGGGGGGGGGGGGGGGGCTTTGTCCAGCATGTCTTCTCCCTCCGCGGCTCCCATTCTCTCTTCTCGACGTCTCGCTTTCGAGACCATATCTCGACCGATTGACTCCGTTCTCGGTAAACATCACACATCAGTGCGTGCCAACATCCTTGCTAGCTCTGTGACGCTCACGCCGCGGCAGCAGGAATGCACATTCCTAAAGCCCTTCTAGTTGCTTCGCTGGCAATGGTGAGCATTTTCTTGAGCTTTTCAACAACTCTTTCTCATCACTCCCGATTTAGATCCATGACGCCTCCGCCTGGGTCGGTTACCACGGTCCTGGCGTAGGCCACCACCACTATTACCGCGCCTATCAATCACTTTGGGACCGCAGTGGCCCAAAGCGAACACGTTGGTGTAATCGAAGGTCTCCAAGAGGCGGTTGTCTTCGGCTCATTTCTCTTCTTGTTCCCTTTTGACGGTCTAGTGCTAATTGAGTGCCACAACATGGAAAGCAAGATGAAGAATCCGAGAGGCTACAGATTTGGTTGCGACCTTCAATTCTCACCGAGTTACTTCGGTGAGTGGCTCCCATCTCGAGGTGACGGCCCTGCTTCTGTCTCGTCATTCCAACAACGCCGCATCGCTTCGACTAATGATGACGAGTGCATAACAAAGACACGGAATGTACTGTGCTTGCAAAGTACCGTGAAAGCGATGAACTTAAACAAGAAGCCTGCATCGACTTCGTGGAGGTGAGCTTGACTGCTGGGTCCGAGAAGACAATCTCCGCATTTGCTGACCACCGAGGCCTCTCTCCGAAGAAATGCAACAGCATGAACGGTTACCCCATATGCCGCTTTCTGTGTAAGACGGTTCACCCCTATTGCAACACCCAGCGGGACAGACAGTCATGAGAGAAATTCTCGGTCGCCTCAACACCAACAATGTCAAGTTGATGTACACGAGGGAAAGAGTCTCAGCAATCCAAAGATGGTAGACGCTCGCGCACTGGACAGAAAAAAGCGATGGGATTACGACGATCGGTGTGGCGTTCTGTTGACAAAGATCTCACGGCCCAGTCCCGGTCTCTGCCGAGGCCTTCGGTGGAATGTCGACAAGGCCCGCACCTTGGAGCAATTGCTCTAGCTCGCCCGATTGGTGCACTGCACAGGGCCCGCGAGATGTCAGCCGCTTGATGAAAGCAAGAGAGCGAAAATTGAGAGACTCACTACTGAGCATAATGTCGCACCCGCCAGTGAATTCGCCATTGACGTAGACCTGAGGAATCGTCGGCCAGCTGCTGTACTCTTTAATGCCCTCTCTGAGCTCCTGGTCATCAAGGCAGTTGTAAGTCCTGCCGTGAAAGCGCACATTAGTGTCCAGACCATTTCGCATAATCGAGAGTCACGCCATACCCACTTGAGCTTGTCTGCCTTGACGCCCTGCACGTCGAGGATCTGGCAGACTGCTCTGCTGAATCCGCACATCGGCAGTTCTGGCGTCCCCTTCATGAAGACGACAAGAGGATCCTTCTTGACGGCGTCGTCGATCTTCTTGCGCGCTTCAGCGCTAAGCCAACGGGTGGCTGTTGTGTGGAACAGGGCCGGCTGCGACAGAGCCGACTGGCGCAGGAGGCCGCCGCGCTATATTTTGCTTCTAATCAGCTTCACGTTCGCGCAGCACGGATGTACGATGCGATGAGCTCACCAATGACTGCGTCGCCTGCGATGCTGTGCGAAGAAATGACATGATGCTGGCGGTTGCAAGAGAAGGATATTCATCTCCTAATGTCCGAACAGTCATTGGACCGAGCGCTTCGCGTCCAAGTCGGCCGAAGGATCAAAAATTTTCGTCCTTCTTCTCTCTTTGGGCCTTCTTCTTATTTTACTTCTTCTTCACTTCTTCCCTCTTTCACCCATCAAGATAGAGGGGACGAACACGAGCAGGTGAGCTTTTTGGAGGGTTGCCAAGGGCTAGTGTGATGAAAGAAACTAGATGACGAGGCTTAGGGCTGGCACCAACTTATGTGGGAGGCAAGCCTCGTTCTGCGAGGTTCCCGCGGTGCTGCCCCTTGCTGACAACACTGGCTACCATCCTGAATCGTCGTCGCTTGGAACCTCTTTGCCTGTCGTGAGAATTGTCTGCTGACGGGAGATGATCATTAGATGCCGCAGGACTACGACTCGGATTCGGATAGCGGATCGGATGTCTCGGTGACCGAGGTGCAGTTGGGCGTCGGCGACGGTCCGCTCGAGGGCGACGATGAGCTCAACCCTCTGGTCTCGCGGATGGGCGGTCGGGCAGCCTGGCTGCCAAAGACCAAGCTTCCTCCGTCAAAAGAAACGACTTGCCAGCACTGCGAACAGCCCATGGAGCTCCTCGTCCAGATCTTTGCGCCGTTGACCGACTCAGTGTACGACCGCATCCTCCTCGTGTGGGGTTGCGCCAGGTCCGTATGCCAACGAAAGAAAAATGGAAGGTGAGCTAGTCAAGGGAGAGAAGAGAGACTACCGGGCAGAGGATTAGAATCAAATTTCTTCACTTGATTGGCCTCGCTCTTCTTCTCTGCCTCACGGCGAGGGGGAGAGCGTGGTGCATGAAAAGAAAACAACTTTGACAAACGAGCTTTTTAACCATGATGCCCCTTTCAACCGTCTTGTCTTTCTTGACGTGACCGAAGACTGACTGCTGCATTGTACGGAACAGCGTCAAGGCGATTCGCATGCTGTCGTACAACGAGAGATGGGCGGCCAAAGTAGCAAAGAAGCTGGAGCGAAAGGCGGCGAAGGAGGCCCGACTCAAAGCGCAGCAAGAAGCAAGACTAGCCAAGGAGCAGGAGGCACAAGAGAAGAAGAAAGTCAATCCCTTTTCGAGCGCTCCTCTCAATGGTGGCGGTGCAGGCGCGGGGCTTGGAGGTGCTCTCTTTGGTGACAATCCTTTCTCTAGTGACGAAGCCAAGCCAGAGGAAGAGCAAGGACCGCAGCAAGAGGAGGATGAAAGCGACGAAGACGAGGAAGAAGACGAGGAAGCCCAGATGGTGGAAGAGTTGGCCGTTAAGGCCTCGCTCAAAGAGACTATTCGAGGCGACGACGAAGACTGGGCGCAAGAGTGGCCTGCATACAGGCCTCCGCAATACATCAACACGTACCCAGAGCCGTCTTCATCCGCACGCGCTGCCCAAGCACCATCAAAGAAGGATGCTCAGAGGGCATCCAAGCTCGTTGAAGGTGAAGGCACAGCGATGAAGGGATGGGAACAGGAAAAGTACGAAAGCATGATGATTGAGGGCGTCGATGATGTCTTTGAGCGCTTCGTCAAGCGGGTCTCCAACGATGGCACACAAGTCGTTCGATACGAGTTCGGTGGGCACCCTCTACCGTTCAACGGACAAGGGGAGTCGTACGACATGCTTTGGCCTCACGATGCGCCATCTTCGTCCTCACGGCGATTCAGTGACGCCAAAGTGCCGCGGTGCGAGGCATGCGGCGGACCGAGGGTATTTGAGCTGCAGCTAATGCCCAACCTTGTCAACGTGCTACGGCCATCGCTGATCAACGGAGGACACGCTGGCGACGAGCAGTCCCAGGAGGCTCAGACAAAGGACGACGCAGCATCTAGAGAAGCAGCTCGGAAACGAGAGATCGAAGAGGCGCTTGGCCGCAAGCTTCCTCAGCAGACTCAGTCCGAGGACGGTGTGGTACGCACAAAGCCGAGCACCGTCGACGAGGTCGGAGAGGGCAAGATACCCAAGAGAACGGGCTTGAGCTGGAGCACAGCAATGGTCTTTGTCTGTCGGGAGGACTGCCACGGCGACGACGACAAGGTGGGATCGTGGCGGACAGAATGGGTGGCTGTACAATTCGAGGAGTAGTCTCACTCCCAGCAATTCTCCAATGTATTTTTACTGCACTTCAAATATCTTCTGCAAATGTGACCCATCTCTACATTGTTACAACTCTTCAATGACAAGGTCCTCGTCTCCTGACTCTGGGTCCTCTTCCACCTTCTCTGCACCAATGTCCTCTTCTGCCTCGTCGTCGTTGATGGAGCTCTCCGATTCGTCCCTCTTGAGGATGTTGACGAGCCTCAGTACGGCCTCGGCAATCTTCTCGTCGTTCTCCTTGAGGTGAGCCTCTCGAACGACGACGTAGGCTCCGCGAGCCCGTAGGCACTGCCTCCCGTAGAGATTGGTGCAGAGGAGGAGCAAGCACTCGACGAGCATCATGCGCAGCGCCTGGTCTGATTCTCGCCGTTTTGTCTCTGGCAGCATTTGGCATTCGGCCGGGAGCGATTCCTGGTCCTCAAAGTCGACCTGGGCCAGCTCGGCGCCGTCGATGAGAGGCAAGAGGAGGAAAGGGAGGACGTCAATCGAGGAAGGTGGACGGCTCGTCGCGGGAAGCGCACCCGCCAGAAGGTCGTCTTTCTCGTTGCCCGTGGAGGCAGACGCAGGCGGTGGGGCGATGAGGAGCTTGTGGGCCGACTTGAGAAAGAGGATGTTCTTGAGTGCCGAGATCACGCCGCCCCGCCGAATTAGATCGGGGTGCTCTGTGAAGGCCATGATCCGCGCGACGGGGTACTCGTTTGCGGGCGGGGCCGAGGACTGGTCCCGGGTGGCGACCTGCATCTGGGCCTGTGCTGAGGCGGACGCGGCGGCAGAGGCAGCCGACAAAGGCGTGACAAAGAAGTCGCGCCCCTTTGGAACAGTCGTCACATTTGCAAAGACGCTCGCAAGAAAGTTGCAGTTGGTCTTTCGCTTTACTAGCGGCCGGCCATCTGGACCCCTGCGCACCTCGTCCTGCTGTCCGCTTCCGCTTGCAGAGCTGCCGTCCTGCTGCTGAACATCCCTCGCCCGACTTCGCATCTCCTCGATTGTCGCTTGCGCAGTGCGCCCCGCGACGTTCTCGGCACCCTCCTCAAACGCATCGAGGAGCTTGCTCAGCGCTGGCACTTCCTCTTCCACCGCTCTCTTTGCCTTTTCCGTCAGTCTCCTTGCGTGCTCCTCTGCTCTGGCCTTTTTCGCCTCGTACTCGGGGTCCGTCGGCTCGACGTCCATGGCGTCGATTGTGGCCTCTGCGTCCTGTGTCGACATGAAGTTGTAGAATGGCTGTGATGTCAGCTTGAGATCGATGAGGATGGCCGCGATCGACTCGAGTTTCGTCAAGTTGGAGAGGAGCATGGCGGCCAGGTCGGCCAGGAGCGAGACAGGATCGGCAATGTAGCGGACGAGGAAGCCGACAAAGTCCTTGTCTCCGATGTCCCTCGCAACGAGCAGGCTGTCAGACAGGTTGATGAGCGCACAAAAGGCGTCGTGAGCCGCGATAGGCTGGTCCTGACACAGCTTCTTCAGGTCCCGAATCGTGTCGACCTCTTGCCCGTCTCGCCCGACAAGGGGCCGCCCGTCGGGGCCCTTGTGCTTGTCGATGAGCAGGCTTCGCATCGAGCTCGTCTTGGCGCTGAACCCGACCAGGTTCGACAACGCCACCTGCCGCACCTGCGCATTACTGTCGCTCAAAAACGTCAGCAGCTCCAGCTGGGCGGGCGGTTGATCGAGCCCAGGCATCTCTGACAATCTGTGTCGGTTTGGCCCCTTCTTCTTTCGTGTGACGTCGAAATCGTTGTCGTCGAAAGTGGATCTTCCCTCGAAATTTTTTTAGAGTTGCTTCACGTGTTTGTTGTCTCTGGGCTTGAGATTTTCAAAGGCCAATATTTCATAGGACAAGAGCATCTCTTCTCACCGTCTTGGCCGTAGATTCACTTTACAGAAGAGATGGGCGCGAGCTCGACGGCCAACGCCGAATCACTCGTGCGGGTGTGCGGCGATGTCGTGGCACAGCTCATTGCCGCGCACGAGGCCAGGGAGCCGCTGGACGTGAACAAGGCGCGCAAGGCAGCATGCAAGCGGCACCAATACCCCGCCATGCCCAAGCTGACTGACATCATCGCGGCCATTCCCGAGCAGCACAAGCGCGCGCTCCTGCCGGCACTCAAGGCCAAGCCGATCCGAAGCGCATCGGGCATCGCAGTCGTGGCACTCATGAGCAAGCCGCACCGATGCCCGCACATCAGCGTGACCGGCAACGTCTGCGTCTACTGCCCCGGTGGACCAGACAGCGACTTTGAATACTCGACGCAGTCGTACACTGGCTACGAACCCACGTCGATGAGGGCCATTCGAGCGCGCTACGACCCATTCGAGCAGAGTCGAAGCCGGATCCAACAGCTTCGTGAGCTGGGCCACTCGGTCGACAAAGTCGAGTTCATTGTCATGGGAGGAACTTTTATGTCGCTCCCCGAGGACTACCGGACCAACTTCATCGCACAGCTCCACAACAGCCTTTCCGGGCACAGCACCACGGATCTTGACGAGGCGGTTCGGTACTCGGAACGGGCAAAGACAAAGGCGATCGGCATCACGATTGAGACGAGGCCCGACTACTGCCTGCGGCCACACTTGAGCCAAATGCTGCGCTACGGCTGCACCAGGCTCGAGATCGGCGTGCAGAGCGTCTACGAAGACGTGGCGAGGGACACCAACCGAGGCCACACTGTCAAGGCCACCTGCGAGACGTTCCACCTGGCCAAGGACGCTGGCTACAAGATTGTCGCGCACATGATGCCCAACCTCATGAACGTCGACGCCGAGCGTGACATGGCCCAGTTCATCGAATACTTTGAGAATCCAGATTTCCGGACCGACGGCCTAAAGCTGTACCCGACACTCGTCATCCGAGGAACGGGCCTGTACGAGCTCTGGCGGACAGGCCGGTACAAGAGCTACACGCCCTCGTTCCTCATCGATCTCACGGCGCGCATCCTCGCCTTGATCCCGCCCTGGACGCGTGTCTATCGGGTGCAGCGCGACATTCCCATGCCCCTCGTCACGTCTGGCGTCGAGCACGGCAACCTGCACCAGCTGGCTGAAGATCGGGTGCGTGACTTTGGCCTCGAGTGCCGCGACGTCCGGTCGAGGGAGGTGGGCATCCACGAGATCAAGGACAAGGTGCGCCCGACGGAGATCGAACTGATCCGGCGCGACTACGTTGCCAATGGAGGCTGGGAGACGTTTTTGGCGTACGAGGACCCGCAGACGGATGTGCTGGTGGCACTTTTGCGACTGCGAAAGTGTTCGCAGAAGTGCACGTACAGGCCTGAGCTTCTCAAGGAGGGACAGACGAGTCTGGTGAGGGAGCTCCATACCTATGGCTCCTCTGTGCCCATCCATTCGAGGGATCCGACCCACTTTCAGCACCAGGGCTTCGGCACCCTGCTCATGGAGGAGGCCGAACGCATCGCCAGGCGCGAGCATGGCTCCAAAAAGCTCGCAGTCATCTCCGGCGTTGGCACGCGAGACTACTACCGGCGTCTGGGCTACCATCTCGACGGTCCATACATGAGTAAATTGCTGCCGACTCGGGTTGGCGCAGAGGTCGTCGACGACGACGACGACGGCGGCGGCGGCAATGATGATGAAGATGATTGGTGAATTCCTCTTAGGTCAACTTTTGGCATTATTTTGTATAGTAGGGCAGCGGCAGTACCAACAATTGTTCAATATGATACATTGGCCGGATCACGGTTGATTGAGAGGGACCGCGAAAAGGCCGCAGAGGCCTTTGCAGTCTCGATGAGTTCCACTACGTACTCCTGCGGAGGAAGACCAATCGGTCGCAGTCAGTCCCTTGTAACAGAACAGCAAAAGATAGCAGGAGCAGGAAGAAAGAGTCTGCTTTGTACCTGAACAAAGAGCGGCGATCACTCACAGGCTCGGACGACGAGCAAGACTTCGGGAAAGGTTCCCGCGGCCATGTCCCAGCGGTTGAGAGACACGATCCGTCCATCTTGCAGCCTCCATCGGTCATTGTCATCATCACCAGGATCACCCACCTGATCGGCCATCGGAGAGGAGGAGCGCTCGACGAGCCAGACGCGATTCCGGAAGCCAATCTGGCGGAGCTCGGGCGAGGCGACCTTTGCGAGGTGCCTGAGGTCGTCCTCGGACAGGAAAAGGTCTGCATAGAGCGAAGAGAGTATGTGGAGCGAGGCAAGCTTGGGGAGGTGGCTGATGGACGCTGCAATTGAGGGCTTTGGTATCGCGTGTCAGCGTATTCTATGCTTACACATGTCTTTCCCAGAGCAGCACCCACCTTGTCCGACTCGTAGAGGTGCAAGACAAGGTCACGGAGCTGCGGACAGCCACTGCACACCTCTCCAAGCTGCTCCGTGCTCGTGGCGATGCCATGTATGCGCAGCTTGCTAAGCTGGGCTCCTCTCGCCATGATGAGTCGTCTGAGAAACGTGGCGCTGAGCTTGGGCTCCCTCATGACTGGTGGCTGCGTTGGTCTCGGTGTCCAGCTGAGCGACGTCGCCGAAGTCTGCCTTCGCTGTTGCTGTAGTTGCTCATGGCGCCTCTCTGCTCCGGTGCCTCCATCGTCGTCATCGTTGTCGTCTTGGTCGCTGTCGAGTGTCTCGCTGTACATGCCCTTTGGCGTGTTCCAGCTCGACGTGTAGTGGGTGAATGCCTGCAGGTCAGGCAGATCCTCGACGAAACTCGCCAGTGCCTGCCAGTGCTCCGAGGCAGAGCAGAGATTGGGTCGCGGGTACGTGATACTGAGCGAGACGAGGTGGGGCAAACAGCGGGCCAGGGTGTGGAATGTGCTCGGATGGATGGCGAGGCCTTCGATGGCCAGCTCCCTGATCTGGCCCTTTGCCGATTGGAGCAGAGGGAGGAGCCCCTCGGCGGTGACCCATTTGCAGCCAGCAATAGAGAGCCTGCGAAGGCCCGACAGATGCTCTGCGATCCTGGCGAGGAGCTCGTCCGTGATGATGGCCGAGTGCTGGGTCAGCGTCGAAGAGTAGTGTCAGCGCATGCAGAGCGCGAGAGAGGAAGGGGGACACAAAGAACAACGCCGACTGTTCTTCAAACTGACCTGGCAAAGAACTGAGAAGCTCTCGAGCTTTTTGCCCAGTTGTGACGCCCAGTTGGGGAGCTCCGCCGCCACGTCGCGATCGGGAAGGACGAGTGAGAAGTGGCGCAGGTTCGGCGTCTTGGACGGGGCCAGGAGGTGGGTGGTGATGCTGGCGGGCGTGTAGAAACGCGAGGAGCCAGTGAGCTCGAGTGTGTGGAGCGAGGGAAGCTTCGGAAGGTCGGGCACCACCCGGTCGGTCAAGCTGCCGGTCCTGGTCCAGTAGAGCTCCTCGAGGCCCTCGCAGTGCTGGAGGGAGCGGAGGAGGCTCGCCTCGAGTTTTTCCAGCTCCTCGGCTGGTAGACCAAAGGGAAAGACGCGGATCTCCAAAACGCGGACAAGCTTTGCGAGATGTTTGTTTGCCTCGAGGGATGCAAACACCCTGCGAACGCGGCGCTGGTCGCGCAGGAACAGGCGGGCATACAGCAGCGGCGTCGCATATCTGTTCCACGACCGAGCGACGAGGGCGCATGCCGCCAGATCCTTGACTCGCCACGAGAGGTGCGAGAGGATGTGAGGGAGAATCTCGAGCGGGAGGCGAGTGCCGAGGTCGAATCCATCAGCATTTGCCTGCTCCATGCTCCGTCATTGTCTAGCCTTTTCGCCTGGTGCTGTCTAGAGAAGAAGACGTGTTTTCCGCACTAGACTTGCGACTACCTGAGGAGGAGTGGAGGAGAAACTGAAAGTGCGAAGAAAGGCCACGCGCGCTGCTGCTGCTGCAGGCCGCCGGCAGCGAACGAGCACGGGCCAGATTGCTGCAGGCCTGGCCCAAACTCTTCCTCTCCGCTACCCAAACGCGCCCGCCTGCCAGCCAGCCAGCTTGACCGCCCAGCAACTAGCGGCCCGCCACAGGATTTTGGCACCAGTTCAGCCCCGCCCCAGCACCGTTTTCTTCCCTGCGAACCTACGCCTATTCGCTTTCTTTTGTCTTGGCCGGAGGGACAGGCACTAGATATATAATAGAGGAAGAGAGACGCAAGTTGCACTGCATTCGCCCCACCCACCAGCAAGCAGACATGTCGCAAGCCATCAAGCAGGTAGCGGCCGAGGCTGCTGACAAAGTCAAGCAGAGCTACAAGCACGAGAGCGAGTCCGAGGCCCATCAGATCTTCCGCGAGCAGCCGGGCCACAAGGACAAGGCCGAGAAGCACCAGCATGTGGTCCCAGGCATCGAGCACCCCGGCAGCGTGGGTGTCATCTATGTCATGGACCGTGCCATGGCAAATGGCTTCCACTATGGCGCCAGTGAGTTAGGAGAGAAAGACAGACTGAGCGCTCCTTGCCGAGCTCTCTCCTCTCGCCTTTGCTGACCCTGAATCCTCCTCCTCCTCCAGAGGACTGGTCCAACTTTGGGCAGGGTGCTCCCGAGACCGGCGACATCCCCGGCGCGGTGCCCAAACCCAAGACGATGGACCTTGCGAAATGGGGTGACCTCGTGCACGAGTACGGTCCCACGACGGGAATCCAGCCATTGAGGCAGAAGGTGGTGAGTATGGCCCTGCCCTGTCCCAATCGACTGGATTTGCTGTCCTGACACCACCATTGACGTTGTGCTTTCTTTTTGTTTCAGGCCGACTACTACAATGACACCTACCGCACCAAGCACGAGAGCAAGTACACACACGAGAACATCTGCATCGTTCCCGGCGGTCGTGCTGGCCTCTCGCGCATTGCCAGCGTCATCGGACCTATTCTCCTCGGCACGAGTCTCCCTGACTATGCCGCCTACGAGCCGCTGCTCTCAGTCTTCAAGAACCTGGTACCCATTCCGACGCTGTGAGTATAGAGATTGTTGTTGTCATCGTGCAATTGCGGCTCCTACCTTAGGCTCACCGTTGACTCTCTTTCCACCCAGGCTCTCAGAGGAAGATGCGTACCGCGTCAGCGTCGATGACCTTCGCAAGACGATTCGCAACCAGGGCCTCACCTCGATTCTGCTCAGCAATCCTCGCAACCCAACAGGCCAGATCATCGAGGGCGAGGAGCTCAAAGACCTCGTCAAAATGGCAGAAGAGCTCGACACGACGACGATTCTCGACGAGTTCTACTCGTGGTACCTTCACGAGGGTGAGGAGGGTCGAGCCGTATCGGCCTCCGAATACATCGACGACGTCAACGACACGCCCGTCATCCTCGTTGACGGCCTGACCAAGAATTGGCGCTGTCCCGGTTGGCGAGTCTGCTGGGTAGTGGGCCCCAAGGATCTGATTACCGCCCTGAACCAGGCAGGATCCTACCTCGATGGAGGCGCATCACACCCGATGCAGTGCCTGGCCCTCGAGATGCTCGAAAAGGACCGCATCGAAAAGGACCGTGTGGCACTACAACGCCACTTTCGCATGAAGCGCAAACACGTCCTGGACCGTCTCGAGAAGATGGGCCTGCCCGTCAAGCTTCCCCCTCAGGCCACGTTCTACATCTGGCTCAATCTCTCGTCCCTCCCTGCTCCTATCAATTCCGGCCTAGTCTTTGCAGAGGAGCTCCTCAAGGAGCGCGTCATTGTCACGCCTGGCATCTTCTTTGACATCAAGTGAGTGGGGCCTCTTTTAGTCATGCCACGTCTATGTCGCGCTCTGTCTCTGCTTGGCTGACATTGGTACGGTCCGGTACGCAGTCCCTCGCACCGGCGCAATATCGTCCACTCGCCGTGTGAGCCATTCGTGCGCCTGTCCTTCGGTCCACCGCTCGAGGAGCTGGACCGCGGCCTCGATGGCATCGAGCGCGTCCTGAAAAAGGCCCGCGCGGGCGAGCCCCTGGGCAAGGATTTCAAGAGGCGCTCCCACCACCAGGCTCAGGTCGTGCCCCCTGCCGCTGGCTCCTAGTTTTACTTTACGTCTTCGCGTAGATTCCATGCCCTTTCAATGTCAGACCCTGTGCCCTTTCGTCAATCGTTCGCGTGCATGAAGCTAGATGAAATGGGGACAGCATCCTCTCAATCCGGCGGAGCAGCTACGTCGAGAGATCACACGGTTGCCGTTTTCCGTTCCAACCGCCAACCTCTTTTTTCTTTCGAGGCCCGGACCTTGTCACTCTTTTCACTCACTCAGTCTCACTACACCAGAGGGCATGGGCCAGCTCGATTCCCCCACCAGCAGCATGTCAGTGCCGTAAAATTACCCAGCTCCTGTTTCTTCGGGGCGTACCGTCAGCGATGTGAATGGACCCCCCACTCTCCCCCCTTTTTTTTTTCTCCTTTTGTTTTCCTTTTTCCTGACGTTGTTTTTGTTTTTTCTTTTTCTCTCAAAATCTCATCACCTTCTATCGCACGGTGTCGGATTGCCGAGATTAGACGCCACGACGACGGTGTCAGTGCTCTCGCCCTCGCCCTTGAAATAAACTCTTGTGGCTTTCGCGAGGGAAGCCTCGAGGAGGATGGAAGAGATCGGGTGCGCATGCTAGTAGTATCCCTCTTTCCGTCTCATATCGGTAAATTCGGTCGTTCCTCCTCCCTCCTGTCCCTGTCTCTTTGCCTTGAAAATTATCCTATCATCGTGTCGTCACCATCACACAAAAAGGAAATCACAATGTGACGTCTTCATCAACGGATGTCCAACGTCCGGATACGCCAACCTCAGCAGCCAAGACCCAGCACCTCAGCACGACTGCACTTGAACGAGAGAAGATCGAGGATTACACATGTTGCACTGCTTTGGCCAACTCCGAAAAGAGAAAGGCGAAAAGAAAAAGGAAAGAAATATAGTAAGGCCACAGGCACAAAGGATAGAGGAGAAGAGCGACAGAAAGGACAGATGGGGCGTGCATATTCTATCTGTCGTGCATTTCTCACTCTGCCCATCCCAACTCCCTCTGTGTCCGTCTGCCTTTTTCTCAAATCGCTGCCCTTGTCGCTGAATTGCTGGCTCTCAATTTCTTTTGTATTATCTTTACTCTCCGGAGGGAAGAGGGGGTCCCCCCTAAGTCCACTCAGCTTGTCATTCAGGACAGAGTGGCAAGGCACGCACGCCGGAGGACGAGGGAGAAGAAGAGTAGGAAGGTGAAAAACACAACTCTTGTTCGTTCCCCTTTTCCCCTCTCGACGACCCTCACTCATTCTCTCTGTCTTTCTCAGTCCCTATCTCTCCTACATCTCTCTTCTCCTCCCCTCCCTTTATCAGCCACGAAGCCACGACGGTGCCTATTTCTTATATCTTTACAGGACGACGAGCGTAATGTCGCAGAATTTCCTGCCACCGAACAAGGACTACTTCTTCGATCACCATCCCAGCAGCACTTCTTCGCCTGGAGACGACTTGGGTGGAGGTGCAATAACAGGAGGTGCAGGCTTGGTTGCAGGAGGCGGTGCAGCCTTTGACCCCTGTCGAGGCCAATCGCCTTCCTCTTCGACAAGCTTCGACTCGATGATGTTGTCGAAGCACGCAAAGATGCAGCAGCAGTACCACAGCCAGCACCAGCCACAGGTGCAGATGCAGCAGCGAAGGGCACCGGTGCCCTGGGAAGGCGACTTCCGGTCTAGCCCGTACGAGCACTCATCCCAGCCCCCACCGTACGAGCTGGACCATAACGTCCAGCTCCGGTGCGAAGACTCGACACCAATCTCGCTTGCGACGCCCGCAAAAAAGACAAAGGGCAGCCCGACTGGTGCAAAGCCGCCGAGCTCCAACGGCACCTCTAGGGCAAAACAAGGGGGAGCTGGAGGGGGGCTGTTGTCGTCGCCCAGTGGCAATGGCTCTACCATCGAGCGAATGACGAGCGCTTGTCTCCTTTGCCGCTATCGAAAGATCAAGTGCAACCCTGGCAAGGACCCCTCTGTATGCGCGACATGCATTCGTCGAAAGAAGACGTGCAAGTGGCCAGAAGGTAAAGTGCACGTCCAGCAGACGGTGCAGCAATGCCTCGACGAGTCAGCGAAGGAGGGCCAAGACGAAGATGAAGAGAACGAGTCGCTTGATCATCAACAGCAGCTTAGGCTGAAGCAGACGTCACCCCACGAAGACGAGGACGACGGGGGCGAATACAACCCTAGGACTACTGGCAGACGGGCTGCAGCGGCGGCCGCTAAGGCGAAGAGGGCGAAGAGAGCAAAACCGACGACTACGACAACGACGGGAAAGCGAGGAGGCAAGAGAAGGTCGACGCGCAAATCAGACCACAGCCCAGACACTTCTGAGGGAACCGAAGTCATCACGCCAACGGTCAGCAGCAGCTCGCCTCTGTTCAAGGCGCACTGCCTGGCGCATGAGCAGCAGCAGCAGCAGCATCAGCATCAGCATCAGGTTCACATCAATTTCAGCCACCACGGCCTTGACAGTGGCTACGACTATTCTGCCGCGATGACCAACTATGACTTCCACCAGAGTCAGTATTACCGTCAGTCGATGCACACGCCGCCACCTCACCTTCACACCCTGCCTCCCCCTCCTCCGCCCGAGTACAAGCTGCAGCAACCGCAGCAGAGCCAGGGCGAGTTCCCATCAGTGGCGCACTTCCAACAGCAGCAGTACCTACAGCAGCAGCAACAACAGCACCTGCACCAGCACCAGCAGTACCTTGGCAACAGTTTCAGCTTGGGGACCAGCTTTGGTGGACCTATGCAGGATGCCTCGCCTGTTTTTGCGCCGCAGCAGCAAGTCTTCCATCCAATCTTTGCGCTGCAGCGTCATCCTGGAGATTACAACAATCAGCAGCCCCCACCCACACCACCGGCATCAGCACCTCTGCAGCAGCGAGGCTCAGATTGTTTTCCTACGCTCCAGATGTCATTCCAGCACAACAGCCTCCCTCAGCAGGGCCAGAGCCAGGCACTGGCACAGTCACAGCATCAGCACCAACAAAATTACATGGCGCAACCGTCGCCGTCAATTGATTTTCTGCCGCCAAGTCCCGTCGCAGAGCACAGGCTCGCGGCCATCAGCAACGGCCTGCCGTATCTCCCTCACAGTCATCATCATCATCAACAGCAGCAGCCTCCACCCCTGCTTCCTCGACCGTCATCTCCAGTCCTGCCTCCCACGCCGGCGACGCCAATGCCATCGATGCAGACGATGCCCGAGATCTCGTTGCTCCTCAACAAAGCCGACACAAGCACCGTCGGCGTTCCTCTCGTTGCTCAGCAGCAGGTATGCCACAGCGACCGCGAGGAAGAAGAAGAGGGCAACGATGGAGAAGAGGACGACGAGCAGGCATCTTCTGTCTCTGCGCTCCACCTGCAGACGCAGCCTCAGCCCCAGCCACCAAGCCTGTGCGTTGTCGACGTGAACCAATCAGACGTCGAAAGGGTGCAGAATATGACGACCGTCGCGACAACTACGACTAGCGCCTAGGATGGAATCCGAGGACGCTAGTCTAAGTCGCGAAAAAAAAAAGAAGAAAAAAAAAGAAAGATCGGGGCAGGGGACTCGACTCCTTCGCGAAAACCATTAAGGAGCTCTGTGTCGAGCAAGCCTGACCACCACGATAGATACCTCCTCTACCTTCTGTCTCATCTCGTCTTCTGTCTCTTTCAGGCCTTTCAATGCTCCTCTATGATATAGGTTATCGTGTGGCTCTTTTCAACTCTCAGATATTCCATGGCAAGGGTTTCAATTTCTCTCAATTGATGTGTGCGAACGTGCATTTTGTGCCGAGAAAGCTTTTACTTGCTGGGGTCAGCGACAAAGCGGAGGTAGGGCCTGACCTCGTTGATCTGGGCACCGGGGAACAGAGCCTTGGCGTCCTCGGTCTTGATCGTAGGAGGGATGATGACATCCTGGCCAGGCTGCCAGTCCACGGGCGTGGTGAACTTGTGCTTCTCGCCGCGCTGGAGCGAGTCAATGACGCGGAGGACCTCGACGAAGGACCGGCCAACGGCGGCGGGGTACGAGATCAGGGTGCGAATCTGCTTCTTGGGGTCGATAATGAAGACAGTCCGGACCGTCAGGGGCAGGCCCTTCTGGTCGACGTTGGTGGCGTCGAGGTGGTCCAGCATGTCGTACTCGGTCGCAATCTTGCGGTCCTTGTCGCCGATGATGGGGAAGTCGACCGAGGTCTTGCCGACCTCGTTGATGTCCTTGATCCATCGGTCGTGCGAGTCAATGTCGTTGGCGCTCAAACCGATGACCTTGACGTTGCGCTTCTTGAACTCTTCGCTGTTGCGCGCAACGGCGCCCAGCTCCGTCGTGCACACGGGCGTAAAGTCGTCCGGGTGCGAGAAGAGAATTCCCCAGGAGTCGCCGAGCCACTCGTGGAAGTTGATCGAGCCACTGCAGATTCTCTGTCAGCTGGATTGAAGTGGACTGGACTAGGCTCAAGTGGGCCACGCCAAGGATGCATCGTGGCAACTCACTGGGTGGTCTCGGCGGTGAAGTTGGGTGCGATAGAACCAAGGCGGAGGGTAGGCATGATGAGTGGATCTCTACGTGTCTGGTGGTGGTACGACGAAGAAGATGTGCAGACCCATCCTTTTTTCTGTCGTCTTCTCTGACGAGCTCTATTGCTGGCCAATGCACAAAAGCCATATTGCCCTGATCCGCCACCAAAAATCGCGAAGAAATGAACGTCAATTCGTCGTAGGATTGCGTGCTTTGGGCCCTCCACGCATCGGCCGAGCGCAGAATTTCAACGGTCGCGCGTGCGTTGTGCATAGACCTCAGTCGATCATTCGAAGGGACCCGTAGGCGGCTCGAGAGGCTTTCTCCAGCTTTGTTGAACGAACCTTGCGGAAGATCTTGCGCCGAGACACAGGGACAAATTAATGATTGTGGCGCCGAGAGTACTTGGGCTTGAGCACCGGCGATAGCGTCAATGGCAGCTCCTGGTGACATTCGTTCCAACATAACCTCTACCTTTTTGCCTGGATAACTCTGACCTTACAGATGCTTGAATTTCGCATTGAAGGTCAGCCGCGCCTTGGTGTGTTGGGCATCGGGAGCTTCTCCAGTAATCATGCTGCTTGGATTTCTGGGAGGCATGGTGCTCTGTAGCCCCCCTCGACGCCGCTAGCATGCTTCGATACCCAGGGAATGCTATTGCCTCCTCGAATGGAGGTGTTGGTTAGATTTTCCTTCCAGCGAAGACATCAGTCCGCACGAGCTTCTCCGGCTGCAGGAAAGGCATCTTGCATCAAGTGCAGAGCTTGCACGGAATAGATCCGAGCTATACTTGCCACATTTGACGAGAAGGTCGCCTCGACGACACGCTTTTAAGTATTATGATCGTTTGTGGCGCAAATCGCCCGAGAAGAAACTCATTATAGGAGTATGTGTTGCCTCACAATCGCTCATGGGAAGGCGAGAAAATCCGACAGGATACAGGACAGCTGCTCGACGGCTTTTGTCGGTCACCGCCCCTGATTTCCTGTGCTCGGGGAAGCTGCAACCACCGAGAGGACGCTAAGGGCCTTCAGAAATCAGGCACCCAATTCTATCTCAGGTCGATCTCGTTTTGGTCTTTGCAGTGTTTCTACCCCGCTTTCACGAGTCGGGCCCCAAATTCTTTCTACCCCACCTTTTAATCTAAAGTACTGTACACATTATCGCTTTACAGAGCAATAAACTTCGGAGAGAACAAATCCCTCCTCTCGGGGGTTTGTGTGTGCGGCCCAGCACTATGGCATCTCAGACCACTTTTCCTTCATGCTACAACTCACTTCTTAGGATAGAGGGAGCGGTGTGAGGGGGTACATAAGACGAGCGTGCTGCCTGAGAGTTCTTCCCTCACCTGACCCAAAGCACGATGCGGACCATCCTCCTGGTCTCTGCTCTCTCCGCCCTCTCCGCCCTGGTATCAGGTGCACCCGAGAAGCGCGCCGCAAAGCAGTACTGCCTCCCTTCGCAGCCATGCTGGCCCTCTACCGCCACCTGGTCTGCCTTCAACCAGACCATCGGCGGCCGTCTCATCAAGGTGACGCCCTGGGCTGATCCATGTTTCAACAGTCCCAACGGATATGACGCACTGGCATGTTCCGCGGTCAAGGCCGGTTACTTTGACGGTGACACGAGAGATAATCAAGTCGGCGTCACGCAGCTCGACAACTGGTCACAGTGCTACCGCGATGCGCCATTGTCAAGTGGCGACTGCACGTTGCCGGCGACCCTCACCGGTCTCATCGATCCGTGAGTGATGAATTGATGCCCTCTGAGTCGTGTTCCTTGGGCTTACGCGGATTTGTTTTGTAGGTTGCCGGTCACAGGCAGAACTTGCTCACTCGGCCGCATCTCACCTTACGCTGTCAGCGTCTCTTCGCCTGATGATGCATCAAAAGCGATTGCCTTTGCGAAGAAACAGAACATCAAATTGGTTATCAAGAATACGGGCCATGAGTATCTTGGACGAGGCGTTGCCCCTGATAGCCTGATGCTGTGGACGCACAATCTCCAGTCAATGTCGTACCAGGAAAGCTTTCGGGGCAAGAATGCTGTAATCCTTGGCGCAGGAGTCATCGCCGAGCAGGCATACAGTTTCGCAGGTCAAAATGGAAAGACGATCACATTGGGCGCATACGGTAGCGTCGGCGTTGCAGGCGGTTTTGCACAGGGCGGTGGACATGGGCCTTTGCAGCCTACCTACGGTCTGGCCGTCGACAATCTCTTGCAGGTGAATTTTGCTATGTCTCCACCTCTCTGTCAAGAAAGGAAACTCAACGGCTTTGACAGTTTACTGTCGTCACGGCGGACGGAGTTGTCCGGACCGCCAATAGCAATACCAACTCGGACCTTTTCTGGGCCATGCGAGGTGGCGGCGGCGGCGTCTGGGGCGTGGTTACCGAGACTGTCTATCAGGTTCACCCCTCGACCTCGATGATCTCCGTCCTGTATACAATGGATTTCCTGCCGGCGATCACTGACGACACGAAGTATGCCGCCATTGCCGACTTCCTTTCAGAGATGGCACTCTATCAGCAGAACTGGACACTGATGGGTTGGTCAGGCTACAATTTCGTCACAAAGGACAGCATCCTCTTCACGCAGTTCCTCCCTTCATCCGACCTGGCTGCCGCACAAGCGTCGATGCAGCCGATGATTGATTACCTCAACTCCAAGCAACTCACCTATTGGACTGCTGTTGGCTCAACAGTGCCACCCACGCCCAACTTCGAGACGTGGCGATTGGCTGTGCTTAACACAGGCAAGTCGGAGACGCCTGTCGCCTACACCGAGCGCCTCGCCTCTCGTCTAATCCCTTATACGGCCATGGGAACGCAAGCGGCCCGCGCACAGCTGGGCAAAGATATTGCTGCAGCGTTCCGAATGAACAATGATAACTCGAAGATCTCGACGGCCGATCAGCAGTATCGCTACGGGCAGGAGTCGCTGCAGATTTACGCTACAGGACCCAAGCCAAGCGCGTTGGGAGGGCCGACCGGTAAGGACACTGGCGTCAACACAGCCTGGCGATCGAGTCTGTGGGAGATCGTCATCGATTCCGTTTGGACTTACGGGATGTCGCAGGCGGGTGCGAATACCCTGGCACAGCAGACGAGCGACGCGGCTTCCAAGTACCTTCGGAAGTACGGCACGGGAACGTACTACTCAGAATCTGATGTACTCGAGCCCAACTGGAAAACGGCATTCTTTGGCGACAACTACAATCGCCTTCTCCAGGTCAAGAAGAAGTACGATCCAGACAATGTCTTCATTGTCTGGAAAGGTATTGGCTTTGAAGGACAAGAGGCTCAGAGCCAGTACCAGTGCTACAAAAATGCTTGATCGTTTTCGGATGTACTGTAGCCCCCCGACTATTCTCCTCCGTAATGCCGATTGACCTGAGAGGAGGATGAGTCCAATATTCTACGCGCGATAAAAATATGAGCCTCAGGAACAAAACAAAAACAAAAAAAATATCGTCTCCCAACGAGGGGCTCGAACCCTCGACATTTTGATACCACCTGATGATCAGGTACTCTATTTCAGAGAAATAAGAGTCAAACGCTCTGCCGACTGAGCTAGCCGGGATAAGACGATAACAAGAGGATGATCAAAACCGTATATAAAGCACAAACTTTTGGGGACCGCACTTGGTGCTTCACGATCGATTGAGGGCCTTCGAAGGAAGATAGTACTACACTGGAAAGACAAATGGGCCAGCCCAATCCAGCCAAAGACGCCTCAACATCGTCCACGGATAGGTTATTCGCATCACTAGATCATTCAAGCCCTTCACACGGGTAAAAGGGAACAGTGACGCAAAGCCGACCAAGTCAGTTGCGGTGCTTCTGTCTGTGATGCGCGGATATGCTATTAAAACTATTGATACACCTGCGACATGGTAACAAACCCAAAGTCTTCGGTCCGACGAAGGACCACCCTGGACGAGCCGTGCAAGATATATCCCTTGACATAGCCCTGATCAACAAGGCTGACGGCGACACACTCGACGTCGTCGAGAGTAAGAGTGTCGTCTCGCCAGGCAAGTTTTGCGGCAGCGAGAAATGAAGTCAGCTTGAATGTCGGCGGTGGCGTTTTGGCGCCAGGCGCCGTCACCGGAGGCGGGTCTTGCAGTCGGGTAATCAGGAAGCTAGTGCTACCTGTGTCAGCTGACACCCTAAATGTTGCAAAAGCAGACGACCGAACTCACCTTCGTCGCATAAGGTTGCGCCATGCCCCGACCTGAAGTTTTTCTCGGAGCAGAAGGTAACACCCTCTCCCTCGAAACCATTCTCGCCATGCATCAAGATGGGCGAGCATGCCTGCGCCATCTCCAAGCCGAAGACGCTCGACCAGGTTTTGGAACGGCGCATCAAGACTCGCGGAGACGAGCAGCGCTTGTGACGGGTAGATACCGAGAATCAATGCAGCTACGCTCAAGTAGATGAGAATGAGTCTTGACCGTCGAGATCAGCTCTCAGTCGTCTGGGCACACGAAGGCTCCACCTACCGCTTATTGTGCATGTTAACGTTGGTACAATTATCGAACGCCCATCGAAGCTCGCCATAAGCCTTTCTGATCCGGTGCTGGCTCAGTCGAAGACGTCCTAGGTAGTACTTGTAAGCGACCCTGTCGCACCGCTTGTAGCAGGCCAGGCCCAATTCTTCGTCCTTGAAAGATGCCTTTGTCTGAGGGCTGGCAAAGTTGCGGTTCAACGAGAGGGCATTCTCAACCGAGCCCAGCACCGTTTCGCAAAGACGAATATTTTTGAGCTGGCAGGTGTGTCAGCGAGGAAGAAGCGGTAGGCACAAGTGGGCCTCACCTTGAAGTAGCAACGAAAGCTTGCATTCGCCAGCCAGAGGACCTCAGCACGCTTCGTCTTTTCACCAGGCACGGCAGAACGATCGACCGCAGCGATGCCAGTGGTTCGCGACAGCTTAGAAACAGCGTCTGTTACGCACGGATGCTGAGGCGAGCGAGACACTTCATCGGCAGCAATGGCCAAGAGGACGAGGGAGTTTCCGACGTAACGGAGCGAAGGGCCGAAGTAGGGTATGTCCTGGGTGGTTGCGAAGCAGAGAGATGCCCGTCTATTGATAAGGTCAGCTGATAGTCTCGAAGACAATTTGAGATCGAGACCCACGAATAGACTTCAGCCCACTTGTCATAGGCTGCCTTGTACTGCTGCATGCTCGCGCTCGGGGCCCGGGCGTTCGCCCTTCTCGTGAGCTCTCCCATGCTTGCGTGCCGAGCGACAAAGCCTAAAAGACCGCTCAAAAATGGTACGATTCTCTCTGATGCAGGTATTGAAGTCTGAGATGTGATGACCTGACTGTAATCATCATCTTGCCGTCCGAGCTGTCTTGGAATGTTAAAGAAGGAACAGTGCTGACTTCATGGCCGAAACTCACAGCCTGAAGATCAACCTGGATGGATGCATGGCTTGTGGGATCAAGTCGTAGTGAGCTAGCCAGCAGCTCCGGATTCTCGGCTCTAGTCCGCCATCCTTGACCTATTTTCGACAGCAGCGCTGACAGCGCCATTGTGATGGTAGTCGTCCCCGTCCCCGTCGTCGTCGTCGTCGGTAGCTCTAAATCTTCTCGCGGTGCTCCACTAAAAAAAACACGTGTGTAAGCGCGACGCGGGCAATGACCAACACTTGCTCTATTTCCTGCTCGCTCCCTTTCTCTCTCCCCAAACAGTCGTTCGTATTCTTCACCTCTGTCCATATGCTCTGTCGATAGCGTTCCATACCCACCGCCACACAATCTCGGTCCGGTGGCGTAAAAACCAGATGACGACGGTAACGAGGGCGACCGAGGATGCCTTCATGGCACACCTCTTGTCCGATCTCGACGCGTCCATCTTTGACGAGGCGCCCTCACAGTCGTCGCCACCGAAGCCGTCGTCGTCACCTCAGCGTCGACGGAAGATCAGCGAAGGGACGAATCCATCGTCGAGTCTTCCCCTTTCATCCCGATCGCCCTTAAAGAAGCGGGCTAGAAAGGCCGCCTCGCCGGTCAAGAGTGAGACCCTGCCGCGCAGCCCGCCGTCCCACGAAGCGCGAAGCGCGGACGATGAGCTTCTGCAGGATGCCCTTGCTTGGATGGAGGATGATCTGGTACCGTCTCCTGTTACAAAGAAACCATCGCTCCTTCAAGACATCACGAATGTGGCGTCGACATCAGCAGTCCGGATTGAGTCTCCCTGCAAGCCCGCCGCAGCTAAGCCCAACTTTCGGTCCAAGCTCGATTCGCACTCCTCGCTCGCTGCAACTGATCCACTCCCAAAAGAAAGTGTGCGCGCCTACACAAGGTGTCGTGTCGAAGAGGTCAGGCGGCAGAGATACACTCCGGAAAAGTACCTCGACGCGCCTGCGGACTTGCACGCGACCAAGGGGGTGAGGCCCGAGACTGTACTCAAGGCGATGCAGCGTGATGAGGTCGTTCTGGACCTCAAAGTTATGAAAAGGTCCGAAGGGGGCGCTTCGTTGGAGCAGGAAAAGGAGAGAAGAAGGGCGTACCTCAGAGACGAATGGCTTGGTACAAGCGTGCAAAAGGGAGATATCGTTCATTTGATTGGAGACTGGAAGGTAATCAAAGTGGTCGATCACGTCGAAATCAGTCTGGAGGATGGCGACAGCGAAGAAGAGCTGTGGAACCAGGTCGATAGCGTGAGCCGAAAGAGGGACTTGTCCACGATGGTGCTCTCGTCCAGCTCGACGCCCGGCTCGTCGACGGGCAATCTCTTGATCCTCCATCCCGATATCCTTCTCTCCGCTACAGCCATCTCTGCAGTTCCCACCTGCGTACGAAAGCCCTTGCTTCAAAGCAGGCTCAAATCAAGCGGTGCTGGTGATGGCGATGGCCCATCAGAGGAGATGATCATGGGCAATATGCTTCACGAAGTTTTGCAAAGTTGCTTGACGGGCAAAGAAAAAGAGCTACCCGAGTTGCTCCAATCGACGTACTCGCCTGACCAGATGCTGGATCTTGACTGCCCTTTTCCGGAGCGTTGGTCCGGCCCGACACCTACCAACTTTTCAGCTCCTTTCGTCAAGAGACAAGTGTGGAAGCAAGTATGTTGCAGCTTGGATGACATCCTCAGCGTTGGACTCGACACAAGGACAGCCCAGAATAAGCTGTGGGACAAGACCAAGCCCTTTGGTCAGTTCGCCAACCTGTATCTGGGTAGCGGCCCAATCAACGTGAGTCCAAATGTAGCCCACTTATCCGTGTCTGCTTCATGGGTTGCTGATGTCAAAGCAGCCCCAGGCCGTGGCATTGGACTCGCGCTCGAGCCAAGCGCCCCTTGTCAGAGTCAAGCGAGTCCTTGATGTCGAAGAGGACATCTGGTCCCCTATGTACGGTCTGAAGGGCTATGTTGATGTCAGCGTCGAGGTCGAATTTCACGAACGTGGTGGCGAAGATGCATCAGCACGCAAGTCCACCTCAGTCATGCCCCTGGAGCTCAAGACTGGACGTTCGATCAGTGCGCTCGAGCACCGAGCCCAGACGATGCTCTACACCCTAATGATGTCGGACAGATACGCAAGCGATATTGACGCAGGCCTTCTTTACTACTCTAAGACCAGCGAGCTACATCGAGTGCGAACGTCTCCAAATGAGGTGCGCGGCCTGATCCTTGGGCGGAACGAGTTGGCAAGCTATACTGTCAAGAGGAACGCAGTTGATAGGATCCTCCCGCCAACTATCGACGACGAACGAAAATGCACAAGGTGCTATGTCAAGGAGGGTTGCATGCTCTACCGAAGGGCAGTAGACGGCGTCATCGAAGAAGCGGACCTCCCAGACGCTACTCCTATCGCCGATCTTCATGAGCGCTCAACAGCTCATCTCACTCGAGCTCATGCCGACTTTTTCCGCAGATGGGACGCTCTTCTCACGCTCGAAGAGACCGATGTCGTGAGCCATCGACGAGAGATTTGGACAATGTCGGCAGCCGTGCGAGAGCTGCGCGGGAGATGTTTTGCCAACATGACTCTCGATCCGACATTTTCTGAAACGAAGGCGTCTGGGGGAGAAGGCATGAAGCACAATTTTTCGTATCGCTTCTCGCGCAGGGCGCATACCTACATGGACGGGGGTAACAATTCTCTTTTAAACGGGAACTTGTCTGTGGGAGACCCCGTCATCCTCTCCATCGAGCCAGACACGGTGTCAGTGGCGCAGGGATACATCCTCGAACTTTGCTCGCTTTTGGTCGTGGTTGGTGTGGATCACGACCTCCAGCCAGCCATTGATAGGAGCATCGAACGGGGCGATGGCTCTCCGCCGAAGTTCCGAATTGACAAGGAGGAGCTCGCGGGCGGGATGGGCCGGGTGCGTTACAATCTGGCACGCTTGTTCATGGCTCCGCCCTTGTCAGACGAGAAACGAAGGCGACTGGTCGTGGACCTCGAAAAACCCAAATTCGTTGAGCGGTCTGGACCGAAACGCCTTCCGATGACGCTCAATGACGACCAATGCGCTGCTGTGCACAAGGTGCTTGCCGCCGAAGATTATGCATTGATCGTTGGAATGCCGGGAACAGGCAAGACGACCTCAGTAGCAGAGCTGATCAAGCTGCTTGCCCGCGAGGGTAAGAGCGTACTCCTTACAAGCTACACGCACAGCGCCGTCGATACGATCTGTCGCAAACTCCGAAAGGCTGACGAAGTGAGATTGCTGCGGTTGGGCAACGAAGACAAAGTACACGACGACATTCGCCCGTATCTCCTGCCTCCAGCAAAGACAGTTGAAGAGCTCCGAGAGCACATTATGGCACCCAATGTCGTGGCGACAACGTGCTTGTCACTGGGTCACACGCTCTTTTCCAAGCGGAGATTTGACTACTGCATCGTCGACGAAGCTAGCCAGATCACGCTTCCGACCTGCCTAGGTCCACTCCGCTTTGCCGACAAGTTTGTCCTCGTTGGCGACCCACAACAATTGCCGCCGCTCGTGAAAAATGCCAAGGCCAAGGAGGGAGGCTTGGACGTGAGCCTTTTCAGTCGTCTTGCAGATGCCCACCCCCAGTCTATGGTCTACCTCACGAAGCAATATCGTATGACATCCGACATCATGGACCTCAGCAACCACATCACCTATGGAGGACGGCTTCGGTGCGGAAGCGAGTCATTTGCAAGCTTGGAACTAGTCTTGCCAAAAGAAGTTTCTTCACCGGCTTGGCTTGACCACGTCTTACTCCCTTCGACTCGTGCCATTTTCCTCGACACCGATGCCGTTCCTGCGCCCGAATCGCGCGTTGGCGAGCTTGTTCAAAACGTCGTCGAGGCTGCGCTCGTACAACGTGTAGCGAGAGCTTTGCTTTCGGGCGGCGTTGAGCCAGGAGACCTGGCCGTGATTGCCCCACTTCGACAGCAGCTCAAGCTCATCTGTCAGCACCTCGATCGCGAAGAGGAGAATCCGATCGAGGTCATAACTGCAGACCGTGCGCAGGGCCGTGACAAGTCCGTTGTTCTTGTCAGCCTTGTTCGAAGCCAGCCTCGGGATCAGAGCGCGACTATCTCGCTGGGCGAGCTTCTCAACGATGAGCGGCGAATCAATGTGGCTCTCACACGTGCGCAGAAGAAGCTTGTTATCATTGGAAGTCGATCAACGTTGAGGCAGAGCGCGTTGCTCGACAAGATGCTGGCATACATGGATACACGGGGTTGGATCTTGACTTTGCCAAAGGATGCTCACTTGTCTTAATTTATCGTCAACATGTAGTGCTGTGATACTTATTACTAGCAATGTTATAATACAGATGTGATCTTCTCAACTTCATTTCCGACGTGGTCGGTTGGATCGTCGATGTGCTACTCCTGGAGCCGAGGCTGGGGACGATGAGGCCTTCTTGGCAGCAAACTGACGTCGTACCAGCACACCCTTTTCTCGCAAGCGTTGATTACGTACAGCAACTTGCCTTGCCCGGTCGCGCTTTTTCGCTTGATGCTTGCTCATGAGCGACCCCTCTTTCGAGTCCTGCTCCTCTGAACGGGACGAAGACAACAGATCATCATAGGAAGCGCGCTCCATCGTCCGTCTCGAAGCTCGATCGGCGCCCCTTGCGGGCCGCAGGCTCGTCGCAACACCCTCCTTCCTGGCCTGCTCGACTTGGTCAAAGTGAGCCTTCACGACGGCCCGAATGTGCGCCTCTACGTCTTCTCTCCTCTCGGCGCCAAGCTTCCTGCCATCGGTATTTATCTCCATCTCGTTCGCCAGGCTTTCTTCCCAGCAACCCAAGTCGAGCTCGCCGGTGTCCTTCCCGAGCTTGCCGTTGCGCCACCTGTCCAGGAAGAACTGTGCAGCCGCTTCGAGATCTCGTTGGCCTCCCTTTGACAGAGTCCCGGGTGCCCGTTCGGCGAGATGTCCCAGAAATTCGGTGATGTCATTCGTTGGGCTCTGAGCAGCTTCCTTTGGAAGCGGAAGGTGTTCAAGGTAGGCGGGGAGAGCCTCTTGGTGATGCGTGTCAGCATCACCCTGGCGACGATGACGACGCCAGGCGAATTGGAGATTGAGTCGGTAGAGGAGGTAGTCGGCTAGGCCAATGGCGTCAAAGAGGGAGCTCTTGATGCCGGCCGCCACAGCAAGTTTCACGCCCTTTTCAGCGCCTTCGGCGCCGTGTCCCAGAAATGGAACCATGACGCCAGGCGTGTCGTAGACGTACACCGGCGGCTCATCTGACGCCTTCTTTCCCACACGATCTTCCCCTTCCTTCCCCTCTTCTTCGTCTCCGCCCAATTGAAATGTAGGCTGCTGCTTAGTGATGCGAACCGTCCCTGTCAACTTCCGTGTGTGTCCAGGCTCTGGTGCGGTTGAAGCAGCCTTGCCCTTTCCCGTGCCCACACGTCTGAGTGCGTTAAGGAGGCTGCTCTTGCCGACGTTTGGCATGCCGAGGATGATGAGACGGACACCTTCGTCTGGCGTGGGTGTGTGTTTGAATGCGCCCGAGAGATTCTTGGGGCGCGAGGAGCGGGGTATCAGCCCCTGTGCAGGAGCTTCAGCTGATGCAGATGAAGCCAGAAGGGCAGCTCGTTCTGGTGGTGCAGCTGGGTAAGGATAGTGATTGAGCAACACACAAGAAATTGAACTCACCCTTGATCCATCCCAGCAACCTTCTGATTTGACGATCATTTCTCGAGTCGATGAACATGACATCTTTTCCTTGTCCAGTTTCCTCAAGCGCCTTTCTCAGAGGCTCGCAGAGTCGTTCATCGATCAAATCGCGCTTCGTATAGACAATAAGCCTACGTCGTCGCCATTCTGCCGCGTGGTCCAGCGATCTCTGTCCTGCCGTCATCGACCCAGCAGATGCAGTCTTTTCCATGCTGACAAGTAGATCCTCGAATGCCGGGTTGATGCTAGAGAGAGGAAGACGAGCATCTCGGACCTCGACGATGAGTGGAGGCGGAGATCTCGCAAGGAGCGCAGGCAACGACCGCATCGCGCGGTACATGTGGCCCGCGTACCATGATGGAACGGTACTTGGTAGATTGAAACTCCTTCGTGGTTCGAAATCCTTTTTATTGCCGGGAGTGCTCTGATCGGCGAAGGGGACTGGACTCGACGAAAAACATCTCGAGCACTGTCTGACCAGAGGCAACCTAGCCCGAATCATGCCAAGATCTGCCGATAGGAAGAGGAGGAAGATTGTCCAAAAAAATTAAAGTCGCCTCTCCCTTCGGGATACGGAGGTGTCCCTGGACATTTGCGAGTCACACGAGGGCTCGAAGGCCACGTGAAAATTTTCATGGACCGTCGTTCTCGTCCTCGTCGTCTTCCGAAGAACTAGACGTTATCGACGACACACGAAAGGATGAGGTACTACGAGAAGACGCTGCCGGACACCGATGAGGTGGTCATGTGCCAGGTCCGGCAGATTGCCGAGATGGGTGCCTACGTCAAGCTGCTCGAGTACGACAACGCAGAGGGCATGATCCTGCTTTCGGAGCTGAGCCGGAGACGCATCAGGAGTATCCAGAAGCTCGTCAGGGTGGGAAGAAACGAGGTCGTTGTTGTCCTTCGAGTTGACAAGGAGAAGGGTGAGACTGATGCTTGCCATGCTGCTGCTCTGAGATTCTTGAGAGAGCTGACTCAATGTTCGACGCAGGGTACATTGACTTGTCAAAGCGACGTGTTTCGCCGGAAGACGTTATGAAGTGCGAGGAGCGGTACAATAAGTCCAAGGCAGTCCATACCATCATGGCGCACATTGCTGGGAAACTCGGCAGGCCGATCGAATCACTCTATGAGGCGATTGCCTGGCCCCTTGACCGAAAGTACGGACATGCCTACGACGCATTCAAGGTTGCTGTGACGTGAGTACGTCTCCGAGAGAATAGGTTTCTGTTCACGGCTTATATCGGCAACGCAGAGAACCACAAATGGTGTTTGAGTCCATGACCATCGACGAGGATGTACTCAAAGAGCTTCAAGCCAATATTGCGCGGCGATTGACCCCCCAACCCGTCAAGATCCGCGCCGACTTTGAGGTGACGTGCTTTGGAAACGAGGGCATTGATGCCATCAAAAGGGCACTTAAGGAGGGGGAGAAGATCGAGACGGAGACGATTCCAGTCAAGGTTAAGCTCGTGGCGCCTCCTCTCTACGTTCTCTTGACAAATAGCACCGACAAGCAAGGTGGTATTGACTTGCTCGAAAAGGCACTGGAAAACATCGAAAAATCCATCAAGGGCGAGGGGGGAGACTTGCAGGTCAAGATGAAGGTGGGTCATACTTCTCTCGCCTCCTCACTGCCCGCGCTTACCTTTTCACTTTCTGTTCACAGCCAAAGGCCGTTTCCGAGACCGAGGACCAAGAGCTCGAGCAGCTCATGGCCCGTGTCGAGAAGGAGAACGCCGAGGTCGAGGGCGACGAGGACTCGGAAGGAGAAGAGTAGATCTTTCCACAAAAGCGGCCTGCCTAGCAGCCAGAAACGAGCATACAAGGAACACTGCTTGGCTCAATGCGATAGTGCGCCTCCTGTGAGACTAGACTGTTCTTACTGATTAGTAGTCTCCGTTAAAGGCGCGATTCTCCATTGATGATGCTCTCGTTTGTGAAGGCGGCATTTGGGTATTGATGTGATGGATTAAGCTATGGTACAGATGCAGTATCAGCTCCTTCATTGAGGGGCCGGCTTGAAGCGTGCGTAATAGTCTTTTGTTCGAATTTCGTGCTGCTCGACGAAGGCTTCCGGCAGCTCGTCGAGACATTTGGCTGTGATCAAGAACGTCAGCTCGGAGCTTGAAAGGGTAAGGGTGATCGTGGCTCGAACTCACCTGGCGACCCGCCCCAGACGGTGCCGCTTGGCATGATGGTGTTGGGTGCGACAACAGAGTCGTCAAGAACTCTGACACTGTCTTTTATAATCGCAAAGCGGCCCTAGTGAAGCTTAAGGTTTGAGATGGAGGCTGAGGGGTCAAGACGATCAGCAACGCCAGACTCACGATGACGCAACCTTTTCCGATGTCGACGTGATTGCCGATGACGGCTGCCTGTACAACCGTTCCCGCACCGATGTGGACATGGTCTCCCATTTTGAAGGGATAATACGAAAAGATGCTTCAGACACCCGCTCGTTAGTTACTTCGTCAGATGCAATTCCCTAAGATGAATTGCTCTCTCACCCCCTGTAGGTCTTGTACGACGGCCGGATCACGCACCCCTCTCCTAATGTGCAATAGCGGCCAATGGCCACCACAACAGCATTACCCTGCTGCTGCTGTTGTTGTTGCTTCTGCTGCTCACCGTCCTTTGTTGGCGGCATGATCCGTTTAAGGTCACCACGGATGATGACGCCGTGGTGAATGATGCATTTTCCTCCAAGGATGATATTTTGCGAGCCCAGAATGACGGCCTTGCGACTGACGCGATTGCCTGTCAGGGCAGTCTGAATGTACTCTGACGGGCTATATGGTTGCACCAACGAGTTGATGAGAGGCGCCATACCGTCGTCGTTGCCAGAGGCAATTCGAAGATTAAAGGCTCTTGAAGCACGATGACGGGAAACACGACTGACGCGGTTTACATAAGCAATATTTCGCACTGACCCTGTGCCGCATCACAACACCAGCTTGGCGACCGGACCAGCACAGCATCCACCAACCCTAACTAGCACTCTTTCTCCATCCTGCTCATTCTCCCAACCATGTCGCTTCGTGAGTGGTGCCACCAGTACCATGATTATGTAGAAGACTGACCATATTCGTGACGTCCAGCCCCTCTCCTCATCGATGTTCCTCGCAACCCGATTCTGGCCGTCGGCCTGCCCTTGAGCCTGGGCATCGCGACCGGTTTCATCACGCGCACCTCCAAGCACAGCCCTGATTCGCTGTGGTACAAGTCGCTCCAGAGACCCTCCTGGGAGCCGCCTCGCTGGGCCTTCCCTGTCGTCTGGCCCATCCTGTACATTGGCATGGGCTACGCCTCGCACCTGAACGTCAAGAGCCTCGATCGCACACCTCCGGGATTGGGAAGGACGAAGGCGCTGAGGGCTCTCAAGCTCTACTACGCTCAGCTCTTCCTGAACCAGCTGTGGACGCCTCTCTTCTTTGGCGCTGGTGAGTGTGGATGACTTCGTTTCCTCTTTCTTCAAGCTAAATATCTTTCTGTAACAGGCCAGCAATCGGCCGCGTTTGCCAACCTCGTTGCCCTGACTGGAACGGTCGCGGCTTGGGGTATCACCCTCGCCGACGTCGAGCCAAAGGCTGCTTACATTGCAGTGCCTTACTTCGGTGCGTGTGTGGCGAGCATACTCCATGTTTACCAAAGATAGCTGACCTCAGCATCCGGTTCTTGTCCCATCCAGCCTGGACTGCCTATGCATCCGTTCTCAACGGCTACATCTGGTGGTGAGTATTCCGTTGTTCTTCGCGTGCTCCGGCCTGCACAAGCCTCTGACGCCCTTCTCCCCGCATCCTTCAGGCAAAACACGGGACAGTACTACTACCAGAAGCTTATCAAGAAGTCCAAGTCGTCCTAAAGGATCTCCAGTCTCTTCTCCGTGTTTCCAAATGTGGCTTTCAAGTGTTTCCCGCGATCCGGCTGTATGCAACGAATCTTCTTGACCCTTACCTTGCCTCGAATCTCATTTGTTGTTCAAGATCCCAATCGACAAAAACGGGAAGTTCATTTGAGCGGTGATCAACGGGGACTGTTATTAATTACGAAAGAGCAACAGGTCGAGCTCAGGCCTCGGGGGTCTTGGGGCGGGAAATGACATTCATAGAGCCTGTCAATATCAGAAAGGAGGGTCAGCAAGACATAGCCGATTTGGATAGAACATTGAGAGGACTCACGGTGCTGGACCAGAATGTTGGTGCTTGCGATGCCATCAGCCGACTCCGTAGGGTTGCGCTGCACTTTGAAGTCGGCCTCGACATAGACGAGGGTACTGTCGAATCGATATGCCTCTCCATAAGCTTCTTTTCCGCCTCGCTTTCTCTCTTCAGACTTGCGACTCACCCCTTCTTGATGTTGGTCAAGCGCGACACGGGGCCTTCGCCAAAGGCGAAGATGTTGTGGAAGCTCGTCGTGGGCGGGGGTCGCTCACCGTCCTCGGCCGGGGGGCCGAGCGGGTCAGTGGTCGCGACGGCGTAGCGGATGTAGTCCTTCCCTGCGCGCGTCGTGCGCACCTCGGGGTCCGCGACGAGGCGCCCAATGAGCTGGATGCGCGACATGTCGAGTCGGGCCGACGAGGTTGAGAAGGCCTGTGGTGTCGCACGTGTGATGAGAAATCTGGCGGGGAACTATAACACTTGGATGAATTTCAGGACTCACCCTCGAGGCAGAAGCCTGTGGACGCATGACATTGGTGATGGCGCGGGCGAAAGACATGATTGCTTTGGCTGGGGGTCCGAGTCAGCTTGCTGTCTTTTTGAGACACGGTGAAGTTACTTACTTTCTGTGCGGATGGATGTCGACGGAGTTGGGAATGCGCGCGATGATAGCGCGACGCGCCCTAGATGGAACCACAAACGCTCTAATGTGTCGGCCGAACAAGGTGAAGCTAGTCCGCCGGCAGATCTAGGAAGAATTGCCTGGCTCGTTCGAGCTCTGGGAGCAAGGTGGAGTCTCCACCCCCCTTGACTCCTCGTCTCATCAGCAAATCGCTCTCCATCTTGTTGCTCTCCACCTCACAGACAAAGACAACCGCCATGCCAGGACTCATTCCGGATACGCCACAGTTTGCCTTTGTAGGCTTGGGCAATTTAGGCCAACACATGGCCTTGAACCTTGCCAAGCACCTCGCCACGCTCCAGCCTGCGCACCCGCCCTTGCAAGTCTGGACGCGCACAACCTCCAAGGCACAGGCATTTGCAAAGGAGAATGGCTCCATCGTCAAGGCCGTCGAGAACCTCGACGACATTGCCGCAAACTGCGACGTGATCGTGACGAGCCTCGCCAACGATGCGGCGGTGCAGGAGGTGTACAAAGCCCTGATGAAGGCCGAAACGGCGAGGCCAAAGAAGAACGGAACAAAGACAATCTTCCTCGATACGAGCACAATGTATCCCGACATCACAAAGCGAATCCATGACGACGTCGTCGCTTCCGACACACGCTGCTTCTTCCAGGCGCCTGTCTTTGGTCCGCCTCCCATGGCGAAGTCGGCCAGCTTGGTGTACGTCATTGCAGGCGCAAAGGAGCCTCGGGCCGTCGTCGAGCCTTACCTCGTCCCTTCGACCGGCCGTAAAATTATGGACTTTGGCGACGATGTGACCAAGGCATCAGCCTTCAAGCTTATTGGCAATTCGATTGTGCTCTCCACAGTCGAGATGCTCGCAGAGACCATGACGCTCGCGGACAAGGCCGGCATCGGCGCCGACCGTGTTCAAGAGTGGATTGAGCTTTTCTACCCTGCGCCTTCCGCAATTGGTTATGGCAACAAGATCCTGAACAACAAATTCGCTGCAGACGGCGGCTTCACCGTCGCAGGTGGTCTGAAGGATGCTCGCCACATCAAGAGGCTGGGCGAGGAGAACAATTGCCCCATGCACATCACCGAGCGCGCCATTCAGCATCTTTTGGTCAGCCAGGAGGCCTCCAAGGGCCAGGACAAGGACTGGAGCAGTCTCGTTGCTGGACAGCGCAAGGAAAGCGGCCTGCCTCTTTGGCCCGAGCACCAGTAGGCCATAAATATACAGTATAACCATAGACGGCGATGACGAAAATGTGATGCAATTGATGAATGATTACAAGGCCCACTCGTCTATCTCTGCCTCCCGATCACTGACAAATGGCCGTGCAATGGTTGACACGGATCCGTCGCAGAGAATACACGCGCTGGCGACTAGCCCGTCCAGCTCGTCTCTCAGCTCCTCGATCTGCTCCTGCTTCTCGGCCATCCGACCCCCGTCAGCTCCGTCTGCCTTTGCGACAACGGGCTGCTGCGCTTGTTGCTGCTGCCTGGGCGACGAAGTGATAGCGACAGAATTCCTCGCGCTCGCGGACCCCATGGAATGCCTTGGGTTGGCGAATGGATCCAAAGGGGCTAGGAGATTCTTGCCGCCAGCGACACCGACCGATACGCCGGCAGAGATGGCGCCCACAATTGCATCGGGCGAGACCAAGTCTCGAAGCTTGTCGAGGCCCAACGCAGTCGTTGCTGCAGCTGCTCCTTGCCCAGTCGCAGAGGCGACGAGGCCTGGCTTGCTGTCCGATGCAGACGTTGAGGAGATGACACTGGCATATTGTGGAGGAAGGGATGGGACGAGACCTGCAGTGAGGCTCGAAAGTTGCTGTTGCAGCTCGAGGATCCGGCGCAACGACCTGGTCTTGAGATGCTTCTTGGTCTATTGTTGACCAACCGTGTCAGCTCCCGTTAAGAAAAAACCACACACTTTTTCAACTCACCTCCGCGACAAGGCAGTCGGCATGGAAGCCGTGCCGACAGCTGAACACATAGAATTGCCGCTCCACGAGCCCAGCTTTGCACAGCCAGCAGACGTCTTGTCCCTTGACGACCGTCACAAACCGCCGCGAGAGCTTCTCTGCGTCTTCTCGGATCGATTCAGCGCTCTGCGTTGCCTCGTCCATTTCCGTCTTGAGCTCCTCGATCCGTCCCGCATAGCTCTCCAAAGCGAGGCAGATCTCGTCTTTAAAGTCGTCGATAACGGCAAAGTCTGGAAAGAAAGGAAGGATGTCTTCGACGGAGAGCAGATTTGTTCTCGCGAGGAACTCCATGGCTCTGTTAATTTAGCTAGGGTCAGCACCAAGATTTTACGGAAGCGGAAACGGAGTAGAGAAAGACCCTGATGCTTACGCTTTGATGTCGTTCTTCTGCTTCACGACGACCTCTGCCGTCTTCTTCCAAAGCTTCTTCTTGAGCCCGCCTTCCGCCTCATCGCCGCCTCCCCGCCCACTCCTTCCTCCCATGTCGACCATGTCTGCGCATTCGCATGCCAGTTCGACATCGCCCTGCTCCAGGGCGAGATCCACGGCACTCTCGTAGTTCTCCATCTTCGCAAAGATGCGCACGCAAGCCTCCAGACGCCCATTATCGCTGCACGTCCGCAGCGCATAGTCAAGGTCGTAGTAAGGTCGACCCGTCATGTCCTTTGTCTTTAAGTTCGCAATGAAATCTAGCAGCTCCTTGTTCGCAGCTTTGGCCTCCTCGCCATCGGAAGATGAGGCCGCACGCGCCAAAGCAGAGAGGAGGAAGTTGTGCACGGCAGGATCAGTGTTGTTGAGTTCACGAATGACGTGCTGCAAGTATCTGATCGTCTGTCGCCCTGTCCGTTCAGACTGCTTTTGCTCCTGCAGCATGGCGGGGATAAGTCTACGGGGCTGCAGGGCCGCTTGACGGATCCATGACTCGACCGTCTTCTCCGGTCGGTGACGGACCAGGATCGTGGCGAAACGGTAGTATAAATCGAGAGATTGCGACTCAACGATTGCCTCGATCGCTCGGTCCCAGTCCTCCTCCTCGACCCAGTGCCTTACGATCCGGTCGACTTCGTCCGTTACTTTGGCGTAATGAAGCATAAATTCCACTCGCCCGTGCCTCTTTATTAGCCCGAAAATTGTCTTGGAATCCAAATTCTCGCGATAGGTGACAAGGAACTGCTTCAGTTCATCCTCGAGCATGGCACGCTCCAGGTTGTAGTTCTCCACGTTCTCGGAAGCGGCACTGGCCGAGGCCACGTCCTCGAGCTCATTGATCTTGGCGAGGTAGATTTCGACGAGCCATGTGGCGAGCATCATGCGCTGCGTCAGGTCGCTCTTTCTCAGCCTCTCGAGGCGTGATACGAGATAGTATCGCAAAGCGTCTTTTTCGTCTGCATCGATGAAGCGCAGCACGATCTCTTCGAAGGTTCTCTTGAATGTCTTGGCATAGCACTGTGCCGCTTGGATGTGCCTGCCCTGGCCGAAAAACGCATCGCCCTGGGCCGAGAGCACCTCGTCTCGCTGTGCAGGCGTTTTGGCGTAGCGAAGTGCCGTGTCATAGGCATGCCGCTGGAGGTAGACCATCCAGACGTCTCGATCCTCGTGCCTCACAACGAGCTCAAAGATTGAGGCATCGGTGTAGACCCAGAAAGTCTTCCGAGCCACATCGACCGTTGTTCCAATGACGTGTTCGTTTGGCTTTAGCGGCAGGTCTTCCTGATACACCACACGGTCGTCCAGGCTCGAAATGGCCATCATCCGGTCTCTGTAGAGCAGGACAAAGTGAAACTCGGTGAGGGCGATGCTCAGCGGGATCTCCGATATCGTCTCGCCCTGTCCTTCGTGGTCATTCTCGTCGATGGGCACAGCGGGGTAAGGGAGCAAGTTGGCGCTGTCGATGACGCTGTCGCCCACCTCCTGCTCGCCGAAGGATATGAGGCCATGGTAGATGCCCGGACCAGTGAGCCATGCGAGAGCCTTTGAGCTGCGCTGGCCTGCCGGCGCCCACATGTGAAGTTCAGAATACGGGAGATCGCCTGGAAGCTCGGATTCTAGACAACTCTCATGATCAGCTCTTCGCTGATCTAATAGAAACATAAATCCTACTCACTGAGATTGGGAACAGCATCCCCCTTGTACGCCTCAAAGAGCTTCTCGTACATGCTCTCGCTTTCGTTAGCATCCGTGGAAGCCCTACTCAACATGCCGACGAACTCGTAGATTCTTGTGCTCGATGTCACAACAACCACCGCTCTTGTAATCCCTCCTGCTCGTGATGAAGAAGCACTCGGAAATACATCGACGTGCATGCCCGTAATCGGTTGTCGTTCGTGGAGCGTAAAGACATGCCGAAGCACCTTGTCGATCTCCGGTCCAGAACCTGTGGCACCAGCGGTCCTTCTAGCGAGCCGATCGAGAAAGTCGCCCTCGTCGGCATCGGCGTGAGATGTCGTCGAGGCCAAGGCTGCCTCATAGATGTCGCCGGTCATTGTGCCTACGAGGATCTGCCGCGTTGCAATCGTCGATGAGGGCGCTCCAGACGACCTTGCACCTCTCACGCTCCCATTCATTTTCTTCTTTTTGCTCGAAGAAGCAGCCGCAACATCGACGAGAGGATTCCACGCGATACTTTCGATGACGAGCCCCTTGAAACGATTGAGCAACCTGGCCTTCTTGCCCAACCCACTCGTCCAGTAGAAGTTATCGCCGTTGCGTGTGCCCAGGATGATGTGCTTCCCGGTTGGATCTGCAAACATCTTGTATGGCCCCAGCATCGTTGGATCTGGCGGCGCTACGTTTCTCGTTCGCGGCAGAGGGGGCAGAGGCACCTCTGCCTCTTCTGTCCTCTCTGGATCGTCGAGATCGATGCGAACCAGCCGAGGTGGGGCGGTGACGGCTGAGGCAGCCGAAGGGTATGAGGTGTGGTACTGCTGCCCCATGAGCGAGGTTCGTGGTGGCGGGTATGCGTACAGGCACATTGTGAGAATGTTGTTGGAGACTGTCAGTAGCGCAAGCGGGGCCGGAAATGCGTACTGAACTCGACCAAGGGCAAAGATGGGCGGCAGGGATGAAGTGTCGAGCAGATCGTTTGAGACGAAGCCAGTCTCGAGAGCCGTGACAGGGTCCAGGGCTGAGCCTGCCTCAGCGCCTGGCGCGGGGACAGCAGCCATGGCGTTGCCAGGCTCGAAGCCTACGCTGTCGTGGTGGGGTCCCGAGGAGCGCGACGTGTTGACGAATCTAGACGGGGTCTAAGCTCAGCTGCTGTACTCATTGCAGCTGTCTCAAATAACGAAGCGACACTCACTCGTCAAACATGCCCACTAGCTGATCACCGGCCTCGTCGCCGATGGTGGTGTCCGGTCTGTCGGGGAAGAAAGGTGGTGGTGATGCGTAGGGCGGCCTGTGCATCGCTCCAAAAAGTCCGACACACCAACACGTGTTCGTAGCACCTTCCTTCCTTCCTTCGTGGCGTCTTCCTCCCTTCCCCACCATGTCGCTGGACCTGAGCTGGTCCTTGCTAGACCAGACGTTGCAAGAGGGGCTTCGAGAGAAGCTCAATAGCGTCCTGGCCAATGCGTCTCGGCCGGACTTTCTCGGGCCCATCAGCTTGGTCAGCTTGAATTTGGGCAGCGAGGCGCCCGACGTGTGCATCGTCGATGTCGGCGATGTCTGGGACGGCTTTCTCTCGAGGGATGATGAGGAAGAGGAAGGGACGGAAGGAACGGGAAGCAGAGACGCGGGCAGGGGGTCACCCCTCGATGGTGCATACCAAGATGGCGATAGCAGTGGGCGACGTCACCCGACGGCACGGCGAAAGAGGCGGGGGAGGACAGGGTCTGACCTTCAAGTACAGGGCAGGGAATATGGACATGGATCCCACGAGAAACCCAACAACCAGTTTGAACGATTCGCGGAAAAGAATCTTCCTTTCGCCATTGATCAGAACCCGCCTTTCTCCTCGTCACGTCGTGCTGGTCCGCAAAATGACCGCTTGCGATTGCAGACTTTCCGCCAGTACTCTTCGTCGGAGGCCCAGCTCGTCGATTCAGGTTCTCAATATAGCGTGCCGGTGTCAGGTGCAGGAGCAAGGGGGCTAGGAAATACAGTACCGCCTTCGATCGTTACAGGATCTGGCTGGGCCCCATCCCCGGGAGCAGCAGGAGCAGGAGCGCCTTGGAATTGGAGTGCTGGTCTCCATGGGCACGCAGTGCAACGAAGGAGCAGCTCACATTACGGCTACCCGAACGGAGGTCTCGGCGGCGCTGCTGGCGCAATGGTGGGAGCAAACAATGGGAGCATGACACCGTCTGGCTATTTCCCAGCCTGGGCCGGTGCGGCTGGCCCTCTCCCAATGCCACCGCGTCCAAACGACTGGCGTCGGGCGTCGACGTCCATCGCTCGCGGCATCTCACCCCCTCTCCACGATACGCCCGAAGACATGCACCCTCAGGCGCAGACGGGGAAAGCCGAGAGCACGACGCTGCCCTCAGTCCAGCTTCACCTCTCCTTGGCCTGGTCGACGCAAGCCATCCGCCTGACCATCTCGACGTCCCTCCTTGTCAATCACCCGTCACCCGCATTCATGAGCCTCCCCATGACAATCACTCTCACTTCGCTCATCCTCCAGGCCGGTGCACTTCTGGCTTTCGAGGGGGAAGACACGACTGGCCGCGGCCGAAAGGCACACTTCTGCCTTACCGTCGAGGAAGACGAGGAGCAGGACCCACAGGCTGGACAGACGGGCGACGAAGACTTGCTCTCAGCGACGGACAACGAAGAGTTGTCGTCGGACGAACAGCAGTCGCAACAGCGCCGCCGAGCGCTGCTCCTGAAGAAGCGCCAGCAGATCTTCTCTTCTGCCCCTCCGTCGTCTTCTTCCTCCTCCTCGTACATGCCCTACTTTCGGCCGCCTACGCCTGGCGAAAAGATTCTGCCCCACATCACCCTCGAGACAAGCGTGGGCCAAGCTGACAAGCACGTCCTCAAAAACGTCGCAAAGGTCGAGCGCTTCGTCGTCGACCTCATCCGAAAGGCAATCGGAGACGAGCTCGTCTTTCCAAATTTCTACAGCGTCGAACTGCCCCGATGACGCTTTGTCGCTGTTTTATTCACACCTCTGTGTACCACCAGACGAAATTGCAGATGATACCCCTTCCTAAATCTTGCATTTCTTTGGTCTCTTCTGGCTTCTTGAGAGAAACGATATGCGATTGCAAAGACAGATGGCGATGGGAAACGAGGGCAGAGACGCCCTCCTACAGAGATGATTAAATGAGACAGACAATACACAAGACTATCGATACAGAATGCATGCAAGGAGGGAAACCCTCTTTCTTTCAGATTCACGCTCACCTCCAACCTTTCGCTTTCTTCATTCCTCTTTCCTCTTCCACTCTTCTTCTTCTTCACCGCTGTTTTCTGGGCCCCACTTTCTTTGAGTCTCTCAACCAATCAATTCTGCAGCAGGCGCTCAGCCATCCTCTCCCACTCGTTCCAGTTGCTCGCAAAGCTCTCTCCGAGGCCCTGTTGGGCAGCAGCACCGGTAGTCGCCGTCCCAGGTGTTCCAGATGACGATGGATGGTGCGATGGGTAGACCGCGCCTGTTGCACCTTCGCTCTGGTCCGAGCCATTCCGAACCGGTATTCTCGCCGCGTTGAGCGACGAATAAGGCTGAGGTGCCTGCTGTTGCTGCTGCTGCTGCTGCTGCTGCTGCTGCTGGTCGTCGATGAAGTACTGCTGGAATACTCCTGGCCTTCCGTCGTCACGCATTGTCGGTGGCGCCTGTTGGTACGCTTGGAGAGCCTGCGGGTGCTGTTGTTGATAGTGGTGTGACGCGGGCGCCGTTAGAGACGGGAGAGGACCGGCTCCCGACGAAGCTGTAGAGGGATGTGGTTGAAGTACTGATGGCGCCTGGGGATGGTGCTGTCCGTATCCGTATGTCCACGTTGGTGCAGGTCTCGTAGTGGCAGGAGAAGGTGTTGCCGCTTGTTGATTAGAAGGCCCGTAGGAGATACCGTGAGGCGATGGCCGAGCAAAGTCGACTTGGGCGGCCAGGAGGTCAAGCCCCGTCGCAGATGCGGAGCTGCCTACCTGCCTTTGGTTCTGCAGCTGCACAGGTCCATGACTCTGCTCATAGGCAGACGACGGGGATGAGTTCGACGGAACAGTGAAGGGAGCAGGTGGTGGGAAATGACCAACATCGGCTTGGATGAAAGGTCGATCAGCGAAAACCCCTTGGGGACGCTGCTCTCCAAAGACCTCAGTCCAGTAATTGCGGACGTCGAAGTCAAAGTCATCGAAGATGGAGGCCGCATTGTTGCCGGGATTACTCATGCTGGAGGAGTCGCCATTGTTGTTGAGTGGTTCGGAGACGGCCTGCTGATTGGCAGTAAGGCCGGTAGCAGGGGCACCAGCCGGCTCTGGAGAAGTCGACGGGTGCCTCGAAGGGTAGCCTTGACCTCCCAGCGTTCTTCCGTCGCCTTCAACCATGATCTGGGGCGGCGCACCCACAGCAGGTGCTTGCACGTTTGCATTTGTCAGCACTGATCCAACGTCATTGCTTTCCTCCCGAGCCCTCGCATCAATCTCGCGTAGAGTGGCCGCATATCTTGCCGCTTGTTCGGCCACATTCCTCAGTCCCAACTTGGTAGAGATCAGATCCAGAGCTCTCACTGCTCGATCGAGGCTGGGCCGTGCTAATACGCCAAAAGCGGCCTGCTGCTCGGTGCCCCGGACATTCGTCCTCTTGCCTTTGTTCTTGATCGTGGACGAGTTCGAGGACGCGTCATTATTGTAAGGCGAACAGAGGGCGCTCTGAATGGCGATGATGATGGCTGCTTGGAAGCAGTAGAAGATGCAGAAGTTGTAGAGGACGTAGGGCGGTCCTGGTTCGCGCGTGACGACGCCCCAAATGAGCCAAATGAGGCGCTGAGCCGAGTCGATGCACACCTCGAGGGACCGTTGGGCTTGGCCCTCAGGAGGACGCCAGCTCCCCGTCTCATCCGCCTGTGGTCGATGAACCTGGATGCTCGTAGCAAGCGACAGCATCTGTAGAAAGGCATCTTGGAGGTACCGCGTTTCGCGCTCGTCACTCTCGATGCGGTCGTCCTCGCGCTCCCTTGCCTCGTCCCCATCCCCCTTCCGTCGTCGACGCTCTTTGCTCTGCGTTCCTACGCCCAGCTTTCCAAGCTCTGCCGAATCGAGCACGCCGGCGAGACTGGGAGGCAGTTCCCTCTTCCACGTCTCAAAGGCTTCAGCCATGTCGGACTGGGAGAAGCTTGCGCTGCTGACCTTGGCGCTAGAGGGAATGAGAACGCGGGCAAGCTTGAAACGGACCAGGTGAAAATCGAAGCTGGCCTTAGATGGCGGTTGAACCCGCAGATTGCTCCGACGACCCTCGAGAATGTAAGGCTCGATGAGGCCTGCACGACGGTACAGCCCAAGGAGGGCATCGTGGTCGTCGGGAAACTCGGTATCGAAACCATCGGCCATGACGCTGGGAGGCTGTACGAGGCGCATGGAATTGATCGTCTCGAACAAGACCACGTTCCAGAACATGTTGCGCCTTGCCTGGGCCTCTTCTTTGCCCATGTGGGGCCAGTGGCGTGCATCACGGTGCAGCGCGGCGGCATGAGCCAGGCGCATCGTCGCAGCAAAGCAAGAGCCAGCGAATTGCAGGTGGAGCTCATTGAGGTGCCAAAGACCACGCAGCAAGTTTGCTCGCACGAGGTCCAAGGGGGCCGAGAAGGCGCTCGACCAATTGGATGGACAGGCAATCTGGAGTGCGTCGACGCATCGACCAGCCGTTTCAAGTAGCTCTCTTTCCGATGAACACGACTCGAGCCACTCGTGGACGGGTGACTGCGCTCGGCTCGAAGGAGCGCCGCCTGCCATTGAATTCTCACTAGCCATGGTCGCTTCGTGCTTTATTTTGGAACGATTGCCCTTTGCTTTGTCTCTGCCCTTTGCCGTTGTTGAGCCATTGAAGTGACCGCCGCCGGTGCGCTTGACGGTTCTCCTCGCCTGGATGGCCAGGGCGAGTATGGTCAAGACAAGCGGTACGAGCGGAGGATCGGCCGGAAGCGTCTGTGGATTGGAGTGCCACCACGTCAGGAAATTCTCGATCCTGGACCGGTTGAGATCGACAATGATCACGTTGCAGATCCACTCGACGTTGGCGCGGTAGATGTCGAGAAGCGGGCCAATGTCCTGGGCCGTTGGCAGCTTGAGTGAGTCAACAGCCGCAGGAGGGCTGTAGGTGGATGACGAAGAATATGACCATGATGGGCCAAGGGTGTCGCTCTTGCGATGCTTGTAATCGCCGAAAAGGACTTTGCCGATGGCGGCGGCACGGGCACATCGGACGCGAACGTCAAAGTCGACGCTGCGATCCCGTCCAATGCCCTCAGTTGTGGCAATAAGCTGCATCCTTCGCTTCGTTAGCGCAGATTGCTCCGATGAGGCAGTGACCGACGGTGAAGGGTCCACCTGAGCATAAGGTGGACTTGGTTGGAACCTGGGGTCTCGCGAGGCAAATGCTTCCACAGGCGAAGTTCGATTTCGCCTGTTTGGTAAGGATCGGAGAAGCGATCAGCTTTCATTCAAGCCAACACGAACAGGCCGTCTTCCACCCACTTCAAGTCTCTCTCTTCCGTCTCGTCTGCGCCAACTAGCACGGCATTGTTCGCGTAGAGGCACATGCCATCCCTCGAATTGCTGTTCTTGCAATTCCCGCAGACGGGCTTTGCTCGGTCGCACTGCCCCGCCTCTGCGTGTCAGCTTCTAGTCCGCTCCTCCAGTGAGAGTCGCCGATGCAAGAACACACCTTCTGTTTCTTCTCCCTGCATTGCCAGCAGCTCGTGATGTGCCTCGTCCTCTTGATCTTCTTCTTTGGTTTGGCACGCTTCACTTTTGTCCGCTCTGCCACTAGCGGAGGACTGGTGCTGGAGCCAGCTTGTCCAATTTTTGTGTCTTCCTCCTCTTCTTCATCCCCCTCGTCCTGCTCGGCTCCCTGACCCGTGCCGTGTGTCTTTTCCGTCCAGGGTCAGCTCAAGCCACACGCTCTACTTCTTGCTACCGCCGTGCTCACCATGAGTGATGCTTCGTGGCCTGCGATGATACTGCTCCCGCTTTGTCCGTCGAACGGAGCTACAGACGACATCATTGCTGCTGGTCTAGTTGATGATGATGATGATGATGATGATGACGATGCATCCATGACCGCGGGCGGCGCGGCCAGCGGCGGCAGGTCATCTTGCCTCTGGTGGAGAGGAGCAGGGTACCTCTGCCCGCCTTCTTGTCCATCCATGCCGAACTTTGTTTCCTATGGCGGACCTACGCCATCAGCCTCCTCCTACTTGAACCTCAAGCTGTTAGAGAGGGGTTCGATCGCTCGCAAGGTCAAGTCAGCAAAGGGCGGCGGTAGATCGGGCGCCACACCAAAAATACATCGCTCAGCAACCAGTTGTGGCTCTGCGGGGATATAAGTCTCTCGGCCGGGAAAGTTATGATTTCGATCCGTGCGCGCGCGCCGCGAGGCGTCTGCTCCCATTTCTTTTACCTCGGTAGTCGACGAGCGACGAGCTGAGCCAAGGATAGAGCGAGAAGAGAAACAAAAAGGGGTGCCACAAAGAGATCATGTCGTACTATTTCTGCATCGTGGGTACACGGGACAATCCCTTGTACCAGGCGGACCTTGCCTCGAAGCCGGCAGGGTCGTCTGGCCCTGCCTCTTTCTTCTCTTCTTCTTCTTCTTCCTCCTCCTCTTCCTCGACGTCCGGCAGTGCTGGCGCAGGCGCGAACCAAGTCAGCGCTGGCGGGAGCGGTGGAAATGGGTCAGATCGGAGGAGCGTCGACAGCGTTGCATCTGCAGGACCAGGCGCGGGCGCAGGAACAGGCGGATCAGCAGGCGGAGGCACCTCGACGACGGGCGGCGTATTTGGATTCGGTAATGCGCTCGGCGCCCTCGCTGGCGGGCTCGGTAGCGGCTCCTCGGCAAGGACTGGTCCATTCGGAGGTCAAGCCTCAGGCGGCGGGGGCGCTTCAGCGCCAGGAAGCGGCGGCGAGGGAAAGGGACTCGGATTCGGGCGCTACAATGACAAGCACGTCTTGCAGATGATTGCACACAGCTCGCTCGACGTCGTCGAAGACAAGCAATTTGTCAATGGGGCAATGTGAGTTCTCTCCCAATCAGGAGGGGAAAACACACTTGATTAAGTGCCCCGCTAATGCCGCATGGACGGCTCAGGTATCTTAAGGCCGTCGATCGGATCAACGAGTGGACCACCTCGGCCTTCTTGGCTCCCGGAAGTAAGTGTCATGGCTTCTTCTTGTTCCTTATCTCTTCGTGGTCTCCCATAATCTCACCTTGGTGAGACACAGACATCAAGCTCCTCATTCTCCACGAGCACAAGCACGACGACGGCATCCGCAATTTCTTCTACGACGTCTGGGAACTCGTCGTCAAGACAATGATGAATCCCTTCCACGACGCAAACGCGCCCATCGACTCGCCGACGTTTGATGCAAAGGTCAGGGCAAGCGCGAGAAAGCACCTGTAGAGTAGGGAAAAGGCCTACGACACCCGTGTACAAAGATACCAGAGACTATTCATCAGAGCGAAAGGGCATGCCCTCGAGAGAGGGGAGAGCAAACGAGCAAGATTTCCACAGAGAGAAGAGCATTGTTCATTGTGTGGGAAAAGAGCAAACTCCAACAGACAGCTCAGATCAATGCGAATACACCCAGACCAATGCAGAAAGCCGCGACGACGAGTGGCAAGGCCGCGGCCGGCGTTCGGGACTGTATAGCTCCCCCAAAGATGGCCCCGGTAGATTGATCTATCGAGAAAAGCAGAGATGATCAGTGAGCTCTTCATCGCGCACAAAGAGAAGAAAGCGTCCTCAACCTACCGTAGAAGCCTTCGCCTGACGTCGTCACATCCGTGTAGCTAGGAACGACGCTCGGAGTAAAAGTGTGATTGTAATCAGGATAGTTGGCTGTCAACGGACGCTAATGTCAGCAGGGAGATAGGTGGGGAGATCTAGGGCGAGAGGGGAGACTTGCCTGACTGCGCTCCGCCCAGGACGGACGAGCTGAATGCGCAAATCGAGCGCATGTTGGTGACGGCGTCGGGCGCGCCTGTTCCTTGCGGGTCCGTCCCTGATGCAGCAACAAGTCAGCGTGAGAAGATTTCACTAGGGGGCAACAGCCACGGTGGAGACATACCGAGATATTGGCATTGGTTGGTCAGTTGGAAGCATTGGACGCATTGTGGAAACTATGACGAAGGCACTTCAGTACACTCCTCTTTTTTGGCGCTGGCCGAAGATGAAAAGAAAAGACTCACGACGGCTTGGAACGTGTCGGTGCTGTGGGAGGCCACAACGACAGCAGGGTCAGATTGTGGCGAGGTGATACATGACAAGCGAGCGACTCACCAAGAGCACTTGATGACAGAGATGTATGCAAACGGATCGTTGAAGATGCTCGTCGCATTCTCAAACACGCTGCTCGCCGCGGCGCACGAGCTGATCGACGAGTACTTTTGCTCACAATTGTAGCTGTGTCGATTTGTCCCAGAATGCGCGTCAGTCGAGCTACGAAAGGAAGCCGCAGCACAGTACACACCATGAGGGGTACTCAGCAGGGAAAGAAGGGTACGGCATCTCGCTGAGTGGGACTGAGGGAATGTCGCTCCTCTTTGTCACCGTCCTCGCTGCCCTCTTGTCCTCCCTCGCCGCCTGCCTTTCCTCGAGCTCGGCCAGTCGCTTCCTCCCTGCCTCTGTCTCAACCTCGGAGCGAGCGAGCCTCTCGAGCGCGATTCTCTCGGCTCTGTTGACATTGCCAGCGCGTCCCACGATGCCTGCGAGCTTCTTTGCCTCCCGCAGCGCACGCGGCCATGCACGCTGGTCCGGCTGCAGGCTCTTGTCGCCTCGACTGGCCTTGTTGCGCGCCCACTGCTGCATGGGCGCATAGAACGCCTGAACCTCGTCAGGCGTCGAGTCTTGCGGCAGCCAGCGCGGGGCTGGCGTCGCTCCAGCGGGCGCAGCAGCTCCTCGTGCGCGGACCGCCGAGGGAACAGGCATCGGCGAGGGCATCGGAGCTGCCTCAATGCCAGTCACGGCCAAAAGCAGCGCTGCCGCAGAGACCAGAAAGTCGAGCCGCATTTTTTCCTCGTGCCGTGCGTATCTCTTAGAAAGGGAGAGGGGGGATTAATCAGGTGTTCGTCCAGAGGGTATCAAGTCGTTAGGTTTGGTATCGTAGCCGGGGTCGTAAAGTAGAAGGTAAGGTCTATCGAATATCAGGAAGAAGGACTATGTCAGCCCAAGATACTGGCAAGCTGGCTTCTCGCTTGACATACTCACCGTCAAGAAAAGCAGATCGTGTGTTCGTTACGATGTCATCAAAGAGCAAGAAGACCAGGGGGGGCGGTTGGAGGGAATGCAGGGCAATCTGCACCGTAAACATTGGCGTTGCGCTAGTTGTCCCATTCAGGGGCTGTCTCGGGAATCGGACAATAATAACACCAAAAAAAAGTGGAGCGTCGTCGTCGCGCTGAAGTTACATCAAACGACACAGTCTGAGGCTGCTCTGATGGAAGCGTCCTGGACGCTTTGTGTTGATGTATTGAGAAGGGTCGGTGACTCTGATGACATGATCTGGAAGCTTTTCTAGTTTATGAGATGATAAATGATAAAAAGAGCACGGGAGAGGGGGAAGAAACGTTTCGCGATAATTATACAGCAGGTGAATGTCGAGTCAAAGAGATCAAGCAGTGGCTGAGATGGGCGTGGGGGCGATGGGAGGTGCTGCCGGTGCATCATCGAGCGGCATCGTTTTCTCGTCGAGAATCGAGACCGGGCTTGTTCTAGTAGCGCCATCTTCCTTGCTCCTTCCATCCTTGAAAGAGATCTGTTTGGCAGGTGGATTAGCAAATCTTTCGCGCGCTGGAACTGCAGCCCAACACTCACGCCTGCCCGGCCTTCGATTTGCGAAATCCACAAAGTCTGGTAGAAGAAGATGGGGAACATGTAGTACTTCCAGGACGCCCATCGGAAAAAGAGGCCGACCTGCTCGCTTCTCGTGCTGATGTAGTCGGACGCCATGTCCTTGCGCACCTCCTGGAACATGTCGGTCTTGTCAGTCAGGATAGCCTTGACCCCCCACCGAGTTGCCTCGATCATTTCGTCGCGACGGTTGACGGTCCACACAAAGACGTCTTTCTTTGCCTCACGGGCTTCCTGGAGGAAGGCTTGTCCGTCTGCACCGACGAGGCTGGGGAACCACATGCTGAATCCGTCACAATGGTTCCAAAAGTAGGTGCGAGCCGCCATGGGGCTGCCGCCGATGTGAACGCGGCGAAGCGCTGGCACAAATTTGAGTGCGGCGTCGAGGAAGATGGGGTGCCACAGGCCGAGAATGAGCCGCGGCGCAAGCTTTGACTCGAAATCCGGGTACGACTCGACAATCTCCTTCATCAGCTTGAAGAGGCGCTCAGGCTGGTTGTCGGGCTTGATGTCAATCTGGAAGAGTGACGATGATTCAGCATGTACGCAGGGCCACAAGATAGAACATCCCACTTACATTAAACTTGACGTGTTGGTTCTCTGGCCGCATCAGGAGATCACAGGCTTGGCGGAACGTAGGAATTTGTTGGAAGGGTTGCTTGAGAGTGCGAATATTCTCGATGTTGCCGTCCCAATTTTGATTCTTGATCAGGCCCTTGCCGTCGGTGGTGCGACCGAGGGCGGCGTCATGGAACATGATGATGACGTCGTCCGCGGTGATGTGGACATCTGATCGACAGCAGATGATGTCAGATTGGCCATTACGGGCCGCGCCGACAGAACGGAGAGAGAGGGCAGCTTCGGTCAACGGCGGAGTGGTGGTCAAAAGCAAGAGCCACCGCCTCCCCCGCGATCGAGGTGCCACACCAAGAGCGGGAAGACAACGAGACACTAACCGCTCTCGAGACCTTCGGAGCCATCTCGGATTGCACGTTCAAACGAGGCGATGGTGTTTTCAGGGAACGCAACGGAAGCCTGTGTGATGATTGTGTCAGCAGACGTGTTTGCTTGCCGTGCACACAAAGCAGGCACTCACTCCACGATGGCCCCTGCAGAAAACATCGAGTAGTACACGCACGCAGTTAGTCTCGAGGCTGTCTTACGAGCTTGGCTAGCTGAGCAAGATACTCACCAGCACTCGGGCATGTCTGGAGCAACACCACGCAACCTAAATGACTTTGTAAGAGGCATGGCGAAACGCAGTCGTCAGCGCAGGTCGAAAGAAGGAGAAGAGGAGAAAAAGAGAGGAGGGGAGGGGATGATCGTGTGAGGTGGTCAAGGGGAAAGGGATGCTTACCTCGAGAACGGCGTCATAGGAGGTGTTGTTCACGTGTCCCATGATCCTGGCAGAAGGCAGGCGTAGCGGACGCAGTCGGCGTTCCGCCGTCGAGCGAACGTGTTCCATGGTCTTAGGGGCCATAAATCTGTGCAGCCAGGGGTATAGAAGCGTGCACCCTGTCTCGCGCGGATTTGACAGCCCGTTGAGCCACCAAAGCTTGATAAATTGGAGCGGTGACTCAGATAGAGCAATGACCTGTTTTGTCGACGTTGTTGTCGACAATGTTGATCTGTATTTCGCGCCTGGCGTTGGCGAGCTATTATCGTTCCTATTATTGTTGCTCATCTAACAGTGACCATGGAGACCGAAATCGGAATCGCGGAATGTAACGAACGTGAGCAGCCAGTGACAAAGCTGGGTCGACCGTCGCTCGACCAGGGGAGAGAGGTGAAGAGGGAACGAGCGTTGCGGCGAGCGAACGTGCCTTCCGAGTACGTGTCTTTGAACTCCTACTGACGCATCGAGGAGGGGTTTTTTTTTTTTTTTTGTGTCTGTTTTTTTTTTTTTTTTTTTTTTTTTTTTTTTGTGTCTGGTTTGTTTTCGCAACGAGGGCGATCTGTCGGGGTACCCCGTTCGATTTTGCTCGTCGGGCCGTGGGCCGACCTTGGGCTGGTTGCGCAAGTGGTCTAGCAGTAGTGTGGTGCTGGTGTCTTCTGTTGCTCCTCCCCTTCCCTGCCGTTGCAACGGGCAGCAGCAGCCAGGGACAGGGGTGCAAGTGGGCGATGGAAGGCAGGCTTTATCGAAACTGGTCTGTCGATTTTTGAAATGCCGACAGGCAGACAAGCAGAGCTCCGACGCGTCAACAATACAAGAATCTGGGTTTCGCCATTACAAAAGCAAGCGTCATGGGACATGCTGGACGGCCCGTCCGTTGCCTTTCACCACCGGTGGCTGGGCCGCGTAGAGATACGTCCTTATGATAGGGAGGGTGCTCGTACCATGCTGCGTACGGGACTTGTTGTAAGACCGTGGACTTAGGAGCAAATGTTAGAATGGCTTGTATTTGTGCTGGTAGTACAGAAGTAGTGTAGTAGAACGGATGGTACGGGTTATGAGTCCGACCTCAGGTCTTCGAAGACCTTATGGCATCAAGAAAGCTGCTCTTACTGTGTGCTTGGGCTATAAAGGGGTCCACGATAAGCTTTGGTCCCGACGCAAGGTGCGCACATCAGCCACCCACCTGCCTTTGCCTTGCTACCAAGGACATTGTCGGAGCTTTGATTTTTCTTTGTAACATCTTCGTAATCGGCTTCATTTGTGTTCTGCGCCGCTCGAATGGCGTTGAACAGCTTGACCACTGAGAGACACGTAAGGATTCAGCAGCACATCCAGTGATACAGTGATACGAAAGGGAACAGAGGAGCTCACCACCGCGCTGAGCTACTTTTCTCAGCCTCTTCTCATAGCCTTGGGCGCCACCTTGAGAGAGCCAACTCCGGGCGGCATCGTCTGGCTCGTCATCGGGCTGCTTTTCCTCCCCTTCTTCCGTCTTGGGCAACCGCCCCGGTGGACCCCAACCACCAATGACATCCTCGACATGCGCCCGATCTTCTCGCTTCTTTCGCGCCTCGAGGGCCAACCTAGCCGCTTTCGCATTCAGCACCGACGACTGCGCTGAGCGACGAACATGAGGAGCCAAAGACAGGATCGTGTTCGGTGCCTGCTTTCCGTCCTGCCCGTTCTGTCTTGTCACGGATTTCCGTTTCTTGTTGTCATGCTCCCCTCCGGTTGTCTCTACTGCACCTGCAGATACCGATGTACTCGCAGGCGGAGGGCCAAGAAGTCCTTGAAGTGCAGCCCCGAACGTCGTCGGCGAAGTTGCCCTTCGCTTCCGCTCTAAAAGGCAGGGCGCATGAGACGAGAGGCAGCTGCACAGAGAGACTCAGGCTCACTCACTCGCAGTTTTCTTGCTCTTTCCTTGCTGCTGAGCCCTTTCGATTTCCTCGTCTGTGTCAGCCTCTTCCTCGTTCTCGTCGTCGTCCTCATCTTCGCCCATGCTGTCATCCTCGTCCGCGTCCACACCTGCATCGTCGCGATGCTTCCGCTTTGCGCCCTTTGACACGCCCTGACCAGATCGTACTGGCGCCTGATTCGGCGCCTTCATCTGCAACTTTCCTTTGCTCTTGCTCTTGCCGCCGCCACCTGGGGCTGAGCTCACCAAATTACCCGGCATCTTGCAATGATGTCCTCTGGGTCGAGGCAGAGCTTCTTCTCGAGGAAAATGTCAAAACGGGCAGAGAACCAGAAAAATTCGAAGCCACGTGAAAATTAAGCTCGCACTGACTGAGGCTGACGATCTAGCTCGCCTTTGTAGACAGACTACTTTGGATCCACTCTCCACCTCTATCCGACCAGCATTGCCTTTCTTGACACCTAAAGAGAGAGAAGCCATGGCTGCCCTCGCAGGACCATCGACATGGCAAAGTCTGATTCGGCAAAGACTCGAGGAGAGAGACTCGAGGGAGAAGAGCTACGATGAGATCATCACCAATTGTGAGTCTGGTGTCAATGACGGCCAAGTTGATTTTGCTGACGCGGCGCCACAGACCAACGAGTGACAAGGCATGCGCGGATGCTTGAGGAGCGGAGTCGTAGTATGCTCTCCGCGGCAGGAGCGAGATCCAATGCGGCACCTGCTGAACATGCAGTCGCGTCTACGGTTGCAGTAGCAGCTGGTGGTGGTGGTGCTGCTGCCCCTGCGAGCACAGATAAGGAGTACGTCGAGTTACTGGCGAGCTGGGAGGTCCTTTCTGACGTGCACAACTATTCTTTCGCAGCAATGCCGTTCAACGGGCCTATCTTGCGTCGCTCGAGCAACAGCTGAATGCAGCAAAAGATGAGCTTTCGATGCTCTACAAGACACAGTCGCAGAATGCGCAAAGGTTGCTGGTGCTCAACGAGCAATTGAGAGATCGAGACGACAAGGAACGAGAGGGGAGCGAGAACGTCAAGCGGCTTGTAGACGAGAGCGCCAGAGTCAAGCGGAGGGAAGAAGATCTGAAAGCAGTGCTCGGAGAAAAAGACAAGATGATACAGGTGTGTTCAGCAAGCCTATGAGGTTATCAGTGCCGTTCTGAACAGCCTGTCCCCAGCTTCTGCAAGACGAGCTCTCCACTCTGTCTCTGGAGCTCAGTCAGGTTGAGTCTCGCAACGACGATCTGTCGAGAGACAATGCCATGCTCGTCCAAAGATGGCTCGACAAGATGAACGAGCAGGTCGACAAAATGAATGAGGGTAACCGTATAGAAGAGGAGAAGAGTAAGCGAGGCATAGAGACCTCCGATGAGACAGACTTTGAGCCGATTGAAGGCGCCGGCAAGGTCGACGACAAGGGCAAGAAGCCGGCCTAGTCTCCACCCACGACATCATTCATACCCCATCAATGCATCTGCTGTTCCTTGGTATCTCATTCAACCGATCGCATACGAAGCAAGGGTAGTTTGTCGAAAGAACGAAGATGTGTCCACGCATTCATCGTCTGTTTAGCGATGTCAGTGATTAGTCGGTGTTTCATCGCGGACCATGAGAAGCAGGTGTTCATCGGTCTTCGCCACGTGGCCTTGTCGGTCGCCCTCTCCACGAAAGTTTTTTTCGAGCCAAAAAAAATGGAGATTTGATCACTTGTCAGACGACTTGCAGCAAGAAGCAGCACCGGTCTCAACTTGAGTCGCTTTTAGGGAGGGCAACGACAGACGGGAACACGTTCACGAGATCTCGGAAAAGCTGTCCACGCATAGAGACGGCATCGAATCTTTCTAAGCTGGTTCGCATACATAGAGAGGGAGAGGCGCATAGCCCGATGGGAGCGAGATGACGGCGGAAAATGGACATGACTTCGATGTCTCGCCGACTTTCATCTGGCAGGAGGATTTCCGGGCTCAACTAGAGGCAATGGCAGATGAAGATGAGCTCGTGGAAGAGTGAGTTGTCCGCAAACGTAATTGAACCGGTGGTCAGAGGAAGCAATGCTGACGGTAGTGTCGATGCGACACAGTCTCGATTGGCCTGCGCTCAAAGACGCCATCAAGCATCTCCTCAAGCAAACATTCGCGTCTTGGCCAGGACCTTCGGAGCCAATACTACATCCTGCGGCTGCGCTTATCTCCAAGGACGGTGGTGCCGATCTGTCATCGACCTCATCAACGACCTCGTCAGATGAGGCTGGGCCCTCATCGGAAAGAAAGGCAAATGGGGATTCGGGAAGCGCGGCGACGCATGTATCGGCCGCCGATCTACAGGCCTTCTTTCCCTCCAAGAGGCAAGCGGGTCCTGCAATGGGTGACAGTTGGAGTAGACGACTCAACACGGACGAAGAGCGCAAGGCGGAGCAGCGCGTCGTATTCAGCATGCTCGACGACTTTGAAGGCCAGCCTCCATTCACAATACAGAGACTAGCCGAGCTTGTATTGAGGCCAACACAGCACCATCACACCCTGCCAAAGTATTCGTCCGCCCTCAAGAGGCTTCTTTCGGTTACTGCAACACGTGATGCCTTTCCAAAGCTGGTCGACGAGGAAGAGGATGATATTGCGACGGGCGGAGAGGAGGAAATGGTCACCAATGGCTTCTCATCGGCGAGCTCTGCTGGCCGCAGGAGTCGGAGCAACACGCCGATCCCAGGTAGCCCAAGCACCGCGCCACTGTTCACACCTATACCCTTTTTGCTGAAGAGTGGTGATGAGGGCATGCCTGCGTTGATGAGGCAGGGCGCAGCAGCCGTAGTATCAGGGACCCAGGGCACCGACATTGTCGTCGAAGAGGACGTTCCAGGTATGGAGCTTGGCGGTGCAGACAGAACCACAGAGGAAGGGGTAGAAAACGCGCGAAGAAATGGGGCCGGCTCGGGCTCGGGCAAGGATGTGATGCAGGGAATCCCGAAAGCAGGGTCAGCGGCCAGCTCTTCATCGCCGACCTCGGAAATCCATCCCGCCGGTGAAGGTCCGACCAGCGCTATCGCTCCTCCCTCGGCCCCAATTCCCATCGAGGTGCCGACTACCTCGACGACAGATCCAGCAAGACCGTCTGTTGCAGGGGCCACCGCGCCTCCAGAAGAGGCGACACCACTTGGTGTACCGAGTGGGCGAGTAGACGAGCTGGACGAAGTGGGGTCTGAGCACGGCAGCCTGCCAACGGGTAGCGGCGCGCCAGGGGGCGGGGCAAAGGCTCTCAGTTCGACAACAGCGACGGCTGGCGCTGGGCAAGAGGCTGATCAGAGCGATGAAGAGGAAGAAAAGCGGGCCTTGAAGCGCGTGAGGAGCGAGAGGAACCTTGCAGCAGCTGCAAAGGGCCAGGACATGTCTTGAGGTCTATGGGGTTCTCTGTTGTACAATACAAGTCTTCGCCATGCAATCCACAGCCATTTCGATCGCCACTCGTACGGCACGATATTTACTGTTCATTTCCGTTGGGGCTGTGTGACCTCTTGATCGAGCTGGTGGTTGCCTTTCTCAAATCGGAGCTAGGCTCAAGTGGGTCCCTTATTCATGCGAAGACTGGTGTTGTGCTAGAGCCTCCGCTCCGCTCCACCCTAGCTTGGGCGTCGCCCCTGCTATTGTACGCAAAAAAAGGCAATGTCCGCCCATAGCTCGCACGGTGACCGCACGCCGCCGCGGCTCAGTCTCCGTTGTCCCTCGCTTATGAAGGGAGAAAGGTACGGACATAAACAAAAACACGCTCTGAGAATAGAGACCCTCCTTCATCATCAACTGTACGCCACCGCAGCGGACATCGTAGTCTGGTTGTGTCTGACCGTCTCTTTGCTCAGGAAGGAAAGGGGGACGGGCGCCTCATTACCCATTGCAAGAAGAAAGGACTGAAAGGGTCAGCACCGCGCTTTCGCACGCAAGTCCGTCGCTTTGACAAAAAGCGGACCTCCTCAGGCTTGACAAAGTGGCGGGCATAAACAGCTTTTTTTCCTCCTCTTAAGTCTCCGAACTATTTCTGCTTTGCTGTCTCTCTTCCTCGCTCTCAACGGAAGTCCTTTGCTCTCACTCTCTCTTCCTGACCGCAACCTCCCTTTCCCTCCCGTTCCACTTGCTTCCACTGTTTAGTTGGCAGATCCAGGCTTTGACCATCAACCCTTGCAACTCCGTCGGTCGTTAAAAAGCGACCAAGTGACGAGCAGCAACAGCGGTCTTCTACACACTCCTTTCTCAATCCACATCTCGTGTCCCTTTCTCCTCCATCCCTGCCTTTCCTCTCTCCCCCCATTTCCCCAAGATCGACTGCCAGGCATCTCGCAAAGATGAAGTGGTCTAGTCTTACGGGCCTTGTCGCCCTGGTGCTGCTGGTCACCGTAATGCCCGAGACGCAAGCCTCCGGCATAGGCTTCCGTCATCGCCAGGCCGATCATTTGAGCAAGCGACAAACGAGCTCGGCGCAAGCTATCGTGACGCCTCAAGGCACCACGTCCGAGACCAATGGGCCCACCGGCCATAAAAAAGTCACCACTGGCAACGGTGGTGCTGACTTCAAAGATGTCAATCTCTCTCTCGACACGGACAGCCAAGATGATCAGAGCACTGAAGCGGACCAGCAAGACCAGAAGGTCCAGCAAGTTCAGCCAGACAATCAAAAGGACGCCACCGCGTCACCGTCGGGACCTACTACAGACAAGACCACTCTGCCCGAAGAAAGCACGAGCACAAACAAGTCGATCAGCACGACGACGCTTCCAACGGGCAACCAGAAAGGCATGCCTCAACAAACGACGATGACGCCCAAACAGACGGCCAAGCTTCTTCATCCTCCCAGTCAGGCTGCCGGCGTGGTCAGCTCGGCCGCCAAAGGTGCCATGGCCAAGGTGGGCGACGTCGTGGGTACCTGCGATGTTCACTGGAACGACAAGAAGGCCCTTTTTGGTGGTGAGTATCAGGTCTTATGGAGTGCGGCAAACGAAGCTTACCATCGATTTCAATCCAGGCACTTACAGGCACACGTTCCCCAACGGTACCTTCATGTCGGACGGTCATTGCACTCCCACTGTGAGTTTTCTCTTGCCCTTTCGCACGTCTTAAGCCTACATGCTGACTGTGTCAACAAAGTCGGTGGGCCATACAGACATTATCAGCTATGGTCCAAACACCGTTGCGTGAGTGCCCGCCTGCATATACGATATTCAAAGCACAGTAAACTGACCGTGGCCTTTAATTTGCAGCTCGTCGTCGAACCTGACTGAATGCGGCGAATACACCATGACTATTTTCATTCAAGGCGATCTCAAATGTGAGAAAGTGTCTTCCGGTACAGGCAGTCACTGGAAGTGCACGGCAAGCATGCCAACGCCATGCAGTGCCAACACTCCCTCCGAGGGACCAGGTATTAGCTCGGGCACGCCCGGAGCTCCTCCGCAAGAGGAAAGCTCTTCGCCGCCCTCCCAGCCCCAGTCTCCTCCTCAGCAGGACAGCAACATATCGTCTGGACCTGGCGGTCCTACTTCCTCTCAGGACAAAGAGACTCCTCCATCGTCGTACGGCGGCCATATGTACTCTACACCAAAGGGCTCCAAGGACACTACTCCAAGTGGTGATCAACCAACCGGGGCCAATCAGCCTGAGCAAGCCAGCCAGCCTTCACAGCCGGAGCAATCACAGCCTACCGACGATACGACAGGCACTCATTCATCGCCAACGAAGGAAGAGGACAACTCTGCGCAGCCTTCGTCGTACGGTGACCAGACGTCTTCCAAACAGCCTGATACTTCTTCCCCATCCACTGGTGACCAGACGTCTCCCAAGCAATCTGGAACTTCTTCGCCAACCACCGACGTCCCCACCACGTCCAACAGTACTGACACCGTTCCTAAAGATACGCCCAAGGAAGATGACACGACGACGACGTCGTCTCCCACTGGTAGTGACAAAGGTGAAGAAAACAGCACTCAGCCTTCAACGTACGGTGGCCAGCTGCCTTCGCAGCCAACTGGTCCCACCAACGTCACGGATACCAAGAGCGATGACTCGTCACCTCCGCTGATTGATGTTCCAGTCAACAATACCACCGACTCGTCGAGTGGCGGCCCTTTGACGTCTCTTCCAACTACCACAAAGAACACAGACTCCCCATCGACGGAAGATTCGTCCTATGGATCGTCTTACCCCTCGGGCGATACGGATGACGAAGAGAAGTCTGTTCCGAAGGAAGAAGACAATGACGATGACACTGAAAGCAATGACCAGCCTGCCAGCTCCTACGGCGTCACTGCCGACAAGGACAACAAACAGCCGAGCACTGACACCACCACGTCTACCATTCCCACTGGCCCGACGAATGTCAACAATACGACCACACCCACGGAAGTCATCCCCGAAGAGGAAGGCACGCCCGACGTTCCGCCCAACGGAGAAGATAAGGAGAATGCTTCTCCCAATTCGAACAACACGACGTCACTTCCCACGACTTCTGACAAGGACCAGATGACGCAGCCTCTTGACACAAACAACACCACGTCAGTTCCCGTGCTCTCCAACGACCAGAAAAACGTGACGGCTACGTCGCCAGAATCTACCGACAGTGGTGACAAGGACAATGCACAGCCGTCTTCTTACGGTTCGACTTCCTCAACCGACGACAACAAGTCGTACCATAGCAGCAAGAATGGCAGCTACAAGCCCAAGGACCAGTATACGACTGGCACCACTGACAAGACCCAGCAGGACACCAAGCAGCCAGACAATCAGCTCGCAGATTCTTCCACCCAGAATGTTACGACCATGCCAACAGAGGACAAGAGCGGGAAGGATGTGTACAGCGCTCCGATTACTGACAACAAAAACAGTACGTCGGGCCCACAGACAATCGACAACAACAACGTTACGTCGATTCCCACAACAAATGGCAACAGCAACACTGCGTCAGTCCCCACCACAAACGGCAACAACAGCACCACGTCAATTCCCACGACAGGTGGCACGAAGGACAAGAAGGGCACCGACAAGACCGTGTCGACTGATACGACGAAGCCTGAATCTGCCTCGGACTCCCAGCCGACGAAGGAGGATAGTAATGGCGGCGGCACCGGCTCTCAGTACAGCAGCAAGGGCGACCAGAGCCCACCCAGCTCCTACCGTCGTCGAACCGTTGAGGACAAGACTGGCAGCTTTTTCGGTCGTCGGTTCCTGAAGGCCAAGAGGCGTGCTGTCTAATCCTCGCCCAAGAGCCAATGGCTCGCTGAGAGGCTGCTTTGTCCATTCGACCATGTTTTCATTCCCCTTCTGATCTCATCTCCATACGTCTCCGTAGCTCAAACATCATCACAAGATGTCCTTCCCTCTTCCAAGCGAAGTGAAATGCGAACACTGTCCTTCCCCCTTTCCACACCTTACCAGCCGGGCGTGATTCATGAAACAAATACAGATTTCGAGGGCGAAAAGGGGCTTACTTGTTCTTCGCTGTTCGCAGCTTGATTGTCTCGTCGCCCACAAAGACGCCCTTGCCCTGTTTGCGTTGGTGAGAAATGAACTGAGATTTGGCTGTGACTTCCTTGAGAGCTTAGATCGATGACCCACCTTATAAGGCTCTGGTTTCCTCCAGCTCCGAATTTTGCTCGCAAAGAGTCCCACCGCTTCTTTGTCGACTCCTTTGACAACAATTCTTGTTGGCGCGGGCGTCAAACATGTCAGGCCCCTGGGCACGGGCATGTAGATCGGGTGGCTGTAGCCCAATCTCAAAGACAGTCGCTTTGGCTCCTGAGCCTTTTCCTTTTCCTTGAGTTCCTTGAGCAGTCGAGTGTAGTACTCGCGCTGCTCGACCGACTCAAAGTTGTTTGCGGAAGCAGCGGCGGAGGAGAGGGCCTCGTCGAGCTTGTCTGGGCGCGGGAATGGGTCCGCTTCCACCACGGCTCGGTAGCCCACACCGACGAGACGGATGACGACGCTGTGGCCTTCCTCGACACCCTCGAGCGCATTGGCGAGTAATGCGCGGGTCAGACCCCACGTCGATCGCTGCGCCTTTTCCTTGGCGTCCTGGACGACAAGCTGTAATCTTCTAGGTTCCTGTGCAGAGGGAGACGGCGCTTTCTTGTCGTCGTCCTCCCACCGAAGCTCGACATAGTCTTGCAAGGGAACGAGCACCGTCCCCAGAGGACCTTGAACCTCGATTGAGCCGGCTTTCTTCAACGCGGTTGGCTGTCTTCGCGAAGGGTTCGACACCGGTGCGAAGGGGAGGAGCGAAAGGTTTGTCGAGGGCGGAACATACAGGACGGCCGAGCCAACGTGCGATCGGCGAACATGCTGGCGCTGCACGGCGACGACGTTGCCGGCAATAGACGCTCGTGGAAGCGCTCGACCAAATGTGGCCGTCGCCGTCGGCAGACAGGGCCGCATGATGGTTGCTTATTGCGACGATGGTCATGATGAAAGGAAGGAAGGTCACGCTGCGGTGTCACGTGACTCAAGACTTACGAGGCTTTTGCTCCTTTGACACTACCATGATCCCGCTTGCAAAGACATCAAATCAGGCACTGTCAGCGAGTACCAGTCTAGCTAACGGGCACTTGCGAGAAATACCAAAATTCCATCCATACACAGACTGAGTGACGTGCCAATGATGACCGGTATTGACGCCTGGACCTGAGCAGGTCCTGTCTACGAAAAAAGAATGGAAAAATAAAAAAGCCACGAGGTGGCTCTGATGTCGTCAACCTTTCTGTTTGGTCTCAAGTCGCCGCCGTTCCCTTCACCAACTAACGATAAGGACAGAGCGACGATGCGATCGAGGGCGTCTCAAGCTCGAGCGCTCTTTCGGGTGGTGGCCAACTCGTCCTCCGCCCGAGCGGTTGCTTCAGCCCCTTCCGCTTCGGTCACAGGGCCCTTGTCGTCGTCACCCAACGCGAGCCTGAAGCCGGGAGGAACGGCTCGACGAGGGGCTCGGGGAGTCAAGGCAGGAGCGACAAAGCGGTCAGGACCAGGCGGCTCGAGTCGATTGCCGTCACAGTCTTCATCATCGACAGAGGCACGTCTGCACCAAGCGAGGATCGTCTCGATTCGCTCTCTGCCCGAGTCTGAAGCATTGCTGGCGGCCGCCAAGGCTGGTGCCAGCGGCGGCGGCATCGTTCTCCGACCTCCCGTAAGGCCACCTCCATCCACGCTCTCTTCCGTGGCTTCTGAGGCGTTTTTCGCCTCTCATCGTCCCTTGCTCCAACACGAGCTCATGTCCGATGAAGCGTATGCAAACTGGACGCCGCAAATGACGGCTGAGTACGGTATCGAGACTGCCAAGAGGATGCTAAAGGCCTCCATCTCTTCGTCGGAGGCGTCTACCTCTGGCTCCGGAAAGAATCAGGGGATCAGAGACTACCTTTCAACAATTCTTGATGGTCTCAACAACGCGGACGAGTACGGCCTCGAGCTGCATTCAATTGGAGTAGGGGGGAGTGGTGCGGACGGTCAGTCGATGCCCATCCCATGGCGCAGACCGATCAAGGATTTGTCCGCCGACAGGTTCAACAAGGTTATCGACTCGCTCAGCAAAGACAATGTTACCTCAAATGCCGTACTTAGCGAGGCAAGCCGGCTTGATGACGAGGAGGCGGCCCGTATCGACCGAGAGCAGGCGGTCGCCGCTGCGTTGGAACGAGGCGAGGACACGACGGTGGCAAAGAGCCTGGGTTCCGAAGCAGACCTCATCGTGCTAGGCGAGCCTAATGGACCTGACCCCAAATGGGCCCGTGGTGTGGCGACCCATCTGGCTGAAAAGACTCGAGCACTGCAGCCACCGCCTGCGCCGAGACCTTCAAAGCTCACCGAAACGGCGGCCTTGGACGAGGGAGAGTCCGAGGACATCTTCTACCTCGGCAGTTTTGTTGCCGAGTCATTTGATGCCGATGGCAATCTGCCTGAGCACCTTGTGGCCGATGCAGATGGCCCGGCCACCTTTGGCGACGACGAAAATCCAACGCTGATGTTTTCGCACGCCCTTATCCAGTCACACCTCCCCAAGGCTCTCGAGTGGGATGCCATCGTCGACAAGATGGACAAGGCTTCCCTCGATTCTAAGGTCCAAGCCGTGCGAGAGGGAGAGGTGGAAAGAGAAAGCGACCTCGTAGATCTCTCCAGACTCAATGCAGATTTGTCGAAGCAAGTGGGCGACGCGGATGGAGTCTTCATGGACAGCGTCAAGCGGAAGAGAAGGAAGAAGATGAGGAAGCACAAGTACAGGAAACTGCGCAAGGCGACGAGGGTTGAGCGGACAAGGCTCAAGAAGTAGTTCAAAGCACGCAGAACGAACGCAAGCCATAGATTAATCAAAGAAGATGAAAGGGGAGCATTGAATGAAGAATAACCTTTTCTCGCAATCTCTGTGTGTCATGCTCTTTAAAGGGACGGACAGAGGCATGACTTGCGTTGCGTTCGAGGGAGGCTGATCAGAGAGAGAGCGGTTAAGCGTGCGACTTCTCCGTCGCAGGAATGCTGGCGGCAGTGCTGACCTCGCCGCCAGAGATCCTTGTTAGCCACTTGGAACCACCGCGCCTCGCCAGCCACTTCCACAGCTCAACTGTTGCCAAGAAGATGACATTGGCCGCGATGGCAATGCCCCAGCCTGGCCCGCCGAGGTTGCCCTGCCTGAAAACCTCGGTGTTCCACACCGGCACGTAGACGCAGATGGGAATGCAGGCGACGCCGAACAGGACGCTGAGGAGAAGGAAAGGGTTCTGGCGCAGACGCTGAACCGGGCGGATCGTGAGAAAGGAGTGCTCGATGCTGATGAGCTCCCACGTTATGAAAAGACCTTGGAGAAAGAGTGTCGTGAAGGTTGCGGACCTCGCTTCAAAGACGGCGTTGCACGCCAGTCCAAGCTCGTTGCAGTCCGAGCCAAGGACGCCTTGACCCAAGCCATAGATCATGACGAGAAAGACGACGAGACTCGTCCACCCCATCGTCGTTCCATATACGAGGAGGTCGGTGACGACCTGTCGGCTCAAGACTCCTGCCTGGAGATCGTGCGGAGGTCGTGCCATGACATCGGGCTCAGCTCCCTCAAAGCCTAGCCCAATGGCGGGAAGACCAGCGACGAGATTCAAAAAGAGGATGCCTATAGGCGAAATGGGAAAGAGACTTTCTTCATTTGCGTCTCGAAGCGCCAGACCGATGAGGAGCAAGAGAACCTCGGCGACATTGAGGACGAGGAGCGCGATCATGAAGCGTTGGATGTTTTTGAACACGGTTCTTCCCTCCTTGACGGCTTTAGCGATGCTGTCGAACCGATCGTCGGTCAAGATGAGCTCAGCAGAGTCCTTGGCCACATCCGTGCCCGAGCCCATGGCGATACCGATGGGAGCCTGGCGCAGAGCGGGAGCGTCATTTACTCCATCGCCGGTCATTGCGAGATAGCGGCCCCGACGCTTGCCGGCTGCGATCATGCGGACTTTGGTCGAAGGGGAGCAACGGGCCACAACGAGCGGTAGGTACTCGAGAGCATCGATTTGCTGGTCGCTCATTGCGTCAAAGTCGGTGGCTGCCATGACAGCCTGGCGCCCTTCAGTGCCATCGACGATGCCCACCTCTCGAGCGATAGCGCGAGCCGTTGAGATGTGGTCGCCCGTGAGCATGTGAACGATGATGCCAGCATCTTGACAGGCCCGAACAGATGCCAGAGTCTCGGCGCGAGGAGGATCGTAAAGGCCACAGAAGCCGATGAACTCAAAGTCTTGCTCGGCTTCTTCGCGAGCCATTTGCCCGGGTGCCAACTCCTGGCGCGCATCGACGACGCTCTCATCAAAGGTTTTGCTTGGTATCGAAGAAGTACTGTCCGTTGCATTGAAACTTGCTTTCTGATTGTTTAAGCGGGCATTCTTGATGGTGATGATATCGACCTTGCGGCGGGCGAAGGCAAGAACCCGAAGACCTGCAGAAGCCAGTGTCTCCATTTTGTCTAGGATCGCCTCCTGAGCTGCTTGGTCGAGGAACGTGGCGGGTCGATCGTTCAGCTCTGACCCATGTGGACGATAGGTCGAGCAGCAAGCGAGAACTCGCTCCGGAGCGCCCTTCATGAAGAGTACCCTGTTATCTTCCTGGCCAGTTTCGTTTAGGCTGAACATCATTGTCATGCGCTTTTTGTGCGAGTCGAAGGGGTGCTCTTGTTCCAGCTTGTACGTCGCCAAAGGTCCATCGAGGAGTGTTGAACGATGGAAGCCGAGCTTTTGCGAAAAGACTTGCAATGCCACCTCCGTCGGATCACCGCGAGAAGCCCAGCTACCATCATCGCTTTGGAACACCTCAGCAATGTTACACAAGGATGAAGCTGTTGCAAGTAGGTCGACAGACTGTGGAAGCTCGCTTTTAGAGATGAAACGTTGTTCGGCATCGATGCTCAATTGCTCTTCGATCCAGAGGCGCCCCTCGGGCTCCAGGACCGAAGAGCCACCTTGCTCGATTCCATAGAGCTGCACACCGCCGCTGCTATTGGGGACCCAGACCTTGCGGACGATCATCTTGCCATGTGTGAGTGTGCCGGTCTTGTCAGAGCAGATGTCCGTCGTTCCTCCAAGGGCCTCGAGTGCATCAAGTTTGCGCACGACGACATTGGACTGCGCCATGCGCTTGGCACCGACAGAAAAGGTGATGGTGAGAACGGCCACAAGACTCTCAGGCAGGACGCCAATACCGAGAGCGATGGCATAGAGCACCACATCGTCATCCAACCTGAATTCTGCGACAGAAAACACCTGCGATATGAATGTCAGCTGGCGTTGTGGGCGCCGCAAGTGAGTACAACTCACGATCAAAGCACAAAGGATGGCAAGACCGAAAAGGATCAATGCAAACATTGCCAGCTTCCGTTGCAGCGGCGTGCCATCGCGAAGACCGAGAAACTTGGCACAAGGCTCCCACAAGCGACGTCCGAAGCTGAGCGGCATTCCGTCGGGACCGACAAGTTGCTTTTGCTTTCCTTTGTTCATGGCTTCGGCAATCAGACCAATTTGCGTCGACATGGCCGTCGCCACAACCAAGCCTTTGCCGCGGCCCTTGGTGACCGTGGTGCCGGCAAAGCCGAGGTTGATACGATCAGCAGGCGCGATGGTACCACTGATATCATGGATAGGGTCAAGCGACTTGAGCACAGGCACGCTCTCGCCCGTGAGAGGCGCCTCGTCAATTTCGAGATTGGTTAATGAGACGATGCGAACGTCGGCAGAAAGCAAGTCTCCAACGCTGAAGAGAACAACGTCGCCGACAACAAGATCGCGTGCGTTGATCTCGCTGACTTGCCCCTCGCGGACAACATTGGTGGTGGGCGACGAGAGGGAACGAAGCGAGGCGAGGGCGCGCTCAGCCTTGTACTCTTGGCTAAGAGCGAAGTCAGCGTGCGGTGGCAAAAGGTGCAAGAAAAAGAGGCGACGTACATGAACCCAATAGAAACATTGACCAAGATGACGGCGCTGACAACGCCACCTTCGACCCAGTCGCGTACGCCAAAGGACAAGGCCATTGCAGCAAGGAGGATCACAGTGAGGGCATTGGCGATCTGCCTCAGCAGGATCGTCCACAGACTGACCGTCTCGGCCTCACGGATCGAGTTGGGTCCTTCACGAGCCAGGCGTGCTTCAGCCTCCTGCCTGGAGAGACCAGTCTCCTGATTATTTGAAAATTTCTCGAGGCACTCGGGCACGGTCAATGTATGCGGTTGATGCAGATCAGTCGCGGGGGGGTTGGTGGCAGATCCGCGACGGTTGTCGACTTGATTCTGCTGTACAGCGGTGACAGGGACGACCTTATGAATGACAGAATCGTCGTGCTTTTTGGCTGGGCTATCAACTCCTCCTTGACCCCCGACCAGAGAAGCCGAAGTGGTCGAGAGGGAGCTCGTCGAGCGGGTCCGAAAGCCTGGCCCTGCCAAAGATAGAGTCGACTCGAGCGTGGCGCTGCGGGCTCGCTCGATGGTATGAGTAGCGGGGACTGGAAGTAGTGAGTCGAGATTGCCATCAGGAGGCTCGGGCTCATCCTCGAGGCGAGGGATAGCGGACTCGCCTCCACCGCTTCCGTTACGGTGGCCGGGCGAAGAGGTGGCATGATTGTTGTTATTACCATGGCTAGAGTGAGAGTCGTCCATCGATTAGCTCAAAGTGCTGGATTTTCTGGCAAGAAGAAGTTGCTGCTGAGGATGTGGGATTTCTGTGGTGATGGCTTCTCATCCTCGTGGACAGCATCTTCCCTTTTAAATGCCGCCCTATCCTGCTATCGCCGGAGGAGTGCTAGCCAGCTTACGGCGCTTGCTTACTGTCGCAATGTGCCCCGTGCGCATCGCCTCTTGGAATTGAGGCTTGGATATCTCTTACTAGGACCTCGCATGTTTCTATTCCTGGATGTACAACTGACGTTAACGTTGTCATTGGGGTTGGCAATGTCGTAAAGACGCTTCAGGCTCTTTCGTGCCTGCTCGTTTGATGCCTCTATCTTTAGTTGATGAGCCACAGACCTTTGGCCAGTTCCGCTCCGATCCACAATTTTGAAAGGCAGAGAGATCGAAAGCGAGGCCAGCAGAACAGAGGCAGGCACACAATCTTGATCCTAACATGACCCCGTACCGTGCTACAGTACTACTGTGGCGGTGATCAGGCGAGTCTTGGCAGCGCAGGGTCGACATTCGTGCGAAAGCTTGGCGAACGGTCACGTGGATTGTTCTAGGCACGTGATGTTGAATTTTAAAATTTCCAAGATGGCGAGCAACCTTCCTGCTCCTCCGAGCCTAGTCAGGTCGGCTTTAGAGAGAAGGAGGCAGCCACAGTCGACAATGTCGGGCCAGCACCACCATAGGTCGAGTCTGAAGCAGAAGAACAAGCCATTCAAGTCAAGACATGCGTCGAAAGGTAGCATAAAAACAGCGAGCAAAGGTATGCAGGCGGACGGGTTTCGGGGTGCCGTCCAGAGTCAATTGGTTTACCCTTTCCTCTCTACAGGTCGACAGGACTCAACGACCTCCCGGGCATCTTCGCACAAGTCGTCCCCACTGTCTGCTAGTAATGCGCAAGGAAGCTCTCAGGCGCGAAGAAATGCCGCCAAGCAGATGCAACTGCAGAAGAGGGCTGCCCTCGTCCAGGCGAGCCGCGTCTTCAATGGGTCGCCCAATGTCGCCGCAGGTCCAGCCATGACGGGCGCCGCCAAGCTCGGCCTCAGCAGCGGAGCAGGGATCGGAAAAGGAGGGGCCCCTCGCATTGTTGTTGTGGCCACACTCACCGAAGACCTCGATGCTTGGGACGCCGTGCGGCAGTTCGAGGCCGAAGGCGAGGATGGCGGCGTCAAGCCAGTGGCAGGGAAGAGCGTCGACGAAGCCCTCGAGATGGGCCTTCCATTCGCCGAACTCGACATTACTCGACATCGAACCACGCTTCAGCTCCACCCGATTCCGTACGGCGCCCTGTATCCGCTCATGGATGCCGCAAAGGCAGCAGACTTTGTCCTCGTGCTCCTTTCTCCAACCACCTCCGTTGAACCGGGATCGTGGGGCGAGTTGGCCATGCGAAGCCTTCAGGCTCAAGGACTGCCTACAGTCCTGTCTGCCGCTCTGAGCTTGACTTCTTCCGACGAAGCTTCATCGAGCAAGAAGGTTCATCAAAAGGCAGCCAACGAGGTACGCAAGAGCCTCCTGAGCTTCACGCGCTATTTTGCCCCAGAGACGGAGAAGGTGTATGCGCTGGACGATCGAAATGAAAGAGGCGCTCTGCTCCGAAGCATGGCCACGAGTGCCCCGCGAAGGGTGGCCTGGAGAGATTTCAGGGCCTGGCTCATGGGCGAGGAGAGCCACTGGCAAGCTGATTCGGGCGACGAGGGCGACCGAGGGCTTCTCAAAGTGGCTGGCTGGGTCAGAGGTGCTCCCCTATCGGCCAATCGGTTGGTTCACATACCCGACTTTGGCGATTTTCCAGTCGAGAAAATCACGGCCGCACCGCTGAGGCACAAACAGAAGAGGACAAAGGGCGATATCGAGATGCAGGCTGGTGACGGAGAAGGCGACGAGGAAGTCCTCGACGCGCGAGACGATGAGATTGCCGATGACCTTGTCAGCGAAAATGAGGTCGACGACATGGACAATGAGCAGACTTGGCCTACGGAGGAGGAAATGGCGCGGGGAGAGGCCACTGTTGAGCAGTCTGATCTTCCCCCCGCCGCGCCTGGCACCACGCCGCTCAACATCATCAAAGACAATGTCAAGCGACGAACCAAGTACGACGCCAACTGGATCCGTGAGGAAGACGGAGAGGATGAGGAGGATGAAGGTGACGAGGCTATGATTGAGAGCGGGGATGAGGAGGTGGACAGCGAGATACCCGAGGAAGAAGAAGAAGGAGAGGAAGATTTTCCAGAAACGAACATCGTCGAGAATCAAAACGAACAAGACGACTACGACGAAGAAGCCGAGGCCGAAGCGCTAGCACAGTACAAAGCCCGCATGGAGGAGGAGAAGCAGCGACGAAAAGAGGAAAATCTTGACGCCGAATTTCCAGACGAGGTCGACACGCCCATGGAGATTCCGGCTCGGACGAGGTTTGCACGGTACAGGGGCTTGAAGAGTTTCAGGTCGAGCCCGTGGGATCCCTACGAGGACCTGCCTCGCGAGTATGCTCGCATCTTTCAATTCGACGACTTCCGCAAGACGCGGAGACGGGTCGAGGCCAGTGCGCTCGAGGAAGGCGTCGAACCAGGTGTGCGCGTGTGGCTGCACATTAAAAACGTACCTCGAGAGGCGGCTCGTCGAGCGGGCGCCCTTGGTGGACGACAAGGGTCACCGCTGGTGCCTTTTGTTATCTTTGGCCTGCTTCGACACGAGCACAAGAAGAGCGTGCTCAATTTCACCGTGACGCGCAACACCGAGTACGAATCGCCGATCAAGTCCAAGGACAGTCTGGTGTTGTGCCTCGGCCCGAGGCGACTGCGCGTCCGACCCATCTACTCGCAGCACGACCTGGCCAACAATGGCAAGCGTGGTACGAACAACATTCACAAGTTTGAGCGATACCTTCGGGGTGGGCCGGGTGTCGTGTCCGTGGCGACCATCTTTGGGCCAGTGACGTTTGGCGGAGCCAATGTTCCGACGATTCTGCTCCGGGAGAGGACCGAAGATGGAGAGTCGGGTTACGACCAACGAGGCGTAGGGTCGGCGCAGATGCCGCATCTCGTCGGGATGGGAAGCCTCCTCGATGCCGATCCCACGCGCATCAATGCCAAGAGAATCATCCTCACAGGCCATCCATTCAAGGTGCACAAGAAGACGAGCACGATTCGTTTCATGTTTTTCAACCCGGAAGACGTGCGCTACTACGCGCCGCTGGAGCTCAGGAGCAAGTACGGCCGGACGGGCCACATCTCTGAGTCCCTGGGCACTCATGGCTACTTCAAAGGTGAGTCTGATTCTTTCAAACCCTCTCATTACAGGTCCTGTTGGAGAGCAGAGCGCTGACTGTGACCGTCGGCACAGCTCACTTCGATGGGCCGCCACTATCGCAGCTCGACACGATTGGTCTCTACTTGTACAAGCGCACCTATCCGCGCTTTAGCGAGCTCTTCGACTCTTCGAGATCCGAGATGCCTCTCGCCGAAGGCTCATCCTCAAGCAAACGACAGGGACAAGCCGAGGGAGCTGATGATGTAGAGATGGCCTAGACAAAACAATTCCGAAACACTGATATTAATGTAACCGTGTAAAAGGGGAGACCGGTGGGGAGCGAGTCTGGGAAAAGACAATCGTTCGCGAGGCAGAAGCTCTCGAGAGGCATCTACACAAGTGAAGAGAGAGGAGAGAGAGAGAGAGACAAGCATGACACCAAGCGCTTAGAGAGGCGCCGCCACATCAACGGAAACCAGCAGCCGAAGAAGGGCGCGAATGTGTTGGTGTGGGCGGATAAGACGTGCCAGGGGCTGTAACCTTGAATCGAAGCCGGTGGAGCTGTAGACGGCGAGTCGTATCAGCCAGAATGGTTGCGAATATATGATGCAAGACTACTCACGATCGGAAGTTTAGGGAAGAGGACAAAGAGGAGGGCAAAGAAATTGAGGGCAAAGAGCCACGGATTGTACCTCGTGTAGTGTGTCGACACAAGGAAGCTGCGAGAAGGCACATGTCAGCGCCACATCCCAGCGATCTCTGGAACGACTTGTGACCTGACTCACAGCCCAATGGGAACGCTGGTGAGCCACTTCTTGGCTGGCGTGTATTGTGCGCCCTCGTCGATTTGCTCCCATAAAGTCAGCTCGTCATACACGCCAGCGTTTGACTCGAAAGGTGTTCCCGTAACGTAGTGGAACATGAGGAATGAGATCTGGGGAAGAGTCAGGCAATCCGTCGTGTACAGAAGATGTCATACAACCAGACGTACCGCCATGTAGCCCAGGTTGACAATGGTCCAACTCGTGTCCTGCTCCATTCCCGGGATCACATCAACCAGAATCTTGCCCAGGAGGATCAAGACGACGTGGATGACCCATGCACCTGAAGGAAATGCCAGATCAGCTTTCCTTCGCTCTTCTTCTGCATCTTCTCTAGCTGTGCGCCCCCACCCACCCTTATAGTTGACCCAATCAGCATTGGCATTGAAGCCAGCGCTCTGGTCTAACAGCTCCTCGTGGCTCTGCTCAATCTTTTCGACAGTGACGAGTGAGCTGCTCCGCTTGCGATGCCCAGCTCGTTTGTTGTCGCTCGTCATGAGCGGCGCCGTCCTGGAGCCCGTGGCGACCGAGGAAGAGGAGCCACCGGTCGAATCGCGAGAGTGGAGGATGCGATTGGCGGCCAGCTCTGCGCTTGCGCCCGTGGGCGAGGTAAGTGTGACGGAGGGTGTCGTCATGGCAGGAGCAAAAGTCCTACCAGACGCCACTGCTGGTTCGTCGCAAGGGCAGAAAGGAAAATAAACGACTTTTCGAGGTCGATACAGGGCTCGGTAGGATAAGACCTAGCCTGACTGCCTGTTGCAGGAAGTGACGTCGAAAGCTTGGGTGGCCTGCTTCTCTTAGTTGAAGAGAAGGACAAACAGAGTGTGCTCTGCTCTCGAAGTGTGCCTAATGGTGCGATCAACCCCAGTTGGCGGGAGGGCGCTTGCTTCGCAAAGGAGAGCAGGAACCTTCGCCGAATATTTATTCAGCCAGTCCTTTGAACCAGTTCTTGGTGGTTCCTGGTGCGTCTCCCTGTCCCTTAGCACAGTTTCCTTTGGTGTCTCAACGCCTGAGCCGAGCGAGCAACTGAGAAGAAGATCGAGAGGTGCTTGTGAGGGTGGGATGTAGCAGGTGTTGAAATGGAGGAGCACGCAGCAGACTGGCAGCGCAAAAAAAAAAAAAAAAAAAAGCTCAGCGCCACGAGAAGCCCAGGCCAGGGCTCGGACCTCGTCACCGACTGACCTCCGTTGCCTCTATATGACATCTTGACTGGTCGGCCGACAAAATTTTAAAATTTTCCTGAACAGAGAAAGTCCACTTCTTCCTTTGGAATCAAGGCCAAAGCCAGACAAGGGGGTAGCAAGATGGCTAAGATGTTCGCCGCTGGCGGAGGAGGCAAGAAGACGACAGCAGCGAACAGGAAAGCTAAACGAGGACCCAAAGCTTATATCAAGACGAACCATCGAGCGAACGGAGATGAAGACGAGCTCGCAGAGATGGCCGAAGAGATGCGCGACGCGGGGGACGACGACGACGAAGAGAACGAAGGAGAGGAGGAAGAACACAAACTGCCCAAGGTCAATGGATCTGCCAAGGGCAAGTCCAAGATGGAAGACGATTTCCTTCTCCGCCTCAATGAGAGAGCAATCAGCAAAACCATGGCGGAGACGAAACGGCTTCAGAAGGAGGAGAGGCTGAAGCAGCAGGCGGAACAGCCAGGTCCGTCAAGGAAAAAGTACTCGTCAACCAATGGAATCGACGTCCCAGATGTCGAAGACGGAGACAGCGATGAAGCGAGTACCGACATGGAAGGAGCGAGCGTTGGCAGCGGTGCAGATGATGATGAAGTCGATGACGAAGGCGACCTTTCTGATCCTGAGTGGGATGAGGCTTCCGACTTTTCCGAAGAAGAGGGCGAAGAGTACGGGAACAAGGATGATGCAGAGAGGAGAGGGGATCGCGAGGAAAGATATTCGGCTAAATTGGCACAGAGATCGAGGAGAGCAGAGCTTCAGGAGATGGAAGAGAAAGAGGCGAGGAAGCGCAAACGTCTGCCGAGACGAGGCGAGCAAGGATGGGATTCGGGCGAGGAAGAAGGGGTGTCAGGAGACGGAGAAGAGACGGTACCAAAGGAGAAGAAAAGTAGAGTCGTCCACGGCCGACTCCCATCGCTTTCACCCGAGGTCGACGAAGAAGAGGAAGAAGCAAAGAGAAAGAGGAAGGAACCAAAATCGACTATTCTCACAGGATCACGCTTCGGCCTCAAGTCGCCCTATGCGATCATGTCGCAGCCCAAGCGCTCAAATAGGATTGTCGCTGCCCGAGAACAGATCGCTCGACTTGCAACCGACGTCGTTGGAGATCCAGAAGTCGGGTTGGGCATGCTTCGGCGGCTCTTTGTCTTTGCCGGCGAGACTGTAACCTCTCCCGATGCAGATGAAGGAGACGATCCTCCAAGGCAAGTCGACGATGCCATTCGAGGCTCTGCAATTCTCTCTCTCTGCGCCGTCTTTACCGACATTCTTCCAGGCTATCGTATCCGAGCCCTCTCGGAAAAGGAGCAAGAGGAGCGCGTGAATCAGGAGACGGCTAGGAGGCGCGAATGGGAGCAGGGGCTTGTTCAGGTGTACAAGGACTATCTGGAGTCTTGTGAAAGGATCTTGAGGGGTGCGTGCATAGACCAGGTCTATAATTGTGACGGTGGCTGACAAGTTCCTTAATAGCCAAGTCAAGCATTTCCTCCCTTGCGCTCCGTGCAATGTGCCAGCTCATGACGCGGGCCACTCACTTCAACTACCGCACAAACCTCATCCGTTCTCTTGTCTCGCACATTTCTCGCAGGTCGTGGGACGAAGGCTCTCAACTTTGTTATGACGCCCTCGTCGAGGTTGTGCAAAAGGATGTTCAAGGCGAGGCGAGTCTCGAGGTGGTCCGGCTTCTCAATCGCATGATTCGCGAGAGACGATACAAAGTCCATGCGAAGGTCATCAATATCCTCCTTCATCTTCGACTGCGTGACGAACTGGCGGCAGGCAAGCGAGCCAACACCACAACAGTCACAAGTGTAGACGGAGGGAAGGCCAGCAAGGGAAAGTCGAAGCCGAAAGAAGTCCGCAAGGGTAAAGCGCAGCACCTGAGCAAGAAGCAGGTGAAGAAGATGAAGGAAATCAAAGAGATCGAAGAAGAGATGAAGGAGGCAGAGGCGGAAGTTGACCACGAAGAACGAGAAAGGCATGTGAGTACCCACTCACGCTCTCACTTCTGTCCGTTGGCCCTCCGCTGAGACTGTCTTTCTTCTTCAGCAAACGGAAACGCTCAAGCTTCTCTTTGTCCTCTACTTTTCCATCCTGAAGGCACCAAAGGTTTCTTCTTCGCTCCTCTCGACTGCCCTCGAAGGTCTCTCACGCTTTGCTCACCGCATCAACGTCGATTTCTTCCGAGACTTACTTGCAGTCCTTAGGCTTCATGTCAAGAAAGCGCTCGGTCGAGAGGAGGGCGAGGAGGAGGAGGAAAATGCTGGGTCCAGTGACGAGGCGCAATCATCGCAGGACGACGAAGAGACACAGGATGGAAAGGCTTCTTCCAGCGACATTCGCCTGGCTTTGCTGTGCATCGTGACGATTTTCGAGCTTCTCTCAGGTCAAGGCGAGGCCTTGAATCTGGACATGAGCGACATGGTATCAAAACTCTACACGCTCCTGCTCTCCCTGGCTCTTCGGTCCGACCTTGAAGAGGTTCCCTCCTCATCCGCTTCCGCGGTTCAACAGCAGGAACCTCGAACAATGACGGACCTCATGCTTCGCGGACTGGATCTCGCCCTCTTGCGTCCTCCTGCCTCTTCGATTCCAGCCGAGCGGTGTGCGGCCTTTATCAAGCGCATTCTGACCTGCTCGCTGCACACTCCGCCCACGACGACGCGTCGCCTGCTCGGCATGGCGCGTGCCCTCATTGCAAGGGATTCTCGACTGGAGGCGCTCCTCGATACGCAGGATCGGGCCAGGGACGGTTACTTTGATCCACTTGCAACGGACGCAGACGTTGACAGTGTTCGACCCCTTGGAGCTGGTGAGGCAGCTTGGGAACTTTTTGGGCTAGCGAGGAGCGTCAATGAAGATGTCGCGCATGACGCACTCAAGCTTCAGGCTTGGAGGCAATTGTAAAGCTCCTCCAGTGGGACGCCCCCGATTGATCCTCTTATAGATCCTCTTCGTCCTTCTAATCCAATAGCTGATCGAGATCATTGAATGTCTTCTGAGATCTTTTTGGAGGTTTATATAAAGAGGAGTGGAGAGATATTGCTGTCGGAGATATAGAGAGAGGCGAGGAGAGCTATTGCTGTTGTGTCAAGGGCCTTTTGGAAATATGAGTTGACTATGGTCGATCTTGAGGATACGTCTAGAGAGAAAGGCTTGTTCTGATTACTTTTGTCGTTGTCTTTTGCTGTCGCCCATTGATGTTCTTGTAAAAAATACTTACCCCTGTGTGCCTCCGTCACCGTTGTTAAGACCTTAATCCTCTTCATCGTCTTCGACGTCTTCGCCAGGTACAGCGTTTCCAGATGAATCCCTCCTCCGCTTCTTTTTGTCGCTTCGGACGGCAATTTTGATTCCTTGAGACGCTAACTTTTTGGAGAGCTCCGTTGGATCCAGCATACCCGGAAACCGACGCGGGGAATAGACGGCTGAAGGAGTAGGCGAAGGGGGTGTCAGTACATCGCCTTGTTTTTCAGTGGCGAAATTCACTCACTGAATGGTTCCGTGTACGCCTCAGCGAGGGCGTCTGATACGCCTTCATTTGTGTGACCGTCGCTGCGGCAAAAGATGTTCATTAATCAGCCTTCTTCCTCCATCTTATTGCTTTGTGGGGCGTAGAACTCCGCGCTGCGGTGCGTCTCTCCGCTCTACACAATTTCAAAACCACCATGATTGATGAGAAGAGGGGCTGCGAGTCTCCTGCCTCCCCCGCTAGATCACTCCGCCCCAGCCTATCCGAAACTGGCGCCGATCGGTATCCGTGCGATGGACTCACCTGCTTGCCAATGCCGTGAATAGAAGTCTGATTCTGTATATGCCCTCAGTCCTAACGCTAAGATCCTGAAGGACGAAAAAGATGCGAAAGACGTCTTGCTCGTCCTTGAGCACATTGGCGCTCGTCACTGCGGCTCCCACAAGATTTCGCGTATAGTGTTCCGTTGTCACTGTCGTCAAAGAATCTTGGCTCTCGACCCCCACCTGTGCTATTGGCGAGGCCGAGGTCGGAATTTCGTCGCGCTGCTCACCGCCTACAAAGACTGGCTCGTAGCCTTCCGCGCCCAGGTCGAGATTGGCCAAATGAGGAAGTGTGGTGCTGCTGCTACTGGTACTGCTGCTCGATGTGGCAACGCCGCCTTGCTGCTGTTGCTGTTGCTGTTGCTGTTGCTGTTGCTGTTGCTGTTGCTGTTGATGTTGCTGTTGATGTAGCTGCTGCGAAGCCTGTGCCTGCTGAATCAACGAAGAGGGCACAGCGGCCGCGTGTTGGTGCACAAGAACATTCCTGGGTGAGGCCATGAGTTCGTCGGGATGACAGAGGTCCGAAGCGAGGAGAAAAAGCGAAGTGTTGACCTCCCTGTGGTCGTCACCGGCCTCGTATCAGCCGCCTACACCAAGATTCAATCTCCCAAACGGCAAAGACTCACCAGGGCGACACCTCTTTGCCGCTCTTCTCATCCGTAATGATGAGTCGCACGATGAGAGTTGGGCTCAGCGGCCGGCGGTCCTGTAAAGGCTCAAGAGGTGAGCCAAGTCTGCCAAGGGATGGCGTCACGACCTCAAATTCACCTTATCCCCGAACCCACACATCCTCGCCCTCGATGGGTGCTGCACGACCACGAGCTTATAGCGCCTGCGAGTGTATGTGATGGTGAGTTGCTTCAATCATTCGTACAAGAGCACAGGAGACTTACCAGCCATCCCTGACCCGCGAAAAGCCTTCGATGGAGTGCCTGGGCGCATCCGACCGGTTGCTGGTCGCGCTTCCACTTGCTTCCGATGTTGGTGCTCCACCTCCCATTCCGGATGCGCTGGACCTTTCTCCTAACGATCCTGCAGAGGTCGTTGTCGTTGCTCCCGCTTGGCCTCCGCTTGTTGTTGGCATGCCTGTCGCAAGAACCGATGCGGATGAAGAAGCGCCAGAGGGCGCGATGGTTAACGACGACGACCCTGCATCTAAGCCAGCACCAGCACTCGTCGTCGAGAGCGACAGTAGCCCATACCCAGGTGTATTGGAGATGGATGCTGTCCTTCCCCTTGCTGTCGAGGCGGCGCTGTCCGGCGAGACGATGTATGTCGACTGGTGCTGGTCAGCCCTCGATGCTCTCCTGCGCGGCATGTGCACATTGAGGGTCGTTGACGTGCCTGGCGATGCGCCCCGACCGGGCGTGTTAGGCGGCGAACGCTGCAGGTCGAGTCTTCGAGCATTGGCAGACGTTGACGAGGTACTACCAGCTCTTGCCCGTGAGCTGGACGTCTGTAGAGCAGGAAGCAATCGGTCGATGCAGTCAGTCAAAGAAGTGCGTGCAAGCCTCACCGTGTGTGTCAGATAGCTCACCTCGCCCAGACGGCCTGAGGAGCGCTGCAGGTCGAGTGGCGTAGCAGGCAGTCCCACATTTGCAAAGGTAGACGTTGTCGCAGATGCTGGCCGAGGATAAGGGCTGGCGGTTGGGGTAGGACCAGTGTCATCGTGAGTCACATTGTGTATTCTCGAAGCTTCTGTCCAAAGGTGCGATGATGTCGATGGCCGTTGCTGGTCGAAACTGGAATGTCCTCGTTGGTAGACTGGTCGATCGCCACCTCTGGAAGAGGTCAATGGCGGCGTTGCAGGTAGCTGCGATAGCGGTGGTAATCTTGGCGGTCCCCCTGCAAGTCCCACTCCTCCGCCATCCAGTCGCCTTTGCACCGACGATGAAGTAAATGACGATGTTGCTGACGGCAGTGATGACGAGGACGATGGCGCTGCTGATGACGATGGCTGCTGAGGGGGTTCCTGCCGGAAAGGTTGATATTGCTGGCCAGAAGGCGACGCTCTTTCGTCGCGGTTTGGACCTTCCTCTGTCTCGCCATCATGCGGCCGTTGCTTGCTCATCGCTACCAAAGAGAGGAGTCGCTAGTCTCTGTCCCACCACAGCGACTCTTGGTGAATGAAGGAAGAGATAGGTGATCAACGTCCGTCTCCAATTCGTTTCTCCCCCTCCTCCTCGTCCTCCTCCTCTTCTTCGTCCCTCGTCCGCCTAATGAGAGTAGGTGCGATTCTCCCTTTTCGGCCTCTTCTCGGCTTGACCTTGTTGTTACGACTATTGTTTTCCTACACCAGCTTTGGCCTCACTCGTTGTCGCGCGCGGGCGGATGAGTCTCGCCGGAGGGCCTGCGGACAACAAATTGGCAGGTCAGCGCTGTCTACTGACGAAGAGGACAGAGGGAAAACTTTGAGAACCGATGGCTGTGCTTTGCGCCCGCGGCCAACGGAGGTCGGCGTGGTGCTGAGCCCGAATCACTCGTCCACTAACTTGTCCTCCGCAAACTGTCAAAGCCACTGTTGCGACTTGTGTAGGTGCTCACCTGAGGATTTGTGAATCCCTCGTTGCTCAAGAAATTGTTTATACCGATCTTGGTGCAACCTTTGCTTCTTCAGATGAGCTTGAACGGCTGAAGCGGCCGATCGGAGCTTGGAAGGTACTATGCTTTAGGACGGCGGTGGCGGCCAAAATAAAGCAATTGATGAAGCTGGTCCGTCTTGATGTTGGAGAGACAGCAGTGATGCGGTCGACAGCGACAGGGCAAAGTCGACCGCAGGGCAAGAGGCGACGGCGGAGGACCAACGCAGAGAGATGCCGTCAATGAGGGCCAAGGAACGCCGTCGGCCAAAGTGCCGAACGAGTGGCGGGTGAAACTGGCAGGCGAAGACTTGCTGGCCCGATCGCGGACAAGATGGTGATGATGGAGCTCCTAGGTGGACGTGCGGAGCGCAGCGGAGTCTGTCGGAGAACAGCCACGGCCAACAGGTGTTTTCGGCTGGCAATGCTAGTCCTGTACTTGCAGGTCCACTTAGCGGATAGACACCCCACCCTGTGTCGTTACGGCCCGGAGACGATGGGCCGAGCCTTGCGGTAAGAGCGATAGTCCTGCTGAATACTTCTTTATGTATAAAGAAGTTGGTCACGCAGTCAGCTATTGATCTATTGTCGGTCTCTCCTCCTCCTCTTTCTGTTGGCTTCGAGGAGAGGCAGCTGAAAATACCTTTCGGGCCCAGTCACCGTTGAGGAGTCCTTCCAGGCAGCTGGTGACCCTAGAGATTCCCCTTCAACAAGAAACTTATGATCCTGTCCGATCCCCACCCCAACTATAGCCCTGCCGTCCCGCTATCTCGAGCAAAAGAGGAGAGGCAAGCTGACGAGAGCTAAAAAATAAGCAGACAATTTTCCGAGATGCGTGTGGGTTGAGCTCGCTTTCTTGCTGCTTGATCTCTGACGGACAAACCTGCCTGGAGGTTCGGACCGAGCTGTCCACTTTGTTGGTGATGGTGCTAGGTGAATGGACGGTTCCGCAGGTTGGACAGACACCCCGGGTAGTGTTTGCCCGACGATGTTGAGGTCACAAAGATACAGGAACGTAACCTTTCGGAGGTAGCGAAGGAGTCAAAAGCCGCTTGTCTCCTCCGTCTGCAAATCTAGCGCCTAGGCCCCGCTTGAGCGGCGACGTGGGAACCGAGGGAAGGAAGTGACCTAGGTTTTGGTTATGCGCGCAGGACCCTGAGAAAAAGTCGCGACGGTCAGATCTCGGTAGGCCTTCTTTCTCTTTTGATGATCCTTCGTCTCTTACCGTTAAGGAGACTGCGGGAGCAGCAGCCAGGCTCAACGAGTGAAAAGACGGAACTAAAAGAAAGGTGACAAAAGCTGACCAACTTGGTGGTGCTGGTCCGTTCGGGCGGCCCAACCACAACACGGTGGACCTGAGCTGTCGGTTCGCTATTAACGGACGTGTCCCTGAAGCTAGCGCTTATTAGGCGATTGAGCTGAGGTGAGAAATATCGGCGAGATAGACAAGCGCGCGCGCGCGACGGGGGAGCGAGAAGAAGAGAGCGCCTCTCGCCTTAGATATCCGACGTCCGCGTTCGGGAAGGGCGGGTCGACCTTGCCGGCCGATGAAAGGGAAGAGGAGGGAAGAGGGAGGACCGCGCCGGGGGAAAAGAGGAAGAACCAAGATGTCCCCTATTTCAATATGATCGGTCCTCTTTCCGAATTGTGTGGACCATGAAGGAATCTTGAGCTGGGGGATTCAGGCTAGGGGTGGGGGAAGGCACCAGTGTGTGAGTGCGAGAAGGTGGAACGAAAGGACGGAAAATAGAAAGAGTCCCGAGATTGCACACCGATTCCTGCGTCGGTCTCCCTGTCGTTTGTTGACCTCCGATTGCATGTGTGAGTGCAAGAATGCGTACGTGTGTGAGTGAGGAAGTAGTAGTGTATGTGTGTGCTACAAGCAGCCCTGTGCAGGTTGCCCTTCTCCCTCGGCGACATAAGGTTCAGCGTCGGGTCTCTAATCCTCTTTTATTTCTATTGTCTGTATTTTTTGTCTATATCTTCTTTAACCTAATCGTCTGTGTCTTCCCAGCCCTTAAATTGCCCTGCAACATCCGAGCGTCCGGTGTTTCGTCGATGGCGGGCATGCAATTCTGTAGTGACAAGCAGCTGGTGTAGTGGCTTCCTGCTGCACATATCGAGTCTGAGCGGAGAAGGGAGAGGGGGGAGCGGACCCGAGAAATGCCAGTGGCTTTGACGGTCGTTATCGGAGCCGCACTCCAGACATCGTCAGCAGCGTTGCTCGAATTTGTCCTACAAATTTCGCCACTTTGGCCGAGGCCAGAAGACGTCGTAGTTCTAGCTGGAGATACTTTCATTCTGCTTGGCAGGAAGGTGGGGACCTGGGTTTGAACATCTAATCCCAGCATGTAATTTTACCTCAAAATAATGATGATGTAGGTGTACATCTATCTCTGCGCGCCACAAACTCCTGCGCTTCTGAAATAATAAACTCACTGCGCTCGTCCCCTGCCAGGTTTGCTGTGTTTTCTTTTTGGAAAAATCTCTCCGACGCTACTACTGGCTGCACTACTGCACAGTATTACTGCAAAAAAATGAAAAGCATCAAGATTGGGACTGAAACAAATACGGACCAACGCCGAGGCATTGTGTTTGCATTGTCTCTCTTCACGAAAGCGAGGGACGAAGATCTTCAGTTGTGCAGACGCATTTGGCAATCATGTTGCGATGTTGCGATGTTGCGACGTTTGCCCGTCCCGCGTCCTGAATTTGGTCAGCTGGTCACTCGGAATTACTCAAGACCACCTCTAGCGAGGGCAGAACTAGTTGCTGCTTGTCTGCCCTCATGGTCTCATTTAGCGCTAAACTCTGAGGCGTTGGTCGAGGCCTAGACTGCCCGGGATTTAGATGGATAAAAATAAATCCTTTCGCGGAGATCGTGGCCAAGCGGCGAAGGGTTTTGGACTCCTCTTCTCCATTTGCCTGGAAGCCACTACTATTAGACTAGCTAGCGTTCCACTCTCTAACACCGCACCGCAGCTAATTTGTATTGTCAACACGCTACAGATCTAAAAGCAAATGGGGATGATTCGGGAAAGGCGGGATGGGTCGCAAACAAAAAAATTAATTACACATGAGAATTGCTGCGCTCTTCCCAATTACGGACATGGCCACTGCCTCAGCTGTATTAAGAACCGAATAAAAACTGCACAAACACCGAGGCATGAGCGGCTGATGCGTTTGCGGGGACTTCATCGATGGTGGGGAGCTGAAAGTAGGCAAGCGCATACGGCTCGCTAGTCGCGACTGCTCCGTGAAAGACGCTCTGCTCGCGCTACTTCTCGCCAAGGCGATGCCGACCAAGGCACAATCAAGGCACTAATCTTCCTTCTGACATGTCGATCTCACAAGTGGCACCCTCGTCGGAGCCGCGAAAGAAAGATAATTTGCAGCGTGATACGGGAACGGAAGTACTCGTGCAGCGGCTCGGAATTTAGTGAAGACGGAGAATGATTGCAGCAAGACAAAAAGAATTCAGGAAGCGCTCTGCTGCGACACACTGTGGTAGCTGGTAGTAGTGGTGGAGTAGTGTATAATAGAGTAATAGAGGGCTCAAGATGGGTACGCGGTCTACTAGTGCAGTTGTGACGGGCAATCTGCATCTCTCTGCCGACAGCGGAGCCGAAAGAATGCAATTTGACGGGCAGATTAGAGTGTAAGAAGGTCTGAACGGAACCGAGGGAGATGGTCGACAGGGCTTTGGTTCTGGCGAGAGATAACAAAATGGCTTTGGTATAGAGAAGTAGTTGTAGTAAGAGTATTGCGGTACAGTGTGGAGCTCGAGATTTTAAGAAAGTGGCTCAACAAACGATGCAGTCCCCATTCTTCTTGCCAAGCTGACCTTTCTGCTCGAGAGCCATCTCCTCGGCTAATCTAACCTCTTCGGCCGGCGTAAGCAAGCCCTTTGCTTGTCGCGACTTGAGGGCTTTGAGAGCTGATGCGTGCTCCGAAGTAGCCCGTCTGTCGGTTGGCGAAGTTGTCAGTAAGCAAGGCTAGCGCCGGGCCACTCTCCTCATGCACAAAGCCTGGTACGTACGGCGCACGGCCAGACACGATTTACCCCTTGACTGTGCCAAAGAGGGGAGGAGGTACCCACTTTTCCGTCTTGTAGTTGCTCGTTGCCGTGCTGATCACGCGGATCGGACTTGCACTCGACCCGGCCGTGCTTCTGTTGAGTGCTGAAGACAGCTGCCCCTCACTCGATTTCGAGGGTTGGTCGTTACTCCACGGCGATGGCACGATGTTGACAAGGCGAGAGCGGCTCGATGGCGGTAGGTTGCTGCTGGATGACCGAGCAAGGCTGGTGCAACTGTGCTGGTTGGGTGCGCGATGCGACGGGCAAAAAGAGAGGGAGCAGCAAGGGCACTGGAAGAAATAAATGGTCAGGAGCCATTGCCTGTGTGGTATAGGAGGATGATTGGTGGACTCACGTTGATAGGGACAACCATAACCTTGTGGCACCTTCGCTCCGAACATTCGCCCTCGCGCTTCGCCCTCTTGCCCTTGTTGGCGATGCTGCCATCTGCATTCAGGGCAGCGCATTCGACTTTGCCCGTCTTGCGATCGGGCGTCAGGTGGGCGTCCATGGCCACGTTTGCGTCCTCATCCCTCTTCCAGTTGCGTGGCGGCTCGTGACACAACGGACAGAGTGGAACCATGAAAGACTGTGATGGGGTTGGGCACTGATGCTCGCCTGTCTTGAAGTGCTCGGAGCAGAAGCTGCAGGAGAGACGGCAATGGAGAATCAGTAACAGCTTGCGTCTCTGAGCGTGTTCAGCAACACTTACGTCTCCTGACAGTCAGGACAGCGGAAGGGAAGAAAGTCCTCGCGATTGCACTCTTGCCAGTGGCACCGCTGGCCGATGAACATCATCTCGCTGTTGTAATGACGCTCAGCGGCCGTCACTCTCCGCGGGGGAGTTGACGAACCAGACATATTGTGTGCGGTCGACAAAAGCTTCGGTATCTCGTCTATAGCACAAGTCGCTGTGGGAGGATGTCTTGGAGGGGGTGGATAGATGGAGACAAAGGCCCGCTCGCCGTTTAAGAGCGCTCGGGCGACTTCGCCACCATGGAAGGTCCAAGAACGACGACTTCGCCTTCGACGACGCGCGTCCGTCAGGAACGAGGCAGCGCCCTCTTTCGTGGGATTTCTCGGCCGTAAACTCTTCAGACTAGATCTCCTTTTCCCGGTTTTCGGAAATTTGGATATGTAAAATTCTGACACGTTTCCCAAAAGTGACGAAGCCACATGACAGAAGCAAAATCGCAGCAGTCGGACCGGAAGAAACGGCTGAGAGAGGCACGATGACGACTGTGGTTCACCTCTTGTGTCTGAAGTCCGACATTTTGACTCTCGCCTGGTGGCTGCAAGAACGTTAATTTTTCTAATTTAGCTCGCCGAGCATGCTCCGTGAGTAAGGTATTTTTATTACATTATTATGAGTAGTACTAGAGCTGCTAGAGTAGGTACACCAGTAGTGCTGCTCACGTTTAGGGTGCAACTTTACTTTTTTTCTCGATCCGCGATCGACGCGCACGCTTAGCCAAAAGCTTGCGCAAGGGAGACGAATCCGTTTCCGCTGCGCGTGATAGCTCTTTCCCATCTCTATCCACCTTCGGGCCAGGGCATCCACCTTGCGACGGAAACACCGCAAGAGCCAAGCGCTGTGTAGACTAGTAATATTGGTAGCTGCTAGTAGTAAAAGTGTCGCCCAAGATACAGCGCTGTACTGTGCTTTACTGCACAATGGGTTATGGTAGGATCCGCTGTCGCGGCGGGAAGATACTGTATTTTGCAAGAATTCAGAAAGGGAAGCGACGGGGTGAACGGAGGAAGAAGTCTAAAGCCAAGTGCGGAGTTCTTTATGCTTAACATGCCTGGTTCCTCCGAGGCAGATTGCCCTATCTGCGTGTAACAGGCTCTGTGCATGTACTGTTTCGTTCGATTACGTCTATGCAAGTCATCGTACGTAGGCTGCCTGCCTCGATCGCTGCGACCTCGAACGCATCCTACCTTAAGTCTGTATTACCTATCATCTATCATGTCACAGGACCGGACCGGTAGAGCAACTGTGGAGGAGAGGAGCGGTATTAGTCGTAGGGTCCATTCAAGATTTAAGACTACTTGAGATCGAGGTTAGGTTGGAATTGGGCAGAATTCCTCAGGATGGGGTTTTGCAGCGGGTTTGTCGTTTAGACTTTGATCTTCGTTGTCCGCCTCATGTAAGCACACTTATTTTCTTGAGCAGCCTTCTTTAAAGCTGTTCTGCATAGCAGACCCTGCAAAAATGTTAGTCCAGCATTAACCAGACCCGAGGCAGGAAGAGAAAATTTTCTTCTCCCTCACCTTAATTTTAAATTGCCTCGGGGCCGGTCAGTCGTCCTTTGCTGCTGCTGCTTACCTGCGCGGGCGCGCGCGCTTACTATCTCGCCTTGCCTTGCCATTTGCCTTTCGGCCTTTGTTGCCTGCGGACGAGCGTGCAAACCTCTTTGCGGCTCCTCCTGTTCGAATCCAATCCCCTGCCCGCTTCTGCCACTCTCGATCTTTGTTTACCATCGCCATCATCTTCGAGTCGTGGCAAAGCAGACACGCTGTCGCGACTTATAGGAACGTCCGCATCTCTTTTCTAGCCTGCGTCCGTTCGCCACGCAGCATCTTTCATCCAGCTCCCAACCAAGCCCTGTCAGCAGTCAACCAGCCTGTGTCTAACCGTTGTTGAACCAACCGGCAGGCTCCACCAGAACATGCACTACGAAGAGTACGAGAGAAGAGCGGCCCACTACCCTCCCCCTCCGCCGTCGGCCGGGGGTCGGGCTAGTCCTCCGCCTCCTCCCTTCTACACGTCTACGCACCAGCAGCATCCTCACAGCCCCGTCTATTACCCCACGGCGCCGCCTCCGCCACCTCCCCCACCCGCGCACTACGGCGGTTATCCAGCTCCGTACGGCAGCGGCGGCTACTACGATGGCCCTCCTGCGCCGAGTCCCTTTGTAGGAGGTTCGCCAGCACCGCCCCCTCCCTCTGCTGTTGCGCACCATCACCACCACGCTCATCATCCGGCACAAGCCTACGAGCCCAAGATGATGGCTGCCACCCACCTTCATCACCATCAACAACAACAACAACAACATCACCACCAGCAGCCCTTCCATACCCATCCACACCCGCACCACGTCGCGCCTGTCCATCATCATGCGCCTCCCATGCATGCTAGTTCTGGCCCTGGACCATTGATCACGCCTCCCATGTCGTCCGGCGGCGATCAGCAACCGACCTACGTGGGCTACATCAAGTCGTCGACAGATGCCATCTTGCTCCTCTCGGCCTGCGACCTGCCCTCGGACGCCAACACGACCAAATCCACCTCGCCCCCCGGCGGCCGAGGCATGACTAATGCCTTGCCACCGCCCCGTCGGGTCACGAGGAGGCTTCTGGACGCCGAGAGGGCTGAGCTCGTGGCCAGCGGCAGCGTCTTTGTCTGGGACGAGAAGGAAGCCGGCATGAAGAGGTGGACCGACGGCCGCGTATGGAGCGCCAGCAGAGTCAGCGGTTGCTTTCTCACCTACCGCGAGCTCGAAGCACGGAAGAAGACGAATCCTTCCTCGTCGCTCAACGGCCATCCCGATGGACCGACATCGAACCAGTACAAACCTGAGGGCCTGATCAAGCAGTCGTTTAGCATCACCACCGCCAGCGGCCGCAAGCTCCACGTCATCTCCTACTTTACCAAGCGTGATGTTCGCGAGGGTCGCCTGCGCCGCGTGAGCGAGGATCCCCGTTTCGTCGGCGAAGGCGGTGGCGAATGGGGCTTGCAGATCGACGAGGCCGAATACTCGTTCCCTGACCTCGGAGGAGGCGGCTCGCACGATGGCCAAGTGGCTGCGCAGCTGGGTTCCCAGCCCCCGCTGCCACCCCAGCACCAGCACCAGGCTCAGCCTCCGCCCCAGTCGCAGTCACCGCATGCTCAGCTGCAGGCTCAGCCCACCCAGCCTGATCGTCAGCATTACTCCGCTGCTGCGCAGCACTCCGGATATCAAGATGACGAAGTGTCGCTGGGCTCCCGAAGCGCCTCGCCGCAATATCCGGCTCAGTCACCCTCGTCAAAGGCTTACCACAATGTCCCTTCTGCTGCCCCCGCCCTTGCGTCGACCACTGCAGCACCATCGACGTCTCTCAAGAGGTCCCGTGACCAAGCGGGCGAAGATGATGAGGACGACGACGAAGACGAAGACGACGAAGAGCACCGGCGAGCCGAGAGGTACACAGCCCAGGATGGGAGGCCTTCGTCCTATTTTCGAGCCGAAACGAATTCGACGAAGCGTCCGCCTGTCCGGCCGAGACTAGCCAGGGGACGGTCTAACAGCATGTCTGCTTCCATTGGCAACTCGAACAATTCGCACCTTGGCGGCGCCGGTAGCAGCTCGACTGCTACCAACGACGGTCGGACTTCGTTTCAGAGCAACACCTCGTTCGCTACGACAGTCTCGACGGGCGAAGGTGTGAATGCTTCAGAGATGTCAGTCAAGGCCAAGTACGGTCTACACTCGCCCACCATGCCGCGCGAGTCTGCCATTCGCGGCAGCTGTGAGATGCAGCCAACGCAGTCGCAGGAGCGCGAGTCGGCCGTGGGCGCCCTGTTGAGCCTTGCCGGTGCTTCTTCTTCTTCCACTCCTTCGTCCAAGGCCAGCAGCGGCGACAACGGCAATCACAACAATAACCTTCACAGCAGCAAGACTCGGACGTCGTCGAAGCTGTCGATTACGACCCCTGCTACAGAAAAGGACAATGAGTCGTCAAACAGTCCCAACTCTCCCTCGTCGCCAAAAACGCCCGCTGCCAGCAGCTCGTCGTCCGGCAGTGGCGGCAACATGGGCCTGGGACTCAATGTCAAGCCTTCGAGGCGAGACTCGGACCGCGACGCACTTAATATGTTCAGTATCCGCCTATGATCTCAGCACACTACCGCACTCGCTCCATTTCTCATTTGCCTTTCCAGCTCGACGACGACTCCGATTCGCGAGCTGTATAGCACGACCATACTAATATCTGCTCCTCCCCTCCCCTTCTTCTCCCGATCGGTCCTATCCTTGTACACATGTCTCCCGCCTCTATACTCTCGTACGATAACGGCTATCCTTTCCTTGATCCTTGATAATAGTGTAATCTTTTCAGCATTCACACACCTTCCCCGGTAGCTTGCCTTTCTATCGCCCCCCACTTGTCGTTGTCTGTCTCCCCCTTCTTTCTTCTTTCTCTATTGTTCGCATGCACTAGCATCTCTTTGCAAAGATCTCTTGTAGAAAGCCCTCTTGTCTGAGCCTCATTCTTCCGTGATGCAAGGAGCAATGGTTGGTGTGTGCGGTACAGTACAGTAGAGAGAGCAAGCGGTGGTTATTTGACGAGAAGTCAGTCGTCTCTCTCCAGGGCCAAGTCATACCGGCACCGGTAGACCTGGCGTGCCTCGTCGAGGCACCTCAGGTCGACATTGGCCAGCAGCAGGGCCTCGTCGGTGCCCTCTACGCGCTGCATGCAGCCGACAAATGGCGCACACACGCAGCTCCTCCCCACCGCCCACGGCTCGTCGCCCTTGTCTCCATCCCAGGCGAGCCAAGCCTCTTGAGAGGCTGGGGGCGCCTTGCCGGCGACGTTGGTCATGGCAATCACGCACTCGTTTTCGATGGCGCGGGCCTGGCACATGCCGTCGAGCAGGCTCGCCTCGCCCGTCGTGCTCCAGCGCAGGCCAGACCGGCCACAGTCGGTGGCATACCAGCAGATGGGCGCAAAGACGACGTCGGGACCTTGCAGGCTCGTGCTGCCGTCATCTGCCTTGAAGAGCATCTCGCGGAACAGCTCGGGAAAGGCGAGGTCCCAGCAGATGAGGATGCCCGCCCGCAGCGTCCGGCCGCGCCGCGTCGTGATCTCAAACGTGCTCGGCGGCGGCGCGTGGTGGAGCAGCTCGTGGCCGGGCGACAGCACGGCGCGCTCGGGGTGCCAGAGACGCTTCTTTGTGTAGCGGCCCGCGACGTGGCCGTGCCGGTCGACGTAGTAGGCCGTGTTGAAGAGCTTGTCGTCGTGCGCCGACGGTGGCCCTTCATTGTTGTTGTTGCTGCTGTTGTTGTTGCCGTCGTCTTTGACATCGTCGAGACGGTGTGGCACATGGTGCGAGCCGAGCTCGACGATGGTGCCTGCCACGATGTCAATGTCGTTGCGCCTGGCCACCGTCGAGATTGTCTTGAGGAAGTCGGACGTCTGCTCCTCCCGAGCCTCGGCCGAGGCGGAGCGCGAGGCGGAGGACCGTGTCCGGACATCCTTCCACGCCTCGTGCGTGGCGCCCGTCAAAAAGTACTCGGGAAAGACGACGACGTCGGCACCGGCCTGTGCGGCCCGCTCGGCAAAGCGCTGCAGCTTGTCGAGGCCTCCGGCGCCCCGCGGGCCCTGCTCCGAGGGCAGCACCTGGGCGCACGCGATGCGGAGCTCGTCAATGTCCGACGGCGCGAGTCCCGGCGTGTGGCGCGGAGCGAGAGTGCCAATTGTCAGAATGTCCTCCTCGGACTCGAGACGGGCGGGCTCCTCTGACGTCGTCATTGCAGCAGCCATGATGCTTTCTTTTCCTTTGGCGGCGTCGTAAGAAAAAAAAAAAAAAAAACCGACACAATATGGCCACTCTGTGCAAATATCTGTGCGCACGGATTCCAACTTGCAGACCAGGAAGAAGAAAGATCGCAAACAGCACGCACGCGTCCCGTCTCTCTCTCTCTCTCTCTCTCTCTCTTCTTCTATTTCGCACGCACGCACGCAAGCAGCCATTGCCATTGCCCTTTCTTCCACAGACGAGGGCTGCTGCCACGGCTGACAAGAATGGCAGACTACCAGGAGCGCCTCCAGGCCGTCGCGGGCGAGCTGTCCAAGATTGAGGCCGAGCTCGAAAAGGCCGTCGAGATCCGCCAGCGCCTCGACTCGCAGCGGTCGGAAAACGAGCAGGTGCAAGTCGAGTTTCGGCGGCTCAAGCCAGACGCGGGCGATGCCATCTACAAGCTCGTTGGGCCCGTCTTGCTCAAGCAGGAGACGGCCGAGGCAAAGGGCAACGTCGACAAGCGAATCGAGTTCATCGATGCAGAGATGTGAGAGATGATTGGGGCCCGGCATGGCGCAATCGCCGATGCTGACGTATCCTTCACCAGTAAACGAGTAGAGGCGCAGCTCCAGGAGATCAACCAGCGGAGCGAAAAGAAGCGCCAAGAGGTCAGTCACGATTCCATGAAAAGGCTCCGTCTAAAGAAAGGCTGATCCAGTCCCATGCACAGATCGTCGCCATCCAGCAAGAGGCCCAGCAACACCAGCAGCAGCAGCAGACAAGCGCAGAGGCCGTCTCAGCGTAATGGGTCGATGTCAAATCAACAATTTCGACCTCACTAATACATCATCTGTAACACTATCAAAACGACTGTGCGCGCCTGGGAATGAAGAGGAAGTTGGAAAGGTATATGGCTGAGTGGGACGTTACTAGATGCGACGCTGCCGAACAGCAATTGGGCTTGTCATGGGCGAGGCTCCCAGACTCGACAAAGGGCTCCGACCCGTGGCGAGGGAGCTGCTGTGGGGCAGTGGAACGCGAGCAAGGGTGGGTGAAGAGGCTGGGCTGCTGGACCCGCTCCAGCCGCCCTGGGCGGTGGCACCGTGGGGAAGGACCCGAGGAGCCGGCCCTTGCCAGCCTGGTGCGCCAAAGGGCGAGGCCGACGAAGACGCAGTGGTAGAAGAGCGAGGTGGATATGGCTGGTTGATGGCACCACCACCACCACCACCACCACCGCCGCCGCCGCCGCCACCGCCAAAGTAGTCTTCTTCGTCGTCTTCCTCGTCCGACTCCCTCTTGATGTTGAGCTCTTCTGCGTAGTGCTGTCCTTCTTCCCCCAGCCCAGTAGAAGTCACATCTCGCAGCTGGCCGTTGAGCTGGCGGAGGTGCGACTGCCTACGCTGGGCCCTCTCCTCCTTTTCCCTCGACTCCCGCATGGCGCGCTCAATGACGCTCTCGCCACTCCGGCCCCACTTGAAGGCAGCGCTCTTCTTGCTACGCTTTCTCCTTGCCTCGACGCGGTCCTCGTCCAGTGCCTCGGGCAGGGCCTCGTGCGCACGACGCTGCAGGTCCGCCTCGACGCGGGAGCCGTCGCCCAGGACAAAGGAGCCAATGTAAAGGACAAGAGCGGCGACGATGCCCATGGCCGTGCCCACGGCCAGACCGGCGCCCAAGAAGACGCTGTGGGAGCCCGCGTCAGCGATGTCTCGTAGCACTGGAAGACAGAGAGGAGAGGGGGGAAGGGGGCGGAGAAAAACAACTCACTAGACAGGGTATACCTCTCGGACGATGATGGCGATGAAGCGAGCAGGGAGCCAGACGAAGAGGAAGAGAGCGCCTTGGCCGAGGTAGATGAGAGGCGCGCCAGCCGTGAGGGCAGGCGCGACGAGGGCCCTCTCGCCCGTCCATCGAGTCGTGCGCCACGATGTCTGTGCGGCCCACCCGACGGCGTGCGCAGCATACATCGTGGGCGTCCAAACGACTCGCTGGCTGAACCAGGCCGCGATGTTCCACGCGATCCAGAAGAGCGACAGGGCAATCTGGGCAGATCTGGAATGTCCTTCGTTGTTTGAGTCATACGAAGCTGGCTCGATTGTCTTGCGCTTTCTTTTCTTCGAAGGAGGAGGAGTAGCTCGATGCTCCGCGTCGTCCTCGTCGTCCTCGTCGCCTTGTGCATACTCGCTTTCTCTCTTTCGGCGACTCTGACGCTTTATGGAGGCAACAGCCTCGTTCCTCGTCGGCGCACTGCTGACCCTCTCCTTCTGCGCCTCTTTGATAACCTGTCTCTCTCGAGCCAGCCTCCTTGCCTCGCTCAGCTCTACCTCGTCCGTCAGGATCCTCCTCGGCACATATTTTGCCCATCGCTCCGCCCTCTCCTCGTCCGTTTCTCCATCCCTGACCTGTGGCCGATCCGGCGACGAGTGCTGCTGCTGCTGTTGCTGCTGCTGGATGATGTGATGGTGGTGTTTTTGTCGCGCGTGCGACGACGACGAGACTGGCGCCTGGCGGACGGCAGACTCGTGCGCGGCTCGGTAGTCGGCCTCTGCAAGGACCGGTGTGGCACCGACGACAAGCAGCAGCAGCGCAAGCACCCTCGTCATGGCGCCGAGGCTGACCATTGATGCGGTGTCGAGAGAGCGAGCGAGCGCGTCGCTGTCCTTTGCAAAAGAGGAGGGGGAGGGGAAATGCACACGGCACGCAAAGTGGGTTTTCGAGGTGGAGAAAGCGACTCGAGGCGCGCGCGCTGGGTGCGCGTGAAATGGCTGATGAACTTAGTCGCAATAATAGAGGGGCAGAGAGCATCGCTTGCCTGTCCAGGATCCGCTCTCTCTTTGCACACCCGGCCTTTCGCTTGTCTTCCATAACCTTAGCAGTCTCATCGTTGGAAGCTATCGCGGTGTATACAAGCTTCAAGATGTGCGTGCTTCCTTCTGGTACACTTGCCTTGACTGCAGACTTGCCCCTATGGAGCTTCTTTGCAATTCCACATGTGCGCAAGTCGATATTTAGCACGCATCAAACAACTCCTTCCTATATGTGTGTGACGCCTTGCAAATCCTGGCTTGAGTGCCAAGCTCCGACCATCACCACTTGCTCAAAGAACCAAGGGAACGGACAAAGGCCTCTCGGTGGTAGCTCCATTGCAAGCTCCGTTTAACACGTGAATTTTCTTTGACGCGTCCTTCTCGCCCAGTGGATGGGAAGCGGTGGCCGGTGCCCGTCGCTTCTTCTGTCCACCAATCCAGTCGCCAGAGCTGGCTATCCCGACGAAAGTGGGGTGCAAACGAGAGCAAGGAAGAGGGTGATGGACAGACCGAGACGCTCGGGGCGTACGTCGGCCGCCGCTGCCGCACCAACCCCGTCCACACCGGGCACACCGCAGAACGGGCAGTCGAGCGCCGGCGCGCTCTCGCGATCGCCTTCGACCTCGTCACTTGGACCGTATCAGCAGCAGCAACAGCAGCAGCGCCAGCCACAGGTCCCTTCGAATGCGAGTCCCAATGCACATCATTGGGCGGCAAGCAGCACCGCTCAGCGGGGGCCGTCGAACCACCATGTGCCAGCGTCGCACTACGCGAGCCCAAACTACCAAGCCGGACCTTCGCCGATGGCCTCGTCGCCCTTTCTTCCCCCTTCCGCAGCTGCAGCAGCCTCACCTGCTGCTGGACAACAGCCCATGATGACACCGACGCCCCAGTCGAGACCGCTGGCAGGCCCTGGGCAGGTTCCATTCCAAGGACCGGGGTATGCCCATCCACCTCAACCGAACGGGCACCCAGTGCCTCCAAACTCAAGACCACCAGCGCTGGGCCCATCGGTGTTCCCCGCCATGTCGCCATACCCCGAGAATGCCCCAATGGGCCGGAATGCGAATCCGCTGCCACCGCAGACGGCCGTTGGGCCTGGTCAGGCGCTCTACACGACGTTTGCCTCGCGCATGCAGACAGGCATCACGACGCTCATGCAGCCCATTCCGTCAGGGCCAGACTTGCAGGATGTGTTAGCTGTGTCGAGGGGGATGAGCACCTTTGGGACCGACTACGGCACAACGGAGCGGACCAGGGGCGGCGGCACCCGGAGGAGGGCTGCCGCTGGCATGACGTACTATGGAGAGGAAGGGAGCGACTTTGACGACGACGACGATGACGATGACGACGATGGTCAAGGGAGCGGCGTGGACGCAGAGAGGAGCAAGAGACAGTCGGCAGCAGGGACACCGGCAGAAGAGCGGAAGCCGCAAGAGGAGGAAGAGGAGGAGAAGCCGGGTGCCCTGCTGGGAATGCCGCCGCCGGGCAACAAGGTCTTTGTCAGGAGGGCCAACAAGGTCCATCCCATTGCTCACTCAGAGACCGACCTGCTCGAGCAGGCCGAGCGGGCCGAGTTTCTCATTCCCATCCGCGTCGAGCTCGAGACGGAGACGCACAGGATCAAGGACACCTTCACCTGGAACCTGCGCGAGCACCTCATCAAGCCTCGCGACTTTGCGAGAAGCTTTGTCCGCGACCTCAGCCTGCCCGTCGATCCATACACGAGCCTGGTGGAAGCGGCCATCATTGATCAGATCAAGCTCTACCAGTCGAGCGGAATCGACCTGGTCCACATTGGGCCCGCGCCTGGCGGCCCATGGGCTTCCAGGGCCAATGGGGCAAAGGAGGGGGTCGAGGAGAGGAGTGTGACATTGGGTGGAGCAGGAGCGCTCAGCAAGCTCCAAAGAGGCAGGAGGGAGTCGAGGCAGTGGGACTGGGGCTTGCGAAAAGTGGCAGACGACGTTATTAATAGCAGCATCGGGAAAGAAGTAGGGGAGAGGAAGAGGAAGCGGGAAGCGACAGAGGCCGGGGACGTCGTTCTGGGAAGCGACGGCGATCATGAGGACGATTTGAGGGTCATTGTCGATGTGAGTGACTCTTTTGAGTGTGGCTTTACGGATACCCGAGCTCCTCGCTAACCCTTCTTGCGCGGGAATAGTACGACGTGCAGATCTACAAGCACCACCTTCGAGACCGGCTCGAGTGGGACCTGGCCTCCCCGTTGACGCCCGAGGCATTTGCCGCCCAGCTGTCCAAGGACCTGGCGCTGACGGGCGAGGCGCTGCCCATTGTGTCGAATGCGATTCGGGAGCAGCTGCTGATGCACACGCGCGCGGCGCAGGAGTGCGACCTGATTGGCAAAGGTGGCGAGTACGCAAAGTGGCAGGCCGAGATCGACGATGCCGAGGCGGAAGAGGCTGAGAACCGGCGAAGGAAAGAGCTGGGTCTCGAGAGCCTGCCGTTGAAGCCGCTGCAGACGATGCCGGAAATCGTCGAGGAGGAGCAGGAGCCCCTGCTGGAGCTGGCGCCGCGGCGAGGCAGGCCACCAAGACGGCTCGTCGAAGAGAGGGAGCGACTGGAGCGAGAGAGGGAAGAGAGGTTGCAGCAGCAGCGCGAGCAGCTCTTGCAGCTCCAACAACAACAGCAGCAGGCCAAGGAGCAGCAGCAACAACAACGGCAGCAGCAGCTCGAACAGCAGTCGAGACAGGTTGCCGCCTCCGTGGCGCGAGACGAGCTGGGAGGGGGAGGAGGCGGCCCATCGTCTGACTCGGTACTTGCCGATGGTTCTGAGGGTCCCTCTTCCCTGTCAACCCCTCTCCCTAGACCACCGCCAACAGTCATTCTCCGCACACCGGCACAGCGAAAGAGCGTCGCGCAATTCTACCAGTCGCAGCTCACCGAGCGCGGGCCCAGGAAGCTCGAGGGCGTGTGGCGGGACTACCACGACTCAAAGGAGTTTGGCCCTCTGCTGGAGATGTTGACAGAAGAGGAGCTCGAAAGAATTGAGCAGGAGGCCATTCGAGCCAGCCGGTGAGTTTGTCATTTCACCCCACTATTCTTGGGATGTTCCCTTTCTTCATTTTGACTGACCGGCTTCATCCATGCTTCCAATCGCACAGCCGAGGAAGAAGAGATCAGCAGCGCAGTGTGCGAGTACGGAGACGCTGATGTAGGAGCAAAGCAAGCAGTGGTCAAGGATGAGAATGTAACTTTTTTTTATTACGTCTACTTCTCTTCTAGTACTCTATATGCTTCTCTAAACGGCAGCCAAGAAAAGAAGAAGGGAAGTCTCCCTGTCATTGACGAGTATTGCTCCGCTTACTTGCTGTTCTCGAGCTCGGCCGACGTGGCAAAGAGGTAGGGCTTGCCGCCGTCCTCGCTGACCTCGAAGGCCTTGAAGTTCTCGGTGGGCACACCGAGCTCCAGGAGCTTGGCGTAGACGTTGCTGAACTCGTTGAAGAAGGTGTCCTCGTCCTTTGCGTACCGCTCAACGTGCTTTTTGAAGCTCGAGTCCTCGACGAGGGCCATGTCGGTCGTGAGCATCATGAGGCTTCCCGTCTTCTTGTCGACGTACTGCTTTGGCCCGTTCCACTTCTTGAGCACCCAGGGCTCGGTGAGGAGCAGGTTGTAGTACTCGTTTGTGAAGCTCGTCGGGCTGAACGTCCAGGGGCCTTCGAAGCCGGACCGGTCTGGGTGACAGCGGCCGAGGGCGTGGGCACCCGAGAGGGCGACAATCTCCTGGTCGTTGAAACCCATGCGGTTGAAGATGAAGCGGAGGTGGTCGGGGCCCTTGTCGCCGTCGGGCAGCCGGCCGTCTGGGGTGCAGTGGTGCTCCTCACCGTCCTTGCGGCCCGGCCTCCAAGGCACCTTGGGCCCGCCCATCTCCTGCACGGCACAGACGCCACCCAGCGTCCACAGGTCCGAATAGGTAATCCAGGAGTGCTTTGCCTTGATCTCGTCCATGAAGTTTCGCGCGTGGAGCAGACCGGCGTTGGCGCCGTGGTCAGCCTCGGGCGCGAAACGCATGGTGGCGCCGTTGCTACCACCAGTCTATTTGAAGAAGAAGAAGATAGTTTAAAGGCATCAGTCTCCCTGAAAGATGCACAACAGGCAGACTCGAGACTCTGGAAAGGGACTCACCTTGGTGTCCTTGGAGTAGGTGCCCGAGGCGTGCCAGGCGAGGCGAACGAGAACGGGGCCAAAGCTGCCATCGTCGTAGTTTTCGTCCTTTTCGAGCTCGGCGGCAATCTCGTTGTAGACCTCCTGGTAGTCTTGCTTGCTGCCGACGCCCTGCTGCGTGACGCGGGCCTTGGCACCAGTCAGCTTGTTGGCGGCCCGTCCAGCGCCGACATTGAGTGCGTCCTTCTTGCCGTCCTGGTTGTAGAAGTAGAAGCCCGCGCCAGCGGCACCGAGGATGCCCACGGCGGCAAGCACGTTGGTGCCCGAGACGGACGAGCCACCAGACGTGCCACCAGCGGGCGACGTCGCGTACGACCGCCGGGCCTGCTGCTGGACGAAGCGACGGGGAAGGGCCGCGGTCCGGCTGCTGCGAACAGCGGGTGCGCCTGCTCGGAGCGTGCTACGGAATGCAGTCGTGGATGCCATCGCTGGACTTGCTCAGGGAGTGGTGATGTCTGGGGAGGTGAAGAGAGGATAAAGAAAGAGCAGGAGGATAAGAAAGATATGGCAAAATTGATTGGCTGAGTTCGCCCCCCGGCACCAAAGAGCGGCGAAGCGGCGTCTCGTTTACTTGCTACATCTGTCCACCGGCCTTTCGGCGTGTGATTGGACAAGTGCACGGTCGTCTCTTCTGCCATTTGTAATCACATCATTTCGTTTTCTATCCCCTTCGCTGCAAACTTCTCTCTCTCTCTCTCAAAGCTGTCTTGTCTTTTTTTCTTGCGAGACGGTTTTCAAGTTTTCCTTCGCCTGTCTAATTTCACGACCGAGAAATGAGCGCGCGTAGGCTTGGTATTATTATTAAATGTCCGAGCCCTATCTGATTCGCCGACGAGGGAAAATCATCGTTTGCTTCGGCGTTCCCCCTGTCCGAAACAGCATTCATGCTTCAGTGCGGATCGCCGACGATGGCCTGGTATGCTGTTGCAAGGCCAGACCTTGCCAATCCCGTATCGGAAACGGACCAGCAAAGGCAGCGTCCTTCCGTCCGGGCGTAGCGGCGAGCAACAATACGCCTCGACCAGGGTCTTCTTATCGTGGCTTTTCGGAGCCGTCCGGAATTGATGGATGGGCACGTGGCACATGCTCTAGTGGCAGGTCACCTCACCGTGAAGAGAGTAGACGGTCTGATGATTGTGAGACGACGCCGCTTGGGATGAGCTCGCACCAGGGCGATATACGAGGAACTGTCCAGAGTGCTGCCCATATATCGTTTAGATACCTCGCTGTGACTAGCACCATGCTGGCGGACTTAATTGGGCTTCAGCATGCCAACCACGATGAGCGCGACCGCATGCAGTGTGGTAATCCCCGAGTCAGAATAAGCAGAGCCTGTTGGTGGGTAGCATACTTGTGCTGCAGCGGCGGCGGAAGCGATGCCTCGATGGCTGCCTAGGGAATCTTAGAGTCACTTTGCTCGACATCATCTTCCACAGAGCGAGCACATATGGCTGTCTTGTAGAATACCGATAGGCTCCTGTACTTGATCATTGACTGTCTCTGACCTCTGAATGTTGCACAGGCTGAATATTGAGGCAATGTACAGTACTTTTGTTTAGCGAGCAAGTTGGTAGCACGATTCGACCTGATCGTGAGCAAGGCCATGAGCACTACGCTCCTCATGTCCTGCGTGTAAAGCAGACATGCCTGACCACTGCCCTTGCACTGCAAGACTAGCCAGAAAGGTGCACACCGCAGCTATCTCCTGCCTGTGTCCTGACTCTGATCACTTTTAAAGCTCAAAGAACAGAAATGAGCCTCTCTAGGGTAAAGTCAGGGCTGTCGATGGCCGCACCGAAAACCCGGCTCATAGACCGATGTTGCCGGGCGCGCAAGCGCGTCTTTGCCTTTGCTGCATTTGTGACTTTTCAGACGAGCGCGATTGGCTCCGCAAAACTTCTCCACGTCGCATTCATCCAGCGCTCGCTCTCTTCTCACGCACTACAACGCTTCATCTTGGGAGGAGAAGAGGTAAACGACGCACGGAGCGGCTAGTGCGAGGCGAGCGGACGTACAGACAGGGACGATGCAGGCCTGCTCTTGTCCGTCGACGTCGGCCTTTACGCTCAACTCCCCCGTGTGGGATACGACGCAGCCACAGCAGCGAGCATGGGTCGGGCCGGCTTTTGCTTATGCGCTCCCGCCGTTGCTGCAGAGCGAAGGCAGAGATTCAAGAGCCACGACAACGACATTGCCACCGCGACTTCAGCAGCAGCAGCTCCTCGTTGTCCAGGCAAAAGATCGACATCCCCCAGTATGCGAGACAGATGAGTTTGGGTCCCCTGCGAGAGCACAAGACGTCAATGCAACTGGCGGCGGAGACGGAAGCGAAAGAGGGAAAGGCAGAAAGGGAAAGAGTTGGAACTACATTGTGCGAAGCGGCATTGCTGGAGGCGTAGCGGGATGCGTGGTGAGTAGCATGGCTGTCAACCTCCCCCCAGGCAACCCCTTAACAACTCTTTCCGACCGGACACTCCCACCAGGCAAAGACGGCCATCGCGCCTTTAGATCGAGTCAAGATCCTTTTCCAGGCACAGAATCCAGAGTACCAAAAGTACAGCGGCAAGTGGCTCGGCGTCTTCAAGGCCGGCCGAGAGATCTTCAGAGAGCAGGGCCCCATGGCCCTCTTCCAGGGACACAGCGCCACACTCCTGCGAATCTTTCCCTATGCCGCCATCAAGTACATGGCCTATGACTCGCTGCACTTTGTGAGTCCTCCGCTTTCCCCAGTGTAGCCGCTCGTCCTAATCGCAAGTCCGATGAGCAGGTCCTCATGCCGACGAAAAAGGACGAAACGGCGGGCCGCCTCTTTCTGGCCGGGTCAGCGTCTGGCGTCTTGTCCGTCTTTATGACCTACCCCCTCGAACTCATTCGCGTCCGGCTCGCGTTTGAGACGAAGCGGAAGCGGCAAAAGGGCAGCTTGCTGCGCATCATAAAGAAGATCTATGCAGAAGGCGCGACCGAAGCGCCCTTCTCTGGTGACGCCCGTCGCAGAGCCGCACGGAGTGCTGCGATGCAGTCTGCCAATCTGAGCACGAGCGCTATTCAGAACCAGGCCATCGCCGAGGGTGCCACGGCTGCCTCTCCCGTCCCTACGTCGCCCAACCCAAGCGTGGCGGCTCAGACGACGAGCAAGCTCCTGACGCAATACCCGCTCTTCAAGTTCTACAGGGGCTTCACCGTCACGGTGCTGGGCATGATTCCTTACGCCGGCACGTCCTTTCTCGTCTTTGGCCGATGCAAGACGCTGCTCCAGACGGCGTTCCCTGCTCCGTTATCGACTGACGATGACGCCTTGCGGCAAAGAAGGCGGTGGTGGTGGCCCTCCAAGACGATTGTCGACCTCGGTGCGGGCGCTCTGGCTGGTGCCATCTCGCAGACAGCCGCCTACCCGTTCGAGGTCATCCGCCGTCGGCAGCAGGTCGGCGGCATCATCCGACCGGGCAACATGCTCGGCATGTCCGAAACCGCCCTCTGGATCTGGAGGACGAGCGGCTGGCGAGGCTTCTACGTCGGCCTCAGCATCGGCTTCTTGAAGGTCGTACCCATGACCAGTATTAGGTGAGTAAAGGGAAAGCTTCCCCGCACGCCTCGCCGATGCACGGCTGACCTCTTTCTCTCTCCTTCCGTACACAACAGTTTCGCCGTTTGGCTAGCGATGAAGCGCCAGATGGGCATCTGATTTCGTGTTCCCGCACTGCAACACATGTATACACCCTAGAGAAGGATCGCTCAATCTTCATTCAATGCTTTGAGGAACGTGTGACTGTACAGTATGGAGGCTGTTGGGTATGAGTATGCTGTGTTGTGCTGCGTCTAGATAAGCTCATAAGTGTTGTTGACCTGCAGGTGGTACTTGACGGACTAGAGACGCTTGATGCCCCTCTTCTTTATGCTTTTGGAAGCCTCCTGAGGCAGCTCGCTTTTGCTGTCGATGGCTGAAGCGACCATGCTTGCTGAGAGCATCGGGGATGCCGCCACTTTGCCCGTTGCGATGCTGACATCTGCTCCTGGCTTTTGGCAGGGTGTGACCTTTTTGGACGCCTCTCCGAAAGAGGCAAAGGTGATTGTATTGGAAGAGCTGCTCGCCGACAGAGGCGGGGGGCCTACTTCAGCTGCGGTCGCTGCCGCTGTCGCTGCCATTTCCTCGTCTGCTTTCGATGCCGCGAGCTCCGACTCGGTCAGAGGAAGGCAGCCTGGTCTTTCGAAGGCATGCGTTTTTGTCCAGACTCTGGCTGTGTAAGCGTAGTCTTCGTAGGCCTGAAAGGAGCCCGTCAGCAACCGTGAAAGTAAAGAGAACGGTCGCAGGGACGAGGAACTCACTTCTTGGAGCAGCCGGCCAGCATCGGGATCCAACGCGCTGTCTGGATTGGGACTGATGAGAAGGCACTTGATAACGACGAGTATGTGTTCAAGGCCGTAGGAGGAGGACCAGTCCTTTTTCAGAGTTGAGACGCAGATCTCTCCTTTGGACGAGACATTGGGGTGAAAGACTGCATGGTCGCTCTCTCGTCAGCGCAGGTGTTGATGATGACATCACGGACAACTTACTTTTCGTCTTCATGGTACCTGGATGAGAGAAGACGAGGAGTAGGTCAGAGAAAATTGATCGCAGGGTGTCGGTGAGCAGGGGAAGCAAAGGCTCACAGAGAGGGGGCGAGGCGGGGAAGTCGACGCCGTTGAAGTTGAACCCGACCCGAAAGAACCCGCCCTCGTATGGCGTGCCAGCTGGGGTTGCCCAATCGTCAGTAGTGGTCCAGATGGTAAGTTAGCTGCTGTCCTCACCGGGTCCTCTGATCCAGCCCTCGACATCGAGCAGGTGCCCCTCGCCCACCTCGATGCCGATGCCGTCCGGCGGGCTGCGCTGGAGCTTCACGAGCTCCTTGCTCAGCTTCCGGAGCGCATTAGGAGCCAGCGACTGGTGAAGAGCGAATCAGTCTCTACCTGTGCGTTCGCCAAGGCCGAGCATGTCAAGCACGTTCACTCACCATGTCTCGCCCACCGCTCGATCTTTTCGCGAAACGTAATTTGATCCTCAAGAACAACACGTAGAGAGGAAATTGCAAAACAGCCGGAAGTGGAGCAGCGCGTCCTACGGCCTGCACGTGTGGCGCGAGGACTCATCGGGACAGAGAGCAATGCAATCTGGTGTTACCAGGCCCTCGTCTCGACCACACAACGACTTCGTCCAAGGAGGAGGGTTCTCCTTCTTCGAAGTCGGCGGACCTGCTGTGAGACCATTCTGCTCCTCCATCTCACTCCTCTTGTGCTATTGCCAGTCTGCACGCCGCCGCCCGACCGGATCCCTGTCCCGCCACGCAAACCTCGACGGTGCTCCAACGCGTCCCGTTCAGGGTTCAGTGCGCCTCTCCTCCCTTGTGCTCCGTCCGAATCGACTGTTGAGACCAGCAAGGCTGTTTCCACTGCATCTTCCATCTCACGGAAGGATCACACATGAGCGCCATTGGGCACACAATGGCCTCCATGCCCCACGGACCTGATGGCACCAAGGGACGTGGCGGCAGTGGGGTAAGCGCGCCCAGGACTCGGAGCAACCAAGGAGGGGGACGTGGCGGTGGTAGGGATGCTGGCAGTGGAGGCGAGAGCGGCGATGGCAAGCACAACAGTGCCCATGGAACTCCAAGAGGCCAGAATATCAATCATGTGAGTATTTGCGACATTTGCTGCACGTATCAACAAGTGGCCTGACTTGGCAATGGCAGCTTCTCTCCTTTACCTTGCCTCCTCGAGCGCGCCCTCCGCCGCCACCAGTCGCGAGAAGATCTCGTCGAGGCGGGTACTCTGCACCCTTCAACAAGGAACGTGAGTGATGATGATGCCGCCCCCGCACAAATGTGCATCTGCTAACCCAGCCTGGGCAGGCTACGTCAACGCGCAATACCGCTTCCTGGTCAAGCCCACTGGCGATTACACCGCCTTTTTCGCAGATGCAGACATCTACTTGAACTGGTCCGACATCCTGACTGTCCTCATACCAACCTCTTCCGCCTTGTCGAGCGCGTCATTCGCATCCTCGTCGAATCCGAGCAATCCGGCCATCGACACGCACGAGGGCGGCGCCTGCCCCATCTGCCTCAGCCCGCCCACTGCACCCCGCATGACAAAATGCGGCCATGTCTTTTGCTTTCCTTGCATCCTTCACTACCTCTCCATCTCCGATGTGCCCTCCGGATCCACCACTCCGACTGCCTCTTACCACGGCCACTTTGTTCCTGGCGCAGCGGGACATCGAGGCGGCATGTCTTCTACACCGCCGTCGAGCCTCTCGGTCCCCAATACGCCACCAAAGTGGAAGCGATGCCCCGTCTGCTGGGACTCGGTGTACGCACACGATCTCAAGGCGGTCCAGTGGTGGGATGCGCGGTCCATCGCTCAGGTGCATGACACTCACGAGGATCGCGATACCCAATCCGAGCGCCGCAGCTCCAACGAACAACAGATGCTTTCGATGCGTCTGATCGAACGACCTCATCTCACCACCCTGGCTCTTCCCCAATCTTCAACTTGGCCGCTTCCCTCGTCTTCGTCTTCATCTCTTGATGTCAGTCACGTCCAGCCTATCATTGCTCAACACTCGGCTCCTTGGCACTTCCAGCCAGACGTCATGGCTTTCTGCAAGTTCATGCTGGCGACACCCGACCTTCTCTTTGAGAACTTGTCGCACAACCTCGACGAACTAGAGGCTGAGCGCTCTCTATTGACGTCCTTTGGTGGAGGTGGAAGCTATGACGATGGAGCGGGCTTGCGCTTTGTTGAAGTGGCCGAGGCCAAGGTGCGAGAACAGATGGGCAAGGTCGAGACGGAGCTCAACACACCATCGGTGCGCAGCGCAGTTGGACTGGCCAAGAACGATTTAAAGGAGCACGAAGAGGTTGAGCGAGGAAAGAGAGAACGGGATAACGAAGCTCTCAGCCGGAGAGAGAGGAAGAGGAGAGAGAGGGAGAGGGAGAGGGAGAGGGAAAAGATAGACCAAGAGAGGGCTGGAGAAGACGAGGGAGAAAAAGATAGGGATGGAGAAGTAAATGTGGTTGGAGAAGGTGCAGATGCAGGTGCAGCTGCGGACTACATAGCCTTTAGGGCCGTGTCTCAAGGAGGTGCCATGACACCAAGACCCAAGGCCGGCGGTGACACAAGTCCGAACAAAGATCGAAACGATGCGCAGCTTGACGATGGCGTTCGTCGAGAGTCTAAATCGTATGGGAGAAATCGGCGCAACGTCAATCCACCGGCGCCCTCCAACTCGTCCTTTCTCTACTTTCAAGCTGCTTCGGGTCAGAACATCTACCTGCACCCGCTCGACATCAAGGTGCTTCTTTCGGTCTTTGGATCCTACAGCGCTTTCCCAAGAAGTCTTCGGCTCAAGATCCAAGGTGCCGACGAAGGGAGTATGAACGACGAGCTCAAGAGGCGATGCAAGTACCTCGGTCATCTGCCAAAAGGTACTGACGTCGTCTTTGTCGAAGTTGATTGGGAGTCGATGACGAGTGTGGAGGGAGAGGAGGAGGCGCTGATCAAGAAGGCGACATTAAAGCCGTACGAGCAGGCGCTGAAGCAACGCAAGAACAAGCGAAGAGACCGAGAGAGGCGAGAGGACCGGGCAAAGAGTAGAGCAGAAGAGGCAGCTGGAGTTCCAGATGCGGCAGCTGCGCGAATGTCAAAAGGAGGAATTCCGACAAGAGGAACAGCCACCAATGGCACCGCCTCTCTCCATGGTCTTCTGCATCATCAGCACCATCAGGGAAGCCCAGACATTCTTGGAAGCAGCCTCGGAAGCAGCACAGGTGGCAATGGAGCGCAGAACAGCTTGTCGGGGCTGGACACGTCCTCGTCTACTTCTGATTCGCCCTCGTTCAGAGAGGCGGCCCTGTTTGGAGCCGAAAGAGAGTTCCCAATCCATCCTGTTGGCGAAGAAGACTTTCCAGCAGTGCCTGGTGGCGCGACCCTCGATGATGATCGAGGCGACCGCGAAAGCCAGCAACCCCGGCCTGCGCAGGCAGTTCCCTCGAGAAAGGTCAAGACGACTGTCTGGGGCACACCGGCGCCGTCTTCCTCGGGCTCCTTTGCCAACGTTTTGCATTCCAGCTCACGTGTGGGGCAGGCACCGGAAGAGGAAGGACCAGACTGGGATGCTTGGCTAGAGCTGGAAGAGGACTTTATCGTGGGAGCTAGGAGCGGAGGCAACTCGGTAAAGGACAGCAGAGGGCTGAACCGACAGGTGAGAAAGGGCGCCGGCGGTGGGCCGCAGGGAGTCAAGGCCAACACGGGGGTAGGCTCGAGCGGCGGTGTTGTGTCGATAGAGGCAAGGGACGGGCCGGCTCTTGGCTTTGGGGAAGAAGACAAGAAGCCTCATACACCGCCGCAGGAGCCGGGACCTGGCGCAGGAGCAGGCGCAGGAGCAGGAGCGGGCAAGAAGCAAGCAAAGAAGAAGAAGCTGGTCTTGACCTCTGGAGGAGGTGGTCGAGGGGCACGGTAGGAGGAGGGCGGTTTGGAAAGTATTTCATCATCACTATCGACAGCAGTAAACAGCATCATTCATGGTACTTTTAGAATCAAATACATGTTGAAGACGTATGGACTCACGAATTGGTTCCAGTGCGATCATATCCCCTCGCTAGCTTGATCACACACAAAAGAAATGATGTCCAGATAAGAATTGCTAATGTGCGAAGTGCGTCTTGATGACTGTACTGTACAAATACATGAATAGATGGCGAGAGGAGAAAGGTGCTGCAGCGCGCCTTTAGCCGTTGAACTTGAACCGATTCCTCAGACGCTCGCCCTTTGCGTACAGCACAATGGGCACAGGAACGGCCAGGAGGGCAATAAAGGCAATGATGCTGCTGCCCCACCCGTAGCCGCATTGGACAAAGAGCTGTTGGCTGAAGAGGGGAAAGACGGCGGCAAGAATGGAGCGGACCAAGACGGCACACGCTGTGGCGGATGCGCTGTAGGGTATGAATGCGTCGACGAGATAGACGAGAATGGACTGGAATGGCAGGATAGAACCCACGCCAACCAGGAAGCTGCCGACGAGGGGAAGCATAAAGTGCGCACGAGACTCGGCGGCCCAGCCAAAAACGAAAAGACCGCAGGGGAGAATGATCATGCCGAGCAAGCACAGCGGAAGGCGATACTCTGGCCTTCCCTTTAACGGTGGCTTCGACGTTATCAATACTGGGGCTGGCTGTGGAGAATCCACGGGGGAGGACGTGGAAGAGGCAGTAACAGCAACGGCTGCAGATGAAGACGGCCCAGCTTCGTTGCCGCCCTTTTCGAGATCTCTTGCCTGGGCTTCTGCTGCCGTCTGCCTTTTCTCATTTTCGAGCTTTGCGGACTTCGAAGACGCAGCCGCCTCGAGGCTCTTCAACATCTTCGGTCGAACTTCTTCACGATCCAAAGTGAAGAGGAACCACCCGAGGCGACCATCGGCGAGTACCAGGCGTGCGTAGATGGTATCCTGGAGCAGCACGTTGATCGTTGCGGCCGTGATGAAACCGAGTCCGAGGCCGAGGTAGGTGAGGCCAGCTATTCCGTAGCCCCAGTTGTAAGTGGGAAGGATGATGGGCGACGGCGAGTCCGGTGATTCTCTTCGCTGGAAGAGAAGCGGGTGCTGCGTCAAGAAGAGGAAGATGGTGCCGTAGATGTAACCCATGTATACGCTGAAGATTGCGCAGATGGGGTTGGTGAAGAGGAGGCGGAACGGTCGGGAGAAGGCGAGTTTCAGCTTGGTCCTCATCTCCTCACTTGGTGTGATGAGTTGTATGGCACGGCGGAGAGACGCGACCGAAAGGGGCGGCGCGGGCGCGTGAAGAGCGGCTGGTGGTACATTCGCGTTGAGGGCCAGCTCGTCGCGGTGCGCCTCGACTACGTTGGCGTCGACCACGGCGTGGGCGGCTAGGATTTCCGCATTGCGCAGATGCTCCTTGACGAGCCGCCCGCGTTTCTTGCGCAACAGCACAGGGCCGAATGTCTCTCGCAAGAAAATGGCCACAATGATGGCAATGGCCCCCGACAACTGCGCGATGATAAGATTTAGACGTCGCGCTCACGGCTCTCTTTATACTGCATCACTCACGATAGTCAGGATCCAGAGCAGCCACCGCCAAGACCGGAGTTCTTGGGCAATCCAGCCGCCGGCAATTGTACCGCACACGGGGCCCAACAACGGCCCGAGACCATAGAGCGACTGTGCCTTTCCCCGCTCGTTTGGCGCAAACATGTCGCCCTTAAATGGACTGATCGTCAGCTCGTGTGAGGAGAAGCAGAGCGCGCCATCAAGATATGGGGCCTTCTTGTTGCAATTTTCTATACTCACAATGCTACCAGCACCTAAGCTGGGGCCGGCACTTCCCGCGGCACCGGCCATGAAACGGAGAAAACAGAGGGCTGGGAAATTGTCGACGAGTGCAGTAGAAATGTTGAAGAGGATAAAGATGAGGCTGGAGACGAGATATACGGGTTGCCTGCCCTTGAGCTCGCTGGTGGGCGCCAGAACAAAGGGACCCATCCCGAGGCCGAGGACAAAAAAGCTGACCGGTAACAACGAGAGAATTCGAGAGCGAAGATGATATTCTATATCGATGAATAGGCTGCCGGGCACCACGACGGAGGAGCCAAGGGGGCTGATGAAGCCCATAAGCGAGATGATGGCGACCATTGACCATTTGCGGTGCGGGGACCAATTTCTGGGGTCTTCAAAGCCCTGAAGCTGTACCGTAGAGGGATCGAACGGTGCCGGTACAACCGCATGATGCTGTTCCTGTTGCTCCTGCTCCCGCTCCTGCTCCTGCGTCGGCTTTTCGTTGCTGGTTATAGTTTCCACCATCACCGCAGATGGCGCTCCCCCTGGTTTAGACATGTGTTCGTAGGAGGTGAAGAGGGGAGGAAGGTGTGAGTCCTTGTTCAGGTCGACATCGCGCACGGCCAAATGAAGGGAGAAGAAAGTATTCCCAGGCAGGTGAGAAGCAAGCCGCCGGCAGGCAATCGTGCAGGACGAGGCTGCCTTGCTTGGTTATTGCTCGATCTCTAGGCCCTTGTATCGAGTAGTGACTGAAGACAAGGGAAGCCCTGCCGCTCCTCTTTCTTCGCTGTAGCTGTAGCTTGCAGAAATCGTGCTAGTAGTAGTAGTAGTTGTTGTAGTAGTAATAGTAGAGCTGTCGGCGGAAGAAGCAATTGCGAGCATGTCGGGAAGACCCCATTCTCTCGTACGACGGGACTTGCCGAATCGTGCCGTGCCGTTTGCAGCACAGCGTAGCCCAGTGACAAGGGAGAAGGGAGCGGAAGGACCCTAGGCAGAGGACCCGGTCCCGGAACGGTAGTGTGCTTTGGCTGCGCAATACTACTCGTGCGCGGCTGCCTGTCGTCAGAGCCGAAGGCTCAAGGATAAAAGGCAATGAATGAGAATGCAGCCGGGGGGGAAAGGCAGGTAGATCATTAAAAAAGTGGCTGCGAAGCCGGTCGGCATCCTCGGCACAAAAAGAAGCTAATGTTGAAGCCAAGACAAGTCAGGAGGCCTATGCGCACGTAGTGCCTATTTATGGTCGAAAAACCGTGATTTATCTAGAATTTTTTCCGCTCAAACGCATGCTACCTGCTGCAGGTGGCCTGCTCAATGGTACAGTACATTTGCAAGAGAGAAGAAGAGTACCTCGAGCACAACGCCATCATCTTAGGTACGTGCCATGCGAACAGGTTGTGATGCCATGCATTTTGCACACAAGGTGTGTGGGTGGCCGCGGACGTGAGGCGGAATCGGATCGGGAAGCAGTAAGAAAAGTGGCGGACGGACCGGGACGGTGAATGAAATGTCTCGGCTGGGTTGTCCAAAATGAAAGAAAGTCCAAAGAGCGACATGAATAGAAAGAAAGGACATCGAGATTGTCATTTTGGTAGTGTTACAACATCAGTGAGCGCGTAGGGAGAGTGGAGGGAGTGAGCGAGCCGGCAGACGGCATGATTCTAGCTCAGCTCAAAGCCGCTTGCCGCAAGAGCCACAGCCAGCTCCGAGTCGAGATAGGAAGAAATGGCAATTTGGTCCGCCAGACCCTTTCTACGCCGCGTCTTGAGCGTGACATCTCTCGCCAGCCCCAGAGCAGGCGCGGGCTCGAGCGGGCGAAGCTTGATGTCCTTGTCCAGTGGGTCGCCAGGCACAACGGCATAGTGGCTGAAGACCTGCAGGCAAAAGGCCTGCCCCTGCGTGTGCGTCCGAAGATCCGTCTCAAAGCCGTTTGCGTCGAGAACGGGAATAAATGCACGAACGGTGAAGAGAGGGCTGCCGGCTTTGGGAACGTCTTGCGTCACATGGCCTCGTCGTCTCGCCAAGACGGTGTAGACGGCCGAGACGCAGTCGGCGGGCGCTTGCACCTCGACAAAGTAGATGGGCTCCATCAATCTCGGCGTAGCAAGCAGCATCGCCGCATAGCATGTCCGCCTAGCAGTTGGGATCAGTTGACCACCACCACGGGCGATTGGCTGATCGGCGAGCTGAGCGTCAAGGATGCGGAACTTGACATTGCGCACCGGCTCATCTGCCAGAGGACCTTCTCGCGTGCCCCACTGGAACCCTTGCTTGATGCTCTCACGGACCGTGTACAGGAGCTTCTTGTCGACCTCGGACGGCAACGTATCGTCGACGAGGATGTTTGGCCCACCATCGTCAGGTCCAAAGGCCCAGATGGACCTCGAGGCGAGGAGATCCCAGCCGTACCTCTCCTGGAAATGCTTGCCAAGTTCTCTAGGTGGCATATGGATGTTCACCCGTCCTGATTCGATGTCCTCTGCGATGCCCTTCTCGAGTGGCTCGGCGATGATCGTGATCTTATTCTTTCGGTTGGGCGTTTGAGCATAGCACTTGACAGCGCTCGTCTCGACGACTGTCTCTGCAAAGCGCACGACGGGGTTGCTGATCTTGATCTCAATTTCGCCGAAGAGCTTCCGCAGGTCATGCATGACGCAGTCGAGGTACAGCTCGCCGGTGCCCAAGATGATGTGCTCACCACTCTCCTCGACCTTTGTCACCGCGAGTGGGTAGCTCTTGTTGATCTTTCGCAGGCCTTCGAGCATCTTTGGCAGCTCAGACGGCACCAGCGGCTCGACAGCCACCTTGAGCACTGACTGCGTCATGTGGGACAGTGGCGCGATGATGTGCAGATCCTCCGGGTCAATGGAGGATGCGACGACGGTACCAGTCTTTGTGATGTTTGCGTCGACCCCGCTCAACGATGCCCAGCACCCTGCCGGAATGCCCTCTGACTCGACCGAGTAGCGACTCTCGTGTACCCACACGCCTTCGACAGTCGCCATGACTGAGTCTTCGTCGTCGTCTTGCGAGAATCCTTCGCCAAGCACCCTGACACGATCGCCCACCTTGACAGTTCCACTGAGTACCCGACCCAACGCCCTGAATTCGAGTGCGTCCGTTGTCTGCAGCAGCTTGGAGACGCCAACCACCAGGGGCCCGTCTGCGTCGCATGCCCTCATCGACTCGTACAAGCTTCCAGCCTTGGGACCGGTCCAGATGCGGTCTATCTTTTTGGCAGCACCTTCCTTGGGTGAGGGGACATTGTCGACGATTATGTCGACGAGGCCAGTGCTTTCGCCGAAGAAGTGACGCAGAACAAGTTTGAGGAGTGGCCGGACGTCGATTTTGAAAACAGCTGGTCTAAGGTGGATACCAAGAGAGGAAAGTGTTGCCCGGAGGCTGTCTGTGTCGCTCGAAAGGACCTGCGTATAGAGCTTGTAGAGTGGCTCGAGGATGAAGTGGACAAAGGATCGCTTGGCTTCTGGGTCGGGGGCCTTTCTAGAGAAGTTGCGCGACTCTGGGCTGTAGTAGATATTACCCCAGAGACGCTTGGCGAATTCCTCGACGTCAATGCCTCCGTAGGTGTCGGCATACATTTGTGCAAAGGATCGCAAGGTGAAGCACCAGCCAGCTTGTGTCGAGGCAAAAGCAACATTGCCCCTTTCGGGTCCGAGCTTCCGCGCGGGATCAGTATCATGCGAGGCAATGACATTGTTGACTTCGTCGATGGCATGGCGGATCTTGAAGTAGGCTTCCTGAGGTGGCAAGCGGAGCTCCAGAATGAGCCGGTCGATCTTGTTGAGGACCAGTACGATGGGGAGTCCCTCTCGGATGGCATGCTTGATGACGGCCTCTGTGCCCACCATTACGCCCTCAATGACATCAACGACGAGAATGATGCCATCAGCCACCCTGACGCCCGCCGCTACCTCGTCTTGAAAGTTTGGGTGGCCAGGGGTATCGATGAGGTTGACGAGGTAAGACTTTGACCTGGTATTCGACAGTACGAGCGAGAGGGGCGAGGACTTGATGGAGATCCTTCTACTCCTCTCCAGAATGTGCGTGTCGGTGTAACGCATGCTCCTATCTACGTCTTCCTCCATTTTGTGCGTCTCGAGGACAAGCATGTCCATCAAAGATGTTTTGCCGTGGTGTAGATGACCGACGACAGCGACGTTGCGAACCATGTCGGGAAAGCTCATGAGATTCATCATGAATGCACGCTCGAACCTTGTTTCGGGCAAGTCCTTCTCCTCTATGGCAAATTTGCGGATCTTGACCGGCTCGACAATCGGTTGCGTCAGCGGCTGCGCATCCTCCTCCTGCACCATGGTCTCTACGTCGTCGCCATACACCTCGTTGGCTGATGGGTAGTACTTCTTGTCCTCGTGCAGAACGACAGCGTTCTGCGGTGCCTCATCGACCTGCATCAGCGCCAGACCTTGTTCCTCGGTCCTCTGCAGCCTCGCCCGCGCGGCAGCCCCATCATCCATATCATCATCGTCGTCGTCATCGTCGTACCCTTCCAACGGCGGTGGCTCGTCGCCCATTCCTTCGAGCGGCGGCAACTGCTCCTCCTCCTCCTCCTGGCCGCCCACATCCGAGCCTGCATCGGAGTCCGACAGCGCTCCGATGTAGTTCCCGAACTCGTCGTAATCGTCCATCTTGCTCGCTTCCCTTCCTTCGCAAGTCAGTCTCGAGAAGCAAGAGAAAATCAAGCATCCGCGTCGTCGTTCCTTCTGAACAGGTACTGGCTTACATAAGATCTGAAAAAATAAAAAATAAAAAATAAAAATCATGGGCGGTGGCGCGCCCCCTCATTCCTCTAATCTCGATGCGTTCTTTGATGGTGAGACACGACCAGGAAGAACTGCATCAACTAGTCTAGAGCAGCTAGAGTTATAAGGTCAACTGGTCACAAGAGCAGAAACGACAGCGGACCCTCGACTAACCAGTACGCACACCGTTTCCTTCTCCCCCTCCCATCTCCGAAGGCGCACACTATCAATAAAGATGGCTCAAGCATTTGCAACGGCCCTTGCAAGGCAGCAAGCAGCCGCCAAGCTCACTCCGAGCTCCATCATGTGAGTCTGGCAAAAGTGCACTCACGCCAAGGAAGGGCGAGAACGCATGTTTACTGATGCTGGATGGCCTTTATCAGGATTCCCATTATCCTCCGCACCTTCTCGCCCCTACCCCCGCTCCTTTCGTTTGCCCTACCGGCCAACGCCACCATTGGGCTGATCCTCTTGACGCTCATCCAGCAGCTCCGGCTGCCCGCCAAGGTGGCCCAAATGCTGCGTCTCACGCGTCTCGGCGGCCAGAGCGTGGCCACCAACACGACCGTTGGCCAGCTCGGGGGCATGCAGCTCGTGCAGACGGCCCAGGGCCCCGCGTATGCGGTCCAGCCGCTCAACCTCGAGGTGCGCATGGGCATCCGCGGCGGAAAGGGCGGCTTTGGCTCCATGCTGCGCGCCCAGGGCGGCAAGATGAGTGCAGGTCGGCGCAAGAACGGCGAGGAGAACAACGATAGCTGCAGGGACCTCAATGGGCGCAGGCTCAGCACGATGAAGCAAGCCAAGCTCCTCGCAGAGCACCTGGCCTCGCAGGACGAGCGGAAGCGCGAGATGGACATGAAGCAAAAGGCAAAGTACGCCAAGCTGGAAAAGATGCTGGGAAGGAAACCGAGCGGGGCAAAGGACTTTGAGGAGGCGGCAAGAAGGCTCGACGAGCAGGGCGGTGCGCTCGACGACGACGACAGCGACGGGGTGGAACGAGAAGAGGGAGACGACAAGGGCGAGGGCAGTTCGAAAGGCTCAGGAGGAGGTAGTGGCATTGGCAGCGGCGTGACAGCAACCAAGAAGAAGGGCAATGAGCAAAGGGGAACGAAGCGTGAGCGAATCGACGACCACGAGTACATTGAGCAGAGCAGGGAGATTGTCGACAATGTCCGAAGTGCCGTGGCGGCAGCCATGATGAAGAACAAGAAGAAGAAAAAGACAACAAAGCAGACTACCGCTTCTCCAAGCCACGGCGAAGCTTCTGCATCTGCATCCCAACCCAAGGCTCAGACTGCTTGATGCAGCTTGGGAGTTGTGCCACATCTTACGATTCGTTATTCCCCACATTGCAACCTTTTGTTACATAAACGCCTCGCTTTCAGACCTATACGACACAATGATGCCATGATTAGATCACTACTTCCCAGGCAGCAACGCTGTGAAAGGTCCCGGGTCTGCTTGCCTCGTGTTCGCTATGGCCTGCTGCTGTTGAGGCGGGGGCATTGGACTGAGCCAGTGTGGGGGCAGACCCATGGGTCCTTGCGTGCCGTTGGGACTGCTGTACGCGTGTGAAGAGGATCCTGGGTAGTCCATCATCTGTTGCGGGTGATAGTATCCTTGCGGTGGCCGGGAGAATGGCGGCTGTTGGTAATGATGGGGTGGCGGTGGCATGGTAAGGGGAGGAGGACCACCCCAATGTGGCGGAGGAGGCGGTCGCTGAGGGTGCTGTGGTCCCGGCAAAGCTCCGTACATGGCCGCCAGGTGTGGTGGAAGCGGGCTCACTTCATGCGGTGCATGAGGAGGAGGTTGATGTGCAGTCCTCGCATGGGGGCTTGAGCCATTGAGAACAGCAAGCAGGCCGTTGGAATCCTGCGATGGAGCGTCGGCATTGCCCTGCTGTTGCATCTGCGACGAGGGTGCTGCGCCAAAATTGAGCATGGCCAGTAGGCCAGACGTCTGAGCGTCGTTCGACAACATGGGAGGAGGCTGCTGTTGCCATTGTTGTTGCTGTTGCTGCTGCTGCTGCTGCTGTTGGTGGTGATGTGGGGCCGCATAGTGTCCAGGCGGCAGCGGAGGCGGCGGAAGGTGTTGCTGAGGTGCTGGTGCAGGCGGGAAGCGAAAGTCGTTTGCACGCCGCCGCTGTGCCTCCTCCTCTTCCTGTTGCCGTCTAGTCTCATCACCGCTGCGACCATTCAGCATCGACAGCAGGCCGTTAGAAGGCGCGTCTGTATTTTCTTGAGCTGGCTGAGCAGCTTCTCTCAAAGGCTCGTTGAGCTGCATTTGTCCGCCGACCAGATTGGCCAGCAAAGCATCGCGTTTCCGAGCACGCTCTCTCTCCTTTTCGTCGACTGGTGCTGCTTGAGACTGAGCATTGGGCTTGTCCTCCAGATGCTTGCTGGGGTGACCAGCCGAGATCGAAATGGAACCTCCAGCAGGGCTGATGAGATCCAGCAGGCTCTTTTGCTGGGCTGTGTTCTGCGCTCGCGGCGCGGGCAAGGGCGAATCGAGGGGTCGGTGGAACGTGTTGGAGGGAAGAATTGGTGGGAATTGCGCCATCATCGCTGGCGTTTGCGCAAGCTGTGACACACCATATTGCTGCCGAGATGTCGGCGGTTCGGCGGTGCCATTGAGAAGCGAAAGCAGCATTGCTGATTGCCCTTGTCCAGGTGCGCCTAGTTCCGAGGCTTTACCCGCGCCCGCATTGAGAGCGGCCAGTAGCGCAGCTGTGCCGCTCTCCCGATCATCCAGCTGCCGAGATGGGGTAGATGTGGACGGCGTCTGGCTCTTGAAGGTATGCTGCGGCGAGGAAGCGTAGCCAGTCTCTGATGCAGAAGACGACGAGCCTCTGAGAAGGTCGAGGAGCTGCCTGCTACGTGCATCTCCCTGTGCCTCGATCATTTGCGCTCCTCGACCCTGCATTGGCAAAGACGGTGCCGATGCGCCTGCGCCGCCAGCATTGCCTAGTCCGAGCAATGCCTTGAGACCGTCGGTAGACGCCTCTTCCGCTGGTTGCAGCTGTTTACTCATAGAGGACGCTGCAGACGCCGTGGGAAAGAACGTGCTGCTGTCTGGAAACAAGAGCCCCTGAGACGGTTTCGCGGCTGAAGAGGAATGCCCGTTGCGCATAGCTGCCGGTTCCTTTGGCGCTCCTTTCGGCGTGGCTCCACGCAATGCTGCTGGTGCCGTGGGTGGGTCACTCGACTGGGCGAAGAGGAAATCACTGTCCGGCGGTGCGATGGCTGGCCTGTAGGCGTGCGAGGCTTTGTTCTCGTTGATCCATTGCTTGAGCTTGGAAATGAAGGGCGAGATGAGGTAGAATTTGCCTCCCATACCGGCTGGTGGCGCCTTGTTCTTTTTCCACGTCGGCAGATCCGACAGCTTGAACCACGCAATTTTCTGTGCGGAAATGAGACACCTTCCCTTCAGCAGGCTGCGAGGAAGAGAAACTCCATTGCGATAGCACGCACCGAAATCTCCTTTCTCGTGAGCGTCTCAAAGTGCGTCGACTCGTCAACACTGGGGACTATGTAGAGCTTGATCTTCTGCTCGCGCATCGTCAGCTCCATGAAGTCATTGGAGTCGTGTGCAAGAAGAGGCCCGCAGTCAAATCCCGTTTCCTCGTATACTTCTCGGACGGCGCAGTCTCTCTCGCTCTCCTTCTGGTTGATTTTGCCCTTTGGGAAACCCCACGCCGAGCTCGACTTCCACCCTTTCACGAGGAGGCACTGAAGAAGAGGACAAGTCTTGGTCAGTCTGATGGTTGAAGAGAGCACACGATTGTGAGAAAGGTAACCCACCTTGTCCCAAGCTCTGTTGAGCATCACGACGCCGCAGACGGGCACCCTCGTCTTGTACTTGAGAAACTCGTCAAAGGCCGCCTCCAGGTCCTGCTGGTTCTGCTTTGTGGACGATGCCGAGATATAGCGCTGGATGAGCGGGACAGTCATGGCCGATGTATGCAGCAGATAAGACGAGAAGCGTCGAAGCGAAAACGACGGTAGCGATGGATTGAGCGGTCGCAGAAAATCCTCATAGAACCAGTGTCTTGTGTAAGAAGAGCAGGGTGAGAAGCCGAGCGTCTCTATCTTTCGCTCTCTATTCTGCAAGACTCACGCCTGTTCGACTTGGAAACATATTCGCTCGATGCTGGCCAGCTCTTCGGCAGGTAGGTTGACAATGAAGCGGCTGCTCAGATCTTCTAGCACTTCTGCGAACGAGAGCGAAGCATAGGCCGATGTTGCGGATGAAGACGAGGCGGTGGCCATCTCGCCTCCGTCTACCGCTCCAGCCCCTGCTCCTTCAGCCTTTGCCCCTTTTGCCATGGCTTTGACGCTGCTCCTGAAAGGGATCTGTTACTTATCGAGCCTAGGTGTCGAGCAGTGAAGAAGAGAGAGAGAGCACTGCGAACGCCGAATGCGCCAACGACGAGCTTCGAGCTCAACTCCACCTTGAGCGCGTACTCACGTGTCTATCTATAAAACAGAGCTCGCCCATCACAGTCAGAGTTAGAAAGGACGGAAAACCTGCTTCCGCTTTTTGCCATTTCCCAAGCAGTGGTAGTAGCAACAAGTAGTCCTTGCTCTACAGCAAGAGACAGGTAGGACACGAGAAGAGGAATAGGGGAGAGGTTGTGTGTGAACAGAAGAAAGAATAGAAATGTGTACAAAACAGTGCTGAGATTGTTATATTTATTGTCCATATGCTTGCAGTATTTCCCACCCATCGAGTCGATCCTCGAGCTGTTTTTAGGCCGTGAGGGCAAAGGCCATCGAGACGAGGGCGATGAGGGAGAGGACAGGGACTGCGGCAGAAGCAGGAGCTGACGAAGAAGTAGTCGTCGACTGCGACTTCTGGCTGCTGGAGGCCGAGCCGCCGGTCGAGTCACCCGAAGCGGACGTCTCTGAGGCAGCAGCGATGGGGTCGTAAGAGGCCGAAGGCTGAACCTTGATGTTGGACGAGGTGGGAATACCAGAAGGCTCGATGTTACCCTTGACGTAGTCGGCGAAGTTGGGGTAGGTGATGTCTTCGGGGTAAGGCTTCGTCTCGTTCATGCAGGCCGTGATGGGGACAATGTTCTTGAACTTCTTCTGGATTTGAGGGTAGAAGCTCATGAACTCGGCCATCGTCTCGGCGTCAATTTCATGGGTGAGGACGATGTTGCCAGTGGTGCTGTAGTCCTTGCTGAGAATCTTGTTGTAGTTGGCGTCGATAGATGACTTGGGAAGCGTACCCTGCGGCTCGATCTTCCAGTCGTCGGTGTCGTCGGTCCAGATGTTGGTGGAGAGACCGAGACCTGTGGCAATGGCGCGGACACGGTCGTCGACGTCGCCAAAGGGAGGGCGCCAGCAGCGGGGGGTCACGCCAGTGATATCCTTGATGGCCTTGGCGGTGTAGTAAAGCTCGGCAAAGACGGTAGGGTTGTCGAGCTGGGTCATGTACTGGTGCGACCAGGTGTGAACACAGACGTGGTGTCCCTCGACGATGCCGCGCTGCGCTTCAAGGGGCCAGTCCATGACATTGGAGCCAATGTAGAAGAGCGAGGCCTTCTGCTTGTTGTCGCGGAGGAAGTCGTAGAAAGCGTTGTGGGAGCAGTTGGGGCCGTCATCGAAAGTCAGACCCCAGGTTTCGGGCTCAGGGCACTGGTAGATGTCATCAGGGATCTTTGAGTGCTTGGGCGTGACACAGTTGTTGTAACTCCACCAGCAATCGGGATCCGACTTGCTGTAAGTGGGCGTGACGCTGGTGAAGTCGCCCTTGCCGCCAGTGCCCTTCTGCTTGACGTCCGAAGGAATGATACCCGACTGCTGAATTTCATTCCAGACATTGTTGGCCGCAGTGTCGCCAGAGACAATTGCAGCCGACTGCCACACGGTGGGGAATGAGCTCTTCATAGCGGCCACCTCGGGCAGCGAGTAGGCCTGGCACTCCTGAGCGGCCACGGTGTTCGTGGCGGCCGAAGCCTCGTCCGTCACCGAAGGCGAGGGGGCCCTCTTGACATGGGTCAGGCTGCCCGCACCGTGGGCATCCCGCTTGTCCATGAGGTTGTGAGGCACACCGCGACCGATGTGAGCCACGGCCTGGCCTGCCGTCGACAGGGCCAGGGCGGCAGCGACGATGGAGTACTTCATGATGGGAAAAATTAGATGAGATGAAACAGAGCAGTGATCGAGAAAACCGTTACGGTAAAGAGAGTGTCGTTGTCGTCAGCGCTTCGCTCTTGTCGAAGCCTGGTTCAAGGAGTGTCGGAGACGCCAAAGCGGGGTGGGGGAACGGAAACAGATCCTGTTGTTGATGGTGGTGGTGGTGGTAACAGAGAGAGGGGCTGTTAAGAGAGGAGAAAACTCTGACCACCTCAGCCCACCCGTGGCTTCGTCTTGCGAGACTGGCTGCCTCCCCGTTTACGCACGACAGCCCTCATTGCGCATCTCAAGCGAGCTGCCGGCGGCATTTGTTTGGGGACCTTGTGCAAAAATAAAAATTAAAGCGGGAAACCGAGGCAGTACAAAATCAGGCAAGGGTTTTCGTATCCTTGCCGCATGCCATCGGCACAGGCGAAACCAAATGTAATTTAAAAGCAAAAAAGGAATACCTCTCCTACGCTACAAGGGAAAAAAAGGGGCCACCAAATTTCCAGCAATCGAAATGTTCTTTCCCCGGCGGCTTGCCTGTGCAATGCGCCCCTCGGCACAGCTGGTATGTCTGCGAGGACGACGACGGTTTCTATTCAGGGTACACCGGCCTGCGCTAGGCGCAACATCGTATCACTCTGCCCACTACTACTAGTGGGCCAGCGATCAATCAGGCATGAGGAACGGAAAGGAAAATCACCGTACTCTTGGATATCGACGAATTAGATTGAGAGTTGGACACCGATGCTGCTCCGTCGAGCTGGTCACTGGACTGTCGCACTAATGTTGGAGTACAAAGAACACATTCTAATACCTGCGGGGACGAAGCGCATGTCACCTGCAACAACTATGTTTCTACGCTTCGATCTGGAAGCCCTTGATATCGTCGCTTTCGTCTGTTGGTCTCCGTGCCGTACGCTCATTATTCGACAGTATGACGGGGCTCCGCCGCTTGCATCAGTGTCGCGAATCGCTTGGACTCGGCATCCATCGCAGCCTTGTCGAAAGCCTCTATTGATAGGACAAAAAGACATCATTTTCGCGCAGATCTATGGCAAATTAGATACTCTACACTCCATATGAGCTGGCGATGAGCCCGAAACGGACGCACAAGAAAAAGCTGTTCATTCTTTCCTCAGCGAGCGAAAGGAGAGGGAAGGACAAGCCAGAGCGACGAGCAGCAAGCTCATCCTCTCACGAGGGCATCGGGCGCGGTGAGAGATGCCACGGTGAGATGCCTTACCGTCAACAACTTTGGCTGTCAATGGTCTATGGGAGGGCAGAAGGCCATGCAGCATGGCGCTTTTTCAGCCCTTCAGGAAGCTGGTCAAATTTCATGGTTCTGAGTCGGGTCGAAGGCGCTCTCTGTAGTCACGGCGGTGTTGATCGGAGAATTGCGTGGAGTACCACGTGGCGTGCTTCTAAGTCAGGCACTCTGCTCCCCACCACAGCGCTTGGCTCGCGCCCGACTCAATCTCCGGCCGTCTGCTGCCGAGTAAGCAAGCAGGCACGCTACCAATTGGCCTGTGTACACGCTCTCCGTAACACAGAGCCCGACAGCCAGAGCAGCTGGCTGTTCTTGTCAAAGGCCTCTTTGCCCTGCAGGGTCGCCCTGGACGAGGAGAGGGCAGGCGGCATAGCGCTCATACCCTCCACACACCGGCTAAGCAGGCAATCTTGAGGGTCCAAGCTGGAGAGAAAGAGAGCAAGCAAGCATGGCGGCAGCAGCGGTGGCAGATCGAGTCGGGGCCAGTCTGTCTTGGCTGAGCTCGCACGTGTGGACGCCAGGTGGCTTAGTCTTCGACGCCAGCTCGATGCCGTTCATGGACTCTCAGCCTGCACTGGCTTCGAGAAACACAGCTGCCGTCTCTCACCCAGAGATGGACCAGCACTACCCTGGAGGAGAAGACGAATCAGGATCATGGGACATGAGCGAGTCACCCTGGGGGTTTGTGGCCTCGCGATACGCACTCACGCTCTCGATTGTGGTGAGTAATGGAACCCTATCCATGGAGTGATTTCCCTCTTTCATGTCCGGCTCACATCTCCATACAAAGGCCGTCGTCGTCAATCGGATCACTCACATCTGCCGACCGCAAGGCAGGCCGAGACCATTGCCGGCGTATCGGCGTCTCATGATCCAGATCCCTACGCTCGTGTTTCTCTCCTACTCCGCTCTAATCCTCACCCTCACTACTGCCCAATCGCTCTCGCCTTCGAGCCAGTATCCCAAGCAGCTCGCATCTCTACTTCGGGTGCCAGATTACGCAAACGTTCTCTTGGACAGTGGGGCCAGCCCGGCGAGCATACACGCTGCCAACGCGACGCTTCTGTGGCACCTATTCCTCAGCGTCTGCGTCGCCGTCCTCTCATCGACGCTGCTGCGCACCCTTGAAGGCCTGACCAACAGCCTCAACCCTGACGACTATGCCTCGAGCCCCACCTTCAATCTCGTCGGCTTCGCGGTCCTGCTTCATCTGCACGCCACCAGCCAAGCTTTCCCGCCCAACAAGCACGTTTGGCTCACCATTCTGCTCCAGGTTGGCGAGGTTCTGGGGCTTCAGATTTGCACTGTCTTCCGAGAGTGAGTAGGCGCAGCGATAATCTGCTTTCTTTGTGTCCGCTTACATGCTTTTGACAGGCCTCCAATTTCTCGGCTCTCGCTCACGACCTTCTTCGGCCTCACTTCCACGCTCCATTACCTCTTGGCCGTCCGATCGGGTGACATGGGCTACCCCTTCCTACAAACATTCAGCCGAGCGCCGGACGTGGCGTTGATTGTAGGTGGCATTTGTATTGCTTGTGATCTGTTCGTTTGGCCCTGACCCTCGCCACCTTACTGCAGTCCATCATCCTGTTGACATTGTTCCTTCACGCGCTTACGACCTTGCTCACCGACACGCCCCTATCCTTTCAGGGGCTCGTCGATCCTCGAGCACTGCCTTCGCCTAGTGACGACTACAGTCTGGCTCTTTTCAAGCTCGGCACTGCATGCTTGAGCTCGACGAGACTCAGCGGCCTCGATGCTGACCTCATCGACATCACAACGGCATCAGAGACATGGGTCGAAGTTCGTGGGTCGACTGTCGTCGTTCGCGAGGTAGACGGATCGATTGCCTTGCCCGACGCCGGCATCGTGGGTGGCCTCGGCCGGGAGATTCGGAGGATCAAGTCAGCCAGGCCCGACGACTTTGAGCAGCCGTCGTACTTCTCATCGTCAGCGAGGGTTAGAGCAGCGTGGACTTTTTCCAAAACACTCTTCCGGACATTGGCCTCTTTGGCAAAGATGATGGGAAGCAGATTCTTGAGGGCGCTGCCCTTTGACCTGCCGCGAACCCCACGGTGGATTCGGCGGCCGATTCGGCGACTGCCGAGAACCATCCGGCTTCTATGGCACGGGACAAATGGCGAGGAGAGGCGGAGAGCACGCATCCAAGAGGCCAGAAGACAGGCAGAGAGGCGAAGCGAGGCAAGGCGGAAGGCGTTGGAAGAAAGGAGCAGGCGTGAAGGCGCTGGCAGGGCCATAGGCACCTCGTCGGCTCTTGACGCTTCTCACACTGCATCGGCTGCAGATATCCGCAGCAGGAGAGCACTTTCGCCTGTCGATGCTGGCACAGCAGCTTCCTCGTGGTACGGCTTCTTCTCACACGACGAGAATTTCGCTGAAGATGATCAGGACGATGAGTGGGTCGAGGAAGACGAGATGCAAGGAAAACTCGCAAAACCCGTCGACAAGAACACAGACGACTATTGGGGTGGTCTTGGTCAAGGCTCGCGCCTGCATGACGAGGGACAGTCAGACATGAGTGAAGACGAGGACGAATGGGAAGACGACGAGCTGAGCGAGGAAGCTGAACAAATCGAAGGCGGAGAGTTGCTCACCCTTGCGCGAGCCGATTTGCCCGATGAAGACTTTTCAAACGTTCTCATGGCGCACCTTTCCCGAAATGAGCAGCAGGGTGTTCTGACGAGGAGAGGCTACCGCCAACTTCTCGGCGGCCACTCCCGAGCAGAAGAGGAAGCCAGCAGGCTCATTGACATCATTCGGGAGCGGAGGACTGCTCCAGCATCGACGGAAAACGATTCAGAGAGGGAGAGAATGCGCCTTTGCGTCATCTGCTACATCGAGGATCGCACCATCATTTGCTGGCCGTGCCGATGCTTGGCTCTCTGTGACGGATGTCGAATCGCTATTGTGACGAGGCCACCACCAAGACACTTCGAGAGCGCATTCGAGTCTTCACAGGCCCGCCCGACCCATACGTGTCCGACCTGCCGGACACCCGTGACAGGCTTCAGCCGAATCTATTCACCATAGTGTATCTCTCTTTCAAATCTGACTAGTGTTTCTCTCGCATGTTGCGCACATTGTGTGATGGGGATTTGATGAGGACTTTCTCGGTCTTGATGGTGAGGTATATTCCATATGCTACATGTTCGTGACGTTTTCCAGCCAATGGTCTTGCCCTCTACCTTATTCTCTTCCATGCTGCTTTGAAGCAACTTTTGCTCGATTGATCACCCTTCAATCCTCCTCCTCCGAAAATCGACCTTCTTGGCAGCCTCTTTGCCTTGCCCATAGGCGTCTTTGTCACGTCTGTCGTACAGAGAAGACGTCAAACTGGGTTCTCCGCTAGACGATGGGAAATTTGCGGGCAAGACTGACCTGTAACCCTTGAATGCTCGGCCTTTCCTGAGCTTAAGCTTTGTACCTTTGAGGTAATCGTCTGCGATCTGTTGCGCATTCTGAGGAAGAGGAATAAGCGACGCTTGGCTCAAATAAGAAAGGCAAAGAGCAGGTACTCACGTTGCGGAAGAGCGTCAACTGACCCATGGACTGCCAGGAGCCGTAATTTTCTTCCACTTCATCAACCTTTGGCTCCTGTTTGACTGGGTTGGATGAAGACGGGCCCTGAGGCAATGATGATGAGGTTGAGTCTATATCCATGGAGGTGCTGGTAAGGTTGTCAGAAGTGGGCTTTATGTCTCCGGCATCGTCCAAGATTTCTTCCTTCTTGACTTTATTCGAGAAGCCCATTGTCTTTTCTTCTTTCACGTCTGAAGCCCGGTTGAGAAGCCGATCTGCCTCCATATCAACGTCGAATTCATCGCCGTCTTCGAAGTGGGCTGGATCATCCATCGTCCCGAACCCTCCTCCAAAATCTTCGGAACCGCCCTCGCTGCCCGTCTCATATTCGGTCTCGCTGTCATCATCATCAAGCGGCCCAGCGATAGGCTCTTCTTCGTACGTGTCGCCTTGCTCCTCTTCCATCTTGATGACAAAATTCGGATCAGGCGGACCTCCGCTGCGTCCTGCCTTCAATCCTACGAACTTGATCTCATCTTCATCGTCCACATCCTCGACTTTTGTCGCCTTCGTGTTGCTGCTATCGGCTGGGAACAGGTCCCATTTCGGCTCAGTCGGACTACGGCTCCCATCGTCCGAAAGGACTTCGATGGCGTCTTCCTTCGTTCCGCTACCTTTTCTCTTCATCGACAGGAGTGGGTCTTGAAGACGAGCGATCTCCTTACGACGCTGCTCTTCGTCGTCTCGAACGGCTGCCTTTTGCTTGTTCGTCTCGGCTTCAATAGCCAGCTTCTCTTCCTTCTTCTTCTCTTGCTTTGCCATTGCATACAGGCCATCAGCGAGGCCGTGAAGATAGCTAAGAGGACCAAAGACATCAGCCTCGCGACATTGGACACGTCGACTTTCTTTCAAGACTTACGAGTTCTTGCCTGTCTTGCCTTTGGCATCTTTGTTCGCCCTTGCCCAATGTAATGCCTGGTTGTAAACCATCTCAAAAGCCAACGCAGCCGCGACGGTGTTCGCGCTGAGTCCGTAGAAAACCCAGACTATGCGTGGGTCGTTCTGCCGACGCGTCTCAGTGTAGCACTGGACATCAAAGAAGATTTTCACAGCTCCTGCCAGGCTTGATGACCACGATTCCATGTTGATGCGCTTTTCCTCGTAGTGCCTGATGGCAACCTGCGAGGAGCCCGCACGCTGCTGCCTTTCCTTTTCCGTTTCGTGCGCAATGACGTCCGCTTGGGTCAGATTGGCTTGGGACAGAAGTCGAGTAGACAAACGAAGGGCTTGACGTGCTTCGTGCTCTCCAGTGCCAGCTAGATGGCGAATGTCAGTCCACTCGCTCATTCACTCGGCGTTACACTCACCATGCTGCGCCAAGGCCAGAGCCTTCCGAATGCGATCGAGTATCGTCGAGTCTACATTGGCTAGTTTCTCCTGGAGATCGACGTCGTCCTTAGTCTCGTCCGTAGCCAGCGACTGGTGTAGAGCATTCAGCGTTCATACCTCCATCGCCTAAGAAGAATGTGTCTGTCTCACCTCTACAGAAGCATATAGACCTGTCTTTCGCTTTTGCTTCGCCTTTGCCGATTTGATTTTCGAAGCAGGGAGCCTCGAAGCAGGGAGCCATTCGCTGCCCGATGGACGATCTTCCTGACCGCTTATGTCTTCTGTACCTGAACGCTTATCGTCATCTCCATCCTCCGATTCGAGTGTGCGCTCACGCTTGAGCCCAGTACCCTCGGCCATTTTTCGTCGGATGGTGTCGCGGAAGACGAAAAGTGGCAGACGCGTCCTTTCCGTGGTGCGCGCAAATTGAAAGTGTTGGACCAGCATAGAGTGTGGAGGGCAGAGTCAGAGTCGACATGGCCCAAAGGAAGCCAATCAGCCTGCAGCCAGCACAGGCTGAGCCTATGAGCTTGCTGCAACGACATTGCGCCAGGCCAGGGGAGCCAAGGCATGCAGCAGCCAGAGGCAAGGATGCTCTTGCTCGACCTTTCTGATTCTGTCCGTTCTGCCGTGCGCTTACCTGATTGCTGGATTGAGAAGGGTCCGATCTCGTCGATTCGAGCCGGCTCCTGTCATAGCCAGGCCAGGAGGACCGACCGTGTATATAAGGCCTTCTACAGCTACTGTTCATCCTGCTCTCCAATCATCACCTCTCCAGCTCGGCCACCTCCCCCGTTTCCCTCTTCAAATCTCTCACTCTCTTTGCACTCACATTCTCTCCCCCAAAGAAGCGAACTCTGACAGAAACTCTATCCTCTCTTCTCTTCCTTTCTGAGACTTCACGATGCAGATTACTGTCGCCTTCGTAGCCTTGGCTCTATTTGCCCAATCCTTAGCCGCACCAATCGAGCGCAGCACCGCCGCCTTCAAGGTCCGTTCGATTGCCGATCCTGACGACTGCCTGCCGACGCGACGACAGGGTCCGCTCCTCGGACTCGATGCCCAGGCCGACACTACCATCAAGGGCAACAATGACGATGATGCCAATGCCGACGTCGACGCAGATGTAAAGCTCTGCTTGCTATTCGGCAATTGCAACGATGACAAGGACGGAAACGCCAAGGACAACAACGTTGACACGAAATCGAGCCCTACTAGCAGCGATCCTACCAACAAGCCCAACGGCAGCGCGACGGTCAAGCCTTCAAATGTGCCGAAGAAGGAGCCCACATTTTCGCCCGTCAACCACAAGGTGAGCAACAGTCTCTTCCATTCCTTTTGAATGATGTCAGCTTATTTGAGCATCTCCCACCTGCTTCCTATAACGATCAAGGGCAATGACAAGCCCGACAACAACGACAAGCCTAGTCCCAAGGAGCACAAAGACAACGTTGGCAAAAGCGCCAATGGTCATCACAAGCCTGGACGTCAGCAATCTACTACAGGTGGCCACAAGACTCAGCACGGCAACGATGGCAGCCACGGCTCCCAGGGCCCTGTCAAGAACAATGGCAACTCGAAGCACCCTGGGAACACCGGCAAGGGTCCCAACGGAAGCAACACCAAGCAAGGCAGCAAGGGCAACAAGAACTCCCACGGCAATGCAAACCGAAAGCCAGAGGGAAGCCTTTCGACCGTCAATCCATCAAGTGACGGTGGCAAGGACAGCAGCGCCACCAAGGGGAACAGAGTCCAGTCGGGTTCCGGCGGCGACGCCAAGGGCGGCAACGGGGGAAGCGCGAACGGTGGCTCGGCTGACTGCTCGACGAGCGGTTCTCTCATCGGCATCAACGCTCTCAACATTGGCAGCTGCAACGGTGGTAGCGGTGGCAATGCCTCGGGAGGATCGGCAGCCGGTGGCGCCGGTGGACTGAGCAGTCTCTTCCGCCGCGAGTACAACAGTGCTGATGCTGTAAGTAAAGATGTCATCGCCCTCTTTCGTCCCTGGATGTCTGACCAAATTTTTCATCCGTTGACCAGACTGGCGGCAAGGGTGGCTCGGCCAACGGTGGCGACGCCAAGTCACCGACTAGGGGAGGCCTGTTGGGTGGCAGCCTCGCCAATGTCGGATCCAACAACGGGTAAGAGATGCACTATCCCTGAGAGATCTGCCAATTTTAATTCTGACCAGCTCTACCCTAATAGTGGCGACGGGGGCGAAGCCTCGGGCGGTGATGTATTTGGCGGCTCAGCAGTCGGCGGCGGTCAACAGACCTCTACTGCTATTCTTTCCAACAACAGCATCCTAGCTGCCGTCGACCTCCTCCATCGGCGTGATGGTTCTCACAGCAAGAGTACCACAACCGTCGCCACTGAGGCGCTCCACGATAGCAATGCAGGCGCTACCTTGAACCGACGTCAGCAAATTGAAGCAATCAAGACCGGTGTTCTTAATCACAATGATGCCCTTGCGTCGATCAAAGCTCGTCAGAACTACGACTCTGCCGAGGATGTTGCCGCCAAGTCCCTTGACAGCAAGGACAAGACTTCTAAATCCGGCCGTCGCCAAGAAGCCCCGCACGACGGTGCCCAGGATCTCGGTGCCGAGTCTCTTGAGGATGGCGACGATGCTCTCAATCCCTCTCACCGTCGAGGACTTGGTAACACCGTTGGCGTCCAAGGTCCAATCAACACAGCCACTGCGGCCGGCAACAGCAACGGCGTTGCCGCCTTCCTCGTGCCTCGCGACGGACTAGCTGAGAACCCCTTTGACACCAGCCAGGACTTCAACTCCGGCAGTAACAAAGGTCCTCAGACGGGCTCTCCCGACCTTGTCTGAACCCTCCCTTTGCCTTTAGCAGACCTTTCTCTTATCTAGCACACGAACCATAACGGACTGTACCTCTGTACCTCATCACTTCACGATACTTACGCTCAACGTCTTTCACGAACGCAGTTTCTTATAATAACCCTGCAGAGATGGCGTGCTTTCGGTGAGCTTGTGCGCTGTCAGGAGCCATTCGGTGCTCGCCTGTGAAGACGGGTGGATTGCACGATTGGTATGATACAGATTATGACTCTTTCCTTTTCCTTTCTAAACCTCATTGTCGGCATCTGCAAAGTCTCCCATGTCCATGTCCTTTGGCTCCTTTGGCTCTTCGTCCTCGCCGTACTGCATTGCATTGTCGACGTGCGAGAGGAGCGCGCCGACGCTCTCTTCGTCGGTTGCATCGAGGGGCATGAAGGAGACCATGCTGAAGTCGTCGATCTTATCCACCAACGGAAGAGTGAGCCTTGAGGGAGAATAATCAATAGCAGGATACTCACTAGCTGGACAATGGCTTGATTGAGGGCGTGGAAACGCGGATTTGTCTTTTGATTGGCTTCGCCGACGAGAAGCAATGGGTCTGGCTCGAGGAAGCTGCCGTCCTTCTCTTTCAGCGTGCTACTCCAACACAAGAGAGCAATTTTGAAGGAGAGAGGATGCGTCGATGCTACTCACCGATCCATATCTTTCCCTGTCCGCCCCGCTCTGCCGAGAAGGCCCTTTGTCTCGCCGGTCTCGCCGCGCTTGACAAGGTCCATCTTGCTCATGACATTGATCTGCGCCACCTCGAGGTTGATCATGGTGCTCATTGCGCTCAGCGTCCCCGCAAAGAACTTGGGCGCATCATCTACGAAGTTGGACTCGAGTAGGTAGAGGGCACATAGCCGATAGTTGAAGTTCTGTGTGAGAAGGTTGACGAAGCGCGAGAGGAGCGAGGTGTGGGTGTAGAGCTCAATCTGGCCAGGGCAGTCGATGATGAGGTAATCGGTCTCGAAGGCGTTGTTGAGCTGTTCCTCGAGCCAGTCGAGGTTGTTCATCAGGTACTCGAAGCAGAAGACGAGACCGCCATTGGGGCCCAGCTGCATCTCATCCATGACATCCTCGAGGGAGATGAGGTCCCGGATATCAATCGAGGGCTCGTATTCGAAATTCTCCGCGGCCGGGTCCATGTTGAAGAGGTGCATGCTCCTGCCCTGTGCCTGGGCGTGCGTGATGAGGGAAGAGCACAGCGTTGATTTCCCAGAGCCCGCCGGGCCTGTTACGAGGACGGCGTAACGTCCCATCTTGCCGTCGTCGTCTTCCAGACCAGACCTCTCAAGCAAGCCCTCACGCCAAAAACAAAGAAGATAGAAAAAATTCAAAAAATATGCTGAGTGGAGGCCATCGGGGCCACGTGGCTACTCTTTCTCAGAAGAAGAGCATGCCCGCTCAGACGAGCGCCATAATGGCACCCGCAAGGAGGGCATTGAAGAAGAGAAGATTGAGGGACGAATGAGTTTCGAAAGAAGTCATTGCAACGTTCTTTGGAGCCGAGGTACTGTTCGATGGTGCAGGCCTCGTACTCGTGTTTGTCGAAGAAGACGGAACTGTAGTATTGCCATGTACCGTTTCCGTCGTCGTAGTAGGAGAGATACCTCCATTACTGGTCACGTTCGAGGCTGTCTGCGATGTCGTCGTCGTCGAACCAGCACTGGCAGCATTGGGACCATTTCCCAAGCCGTTCCAGCTGCTCGTCGCGTTGCTTGAATTCGTAGCGGGAGTCTGGATCTTGGCGAGGATGGAAAACGAGGGAGACTGTCCGAACTTGTCAAATCCTGGGGTTTCTCAGTCAGACTAGACAGATTCTTCGCCACTCACGGTGGCTAGCTCAACACTGATGTTGCGCACGTCGTATATTCGTACTTTGTAGCCGGACGCAGCTGTCAATAGTCCAGACAATCAGCAAGAATTGTGGCACAGCGGAAGAAGAAGAACTCAACGCTTGACATCGCCCAGTTGAAAAGTGTCTTTTCGCGCCGTCACCGGGACTGTCGCATCTATCATCAGCCAAAAAGAAACCAAGATTCTGACTAGTCACGCACTGTTGTTGCCTAGCGAGAGACCATCAGCGAGGACCGACCGGTCGCTGTTGATAATCCTGTTGTTTACTGGTTAGCGCTCTTCCCTTTACAGTGTCCAATTGTGACTCACTGGAAGCTGAACACCGACGGCGTCGTGCCAGTCCATTCAATGCTGTTCTCGGACTGTGTATGCCTATTATCCAAATTTGTCAACTCCACGGAAACAAACCAAAGCGAGCACGAACAGACTCACCATTCGGTGCCCGACGTGGGGCTCGTGATGACAATGTCGCTCTTGGTGCCCGGGGCAGCCGACAGGGGTTCCGTGACGCTCGCAGCCGTGGTGTCGCCCGTAGTGGGACCAGATTGGGGCGTTTGGGAAGTAGCGACGTCGCAAAGAGCGGCGACCGCAGCTAGGGTGAGGAAAAGCCTTGAAGGTGAAGCAAACATCGGATCAATTTGCTCCTTTCTCAAGGAAAAAGAAGAAGAGATGAAGACCAAGATAATAAAAGAGTGTGCTGGTCTGAATGCCTTGAAAAGCTGAGGGAGCGGAAAATAAGGTGGGACAGAGCCAAGAAGAGCGGTCTGTCCAATCGCGGCGAAAGCACTGCCCAGAAAATTGGGACGCCGTGCCACGCCGCGCATCCCTCTGCACCGCCTTTGATATTGACACCTCCGTCAGTGTTGTAGGTCCTCGATACTGAACATGGCACAGATCGCTTTTCTTCTTGATGGCAGCAAATATTAAAATTGATGAACGGCTTCATGGCAAGGGAAGTCTAGCGATTGAAAGTGAGTGAAAGCGTACGTCTCTCAGTCAACGTCCATGACCGGCGACGAGGAGCCCTCTCTCGCCTTGGTGCCCCGAGACCTCAACTTCGAAGATACATCATCGTCGTCGCCACTTGTTGTTCTTCGGCCCGCCAGGGCAGTCGTCGAAGAGTCTCGTTCCTTTGCCTCGGAAGATGATGAGTTTTCTAAGCGAATCGAGTCGCCCTCGATGTTCTCCGTCTCGTCCCTCTCGCCCTCATTCTCTCCTGTTTCTTCTCTGTTAAACCCTTGTCTCAGAGGAGAGCCGTTGGGTGCCGACAGGAGTGGCGACTCTGACGGCAGGGCGCCCAGGCTGTTTCGATTGGCGTGTCGGCCGTCTTGGGCCTTCTCGCGCGGCTGGCCGAGACCGGACATGCTCGACTGCGTCCTGATCCTGCTCGTAGGCGGTGAGTTGCCCCACGGCGAAGAGACAGGCACCGTCGAAGGCCGGTTGGTGTTGAATGTGCCGCAACGAGGGCAGATGTACTGCACCTCGTCCCACTGATCGCGGTGGCAGAGGCCATTATGGTTGAAGCAGATGTGACAGATGAGCGCATACCGCTGCTCAGCAGCATTCGGGGCGCCACCCGTCGTCGAAGGGTCCGCGCCAAGCATGACGTCGGCCAGTCGATCGAGAAATGTCTTTTGGTACGGTCCTTGCTGCAGAGCCGATGTTGGAGGGCCTGGTGCTCCCGATGGTGAAGTCGCTGAAACTTGCTGCGCCGCTGGTGCACCCGTTCTTTGATTCTGCCCTGACGCTTGCTGTTGTGATGGAAACTGGACCTGCTGTTGCTGTGACGTGGCGCCGACCGGCGCTCCTCGCTCCAACGGCCTCCCGTCGACCTTTCCCTGAAATTGTCGAGGCTCTCGCCCTGGCCCTGGCCTTGGCCCAGGCCCGCCACCGCTCACGGAGCCGGCCGACAGCTGCTGCTGTTGCTTTTGTCTCTGCACCTGTGCTGCCCTGGCCGCTGCATTTGCTTGACCCGCACCCATGTTCGTCGCCGCTGCTGCTGCATTCTTGGGGTTCGTATCGTCGTACTTCTCCAGCAGCATCTTCAGGTGATCGTACCTCGTCGCCAGCTTGATCTCGTCAATCTTCTTCCGCCTGGTCCTCTGCAGCGACCGGAGGTGTTTTTCCTCGCCATCGGCAATCCGGCGATACCACCAGCTGACAAGTCTGCGCGTGGAGAGAATAACGACGGGTCCAGCGAGGACGGGCCCCCACCCAAAGAGCCACCGCGCCTGGCGCGCCGCCTCGTCGTCTTCGCCGGCGTCTCCTGTCCCGTTTCGCGGTCCCCACGGGTCAAGGAACCACATGGCGGCGGCATAGAGGGCCCAGACGACAAAGGCATAGATGGTCAGCGTGACTGTCGCGCGGCGCTGTCGCGTGTGGACGCGCGTGAGACGAGTCTGCACCGCGGCAATGTCGGTCGAGAGCCGGGCGAGCACAGTCTCAAAGTCGGTCTCGGTCGACTTCCACCATGGCCGAAACCACGAGAGAAAGGAGAAAAAGGCCATGTGTTCTGGCAACCCGCCGAAGCTGGGGGGGCTTAGGGACGAGTAAAGGGAGAAGAGAAGACCCGTGTGGAGAAGACGCTCGGCCCAATGCAGCGAGCGAGGCGTCGGATGATGGCGAGAGAAACGGACAGTGGACCGCCGTCAGGTGTATCAGGCCCGCTCCCTCTCCCGACGCTTCCAACTACAACAAAGTGCCAATCGATCGTCCGTCACAACGCTGTGGTGGATGAAGAGAGGGGGAAGGAACGCGGGCAAGCCCAAAGGGGAAGAAGAAGAAGAAAAAGAAGGTTGAGCCGTGGCGCCAACGCACAGAGGCAGACGCGTGTTGGGCATTCAAGCTCTTGGAAGCAACACTATCCCACACTATTTTCACTCAATACGCGCGCGACATGGCGGCCCAAGCGCGACAAAGGGGGGAAAAGGGGGAACATGGCCCAGCCGTATTGTGCATTAGATGGATCGACTAGAAGCAGATAAGAGTGATAGCGTGACGGGGCTGCAGCACGGCAAGATCACAGCTGCTCAGATCCCCTGGCCAGCATTGGGAAGCGTGAATCCGCCTGTGGAGAGCGTCGGCGGGAGATCTTCTGCTTTGGCACCAAAGTCGCTTGGGGCGGAACCGAGCGTCAGCTCGAGGTTGCCTCCATTGAGGAAAAGGTCCTTGTGCGTGATCCAGTTCTTGGTATATGGTTGGCCGTTGAATGTGGCAGACTGGATGTACTTGTTTGTCTGTGCGCCGTCCCAGTTGTTGGCCTTCACCGTGGCCGTCTTGCCCGTGACCTGGGAGACCACCTGGTACGATGGGAAGAGGGGCGTGGCGAGCAGGTACACGGACTGCCCGGCGACGGGAAAGAGGCCCAGGCTCGTGTAGACGACAAAGCCGCCCATCGCTCCCGAGTCGTCATTGTTGGGCACACCGTTAGTGGCCGTCGTGAAATACTTGCGCAGGGTATAGAGGGCCCGGTCCACAGTCTTGGAGTAGCCATTGAGGGCATAATTGTAGAGATAGTTTGGCAGGAAGCCCTGCTCATCGCCAATGTCGTTGTACTGCTTGTCCCACGCATTGTCGAGCCGCTTGATAAACTGATCATCGCCACCCATGAGCCCAATCATGCGATGCATGTCGTGAGGCACGAGGAAAGAGTACTCGATGGCCGACGCCTCGTAGAATTGCGCGTCAGAGTCCTGCAGCGTGAGGTAGCACTGGCCGAACTGATACGCAGGGCTGCATTTCCGAGGGTCCTCGAGATAGGAGAAGGAGCCGTTGGTGTAGCGCGAGTCGAGGACGCCAGCAAAGCCATCAACAGTTCGGTTCGGGTTCCAGAGGTTGAAGACGTCGCCAGACCGCTTGATGAAGTCGGTGTAGACGTCTTTCTTACCTTCACCAGCAGCGACGAGGGCGATGCTAAAGTCGTTGTACGAATACTCGACGGTGCGCGAGCCACTGCGGCCATTGATGACGTTGGGTCCGGGCGGGTCGTTACCCTTGCCGTCCTGTGGGACGTAGCCAAGCTCCTTTCGAGCCTCGATGCCTCCTCTACCCTCGACGCCCCAGTCTGGAGGTGATTCTTCTGCATCCTTGATCATGGCGTTGAGCCCATCGACCCAGTTGATGCCAAAGCCTTGATTAAGTCCCTTGACGTAGGCGTCGGCGAGAAGAGTGTCTGCGTTTGAGCCGCCCTGTGTGAAGCCTTTGCTGATCGACATTCTGCAGTCGGGCATCCAACCTTGGTGACGGTAGACATCAATGAGCGATCGAACCTGCTCGGAGAGCACTTGAGGATTGAGGAGGGCCAGGAGGGGCGACGTCGTCCTGAACGAATCCCAGATGCAGTAGTAGGAGTCATAGGTCGGTTCCGTCGTCTCGAATGCGCCATTGTCGCCAGTGATGTTGTACGGTGCGAGGTGGGCGCGATAGAGTGCCGAGTAGAAGCTCTTTTTCTGATCGTCTGATACGCCATCGAGGACTGGCTTGAACGTTGATCCGAGCACGTCGTTCCAGCGGCTTCGACTGGCCTGGTGGACTGCGTCAAAAGTGGCCGAGCTGGTCCAGCTGCTGTCGGGGATCTCGGCGCTAAGGAACTGGCACGCCTTGTCCTGGCTCGACCAGCTGATCGCGATGCGGACGGGGAGCGTGTTGTTGTTCGCCTTGATTGAGGCGGCATCCAGCTCCACAAGTGCGCCCGTCTCCGTGTACTGGGCAGGGTTGTCTACGCTGAGCTTGCTCGCATCAAGAGTGCTGTTCGAATAGATGCCGGCGCGCTTGACATAAGGCACAGAGGCGCACATATGCACCTGGTAGGTGCCCGTGCCAAAGGATGGCTGGAAGGTGCCCGTGCCCTTGAAGGTGGCTGTATTGTCCTGGCCAATGGCGATAGAAAGCGAACCCAGGCCTTGGTAGGTGTGTGGCAGGTCGTTGGTCAGGTCGAGGAGGAGTACGGGCGAGTTGGCAGAGGTGCTGTTGGCCGTCTGTCTCTGTTGCAGGCCACCAGCTGCTGAACGCTTGTCGGTGTGCCTCTTCTCAGACTGCGACCCCTCCTCCTGCTGTACGTCACGGCGCGTGGGCAGGCCTAGACGCTGATCGAGGTCCTTCATGAGGCCACCAAGTACATCATCGCTGTCACGGTCCTGCGAGAAGGCCTTGCTGGGATCGATCGACTCGACTCCCAGCTTCGCGTACTTGATCCTTTGCGCTCCAGACTGCGACTGCGAAGACGTTGCATTGGCTAGCTGCTGGTCCGTGTAGGTGAACGCGTGCAGCGCGACGTGGTCCGTCGACGTCACTTTGGTATCGACATCGTTGGTGAGTCCGAGGCTGAAGAAGCCAGGCGACGCAATGGCTGTGCCCTTCTTCTGTCCAATGACGCGCGTGGCCTGCACGAGGCCGCAAGCCGCCGGTCCGTTTGTGAGGGTATCGTCAAAGGAGCAGTACTGAGGCAGGAGCTCAAAGTGGCCCAGGCTGGCTGAGCCTCCGGTTCCATCATCATGGGTCTGGCTGATGCCAAAGATGGGCGAGTCGAAACCGCTGAAACCACCGGTGTTGTCGCCACCGGACGTGTCGGCCACGGCCTTGACTGCTCCAAAGGGCGTATTGGCACCAGCAAAGACATGGCCTCCGTTTGTCGTTCCAATGAACTGATCGACGTACTGGGCTGGGTCATCGATGGCGCTCACCACAGCAGCGCGGGCCACCAGCACCGCCAGCACAGCGACGAGGTCAAAGCGCGGGCTCATCACCTCGTCGGAATAGAAAGAGCGGACAGGGTGAAGAAAGAGAACGAGGCGGGGAGGAGCGGCAGGTGAAGTGGGATTGGGGAGGGAGGAAGAAAGAGGGACAAACAAAGAAAAGAGGCACGGAAAGGGGCCACTTTTCTCAAATCGAAGCGTCCTTGCGAAACGCTAGTAGTGACGACAGCCCAGGGACGGTTCTAGAGCTGAGCTTGATCCCCGCAATGCTGGCACAAGCAGTACTTCGGAGCGCCGCCAAGCCTCGGGCCGCCCTCACCAAAGCCGTCGGTACACCGCACTTTAGCGTTGTAGATTGATTGATGCGGTACTGGCACAGGGAGCGCGGCAACGAGGGACCGAGCGAGCACACAAGGGTAATCGTGCAGTAGTACACACTGGCACAGTACATCGCCGACTATATCATGTCTCCCCGCTTTCACCTGAAGCCTGCGGGAGCTTTGCTACCTATATTGAAGAATGTGTGGGACTATGATATGGTTAGGCAAGATCGAAGCACACGGACTTCTCTGCAGAGGTAGGCAAGGGGAGGGTACTAGGCACAAATGACGAGTTCCATTGCTTCTCCGTATTTTTAGCGCTAGAAAGAAGCGTTCTTTATGCACACGGGTGGCGCTAAGGCAGCTTTGTCCGGGGAGGGTATCGTCGCGTCGCGTGAGGACATAGAGGGAGGGAAGGTCATTGAGGTGACGAAAATGTGACAAGAAGTTCACTACCGCCTGGAATCGACGAACTTGATCGCCATTATGCTGGAATAGAGGAAGCCATTCGCCGCACCTCGCGTTGAGCATCCGTTCTCAAACTCACGCATGCGCCCCTCTCTGAAATTTGAGAAAACATTTGAAGCCGCGACTCAAGCAAAATGTTCGTTTTGTTTGGGGCGCCCTACACCGCCTGCAACGCCCGTGATGAATCTCACCCTCTTGTCCTTCCTAACCACACGATGATGTCGCCAGCTACGCTTCTCTGTTTCTTTTTGCAGGCCTTCGCTGCACTTGCTCAGAGTCCTCAGATGCCGACGGTCACCACCGAGGGTGGCCATATGGCGTCAGTGAAGCACGAGAACTCGATGTCGAATGGCGGCGCCATTGAGATCTCCATCCTCGAACCCAACGGCAATACGAAATGGTGAGGGAGTGAGAGGCAGCTTTCCAAATTCACTCTCTGTGCTGAGTCTTCGCTCCATTTCGTTCCCTCGCGACAGGACAACTGGCGCCAATGAGAAGGTCTCCTGGTCTGGGAGTAATCCAAAGACCATCAGCGTCGTGTACGTGATGAATCACCTGTCCTTGACAACTGCTTGACGAGCTGGCTGAGCAGGTAAAGTACTACAGACTCAAACACAACAGCACTGCCATCCACTCAAAGCCGACTGTGCTGGCCAACAAAGGTGAGCGAGGGCATCCTCTTCCGTAACCCTTCCTCTTCTGATCCTGTCGCTTCACCATGACCAACTCAGTCTCCTCTTCGTCTAACGAGGCGGCTGTCAACATCAACGACGTCAAGCGTGAGCCCGCTCAGCTATTGTCGCCGGTCATTGACATGGCTGATCTTTCTCTTCCTCATCAGCCGCCAAGGATTACTACATCGAGGTCTTTGAAGGCGACAACACCGAAGGAAAACCGATCGCCACGGTACGTGCTGTCCAGAAATCCTTTCCTCCTTCCTGACGAGAGACGCAGCTAAGCGGCGGTTTTTCAACACAGTCGAGCGCATTCGAAATTATTGCTAAGCCATCGACACTTAGCAGCGATGAAGCACACATCATGCCCGTACCTTCCACCAACACGACTTCCTACAATGGCAAGCCTCGCGAAGGTACCACGTTGAACCCGACTATGTCGCATGCAGAGGCACAGCCGCAGAACGGAAACACCGAAGATGGGAACACAATCTCGACCTTCAACACCGTTGGCAGGACGGCCAATTCGACTGGTAAGTGGGACCTCGTCCTTGCGTTTGTCTGCGGACATCGGGCTGCTCTGACACACACGAGATTTGCTAACCCCGACAACAGCGCCCGTTCTACCGATTCACAAATCCTCGTCGGCACGCACGCCCACGGCCAACCAGGTCATCTTGCACGTCGCTACCGTCGTTGCTCTCGTGACGCTCACTTTTGTTCTGTAGCTTCCCTCAATACTCCAAGTCCTCCCCTTGCTCTTTCCCCTTTTTCCACTCATTTGCGCCATGTCTACCAGAAAGAGACACATACAATCACTAATCTAGCAAGCTCCTTGATCATCTTCTCGGCGAGCGTGACGCTATGGGACCATGGCCACCGCACCTTTCTAAACAGGCCTGTAACTGGCTGGTTTGCAGATTGGATTCAGAGAAAATTATTGGTGATGAGAGGAGGCGATGAGTCGAAGAGGGATGCACTGTCTACGGATGGATGGAGGCCGACTAATAACGATGGGCAGATGCTCGTACAACTACAAATATCGACAGAGAAGAAAGAAGAGGAGTGAAAAGTGCCGACGGGTGAGGGCAAACTTGGACCAACCAAGAGAAAAGTTGGGAGATTTAGTCATGGAACTAAGCCGAAGGAGACGGCTGGTACTTCCTCTGCAGGCACTGCAGCCGTTTGTCGATGGATTTGACGACTGGACGAAAAGGAGGCCAAGGTCTCAGCAGGGGAAAATGAGAGGGCAAGGTCTTGCAAAAAGAGTCACTCACACTTTTCGATTGTTCCAAATGCGCCATTGCTCAGCTCCAGGGCTTCCTCGCCTGGATCGAGAAGGGCAAGGAGCATCGTGCTGGCGGTCTCGTATGCGAGAATGCACCGGTCACAGTCCCAGTGCTCTCCTTCGCGATTGTTCTCCAGCTCGTCAAGGGCTGCAGCTCGAGCCTTCCCGCCGCACATGTCAGTGTTATGCGACTGGAAGGAAGAGAATGGGGCGACATTTCAACTTACGATTTCGAGGGCCTTGTCAAAGATGAGCTTGTCCACGTTCTGTGCAGATTCTGGAATCTCGCCGCACTTTGACCTAGCGAAGTCGGCGCGATCGTAGCCGTCGTTGAAGCGGACCCTGAGCCACTGTACGACCTCGTTGATTTCAGGGCTGGCCACAATGCTGGTGCCAGGGAGGCTGCGAGCCTCGATGAATGTCTTTGTCGCATCAATGCCGCGCTGCAAGAAGCTCAGGCTCTTGACGTACAAAACCAGGGCTTCGGCAGCAGCTACCTCAGACTGCGACGTCACCGACTGGCTGCTGACGGAGCTCGATGAGCTCTGACGGTGAATCTGGTGGTAGTTGCTCCCACCCGTCGGCGATCGGCCAAGAGACGACGATGAGAGAGAGGAGAAGCGTCTCGTCGCTGCAGTCGAGCCAGTCCGGCTGGCGTTGGGCCGATCCTCGTAGGGTGATGCGTCCGTCGAGATCTGGTGTGGACCCTCGCTAAAGTAGTTGGCCAGCTTGGCATCGGCAAACTCGCAAATGACATGGCTCTTCTGCCCGTAGTCATTGAGCAACGCCAAGAGATTCATCTCGGCCTCGGACACATCACTACCACCGCCGGGGCTCGAGGACGCACTAATGAAGAAAGGCCTGCGAGAGCGGGCATTGACGAGTGCCGCGGCGCCACGCAGCGACATGCCCGAGGGCACCCCAAAGAGGCGGACAGAAGCCATGTTGATGGCCCTTGCCAAGGCCGACGATGACGAAGATGAGGTCAGTGTCGTGGCAAGCCCACTGACGGACGGAGGCGCGATTCCTCGACTCGACGGAGCCGATCCCGAAACGATGCCAGTCTCTTGGCTGGGCGGTCGACGGGTGAAAGAGGGACGCCTGGCGCCGGGAGGCAAGGCAAAAGGTGTGTTGTGGGAAGGCGGCGTCGTACCAAACTTTGTTGCAGGAAGCGGTGCAGTCGGCGACGAGCTCGACGAGCTCGACGCGGCTTGGACTGGCGATTTTGCAGGTTGGGCCTCTTTGCTTGCAGAGGACTCGGGAATCGAAGGATTGGCGTTGCTGCTTGACGTTGAGGGCGTCCTTCCCAGACGAGACGGCCTTCGCACCACACCGGCGAGGCCTCCCCAGACCCTTTCAGAGGGAGAGGTAGAGGCTCGAGCTGCACCGCCAGCAAGGTCGTCGGCAAGCGCGTTAACCTCGACATTGCGCTTTTCGACCATGACATATCCCTTGCCGAGGCCGTCTTCGTCGAAGGTGATGCTGCCGCCGGGAGGCTGTGTGGTGGATGCCTGTCTGCTCGCTGCCTTTGCTGTGCCTGGCAGATGGGTGACGCTGGAGCCAGGCGTCTCCAAGACATTGTCTTCGAGGCTCGATGCGTCGGCTGTGTCACGAGGAGACGCATTCTTGCCTCTCGGGGTGGGAATGTTTCGCTGGGTCGGCGGCGCAGTTGTCGAAGCATTACCGGTGCTGGCGGGGGGCATTTTTGGAGTGGTTGCCGGTGTCTGGGCCTGTTTCGTCTTTGCATGCGAGGACCGGCCACCAACCACGTACTTTGTGGTGTAGTAGCTGCTGACGGGCGGCGGCGGTGGCGGCGCCTTGCGCTCGTGCTCCAGCGGTACAGTCTGCCGCTGGGGCGAGGCAGTCGATCCGTTGCTACTCGTCTGCCTCAGCGGCGGCTGCGTTTGGGGTCCACCAGCCATCCTCGACGGGGCCGGACCCGTCGAGCCACTGCCACTTGCCGAGAGCGAGGCCGACGACTGAATCTGAGACGTGCTCGGTGACGTCGGGAGCGACTCGAGCCTGTCCTTGCTCTTGTCGCCTTCCACTGCGAGCTCGCGCTGCCTCTCGCGCTCCGTTGCTTTGTACTCTGCCAGGACGGACGAGGCAAAAAAGTCGTCGAAGCTCATCCTCTCCACGGGCCCCTTTTTGAGGAGGGCGCGGATCAGTGCCTTGAGGTCCTCGGCCACGACGTGGGGCCGGACGACTTCCTCTGTCGACTCTGGGTCCTTGCGCAGCATCTCGCGACGCAGCGTATCGTCGCTCTTTTCGTCTGGAAAAACAATGCGGTCCTTGCCCCGTTCGATGCGCTTGAGCAGCTCGACGTGGTTCAGCGCTCGAAACGGCGGCTTGCCCACACACATTTCGTACAGTACCGCCCCCACGCTCCAGAGGTCGGCCTTGGCATCATACCGCTGATAGCGGAGGATCTCGGGAGCCATATAGAGGGGCGACCCGCACAGCGTCTCGGCCAGCGATGCCGAGGGTAGATGTCGAGCAAAGCCAAAGTCGGCCACCTTGAGCTGTGGGATGAGGGGAGGATGCCCTGCAGCCAGCGAGTCTGTCTCTGGTTCCTGTAGCAAGAGATTCTGTAGGCGATCGATGCGCGCGATGTTAGCGGCTGTTCTCTAGAGGCTGCAATGTCTCGGGCTCGCCGAGCACGACTTACCTGAGGTTTAATGTCGCGATGGACGATGTTCTTGCCGCGCATGAATTGGAGCGCGGCTGCCAGCTGGGCGAGGAAGCTCTTGACAACCACCTCGTGGAGGCCGCCATCGTGCGGGTGGACAAAGTGATCCTGGTCCTGGTCAAAGACGCTATCAGCGGGAGTCCTACTGGCCCTTGCAACGTCGGTTTGGCCGTCGCGCCGCCTCGTCTTGATGTAGTTTGTCAAGTCTCCCAGATAGCAGTACTGCATGATGAGGTAGATGTGGCTGGACGACTTGAGGCAGTCGAGGAGCTCGACGACGTTGGCGTGCCGGATCTCCTTGAGGATGGCAATCTCGCCCTCGAGATTCTCGAGCAGCTTGGGCGTGAGCTTCTTTCTCGTCACTATCTTGATGGCCACCCTCTTGGGCAGAACGCCGCCGCGGCGTCCGCCGCCAGCCTCGGAACTTCCGCCACTTCCGCTGCTGTCGCCCACATAGTCGGACCTCAGGCGACCTTGGAAGACGACAGCAAAGGAGCCCTTTCCAATCTCTCGCGAGAGGGTCCACGGACCAATGGTATGCTGGCTGCTGCTTCCGTTATCAGATTGCTGCTGTTGCTGTTGCTGCTGCTGCTGCTGCTGCTGCTTCTGCGATGGTGATGATGACTGTGCCGAAGTTGAAGCAGGAGGCGCCCTGGACATGCTGAGCCCCGAGTCTCTGCAGGCGGAAGGGGAGGAAAGAGCCAGCGAAGTGGGCCGGCAAAAGGCCAAAGGCGCGGGGCTGGCTGCTGCGCAGCACCACAAATTACTACCTGCTACTGATAAGGTTGGCGCACGCCCCTCTTCGTCTCTTTTCCTGGCAGATTGATCTCCGAAAGGGGCGCAAGAGAAGTCTGGTCGAGGCCGCCTGCGTTGATGAAAGGGGGAGCGACGCTGGTTGGATGGTCGAGGGTGCGCAGCAACCGATCAGAGACCACTTTGCAAACAGATCCGAGCGAGTGTTGGATTGAACACGCGTTCAGCGGTTCAAAAAGAGGTGAATAGAAATAAAGAGAGCGAAGGAGAAGAAGAGATGGGGACAGTTGGAGGGCGATCACGGCCGCCGTTGATCTGACCGAAACACCGACGGGCTAGTTGGTGAGATGGAAGAGACAGAAGAGGTGAGTGAGTGAGGGTCCTTGCGTGACCCTGGCGTCGTCGGCGGAAAGCAGCGATTAGCTCGATCTAATCACAATTTATTGCGCGATTAGAGTGGGTGGAGAGGCCGGGCCATGCGACAGACAGGACGCGCTTACCAACAACCTGTGTGTCTCGGCCGCACGGTGCGCGCGCGGTGGGGGCGGTGGGTGCCCCTATCAGAAAAAAACACTGAACCACGCTCGCACCCTCTTCTCGACTCCCTTTCGATATTGATCCATTTGGCCCCGTGAACATCCAGCATAAAGCGGCTCCTCTGCAACGGTGCCTGCTCATGGATTGCTCTTGACGACACTGACGAGACGAAACGACCCCAAGCAACGACCTTGACTCTCAGGCAATTCGATAGACACTGCCCCAACCTCGAGCCTCTCTGTCCTCTCGACGATGCCAGCCCCACTCTCGTGCAAATCTGCCACGGCGTATGACTCCTTGCCTCGCCAGCACAACGCCAAGCGCACCTCTAGTGCCCTTCACAAGCTTCAGTCATCCAAGAAAAGCCAGCAGCAGCAGCAGCAGCAGCAGCATACAGCCAACGACTCCCTTGGCGAATTTGGCCTCGAGGCACCCCTATCCTCGGCGACGCCCAGGCCGAGCCACGATGGACCGCAGGGCATCACTCGTCCCTCCTCGTCGCAGGGCTTTGCATCGCCCAGGAGCCACAGCAGCTCCAATGTCCACCAGCGCAAGAGGACGTCGTCGATGATCCCTAACCGTGGCGTCGGTGTTGGAGGACGTTCGCGGGCCAATCGCAAGGTATCGTCGGGCGTCGCCTCGTCTGATCTTCCTCTCGTCAGCTCGGATCTGGACCAAAGCAGCAGCAACGGGCCACAACAGTACCAGTACGGCGTTGTAGGCAGCAGCAGCCGAGCGGCCGCATTCCACGGCGCGGATCAACGACCACGGAAATTTGATGATGATGATGACAACGAAGATGACGAGGATGCTGGTTACAGATCCGACGACGTGTCCATCAGGCCCATTGGCGGCCCTCTCGCTGCCAACAACCACCGACCGAGCAGCCCCACTCCTTTGGCACATCGTCCTTTGTCGCCGGTCAGCCCCAAACCGGCAGCCCGCGGTCCCATCGCCTCGTCATCTCCAAAGAAGAAGCGGGCAGATGCAGAGGGAGCTGCCGTCTCGTCTCCCAGACCTCCAGCGCCGTCGCCGGGGCCAGCTAGGAAGCGAGTGGTGACAAAGGCCATGATTGGGAAACCAACCAACTTCCAGCACACGGGCCACATTGGCGCCGGCGCTTACGGTGCTGCGACGGCGATGGGCAGCGACCCGAAGGCCGCTCGGGAGCTGCAGCTGCAGCTTAGCGAGGTTGCGGCTGCCCTCAACTTTGGCGACGAGCTCGGTTCCTCGATGCCTGTGAAGGCAGGAAAGGGGGAAGAATCCGGCACAAAGGAAATTGAAGAGGTGCGAGATCCGGTGGTCGAGCATGAAGTGAAGACGAGGGCGCGCAGCGATGCCACTCTCATCGAAGACGTGGCGACTGGCGAAGAGGCACCATCACCCCCCTCGCCAACACCGCCAGCGACACCGAGGAAGGAGACACCCGCAATCACAAGGGTTGCCGTCCCTACGCTCGACGATGAAGAAGAAGAACAGCTGTTGCCCGCGGCCGAACAGAAAGCAGTGGTGATCGAAGAGGTCAGGAGCAAGGAGCCGTCTTCTGCCTCGACTCTGGTCCTCGACCGAACTCCCTCGTCGGCCTCAGGTGTCAGCCGAAGCTCTTCAACGAGAAGAAAGCCCGTGTCTGTGCCCAACAAGCTCGCAGCCCTTTACGATGAATTCAAACAAGAAGAGCCATTCAGTCTGCCCCAGCCCCCACCGTCTCAGAATTTGCCGTCCTCAAAGCAACAGCAGCAGCAGCCGCAGCCGCAGCCGCAACCGCAGCCAGCACCATTGGCAAAGGCCAAGGGTTTGAGCCCGCTCATTGAAGATGAAGAAGAGATGAGGAAGCTCACCTACCGCCTTAATGGCAAGCGAATGGTGCCTGGCCCAGGTGGCGATTACATCACCGACACGGCGCACGGACGCTGGGACAAGGCCATGACTGAGATCACAAGGGCGCTCAAGAGCCAAGGGCTTGAAGAAAGCGGAGCCGACTACAACGACGACGAAGATCTCGCCGAGGGTCTCCGCCGAGCAGACGATGTTCTTGGTCGTCTCAATGATGGAGTTTTGTAAGAGTTGTCTCGTTTGCAACTTATGTGTACACTATATCGTTTTGCCCTTCTCTGCAATGACTTTTGCCCCTAGGCCAGCATAATACTGAGTGGAGTGGGAGCAGGGCTGTGCTACAGGGCAACGAAACCTGACCGACAGCCCACCGATTAATATGTGGGCGTGTCGTACTGTACTGTGCGCGTCTGCACGGAGGGCGGCGCTTCGCATCGACAGGCCAAGCCCGCTCTCTCATTTGCTGCTGCTGCTGCTGCTGCTCCTACTCCGGCCTTGACCTACTCTCGCCGCCTTGTCCTTCACACCGCTCTACCTGGGCCTTCCCCATCTTTAAACCACTGGAGCAGTGTGCCTGTGGAGCATCGGAGCTGGCCAAGTAAAGCTGAGAAGGGCGCCCTAGTCGTTCCCTCCAGATCTCGATCCCTCTCTCATTTCGCGGCGTAGGCGCCTATACTAATATCTTTCCTTTCCAAGCGCTCGCGAGCGCTGTCTACCTCCCTCCTTCTCCTTTCTTCCCGTCATGCAAAGGACGCCGACTGCTCGAACTGTGAACAAGACACCAGACAAGGACGCGCTAAGCGCCAAAGAGGAGCAAGGAGAGCGAGTCGCAGAAGGCGACGACAACATCGATCAACAGTGCCGAGATTCTGGCGCACAACGCCGAGAGCTGAGGCCACCTTCTTTGGCAAAGCACGAGTTCGAAGTCGACACTCGATTGCAGGGACAAGACGTAGGCGAATATAGCGAACAAGCACCTCTCGACAGGCCCAAGGTTTACGGCAAGGACGACGCACCTCCTGGCGAGGTCGCCCATGTGAGCCAGGACTGGTTCGTCAACTATCTTCGAGGTCTCGGCGTCACGACACCGCCCCCACCGAACCAGGCAGGCTACTGGCGACTGATCCCAAAGGACCAGCTCCACAATATCAGCTCCCTGGCCAGCACTCTCTCGCAACACCGTTCCCATCCCTCCTCGTCCCCATCTCCACATCATCAAACCCTCTCTGTGTCTGGTGGACAGAATCGAAGAGAGCGCCGTAGAGCTGAGCGCACAGAAAAGAAGCAGATGCCACCAGTGGCTCGATCAAGCAGTCGAAAGGAGTCCTCCAATACGCCCCGTTCTGTGCAGACCAGGAAGCAGCATCAACGTCAAGAAAAGGGTCAAAGTGAGGTGTGCGAGGTCGACTTGTCGTCGTCAAAAGTCCTGAGCAGCCAACGAACGGCTGAGAGGAGCTCAGACGCCATGACCAGCTCGTCATTCCTCAAAGACGAAGCAGAGACTGAGACAATGTTCCGTGACCTCAGCAGCAGAAAAGAGCAATGCAACTCTGGGAACCAGGAAAGCTTACCTGCTTCCGAACCCTCCAACACTGTAGAGGGCGAGGCAGTAGAGGATCGCGAGATGATGCTTGCAAAGGAGAGGAAAAGGGCAAAGAGGGCAAGAGACAAGCAGAGACAGAAGGAAAAGGCCCGTCTGGCAAGATGCCAGACAAAGAAGCAGTCCTCTCCGAACCTGCACCATTTCGAGCAGACAGAAGAAAACTCGTGGGTAGACAAGTGCACCTCTCGTTCGTCGCGCTCTGGTGCTGAACCTCTCGTTTCCTCACCCCATCTGAGATAGAAAGCGCAGTGCACTTGATTCGGATGTGTGGGACGTCGAAGGAAAGGCAGAAGAACTTGAAGAGGAACTTGTTCGGCAGCTCTTTACGACAGAACAAGCCGACGAAGTCCCTACTATTACGAAGAGCTCCCCAGAGGGGGAAGATTCATGTGAGACTGGTAGCGACCCAGAAGGCATACATGACATGCTAACATATCGCTTTCCCCACACAGCCAACGATGAATACCGCGTGCCCCAACCAGGTCGCCATGGATGCCAGAGCGCACCCGTCACGCCCGCCCTCCCGTTCGTTTCTGAAGAATTCAGCACATTGACGACGCCCGATCTCTCCTTTATTCCTCACTTTCCAAGCTTGAATGAGTCAGTCACGGAATTGAAAAAGCACGAGGATTCTTCGTTGCCTCAGCACCCTTCTCCGACCTCGCCTATGGCGTGGATGAAGCGCAGCGCGAGCGAAGAAAACAGCCGCGATCCGGCTTCGTGCAATGGCCACCTTGTCGAACCCGGCAAAGACAGAAGCGTGAGTGCTTCAAGCTGTACGATTCAGTATTAGCCATCGAGCGAGCTAATGTCTAGAAACGAGAACAGAGGATTATGAGAAGCAGCAGCATGCCAAATGCCACGGTCTTGCTGGAGAAGGGCATCAACACGCTCAAACTCGACAGCAGCCCCAGGTCGACGCCCACAATTTCAAATGAGGCTTCCTCTTCTCCCTACTTGTCCGAGCAGGGCCGATCGCCCAATGTCGATACCAGCAACACAATCCCGGACTCAATTACCGAAGGCGAGCCAGACATATCGGGCGATAAGCATGCCATTTGTGAGCGAGAAGTCTCACCCGAGGACAATCAAGCGAGGACTGCAAGCAACGATCAAGAGCAGATTCATTTGAGCCAGAGCGAGACAAGTACCACAAGTCCCGAAGAGGACGTTTACGATGATAGCGTTGGACCCATCTACAACGCGGCAGATCAGTACAGGTTGGCGATGCTCAAGTTGGCACCAATACTTCAGAACAATCTCGACACGATCATTGCAATCTACAAAGCTGGCAAGCGTTTGGTAACTGTTGAAAATTTCCTGGTCGAGATCCTCGACGAGCAAGGTCACTGTCAGATCGTCTCGCCGCAATACCACCCACACCACCGCTCACGCTCTCAAGACTACGGCATGGTGTCGGATGACGAAGAAGAAAACGATGACGATGAAGGAGAGGAAGTGGGTAGCAGCGGAGCGGGCTCAACAGAGTCCTATGACTCTACCGAGCCGCTCGGTCACGAAATGCACCACCGCAACACCTCTTGGGTCACGGGGATGACAAATCTTCGTAGCGTTCCTAGCCACACGAGCATAGAATCCGGTCCAGGAGCAGAACAAGGCAAGAATGCCCTGTCCCGTGTAAGAGACAAGCCGCTATTTGAAGGGTTTGTCAACGAATGGAGGGAAACCGAGTCCTGCAAAGGGCGGTCGCTTTCGTCGTATAATCGGGAGAAGATGCCCGGGAGCAGTGCTTTCGCTGACATTCATGATTGCGACAACGCTATTCGTCCAAGTAAATTGAGCCCTGCGCTTCAACGTGCCAAGGCTCGCCTCCGTGAAAAAGGTATCACCGCTGATGGGTACTCTCGCGAACAGGCCACGAGAGCTCATCAGGCGGGATCGCTTGACAAATTGAAGCAAGGCGTCCACTCTATTGAGCTAGGTCCCTTGACCATTTCTAGAGATCATATCGAGGGGTCGTTACTCATCTATCAGCACCACCAAGCGACGTTACAAGCAAGGTCGAACAGCGGCGTTGGAGTCGTCGACGCACCTCGTTCGGAGCGACGCAAAGCTCAGGCAGCGGCCCGAAGCGAGAGTCGCTGGATGTCTATCAAGAAGCGCGAGATCATAAAGAGCAAACGGCCGATGAGGCCCGCCGAGCAGGCCGAGGACGGCACCATCACCATTGAGGAGGCGCCCTTACGTGCTTACGCTGGCTCGGAACACCGGCGGCTGCCACGACCCATGATGGCGCGCAATCTTCTCTCGCGTCAGTTCGGCGTCCGAATCGGAAACGAAAGCGAGTGGGCAAAGCGGGAAACTAGATTGGCGATCAGCTCGTCACACCTCGAGCGCCAATTACAACCGCATCATCATCGTCACCTCTTTCAAAGGCAGAGCCAGCAGCAGATGCCATTGAATGGACGAGTGCATCACGAAGATGCTGCGTCTGCTGTAAAGTGGCAACAGCAGCCGCAGCAGCAATCACGTCTCTTTTCGCTTGAAGATGCCAATGGCGGCAACGCCAATCAATCCAACCTCGCGGGCCCCAACAAGACCCTTACAGCCGCTACTCACGAATCTTGACGAGAAAACAAAGAAAGCCCTTCTTACTTTCATGTCTCTTCCCCTTTCCCTTCATTACATGTAAGCCCAGCCTCATCTTCGGGTGCCCCTTTCCGTATCCCAGTTCATTCATGTCGCCTCGTAACATTCGGTCGTCAAATCTAGATCGGTGTGAAAAATCAATGACGGTACACTCAGCAGTATGGCACTCGCGACCTGTCGCGTTGCGCGTTGAGAGCGACACTTCCTCCACATCAAATCTGCACCGCATTAGGAGGACTGGCCATCCCTGCTCAACCTTCCGTCTCCTTTCCTTCCCTCCCCGTCACTTGCCATCTCCCAGATGACCTTTTTTAGAGCTCTCTCGAGGGCATTCTCTTCGCCTGCTCGGCCGCGCCCCAGTGCGGGGGCTCTATCATACCCTCGCTTCGCAGGCCCGACACCGGCATTTGCAGTCTATGCTCCTCCCACACTCCTGCTCTTTTCCTACTTTTCCTCGACCGCTCCCATTCATGCCGACGAAGCTCGCCCGAAATCAAAGTCTTCGACGCTCTTCCGCGCAGCCAGCCCAGCGGCGCTCCGCAATCCCGTCACGAACCTCGTCTTTTTGCGCGTGCGCGACGATGCAGACGAGCGGCGGGCGCATGAAGGCTGGGTCGGCTACTTTCGAGAAGCCGGCTTCGACTGTGTCGAGATGAACCTCGACATCGTGGGAGCGTCGAGCGATGATGAAGGGGCGTGGAGCAAAGGTGGGTTCTTCTTCGTCTACTTCGAGTGAAAGAAAATGGCGAAATGGAAGCTGAAGAAAGTGGGGAACGTCTGTCTATTTTCGCAGAACTCGAGGGCCAGTTGCGACTTCTCTCGCTGCAGCGTGCCCCGCTTCTCTTCTGTCGATCTCCCGCCTCGACCGATGCGGCCACTTCGCACATAGGTTCTGGCTCAGCAAGGGCCAGTGGGCTCGTGCTGGTGGTACCCTCAGAGGAGAAGCGGCAGGAGGTCCAAGCGCGGTTAGATGAACTCAAGATCGACACAAAAAGGAACAGAGTTTTGATTGTCGTCGAATCGGAGGGCAAAGATGACTCGGCTATCCGGAGCGTCGAGCGGTGGATCACATCAGAAGGGCTTGCTTGATGATGAAATGCCCTAATCAATGAAGGTTAAGAAATACAATGTGGGAGGCTTGTGTGTGAAGTCTCTACCGAATCCTTTGTAGTGAAGTCCGGGTGTGAAAGGTCGTATTCGTCAAGGCTGTTGTCGAGGTGCCACCTGATATTTCTTCGACTTTACAGCCGTCATGTCTTCTTTTCCTCTTGGAGCTTGCCAACGAGAACCTTGACTTGCTCGACTAGTAGGGGTAAAGGATGAGCAAGGGATCCAACGTCCCGGCAGGTCAACTCACCATTCTTTGCAAAATCGTCTTTTCCCTTCTTTGTTGTCTGCGACCGCTCTTCACTGTTCAGATGGTAGTAGTGGCCGCCATCAGAAACGGTCCTACACATCATCAAGAATGAGTCAACATGAACGCAGCTGAGACCGTGTCTAGAGAGAGGCACTTACGCATGACCGTCGTCCTCTCCGAGCCATATATCCAGCAGCGTGAAAAGGGCTTGGCCCTTGAGCCTAAAATGACCCTCGATGACGTCCTTCCAGAGCGCTTCAGGCGACTTGAGATGGTCCAGCATGGCGACAGCCACTGTCTGACGCCTACAATTCTTGGAGTAGGCTGTGCTGAAAGGCTGCCCGGCCATGCTCGACCAACCTGGTTCGTTGAGCGCTGGCTCCTCGACGCCCATTACCAAACTCTGAATGCTCAAGAGGACTTGCAAGAGTGTCGATTGACCGCTAACCCAGCCAGGGCCAGTCCAAGTTCCCAACAGCGAGAGGCAGACTTTGCCGTCGGCGTATAGATTGGGATTGTGGCGAACCTTGCCTCCGGCCGTCGTCCTGAGTGACACCAGGGGACTGACATTGTTATACTCTGCTGGCATAAAGATGTCAAACATGAAGAGGCCATCTTCATACGGGCTGCCTTTAGGGCCGACAATGCATGCCTTGAGCACATCCAAACGACTTTCGTCGACACGGAGGAATATGCTGCCGTGCCACGAGCTCGGGAGGCTGCCTCGAAGACCTCCCAACTCTTTGGCAATGGTGACGCCCCGCTTGGAATTGTCTGCTGCATTGACAAGCTTGATATCTCTGTCGAAAGCGTGTGCAAACTTTGGTGCGGAAGAAGAAGCACTTCGCGTTGTGATGGTCATGTCGCAATCGGCGTATCGTTCACTTCGAGCCCATCGCTCGTAGGCGGCGATCGCCTTCTCATTTGCGGTCTTGCGGTCAGAGTCGTCGCAATTCTTTGCAGCCATCTTCCCAAATTGGTCTCGATGCGCACACTCTGGTCCAAACTCGGCCTCGGCAATGCCAATGAGTCGATCCACAAACACATTACCTTTTGTCTTGCGAAGACGACTGTCGATGATGCCAACGTAGCTACAGAAACTTTTCGCGAAGTCCACCATCCGTTGTGACTCGTCGTCCAAGGCTTTGACGGAGTTAGTGCTCGAACTAGTGCTCACTTGCGGTTGAAGTACTCGAATGCCCAGGACAGGCACAGGACTGCGCAAGGATAAAAATGACGACGAGCTCTTCTTCGGCTTGGGAATCTCCTTGGCTTGTGGCTCGACCGGCGGCAACTTCGAGATTCTTTCTGCCTCGTTACGTTTGAGAAGTTCCATCCCTCGAAGAAAGCCCTCGCATTGGATAACGACGCTCTGTGCCAGCTCGCGAGGTCCTCTACTGCACATATAGGTGACATGGCGCTCCTTGAAGTTGGGCTTCTTTACAACTTCAATAGTCGATGGAAGCATAATTGGCTGGAGAGGGATTTAGTGAAGCTACACGAAATCAAAAACCTTGTCTTACCTGAGCGAGCAGAGCTGCGAGTGATTCGTGCGCCGCAAAAAGTTTGAACCACCCCTCGACGAGCTCCTTGTAAAGTTCATGGCGCTCGCACATGTCGCTGAGACTGAATGAATCAAGTACTTCAGCTTAGAACGAGGCACACAGTAGCTGAGTACTCACCTTTCACTGCTCATCAGGCGGCTCGCAATTGGCAGGAAACGTCTTCGAAGCTGTGCGATCGAGGCAACGTGAGGGAGATGATCACTCTTTCGTGTTGGATCTCGACTGAGATTTGGGAGAAAAGGACGAAGAGCACCAAGGCCATGGCACACCCGGCTGTCGAACTCCTTTACTTTCTTGCTGTGTGCCTCTGATGACCGGGATGATCAACAACGAGTGCCGAAGTAGAACAAAAAGGAGGGAGACTCACCTAGCCAGGAGGTTGACTCTTTTACATCATAGCCTCCATAGCCCGTACCCTTGCCGGGCTTGTCCTTGTCTACAGGAATGTTTTTGGATTTCCAAGCGGGCGTGGAAGATGCAGGAGAAGGAATCTCGTCGAGAAGGCTGAACTCCGAATGGCCTTTGCCATCGAGAAGGGACTTTTTGGCTGGATCCCAGTGGGGCTGAGAATCTGAACCGGCTGGTTCACTGGTTACCGTCGGTACATCTGTCGATGTTTTGAGTTTCTTTTTTGGGTTGCCTTTTTGCCCTTCGTCATGACTTCGCACTATCTTTTCCTTCGGTTCATCGAAGAGATCTCCAAAGTGAGCGAGGCCGGCGCCGAGGATTATTGCTTGTACCTCAGGACAGTGAAGAAGGCGCGAGGGAGGGCCAGCTTCCTTTGCGCCATCATCTTGCACCAAGATCGATTTTCCCTTCTCCGACTTGCTGGATTCGCAGACCTCGTCGCCACAAGCCAAGCAGAGAGATGCGCTGCAACCAGCACACTGACGCACAATGGCCTGCTTCAGATAGACTAGGTAGCTTTCCACCGTCGGCAGCATCACAAAGAGGTCCTTTGGCTTGCGCTCGTTGACTTGACCACACTTCGGACACGGAAAAGGTGATTTGGTGACGTCGTTGTAGAGGCCGAAAAGGAACTTTCGACAGCGTTGTCAAATGGGAGCAGATTGAGGAAAGAAGATAATATAAGAACCCACCGATTGCTCCGCGCCTTCAGGACAGCCTCTGAGCCATTCGCCTTGCGTTATTTCCTTTGCACACACTTTGGAGCCACATTGATCGCTGCCTTCATCCTTGAGCTCGACAAAGAACTCGGCCGGCTTTTCCAAAACCTCGATGACGAGCTCCTCACGATCTTTCCTCATCGAAAGGCCGAGGTAGGGATCCGCATCCTGGTCGACTGTGTCCGATGAGATACTTACGATGTCTACGTCTGTATGAACATTCATGTTCTTATTGGCTGAGTCAAGTCGCAGACGAGGATGTATTGCACTCACCAGCTTCCTCAAAAGCGTCTTCGTCTGCCTCTTCGTCGTCGTCTATGACGAGCGATTGCGTTGCTGTCCTTTTGACACCTGTCACGACACAGTCGTCGTCTTCCTCTTCATGATCACCATTGTCCACATGAGCTGCAAGCGCTGGACCGTCAAAGTCGCCTCGAAAGACCGCATCGGCTGCTTCCATGATTGTCTTGTGCTTCGCAAGCGCAGCGCGTGCCTGCCTCAGTGTGGCTCCCTGCATGGCTCCAGTGTGAGCTTGAAGTTGTGCTCCTTATTGAGTGGGGCAGACAGCTCACCATCTCCACGAGCGTGGCGACGTTTGCCGCAGACATGCTGTAAGGATAGAAGGTGGCTTGACTGAGCGAGACAGCGGCCAGCGGCGGCTGCCCAAGACGACGGGGCAACGGGCGGCCTGACCGCCCTCCTAACTCATATAAAGTTGAGCGCTCAGGCCACCTCCAAGATCCAGTCCTCCAAGATCCAGTTTATTTTTTTTTGGTCACGCAGAACTAAAAATGACAAACGGCGCGTCTATGTCAGTGACAAAAGGAGGGACTTTTTTTTTCTCTCCTCGCCATCGCACGCTCACTCACCTTTTTCACCCTCGTCACCAAACCATCAGTGCAGCTCGATGACGACGATGCGTGGAGCACAGTCATTGGCCAGAATAGCAGGCCCCTCATCACGAGGCTTCACGTCCACATGCGCCGCGTCTACGTCGGGAGTGGCGCCAGCGACGTCGACGAGCCCTCGTCGACCCTCAGGCGCCCAAAGAGCGGCGATGAAGGAGGCGAAGAAGAAGGACGACAAACTGCGGCGGGCCGTGGAGCTCTACCACCTGACTAGCTACTTTTTCCCCACGCCCAACAATGCCGAGGCACCGACGGCGTCGTCGGCGTTATCGTCTTCTGGCACGACCCGAAAGCAAGCAGAGGCCCTCGACGAGGAGCGCATCAACGCCCACATCCGCGATGAGCTCGCCGTGGCCATCGATGACAGAGACTCGGTCACGATGCGCTCAGCGCACGTCGTCCTCGACGGCGAACGCAACGGCTTCCTGGGCGAAGACATCAACCGGGCCGGCCAGGCCTTTCTCCGAAACACGCGCGCCACCTCGCGCGGGCTCTTTGATACGGACCTGGACCTTGAACGGCAGCGGGACGAAGACGAGCAGGGCGAGCTACCACTGCCGGCAGACCGCAAGGCGACGGCAGACTACATCTCCAAGCTGGCCTCGTCGCGCGACGTGGTGCTTACGCGCCAGAAGTTCGAGGAGCTCAACGTGGAAAACATGCGGAGCATGCGGGTCCGGGACGCCCTCTTTGGCACCACGGGCGGCAGCCTGCCCGGCCTTGAGGTTGTGAGGGAAAGAATTGAAGAACGGAAGGCGAGAGAAGCACAGGAATCGTGAATGGCAAATCATCAATTGTATGTTGTATGTACAAACGTAACAGCGCTAGAAACCATTGTTCGTCGAATGTGGGTGGTATCTTCTTTCTTTCTCTCTCTCTTTCTCTTTCTTTTTCTCGGCTTAGTGGCGGTAGCCGGGCGTTGGGTACTGCCGGTAGTAACCGCCAGTCTCGCCCATGTCGCTAGCGTGGACCTTGCGGAAGCCGCCACGCTCGTCACGGAGCTGGTCGCGGTACCGGCCTACAATGACGCACAGGTACGCAGCGACGAGGAGTACAAAGGCCCAAACGCCAATGCCGACGCCCGCGACGATATTGAAGGCCTACAGAGATGGATGAAAAGATTCTGTCAGCGATGACTTTCTTTTGGAAGAAAGGCGCATGTGCGGATACCCACAGATTTGCAGGCGTCTTCAGAGACCGTTGCCTGAGTCGAGCTACTGACGAGGTTGATGCTTGATCCATCCAGGTCGATGTTCTCGGCCTTGTTTGTGCAGTTTTCAACGTACTGGTCCTTGTCCTTGAAGAGAAAGACGAACTCGACGATTCCCAGGGCGAGGGTGAGGAGCCAGAGGGACCACATCATCGTCGAGTAGAAGCGCACGGCGCGGTAGGAGGCAAAGATGGAGCCGATGAAGCCAAAGAGAGAGGCGAGGCAGAAGAGCGTCATCTCGGCCGCAAGGGCGCCGGTGAGCACCTTTTGGACTGTTGTGAGGCTGCTCGACTCATGGACGAGGGCCCAGATGAGGGCGCCGGCGACGACGAGGGAGCCGAGGAAAGTGACGGGCGAGAGGATTAGGACGCCCAGTCGGGTGGGAAGGCAGCAGCAAAAGGTACGCATGTTGTTGCAAGGCGGTGGAGTGTCTATTGCGTGTTGTTGCGGGATGCGATTGAGAACTTGTCTCTGTTGGTCGATGAGTGGGTGGTTGTGTGCTGGGAGAAGGCTTCCTTGTCACTGCTTAAATACTGTGTGTGCTCCAACGGTGCACCGCATGAGCGGAGGCACAGCCCAGCCAAGTGGCCGCGCCTGCAGCCATCGTGGCTTTTTTGTTTTCTTTTCTCTCGCGGCAAAAATAAAATCACAAGCAAAGAGCGCGCTTTGGGCGCCCACTAGTTGAGCGAGCGAAGGCTGTGCGCGCGCCAATTCTCTCACCGGCCTGTCGCTCCAAAATATTAATATTGTGCCGCGAGAATGACGCGCAATTCCGAAGCTTGGCCTGAACCCAATCATCTGCCGGTGAAAAAATCGAGGGAATTGGAAGAAGAGAAGAAGGTGAAGAAGATCCTCTTTCGGTCTGACATTTTGACATCAGTGCGACACCTCAGACTACTACTTGATGATTCACATCTTCTGTGCTGAACATGACTCGTGAGCTTGTGTTCTGCTCTGTCATACCTCCGAATAGCGAGTCTTGGGCCAACATGGCCACACTAGGAAAGACACGCTAGAGTGGCGCATGCAAGGCCAGGCGCTTTTTCCCTCCACGTCGGACATCTCGGCGGCTGCTTCCGAACCACAAAGGTCCGATGAAGATGAGTGCACCCGCCAGCGTCGACGTCGACGTGCTCATCATCGGAGCAGGCATCGCTGGCATTGACGCTGCCTACCGCGTGCAGAGCGAGACGAAGCTGTCGTACGCCGTCGTCGAGGCCCGCAACGAGATTGGAGGAACATGGAGCCTGTTCAAGTTCAGCGGCGTCAGGTCAGACATTGACATGATCCAGTACGGCTACAGCTTCCGACCCTGGACAAAGGACAAGTTAATTGCAGAGGGCTGGGAGATCCGTCAGTACATCGATGACGTGGCCACCGAGAAGGGCATCAAGGACAACATCAAATTTCAACGCCGCGTCGAGTCTGCCTCGTGGTCATCGGCGGAGAAGCGCTGGACGGTGACGCTCCGTCGCACCGACCCGTCTGGCGGCAATCACGAACCGGAGTTGATGACATCCCGATTCATCTTCAGCTGCACGGGCTACTACGATGATCAGAAGGGCTACTACCCTCCCATCAAGGGCGCACAACTCTTCAAGGGCCCGCTCGTCCGGCCGCAATTCTGGCCCGACAATCTTGACTACCGAGGAAAAAAGGTTGTCATCATTGGCAGCGGTGCCACAGCGGCCACGCTCCTTCCGAGCATGTCGCGCGGCAAAGATGGTGCGTCGAGCGTGACGCTGCTCCAGCGGTCTCCTTCCTACTACTTTGCTCTGCCCAGCGAGCGACCAATCGTCAACGTCTTCCGACGCTGGGCACCCGCATGGACAGACCAGCTCATGAGATGGTGGCTGTCGACTATCGACTTTCTCTTCTTTCTCTGGTGCCTCATGTTCCCAAATGCTGCCCGCAGACTCATCCGCTTTCTCACTGCGCGCCAGCTCCCTCCTCACATTCCTCTCGACCCACACTTTGATCCAAAGTACACGCCGTGGAAGGAGCGCCTGTGCATGGTGGCCGATGGCGACTTTTTCCAAACGCTGCGCTCGGGCAAGGGACATATTGCCACGGGCGTCATCGACACCTTTACCCCAGACGGTATCCAGCTCGTCGACGGCACCTTTCTCGAGGCCGACGTCGTGGTGCAAGCGACGGGCCTCGAGGTGCGCATCTTGGGAGGCATCGACTACAAGGTGGATGGCGAGACGGTCGAGACGGGCAAGCGCTGGCTCTACCGTGGCACGATGCTGTCCAACGTCCCCAATCTGATCAACAGCAATGGGTACTTCTTCCAGGCATGGACCCTGGGAGCCGACATTTCAGCGAGGTCATTCACCAAGCTCGTCAGACACATGGAGAAGAAGGGCTACTCGTCGGCGACGCCAATACCTCCAGATGGCATCGAGCAGATCACGGAGCGCTTCGTCACGTCCGGCTACATCGTCCGGGCCTCTGGCCGGTTCCCTAAGGTCTCGACAAAGAAGCCCTGGAAGGGGAGAAGTCACATGCTGGCCGACTGGCTAGACTTGCACTTTGCCAATGTAGAGGAGGACATGCGCTTCGAGTGATGGGGGTAATGTCGCCCTGGCCCTCTCCGAGCTGGGTGCAGCTGTGCGTGCATCCGCGGTTGATTGCGAAACAAATGCAAGAATACAGTAGTAGTAGAAGTACTAATAGAAGTAGTGGAAAGAGGCTTGCAGTAGTAGTAGTAGAGTACCTGATTTTCCTTCTTTTTTTGTATTTTTGTCCGTAAAGCGCATGATAAGTTCGGGTGGGTGAGAATGGGCTAGCAGGTTGCACCGAACACTGCTTTCGACGACACCGATCTGGAAGCACCATCAAGGGCTCAATCCCTCCCTCCCTCCCTCCCTCCTTTTGCTCGACGAGAACGTTGGGTCTCGAATCCCCCCCTCGCCGACAATTCCATCCCTGCAACGAGGAGCACGGGCCGGGGCGGGGTCTTAAAGAGGGTCAGGCCAGCGGGTGTCTAAAACTAAGTAGAGAAGAGAGGGAAGAGGGGCGGGGGAGAGAGCGAGAAAGAAAGCCAGAGAGAGAGAGGAGACGGGGGAGGGGGCACGGACGCGCGCTTGTAAGTAAGTTGTCGCCTCGCTGTTCTTCTGAGGCGGCGAGAAGAGCGGGCGCCGCTGTCTTCCTTCATCCTCTTGTCGCTCGGTCAACGCCAGACGGGTATTCGACATCCAGATCGACCCACGGAGAGCGTGCAAGGGAGAGCAGGAAGAGGGTTGCGAGTCGTCGGCGTCGTCTCAGGTCTCGCTTCGGCCTCCCATCGCCCAGGTCTGCCACGACTGCACTGTAGACTGCGGGCCTCGTCTCTCGACGCATCTCCATCGCCTCGGGGCCCGGCCCACCTGATCTCTTCTAGCAGCGTGCCCACAACGAGGAGAGACAAAGACAGAAGAAAATACCGATGTCGGACCTCTACAGGCCTTCGTCTCGCAACGCTTCGAGCTCCTCACCCAACTTCTCTCGCGCCGCCCCGCCCACCCAGTCAAACCACCAGCAGCCCTCGTTTCCCTCATCGGTCTCTTCGCTTCCTGGTGCGCTCGGCATCGGATCTTCTTCGTCGACAGCGCTTCCCAGTGCGAGCAGGAGCAACGTTGAGCCAAACGGATCCAGAGAGCAGCATCCACCAAAGCAGCAACAGCAGCATCAACATCAAAGGCTCCAGTCAGACGCATCCTCGCTACGACGGGGCGCCAGCCCTAGCACAGGTTCCTCGTCCGAGCTATACATGACGCCCCCTTCCTCGTCCAGGGGCCTCGACAGCGCCAACATGAAGGACACTGGTGCTGAGTCATCCAGCTCCAACGGCGCTCCAGACGGCTTCTACCAGAGTCGCTCTGTCTCCTCGAGCTCGTTGACCATGGACGCGAGCGGCAGCGGGGGGAGACGACGGGCGGGCAGTGGCTCCAATCCACCCTCCTCTCGCAAGTTCATGATCCCGATCGGGGCAACAGGCGCCAGGCAGAAGCTGAACGTCCTCAGCGCCTCGCAGAAGCCTAGGGGTTCATCCTTGACGAGCAGACGACCATCGACAAGCTCGAGTGCGACCCATGCCGGCGAAGAAGGCGTCTTTGGAGAGGGCTCCTTCCAGCGGCTGGGGTCCTCGCATGGCCGCAGCGAAGGCAGTTCTCGAGGCATTGGCTCGTTTACTAGCTCGCAGAGCCACGAGTATCTACCAAGACCGACGAGTAGTAGCAACAGCAGCAGCAAGGGCAGGAACGGCGCAGATAGCGACTGGACCCGGGACGGAAGCTCGTCGCAGCGGCGGCCGAGCGACCCACAGGTCAATGGCTGGACGCTCGTCTCTACCACTGCGCCCGCTTCAGCAGCCTCGCCGCCATCGCAAGCAACCAATCGCTGGTCTTCGGCGTCGAGTGCCAACGCTTCGCCCCAGCCCCCGCTGCCCGTGTCGGGTGGCTGGGTCATGGATCCATCTTCGTCCACAGCGACCGCAACAAACACTGTCCAATCTCAATCTTCGACACCGACACAAGAACGGCCAGATCCACTCATGCAGCGTGAAAGCTCTACTTCGAGCATGCGCAGCCTCGGGTCCTGGAGAAAGGCGCTCAACGCGACACCGAGAAGAGAGCCTTCGGGCAAGGGCATGCAACCGAGCCACAGCAACCAGTCCATCGACAGATTTGACCCTGCTGATCCGCCGTATAGCTCGCCCAAGGCCGATGCCATCCTGGGCAGACAGAGGAGCGCGAGCAACACGAGCGATCGCAGCTTTGCTCGCTCACCGCAGAGCTCGACGTCGTCCAAGATGGAGAATGCAGCTGGAAAGGTCAGGGGTGGCTTCAGAAGCCTCTTTCAATCCAAGGGCAGCCGGCTGCAGAGTCCGCCGACAGACACTCCCTCGCAATTCTCGCCCCCAAAGGGGCTGTGGTCACCGCCAGATCCATCCCAGGACAACAGCATGTTTGGCTCCCAGCCCCAGCGCAACAATTCGGCCAGAGAGCTCCAAAGTTCAGAGTCGGGCTCAGAGATGGAAGGCAGAAGAGGGAATCGGTCGGCGTCAGACTTTGGCGACAGCCACGAAGGTGATGCCAAGAGCGACAGCACAGAGAAGGACGAAAAGCCTGCGGGCGAAGACGCAAGCGAGGACGACAGGGAAGAAGATGATGAGAGCGAGACATACCAAGAGAGGCAGATGTCACCCTTGGTCAAGCGGACGTCGGAATTTGCACCGACGCTGGACCTTAATCTTCCATCGGCCGGAGGCCTGTTTGATCAGTCGCCACGCACCGAAAAGAGCGCTTTGCTCGGCATTCCCATGGGCACTGGCGCAGCCGACCAGCCGAGGTCACCAATGGATAGGGGCTCTGGAGACGAAGCTGTTGACCTATCGCAGCACGCTTCGTTGAACAAGTCACTGCCGCCGACGCCAGGGCCTTCCAGCAGCAATGCGAGTAGCGTTGGTGGCGACGGGTCGTCCTTCTTTGGCAGCCCTTCGGCCAAGACGACGCCACAAAAGAATGCCTCGTCGTGGTCGCAGGCTCCTGCGGCAGCCGCCAGTTCGGCCGGCTCTCAGCGCGGCTCTTTGCTAGGCTTGTCTCCGAACGGAGACTCTGATCGCAGATTCTCCACTGCGACTGTCTCTAGCACAGCGACTTCAGACACTCCAGCAGGCAGTCTCACTACGAACAAAGGTCTTGAGCTCACGCCAACCACGCCGCCAGACGATGGTGCAGCCACACGATCATCTCGGACCCTGATTCCTATCGACTCTGACAAGCCCAATGTGCCCCTCACGTCACCGCTGCTGGCTGCTGTGCTGGATCAACAGAAGCGCAACGCCTCGATGGCGACGGCATCTTCCTCGCATTCGCCAAGCACGCCGTCGCTCATCAGAGGGTCGGTAAGCTCTGAAAGTGCCTCACCGAGCTCGCGTTTCAATGCTAGATCGTCTCAAGACTCCACTCCTTCTCCCACGAGGTCATCAGCGTCAGCTTCGACGAACGACACTGCGGTCCCGAACGGGGGCACACCCACCAAGCCTGGCATCCCAGCGAAGTCAAAGGATCGGCCCTCCTTGCCCCCTCAGCCTGATCCGGCGACGTTGGCCAGGCTCGAGAGGAGCGCATCAACAAACACAGTCCAGACAGGCGCTGCTCTCGCCGCCGCTGCCACGGCTGCCAACACCTCTGCGACTGTTCTCGAGACCAATGAAGATTCGGCATCTGCCATGGCACCGCCGGATACAGCATCAGCGGCATCACGGAGCTCATCTGTCAAGTCCAACGAGAACCAATCTACTGGACGGCACCAGCACCAGCACCAGGCTTCTGCCCAAGCAAAGCCAGCCTTCGACCCAGCAACATATGTACCACCCGGAGCGCTCACGAGGACCCGCAAGGGCGTTACTGTCCTCCCACTGTCGTCGACGCTCTCTTCCACCAGTCAGAGAACCTCGGCGGGGGCGCAATCGTCAGAGGATCACTCCTCTCGCTCCGGTACTGCGGAAGAAGGAGACGAGAGCACGCCAAGACCATCGATGGATTTGGGGGGATTCCGTACCGAGTCAGCCATACCAAAGCACAGCAACATCCCGATGCCAGTGTCGCCCACCATGCGCAGCCGCTTCTCTATTAGCGGCGAAGAAGAGTCTGGCACACACATCATCTCACGCCCGGATCCTGTCGAAGAGGGAGGAAGCGATGGCCAGATCATTTCGTTCAACACTGGTGACTTTGACCCGGATGAGGACAATGCTTCGGTCGATTCGGGGTCGATGCTGCCAGCCAGCGCATGGGCAGAGGTCGAAACGTCCCTGCAGCGCTTCAAGGACACGACTGCATCGACTGCTGCTGACAAGGGTGGCCTTCTGCGCACGATACTGCTTCCCTTCCTGGCCCTCGAGGCCGAGACACCCAACGTGGAAGTCAGCGGCGAAGGCAACTTCACCTCGGGCAAAGCACGCCGCTCCCTCTTCTTTGAGTGGATCCGGCATCTCCTCCTCGAGCTGCAAACCGTTCAGACATCGGCCGACCGAGGCGCTATCCTGGAGAGCATTGCCTGCATCATTGAGAGCCGCAACTTCTCTGCCAGTATCCTGTCGACGGATCTCGAGGACGAGACGAGGTTCTCCTCGGTCTTTGGCCACATTCTGTCTTACGCCATCGGGGAGCTCAACAAGAAGGGAGTCTACCAAAACACGCTCATCTTTTCCGGACGATTACTTGGTGAGTTTGGCTGCAGTCGAAGTCTACCCTGTGACAATGCTTGCTGACAATTCTTTATGTCCAGCGGTGGCATTCTTTCGGGTCAAGGGTGTGGCGAGCAAGCTCCTTCGTGCGCTGCCCGTCAACCGCTTCGCCTTGGAAAGAGTGGCGCATGAGGCACAGTGGGACGAATACCAACCAAAGGATTGGAGGATGTACGCCTCAAAGTTTCCTCAGCCCTTGCGAGACTTTTGCTTCCAGGATGCCAAGACCTACCTGAAGATGCTCGACTCCCAGACGACGACAGCTGCAGTGACGAATGGCGATGCCGAGGACGACGATGACCGCTTCCTCGTCCGACATTCCGATGTCGAGGTGGAAATGACGGGCAACTGGCTGAGGCGATGGCAATCGGACGACTCGGAGCTCTTCTTCAGCTTTTGCAGGAGCTACCACCGGCAGCTTGCAGGTCTCTTTTCGGCCAGCAAGAATCTCGAAGGCGTCTTCAAGCTCTTTTTTGGTGGGCCTGGCTATGCACACTTGGCCACTTGCATCCACCAAAAGTGTCTCTCGCTCGTGCACCGCGACATTCTCTCCGTCACGACGCTGTCCTCACAGAAGAACTTGTGAGTACGGTATTGATTCCTATGTTGGATCTTCGCTGACACTCGTTTCAATGCCTTCAAAGCAATCCTGGTGAGACGGCAAACGTGCTCTCGGGAAGCACCGCAGGCAAACCACGGCACTTGGAGGCGGCCAATCGTAGATGCAGCGCAATCGTCGTCGACATCGTCCGAGCACCTAGCTCCAACAACCAGATCTTCGCTCCGATGCTTGGCATCCACGTCAAGTGCCTGGTCAGACGGACATCGCTGTACGATGTCCAAGGCGTCTTTTGTCTTCTCGACTGGATGGATGGTGTCCTGAGCCACATGGAGACGGCCGAGCTTCCTGCCGAGCACTTCATCGACATTGACTTTCTCATCCACACCGTCTGGCTCTTGCTCAAGGACGCTGATCACGCGCTCGCTCTGATGCGGACCGTCGCCTTCTGTTACTCGAACTTTGCCGTGCTGACGAGCACATCTCGACACCGCACCCGCTTCTGCGAGGAGATTTTGCTCGACGCGCGCATCTTCCAGAAACTTTTCCTCTCTTGGTCGTTCACCATTCGCGCTTACTTTTTGCACCTCCTCGTCTTCCGACTCGCTCGTATCAACGACTTTCCGTCACCGAATGACGACCCCAATGGCAAGACGGCCGTCATCATTGCAAGACTATTCAATATGCGTCTCGACGAGATTAGGACTAGGCACGATGAGCTGTCGCCCTCACCCTCGTCTGCCGATTCGGGCTCTGAAGACGATGGCGAGGAGTCGAGCCGGTCCAAGGGACGGCCCCAGTCGTTTGTCAGCACCATCCGGCACACGTCGTCGATTCACCACAACTCTGAATCCAGCCTGGCGGTGTCGAAGGCTGAGAGGGTGTTGGGCATCGGCATGCCTGACCCGGTCTTGTCTTCGGGCAAGGGCGAAAGCAAGGCGCAATCGCGTGCCGCCAAGTGGCTTCGGGCGCTTGGAGGGAGGAGCGTCAGCAAGGGCTCGAAGAACAAATTCGCCTCGGCCTCGTCTAGTGCTTCGCCGATGCCATCGACGACGGAGAATCCGCTGATTTACAACGAGCCTCGCAGGCCCATGCCGCGCGTCGACGAGATCGACATCGATTCCGAGGAAGATGGGTCTGGCTCGAGGCCGGCGAGTCCGGAGACGGCTGGTGGGGATACGCCAAAGGCCGACGAGGGTCAGTTTGACTTTGGCAGCTCTCCCGGCAACGCGTCGTCTCGACAACAGGCTACCTCTTCGCCGACGGCCTACGGCGAGAATCTTGCTCCGGACATGGCCTTTGACCTCCAGTCTCCCATGGCAACCCTGCCCGGTGAGCGGGCGTCGACTTCGAGGGCCCAAGCGCACCAGCCTCGCATCTCGAGGGCATTTTCGAAAAGGTCGTCCATCTTGCCCGGCCCGGCCTTTGAGCTCGTGTCGCAGGACGACGGCAAGATCGACACGGCAATGGAGGAGGAGGAGGCCATCCGGGCGTCGACGATGGTTGAGCCGAGGAAGAAGCTCGTCAAGGCCGACCCGTACGACCGCAAGCTGCACACGTACGCCGTGCAGAGCTTACGCGAATACGAGCAAACGATTCAGGAGCACGATGAATACTTCGCTTCGCAACCCGAGGGAGAGAAGGCGCAGGTCCCCAAGCTCCCCACGCAGTGGCCACAAATGTTTGCCGATAGCTAGGTGTTTCTTGACTGCGGTCTCCCTTTGTCCTCGCCATCCCTTTGTCCGGCGTAGTGGACGTCATGTATAAATAGACACTCTTTTCTCTTTAAACTGCTCTCCAATCGATTCCTCTGTTGAGATCTCAGAGACACACTTTACGTAAAGTGTGGGTCCTTTGTACTGGTTACAGAACGGCACACACACTCGACAAAGACAGTCTTCATCGTCATCGTCATCATTCGGAATCAAACCATCACCATCAGCTTAAGCTCTTTTCGACGCGCGCCAACGTCGAATCAGTCATCAATCAGTCATTGATTAGTCATTTACCGACGGGTAAATAATATTCGAAAATGTCAGCCCCAGCTCTGCCTCCACCTGAGCCCGACGTTAACTCCGTGGCTCAGAACGTCGCCGACCTCTCCAGCGAGATCGATCAGCTCAAGACCGGTCTCCTCGAGCAGGCTGCAGCCCACGGTGGGCTCAGTACTAAGTTCGACAGCCTCAGCTCCAAGGTCGACGAAGTCAGTCAGCAGTTAGGGGAGCACACGATTGGCCTTGCGGCCAATCGTGCGGCCATCGAGAGGCTTAACGAGACCTCTGCGGCCACCCATTCGACGCTCGAGTTGATGAAGACTCAGCTCGAAAGCATTCTCACTCAGCTGAAAAGTGACAATGATACGAGGGACAGACGCCTCAACGAAGTTGAGCAGGGCCTCGACTCGCGCTTCCAGCAGTTGGAACGCAATTTAAACGTCCGTGTCGGACATTTGGACGACCATGTCGCAACGCTTCGTGCAGAGCAGCCCGCTGGAACGACGCACGGCTCGACTATGGATGTCGATGGATCCACGCGTCAGGAAGGCGACCCTGGCTCCAAGCATCTGGAACCAAGGGACCGCGAGGAGCTGCCAAATGCGCACGAGGACGCCAAACCGCCTACTCTGCGCGACTTTAATGGCGACAAGGAGGATCCCAGCCTTTGGCTGCAGGACTGCGTCGAGCAGTTAACGGATCGCCGCGTCGCCAAGTCTAGGTGGCCGGTGATCGTCTCTGGCGCCTTACAAGGCTGGTCGGTCACCTGGTACCGCCGCGAACGAGAGGTCCACGGTGGCACGCTCACCTGGCCTCAGTTCAAGGGGGCCTTCCTGCACGCACATCTCACTGGTGACCGGGTCACTGAGGTCCTGCGTGATCTCCGCAGCCTGCGGTTCACCACCATGGAACAGATGGTGGGCGAAATGCGCAAGCTCGACATGAAGTCATCCGTCGCCAACGTGACGCAAGAGGTGCTCATTGATAAGTTCCTCACTACGATCCCGTTGGCCAGGTACGGCGACTTCATCCTCAACGTCAAGCAGAAGAAACGCTCGACGGTAGAGGCGGTAATGCAGGATGCCATCGAGTACGATGCGCTGCGTCAGCAGACGTTCAAGCGCGGCGACGGTCAGCTCGATGGCGATCGCCGCCCGGAGCAGCGCCAAGGCAAGGTTTACCCTGGGGGTGGACCACGCTTCACTCTCCGCGGGGTTCGACCTCCGCCCAGGCCTGCTAATTACGCCTCGGCTGCAAAGATGCCCTCGACACCGCGACCACCTCCACCGGCAACCAAGACGGAGGAGGCGCCGGCGGATGTCAAATGCTACAATTGCGGTCGAGCTGGCCATTATGCGCGCGATTGTAGGCAACCAATTCGGGACAAGGCCACGACACCATTCCCTCGCAAGGGGGTGGCCTTCAGTCCCAATCCTCGCCTTAACGCTCAGTGGTACAAGCCACATGACAGCCGCTTACAGGTGTTTCTCCCGGTCATCGAGATCGAAGTCTTTGGCACAAGCGTGCGCGCCCTTGTCGACACTGGTGCATCGCACTGTTTCGTCAACAAGGCCTTCCTCGACACGATTCCGGGGATCACGCTCAGGGACATGGGCGAGGCCAATTTCGAGTCCGCCTTTGGCCCTAGTTCCGGTGCCGAGCCGGCAAAACGCTTCAATGCCTGGGCTCGACTGGGAGGAGGCGCTTCCGCGTCATTCGAAGCTTACCTGATCCCCTTCGCCGACAATGCCAAGTGCTTCGATGCCATTCGGGGCCAAGAACGCCCCCGGCACTTTTCAACGGGCGATGCAGGAGGTGCTGGGCACCACGGTTAACACGCTCTGCACCGTCTACCTGGACGACGTCACTGTCTACTCGCTCAACCGCGCACAGCATGTCCTCGACGTACATGAGGTCTGCGCTCGGTGCGACAGGGCGGGCTTCCATCTCAATCTGGACAAGACGGAGTTCAGTGCGCCCGAGGTCAAGGTGCTGGGTCACCTGGTCTCGCAGGGCGCAGTCAAGCCAACACCGGCCAAGGTATCGGCTATCGACGCCATTGCGCCGCCGACTACCGTCACGGACGTGCGCAGTTTCCTCAACATGATTGGCTACTATCGACGCTTCATCTACAAGTTTGCCGATATTGCTGGTCCGCTGTACGAAGTCACCAAGGGTGGGCCCAACGGCAAGCAGCGCGTCGAGTGGACGACGGAACGCCAAACGGCCTTTGACAAGCTCAAACAGTGCCTCATCAGCGACCCCGTCCTCGCCCAGCCACAGTTCTTGCAGCGGTACTACCTCGAGTCCGACGCATCCGCCTATGCCTGCGGCGGCGTGCTGTCTCAGGTGCGACAGGACTGGAAGGGGGATGCCAAGACGCTGGCAGCCCACCAAATTCCTCCCGTCTCAGCACTGCGGCCCATTGCGTTCTTCTCAAAGCGGTTTACAGCCACGGAGCGCAACTACTCGGCCCAGGAGCGCGAGCTCGTGGCTGCGGTGGCCAGCCTCCGGCACTTTCGCCACCTCGTAGAGGGCGCGCCCGGCGGGCTGACAATCATCACCGACCACGAGTCGCTCAAGTACCTTCGTCGGCAGAAGGAGATGACGAAGCGGCTGCTACGCTTCGTTGAAGAGATCGAACACTTCGACCCCGTCTTCGTCTATCGCCGCGGCAGGGACAACGTCGTGGCTGACGCACTCAGTCGCCTGGGAGGCGAAGACGATGTCGGCAGCGAGCCCGTCGACGTTCCCCTGTACGCCTTTCCTCTCTTTCGGGGACACGAGAGCGACGGCCACAGTGAGGAAGAGGAGGACGATGACGAGGCACGCTGGGAGGACGACAACGACAGAGAGCAAGGCACGCTCATCTCGGCTGAGGATCGTCTCCTCATGCCTATGTCGCAGGAAGAAAGAAGCAAGGTGGAAAGGGCATTCCGGGCATTGGGACTCATCCGTCTCTCGCTGTCCGAGAACTTCGATCTGCAGGAAGACCGAGCCAACGCGGCCTGGCGAAGCCGCTTGCCGGACAACCTGGATCAGGAAGCAAAGGAGCAGGTCAGGGACCTGGCGCTGGTACTCAAGAACGACGTCGTCTTCAGCCGCGGTCTCATGTTCTGGGTCAACAGATTCGCGGGCGACAATGGCGACGACGAGATCGAAGAAGTTATTGCCCACGACACGCTGTCGCGGGCCGCTCGCGCCATGGTTGCAATGCACCAGGATGTCGGTCACGAGCAAGGGCCAACCACGATGCGGGCGTACCTCGATCGCTACTGGTGCCCGGAAGCAGAGGCGCTGGCACGGGCATGTGTACAGACGTGCGAGACCTGCCAAGTCTTTGACGAGGATCCGCACAAGAAGAAGCCACGGCGCCTTCACCCAATCGGCACCGTCGATGCCTTCGATCGTCTTGGGTTGGATTTTGTCGAGCTACCACGGTTGAGCAACGGAATGCGCTACTGCTTGACCGTGGTCGACTACGCCACCTCCAACGGCCATGCATTCCCTCTGGCCAACCGGAGCGCCGCGGCGGTCATCGATGCCATCGAGTTCATGATCAACACCTATGGCAAGCCAAGCCATCTCATCGCAGACAACGGGCCCGAGTTTACAGCACGCGAGTTCATCACCTACGCAGACCGACTCGGGATACAGCTCCATTTCTCAGCCGCCTACCATCCACAAAGCAACGGGAAGGTCGAGAGCTTCAACGGACGCCTCGTGCGACGCCTCATGCGGCTCGCGCACGAGCATCGCGACGACTGGGATCGTTACTTGGATCAGGCCATCGCCGCATACCGGTCGACCCGCAGCACGGTCACCGGCATGAGCCCGTTCTATCTCATGTATGGCCGCGAGATGCGCCTGCGACATCAGGAGGGCTACAACACCCACTCGTCAAACATTCAGCCATCGCGGCTCGCCGAGATCAGGAGACGCGAGTCACGCGTCCAGCGGTTCGAGCACGAGCGCGGGCTGGCCAACAAGCGCTCAATGAGGGCCATGCGCCAACGCGCGGCCCGCTTCGAGCAAGGTGCAACACAGCAAGACACGTGGGAAGCCGGTACTGGCGACCTTGTCATGGTTCGAAATGTCACAGCGACGAAGCGCTCGCCCAAGTGGACGGGGCCGTACATGGTCACAAGCGTCACGCCCGACGGGGCCTGCGAGCTAATGACAAGAAACGGTCTCACGCTTCGGTCGACTTTCAATCAAGCTCTCCTAAAGCGCGCTTGGGCCGCTTCGGATCAAAACTCGCCACACACCTGGAATCCACAACCGCCAGCGCATCAACGTCCAGGGCCTCGGCACTTCGATCCGCGCGACCCAACGCCACCGCGTCAATCCACTACCGAGACAACTCAGCAGACACAGCAATCTTCGCCTTCCACATCAGCATGGCTGCCTCCGACAGCCACACAACGGCATCGCCGCCTCGCAACGCTGCCGCCGGAACAGCAGCAGCAACTGGACCGGGCGCGAGCACTTCGCTCAGCTTCCAGATCGCGCGGCGAGCCAGGGTCGAGCGACCAGCAGTAGAGGCCGAGGATGTTCGGGCGGAGGTCCACAGTGATCTCAATCGCCTGCAGCGAGCCCAAACTCGCCACAACCATCGTTCACACCGCTCTTCACCACCAAATGCCAACATTTTGGTCGAGGGGGAGGGGATCGAAGCGAACGACGAGGACAACGAAGAACTAAACGATCGCGAACTGGACAACTTGTTCGACTTGATCAACTATCCAGACGACATCAGCGATGCCTGGACCTTTGGCGACGACAACCGCCCAGGATCGGACATAGCAGGCAGGTCACGCCAAAACCCCCGGCGGACAACCCTCCCGCCGGAGCTGCGGCAGTGGTATCGAGATGTCTCACGCGAGTTTGGACCTTGCCGTGCCCGCAAGCTCATGATGCTCAGCAACGACACCTACGAAGCACATGTACAGTACAAGCGCGAATGGAGTCGTCGACGCAGAGAAGCTGACCCTGAAGGACACCGGGCCCATCTGAACAAGATCAATGCCTGTCGCCAAGCAAAGGGGTACATGAGCAAGGAGTTCTACAACGCGGCACGCAAGGATCTGGCGGATCTGCGTGCAGTTCTCGACGGCCGGGGCCTCGAGAAGAGAGACAAGGAAATCAAGCAAATAAGGGAACGGCGACAATGGCTGGTCAACGATCAAGAAGCCTTCGAGCGGCACAAGGCCCACGTGCGAGAGCTCGACACAAGAAGGCGAGAGGCCATCCGCGCCGGCACCCATGTGCCAATTGTCCGGCAAAGTCTCGACGCACTGGAGGGAAATCCCAAGGAGGCTCGTCTTAATCGTTGGAACAACAACCAAAAGCAGCGACGCCAAGCCGACCTTGAGCGTCATCGCGAATACGATAAGGTTGCCCGGCAAAACCGTCAGAAGAAACTTGCAAATGACCCGGCGCTGGCTGAACGGGAAAGGGCGCGTCGGCGTGAAATTAATCGACGCCACAACGAGAACCGCAAATTAAGGCGCAAGGCGCAGCGCGACGCCAAATCCCAAGCTGCGGCAACCAACGACGACGAGGACGTCGCCTCGGGGTTTGAAGGGGGTGGTGTTTCTTGACTGCGGTCTCCCTTTGTCCTCGCCATCCCTTTGTCCGGCGTAGTGGACGTCATGTATAAATAGACACTCTTTTCTCTTTAAAC